CTAACACCCTAACACCCTATACACCCTAACACCCTAACACCCTAACAACCCTAACACCCTAACACACCCTAACACTACACCCTAACACCCTAACACCCTAACACCCTAAACAACCCTAACACCCTAACACCCTAACAACCCTAACACCCTAACACCCTAACACCCTAACACCCTAACACCCTAACACCCTAACACACCTAACACCCTAACACCCTAACACCCTAACACCCTAACACCCTAACACCCTAACACCCTAACACCCTAACACCCTAACACCCTAACACCCTAACACCCTAACACCCTAACACCCTAACACCCTAACACCCTAACACCCTAACACCCTAACACCCTAACACCCTAACACCCTAACACCCTAACACCCTAACACCCTAACACCCCTAACACCCCTAACACCCTAACACAGCCCTAACACCCTAACACCCTACACCCTAACACCCTAACACCCTAACACCCCAACACCCTAACACCCTAACACCCTAACACCCTAACACCCTAACACCCTAACACCCTAACACCCTAACACCCTAACACCCTAACACCCTAACACCCTAACACCCTAACACCCTAACACCCTAACACCCCTAACACCCTAACACCCTAACACCCTAACACCCTACACCCTAACACCCTAACACCCTAACACCCTAACACCCTAACCACCCTAACACCCTAACACCCTAACACCCTAACACCCTAACACCCTAACACCCTAACACCCTAACACCCTAACACCCAAACACCCTAACACCCTAACACCCTAACACCCTAACACCCTAACACCCTAACACCCTAACACCCTAACACCCTAACACCCTAACACCCAACACCCTAACACCCTAACACCCTAACACCCTAACACCCTAACACCCTAACACCCTAACACCCTAACACCCTAACACCCTAACACCCTAACACCCTAACACCCTAACACCCTAACACCCTAACACCCTAACACCCTAACACCCTAACACCCTAACACCCTAACACCCTAACCCTAACACCCTAACACCCTAACACCCTAACACCCTAACACCCTAACACCCTAACACCCTAACACACCCCTAACACCCTAACACCCTAACACCCTAACACCCTAACACCCTAACACCCTAACACCCTAACACCCTAACACCCCTAACACCCTAACACCCTAACACCCTAACACCCTAACACCCTAACACCCTAACACCCTAACACCCTAACACACCCTAACACCCTAACACCCTAACACCCTAACACCCTAACACACCCTAACACCCTAACACCCTAACACCCTAACACCCTAACACCCTAACACCCTAACACCCTAACACCCTAACACCCTAACACCCTAACACCCCTAACACCCTAACACCCTAACACCCTAACACCCTAACACCCTAACACCACTAACACCCTAACACCCTAACACCCTAACACCCTAACACCCTAACACCCTAACACCCAAACACCCTAACACCCTAACACCCTAACACACCCTAACACCCTAACACCCTAACACCCTAACAACCCTAACACCCTAACACCCTAACACCCTAACACCCTAACACCCTAACACCCTAACACCCTAACACCCTAACACCCTAACACCCTAACACCACCCTAACACCCTAACACCCTAACACCCCTAACACCCTAACACCCTAACACCCTAACACCCTAACACACCCTAACACCCTAACACCCTAACACCTAACACCCTAACACCCTAACACCCTAACACCCTAACACCCTAACACCCTAACACCCTAACACCCTAACACCCTAACACCCTAACACCCTAACACCCTAACACCCTAACACCCTAACACCCTAACACCCTAACACCCTAACACCCTAACACCCTAACACCCTAACACCCTAACACCCTAACACCCTAACACCCTAACACCCTAACACCCTAACACCCTAACACCCTAACACCCTACCAACACCCTAACACCCTAACACCCTAACACCCTAACACCCTAACACCCTAACACCCTAACACCCTAACACCCTAACACCCTAACACCCTAACACCCTAACACCCTAACACCCTAACACCCTAACACCCTAACACCCAACACCCTAACACCCCTAACACCCTAACACCCTAACACCCTAACACCCTAACACCCTAACACCCTAACACCCTAACACCCTAACACCCTAACACCCTAACACACCCTAACACCTAACACCCTAACACCCTAACACCCTAACACCCTAACACCCTAACACCCTAACACCCTAACACCCTAACACCCTAACACCCTAACACCCTAACACCCTAACACCCTAACACCCTAACACCCTAACACCCTAACACCCCTAACACACCCTAACACCCCTAACACACCCTAACACCCTAACACCCTAACACCCTAACACCCTAACACCTACCCTAACACCCTAACACCTAACACCCTAACACCCTAACACCCTAACACCCTAACACCCTAACACCCTAACACCCCTAACACCCTAACACCCTAACACCCTAACACCCTAACACCCTAACACCCTAACACCCTAACACCCTAACACCCTAACACCCTACACCCTAACACCCTAACACCCTAACACCCTAACACCCTAACACCCTAAACACCCTAACACCCTAACACCCTAACACCCTAACACCCTAACACCCTAACACCCTAACACCCTAACACCTAACACCCTAACACCCTAACACCCTAACACCCTAACACCCTAACACCCTAACACCCTAACAACCCCTAACACCCTAACACCCTAACACCCTAACACCCTAACACCCTAACACCCTAACACCCCTAACACCCTAACACCCTAACACCCTAACACCCTAACACCCTAACACCCTAACACCCTAACACCACCCTAACACCCTAACACCCTAACACCCTAACACCCTAACACCCTAACACCCTAACACCCTAACACCCTAACACCCTAACACCCTAACACCCCTAACACCCTAACACCCTAACACCCTAACACACCCTAACACCCTAACACCCTAACACCCTAACACCCTAACACCCCTAACACCCTAACACCCTAACACCCTAACACCCTAACACCCTAACACCCTAACACCCTAACACCCTAACCCTAACACCCTAACACCCTAACACCCAACTTGCTCAGCAATTCAGACCAATTCTTTTGATCCACCACTAATGCAAGCTTACCAAGATTATCTTAATGCTTATCAACAAAAGACATCTCTTTATAATATTACAAAAGATGAAGAAAACAGAACTAATTTAATTATTTATAACACTGAAACTGACACCCAAGAAGTCAAAATATTTCAGACTCCAAAATCAATAGACGTAGGCACTTGCATAACTCAACTTCCAAATGGCAAGCTATTCTGCTTTGGTAATTATGAACTTTCTCGAACTACAGGACTAATTGATGTGAACGGTGGAATCGAAGTGCTGCCATCTGGAACTTGTAGCAACTGCCCAACATGTATCTATTTTAACAACAGCGTCTATTCCTTTGGAGGAGATAATGAAAAGGGATTAACTCTATCTAGTAGATTTGATTTTGATCGAAATCGATGAATTCAATTAGCTCCAATGCCAAGAGCTGATTATCGGTGCAATAGTATAATATTTAATAGAAATATTTTGATTTCTGGATGATATAATACAAATCTTTTGCTATACTCAATTGATATTGATTCTTTCTCGACAATACCTTATGAGTTTAAAGTATATACAAGAAAGATCTTGATAAATGCAGAGAGACTATATTTGATAGAATGTATGCAAGGATCAATCTATGAAAGCGAAATAGGAAGTTATTCGAATTGGAGAAGAATAGGAAAATCAAAAATCGATTGCAATCCTGATCAAGTATATTGTTCATATAATAAAGGAGGAATATACATCTCAAATATTCAAGGAACATGCAAATCATATTATTACTTTAATTTAGATAAAAAAATCATTATTGATGTTGCTTACTATAATACACATGTTTCACTTAGAAGAGCAGGTAAAAAGATTGAGGCAATAAAATGAAATAACCAGATCTTTAAGCTCGATCCTTATTATCTGGATGAATGAAGTGCAAAAGATATTAGTCTAAAGTATGTAGGAGAAAATCTAAAAGAAATCGAATCCTATGACGAAGCAATCAAACTCAATCCAAAAAAAGCTTATTTTTATGATAAAAAAGGCGACGCTTTTTATAATTTAGAAAGATATCTAGAAGCTATCAAATGTTATGACAAAGCAATCAAACTCAATCCAAATGATCCTTATTTTTACTATAATAAAGGTAACGCTTTTTTAAGTTGACAAAGATACCTAGAAGCGATCGAATGTTATGAAAAAGCAATCAAACTCAACCCAAAAGATGGTAATTTTTACAATAATAAAGGAAGAGTTTTTTATAATTTACAAAGATATCTTGAAGCAATCGAATGTTATGACGAAGCAATCAAGTACCTTCCATTGAAGGCTTATATTTATAATAATAATAAAGGCACAGCTCTTTTTGATTTAGAAAGATATCTTGAAGCAATCGAATGCTTTGACAAAGCAATCGAATGCTTTGACAAAGCAATTGAATGCTTTGACAAAGCAATCAAGCTCAATCAAACTGATGCTGATTCTTACTATAAGAAAGGATGCTCTTTAAATAAATTAGGAAGATATCCAGAAGCAGTAAAAAGCTATGATGAAGCAATCAGATGCAATCGATATAATGTCAAGTATTATAATATAAAAGGCAATACTCTTTATATTTTAGAGAGATGTCAAGAAGCAATACAATGCTATGATGAGGCAATTAAACTTGAACCCAATAATCCTTTGCATTTCTGCTGCCGAGCTAGAGTATTTAATAATCTTAGACAAGAAGAAGCAGCTTTAGAGGATTTTAATACTGCTTATCATTTGAAGCAAGTAAGTGGTATTTTCACTGGAAATGAATGGAAACTTTCTGAAGAGGATATCAATTTTATTAACGACGTATTAGACCGAGACCGTATTGAACTACTCCTAAAAATGCAGATTTAAATAAAATTTGATTATTATATTAGAGTTAATAACTAGTTCTAACTTATAGAGAGAGTAATTGCATTATTATTTTGTTTGAATGTATAAGTGTTATTAAAATTCTAAAATCTTTATTTTAAACGGTTCCTACATCAGATAATTGCTTAGAAGCAAGATCAAATTTCCACAGAGCATTATTATACAGAACGAAATAAAGGCAGCTCTTATAACGAACAATACTTGACTGATTAATACTTCCAGGCATGCTATTCGTCTCTTTTTGAGCACAACTAAAAATATTGCTTTCAGCACTTTCAAAAATCCTTCCCCCTTTCTCAAGTGCGTAAACTCTTTCATTTCCTCTCAGCATAAATTTAAGATAATTAGTATTTAAAGCCAGATTCGGGATATCTTGATATATAATTGTTATAATGATGGCTTATTATAATCAAATTTTATTTAAATCTGCATTTTTAGGAGTAGTTCAATACGGTCTCGCCTAATGAGTCATTAATAAAATTGATATCCTCTTCAGAAAGTTTCCATTCATCCCAAGTAAAAACACCACTTACTTGCTTCAAATGATAAGCAGTATTAAAGTCCTGTAAAGCTGCTTCTTCTTGTCTGAGATAATTAAATAATCTAGCTCGGCAGCAGAAATGTAAAGGATTATTGGGTTCAAGTTTGATTGCCTCATCATAGCATTGTATTGCTTCTTGACATCTCTCTAAAATATAAAGAGTATAGCCTTTTATATTATAATATTTGGCATTATTTGGGCTGGTTATGATTGCTTCATCATAGCTTTTTACTGCTTCTGGATATCTTCCTAATTTATTTAAAGAGCATCCTTTCTTAAAGTAAAAATCAGCATCATTCGAAAAAAATTAATTGCCATTCTTCAGCTTCGAGACTTCCTAATTTTTGGAAGACCAATTCCTTATTATAAGCAACTTAACTTAACTTACTTATAAGAAAAGAGAAATGAAATGGTGACGTTGGTGGAACTTGGACTCCGAGGCAGACTCCCTATGTAGTAGGTAGGAGCCATCCATCCTGACGTGCTGAAAGTAGGGCCTATGTCCCGGTAGAAGTAGGCCTTCAGGCTTGGCTATGACTTGCCGAAGAGGGGACACAAATTAATTCAATTTAAGTATAGTATCCAGTGATTGACCCAGCGATATTACATCAACAATAATTAGTTTTTAAGCCTAACTATATACAGTACTGGATTGACATCTCAAGGGAATGGAATTTTAAGTAAGAGTGCAATCAGCATTGTTTGGATTGAGTTTGATTGATTTGTCAAAGCATTCTATCGCTTCTAGATATCTTTGTAAATCAAAAAAAGCTGTGCCTTTATTATTATTATAAATATCAGCATTGTATGGATTGCACTTGATTGCTTTGTCATAGCATTCGATTGCTTCAAGATATCTTTGTAAATTATAAAAAACTCTTCCTTTATTATTGTAAAAATCTGCATGGTATGGATTGAGTTTGATTGCTTTGTCATAGCATTCGATTGCTTCTAGATATTTTTTTAATTTATCTAAAGCGTTGCCTTTGCTATTGTAAAAATTAGCATCTTTTGGTTTGAGTTTGATTGCTTTGTCATAACATTGGATTGCTTCAAGATATCTTTCTAAATCAAAAAAAGCGTTGCCTTTATAAATGTAAAGATAATCATTGTTTGGATTGAGTTTGATTGCTTCGTCATAGCATTCGATTGCTTCTAGATATCTTTCTAACACTTTAAAAGCATCACCTTTTTTTTTGTAAAAATCAATATTGTTTGGGATGAGCTTGATTGCTTCGTCATAGCATTCGATATTTTCTAGATTTTCTCCTAAATATTTTAGAGTAATATCTTTTACACTTCATTCATCCAGATAATAAGGATCGAGCTTAAAATTCTGGCTATTTCATTTTATTGCTTCAATCTTTTTACCTGCTCTTCTAAGTGAAACATGCGTATTATAGTAAGCAACATCAATCATGATTTTTTGATCTAAATTAAAACAATAATATTCTTTACCTGTTCTTTCAAGATTTGAGATGCATATTCTTCCTTTATTATATGAACAATAAACTTGGGAAGAAACGCAATTGATTTTTGATTTTCCTATTCGTCTCCAATTCGAGTAAATTCCAACTTCGCTTTCATAGATTGATCCTAGGCAGCATTCTATCAAATATAGTCTCTCTGCATTTATCAGAATCTTTCTTCTTTCTCTTGCCAACTCAAGAGGAATTGTCGAGAAAGAATCAATTTCAATTGAGTATAACAAAAGATTTCTATTTTCATATCCAGAAATCAAAATATTTCCATTAAATATTATACTATTGCACTGATAATCAGCTTTTGGCATTGGAGGTAATTGAATTCATCGATTTTGATCCAAATCGAATCTACTAGATAGATTTAAAACTATTCCATTTTCTCCTCCAAAGCAATAGACGCTGCTATTAAAATAAATACATGATGAGTATCCGCAAGGAGTTCCAGATGGCAGCACTTCGAATCCACCATTCACATCAATTAGCACTGTAATTCCAGAATGTCGATAATAATTGCCAAAACAGAATAGCTTGCCATTTGGAAGTTGAGTTATGCAAGTGCCTACGTCTAGTGATTCTGGAGTCTGAAATATTTTAACTTCTTCTGTTTCAGTTTCAGTGTTATAAATAATTAAATTAGTTTTGTTGTATTTATCAATTGTAGTATTATAAAGAGATGTCTTTTGTTGATAAGCATTAAGATAATCTTGGTAAGCTTGCATTAGTGGTGGATCAAAAGAATTGGTATGAATTGCTGAGCAAGTTATTCTGAAATCTATTTCTAATTCTGGATTGTTTGGTCTACTAAAAATCTCAGCTGTTTTATTCCTTAAGGTGCCTATGACGTCTGAAGCGCTGTCTGTTTCATTGTTGATATTATTAGAAACAATGCTCATTTGAAAATTAAGCAAGTTTGTCTCATTATCTGGGGGTTTTTTTATTGGCTTGTTTTCATTTTTAGGTCCTTTTAAACACTCACTGTTCTCATTTATTATCAAAGAAACTGAATCCTTAACGTTTGCTGACTCTATACTTGCGGGCTTGTTAGTTTTATTATGCATTTCAGGAGTAATTTGGATACCCCTTTTTTCTAGATATGCTCCGCATATTTCTGTAAAGAAGGATCTATTTAGATTCTCTAACTTTTGATTGAATATATAATACAACTTTGCACCGTTGTATCAATTTCTGCTGGCTATAGTCATCAATTTTACTTTTTCAATAGCTTCTTGAGGCTGTAAACTCAATAATCCTAAAATTGGATCTTGTTCTGACTTTAATAATTTTGAAGATTGAGAAATCTTTTCAATGGAATCATTTATTTCATCTAAGTAGCAATCCAACTTGCTTGTGAAGTCACCTAAATCTTTTTCTGAATTGGAAAAGGAATCTCTAATTTTTCTTCTCAACTCGCTATATTTTGAATTTTCTTTTGCAAGTAATATAAGAATTGCTTTTTTTGTCCCTTCACAAGGCTGCATAAAAATCGATTCAAGATTATGAGCTCTATTAGGCAAGTTTGCATGCTCTCCAATATGCTCTCCGCACAATAAAGTCTCAGGAGAAGAGCATTTGCATGCACACCCAACCTCGTTCATACACCCTGGCAGGGAGCATTTCTTTGCCATCATATAATAATTATTAGATATCTAATTCTTAAAGATTGAAATGCCAAAAATCTGTAAAAACTAATAGAAATAAAAATTATAAATCATAATTTAAATTAACTTAATAATGAGTGTGCTCTCAGAGGATACAACTCTCAGGGATTTTTTTCTGGCAACCCACGAAATGTCAAGTTAAAGCCATTTTACTAAAATTAGTTAGATCAATTGAGCAGCACTGGGCTTTTTTGGCTTGTCAGCGAGCCAAAAAAGTCCCGTGCTGTTCAATTGATATATATTATTATGTGAAAATAGACTTATAATATACAAAAGTTATTACAAGATGGATCAGTAACTCTAAAGCAGTAAGATTAAAATTTGCATCATAGGAAATTCTGGAACGGAAAATCGTCAATTTTCCTCAAATACTTCGATGGCATTTTCAGCGATACTTATATTCCCACCACCACTATAGATTTTGTATTTTTTACTATAGAAAATCTTAAATATAGGTAAAAACGATATGAGCAATCGAGATGGTTCGTGCACAATGATCGTATCAGACACAAGTGGCGATATGCCTTATCACTATATTTTATTTAAAAAATGAACTGTAACTGAAAATATAAAAATTTATTGCAATTAGGCTTATGAGATATAGAACTAGCATTCTTGCTTATTATCCATATGCTTTAGAATTTCTCCTTATATATAGTGTAAATGATAGAAGTTTATTTGATGATGTAAAGCGTTTTATAAACGATATTAAAAATTGCAACACAAAACGTCCTTTGATAATGCTTGCTGGGAATAAATGCGATTTAAAAGATCAAAGAGAAGTCTCATATGAAGGAGCTAAAAATGTCGCTAATGAATTTGATATTTTTTATATAGAAGTGTCTGCGAAAACTGGTTTTAATACAGAATGCATTTTTCTGCTATTATGCCAAGCTATTCTAAAAGATTTAAATTCAAGGGTTAAATAGATAAATAGGGTGAAAATAAGCATCTAACATAATTAAAAACTTTGGCTGAAATTGTTTAGCTTTAATATAGATTTGTATAATTTAATATATTATTTGTTTACGTTTTCGAATAATATCTTCTTGATGTTTTTTACATCGTAGAATCAGATCTCTAAAGAAATATAAACTTGAAATATCCTGTTAATTACTGTTCTTTTATTTTTATAGATTATTCTTTAGATACTCTTTTAGAGTCACACTGATGAGTATCTTACATACTTTTCCTGTTTTCTCATAATCAAGTCAATAATATTAAATTAAAGCTTGTTAATCATTTTAAAAGAGGATTAATTTTTAAGACATGACTTATATTCCAGATTATTGACTTACCCTCTCCTCTGAGCGAAAAAAAAATTGTTGTTCACACATAAAAAAAAAAATAATACCCTTAAAGGCATCAGCATCTATAAAAACAGTGTAAATTTTAGTAATCTTATTAGATTGATTCTTTTATATTGCAAGAGTATGCTATTCTCTCCTTTTCTCTAATAAAAATAATCACTTTAATGGCCATTTGGGTTATCCTTTTTAGCTTGATCATTTTTGACTTATTTTATGCTTTGAAATTCTTATCTCCTTCTTGAAATGATGAAAAACTCATATATAATTGCTTTTTCTTATTTTTTATCAACTATATCCCTTTAGAGCTTTTTGAAGCCTATAAAAACGAAATTTATATCTTTGAAGAAAATACATTTGTCATTAATATCAATCCTAAGGACTATTTACTAATTTCATGGAACTGATTTCTCAGTTTTCTCAAATATTCAAGCATAATTTATTGATATGGATTTTGGGTTACAGGATTTATGGCTCTAGTTGTAGTATATAAACATTCTGAAATAAAGCCAGCATATAGATCATCCTTATTTGCAGTAATTAATTCTATTTTTTACTTGCTTTATTTTATGTTAGCTATTTTACGCAGCAATGAATACTTACTCTGCCACTTGTTTTGATCAAGGATAGGATTTTAAAAATTTTTGAAATATATATTATTTTTATTATGCTGTATTTTTAAATAAGAGGGTTAAAATAGTAAATATTAAAACTAGTCAATAAAATTGTCTAAATTTAAAAAATATCTCTACTCCTTATTAATTATTTTTAATTAATAATAATTCTAAACTTTTTAGATTAGTAAGCTTTTAATGGCTAAAACACTTTGGATATTTAATTTCATGCAGATTATTAAGAAAATACGCAAATTACTATTAAACTGTTAATTTTCATCAATTATAATAAGATTCATTGTAAATTAAAGTTTGCAATATATAAAAATTGTTTAGTCAAGAATGGGGTTAATTTCCCAATTTTTAGGAATTTTTCACCGGAATCGTTCAATTAAGGACCGGGGGTTAACATTGTATGTAATATCTATCGGAATATCTATATTAACACTTATTAACTTCCGTAGCGAGAAAAATTATCAGAAATAATTCTATATTTTTTGAAAAATCAATGCTTCTTTTTTAAGAAAATTTTTTTTAATGTTTTTTATTGATATATTTCAATATATAATTAATAATTATAATAAAGAAATTGAAGAAAATTATATACCCCGGAGCTTATTTTGAATCATCCTGGGCTATAAGACGCTCGTCCAACTTGGTAACAGATATTTTCTGAACCAACTCTACCAGTTGATGGGGCATCAATAACCTAGGGTGATTCAAAAGAGACTCTGGGCTATATTAAAATTTTAAAACAGTTAGATTTTAAACATTAATTTTATATTTAGGCTATTTAAAAAACATTTTTTATGAAGTCTTTTAAAATCAAATTTTTTAAATCATTAGTAAGGTGGAAATAAGCTTATTCACTATAACTTGAATAAACAATATTTATTTATTCTTATGATAGTTGCAACAATTTTAACACTAAAGCGCACTTTTTACAATAACTTTGATATATTTGATATTTCATGATCATTGCTTATTTTTTGTTTTTCCGCTTTATTAGTGTATACACTGAGTTTTTATTTTCTTATGTCTTATGCATGTGCCTTTGCTTTTCTTGCATGAACTTGAGCTGAAGTTCAAGAAAAACGCAAAACACTCATTCATATCGAACAGAGTTTATTGAAAATATCCAAAATAAAGGCTCTAATTGTATTTTTTACATATGCCATGTATCTAACTTATAATTTAGTGACAAACTTATGAGGAGAACTTTGGGTTTTAAAAGAAATAATGTTTATTATTGCCGCAGATGGGATTGCAGGAGGCTTAATTTATCCAGAAGATGGAAACTCCAGTCGCACTTCTCAGGACTTCTTAAATTTTTGCTCAGTTTATTGCCAAGTTTTAACATTTAGGGCTATTTTTAGAGTGATTATTTAAGGTAATTTAATTAAAAAATTGAATAATATTCATTCTTGGGTAAATAATACTCTATTTTTATTATTTCTTTAAATTATATTTGCATACGAATTATATGGAGAAATTAAGAGTGATAATAGCTAATTAAAATTAATAAATAAATAATAATTCTAATAATGAAATAAAAGTAACTTAAATCTTAAACTATTAATACTAATTTTCGAATCTGTCTCTTATTTTGATTTAAATTATATTTACTTATAAATGATAGAAACTTAAATTAATTTATAATTTATATTTCACATAGTTTGATGTCCACTGCTGCATCATCTATATGGAGTTCCGCTCCTATTTTGGATACTTTACCGATCCTGCGTCGTACATCACCTATTCTTGATCTTAATGGCACCTCAAGAAGTTTAGATTTCGATTGCTTTCCTACCAGCACTCGGGTTAACTTTTTTTCTTGAGCATTTTTTTCTGAGATACTCAGCTAATCAAATCTCTCCGCATTTATTCATTTCCTATTCATCGTTGGTTAGATAGTCCCTCTCCTTCATTAATTTTATAAGAAATTATATACTCCCTTAAGAATTTTTAGTGTTAATGCTAATCTGACTTTTCTTGATTATCTTTTATTTGTTAATACTTCTGCCACCCCTGCTATTTTTTCAGCATTTATGCTTTGCTGCTATAAATACAATATCATTAGCATAGAATTGCTTTCCAACCTTAATCATACTTTTTAAGCTAAAAGATCTTAAATGATAGGCTTAACTTTCAATAAACTTGATTTCATTTTTCGGCCACCGATCTTTTAGCCTTGACTGAAAATCCTCTGTTTCAATTACAATAGCCTAACTGGCTGACCCAATGATATTATCACAATAAAATCTTATAAAATGGTTTTCTGAATTTTCATTTTCAGCTTGGCAATTTTTGATAGTTTTTACTGCGAAAAATATTTAAGTCCAACTGTGAAGGGTGAAAAAGCTTTATTTGGCTACCTTTGACTTTTCTTTGCCAACTATATTCCTTTAGCACTTTTAGACTCTTATCAGAGCGAAATTTCCCTTTTCCTAAATACCTCAGGGCTTTCTTGATTAGAAAATGCCAGCCTTAGTGACCTTTTAAGATCTTTGTCAACATGAATTCTCAATTTTCTTCAATATTCAAGCATCCTCTATTGAATCAGCTTTTGAGCATCAGGCATCTTATCTTTACTGCTTATGACCTGGTATCAATTCAAACCTAAAAAAGCAAAAATTTCTGCCCTTCTCGGAATGCTAAATTCTTTTTTCTTTTTATTTTACAGTTTTTCAGCAGAAAAATCTGAAAATTATATCTTGTTTCCAATAATGCTTGGGATTTATTTATTGACATTTATCAAAATCAAATATGAGTATTTTTCTAGGCATGAGTTTTATGATATCATAGGATTCGCATTATTAAAGTCAGGTGTTAGCCATATCAGTGCCGCAGTCACCAAAATCCTCCAGTACAAGAGGCTCTACTGCTTTTCGACCCAGAGGGTCTTCTCCCGAAAATGGGTACCCTTCCGGTGTCTTTTGGCTCATCCTTGCCTTGCGGCTTCAGTCTTGAGTGAGCGTTATAATATCATAGAAAAATATAATATTTTTATTTTTATCAATGCAGTTCTCACACTGAAACGAATTTTTTACCCCAATCTTTTTTTTGATGTTTTTTATTATTTTATTCCTTTATATTTTTCAAATATAATTTGTTATTATTTTGTCACTTCTTATGAGACAACTTTTATATATTTTGCAGATATTTGAAAGGAATTTCAGGAAAAGCGAAGAGCATCTCTTAATTTTGAAGAAAGTGACTGAAAGATATGTAAGATATATGGATTTCTTGTGATTTTTACATATTTTATGTATATTTCATATGAATTATTTGGAAGCTTGTGAGAAAATTTTTGAGTTTTAAGAGAAGCTTTGTTTATTATAGGATCTGGGAGCGTAGGATACATTTTAATATACCCAGATGGTGATGACTCTTTCACCTTCCTTTATCAAAATAAATCAAGCACAATCTCTATTTATTGTCAAATTTTGGCTATTAGAACAATTATTAGCATAATAGTTTAATTTTAAATGATGCCCATAATAAATAATATATATTTTTCAAATTAAATTGAGAATAAGAAGCTGCTTTATTCAATTTTATTGGCTTTAAACTTTTGCTTAAGCTCAAATTTCTAGTTCTTTGAGAATTGCTATAAGAAAATGGACTTTTTATGCAAAATTATTTAAAATGAATGAGTAACTCTTAAGCAGAGGTATGACAAAACTTGGCATTGTAGAGAATACTGGAACTGGCAAAACCTCGATTCTTATTAAATACTATGATGTCTTTTGGTGGCATGTATACACCTGCAAGAGATGCAATTTATGTATTTTTTACTATAGAAATGCAAATATATGAGCAAATCTGATATCAAAAAATACTCTTCCTTTGCATTGAAAGTATGATACGCTAGTGGCAATATGCCTGATTGCAGTATTTTATTTTAAAAATTGACTTGGAACTGTAAGAAACATAATTTATTGGAATTAGGAATGTGGGATATTAATAGCTTTTGACATTCGCAATCACATCACGGGCCAGAGATTTGCACCCATACATGCTTTTCGTACCCGAGAGACCCCGGCAGACACCCGCCCCTCCATCACAGGAGAGTCTTGTGCAACCAATTGGACTTCTGGCTTGACTGATTCCATAGCACATAACTCCCAGTATCGTGTTATGGGGAGTCTTATCGCTCTATCCAGCTAAAACTTTGCTAGCGATGCATTTTCCAGGAATTTCCAGAGTAAAAACCCATGCCACAGGGATTAGCTCCTTAAGGCACAAGAAAATTCCACTCCCAATATACACTAAGGATGTCGGACCTTTTCTCAGCTTTCTTTCCCTATCTCACGCTCTGTGCAGGTATTGCCCAAGGGGTCAGGTTATCATCTCCAATATATTAATGCATATGACATGTGAGATATTGAAATGTAACTCTCACTTGCTATCATCATACTATAAGTTTTTTTCTGATATTTATTGTATCTGATAGAAGTTCATTTGAGGATGTGAAGCGATTTATGAGCGAAATTAAAAGCTTAGCAGACAAACTCCTTCAATAATGCTTGTTGGGAATAAATCTGATCTAGCTAATCAAAGAGAAGTCTCATATGAAGAAGCTAAAATCTAGCTGATGAATTAAATATTTTATATATAGAAATTTCTGCGAAAACAGGATATAATATTGGATGCGGTATTCGGCTATTATATGAAGCTGTTAATAACAATTATTATCCGAGATAAAAAAATAAAGATACTTAATTTTGATAGCATGAATTTAATACCAGATCCTAACCTGATTTATTATAAATTTAGCTTATCTTGCTGTTTAAGTAATAAGTTGTAAAAATATCTAGATAGTAATTTAAAATCTATAAAATGACAACATAGCTAGCAAAATCTATGAAGAATAGTACGTAGAATAGTTACAGCTAACTCTGTAAAAATTATATATAAAATTGCAAATGACCAATTTATTAAATAAACAATTATCTTTTTATGAAATTATTGGTGGAAAGTCTCAAAAAAACTTATGCTTAGTAAAATTTATGTTTTTAAAACACAGTTTGTTTAAAATTGAACAGAATTAGCTAAAGATTTCATAATAATAGTTATCATTTATATATATTTTTTTTTCATAAAAGATTTTTCTAATGGTTGTGTTCGCTCATGGAAGAGGGGAGTTAGTAATTAACGATGACCCCCCCCTCAATCTTCATGTCTATTGCAACAAAAATGCAATTTTTTAATATAAAATTTTATATAAAAAAAATAATAATTTTCATGTCTCTTGCAACAAATTATATATATTAAAATGGCGACACGTGTCAGCCTGCCCTCTTGGCGCAGCATTCCAGACCTTATGGCTAATGCGAACTGGGACGAACTCCGAGCCGAGAATCAGACGCAGACTCAAGAAGTGTATATCCGGGCAGGTTTTGGCTGCTTTCCTGTGGTTGGAAATAGATTAGCTCAACAACGTCCTTTTGATCCGAGGACCCATGGGCATTCCTCTACCGAGAAACTGGGGTTTTGCCCAGGCCACAGGGGAACAGTCTTTTTCGTGTAGCTGTAGAAGGAAGGTACTTTGACACCCGATAGACTCTAAGGAGCTGATCCTTGGAATCAAGCTACTCCAATTGCCCGCAGCAGGGACGCATAAGTCCATAAGCCGCCCACTCAAGACTGAAGCCGCAAGGCAAGGAGGAGACAGAAGGTACCGGAAGGGCACTCGTAAGAGGAATACACCCTCTGGGCTGGAATCGAAAAGCGGTAGAACCTTCTGCACGGGAGGTCTTTGGTGACTGTGTCACCAATATGGCTAGCGCCTGCCTGTAATAATCCTAATCCTCTTGCAACAAATTTTAGATGCGCATCTTAAATTTTTCTGTACTTTTTAGCTAGATAAGTTTAATAAAATAGCGAGCAATGACAATAGCCGTCCAAATCTCGATGAGAAGGTCATTGACACGCCTACAGCAGCGCTGTTTTATGGGGTTTTTTTGAGAAACTCACCTAGAGAAAAATGCATTAATTCTTTTTTATAAAAATGTTGTTGCAGTAGGCATGAAAATTTTTTCGAAAAATTTTTGTTGCAGTAGACATGAAGATTGAGGGGAGGGGTCATCGTTATATTAAATTCTTCTCTATAAGTTTTATATTTCAATTGGAGGTAATAGTTTAACTGAAAGAAATATTCAATATAATGATATCAAGCGAAAGTTGGAAGAAAAAAGTAAAAACAGTAATAAAAATGAGAATTTATGGGATGGTGAAGGAGAAAACGAGTCTTTTATAAATGATGGTCTCATAAAGGAGGCGATAACCGCTAAATATATAAATAAATTATCCTATAATTAAATCAAATAAAATCTATAATGATCATGTTCAAATATCCAAGACTTTTTTTAAAGCAATACGCCCTTTTTTACTAATTAAATAGCAATTATGCTATAGAATAATAAATATTGAAAACATATATAGCTTGCTAATTATTATTAGGAGAATTTTAAGCTAATTTTTAAATTTTAATTGCTTTTATTCTTATAGGAGGTTAAATTTTTTATTCAAACTAATTATAATTATTATGAACAAATAGATTTTATTGCAAAAATATATAAAATGGATGAGTAATTTTCAAGCAGCACCTTGGTTAAATTTTGCATAGTCGGGAATTCTGGTACTGGAAAAACCTCATTTCTTCTTAGATACTGTGATGGCATTTTCAGTGAGGCATATACTCCTACTATAGGCGTAGACTTTGTATTTTTTATTATAGAGATATAAACATATAAGCAAATCTGATTTATACAATGATTCTTCATTTATATTGCAAATATGAGACACAGGAGGGGATATTCCTGATAATCATTTTTATATTAAAAATTGAACTGTAGCTGAAAATAAAACATTTATTGTAATTAGCATATGAGATGAAGAAATATGACTCTCAATTATTATCATAACACATTAGGTTTTCTTCTTGTATTTAGCATAATTGATAGAAATTCGTTTGAGAATGTAAAGCTATTTATGGGATATATCAAAAATTCTGGCTTAAGAAGAAGTTGAACAATGCTGATTGGAAATAAATGTGATCTAAAAGACCAAAGAGAAGTTTCGTATGAAGAAGCTAAAAAAATAGCTGATGAATGAGATATTTTATATATAGAAGTGTCTGCTAAAACAGGCCATAATATAGGGCGTCCTGCTAAGTTATTATGTGAAATTATTGAGAAGCTTGACAATTAAAGAACCAAAATAAGATTAACTAAACTAGAAGTGAATTATATTGAAATAATTTAATAAATTTCATATATGTTTATGGAAAAATCGATTTTTAATAATTGAAATTATCAGTATTAAATGGATCAAGGCAAGTTTAAATTTAAAATTAGAGGAAGCCCAAAAACTGTCAAACAACAATTCTCCATACGTGCTTTTAATGCTTTCCTGTGATGCAAGCAACCGCAGCATATATGCTTTTACACCCTAAATAAAAATAAGAACACTTAACATTAGAAAACGCTAGCGATAATATTATAAGGAGAAAGGTCTTGCATGATTATTTTCGCTATACTTCAGGAATCTTTATTATATTAGTGTAAATGACAGATTTTCATTTTTCGATGTGGATGGATTCATAGGAGATATTAAAAATTCAAGGAAAGAAACTCCTTTTATAGTTTTAATTGGAAATAAATGTGATTTAAGAGAACAAAGAGAAGTCTCATATGAAATAGCTAAGAACTTAGCTGATAGATGCAATATTTTATATGCGGAAGTGTCTACGAAAACTGGTTATAATATATAATGCATAATTCAGCTATAGCATTTTGATATATTATTATGCCGCTGCATTTTCATTGTTTTATGCGTGATTTATTTTAGATATTCATTGCTGTAACTAATCGCAGCCTTTAGCAAAAATAAAAGCTGAATATTTTAAAATCAGTTAAATATCATAAGAATTGTAAACTCCCCCCCTCCGTCTCCGTGAACGAACAAAAAAATCTTGTTCGCTGACAGATGTGGTTAATTTTTTTTTCGAAATTTAAAAAAAAATCCTAATTCGCAAAATTTGGAAAACAAATATCAAATTAATTTGTAAAATTTATGTTTTAAAACGCGATTTGTTTAAAATTAAACAAAATTAGCTCGAGATTTCATTATAGTAATTATCACTTATTTATCCAAACTTTTTTCATAAAAAATTTTTGTTAGCTCATGGAGGGTGAGTTTTTAGGCAAAAATAGCGATTTTCTAATGATTTTGTTCGCTCACGGAGGGGAGGGAGTAAGAAGATTTTTTAAAATTAATTTTTAGTTTATTTTCTATTGAGCATTTTTGATATATTTTACTATCGTCTACCACTTTTCAGTCTAGTAGCTTCATAAAGGCATTCCAAAGATTCTGTATCTTTGCCTACAACCTTAAGAGCTTTTCCTTTTGCCTCATAATATTCTGGATTAATAGCATTATTTCTAATTGCTATATCAAAGTGGTTTATTGAGTCTCAATGCTGGCCTTCATCATATAAAATTTTTCCCAGCTGGAAATGCGCAAAATGATTATTTGAATCGAGGCTTATAGCTATGAATAAACAATCCTTAGCGTCTTCAATTTTGTTTTCAAGTTTTAGCACAAGTCCTTTATTCGCATAAGCATTTGCATTTTTTGGATCAATTTTTATGGCTTTATCATAATATCTTTTAGATGACTTATAATTTTTTTCCTCAAAGTAAATATTTCCGATTTTTAAGCAAACATCAGCTAATTTATGGTCTATTAGCAAGGCTTCTTTATAAGCTTTAAGAGCTTCACTTTTGTTATTACTTCTAAATAGAGCATTTCCTTTGCCAACATATGCAGATGCAAGAGTTGGCTTGAATTTAATTGATTTGTTGAAGTATTCTATTGACTCTGAAAATTTATTGTGCTTTAAAAGAAGCTCTCCAATATGATTGTAGACTCAATCGCTAGCAGGATCTATTTCAATTATTTTTTCTAAACAATTTATTGCTTCTTTTATATTGTTAATTTTTTCATGTATTTCTCCTTTTTTGTGATAATATTGCTTTTCATAAGGCGAAATACGAATAGCTATGTCAAGATAAGGCAAAGCATCTTCGATTGATTCTTGTTCTAGCAAAATACATGCAAATTGAAAATATTCAGGATGATAATTTTGATCCATTTGGATGGCTTTATCATAGCATTTCCAAGCTTCATTTCCGTCACCGAGTCTATTAAGAGCTGAACCTCTGTGGCCGTAAGCAAAGCTAAACATTGGACAATCTTCAATTATTTTATTTGATAGACTCAAAGCTTTCTTATATGATTTTTTTTCAAGTAAAGCATCAAGCTTTAAAAATCTTAAAATATTATTTTCCAACCCTATATTTAATAATTGATTATAGGACTCAATGCTTTCTTGAAATCTATTTTGACTCTGTTTTTCTAAAGCTTTCATAACATAGGGAATTGAAAAAGATGGATCTATTTTAATAAGACTGTCCCAGCATTCTATTGCAGACCCGCTTTTTTGTAATTTTGCTAGAGATAAACCTCTGTAAAAAATGGCATCCAAATAATCTGGCTGCAATTTTATAGCAAGACTAAAAGAGCTAAGAGCCTCATTTCATTTTCCACAATGATATTTAAGCATCCCCTGCTTAAAATACCAAAAACTATTAAAGGCTTCATAATTTTCAGTGTCTCAATTTCACGATTCTATAAATTTATTCCATTTTTCTAATTCTTCAGTAGATTTACCTTGCTCATCGCTCTTATGTCCTCTTATTTTATTAATTTCTCTCTGCAAACCTGAACTTATTTCATTTATTTGCAAATCATCAAAATTTATATTTTCGATAAATTTGCCAACACAATCCAAAAGTTTGCAAAAGCCTTCGAGTTTGTCTAGTTTTTCATTGGTAGATATGCAGCATCGTTCTATTTTGTCAGCTGACATACGATGCTTAGAATGTCTATCAGAAACGCTGTTATCCGCTGAAAGTTGAGAAAGATGGTCATCTAAAGAATCTAATTGAGAGTCTGAGGATGAAAGATAATATTTTAAGGCTTTTTCTAGTTTTATGATGATCCCACTAGTTGCATTGATTGATTTTTGCTTGGCTGATTGAATGCTAGACTTTGCATTATTGAGAAGACTTATGTGATTTTGGTTTGCAATTCAATCGTCTGAGGCGCTAAAGGGAACAATACGGTGACCACCTCCAGGAAGCTGTATATGATCAGGGGCATGTTGCTCACATAAAAATGTAGGAGAGGAAGTGCATATGCACTTAAGTTCAGCGTTTCTTAAACAGTATTGGAAAGAGCACTTTCTTGAATTCATATAATTAATATAAATGAGATAAATTTCAGAGATTAGGAAAATTTATTTAAGTTTTTTTTGATATTTGATTTCTCTCTGGAGTTTATTGCGAGAAAGTAGCTTGCTTTATTATTTTGGGGTTGAAAAATTGCAGGTGCTTCTAGCTTACTTCCCAACTTGCAACAAAATTTTCTGCTAATCTTTTTTAAGATTTATTAATATACTCATAGAAATTAAGAGTTTAAAGAAATTAATAATTAACTCTTATTAGACATTGAATCTAAAAATTTAATATATAATTTTTTAATAGATTTTCAATAATAAAATCAAGCTATTTCATTTGAGTTCGCTAAAGTAAACAATTATCGAATAATTATTTAGTAATTAAATATTAAATTAGTTTTCTCTATACAGTTAAATAAAATTATTTTGATGATCAAATAATACGAAGATATAATAAATTATAAGAAATTTAAGAAGTTAAATTCTATATAATTTTCTTGGTCAAGCACAACTCAATAAATTGCATTAAATTTATTGATTCATTTTTTAATAAATATGCTAATTTAATTTCATCTAAATCTATTTAAATTAAAATAATTTATTCGAATATTATTTTTTTGTTGAAAAGGAAAAAAGATAATAAGTTATCAAGATTTACTATTGGTCGCTAAGTTTACCCAGGCTTCTCCAGGCTTAGCAGTTATAAAAGTGCAGCCTGGTAGTCCAGCTGAAAAAGCAGGAATCAGAGTTGGCGATATTATGGTGTCGGCTGATGGAAAAGAACTAAATAGTGCTGAAGATTTTTATAAAGTTGTCAGATTTAAAATAGGAATTGTTTTACACTTAGATATTTTGAGGGGAAAAGAAAAACTTAGTTTTACTATAACAGCATAATAATTATATAAAATATTAGTCTCTAATATACTGAGGAATGCAGCTTTTTGTTAAATTATTTTTAAATATCGTAATTTAGATTTTATAGACATAAAGTGCGAATCTGTTAAGGTAATTATTTATAGACATGAAAGATATCTAATATATTATTTTCGCCTTACTCCAATCATTAGCATTCGTTAATAATCTAATGAATAATATCTTTGAATCACAGTTTAAAGTAGAAATTTCATTTAAAGATAATAATTTCCTTGAAAAGACCCAGTGAGAAAAAATTTTTACTTGTTGATGTCCTTAGCCAATATAACAGTCTTATTAGAATTAGTGGAGCGTTAAGAATCCAGGGTGACTAGAGAGTTATTTTCAGCGAATAATATTTTATTTATTTGAAATTATTTTCTCAATATTTATAGACCAGCTATATTTAACTAAATTTTCTATAATTTTGCCAGCATCAACTATGTCACAAAGCCTAGCTTGAGGTGCTAATTATATGATCCCACATTGCAAGACATCTATATATTATCTTTAAAAGAAATTCTATTTTTCAGAGAAGTGTTAGAGCATAGTAAATAATAAATTTATTTTAAATAATTTGAGCCTGATATTATACATCGAAATGAAATTCCTTAGGGTTTTTACTAATAAATTAATATTCGTGGCTTCTCCGATGAACAATCAACTGATTTCTTTGCTTAAATTTAGATCTTCATATTAGATACAAATAAAGGATATCATCGAAATTAGTTTTACAATTAATCTTATCTAGCTATTCCACAAAGGCCTACCGCATAGTGTGGGAGGCCTTGGCACCTTAGATATGAGGAGACATAGGCTTTTACAGTTACAAACTGAAGATGGAGGCTGTTAGGTGGAAAACGCTCAGGAGTCAAGCATAGAGATAAAACTCATCCCATGAAGTGTGGTGGATAGATGGCGCGGTCTAGGCCACTATATAGAAAGATTCATGATTTCCGAACTCAGAGCAACAAGCGAAATTTTTGTGACATCACCAACTTAGAGCTAATAGTTCAAATTAATTATACATTCAGTGCGTCAAATACTTTTAAACATTAATTAGCTAATAATTAAGTATACTTAAGAAGCAAAGGGTTTAATCCTTGAGGTTTATGAACTCCTTCAATTTTTGGCTGCTTTTGAAGTATCTGAAGTACTTTTAGCGTGCCCTTTCTATAAGTCAGATGAATAATATTGAGATGCCTTCTGAGGTAAACCTGGTGATGCAATTTTTGCTGTATTATAACTACATGCAATATTTTCCAAAATATAATTATTTATTTAGGATTAGAACTAAATTCAATAATCAAAGGATTGATAAAAATTATAGGAGTGCATCACCATTGTGCTTTCTCTGGTATCTTCCTACTCCCTCTCTCCGTGAGCGTACTAAAAAATTTTGTTCAGTTTTTGCTTTTTTTTTAAAAATTTAAAAAAATTCCAGTTTATAGTAAAAACTAATTTAATTTCAAAATTTATGTTTTAAAATGCAAATTGTTTAAAATTAAACAGAATTAATAGAGATTTTATTATAATAATTATCACCTATATATCAAATTTTTGTTTGCTCACGGAGGGTGGACTTTTGGGCAAAAATAAGGATTTTTCCAAATGGTTTTGTTCGCTCACGGAGGGGGGAGTTAGTAAAGTTATTTGATAAATAATGAAGATTATTGAAATCATAGCTTCGCAATGAATGGTAGATTTTTTCAAAAATCACTAGAAATTAATCTAATTAAACCTGGAACTTTTTTATGATAAAAGATGGAAAAATAAAATTTGAATTAGAATAAAATGGATATTCAAGAGCGGTTAAATCAAAAAGACCAATAGATATTGATAGTTTGTCTAGATAGATAGTTTAGCAATACAAAGGTGAGATTATCTGTATGTTTAAAGTCCCCGTTTCATTATTTAACTGGCTTTTAACTGAAAATCAAGAAATATACACAGATATAGTTGCGATTTGTGAAGGTTCTTTGATCGGTATGTCGAAATTTTTTATTTGAATTAAGTTAACTAGTCTGAAGAAATTAAGCATCCCTATATAAACCATTTTTTTACCTTTAATTCAGAAAGATACAAAAAATGCGTATTGAAAGAAGAAAATATATTTATCTAAAATTCTTAAATTAGCACTTTTATTTTCTCTCCTCCTCCTTAAAGCTAATAAAATTAATTTATTGAGCTAATTGATTGAGTCCAAATAACTTAAATCAATTTTAGCATTAAATTGAAGGAAAATTACCCCTATTAACCTTGTAAACACATTATATAGCAAATAGAAATTTTAGGATAAGTCGATATATATTATTAAGCTTTACCTAAGTTTCTCTAGATTTAGCAGTTATAAAAGTTTAGTCAGTAGTTCAGCTAAAATCAGATCTGGTGGTTAATGGAAAAGAATGTCGAAGATTTTTATAGAATTGCCGATTTAAAAGAAAAATTTTTACATGCAGATATATTGAGGCGAAAAGATAAGCTTTATATTTTATTGCAACATAATAATTAAAGCATTTTTATCGAAATATTTTTGGTATTGTGATTATATAAAATATTTTTTAATTTTATTGGAATTTTAAATTGATTTTTAAATATATTGAGAAAAGCAGAAAAAATAAAAACATTTTATTGTAATAATTTAGATTTTACAGACATAAAGTGCGAATCTGTTGTGAGCATTTCATTAGGATCAGTATATTGCATTGGGCTAAATGTATCACAGGATGCTTATTATTTTCAAACATTTTAAATTAATTGCATTAAAATAGATAGTTCTTTAAAATATAATTATAAAAGCTCTGATTTAATTCAAATTATTATAAAATAAAGTTAATATTATTATAGACATTAGGATGACTATTGTTAATTAGCATTTAGCCTATTTCTACCGCTCTTTATCAAGTTCCGGAGCTCTCAATCAATCACGTGGAATCGCTTGCCCGATCAGCAGACGGATTATTTTCTTCACTTTATATTTTAGTCCTATTAGGGTTGATTGTGTTTCTATTTATAAAATATTTAATTTCTAAATATTTATTTAAACTCAACTCTTTTGCGCCAAGTTCTCTTTTTCCAATTCCCAAAATTCTCTTTTTCCAATTTCCCAAAATTAATTTCTGCTTTTCATCTAGCATATTTTTCATGAGTTTCTAAAACTTCTACATCTATTAGTATATTTTTAGGTCATAAAGCCCTTCTTCTTATATTTTTTTCTTCTTTTATTTATTAGCCCCATTCGCATAACTAGCTCATCAATTAATTTAAGCAACATATTTTAAAGAAGTCGGAGAATGATTGCTTACAAGCTCTATTATTAGTGTAGTTAAATATCTAAATCCTTATAAACGTTAGATAAATGCTGATCTTATATGAAAGATTATTATACGACCTTTTACCTTAGTCCTCAAGAAACTCATCTTGGTGGCTTCTTCGATGAACAGTCAGCTGACTTGTTTGCCTAAATTTAGTCCTGCATATTGGACACACAAAGGGCTTAATCCCTGAGTGGATATGCATATGCTCCTTCAAGTTTTGACTACTTGCGAAGCATCTTAAGCACTTTTGGCAGGCGTGCTTTTTATTAGTCAGATGAACGATATTTACGTGTCTTCTGAGGTTAAACTTGGTGCTGTAATTTTTGTTGCATCCTGGGTACATGCAGCAGTACATTGTCACAACGTTTTCTGTGATCCCTTCCATAGTAAAATTATATTGCGATTAATGAATATAAATAATTGATAGACTATTGAAATTATTGTTTTCATGATGGGTGAATAAATTATTTTCTGGTGGGTTTTTCAGAAATTTAAATTACTGATTCACTTGAAAATTAATATAATTTGGCTTGGCTCGAAAATGGACTGTTTTTTTTTGGTGGTTAGATAAAGATGAAGAATTTAAATTTTGACTCGGAATGGATTGGATATTCAAGAATGGCTAAATCAAAAAATACTAAAGAACTTTGATAAATTGGTTTTCAGAGAGAAATTGAGTGGAGCTTATTAATATAAAAGATATTTAAAAATTTGTCTGATGAAGGATTATTGACTTCTAAAGGGATAAAAAAACATTATGAAAAAACTATAATTACTTTTGATGCCGCAAAGGAAAACATTCATATAGAAGGCTAACCCTTTTATCTCCTTAGATTTTTGAATTAATTCTTTCAAGCTCTTATATAGGCTTTTGAAACTGAATTAAATTTGGCTATAAAAACAAAGAAATTACACAGATATGATCATTAATTGAAAAGACTCTTTTAGCAGTATTGTCAAAATTTTTATTGAGCTTGGCATTCAGCTAGGCCGAGAAAATTATGCATCCCTATATAAACCATTTTTTTATTTGCCTTTAAGGATTGAGAAGGAGATATTAAAATGTCTAATAGTAAAGACCAGCTTACAGTTATTTTGCTTTATATTACTCAAAAATTGCAAAGATAAATTTGGTTTAAAACTTAGCAGATGATTAAATGTACTCTAAACTTTTTGCAGCAAATTTTAGTTACTTGATTTACTAATTGTATATCATAAGACCTAAATTTCAGGAGTTTTCCTGAAATATCTAACAAGATTGTAAAGATTCCTTGAAAGTATTGAAATTATAAATTAACTGAGCAAAATCTATTTATCTATCTGTATGCTTTATGTTTGTGATAACTATTAAGCTTTATTTTTCCTTCTCATCAGAGCCTCTTCAAGTTAGCCTTAAATAAGAGTAGATTGAAAAAATTGCGGCATGAGAAAAAGATTTAAAAACTTAAGAAACTCGAAATCTTAATAACTAGCATTGAAGACATACACTAATTACAGTCAGGGTATCTTTTTGAGACTTTTTCCTAAGTTTCGATTTTTTTCTCATTGTTATCAACTCAGAAATTTTTAAAATTTTTTATTAAGTAATATTTTGAAGGTTTTGTGTGAAACACATAAAAAGCATTAATTTAATATAGATGAATTGAAAATATATCACAGTTGGCATATAAAAAATTCCTTGTTACATCTAAAATTATCTTACTCTTACTATTATTCAATTATTGATACTTTTAGCTGATTATGATAAATAAGATTGGATCTTTCTCCAATGCCTTAAGAAACTCAAAGCATTTAACTTATATATTGATTTGGCTATAAAATATCTACCCTACTCATCCATTGGTGTATTCATGCTATGCTTTTACCGAGAGAAATTTTATTAATTTATTAGGTTATTTTAATTAAGCTATTGCATTAGTTAGTTGCTTATTTAAAATCATTCAAAATATACAGTCAAAGTTTAAATATCATATAAAAATTAAGTTCATCGTTGAGCAGGAAAAAATCTCTTATTTTTAAATTATTTAACTTCCGTTAATCTAGATTCTTTATATGCAATAAGAAATAAAATATTAAAATCCAAATGAATAGGGTGTTTAATAGCTTTTTTATGCCAAAAAATAATTTAGTTTATAATTTAGCACATATATATACTCGCGAGCTGAAATAAATTTTGATTTGTCCATATGCTACTAACTTCCTCAATCCTTGGTCGAGTTATTTAAAATTTCTCGAAAATAAGGAAAAATAACTGCTATATATTAGTTGAAAGGTTTTCATCTGGCCAAGTTGAAAAAATTGAAATAATTAATATTAGAGTTATTACATTATAATTGGTGTTAAACAATTCTGTTATATTTGCTTATTTATTGTATACTCTATGCTATATTAGAAAATTTTTAATAAATAATTAATTTTTTTTCGAAAATATCTAAATCCAATCTTTATTTGAGCGATGATTGGTCATTTAATTAAAGATGGGGGAATAAGCATTTATTTAGCACTAATATCTAAATTCACTTACTAAATATGAATTATTCAATAAGTGCCTTAATCTCTAAATTTTCAGAATATTTACATTTTTCTTATGCTATAAATTTAAAAAACTATAAATATGAAGAAATTTAATTATAATTCATTTCCAAGCCTCTGCAGTTTATTAGTAAAGGATGGCCCTGAAAAATCTTGTGCAAAGTGAAAAGGGTTAGAAATTGTCCTTGTATACAGCACTTCAATTTTTTGCATAAACCCTTTTATTTTCTCATCATTTCTTTGCTCGTAATTTTCTTTAAGAACAGCAATAAATTTAACCCCTGTGTAACTTATCCAGCCATATAATGCATAATCTCCTTCTCCTAAAAGCGCAGGACCTAAGTAGCCTAAGTAATTTTTATTGTATTCTCCACTTTCTTTAATTTCGTTGATTTTTCTATCTTAAACTAAATTATTCGGTTTTTATATAATGTCAAGTACCTCAAAAAAACTAGGCCGAGCTAATGATTTATGGACAATTGGCTACTTAAAATCGCGCACCATATTGGCAGATATCAAAGGAAGATTGCCAGTCCAGCTGAGCATCTCGCAGCTCGGCTCCTGTGCGTATTTCGCTTAAAGGCCACCTTCCTTGGGATGCTAAGCGAATAAACCCTAAGCTCTCCAAGTAACAAAAGAATCAAGTCAGGAGGCTGTGCACCCCTAGTTATTTACCTGATATATATAAAATTCGCTTTAATAACCCCATAAGCAGGTGAATTTGTCGATGAAATTCGAATTTGGTATAAATTTTGGTCGGACAAAATTGCAATTTTAGAAGGCAATTCACACTCTTATGGACTATTCATAGGAATTTAGTATATCTGAATGGATTCTCTTGGAAAAACTGTACCTAATAATAAATGAACTGAGGAGAAAATTTCGCTAGGAAAAATTGAAATATACCATTTTATTATTATGCTGATTTTTCTATCAATTATGTCCAAAGAAGAATGAACTACAAAGTGCATTGTAATTTCTTTATTATTGCGAAAATCTTGAAGAACTATTGGCCTATTATCCTTTCCAATTACTGCAACAAATGCCAATAGTTTGTTCATTTTTCTATTATAATTTCTTTACGAATTTATTTGGAAAGGCCAAGAATTAAATGACTATAAGCCGCCTAGTCACTGATCGAACTACATTGACATAAGGAAAAGTGCCTACGATAGATGCTTATAGACAAGAGTGAGGCCCAACTTAAGCTCTACCCTCTTGACTTATTAGTGAGACTTACCTAACCTAAGGATTTAGCTCCTGACCCTCTGTCACACGTCCCGACAGTCCTGATAGATGAAGACTATGTGAGAGGTAAAACCTGTCTAGCCTATTTGGCAGGTACAGGAAAACCAAGGGGAAGAAATCAAACTTCCCTCTTACCCAAGCCCAAAAGTTTATTCAGCACATTTGGATGCGCCCCTCCAGCTCCATAGGAATGCACCTCTAAGTCTAACTTCTGTCAACGTCACCAATTTATTTTTTTATTTGCAAAAGATCATTGATAATTTAAGGTCTAATTAATATAAAGATTATGTCTTAAAAATTTATCTTGTATTTCTTGCTATAAATTATATTTTTAAAAAATGTGAGGACTAGAGCATATAGATATTGTTTTATTTAAGAAGATTATTATTACCTAAAATTCGCAAATAAATTATTCAGATTTATAATTTGCAGATTTTCCTTATTCAATTAAATATTACAACTCATCATTATCTGACATCATATCAAAAGGATCTTCACCTTTTGCAATTGGCACTCTTGGTGAGGTGCTATCAAAATTTCATATTGGAACTTTTAAATTTCTTGGATGCTTCTGCTCTTCTGCATTGCCCTCAGAACTTGATTCTCTAGAAGATGCTATTACTGAGCTCATTAGAATATCCCTTACATACTCAACTCCTTTTGAATTAAAAAAAAACTTTTTCTTCAATAAATCATCAGCATTAGGTCTTCTTTGCGAATCCAATGCTAAATTTCCCCTTTTTTCAAAAAAATTTATATGCACAGTGCCTTATAATAAAATCACTATTATAAGTTTATTTTTTTTTAAAAAAAATGTTTATAAAAAAGTAAGCACAAATTGACCACTTCTTTTAATAACTGATCACAGTTTGTTTTTTTATCTAAAATTGGAGGGGTTTTATGAGTAATCATCATCATAACCTTTAAAGGAGGATAATCTCTATAAGGTGGCTTTCCTTTAATAATCTCCAAAGCAAGAATTCCAAAGCTTCATATATCGGATTTAATAGTGCTCGGAGCATTATTAATCACTTCTGGTGCAGTCCAGCAAGGGCTTCCATAATTCCCAGTTAACGTCACAATTTCTTTTATCCTCGAAACTATCCCATAATCTGACAAAATTACTTTTCCTTCTTGATTTATAAAAATATTGCTGGATTTTATATCTCTATGCACTTTATTATGCTGATGAAAATACATCAAAGTGATAAGGATATCTCTTAATATTGAAGCAATAAGAATTTCATCTGAAAATCCTGTAGGCGCTTGAGTTTTTAAGAGGCTTTCTAAATTTCATTGAAGTAATGGCATAATTATTCATAGGATTTTGTCTGTGAGAAAGCAGTTGTGATAGCTTGCAATGGAAGGATGATAAATTGGCCGCATTGTTTGGATTTCTTTACGGATGTCTTCTATATTGAGATTGGAGTATTGGTCAAGATTTACCACTTTTATTGCAACCTTGGAGCCGATATTTAAACCTTCTGTGACTGTGGCTGAGTAGACTATTCCTAAAGAGCCTGCGCCTATAGTGGATTCGATTCTATAGCCTAATTCTGAGCTTGGCCACTCTTCTGTGTGCATTTTAGATTTAAAAAAATAATCAGAAAATTAATAAAAAATACGAATTACTATTCAAAAATGTAATTAATTACCAAAATTTAAAAAATTGAACACTCTAGACAAGTAGGATTCATATTTATTGTGTTGTTTTTCCTTGTCTTCATTAATTCAACTTCATTTTTTACATTTACTATGTCAAGTTCTTGCTCCTTTAATTTCTTCAATAATTCATTTATCACAACTCTATCAGACACCTTACTAGCATTCCCATTATTTCTCGTATTAGCCTTCTCAGCAAAAATCTTTGAATGCAAATTTTTATATTCCCTTTTTAATTGTTCAATATTTTCTTTACAGTTTTTAATTTCCTCAATTATTTTTTCTTTTTCTTGGGTAATTTCCTTTCTTTTCTGGCTTTCTTCGTTAATTATTCCTTCGATCTCGTTTTTATATTGTGATTTGATATACCTAATTATAATGAATAATAGCATACCTATTGGTAGTCATTATTATATTTCATATAATAAATAGGATAAGGTTAACAATTAGGGACGTCTTTATTAATCCTAGCCATATTTTTCCGTAGAAAATATCAGTAGCATTTCACACAAATTCGTTGCAAATCATGAGTTTCAGGATGAAGTGCTATTAAGCAGGAGCACGCAGAGCAAAAGGCATTAAAGCAAAATCGACTAAATAAAGCTTACCAAACGTGAAGTTTTTCAATTAATGCGGCATTTCTTCGTATATGTGTTTTACAGTGATTGCATTTACTTTGAGATTTCCATGCATTTTCATTCAAATTTGGTAATAGCTCTTTTACTCGAAGAATTTCTACCGAAGGGGCTGTAAAAGAAGCGACACCTTTATGCAGATAATCATAATCAGATAAAGAATTATCCATAGTTATTATAAAATTAGCTATTCAAAAAAGCCTTCTTGGTTTTCTAGCATTTCGATTTGTTGGATACAGGCTTCAAGAGTTATTACATAATAACCCATAGAACCATTTTGCATTTCTTTTCTGCCAAAATCGTAAATCATTTTTACGTGGCCTCTTAAATTTTTAATTTTCGCTTTTAAAACCACATACATGAAAATGCTTAAAATTTGGTCTGAGTCAATAATTAAGTCATCTTGAGTTGTTTCGTCGTTTTCTTTTCATATAAAGTCTATACAATTGCAGATTTCTACAGCTGCTTTTGTAATGACATTGAGTTTTTCTATTGGGGAGTTCACTTTTTCTATGTCTCGCAGTTTGTCTATAGAAGCTCCATAAGCATTTTCTAAGTGTAAATCCAATTGAAATAGCTCTTTAATTCCAAAATCCTTGCACTTCAAATATTGGAATTTTTCAATGTTTTGTTGGTATTTGGATTCCTCACATTTATACATTTCTAAATAAGTGTTCAATGCAGTCTCATGAATTTTATTAGAAATTGTGTAGGTAAGAATTAAATCTGAAATGTCACCATCTTTTTTTTTGATTAAATCTCTCACGATTCCTCCGTAGTAATTAAGCAGAGTTTGGAGAGCTAATTGTACAAAATCATTAATTTCGTCTATGATTGGCTTTATATGCTTTATTTGTATCATTATTTTTACTATATTTTAAGCAATAGCCTATTTTTTATGTAAAAATTACATTTATTTAGAGTTTTGTAATATTTATTATAATAACACTGAATATCATATTTTGGAAAATCTTGCTTATCAAAAGAGTCAGTAAATTTAAAAATCATTGCTGAGATAAAATGGTCTTCTGTATGTGACAAGTGGGTTTTTATAAAATCCAACAGTGAATCTACTTGAAAAGTGCTTGGCAAAGGAAGTTTAAAATTAGTCACAGTTTTGTCAGGAAGAGGTATATTAGACTTATAGCTGTGTAGATAATTGTATCAAATTACGTTTGATCTCCATTTGAGATCAGCTCTTTTTCAAGATTTACAAAGATAAACCAGTTCTTGAGGCCATAAAGCTTCTGGAAATTTTTCTTGTAGACTTTTTAATTCACGGATCATATGTTTGAGCCAGTTCTAAATAGAAATTTACTTTAAAATTATAAGTATTGATGGCTAATTGGTGCTTTTTTAAATAAAGTTCTTTCTGCTTCCTAATAATTTTGAAATACCGTCGTCTTGTTTTTTCTTTTCTATCTATGCTGCATTGGGCTCCCATATTCAGTTCTTTTTATAATAAACTCCACAAATAGTAATAATTAAACCATTTTAACAAATAGAAAAATTAAAAACAGGAGAAAATTTTAACCTATTTTTAGTAGAAATTAGTATCTTATATATATAATTAAATAATTCTATATTTTTATTTATATAGAAATCTCAAAAATGCAAATATAATTTATCCATATTTGATGATTTATTTTCTATTTATAAATTTCCCTTATTAATTTATATCAGCTTAAAAGAATATACACATTCCTACTGGTTGCCATTATAAATGTTTTCATTCATTATAAATAGGTATAAATTTTCTTTCAAAGCATTTTATATTGTTAATCTTGGAGTTAAAGCTGCAACTGCATCTGGAGGCAGCGATATTTCAGCTAAAATATCAGAAAACCTTTGAAGAGGACTCTTATCAGTATGATGCTTCAGCGCTGACTGATAATTCCCTATTATATTATCAATTTTATCAAACGCTTCCAAAAATTTTTCAGCTTCACAATTATATTTGCTATACCAATGCAAATATGCCCCAGCACGAAATTTTGACTTTGCATTATAAATTGTCCTCCTAAGAGCTGTCAAAATTCCAGTCGTATTCGCTGCAATCGTAACACTCCTATCAATTTTATAAATCGGATTCGCAGCTCTCCCCTCCAAAAATGAGAAATTCAGATAAGATTTATCGACTCACGACACAGGCCTAAAATGTGAAGAAATTTTATTGTAAAATTGCTTAATTTGCCTTTCGACACCATTATGTAAGTCTTCTCCTCTCATATAGCATTTAACAGAAATTGACTGATGGCTTGATTGGCCATTTTCTTCATATTTAGGGAAATTTTTTAGCCCACTTTCGACGATATTCATTCAGCTAACTTCTCTTGATAGCGAGGCTTGTTTATCAATAATAAATGGATAGCTGTGAGCTCCTATAAATTTATAGTCTTCTGAAGGCACTAAATCTTGCATTATCGAAGGCCAGTCAAAGTCGTTACTCCTGTCTGGAGAAATATAAATTAAAATGACGGGAAGTCTAAATCTGCCTTCTCGGCGTAATATTCCAGACCTTATGGCTACAGTAAATTGGGACGGACTCTGAGTCAAGAATCAAGTGCAGCCTCAGAAGATTTGTATCCGGAACGGCAACATCCTTGGATCAGAGGATCCATAAGCATTCTCTACTGAGAACTGGGGGTTTTGGCCCAGGCCACAGGTTAGCAGTCTTTTTCCTGTAGTTGTAGAAGGAAGGCACTTCGATACCCAAACAGACTCAAGATGCTAATCCTTAGATTCAAGTTACTCCAATTACCTGCCATAAGGCCACAGAAATCAATAAGGAAGCACTCAAGACTGAGGCCGCAAGGAAGAGAGAGACAGAAGGTAAAGGAAGCTGCATCCACCTTCGGGGATAGACCCTCTGGGCTGGAGTCTAAAGCGGTAAAGCCTTCCGTATACGTAACACCTGACTTTAATTAACCTAACCTTTCTGGATAAAATAAATTGGCAAGGGCATAAGCTATACATTCATTAATATTGTGTGTACTTGCGTTGGAGCCACGCTTGTTTGAATATAAAACTTGTCGTAAAACTTCATCATTTTCAAAGAAAATAATTCCATCAGTGTAATCTTGCATATAAGAAAGCGATAGGCAAGAGTTATAGTCCTGTAAAGGGGTGTCTGCAGATTCTGAAGGTATATTATATTAAATTGAATAAAAATTAATCTAAAATAATGAAGAAAAAAATTAATTTATTATAAAAGGTATATAACTGCTGCACTTAAAAGGAAAGAGATAGGATATTCATCACGAATTTTTTCAAGTAATTTGCTGCCTAGCCCTGAGCCTGTACCTCCAGCTAAGCTGTGTATTAAAACTGTCCCTCGATAGTAATCACAATCCTCAGCTTCTTTCCGAAGCATTTCCATTGTAGCATGAGACAATTTTGTCCCATTTTCTGGAGCATCTAAGTAGCCAAGGGCTCAGTTATTTCCTCTTCCTGATGAAGTACTTATAGAGCGGTCTCGATTTAAAACTGAATTCAGAGGATGAGATGATTTATTAAAAGGCTTTTCAATAACTCGAGGCTCAGAATCAATAGCAATACATCTAGCTAGCCCTGTGTAACGATTAAAAGCTGTATTATTGTTTATCTCAATCTCATCTTTTAATATTTTCCAAAATTGATGCCCAATTTGATTTCCACACTGGCCTACATGTAAGAACACAGTACTCATAAATTTTATTTATTCTTTACTAAAATAAATTAAATTTTTTTTTTTTTAAAAAAAAAAATTTTAAATTTTATTTGTTTTAGGTATAATTTTTAACTAAATATAAAATCTGAAGGATACTGATTTTGATGGCCTAAATCATTGATTTCCTCTACTTCGTAATGCTCCTTTAAAATTTGGACTGCTTTGTCATAGATTCTTTGATTTGGATGTGACTGGAGTTTTTCTAGAGCTTCAAGCCCTTCAAGGTCTTGGAAATTTTTTGCTATATCATTATATCCGAAACCCCGGCCTGCTCTAAGGATGTTATTGATGGCTTCTAAAGTAACTATAAGAATATCAGGATCTTGATGGGTCAAAATATTGATTAATTGAGGTAAAACATTTAAATCAAATAATCTTCTTACTACATTTACATTTTTTGAGCGAGTTGTATTGCCTATAGCATACGCCGCTTCTTTTTTTAAATCAAAATCATTGTCATTTAACTCTGAAATAACTAGATATACACAAGGGTGACCCAAAACCTCAACAGCTTGTGAATCAGAGCCTGCTGTGATATTGCTGATGCCCCATAGAGCTTCTTTTTTTATTTGCCTTTTCCCAGTCGATAATAAAATTTGATATTTTTCTAAGATTCCTGAATTTAGCACCATTTGGGCTTGTTCATCAGTTCCCGATAAAATATTTCCTATTGAACGAAGGGCTGGGACTTGGATTTTTATATTATGATGAGTCGTTAAATCAATAAGTTTCTGAATTATATTCAACTCTATAACTCCCTCTATTTACTAGTGAGCAAAATCATTAAAAGAATTACTATTTTCGGGATTATCCTTTAATTAGAATTAATGATTATATTAATTAATTTTAAACAAATTCTATTAAATTTAGATGGCTTAAATTAAAATGAATTAAATTCGTACAATATTTAAAATCTGAAAATAATGTTTTAAAAATATTATTCTCGAGCAAAAAAAAACTTGCTTGCCTATCAAGGTGAATATTAAGCAAATTTACGCATTCTGGGCTAATTTCTGAAACATAAGAAATTATTCAGCATATATCAATTAAAATATCTTCATAAATTTGATCAATCATAGCCGGCACAATTTTTAAGACTTCTTTAACTAATGATAATGGAGGACTTGGGTATCCTTTACATAAATTGCTTAAAACCCAAACAAGTATTGCAATATCTTTATAATCCATTCTCGGATTTTTTAAAATAATTTCAATTATTTGATTTGCTGCTTTTGATTCAATCGCCTTGTCTCGGCTGCCTATTGAGTCTCCAGCCAAATTTCCTATTGTCCATGCACAATAAACAAGAATTTCTGTGGGCGATTTTGTTCGAAGCATCTGCACAAGAATACTAATAGTGTCTTCTGCTGCAAATAATGCTGAGATATCACTTTTCCCTGACGTCAAATTAATTAGACATCAGGAAACTTCACTTTGAATAGGGACATTTTTTGTCGTCAGCATTCTCAGGAGTTTTACGACTGGGTTTAATTCAGAAATCAAGCTAGCAGGTGGTGAATCTTTGCCATTAAGAAGTTTTCTAAAAGTTTGTATTATATGAAGCAGGATTCCTTGGTCTTCACAAGTATTTAAATTTGAAATTAAGCAGGATATTCTCGTAGATGGGGTAAGTTCTAAATCTACCAATCTTCTGTCAAAATTTGCTAGTTCTTGGGATATATACTCGTATGGGAAAACAATGTGACTTTCTTCAGTTTGTGGGGTATCAAATACAGGATCTCTTCCAAATGCGCGCTTTTTATTGATGTGCTCAATTCTTTTCTTTTTTCTTAACTCTGCAAGACCTTCTTGGTGTTTTCTTTTAAGATCGTCAGGGTTTAGACTTTTTTGGTAATTTTTCAGTCGATCTTCGATCCTTTGATTTAATTGATTTTCCATATGATTTTTATAGGAACCTACTCCTTCTTTGAGAATATTTAATATCAAAATTAATTTTAATAATTGGGAATTTTGAAAAGAGTCAATAAATAAAATTGTCCTTTTTATTGCTATCGTTAATTGCTTAATTTCTGATCAGAATTCTGCATACTGATCTGAATTAATTGAGCTTATGTGAGACGGTTGCGAGACGGCTAACTACTCAAGAGTTTACTTTACGATTCCCATCCTCCAGGTTCCAGAATCCTCCTCTTCGGCTGCTGGAGGGTGTTTCGTGAACGGCCCAGCCCATACCGTTAGAATGTGTAGGTTGGAACTTGCTCGCTACTCGCTCCTTCTCGGGATAAGCTGATTCTATACCAGCCCTTTTTGTCTTTCCCTCCGTGGTGATGTGTGCAATAGGAAAAGTGATCTTCTAGAAGAGTGAAAAACCTTTAATGAGAGGCAAATACCACCCAGAAAGGAGAAGAAAATATTCTTTCAGATCTCTTACTAGAAGAAACTTGACAAAAAAGTAATATTTTGATTTAAATAAATTAATTATATATTAAATACTACAAGCATTATAAAAATAACTGATTTTTACCCATAAGAGTTAATATAAAAATCTCATTGAAAAACTATTTTTTAGCTTCTATGAGTCATTAAAACCAGAAAATTTCTAATTAAATGAGAATTTTAAATATTAATATAATTTCCACGGCTCCAGAGATTCTGACAGATATGATAAATATAAAAAATTTACCCAGCCAATCAATAAGTACTTTCTAAAACTCACTTAATTTTTACTGATTTTATTCATAAATCTGTAGCAAAATCTTATTAAAACAATAAATAAATCCCTAGATAAAATACGAAATCTAGCAAAATTACTAATTAAATGAGACCTCCCTAACTTCTCGGACTCTTCCTTTGCAGAGAGGGCATGGTTCTGATCCAGCTCTACTATTTATTATCTTGTTTAGAGTCAGCTTCATTTTCTCCACAACGCAGTCTTTACAGGCAAAAACATGCCCGCATGGTAAAAATACAATACTTTTTGGAGAGCTTCTGCAAATTAAGCATTCTAAGTCCTGGTCCTGAAGCTCCGCTGTGTGTTTTTTCTTCCTCTCTACTTTAATTTGGAGGGTTTTTATCATCTCTTCACTGCTTTCCTGCAGCTTTTGCGCGGCATCTGCCCTTTGGGTGAGTTTTTGGACGTAATTTGCGTAGAGTTGGCTGTCTTTTTGCTTCTTATTCAGTGCATCTTTTATGTAGTAGTATTGAGCAATTATTTCTGTTCGAGAGTTCTTTAAAGCTTTAATATATATCAAATTGAGCTAAATATAATATAAATTTGTATAAAAATTAGGCTTTAATTAGAATTTATTAAATAAGTATAACCTAGCATCCCACTAATAGTGCTCCCGTACAGCTCTTCATAAGAAAATTTGAAAATCCCAACCTTTGCGCCTGTAAAATAGCAGCCAAGACCAGTGATGTCTTGGCAGTGAACTAATAAATAAATAAAATCCGTCTGGGAGTTCATGTCTGAACATTCTGCCATAAATATTCGTGCATCAGTATGCAATGCAAACAAAAGCATTTGTTCAAGTAAAATCGACGAGTTTGGGTATAAGATTTGCTATAAATAATTTTTAAGCTAGTTTTTAATAAAAAAATGCTTATTCAATATATAATAAATAGTGATTTGCAGCTTGACAGTCATAAAAGAGTCCACATAAATGAGCAGCAATATCTGGGACCCATTATTAACATTAAATTATATATAGAAAGTACATTATAGACCTTAAGGACTATCTCCTTCCTTAAGGATTTCTGTCTGCTATTCATATTTTATGACATCTCAGATGCTAGCTAGACTATACCTTCACTCACTACCCGAAAGTTGGAAGAGTTGTGTCGCTTTACCGCGCTAAAGCAAAGACTGCCCAGCATGAGAATTAAAAAAGGGTTGAATTCTCTAGTTGAATTTCAGCCAAAATGGAAATCCGAAGCCGCAGAGTAACTCCTAGTTTTATGCTGTGAAATAATTCCGAATGGCCAGGCCATTGACTGTTAGCTCAGACTATTCCCATTTGAGGCAAAACCTGATATGGATTAAGCATGCTGTCGCTAGATCCGACCTTGTGATCCATTAAACCAAGTAAAAACTAGCTGAATGCGCATTCCCGAACGCTATACTCTCTTCTTCGAGGTCCCTGCACTAGTACTCTTAGTAATCATCTATAGAATGTTTCTCCACGCCATTTTAATCTATAGCATCTGGCACCCCACAAGAAGAAAGGCATGGATAATCCTGAAGACTAGTTAACCTTTCAAAAATAATGGTGGATATTGGAGGCGATGCAGCTTGCAAGCATTGGAAGGCAAGTACTCCATCAAAAAAAGCTAGATTTACAGGCGTTAAACCCTGTGCAGTTTGCATATGTATAAAATTATTAGCATTTAAGAACTTTCGAACCAGTGGTCATTGTAAGCCAATAAAAAAACAGTGATACTGAAAGCGAAAATAAAGTGCTGATTTCTTAATTATTCAACAATTTCATATAGGTAACGTGAAAAAATTCATATTTATTATTTTCGGGAGATTTAATTTTTCATTGTGAGTTATGAATTGAAATTCAGTGAATATAAAGATATTATAAAATAGAATAAATTTACTATCAGCTATTTCTAATAAAAATAAGGTTTATATAGATTTTACAGACTCTGAGGTTTTATATTTATGATTGTTAATAAAAAGCGATATATTCGTTTTAAAAATATAAGATTTTAAATCTTTTATCATTAGAAACATTTCTGATCAGGGTTAACTCTGGAGAACATTTAATAATACACAGAAAAATTCAGGAGCTGCAGCGGTTGGCAAAGAAAATTTCCAAAAAAAAATTAGGTGTTTTGTAAAAATGATTCAATGATAAGCCATTTATTCACTTTTTTGCTGATTGTAAATCTTTACTATTTTATAGTCTAATAAAATATGAAGTTATCTTTTAGCAACATAAATCAATAAAATTAATCTAAAGCAATATACCATTATTCCTATCATTAATAAGATTATTTAAGGCCCACTGTTAGGCACTCGAAGGCCCTTATTCCCTTTCATGAAGTTCCACGTTTGTTTATGTCCATACGCTTCTTGCATTCTGCTTTTCTTCAAGAAGGGTCTCTGCTTCTCCCTATAAGCCAGAAGGCATTGCTATTCCATTTTTCAGCAAAGCATCGAGCGTCTCACTCTCTTCCTTAAGGTCCTTGACAGCTGCAGGAATTAAGAAGCGGGCTGATTAATCACGCCCATTTTTTATATATCTAACGCAATATACCATTTTGGACAAGAAGAAATTGGCAAAGCTGGGCAAGCTCAGACTGCCCAAATAGGAATATATTATTTCATTAATTTAATTAATATAAAAAAATTCTTTTCTCTATAAACTATCAGTAGAAACTCTAAGTTATTTAATTATAAAGAGAAATCATAATTAGGCTTAATGTCAAAAAATTTTACCTCTTCATCATTTCCAACGACAAGTTTAACCTCTTCCCCCTCACAAAAAAGTCTCAATACAAAAGATGAGCTACTTTTAAGATGCAGAGAAACGATAGAAAGTCTAAATGACGAAATTGAAAATCAAAAACAACAAAGACGAGAAGTTGAGCTCTATTGCAAAGAAATTGAGCTAAAAAACCAATCTTTAGAGACAAAAATAAAAGAATTAAATTTTCGAACAAATTCTTTAAGTGAAGAAAACGAAAAAATTTTAAATCAAAAAAATAATTTGGAGCAGGAGCTTGGGTATATAAAGAGAAATGATGGAAAATATTCACAGAAAATTGGAGAGGTTCAAAGTGAGCTGGAAAAGGAAAAGACAGAAAATATTAGCTTAAAGCAGCAATTAAATGAAAAAGTTGAAGCATTGAGAGAGACAAGTGGAATCTTGCAAGGATTTGAGATGAAAATTAAGAAGCTTGAAGAACAAATTGATTTGGCTACACAAGAAGCTGAAGAGTGGCGCCAAAAATATGAGGATGCTGAATTTAAATGTGATAGGCTGACTTCGCAGGTAAAAATAGCTGAAGCTGTTATACAGAATCTAAAAAAAGCTCAAGAAGATTGTCAAAGTAGCTTACAGCAAGAAAAACAAGTGCTTCAACAAAGAGAAAAAGAAATGAAAGAAAAATACCAAAATTATGAACAAAAAATAAAGAAAATGTATATGACGAGAGAAAATGAATTAAAACAAGAACTTAAGAAAACAATTGAAGAAATTCAACAAGGAGTAGAGCTAACTCTCCACATAATTTCGGGAGTAAACAAAATAATTTTGTACGCTTCCGATTTTTTTTAAAAATCCATTAATAAATTTTATTGTAAAAATTTATAAAAAATCCAAACTTGAAACCTAAAATTAAATTAATTTGTAAAATTTATGTTTAAAAATGCAAGCTGTTTGAAATTTAACAGAATTATCTAGATATTTCATTATAATAATTATCATTTAAATATCAAAATATTTTTTCATAAAAATTTTTATATTTAAAAACGTTTTTGTTCGCCCACGGAGGGAGTTTTTTTATTCAAACACGGAGGGAGGAGAGTAAGTAGTGCTGAATACCAAAAAACTCGAAATGAAAATTTAAATTTAAAAGAAATCATCAAAAAATATCAAGATAAAGAATTTGAGTACCAAAATGTGTTAAAGGACACAAGCGCCTTTGAAGCTGAAATTGCAAATTTGCAAAAAATTATTGAAGAATTAAATGAAAAATTGATAAGTGGACAACAAAAGTATCAAAAGCATATGGACTCTTATAACGAGACCGAAAAAACATTATATGAAAAGCTGGAAATTAAAGAAAAAGAAATTGAAAGCCTTAAAAAAGAGCTTAATAATTGTGTCGTGAATTTAGAAGAAAATTTAAGTTTGAAATTACTGTTGGAAGAGCAAGCAAAGCAATTAAAAATAAGGGATATAGAAATCCAAAGGTTTTTATCCCAAGAAAAAGAATATGAGTATATAGCCTATGAGCTTAAATTGCTTACTCCCCCCCCCCATCCTTGATCGAACGATTGACTGTAAAAATTCCTAAAAATTGGAGAAATTAACCCCCATCCTTGATCGAACGATTTTCATATCATGCAAATTTTTATATATATAAAAAAATATTAGTTATCAAATGCTTTGGAAGATGTGCCTAATGAAGTTGTTTTCAGAGCTTTGAGACGACAGAAAGCTGCGAAATCAACCATCCGAAGTGATTTAGACATCAACATAGGCTTAAAAGCTCAATAATCTAATAAAATAGAGATTCTTTAAAATTTTTAAAAAATATTTAATTTAAATTAAAATTTATACAGTTTTAAAAGGGTAACTAATAAATCAAAATATTAAAAATTGGTATTTTTATGAAATTAATTCAATTTTTGCTGTAAAAATAATTATTAAATGCTCTTAACCCTCTTATTTAAAGTAAATAAAAAAAATCTATATATATCTTTTTCATTTTATATATAAAATTTTTTTCCCAAAAAAATTTTTTTAAACCCCCATCCTTGATCGAACGATGGCGAGTCGTTCGATCAAGGATGGGGGGGGGAATTATTAAATTCCTTTAGTAGCAATATTTTTGCCCTTTGGATAAGCCATAATAATTTTTCTAAAAAAAATTTAAAATTTTATTCTCCATGCCTTTAGGAAAAATATCGAAAAGGCCAGACTTTAAGGTCAAATGGCCATAATTTAATTTTATTATTATTTGTAAAAAAATAAGCATTTGTATGACCTATTTAACAGAAAATGGAACTACTCGTCACAAGCTAAATGAGCTTTTAAGCTATAACATAGCAAAAATGAAAGAAAACCATCTACAAGAGCTGAAAAAACTAAGCTACACATATGAAGATAAAATAGATGCTTTAAAATCTACAATAAAACAAAAATTAAGAAAAGAATTTGAAGATTTGGTGGATAAGAGTTCCAAAGCAAGTAAAAAATTAGAAATTGAATTAAATGAACTGAAAACTAAAGTAAAATCCCAAGAAAATGTTATAGAAGAACTGGAAAAAGAAAAAGAAGAAAACGAGATATACAGAAGCAGCGGAAACTTTGTTGAAGAATTAGAAAACGCAAGGAAGACTATAGGGAATTTAGAGCTAGAAATTAAATATTATGAGGATGAAAATAATCTTTTGAATGAAAAAATCAAGCAAGACAGCTCGCTCTATAAGCGTGAAATGTCAAGAAAAGATGATGAAATACTAAAAATGAAGAGAAAGATTGAGGCTTGGTCAAATATTTAAATTAATTTTATATTTATTAGGAATAATGACTATAGAAAATACTTTCATTATAAAGAAAATAATTATAGTATGCCTTTATGTTAAACCTAAAAAAAGTGTTATCAATAAGGCTATAAATTATAATAAAAGGAGATTATTAAAAATAATATTTAATAAGTTTAGCCTTGATTAGGACTTTAATCAAATTCCAAACTTAATTTGCCTAGCTAAAGGTCTTTGATGGCCAGCGCTAGCTTATATATAGTTGGATAATATTCAGGGCGTATAATGAAATTGAAAAATTATTAAATTAAAATAAACCATATATTCTTAGACTTTAAAATTCATAAATTAAACAAATAGCTACTAATTCTAAATTTCATTGCATTTTACTTTGTTTCTCTAACTCCCCCCCCCCTCCGTGAGCGAACAAAACCATTAGAAAAAATCGCCATTTTTTGACCAAAAACCCACCCTCCGTGAGTGAACAAAAATATTTTTAATAGAAAAAATTTTAATGGAAAAAAATTTTGATATATAAGTGATAATTAGTATAATGAAATCTAGAGCTAATTCTGTTTAATTTTAAACAAATTGCGTTTTTAAAACATAAATTTTGCAAATTAAATTAATATTTGCTTCCCAATTTTTGCAAATTAGGATTTTTTTAAATTTCGAAAAAAATATTTTTTATAAAATTTATATATAAATTGTTTTTTAAAAAAAAAAATTAACCCCCCCTCCGTGAGCGAACAAAATTTTTTTGTTCGCTCACGGAGGGGGGGGGGGGAGTAAGCATATTTTATCAAGCCTAGTAGGTTTCAATAACCAGTAATTTTTTCAGTATTAAAAAGTTATTAAAAATGGTCCAAGTTTTAAATGATCCAAACTCCTTTTCTATATAGATCAATTTTTACCCTCAAACACATTATATTTTTCAAATTTTTTTATAAAACCCTCCCTAAAATTCATACCTAGCCTTTTCTCCATTTTTCAGCTCATTTTCCGCTCTTTTTATAATAAATATATATGAAATTTTCAAGGCAATTAGAGTATTATAAAATTCCTGAATGATCAGCCTATTACATTGAATACCGAAAGCTTACCAAGCTTATCTACAGAATGAGACGCTCAGACTCCATTTCCTCTGAAAATGCTCTATCTGATCCTTTACTAGATCATAGCAGCCTTGAAAAGAAATTTAGAGCTGAATTTAAATCTCAAATAAACAGATTAAATGCATTTTATGCGGAAAAGAAAATGCAAATTTATGATGAACGCAAAACTATTTTCAGCTATTTCAAAAGTTTATCAAGAATTAATTCGACAATAGACCAAGAGGAAGCTAAAAGACTTTTAGCTTTAGATGAAAGGGACGATGCACAAAATAGAGCAACAAGTATGAAAAGGGCATTTTCTGATGTCCATAAACAGATGTGATGACTTGAAGCTTTCTGTGAAATTAATTATATGGCATGTTTAAAGGGTATTATAGCCAATTTTTATAGGAAAAAAAATTTACTGTAATTTACATATTAGGATTTTATACCACCCATGTTTAAGACTGTTGGAAAAACTTGAAAATTCAATCGACTTGAGGGATGAGCTGGAACATCAGCCGTTTAGACAATGGGAAAGCGAAATAGGAGGGCTGAGGCTAAAATTGTATAATAAAGTTGCAAAAGAATGCCTTGATGGAAATGTGGAAGAAGCCAAATTGTTATTGACGAGAGGCTCAAAACAGTATAGAGCAAAAGATATTGCAGGAATTTTTTTTTGTTTACTTGCCAGTATGTGAAGAAAAAAATTGAAAGGAGAAAGATATTTTTAAATATAAAAATTTTTTATTAAAAAATTTTTGTAATAATTTTTAATAAATTTTAAACAGGTTATTCTAAAAAAAATTTATAAGTGATATTTTTGATTTCGCAAGTTGTGATCTTTTAAAAAACCAAATTTTCCAATCAAGCAAAAAATTTTTTCTCTTGTGGGATAAGTTAGGAATTGTAATAACTTGTCTGATTGTGATTTTATATATAGCAATCAGATTTGGGAATATAACTTTATGTCCTTCTTATCCAATATTTAGGCTTACTTTAGCAGTAAATCTTTCTTTATTATCAATAGCCTACATTATATACACTTTGGAAGGCTATTCTATAAACTGAGTCTATATTTTTGAAATAGATCCTTCAAATAAAATATCCAGTATAAAACTTGTATCGTATTCTATGTTTTTAAGCGCTATTTGAATTATTTGCTTTTTATTTACTATTGGTGACAAGTTATATCTAGCTTTCTCTCATCATCATGTAAAGCTATGCATTACACTCTTTATTTTTTATTTCATTTTATGGCTGTGGCCTTTCAATAAGTGCTATAGAACTTCCAGATTTGCCTTTTTAAAACTATTTTTTGAATTATTGATATCGCCCCTTAGTTATGTGCGTTTTAAAAATTATATGCTTGGGAGTTGGCTAACGTCTTTTGCTATCCCTTTAAGAGATTTATATTTATCATTTTGCTTTTTTATAGAGGTTAACCCATCGCTAAATGCCTTAAGCCCAGAATGCTATACAAATTTTTTTGTGATATTTTTGCCAGCATTTCCTTTATTTTTGAGATTTATGCAAAATTTGAACTCTATGATAAGAAAACCTTCTTTATATAGGATGCAGCTAATAAATATAACAAGGTATTTTTTACCTATTTTACTTGTAGTGATGTCTTATTTCAAGCTCTATGAAGCGCCTTATACATCAGAATGACTCTCAGTGTTCACAATAATGACGACATATCATGCATTTTTAGATATGTATGCAGACTGAGGACTATTAAGAAATTCAAATAATGGGCCGTTTTTGAGAGGAAAAATCTGTTTTCCAAGGAATTATTATTATAAGATTATGCTGATTAATTTTTTCTTGAGATTCAATTGAACATTAACATTAGTACCATATGCTGCTTTCAATAATGCTTATGTGAATCCTGAAATGCTGTACACAGTTATATTGGTTTTAGAAATTTTTAGACGAACTCTGTGGACAATTCTTAGGGTGGAAAGAGAAAATACAGGCAATGTTGAAAAATATCGGAAGATAGATTATCTTCCAAAGCCACTTTCTTACCCAATTAAAATATTTTTTCAAAAATAGTTATAAAATATATATTATAATAATGCATTTTATGTATTAAAAATATATAAAGAGAAAGTTAGCTTTTAAAGCTTTCTAAATATGAGTTTTAATTAATTAACTTAAAATATAACCTTTGGGAATTAAGTATTATATCTGATTGAAATTTTATAATTTCCTATTAAATTATATTAATATCTATATGAAGATCACTTTGGAACCAGGAGCAGACACACTTGATTTCCCTCCATGCACAATTGAGATTGGCCCAAATAACGAAGTTGAGCACCTATTATCTTTACTAACTACTCGATACAATACATTAGACCCTACAACCTTAGTTCTATACCTTGGAGATCATCCATTGAGAGAAAGTCTTACTGTAATCCAAGCTGGAATAAAAGACAATGAAAAAATTAGTGTCAAGCCAAAGAGAACTAAATGTTGTGTGTTATTATAACTAATTTTTATGATAGACCATTGCAATTTTTAAGTCCTTATGCTAAACAAATTTTACATGCTGAGATCTATGCCATAAGGTCAGAAATTTTGATAAATAGACCTCCTAAGTTTATAAAATGCATTAACTATAATAATTTAGCTTACAGATAATAAATTTTTCATATCTTCCAATGCTTGTTTTTCATATATGAGTTTCCCTGCAATTTCGCTAAATGAAGGCACAGAAATAGTCCTATTGATTATTCCTTGGCATTGAGGACAATCTTCCTCATTTGGCGGCTTGCATTTTCCACAGCTTACGTGTCCACATGGGAGGCACATTAATGCATCTTCCAATAAATTAAAGCAAGAATGGCAGCTTAAATTGGTTTCCATCGAGTGTAAAGCGTGCTCCATTCTTTCTAGTCCTTTTCCGAGCTGCCTTTCTCTTTCTTGCAATGATTTTATAGCCCTTTGTGTGTCTAATTCAGAAGGTCTGTATTTTTCTAGTTCGGATCTCAGCTGTTCTATTCTTTGTAAGAGGGCTATGTTGCTTTCTCCAGTACTTTTGGCGTTGTTTTGTTCTTCTGAAATCTGTTTTTTTAATCTGCTGATTTCTGAGACCCTTTGAAGGAGCTCAGTTTCTAGTAGAGATTTGGCTTTGTTTATTGAATCTTTTTCAGATGTGATTGATAATAGTTGGGATTGAAGGATTTGGATTTGTGACATTGACTTGTCGTTAATTGCTAAATTCACCCTATTGAATAAGGTTTATCTTTTATTAGAATAATTATTTTTTAAATTAATTTAAAAAGTGCGCCAGAATTTAAAAAAATATAAATGGTGGAAGAGTAAGCTTTTCTCAGCTTTGGAAACAAGTTCTTGAAGATTAAAATTTGAGACTTCTAGCCCAGAAACCTGCTTTTTATAGTTTTTTATTTCTTGCTGAAGAGTTTCAACCTCACTGCAGAGGTTTTCTACCCTCGAGTTTTGCTTTTGCATTTCTTTTTGAGTGAGGTCTATTTCAAGTTTAAATTGGTTGTTTTCTGTGTTTAATTTTCTATTGAGATCCATGATGGTATCTAGCTCTTCTTGCAAAGAAATTGCCAATTTGCGTTTTTCATCTAATTCTACAGCTTGCTTTGATTTTTCTATGAGCTGGGATTCAATATCTTTGGTGTATTGGGATTGATTTGATAATAAATTTTGATACTGTGACCTTTGGGTATCAATTAAATTTAAATCTTCTTGCAACTTTAATATTGAAGCTTCCAAAGCTTTTTTCGAGGAGGATAAAAGACTGTTTTCTTTAGACAATCCTTCAATAATTTGCTTAAAGTTTGTTGATTCTTTAGTAAGTTTGCTGATTTCTATAGATTTCGCGATTAGCTCATCCTTTAAAAGCTGCTCTGCCTTTTTAGCATCGCTAGTTAGGCTTCTTTCTCTTATTTCTTTATCATTTCTTGTTAAATTGAGTTCTTTTTCTAAAGCATAACTTTTATTTTTGAATTCTTCTATTCCCTCAGCTAATTTTTTGATTTCATTTTTTAGATCTTTTTCTTTTTGCTCAGAGGTACTAATTGCGGCATTTAATAAATTTTTTGTAATTTCTAAGTCTCTTTCTGTATTATTTATTTTGATATTGTTCTCAGCTAAGCTTTGGGTAAGATTTTCTCTGTCATTTTTCAATTTTTCTATTTCTATCTCTTTTTCAGTTAACGTTTCTTGCAGAGAAGTCAGCTTTACATTTAAATCTATTTCCGAATTAAATGTAGCTTTTAGCAAAGTTTCTTTAGAATCATGCTGCTTTTTAAGCTCTTGAAAATGCTGATATAACTCTCTCATTTTGTTTCTTGTAGATAAAAGCTCAGACTTTTCATCACTCAGCTCTTTTCTTAGATTTGCAATAATTTGGCTGTTCGTAATCTCTTTTTCGTTAAAATTTGTAATTTCAAATCTAAACTTTTGCAGTAGATTTTCTTTCTCAAAAGTTTCAGAGCTTAATCTTTCTACTTGTTCTTTAAGAACTCTAGAGTCATCAGCTAAAATTTCTTTATCTCTATTTACTGTATCAAAATCTGCTTTAACTTTTTTAAAATTTGCTTCAATTTCTGCTTTAGTTTTCCTTAAGACTTCATTTTCGTTTTTTAATATTTCAAGCTTATAATTGCTTTCGTCAACTTCCTTTTTCTAAATAAATTTTACCCTTTTTTCTAACAGCTGTTTAAGTCCTAAATTTTCTGCTTTAAACCCTTTCGATTCTTCATAAAATTTCAAAACTTTCGCCAGCTCTTCTTGAGTTTTTTCGAGTTCCTGTGCGATTTTTTGCTTTTGGCTTTCAAAAGTTTGGATCCTGGCTTTCAATGCAGTGTTTTCTTTTTCTAAGTTTCCGATTTTTTCAGACCATTCTCCTGCCTTTCCTTTTTCTTCTTTAAAAACTCTGCTAATTCCTTCATAATTCCTTTGCAGAGCTGCTATGGTAATATCTTTTTGCTGATTATCATAAATAAGCTCTTCAATTCTCAACTGTAGATCTGGCTGCCTTCTATATCCCTCTGAAGAAGAGTTTTCTCTTAAATTTGTGCTGTTAGTAAGAATCTGCTGAGCTGCATTACCCAGCCTATTTTTTGAGTCTGATTTTTCCCCACTTCTACCTCTAGCTTCCCTCCTTTGTGAGAGAGAACAAAGTAATTTTTTATTTTCATTATTTTTAAATTGATATTAATACCTTTTTTCGAAAACCAAAAAATTAATTTAATTTATAAAATTTATGTTATAACGCGCAAACTGTTTTTAATTTAATATAATTAGATAGAGATTTCATTACAATAATTATCACTTTTATCTCAATAAAAAAATTTGGCTCTTTTACAAAAAAGGATTCTTCCATGCTTTGCTCGCTCATGGATGGATGAGTCTGAGCATATTTTTAAAATTATGAATTAATATAATTAATATCTTGCCAAGTCTTTTTCTAACTGCTGCTCCATATATCCATTGAAATCTAGTCTTAGAAACAGCTCTGGGTAGTTTCCCTTGCTTGAAATTGTTTTGGTCATTTTATATAAAAATCTGTGAATCCTATTGAAATCTTGTTCGACTGATTTTAATTTCTGGATGACTTCTTCGTCAATTCCAGTTTCACTGTCAATTTGCTTCATTATTCCTTGAAACCTCATTACTAAGCCAAAAATAATCCTCAATTGCTCCATCACTACGTTTCCTTTGAGATCTAAAAAGCATTTTAATAAGACACGCTCTAAATATTGCTTGTGTAAGTCTATTAATTCATCCAAATTTTTACACTTTTGTATTGAAGATTTTAAAAATTTCCAAGCTGTCCCGTGTACTTCTGAAGCAATATACCCTTGGAAAATATCTAAAAAATGCTGCATTTTTTGACGAAGTAGCTGGAGACGGCGCAAATGAACCTTCAGCCTTTCTGAAATTTCTGTTGATGCTGTATGGAAGAAAAATTTGAAATCGCTTAATATCATTGTAATATACTTTACCCTTAAAAGAGTAATAAATACTAACGAATAACTTTTAATAGATTCCTCATTTACAATTAACTGTAAAATTCCATCCACACTATATTTAATTGATAAGTAGTCTAAATCATCCACATTTCGATACCCCATCCCAAGCCACCCATCTTTATTATCAATAATTTTAAACCTTTCAGCAAGTGGGTCATCTTTGCATGAAGACATTTTTATTGAATTTTCCCATATTGACGAAGTATTTCCTCTATATTCATCAGTAAATAATGACCTTAAAAACTGATCTATAGAGTCTCCAGCTTCTAATAAAGCATATCTTTTTAAAGCCTTTAAATGGTCCATTAATTTCAGTTTTCTTAAAATCAAATGTAAAGTCGCTTTATTTACAAATTCTGACTGAAGCTTTATAGGCTGAATTATCAGCTTGTTTATAATAAGAGATAAAGGATAAGACCGTGAGGAATCATCTGGGAGATCCCCTAAAATGTCTTTAAAAATATCAGAGCTTTCATTACGAGCTGCAATTGCCCATTTTTTCCTAGGGGTGATTTTTCTGAAAACTTTTTTAATTATTTCTTCAAATAGAAGAGATGCACAAATTTCAAATTTTTCTAAATCTTCGCGATAGCCAATGCGAGGCTGGTCAATATTTTGGACTTTTTTAGCTTTGTCTGGGACAAGATGATAGTTAAATATGTCTTTCATAGAAGAAAACCCACCTGGGGGCTGAAGCACTCTTTTAGGGAAAAATGATATTTCTTCTTGCCTATTAGCATTTTCTATTGGTTCAATATCCATTTTTAATTCCTCATTTTGATTTTCCATTTCTGCTATATTTCCTTCTCTATTTTCTCCATTTTCTTCCACAATTTCCATCTTATCCGCAATCTCAATTTTCCATTTTTCCTCTTCCTTTGCTAAAAATTCATTTCTTTTCTTTACCAGGGCAAACCTCTTTGTTTTCCATTCATTTAGCCCATATTTCGAGTACATTTCCTCAAGCATTTTTTTATGTTGCTCAATCAAAAATTGTTTTCCTTTCTCAATCAGTTCTTTTTGTTCTTCTTTTAATTTCGCTTGCCTTTCTTTTTCCTTTTGCGCTTCCATCTCTTTTTCAATTCTCTTTAAATTGCGGTTTTCATTAATTTGATTATTAAGTGACTGAAAATAATTCCATTGTTTTCGCTTTTTGGCTTCATTTTTTTCTTCTTCCTGCTGATATGCAATGTTTGCTACATTTTTTCTGTCTTTAAGCTTATCTAATTTCTCTTTAAGCTGGGCTTCTTTTTTTCGTTCTTCTTCTAATAAGAGTTTCCTTTCTAATTCTAATAAAGCTTTAGTCTGTTGACCTTGGAATGCTAAAAATAAGTCTTCAAGAGACTTGATTTTTTCTGGGCTGAAACTTAGTTTGAAATTAGGTGTTTTTATATCAGATTCGTCAAGAGAAGAAATTAATCCAGTTGCACAGATATGGTAATAGGAAAAACAGTCGTCTATAAGTAGCTTTAAAACTGATAAATTTTTTCCGATGTTTTTTAGGTCTTCTATAGCTTCTTTTAATAAAATATTTTCTTGAGCGGAAAATCTGTTATAGTATTTTTCTACAGAAAATTCTGGCTTGCTAGAATAAGCTTTATTGATTTGGATAATAAATTCATTATAATTGTCTTCAATTTCTCCGAAAAATACAAATTTAGTTAAAATTTCGAAAAAAGGCTTTGAGACGTCTTTAAAAATCATTTTTAAAAGCTGGGAATTTTCGAAATCTCCTTCATTTGCCCAGGTGACTTCGTATAAATAATCAATTAGCTGCCCGCCTCTTGGAAATTCTCGATTCAAGCACAAAATATTAAGAGAATCCAGTTGCTCCCTCAAGCTATTTGTTTCTGTAATTAATTGAATCATGGTTTTGGTATCAGGAATATTAGAAATAAAGCTTTGATAGAAAAGCAAAAATTTTTCTATTGCAGAAGCCACTGCAGGACTCATTAATTCATTTTTTCTCTTTAAAGCTTCTACAAAGTTGACTAAATTTATTCATTGCTTTCCTGATCTTACTAAACACTCAATAGAATTGTATGTAAGCTTATGATTTAAACAGTCCAGCCTAAAAGGAGTCTTTAATGAAAATTCTGAGCCCATTTCAAATAACCCATTAGGTATTCCTAATAATAAATATTTTAAGCCAATCACAAGTTTTTCTTCACTTATTAATGTGCCTTGGTAGTCAAATATTTCATCAGTGGATTTAATGAAATCTTGGTCTGATTTCTTGGTGGTAAGCGAAATTAGGGCTTGAGAAATTTTATAAGTTTCAGCTTTTTCCCACATTTTTCGAGTATACTAATTGACAAGAATAGCCCACTAAGGAGCCATTCTTGGTCTGCCAGAAAAAATTTTGACAAAAGATCCTAATCTGCCATTACCACTGAGTTTTGGTGTTTCCAAATTTTTTGGGCAAGCCAAATGCAATAAAAAAAATTGTTCTTTTGCGATGATGCATTTGGCTTGTCAAAAAAATTTGGCAACATCAAAACTCAGTGGTAATGGCAGATTAGGATCGTTTGTCATTACCACTGAGTTTTGGTGTTTCCAAATTTTTTTGACAAGCCAAATGCATCATCGCGCAAAGAACAATTTTTTTTTATTGCATTTGGCTTGCCCAAAAAATTTGGAAACACCAAAACTCAGTGGTAATGGCAGATTAGGATCTTTTTGTCAAAATTTGTTCTGGCAGACCAAGAATGGCTCCATAGTGGGCTATTCTTGGTCAATTAGTATATCTGGGGTATCCATGCTGTATTTAAAATTATTTTCATTGGAATTCAGCTCTTCGGTTACCATATCCCATTGGTTTATTTTGCTGGGTAATTTTTTCTTAATTATTTCTTTGCTTCTTTTGAGTTTTATTGATGCTGGAAACGGAAATTTGTTGTCAGATTGGCTTTGCTGAGGAAGCGGAGGCAGCTTTAAATTGATTCCAAAAGGATTTTCAGGCTTTTCTGATTGCAGCTGTTGGAAAGCTCCTAGCAAATCTTTTTGATTTTGTTCCTCAACAAATCATTTATTATCCTCTACAGTAATCTGAGTGGTATAGCTACCAAGATCACAAAGATTCATAGCATCAAAATCAAATACTGGGTATTTTCGGTCAATTCCCCCAAATCTTGTACTGTGTATACTTTTATCTGCAGGAGTCAGCGCGCCTTTGTCTAGCGAAAAAAGATTTAATCCCGGCTTTTTAGAATCAGAAAAATTAAATATTTTTGGAGTTCCAAACTCAAAAATATCATTTGGAGCTTGCAATTTTAGACTACTTGTTTTTTTATGCAAAAGATCCAAGCTTTTTCAAGAGATTTCTGTTAGGTTTCCTCCGTTTTGAGCATCTTCTAAATTAAAAAGCAAATTAAGAATGCTAAAATGCTCATCAAATTTTGTGACAATAAAATTTTGCTGTGGGTATTTTTTTTTGGAAAGAAAAGCTTCTATAAGAAGTTCTAAACTTGCCGCTTTATCGTATTGCTTTTTGCTTCTCAAGTTATAAGTGATATTTACAACTTTAGAAATCAATCATTTTTCTCCTGATTCTGGTGTGTGATAATTTCTAAATGTTTATTACTGTAAAAGTAAGTCAAAAACCCGGGTGTTTATTTTTTTCCTATCTACTTTTGGTCCAATAAAAATTTCTTCAAGATCTTTTAGTAATCCTATAATACTTTGCGCCATATCAATTTATATAAATTAATAGAGCTATTAGAAATACCTAGTTTCCTCATCTGTTTGGGCTAGAAAGTTTTTTGTATAATTCAGTTTTATTTTTAATAATTAAAATTTGCATATATTTGAGCAAATCGAATTTTTATGTTTCAATAATTTTACTGTCTAAATTTAAAAGAATTAGCAGAGGATATATGCCAAATTATCTTATAAAAATATTTATATACAAAAATACTAGCTAAGGAGGGGTTACTTTCCTAGAAATAGGATTTTTAATAATTTTCGATCCCTAATGCAAGGGATAAGTAAATATTTAGCTTTATTTAGAATGCTGCACGCCCCTCACACATAACAAATAATTATTAATTTTTACAGAGCATTGCAGATCTGAATTCCATTTTCTAATTGAAGATATGATTAGATGTTTTAAACCTTAAAGTTTAAGAGAAAAAGAATGAAGATCTGCATGAAGCTTCTTTAATGCCTCTTTATAAGCTTGATTCGACAAATCTTTATACGTTTTCGCAGCCTGAGTTTGCACTGGGGAATCATAATTTTTAGTGAAACTTGTTTCTAATTCACTCTGCTCTTGTTTTATCTTTCTAGCCATATTTTGCCTATGTAAATGGTCTTTAACGTCTTTTTTCTCTTTCCATTTCCTATCAGGAGAATATCTCATTTCTGAAATACTTGGCGTAAAAGAGCATTCTTTGAGTTCCTGATGCAATTTTATTATAGATTTTTCTTTTTTCATTGATTTCACATTTTTTCCTCACTGAACCAGTCTTTTTATTGTGTCTTCTGCTTTTACATTTGTGGCTGGGTTATCAATTTTTGGCCGAAAAGTGCATTCCTTCTCAATTTCTGCACTTTCGTCATTTTCATTGATTATAGGAACTTCTTTGCATGAGTGATATAAGCTTTCCCATATATCTTGGCCATTGGATTTTGACCGTGATTTTGCAAGCTTTTCAGAGACTTTGTTAAGTTTTGGCCTGTAGCTATACGTTTCGAATTTATGGTCAATATCTTTGGATGGCTTAAGTAGCCTGTCTATTACTTTTCCTTGATTTTTGGCTAGTTTTGAAGACTTAGCGCTGATTTTGGGCTGAAATGAAAATTCATTTATGGAGCAGAGAGATCTTGAGCGATATCTGCTGTGACAGAAGGATATTTCTGGAATATCAGAAATAAAAGAACTGTTGTGGCTTCTTTTGGTCATGCTTCTTTGTTCTTCTTCAGTATTTAAGGTTAAATTTTCAGATTTTTCAGAAGCGCTTTTAAGGTTTTGAGAGTTGATTAAATTTTTTTGTAATTTTTCCATAAAATTTAGAGTATTTGAATTTATATTGAATTTTTTTTCATTGGTTTCTGCTGTCCCAGCATCATTTCTAAAGTTATCAAGCCTCATTTTGATTTTATTTAAATAATTCTTATGGTTTCCATAATTTTGCTTTTCTGGGCTTGGCGATTCAGTTTTTATGCTCTCATAATTCTTGTCTATATCTAGAAATGGCTCTGAAGAGCTTGCTCTGTTATTAACAGACATAATTTTTATTATTCTCTTTTTTAACTTGCATGAAAATTTATTTTTATTTAAATTTATTGCTAATTTATGTCTTTTCATTAGAGTTGATATTTTTAACTATATTAAAACATTTATTTTGTGATAAAAAATTCTATTATAACTAAAAAATTGCTTAATTATGACCTTTTCTTGCTCTTTCTGAGCGGCTCATTCGGGTTTCTCCTGTCAGGGCCATACTTATGAGGATTCTTTACTTGCAAATTGTACCCAAAAGCTTCAATTGACTCAGGATCATACACATCAGGCTTTTTCCAATTCCATTTATTCTGTCTTCCTCCCATCATAAGCAGCTGATCCTCTCTCAGTATAAGATCACTATTATTTTTCCCTCCTTTAGGTGTCGGGACAGGATATAGCTCGAGTCTCCTTTTGGCTTTGGGCTATCCCGAAGTCGCCCAGATAGCATCTATACTTACTGCTGGAGATTTAGAACCTGGGGAGTTGGTAAAATCAACTTATTGCTGATATCAGAAGATGTCAACATATAACCTGAGCCAAAAAGAGGCTCAGACTATACACCTGCCCTCTCAAATTATTTTTCGTCTTCCTCGGCTCATGGTACTGTGTTTTTCCTTCTGCATCAATAGAATAACTTATTTTATAAAGCGTGTGATTTCCACAAGCCTCACAAAACTCTTTTTCTGGGTCTTCACAAATTTCGTGGCAGGACCTGCATTTTTGTACCCATCTTTTGAGGTATTTTATTTCCAGTCCTCCTAATGACAATAATCTTAACCCCATTTGTATGGCGACGTTTTGTATGGCATAATCAAGGGTAAGAACACAGACGCGTGAGTCTGGAGTTGATTTAAAGTTTTCTGGGGTGATCCATTCATTGTCCATTCTATGGACTTGGTTTTCATTACTTCTGATTTCGCCTGGCTCGGATTTTAATAATCCCCCACGTTCTCGCTCTAAACGGCAGGCTAAAGCAATTACTTTGATATCTGTGGCGCTTAGGCTGCGAATGTCACCTGTTTTTCTGGCGAATTCTAATGTGTATGAGAGGTCTTCTTCGGTGGGCTCTGTTGTTTTTATTTCTTCCAGATGAAGAGATAAAAGGGCTCGTGCATGTTTATCACGGACTTCTTGGATTACTTGTGGAACTGTGTAAAAATCTTGGCCGAGGGATCGGATGTCTTTTCCTTTTATTAGAGGTCCTGTATCAACGACCACGGCCATTTTAAGTATTAATGAAATTAAATTAATTTTGCAATTGTTTTTATATATATTGAATTCCTGCATGGTTAATATTATTGATATTAAAATTTTATAGCTTGAGACCCCTTATAGATTCATTAGCAGTAATCCGAATAGGCCACGTCAATGCTAATTTTTATGAAAGGATTAATTAGAAATTGACAAATATGAGCTATAATTTGCATTTGCAAATTTTAAATGTGCATGTCAGAAAAATTGATATTTTCATGGGCTATTCAATAGGCAAAGGTATTGCTCCTAAACGAACAAAAATGGGACTGAAGCTATATAAGGCATTAATTACTGATGTCTAAAGATTTTACCATCAATAAGAGGATATCACTTTTTGTTAATTAGTAAATATTTCATGTGCGATTTAAATTTTCAGGTATAGATCATACAGTTTGCCATTTTGATATGAGTTGCTTGTAAGCTTATTATAATACCAGCACTATTCAGTACCTTTTATTAATTATAGCTTTTTGATATTTTCAATATGATTTTCCATGAAAAATTTCTGTATTTCTAATTCTTCTAATCATTATCATCATAATAATTTCAGATTTATTGAGATTTCTTTAATATGCTACTAATCTCTATTCATCAATATTTATGGGTCATTCATCTTATATTTCAAAAATTATCCATATCTAGACTTTCCCAAGAAGAAAGAAATTTCTCAGTTCTAATTTCATCATAGGCAATTATTAATATCTATTAATTAATAATTTATTTTTCTTATTAATAAATCTAATCTGATATCAATTTTTAATTTTATTTTTCCTTAATTACATTATAATTAAAACTCCGTCATTACCGCTTGAAAGTCAATTTCATTAAGAAATTTTATACTGTCTAATTCTTCATCAAGAATTAAGTCTCTATCAGAAAAAGATTCGACCCTATCAGGTGAATATTTTTCTTTGTTTTTTGGCTCAGGCATGAGGTGGTCCACCAACCTCTCATAGTCAACAGTTCCGTTTTGCAAGCTTTTATTTGCCATTTCATTGTAGCGCCTATTCAGCTCTTGTATTGATACTTCTGAATCGTCTGAAACAATATTCAGATAGAACCTGAAGCTGGCCGCAAAATTTGGGATGAAACTATTAAGCAAGTATGAAAATGGCTCATACTCATCATTCAAACTAATTTTGGATTTTAACCCTGCTATGGCAATCATCAAAAAAGGGTTGGCCAAAAGTTTTTCTTTTTGCATATTTTCAATGATCATTGACCAAAGAACTATTTCCACCTCGCTCATCATAAGAACCTTGGCCAAAAAGTTGAATACTTCGTGGATTTGGAACAAGGTGCCTTTAATACAAGGAAGAGCTGAAAGTTGATAAAGAAAGCTCTGCCGCAAGGAAGAAACAAATGAAGACTGATATTCAATCATCAGCTTGCGGTATGCCCCTATTTGAGTCTTAGACCACGTTTTGCATTCACTTAATGGTTCTTCGCGACTTTCTAGAATCGCTCCTGCTACAGAAACATCCATATAGTAATTCATAATAATCTTATCCATTAATATTTTTATATCACCATAAATTAATCAATAAGGCAGTGTTGCTAATTTGTAACTAATTCAAAGGAATTTTAATTTTGAAAATAACCATTGAGATTTAAGGACATTTCTTGGCAGGTAAAAACTAGCTTTTGCGCAGCAAATTCTATTTAGCAACTTAATAATATCGAATATATTTTAAGACGCATAAGCTTGCCCTTGAAATACTTGATAAATAAATATTACCACTAAACTAACTATTATAAATTAAGATGAGTCTTAAACTTTTAGTTAATTTAAAGTTTATCTTAGAAATTGTATATAAATAGCCTAGACTACCAAATTAAAGATTTAAAGAAGCTAGAGATATTGTTTTTAGCTCTTCCTCTTAAAAGAGAGTAAAATAATTTGAAAAATATATTTGTAGCAAGCAATAAAATTTTTTATATAAGATCACTGGCTAATTCTATTAAATATTAGGTTCCTTTTTACGCCTACATCATAAGGCCGCTTTAAATTTGAACGGGATTTTTTGTTCCAATTTAAAGGGGGAGTCAGTTAACAAGTAAAAAATCTTGCTCGCCCTTAAAGGGGAGGAGTAAGCTGTGATTTCCCAATTGTCTATTTCCCCTCTTGCTTATGAATTTAATGCTTTATCAAAAATTAAAACAGCCTTCAGTATAAGCATTTCATCTCAATTTCCCTAATGGTTAGCAAATTATTTTTATATTTTCCTTATAATTAATATGAATCATGCAAATTTATTCATAAATTGAATTGAACATTTTAATAAAAAATTATGCAATTATTTTATTCTAATTAAGGGCATTAAATATAGCCAAGCTATTATAAATTAAATATAAAAAACCTTTAGACAATTAAAATTTAAATTAAATGACAATAATTCATATGCTAACAGATAGCTTTTTATATTTTTAGTTTATTTTTGACGAACAATTTTTTACGAAATTTTACCAAATAAAATTATTTAAAATTCTGACCAATGTATAAATTCAATTCATTCAAACATAAGGTTTTTTGCTTTCTAAATCCAATAAATTTGAAAATCAATACACCCTCCTCAATGCAGTTCTTACTATATGTTGCCCTTTTTAATTATAAGCCGTCAGAAAGTGTAAATAACAAAGTTTAGAGTCTATAATCCATATGAGCTTCTATGTAACCTCAATTTTTAAAATTTAAATTAACTATATAAACTTTTATTGGTAAATCTATTTAAGATAATTTCATAAATATCAATTTTATTTTAATATTAAATAAAAGAACCTTAGGAAATCATAAATCTTCAAATTTTTTTCTAATATAGAAATTGCATTGCTTGCATTCTCACATTTTATTGAATCTAAAAACTTTCATAACAAAAAGAAAAATTAAATATAGAGTACTGAAAGAGCAAATTATTGATCAAAGCTTGCGAATTTTGCATACAAAAACCAACTAGACTAAAATAAAGTATAGTCAGCTGGGATTTTTTAAACACCAGTAAACTGCCTAAAAGGTCGAGCCAGTTACCTATTTCCTAGAAAGAAGACTGCCAGAATAGGCAACTAGTTGCGATCAGTTAGCCAGTTTATTGGTGTTTAAAAAGTCCCAACGGGTTATAATTTAATTTCGGGAAATTATTCACTCAAAAATCATATTTACACTATCTTTCACTCAAAGATCAATTTTTCAAAATGCTCCATAATAAGCATCACTTTATATAAAATGCCACTCTCACATAATTAACGAACTTTTCATAACTAACTGACAAATTTTTAAAAAAATAGAATTTAACAAACAAACACAACAAAAATCAATCCTCAGCTTTCCCCTGCTAATTTCCAATTGTACTCCTTCAATCTTCTCTAACGGCTTTTTTTATTGTCCTTTAAAATCAATAAATTGAAAATCAGATGTTCCTTTTGATTATATAATTAAAAATGTCTTGGCAGCACTACAAAGCCCTAATGTACAAAGACTGAATCCATATACATTAAAATTGCGACGGCGAACAAGCCCCTTTTTCTCAACACCTGTGGCCTTAGGCTCGAAAAGCCGCAGGGACCTTGTGGAAGGAAAATTGGCGCTCGGTAAATATATCCGGCTAGGTTTTACTTGTCTTGGTGGAGCGCAATGTCGAATTAGGTCGACTGCAGTTCACTTCAATCAAGGTTTTCATCTCACTCCCCCCATCCTTGATCGAACGACTCGCCATCGTTCGATCAAGGATGGGGTTTAAAAAAAATATTTTTATATTCTTTTAAATAAGAGGGTTAAGAGTATTTAATAATTTTTTTTACAGCAAAAAATTGAATTAATTTTATAAAAATGCCAATTTTTAATATTTGATTTATTAGTTACCCCTCTAAACTGCATAAATTTTAATTTGTTCCTTATTAAATTAAAATTTTTTTTTTTTAAAATTTTAAAGAATCTCTATTTTATTAGATTATTGAGCTTTTAAGCCTTAGTTGATGACTAAATCACTTCGTATGGTTGATTCCAAAGTTTTTTCTGTCGTCTCAAAGTCTCTGAAAAAAAATTCATTATGTACATCTTCCCAAGCTTTTGATAACTAATTTATTTTTATATATATATAAAAATTTGCATGATATGGAATCGTTGGGGGTTAATTTCCCCATTTTTTAGGAATTTTTACAGTCAATCGTTCGATCTAGGATGGGGGAGAGTCAGGGGAAATGGGATTCAGAGTTGGAAAGGGGTGACTCAGCGACACCGTGGGTTACTACACATTCCATCGGGCACTTCTCCAGCGCGATACTAGGCGTTGTGCCCCAGACTTTGAATTTCCATTTTAGCCAACAGCTAGACCAGAAAATTTGTTTTTCAAATTTTCGGAAGAGCAACCTCTGTTGACGTACTGCAAGGTGGCGCAACTCATCCAATTACAGGTGACGAGTGCTGGCCCTCGTCTGTAGGAGCGAAGCTTTAAAGGTCGTGCTACGGTTGGTGGCGGGCAACCGAGTGGAGCATTACGGGTGGAGGTAGTCCTTCGGGAATTACGGCGGGCTTCTATATAAGTTTTATTAGTACGTACAAAGACTGAATCCTTTGACGACGCAGAATATTTGGCTCAGTATGCGAAGTACTATTCCCTATAATTGTATTTCTTCTGCTTGCCTTAATCCGTGCTTCTTTAGGTTCTGAGGAAGTCGATGCCGAATCCTATCTCAGTTATGCAGAATACGTGAAGCCTTCTGTCTCAAATGCCGTTACCTATCCTTTTCCTGAGGGCAACTCATTTAAATGATGCCATGAATACGTCGAAGAAGGAGAATCCTGAATGATTGCCCTAGCTCCAAAAAATGATATAAACGGATACCTTGAAGAAACATTTGCAGCCCATCCCAATCTCCAAAATGTAGAGATCCGTTACTTCGAAGATGACGATGAAATTGATGATTATATACAGGACGATGACTACGAAGACGGCCCCAAACTCTGTTTTGCTGTAGTTTTTAAGGAAGCCGAAGATAACTATTATGAATATCATATTAGGTTTAATCAGTCATATTCTCAGCCTGATGGTGGGGAGCCTATAGGAGAAGACTTTGAAATCTTTCAGTTCCACAGATTTGATGCAACAGATGAGCTTCTAAGAGAGCCAAAGCCAGATTTCCAGATAGATTTTATACATTCAGGGTTCGTTCAAATTCAGAACTATGTTGATAATTATTTGCTAAAAGAAGCCACAGGGGATGACAACGCTTATATAGCGGCTGGATTTGTCCCGATGTATTATGACGATTATGTAGATGATGATTTTATTGAAAATATTCAGGATATTTTGCCTTTCTTTTTTATAATTTCGTTTTTGATACCTGTATGCAGAAATATTGCTCAGATTGTGATGGAAAAGGAGTATAGGATAAAGGAAATTATGTGTATTATGGGACTGTCAAATAAAGCGTACTGGCTATCATGGATTACTTATTATTTTTTGGTTTATTTATTGATATCAATTTTAGCCACTATTATTTTGGGATTGCAGATATTTACGTACAGCAATAAGTTTATATTGTTTATTACTTTTTTGTTATTAGGAGTCTCATCTATTAGTTTTGCTGTATTGATATCAGTTTTCTTTTCACGTGCAAAGGCAGCACTTGCATTAGGACTGATGGTCTTTTTAGGCCTTTTTTTTGTGTTTTTTGCTGTTGATGACCCTTATCTTGACCATACACAAAAATTTTTGGCTTCATTTATCCCAACTGTAGCCTTTGGCCTAAGCACTGGAATTCTTTGTGAGCTTGAAAAAGGGCAGGCGGGGGTCCAATTTGATAACATAAACCAAGATATTTACAATTACACGTACTCTACAGCTTTAATCATGATAGCTCTAGACACAGTAATTTTCTTCTTTCTAGCCTTATATTTTGAACAAGTCTGGCCTTCGGAATGAGGCACTAAGCGGCCATGATATTTTATTTTCCAAAAAGACACATGAATAACCAGAAAAGAAGAAGAAGAGCAAGATGACGATTTTCCTAGAGATATTGACTATGACGACAATGTAGAGCCTGTCGACCCACTTTTATCTAACCAAAAAACATCAGGAAGAGCTATGCTGGTAAGAAATCTTACCAAAATATTTAACGGAACTACAGCTGTGGACAACTTGAATCTCGACATATATGAAGGCCAAATTTTCGCACTATTAGGACACAATGGAGCAGGAAAAACAACCACGATTTCTATGCTCACTGGGCTTATCCCCACCACTACTGGAGATATGAAAGTTCGAGGACTTCGCCTTTCCAAAGACTTAGACAAGCTACGAAAGCTCTTTGGAGTCTGCCCACAGCAGAACGTGCTTTATGGAGAACTGACAGCTACAGAGCACTTATACCTTTTTTCGGTCTTTAAAGGTATGAATAACAAAGCTCTGATAAACCAAAAAATCGACGAAAAATTACAAGAAGTCGATTTGGTGCCTCATAAAGACAAATATTCAAGTTTTTTGTCAGGCGGACAAAAGAGAAAGCTTAGTCTTGCAATTGCGCTGATTGCTGATTCCCCAATTGTGCTATTAGATGAGCCTACATCAGGAATGGACTTGACAGCAAGACGTAATATGTGAGATATGCTTAAGAAAAATAAATCGTCAAGAATTGTGATTTTAACGACTCATTATATGCAAGAAGCTGACATTCTTGCTGATAGAATCGCTATTTTGTCAAATGGCAAGCTGAGGTGCTGTGGATCGTCATTATTTTTAAAAGGCAGATATGGAGTCGGCTACTATCTGACCCTTGTAAAAGAAGTGGACGCTGCAAGTGTTGAGCACAGCCAAATGGTCACAGATTTCGTAAAATCATATATTCCAACTGCTATTAAAGCAAGCGATGTCCATGCAGAAATTGCGTTTAGGCTGCCTATTGGCAGTGCAACCAAATTCGAAGACTTTTTCCAGTCACTTGATAATAGAAAAAGTGAGCTTAAAATTAGATCATACGGAGTATCAGTCACAACACTAGAAGAAGTATTCATAAGAGTAGCTAGAGGGGACAATGAGCTAAAAGAAGGAAGCTCTAATTGAAGCCAAAGAGAAGAGGCTAAAGAAGAAGGAGAAGATATAGTAGGAGATGAGCAGCAACTTATTGAAACTGAAAGGGAGACTAAAGGACTGTTCACAAGACATATTAAATGCCTCTTAAGGAAAAGATATCTGTGGACCAAGCGAGATTGGAGAATTTTTGTATTTGAATTATTTGTCCCTGCACTTCTGGTACTTTTTGGACTTATTTTTATGCTAATTGCTGAAAGATTTATAGATCAAGACCCTTATGAGTTAGTTATTGATCAATACGAAACACCACAGAGCATCATGTACCCAGAGTCTTCTGGAGTGACTGAACAAATAATGCAGCTTATTGACGAGTCTGACGATGTTGAGCTAAAAGCTGTAGAAGTTGAGAATATTCAGCAATTTGACAATGAAGTCTTTGAAGATAGAGACAGAGACCCATATAGAATGGGCGCCTATTACTTTTACTTGATGAACCAAAATGGCAGCCAATATGAGCCCGTCATTTTCCACAACCAAAGTGCGTTTCAGTCATTAGCCACCTATTATCAGCTGATGTCTAACACAATTTTGCAGACTGTAAATCCTGACATACAGGTAGTGGCTTATAATGCTCCTTTTGACTGGACCAAAAAAGTCAGAGAAAATGCTTCGGCAGGGGATGGAGTCCTTTCCTGTTTGATTTTTGGCTTAGCTTTTGCGTTTGTTCCTGCAGGGATTGCAACTTATGTGGTGAGAGAAAGGGAAACGAGCGTGAAACACCAACATATGATAACTGGGATTTCTCTCTGGGCCTATTGGATTTCTAATTACATTTGGGATATCGTTAAATACTCAGCTGTTTATGCAGTAGCACTATTTCTTATTTATATTTTCCAAGTCGATATTTTTACTGATGAAACTGATGATTTTGCTTGTATCGCTTTACTGCTTGGCCTATTTGGGATTTCTGTTATTTTATTTACATATGCGACTAGTTTTATATTTGATGACTATTCGTCAGCGCAGCTTACAAATATATAGCTCAGGAGCGATTTTTGATCGCCCTGGGATAGAAGAAGGCTTAGAAATCCCCGAATAGGTAAATTCACCTTATAGGACCATTTGCCAATTCCCAAACCGGTTTGCCAACTTGAGTTGAAAAGCTAAATCGGGGGTTCCTGAGGCTTCTCCTAGCCCAGAGAGATCAAAAATCACTCCTGAGCTATAGTTTTTCACTTTTTGACGGGCAGTTTGTTCCCTATTCTTGTATTTGTGTTATATCTTTTTGAAGAAACCAAAGATATTTCAAAAATCCTTGTATGAGTTTTTCGGCTTTTTCCAAATTTCTGTTTGGGAAATGGGTTTTTGTATTTAGGAACAGCACAAATAAGGTCAAGTATAGATGGGAAAAAAGACAGGTATGAGCCTTTTTCATGGGATAACGCTTTTGCAGACTGCGTAATGCTGATGGCTGATACATTTCTTTATTTATTAGTATTAATTATAGCAGAAGCATTTGAGTCAAATCCGTCCTTACGAAAACTAATAACAATGATAGACAAAGGCACCCCAGGAGAATACGAAAAAGATGAGGACGTTGAAGCTGAAAAAGAAGCTGCATTAAGCACAGATCCAAGAGAAGTGCAAGTCAACGTAAGAAAATTGAGAAAAGTTTACAAAGGAACTAAAGGGAAACGAGTTGTGGCTGTCGAAGACGTTAGCTTTAACGTCCCCAAGCGCCAATGCTTTGCACTGCTAGGTGTAAACGGCGCTGGCAAAACCACCACTTTTAAAATGCTGACTGGAGAAATAGCTCCAACTGACGGTGAAGCGTTTTTAAGTAGTTTTAGTGTGCTAACTTTTCTCCTCAGTGAGTAAAAAAATTGAAAAATACCTATTTTTGGTCCAAAATCAGGGTGCAGATCCAATGATAGAGCCTTTATGATAGTGAGCATTTCACCGAAGTACTTTTGTTCGATTATTTTCTTAATTTAAAAAAATTACTATAAAATTAATACATAAATATTTACATAAGTCCCATTCCTGAGCAACAAAATTTTTTTGTTCGCTTACGAAGCTGAAGTAAGCAATTTAGATCAAGCCAGAGAAAACATAGGATATTGCCCACAATTTGACGCTTTAAGTGAATTATTAACATGCATGGAACATATAAGATTTTATGCGGAAGTAAAAGGCATCAATAAAAACAAGATTGATAAACTTGCAAAAGATTTATTAAGAGAGCTCGACCTTGTAAAATATACTGATTATACAGCTGGAACACTCAGTGGAGGTAATAAACGAAAACTGCAGGTCGCGATCGCGTTAATAGGGAACCCTACAGTTGTATTTTTAGATGAGCCTTCAGCAGGAATGGACCCTGAGACACGTAAAAAGCTATGGAGCGTTTTAGGAGATATCAAAAAACGTGACTCAGCCGTTGTTTTGACTACTCACTCTATGGAAGAAGCTGAAGCGCTTAGTGATAGGCTTGCCATTATGGTTGGAGGAAGACTTAGATGTATTGGAACTTCAACTTATCTGAGAAATAAATTCGGCCAAGGCTATGAACTTGAAGTAAAACTGTCAATTCCTAAGCCAAAACATGTACAAAAACGCAGTGCTGATTTAAATCCGGTACTAGGAGATGAGATAATTATAAAAGAAGATAAGGTTAAAGCTTGCCTAGAAGAGCTAGGATGGTTAGATTAGACTATTAAAGACATGTGCTAGCCATATTGTTCCAGTCACAAAAAGACCTCTCTATAAAGGCTCTACTGCCTGTCAACTCCAGCTCAGAGGGTCTAACCCAGAAAAGGGTGCCTCTTTCGGTACTTCTGTCTCCTCGTTTACTTGCTGCTTCAGTCTTGAGTGGGCGGTTTATGGATTTCTGCGGGTCCTTGACGGCAGTTGTAGTAGCTTGACTCCAAGAATCAGTTCCTCAGAGTCTGCTAGGTATCGAAGTGCCTTCCTTTGACAGCTACAGGAAAAAGACTGTTCCTCTGTGGTCTGGACCAATACCCCAGTTTCTCGGTAGAGATATGCCCATAGGTCCTTTGATCCAAATGACGTTGCTGGAACCTCCATTCCAATCACAGGAAGGCAGTCAAAACCTACCGGATACACAATACTTAAGGCTGCACTTCTTACTCGACTCGGAGTCCGTCCCATCGTCGTATCCATAAGGTCGGGACCGTTGCGCCTGACACATTCGCCATTTTAATATACATAGAAAAGCTAGGAAGCGATGAATTATATGAAGAAATTTCTGAAAAAGGTTCGGGATCTGGACTATTTCAACAGATGTCGACTGATGGATATATATCAAGAGAAGCATTAGTGTCTTGGATTATTGTAGAAAACAGAGGTGATAATATAATGAAATGACTAAAATCAGAATTTTCAGATGTGTCAATGATTGAGCATTATATGACGCTGTATAAGTTTAAGATAGGTAAGCAAGAAGATAAAACTATTGGATATCTGTTTAGCTCTGTGGAGAAGAAAAAGAAAGAACTTAAGATATCAGAATATGCACTGAGTCAGACTTCTCTTGATCAGATATTTACTAATTTTGCAATGATGGGGGAAATTGAAAAAGCAGGACTAAAAAAGAGAAGGACGGCTATCCCATTTACTGAGGAGGAAATTGAAAGACCTTAATTAATCATGTTTTAAGATATAATCAAATTGTATTTTCCTATAATAAGCTATAGGGAATTTCTATGAATTGACCTATAAGGGTAAGAAAATGGAGAGAAACTCTCCAGTTGGCTGGGCCAACTCAGGTTGATCAAATCAACTGGAGGGTTGCCAAATGAACCTTCTCAGCTGTTTTACCAGCTTGAAATGGTCCAACTAAGACAAAGTTTTCCCTCTCCAATTTCTTGCCTTTGCGAGGCAATTCATAAATGGAGTATATAAAATTTTATAATAATTTTAGGCTATTTTAAAACTTAATTTATTTTAAATAAATTTACACACTTCTACTCCTACTCCTACTCCTCTTGTGATGATGCTTCCTTTTATGCTTATGTTTCCTATGCTTTTTCTTTTCCTTCGAAACACTATACTCCCCGCAATTTACAATGGTAACCGGAATCAAAGGTTTATCATACGCATCAGTCTGCATTCTTTCGATTTCTCTACAAATCTCCATCCCTTCAATAACTTGTCCAAAAACCACATGTCTACCATCTAGATGTCTGCATTCTTTTAATGTAATAAAAAATTGTGACCCATTCGTGTTTCTTCCCATATTTGCCATAGACAAAATTCCAGGCTTGTTGTGTTTTAATCGGAAATTTTCGTCTTCAAACTTAGGTCCATAAATAGAGAGTCCACCAGTCCCATCACTTTTTGTGAAATCGCCGCCTTGGAGCATAAAGTTTCGAATTACTCTATGAAAGATGCTTCCTTTATAAGAAAGATTTACACCTTTAGGACTTCTTTTGTCGCCTATGCAGAGCTGTCTGAAGTTTTCACATGTTTTAGGAACGTCTTCGTAGAAGAGCTCAATTATAAGTTTGCCTGCATCTCTTTCGCCGATTCTTAAGTCTAAAAATACCTTTGGGAATTCTTCCATTTATTAGCTTTACGTTTTTTAATATGAAAGCTCATTGATATGAAAAACAGTTGATGATAATTATATAAAATTAGCAAAAATTTTCTCTATATATAATTTTCAGCAGTTTTGTCACGAATTCTTGTGGTTATATGCATTTATATTGCTTATAGACAGAAGCTTTAATCACATAAATAAGGCATTAAGAATATAAACCTAATAGTATAAAACATTAATACTTCTGCAATTTTCTTTGAATTCCATTTATATCAGCATGGCTTCTCTTGGGTGTTTTCGAAAACTGTCTTACCTATTGTTTCTTACTTTTTAAGTTCTTAAACCAATTGATACATCTAATTCAGAATAATCTAGTCAGTGGCCTATATATCAGCCGCTATTAGGCGAATTCATTTAATCTTAACTCTTGTTTGCTAATTATTAAAATAATTTTTATATATTAGTTACTTATTTAACTTTAAGTTTTCGACTAAAATAAGATACAGCAGCAGCCTTTTTCTTGATTTGTTTCATTGCTATTTTTGCTATCAGGCTGGGCTATAGACATTTTCAACGGAGCTTTATAGTGCTCTGCTTCTGGCTTGTTGTCTCTTTCTGTTGGCTCCGTTACTTCAGTGGCCTCATTTGCTTCTTTTTCATCAACAATTGGAGTCGCGTTTGGCTGGACAAGAATTTTTTCGCTAATGTTAGGTAAAAACAGTTCTTTGTCTGCACGAGAATCATGCTCTTCGATGTTTTTCTTTTCGTTCTCTATTTCTCAGTAAGGAAACGAAGAAATGGCTTGTTTTATTTTATCTTGGAGAGAAAAGATTGTTTGACTGTGTGTTCTTACATTATTCTATGGTAGAAAATTAAAATTTTAAGCCATTTTTAGATATTTTTATTATTTTTAAAAATATTTATTGAAAGTTAGAGCAATTTCAGGCTCTTCCATTTAATCCAACAACAATTAATCGAAATTACTTTAACATTAGAAATGGTTAAAACACGCAAAATTATAGTCAAATGAAATTTTCTTTATTGAAATAGATTGTCCTAATCTTGGATTTAGTCTTTATTCTTAAATGAAGCTTTTTAAAATTATGATTTATTTAATCGATTATTCAATGCTGAACGTTACTGAAAATTCACACCCCATAGTTCAACTAGATTAAATTTTTAAGTTTTAATTTTAAACGATTGAAAGAATAAAATCTAAAAAATTCTATAGGTGAAATTTAGATGCTTTTGAGAAGTATAAATGCGCGGCTTCTAATTTATCTTTGCTTATCATCTAATTGTTTTATCTTCAACAATAAACCTACATATTACTTTTAAGATTCACTTATCTTAGACTTTTGATGTTAAATTAGATTAAACATATATAATTTCATTATAAGCTATTTAAACTTTTACCTTAATATCTCTTTTAATAAATTATTTCTATATTTAATTTCGAGTATCTTTAACCTACATCCATATTCAAATTTTATTTATTTCAAAAATCATCATTGCATTTCGCAGAATAAACTTAAAATAATTTAAGCAATTATCCTTAATAATGCTAATCTTTATGGTACCTAATAAATATCAATTTTCACTTATCTTAAAAATAAGGCATATTTATCTTAAAGATCTTGAATAGTTAATATTAATTCCATGAAACTGGGTTACTAGGCTTATTAATTAAATATGGCGTCTCAACTTGAGTCTGGCCTCTCGGCCAGACAGTTTCGAGCCCTATTTAATTATATGCGGCAAGGTTTTGCCTAGCTAGAGATGGACAGCAATATCAGGTAAGCAATTCTGGCAGTGTACAGAGCCTGATCCTAGTCCGTTCTCAGGTTAGGATTTTACCTCGAGGGAAAAGGAGGCTTGGAGTTGGAAAGGGGAAGCCCAGCAGTGCCTACAGGTAATTCCTAGGCCATTCGGGCAAGTCCCTAGCGAGAAACCGGGAGTTTCGCCCCGGGCTACAAGTTTTCCTTTTTGCCGAAAGTCGGCCAGAAATTCCATTTTTTTGGAATTCCTAGCAGGCAACCTTCGTTACAGAGAAAGTAGCTCATTCATGAGCCGTCGAAGCCGGAACATCGCGCAGGAGGCGCACGTTGGAGATCAAAGCTAGCTGTCCCAGCAACTAGTGGGGCCCCGAGCGACGAGAGCGTGGTGGTAGTCCTGGAAGAGCAACCCCGTAGGAGAAGTTAAACGTCATGGTTAATAAGTTAAGTTAAGGTTACTAGGCTTATTAACAAGTTCAAAGTGAACAACTCTATTCTTCTAGAAGAGCCATCAGCCCCCCTAATGAGTACCTCTATCCCTGGGCCTAAAGCCAAAGAACTCCTCTGCACCCAAAGTACATTTTCCCAAGATTTTCGCACTGTAATCCATAATCAGATAAAATTCATCGTAGACCTCAGCAAGTCAATAGGAAATTACGCAGTCGACGTCGACGGAAATATTATTCTTGACACTTACTGCCACATAGCTTCCCTTCCTCTCGGCTACAATCATCCAGACATGATTTATGTAATTTTCATTCAGAACATTCAGTCAGGAGAGTACCAAAAATACTTAGCCCAAAGACAGTCAGCAGACCTCCCAGACATCCACTGGCCTAGAATGGTCAGAGATATTTTATTGCCAATTGCCCCAAAAAATCTTAATGAAGTCATCGTAAACTGTGGGTGCGGGTCGAATTCCAATGAAGAAGCCTATAAGATTGCCTTTAGTTATTATATGAAAAACAAGCGAGGAGGCGCTCAGCCAAGTGAAAAAGAGATTGAGCTGGCTATGAATAATCAAGGAGAGCAATTGACAATCCTTTCTTTTGCCAGCGCATTCCATGGAAGGAATTTGGCATCACAGTCAACTACTCATAGCAAGCCAATTAACAAAATAGGACAGCCAAGATTGGACTGGCCTAAAGCTCCTTTTCCAGAAATTAAGCACCCTTATCATTTAAATGAAAGCCACAATATTAGAGAAGAGAAAAGATGTCTGGCTGAGGTAGAAAAAGTATTTAAAGCAGCTAAAAATCCGATTGCAGGAGTAATTATTGAGCCAATTCTGGCAGAAGGAGGCGATAAGTCAGCATCTCCTAACTTTTATATAGGTGTACAAGAAATTGCGCATAAATATGGAGCTTTGTTTATTGTTGATGAAGTCCAGACTGGTGGAGGACCGACCGGAAGATTTTGGGGCCATGAACATTGGGGTGGAAGAGCTGATCCTGACATCGTCACTTTTGCAAAGAAATTGCAGGTTTCTGGACTATTTTATAAGCAACATTTAAGACCTGGACGAGCTTATGCATTATACAACTCAACCAGAGGAGACCCAGTCAGATTGCTCAATTTAAGAAAAATTAGAGAAGTCATGGACAATGATAATTTGTTAAGACAAACAGAACGCACTGGAATGCTACTAAAGAACTCCCTTTCAGCTTTGTCTCAAAAGTACCCAATTTCTAATATTAGAGGCTATGGGACCTTTTTAGCTTACGATTTCATATCTCCTGAATGGGCGAATGCATTTGTAAAAGAAATGCTAGAGCTTGGAGTCGCTGTTGGCACCTGTGGCACCCATAGCATAAGAGTAAGACCGAGTTTAATCTTCAAGCCAAAGCACGCAGAGATTTACTTAGACCGAGCAGAGTTTGCAATAAACCAGATCCTGTCTAAAGGATTTAAGTTAGCTAAAGTTTAGCATATTTGATTAAAAATGAGGCTGTTAATTTTAATCGTTAGTGTATGTTTTGCAGAATTCACTGACACATTAACCAAGGAAAACCAAAATTTACTAGAATCCAATCGATATTTACATTCTCAGCTTATCCAGCTAGCCCAAAAGGTGAATTTTACTACGCAAATCCAAGATGACTATTTTTATAACAAACAAATGATGCTGTCTTTAATAGGAGAATATGAAATGGAAGCTGACGAAATCGTTAGGACTGCTATTGCTGAACAAATGCTTGTATATACTCAAGGGTTATTTGAAGATGCCAATTTATTAGGAGGACATATAGAGGGTGTTTCCAGCAAAGAATTAATTGAAATCCACCATTTCCTGAAAACAAGCATAGAGAATATTAAAAAAATCCAAAGGGCTCAAAAATTCGGGACTGTTTATAATGAGTTAAAAAGCATTGTTTTGGAAAAAGATATAAATGTCAGAGATTTACAAACTGAAAATGCTCAAATCAATGCAGAAATACAAAAGAAAAATGGAGAACTAGAAGAAGTGAAAAGTCTTTACAGCCATAATAAACAAAGAATTGGTCTGCTAAGGGAAGAGCTAGAAATGACGAAAAAAGACCATGAAGATTGGCTAAATTCGCTTAAATCGATATCACAAAGTGAGCAGCAGCAATCCCGAGCTAAAGAGCGCAAAAAATTTAAGTTGTATCAAGAATTACAAGATTAGATTAGAGGCAGCAATTTTTAAGACCCCACTTCCTATACACCATGCAGTCCACACCAAAAATTGTGGAGTGGCAACAACAAGACTTCAAAGCTGGGGCCGAAGCTTCTAGCTTCTCTGTAATGAGCAACCTTTTGATCCGTCCTATGGATTTTGCCATTAACACCATTTCCAACTCCGAAGCCACTATTAGTTAACCCTGCTTAGTTCTGCCAAGATCGCCCCTTTCCGCGACCCTTTTAGACTGGAAAGGATAGCTCTAAAACATTGTCTTCCTGTCTTCACCTTTTCCCCTGAATCAGCTCCAAAGAAAAAACTCAAGAGGCTTGCTCCCATTCCCATTAGGGACAGGCCACAAAGTAGCATAGATAGGAAAGCCGCCCTGCATCTGTCGTACATCTTCAAGACCTGGGCGCTTCTAGCAAAAAACTGCTACTCAGGTCAATCCACTAATCAGCGGAAATAGTGCTGAGCCTCCCACTTCGAGGCTAGCTCAACCCACAGGCAGCTCCTCGTGCCAAAAAATGACATCCGGATATACACAAGGGCATCCGCCACTGAGTGGGCAGGCCGCCTTCACCAGCCATTTTATGAATAAGAATTACAAGATAAAATCATTTCCAGCTTACAAACTAAAATTGCTGAACAAAGCATCAAAATCCAAGAGCTTTCCTCTGAAAAAGCAGCAATGACTTCTCGATCTCGTTTACTAACTCCCCCCCCCCCTCCGTGAGCGAACAAAATCATTAGAAAAATCGCCATTTTTTGACCAAAAAAACCCACCCTCCGTGAGTGAACAAAAATTTTTTTTAATAGAAAAAATTTTAATGGAAAAAAATTTTGATATATAAGTGATAATTAGTATAATGAAATCTAGAGCTAATTCTGTTTAATTTTAAACAAATTGCGTTTTTAAAACATAAATTTTGCAAATTAAATTAATATTTGCTTCCCAATTTTTGCAAATTAGGATTTTTTTAAATTTCGAAAAAAAATATTTTTTATAAAATTTATATATAAATTTTTTTTAAAAAAAAAAATTAACCCCCCTCCGTGAGCGAACAAAATTTTTTTGTTCGCTCACGGAGGGGGGGGGGGGAGTAAGCAACACAGTAGATCGGCTTCATTCTGACCTAGAACTAAAATCTTCTCACTCCCCCCCTTTAAATTGGAACTAAAAATTTTGTTCCAATTTAAAGGGGGGGGTTAATTTTTTTTTAAAAAAAAATATCAATATAAAATTTTTTATAAAAAATATAAAAATTTAAAAAAAAAAATTTCAAAAACTTATCGAAGTAGATCAATAAATTTGTTTAATAAAACGCTATTTACTCTTTATCCTTTAAAACAAAGCAAGATATATAACTAAATTTTCATTATTAGCTAATACGCCACTATTAATTGGTATCAAAATTATTTACACAAAAAATTTTATTTTTTATTGATAAAAAAAATTAAAAAAAAAAAAAATTTTGGAAAAATTTATCGATCAAAGTGCTAATTTTGTTTAAATAAGATGTTATTTATACTCTATTCTTTAAAATAAAGCAAGAATTAAGTAAATTTTGAAATTTTATAAAGAATTCCTATTGAATTTATATTAAAACTATCCAAATAAAAAATATCATTTTTATCAAAAAAAAAAAAAAAAAATTTTTTTGAAAATTTTTAAAAAAAAAAAATTAATTTTTTTTTAAAATTTACCAATTAAGGATAATAAATTTATTTAAATAAGATGCTCTTTATACTTTTTTCTTTAAAAAAGAGCAAGATATAAATAAAATTTTTAATTTTAGTTAAGAAGAAACATTTAACTTATATCAAAACTTTTTAGATAAAAATTTATATATAATTTTTTATTATAAAATGAAATTTTGTTCCAATTTAAAGGGGGGTTAATTTACAAAAAAGTGGAAATTTTACCGATATTTTGTTCCAATTTAAAGGGGGGGGGAGTCAGTTGCAATCTGCTCAGCTGAAATTTGACGAATTTCGTGAACAAGTTTCTTTAGACAGTGACATTGAAATAGCAAGCATTGAAGAAAATGAGCGACAAGTGAAATCTCAGCTGAGAGAACTGAAGTCTAAACATACTGAGCTCTTAGTAACTTTAACGTCTCTTCAGAAAGAAAAAGAATCAACTGTCTTTTTAATTGGCCAGTTTGATAACTATATTAGTGAGCTTGAACTTGAAGTAGCAGAATCAGCAAATAGAGAAGATTTAGCAGTGAAATTCAGAGATTTAGAAATAAAGCAAGAGGAAAATAAAGTTCAGGACTCATTTTTGATAAGAGATGAGGTGGGGAAAGAACTACAGATTTTGCTTCAAAAAATTGATTCTGAAGCGAAATCAATACAGGAAATACAAGATAAGCTGCATGCTTTTGGGTATAGAGAGGAGGCTCCAAGTAAAACAGTGACGACGTTTTCCAAAAAATTTCTTTTTTCAGATTAGTGTAAATTAAGCATTTTAAGTATCTTTAGAAAGTGATTTAAGCTTGCTGTCAATTATAATTGGAAAAGTTGGAGTTGCTAAGCTGAGCATCTGCAAATTATTTGGGGAAAAATGAGAAGCTAATAGGTTTTCAGGCAAAGATTCATTTTTAAAATATTGAGGATAATCGGAAATCACTATATAGAAAATACGTTGGATTATATTTTGTTTGCTATAAGAATATTGCATGGATAAGTTGTTTGCCTCTTCACAATCAAACATAGGAATTTCCAATGATATTTCCATTTCAGAATTCAGAGTAGAGATCTTCGATAAATCCCTTTTGACAGGTAGGCCTCTTTTATTTAATAAAATTGTTTTAAGCCCTACAAGTGCGCCTAAAGAAAAAGCGTCTCCTTTGGCAAGCTGTGATATCATTTCGTGGGAAATTTTATCTCTTTTGGAGATTTCGATAAGCAAGTTTGCAGTTTTTATGTCGATATTTATGTTGATTTTTTTAGAGTTTTGTGTGAAATAGAGTGTGTATAATACATATAAAGCTTTTATTTCGAAATCTGGATGCTTCATATAATCTAAATATATTTTACTGATTTCCCTTGATTAGCGAGTAAAACATTAGAAAAATCCTATTATGTAAATTAGCATCGTTATAGGGGAAAAATAGTTTTAAATATACTTGTTTGCTGTAAATAGCTCTGCTGAGAGCGCTTTTTAGGCTTACAAAGAAAGCTTTGAGACATAAAAGCAGTATTTGCTTTGTGCATAGAGCAAATATCATTAAGGCGCAAATGAGAGTGCAGGATCGATTTTTAACCGCGAAAAATATTTATTAGCTAATTTTTTGCTTTGCTAGCAATTTAATTTTATCTTCGTTCAAATTCTCTTGTTTGGTTAATTGAAGATTTACTATGCAAACAAGCAAGCCAATGAGCCCAAGCGGGAGGAATTTGAATGAAGATAAAATTACTTTGTCAACAAAAGTAAATAATTTTTTTCGCAGTTAAAATCGATCCTAAACTATCACTTCACCTTAATAGTTATTGCTATATGCACAAAACGAGAACTTCTTTTATGTATCAAAGCTTTCTTGGTTGATCTAAAAAGTGCCCCTAGCAGAACTATTTACAGTAAACTAGTATATTAAATTTTGTCGTTTGAATCTATTAAAAATAGATTTGATAAATTATATTAGACTTTTTTCACTTATATTTCGTTATAATATAAAATTTAAAAAAAGTCAACCTCTCTTATTAGCGAGCAGAAAAATTTGCTCTATAGCCTAGGAGATGGAGTGAATAAAATTCCTCAAATAATTTGGTAGAATTCTGATTTATTTTCTTTTGGATTCAAAGAGTGATGAATTAGACTCAAATTGTTTGCTTTTCAATATTCTTTGAAGTTTTGAAATGAACTAAAGTCACCTTGATTTAAAATTATCTGTAAATCTTCAACTAATGCTAGTTCCCTATCTTGAAGAAGGCAACATGGAGAATGCTCAGATTCAAGAATATCTGAAAATTCCATTTATTTATATCTAATTATTTCCAAAATCCCACCAAAGTCTAAATTAAAGAAGTAAAGAAATTAAAAGTATCATTGCTCATCAAAATAATTTAACTAAAAGATATAAAAAATAATTAATAATATTAAATTTGAGTAATATTTCAGCCTAATTTATTACTCAGCAAGCTATATATTTAATTTCTTAATATCAAAATTTGTATGCTAAGCATTTGATAATCTATTTAATAACGAATTTCTCTTGAGCAGCAGAGGAGGTGAACTTATTGGAGTAAACTCATTATTTGCATAATCATTACAAAGAGAATCAATTCTATGGAAAAGAATTGGACTCACATAAACAGTAGAATCTTTTTTATTCTCTGCACCTTCACTTTCACTTCTAATTGGCTCTTCAATTATGGTGGAAAGCACTGAGTCTAGTTTCTCTAAAACTGGAATTTCAGGTAAAGGCTTGGTTTTACATTTTCTCGCTTTCTTTACGATAATCTTTTCTTTATTTTTATATGCTTTATATACACGCATAATTTCTTTATTTTCAGTAAGTTCCTTGATAAGTTTTGAGCTATCTGAATGATAAGGCGGTGACAATGATAAAATATCGTCTACATAAAAATTGTAGTCGATGATTGAGGGACTTTTGGAAGCTAAAATTGGTCTACTTAGCTCTCTAAATCTTTTATTTATGTCTTTTGAGACCACTTCTAAGGTGACATTGTATTTATTTACAAACTTTTCGTAATTTTTTTGGAAATTGTCTATTTTCCCACTTAAGAAGGCTTCGTATGGCCTTATATCATCATTCAGATATGATTTGGCTGCAAAAGCAGCATAGCATATCAGAAAGTGGAGCGAAGGCTCATTGTCAGCCCATCCTATTTTTTCAAGATAAATCGCCCATAGGGCTGTTTCAATTTCGTTGAGATCAAGATCTTGCATGGTCCCCAGCAAAAGTCTAAGAAGCGGCTGACATCTTCTGTCTGATGGGACTGCAGGATGCTGAACAATTCTTCTTACTCTAATAAAAATTTAAAATTGACAAAATTTTTAATTAAATTTAAAAAAAAACAAAAAATTAATATTTAAGAGAAAAAGATAGAATTAATTGACTTGTCTGAGACATACCAAACTGGATAAACTCCCTGTGCATATCATCATATTGATTAATGTTAGTTTTTGCATCTTCCACTTCTTCTGTGTTAGAACACACGTCATCTTCTCTCTTTATTTTTTTCACTGGACCTTTAGGTGGACGGCCTCTGTTACGTTTTGATGGATCATTACTAAATTCTGCTGGAAACATTTATTAGAGATCTGACTAAATCTAAACTTATAAACTCAAGAGAAAATATAAGAGAAATACAATTGAAAAATTATATAAATTTCTTTATATTCTTTTCTATGCTTTTTTATAAAATAAAGAAACAGACACATTTTATATTAATTCAATTGGCATATTTTTATATCTAATAATCAAATATAATGGAAATCGATAATCTATTAACCTCAATTTCTCAAGCTCGTCGAAAGTTTGAAAGAAATAAACGAGTTAGAGATTGCTCTGCATGTTCTACCCCTGTAGACCAGCTAATTCCTCCATCTCCCACTATTTCTCGCCATGATTCCTCAGTCTACTCAACTTACACCCCAAAAAGACCTGATTCGGAGTCAAAAAATTTAAAACTTCCTCAAAATTGTGAGGAATTGATAAAGGAATTCAGCACATGAAAGCACCCATTGCCCAAGCCCAAAGCCAAAGTAAGAAGCTACAAACTTGATGCAGCTTCCCTAATAGCTAACTGAATTAAAAGAAATATTAGTAAAAGACTGTGGCTATTCAAAAGAATTTGTGATGGAGATCTGACAGTAGAAATTGAAGAAAAAGGCGAATGAAAAGACGTGTACAGGTTTTATAATAAGCATTATAAGCCAAAAAGAGAGGATATTGAAGAGAGAGGATTTTATTTCCCAAGAGACCGAAAGCTGCTTCATAGGAAAAACAGCTCATTTAGCACAGGAAGATCGAGAAGCCCTTACTTGCAAAATCAAATTAATCATGAAATATACATAAGGAAAGTAGATGCTGTGTTTAAGCTTGTAAATTGTATGTCAGCAAATTTAATTACACAAGTAATTCATCCTGTTGTGCAGCATATACAAGTAGCTACAATTATTCAAAATGCAGTTGATGTAATGAATAAGCATTATTTATCAAAAGCAGAAAAATTCTTTAATCTTGCCAAAATGAAGGCTTATATGCTAAAACTAATTGAAGATAAATTAAAAGCAGAAGAACTCGCTAGCGCAAAGCCAAAAATTGTAGAAGTTACTGATAGCGAAACGTCACCAGTCAGCATTAAAGAAAATGATATCAAGTCTGTACTTGATAGCATACAAAATGTAAGAAATAGATTAAAAAGCAAAAAGAAAGAAACTGAGCCTGTGGATTTGAGAAGAAAATATAGTATTGATAATGTAAAACCAATTGTTCACAGTAAAACAAGCAGTACTACAGTAAAAACCGCCATGAATTTTGCAGAAGGAAATGAGGGAAAAATAATAGAAGAAGCAAAAGAAAATAAGAAAAGGAGATTTACTGTTGAAAATGAAAAAATAGGGGAAAAGAAAAGAGATGGCCTTAATTTTGAAAAAGATTGGTTTTTAAAGAAATCGAAATGTGCTGAAAAACTTTTTTCAAAAAATTACTCTGAGGGAAGAGTGGTGTCAGAAGATCTCTCAAACCCAGGAAAATCAGAAGATTCTCCTACTGATGTTTTGGCGAATGAAAAAAATGTGGTTAATTATCAGCTAGGTGATAGAGATGAGATTATTCCTTCTGAAGCACAAAAAGTCTTAATTTATGATGAATTTCCAAGTTTTTCTGAAAAATACCCTTATGATGATAAGCTAAATAAAATTGAAAAAGAAAGCCAAGAAAAAGAAATAGAAAATAAAGATAGAAAAGAGCCTAAGATGTTTGATATGAAAAACATAAAAGAAAGTTTAATAAATGCCAATGAAAAGCCAAGCATTAATAAATTGCCAGAGAGCTTCCAAAACAAAATTGAAAATGAAAAAGACTTTATAATTGGTAGGCCAAGCCAAAATAAAAGTACTAAAGCAAGCTATTTTCCTCAAAAATTTCCACCATCATTATATGCTAAAAATGCAGAAGGGGAAGAAATTCCGAAGCCTACAGAGCCAAAATCTAATGATTTACAATCTGTAAAGCCTAAATCTAGAGTTTCAAGCGATTTTGAAGAGTTAAAGGAACAAAATAAAGTAAAACTAAATGAAAAATCTGAGCTTTCTGAAGAAATTAATGAAGATCCTAAAAATAGGCAAGCGGATTATAGACCCGAAAGACAAAAATATTTTGATCCAAAGACAAAAGATGAGCAAGATATTATCAGCAAATATTTAAACAAAAGAATAAAAAAAAGTAATGAGGATGATCCTATTGAAGAAAATATAATTGAAGGGATTGATTTAAAGAAAGAAAAGCCAGTAGTGTCTGTAAAATACCAGCAAGAAGCATTAAACAAAAAAATAAAAATTGAGCCTGAAGAAAACTTTGAAGATAGACCGAAAATATCCAAATTGAGGACAAATCTAGAAAAAGGACAAGCAAAAACCAATTTGACGAGCAATGAAGATGAAATTGGAAAGCAAACTTTGAAATTTACCTTAGAGCCAATAAAATCTGCGGAGGTTGAAATTGGAAAGCAGACGTCAAAAACTGATGCAATGCCAGCGAAATTGACAGATAGAATATCATACCGCCTACCTGATAAAAATAAATCAGAATTTGAAATAAAAAGAGACGATCCTTTGTTGATACCCCGTGGGCCAAAATCATCTAGCATAAGTGAAGTAAAGGAAGAAGACATCAGGAAAGATTCTCCTGTTATTCCACAGGAGCAATCAAGCAGTCAAAATTTACGATCTCATTCTTCAAAATCAAACATTGAAATTAAAGAGGATTCGAACAAATTTAATAATCAAGCAATAAAAAGTAAAGTAGATGAAAGTGAATCCAATATAAGAAAGGCCGCTCCTTTTTCAGGTATATCTGACAGTAAAAATAAGGATACTGAGAAAATTGAGATGGAGCCTTATAAATTGAGAGATTAGATTAGCTTAAATTATAGCAGGTCAATAGGAATTTATTCTATTCCTCTCCTTCCAACCACCGGCTTAAAGATCAAGTAGCTAACCCAACCATACTCTCCGACTCTCTTAGACCTGTTAGTGCTTAGGGCACGAATGAAAAGCCCTGCCTCCATCTTGACGATCTTGCGTCGATCGGGTATCAAATTACTACTCAGAAGTTCTAGTCGACTTTGCACCTTTGGTTTGATCATCTGTGGGACAAGTAAAAAGCCTGTCCGGTGGCCTGACCAGGCAAAAATCTACCCTGGACCTTCCAAAAGAATTACCTGAGACTCCAGTCACCCAGGCCTTAACTCTTCTCACCATCTTTAAAAAGTATAAATTGAAAGAATCTTCGATCAAACCGGCTTGGATTGAATCAGATAGAGAGAAATTTAATCCAAATAAAAAAGAAGTCGAAGAAAAAAATAAGCTGCCTATTCGACAAAAAAATACTTTTGGGTTAGAAAGTTACAGGGAAGAGGAGATATACAAATCCACCCCAATTAGTCAAAAACAGATGTTAAATACACAGGCTGAAGAATCAAGGATAAATAAAGATATGCCAAAAGAAATATTTTCTCAAAACAATTTACTTGAAGAATATGTACCTGGCGCAAATTTGACAAAAGAAATAATAGGCTCCTCAAATGAATTAGATGCAGAAAGCAGACATTTCTTGGGAGATCCTAAAAATCAAGCAATTGAAGAAGAAATTCAAGAGCCAGAGTCTACTTATTCAGGAAAGCCTCTGATTAAAAAACAGCTAAAAGCTCAAAGAACATCAAAACAATCTTCACAGTTAAATGATCAAATTCAAGAAGAAGCAAAATTATTACCAAAAAAAGAAGAGTCATTCAAAGGTGACAGTGAGCCTGCTCTTACTAACTGCCCCCTTTAAATTGGAGCAAAGTATAGGTAAAATTAATTGAATTATTGAATGCTTTTTGAAAATTAAAAAAAAAATTTACAATAGGTAAATTTTATTGGTAAAAATACCTAATTTTATATAAAATTAGCTTGGACCTAGTTATAGAAAAAATAAATTATATAGCCCAGGAGCGATTTTTGATCACCCTGGGCTAGGATAAGGCTCAGAAACTCCCCGAGTTAGTTTTTCAACTCGAGCTGACAAACCAACTCGGGGAGTTGGCAAATACCTTATATAAGAGGCATTTATCAACTCCCCTAGTTGGTTTGTCAACTTGAGTTGAAAAATCAACTCGGGGGGAGTTTCTGACCCTTATCATAGCCCAGGACGATCAAAAATCGCTCCTGGGCTATATAAGATTTTAAAACAAAAATTAACCCCTTTTAATTGGAGCAGGATTTTTTTTTCCGATTTAAAGGGAGAGTAAAGAAGATAAAATCAAAATTCAAGAAAAATCATTAGAGAAAGCCTCTGAAATACCAAGCAAAACCGCTTTAAATCCATCCAAAGGCAAATCTCTAGGAAAAGAAGCATTGTTTTATCCTTTAAAACCAAGCAGCTCAAATATCACAACTGTAAAAGACAAAAGAGGAGAAGAAGAGCCAGACCAAATCATATTGAAACGTTCAGAGAGCAAAAAATTGTCTAATTCTTCAAAGTCAAGTGGCTCCTATAAAACTAATGATTAGATCAGATTAGATCAAGATTATAGGAAGTAGTGGAGGATTATTTCAGCTTCTATCTGTCCTGGTCAAGGTTGCCCTAAGGCATCGGCGGCCACATAACGCCATTTTCCTGTTGTAGTCATCTGTCTCTCAGGGACTCACCTGACCTAGTTTGGGTCTTACCTCACGGCCATGGACTCTTTAAACCTGTGTTAGTGTTCAGGATATATTTTACCGCCTAAAGCCTCCTTCGAGGACTACACACACCTTATATAGGCAAATATTGCCTCTTTAGAAGCATGAGCTGGCACTGAATCTTTGATTTCTCATCTCTGGGCCGAGGAAAAAATCCACCATAGAGTCTTGATCAAGTAAAAACCTACCAGACTTCCTAAAATAATGGGATTCGCTTACCTGGGGCTGGGATCAACTTGCCGATCGCCCTAGACCAATAATCAGCACACCATCTTTTAAAAAGTGCAAAACCAATGAAGATCTAAGTAATGTACGAGAGAAGTTGAATAGAGAAAAAATAAATGAAAAGATGACTGATGAGAGAAAAGAATCCCCTATCTTTCAAAAAGATAATTTTGAGTATCAAAGTTATAGTGATGAGCTGCTACAGGCAGCTCAAAAAGAAGCACAAAATAAAAATAGTGAGAGGCTAAATCAATATGAGGATAACCCAAAAATGAAATTTACTCCAAAAAATATTCTTCAGCAAAATATTGATCCAGCCTATACGAATGCGCTAACAGAAACTCCTGGTTATTTTATTTATGAAAATTTAGAAACGCCTGAAAAGCAAACATTAGAAGAAATTAAAGAACCAGAACTTATTCATTCTGAAAAAAATATAACTCAAAAAAATATTCTTCAGCAAAATATTGATTCAGCCTATAAGAATACGCCAACAGAAACTCCTGATTATTTTATTTATGAAAATTTAGAAGCGCCTGAAAAGCGAACATTAGAAGAAATTAAAGAACCAGAACTTATTCATTCTAAAAAAAATATAATTGAAACGCAAGTAAAAATTCAAAGCGCTTCACAGCAGCCCTCGCAGTTAATTGATCAAGATCAAAAAGATGCAGATTTAATAAACCTTGATAGCGATACATTTTTGCCAACGGACAAAATCTTGAAATCTTATGGTGCAGAAAAGCAAAAAGACTTTTTTGAGAAAACAAAAGTAGATCCTTATAGAATATATGAAAAAGCAGAACTATTAAAAGATGATAATAAATCTGCTTTTTTTAAAGAAGATAAATTTAATGCTCAAGAAGTTTCATTGGAAAATAGTCTTGAAACTAAAGAAAAAACTGCTGCAAATTCATTACTAGGTAAGTCTATTGAAGGAGAAATGACTATTTATTCTTCGAAATTAAGTAACCCAAGCAGAATAAATGAAAAAGAGAGGAAAGAAGAAGAAAAATCGCATCAGTTTGTATCAGAACAATCAGAGAGTCCAAATTTATCATTTCATTCTCACATATCTAGTGATTCAATTAATGCTCCTCAGAGATTGAAAGAAAATAAACTTGAGGAAATAAGCACAGCAAAATCTATATATCAGAATACCGAAAGAAAAATAGATTCAAAAGAAAATAATGTATACACAAATCCCACAAACGTTTTTTCAGAAATACGAGATATACAAGATAAAACAGTTGCTGAAATTGGTATTGAGCCAAATAATTTGAGTGAAGATCCATTAGTGCAAGGAGAAACAATCAAGCATAAATTAAATGAAAAAATAACTGATGAAATATATGAATCACCTGCATTTAAACAAAATGTGTCAGCGAGATTTAGCTATGAAGAAGATCAGGTAGAAAAATCGATTCCTACAATTAAAAATAAAGTTCAGAATATAAAAGATGAAGAGCTGAGCCAAATTAAAGATACCTCGAAGCAAGGAATTTATGATAATGCATTAATCCAACAAAATGCTGAGCTTTATGATACAACTTATAAGAATTTACAAACAGAAAATAAAAGCGCTGCAGTTGAAGAAAATAAATCCTCAGTTGAAGTATTGCAAGAGCAAACTTTTGAAGAAGAAATTAAGGACGCAGGATCTGCTGAACTTGGAAAAGTTATTACTAAAAAGCACCAAAAACCCCAAAGAACTGCAAAGCAATCCTCACAGTTAATAAGCCAAGAAGCAAAAGGCGCATATTCTAAGCAAGAAAAAACAGGAAAAGCTAAAGATAAAGATGAATTTTCTTTTATTGAAGAAGAGAAAAGTAGAATCCAAGATTTTGCTTTAATAGATTCTGCTGAATTATCAGAGAAAAGCGCTGTAGACTCATTAAAAGGCAAATCTCTAGAAACGGAGAAATTATTTGATCCTTTGAAATTGACTAGTTTAAGTGAAGAAAATAAAAAAGGAAAAGAAGATGAACCTATTCATCAATTAGATAGCAAAATTTCATCACATAGTCCTTCAAAATCCTACAGGCAAACTAAAGCTCTTGAAACATTAGAAGAAAAGAAAATTGAGGAAAATTTTGCTGAAATTTTTGACAATAAAAATAAAAAAACTACTAAAATTGATACAGATTCTATCAAAATGAGAGAAGATTCAATACAGTCTCTTTTAGTAGAGCCATCTAATGACCAACTAAATAAGGTTATAGAAAGTCCAATTTATCAGAAAAACATTTTGGAATTAGAGAAAGAAGTAGATGAGTCTATTTTGAAAAGTAAAAAACAAATAAAAGACATGAAAACTGAAGAGCTAAGGGAGAATAAAGATTCGCCAATAGATATTTTTTCTCAAGGCAATGCATTTCAGCAAAAACCAGAACTAGTCAAGCCTGAGGAAAGTTTAAAATCAGACACAATAAATTTATTGAGCTCAGGCAGTCTAGATTATTCAAAGGAGCCCCAGAAGCAAAGAATTGAAGAAGAAAATAAGGATTCAGAATCTACTCTATCTAAAGGATCTGTTGCTAAAAACCAACAAGAAACTCAAAGAAGCGAAGAGAAATCTCTACAGTTTGCAAGCCAAGAGCCGAAAGGTAGAGACTCTATTTACTTATCTCAAGATAAAAGACAAATACTCAAAGATAAAGGTGAATCTCGAGTTTATAAAGAAGATTATGTTGCTTCATTGCTTATAAATCAACCAAAAAACAAATCTATAGAAAAAGAGAAATCTGTGGATCCTTTAAACAGCAGCAGTTCGAGTGAAAAAAGTGAGAAAGGCGAAGAAGAAGCTCCTCATATAATGAAAAAACACTCAGACAGCGAAAGCTCAAGCTTGGATCTGGCAAATTCTAGTGAACAATTTGAAGATGCTGAAATATCAGAAGAAGAAAAAGTTGAGAATATAATAACAAAAACTGATGATTCAGAAAAACAAAGAATAGCTAGCTTCTTTATTATTATTATTATTTATTATTATTATTATTATTATTATTATTATTATTATTATTATTATTATTATTATTATTATTATTATTATTATTATTATTATTATTATTATTATTATTATTATTATTATTATTATTATTATTATTATTATTATTATTATTATTATTATTATTATTATTATTATTATTATTATTATTATTATTATTATTATTATTATTATTATTATTATTATTATTATTATTATTATATTATTATTATTATTATTATTATTATTATTATTATTATTATTATTATTATTATTATTATTATTATTATTATTATTATTATTATTATTATTATTATTATTATTATTATTATTATTATTATTATTATTATTATTATTATTATTATTATTATTATTATTATTATTATTATTATTATTATTATTATTATTATTATTATTATTATTATTATTATTATTATTATTATTATTATTATTATTATTATTATTATTATTATTATTATTATTATTATTATTATTATTATATTATTATTATTATTATTATTATTATTATTTATATATTATTATTATTATTATTATTATTATTATTATTATTATTATTATTATTATTATTATTATTATTATTATTATTATTATTATTATTATTATTATTATTATTATTATTATTATTATTATTATTATTATTATTATTATTATTATTATTATTATTATTATTATTATTATTATTATTATTATTATTATTATTATTATTATTATTATTATTATTATTATTATTATTATTATTATTATTATTATTATTATTATTATTATTATTATTATTATTTATTATTATTATTATTATTATTATTATTATTATTATTTATTATTATTATTATTATTATTATTATTATTATTATTATTATTATTATTATTATTATTATTATTATTATTATTATTATTATTATTATTATTATTATTATTATTATTATTATTATTATTATTATTATTATTATTATTATTATTATTATTATTATTATTATTATTATTATTATTATTATTATTATTATTATTATTATTATTATTATTATTATTATTATTATTATTATTATTATTATTATTATTATTATTATTATTATTATTATTATTATTATTATTATTATTATTATTATTATTATTATTATTATTATTATTATTATTATTATTATTATTATTATTATTATTATTATTATTATTATTATTATTATAAATTATATAAAGATTAGGGCTTTTTATGATTTTTTTTTAAATATTTATGAAAATCAAATTTAATTGGTATAATTTTGATAAAATAGATGGCATATTCCAAATGTCTATAGATATTAAATACCACGTTATAGAATAATTAGCAACAATAATTTGTGTATTAATTGAAGAGAGTAAGGAAAATGATATAACCATAAGGACTGCAAACCCATTTTCAGAAAGATTTGCTGATAAAGATAAGAATACTGATAAAGCTGATAAAAAGTCAAATGAATTGAGAGAGAGTAAAATGAAACCTTTATTAAAGGAAATATATAGTGATAAGTTTCAGCTAAATGAAAGGGAAACTTATGAAGAATCAGAAAAGCTTGCTCTTCAAGAATATATTTCGAATTTTAGAGAAGAGCAAAAAGATCAATCTATTTCAAAAAATCAAAATTCAGCAGGATATCAGCCGAATAAAAATTTGCCAATAGAAACATTTTATCAGAGCAAAGTATTTCAGCAAAATACTGAAATAAGCAAGTCTGATGAGAGTTTACCAGCGGAAGCAATAACTTCATTGAGCTCCAAAGAGCTGCACTCTTCAGAGATAACTAGAAAACAAGAAATTGAAGAAAATAATAAATCAGAACCTATTGAACCTGTAAATGTTTTTATTGAAAAAGCGAAAGAGCCTCAAATAAGTGGAAATCAATCCCCTCAATTCACAAGCAAAGAATCAAAAGAGACAGATTATGGTTCTCATTTCCAAGAAAGTGAAAAGTCAAAGCCTGCTCATTCTATTAGTGATATTATTGCAACAGAGAAAGAGCAAAAAAGTAAAGAGGAATTACTGCAATATCTAAACACAGAGAAAAAAGACACAGGCTCTATTTACTTTTCCCAATATAAAGATTCACAAGATAAAGGAGAAATATTCAAAGTTGAAAGCGAATATCCAGTGTTTCAAGAAGATAAAGCACAGATTGAAGATGTTGCCCCTGAAAAAGTTTTTGAATTATCTGGCTTAAACTTAGCCTATTATATGTTGGCGGCTTGCTTATAGGTAAAGCAGTTACCAAGGATCCCCGCAGGGGATTTCCACTTTGTGTTATCGCTAGGGAGAAGCTGATTGAATTGGGATGGTGAATTCGCCTGGCAAGTTAGCCCGAGCACCACTTTTCTTCTCCTTCAGTGCATGATGCTATGATGCTTCTGAAGTAGAGTTTTGTGACGATGTTTCTCCCTGATTTTTTGGCTTCAGTTTTTAGTAGGCTATGCAATTCTGTTGCATGCTGTTTGGTTGAACAAAGGTTGTTTACCCAAAAATAAAAACAAATGAAATTTCTAATCGACTCTTGGAAAAATAAGACAAATTTAAATCATCTGAGAGGCAATGTCTTTGCCATAATGGAATATTTATTTATAATTTGAATTATCAGACAAAAGTATTATAAATAAGCCAAAAAGCAAATTTATAGGGAGAGAGAGATCTGTAGATCCTTTAGACAGTAGCGGTTCGAGCGAAGTAGGTGAGAAAGATGAAGAAAAAACTCCTCAGGCGATGCAAAAGTATTCGGACAGCGATAGCTCAAGCTTGGATCAAGCAAATTCTTGTGATCAAATTGAAGATGCTGAAATATCAGAAGAAGAAAAGCTTGAGGATATAATTACAAAAACTGATCATTCAAAAATACAAAGATTAGCTAACTCCTTTCTATTTAAAAATAAAACTTTTAAAGCTTTTAATTTTCTAAGAGATAGCTGTAAAATTTTTAGATTTGCTTCAGCAAAATTTACAGATTAGTTTGTAATTAAAGCTTTTAAATATTTTTGAGTATAAATAATTTCCCTTGAAATATTTAGAAACATTATTTATAATTATAAACTTAGTTTTAAAGCTCAAATTTTCTTGAATTAACCTTCTCCCTATCAACTCAAATAAATTTATTTTTCTTTTCATTTTTCTCTTTATCCCAAAGATTCCAATTTTTCCTTCCTAATTTTGTTCCCTTGATCTTCAACCCCTCTTACCAACATTATTTGATCGTAATTTTTCCCTTCAGGCATCTCTTGGAAAGACATTAATTTTTGAATAGCATCTAACAAAAAGTTTCGAAAAAAGAGCTGAAGAAATATCTGCTGTGGTAATTTCAACTAAAGACGTGCTACGCTTTCATTATTAATTATATTAAATAAAATTAAAAATTTGAATATAAAATACTAAGTCAAACTTCATAATTATGGACAATATAATATTTAAAAAATAACCCCTTATTAATTGTTGGAGTGAGAAAAATATTTCTACTATAAGAACTGAAAATCCAATTTCAGAAATATTTGTTGATAAAGATAAGAATGTTACACTAGCTGATATGAGGTCTGGCAAATTGATAGAGAATCCAATGAAACATGAATCAGCTGAGCCCGCGACTGATCAATTAAAGCTTAGTTATAGTATATCTGATGAGGAAAAAGAAATAAGTGCTGCAGAATTAGAAAGTGTTAAAGACATTCAGAAAAGTCAACCCACTTCGGCAAATCAAACTCAAATAGATGTACAGCACAATCAAAATGCGCCAATAATAACACCTTCTCAAAGCAACGAATTTCAGACACTTTTTGAACCTGATAAGAATTCACCAACAGAAATTATAAAATCGTTGACCTCACAAAATTTGCCAGGGGAAGCTATAAACTTATTAGGTTTTGATAATTTATTCGCTTCAAAAGGGTCTCAGGAGCAAACAATTGCAGAAGAAATTAAGGATTCAGAGTCTGCACAATCTAAAATACCGATTGCTAAAAGCCAGCAAGCAACTCAAAGAGGTGAAAAGCAATACCCACGATTTATAGGCAAAGAACCTACCTTAGCCTGGCCAAGCGGCACCTCTAAAGGCACAGAGCCAACAGATACAGAGTCTATTTTCTTTTCTCAATATAAAGATTCACTAGATAAAGGAGAAGTTTTCAAAGATGAAGGTGAATCTCCAGTTTTTCAAGAAAATAAAACCCAGATTGAAGATGTTATCCCTCAAAAAGTCCTTGAATTGCTAGAAAAAGGTACTATAAATCAACCAAAAAGCAAATACATGGAAAGAGAAAATTCTGATCCTTCAAGCCATAATAGTTCAAGCGAATTAAGTGAGAAAGATGAAGAAGAAGCTAAGTTGATGTTAAAGCATCAGGACAACGAAAGCTCAAATTTTACCCAAAGAAATTCTGGTGACAAATTTGAAGCTTATGAAATCTTAGATGAAAAAGAACTTAACTGCCCCATCCTTGATCGAACTATTTTCATGTGTTTCAAAATTAATTCACCCCCAAAATATGACTACCTATTTTTTGATAATAGTGAATCTTAGAGATGATGCAGTATAATCGCCCATAAATACTTCCAATGCGATCCCAACATGGTAATTTTTTCTCCAGACATTTTTTTAACTCCTATGATCGATAAAACAATAGGATCAGTTCGATCAAGGGGGATTAAGGGAAAAAATGACAGAAAAATCAGAAGATCCAAGCACAAAACTAACACAAGCAGAAAATCACTCAAATATAAAAACTGCAAATGAACCTTCTCCAACAATTTTTGATAAAGACAATGCTACCATGACAAATATGAATTTTAATAAAATTAGAGAAGAGCCAGCATCAATAGAATCATCCAGCAATGAATTAAAAATTAATGAAAAAATAATTGGCGAAGAAATAGAAGAAAATATTTCAGATTTAGAAAATTATGAAAATAAACAAAAAAGCCAATTACTTTCAACGAATATAATCCAAGTGGAATTAAAGCAGCATAAAGATGTGTCATTAGAAGAATTTTCTCCAAAAAATGAATCTCAGCAAAATATTGATGTACTCAAACCTGAGGAAGATTTTACAGCAAAAACAAAAATTTCCTTGAGTTCAGACAGTCTAAAAAACCCAGAAGAATCTCAAGAGCAAGTAATAATAGAAGAAATAAAAGAGCCAAAACCTGCTCATAGCGAGAAAGCAATTATTAAAAAACAGAAGAAACCTCAAAGGAGCGAAAAGAAGTCTTCACAATATATAAGTCAAGAGCGAAAAGACGCAGATTTTAATTCCTCTTATCAAGATAAAAGTTTACAAGAAGCAGCAGAAAAATTAAATGATGAAAATAAATCCACTGCATTTGAAGAAGATAAAATCAAGACCCAAGATGCTACGTTAGAAAATATTTCTTCAATATCAAGCCCAAGTGCATTAAATCTATCAAAAAGCGAGCCCTTTGAAAAAGAAGCACTTGCTTATTCATCAAAATTAGCCAGCTCAAGCAAAGTAAGTGAAAAAGATAAAGAAGAACCTCTCGAGATTATACAGAAGAAATCTGATATTGAAAACTTATATTTGGATCCCAAAAATCCAAGCGGCCAATTTGAAATTGCTGAAGCGTCAGAAGAAGAAAAGTTATATAATTCAGTATCTAAGAAATCAGCTGACCTACAAATAATAAGTATAACGGAGAAAAAGGATTCTAATATAAGAACTGCAAGTCCTTTATCAGATACTTTTAGCAATAAAACTAAGAATGATGAAAAGGCTAATGTGGAACTTTTTAAATTGGGAGAAGAACCAATAAAGCCTTATTCAGGAGAATTGTCTGGTGATGAAATAAAGATAAATGAAAAAATAACAGATGAGGTAATAGAAAATATTGCCATTCCAGAAAATATTTTAGTGCCAGATTGTGATGAAGAAAAGAAAACAATCAAATCTCCAATAAAAAGCCAAAATCAAGCCAAAATAAAGTCTTCATCAATATTTTCGTCTAATATTAAATTCGAGTCAAATGAAGAATTAGCTAATAAAAGTGCAGAAAGTTTGACTTCACAAGAAAATGCTTTAGGTTTAGAATGCTGTAAAGAAGAGCAGCATGGCAAATCCCTCTTGGAAAGTCATACTCAAATAAAATCTTCATCAATTGAACCATCTAGTGGAGAATTAAAGGAAAATGAAAAAATAACTGCTGAGAGAATAGAAAACCCTGCCAGTCTAGAAAATATAACTGAATCAGAATACGATAAAAATGAGAAAGTAGACAAAACGATCTCGACAGGATCCCAATCTAAAATAAAATCTTCATTAACTGAACAATATAGCGAAGAATTTAAACAAAATGAAAACGCCATTGTTGAGAGAGTAGAAAACCCTGCCAGTCTAGAAAATATAACTGAATCAGAATACGATAAAAATGAGAAAGTAGACAAAGCGATCTCGACAGGATCCCAATCTAAAATAAAATCTTCATTAACTGAACAATATAGCGAAGAATTTAAACAAAATAAAAACGCCATTGTTGAAAGAATAGAAAACCCTACCAGTCAAGAAAATTTATCTGGACCCGAATGTTATAAAGATGAGGAAATGGGCAAGTCTATCTCGATAAAAACTCAAGAATCCCAACCTAAAATAAAATCTTTATTAGCTGAACAATCTAGCGAAGAATTTAAGCAAAACGAAAATATCATTGCTGATAGAATAGAAAAACCTTCCAGTCAAGAAAATTTATCTGGATCCGAATGCTATAAAGATGAGGAAATGGGCAGGTCCATCTCGATAAAAGATCAAGCTCAAATAATATCATCTTTTATTGAACCATCTAGCGAAGAATTTGAACAAAATCAAAATATCATTGCTGATAGAATAGAAAAACCTTCAAGTCAAGAGAATGTATCGGGATCAGAGAGGCGTAAAGATGAATCAATCGGCAAGCCTATCTTGACAAAAATTCAATCTCAAATACAATCTTCTTTAATTGAACCATCTAGCGAAGAATTTAAGCAAAACGAAAATATAACTGAAGAAGATATAAAGCATCATGCCAGTCAAGAAAATGTATCGGAATCAGAGAGGCGTAAAGATGAATCAATCGGCAAGCCTATCTTGACAAAAATTCAAACTCAATTAGAGTCTTCATTAATTGAACCATCTAGCGAAGAATTTAAGCAAAACGAAAATATAACTGAAGAAGATATAAAACATCATGCCAGTCAAGAAAATGTATCAAGACCAGAGAGGCGAAAAGATGAACCAATCAACGAACCTATCTTGACAAAAATTCAAACTCAAATAAAATCTTCATTAATTGAACCATCTAGCAAAGAATTTAAGCAAAACGAAAATATAACTGAAGAGAGCATAAAACATCACACCAATCAAGAATATATATCAAGATCAGAGAAGCAAAAAGATGAATCAATCGACAAGCCTATCTTGACAAAAATTCAAACTCAATTAGAGTCTTCATTAATTGAACCATCTAGCAAAGAATTTAAGCAAAACGAAAATATATCTGATGAGAGCATAAAGCATCATACCAATCAAGAATATATATCAGGATCAGAGAAGCAAAAAGATGAATCAATCGACAAGCCTATCTTGAAAAATATTCAAACTCAAATAAAATCTTCATTAATTGAACGCAAATAAAATCGCTGACAATCCAACACGTCCTTCTCTCATTACCTCTTGGCGAATTTGGTTCTCAGAGGATAGGTTCGGAATTTGTGTATGGGGTGGGTTTTTTATCCCTGTCGGATCCCAGATAGGGTTTTTACCTCGACTCAGAGACAAGGAGACCAGAGTCCATATGACAACCTCACACTTCTGGAAGCGAAGGGAAAGAGAGACCAGAATGAGGGTTTGGAAACATCCAGCCACCTTCCATCTCCAAGTTGCCGGGCCCGGCCGATAGAGGTTGTCCAAGGAAGTGCCTGAGTGCATCTCCTCGTGAGCTGGCGACGTCGACAAAAAAAGGGCGTGAGTGAACCTGATGCTTAGGACGCAGGCTTGAAGGCGGAGAGAGGTCGAAATAAACTCCGAAGACACATTCTAATTAATTAATTAATTAATTAATCAATCAATCATTATTGAACCATCTAGAGAAGAATGGAAGCAAAATGAAAATATAACTAATGAAGATATAAAGCATCATGCCAGTCAAGAAAATATATCAGAATCAGAGAGGCGAAAAGATGAATCAGTCGACAAACCTATTCAATCTCAAATAAAATCTTCATTAATTGAACCATCTAGCGAAGAATGTAAGCAAAACGAAAATATAACTGATGAGGGTATAAAATATCATGCCAATCAAGAAAATATATCAGTACCAGAGAGGCGAAAAGATGAACCAATCTTCAAACCTATTTTGGCAAAAACTCAAACTCAAATAGAATCTTCATTAACTAAACCATATATCAAAGAATTAAAGCAAAATGAAAACGCAGCTGATGAGGAAATCGAAAACTCACCTCTTCAAGAAAATATTTCAGAAAATAAAGTTATTGAGCCTGAGAATATGGAAAAATCAATATTGATACCAATAGACTCATCTAGTATTAAATTAGTATCAAATGAAAAAATAGCTGATCAAAGTTTTGAAAATCTTCCCATTCAAGAAAAAATTTCTGTGTCAGAATCCAGCGGAGATGAGCAACAAAGTAAATTCCCCTTGACAAGCTATACTAAAATAAATTCTTCATCAATTGAATCATCTAGCGAAGAACTAAAACAAAATGAAAGCATAACTGCTGAGAGAATAGAAAGCCCTGCCAGTCAAGAAAATATATTGGAATCAGAAAGGCATAAAGATGAGCGAATTAGCAAACCTACCCCGACAAAAACTCAAGCTCAAATAAAATCTTCATTAGTCGAGCCATCTAGCGAAGAATTTAAGGAAAATGAAACCTTAACTGATGAGGCAATAGAAAATCCTGAAAATCAAAAAAATATATCGGGTGATGAGAAAATGGGCCAGCTGATCTTGACAAAAGCTCAAGCTCAAATAGAATCTTCGCTAATTGAACCATCTAGTGGAGAATTAAAGCAAAATGAAAGCATAACTGATAAGGAAATCAAAAAACTAGTTATTCAAGAAAATAATTCGGAATTAGAAATTATTGGACTCATGAACACAGACAAGCCAATCTCGGCAACTCAATATAAAGCGCCAACAAAACTTTCATCAGAGGAATCATCTAGTAGCAAATTAAAATTAAATAAAAACATCTATAATGAGGAAATAAAGAAACCTATCTTTAAAGAGCAGATTTTAGAGCTAGAAAGCTATGAAGAGGAGCAAATAAGCAAAGCTTTAGAACCAAAAATCAATGCTGACAAGCAAATAAGTGAAACCCCCGCTGACAGCCAAAATCAAACTCCTATAAATTCTTTATCAATTGAATCATCAAGTGAGATCTTGGATCTAAATAAAAGCAGAGCAGACGATAAAACAGAAATTTTAGCACTTCAAGAGTATATTTCTAGTCCAAGTAGTTATAGAGACGAGCCAATAAGTAAAACCATCCCAACAAGTCAATATCAAATTTCAATAAAATCCCCTCCAAAAGAATTATCCAGTGATGTATTAAAGATGAATGAAAATACTATTGATGACATATCAGAAATTTATAATTCTCAAGAAAATATTTTATCAGAAAGATACATAAATGAAACCACAGCAAAAAATCAGTATCAAACTTCAATAAATTCTTGGTCTCCGGAGTCATCTATTGATAAACAAGACAAAACTGATGAAAAAATAGAGGACCTTATCCAAGAAGAATCAGATAGCTATGAAGAACCAAAATCAGACCCAGAAGTGTCAGAAATTTTTGCTGATTCCCAATATAGATTGCCACTAACTCCTCCCTTTAAATTGGAACAAAATGTCAATGAAATTTCCATTTTTTGGGTACTTTAATTCCCATTGTTTTAGTAGGAAAATTTTATAGGTAAAAATATACTAGTTTTGACCAAATTTAACGGAAAAAGTGCAAGTAAAATATTATTTAAACAGCTTTCACACTGAATCGATTAAATTTTTGAATTATTTCTCCATAAAATAAGAAAATTGGGTTCAATTGATATCTTTTTAATTTTTTAAAATTTAAAAAAATTTTTTTAAATACTTTTTTTTAAAATAATTAACCCTCTTTTAAATTAGAACAGGATTGTTGTTCGAATTTAAAGGTGGGAGTAAGTGAAATCATTGAAGAGAGTAGCTACTCTTCGCTTTCCCCTCAAAGCAAGTCTATCTTTATTCAAGATGTGTTCCTTCGGCTGGAATATTTGCGTATACTTCAAACTCTCAGACTTTCATTTATACAGTTTAGGACCCATGCAACCACTTTAATTATCACTGAAATTTTTGACTTAGCTGGAGACGCAATCGCTAAATTAATAAGAAAACAATTAGAATCATCATTTAATGTGCTCTATGCCAATACTATTCTTTTGCAGAAGGAAAGAAATAATAAGCTCAAAGTAATATTGGAAAATTCAATAACAAGGTTTGACCATATACTATTGAGGTCTTTAAGCTCATGGAAACTAAAAACAGTCCATAAAATTTATGAAGAAAAAATGGGAATTCATCATCATCAGACAGAAGAAAACCTGATGAATTTGAGGACACAGACCCATATTCGATCCTTTGTAGAAGTTATAGAGAAAAAAGTTCTAGCAAAAGAGTTTTATGCATTTTCTGTATTTTTAGCAATTTTTAATAGATATAAAGTACCGAAAGATTCTGAAGCATTGAAGATTATGAGTTTTACTCACTCCCCCCCCCTCCGTGAGTGAACAAAAAAATTTTGTTCACTCACGGAGGGGGGTTAATTTTTTTATTTTAAAAAAATTTATATATAAATTTTATAAAAAAATATTTTTTTCGAAATTAAAAAAATCCTAATTCGCAAAAATTGGAAAGCAAATATTAATTTAATTTATAAAATTTATGTTTTTAAAACGCAATTTGTTTAAAATTAAACAGAATTAGCTCTAGATTTCATTATGCTAATTATCACTTATATATCAATTTTTTTTTTTCCATAAAAAATTTTTGTATTAAAAAAATTTTTTGTTCACTCACGGAGGGTGGGTTTTTGGGGCAAAAAATGCCGATTTTTCTAATGGTTTTGTTCACTCACGGAGGGGGGGGGGAGTCAGACAATAGATTCACATGCTCTTGGCCAATTTAAATATTGTATGAACATATTAAAGCTTGCAAATAGAAAATCAAAACAAGAGCTTAAGAAAAAAGAAATTGGGCTAGAAATGCTCTTTAAAGCAATAAGAAGGTACACAAAAACAACAAAACAGCACTCATGAGTCAGATGGAGACTCTATATGAGAACCAAAAACTATAAGGCAGAATATACTTCATATGGACTGAGAAGATTTTCTGATATTCTTAAAAGGCAGATTATCGTAAACTACCAAGATTTCTTGGAGCAGCTTAAACTGATTAGCTCATACAAAGCAGAAGGGGCAAGTTTAATGGTTCAGTCTATTTCTAGCATTATCAATTCAAGATGCAGACCTTTATTCAAATTATCTTATTTGTATAAGAAGCAAAATAAAGTACTGAGACAATTGCTAAGGACACAAAGAATAAGATCAAATGCTGCATTAAAAGAAAATCTAAGAACTTGGAGACTAAACTCAAAGTTCAATACCCAGATAAAAAAAGAGCTCCTTGATGTATTTACCAAATTGGCATTTTCTCCATTCAAAAGTAGAAAATCTTTTGCTTTTTCTCGCATAAAGGCTGAGTTTTCAAGCATCAATAGCAATAAAGCCAAAAAAGAAAAGGCAGCAAAAACAATTTTGAATTTATACAGGAGAATTTCAGCAAAAATTCTGCAAAGGTCAGTTCACCTCTGGGGGAGCTTCGCTTCCGAAATGAAGCGCCTTGAAAGCTATGAGCAGCTTTTGCGCACCAAATTCTCCAAAAGGCTACTTCTGCTAATTATAAGATCATGGAGCCGCATTAAAGGAAGAAAACGAAGGATATGCCGAGGCCTTGAGCTATTAGGAAAGCTTTTCAGTATTAGAGTCTGTGAATATTTCCAAACCCTCAATGAAAATGACCCGTCCTTCATATGGAGTATGAATGACGAATCTCTCGTTAAATTTGACGTCGCCTTAATAGCGCCCTATTTGAAGTCTATGATCATGAATTTCCACAGCCACCACAAATACTTCTTAAAAGAGTCTTTTGACAGGTGGAAGTTTGCCAAATCCATTTCCCACGACAAAAACGTCACCTTAGCTTTAGAAATTTCCCATGCATTTAATAAAAAGAAGCACAAGCTCCTATGGGAATCTTGGCACATTTTAAGAAATCCCAGGTTCAGCATGACTTATAAGCAGAAAATGAAGCTCCGAAGTGCCATAGAAAAATGGGAATCAGTCATGTATCGGCCACAGAATTTGCTGCTGGAAGCCTTTTTCACTTGGAAAAGAGGGCCAAAGGAGGAGCAACTGACAAGGCTCAAGCAATACAAGCAATATTTTTCATCTTAGCTTAATTAGCCATTGTAATTAAATTATGGGGAAAAGTATCAGATCAAAGCGTATGCAAAAGTGAAAGTCTCTCAAACGACAGATCGTGAGGCAAACACTAGAAAAGGATAATTTAGCCAAGCTTGGAACCAGCCATCCGACCTTAAAGAGTGCATTTTTGCATCCAAATGATCCTGACGCTGTCTTTCCTCAGCACAAGCCAGCTGTTAGACTTGATTTTCGATCAGATGCCATTGTACCGTTTGAGTGTCCAGTCAAAAGTAAGAAATATTTGCTTGAAAGAATGCCTGATGCCCCTGAAGAAGAACTGAAAGGGAGACCAATTGAAATTCCTGATATGTTTATGGGTGAATTAGAATACTCCCTCAAGAACATCGAAAAAAACACAAGAAAAAGGCAATCAATGAAAATTGATATAGGAATTTATAGTAATTGATAACTTATTTATTAACTTATAATAATAGAATAGGCTGATTAGTAAAAATTTCAAAGTGTATAAATAAACAGCGGATTTTTTTAATAGAAATTAACTTAAAAAAGTTTTCTTAGTTGTAAAGTAGCAATATATAAATAGAAGCAGATTAAGGCCGATAATTGTAAAGCCTAAGAGAAGTCCTCCTTTCATTTCAAAATCTTTAGTCCCAAATCTTTTACCATTGGTTTCTTCTAAATCGCTGAATTTCGCAACTCCAAAGTATATTGAGAATCCCAGAATATAAAGAAATGAAGGAAGAAAGGAGAGGGGCGATATAATTTTCAGCTTGAAGTTAGAACGGTATAGCTTTAAAATGTGGAAAAATATGCAAATTGCATTAAAAAGCATCGCTAATGTCCCAAAGAGAATCATTACTGCTCCGCCATTGTCAAATCCATCAATATGACTACAAAAGCCTGGACAATTTGTATTGACAAGATGCTTTAGAGACCCGCAGCTATCACTTTTTACGTCACCAATTGAGCCTTCGTTTTCAAACGAGTCAAATCTTGTGTTTGGTTCTGCAAAAACTAGCCCAAAGGTCCATCAGCAGTATTGGTATCATTCAGATAAAGCTAAGTCAACTAGAGTAGCCACAATACTAATAAAGGAAAAGACAGAGTAAACAATATAATGATACTTTGACAGTGGTTTTGGCTCTTTTGGCTGTGAAACTTCAATGTATAATGACTCGATCATTTATAAATAAATTTAATTCTCTTTCTATAGGAAATTTTGGGGATAAAAAGTTCGTGGGATTAGGATAAAAAGTCTTGAAATAGGCTGAAAATTAGAAAAGCTAAGGCACAAAAAATGCATAGGAAATGGACAGCTGCCGTTTTATTCATTAAATATATTAATATGAGCCACGAAGGTTATCGAGGAGAAAGTGGGACGCATCAGTCATTAAGAGACAATTCAGACGACCTGGACGAAAAAAATAAATATGAGCGGCCTCGCATCTTCGTAGACAGCAATAGCAATAGTATCCATGTCCAAGAGGTCCAAGTTGATTTTGACGAACAAGATAATAACTTCGAAAAGCCAAGAAAAGCAGAAATAAACCCTAATTTCGAACTTAATCGAGTTCCTTTGTACTGCTGGTGGTACCTTATATTATTTTTATTATTTGCTGCTTTATGCATCATATTGGGATGTATGGGAACTCCAAGGTGGGTTTCTCAAGGGAAAGATGACACTAAATGGATGGGAGGAATGCTTAGATGTGGAGGATGTATAGTCTAGAGCTACTTTCGATCGTCCTGGCTATTTTATTACTTTCAACTATGAATATGGATTAAAAAGCATTGCACTCTAAGCTAAAAGCAGTTATGGGCTATAGTGGTTCTTGGGAGGATGAGCTATATATGGACATTGCGACTGAGAGCTGCGACGATAATGATTACTCCGGCTTCTGCTCTACATTTAAAGATCTTAGAGATGGTGGCACTGCATATGCGATACTTGAAGCTGTTTGCTTAGCTGTAATGGTCATATGGATTTACAAAGTCATAATGCTGATAAGAGGCTTGCGTTTTCTATCTGATATAGTCTCAATACTGATAGCAGCCTTCGCAGTAGTTTTACATGCCGCAGCAATTGGAATATGATATGGCCTAACTGGTGCGAAATATGGCAGCTGTGACGACGTATCAAGTATTTCTGATAGTTATGACGTTTGCGCAAACCACGGACCGATCCTCAGCATTGTTGTTGGTTGTCTTCTATTTATAGTATTCTTGATATTTATCTCCATTTTAAAGAAGAGATTTAAAGCCAGAGAAGTCAAAAAAGAAGTCGAACTTAGCTAATAAATGACATAGATTTTATTTAATTCACATATATAAAGAAAATGGATATATGACGATTTTGTTTGGTTTCATTTTCTATTTCCATGATATCAGCTGCAGAATTTTTCCCTGAATTTTTGGGAAATCCAAACTGTCCTGCCTACACATGCAAGACTAGCAGCCAGCAGTTTTTGAATACCACATGCATATTTTTTACCCCAACAGCCTCGACTCCTACATATTTTGTAAATCCATGCACATCTTTGAAGCTGCCTTACTGTCAGCCTTCAACTGAAAGCAATTCTACATGTGGCGCTGCAAATCCTACCCCACCAGTTAATGCTTGGCCTGGAGAAAAATGCTCAACGTCAGCTGACTGCAGTTCATATGCAAATCAAGGGTGCGTTAAAAATGTATGTATGGGAGCAAGCCAAGGCGACGAATGCAAGGTAAATGATGACTGCAACCCTGGATATCGGTGCTTAGGAGGAATTTGCCAAATACAGATCCCTGTAGGAGGCACAGGATGCACTAATGATTATGACTGTGTGAATGGTGCAGGATGCAATATTGCTAAAACTTCTTCAGAAAGTATATGCTACCCTTATTATTCAATTGCGCAACACTTGCCGGTTAATTCTTGCTCGTCAAGTAATCAGTCTATGCTGTGTAATTCAGGGCTGTGTATGGCAAATAATGAAGGATTTGAGTGTATGGCGCCTGTACAGTCAAGCAAATTGCCAGCAGCATGCCAATTAGATAGTGATTGTCAGTCAACAAGAGATGATTATTTTCCTAATGGATATTTAACTGGGACTTGCTATTGTGGGTATAATCCTAATTCAGCGAGTTATTGCTCACTTTTTGCAGGGGATAAACCAATGCTGCAGATGATGAGCTATCTTAAATCGTGGGTGCAGTCTAAATTTATCCTTAAATGCAACACAATGAGGAGATTTACTCCTGCCTGTATAAGTAATTGGTGGAATACTAAGGATTACAACTATTACATGTATTACTATCTGTCAGCTTATTATTATCCTTTAATTACCAATGGAGAATCATGTGTCCAGCAAGTATATTTACCTCAGTGGTGGGCTGCAAAGAATGCAATTTAGTTAATTAACTATTTTATACTCACTATATATTCCTTTAGTCATAAATAAGTTTTTAAACATAAAGCTTCTATTTCATAAACATTAATGCAAGACAGTATAATATAAATGAGAAAAATAAAAATTATATACCGCATCATTTATTCTCTCTCATATTATTTTATACAGTCTTATCAAAACTTGTTAATAATAATAATCAATGGAGTGGGATCAATCACTTGAACAGGCTGACCCAGAGCTTTTCGATATTATCGAACATGAAAAATGCAGACAATGGGGAGGAATCGAGCTGATTGCTTCGGAAAATTTCACATCTAGAGCCGTCATGGACTGTCTTGGATCTTGTTTAACAAACAAATATAGTGAAGGACTACCAGGGAAGAGATATTATGGAGGGAATGAATATATCGACCAAGTTGAAAGCCTCTGCCAAAGACGAGCATTGGCTGCATTCAATTTAGATGCACAAGCTTGGGGTGTAAACGTTCAGCCATACTCCGGAAGTCCTGCTAATTTTGAAGTATACACAGCTCTTCTTAATCCTCACGACAGAATTATGGGTCTTGCTTTACCTTCTGGAGGACATCTGACACATGGGTACTACACTGCTAAAAAGAAGCTATCAGCCAGTTCAATCTTCTTTGAATCTCTCCCATATCAGCTTGACATGGCAACTGGTAGGATTGATTATGATGCTCTTGAAACTCAAGCCAAGCTTTTCTTGCCAAAAATTTTAATTTGTGGAGCCAGTGCAGGTGAGGTTTAAAATAAAGTGTGCTGTAGTTTTTTAAACCCTTTAAAAATGACTATAATTTTCAAAAATTTTTTTTGGTATGAAAAAAGTGCAAACGCTTATTTTGAATTTTTCCTAGCAGGATGGTGAAAAAGGTAAACAGTGTTTTCAAAACAGCAAAAACAGAGGGAAAAAGTACTTGGAAAAATTCAAAACAGCCGTTTGTACTTTTCATACCAAAAATCATTTTTTAAAAGTGTAGTCATTTTATAGGTTTTTAGAGGGATTTAAGTGCACTTTATTTAACCTTACCCACCAGTGCATACCCTAGGGACTATGATTATGCCAGACTAAGAAAAATTGCTACAGACATCGGGGCTTATCTTATGGCAGACATTGCTCATTTTAGTGGGCTCGTGTCATCTAACGTCCTTTCGAATCCATTTGAGTACTGTGATGTGGTGACTACAACAACTCACAAAACAATGAGAGGTCCCAGAAGTGCAATTATTTTTTTTAAAAAAGAACTTGAAGACCGCATCAATGGGGCTGTATTCCCAGCTCTTCAGGGTGGCCCTCACAATAACAATATTGCAGGGGTAGCAACTCAGTTGAGAGAGCTAGCAACAGAGGAATACAAAGAGTACGCCAGACAAGTTGTGAAAAACTCTAGAGCTTTAGCAGATGAACTGATAAGCTTAGGATACACCTTAGTTTCTAATGGAACTGATAACCATTTAATGTTGTGGGATTTAAGACCTCAAGGACTCACTGGGAATAAATTTGAAAAAGTTTGTGATGCTGTAAGAATCACGCTGAATAAAAATTCAGTCCCTGGAGATACATCAGCTTTAACCCCTGGAGGTGTCAGAGTAGGAACTCCAGCTATGACAACCAGAGGTCTTAATGAAGACAATTTCAAAACTGTTGCCCATTTCTTGCATAGAGCTATACAGATTTCATTGGAAATCCAAGAAGCGACAGGGAAAAAACTCAATGACTTTTTAGCAGCAATTCCAGAAAATGAAAAAATCAAAGCGCTTAAGCAAGAAGTCTTTGAGTTTTCAACGCAGTTTAGAATTCCTGGTTTCAGCACGGAAAATATGAGGTATAAATCCTTACTCCCCCCTCCGTGAGTGAACAAAAAAATTTTTGTTCACTCACGGAGGGGGGTTATTTTTTTTTTTTAAAAAAGATTATATATAATTTTTATAAAAAAATTTGTTTTTCGAAATTTAAAAAAAATCCTAATTCGCAAAAATTGAAAAGCAAATATTAATTTATTTTATAAAATTTATGTTTTAAAAAGCAATTCGTTTAAAATTAAACAGAAGTAGCTTTAGATTTCATTATACTAATTATCATTTATATATCAAAAATTTTTTCCATAAACAATTTTTGTATTAAAAAAATTTTTGTTCACTCACGGAGGGTGGGTTTTTGGGCAAAAAATAGGGATTTTCTAATGGTTTTGTTCACTCACGGAGGGGGGGGGGAGTTAGAATAATTAATCGATAGAATCTTTAAAATATTTTTTTTAAATAATAATACAACTTAAATGCAAACTGACCAAATGCACTTCTTAAAGCTATTAGAGCTGGCCTCGAAGAATAATATTGTAAGAGCTATGTAGATCACTTTATTGATCCCAAATACAATTATCTATGGATTTGGATTTAACTCACTTACACTGATAAAAAACAATGAAAGAAGCCTAGAGTTCAAGCGGATAACAGAAGAGCAATTTAAAGAAAATCTGCAGTTTATTGGTGAAGATGACAGTGAGTTTCCATTTGCAGTTTTTAAAACGAATTTCAAGCTTAATTTAGCAATGACTAGCTTCCCCCGTTTATATTTGAATAAAAAATCTGTTCCAATTAAAAGGGTTAATATTTTCTTCAAAAAAAATAAATTAATTGATAAATTTACTGGTTTATTTCTAATTTTCTTTAAATAGTTTTATACTTACATCCTCATTTAACATAGAATAAGTTATAATTTTTGCGACATTAAATTGGCTATTAAAGCTATTTTCATATAAATTATTATTTTTTACTATAAACAAAAGTTTTATTCCAATATAAAGAGGCCAATACCCCAAATGAAAATTTACCTATATATTTTTCCAATTTAGAGGGGTGTAAAGAGGATGCCTTTAATATTGGAAAATCTTTTATGAAAGATAATATAAGTTTTAGCTTACAAACTTTTATAGTTTGTCCTAATACAAATGCCCAAATTGTCAGAGTCCAGTGATCAAAATGTAATGGATTTTTTGCGAAAGTTATAAGAAATCAGTTCCCTTATACACAAAAATCAATTTCCAAAAAAGTTTTATCAAAAGCATATTTGTCTGATGATTTTCAAAATATTTTTGAAAAATATGATATTATTGAAAGTTCTTTCCTAATAGTCCAAAAGATAATCTCAAAGCCTGCGAAATTATCGCAAGGAACTATTGTATTAGCACATCAAATCAATTTTATTAAAGTTTTATTAGAAGAATCCATTCTTAATAGCACAAAACTTATAAAGATTTCAGGTGATTTTATTCAAGATGAAAATGAAAATTGGTATTTTTTAAATATTCACTCTTATGCAACTGCACCTATACTTATTCCTCAAGGCTAAATCTTTGGCCAATTTTTTTGCAATAATTTAAAAAAAAGAAAATCACCCAATAATATTTGATTAAGCTGTATGGCAGAATTGATCAATAAAATAATATATCAATCAATATAGTAAAAATTATTTCAACGTATGTGTATTCTTTGAAATAAGCATGAAAAGGTTTTTTGTTGCCTCTAGGAGAGGAAAGTTAGAAATAACGCAACTATAAGGCCAACAACCGCAATAAGCGAGCCATTTCATTCAAGGATGCCTAGCAGTCCAGGATGCCAAACAATCGGATACTACTCGAGCTGTGGATCTCCTAAGACTGTATGTGATAAATATCAGCGGACTTTTGATTTTAGAAGCACAAGAGACAAAATCTATACCCCAAATTCTCGAAAATGCTCTTATTCAGCTATAAAATCTCCTCTCAGACCTCTTAATTTCATAAAAAATCTCGACAACGAAGCAAGGCTTTTAGAGAAGAAACTAGAGCATGATGTAAATGATTTAATTGACAAAGACAAAATAAAGCCTCTTAAATTTATGACCTATAAAAAATGAATAAAAAGAAGAGATGATAGGCTGCCTGATCAGCCTCTTGAAAGACTATTTGCAGAAAGAATTTCTTCTAATAAAAATATCATGCAGAGAAGGTATAATAAAGGCATTAAAAATCTGAAAAATATGGTACAGTCTATGAACAATATTGTTATGAATAACGTTTTCTCAGGGGAATATATGGCCAAGCAGGTCGCTAAGATGCTGCTTCAAAAACTTTATAAACTTCCAGGAGGAAGATTAATTTCCAATAAAAGAAAAACAAGATTTGTAGCGCATAGAGCACAGAAAGGCTTAGCAAGGCTAGCAGAGCTTTGTGCAGAAGAAGAGCTTGAAACGGTAAATACCAAGTTCGAACAGCTGCAGAAGATTGTTTTAAGGTCAAAAGAGAGGCGTAGGTTAACTGAACTTGATACAAATAATTCAAATGAATAATAGTTTCTTACTTCTCTGCTTGTAGTGAGCAAGATTTTGGCTCACTAACTATGGGCATATATAAAATTAATATAAAATATTATGCAAGCTTGCTAAAATTAATAAAATTAACTGGAGAATTCAATAATGCAATCATTATTTGCACATCAAAATATTTTATTCATAGACATATTAAAAATAATTGACACTAGCTAATAGGATTAATTTTCTAAAATTATGATCTTTAACGCAAGGGGGATTAGGATTATTCAATAGTTAATTATCTCCATTTTAATTGGCTAATTTAATTTAAAAATTATCTATATTTCATATTTAAGATCCCCATAATAAATTTAATTTAAAATGATTGTAGACATCCTATCAAACGGCTTCAACATTTCTTCATTTTCAAATATAGAAGAAATCACATTATTAGTCCCAGAAGACTTTATCATCACAGACAATATTCGCTCTGTCTTCAAGACTTCATCTAACTTTGATGAGTGTCTGGACAGCCAGAAAAGTTACTTCAGAGTCTCCAGTGAGTTCCAAAGAGGAGTTCTCATTGGTCGCGCTATCTCTCTGAAGCCAGATCTCATTATTTGTACCTCTCGCCCTGAAATTTTTAAAAAGTATCTTCCAAAGATACACTTTCAAAATTATGAAGAAATTCAAAAAAATTCAAGCAAAGACGCGGGATCTCAAGAAGAAGTCTTGAAAAGTATCGAGTCTAAGCTTAGCAGCCAGCTGAAACAGGTTGACTATAAAACACCGTTGGAAAAGCTATACCAAGAAGTCTTAAATAAATTTGTGGAAACTTTTTTCCAAGGCAATGGAATTCCAGCTGGAAAAGTGAAATCATTGAAATCATACATAAAAATGGCGTGGCGAACCAACCCGCCCTTTAGCACCTGCAACAAGAGGGAGTCTAGTCTGGAGACCTTGGGGAAGGGCGGTATGTGTATCTGGTCAGTTTTTACTTGGTCTGGTGGAGTGCAATGTCGGGCTAGCCAACATCAAGCTTACATCAAGGCAAGGTTTTACCCCGACGAGGATGGATGGAAAAAGGGACAGTCAAACAAGGCCAAGACGTCTACGGGCATTTCCTAGCGTGATGCCGGGAGTTGCACCCTAAAGCTACAAGTTTCATCTGGGCCGACAACCTGACAAGAAAATTCGCTTTCAGATTTTTCGAATAAAGTCTCTACCTTCAGGCAGCAAGTGCAAAACCTTGTCCGGAGGGAGCAATACAAGCCTTAAGCTGCGGAATCAGACTGGCGAGCTAAGGAGGTGGTAGAAGCAAATAACGTGAAAAGTTTTTTTTTAAGATTGCGAGAGCTTCTCTATAATAATTTAATAATGAATAATAAAATCATTGAAATCCCAAATCAGAAATTTAGCTGAAGGCGCTGTTATATCAGCTCGGAAAAAGTCTCAGAACAAAGACCAAATTCCTACTTCCTTTGAAATTTCAGAAATTATATATGAGGATTTTGTTAAATATGGCATAGTCGAAGACCAAGGAGTCCAAGTCTATTATAATAGAGACGAGATTGACGCATATTTTGGAGAACAAAAATATAAAACATTTACTCCAGCTTGCAAAGCATCGCTAAATTTAGAAGATAAAGAAAATGTTGAGATCCCACCAAAGAGATTCACATTTGAAACAGTCCAGAAGTGCATTTCAGCAATTATTCCTGAATTAGATATGCAAAATCCAAAAGAGCTGGGAGAAGTCGTAAATATTATTCTGGATTTTGTGGCTTCAAACTCAAAAATTGCTGAGCCTGACCGCCAACAAGCATTTTTAGCAATTTTTAAATTTTTATATCATGCAGAAGTGATAACTTTCAAAGAGGATATTCCTTTGGATTTGATTTTGCATGACACTAAAAGCTACTTAAATATCGAAGTAGATATCAAGTGCTCTATTTAACTTATTATAAAATTATTTTAATATTAAATTTCAAGCAAAAAATAATCCTCAGTCTTATGCTAGTTACAATCTATTAGTAATAATAACTTGGCAAAGGTGGTCCTTGTCGTGGCGCACCATTAATAATATTGAAAGCTGAATTTCTCTTCGCGTCTATATTATAAAGTCTCATCATTGCTCTTTCTTTTGCAATGTCATCTTTTCTTCTTAAGTACTCCCCTTGGTCAGTTGGGTCATAATCTAAAGTGATTGGGTTAAAAGCTTCACTTGGGTTATTTTTTTGACCATTTTTTCACTTGGATCTTTTAGCTTCAAGTTTTTCAATTGACTCAACCTGCTCTTGGCCGATCTGTTCCCAGCGATTTACTTCTCTATTTATGGCGTTTTCTCTTCTTTTATTGTATGCGTCCATCTTTCTTTGGTTTTCCAGTTCTCTTCTGCGACGCTCTTCAGCAGCAAAATCAGTATCAAAACGTTCTTTCTCAGAAATAAACATTGTGCTCTGAGGCTCTGGCACTAGGACGCTCTTTGCTTGATCTCTAAAAAAGGGATCTTGCGAGCGGTTAGATCTTGCCCTCTGCGGTGGAGTTTGATATATCGGTAGGCCTGATATAGGGTTCATATTTTATAAATCTGTGTAACTGATTCTGGAAAATTAATAAAATGATAATTTATTGTTGAATTTAAAATTAAGATATAATTAAATCGCAAAATAAATCACCTTAAATTTAGCTACTTTAAAACTTATTGGATCTACTCACTCCCTCCTTTAAACAGAGCAGATTTATATTTTTTGAGTATCTCGAATCCATATCAATTGGAATAAATTTTAATTTTTTAAATAATAAATTTTAGAGCTAATTTTATTTAACAAATTTTGATCTAATGAATAGAAGAAATGCAAGTAGAATTTATCCAAACAGTTTTCACACTGAATCGATTGAACCTTTAATTAATTTTTATAAAAAAAATTAAAATTCAAAACATGTTGCATTAATTTATTGGAGCAGAGATTATTTTTCAATTTAAATCATGAGGAGTTAATAAAATGGCATCAAGAGGTGAAGCAGAAACTCAAGCCTTACGGCAAAGAGTAGAAGAGCAGCTAAGCAGACTAATAACTCAATTGCGTGATCTCGAAGAGAACAAAGAGCTTATGGACGATTCTGAGTACTCTTCAATGAAAGAAGATACTCTCCAGCAGCTCAGAGAATTCGAGGCACAGCTGGAAAGATGGAAAAGTGGAAACATTACTTTGATTGACGATTTCAATCGCATTCAAATCGCAATCCAACAAGCAGTCTCCCAAGCCTTCAAAACTCCTGAAGTTATTCAGATGTTTGCAGCGAGACAACCTCAACAACTTAGATCTAGACTTGAAGAAATGGAAAGGGACCGGCATCTGGGGAAAATTCAGGAGCAAGACTATCAGGCTAAAAGATTAGAAATTCTGATGGCTCTAGATAAGCTTGGAGAAACCTTAAGTCCTGAAGAAAGAGAACTTCTGGTGTCTTTTAGCTCAGCTGGAAATAGAGTGGAAGCAAACCAAGACAGAGAAGTCGACGCAAAAGGACTTTTCCCAGCCGCAAAAGGGCTGCTGTCTCATGCTAAACATCTCATAAAAGATGATAAACTTCAATTATAATGAGTTACTTTATGAGTAAGTCATAATTATTTTTAAATATTCATGACTATTTCGATTTGACTGATTTTAATTTTCCTTTTGTAGGAGTTAAGTGCGATATATCATTATCGACTGCAATATTTACAGTGAGGTTTTTACCACTTTTTCTGACTCGCAATACATATAAGGCAGTGTTTTTACTTATATTGGCATATACAGGAGGTTGCCCTTTCAGTTGCTTAATGACGTTTAAAAACTCCATTATTCAGCCTCCATGAGAAACGACCAAAATTTTGAGGGCTTCTTTAGACTCTTCCCTCATATGATTTCTGCATAAGTCATTAAAAAATTCTTTACTCCCCCCCCCCTCCGTGAGCGAACAAAAAAATTTTGTTCACTCACGGAGGGGGGTTAATTTTTTTTTTAAAAAAAAATTTATATATAAATTTTATAAAAAATATTTTTTTCGAAATTTAAAAAAATCCTAATTCGCAAAAAATTGGGAAGCAAATATTAATTTAATTTGCAAAATTTATGTTTTAAAACGCAATTTGTTTAAAATTAAACAGAATTAGCTCTAGATTTCATTATACTAATTATCACTTATATATCAAAATTTTTTTTCCATTAAAATTTTTTCTATTAAAAAAATTTTTGTTCACTCACGGAGGGTGGGTTTTTGGTCAAAAAATGGCGATTTTTCTAATGGTTTTGTTCGCTCACGGAGGGGGGGGGGGGGGGGAGTTAGCTCTTTCCATTACGTCAATTCAGGCTTCGCCTCCATTAGGTCTGAAAGCTCTTAAATTAACTCCTTGTTGCTTGGCTAGCTTATCAGTGGTTCCAAGGGGCTGCCCTTCTAGTTCTCCGGCTCCTTTTTCTCTTAGTCTTGGGTCTAATATCGGTGATAAATAGTTATGATGAAGAATTATTTGTGAAAGGGTTTGCTGGCATCTGTTAAGATCGCTTGAATAGATTGCATGGAATCTTACATTTTTTAGGCGGTTTCCAAGTTTTGTGGCCTGCTCAAATCCTATTGGCGTTAATTCTCCACCCTGCTGGCCTTGAAGAATTCTTTGCACATTTCCAGTAGTCTGTCCATGTCGAGTAATATATAGATCCATTCTTAAATTAAAAATATGAATTTTATTTTCCCCAAATATTATAAAATTTCCATAAAATCATAAAGACTTGCCTTATTAATTAAACTTTAAAATTGATACAATAAAAGAGCTTATAATTACTATAATTAAAATCATTAAATTTGAATGCATATGAATTGTTATTCAGCAATACATCTTTCAAATAATTAATTTACCAATACTCATTTCTACATAAGACAAAGCTATATACTACTCTTGCAAAACATTAAAACTGTTAAAACCCGGCAACTCGTCTTGAGGAATTTTTCTATCAAAAGGCTTAAACTTTTCATCAAGTTCTTCATCCGGAAGTTGTATAAGTTCTAATATTGATTCAATAAATAACTTAAGCCTATTCAGATACTCTCTTCTGTGCTTAATTTCAATGTCATTATGGCCCGCGTCCTTTACCCACCATGGTGGAAACTCATGCCTTACAAAGCTTGCAAGCCTCTCTGCATGTTTTACAGGAATCTGCCTATCCTCAATTCCATGTAGGAGAAATATCGGGCACTTTATATAAGGAATTTTCGTGACATTCGAAAAAAAATCAAACCAAGGCGACGAAGAAGGCTTTTTTGAAAACATCTGTAAAGCAGAGGCAATTGGGGCATGCAAAATAACCCCTCCTACTTTATGCCTTGAAGCTAATTCACATGAAGGGACAGTTCCAATTGACTGTCCATATAGTAAAATATATTTCCAAGGTATGCCCCTTACCTCTGTAAGGTAATTATAAGAAGCTTCAATATCTGCATATATATTTTTTTCTGAAGGTTTCCCTGTGCTTTGGCCATATCCTGTATATTCATATAATAGTACATTGACTTTAAGCTGAACAGATAAGTCAGCTATAAAATTTCTCATGATCCCTATGTCGGTTGAATTTCCATGTGAAAAAATCACAGTGAAAATTGCATGGACGTTTTTAAAGTAAACTGCTGGGATATTTTGATTTCGAGATGTACTGAGCATGACGATTTCGCTACTGACCCAGCCAACTTCAATGGGCTTGGTTTGTACTCCATACTCATCTATAAGCAGCATATGGTAATTATCTTGTGTTTGCTCTATAATGTAACCTGGTGGGTTGGGCGGGTGGAATGCAAAACTTCGAGTGATTTTATCTCTACATCCTAAAGTGGATGTACAGCAAAAGCAGCATCTAATGAGATACATTGTTTTTATTTATTTAAATTTAATCATTTTTATTCTGCGCAATTCTTATAACACTGCCAAAGATTTTCGTAGCTAATTATTATGAAATCTTGCTTCTCCAGACGCAATTTTAAAAATAATTCTTCAATTGAAAATTCTGATAGAAAATATTTTCAGCAGATTTTAAGGCTAAATCTTACTTTTCTTATATATAAATAGCTTGTTCTCTGCCTTATTTTAATTCAGCAATCTCCCAGATTTAAATCAATGAGTAATCCATTTAAAAACTCATGACCTTATAAATAAATATGTACGGGTTGAATGATACAGAGTGGGAAGATTGTCAAGATTTATTCAATATGCTTGACACGAATAGGAATAAAACAATAGATATCGGAGAACTGATTAGCGGTTTTCATGAGCTTGGGCTTATTTATACAGAAGATGAAGTAAATGCTTTATTAACAGAATGCGATAAAGATCAAAGTGGAGAATTATCACTGCAGGAATTCGCTAATGTTTATAGAAAAGCGCTCAGAGCTACTTCTATGAGTGAAGAAGAAGTCAGGTATACTTTTAAAATGCTTGACTCAAATAGAAGTGGAACATTGAGCAAAGCAGAGCTCAAAAGACATTTAGCAGATAGCCATATTACGTTCTCTGACAGAGAAATTGATGTCCTTCTGAGAGATTTTGATGAAAATTATGATAATGAGCTTGACATTGATGAATTTTTGCACTCAGCCTTAGGATTCCAACAGTAATTTTGGGATAAAAGTGAAGAAAAATTTAATTAAATACTAAATTTTAGAAAAACTAATTGCTTTTTATTACTTATATATCTCTTATACATTAAAATTTACTTATTATAATATCCTCAAATTCTTTGAGGTCGATTTCTCCATCTCCATTCTGATCGACAGTCTTTATAAGTTCATTCCAGACCTCACTATTAGTTGCATTCTCCCCCTGCAGCATTTCTTTCAGCTCTTGTGCTGAAATTTTCCCACTTCCGTCTCTATCAAACATTTCAAACGTAATTTTCAAATTGGCTTGAGACGCCAATTTTTGCTGATCTATAGCAGCTTTCAGGAATTCCGTATAGTCAATATACCCGTTTAGGTCTGTATCTACTTCTCGCATAATTCGGTCTACGTCTTGTTCTGTGATTCCTCCAGGTCTTACATATCCTTTAATCAGCTCTTCTCTGCTTAGTTTTCCGTCCCCATTTTCGTCTAAAGCTCTAAAAATGTCTCTAGCTTCTTTGGTGTCATTATTATTAGTAAGCTGAGTCACTATATAAGTGTTCACTGCGTCTCTCAGCTTGTTGTTAGAGGTGTATAGAGACAGATTTTGCAAGGTTGACTGAAGCTTGGTGTTGTCTATATTATTTATGTTGATATCTCGTATCCAAGGATGGTTAAGTGCTTCAGCTGCGCTGTATCTGTCTTTTTCAGGGACAAGAAGATGCCTAATTAAGTCCTTTGCAAATTCAGTGACTTTATTCCAAGCTGAGCCTTTAAAGGTAAAAATTCCTGCCTTGACTTTTTGGATGATTTCTTCATCATTTGTCCCTTCAAATGGAGGGTAGCCTGCTAGCAAGATATAAGTTATAACTCCAGCACTTCACATGTCACATTTTTCTGAGTAAGGACCTATCAGAACTTCTGGAGCGATGTAATAGGCTGTTCCTAAAGACCCTTTAATTTTGCTTCCTGGGGTGAATTTAGTTGCAGTGCCAAAATCAATTAGCTTTATATTCAAAAAATCCGCATGATCGTCCAGCAAAATATTTTCTGGCTTCAAATCACGGTGAATTATATGCTTTGAATGAATATAAGCTAAGCACGAAAAAATTTGCTTCATTATACTTGCGGTTTCTTCCTCTTTGAAATGCTTTTTTTTCATGATTTCTTCAAATAGCTCCCCACCTCTGCAGTGCTCCATTACAATATAGAAATCTGTAGTGTCTTCAAAAAACTCATAAGCCCTGACGATGCTTGGGTGATCTAGAATTCTCAAGATTTCGATTTCTTTGACCAATTTTTCTTTGTCAGCTTCACTTGTAAAAATATCTTTTTTAAAAATTTTTACAGCTCTTCTTGCACCTGTCTTTTTGTGGGTGCAAAATCTGACTTCTCCAAAAGCTCCTGAACCGAGAGAGCGGCCTAGTTTGTAAACTTTTAAGAAAGATCTTTGGTTGATCTGCACAAATGTGCTTGGCAACACTCTTAGATCTTCAACTTTATTTACATAGGATGTTGTTTCTGGGATCGTTTTTTTCTTGCTTGGGATACAACCCATAGTCTATGGTAAAAATTAATTATCAGTATTAGCAAAATATTCAGTAGAGTTTATAATGGAATTAACAGGCAAAATATAATATATTGACTTATAGAAAAACTGTAAAGGTAAACTAAGATTCTTACTCCCCCCCCCCCCTCCGTGAGCGAACAAAAAAAATTTTGTTCACTCACGGAGGGGGGGTTAATTTTTTTTTTTAAAAAAAAATTTATATATAAATTTTATAAAAAATATTTTTTTCGAAATTTAAAAAAATCCTAATTTGCAAAAATTGGGAAGCAAATATTAATTTAATTTGCAAAATTTATGTTTTTAAAAACGCATTTGTTTTAAAATTAAACAGAATTAGCTCTAGATTTCATTATACTAATTATCACTTATATATCAAAATTTTTTTCCATTAAAAATTTTTTCTATTAAAAAAATTTTTGTTCACTCACGGAGGGTGGGTTTTTGGTCAAAAAATGGCGATTTTTCTAATGGTTTTGTTCGCTCACGGAGGGGGGGGGGGAGTTAGTAATTTGTAAAATAGTGTTTACTGGTGAGCATAAATAAAAAAATAAATTTTTCCCATTTTTTGGATAATATTGATAATTTATATTCTCAATATTATCGCATGTATATAAATTAGATAATTGCTTATTGATATTTTAAATCATTGATCTGGCTTCTCCAGTCCCTTGGAAATAATGTTTAAAAAAGATTTTTTCTATGCCCTATTTAAAAATAGCCAATTTTGGTAATATTGCTTTAAATATCACCATTCGGCGTACTTTGTTTTTTTAAGACTCGGATTATATCGTATAGCCCGTTCCCGGCTATAGATCGGGCATAGCCAGATCTTAGCCGAGAAACTCGGGGGGTTGTCTTCGTCACTTTTAGGTGACGAGTCAACTCCCCGAGTTGGCAAATCACTTAATAGCGGCTATTTGCCAACTCGGGGAGTTGACTCGTCACATGAAAGTGACGAAGACAGCCCCCCGAGTTTCTCGGCTAAGATTGGGCATAGCCCGATCTATAGCCGGGAACGGGCTATATTTTCTTCTGTGATAAGTTTGCAGGCTGTTCTACCAATAAATTTTGTCTCATTGTGCCAATGCTTGGTGTGTAAGAAAAAACTCTAAATGAGATTTAATGATAGCAATTGCGATCCATATTTAATCGCTAAATAGCAGACAATAAGCTTTCTGTTCATATATGTTAACTATTAAATGAGGGCCATTACTTTAAGTGGATAATTTTGTGAAATAGTTAGTTATAATGCTTTAAGCTGTAATTTCTACTGTTTAACAAAAAACTTTTACTAAATTTATTTTAAAGATTTTCAAACATTTTTATTGGGAATATAATAGACATGAGAGTATTGCGATGCTAATTAAGAGAGCAATAAATAATAAGTCTTTATCACTTAACCAATATATCCTATTCTAATTGCCCGAGGATGGCGCTATCTTGCGCCATCCTCGGGCAATTACTATACTAGATATAAAAAGGGAAGTCTAAAAATTATTTTGATTTTTTCTCTTATCATAGACTAAGGCATTAAGGCTAATTTCTTAAATCATTACATTTTGACAAGCTCTCTTACAATAGTTTTTATTTAAATATTATCATAATTGATTTGCAAAATAGATATGCATAAAATTGCAGGTGAAGAGCGAACAGTCCTTCTCGTGGTCGATGCCCTTATGTATATCTAGACAAGGATTTTTAGCGCAAAGAGCTACCAAGGGTTGGCCTCGAAGCGAGAGGCCCAGAGATTTTCCTGCAGATTGGTGGCTTGGCTGGAGCGGCAGCTTTTTGCATCTTTTTTACCAGCAGTGCCTCGACCCGGCTGGGTGTCCGATCGAGACAGATCAACTAGCCTGCTTAGACTAGTGTGTGGCCTGTCCCAAACGAGCACAAGCTTCTTGAGTTTATTTCGGAGCTGATCCGGGGAAAAGGGGAAGATAGAATAAACAAGGTTTTTAAGGGTAGCCTTCCAGCCAAAAGGGCTCGTTATGAGACGATCTAGCCTGAGCTAAGCAAGGTTGGCTAATAGTGGCTTTGAGTTGGGGAGGGTGCAGCTCAGCAAAACCCGTCCTTGGATCAAAAAGGTGCGCACTGCCGAGAATCCAGGAGTTTCGCTGTGTGAAAACATGTTACACACAGATAATTGAAGCTTTAAAGTCATAGCTTAATCTCAATTTACAAAATGGAGGAAAACAAACCCCGTGCACGCATGGTAGACGAAGAAATCGAAACAGATGAAATTGAATACTGGGAGCGAGCAACCACAACTAACCCTCCGAAAAACAAAAAGCTCCAAGTCGACATGACCCCCAGCATCGACATCGAAAATTTAAATCTCTCAGGTTTCCTCCAAAGAGTCATGCCGCTTATGGAAACCCAGCTGGACAAAGCCACCAAAGCTTTCCAATACTACGAAGTCGAATGAGGCGTCGACAATGATTTAAACAACCTTGTCACAGCTTTATCAGGGCCTAATATTGAAGAAGAATTAAAAACCGAAGTAAAAGGTGACGAATATTTCCTCAGAGGCGAAAAAGTGTTAGTCATAAACTTAGCTGTATCTTGCTTTAGCTGAAATTGTAGAGGAACCTCAATAGCTGTAGGATATACTCGAGAAGAACATAGAGGCTGGTGTCCTCATAAGTCATATATAAGAATATGGACTTTATTTAAGCGTGAACAAAAGTATGTAGAAATTGAAGTGGATGGCTGCTTGACTGCTTTAAGCTTTCATCCGACATTGCCAAATATATTAGCTGGAGGGACGTATAACGGACAAATGATATTGTGGGATTTAGATAAAAGCGACCCTTATAAAACAAATTCTATAATTGATGAGTACCAGCATAGGGAAGCTATAACTTCTTTATTGTGGGCTGTTTCGCCTGTAAGGCTGCCTCAGCTATTCTCAATTTCAACAGATGGAAAAATTTTGCAATGGAATTATGAAAATTTGGAATTTCCTTTAAGAGGGTTTATATTGAAAATAAAATCGCAGCTTGAAGGAGGGCTATGCTTTAGCATCCCGCATGAAGAAGATAGCACAATTATAGCAGGCTCAGAAGCGGGGAAAATCATGAAGCTTACTTTTTCTGAGCTAAATTCACAAAGTATTCCAATGGACGGTATGAAATGGAAACCAGAAGCTGAAATGATATTAAATAATCTAAATACCGGGCATAGACAACAAGTATATAAAGCAGCTGTAAGATACGCAATGGATATGCAGCTGAAAGAAGTGGAGCCGAAGTGCATTTTTTCTTGTAAGCCAGACTTGATGAAAATGTATGCGAACCCAATCACTTTTCACTATGAAAATCATGATGGGCCAGTTTTAGGGATCGCCTGCAATCCTTTTCATAGGAATTTATTTGCAACTTGTTCTTCTGATGGGACTATAAGGCTTTACCATATATTATCCTCAAAGCCTATACTTACTGTAGAACCAAATCCGAATAAAAGAATAATATCAATCAGCTGGTCAGAAACCAGGCCTCTGGTACTTGCTGGAGGCTCTGATGATGGGAATGTCTATATTTATGATTTTTTGCAAAATCAATTCAACCATGTTGCAACTTTGAAAGGGGACCAAAGATCTAAAGTAACTGGAGTAGCTTTTAATAAAGCGATGAGAGATTATTTAGGAGTTTCATATATCAGTGGAGAAGTGAAGGTCTTCCAACTGTCACCTGTTTTTACATCAAGCCTTCCAGATGAGCACAGGAGGCTGCTTTTATTACTAGAGCATGAAGATTAAATATAAATTAATTTAGAGAAATAGTATAAACTTTTACTTCGAAATAAAACTATAAATAAGAATAAAAATATGATAAAGATACTTATAGATTTCATAAGATTTTTGAAATAATTTATGGCTTTTGATATTAATTTAATGAAAAAATAATATCCTTGAGAATTTTATAATAATTGCTTTGAAACTATTCTGATGTTCATGGGAAAAAAACTCCTCAATGTTCTTTTCTCGTAATTTTAGCTAATAGTCAATAATAAAATGGATATCACTGGTCAGCAAGCATATGAACTCAGTGAATTTAGTAAGAAAATTTTGAGCCAAAGACTGAATTTGATTAATTTCCGTGCTAGAGATCCAAGTCCTGTTATGAAAATAAGAGATATGCATCAGCCCTGCAGAGGAGAGATTAAAAAAATTCAAGGCTCAATTCCAAGTATAAAAAAGTGGGAAAATGATGATTTCATGAATTCTACTTGTATACAAGTCAAGCTGTACAAAGGTTAATATATACATAATGCCTATAGTTAATACAAGAACTTATCTCCAAAAGTTAGTATAGATAATTCCTGGGGATAGCGCGGAATACGCTATCCCCAGGGCCAACCGGGATCGGATTCACACATGGAACGGGAGTTCCATGTGTGGATCCATTTTTTACATGTGAGATATTTACTTTCACGTGTGAAAAATGGATCCACACATGGAACCCTCGTTCCATGTGGATCCGATCCCGGTTGGTCCTGGGGATAGCGTATTCCGCGCTATCCCCAGGAATTTTCTATAAACAGCTCTCTGGTTGTTTTTTTTTAATAAATTTTTCTAACATGAATAATTCAAGGTATAAAAGATTTGTAATCTGCATAAATATTATTAGATTTACCTTAATTTATTTATATACCACTTATAAAAGTCTTATATAATTATAAAGAGGAGAATTTTGTTTTATTATGACTTATCGCTTAATTTGTTGATAATAAATAATAAATCTTATTTTTTTGGTGATCAATAATTTTTTATAAATTGCTGAAAATATTTGAGCTTAAAAAAATTAAATTCCGCCTTTGTTAATTAATTGATTTTTTAAATGGAAACCCAGTATAATTTATTAGTTCAAAATAATACTTATAAAATGAAACATCCAAGTATTTCAATGACCTCAAGAAAAGCTACACGCTTACGTTTCTTAGAGCAAGAAAGTGACCACCTCTACGCTTACAAAATCGACCTCGAAAAAATTCTGTCAAAAACAAAAGAAGTCCTCAATGAATTGCTTTTCTCAAAAACCCCCACATCTAGCCAACAGCTCGACGGCTCCTCTGAAGACACAGCTTCCACATCTCTCATCCTTCTAAAAAGTGTAGAAACAGCCTCGTCAGAAAATTCAGAATTATTTAATTCAGTTTGCAAAGCAAACTCATTGAGAGATACAATTGATGCAAAGGTGCTAATATCTGAACAGATTTCAGAAGAATGTGCTAGAAAAGAAGCAGAAATATTAGGAGAAATTGATGAGCAGAATAATGATTTAAAGTATTTATTAGAAAAAAAGGTTAACAGAATTAATATGCTTAATGCAAAAGCAAGGGATTTGGAAGATCATCATGCAAAAATGAATAGGGAATGCACGTTGCTTTTGCAGCTTTCACCTGATAATTTGAAAATATTGGTAAAACTGGAAATGCTGAAAGAAAAACTTTTAAGAAAATCAAAAGAGCTTCAATTTTGTGAAATGCAGAAAGGAAAACTGAGGGCATATGCTGAGGATATTGAAGAAAAAATAAGGAGATGCTTATTGCTGGCGAAAAATCCGTTATTGAAAATAAAGAAAGCGATAAATTTACAAGAAAATACACTGGAAAATATATTAATCGATTCATTGGACATTTCAAATTCATCAGAAGTTGTTTTTCCTGATAACTTTAAAAATGAAAAAGAAAATGATCCAGTTCCCCGCCTTGATTATAGTGCTCTTCACCAAAAGAACGAAGAATCTAATCAAGAGAAAAATAGCCAAAAATCAAGCATAAGGAATCGGATAAAAGATTTACAAGGTTTATGCAATAGCAAAGCAGAAGAATTAAATAAATTAAGAAAACTTATCAAGGACCAAGACGAAAAAATGGAAATGCTTATATCTCAAACAAACCTTAAGCCGAAACCAATTACAAATGAAAATAATGAAAAAATTATGGGAAAGCCAAAGCCAAAAAAAGCAATGAGCAATCCTCTCGAGTATCTTAGTGGAAACAAAGAAGATTTAAGCAATAAAATCAAAGAAATCCCGAAATTACGAATAAACGATACTGAAGGCATTGAGGATGAAGAAGAAGATTATTATCCAAATGAGTTAATTAGCTTTATAGCCAGTGATGTAGCTAAATGCGATTTTGAAGAGCCTGACAGCTTACTAATTGGCTATATTAACGAAATCCACTAGCTTATTAATATATACATTTCATAAATTATTAATTTAAATCGCATCCTTTATACAAATTTAAAATAAATTCAAAGGAGCAACAATGCATCCAAGCTTATATGGGATTTTTTCCCTCTTGGTATGGATCCTTAAACCTGGCTTCTTAAAAGAATGGTCATGATTTTGCTTGATTTTTTCATTTTGAGGAGTCAAATTGCTAGCTTTGATCAAAAAGTTTTCCCTCTCATTGATGCTTTCATAGTTTAAATTCATTGATTTATTTCTTCTGTTTCTTCCGCTCTTTCACAATACATTTTCATAGAAATTTTGTCTCAAAAAAGGAGAATAGCTATTAGCAACTTTTTGGTATCGTTCAAGTGGCTTAGGCTTTATCACTTCAATCTTAAAAGGAGTGCTTTTATTGAAACTGTCCTTAATTATCATTTCCAGAGTTTTATTTGGATGCGATTCTATGTTGTTTCTATTTTCTATAGTAAAACTGTCAATTGCTTTATCATAGTCCACATCTTGGTCTATACAAAGACTCTTTCTCCTGAGTTTTGAGATAGCAGACTGAATCCTATAGTCACTTTTTGACGCAGGTTCTTGGATCTCAAAATCAATTGTTGAGGAATTCTTTGATATATTTAGCTTATTTATTAACTTAGGTGTTTTATGTCTCCTTTCTGCAATTTCTTTTAAATTCAGTTGAAACCTTGCACCTGAGCTATAGATTCATCCAGAAATTTCGTCATTTCGGGAAGGAGTTGGGCTCATATAACGCTCAGATTCGTCTGCTAAATCTTGGGTGACTTTAGATTCTCTTGCTTTGCTCATATTTCATTATATTAAATTTCACGTAACAAAAAATAATAGTTTGCATAATTATTCAGCTATTAAAAAAATCATAAATTAATAAAGTAAACTTCAGGGTAAATTTTCATAATCGCCGGATTGCTTTTATAGATAATTATATTTTGCTTTTCAAGTAAAATAGTAATAGTAACTTAATATTATCGATAAAAATTGTATATATACTGTATTGAAAGCGAGTATAGTCTAATATTCATATATATTTAAATTTTTCTTTTTTTATAATAAATAATATTTAATTGTTTATCAATATAGCATATTTAAATGTTGGAAGATTATGAAATGCCTTTAGATTTGCAGCTAAGCCAATCTAATTTTGAAACTATATTTTATAAAAAGCAAGGATACGCAGTCATAAGAAACTTAGCTTTAACTTGCCAACTAAATACTATTGGTAATAGACTTCAGAGCTGAAGAGTATTTCTAGGCATCTTCCAAGAAAATTCCGATATCTCATCTTGGGAGCAAACAATAGTCCAGTCAAGAAGGGCTTTTGCTCAGCTTAAAAGCTCAACACAAATAGATGGAAAGGGTGGAGACCCGTTAACTCATCATTCTAATGTGAGAATTACGTCAGAACCCATGAAATCAATTATATAAAGACAAAGACCTGAAAAATGAAATACAAAGAGACGTCGACAGAACTTTCCAAAAAAATCCTTTTTTCAGGCTAGAATTTGTCAAGAAAATGATGATCGAGGTCCTTTTTATATGAGCAAAAGCACACCCAAATATAAGCTACAGACAAGGAATGAATGAAATTCTTGCTTTTATAGTCGTTGTTGTTTATGGAGAGAGAGCACATGGAAATATTACAATTAAAGAGCCATCTGCAAGAGTCTTAACTTCCCCTTTTAATTTGGAAAAAAAAAATCTTGTTCAAATTTAGAGAGGGGTTAATTTTATTTTTTTAAAATTTAAAAAATATAAATCGAACAATGCTTTGAATTTTAATTTATTTTCATAAAAAGTTAATTAAAACAATTAATCTATTAATGTAAAACTTTTTAAATAACATTCTACTTGTATTTTCCACTAAATTAGTTCAAAACTAATATTATATAAAAATTAGTATTTTAATCTTTAATTTAAAAAATATACTTTGAATTTTAATTATTTTTTTATGAAGAATTAATTCAAAAAATCAATCTAATCAGCGTGAAAACTGTTTAAATTATATTCTACTACACTTTTTCCATTAAATCAGGTCAAAGCTAATTTTATAAAAATTTGTTCTTTTAGCTATAAAATTTTCCTATGATCCAACTTAAAAGGAATTAAAATGCCAAAAAATATGGTAACTTTACCAATGCTTTGTTCCAATTTAAAGGAAGGGAGAGTAAGATTATTAAATGATGAAGACAGCATAGAAAGTGATGTATATCAGCTATTTGATAGAATAATGATTATGGGTCTTGCAGATTTGAATGCTCCAGTAGAAAACCAAGAGCTCCCTAATAAGAAAGGAAGACTTCTGTTTTTAGACCCATTAAATCAAAGATATCAAAGTGAAGATCTAAGTGCATCATTAGTACTTAGAAAATGCAATTTAATATTCCATGTTTATTTAAAAGCTATAGATCCTCAGTTATATGAACATTTAGATAATGAAAAAATCGAGCCTCATCTATTTTTATTGTAATTGATATTTAGACGGTGGCTGAGATGTTTATGCGCTAGAGAATTCACTATGTCGAATGTACTGATATTATGAGACGCAATTTTTGCATCCCAAGCAATAAATATAGAAAACAACAGAGAAGATATCACTGGAAGGATTGATAAGACAAGAGAGTTTGTGATGCTTGATTTTGTGTCAGTTGCTATGATTGTGTTCGTGAGAAACCATTGTAATAGTTATTCAGTGGTTAATGCAGACTCTGCAAGCATTTTACAGAGATTGCTTAAGTACCCTCCAGTTGAGGATATAGGCTCACTTGTGGATTTGTCTATGAAATGCAGAGATTTTATATTCAGCGGAGATATTAACAAAAAACCGAATTTACCTGATTTTCCGTTTATTGAGCCACCAAGAAAGACTGAAAAACAAAAAAAAGTCGAAAAAAAATATTCCGAATCAAAAAGCAAGAAAAAACAAGAAGCACAAATGATGACTTTACACTCATTTTCTCAATGGAAAAATGAATCATCGTTGCAAAATGACCTAGAAGTTCTTAATAGCTCTTTGAATTCTGTAAATGAAATAATTGAGCTTATTCAAAGCCAAATATCAAGGTAAAAAATATTCAGTAATTCATATAGTTTGGAAGAAGCAGTTCACGCCCACGAAGAATTAAATAAGATTAAGCAAGGCTTTACTACTTAATTTTAGAAAATTTAAATCCATTTTCTCTTTTACAACTCTATAAATTCTATTTTTAGCAAATCTGAAAAATCTATATGAATCTTTATAAGTTTAATTTAATCACAATACCAAAAACGAGACTTTATTATCTATAAATAATCGCTGTGTATTAAGACGGAGAATCAATGAAGATTTTTTGGCAAAGCTTAATCTGGTCAGTCTGAAGATCACATACATTGATATTCATATCAACAGGACACTCCTCGCTTTGATAGACACTATCAACTGCCACATCAATTTTAAATTCAAAATTTGCATGATTCGAATATTGATCAATGGAAAATTTGGATAATAATTTATAAAAAACATCGACAAGTTTTTGAGATGGCTCAATCGAAATGACGCTGCAATTTTTTTGGTACTTAACCCGCAAAATTTTGCCTCTACTGAACTCGGATATCCTTATTATAGAAGCATTTCTCATAGGAGATTCAGGCTCGTATGTGGGCGAGCAGCATAGTCCAAGACAGTCTTCATTTAAATCTTTTAGCTTGAGGCTTTTATCGATAATTAAATCAATGTCAGGTATATGTGAGTCATAATCCATTATGCATACATCATAACCTTCAGACTTAGTCCCATATGGAAGTTTAATTGGCTTTGGAGTATTGTTAATGCATACGATGATTGTTTTTTTAATAAGGTCCAATACCTTATCTTCAATTGAAATTTTTATATTCAAAAATTTTGTTGAGTCGAATAAATAGACTTTTATGCTAATAAAATCAGCACTTCGGATGGTTGATTCTGTAGCTTCCTGTCGTCACAAAACCTCTGACAACAACTTCAATAGCAAACTTTCCATGCTTTTGATAACTAATATATTTTTATATATATAAAAATTTGCATGATATGAAAATCGTTCGATCAAGGATAGGGGTTAATCTTCCCAATTTTTAGGAATTTTTACAGTCAATCGTTCGATCAAGGATGGGGGAGTCAGCATTTTTTATCTGACAGATTTGAAGGCTCTTTTAGTGATTGAGTCAATAAGGAAGTTCTCTTTTCAGTTATATCATTTGAGAGATACTCATCTTCTTTTAGAATAATTATATCAGAATCATTATTCGTACTTAAGTCCGATTGAGGCTCCAGAATTGGCGAGGGGTCATTAGCTTCATTTTCTACTTCATTTCAAGAAATATTTTTGGAACTCTGAGGAGAACTCAAAAGTAGCTGGTGAATTTTAGAGCTGTAGGAAATCACCTCTAGTTCACCATTATTCTCAGCATTGTTTTGTGGGTCGAATCCATTACAACTATTAAGGCTTGCAAATCGGCTAAGCTCGAAAGACTCTGAGAATTCCATTATTTTTGTTGAGGTCAGAAGTTTTAAAGAGAAAATTGGACAGATAAATATGGTCGTTTTAATACCTTTAAGACACAATAAATTGAAGAAATCAGAAAATAAGTTAAGAATTTTTTAAAGATTTGGCTTTAAATTTACTGGCTATGCTATGCTATCTTTTTTTAATAAAATACCATACTTTATTTAAATAATGACTGAATTATGATCTTATATTCTAACAAGTTTTTTAAGTCTAAAGACTTAAAAATAAAGCAATTTTTAAAGATAAAATATCCTATTAATGAAAATTGACAATATCACATCTAAATACAATAAATGCTTTATTTATTAGTTACAAAATGAACCTATATGTCATGAAAATTTTTGGGTAATAATATTTGGATTCTCTTACAAAAAATCAGAGGATTCTAATTATGAATATTAAAAATCATTAAATACTCTAAATTTATACTTACAATTGATTAAATATTAACAAAATAAATACCAAATGAATTATTTGGAAAAAATATTTTCAACAAAGCACGCAAATTGTTGAAAATCCATCCCATCTGATTCTAATCCTTCAATAAAATCATCATGGGCTATGTTCCTATCAATTGCCTCAATTATATCTAATAAGGCAATTTTCCCCTTTTTACTTCTATCAATATAGTTAAATACTTCATGCAATTTTTCCTGAGTTGTCACAATATGTTTATCGACTGAAATTGCAATAAATTCGATAAACGACAAATTAAAATCCTCAAAATGAGGAGAAGACTCAGCATGTTCAGCCCTTTGCTTTATTTGATGCTCACTATTTATAAACTGTTCAATTTGATCTTTAATTTCAATATCAGAACTGAGAAAACTCAAATAATTCAAAACATACTTCTCAAAATTGTTTAACCCTTGGTAGTTTTTTACCAAGAAAGGATCATAATTATAAACCTTTTGTGATCCTATTTTAACATCCACAAGCCAAGGATGATTTAAGGCTTCTTTTGCTGAAATTCTATCACTTGGGCTGATAGTTAGTAATTTTCTTACTAAATCTTTTGCTGACTCCCCCCCCCTCCGTGAGTGAACAAAAAAAATTTTTGTTCACTCACGGAGGGGGGTTAATTTTTTTTTTAAAAAAATTTATATATAAATTTTATAAAAAATATTTTTTTTTCTAAATTTAAAAAAATCCTAATTCGCAAAAATTGGAAGGCAAATATTAATTTAATTTATAAAATTTATGTTTTAAAGAGCAATTCGTTTAAAATTAAATAGAATTAGCTCTAGATTTTATTATACTAATTATCATTTATATATCAAAAATTTTTTCCATAAAAAATTTTTGTATTAAAAAAATTTTTGTTCACTCACGGAGGGTGGGGTTTTTGGGCAAAAAATGGTGATTTTTTCTAATGGTTTTGTTCACTCACGGAGGGGGAGGGGGAGTGAGTCACTAACCAAGCTTCATTCCTCTTCTTCAAAGCTTGGACTAAAGTTAAGGATTGTATTAAGCATCTCATCTTCAGAGTTGCCTATATAAGGAGGATTTCCAGATAGCATCATATAAAGTACTACTCCTAGGCTTCACTCATCGCATTTTTCATTATAGCTCCCTTGCAATACTTCAGGGGCCATATAATAAGAACTTCCGACTTTTGCACTTACTCGCTATTGATATAAATGCATTGAAACGATTCAGTTAAAGTTTATTTATAACAATTAAGATCTTCTTTCTAATAAAATTCAATTAAATTAATGCAATTGCATTATAAAAGAGAATAGCATAATTAATATCATTAAAGGTATTAATTCGAAAAACTTGTGATTTAAAGTTGGTCCAGATGATGGACGAAAACCGCAATTTAATTTAAGTCGAAAAAAAATTTATTTGAGTCATTTTATAAGTTAGAACATTTTTATTGTAATAATCTGAAGCTATTCCAAAATCAACCAATTTAATAATAGCATTATTGCTGATACTGGACAATAAGAAATTTTCAGGTTTAACATCTCTATGGACAATATTTTGGCCATGGATATAACTAATTGCCGACACCATTTGTTTAAATAATTGCGCACAGTCTTTTTCCATTATTGCTCCCTCAAGAAGCCTGTTATAAAGGTCGCCCTCAGGGCAGTATTCTAAGGCTAAATAAATGTTTCTGAAATCTTCAGAGACCTCATAAAGCTTGATTATATTTGGGTGGTCCAAACGCTTTAGAATTTCTGCTTCATTGCTAACATTACAATTTTTCTGTTTAGGAATGATTTTTATCGCTGCTTCTCGAAAAATATTGGGAATGGTGCCTAGAAATATTGTTCCTGCTGATCCTTCAGCGATGCATTCTTTGCGGAGCCTATAATTCCTTCTCTCTGAGTTTGGGTAAAAATGAACGAATTTGTCCTTCAACATTCTTTCGAGATCTTTCATCTTTTATTATCAGAAATTGAATTATTTTAGCATAAAGGGAAATAAAAGATCACCAAAATACTATTAATTTTTACCTTACTCCCACCCCATCCTTTATCAATATTAATTTTCTATATAATTTTTCCAAAAATTTTTTAAATCCCATCCTTGATCGAATGATCAGGAGCATTCGATAAAGTATAGAGGGAAGTTAGAAAAGTGTTTTGCATTTTTATTAGTTATAAATGTTCCATATGGGTGATTGAATAAAATCTGTAAAAATAGCCAGCAAAAGAACGGTAATTGCTGAAATAATTTATCAAGGAATATGGACTGCTAAAAGGCAATAAAAACTGCGATTTTTTAAAAAGCTAAAAAATTCTATTAAAATGCTATATAAGTGAGATTAATGTATTGGCGTTGGGTAAAAGTTAAAAAGTAGTTAAAAACAATCAAAAAAATTATGAATTATTTGAAAATTCATGATGGTGAAAATTAATAAAATATAAGGTCAAAATAATTTGTTAGATAGGTAGTTAATTTTAGCATATATACAAAATAATAGTGTCAAAGATTTAGTGAACTTTTAAAAAGAAACTCAAATATATAGGGCTTTATTAATATTTCGACTCTTAATATAATTAAAGTAGCTTCATAGCCCAGAAATATTCACATCATGGACAAAAATATATTGTCATGTTACTTATAGAAGAACCCTGTAGTTTCCAAAGGACCAGCTCCATCATTACCGCCCCTCAGTCTACCCACAAGCTTATGTACTACATAAAAAAGGGTACTCCTTCAGGATAAGAGCCCAACATGAAAAGTTCAAAATAGTTGAATCCTCTACTATCTGTCAAAATGGAAGTTCGAAGCTTAGGTCTAAATCATGGTTTAATAGTGGAAATTAGTCCCGATTGCCCAGAAAAATAGCTACTTGCTCTGTTGGGATATCTTTTTTTAAACTTTCGACTCTTTTTTCAGAAGCAAAAACTAAGAAGTATGTGGTCAGCTATCCTGACATTGCGCTCATCAAGCCAGGAAAAATCTGGCCGGATGCACACTCTCGAACGCCATCCTCCCTCCTCGAGGTGCTTGCACACCCTATGTGATATCGGCTGTAGGAGTTTATAGAGTAAGATGTTCGCTATGCCATTTAATGTTGGGCCAAAAATATATAATTGCAAGTATAGCTAAAATATTATTTTTGAAACTAATTAACGAATTTTCTTTCACTTTGAATTAATTGATTTTGGGAAGTCAACTTTAATAAATTTTTCGCCCAGAATAATCTTAAAAATAAGCTAAACTTTGCTACTTTATAAAAATCTTTACCTACTCTCCACAGAAATTTAAAACTCTTATGATTAAGTAAATTTCTTTTCTCTCTCGTGGAGGTATTAGGCTCGATCTAATAACTAACAAATTACTTGCATGAGAATTTCATAAAATAATTTTATATTTTTTAAAATATTTTTTTAATATTTTTATTATTTAAAATCCTCTTGAAAAATCTTATGAATTTGGAATTTTCATAAATAAAATTTCATTTTATATATTTCACACCAAGTAATAAACAAAGAAATAATTATTATTAAATGGTGGGAGTTAGAATTTTCATTATCTATATTTCAAGGAAAAATGATAATTACTGATAAGAGATGCTTTATTACATCTTAGCTATATTTAAAATCAATTATACAATAAATAAACGCTGTTAGCTCCAGAGATGGACATGATCAGAAATGCTTTTAAATGCAAATAAAATGTCATTTATTTATATATAATTCACTAGCTTATCCCAATTTATAGCAAAATTTTAATTAATTATTAATTGAATTAAATTTACATTATTTGAGTAATATTAGATATAATAATTTTAGTGCCATTTCATCTATAAAAACCAAAACTTCACACCAAAAGAATTCATTTATAAAAGCTAAGAGATATAAAAAATAAACTTTTAATTTTTTAATAAATTGTTGTCAGTATGCTTCTTATATTTTTAATATAGGGGGAGTAAGCTAAATATCAATATTTCATTCAAGATAATTTAATATGCCACCTAAATATTAAAAAATTCAATTAGGTATACTATTTAAGCCTGATGCTACCTCAACCTATTGTCTATGAAATTGTTTCATATCTTAGCTTACCTGAACTCTTTACAGTTACACAAGTGAACAAGTCCTTCAACAAAGCAGCTGAGACTCCTTCCCTTTGGAAAAGAGAGTTTCTAAGGATCTGAATCCAAGATCAAGATTTAAAATCTGAGCTTGAATTTAATGTCCACGGATTTTGGAAATATCTATGCATTAAAGGACTCAAATCTCAAATCAATTGGAAAAACCTATCAGGGAGCTTATTTACAGACGCAGAAGTTTCGTTCCTTTATGATGAACTCCAAACTGCTTTGAAATCTCCTCTAATCCCTTGCATAGCTTTTAGAAGGGACATACATTCATTCCCTACATTACTACAAGATGTCTTTGGAAACCCTATGGATCAATTTTCAGAGGATATGGACATAGATTACATTAGCACATTTGAAAATTATATGAACTCAGCCGGGAGTTACTTATGTGCTGAAATTCAGAGTTTATCAGATTTAACCTTATTAGCCGCCTCAAGATGAAATTTAGTATCAGCTGAGGCCATATGTGAAGATAGGCCAAGCAACAGTTCAGAGTCTACCTGCGATACTGATGAAGAAGTTTCATGCAAATTTTCTTATAAAGGAACAAAAAGCCTTTTATTACAATTTTATGCGTGCTTAAAAAAATCAATTGAGCTATTCTGTGAAGGAGTTTCTTACAGTTTATTAGAAAGCAATGACATAATAAACGAATATGTGCAAACTTGGAATAATTTTTCAGCCTCAACTAAAAATATCAATGATTTATTCAGCCCTTTGACAGAAATGATCAATGAAGTGTATGATGCAAAATTCGGAGAAAATTGTGAAGCTCCAAGGCTGAATTTGGTAAGAATTATGATTGCTTGTTGGAGGAGGATTGTTTTTGAAAGAGTCCAAGACAAATTGATTGACCAAATTTTAAGGATGATTAAGCAAGAAAGGATCTCAGTGATTGAACAAAAAACAGATTACAACGTGCTTGATAGCTTAAAAGGCGTTGTGGATGCAATTATGGATATTAGCTTAAATGAACTTACAGTTTATTTAAAAAATCATTCAAAACTGCAATTAGAGGGCCCATATTTAGGACTTCATGAAGCAATTCTTTCAGCCTCATATGAAAATTACTCAGAGTTATCATTATCTACTTCTAACCTAGCCTTATTTTTTGAAAAAGAGCACGATCTTTTATCAAATTTCCTACCGAATTCTACATTAATGCAACTAAACCAGCTTAAAATCAAAATTTTAATTTCCAGCCTCCAAAACTCTTTAGTCCAAGAATTCCAAAGTTTCAAGCCAAACCCATTCCTAGCTTCCTCTCGGCACTATTCCAAAGACTTTGCAGCCTTTTTATATCAAATTGACTCCAACACACACAAAATTTCAGCATTCCTTGACTTTTGTACAAGTAACTTAAACCTAGCAAAAGATTTAGAAATGCTTGAAATGCTAAACAAAGAACTATACAATGAACTTACAGTAGAAGATGACTATTTCATAGAGCGAAGAGCAGAACTCGCAGGAGTTCCCACAAGCATACAGCCAGAAAAGCTTTTGTTGTTCTCCACCTGCCGAGACCTAACATATCCTCAGTTGAAGAATCTATTAAAAGCCTGTACAGTTTAATGATTGTATGTTTAATCAATTTTCGCTTTTTTTAATTAAATTCTCGAATATTTCACCTAATTTTTTTAAAATTAAATTATGCTCCTTTCTCATCATTTTCTAAACTTTTTAAAGCTTCAGTTAATAAGACAGACTTTTCAATGCAGCTTTGGATTAAGCTGGAGTAAAGTGCTCTTTCATCTTGAATCAGCTGGATTCTGATTCTTAATGAAGGGTGGATTTCTTTAGAAGGGTCATTAACATCAAGCTTATACCATCCTTCTTTGACTCTTTGGTCTTCTAGATCGTTTAATTTAATTTGGAAACCTCCAAATATAATCAAAAAATGGCGTCATTCGAATTTTCTGGTCTCCCGCTGAAAATTTCTCTTCCTCAATTTTTTTGATTATGAGGTTTGGCCTTCCCCAGGGAATTTAACCCGGCAATGACAGGGCTTTAAGTTCCTGTGGTGTGCGACGCAGGAATCCTGTCACTCAGGGAATTCAAATTCCTGGTAGGATGCCACTAATCCCAGGCGGTGTGGCGAATGGGACCTTTAGGGCCTGACGGACCCAAGTTGGTTTGCCTGAGAGCCGGAAGGACGGCTGTCGAAACCCGAATGCCGAAGCCTATGGAATCATTCAGCTTGAAGCCAGGTAGCGCACGAAATTTTGGTGGAGAGGAAAACCAAGAAGCAGGACGAAGCCTGCGCATGTGATGTGGTATTGGACGTTAAGCGTATATAAATAATCAAATAAGTAAGAAACCTCCAAATAAGTGATTTTCTGATGAATTTTCTTTGGACCACACTTTAAAAGAGAGACTTGAGAAATTATCCAAGGTTTGTTTCAGCTCAAATAGCCTATACCAATATGGCTTATATGTATCAGATGCAGTTGTTTCACAAATAGGACCTTTAGGTTCTAATTGAACAGTCACATAAGGCTGTCCCTTAGTAAAGCACAAGCCTTCTGTGTACAGGCTAACACCTTTCTGGATTTCAATATTTAATTCCGGAATTTGTGGAGACCCAGCAGTAATTGAATCAAGCTTTGCTTGAAATTCAAGTTTTTTCCGCTGATAAAGTCTCAATTTTTCCTCCAGCCCTCGTTTATTCGTATCTTCTGCAATAGTTTGATCAATTGTTCTTTCGTACGGTATGCACAAGAAGCTCTGGTCATTTTTTCCGTTATAGTCTTTCATATGCTGCTCTAGCTCGCTTTTCGATACTCTACTTGTACAATCTCCCATATTAGTTATCACATTAGTTATTGTATTCACATAATTAGTCTATTTAAAGCTTTATTCTTGAATAAATCATCACATCGTCAACAGCAAAACTTGCCAAGCAAGGCTCAGATTTTAAGGTTGACCCAAATTTAACTTCTGCTGATTCGCTGATGTGAGGCACAGTAACATCAATATGAATCCCATAGCGGGTGTCTGGGAATTCTTGTCCACATATCTTTAGTCCACTGTGATGAGAAAGGCCACTTTGGCTTCATACGATATTTCCATCAATTTTCATATAGGCTGATTCGCCATTCCATGGGCCTAGCATATGTAAAGTTGCAGTTACTCTTAGTAAATTGTGCCTTGAAATATTGAAAGTTTTCCCGAGCTCTTGTTCGGCTAGCTCACATTTTCCTCCTAAGAAATGGTTAATTCCATCACAAGAGTGCCTGTCTAGGTGAGACCAGCCTTCGTGAGAATTTTGAAAAGTGTTGTGCTCTTTTAAGGACCAAGAAGTTTCAAGAAATGAAGAGGAAGATTGAGTGGAAAACAGTAAGTCACCTTCAATTGTTATAGAGCCTGTTCCTGAAGTTATGGTGTCGACATATATTTTTTCAGCTGTCATGTAGGTTGAATGAAGCTCGTTAGCCTTTAATGAAGAGGATATTGAGATGTCGCCGTCTGTTTCAAGAGATTCTGATTGGATTGAAGAGCAAGATACAATGCCGTGGACGTCAAAGTCGCCGTTGATTGTTGTGCCTGCTAAAGCAAATGGAATAAGTAAGAATATGAACATTATAAAAACGACTATAATAATTTTGTTTAGGCTTAAAACTAATTAAGGTATTTTTAAATTGATGAAATCTGAAACTTGGAATTTAGAATTCAGAATGAGGTCTAATTTACAAAACTTTAAATAATAATTATAACACAAATATATAAAAATTCTGAGAACAGGTATTAGTCATTGAGTTGTACAAAATTTTTTACCTCTTTTTGAAGCAGAAAATTTAAGTTAGCACTTTTCTTTTATAGTTTCAAGATAAGGATAATATTATTGCTGCCTGATATATTACTCTTATAACTTATAAAAGAGATTATCATAAATCTTCCTAAAGCAGTTTCGAAAATCATGCAAAAATTTTACTAGCATCAAGATTCAAATGATCTAAGTTTACTAAGAAGATAGATTTATAGTATATTTATTGCTTTCTTATGATTTTGAATTATAATTATAGCTACACTTTTATTACTTAAGTTAATATCAGTATAAGGGTTTAAAGCTCTTTTCTGCAGTTTATATTTATTTCAGTAAAATTAAATTGGGATATATAGCTCGTCTATCAAAAATGATCACACGTGTGTAATGGAAAGCACAATTATTATAATAAATGGTATCAGCTTTAGAATTCTATACCTATGGATTGATAATTTATATCCCTACTGCTTTTATCCTTTCATTTCTATTTTCGCTTTGCAAGGCATCAGCCCGAGTTGAAGAACCAGTGATTGTTGAAGAAGTTAAAGAAAACCCTAAAGAAAAAATTCCTAAGGGCAAAAAAGGAAAAATTATCCCACCCGGGAAAGTAGCGTTATGCAAGTGTTGTAATAGATACCTCACAACTGATCCAAAACTCGTCAGCCATGAAGAAGGTCAAAAGCATAAACAAAAAGCTGCTGGATTTCCATTTAAAGGAGAATGGTATTCTATTGTAGATGAAGAAAAAATGAAGCAAGCACAAGCTCCTCAGCCAAAAGCAGCCGATAATAAAAAATCTAGATAAAATTTACCTATAAGAAATACAGTTATAATAGATTCTATAAGCATGATATAAAATTCTAAAATGATGCTGCGCTTATATGCAACTATTTTCCTATGCAATGACAATATTGCTTTTTGAAAGATTAATAGTAACAAAAAATCACAGCCAAATCAATACAGAAAGGCTATTCATTTTCAAAAAACACAAAATTTTTTGAATAATTTAGGTGTATTTTATTTCTTAAACTGATAGCATCTGTCCATTTGTGATTTCACCCCAACCAATAAGTCTCCAATGTTTATCTACTCTTCTGCTCAAAGCTACTTTTTCTCCAATATGACAGCATACAGGCTTCGTAAGCTCAATTTTTGCCTTAGCTGTTTTAATCCCTAGCACCCTCCCTCCAGTTGATGTGCTTCCTACATTAACCATCAAGCATTCATCTTTTTTCAGTTTAGGAATCTACATAGACCTTACTTTATCATTTCTTGTTTTTCCTGAGTCCTTAACACCAAGTAGTCTTTTCAGTAAGTAATAGCAAATTTCCAGCTCTATATATATTTCAGGTAGCTGTCCTGGGTGGCCCAAAACATGCCCGACCAAGAAATCTCCTCTTGTAAGTGAAGGGTCCACTTTAAGCCCAACTCCAATAAGTCCGCCTGGCACTGCATACAGCAATTTATTTTTCTCTGCATACAAACTAATAATTCTTGACCTAATTGGCGTACAAACAGTATTTCCATTAGGACCCCTATTAATGATTCCTGGCCTAACTTCTACTTCATCTCCAATTCTTAATACACCTCTCAAAATGCTTCCACCAGCCACTCCTCCTACCAAATTCTGGATTTCTTCCCCAGGCTTGTTCACGTCAAAGCTTCTAATCACAATTAGCCTCGGAGTGCTTGAAAAATCTCTGACAGGGATTGGTATTGTGGAGCATATATATTGAAGGACATAATTAATATTGTATTCCAACTGCGATGAAATTGGAATAATCGGGGCATTTGCGGCCTTTGTTCTGGTAATGTAGCTTTTTATTTGTTCATAATGCTCTTTTGCAGCTTCTGGGGTAGGAATTAAATCTACTTTGTTCTGAAGGATGATGATTTTGTCGAGGTTCATGATTTCTAATGCTGCCATGTGTTCAGAGGTCTGTGGCTGGGGGCATGACTCATTCCCAGCAACCAAAAGCATGGCGGCGTCCATGACGGCAGCTCCGTTAAGCATGGTTGCCATCAAAATATCATGGCCAGGACAGTCGACAAAGCTTACATGTCTTTGAAGGACGATTTTTGACTTGCATTGGGGACAAATCAAGTTGTCTTCTCCTGATGAGCCTTTTGAAGTATAGCAATCTGGCTCTGGGCACGAACATTTGTAAATTTTAGCGTTAGCGTAACCTAATTTGATAGTGATGTTTCTGATTTTTTCTAAGCTGTGCTTTTGGGTTTTTACTCTGGAAATTGCATGCACAAGTGTTGACTTACCATGAGAGACGTGACCGATTGTGCCAATGTTGATTGTAGCTTGGCGAGAAATGACTTCTGGGGTTAGAGGGGTTAGCTGTGTAATATCAAGGTTTTCTAATGATTGCTCAAGGAGTCCTGATGACGATTCTACGGCTTCCATTTTATTATTACCATATAAGCCAAACTATTATATGAACGTCTTTCTTTTTTATAATTTTTAACTAAAATGCTTATTAATTATAATGCATCTAGATTTAGGAAATCTCCCTTATAGAATCGATTTTTCTTTTAGGTTTTGGCATGTATTTTTCAATATAGCTTTGCCTGTAAGTTGTATTAAACTGTCCATTCCAGCTTATTTTTGGCTCAAAGTTTTGTTTGAATTTTGAATCATGTTTATAAACATATTTTCTTGGCAGTGGTTTATAATCTCTTTGTGAAGTAGATTTTATGATTGATGGATTCACACTTGGGAAAAGCCCTTGTTTTTTAAAAGTATTTGGTGATAGCTTTAGCATGCTCTCGAAACCGTTTATTTCTCCTCGGAAATCCGAGTCATAAGTAGACATTGTGGCCATTTTCACTTCTTGTCCTCTATAAGGTAACACAGATGCACTTGCCCTGATAAATTCAACTTTTCCTCAATTAGGATACTCAGCTTGATAATTGCTTCTCCCCACAAATTTTAGATTGTCAGTTTCTCTACTGTTGTCTCTTCTATTCTTTGGCTGAGGATCAACAGAATACGCTTTAAAATCTTTTCTATTTGTGGTCGTAAAATCAATAGGCAAATTATTTTTAATATAAGATGGTTCTTCATATCTTGGTATTGGCTGCAGTTTATGCTTAGCATAATTACGCTGATACTCAGAAAGGAATTTTGATGACGCATTTCTATTGAGAGATTTGTAATCACCTGGGCAAATATGCTTACCACAGTTACAAAAATGGCAAAAGCATTGAAAAATTGTATGTTCTAGCTCTGATACTGGGGGTAATGAAGGATCATTTACAGCACATCATGGTTCTCCTTGATCTAATAAAATATGATCAGATTGAGAATTTCTTCCAGTGTGAGAAGGTCGGGGTGATTCAAAGCTATTTAGTAATGAACTATTTTGGTCAAGATCAGATGGTAAAGACTGCTTAGCATTGGGCGATATATTAACTTCTGGATTATCCAGTTTGTTAACGATGATTTCTGGTGAGTTGTTGATAACTGCTTCCATTTCTTTTGGAATTTATATAATTCCAATTAATAAGAAACAGAACGAAAAATTAAATTAATAAAGACCTAGTATAATAGTTTTTTATATTTACATCAGAATATTAAATTATTTTTTAACTCTTCAGATGTAAAACTCCTATATATTAGCTTCAAAATACTTCTCTTATTTTTTAACTATTTCAATAAATCACCTAATTAGTATATCCATATATAAATTCTCTTCCAATTTCTTATTAGCTTTAGCTTTAAGAGTTTTTTTCTAACTTCTACAAGCTAATTAACTTGTTCATTAAGAAGCTGTTTCATTTGTCAACAAGCACAGACTTAAAATCAAAAATGGAAGGATTCGACAGATCATCCCTCACAAAAGAGCAAGTGCTTAGAGTTTTCCAAAAATATGACTCTCTTCTGCCAAGCCTTCCCTCAATTGAAGAGCCTGAAAATGATACAAGTCCATGCAATTATGATCAGAATTACAACAGCGAAGATCTTTCAACCTCTGACCATATCGTCAGGACTTTTAAAGAAAAATATGACTCTTTATATTCAGGCACACGCGAAAACCAGCAAGAAGAACTTTCTTTAAGAATCCAGCAGCTCGAAGGCCTACTAGAAACCGAAAAGGTCCTTAAAAAAGTTTTAGAACAAAAATTTGAATTACACAAAAGAGAATTAATTAAAGCCAAAGAGAATTATGAGAAAATTAAAACTGAAGCTGAAAATTGAAAATCAATGTATGAAGAAGCATCAGAAGACCTCCAATCTATTCAATTTCAATTAGAATCTGCAAATAATATGTATGTAGGGAGAATTGCAAAACTGGATTCAGAAATTCAAGAACTGAAATCAAAGGCAAAATCTATGTCTTGTGAGGAAGAGCAACTCAATGAGCTCAGCATTACAGAAATTTTTGAGTTAGAAAAAAATCTTATCGATAATTTAATTAAAATTCAATCGATTAAAGAAGACAAACTTCAAAAAAAGCTAAGAGAAAAGAATGAAGGCCCGTTATGTGTAATTTGCAGAGAAAAAGGCATTAATATTATTCTTAAACCTTGCAAGCATGCCTGCTTATGTTCTGACTGCTCATTAAATGTATTGAATTGTCCAATGTGTCGAGCTAATATAGCTATAAAAGAAAAAATATTTATTGCTAAATAATAACATTTATATCTATTTAGCTTTATAAAGAAGACATAGTTAGAAAAATGATATAACTATTTTATAATTATCTTTATTAAATTATTAAATGAGATCTTTTTAAAACACATAAAGCAACAACTTGCATGAATCATTATTGACATGAATTCTGCTGGGAGAAAAATTTTAAGGTAATTATCTTATCATAAAAATTTCAAATTATATTTATTTAAACTTTAATTTATATTGTTTGAAGTCTTACTCTTGAATTTATGAATTGATTTTCTTTTAAAAAGATATAATTTTAAAAAATGTGCTTTAAGATGGCTGATATTTAAATTAAAAATATATAATTTAGCATTAAAATATTGCAAATTCCATTAAATATTTAAACTGGTTATGGAATAATTTTGGCAAAGCTGGTAAGAGCTTAAATTATGTGAAATAAAATAAGAATCTTCGTCATAAAATATTTTTTTGAATAAGTATTTAATATATTATACAAAAATGTAAAAAATATAAATGGAAGAAGACAACTTGAAAAAACCTGATTCCTAATCACATTCAAAAGCCATTAATATCGCATAGATTAACTTAAAATTAATATCTCATGTATGGAGTTTGAGAAATGGAACTAATTAAAGCTGCCATAGAGAGCCTCTTGATTTATGCAAAATTATTAGGAAAAATAGAAATGCTATTTAAGATTAATGGCGCCCACATTATGAATATAATTATTGCAATTACAAATAAAGTAACTTATAATGCATTTGCTTGTTCTCCGTTAAAAAAACTTTTTAAAACTTTATAAATTTTTTTTTATTATGGGAGTTGTAATTTAAGATTTATAATTGGACTAAACCTATAAGTTTGAGAAATAGTTTTCAAACCCTTTTATCAGCATTTTAGCTAGTTAAATCAGTCAGCATAACCAGTGATAATAATATGGAACGACAGCCAGAAAATCGAGTCTCAGCAAGTACAAGATACCGTCAAAAAAATCAAGGGGTTGACCAAAACTTTAATGATAGCAGAGGCTTCAGCAATTATCAATGTAACATGTGCAGGAAAATTTTGTCTTCTATCTCCTTTCGTCAGTGAACGAACAAAAAAAATATGCTTGCTCATGAATTATTTTTTTAATATAGAAATTTCCCGTAGATGGCACTGTTTGCCCTTGATTTGCCCACTGAAAATTTTTTTTGGTTTGACCAAACCATATAGTACTGGTCGAACCAAAAAAATTTTTCAGTGGGCAAATCAAGGGCAAACTGCGCCATTTAAGGGAAATTTCTATATATAATTTTTATAATAAATTTTTTTTTCGAAATTTAAAAAATCCCAATCCAAAAATCGTAAAGCAAATATTTATTTAATTTGTAAAATTTATGTTTTTAGATGCAAGCTTTAAAAATTAAACAGAATTAGTTAGAGATTTCATTATACTAATTATCACTTATATACCAAAATATTTTTTCATAAAAAATTTTATTTTTGCTCACGGAGGGGATTTTTCCAATGATTTTGTTCACTTAAGGAGGGGGGAATAAGCAAAACCTAAAAGAGCATATGTTCATACATACAGGCCAAAAGCCTTATGTTTGTAAAGAGCCAGGATGTGGGTTGACTTTCAGACAGGGAAGTCAACTTTCCGCTCATAAGAGAATCCATACGGCAATTCGAACTCTTTCTAATACAAGCGAAGAAACGGCGTACTTAAAGGTAAGAATTACATAGCTCACTTCTTTAGTGATAACAGGAGAATTTATATTGGAAAAATGCAATTATCCTTCTCCAGATTTTAATGTATAGTGAACTACACTGACTGGCACGGGGTGCTTTTTGGCTCAGTTTCGAGCCAAAAGCACCCCATGCTATTCAGTGTAGTTAACTATAATGGACAAGCCACTTATAGCTTTACCGCCAATTAGTGGACCACAACCATATAATATTAATTATTAAATGCGCAATTAAAATAAAAATTGCTTAGACTTGAGTAGTTAATCGATCGCAAGGTTACTGATTTATATATAATTAAATCTAGTATATAACCTTAAAATAGTTTGCATGAGCTGCAGACAATTTAAATATTAGTTAATTATTATTTTCTTCAAGAATAATAAAGGTTGAGTTTTTCCATATATTATCTCAATTTTGAAACTGGCGATAATTTGTAATTTTATAAGTAGTAATAGTTGATCTAATTAAATTCTATTAATTTTAGGTTCATAATTGCAATTTTATTCATAAATTTGAATTTCAGAAATCAGCCTTATGTTTATTAATTCTAAATATGGAAGTACACACGCATTGAATTCTCCCTTTTTAAATAGGTAAATTTCGCATAATTTTTTTAATTATCAATATATATATATGACATTCAAATACAACATAAAAATTGCATTTTATTCCTAAGGGAAGACGTAAGATTAAATTTTTAAAGAGTAATAAATCATATTTCTAAAGAAGCATTTTAGGATTTAAGCTGCTTCATAAAAATACATTAAAATATATAGATCTAAGAATATTAATAAAAATGACTAATTTTAAGGTGATGGATAATTTTAATATGGAATGTAACATTAGCTCTTAGAGGCACATTTATTTTATTAATCTACCCACAATCTAAAATACGCATACTTGATATTAATTTTAAAGTGTCCATATTTATAAAGCTTTGGGAAACTTCTGGATTGCAATACAAAAACAGTGCTCCATTAAAAAAATTAAAAAAAGTATTATACAAAATTATAAAAGTTGGTTTGATTGTAAAATCAATGGATATTTGATTAAAATAGTAAATCCAGTAAAACCCTGCATTTTCAAATAAAATAATTATAATAATAGCACAATATTCATATCAGAATATATTTGTCAAAAAATATCTATATGAATGATAAAGATTATCTTTCACATATGAATTGACTGTTTGGCCGAGCGGTCTAAGGCGGTAGCTTAAGGCGCTATTCCGAAAGGGCGTGGGTTCAAATCCCACAGCAGTCATTTTTATACTTTATTCAATTTTTCATTTTAAAATATGTTTTTTAATTAGAAACGATATATGCTTCGATTTTTTGATATTAATAAAAATTCTTTAAGTATCATGATATCCACACTGTGCATTTTATTGCAAATCTTATCAATTAATACTCCTAAAGTTTACATAGCTTTTATAATAAATTTATTGCTTGCTCCCCCCTTCGTGCACGGAGGGGGGTTCATTTTTTTTTTTGAAAAAAAAATTATATATAAATTTTAAAGAAAATGGTTTTTTTTCGGAATTTAAAAAAATCCCACTTGTCGAGGATTGGAAGGCAATTATTAATTTAATTTGTAAAATTTATGTTTTAAAACGCAATTTGTTTAAAATTATACAGAATTAGCTCGAGATTTCATGATACCAGTTATCACTTATATATCAAGATGTTTTCCCATAAAAAATTTTTTCTGTTAAAAAACATTTTTATTCGCTCACTTACGGAGGTGGGTTTTTGGCAAAAAATAGGGATTTTTGTAATGTTTGTTCGCTCACGGAGAGGGGAGTTTATAATAAGCTGATTATTTTAAAGAAAAAATTATTTTAAACTTCAATTTTACCTGAACATTTATCAATTCATAAAAAATCAGATTTATTTTAAGTAATTCTACAGAATTCAGTTATTTTCTATTAGACTTTTTTTTCACCTTCAATCTTTTATATTTCAAATAATCTTCAATAAATAAAATATACTGGGCTAAGAAACTAATCAAATTTTTTTTGCTAATAAATATTTTTTCCTTTCCAAGCTGTCGTCATATATAGCCCGAGCCTCCTTTTGGGTAGGCTATCGACGTCTCCCCAGATTACAAATCTCAAATATAATGTGGATGCCATTGGGAGCTGGCTTTACAAACAAATGTCGGTTAAACTAGCTCCCCTTCCGATCAGGAAATATCGGTATGGCCCCAAAAGGAGGTCCGGACTATAAATCTTTTTAGCATTTATTATAGATTTTAAAATAAATGTCAACAATAGAAGCAGCAACTTTCGAACAAAGGCTTCAGCAAGCCGCAAGATTTAAAGCAAAATATCAAAACGCAGTTCCTGTCGTCATCCAAAGTGATGCTAGAAGTTCTCTACCTAAAACAATTCACAATAGTTTATTTGTAGTTCAAAAAAGCCTGAGCGCAGGCGAGCTTTTAGGATTGATCAGAAAGAAAACCAGTCTCCCGAAATCGCAAGCAATTGCCATGTTTGTTGGCCACAGGATTATGGTTACCAATGATATTACCTTGTGCGAGCTTTATGAAAGATATTCAAATGAGGATGGGTTTTTATACATATTATGCAAGGACGAAGAAGTCTATGGCAATTAATTATTGTTCAAGAAATTTGTTACCTTAGAATTACTATAACTTATTGCTAATTATTTCAAACCACAGATCTACCTTTGTTTAATATGTAAATTGGCTTATAGAAGCTTGGTATGTAAATAGACTAAATAATATGGATTTTCTTCGAGTCATAATTGGGCTTCTGCCCCAAAGCTTAGGAGGACGAATCGCATATGGAGCTGCAGGTGCGCTAGGAGTTGGATACATTCTTTCTTATCCTTATAACTACATTCATTACCATCGAGTAGAAAAATATCAGCTTTCAGTTTGCTGGGAGCATTATTTAGCATATTTTCAAGCTACTGAAGAACATTATAAGCACTCCCCTAGAGAAATAAATAGAAGACTGATGCTATATAATGAATGTATACAATCAGCTCGCAGTGGAGGCAAAACTTACCCTCCAGCCTTATAAGCTAAAATAATAAGCTTCTTACCAATTATTATATATGTACATTTCGCCTTCTGGCTTTTCCACAGTTTTTTTTTGATTTTTCTAGTTGCATTTCCGCGAATATTAAAAAAATTCATTCCCTTCTCATAACTTATTTAAATGGACTTTCCTTACCAAGGGCCAGTCGAGATCCTTAACGACTATGACTATGGCAGCAGGCTTTCTCAATCTCATCAGCAAAAAGTTTTAGGCATCCTCAACCAAGAACGTGCAGCAAGAAGAGAACAAATTTCTAAAGGCCAAAATTTTTACATCGACCATAATCAGTTTAATGGAGGCTTTATGAATCGCCAGTCAACACCTAGAGGGAACTACCCTCAAAATTTCTCATATGAAGAAGAACGTCCTCAGCCTTTCCATAACTCTCAAAGTGTGAAAGCTTCCCTCGCGAAAGTTAGGAATGAGCTTCAGGTTTCAATTAATAAAGGAAAAGAAATTACTAACAAGCATATGGAAGAAACCATTTCAGTGATCCCAAGCAAATTCAAGCCTAGAGAAGCCCAAGAACTGAATAGGCCTGATTTTATGCATAATCAGTTAAAAGAGCCTGATTTCGAACAGCTTTCAAATATTTATGAACAATATGTAAAATCACCAAGGAACTGTGAAAAATATGAGCCAAATAAGCGGCAAAAATCAAGGCAGTATCACAGCGTGTCTCGATCTTCAAGTGCCCCTCCTACAAAGAGAAAATCTATTGAGCAGATGATTCAAGAAAAAGAAGAAAAATTCAGAGAGGAGTGCACTTTTCGGCCAAAAATAAATAAGCTGCCAAAAGGGAAAGGTCTTGATTATCATGAGACTGAAAAGAACATGAGCTGGGAAGCAAAATTAAACAATTTAGCCAGGCCTAAAACTGATATTATAGAAATGAGAGAAAGAATGAAGAGAGAAAAAGAAGAACAAGAAAGCTCTATTTGTACTTTTAAGCCGAATATAACGACTACTACTAGAAGTGTCAATAGAAGTGTAGAATTAACTGTAGAAGAGCGGCTTTATCAAGATGCGGAGTCGAAATTCCAAGAACGAGAAAGACTGAAAAGGGAAAAAGAAGATATTGAAGCTGCAAATTATCCGTACCAGCCACAAGTCCAGGCTTCAGTTTCTAAGCTTGTAGGGACGAAAAAGCTAAAACCGCCACTTTACCAGAGACTAGATGAAGTCCAGAAAGAAAGAAATGATACACTTCATAGGATTAAGCAGGAATCTGAAGAAAATGACCCTGATTTGACTTTTAAACCTAGAATTAATGCGTATTCAGCGCAGCTTGCGAGCTACAGGAAAGTGAAAAATGATGAAGAAAACATGTCGATCACTGAAAAACTATCAAAAGATGCATCTGACAAGCTAGAAAGAAAGCAAAGACTCGCTGAAGCATATAGCCAAGAAGACGTTGACAGATACACTTTTAGTCCACAGATCTCTATTAGCCACGAACTCGCTTCAGGCGCTGCAAATTTCCCAGGATCTGACCAAGACTTCTTAGAAAGGCAAAAACTAATGCAGGAAAGAGTAAAACAAAAGCGTGAAGAACTCTTGACTAAACTTACTCAAGGCCAATATACTTTTAAGCCACAAATTGATAAAACTTCCCATTATATAACAGCTTCAAACCGAGAAAGAAGCCAAGAAAAACTCACTGATAAATTCGAAAGGTGGAGTGTAAAAGACTCCGAAAAGCGTGCGAATAAAGAAAAAGAGCTGCAAAATGAGCAATATTCTAAATATACATTTGAGCCTCAAATCAATAAATTGTCAAAACAGCTCGGAAGGACTGCAAGTTTAAATGAGCTCGCTTATAATGAGGAATCCAAAAAGAATTTGAAAGGGAAAGCTCAAGCCCAAGCTGCTGAAATGGAAAAAGTTTGTAGCTTTACTCCAAAAACAGCTTCCTCTAAAAAGTTTTCTCATATCGGGTCGTCTTATAGCCAAAAAGAAGATATCGTAAAAATAATTGAAGAGCAAAACCGCATCAAGCAGCAAAAAGCAGAAAATCTTAAAAAAATTGTGGAGTATGAAGAAATGAGACCATGCACCTTTAAACCTACACCAAATATAGGCAGGATTTCAATAGACACTCCTGTAGAAGTGAAAGGGATGGACAGATTTATGGAATTGAAAGAAATTCAAAAGAGAATAGAAAATGAAAAAAAGGAAAGGGAAGAAAAAGTTTTTATGAAAAACCCACAGAGGAGTATTGATGCGCCATACACAGTCCCACAGCCTTTTAATCTTCATCCAAGTAACAAGAGAGAAAAAGTGGAAAAAATTAGAGAAGAAATAAAAGAGAGAGAACAAAGCATTTATACATTTAGACCACAAACTATTGAATCGTAAGTTTTATTTAGAAAAAACCGACAATTTGTTTCCAAGATGCTTGAAAAGCAGTTTTCAACATTTGATTATGACTAAATGATAAATTCAAAAATCTTATAAAAATTAAGCGATTTATATACATTTTTTATATATAAAAACAAAGTCCAGCCAAATAAATTTATTTTATATATATTTATCCATTAAAGATATACACATTATAATTCAATAATGTTTCTTTCTTCATCATGCCTTCTCAGCGGCTCAATGTCGACGAAAAGATCAGGCAGACTTTGTATCACGGTGTGGTCATAAATAGAATCCAACGATTTAGTTGACTCATTTTTATTCATTTCTGTGTACTGAACTGAAGCCAGGTTTGATGAGGTAAGTCCTCGTGCAAGATGGCTTTCCTCCATTTTTTGCATATTTATAGCTCTAGGGATCATCACGTCTGAAGTCTTAATCCATGGATGTTGAAGGGCATCATGAGCTGTCGGCCTAGAATCAACATTTCTGTCTAGCAATTTTTGGATAAATTCTGAAGCTAAAGGAGTAAATCGATCCCAATAGCTGGCTTCAAAAGAAATTGTCCCATTTAAGGTAAGATCAATTAAAACCTGCTTTTCTTTGTGGTCAAATGGGAGTCTTCCCGTTAATAAAAGATAAGCAACGACTCCGATGCTCCAGATGTCAGCTTTAAAATTGTAGCCTTCTTGGCTCAGTACTTCTGGAGCTACGTATCCTAAAGTTCCACAAGCCAATTTTTGAGAATCGCTAGGACCTGCAAGCTTTGATAATCCAAAATCAGCAAGTTTTATTTGTGGGATATCAGAAGTGTCTGCTAGCAAAATATTTTCAGGCTTAATGTCTCTATGAATGATTCCTACTTCATGCAAATAGCTGACCACTTCTAGCAGCTGCTTTATTATTTGACTTGCCCCATACTCAGAGAACACCTTTTTTTTTAAAATCCTATCAAATAGTTCTCCGCCCTCCACCATTTCCATAACAATCAATAAATGTTTTTTAGTGTCGAAAACTTCTTTTAATTGAATTACATTTGGATGGTCAATCAGCCTCATAATAGCGATTTCAGTCCTCAAAAACTCTTTTTCTTGTTTGTTTAGCTTTATTTTATTAATTACCTTTACTGCCCATTTCATACTAGTAGCATGCTCGACCGCTTCATAAACATCAGAAAATTTCCCATGGCCCAATCTTTCTTTAAGCTCATAAAATTCTTTAAATTTTCTGGTTTTTGCAGCCATTTCAAGCATTTTCACCCACTCATCTCTTTCGTTTCTTAAGTCACAGTAGATAAGAACTTCTTGGTAAGCTGCGTTTTGGTGAGATAACGAAATTCCAAATTTATTGGAAACAAAATAATCTCCTATAATATCGACATAGCAGCCCTCCATAAAAACGACCCCTGAGGGCATTGCGTCTTCTTGATGATCAAAAAATACAAGTAAATTTTTCTTCAAAATCGCGTATTTTTTCTCTAATTCATCTTTTTCTTTATTTTTCTTGTAAACAGTCCCTGCCATGTCTACAGTATTCGCAACTGTACCTTTGCTAGGACTTGCTGGCTCGCTATGACTTAAATCGCTTTTAGGTTTTGGCCGATGGAATTTTTTTGAATTATCAATGTCCTTCACCGATATATACTGGCTAATAATAAATAAAATTTTAAAAAAAACATTTAAAAAATCTTACTATTTAGCGGAAAAAATATAAAGACCAAACATCTTCTTTAAAGACTGTAGAAAAAATTTGGAGGATGCTTGGGTGCTGATCAATAAAATTAGCAAATTCTTTAAAGGAAAGGACTCCTCTTTCACCTCCATATTGCTCCAAAACCTGGGATGCCAGCAGCTGTGCTTTAGAGCTGTGGCTTATTGTGGACTGGGTTTGAAGATTATATGAAGATCCACTTCTGGATTTATGAACACTTGTTTTTGATCGGTATTTTGGGGTTTTTACGCTTATAACTAAATCTGATAGCGAGCCTTCTCCAACTGTATCAAGGGTTTGTGCATCAGCAACATTTTTTTCTGAAATTGTCTCTTTTAAAGAGTTGTGGATCTAAATAAATCTCACCAATGATAATAATTCAGCTCTATCAATATACGCTCTTTCTAAATAAATATTTATTAATTATTTATGATTATTAACCTATTTTTCAATTTAATTATAATATAATTGTTATATAACCAGCCAAATTATTATTAATAATCATATCCGTCTTCTGATAAATCATAAAGGTCGAAAATCAATTTTAATTTTTCTTCCATCGTTCCTTTGCTAAATCGTGCAATTCCAATCATAAATTCTTCAAAACTTATAACTCCTGTCCCCGAAGTTTCAAAAATCTTGAACAACCTTTCACTCAGCATGCCCTGAATATTTTTTACAGGCAGTGGAAAGAATTGGATAAACGTTTCTTTATCGATATTTTGGTGTGACTCAGTTCTACGCGTTAAATCGATATAGAGTTCTCTTAAAATGCTTATTTCTTCTCTGGTAACTAGATAGATGTTACATTTAGCCAGGATTGGAGCGATCTTCCCTGACAATTTAAACAAGTTGGCATTTAAATCACTCTTGGCACTTATTCTTCCCTTTGTGCAGCATAGACCCATTTAGTGTTATTTTTATTAAAATCAAATTTAGAAGAGAAATAATCAGGCATGATTTTACTATTAGAATGCTCGTTAGCAGGCTAAATTGTGGAGAAGAGCTGAGTTGTTAGATAAAGGGAAAATTATGTGGAGGATTGGAAACTGTTTTAAAATGTAAAAAGATCAATAAAATTATAATTTCAGGGAGTGGCTATGAAATGGGGAAATTTTTAATTTTAAAGAAGATAATTTAATAGAACTAAATGCTGGGATTTGTTCATGAATAAGACAATTTGTGTAAATGACCCTTTCCAGTAATTGTTGTCATAAGAAAAAAAAATTGCAGCCTTATGATTTTGAATTTTATATGACAAATAAATATAAAAATTACAAAGCAGTAAAATATCATTGAGATATTAGCAAAAATAAATATTAAATATTTCCTACAGCAGCTATCTTAATATAAATCAAAAATGGATCCTCCATATATTACGCCTTTTAAGTTAGATGCCAATCTCAGGGCTCACAAAGATCAAGCACCAATTTTCCATCAAGGTGAAGTCATTGAAAATGTCCAACGAGTATCCGAAATACGCTCTACTATAGACGACTCTGAACTCAGTAAAAATATCGATAAACTTATAAAAACCATAAGCGACTATATAAACGAAGATTTCAACACAAAAGCTGGCACTAAAGACGAGCCTTTATTTTGCCTGCCTGATTTTTCAAGATCTATTCTTGAAAAATCCCAACTTGCCAGAGATTTAACGGATCTCTTAATCCAATGCCGAAATAATAGAGATTCAGCGATTCCTAGAGAAAGTTTTTATTCTGCACAAGAAAAACGAGTCTCCAAAAATGTTTCGCAAAGCAGGTCTTGAAAAGAGCTTCTATCAGCTTTATTTGACCCTCAAGCTGAAGGGATTTATTTATCCTCATCAGAAATAGCCGTACTGCTGTCAACAATCTTGCATTATTGTGCTACGTCGGGAACTCAAGATATCAAGGATGTTCTTTATAGGAAGCAGATCGAATATATACTAATTTATATAAATATATTATTAGCTTCCTCACTTTAAATTGGAAATTATGTTCCTATTAAGGGAATTAATTTTTTTAAAAAAATTCTATGATTAATTGATTCAGTTTAAAAACTGTTTAAATAAAATTCAATTTTTTCTATTAAATTACGTCAAAATCAGTTTAGAATATATTTAATATTTTTCACCTATAAAATTTTATATATAAAAAAAAATTATTTCGAGTCTTGATGTACCAAAAATTCGAAGTTTTACCGATATTCTGTTCTAACTTAAAAGGGGGGGAGTAAGCATCTTTATATATAATAATGTATTTCTTTTAAAAAAGGCATATCAATACAGCACAAAAAATCAGCAAAGTAAAAACTTTATTAAGAAAAGGAGAAGATGAAAGAGAATTTCTATTTGAGTCCAATGCAAAGCTAGCAGAAACTATTAAAACATTAAAGAAACAAGAGGCTTTATTAGAAAGACAAGTAGAAGACAGCATGGTTGAAAATTATTCTAACGAAGAACACTTTAATCAATTAAGCCAAGAACTAAAAGAAGCCAAAGATACGCTAAAAGAGCTTTTAAGAGGCAACAGAACTTCAAGTGTTGTTTTGCCTGAATCCTTACATAATCGAAGCAGCGGCTCAAACATAAAAACTAGGAGATTTGACATTGACTCGGAAGAAAGAGATTCATCGAATCCTTTTGAAGAAGAAACCTTGTAATTTATAATATGACTTAGAAATTAATTAATAAATGATTTCAATATCATTTATCTAGTTCTATGAAAATTTTACACTGCCTTTCATTGCTTTTTTTTAAGCAGCCAGTGAATCTTTTTATTTGTTTATAATTTTAAGATCATAACTGAGCTTGCTATATCTGAGATCTGAGTGCATGCTTTCGCAGATTTGGTCAAAATCGGAATTGCACGTTTACTGAACTATTTTTTGAGCGGGGTATAATATCCTTAAAATAAATTATGGCACTTTTAATCATGCACTTCTAATAGCGGGCTATTTTCAAGTCTACTTGATTCTAAAATTTCTCTGCTTCTTAATCCTTCAGCTCCATTCGAAATTGCTATATTGTCTGCATTTACAGCAAAATCGGCTGCTTTTATAGCTTCTTTATTTAATAAAGAGCTTTGAGAATGTCTTCTTCACTAAGAATTAAGCAAAAATTGATAAAAACAAATTGACTTTGATGTCGTTTATAAATTGAATTAACTATGCATCGATTTAAATAGTCCTAAAAAAGAATAAATAGAATTAATATGAATAAATATTAGCAAAATTAATCTTAATTTTTTATCTTTATAAGTCAGTTAATTTATAGATTTCCGAGGAGAAGCTTCTAATCTGAAACTTTCCCCAATGTTTTTTGCTCTGTGTCGCATAATTTTAGGTGGGATCGGAGTTTTCGATTCTTCAATTTCTTGGTCTAAATAAAGGTCTCTGCTTTCAATTATATCTTTAATTCCTTTCATCCTCGGCTCAGGAGTTTTGCTCTTATAGCCTTTCATCTTTGGCACCAATTTATCCAAAGGAAATGAATGATTTTCTTCTGAGCCTAAAAATACATACAAATATGAAAGAAATTCGTCAATTTGTCCAATAAAAGGAATGATATTTCGTTCGTTAATCGCTGTTTCGTCTTCTATTTTTATTCGCTTTGAATGTCTCAAATCTACTGGTGTGCCTTGGCACGAGTGAATTATGCTCTAATTAAAAAATACTTTTAAAAATGGGATAATGGACTGTAGAGTTTTTTTATATTTTTCGACTTCTGCCATTTTTGCTTCTTTTCTCTCTTGAAACTTCTCATGTTTTTTAATTAAATTCTCCAAAAGTTCAGCTGTTTTGACTTGTTTGTTTTCTTTAGAAGTTTCGTATTTTCTTATTGCTTCAGTTGTCCTGATTGCGTTTTCTTCAAGAGTGTCGATTTCTGCTCACATTTCGTTGATGTAGGCGTGGACTTGGTATTGCTGGTCCTCTGACTTGATAAATGCGGTGGCAACTTCATCAGTGCTCCCCATTCCTGTGATTTGAACCATTTGGTCAAAAATATATTCTAGTTTTGACATTCTTTTTACATATGAGTCTAAAAATTTTTTGCGTTCTCGAATCTTTTCATTTCAGCCGCCTAGAAGTGCTTTCAGAAGTTTACTATGGTCAAATGCTTCACCAGGCTTTGAAATCCTACTGAACATTCCATCATCCATTTGTTTCCTGACGGAATTTCTTTTTTCTAAGTCACCCAAAATAACAGTGTTCAGCTCACTGAGCCTTTTTCCATAGCTTTGATGGCTTACCACACTTTTACTTCTTATTTTTTCTAATTGCTTTTTAAATCTATTTTCATCTTCATAATTTCTTGTAAATTCATGATGTTTAAAAGTCACTAAGCTTTCATGATCAAATATCCCTTTGGATAAGTTTTGAATTGTTCGCTTATAATGTTGTGCATCCCTTCTAATATTATTTACCTCAGCCCTTGAAATCCGATTCTGTGAGCAGGTTTCATTCAATTGCGTCATTTCTAGCTCCAGCTTTCGTTCTAAGACTGCAATTTTTTGTTTGAGTTTCGATTCAGTTTTATTTATAGACATCTCATTATTCATAGAAATTTTGAAATTCAACTTTTCCTTTTCTAAATATTCGATTTGTTCGTCATATTGCATAGACTCTTGCTTTTCTATTTCGAGCTTTTCAATGATTTTTTCAAGTTCGTTTTGGAGCCTTTCGTTTTCGTGAATTGATGTGATTGATCGGTCTACTGAAAGAAAACTTCGGCTTAATCTGCTCATATTTAAATATTTAATTTAAGAGTTTTTATGTGTGGGATTTCTTAGAGGCATAAAGAATTGATAGAAGATAATTTAATTATAGATTTATTTTGCTATTAGATTAATTTTCATTTAATTTTTTGAGAGGCGGTTTTTCGATCATTTCTACGCTTAATACTGAAGGTGCAATTGTAATTAGCTGTGAAATTTGCTGTTCAAGCTCTCTTTGGTCCAAAAATTCAGGTCTCCTTCTTCCTCCATGAGTACTGTAATGAAAACTCAAAACCTTGTCTCTTCAATCTTCAGGTATTGCATCAATTCCGTGATAAGCTCCAACCATCCCTCCTACTATGCATGCATTTGTGTCAGTATCCCCTCCTATCATCAGCACATTCCTTATTGCTGTCTCATAATCAGCTCCACTTCTAAGAGCTCTGAAAGCATGGTCAAATGCTATCTTCACGTATCCGATAGATGGAGCCCCAGGCATAGGATGGTTATTTTCAATATCATGAAACCAGTTATTTACTTCGTCGCAGAATCTATTCTGTCCCATATTTTTCGCTGCTTCATATGCTCCTTGGTTATCACCTGGATTATTAATCAAATGAGCTATAGCCTTTATATAGCAAGCTTCCATTTGCTGTGCAATTATATTTGAGTGGGTCATTGAGACTTCTAGCTCTGTTGCTCTAATTAAATCGTCATCTGATAGCCGATGGCATCATACAGCTAATGGAGTACATCTCATGAGGCTCCCATTGCTCAAAGAGTGCTTGTTATAATGAGCTGCACAATTAATTGGCATATATGCATAGGCAATTTTAGATCTTCTTAAAGGCTCAAAAGCAGTTCCTGTAGTATTCCCGACATCAAATGGATCATTTTTTATTCATAGTTGATAGTAGTGAGCGATTTTGTCTAGGTTTAAAGCTCCTTGGCCATCTATAAGACCTTTCATTAAGCAAATTGCAAGCTCTGAATCATCAGTCACTTGGCCAGGACCAGTTCCATGTGTGCCTTGTGATCCTCCTAGCATTCTCAAGGCCAAGGTTAGCTCTTCTGGAGAAATTTCATTTTTGAACTCTAAAAAGGATCCAAGTGCATCTCCTACAAATGCCCCAATTATTGATCCGAGAATTCTTTTTCTACTTATTTCTGAAATAACATGTTCCGGGTTCATTTTTAATAAACAGATTCATTCAGACAAAATATAATAACTATTGATATCAGCTATATTAATTTTTTATAAAGAATGCCTTTAGTATTACAATTAATTATTATTTAATTCGAAGTGGAGCCTTTTAGTAGTTATTTTCTATTATCCAAAATAAAAGAAAATAAATTGTTATAGAGTTTTGTTTCATTTCAAAATAACCTTAAAGTAGAAAGCAACTTTACTCTTATCAAAAAAAACTTATTGTTACCAAAATTTAGCCGGCTTAATCCTTACTAAATCGCAACCATTATAATTCTTCCTCCTTCCAACATCATCTGTCAAAATTGTAAAAAATGTCTGCAAACAATACACTCCTAATCTGCACAACTTTTCTAACAGAAGTTCTCAACAAAAAATCTGGAATCATAAATTCTGTCCATATCCCTCAATTTATTGACAAACTTTATCAAATCCTCACCCTTACTGAAACTCAGCTAAAAGTCATAGTTAAACCATTCGGCAAAAATTGTTTACATTGCGGAAGCTATATCCCTAGTTTTAACTTATCTTCTGCTATCGGCCTATGATGCAAACCAGCAGATCATTTCTTTTGCTCAACTGCCTGCTTAAAAAGGCACGCATTAATGTCTACTAATAGCACCCTGCTTGATCTTGACTACGTAAGATGCCCAATCTGCAGAAGTTCAATATCAGTTGAACAAATAAACGAAGCCTTTGAAGGAAAAATTGAAGAAATCCAAAGAGACGCATGTGATCGTGCTTTAAACATGCTATTAGACGATGAAAGCAAAGAGCAGCTTCTCCCGAAGTTTACATGTCTGATTTGTTATACAGAGCTTAAAGTAGACCAAGGAATCACATTGGAATGCGACCACAGATTTTGCGTGAACTGCATAAGGCAGCAAGTCGAAATGTTAATAGAGTCAGCACAGGTAAGTGACGAAAAATTAAAATGTCCTAATTGTCCTCAAGCTTTATCGGTATATGAAATCGAAGATATTGTAGGTCCTGAATTGTTTGCAAAATATGAAAAATTCAGACTCAGAGGGCTGAAGCTGGAGCCAGGTGATGAAAATTCTTATATTTTTCATTGTAGAGGGGCTGATTGTGAGTATATTTGTATTATTGAAAAGGGGGTTAATGAGTTTGAATGTCCGAAGTGCAATTTTAAATGCTGCCCAATGTGTAAAGAAGACATTCATAAAGGCAGCACTTGTGAGCAGTACGCGAAGTGGAAAGAAGAAAATGCGAAAGGAGATAAAGAGTTTGAACAAATGCTAAGGGATGAAGGGCTGCTAAAGTGTCCTGAATGTGGAGCGGCAGTTCAAAGGATTTCAGGATGCCAGTATATGGTGTGCAGTTCAAGCCAATGCCAAGGGAGAACTTTCTTTTGTTATGATTGTGGGATAAAACTAGAACAAGACCATGGAGCTCATGACTGTAAACCTAGAAATCACAATCCAGCACCAGCTGTACCTCATGCAATTCCTGTAAGGCCCTTACCTTTTGGTATTCTTCCAGGTAGAAGAAGAGGAGGCAGAAATCCGAAAAATCCGAAAAGGCCTGTGAGGCATATGAGGCAACTATCATAGTAAAATTCAACTAAGCATTTATGAGTCTTGATGCTCTTATAATTAATGGTTTTAATATATAAAATATCTTGTCTCACCATTTGTCTCAGATATTTTCCTAAATCTAAACTTACTCTCAGTTATCTGAGAAGCGCCAATATCAATCTTAATTGATAAAAACCAAATTCTTTCAGATTATTAATAATATTTCTTAATCAATATTAAGGGGTGAAAATATAATAAGCCAAAACGCCCAAGCCATTTCCACAAGCTTCATACTCCCATCTCTGGCATGCATCTTTCATGATATACCACTCTTTATAGATTAAAATCGAATTCCACCATATCCTTGGAACCAGTTTCACAAAGCCAGCAGCTGAAAATGTTTCGCTGACTCCTGAGAAAAAGTCATCAAGATCGCATCCAGTATAAAATGCTTTTATTTGTGAATCGAGGATCGCTATTTGTTTTTCGACTATCGCGTCATTGTTAAGAGGAGCAAACATAGCAATTGCTATTAAGGCATCGTTGATTGCTATTTGGGTAGTGGTATTTAGACAAAGGCGAGTTGGAAACACATAGTCTGCACCTTCATAGCCTGTTAATAAGCCTGAAATAAAGCTCCTTGTATTTTCATAAAGAACGTTTGCGGAGGCGATTTGGAAGAGGAGAAGTAATAAAGCCATATATAAATTTAATTAAATAGAAATGCAAACTTTTTAAAGTTTAAGCTATTAACTATAAACGAAAAGAGCTATTTATAATGATAAAATTTAATGAGATTAAATTATTTTTGCATAAATACACATATTTTTCTTATGATATATCAGGTCATTTTTGTAAATTATTTCGAAGGTATTTTTTCTTATTAATATTTAAATTAATAAATATCTACACAGTAGAAAGAACTGCTATCATTTCATCTTACATAAGGCTACAGCAGCATTTTATTTTTTGATTAGATTTGGATTCGTATTCTATACTGCAGCAATTTTCTCGATCTATAATTCTTGCTGGCTTAGCCCCTTTAATATTCCAGGGCTCAGAAACCCTTGGTGGGATCTTAAAGTCACCATTTTCGTTTTCATCGAAATTTTCAGATTCAAATTCAAATTTTAATTTTCTGAATTTATCTTGTAATCTTAATCCAATATTAGCACTCAAATAATACTCAGACGATAAAGGACCGACAGATTGTTTTTTAAGCGGAGTTGATGAATAAATTAAATCAGGCGACTGAAAAGATAAAATCGTTGTACTAGCATCATAATCAGAATTTAAATTTTCAAAATTTACTTCTGGAGACTGAAATGAGTTGCACGTATGCAAGACTGGAGAAATAGGAATGCCATCCTTTGAAAAAGCTTCTTCTAATTCTTTGTTATTTGTTGTGTTTCTAGAGGATTTTGTCTGGCTTGAATTAGATTTTTCAAAAGAGTCAAAACCAGAAACCAGTTTATCTTTCATATTTATTTTTGAATTATAAATTGCTAAACTATTTATTATCAGTTAGCAGTGTATGAAATAGCCATTTTAAAATTTTCTATAGCATAATTTTTATGCTGATAGGTCTATGAATTATTTATTAAAATGGGCGTAATTTGCTGCTGCTATCGTGAAAATAAAAAATTTAAGTTTCCTGAAGAAAATCAAATTATGATAGAGCAAACAGACGTAAAAGAATCAGGATTGGGCACTCCTCAATACTCTACAAGAACTTCTCCGTTTACAAGTCTGAATGAAGAAATTTTTGAAGATTATTAAATCAAAAAGGCTGATTTTTTCTTGTTTCTTTATTAATTATGTAATTATGGATTTTTCAGAAAATTTTATTACCATATCAGACTAATAAATCTTAGGTTCAAAGTGTATCTTTGACCCTGAATTTCCAAGCCGATTCTTCACTTTAGCCTAATAATTTAATTAAGGCTGTTTAGGCATTCTATAAGTTTATTTAGTATAGACAAATTGAAATGAAAACTGAGAAGAATTTAAATCAAAGAAAAAGGCTTGCGTATGCTTTAATAAGAGAAGAAAAACCTTCGGGTAATTTAAAACATTATTTTCTGCACTTATTTCCGTTATCTAGTATAAGTAACCCTCATATTGGTATGTTTTATTGTCATATTGGATTTTTTTTACGACTTAGAAAGACAGAATTCTCATTTGATTCTCTTTCTTCACGTTTAAGACCACAAATCAAATATTCTTGATTGAATCTCCTCACAAAAAATCATAATTTATCAGTCAATTTTTTTAACAACAATAACTCAACAGCAGTTAAATACTAATAGTCGAAATTGCAAAGACAAGAAAGTTTCAACTTATATTCCTGCCGGGTTTAAAGATCTTTATCAATTTTCTATCAAAATATTATTTATTTATATAGCACTACTAGAAATTTTCTTCTCAGCATCCATGTAGATTTGACTCAAAAAGTCTGAAGCTTCAGCAGCAATGTCATCTTCTTCTCTTTTCTTTTCTTCCACTTTCAGTTTCTGGCTCATAGTAGTTTCATTCGTTATGAGCTTCGGTTTTGATGATTCTTCTCTTGGAGGTTTCACTGCGTGAGCTGTGCTATTTCTTGCACATGCGCATCCCATTTATATTTTTATGAATTCGACAGTAATTCATATTTAATTTAAGGCTTATTTTCTTCTTCGCTTAATATTTCTTGTAGCTCCTGCTTTCTTTTTTTCACTTTTTCTTTTTTTCTCAATTTTCTTTTGTTCCAAGTTACTACTTTTTCTGAGTTTAGTTTTTTTGGTTCTCCTTTAAGTTTTATCTCTCCAGGAGGTTCTCCTACTTCAAATTCTTTCATTACAAATTTCCTCATAGCACTTGGGTCAGTGAACATTATTAATTCTTCTTGTTGAGGACTCGGATTTGTAAATTCTGCTTGTGAGATGCTGCTCCTGCGGTTACCATATATAAAATACTTCAAATAGCCGATAAATGAGCTTGAATGGCGTGCCAAATGTCGAGAATATCTTTCAATTTCTATTTGAAAATCAGGGTGGTAAATAGCTGCCAATGATGGCAAGTAATTAAAAGAAATTTCGACTACGTTACTGATCATGGTTTCTATTTCTTCTTCAGAGAGTTTAGAAGATATATCAATATCATAGTCGAAAAACAAGGACTGGAGCTTCTCTTTTGGCTTGCTTTTACTAAATTCGCCCCCGTAAGCGAACAAAAAAATTTTGTTTGCTAAAGGAGGGGAGCAAAGTTTTTGTTCAAAAAATCTACATAGAACTTTTTTTTTCGAAATTTAAAAAAATCCCAATTCATAAAAAATTTGTAAAGCAATATTAATTTAATTTGCAAAATATTTATGTTTTAATATGCAAGCTGTTTAATATTCAACAGAATTAGCGAGAGATTTCATTATAATAATTATCACTTATATGCCAATAAAAAAATTTTATATTAAAAAAATTTTTGTTCATCTCAAAGAGGATTAGTTTTTTTCACTCACGAGGAGGGGAAATAAGAATAATACCCATGGACACGAGTTTCTTGGTAGAATATTGGACTTCTCTATCTTCTTGTAAAGTTCGTTTTCTTTGAAGCAGTCGATAGTATTGAGACTCCACTGGGATCTCTTTGAATTTGTTATAAAATTGGGCTTTTTCTTCTGATAGTGAGATTCCAAGTTCAGCGAATGCTTGCTCGAGCTGATGCTGTTGTAAATGGAATTCAGGCGAATATCGATGAAATGTCTTTACTAGTTGGTCACTGGAAAATCTAGAGAAACCGAGCTTATCTTGAGCATCAATTACAAAACTTTCTTCAAGTTCCCATTTTGCTTTATCACGAATGCATCCCATTATAAAATAGCGTTATTATGGCATGATCTTTGGCATCAGTATGGCTTGCTTCTTTTTTTATGTAAATTCTAGCAAATATTAAGCTGATTAATTTATCACAAACTCTAACTTGTTATGGAATTACATATTTATAATTAGGATTTTCAAAAATTAGAAAAAAACAGTTAGAAATATTTTTTATAAAAAAAAATTCGAGAGCAGAAAAATTTTGCTTATTGACCAAGGTGGGTTAAAGAAATTTATACTCTAAGGGAACTGCTATTTGAATCATGAGATATAATTAAATTTTATTTTTAAGAAATAACTATTTATACTTAATTGAAAGAGTTTAATTCTTATTTAACATATACTCTGATAAGATAGATTGCATGCCCAAATCAAATTTAGACTTCACATCGAGATAAACGAATCAAGATTAGCCTAGTTATGCATATATGTGTATTTTAAATTTTCCCAGTTTCTTCTATATCAAACTGATTAAGAGCTTCTGGGTTTACAGTCTCCATAATGTCCACAATTTGTTCAGCCACTGCTGAAAAATGAGCTGTTTCTTTATTCCTTGACAATCTAATAAATATTTTGATGGTAGGTACAAAATATATATCCTTGCCGATGACGCATATTCATTAAAATGGCAACACATGCCAGCCTGCCCTCTTGGCGCAGCAGTCCAGAACTTATGGCTACGGCGAACTTGGACGGACTCCAAGTCGAGAATCAAGTGCAGGCTCAAGAGGTTTTGGCTGCATTCCTGGGCTGGAAATGGAGGTGCTCAACATAGTCCTTCGTATCCGAGGACTCATGGGCATTCCTCTACCGAGAAATTGGGGTTTCGGCCCAGGCCACATGGAATAGTCTTTTTCATGTAGCTGTCTAAGAAAGGTACTTCGATACCCGATAGACTCCAAGGAGTTAATCCATGGAATCAAGCTACTCCAATCGCCCGAAGCAGGGCCTGAGAAATCCACAAGCACTCAAGACTAAAGCCTCAAGGCAAGGAGGAGACAGAAGGTACCGAAGGGTCACTCGTAGAGGAATAGTCCCTCTGTGCTGGAGTCGAAAAGCGGCAGAACCTTCCGTAGGGAGGTCTTTGGTAATTGCATCACCAATATGGCTAGCACCTGACTTTTAATAATCCTAATCCAATCCTTGCCGATGACGCACAACTTTGGGTGCTAAAATGGCTTTATGGCCTAAGCCAAGGTTCAGGCCCTTTAATCCTAACCCTTAGCTTGTATGGGGTGAGCAAGCTGTCAGCCATTCTAGTCCAAGTATTAGTTATCGAATGGGTTTTTGGCAACGGGCTCTTTCCCTGCCAGTTCCAGAGGGTTGCAGGTCTTTTTCCTGACTCCCCCCCATCCTTGATCGAACGACTCGCCATCGTTCGATCAAGGATGGGGGTTAAAAAAAATTTTTTTGGGAAAAAAATTTTATATATAAAATAAAAAAATATATATATATATGTTTTTTATTTACTTTTAAATAAGAGGGTTAAGAGTATTTAATAATTATTTTTAGAGCAAAAAATTTAATTAATTTCATAAAAATACCAATTTTTAATAATTTTGATTTATTAGTTACCCTTTAAACTGTATAAATTTTAATTTGTTCCTTATTAAATTAAATTTTTTTTTTTAAAATTTTAAAGATCTCTATTTTATTAGATTATTGATTTTTTTAAGCCTAGATTGATGACTAAATCACTTCGGATAGTTGATTTCGAAGCTTTCTGTCGTCTCAAAGTCCCTGAAAACAACTTTATTAGGTACATCTTCCCAAGCTTTTGATAACTAATATATTTTTATATATATAGTAGTTGCATGATATGAAAATCGTTCGATCAAGGATGGGGGTTAATTTCCCCAATTTTTAGGAATTTTTACAGTCAATCGTTCGATCAAGGATGGGGGGGGGAGTGAGTGTCACTCCCCTCAAGGTGACCGACAGAAGGCATCAGGCTAGCCTTTGCCTCCATCACACCCTCAAAGAAATAATGCAAGAGAGACCTCACTAATCTGTCGAAACTTAAGGGCACGATGCAAGCCCGAGAGAAGATCAATGCTGATGGGAATCAGGCAACTGAGCTACTCCGTAGGCTGAATCTGTTGATCGAAAGAGTGTGGAGGCATCAAATCCGGAAAACCTTAAGCCTTTTAATATAATTTAATTTGACAATCTATCCAATTCATTTCTATATCTAGTGTTTCCTCTCTCAAGGTAAAACAAATTCATCAATGGCTTAGCCAGAACCATTTTATTTCACTCAGATCCAGACTCTTCTAAATATCTATCACAATACTCTGCATACTGCAAAATAATTTCTCTTCTATTTAATCCTTGATCAGGGACTCCATAATACATGCTATCCATATTTCTAAAAAGCCATGGATAATTATAAGCAACCCTCCCAATCATAACTCCTAGTCCTCTCTCTACTTGCTGCCTTATAGACTCATGTCTTCCAATTCCTTGTTTCTCTGTAGCGATTTCTCCATTTATGTGAAACTTGAAATCAGGAAATCTTTCTTGGAGTCGATAGACAAATTCATAATTAATTTTCGGGATAGTTCGGTTTTGTGTAGGGGTTAGACCAGAAAGGATAGCTTTTCTTGCATGGACAACAAATTCGTTAACTCCACTAGAAGAAACTATTGATATAAAATTTTCGAGGTTCTCATAAGAATCGTGGTCATCTACACCAAGTCTGCATTTTACAGTCACTGGGATTTGGACTCTTCTTTTCATCTCAGCACAGCAGTCTCGGACAAGTTCTGGCTCTAGCATTAGGCAAGCACCGAATTTTCCATCTTGAACTCGATTACTGGGACACCCACAATTAAGATTTATTTGGTCAAAACCTTTTAATTCACACAAGCTTGCAGCTGCGCCCAATAGCGTTGGATCATTACCTCCTAATTGCACAACGACTGGGTGCTCTTTTGGATCGTTTCATAGACATCGATCTAAATGAGGTGTATTAAGAATTTCGCTTGTTGTGATCATTTCTGTTCAAAGAGTAGTTTTTCGTGTTAATAATCTCATGAAATTGCGGAATAAGACATTTGTTATGTCAATCATTGGAGCCACAGATATGACCGGCTCCATTGTTATATTGTCAGGACTTGTCATTAATAACTTTACAATTATTAGTTAGATTACAGTAAAAATATAAGAAAGATCTGAAATATAGCAATTAATTGAATTGAGCTGCTTGACACTTTTGGAAGTTTTTGCACCATATCATAAATTACTTTCATCTGGATCCCATCTTTTGCAAGATAGTTAGCTCCAGTATATCCTCACCAGTCTCAGCACGCATTTAAGTTATTTTTACTTTGCGAGACTTGTGGGAAAATCACAACAATATTATTACCTTCTGCTCATTCTAGATACCCTGTTTTTAATAAGGAGTCCCCATTGGTAGCTTCATAGTTTTGATTACAGCCATGCAGCATTACATGAATTTTGCATTCATTATTCATGCAGTAGTCTGTTATATAAATATAGCCTATTTCAGCCAAACTTGATATATCTTTTCCTTCTTGATTAAAAAACAAAGTTTGGTCAAATTTATAAAGGTTTTTAAAATTCATGGGAAGCTTTGGTTTTAAGTGGCCATAAATATGTCTTAAAATTTGCCCAGCAGAATCCATTCCACAAGAAATTATATAAGGAAATCCTGAATAGGCGCATGGGATTTCAGTATCAATTACAGGTATTCCATGGCCTGCATGAACGTAAAATACTGATTTAATATTTTTGGGATCAACGAAATACTCATAGTAAGTCAATAAATTTTCCATTGCTTTATGATAAACATCAATATCAAGCTGGCCAGAAAATAATCATATTTTGTGATTTGCAGCAAATTTCAAGTTATCGATATAGCCAAGTTCCTGATAGGATTTTGTGAGGCTATAATAAGTAGAAGGAATGGTTATTCATGGCTTTTGAGAGCATTCATGGACTTTGCTGGATGACCCTATTGAGCAGCCATATATACCACCTCCTATAATCCCTACGCCAATGATATCTTTAGAATAAGCTAATTGCAGTTGAACTGCTGCTCATGCACCAGAATCAAAGCCTGATATGCTGAATTTTCTAGCAAATATGGTAATAAATTCTGATAGAATCAGCAAGAACAAAGCCTTCATTTTAAGTCAAATGAATTTCTTATTACTAATTTTATAATATTTTATTATACTTGGCTATTATACTTATGATTTAAGATACAATAATCAAGTAATCTAATAATATAATATAATCCAGCATTCTTCTTACTATACAATTAACTCTGTCTTGCATTGAAATAAGGAAGCTTAATTTCACAAAATTTTCTTTTTGCTTTGCTATTAGCTTAGCATATACTTGCGATTTAATTCCGAGCAAAAATATAAAAATGCATCATCCGGGACTCGAACCCGGGTCGACTGCTTGGAAGGCAACCATCCTAACCTCTAGACTAATGATGCAACATATCTATTCAATTTACAATAAATTTAAATAGTAAAACTACTCCATGCTAAGAATATTTAATGCATTTTACAAAAATTCATCATGAGCATTTTATTTATCTCAAATTCCATATACTCTAATCATATGAAACCATAAAAATGGCTTAATAATCATCATACCCAGTCAATGCAAAAATCTTTATGCACAGTTACGCATAGGCTGAAATCAACTTTAAAAAAATGCTTCACCAGTTTAGATCTCACAAAAGATGAAATTAAAGGTAAAAGCAGCCAAGGAGAAAAGTATAAATCAATAAATGAGTTGTGGCAAAATCAAGTTGGAATTTCAAGAACTAATTGATATGAAAAAGGGAAGAATTATTGAGAAGCTCAAGAGTCTACCTTAGATGGAGTCCTGGGAGGATTTTCTGAAATCCATCAAGCTGATATAAGCGCCTCAAACAAATTTATCAAATCTCTAAAATCTAAAAACTATATCATTGGAAGTCGCGCTTTAGACTGTGGGTCAGGAATCGGAAGAATTACAAAAAATTTGCTCTTAAACCATTTTGCTCATGTAGACTTAGTTGATCAAAGTGAAAAATTTATAGAAGACGCAAAACACTATATAAATGATAATAAAGTGGAAAATTATTTTGTGAAAGGACTTCAGGACTTTTCCCCTCAAAAAGAGCTATACGATTGCATATGAATTCAATGGATTCTTGCTTATATAATTGATGAGGATTTAGTAGCAGCTTTAAAAAGAATAAAAGCAGGGTTAGTACCAAATGGAGTTTTATGTATCAAAGAAAATGTTTTGGATGAAGGCTTTATATATCATAATGAAGATTTCAGTGTCACAAGATCTGATAAACTATTTAAAATTATCATTAAAAAGGCAGGTCTAAAAATCATACATGAAGAGACACAAAAAGATTTCCCATCAGAATATTTCAAAGTAAAAATGTATGGATGCATCCCCAAAGTATAATTCTAGTATTAATTCAAGCATATGAAGTTTTAAGCAATATTTCTAATATTTTATATCTAAACCCTATGAAATTTATAATTGATTAAGGAGCTGGCGCTATCACAAAAGTATTTTCAGGCCTAAACAGTTCATTAGCATCTTGTATTCCTCTCTGCTGAATCCCTTTTTCTTTGTCTCCCCACATCTGTCCTATCATTTGGTCAAGCCTCATTTTCTCATAAATTCCTTCAGCCTTTTCTCCTGGAGGAATTATGAATAAAGTTTCTCCCTCTATAGAAGCGATTCCAATTCTCTCTTTTCTCTGAAAATAATGAATATGCTCCATAAATATAGGCTTATCATCTTCTTTGGCTGCTTCTAATGTAATCAGTAATTTTGGAGGAGAATTAGGCATATCAGATACCCTCGCTCTATGGCTTATATCAATTGTGTACTGTCTTTTAAAGAATCCATAAGCATTTCCCTTCACAATTTTGGCATTAACTGAAACCCTAAAACTATTGCAGCGAGTCAAGAAGCCTGGCCAAATTATTTCTGCTGGATGAGCCAATTCGAATTTTGAATCTTTACTTAAAGAAACATCCCAGCCTCTTGTGTTTAGATCTTCAACAGCTTTTTGAGCTTCTGTAAGAGTCTCCATTTCGACAAAAGCGTAGCAGTTGTGCTTGAGGGGAAAACCCTTGGGACCATTTCGTATTATTCGCACATTACCAACATGACCGTAATTGGAAAAAAGTGTGATGAGCTGGCCTCTGGGGAATTCGACTGGCAAATTTGAGACGTGAAGCTTTATTTTTTGGTCAGGAGATCTTGATCGCTTGTGTTGATGCCGACTGTACATTACTAATTATTAATCACAAGTTCAAATAGAATTATTATAAGAATACTTTTAAATCAAAAATTTTTTGAAATTGGAAAATGAGAAGGGTAAAATTTAGGCCTGATATTTGTTGGAATATATAGTTTATCAGATTATTTGGGGATTATTTTTAAAATAAAGCCATTTATAATTGGCGTAATTTTATATTTATTCTGATATTTTAGGATATTTGAAAATTATTTTTATAGCCTTGAGTTCGAGATTAAAAAATTATATTATTATACAAAAAATATCATTATTTATGATGCATATGTCTGAAAGGCATATTTTACGCCAATATTTTAAGATTCTTACTGCCTTCAAGACAAACAAAATCATTGGCAAATCCTATTTTGGAAATCAATCCTTGAAGAATAAGGATAAAAACAATATAAAGACGCCTTTGTATAACATTTTTTCATATATATAATTAATGCTTTATATAATGAAATCTGCCACAACATAAATTTTAAATACTGAAGCAAACTTGCCTTTCAAATATTTGCCAATTGATTTTTTGTAAAGTAATTTATATAATTCTTACTCCCCCTCTTTGAGTGTATTTTTTGGTAAAAAGCACTTCCCTTAAGCAAATAAAAAAAATATTGAAAATACTTGATATATAAGTGATAATTAGTTTAATGAAATATCTAGCTAATTCTGCTGAATTTTAAACAAAGCATGAAATCACATTTTAAATTGATTTTGGCTTTCCAATTGGGATTATTTATTTTTTGGAAAACAATTTTTACTATAAAATTTATATATAAATTTTTTAAAATAAAAATAACCACATTCATAAACAATAAAAATTTTTTTGTTCACTTACAGAAGGAGAGTTATATAAAAGTTTTAAAAAAAATATTTTAGTGAGGGAATTAGAATACACTTTCGAAATATGTTGAAAAGCTTCATATTTGTTTTTAATATGCTCTTCAATCAAACTAAAATCCCTCTCTCTTGCCTCCACCTCCATTAAGTCATTTATTCTCTTCCTAGCATTTATTTTCTCAAGCCCTTTGATATGGTTTTCGATAATTTTTTTGCTTCTCATTTCTTCAATCTTTTCCTGCTTTTTTCTATTTTCTGCAGCATCTTCCATTAAAAGCCGATTCTTTTCTTTATAAATCTCATTATGGATTGCTTGTTTTTCATTTCTTTTCTCAATCTTCTCTTTAATTTTTTTCTCTTTTTCTATAGCTGCTTTTTCAATAAGGATTTGCTCTTCTTTCAGTTTTTCTATATGGTGAAGGCTTTTTACTTTTTTTTCGTCGTTTTTTGAAGATCGATATTCTTTTATTTTTTCAAAATAGTGCTCATCTCTTGTAGATTTAATTCTTGGTTTTTGAAACTCATAGATGATTTTCTTTTGATTCTCTGCATCATTTCGATTTCTCAGCTCTGAAATGCTCCTTTTAGGCTTGCTTTGGATTTTTTCTTTATAGTAAGATTGGCATCGTTCTCTTGCTTTTATCATTTTTGCTTCGAAGGCTCTCAATTTTTCTTCGATTTCTTTTTCAATTAAATCTTCTCTGTAAATCCCTCCTTGTTTAGCGTTCAAAAGCTAGCAAAAGGGTTGGCTATTTTTTTAAAAAATCGAGATTTGTAGCTTTTAAATGAAAAATAATCTAATTTATAAATGAAATGTTTTAAGTCGTAAGATGCTTAAAAATTTTAATAAATCAATGGAAATCTCATTATAAATTATCTATCAATTTATTATTGTATAAATTTTATGCAAAAATATTTTGCCTGCTAATATTTCCAATAATGATTTCTGATGATTTTGTTCGATAATAAGTGGGGGAATAAGATATCAAATTTGTTTTCGGTGTTCGTTTTAAGCTTCTATCAGCTATTGGTGTTGGTGTTTTGCTTTCAAATGAAAAATTGTCTATTATAGCATCCGCAGATCGATCTCTTTTATTTGAATTTTCAAGTCTTTTGTGTTTTTTCTTCTTCTTTTTAGCCTCTTCGATCTGTGTAAGTATATGATCTTTTGATCTTTTATCTTTCCTTTTTAATTTTTCTAATATATCAATTTGATTGTGTAAAATAAGCTTAATCGCTTTATTTGCAGCATCTTTTCTTCTTTTATTATTTTGGTTAATTCATTCTAATTTTTGTTCATTAGTTTCCCCTAGATAAGATCGTTGAGTGGGATTTTTTTCTGTTATAAATGAAAAATCATTAGAATGCTCGATTTCAGATAAGCTAAAAGTGCTAATATTGACTGTATGGGAAATAAAACTGGAACTTCTTGATTTTTTTCTATGTAGAAATTCGTATATTTTTTTTAGTTTAGCAAGACGTTTTCTATTGTAATGTTCAAGCCTTAATTCAGCGAGTTCTTTTATCTTCTGATCGTTTTGAAAATAACTTAAAGGTTTTTCTTCTAAATCGTTTATATTTATATCTAAATGTTTAAGGATTTCGTTAGGATCAATTTCTTGATTCTCTGTGTTGAATATTTTTTCATATAGTAGATTGGCTTCATTGGGTTCTGACTGTTTAGAATTTTCCATCATTTAATTATGCATTTCAAAAAATCCTAAAATTAATCACCATATCATGAAATTTTATAAGGTTAATAAGTTCTCCATATGAATAATATTTTTATCCTCACAACTTCTTTATTAAATACATAGAAAAATAAATTTAATAAAAGGTAAGTTTTTATATTAAAATAAAGGTTAAGGATATATAATTTTTTAATGAAAATAATGCCAGTTTTTAAAAGGAAGTTATTCTAATTAACTTAGCCTAGCAATAAATAATTAAAGTGAGCGAGAATGGCTAGATAAAGTTCTAACTAATTCTAATCTGAGTGCTGTAGACAAGTCTAGATATGAAAACTCTATATGTGAGCTTTCAATCACTTCTCTAACTTCATTAATAGCCTCTTCAGACGGGAACTTCCCAGGCTGAAAAGAGTTCAAAGCGCGAATAATCACAGACTCTACCCCAGGGTTTTTTATCTCAAAATGTTCATCAGTGAACGGAATTCTAAAAATAATCATATTTTTTTTCTCATAAAATTCCCACTCAATATCTCTATACAGATTGTACATCATCAGCAGCACGCACATTCTCTTATTTACTGTCCCATACAACGTTTCATGATTTTCTCGCTCACGAATCCTGCATAAACACGTAATTAATAGCCTAATCGACATTGGATAAAAAAACGCACCTGTTTGTAATTTCTCACATTCTGGTACGAGCGCTATCAAAACTGCATTAGGGTTGCCACGTTTAATAGCTTCCACTGTAGATTTCACGCCATTAGGTGGGTGGTTTTTGTCTAGAAACGCAAAATGCAAGCTAGATTGTGGGGCCACAACTCTTTCAATTTCACTGTATCATATTTCATTAGTTCTTTTGCCTGTTTTTTGAAAGACAACTTCTTTGTCTTCAGAATTTCCGTGCTGTTTTATATATTCTTCCATCATTTGGCCTCGAATTGTGTCACAGCAAATCATCTCAAATGTGGCACCAATTTCTGAAGCGACAGAGCGGAATGTAGATACAAAGACTGATTTTCCTAAGGCTGGGACTCCTACAGGGATAAAAACATAAGTTCCATCTGGAATCCTAAGATTTTGTGTGGAATCAAGTTCTTCATTGGAATGCAACTCCATTTTTGTGGTTTTTTAAGTCTATTTTAAAGACGATAATTAAATTATAAATTACTCTTCAACGTAATGATAAATACTGAATTGAGCCTCATCTCTTCTTATAAGTCCTCTGAATATCAAATCTTCAATGCTATCTTTAATGGCTTCTGGCTGGGGCGTGAAATCGAGAGTTTGTCCCATTATATTTGCTAATAAATCATGATGATTGACTAGTCTTTTTGATTTCACAAATTTCACGATATGAGCTTCAAGTATATACTTTCTTTCTTTCATAAGATTATCATCAACTACTGCCGAAGGTTTAGGAGCTTTTTTCTTAGGCTCAATAATAAAATTCAGTCTTTTTTGCTTGCTCTCAAACTGTAAATTAAACCTAATTTTTTCATTCTCGCCTATTTTTTTACCTTGGCTTTCTTTTAATAGTAAATTATGTTTTGGATTAAAAAAACTTAGTAAATGCATTTTTATATACGGCACTGGCAGCTCTGTAAATAATTTGATTTCACTAAGTTTAGTTTCTTCACTATTAATATTCCAGAGGATGATATACTGAATAGGGCTCATAATCAATGTATACTGCTGATTTAGATAAAGAGTTTTAACTTCCACACTCCCAAGATGATATAGCCAATTTAATTTCCTTCCAGTATGTATATTTATATAAAATTTTGTAAAATCTTCAATATGTGTAAATATATCTCTAGGCACTTTTGGCTTGATTTCTTCCTGTTCAGGCCACCCTCCTGATTTCAAAATTTTAACATTAAACTCGAAATTTGAAACCGTCGTTTTGGACTCGTTATACTTTTTAAGCAAATCTTTTGATATATCAATATCATGGATCATAACATTTAATTTATCAGTTAGAGCTGTTCCACATTTTGCTTTGAATTTCGAAATAATTGAAAGCTCTGCATCTAAGGATGCTCCAGTATCATTGATTAATCTTGATGCTAAAAGTTTGGCGTAATTTGCAAAGAATAAATCTCTTTCAGAAATGTTGCTAACAAGGTCAGTTAATTTTTCAAGCTCTAAGTCTAAATCTTCTTCTGAGAGTCCTGAGATTTCTCCTTTTAGTAGTTCGTCAGAAAATAAAGCAGTATAAAGCGCTAAATCAGCTCGGCTATTAATCACTTTTTTAACTGTTGATTCTTTTAGTGCTTTGAAATCAGAATTATTGCCGAAGCACTTTTTAACAATTTTGTCAGCATGTCCAATAAAACTAAGAAAAGCTTTTATGCAGTCTTTTGGCTCAAGACTTTTTCCTTGATCAATAATGTATAAACTTTCCAGCTCTAGATAAACCTCCAATTGCAATAAAAATAAGCTTTTCATATTCTCATCACCTTCAAAGTTTGAATAAAGGTTTTTCAGTGATGGAATATTGGAGTCTTGGAAAAAATTATTGAAATTAACTTTGTATAGGTGATATTCGTCTTTGAAAGATGTGATAATTTGAAGCTTTAGGTTTTTATTAAGTGGCTGTAATGTAGCTTCATGAAGCAAGTTTGCTACTAACTGCTCTTCAGATTCAAATAATTTTATGGCAGATGTAAAATAACCTTCAGTTCCTATAAGTAGATTTAAATTTTTTGCAGCCACATAAAAATACTCAGTCGATCTTTCGAGTAATGGATCTTCTATAAATGTTTTATAAAAACTTCTTAATTCAGCTACCCCTTCCCATTTGATTTCGCCTAATTGATTTTTCTTAATCTGAGGGTTATTGTACTCAATTTCAATAAAACTGTGGATGGCGGAAGATAGCTCCTTATCGCGAATTGTTGGGTTTTTTCTATAGTCTTCAATCATATACTGATTTAAAGGGGATTTATTATTAATACTAGCATAAGTGATTTTATTTTTATAGAAAATATTCTACTCATTTTAATTAAATACTATTAGTGTCTTTGAAAGGTATATTGATTAGCCGATTCCCTAATTTTGATGCGACTGGCTGAAAAGCTTCTTCTTTGAACAATGTAAAAGCAAGTTTTGATAATGAGTCCTTTTTATGCAACTCTATATAGCCTCTCTCCAGATAATGAAAAGCTAGCTTCATTCAGTAGACAAAATTCTTATAAGCTTCTCACTGATTCAAAAATAAACCAAAAATATCATCAGTAGGCCTAAGTAAATTAGGTAATATATTACTTCTAAGAAAAGAAGTAACAGTTTCTGAATAAAAATTATAATAACTGTGCCCTGTCGTGTAGTCATCATACGTGCTTCTCATTAGCCAAACACCTTTCATAATGACTTCTGCAGAAACTTGAACATTTTCTCTTCTCGAAATTTTCTGCTTGATAGGTTCAATTATTTCTTTATTCAATACTTCTACTGTTTCTTCAACAGTTACCATTATTTATATTTAGTACCATATTTATGAAATCTAATTATATACATAAAAATTGTGATGACAGATCACCCAGCCTCCTGACCCAATTTCTTCAACACCTCGTGGCAACGGTCCAGTGTGAAGGAAAAGGGCAGAACGAGGCCAGTAATCCTTTATGTATATGCCTTGCTAGATTTTTCTCGGGCCTTAGTGAGTTAATCCCTGGGACTTGAGTTTTTGCGTCTGATACCATCACTGGAAAGAAAAAGATCAGCACAAGCCCCGATTGGACGATAAGTCTATCGATCAGGTTCACGAGGTGGCATAGTCTAGCGAGAAACTGGGGGTTACCTCCCAGGAGTCATGGAAGTCAAGACCGGAAGGACGAGCCTCTTGCCTGTGATGGCGAGGAAGGGTGTTTGCCGGCCCCTCAGGGACAATAAGTATATAGGGCTTAAATCTCTTGCTCAGTCGAGGACGAAGAGCTTAAATAATATTAACATTTATGAAATCTAATTAGAACTTAAAGATTTGCTCTTCAGAAAATCCTAATCCTTTGAGTTGTTCTCTTACCATTCTATTCATTTGGCTAGGTCCACAATGGCATATAATTGTATCTTTTGAAGCAGGCGGCATATATTTTTTAAGCATTTCTTCATTTATGAACCCTTTTCCATATTTCCAGCCATCAGCAGGAATATCAAGGGTGTAGTAAACTACTAATTTTCCGTGGTTTACAAATTCTTCTAGTTTCTCTCTGAGCAGAATGTCAATTTCTGTGCGGTTTCCGTATACCAAAGATAAAGTGATATCTTCATTATTATCAATAATGTTCTGTATTAACTGGAAACAAGGCGTAATCCCAGTTCCTCCTGCAATAAAACCAAAGTGTTTTACTTTGAATTTTGCTCCTTCAATATCTACATTTCCGTTTCCTAAATAAGTCAGTCTCCCTTTGGGTCCAGAAATTTCTAATTTATCTCCGTTTTTAAGACTGTCTAAATACTGAGTCATTTTGCCTCCTTCAGGGAACTTTGGATGAACATTTTTATAGTAAATTTTGATTGGCAGCTCAATGATGCCTCTTTGGTCTATTTTAGAAGTTGGAGTGTACTTACGTGTTACGATTTCGCCTTCTGGGTGCTCAGCTGTTGGGATATTGGCTCTGAAAATAACGTGCTGTCCTAATGGCAGGCCTAACTTCAGATTTGGATCTCCAAAGCTGAAAACAAAAATTTTTGAGTCTGGGGAAATCTGTTTGGCCTCTACAAGGGTGACTTGCTTCCAATTTTTAGCCCCTTCTAGGAATACAGGTTCCTTTTTGTCTCTAGTGAGAAATAGAACAGCAAGTCCTAGAAGGATTCCTCCAATAAGCCAGAAAATTCAGCTCTCCATTTATATTAGAAAATATAATAATTATGTCAAAGAATGTGGAAATCCTCTATCACACAACTAAAAATATTGTTTTAAGAAGTATCGCTAAGCCCCCTTTATGTTTTTCTCCTAATAAATTTCCCTTGCAGCTATTCCCCAGCATCATTTTTGTCGAAAAATAACTGTTTTTGTAAAAGTAAGTGCCAGATGAAAAAAAAAATCATCGAAGTGCGCCAAGGAAATGACTGTAAGAGAAAAGTCCAAAGGAAAAGATATGCCATGCACTAAGCCAGTTACTTTTCCTCTTAATGAAGAGATGCTTGAAATTATAGACAATCTCGTTTTTGCAATTAGATATAGAGATATGGTATGGACAAATTATGGACTAAGTATATCAGCTCCTCAAATTGGAGAGCCTTACAGAATGTTTATTGCTTCTCCGCCTAAGAATTGGATTCGAAAAGCATATCATAGAACATTTGATTATTATATAAATCCTGAAATTGTATGGAAATCAAATGAAACAAGCGAAAACTGAGAAGGGTGTTTGAGCATCCCTAAATACGAATATTTAGTTAGAAGACATAATTCAGTTACTGTAGAATATTATGATTTAAGGGGAAAAAAGAAACAGAAGACAGTAATATATACAGAAGCCAATGTAATTCAGCATGATATTGACCATTTGAACGGGAAACTTGTTTCTGATAATGCTTTTCAAGAACGACTTATCTTACGAAAAGAGCCCGAAGTAACAGTTATAGATTATCCAGTTAATATCACTTAATTGCTTCAAAAATAGAATTGTTTTAGTGTAAATTCAAATAAATTAGACATTTAATTTGCATTGAAATCAATCTTTTTCTAAAACGTTAAAAACTCTACTAAAATTATTAAAACTTTATGATTATTCATCTCTTAAGCATTCTGCTTTTTATTTATTGAGCTGGATTTTTATGTTCTGGAATTTTTATTGTTAAATCGAAAACTAGCCTTATGGTTAATATGAGTAACTTCCAATTGATTAATAATTTAATAACAATTATTCTTGAAGCTTGCATTGTTAAAAAGTAAAGCTATACAATAATTGATTATTTCAAGCATATTTATTTTTTGATTGCGTTTGAATATGAATAATTAAAAGAAATGAATAATTTAAAAGCAAAGTCCCAGGTGCTAATTCATCAACCTGGACCAGATGCATTATTTGAACTCAATAAAATGAATCTCAAAACGATATTTGCAAATCATAAACCTCTGGATAACCGAATTTCTTTAGCAGCATTTAGAAATTTCTGTAAAAATTCTCATGTTGTCCCAGTACATTTTACATAGGATTTGCTTTCTGTATTTGACTTAAAGCGAATTTTTACAAAAGTTACTCAGAATCAATCTAATAAGTCTTCGTTCTCTTATCAGAATTTCGAGCAAAGTTTGAAGTACACCCTCTTTAACAAATAATTATTGCAGTATTTAAAATTTTAGAATATGCTAACATTTTAATTCTCATATAAAAGAAAAATCACAAAACTCTTTTATCATTTATTTAATAAGATAATAATTATTCTTTACTATAGTTAGAAATAAATCTGGGGTTTACACGCTCCAAATGATTAATGCTGCTTTTAAATAGCTTTAGTAGAGTGTATATTGCAATTTCAGGATTCCATACATCAGTTCCATTGTCAGATAAACTTCAAATGCTGTTTCTTCACATAAAAAGTCCCTGCAAAAAAGTTTATAAAGTAAATTTATCAACATCACTGAAATCAAGACCATCAACTCCGTTTTCTCATGAGAATTCTGAGCCAGAGCGGGATGAAAATAGATCTAGCCAAAGAGCATACACTCAAAAGCTTGGATTAAATAAAACAAGCGGACGTTCACATATAAAGATCCCCTTAGATATTGATACAATATTAGCATTTCAAAGAAGATCTCCATTGAAAGCTAACTCTACCCAAAGAGAAAGGGTATCTCCTTATAGGATGATACCTTGTTTATCATATAAATCAATATCACAAGATGCTAGCCCTCTTTATAGAGCATCAACTCGTAGAGAGAAAGTAGCTTGCACTGCAGCAAACTCCAGAAGGAGCTCTCAGGATACTAGTGACAAAAATAAAACTAAAGAAATATGTGAAGCTACTGTAAAACTTGTAGGAAAAAGGCATCACAGAGCGATGTCTGCAGAAACTTATATGGTGCAGAGCCCAAAATTTGGAGGAAACTCCTGCACCCCAGAAGAAAGTTTTTCAAGCTTAGATGCTACACCAAAAAGTTTCTTTCAGAAAACTTTGAAAGAAAAACAAATAGAAAATCTATTTAAAAATTTTAAAGAAAAAAACCAAAATTTAGTCTTAAAGAAGACGAAGAAAGAGCCTTATTTAACAAGTCTAAGGAAGCATAGAAATTATATTGAAAAAATTAGAGACAAAAGCTTTTCAAAAATGATGATAGCAAGAATTATTTTTAATTCATGGAGAGGTCTCAAAAATAAAACTTAATCTGTATATTTTTATTTTTAATATATTCTACCAATTTATTTTCACTATTTTTTCTCCTTCAGAAAATTAATAGATTAATTGTCTATTGTGCAGAGAATACGATATTATCTACAATAATCTTAAACTATTCAAGCAAATTCATATGATAAAAGATAAAGAAATGTGCTTACTCCCCCCCCCCTCCGTGAGCGAACAAAAAAATTTTGTTCGCTCACGGAGGGGGGTTAATTTTTTTTTTTTAAAAAAAATTTATATATAAATTTTATAAAAAATATTTTTTTCGAAATTTAAAAAAAATCCTAATTTGCAAAAATTGGGAAGCAAATATTAATTTAATTTGCAAAATTTATGTTTTAAAACGCAATTTGTTTAAAATTAAACAGAATTAGCTCTAGATTTCATTATACTAATTATCACTTATATATCAAAATTTTTTTTTTCATTAAAATTTTTTCTATTAAAAAAATTTTTGTTCACTCACGGAGGGTGGGTTTTTGGTCAAAAAATGGCGATTTTTCTAATGGTTTTGTTCGCTCACGGGGGGGGGGGGGGAGTTAATAAAATCTATTTGTAACTTTTTTCTTATTTCATGAACGTTTCAAATATTTTTGTATTAAAATCTTCTTCTAAATATCTCTTAATCTCTCACAGCTTATCTTTAGATAAATAATTCTTATTCTTATTGGCCTATCTAGTTGAGAGGATGTTTAAATTGGACTATAACTGCTGTCATATTATCACACCCAAGTCCTGCATTAGCCCCGATTTCTGGTGAAAGACATCTATCCAGCATTTCCTCCACAATTGCACTCAAGCTCTTGCTTCCAATTCTTTGTCTTACAAAATCAACACACTGTTGGCTAGTCAGCATATCCCAAACTCCATCACATGCAAGTATAATAAATTCATCATTCGGCGTCAATAATTCTCTCCTTATATCAGGATAAGCTGTAATCATTTGGTCCTTCTGAGGAATGCTGTTATTTTTCTTATACTCCAGATCCCCTATTGATCTGCTCAAGTTAAGGTTTCCCATAACTCTTCCTTCCTCTACTGTTCCTCCAGCTCTCCTAATTCTTTCCAACTCTTCTGGTAGGTCTGGCTTATGATCCATAGAGAGTTCTACAGCAAGACCCCCTCTGCTAAGAACACAGCGTGAATCTCCAGCATTGGCTACATATATTTCATTGCCTCTGATTAACGCTGACACTGCAGTGCAGCCAGCTTGGACTTGGTTATCATTGATGTTGACTGGAGTTGAGTCAGGCAAATCTCTGGAAATTCTAATAAGTTCTCTGATCCCATCTGGGGTTTGTTGAAGTTCATCCATTCGCAAGTAAGATTGCCTTAGAGCGTCGTCCAAGCGGCCTTCACGATATGCTTGGTTCTGTAGAAGCTCTTGACATAGATGTCTTGTTACGAATTCAGCAACTTCTGGACCACCATGACCATCATAAACACCAAATAATGCAGTGTTTGCATCTAATTGTAGATTAACGATTCTGGCGTCTTCCATTGTTACTCTCCACCCTTGCATATCTGATGTAGCGAATCGCATGCGTTGGCTTTCTCCTGTGGAGGTGCGCTTTTCAGTTTTTGGGGTGGATAAATAAGGTCCCATATTTATAAGAAATGAATTTTCACTGATATATAGTTTTTTAACGGACTACAGGCAGTAGGATGGGTGGAAGAAATTTTGAGGGTAAAAAGGATGGATGAAATGGAAAAGCTTTATGAGAAGTATAAAGAAAGTGATATAGGGGAAATATAAAGGGATGAGTTATAAATTTATGTAATGGGATATTGTGGAGATACCTATAAAATTTGTTTAAAGTGCTCATATTGCTTTTATAATTACAATTTACTTATGCATGTCTTTAATCAATATTATGCAATATATTGCTTTAAGAGCATAATTGGTGTATATTAATAATCCCATAGATGGTATAAAAATTGATTAAATATAGTTTTACACAATTCATTTTGATCACATTTAAGCTTAGCTATTGTGCGAATTCTAATAGTCTGTATGCTTTTTCCAACTCTTCAGAAGGCTTATGGGAAGTATATGGATCTCTCAGTGGGAATCCATTATTTGTAGTTTTGATCCATTTGTTCAAATCTTTTTGCCCAACTCCATAAATCTGTTTAATCTCAGTGAGGCTTAGTTTCTTCTGCTTATATTTCTCCACAATCTCTTCTTTATCAGCCCTATTAAACCTTTTCTTTCTTTCCATCGAAATCGGCTCATCTTTTTCATCTAATTCTGTATAAATTCAATTTTCAATCATTTCTCTATCCACATTTCATATTATTTTGACGCTTTCATCCTCATAGTTCCCTTCTAAATAATCCCTAACCAGCTGAATCCTAAAATTCCTCGGATAAGGATCCGACGAAAAATAGGGTTTTTTAGGCTTTTTAAATATTTTTTTTCATAAATTTAATGTGTTTGCATCAATATTATAAGTATTTAAAACATGGTCTTCAGCAGAACTTTCAGATTTTAAACTTTGGATTATAGAATTGCAGAACTTAGGTGTAAATTTGCTGCTTCTATTTGGCTGAAAGCATTCTACATATTTTTTGAATTTTAATCTTTCTTTATCGCTTTCTATATAGACTCGAGATTCATATAAAAAATGGATACTTAACTCAACAGGCACCCTGTAACTGATTGAAGCTGCCAAAGTGCCATAAAGCTGGGCAGTTTGAAAAATACTTACTGATACAACTTTCAGAAAAGCTGTAGGCATAACATAATTGGACCAATTAGGGCTTTTTGATTTTCCTTTGCAATCAAGAATAAATTGGTTTGCTTCAATTTCAGCTGAAGAAGTTAGGACCGTTTTCGGCTCTTCTTTTACTGGCTCAGTGCTGCTTTTTGCAGAAGGCATTAATTTTTCGTCATAATACAATGGGAGCTTGAGGCTTGGAGGAGCTCGCTTTTTTCTTGAGGGATCTCGATTCCTTTTTCTCTTAGAAGCTGTGCCTGATGATGACGAGTATTCTTCCTTTATTTCGCGTTTTAAAGGAAGTAATGGAATATTTTCTGTGGTCTTTTTAGGGTCTTCAATATAAAGCTTTACTGCTGATTGATTTTTGAAGGAATTTAGGAAAAAATTGTAGGCTTTTTGTGTTGTGAGACGAATTTTATCGTTGTCTTTATCAAAATAATAAATAATTGGAACAGAGGAAACGCTTTGTACTTGCTCTTTGATTGATTCAATAAGCTCTGAAAGAGTTAGGGGAACTGGAGAAATGATGTAAAATTCATCTCTAAAACAAACTTTAAGGGTTTCTATATTCAGCATTATAAAAGCCCCCAAATAGGATTTTGCTAAAATTATATTGGAATTCTCGCTTAAGACCTTTTGGTTTAAGGATTTATTTGAAAATATTTCAAAAATAATTTATTTTTAGAAAGGAAATTTATTAAAAAAATTTGGTAAAAATCCAATAAATATTTCGATTTTTTTCTACACTATGCTTATTAATGAAACTTTCTCTATTTAATTATGGAAAATTTGATAAAATAAAGCAAAGGCAAATGATTTTTCTTGCATAAATGAAGCTAATTTAAAACAGAAATTAATTTAAGTATCAGGAATAAGGCAAAATATACCACAAGGACTATGAACTGAACTCTAAAAATTTATAAGCCTGATCCATAATAGTTGATGCTCTATGTCCATGATAAGGATCCCTAAGTTTTGCTCCATTTCTTCTCGCAGTAATCCATTTATCAACTTCTGACTGATTTACTCCATACTTCGTTTTGATTTCTTTGTACGTCATCTTTTTCTGCAAATATTTGTCCACAATATCTTCTTTTTCACCCCTAGTAAGCCTTCTCCTGGCCGTTGGCATCACAATTTCCTCTTTTTCTTCTAATTCTGCATAAATCCAATTTTCAATTACTTCTTTTTCCAAATCCCAGCATATTTTGATATTTTCCGCATCATAATTCCCTTCTAAATAATCCCTCACTAGCTGAATTTTAAATGTTTTTGGAAACGTATCATACAAAGGGCGAGGCTTTTTGGGATACGAAAATAATCGCAATCATAATTCAATAGATTCTTCTTCAACCCCATAAGTAGTAATGATATGCTGTTTATTTAAAGCTCCATGAATCAGCTGATGTGCCAAATTGCAGCAAAATTTTGGGGTGAAAATAGAAGGCTCTTTTGGAAGACAAGACTCCACATATTTTTTATATTTTTGGATTTCTCTTTCGCTTTCTATATGGACTTTAGTATCATAGAAAATGTGGATGCATAATTCAATAGGGATTTTATAGGCTATTGAAGTGTGGATAAAGCCATAAGTTTCGATAGCTGATCGGATTGAGTTTCTCACAACTCCAAAAAATTCTGTGCATGTTGAATAGCTGCTTCAATTAGGAGCTTTTGATTTTCCTTCGTTGTCAAGAACAAATTGGTTTGTCTCTGATGCTAAAATAGGTGAAATAGCTTGAACTACTGGCTCAAATTTTACAGGTCCACCATCAAAGGTATCCAGGATGATTTTTTCGATGTCTTTTGGGAATTTGCTAGGCTTGCTGCTCATTCTGATAGAGCTTATCGAAGAAATAAGGTTAGGCTGAACTTTAAAAGGCTCAGCGAGGTCTTCAGTTTCTTCAAGTTTTTGAATTTTAACTGGAGTAAGCTTTGGCTCTTCTTTTGTAGGCCTTTTTATAGGGAGCGCAGGGCTTGAAGCTGAGTTAGCTTCTGATGATTTTTGGTTATCTTCTATATAAAGTTTAGGAGTCACTGAGTTTTCGAAAGTTGCCAAATAAAATTCATAGCCTTTTTCGTTTGAAATTTTGATTTTGTCTCCTTCATCATCAGTGTAATAAACGTTTGGGGTTTTGGGAACCCCTGGGATTGTTTCTCTGATAGAATCTAAGAGGACAGAAAAAAATGATGGAATTGGGGCGATGATGTGAAACTCGTTTTTATAAGAAACCTTGATTGAAGATAATTTTGACATTATTAAGGCCCCCAATTAAATTAACTAAATTAAAAGGAAAGGATAAATATTTTGATTATTTTAATTGGTAATTTTTAGAGGAACCATTTTGAATGAGGAATTGTTTTACATTTTTATTGCCAAATTTTAATTGTTTACTAATAATTTTGGCGAAATAGCTATATAATACATAAATGGCTGTAATATCTGTAATGATTGAAGAGATTTAACCAATACAAAAGAACTTAGCCCGACTGAGGATTGCAAGTACTCATGCTCTTTGGTTTAAAATTAAAAAGATTTTCTAACAAAATAAAATGCCAGTTTAGATTAAAAATAAATGATTCTTCAAAGCCATTTAAAGCAAAAGATAATTGAATGCTATCTATTTATATCTAAAAAAATATATTAAATCGAAAATAAATTACTGAAAATGCTTACTGATAAATTATTAACTTGGTGGATGCTGATGCTACACGCTTAGATGCAGATTACACGCTGATTAATAATAGTTAATAAATTTTTTATTGAAATAATGCATAATTAGATTTAAATTAATTATTTTCAGTATAATAAACTATTTAGCGAATTTTTCATATTCACTGTACTTAACGAAAACAGTATAAAAAGAGGAAATCATAAGGCCCTTATGACCCTAATAAAATCTCAAAATTGCATTTCTATCGGAGATCATTATATAGGTGATTGCATGGCTCCACACAATCATATGCTCTATGGAATGCAATTTTTTGATGGAAGAAATCTTTACTAAAAGGAATTTCAGGGGTTGTTTCTCTAAAATATTTTGGGAAATGGGGGAACATCTTTATCAATAAAAGAAAAAGGGCATATTGGTAAGATAATGCTGTAAAGCATAGCCCAGTAATTAAATCAAATCTATTGGAATGCTTAAAAGCTTTAAAAGATATTTTTTTCGTTAAAATAAACATTTTTTATTTTATATATATTTTTCAATACTAAAACCTTTTCTAAATAATTGTTCCCATTCTTCTTACTATAAATTTATTTTTTATTATATCAGCAAAATTATTTTGTTTTTGTGTGCCGATCAATGATAATCTATTCTCCAGTAAAGATGGCTCATCAACCAACTGGCTCCGATATTTAATATGAATCATATAAACTACAGTTGAAAATTGCATTAATTTATTACTTTGTACACCTTTGCATGATTTAATTATTTGGGATCGGATCAAGCAGCAGGGAGCTCGATATTGGCCTGTTTTTTAATATTATCAGATGATGATCCTTTTTTTCAGCATGAATTTTGTGTTCAGCGTAATTCAGGTGAATTACATTATGAGAAGCCCTGACTACTCTTGGGTGTGGAAATTCTTTGTGTTTAAACAAGTCTTCTTCTATTGTGTATTTTCTTGTGCGAGGATATGATACAGATTCTTCAAGCAAGTAATCTTTTGCTGAGAATGAGGGGAGAGATCTTGATGTAGGTGATATATCTTTTGAATAATCGTTGTCGTGAGAAATAGATTGGGTTAGGATCGTTGGGTTCATATTTTTATATTTTAATATGGCTTAAAGGAAAAGATAAAAATTTTAAAAATAAGTTCTGATTCAAGTTTATTGTGGCATATAATAGAGTTGTGATAAGGCAGAGATTATTAAAGAAGTATACAATCTGCTGTTAGATAAAAGTTATGTGAAATGCAATGCAATTTAAATAAATGCGTTTCTGAGAGTTTAGGTGTAATATTACACTTATGAAACGTCTCTAAAATGTGTATTCAAAATTAGGGATATGGATAAAATTTCTTTAAATGTTAAATTTAAATATGAATTTTAGAAAATACACATGAAGAATATATTTTTCTTTAATTTTGAGAATTAAAACTATAAAGTAAAAATTTATTATCATTCTCATTTTAGATATGATTAATAATAAGAAATTATTCAAATATCCTTTAATTATTTATTTATCGTTTTGGGTTTGATCATTATTGGTATATTTTTAAATATTTGAAAGCATATTTTCTAATAAAAATATTTTAAGATAACTAAGCCAACGACCAGTAAAATCACAGAAAATTTTTAACTTTCAGCATTTTCCAAGTAGAAAAATAAAAAATTTTAACTCTCATTTATCTATATAACTGAATTTTGATCTAAGATCCACTTTAGCAATTGAAGCCCTAAATATCCAAAACATTTATAAATCCGCTAATTTGGATATCTATTAGAAAATAAATAACTCAATCTAATAAAAGCTTTGATATTAAGTACGATGTGCATTCTTCAGATCTTTGAATCAATCTGAATTTTAACAATCAGAAAAAATACATCTTTAATTACCTAAATAAATCAGTATTTTATACAGTTAAATAGAGTCCGAATAAAATGAAAAGATATCTTCTAGCAGCAATTTCAAAACCGATTTAAGCTATTTTCTCTTATTTTTTCTTATATTGTCTCCCCTTAATTATTTTTCTTCTGAATTCTTGTCTCTACAATTTCCAAAATTTCGATAGTTACCCTCAGTATAGGGATATTTATCTCAATTTCTAGCAGAATGAATACTTATCAAAGCAATTTTCTTATATTTTAATGAAAATATACAAATTTGGCAGCCAAAAATATTATTCATTAAACGAAATATATCTCCTGATGAAATTCCCTATAATAATTTGACAATAAATGGCGTGGATTTTACCAGCGTTTTTGACGATAGCTCTTGCAGCCTCGTCTAATACCTTATCAAATGAATCGAAAGCATGCACAAGCATGTGTACGGATTATTGCCGTAGTGCTTATCAAGGCCTTTCAACATGTCTTGATGCTTGCCAAAAGAATTTATGCAACTCTCAGTCGCCACTTGCCTTAGCTAGACTCCAAGCATTCTTCGCTGAAGAAGCAGCTGCCACAACTGAAGAATCAGCACCTGCAGCTGAAGAGGAGGCTCAAGAGCCAGCATCAGATCCAGTAGTCGAGCCTACTGAGGAAGCAACCCCTACTGAAGAAGCTACAACAGTTGAACCAACACCAGATGAGGAAGCACCAGTAGATCCTTCGGCACCTGTAGAGCCAGCACCTGCTGAGCCAGAAACCCCTGTTGAGCCAACACCAGAGGAACCAGCACCAGAGGAACCAACACCAGAGGAGCCAGCACCTGCAGAGCCAGAAACCCCTGTTGAGCCAACACCTGTGGAACCAACACCAGAGGAGCCAACACCAGTAGAGCCAACACCTGAGGAACCAACTCCAGTAGAGCCAACACCTGAGGAACCAACTCCAGTAGAGCCAACACCTGAGGAACCAACTCCAGTAGAGCCAACACCTGAGGAACCAACTCCAGTAGAGCCAACTCCAGTAGAGCCTACACCAGTTGACCCTCAGACTCATGATCCAAATCATCCTGGACATGAATACGAGACCAATCACCCAGATCATCCTTACCACGATAAGGAAAAAGAGCACGATGATGAGGACTGGGATGACTATGAAGATCAAGATGATTATTCACATGAAGAAGCCACAACTGAAGAGGAAACTACCACTGAAGAGGAAACCACAACTGAAGAGGAAACCACAACTGAAGAGGAAACCACAACTGAAGAGGAAACCACAACTGAAGAGGAAACAACCACTGAAGAGGAAACTACCACTGAAGAGGAAACCACCACTGAAGAGGAAACTACCACTGAAGAGGAAACCACCACTGAAGAGGAAATCACAACTGAGGAAACCACAACAACAGAAGAGACAACAACTGAGGAAACCACAACTGAGGAAACAACAACTGAGGAAACCACAACTGAGGAAGCCACAACTGAGGAGACAACAACTGAGGAAGCCACAACTGAGGAGACTACTACTGAAGAAGCCACTACAGAAGAGGCTACTGTAGAGGAGACCACCGAAGAGTCAGCTTCAACTGAGGAAACTAGCACTGAAGAGGCCGCTCCAGCAGAAACAACAGAAGAAGCCACCACTGAAGAGTCAACAGTCGAGGTCTTGCCAGCTGCTCCAGAAGAAGTAGCTCAAGCAGGCTGGGGACTGATTGTATTCCAAGTTTGCATAGTTGCAGCAGTCGCTATCTGGTCAAGCACAGATCGCAACCAGACACCCTCACCCCCCTAAAAGAGGTACCCCTAACCCCCACCCCCCTTTTTAATGGTATCCCCCCATTTTAATAGCACCCTCAACCCCTTTCACAGATGTCACTCCCACCTCCTAATATAACATAGATATATGGCTATATGGCAAATGCTAATTTAGAGCAGGCATAATAAATAAATTATTATTTTAAATATTCAAAATTACTGATTTATACATTATCTACATAGTATAGCACAATCGATTAAGGAGTAGGTGGAATGGGGTGAGAATTTCCTATAACTACTAAGCAAACACATATGAAAAAAATTTGTTAAAAAGCATAATAATGATCTTTGGTATTAATTAGCAATATATCCTGCATATATTTATGAACTTTGTGTGAAAATGGCTAAAGAGTCGAATTAGAGATCCAAAAGTAAAACTGACAATAGAAAATACGATTTTTATTAGCACTATTGAATCCTGCTACCAATTTAGTCCGCAATCCTTGTACAATGGGCATCAGATTAGTTTTAATTTATGAATAATTAATTTAATGCAAGTTATTGTATGCGCTTGGCTCATTTAATAATTAATGCCATTATCTATACCTTAGGCATTGTATTTATAAATATATAAAAAAAACAAATTTAATATATTTTTCTAATTAATTGTTAATTAATTTAAATTTATTAATTAATCATAAATATTAAAGTAATTTATGGACTTAATTTATGAATATAGTGTTTTAATTGGATTATATTTAAATTATTCTGCTTTTTTCCTATCAATTACTTCTATAGGATAAACCCTTTACTTTTTGAGAGGGGGGTGGGGGTGCCATTTTTAGAGGGATGGGGGTGGGGTGGGGTGGGGTGGGGATGGGGTTTCCCTGCTTGTGGGGTGGTGGGGTGGTGGGGTGGTGGGGGTGTCTGATTGTGGCCTGTGCTTGACCAGCTATCTTTGCAGTGAAATATTACTTGAATTCAAGAAAACGCAGAGTATCTATCAAATACTCATTCCAAGCAGGAGAATCTGAGGCTCCTTATGCACGCTTGATTAAAAACGTTTAAATTCTTTAATGGTAATCAACATTTATAAAAATCTTTCCTAATTACTCTTTTTCAATTAACTAACACTTTCTCTTTTTATTTATGCTAAATATAATTTTTATATTAGGATGGTATTCTATGTTAATTAAGAAGGTTTTGAGCTCTTTAAGTAGCTTTAAATCCCAATAAGCTAAAATTATAACAATTCAAAGGGAAATTTTCTAATAAATTTAAAATGAGTATCGAACTATCCCCAAACGAAGAAAAGCGCCTACATTCAATATTAGATAGAGGGATTGAAGCTTTACGAGACAGTGGAGAATTCTCCCACTCACAAATTATGACTAGCAAAAGCCAATCACAGTTAGAAAGTTCTTTCAAAGGATCCGCTGGGACACTGACTCCCCCCCCTTTAAATTGAAACAAAAAATTTTGTTTCAATTTAAAGGGGGGTTAAGAACATTTTTTTATAAAAAATTTATATATAAATTTTTTTTTCAGAGATAAAATTTTATAGAAAATAAATTATATAAATTTAAAGAATTTCATGAAAAATTAATTCATAAATTTCTCAATCTCAAAGTGCAAACTTGCTGAAATGGTATTCTTCTAACTCTCCCCATAACAATTGGACAAAATAGAGTTTAAATTTCTAAATCTTATATGTTTGAAGCATATTAAATAGGGTATTAACGTATTTACATATAAAATAATGATTTTTACCTATAAAATTTTCTATTATAATAAAATTTTGTTTAAATTTAAAGGGGGGGTAATTTCCCAAAAAAGTAGGAATTTTACCTATATTTTGTTTCAATTTAAAGGGGGGGGAGTGAGTACAAATGCTTTACAAGATTCAAGTAAAGTATCAAATATAAACTCTGAGCTTTTAGCTCTACAAGGGAAATTTGCAGAGCTCGAAGCCAAACTTGCAAGAAGAACTCCTTCACCTATAGAAAACATTAAGACTACCAAAAAAATATCCAACCCTACCAAATCTTCTTTAAAATCGACTAAAAAAACTCCACGACGCCCATTAAACCGCTATAATTCAAATTCCCCAAATTTATCGCGAAACTCTTCCAAAAAGTCTCCACTGAATTCCAAAAAATCTTCAAGAAAATCCTCTGCAAGCTCCATAAAAAGATCTAGCTCCAATAGTAGAGTTTACCAAAGCATAGAAAACTCTGAAAGAGAAATTTATAAGCTAGAAAGAAGCATGACCCCGCTATCCCGAGCTCAATCGATTAATATCAATAGAAATATTGATAAAATAAGGCAGCAATTAGATGAAGAAAGAAAAATCGGGGAAAAATTGACGAGGGAAAATGATAATTTGAAAAGAGAACTTGGAAAAAGAGATGAATTGAGGAAAAAAATAGCAAAGCTGCAGGATGATTATAACGAATTAGCAATTTCATTTGAAAGAAGTGAAGCTGTAAGGAAAAAGCAAAAAGATCTCATAGAAAAATTAAAAGCTGAGCTGAGAATTTTACAAGAGGACCCAGGAGCTATCAGAGAGCTCCCAAGAGCTGCCGACCAATATATCAGACCACCTTCTGCCAAAATAAAGAAAAAATCCGGAAAAAAGGGAAAAAGCTATAAACCCTAATTAATTGACAAATAACTACCCAAAACTATTTATGAAATTAATAATAGTAAGCTCTTCTTGGACTTCTGCTTCTGGCTGCAGCGTAATTTCTGCTCTGATATCCCCATCTATTATACCTATTGTTTCCTTGCTGTGGTCTGTTGCTTCTGTTCATGTCATACAGCTTGTCAGGGATCTCCTGCTTGGACTCCTTCAAAAGTTTAATCAAATCTCCAGCCATTCTTGCATTTTGTTGTGTGAAAAACGAAATCGCTGTCCCTTTGGCACCAGCTCTTGCAGTCCTTCCAATTCTGTGTATATAATCTTCGACCTGTCCAGGGAAATCGTAGTTTATTACGTGGTTTACATCTTTTACATCTAAACCTCTTGAAGCCACATCGGTAGCGACCATGATGTTTATTTTGTTGTTTCTGAAATCTCTTAAGACTTGGTCTCTGTCTCTTTGTGTTTTATCCCCGTGGATATAGAAGTTTCCTATGTTTGGCGCTGTAAGGCCGATAAATTCTGATCGGAATTTATCGGTTGGTTGCACCAAATCAATGCCTTGGTCGGACCAAAAAGCGATTTGGTCCGACGAACTTGGAAAGCTTCTGGGAAAATGTCTGCGCTTTCAGCGCTATATAGAGGAAACCTCTATAGCATCTACTGTGAATTTTTCTTTTTTAAGCTCATAACAAAGGACTTCGCAGCCTTTTTTGGTTTCACAGAAAATGATGGTTTTAGAGCCTGGTTTGGCGACTTCATGGACTATATCGACAACTTTGCTTAGTTTAAAGGACTCATCAACGATTTCTATCACTTGTTTGATATCCTGATTAGCTGATAAATTAAGTGAACCAATCTGTAAATGTACAGGGTCTATTGAAAAATCTTTAGCAAGAGCTTGGACTTCTTTAGGCCAAGTTGCACTGAACATCACAGTTTGTCGGTCAGGTCTGATTTGTTCAATGATTTTTCTTATTTGTGGCTCAAAGCCCATGTCAAGCATCCTATCTGCTTCATCAAGAACCAAATAAGTGACTCTCTTTAAATTTGTGGCACCATTTTCTAAGAAATCTATAAGTCTTCCAGGTGTTGCAATGACAACATGGACTCCTCTTTGTAACTCCATTTGCTGACGAGACCTTGGAGCTCCACCATATACACAGGCGTTGGACACCCTACAAGGTCTTCCAAATCTGCTGCATTCTTGTGACGTCTGCATGGCAAGCTCTCTGGTTGGTGATAGAACCAAAGCAATTGGGCCATCTCCTGGTCTCAATTGTGGCTGATCTAAAATGTGCACAATTGCAGGCAATATAAAGCCAAGTGTTTTTCCTGACCCTGTTTTGGCGATTCCGATCAAATCTCGACCGCTCATAATGATGGGCCATCCTTGGCTTTGGATATGTGTTGGAGCCTCAAATCCTGCGCTTTTCAGCATTTTTTGGACATATTAGGTTTTCTTTAATTAATATACACTTAAAACAGATTTAGGCCATTACTATTAGCCTCCAAATATAAATTTTCTAGTAAAATTTGCTTGATGTTTTACCTTATTCAGCCTCAAAAGTTATATTTATTTCTTGATAATTCAATTTAAATGCAAATTTACTGGGAAAAGCATAGTCAGGAAGGTTAGATTCTTCAAATGTAGTAACAGGTCTCGGGATGTTGTTCCCGTAGATTGTCATCTGAAGATCTTCACGAATTTTTGTGATTTCTACTTCACTCTTTTTTGAGACGTCCGGATGCTCTGTGTAGAAGTCTTTGTTGAAGGAAGGCAGTTCCTTGACATTCCAAGTGACTGCAGTGAGTTTACTTCCTAAGTCACTGTTTCTTTCGGTATGGTTATTGTGTGATTGGAAATCGTTAGAGTAAGAACGGGAATAATTGTCACGGGACTTTCATAAAGTGTTTTGTGTTGAAGAGGAAGAAGACCATTGATTTCCTGGTCTCCGAGGATATTGGGAGAAATTTCTTAATCCATGCTCGCGACCGTAGAAATCAGCCTCTGCCATCTTCTTTTAATATTAAAGTCCGATAACAATAACAAATTATCAATCTAGATTTTATATATTCTGGCTATTAATCAATAAAAAAGATGCTTACTTCCCCCATCCTTGATCGAACGGCTCGCCGTCGTTCGATAAAGGATGGGGGTTAAAAAAATATATATATATATATATTTTTTATTTACTTTTAAATAAGAGGGTTAAGAGTATTTAATAATTATTTTTACTGCAAAAAAATCGAATAAATTTGATAAAAATACCAATTTTTAATATTTTGATTTATTAGTTACCCCTTTAAACTGTATAAAATTTTTAATTTGTTCCTTATTTAATTAAATTTTAAAGAATCTCTATTTTATTTAGTTTTTAAGCCTAGGTTAATGACTAAATCACTTCGGATAGTTGATCTCGTAGCTTTCTGTCGTCTCAAAGTCTCTGAAAACAACTTCATTATGTACATCTTCCAAAGCTTTTGATAACTAATATATTTTTATACATATAAAACTTTGCATGATATGAAAATCGTTCGATCAAGGGATGGGGTTAATTTTCTCAATTTTTAGAAATTTTTACAGTCAATCGTTCGATCAAGGATGGGGGGGAGTTAAGTATAATGATTTTTATTAGAAAAATAAATTTTTATATGAAAAGATTCATGTAAAAAATTATTAATTTTTTATGAAAATAAGCTGATTTTGTGCATGAAAATAATTATATACAAATTATTTTAATAAATTTTCATTTCTCAGGTCAATATTGGTACTCGGTACAATTGAGATAAGCGCTTTTAGCTTATTCAATGAATTTTTTTCTTTATAAATAAATGGGAGATACAAAAACAAAAATAGAAAGATTAAAGCTAAAGAAAAAGCAATTGTCACGAAAATCAGTAATTTTAACTGATCTTTGATTATTTCTTTTGAATTTTTGTCAATAATATCGTAGTCACTATCTAGCGCAACTTGAAGAGCTGACTCATTACCGATATAGTTAGAAAAGTAAGGGACATTTTCTAAGCCTGAAGGGGTATTCGAGAGAAATCTCGCTTCAAGATATATCAGATTAGAAGCTATATAGCTCCCATGGTGCAAATAATAATCATTAGTGCTATCTCACTCCTCAAAAAGCCTAGTTTTCATATTTTGTGTCATCAAACTCAAAAAATTGCTGTTTCTTAACTTACTCCGAATTAATTGAAAATTTGCTAACCTTCTCCCCACAAAAGCATTTGTTGCAAAAGTTGATAAGCAAAAAATTAATTTAATTTTAAAATTTATGTTCAAAAGGCAATCTGAACTGTTTAAAGTTAGCTAGAGATTTCATTATCTAATTATAACTTAAATATCAAAATATTTTTATATAAATTTTTTGTTCGCACATAGAGGGTGAATTTTTACACAAAAAATAGAAATTTTTAATGTTCTGTTCGCTCATGGAAGTGTAGTAACAATTAAAATAATTTAGTTATCACAGTTAGGCATCAAAAATCCTTCAATAGTATTTTATTGAATTTCATTATTTTTTTTGAAATTTTAATTTAAGAAAAGTCAAGCACATCCCTTTAAGCTAGGGTTAGAGTTTTCTATTTTAAACTTCCTGCTTGTAGAACAGAATGCATTTTTTGATTGGGGAAGTGCATATGAGTTTGGGAACCATCTCAAGTTGCTTGTAGAAGCAATATCTCTAGCGAAAACACTCATTCGTGATAATAGTGTTCGTTTTGTTATCAAATTTAGAATGAGTTTTGGTCTATCAATCAAATAATTTTCACACTTATTGTATAAATAGAACTGCAGAATAAAGTAATAACATGCAGCTATGACTAGGAATATAGAAAGCCTCCAGAGATACTTAATATAAATTCTTGATTGTATTTTCTTTGTTGTTTTTAATCTTTTTGAGTAAACCACTGGAGTTTGATCAGTTTTATAATCAATTCCATGTATTTTTAAAAGTCTGTCAATATAAATCGCTTTTAAATCTGCCCAGCATATAAGTGAAATTTGTTTTATAAAATTTCAAAATTCATCATAATATCTATTCATATAGATTGCATACCCTGCTAAAATCCCTATAAACAGCAGCAATAACCCTAAGCCTGTAAATATTAAAGAGTTTATATATTTTCCAATATGCTTTACTCTGTTCACTTCGCAATCCACAAGATCATTCATTGCATTCTGTGTAACTTTATAGGTAAATCCTAGACTATTTAGCCCAAAGAATTTAACATCCTCCATTGTATATGTTCTATTGTTGCTGATAAGGTCGATTAAACTGTCTCCGTGTTTAATAAACAAATTGATTTCATCATAAAAATTGAATTTAGATATATGAGTTGAAGGCTCGAAAATTCATACAGGAACAACATTGTCAACTACTATTTCTGAGCTTTTGCAGTAGCTTCAGTCGTCGTAGTCAGATAAGATGTAGCTCCGGAGATCTTTGAGTTTTGTTATTGTCGATTTAAAAGTTGCTAGATCTCGGGTAAGGTTGTAAATATTTGATTTTTTTTCGGAATCTATTGATCGTGCTAATTCAGCGGAATTCACCAAATGAAACATAAGAGTTCCGAAATGGGAAAATACATCAAGAGAACTAGTATTAACTGTATCTTGGTAGATATACCCCAAAATCGCTATATTTGTGCCAATTACAGCTAGCATCTATATAAATTTTACACAAAATAATAAAATTCTTTCAAAAATTTTGAGATTTCTGAAAATTTTTCCAACATATTTGCTTACAATTGCTGCATGAAAATTACATGTAGAGGAATTTGATAAGCTGCTATGCTGGTTTTCTGATTTATCATCATTTTCGTCGTCTTTTTCACTTTTGGTTGATACCCGTTTAAGAAGTCTATTCATTTCAACATCTTTATCTTCTTCGCTTTGAATTTGCGATTCCTCTAAAGATCGAAATGAATCAAGCTTTTGGAACTTCACTTTTGCCCCAGTTTCTTGGGAAAGAACTGATGTGTCTAAGTATGATTTTTCTTCTGATGATGTATTTATTTCTGTTTTTTTATACAGGCATATTCAAACCAAAATCTTTTTTTTGAATTTTAGCAGAAATAATTTTTATTTGAAAAAATGCTAAATCTATTATTGGTATATATATTTAAGAGTAAAATATTCGATTTGATCTTTGTCTTCTCCAGCTTTTCATTGCTTAATTTCGTTATCGTTATAAACGATAATGATCATATGAATTGTGGCTAATCTTAATTGCTTTGTTGTGTGGATTATAGCTAGCTTTCGGCCTTTGTGCTGGATGATAAGTGGCTTGAAAAGCTTATTTTCTGTTAGGTCAAGGATAGGGAGAAGCTCTGTTATACTATAATTTCTTACATTTGACAAGCCTGTCCCTAAATAGTAAGGAAAAAGATCTGTATAATTATAGATAAGCCCTTCTGGAGAAATAATAGCGAACTGCCGACTTGTATTTCTTGGAGTTAAAGATACTAAAAAGTAAGCATTGTTATAATAAGCAGTTAGCTTAATAAGAAACATACATTCTACTAGATATCCAAGTGTGTTTTGAAGAAAAATCATATATTAGAATGGCGTTGCGAATCGACTTGGCCTTTTAGCTTATTAGATAGGCATGAAAAGGGGCTGAGACTTTGAGGAAGAAAGGGTGCTATAAGCTAGTTTTTACATATGCAGATAGTTAGCAGCGCTTAGCTGGTCAACCAAGATTTAAATATAGGATAGATTTTTTCTCATAGAGAAGTGAGATTGGAAAGGGTTCTCCAAGTATATGAGATATCGCTATGTGAATCGTAATGTTTTAGCACGTACCAGAGCTTCGAGCTGATCAGAACATTCTATTTTCAAAATTTTCTGTGAGGCAGACTTTATCGATGTATAGCACAGTTGCACAATCTTCTAACTTCCTGCGAGTATGCTTTATCTAACCTTGAAGCTTTCCACCTGGTCAATTATTCAATTCTCAATCAATTACTGTGGATTTCACATTTATTTGATCCCAAAATTGCTTTCAAATTTCAGACAAATGAGTGCTAACTTTTCAAGTTTGTTTGATATGACAAAAATTTTTAAGGAACAAGAAGTAAAGAGTATCCCTAATTAATATTAAGTTAGCTCGGAAACTATAGTGTAGGTATATTCCAAAGGAGTAATCAAATGCAAAGCTGTGTGTAGACTGGTGATCGATCATTAGAGCGCTATGAAAGAGAATAAATTCCTTTGTGCTCCTGACAGTAGGCTTCTCTATAATTTAAAGTAAACTTTACATGCTTTGAAGGAAAAATCATCCTTTATGAGGAGTTTGGTCATTTGTGTAATTTTTATAATACTCTTTCATATAATCATCATGCTGGTATGAATAAGGGCTTGGTATATAATAATGTAAATGAGTTCCGATTAAGTCAGTAATAGAGCCTTTGAGCAGCTGCGAAGCTGAATTATTCATATAGGTAATGATCCCAAACGATTTTTCATTAGCCGATATCAGAATAATCCCATTGCTTTCATCATAAGTTCCAAGCTTAGCATCATAGGCCTTTGCAAAGTTCAGCTGATGGCTAATCCCATTTTTCAATCTGTTAATAATTCTTGCTTGGTCAGTTTCTCCTAAAATGCTTTCCAAAAAAGAAATATAAAGATCATAAAGCTCCAAATGCTTATGTTTTACTACAAGCTTTGTATATACTTTTTTTAAACTTGACAAGAGATAAGAGCTTCTTATCACAAGGTGGTAAATCTTTTTAAACTGTGGATTTCTTGCAGAGAATTCTGATCACAAGTCTATCAGTGTGCAGCAAATTTCTTCGTCTTGCTTTTTAATTTTGTCGAAATCAGCTAAATATTCTAAATAATTGATCTCAAGAGAAGAGGTGTCTCTTTCATTTATATTTTCAACAGCTCTTCATTCTTGGATAATTCCTTCAATTGTCCCTATTGCTGACTTTATTTTTGTCAATTTTATTCTTGCTAGAATTTCATCTTTCATCGAAAATGTGCAAAAATTTACTTCTCATATAACGAGCAATTTGTCTTTTAGCATCCTTTTATTTGTGTAGCATGCCGCGAAGTGGTCGAGAACCTCTCTTTTGTTTTCTAAAGTTTTATTGCAGAGTAAAGCTCTTATGGTTCTTTCGAAGTCATATTGACTTTCAAAAGAAACCGACTTTTTTTTGAGGTATTTAAATCTAGTATTAACAATTCAAAAGTTAATCAAAATTCATACCGGTTGCATAAAAAATATTAGCATAAATGCAACACCTGCATTATCCATAGCAGCTGCTAATAAAACTGAAAATAATGTTAGTGTTACTGTGAATATTTTGCAAGATTTTATTGAGTTTTCTATTTCACTATAATATGTCAATTTTGTGAGAGATTCGAAATATATCCACAAATAAACAACTAAAAATGTAATCTGGTATTTGATAATATTTCCATTTCCAAATAATATGTGTGAAATACTAAATAAAGTCCTGAGAGCCAAAAGTTTTAAGTCCACTGAGGAATGAGACCTTGCTGTCAAGTTTGTAGGGGTATGTTCTAATATGGAAAAAAAAATTGAAAATGTGCATAAAAATAGCAAATTTTTTAAAACCTGCGTGAAAACAGTGGCAAAGAGTAAAAATATAAAAGTTAAATGTCAAATGTACATGCGTGAAAATAATAAGAATGTATAATAGAATTAGGGATTACAAATTATAAAAGAGAGATATTGAATTTTAATTTAACTATATACACAGAGCCAATTATCTTTTATAATGCATAAATTTTGCCAAATTAAAAATTCGAAAATTTTTTTCCCGATTTTGTACTGATTTGCGCTTTTCTATAAAAGATAATTGGCTCTGTATATATACTTATGCTAACATCTCCCACATCTTCTATTAAAGATTGCCATCCATAATTCAATTATAGATCCTTTATTAGCACGCATATACTATTTGCCATTTAATTTTCCTATTTTTTTTGTTTTGCCACTGATTTTTTTTTGGTGAAAAATTTTTGCTATTTTGTACACACTTTGTATAAGAAATCATGATCCAAGTTTTTACTACAAGAATGGTGCCGAATATCTGCGGTGAATAACTCCCCAAAAAAAGCTATAAAAATTAAGAAAAAACTAAACTCTCCCCACTCCATGAGCGAACAAAACCATTAGAAAAATCTATTTTTTTCCCAAAAACCCTCTTGAACGAACAAAAGCTTATTTAATAAATTTTTTTATACAAAAAATTTTTATATATAAGTGATAGCTATTATCATGAAATCTCAAGCTAATTCTGTTCAATTTTAAAGAAATTACGTTTTAAAACATAAATTTTACAAAATTAAATTAATATTTGCTTTCCAATTTTGCGGATTAGGATTTTTTTTAAATTTCGAAAAATTTTTTTCTACATAATTTATATATAAATTTTTTTTAAAAACAAAAATTTAACCTCCCTCGATGAGCAACAAGAATTTTTGCTCGCTCACAGAGGGGGGAGTAAGGGAAAAAGCATGCGAGGGCTCCGCCGATGCCATAGTTTAATAAATTCGAGTCTTTATTTCCTGGGTATTCGCATATTTTATCATTAGTAATTGCTGAATATTTAAAAATCATGGAGAGAATGACCAATGTAGGGATATATAGTATAGATATTCAAACAGATAAAATATTTCTTAAAATCTGTATTAAGATCTTTGGAGTTTTTTTTTTGGTAAAGCTTAATAAAAACATTGAAGAAAATGTGCAAATACAATACCCTAAAATGGCAATAATCCCAAAAAACCAAATCTCTGTAATTTCGAACGCCTCAAAAAGGTTGTTCAGATTAAAATAACTTATTATGTTTCAGAAAGTAGAGTACCGATTTCACCCAGAAATATCCATGTCTGGATATCAAGCAAGCGCAGCAATCTGAAGGGATATAGTAATATTAAGGAAAGCTTCAATAATAATTTGTGATGAAATTTTATATCCACTCTTATACTTTGACTTGAAAATCTTCGCTAACAGCTTGAAAAAGCGAATTTTAGCTTTTTCCAAGGGCGTTTTCTTAGGTTTGAGCTTATTAATTTCTGTGTTTTCCAGGAGAGTTTCATTTGATCCTAATAGCATTTAATATTATAATAGACAATAATTTTAATTTATTGCCCAGGAAACATTTAGGATTGCCTGGGCTTGAGAAATCCTGCCAACTCACTACTTGGTTTCCAACTTAAGATCTTTTATTGAACAAATTAACTAGGTCCTGAGTTAGGCCATCAAACTTGAGTAGGCAAACTAACTAAGAGCTGCACATATTCTCTGGCCCAAGATAATCCAAAATAGTTTCTGGGCTATAGTATTCATTTCTTTGGTTTTCAATAGAAACCTTTCTATTTTTTACCTATAAACTGTTCAGTCCACTTATTTCTACCATCATGGTTTCACCATATTATATAAAGCTAAAATTCGAAAACTACGCAAAAACTATTAAAGGATGATAAAAATATTAATTAGCCTATTTTAAAAATTTTTCATAATAACACAAAAAAAACTGCAGATTCATTTATTAAATTTATAATGGATTAAACAATAGAGACATAAATCCTAATAAAAAAGAATGATTGGGTATCTAGCTTGTAAAAAATTCTTTAGAAATTCTCTGGGATAATATATTTTGGCAAATCTTAAGCTGGCTGAAGATTTTGAAAGGTTTTTAATTTTTAAAAATAATTTAAAAAATTATGGAATTTATTATAGTTACATTTTTTATAATTTTTATAGCATTAGTGTTTAATACTTACAAAAAAATATTATAATTAGCTAGAGTTATTTTCACATTTTATATCAACTCGAGAGCTTGGTATAATTGAAATTAGCACTTTTAGATTTGCTAACGAATTCTTTTCGGCATATAACGATGACCCCCCCTTCAATCTTCATGTCTATTGCAACAAAAATGCAATTTTTTAATATAAAATTTTATATAAAAAAAATAATAATTTTCATGTCTCTTGCAACAAATTATATACATTAAAATGGCGACACGTGTCAACCTGCCCTCTTGGCGCAGCAGTCCAGACCTTATGGCTACAGCGAACTGGGACGGACTCCGAGCCGAGAATCAGACGCAGGCTCAAGAAGTGTATATCCGGGTAGGTTTTGGCTGCTTTCCTGTGTTTGGAAATGGAGGTGCTCAACAACGTCCTTGGATCCGAGGACCCATAGGCATTCCTCTACCGAGAAACTGGGATTTCAGCCCAGGCCACAGAGGAACAGTCTTTTTCCTGTAGCTGTCGAAGAAAGGCACTTTGACATCCAATAGACTCCAAGAGCTGATCGTTGGAATCAAGCTATTCCAATCGCCCGTAGCAGGGCGCAGAAATCCATAAGCCGCCCACTCAAGACTAAACTCCCAAGGCAAGGAGGAGACAGAAGGTACCGGAAGAGTACTCACAAGAGGGATAGATCCTCTGGGCTGGAGCCGAAAAGCAGTAGAACCTTCCGTACGGGAGGTCTTTAATGACTGCGCCATCAATATGGCTAGCGCCTGTCTGTAACAAATCTTAATCCTAATCCTCTTGCAAACAAATTTTCGATGCGCATCTTAAATTTTTCCGTACTTTTTAGCTAGATAAGTTTAATAAAATGGCGAGCGATGACAATAGCCGTCCAAATCTCGATGAGAAGGTCATTGACACACCTACAGTAGCGCTGTTTTCATTAATTTTTTTTATAAAAAATTATTATATTGCAGTAGGCATGAAGATTTTTCGAAAAAATTTTTATTGCAGTAGACATGAAGATTGAGGGGGGGTCATCGTTATAAAGGGGAGGTAAAAGAATATAAATAGCAATATTAAGGCAGAAGAAAATGCTGCAGTCACAAAGATAAGAGTAGTTAGTTGATTTTTTATAATATCCTTTGTGTCTTGGTCTATAATGTCATAGTCTATTGCCAATGAATTTTGAACAGCAGTCTCATTTCCTATATAATATCCAAATTGAGTTATACTAGACAAACCTAGAGGGAGGGTTGAAATAAATAAAGAATCTATGTGCATGATATTAGAAGCCAAATAAGTCCCATGCTTCAAATATTTATTATTTGTATCTCAATTCTCAAAAATTTTTTTTTTCATATTTTCTGTCATTAGCCTCAAAAATTTTTTATCTCTGATTTGAGAGTTAAGATTTTTAAATTGCAGGTTGCTTTTTTTTAGTTCAGCTGTTGAGTTCGAGACTCCATAAGAAGTAGGAATCCATCTTAAAGTTGTAAGAGCGATTGTATCCCTTGCAAATACACTCATGCGAGATAATAATGTCTGCTTCGAGACAAGATTTAGCAATAATTTAGGACGGTCCACCAGAAAAGTTTCACATTGATCATATAATTTAAAATTTAAAATAAAGTAATAGCATGAGGCTATTATCAAAAAGATAGAAAGTCTTCATATGTATTTTATGTAAATCCTTGATTGTATTCGCTGAGAATGCTTTTTATTTCGGTGATGATCCTGGCTTGTGTCTGATACGTAATCGATTCCGTGTATTTTTGAAAGCCTTTCTATATAAGTTGCTTTTAAATCAAGATAAGACTTATGAAGCACTCTTTTAATAAAATTCCAAAACTGATCATATTTTTTGGTCATGTATACTACATATGCAATGAGTACTCCAACAAAGATAGCAAGCAATCCTAGTCCAAAGAATATCCATGATGTTATTTCTACTTCAATATCTCTAACTCTAGCCACTTCACAGTCCACCAAACCTTGCATTGCATTTAATGTAAATTCAAAAGTATAGCCAAAGCTATTCAAATTGAAAAATTTGGTATCAACATTTGAATAAGTTAGATTGTTTTCCACCATTCTGACTAAACTTTCTCCGTGCTTAATAAATAGACCAACTTCATCATAAAAATTGAATTTTTCTATATGAGGTTTAGGCTCAAAAATTCACACAGGAATTAGATCTTCTACTACCATTGAAGAGCTAGGGCAATAGCTTCATTGATCATAGTCAGTTAAAATATATTCTCTCAAATAAATCAGTTCAGCAATATTTTCTTTGAGATATCCTGTATCTCGAGTTATATTATAAATACCCGATTTTTTGGCAGCATCTATAGACCTTGATAAATCAGCTTCGTATACTAAATCGAACATCAAATTGCCCATATGAGAAAAAACATTAAGGGAGCTTGAGTGAATAGTAACTTGATAAATATACACAAGAACTGCTATATTTGTACCGATAATTGCTAGCTCCCCCTCTGTGAGCGAACAAAACAATTAGAAAAATCCTATTTTTTACCCAAAAAACCCATCCTCTGTGAGCGAAAAAGCATTTTTTAGGCGAAAAAAAAATTGATTAATAAGTCATAATTATTATAATAAAATCTCTAGCTAATTCTGTTTAATTTTAAATAGCTTGGATTTTAAAATATAAATTTTACAATTAAATTAATTTTTGCTTCTCAATTTTTATAAATCGGAAATTTTTTTTAAAAAATTTAATAAAATGTATATATAAATTTTTAAAAAACAAAAAAATTAAACCCCTTCAGTGAGTAAACAAAATTTTTTTGTTCGCTCGCGGAGTGGGGAGTAAGGTCTATATAAAAATTACACATATCAGCAAAATTCGCTGAAAAAGCTTCAGTTTTGCAGATAAAATATCGATGCTTTTATTTGCAATTGCTAAATAAAAAATACATGCTGAAGAACTTGTCATGCTGCTTCCTTGTACATTTGAAGCTGACTTTTCGTCGTTGTTTTCTAGTATGTGAGGGCTGTCTCTCATGGATTCTTCAAGAAGTCTAAGGCATTCTGCTTCTTTTTCATCACTTTTATCGTTTTCTGCAAGCTTGTAATTAATCGTTTTTTGAAATCTAACATTTTGGGAACTATCTGTAGGTTTCAATAAAGAATTTTGGTCTATTCTGAGTTCTTCGTCTTCATCTATAGGTGTTTTTTCAAAGTATTCAATTTGGTCAATTTCTTGGCCATTCTTCCATAATTTTATTTCATTTTCGTCATGAACGATAATAATCTTATGGATTCTTGTAGCCCCAAGCACATTAATTGTATGGACCACTGCGAATTTTTTACCATTTTGTTGAATCATAATTGGCTCAAAAAGTTTCATAGAGGTTATGTCTAATCTAGGAATAATTTCAGATATATAGCTATTTTTGACTATAACGTTGCATATGCCTAATTCGCAATGGTTATTTCTTTGGATATTTATTTCAAACCAATGTTTTTAGGTTTTGACCGTTGTTTTAGGAAATTTTTTAAATATTTTAGATTTATTTTGCCTTTTTTTATTATTTTTCTTTTTTATTACCTAATTGTTAAGGGCATAATTTTATAGTAATTTTCAACCCATTTAAATTTATCATTTTCAAACAGAAATTAAAATTATACTTTTTTAGTATTAAAAATGGATTATAACAAAAAAAAGATTAAACCCTAAAATAACACTAAAAAAATTATGATGTAGGCATTATCTTAAGGGGCCATTTTTGACATTAGGCTGACTAGTTCCTATATAATAAGAGAAAAGTTCGGTGCTACTATGTATAATGCCTTCTTCAGATACCAGTGCAAATTGCCTATTTGTCACTCTCGGTATCAATGCGACTAAAAAGTATGCATTATTATGAAATGCAGTTAATTTGATCAGTAGGCCGCACTCAATTAGATATCCCAATGAATTTTGGAGGAAAAACCATCCTTTGTGAGCAATTTCTTCTGTTTTATAGTTAGCAATATATTCTTTTACAATTTCATCATGGTTATACGCATAAGGGTTTGGTATATAGTTATATAAATGGCTGCCTATTAAGTCAGATAATGTGCATTTTAATTGTTGGGAAGCCTTTTCATTGGCATAAGTTATTATACCAAATGAATCTTCATTTGCAGAGACAAGCATAATACCAGAATTTTCTTCATGAGAACCAAATTTTGAGTCATAAGCTGTTGAAAAACTTAAATGCCGGCTGATCCCGCTTTTCAGCCTATATATTGCGTTATTTTGATCAGTTTCTCCGAGCACATTTTCTAGAAAAGTAATATAAAGATCATAAAGTTCGATATGCTTGTATTTTAAAATCAGTTTTTCGTAAAATCCTTTGAGGTTTGCCAATAAATATGAGCTTTTCATTGTAAGGAAGTGGATTTTTTTATATTCTGGGATTTTGTCTGAAAATTCTGATCACAAATCAATCAATTCAAAGCATATTTCGCTGTCCATTTGTCTGGCTGAATTCAGGTCTTCTAGATATCTGATATAATGAGCATCCACTGATGATTTGTCTCTTTTGTCAATATTTTTCTGAGTTTTTCATTCTTGTATGCATCCTTCAAGTGTAAAAATTGCAGAGTTTGCCTTGGTCAGCTTTATTCTTGCAAGTCTTTCATCTTTTATAGAATATGAACAATAATTCACCTCCCAAATTACTAGTAATTTATCTTTTATAAATTTTTTATGGCTTAGGCAAGCTATAAAATAATCAATCACCTGCAGCTTGTTTTCCAAATTTGCATCACATAAAAAGCGCCTTATAGATTGCTCAAATAAAAATTGGCTTTTAAAAGTAATTTTATGCGAATTAATAATGTTGGTTCTTTTGTTAACAATAAGCACATTGATCATGGCCATCACAGGCTGCATAAAGAAATTTAACATAAAAGCAATCCCTGCATCATCAGCTACAGTAGCTAATAAAACAGCTAAAAATGACAGAGTAACTGAAAAAATTTTGCAAAATTTAATACAGTTTTCTATTCTGTTATAATAAGGTAATTTTACTAAAAATTGCAAATATACAAGAAGCGAGCAAATCATAAAGATAACTTGATATTTGGCAATCTTTAATTTCCCAAATAAGACATGTGATAAGCTTAAAATCGTCCTAAAAGCCAGTAGCTTTAAGTCAACTGAAGAATGTGATCTTGCAGTCAAATTTTTATCACAAAAAGTGTGCCGAACGTCCGCTGTAAATAATTCTCAAAAAACAGACACGAGAATTAAAAAGATAATGAAAAGCACGCTGAGGATTGCTCCTGAAGGCCCAAAATTTATTGATGAAGCATCTATATTGCTAGAAAATTCATCAATTTTATCATAGCTAAAAGCTGAGTATTTAAAAATCATTGTAAGTTCAAGAATAGAAGGAATGTAAAGAACTGTCGCTAAGCATGAGATCAAAATTTTCAGAGTTCATATAAAAAGGGCTGGAATCCTAATTTTCGTGAAATCCAGAAGAAAAGTTATTAAAAGCATCCCACTGCAGTAACCAAAAATGGAAAAGGTGCCGTAAGAGCAATAATCCGTGATACTGGAAATAGCACAAAAATTGTTTATGTTGAAATAGCTTATAAACCACCAGAACGAAGAATAATGATCTCATCTGGAGATTTTCATATCCGGATATCATGCCAATGCATTCATTTGAAAGGCCACAATTGTATTAAGCATAGCTTCAACAATTATTTGTGACCTAATAAGGTAATGATTGGTGGAATTTGATTTAAATATCTTTCCTAGCAGCTTTAAAATGCGAAGTTTTTGTCTTTCCCATTGTGATTTCAGAGGTTTCAATTTATTAAGTGTTTATAGTGTCTAATGTCACTGGAATTGGCCTGATACTAGTGATTTACATATTTACAATTCTGCAGCTTAGAATCGCACTCCATATGGGCAGACATTTCTATACAAGACCCTAAAAGCCAGGCTGTACATCTCACTCACGTGATCCGCCTAAAGGTACCCTCCTAGAGTGCTGATCGAATAAATCTAAGGTATTCAAAATACCAAAAGGATCAGGCCATGAGGTTGTACACCCCAATACGTAGATTACTTGATGTAATTGGGTAAAGATTCTCTGAGAATGCTGAACCTCATAATATAAAATGAGCTCAGGAGAGGAAACTTCACTAGCGAAATTTCAAATACATTACCATTTTATTATTATGATTTCAGAGGTTTCAGTTTTTTGATTTCAACATTATCTAAGATATCTTCATTTGGGTCTATCAGCATTTTATTTATAATAAGCAACAGAGGTGTTTTTTTACAATTTATCAACCAAAACAATTAGCCATTAGTATAAATTTATTATAATAAAACTACCTCGATAATACTTCGTACTCTCCCTTCCCTCAAAGAATCAAAAACCCCATATTTCTGGTAAAAATTATCTTCCTTAAGTGAACAAAAATTTTTTTTTCTTTAGCTATGTCTGTTGAATTTTAAAGAGATTGCATTTTAAAACATAAATTTACAAATTAAATTAATTTTTTCGAATTGGATGTTTTAAATGTTAATTATTAAAAAAATTAATCACCTCTAAGAGCGATATAATTTTTTTTAGTTTGCAAGTGGAGTTAGTATGCTGACTAATATTTAAATGCCATTCATTCTATAACAGAAATTTAAAATCTGTGTAAAAATTTTAAAATCTGGAGTAAAATGAGCTATTATTGATATTTTGCTAATATTTTAACTCCCCCCTCTGTGAGCAAGCAAAATCATTAGAAAAATCCCTATTTTTTGCCCAAAAGCACACCCTCCGTGAGCGGAGAAAAAAATGTTTTTTAATTAAAAATTTTTTTATAAAAAAAATACTTTGATATATAAGTAATTATTAGTATAATGAAATCTCTAGCTAATTCGTGTAATTCTATAAAATTGCATTTAAAACATAAATTTTACAAATTAAATAATATTTGCTTTCCAATTTTGCTAATTGATTTTTTTAAATTTCGATAAAAATTTACTATAAAATTTATTTTAAAAAAAAATTAATATGAACAAAAATTTTTTTGTTCGTTCACAGAGGATGGGAGTAAGTAAATTAATAAGTGCAAATTTCCTCAAACAAAGTTGAAATATTTTTAAAAACTTTTTTTTGAATAGATAAAATTAACATTAGTTTAAGAACAAATAGGATTAAAATGGATAGGTCTGACAACATTGAAACAGAACTTTAATATTTAAGACGAGTCTGAGTATAAAATTCGTATGAAAATAGTTATGGACTTGTTTTTTTTTTTGGTTCATAATTTAAACATTAAAGATTGAAAGCTTCATGACATCTCTGATCGAAATCTGATTCTATGGAGTTTATGATGAAAAGATTGCTTAGATACCATTCTTCGTTCTGCAGGGCTCAGAGATTACCGCCCTTGCATGCTCATATCCCAGAGGGATCCGGCAGGCACCCTTCCTTCCTCCATGAAAAGCCTTACATAATTAGATTAAACTTTCTGGCTCGAGAGTCCTTAGGGTCTCGATTCCCCAGGGTACAATTCTCAGTATTGCACAAGTCATATTCTGTCTTGCAGCCTATGAGAAATATAAATCGCTCTACTCTCCAAGTCTCTCTCTGACCATTTACTTTCCAAGAATCACCGGAGGTAAAACCCATGTCCCGGCTATAGCGCTCTGAATACAAGAAAAGTTCACGCCCAATATATATCAAGGGTACTGTAAGTACTTCTTAGCTTGGCTTCTGCACTTCGGTGTTCATTGCAGGTGCTTCGAAAATTGTGCCAAGAGATCGAATAGTGGTCTCCACCATCTTAATGATTATAAGTTTATAGTAGAAAGCTGTGCAATGAACAGGCTTTATCATTTAGTCTTCTTTCAGAGAGTCTGGGTTGGAATATGATGGGTTGACTAAGTCTTTATAGTAGCAATATTAAGTATCAATTTAGAACCTATTATTTTTATGAAGGTTTAAAGGGATTATAACGTCTTTAAAAGTTTTAAAATTTATTTTACTGTGTCTTTCAGATTGTTATAATAAACTTTTATTAAGTAAAGAACTTATTCAAAGGATTGAAGATATCTTGATCATAGGCTGCGCTTCACATTACTGGTATTTTAAATTCTCTCATGCATAGGTATAACTTTAATTATACAAATTTAATATTAAATTAATAGCTTGACACTTTCAGAAATGCCCTGAATGCAAAATTTATAATAAAGACTAACTTCTGCTGATTAAAGTATATAAAGATTATGGCAAAGATGCTTTCTACTTTTAGTAAGTCATGATGATATAGAAATCTAAATAAAATGCAGAGCAATCATATTTTTATTGCCTAAAAGACACTCCATAATAGTTAATTATAATTAAAATTAAAACCACTTTTCACCTTTAAGATCTACTCGGGAGCTTGGTATAATTGTTATTAGCACCTTCAGATTTTCTAGTACAGCCTTCTCAGTGTAAATGAAAGGAAGATAAAAGAATACAAAAAGCAAAACCTTATTTATCTTATTAAACTTATTTAGAAGCCCACTGTAATTTCTGAAGGACTATCTTCAACCGTTAGGCTTCCTTTGTCTGCTCCCAAACTTGAAACCCTTAGTCCAGTGCGAAACTCTTGGTTTCACACTGAGAATGATCCCGATAGCGAGTAAACATACCGCTGGCTCTGCTGAGAGACCCCTTTCAAACTCTCGGACCCATTTCCTTTTGAGGCAAAAGACTTGGAGTTGAAATAAAGCTTACGGTAGCTTTCCTAGGATTGTCAGAAAAAAAACTGTTGAATGCACATTACCGAAAATCCTACCTTCCTTGGGTTTCCTGTACGCCCTATGGAAAATCAGCTACATGGGTTTAAAAAGCAAAAACCAAAGCCGAAGAAAATATAACAGTCACATAAATGAGTAAGTTTAGCTCATTTTTTATAATATCTTTCGTGTCTTGGTCTATGATATCATAGTCCGTCCACAATGCTTTTTGGATAGCCGTTCCATTTCCTATATAGTTTGAAAAATCAGAAATAACGGGCTGACCTACATTTGAAATAAACTTACTCCCACTCTTGATTAGCAAGAAAATTATTAAAAATCCCTCTTTTTGAAAATTAGCACCTTGGTCAGCAGTAAAGCAATTTTTAAGTGCAATTTTATGGAGTAAACTATCTTTTAATATATAAGTTGGTTATAATTGCAAAATCTTAACACACATTATATTAAATTTTATTCCGCTGGAGCTTTAAAAGAAAAATTTATTTGTAAAAATTAGAATTTGTCAAATATATAATTTTGATTTCTTAATCTGAAAAAATTATTTTATATGCAATTTTAAAAATAATTTATAGGAGTTTTCCCTATATGGCCGATAGGGACTGTGGGCTCTCAGTGGAATCCCTCTGTTGGTTAAACCAACTCAGTGCGTTGGTTTGACCAATTCACTGGCTGGTTCAACCAGCAGAGGGATTCCACGGAGAACCCACGGCCCTTATCGGGCCATATAGGGAAAACTCCTATATTTGACGATGGAAATTAGAATCTATATACATAATATTGCAAGCTGCATAAGTTCCTTGCTTCAAATAGTAACTTTCTGAATCTCAAGCTTCAAAAATTTTGTTTTTCATATCCTCTGCTAATAAGTTTAAGAATCTTTTCTCTCTTATCTTATTAATGGAAATTTTAAATTCAGCATTACTTATGGTGAACTCTTTTTGGGAGTTGGCAACCGCATATGAATTAGGAACCCACCTTAAAGTGCTATTAGAAGCGGTATCTCTTGCGAATACACTCATACGGGATAATAATGTTCGTTTTGATATAAGATTTAATAACAATTTGGGTCTATTTATTAGAAAAGTTTCACATCTATCGTATAAATGAAATTTCAAGATGAAGTAATAGCTTGAGGCTATGACCAAAAATATGGATAGTCTTCATATATATTTTAAGTAAATTCTAGACCTTATTTCTTTAGTTGGCCTTTTACTTCTGCGGTGGTCTTGGTTTTGGTCTGACTCATAATCAACTCCGTGTATTTTCGAAAGCCTTTCGATATAAGTTGCTTTTAAATCAAGATAAGATATCTTGAGCGTTTTTTTAATGAAATTTCAAAACCTATCATAATTTTTTGTCATATAAACAACGTAGGCAATAAGGATTCCGACGAATGTGGCTAAAAGCGCAAGTCCAATAAAAATTCATGATGTAATGGCATTTTCAATCCCTATAACCCTATTCACTTCGCAGTCCACCAATCCTTGCATAGCCTTGAGCGTGATTTCGAATGTTAACCCAAAACTATTTAGATTGAAAAATCTTGTATCGATATTTGAATAAGTTTCATTTGTTTCTATCATTTTTACTAAATTGTCTCCATGCTTAATGAACAAGGTAACTTCATCATAAAAATTCAATTTTTCTATATGAGGATTTGGCTCAAAAATCCAAACAGGGATTTCTTCTTTTACAACTATAGAAGAACTATCACAATAGCTCCACTCATGATAGTCGGATAATATGAATTCTCTAAATTCCCCCTCCTTAAGAGAACAAAACTGTTGGTATAACGCCCTATTTTTAGGTGAAAATCCATCTCCTGAGCGAACAAAAAATTTTTTAACATAAAATTTTGATCTAAGTAATTATTGTTAAAATGAAATCTGCTTAATTAAACAGTTTGCATTTTAAAACATTAGATTAGATTAGATTAGAATATGCTGTGTATTTATAGTCCCTACTTCCAAGCGTGGCATTCCTCCGCGCTCCTTGAGGAGCCGTGCTGGCACGAGCGAAAAGGATGGACTTCCATCACTGGTTCTCTGAGCCCGGCCGAAACCCCCGGTTTCTCGGTAGTGGGTTGCCCTAATGAGTCGTCAGCCGACTGTTGCTGGGCACCACCATTTCCAACTCAGCCTTCCGCCCCGAGTTACGCCAGTCTTTGCCTCCGGTTGGCCAGATCGCCCTCCTTGGAGGACCCTTTTAACTGGAGAGACTTTTGCGCCCTTAAGATCTAGTCTAGCTTCGCCTCCCCTTTTTCCCGGATCATCTCCAAGAAAAAACTCAACCCCTTGCGGGATTCGGGGCTAAGCCACCAAGTAGCCCTAGCAGGTAATTCACCCTGCCTCTTTCGGACACCGAGTCTGGGCCTCGGCGCTACTGGCAAAAAGAATGCGAAAAACTGCTGCCCGGGTCAAGTCCCAAAATCAGCGAAATTGGGCTGGGCCTCTCGCCTCGAGGCTAACTCTTCCCTTGAGTAGCTCTCCGCATCCAAAAACCACGTCCGGTATTCATAAGGACACCCGCCGCGAAGGGACGGGTCGCTCGTCTCCGGCCATTTTATGTATGCATTTAAAACATAAATTTTACAAATTTAAATTAATATTTGCTTCGTCAATTGGATTTTTTGAAAAAATTTACGAATATATTTATATATAAATTTTAAAGAAAAAAAATTTACCCCCTCGTGAGCAAATAAAATTTTTTGCTCGCTCACAGAGAGGGAATAAGCTTCTTTAACTCTCCAAGGGTATATTTAAGATACCCTACATCCCGAGTTTCATTATAAATTCCAAATCTTTTTGCTGAATCTATTGATCTTGTTAAATCAGCTGAATATACAAGATGGAACATTAGGTTTCCCATGTGAGAAAATACGTCAAGAGAGCTTGAATGGGATGTCACCTGATAAATATATACAAGCACTGCTATATTTGCGCTGATAACGGCTAATATCTATATAAAAATTACACATATCAACAAAATTTGTTGAAAAAGTCTTAACTTTCTAGATAAAACGTCAATGCTTTTATTTGCAATAGCTAAATATGAATTACTAGTAGAAGAATTTTGAAGGTTGCTTCCTTGAAAATTTGAAGCTGACCTTTCTTCAGTATTGTCTAAGTGGCTTGGATTGTCTTTCATTGTTTCATCAAGAAGCCTATGTGATTCTGAATCTTTGCTATCGCTTTTATCATTTTCTAATGATCTAAACGCTATAGCTTTTTCAAATCTCACATTCGGCGTGCTATCAGCGGCCTCCTGAGATAGCATTTCTTGGTTCATTTTTTCTTCTTTTTCGTCTTTTATATGGACTTTTTCAAAATATTCAATTTGATCGATATCTTGCCCATTTCTTCATAATTTTATCTCTTTTTCGTCATGAACAACTATGATCCTATGAATTGCAGTCAGTCCCACTTTTTTAATTGTATGAACTATTGCGAATTTTTTACCATTTTTCCTTATCAAAATTGGCTCAAAAATTTTCAGAGATGTAATATCTAAACTAGGAATAATCTCAGATAAATAAACATTTTTTAAATTTGGCTGATTTGCCCCTATGAAATAGGAGAATAGCTCAGTGCTGCTATATATAAGGCCTTCCTCAGACACCAATGCAAATTGTCTATTAGTGATTCTTGGTATTAAGGTTACTAAAAAATAAGCATTATTATGAAATGCGGTTAATTTGATCGAAAAGCCGCATTCAATTAAACTTCCAAGACTGTTTTGAAGGAAAAACCAGCCTTTATGGGCTAATTCTTCTGTTTTATAGTTAATGAAATACTCTTTCATAATGGTATCATGATTATATGAATAAGGGTCAGGAATATAATAGCGCAAATGGCTTCCTATAACATCAGACATTGTTCCTTTCAATATCTGAGAAGCCTTTTCATTTGCATAAGTAATGAATCCGAATGAATCTTCATTAGCAGACACAAGCATAATCCCAGAGTTTTCTTCATTGGAACCAAATTTTGAGTCTAAGCTTGTTGAAAAGTTTAATTGCCGACTTATAGCACTTTTGAGTCTATAAATCACATTATTTTGATCATTTTCTCTCGCAGGTTTGCCAACTCAGAATGGGCAGCAATTCTAGATAAGAAATTCTCGCAGTGTTCGGAAGTCCATAGTCTCTCTCAGCAATAGATCTAAAGGCAAGAAGCAGACGCAAGAATAAGAGCAAACACTTCGGATGTCTCATGGCATTAGGGGTTTAAAGAGGAGCAAGATGGTGATAATCCTTTTCTCGCTGGTATAATTATCTCAACCAAACCAAACTTGACCGGCTGCGTCGCAAAGCAGATGAATCCTTATGGGTCCTTGCAGATTGCGTAGCCAATAAGCTGAAACCTACTATAATTAAGATTAAGTTCATTTTCTCTCAAAATATTTTCTATAAAAGTTATATAAAGGTCATAAAGCTCAACATGCTTATACTTCAATATTAATTTCTCATAAAATTCTTTGGTGCTTGCCAAGAGACTAGAGCTTCTCATTGAAAGGTGATAAATTTTGCTATACTCTGGAACTTTATCTGAAAACTCAGACCATAAATCTATTAACTCAAAGCAGATTTCGCTATCCATTTGTCTCACTTTGTTTAAATCTTCTAAATATCTGATATAATGAGCATCCATAGACGTGTTATCTCTTTTATCAATAATTTTTTGTGTTTTTCATTCTTGAACATATCCTTCAAGTGTGGGTAAGACTGAGTTTATTTTGGTTAGTTTTATCCTTGCGAGTTTTTCATCCTTTATAGAAAATGAGCAAAAATTGACTTCTCAAATAACTAACAGTTTATCCTTACTCCCCCCCTCCGTGAGTGAACATAACCATTAGAAAAATCCCTATTTTTTGCCCAAACACCCACCCTCCGTGAGTGAACAAAAATTTTTGTAATAGAAAAAATTTTTATGGAAAAAAAAATTGATATATAAATGATAATTAGTATAATGAAATCTAGAGCTAATTCTGTTTAATTTTAAACGAATTGCTTTTTAAAACATAAATTTTATAAATTAAATTAATATTTGCTTTCCAATTTTTACGAATTAAATTTTTTTAAATTTCAAAAAAAAAAATATTTTTTATAAAATTATATATATAAATTTTTTAAAAAAAAAAAATTAACCCCCCTCCGTGAGTGAACAAAATTTTTTTGTTCACTCACACGGGGGGGGAGTTAGTTAGCCATTTTTTTATGGTTAAAGCATGCTATGAAATAATCTATCACATTCAGCTTATTTTCTAAATTTTTATCACAAAGTAAATGCCTTATAGTCTGTTCAAACCTATATTGATTTCTAAAATTTATTTTAGAGCAGCTGACAATACTTGCTCTTTTGCTAACGATTCATATATTTATAACAGCCAGCACAGGTTGCATAAAAATATTAAGCATAAAAGCAATCCCTGCATCATCAAAAATAGTTGCGAGTAAAATAGCAACAAATGCCATTGAAATGGAAAATACTTTGCAAGTTTTTATGCAGTTCTCTATTTTGTTATAATAAGGCAATTTTGCTAAAAATTGTAAATAGATGCTAAATGAGCCAATCAAGAAGACTATTTGATAATTATAGTGAGCATTTAATTAAAATGTCGAATCGAATGCCCTCTTAAGTCCTGCAGCTGGTGCGTCAGTGTCGTCAGAACCTTGAGGTAGGGTATGTGCGGAGGATTTGTGCATCATAGAAGGTTTTAATTGATCTGAGAAGTGGCGTATGAGCTGATCAGACAAATTTCAATTCTGGGGCAGGTTTTTCCTCCTCCTGAGAACAGAGCACGAAGTTGGAAGGGATCTTCCAGCCAGAGGATGTTTCTTGACCAATCGGAAAATTTTCATTATGATACCAGGATTGCTTCGTTTTCCTGATCAGATAATTCGATATTTTGAATTTTCCATGGAAGCAAGCGCTGTACATGCCAAAAATCTTTTGATTTCCCAATAACGAGTGCAAGCTGTTTCCGTAATGGGTAACATTTGTGATGCTGCGAAGCGAGAGCAGGCCAGCAGGCTAAGAAAAGTTAGGGAAGGTATTAAGGATTATTAACTCTACAGTGAGCTGACTTATACATTTAAGAGGGATAAAGATAATTATAGTGATTAAAACTTCCAAATAGCACATATGATATGCTTAATATAGTCCTAAATGCCAAAAGCTTTAAGTCAACTGAAGAATGGGCTCTTGCAGCCAAATTTTTGTCACAAAAAGTATGCCGAGTGTCTCCTGTAAATAATGTTCAAAACATAGACATTAGGAATAAGAAAATAATGAAAAATACACTAAAAAGTGCACCTGCAAGTCCATAATTCATTATAGAAGGATCTTTATTGTAAGAAAACTCATCAATTTCATCACAGATAAAAGTTGAGTATTTAAAAATCATTGCAAGTTCAATCATTGAAGGAATAAATAAAACAGTTACTCAAGCCAGCAGCAAGGCCCTCAAAACCAATATAAAAAGTTTGGGGATTTTAAGCCGGGCGAAATCTAACAAAAAAATTATTAAAATTGTGAGGCTGCAGCAACCTAAGATGGAAAATGTTCCATATAAGCAATAGTCAGTAGTGCTTAAAATATCACAAAAATTGTTTATGTTGAAATAGGTTACGAACCACCAGAAAGCTGAATAACGATTCCATCTATTAATTTTCATATCTGGATATCATGTTAGTGCTATCATTTGGAATGCCACTATTGTATTAAGCAAACTTTCAAAAGTAATTTGTGACCTCATTTGGCTGTTTTTGGTATACTTTGGCTTAAATATTTTGCCAAATAGCTTGAAAATTTGGATTCTTTGCTTTTCGAGTTGCGATTTCTTAGGATTTAGTTTTCTTATCTCTGTGCTCTCGAAAATTTCTTCATTCAAGTCTAAAAGCATTAGTTTTTAATAATCAACATGGTTGCTCTTTTTTACAATTCCAGTAAGAAATGCTTATTTTATTAACATTCAGTTTATTGGCAGAACCTTAACGTTTTTTTTTTGAATTATAAACTTTTTAAAGCTTCTGAATAAGAAAAATTAAAAGCATGATATTAAAAGAATACAATTGACTATTTTAATATTAAATCTGCTTAATCATTCTTTTGAGCATGAGCTTATAATCACTAAAAAATATTTTAGGGTAAATTTATTATCAAAGAAAATAGCGAATATTATTCAAAAAAGCAATGCGAATTATAGGGGTATGCCGAAAATGTCTTACTCCCCCCACCCCTCCGTGAGTGAACAAAAAAAATTTTGTTCACTCACGTTAATTTTTTTTGAAAAAAATTTATATATAAAAATTTTTTTTCGAAATTTTAAAAAAATCCCACTTCTTGAACATTGGAAGCCAAATATTAATTTAATTTGTAAAATTTATGCTTTAAAAACGCAATTTGTACAAAATTAAACAGAATTTGCTCGAGATTTCATGATAATAGTTATCACTTTTATATCAAAAATTGTTTCCCATAAAAAAATTTTTCTAATAAAAACATTTTTGTTCACTCACAGAGGTTTGGGTTTTTGGACAAAAAATAAGGATTTCTCTAATGGTTTTGTTCACTCACAGAGGGGGGGAGTTAGTGGAGCATTTTCATGCTATTTTATAATGTAATTTAAAATAGTTTCGTATAATTTGCTATTTTGTGCTTGGTATGATAAGAGCCAGCTTATTTATTATGCAAGTTCAATTTTATTTATTTGAAAGTTTTGAATTAATTGCATGATATTAAAGTCTTGCTTAATTTAGCAACATCAATTTAGCGAAAATAAAAAAGAGTCTGGCACTTATAATTTTGAACATTTATGCACTTGTAAAATTACTATAAAGAAATAGGATTTTCATTGTTTAGAGCTCATTAAACTTTCCATTCTGCTAAATTTAATTCAATTTTCTTCGAAGAAATGAAAAACTAATTCATACTTTCAAGAGAGCGGTTCTAGCATTTAATGCAATCAGAGATTTATCAATTATAGTTAATTATAATAATTTAAAGCCATTTCTCATCTTTCAAATCTACACGGGAACTTGGTATAATTGATACTAATACTTTTAGATTCGCCAAAGCAGCTTTTTCGCTATATATAAAAGGGAGATAAAAAAATATAAATAGCAAAACCAAAGCTGAAGAAAATAGCGCAGTCACCCAAATCAGCAAATTTAGCTGATTACTAATAACATCTTTTGAATCTTTGTCTACTATATCATAATCGATTCCCAGCACTTCTTGCACAGCTGTTTCATTTCCAATATAATACCCAAATTGAATAACGTTAGCTGGTCCTGGCTCTGCAGTTGAGATAAATTTTGAATCAATATGCATGAGGTTGCATGCTGCATATGTTCCTTGCTGTATATGGCCATTATTTATATCTCAAATTTCAAAAATCCTTTTTTTCACGTCATCTGTCATTAAATTCAAAAATCTTTTTTCTCTGATTTGGGTATTAAGTACTTTAAATTTTGCATTACTTAATTTGAATTCAGTTTTCGAGTTTGCAACTGCATAAGACTTAGGAACCCATCTCAAAATGCTATTAGAAGCAATATCTCTTGCAAAAACACTCATGCGAGTCAGTTGTGTTCTTTTGGATATAAGATTTAGTAGAAGTCTTGGTCTGTTTATCAGATAATTTTCACATTGCTCGTATAAATGAAATTTTAATATAAAAAAATAGCAAGAAGCTATAACTAAAAATATAGAAAGTCTTCATATGTATTTTAAATAAATACGAGTCTTTATTTGTTTAGACCGCCTTTTGCTTCGGCGGTGGTCTTGATTTTGGTCTGATTCATAGTCAATTCCATGTATTTTTGATAGTCTTTCAATATAGGTAGCTTTTAAATCAAGATATGATCGATGCAGTACTTTTTTGATGAAGTTTCAGAATTGATCATATTTCTTTGTCATATAAATCACATACCCAATTAGCATGGCCACAAACATCCCTAGTAGCCCAAGCCCAAAATATATTCACGACGCTATTTCGCTTTTAATATCAGTAACTCTTTGCACTTCACAATTCACCAAACCTTGCATCGCATTCTGAGTAATTTCGAATGTCAGTCCAAAGCAGTTTATACCAAAGAATTTAACATCAGTATTTGTATATGTAAGGTTTTTGCTTATCAAATTTATTAAATTGTCACCATGTTTTATAAATAGGCCGACTTCATCATAAAAATTGAATTTTTCTATATGAACTGAAGGCTCAAATATCCAAACAGGAATTTCTTCCTTTACGACTATTGAAGAACTCTCACAATAGTTTCACTCATCATAGTCATCCAAAATATAATTCCTCAATTTTTTTAATTCGATTATTGTATCGTTGAGATATCCTAAATCTCTCGTTAAATTGTAAATCCCAGATTTTTTTTCAGAATCTATAGATCTTGCTAAATCAGCTGTATATGCTAAATGGAACATTATGCTTCCCATATGAGAAAACACATTCAAGTGGTTGGAATGGGATGAGGCATCATATATATATGCAAGAACTGCTATATTTGAAGCGACTACTGCTGAAATCTATATAGAATTTACACAGAAAAACAGGATGCGCTGAAAAAGTTTCAGTTTTATTGTTATTGTTTCAATGCTTTTATTTGCAATGGCTAAATAAAAATTACAGGTTGAAGAGCTTGCCATGCTGCTTCCTTGTAAGTTTGATACTGATTTTTCTTCATTGTTATCTAAATGGTTTGAATTGTCTCTCATAGACTCATCAAGAAGCTCGCGGCATTCTGTATCTTTTTCTTCACTTTTATCATTATCTAGAGATCTAAATGCAATAGCTTTCTGAAATCTCACATTTGGAGAACTTTCCGGAACTTTTAAATAAGAATCATGATTTAATTTTTCTTCTTCAGCTTCATCTACTTGTATTTTATCAAAATATTCAATTTGGTCTATTTCTTGGCCTTTTGTCCATAATTTTATTTCTTTTTCATCATGGGCAACAATAATTTTATGAATTTTTGTCTCTCCAAGTTCTTTTATAGTATGGATTGCTGCAAATTTTGGTCCTTTTTGCCGTATTAAGATTGGCTCAAAAAGAGCCATTGATGAGATGTCTAAGCCAGGCACTATATCAGAGATATAACAATTTTTAACACTTGATTTATCTGCTCCTATGTAATAAGAGAAAAGATCGGTGGTATTATATACAAGTCCCTCTTCAGAAATTAGAGCAAATTGCCTGTTCGTGATTCTTGGCGTTAAATTAACTACAAAGTAAGCATTGTTGTGAAAAGCTGTCAATTTTATTAGAAGACCGCACTCAATTAAATTTCCAAGTGAATTTTGGAGGAAAAACCATCCTTTATGTGTCACTTCTTCTGCTTTATATTTTATACAATATTCTTTCATATAGCTATCATGGTTATATGAATAAGGATCTGGGACATAATAATGCAAATGGCTTCCTATTAAGTCAGACATTGTGCCTTTTAATAATTGGGAAGTTTTTTCGTTTGCATATGTAATTATACCAAACGAGTCTTCGTTTGCAGATACAAGCATAATACCAGAGTTTTCTTCTAACTCCCCCCTCCCATCCTTGATCGAATGATTGACTGTAAAAATTCCTAAAAATTGGGAAAATTAACCTCCATCCTTGATCGAACGATTTTCATATCATGCAAAATTTTTATATATATAAAAAATATATTAGTTATCAAAAGCTTGGGAGATGTGCCTGATGAAGTTGTTTTCAGAGACTTTGAGACGACAGGAAGCTACGGAATCAACTATTCGAAGTGCTTTAGTCATCAGCCTGGGCTTAAAAACTCAATAATCTAAAAAATAGAGAATTTAAAAAAAAAATTAATTCAATAAGGAACAAATTAAAATTTATACAGTTTAAAGGGGTAACTAATAGATCAAAAAATATTAAAAATTGGTATTTTTATGAAATTAATTCAATTTTTTGCTGTAAAAATAATTATTAAATACTCTTAACGCTCTTATTTAAAAGTAAATAAAAATAAATATATATATTTATATATATATATTTTTTTACCCCCATCCTTGATCTAACGATAGCGAGCTGTTCGATCAAGGATGGGGGGGGATTAAACAAAATTTTGAGTCAAAAGCTGTTGAGTAGCTCATTTGTCGGCTAATACTGCTCTTCAGTCGATATATCATGCTAGTTTGGTCGGTTTCTCCTAAAACATTTTCAAGAAAAGTAATATAAAGGTCGTAAAGCTCAATGTGCTTGTATTTTAATATTAATTTTTCATATAATTCTTTCAGATTTGCTAATTGATAAGAACTTCTCATTGCAAGGTGATAGATTTTGCTATACTCTGGAATCTTATCTGAAAATTCTGATCATAAGTCAATTAATTCAAAACAAATTTCATTATCCATTTGCCTAGCTTTATTTAGATCTTCTAACTCTCCTCTCTAAGAGAGAAAAAAAATTGTGCTTAGGGATGATGAGTGAGTTTTTTTAAATTTATAGTAAATTTTTTTTCAAAAGTTACAAAATTTTAATTAGCAAAATTTATGTTTTTAAAATCAAAATATTTTTTTCATAAAATTTTGTTTGTTCGCGGAGGGTTGGTTTTCACCAAAAAATTAGGGATTTTCCAATTTTTTTTTTTTGCTCACGGAGAGGGGGAGCAAGTATCGAATATAATGAGCATCTACTGACGATTTATCTTTGTTATCAATGTTTTTCTGTGTTTTTCATTCTTGGATGCACCCTTCAAGTGTAAAAACTGCTTTATTTATTTTAGTTAACTTTATCCTTGCAAGCCTTTCATCTCTTATAGAATAAGAACAAAAATTGACTTCCCAAATGATCAATAATTTATCTTTAACTAGCTTTTTTATGTCAAGAATGGCTATGAAATAATCAATCACCTGCATTTTATTTTCTAAGTTTTTATCACATAGCAAGCGCCGTATAGTTTGCTCAAAACGATACTGATTTTTAAAATCTATTTTCGAATTGATAATAGAGCTAGTTCTCTTGCTTACGATCCAAATATTAATTACAATTGCCACAGGCTGCATAAAAAAATTTAGCATGAAGGCAATTCCCGCATCATCAATAATAGTAGCTAATAAAACTGCTAAAAATGCTAAAGAGACTGAAAAAATATTGCAAAATTTTATGCAGTTTGCTATTTTGTTGAAATAAGGTAGCCTTGCTAAAAACTGTAAATAAATACACAATGAGCAAATTAAAAAAAATATCTGATATTTAACGATTCCTAGATTTCCAAATAATACATATGACATGCTCAAAACAGTTTTGAATGCCAAAAGCATTAAGTCAACTGAGGAATGAGCTCTCGCAGTTATTTTTTTTTCACCAAAAGTATGCCGAATATCAGCAGAAAACAACTCCCAAAAAGCAGCCATAAAAAATAAGAAAATAATATAAAAAACACTTAGAAGCGTCCCGAAAGGTCCATAATTCATCGAAGAAGGATCTTTATAGTCAATTCACTCATCAATTTTATCACATTTAAAAGTTGAATATTTAAAAACCATAGTAAGCTCAAGAACTGAAGGAATAAATAAAACTGTTACTCAAACTGATAGTAAGGATCTAAGAATTCATATAAAAAACTTTGGGGTTTTAATTTTTGTGAAACCTAAAAGAAAAATTATTAAAAGTGTCCCACTGCTGTAGCAATAATAAAATGGCGACGTCGTGATAATTCCTCTCCCGAGGAATTTCTCTCCTTGCCCATTTTATTATTATAGGGTTCAGTTTTCCCGGTGAGACCTTATCCAGCAGCATCAGGTAAGCAACGGGAGGGTGCACAGCCTCCTGGCCTGATCCAAGGATGTTTGGTGGGCATAGGGATTTTCTGCTTGACACTTCCGAGGAGGAAGACCCATAGGCGGCACAACGCGCAGGAGTCGAGTTTCGAGCAAGGCAACGCAGCCTGTGAGATCTGGCCTTCAACTGGCCGTCATTGCTTAGGATGGTCGAACGCCCCGATAAAAAGGGTGACGTCGAAATGCCCGTGACGTCACTAGTTGAACTCTACTGGGTGAGCCGTAGTGGCTTTGTTAAATCACCCTACGGAACCAGAGAAGCACGTTAAACTCTCTAAGTAATCTAAGTTCTAAGTTCTAAGTCCCACTGCTGTAGCCTAACCCCACCTTCGTGAGCGAACAAAAAATTTTGTTCGCTCATGTAAGGGGTATATAAGTTTTATAGTAAATATTTTTTCGAAATTTAAAAAAATCCAAATTCGTAAAAATTGAGACATAAAAATTAATTTAATTTGTAAAAGTTATGTTTTAAAATGCAATTTGTTTAAAATTAAACAGAATTAGCTCGAGATCATTATATTAATTATCACATATATATCAAAATTTTTTTTATAAAAAAATAATTAAATTTTTGTTCGCTCACAGAGGATGGGTTTTTGAGCAAAAAATAAAAATTTTTCCAATGTTTTTTTTTCGCTCACAGAGGGGACTAAGATGGAAAATGTGCCGTAGAAGCAATAATCGGTAATGCTAGAAATTGCGCAAAAATTGTTTATGTCGAAATAACTAATAAATTTCCAGAATGATGAATAATGATCTCATTTGGCAATACCTATATCTGGATGCCATGCTAAGGCCATCATTTGAAAAGTTACAATGGCATTAATAGTGGCTTCCAACATAATTTGAGATCTTATTTGGTAATGATTCATGAATTTTGATTTGAATATCTTCCCAAACAACTTGAAAATTCTGAGTTTTTGTTTTTCAAGCTGGGATTTTTTAGATTTCAGTTTTCTGATGCCAGCGTTTTCGAATATCTCTTCGTTTAAATCTAATAGCATTTATATTATAATAAAGAATATGGGTTTTTTCTTTTTTATAATTTACTGGAAGAAACAATTATTCATTATTACAAAGCTAATGAATATTTCTTCCTTCGTAATGATTTTCTTTAGTGATCTACTCTTTAGATGCCATCGATTATATTATTAAAATAATAGTTATACATGAAATTTAAAATATCAGTAATGAAGCCAACTGAGGCTGCTGCTCTGCTATTATTTATATATATATTAGTAACAATAATAGTTGAGAATAATAGGTAAAAAGAAATCAGTAAAAATAAAAATAAAATTCACTTGAGGAAATTATTAAATTAAATTAAAATTATAAAAAAGGTGAAGAGATAAAATATTTATGATAATATCATCTAATTGAGATTTGAGCTACATAATTTATCTTATATTTTTACGGATATAATAAAAAAATTGGATGATTTTATATTTTTATTAAAATTGTAAAAATTAAAAAGAAACAAGAAAAAACCAAGTGCTTGCTAAAGGTATTATAAAGCTGGTTTCATTGCGAATTATTTATGCTTAAAATACTTTGTACAGCTTATAATTAATTGGCAGAATTGCTAACAATTATTCGCTTGATGTTGATCAAATTTGCAGAGCATTGCTGAATATAGGATGAAGTTCGATACAACAACCATTGTTTCGAAAATGAGTCCGATCTTAGTTTGAAAGCGTATATGTAGAAGACTTATGGTGAAAATATAATCAAAAATCCCAGTTTTCAAGAAGCGAGCAATTCGAGAATTTACTGATTTTATATCTTAAATTAAGCTCGATTTATATTAATAAATTTTCTTAATAACTAGATATTTGTGTATATACTTGCTGGAGCTGCAAGGCACTCAGAGTCAGATATTTATAGCTTAAATTATGTTTTTAATTTAAATTGCAAGCTTATTTTTATTTATTCAAAACTAAATAAATGCTCTTATTAAAAATTTTACGTTTATTAATAGCTCAATAAGATAATAAATATTTGTATGCTTTTTATAGACAATTAAATCATTTTTTCACTTTTAGAATCTGTTCTGCCACTTGGTACAATTGTTATCAATGCTTTTAACTTTTTCAACTGGCACTTTTCATTTTGAATAAACGGCAAATAAAAAAATAAAAAAAGCATAAGTAAAGCTGATGAAAATATAATCGTCACATAAATTATTAAATTCAGTTCTCGTTGTATCACGTTTTTTGAATCATGGTCTATAATATCATAATCAATTCCCATAACATTTTGAAGAGCGGTTTCGTTACCTATATAATACGCAAATTGAGTAACACTTGATGTGCCTGCAGTGCTGGTTGATATAAATTTAGCATCTATATACATGATATTTGAAGCTGCGTAGGTTCCCTGCTGTAAATAATAATCATTAGTATGCCGTGCTTCAAAAATATTTCTCTTCATACCACTTGTCAATAATTTTAAAAAATTTTTGTTTCTTATTTCAGAATTTGCAAATTTAAACCCTTCGTTGCTTGATAGAAATTCTAACTTCGAATCTGCAAGTCCATATGACATTGGCATCCATCTTAGAGAGCTTTTAGATGGAATATCTCTGGCAAATACGCTCATTCGAGATAAGAGAGCTCTTTTTGATATAAGGCTTAATAATAGCTTGGGTCTATGAACCAAGGAATTTTCACAGAGATCATATAAGTAAAAATTCAAAATAATATAATAGCTAGAAGCAACAAGTAAAAATATTAGCAGTCTCCAGAAATACCTTACATATATTCTAGATCTTACTTTTCTTGTAAATTTTTTATTTCTATAATACTCTATGCTGCTATCCTGCTTGTAGTCAATCCCATGCACCCTTGAAAGCCTTTCAATGCATGTAGTTCTTCGGTCAAGGTAAGAACTCTGAGAAGTTTTTATTATGAAATTTCAAAATTTATCAAAATTTCTATTCATATAGATGACATATCCTATTAAAATCCCCATAAAAATAATTAGTATTGAAAGTCCTGCAAATATTCAAGATGTTATGTGTTTTCCTATTTCTTCAGCCCTACTTACTTCACAGTCAACCAAGGTTTGCATAGCATTTTGTGTAAACTCAAATGTATATCCAAAGCTATTTAATGCAAAAAACTTTGCTTCAACGTTTGAATATGTTTTGTTTTGGCTGATCATATTTATTAAGTTATCTCCATGCTTGATAAAAATTCCTACTTCATCATAAAAATTAAATTTTTCTATATGAGGCGAAGGGTCAAACATCCACACAGGAATCACATTATCTGTTATAATTGCATACATAAAAATGGTGACGATGTGCCACACGACCTCTCGACCCTATTTCTTTAACACTTGCAGGCAACGACCGAGTGTTGGGGATTTAGGTGGAAAGGAGTCGGAAACCCTTTGTGTAGGTTTTACTCGGGCCCTATGGAGCTAATCCGTGTGGACTTGGGCTTTTACCTCCAGAACAAACATTGGAAAGACAAGATCGACGAAAGTCCCGAGTGGAGGCTTGCTCCCTCGAACAGGACTCAAGAGATGGCATTTGTCCAACGAGAAACTGGGAGCTTCGACACAAGTAGTTGGCTCTTAGGCTCCAAAAGCCATGGAAGTCAAGACTGGTTGTGCGAATCCCTTGTTTGCGGCAACAAGGAGGGTGTCCGCCGGGGCTTCTCGGGAGTGATGAGCATGTAGAGGTGGAAATCCCCGGCCCTGCAAGTGCGAACGACTAATTCTATCTATCCTGGTCTGTTATGATTGAAGAACTTGAGCAATAGCTTCAATCATTATAGTCAGTTAAGATATAGCCTCTTAGCAGTTTTAGCTGATTTATAGTAAAGTTAAAATATTCAAGATCTCTAGTAATATTGTAGATATTAGACACTTTTTCAGAATCTATTGATCTTGCTAAATCTGCAGAGTTTGCTAAATGAAATATTAAATTTCCAAAATGAGAAAAAACATTAAGAGAGTTTGTATGCGAGGTATCTTGATATATATATGCTAAAACTGCAATATTCGTTCCAATTGCTGCCAGCATCTAAATAAGAATTACACAAAATAGCAAAATTCATTGAAAATGTTTTAAATTTTTAGATAAGCTTTCTATACATCTCTGTGCAGCTGCTAAATAGCTCTTACTTGAAGATGAGCTTGAAATGTTACTCACTTGCATGTTTGAGATAGATTTCTCATCAACATTATAGTTCATGGACCTTTATGGATTGACCCATTGAAAATGTAACCGCTCTAATGGATTTCATATCTTGTTCACCTTAGACCAGACCCCTTACTATTTAGAGAAATATTAAGATTATAATAAAAAAATCCTTAATTTTAAACTAGTTCAATATAGTATTATATAATTTTTGAAAAAATTTTTAATAATCCGCATAAGGTTCGGCAAAATGAAGTCAAGGCATATTTTACGTTGAAAATGGTTCTTCTCTCTTTATGTTTAAAAATGTAATTTCGCGGTTAAATAATGGCTTGGCCCATATTTGGGAATTAAAAATGGCAAACCATAAAATTTTTGACAAAAATATGGACCATTTTGACATTTAAACGAGCCATTTTTAAAGAAGGGCTTAATATAAAAATCGCATGTTAATTTAAATAAGCTCTTGAAATAACAGCAATTATTTGCTGATTAATTTCCTTTTTTGGGCATATGCTCATTTTTTAACATTTTTGTTGGCTATAATTCCATTTGATTTTAAAGTCACAACAAAACTTAAATATCTTAATTCACCTCACGCGATTTCATTTAAACTTAATATTTAGGTGCTTATAAAGAATGTTTGCAGCTTCAATTTCCGCTTTCTGGACAAGAGCACAAATTCATTTTTAAATTTTTTTTGTTCGTTATATCGCTATCTTGATTTTTCATAACCATATTAAAAATTATACTTCTTATTTAAAGTATTAATTAAGGCATTTGGTACCTTTATTTTCCGCTTTCTGGGCAAGAGCTCAAATTCGTTTTTAAATTTTTTTGTTCGTTATATCGCCATCTTGATTTTTAAAAATAATGTTAAAAATTAAATCACCTCACGCGGTTTCATCCAGAACTTGATATTTAAATATTAATTAATCTATTTGGTACCTTTATTTTCAGCTTTCTGGACAAGCGCATAAATTCATTTTTAAACCTTTTTTGTTCGTTATATCGCCATCTAGTTTTTTAAAAATAATATTAAAAATTAATATTCTTAATTCCTCATGCGGTTTCATTTATATCTTGATATTTTAGGCGTTTATTAAGCTATTTGGTTCCTTGCATTTCGCGCTTTTGCATGTATTAATAAATAAATAAAATCCTTGATACAGTTGTCAACTTCCATCACTACATCTTCATGGTCTCCTTCAGCCATCTAATAAATTCAAAATTATAAGCTTAAAAATTTCTGTTAATAATTCCTTCAAGAACTCCGTATTTTTGTAATTACAGACAATTATATAAAACTATATTGAACTAGCTTAAAATTAGGGATTATTTTATTTTCTCTTAATATTTCTCTAAATAGTGAGGGGTCTGGTCTACGGTGAACAAATGAAGTCCATTTGAGCGGTTATATTTTCAATGAGGTCGATCCATAAAAGTTTATGAGCTATATCTAGATTTTTACAGCTTTCTTTAGAAACTTCATTGAGAAGTCTGTGACGCTCTATTTCTTTCGACTCTTCTCTTTGATTATTTTCACTTGTAATAAATTTTTGAAACCTAAAGGTTATTGAATGCTGTAAATGCTTTAGAGGCAGTTCTTGCCCCATTTTTTCCTCTCTACTTACTTGGATTTTTTTAAAATATTCTATTTGATCAATGTCTTGTCCTTCTTTTCATATTTTTATTTCTTTTTCATCATGAATTAATAGAAGCATATGAATAGTTGTTGTTCTTAGCTCTTTTATTATATGAACTAGGGCAAGCTTTATACCTTTTTGCTGAACGATTAATGGTTCATAGAGCTTCATTTGTGATATACTAATTGACCAAGAATAGCCCACTATGGAGCCATTCTTGGTCTGCCAGAAAAAAATTTGACAAAAAGATCCTAATCTGTCATTACCACTGAGTTTTGGTTTTTGGGCAAGCCAAATGCAATAAAAAAAATTGTTTCTTTGCGATGATGCATTTGGCTTGTCAAAAAAATTTGGAAACACCAAAACTCAGTGGTAATGGCGGATTAGGATCTTTTATGCCATTGCCACTGAGTTTTGATGTTGCCAATTTTTTTTGACAAGCCAAATGCATCATCGCAAAAGAACAATTTTTTTTTATTGCATTTGGCTTGCCCAAAAAATTTGGAAACACCAAAACTCAGTGGTAATGGCAGATTAAGATCTTTTGTCAAAATTTTTTCTGGCAGACCAAGAATGGCTCCTTAGTGGGCTATTCTTGGTCAATTAGTATATATCTAGGCCAGGGATAAAATCTGATATACAGTAATTTCTGATACTATTTGTGGTTGCCCCTATAAAATGAGGGAAAAGATCTGTAGTATTGTATACAACTCCTTCTTCAGATATGAGGGCAAGCTGCCGGTTTGTTGTTCTCTTTGTTAAAGTGGCTAAAAAATATGCATTGTTATGAAACGCTGCTAATTTTATAAGAAATCCACACTCTTCTAAATACCCAAGTGTGTTTTGAAGGAAAAATGGTCCCCTTTTAAGGACTTCTTCACTAGTATAGTTAATGTATAGATTTCTTAAATGCTCATCATGATTGTAGTTGTAAGGGCTTGGAATGTAGGAGCTTAATTGAGTCCCAGCGATATCTATATTTGAACCTTTTAATAATTGAGCAGCCCTATCATTCACATAGGTAATTACACCGAATGAGTCTTCATTAGCTGAAATGAGTATAATGCCGTTCATTTCTTCATAAGAAGTCAGCTTGGTATCATATATTGTTGAAAAACTTACTTGGTGATTTATGTTTCCTTTCAATCTATTCATTATCCCGGCTTCATCAATTTCCCCTAAAATATTTTCAAGAAAGGATATATAAAGGTCGTAAAGCTCTGGGTGCTTATATTTTGACACAAGTTTCACATAAAATTCTTTAAGATTCGTTAATAAATCAGAACTTCTAATTGAATGATAATAGATTTTTTTATATTTAGGGAATTTTTCTGAAAATTCAGATCATAAGTCGATAAATGCATAGCAAATTTCTTGATCAAATTTCTTGGCTTTATTAAAATCTTCTAAATATTCTATATAATGCGCATCAACCGAAGAACTATCCCTTTCGTCAATATTTTTTAGTGCCCTTCATTCTTGTATGCTTCCTTCCAGTGTAGAATTCACTGAATTTATTTTTGTTAGCTTTATTCTTGCCAATTTTTCATCTTTCATGGTGAAAGAGCAAAAATTTACCTCCCAAACGATAAGTAATTTATCTTTAGCTAGTGCTTTGTTGACATAGCAGGCTGTAAAATAATTGATAACTTGTATTTTCTTCTCTAAATGCCTATTGCAAAGCAAATGTCTAGCAGTTCTTTCAAAATCATATTGACTTGTAAAATTAATTTCAGATTTTTTAATAGAATTAATTCGGGAGTTCACAAATCAGCAATTGATGACTATAATGATAGGCTGTAAGAAAAAATTAAGCATGAACGGGACACCTGCATCATCCATAGCTGTCCCTAATAAAACTGCTAATAAAGAGATTGAGACCGTCAGTATTTTGCATGACTTTATTGAGTTTTCAGCTTTGCTATAATATGGCAATTTTACTATGAACTCCAGAAATATACAAAACGAAGCTATCATGCACATAATTTGATATATAGTAATACTTACATTTCTAAATAAAACATAAGAAATACTCATGCAAGTCTTAAATGTCAGCATTTTTAAATCGACTGATGAATGCGCTCTTACAGTTAAATTTTTATCCCAAAAAGCATGCCTCACATCTGAAGCAAATAATTCTCAAAGATAAGCCATAATAATTAAGAAAATCATGTAAACAATTATCAAAATTGATCCAGAAATCCCATAATTAAGTAAATCTGAGCTGTGTTTTCCTGAAAATTCATAAATTTTATCATAGTTAAATGTTGAATATTTGAAAATCATTGAAAGCTCTATTAAGGTAGGAATATACAGCACTGTCACCCAAACTGACAATAAATTCTTCAAAATCTGTACTAAAATTAGAGGAAATTTTAAACTCATACAACTAAAGACAAACATTAGTAATAGCAATCCTACACAAATGGACAATACGGTATTTACTCCATGAAAACAATATGCCGTAGCTTCAAAAGTTCCGCAAAAATTGTTGAGGTTAAAATAGCTCACGATATCTCAAAAGGTTATGTAGCGATTTCAGCCTGAAATTTCCATGTCTGGATACCAAGTTAGGCTTATCATTTGAAGGGCAAGGGTAAAATTAAATAATGCCTCAACCAACAGCTGAGATCTTATTCTGTAGCCACTATTATATTTCGATTGAAAAATTTTCCCAAATATTTTGAAGATAACAATTTTTTGTTTTTCAAAAGAAGATTGTTTTAGTTTTAGATTGTTGATTTCTGTACTTTCAAAAAATTGTTCATACAAGTCTAAAAGCATTTATTATTATATAATTAACATGGAAACTTATTTTTTTTCAAATGTTTCTCTGACATAGAATTCATTCCCACAAAATATTATTTATTGCTTTACTGTTGGTAAAACTTATACCTGCCATTTCTTTCATAGAAGTGTAAATTTATATAGGGATTGATATTCTTAATTTTTCTTTTGAATATTCTGTTTTAAAAGGAATCTACAACAGAAATTAATTTTTATAATAAATTAAAAAGAAACACTTATAAAACAATTGCGAAAGGAAATAATTTCATATATTTATCTACCACAGATGCCGATTATAGTATTGCTTACCTAGATCCATTCATTTTCAAGTGATTTAATTGATAATGCTCGCTTTTTTCAGTGACCTTTTTTAGCTATAATAGGTAAACTGCGCAAGTGGGTTAAAAACAGAGTGAATTGATTCTTTGATTAAAGACATTCACCTAGAAAACCATTATTCATAATACATTTGGTCGATGGGTCACAAGATTTGATAACAGATATGGCTCGGCATCAGTCTATTTCGAAAGGCTTGCATCTTGCTAGGAGAAGATTGCCTGCGAATTCATCACAGAAGTCATTGACTATATTGCTAAAACCCATCAGATTTTAGGCTTTAGAGACATTAATAAAAATAATATAATCTAAAATCTAATATCTAAGAATTACCGTGCAAAAGGAAAAAATTTTAAATGATATTATAGATTAAGAAATATTATTCGCTCTTGAAAAAAGGGTATTTGAAAATATTAATGAGCATCATATAATAGATCAACAGATATTCATAGTAGCTAAAGAAGGCATGAATTATGAAATAAATTATTATGATGCTCAAATAAAAATGATCTTATTAAAATTCGAGCTTTCAATTAGCTTATTTAATTTTTAATCTTAAAATAAAATTAAATGAATAAAAAGGTCATCAAGTTAATTGAAAATTATTGATTGGAAAAAGCCCTTACGCTTATCTCATATTTTAGGTATATTGAACTATTTAACAAATTTTTCTTTATGAAGAATTAGCAAGCTGCTTGAATATTTTGAAAATTATAAAAGCTATTCTCTTTGGAAGATAGCCCTGGGCTTTGAAATTTTCTGTAAGTAATCAAAAATTAGAATTTATATATTGATCAGAAGTTCTTTCAACAAATACCATTACGCTATGATATTTATAGGATACTGGTCTAATAATGCGCTGGTCTTATAAAAAGTTTATTTTGGAAAATTGCATTATGAAATTTGCAATTTGGCTTCTCTAACACTTGAAGGGGCTATAAATCGCATATTTTTCTGAAGCTTTGCAATCTGGATTGCTATTAGAAAAAAAGAATTTATACAAACAATAGTTGAGCTAAGAAATAGTTTTAGAAAAATGAAGTCAGTGCAATATAATTATTTTGCTTTAAATTAAGCTAATAAAGAACTAAAAATAACTTCTTGATCTTTTAAGCACCTTAATTTATTTATTTAAACTTTAGTGCTGCCTAATGCAGCATTTCTCTCTTTTAATTCCAAAAAAATTAAATTTAAATTCCAATTACCAGGGCAACTAAAAACTTTAATTGAAGCTTGAAGAAAGATAAATTTAAAAATTGTAATTTATTTGTTAAATTTATGCCTCAGAGCCAAAAGCATAAAATTTTAGAAATATGAAATGATTGGAAAAGACATTATAAATATTTTAAGACTAATAAATTAATCTTGAAGTTTTGAATAGTCATATTGCTTTTTAAATTGTTTAAGATAATTAAAATGAGCCCAAATTTTTCTCATTATCTGATTTTGATCTCAGGAATTAAAGAGAACTTATAAGTTAGATTAGATTTAGAAAATTTTATCATTTCCAAATATTTAAATTAAAAAGCATAGAATTTAATCATATTCAGATTAAGATGAACTTCGCAAATACAGAATACATCTAAAAATGAAACTGTTTACTTAAAATGATATAAATTATATTCCATACCTAAAGCTTTTCAGAGATCAAATCATCCGAGTTTTTGATGATTGACATTAATAATTTCAGCTTTGACAATCAACATTTTTCAGAATAAATGAAAGGATGATAAAAAAATATATAGAGCAAAATCAATGCTGAAGAAAATATAACAGTCATGTAAATAAGCTTATACAGTTCGCTCTTTATGGTATCTTTTGAATCTTGGTCTACGATGTCATAATTAACCCCAAAAGTTTCTTGAAGGGCTGTTTCATTTCCTATATAATTTGAATATGCAATGACAGTCCCTATGTTAGCGGGAGTCACTGATATATATTTAGCTTCCATATATATAATATTAGCAGCAACATAAGTTCCTAGATGCAGATAATAATCATCAGTTCTGATTGTTTCAAATCATCCTGTTTTCAAATCATCTGATAATAATTTTAAAAAATCCTTGCTTCTTAATTCATGATTTGAAAGCTTAAACTCTTCACTGCTTGTGGAGAATTCTAGCTTTGAAGATGCAAGCCCATATGAATTGGGAATCCATCTCAAATAGCTTGATGTGCCAATATCCCTTGCAAAGACACTCATACGTGATAAGAGCACTCTTCTTGCTAGTAAGTTTAATAGGAGCTTTGGGCGATTTATTAAATAGGTTTCACACTGGTCGTAAAGTGAGAATTTAAGAGTGAAATAATAGCATGAAGCTATAGCTAAAAATATGGAAATTCTTCAAATATATTTTATATATAGTTTTGAATGTATTTTTCTATAATATCTTTTTATTTTGGGATAATGATTCTCGATATTATTATCTTTTGAATAATTAACGCCATGAACTTCTGATAATCTTTCAAGGCAGCTTTCTCTTAAATAAAAAAAGGAAATTTGTGATGATTGGTTAACAAAATTCCAAAAATTATCATTGCTTCTTGCCATTAAAATTGAGTATCCGATTAAAATTCCTGTAAAAATAGCTAAGAGGCCAAGCCCCACAAATATTAAAGCTGTTATCTTTGTATCAGTTTCTTTTACCCTATTAACTTCGCAATCCACCAATCCAGACATTGCTCCATGAGTAAATTCAAAGGTATATCCGAAGCTATTTAAACCGAAGAACCTTGCATCAACATTTGAATAGGTCTTATTTTGAGCAATCATATTTATAGCTTATGCGTTATAATAGATCATTATGGCCAAGCAGCATAATGACCAGAAAAGACATGGTCCGGGTAATTGCCTTATATAGTCTATGTCTGATTAAGTATCTCATACCAAAAGGAGATTTTCATTTTCGCCTATATTTTTGAAAGAAATTTGAGTAAAGCTTATTATAATATAAAAATAGAGGCTAACAACGGTTTATTAAAGTGTAGGGGCTATACCAAATTATTTCCATGCTTTAAAAATATGCCAACTTCATCATAAAAATTGAATTTTTCTATATGAGGCGAAGGGTCAAAAATTCATACAGGGATCACATTTTCTGTTACAATTGAAGAACTAGAGCAATAGCTTCAGTCATTGTAGTCAGATAAGATATATTCTCTCAAGTTCTTTATCTCATTTAGAGTATACTTGAAGTAGCCGAAATCTCTTGTAAGATTGTATATGTTAGACCTTTTTTCTGAATCAATTGATCTTGCCAAGTCAGCAGAATTTACAAGATGGAACATTAATTTTCCAAAATGAGAAAATATTTCTAGATTACTTGAATGAGTTGTAACTTGGTAAATATACACGAGAACTGCTAAATTTGTACCGATGACTGCTAATATCTATGTAATTATTACAGATAAAAGAAGAATCTTTTGGAAAATTTTCATCTTTCTTGAGAGTGCTTCGATGTGCTTACTTGCGACTGCTGAATTAAAATTACTTGTTTTCGTGTTTGTAACACTAATTTGCTTTGATTTTTCTTCAGTTTTATTTAAATTATTATATTTTTTGCTAGGCTTTTCATCAATAAGCATATTTATCTCTTCTTGCTTTTCTTGGCTTGTCGAAATTAGTGGTATAAATTCCTGGTTTTTGGTGTCCAAGAAATCGAATGTTGAGCTTTGAGTAATTTTTTCCAAATCCTTTTGCGACAATTCTATTTTTTTAAAGTATTCAATTTGGCTTATGTCTTTCCCTACTTTCCAGAGATTAATTTCTTTTTCATCATGAATAATCAGGAGCATATGAATGGTTTTTGTTCTTAATTCTTTTACTGTATGAACTATGGCTAGATTTTTCTCATTTTTCTTACTCCCCCCTCCATGAACGAACAAAACTATTGGAAAAATCCCTATTTTTGCCAAAAGCCCACTCTCCACGAGCGAGCAAAAATTTTATGAAAAAATATTTTTATATATTAAATGATAATGAATCTTTAAAATATAAATTTTGCGAATTAAATAATATATGTTTTCTAATTTTGCGAATTGAGATTTTTTTAAATTTCAAAAAAAAAATTAACCTTCGTGAGAGAACAAAATCAGTTTGCTCACTGAAGGGGGAGTTAATAATTAGTGGCTCAAAGGGTTTCATTTCTGATATGTCTAGGTGAGGGATAAAATCTGAAATACACAAATTTTTAATGTTTGTCGTCGATGCTCCTATATAGTGGGAGAAAATCTCTGTGCAGTTGTATATAACTCCTTCTTCTGATATGAGGGCGAGCTGCCTACATGTAGTTATTGGACTTATAGATACTAAAAAGTAAGCATTATTATGAAATGCTGACAATGATATACGAAATCTGCATTCTACCAAGTATCCCAAAGAGTTTTGGATAAAAAACTGCCCTTGATGAGCTATAGAAGTTTCCTATGTTTGGCGCTGTAAGGCCGATAAATTCTGATCGGAATTTATCTGTTGGTTGCACCAAAATCAATGCCTTGGTCGGACCAAAAAGCGATTTGGTCCGACGAACTTGGAAAGCTCCTGGGAAAATGTCTGCGCTTTCAGCGCTATATAGAGGAAACCTCTATATTTCTTTATCTATATATTCAATGAAGAATTTTTTCATAATAAAATAATGATCGATTGAAAATACACTAGGAATATAATCATGCAAGTCAGTTCCCACCAAATCAGAAATAGTTCCTTTTAGCAATTGAGAAGCTTTACTATTGATATATGCAATTGTGCCAAAACTATTTTCATTAGCTGACACAAAGCACTTATTAATTACTCAGGTTTTAATGTTTCGCCTTCTCCCGAGAGTGATTTAGGCAGAGCTAACTTTAAACTCCAATTTGAGTTTTAGGGTATTTCTAAGTCACCCTTTTTTATCGGTTGGAGGCAATCCGAAATTTCTATGTGCCCTGAACTGGTAGTGTTGTCTGGTTCAAGGCTTGCTCTTTGTGCTTGCTCCGCCGAATCGCCTTCCTTTTCATAAGTGTCAAGTGATCGGCCTCATTTCTTCCTTGACCAGGAGCTTTACCATATAATAAGACCATCTCTCTGCCATTTTGGATAAAGGTTCACAGGAAAGCAGAACCCGATAATAATAAATTGTCAAAGAATGGAACCGTTCTCGTTATGACTTTATTCCAACAAATCTTTTTATAATAACTGATACAAGCAAAATGCCACTGTCTTCGAAAGAAGATATATTTGAATCATAAATTGTTGTAAAACTTAGTTGATGGTTTATACTTGCTTTAAGTCTGCTCATGCTGCTTGCCTGATCAAATTCACCTAACTCCCTTTGATTAGCGCACAAAATGTTTTTGCTCTCTAATCAAGAATGCTTAAATTTATATCTAATTACAGAATGTAGAAATTCTTCCTGATTTCAGTTATCCTATTTTTAACGGCAAACAGGATGAAATTTAATCACTCGAAATCTTTTCTTCATTCATTCTAAAAATTCTATAAAAATTTTAAATATTATAGAATAAAAACTTATTATATGTATTCTAGAATGTAAGCTGTCTAAAATTTAAAAAAATTAGTTATAGATTTCATATAATCATCATTATTTTGATATGAAATTATTATTTATAAATAATTTTTTTTGCTTGCTTTAATTTTTCTACAAATAGTTGGCTAACTAAAGCAGAGAGGAAGATATTTTGCAAAAACGTTATATAAAGGTCGTAAAGTTCTAGATGCTTATGTTTTGCGATAAGTTTACCATAAAAATCTTTAAGCTCTAATAAGAGTGTGCAGCTTTTGATTGCCAAAAAGTGGATTTTTTTATATTGAGGAATACTTGCTGACAATTCAGATCCTAAGTCCAACAGTGTGCAACAGACTTCAAAATCGTGAGCTTTGGTATTCTTTAGTTCTTCCAAATATTCTATATAAAGAGAATCAGTTGATGAATAATCCCTTTTGTCAATAATCTTGATTGCCTTTAATTCTTGAATAGTCCCTTCCAAAGTAGGCACTATCGATTTCTTTTTCGTCAGTTTAATTCTCGCTAATTTTTGGTTCTTCAAAGAAAATGAACAAAAATTAACTTCCCAAATAACAAGTAATTTGTCTTTTATGATTGTCTTATTTGTGTAGCAACCTGAAAAATATAGCACTTTCCCTTGAATAGCCCGATAACGGGCTGTCTTCATCCCGTTATCAGGCTATTCAAGGGAAAGAGCTATAATTAATTACTTGAGCTTTATCCTCTAATTCTTTATTGCAAAGCAAATGTCTTATGGATCTTTCAAATTCATATTGATTACTATCATTTACAACAGAATGTTTTTTATTGGCAATCTTTGTAATTAAAAATCAACTGACAATTATAGCACTAATAGGCTGCATAAAAAAATTCAGCATAAAAATAATCCCTGCATTATCCATTGCTTTGCCTAGCATAACTGAAAATAATGATAAGCACACTGAAAACATTTCACAAGATTTTATACAGTTTTCAAATTTGTTGTAATAAGGCCATTTCCTTAAAAATTCTAGAAATATTCAAAAGGAAGCTATTGTAAAAGTAACCAGAAATCTAATAGGTTCTGTGTTTCCAAAGGAAACATAAGATATACTCATTGCAGTTTTGAAAATTAGAAGCTTTACATCTACTGAAGAGTGGGCTCTGACAGTCAAAATTTTTCTCCAAAGACCATGACGAGTATCAGCAGTAAATAATTCTTGAAAAAAAGCCAAAAAAATCAGAAAAAATATCAAAATCGGGCTTACTAATGTTCCAAGGACTCCATAAGCGAGTAAAGAAGGATCATGACTTCCATACAGCTCGCAAACTTTATCATAATTAAAAGTTGAGTATTTAAAAACTATAGAAAGTTCTATCAACGAAGGCACATATAATAATGTCGTTCAAACTAAAAATAATATTCTTAAAATTTTAACAAGTAATTTAGGGATCTTAAGTTCTGTAAATTCATTCACTAGCATTAGTAGCAATGCTCCAAAGCAAAGCATTAAAATGGAAGCAATAAAATAAAAACATAAGTCCATAATGCCAAAAAAGCTGCAAACATTAATAAGGTTAAAACAACTCACGAATTTTCAAAAACTGGTATAGCGATTTCATTCAGAAATATCCATATCTGGGTATCAAGCTAAGGCTATCATTTGAAAGGATAAAAGGGTATTAATAAAAATTTCAACCAATAGCTGAGTATTCATGCTAAAGCCTTTGCTGTATTCTGACTTGAAAATTTTTCTGAATAATTTAAATATATGTATTTTTCATTTATTAAGCAGCTTTTCTTGATAATTGAGCTTTTTAGAGCCTTCTAAAATTTCTGCTGGGTTGTCTGATAACATTTTTATTGTTTAATTAAGGGATTATACAGCGACTTAAAAAAATATTCGCAGTTTTTATTTGAAGTTACAGAATCAGTATATTTGGTTTTAAATATTATAAAATTAGAATTACTAAATCTTATAATAGCTTTAAGCTTATTTCTTATTTGGATTTAAAATTTTAATCAGTTTACTTTTAGATCATAGCATAGACAATTTTTGTTATATATGATCACTTAAGGATTAAAGATTATCTGTAGTGATGAATATATGTTGTTTTTAAATTAGGAGCAGTTTTACTTTTAAGAGAAAATAGTCATAGAAGAAAACATTAATTCTAATCCAGCATCGAAATGCACTGAGTGCTAAAGCTTAACAAAAATAAATAAACTTTAGTATTTTCGAGTTTTAGATAAACTTGAAAACTATAAATTATTTAAAAATCAAATCATACTCAGAATAATAAAATTGAACAATTAAATTTAATAAATTCTATGAATTGAAAAGCTAAAAAAGTCAGACTCCTTAAGTATCATTATGAATTGGCATAATTTTTATAATATATTGGGTGCAAAAGAAGATCATTCATAGCGTCTAATGCATCACTCATCCTCGTACCAATTCTTATGACTCATGAAGTGCCAACAAAATATTCTGGAAGCATTATAGCTAGCTATCAATATCGTTATATTACTAATAGAAAAGCCACTATAAAGTGGACATATTTAGCTTTCAAAATGATAACTCTTATTTAATTAAATTTGAAATAATTGCAGGAAATAATTTATCTTAACAAAAAATATAGAATTTACAGCTTTTCAGAATTCAATTCCCCACAATTTTTGATAATCGACATTAATAATTTCAACTTTACCAGTGAACGTTTTTCATAATAAATAAAAGGAAGATAAAATAGCATATATAGTAAGACTAGAGCTGAGGAAAATATCACAGTCACATAAATGAGCAGATTTAGCTCCTGATCTATAATCTCTTTTGAGTCCTTGTCTATAATTTCATAATCTTCCCCCATAGCATTTTGAAGGGCTGTTTCATTTCCGATATAGCTTGAGTACACAGGGACAGAGGCATTACCAGAAACAGTGACCGAGATAAATTTAGCATCGATATATAAAATGTTAGAAGCTGCGTATAGGCCTTGTTTGAAGTAATGATCATTAGTATTCCTCTCTTCAAAAAACCTTTTTTTCATATCATCTGACATTAAATTTAAGAAATCTTTTTTCCTTAAATCAGAATTTATGGCTCTAAACTCTTCATTGCTTGAGTTAAATTCATTTTTAGATGACTCGACTGCATAAGATTTTGGAAATAATCGCAAATTGCTTGACGTGTTAATATCTCTTGCAAAAACACTCATACGCGATAAAAGCGTTCGTTTTGTTATTAAATTGAATAGAAGTTTTGGACGGTTTCACAAATGATTTTCACAATGATTGTAAAGGTAAAACTTTAAAATAAAGTAATAGCATAAAGCTATAGCTAAAAATATGGAGAGTCTTCAAATGTATTTTACGTATAGCCTTGACCTTATTGCTCTGTAAAATGTTTTATTTTTGTAATGCTCAGCACCGCTATTTTTTGAATAATCAATTCCATGCACTCTAGAAAGTCTCTCTAGACAAGCCTCTCTTAAAAATGAGTAAGACATCTGTGATGACCTTTTAACTATATTCCAAAAATAATCATTACTTTTGGTCATTAAAATTGAATACCAAACTAAGATCCCAATAAATATAGTTAATAAACCAATTCCTACAAATACTAAAGCTGCAATCTTTCTATCAGTTTCTCCTACCCTATTAACTTCACAATCTACTAGCCCTGCCATTGCTCTATGAGTAAATTCAAATGTATACCCAAAGCTATTCAAACCAAAAAATTTAACATCAGGATTTGTGTTTGACCACGGCTCATTGTTAACAACTGTATCAATTAAACTGTCCCCATGCTTTATAAATATGCCAACCTCGTCATAAAAATTAAAATTTTCTATATGAGGAGAAGGATCAAACATCCAGACAGGAATCACATTATCTGTTACTATTGAAGAGCTAGAGCAATAGCTTCAATCATTATAGTCAGATAAGATGAATTCTCTTAGATTCTTTAGCTCATTTATAGTTTCTTTAAAATACCCTAAATCTCTCGTGAGGTTATAAACATAGGATCTTTTTTCAGAGTCTATTGATCTCGCTAAGTCGGCTGAGTTTACTAGATGGAACATTATGTTTCCGAAATGAGTAAAAACGTTAAGAGAGTTTGAGTGAGCTGTTACTTGATAAATATACACAAGAACTGCTATATTTATAGATATAACAGCCAATATCTATATAAAGATTACGCATAAAAGAAGAATTTTTTCAAAAACTTTTAGTTTCCTAGATAGAATTTCAATATTCTTATTAACAATTGCTATATAAAGCTTACTTGTTGCTGAATTTGATACACTGCTTCCCTGAATGTTTGATGTTTTTTCCTCAGTATACTCGAAATGATTTAATCTTTTTTTTACATCTTCACCAAAAAGTCTATATGTTTCTTCTTGTTTTCCATGATTAGGAGACATTACAGGAGTAATATCCATGCTTTTTAACCCCACGTCTAGATAGTTACTTGATATATATTGTCTAGCTTTGGCTTCCTCGTTGCATACCAATATATTTTTTTTAAAATATTCAATTTGGCTTATATCTTGTCCGTTTTTTCATAAACTTATTTCTTTTTCATTATGAACAATTAGAAGCATGTGAACGTCTGTTGTTCTAAGCACTTTTATTGCATGAATTATTGCAATCTGCTTTTCATGCTGCTGAATAATTAATGGCTCATAGGGTTTCATTTCTGATATGTTTAAATGAGGAATAAAATCTGTTATGCAAGAATTTCTAATACTGCTTGCAGTTGCTCCAACATAATGAGGGAAAAGCTCTGTGCAATTAAGTATAACTCCTTCCTCGGATATCAATGCAAGCTGCCGATTCACATTTATTGAACTCAAAGTTACTAAAAAATAAGCATTATTATGAAATGCTAACAATTTTATCCGAAATTTGCACTCGACTAAATTCCCTAAAATATTTTGGATAAAAAATAGCCCTTGATGTGATATTTCCTCTTCTATATATTCTATATAAAAATTTTTCATATAATCTTTGTGATCGAGAGCATAAATACTTGGAATATAATCATGCAAATCAGTTCCTATCAAATCCGAAATTGTCCCTTTTAGCAGCTGAGATGCTTTATCATTTATATATGCGATGATACCAAAAGCATTTTCGTTGGCATAATAATAAAATGATTGTGTACGAAAATGATTTACTACGTAAACCTTTCCTCCTCCTCTCATTTATTATTATGGGGTTATGCTTATCTGGCACACCTTTATACACAAATTCCAAATATAGTTTATCATAAGAAGTCACTTTACCCAGAATTTTAGGACATGTAGGAATTTTAGCTTAGCACACCCAATGATGGTGACTCTTAGGAAGAACACGTGAATTACTCAAGTCTAGAGCGAAGTTAAAGCAACCATTGGAGGCTTTCTAGCCCTTTTGGTGGGGTCTCTGGAATGATTGCTGGACAAGATGGCTACTGATGTCATCAATATGGAGTTAAAAGGGAAGTTTTTATATTACTCCCTGGAGAAGAGAGTACCATTCAAAACTCTGAGTAATTAAATTAATGCAATTTAATGCATTTTCGTTAGCTGATATAAGTATGATACCTTCATCTTCATCAGAAAATATATTTGCTTCATAAAGTGTTGAGGCGCTCATTTGGCGACTTACGGCTCCTTTTAATCTATTTATATTACTAGCTTGGTCGCATTCTCCCAAAATATCTTGTAAGAAAGTAGCATAAAGATCATAAAGCTTCATATGTTTGTGCTTAGATATTAGCTGAGCATAAAACTCTTTAAGATTTAATAAATATCCGCAGCTTTTGATAGCAAAATGATGAATTTTATTATATTGTGGAATCTTCGCCGTCAATTCCGACCATAAATCTAACAATATGCAACAAATTTCGAAATCTTGAGCCTTTGCTTTATTTATATCTTCTAAATACTCTACATAAAGAGAATCAATTGATAAATTATATATAAAATGGCAATGACGTCCGACCTGTCCTCTCTTGTGATAGTTAGCCATGCATATTGGGCATAGTTTTTGGATTCAGGAGTTGTCCCAGCAAAATATAATGCCGTGCAGAGAGGAACGTAAGCAGAAATTCGCTGGTTTATGGCTTGATCCAATGGGCAGCTACTCGCGACTTCTTTTGAGAGAGCAGCACACGAGCCAGAGAACACCCGAAATGGAGTAGGGTGAGTTACCTGCTCATACTGCTACAGTGGTCTAATCGCGGAAGCAGCTAAATTTTTCTTCAGGCATGACCTCAGAAAAAAAATGAAACAGGCTAGACAACAAGAGTTTCTTCTGTTGAAGGGCTCCAAAAAGGAGCCTAACCGAGCAAGGCTAGGAAGGGCGGAATAACTATGAATAAATTGAAAATGGTGGCGCTGGGCTTGGGGTTGCCATATGTGGAAGCCACCCAATTAGGCTGTGCCGCCAGTCTACTAGCGTCGCACAGAATGCCAAAAGCGAGAAGGAGGACTCTAAATACCTATCTAATAATCTAATCTAATTTAATTGATGAACTATCTCTTTTGTCAATAATCTTCAAAGTCCTCAATTCTTGAATTTTTCCTTCCAATGTAGAAATTATCGATTTTTTTTTTGTTAATTTTATTCTTGCTAATTTTTGGTTTTTCATAGAAAATGAACAAAAATTGACCTCCCAAATAACAAGCAATTTATCTTTGACTAGTGTTTTGTTTGTGTAACAATCTGAAAAATAATTAATGACTTTTGTTTTGTCTTCCAAGTTTTTATTGCAAAGTAGATGTCTTATCGATCTTTCAAATTTATACTGATTCGTTGTGTTAACAGGAGAAAAATCGCTATCTTTATTATTTTTAGTCTTTATAATATTATGTTTTGCACAAAATGCCTATATTCCTTCATTTGCTATTTTTTTAATAATAAAATAAAATGGAAAACGAAAGACGAACTGCAACAAAAAACAATCGGTATGCCGAAGATTGCCTGAAATTTACAATAATCGCATAGTATATCAGCAAGTAATAAAAATACTTATAGGTTGCATAAAAAAAACCAGCAAAAATATAACCCCTGCGTTGTCCATAGCGTCTCCAAACAAAACTGCAAAGAATGATAAAGACACAGTTAAAGCTCCGCAGGATTTTATAGCGTTTTCAAATTTGTTATAATAAGGCACTTTTCTTAGAAACTCTATGAATATCCAAAATGAAGCTATAGAATTTTCCCATAGATGGCACTGTTTGCCCTTGATTTGCCCACTGAAAATTTTTTTTGGTTTTGACCAAACCATATGGTACTGGTCGAAACCAAAAAATTTTTTCAGTGGGCAAATCAAGGGCAAACTACGCCATTTAAGGGAATTTCTATATCATGAAAAGAAATCGAAATTTAATAGCATTTTCATCTCCAAACGAAACGTAGTTTATGCTTACTAAAGTTTTGAAAACTAAAAACTTTAAATCTACTGAAGAATGCGCTCTTACAGTCAAAATTTTTCCTCAATGACTATGCCGGGTATCTGTAGTGAATAATTCTCAAAAATAAGCTATGAGAACTAAGAAAATAATTAAAAATAGACTAGTAATTGCACCAAAATTTCCATAATCAAATAATTGAGGATTTGTATCTCCAGGCATCTCGTAAGTTTTATCATAGTTAAAAAATGAATATTTAAAAACCATAGAAAATTCTACTAACTCCCCCCCCCCCTCCGTGAGCGAACAAAAAAATTTTGTTCGCTCACGGAGGGGGGTTAATTTTTTTTTTTAAAAAAAAATTTATATATAAATTTTATAAAAAATATTTTTTTCGAAATTTAAAAAAAAATCCTAATTTGCAAAAATTGGGAAGCAAATATTAATTTAATTTGCAAAATTTATGTTTTAAAACGCAATTTGTTTAAAATTAAACAGAATTAGCTCTAGATTTCATTATACTAATTATCACTTATATATCAAAATTTTTTTCCATTAAAATTTTTTCTATTAAAAAAATTTTTGTTCACTCACGGAGGGTGGGTTTTTGGTCAAAAAATGGCGATTTTTCTAATGGTTTTGTTCGCTCACGGAGGGGGGGGGGGAGTAAAGAAGGAACATATAATACAGTCGCCCAAACTAATAGTAGTTTTCTCAATAATCTAAATAATAACTTTGGCATTTTAAACTTTGTGATTTCCAAGCCAAGCATCACAATTAATGCTCCAGCACAAAATAGTAAAATGGAGGCAAAGGAATAGAAGTAAATTTTCATAATTCCAATAATACTAAAAGCCTTCGTTATATTGAAAAAACTTATAAACTGCCAAAAGCTTTTATAACGTTTTCACCCAGAAATATTCATATCTGGGTACCAAGACAAGGCTATCATTTGGAAAGCTAGGAGAATATTTACCATAACTTCAATCAACAGTTGAGTACCCATTCTGTAGCCTTTCTTATATTCTGATTTAAAAACTCTTCCAAATAACTTAAAAATGCTGTTTTGTAATTGATTGTGCAGCGATTCTTCATATTCAAGCTTTTTAGATCCGATATCCTCAAATGTCTCTTCATAGTAGCCAAATAACATATTTATGACTTATTAGATGATTATGGTGACAAATGAAAAAATAAATTGAAAACTTTAAAACTTTCTGATCTCAAATTTACTATCAGAGTTTTTGCGGACATCTTTTGTTAGAGAATAATACTTACTCCCCCCCTCCGTGAGTGAACAAAACCATTAGAAAAATCCCTATTTTTTGCCCAAAAACCCACCCTCCGTGAGTAAACAAAAATTTTTTATTGAAAAAAAAATTATATATAAATGATAATTATTATAATGAAATCTAGAGCTAATTCTGTTTTAATTTAAACGAATTGTTTTTTAAAACATAAAATTTTATAAATTAAATTACTATTTGCTTTCAAAATTTTGCGAATTAGGATTTTTTTAAATTTCGAAAAAAAAAAATTTTTAAAAAAAATTTATATATAAATGTTTTAAAACAAAAAAAATTAATCCCCCTCCGTGAGTGAACAAAATTTTTTTGTTCACTCACGGAGGGGGGGAGTTAGTTTAAGCCAAAAAATATGGGCTAGGGAATAATTTTCTTAACTTCCCCCCCTCCGTGAGTGAACAAAAAAATTGTGTTCACTCACGGAGGGGGGTTTTTAAAAAATATTTATATAAATTTTATAAAAAATATTTTTTTTCGAAATTAAAAAAAATCTAATTCGCAAAAATTGGAAAACAAATGTTAATTTAATTTATAAAATTTATGTTTTGTTTGAAATTAAACAGAATTAGCTCTAGATTTCATTATACTAATTATCATTTATATATCAAAATTTTTTTCCATAAAAATGTTTTCTATTAAAAAAATTTTTGTTCACTCACGGAGGGTGGGTTTTTGGGCAAAAAATAGGGATTTTTTCTAATGGTTTTTGTTCACTCACGGAGGGGGAGGGGGGAGTAAGTCGTTTTTCCGTGAAATTGAAATATATGCATGCTGATAACTCTCTGAATTATTTTTTAGTAGAAAGCAAGTCAATGTAGACAAAAAATATTAAAAATTATAGGAGCTTTTTCATAGTGCAGAGCATTCTTATTCTATAATAAGATAAATACTTGACTAATGTATAAATCAACTTAAAGCAAGTATTATAGCATTTATCGTTTAATTAGAGTAATTATTAATTTTATATTTCACTTAAATAATTAAGTCTTAAACTATTCGTCATTTATACAGCTTGGCCCATCAAGCTATTGACAATACATAAGAAACCGCATCAAAAAATTATCAATTTTATAGGAATTTTGCTTATATGGTGATTCATCCTAAACCTTTTATCATTTCTGCCAGAAAATTATATTAAAGTATCGTAAAAATGAATAAATTTAGTGTAAGAATCATAAAATAGTTTGTTGTTCATTTTTATTAGATCAAAAATCAACAAAGCATTTGAGTTTTTTTGGCTTAATCCTAGCTGAAAATATGATTTATAAGCTGTGTGGCAAGCGATAAGCCCAAATAAAATCATCATTGCATCTCGCCAAAATTCCAAGTATTTGAGGATTCTTATTCAAAAAGTTTTGAACGTTATCATAAAAGCTATGTGTATTTTCTCAAGTATAGCAAGACAAAATATTTTATTGCTAATATAGATACTTAACCTTTTATTTACTGAGCGGACTTTGATCCCTAAAAGCGACAGAAATCATAATGCCTTAGAATTAAACTTTTTGCATTTTTGAATTTTTTAACTTCTTTAAATTATAAAGAAGATATTTATTATATACCCTCAATAAAAATTAATTTTAGCCAAAATGGAAAGATAGCTCAATTATCTTATGAAGAATTTATCTGGATAAATTAAGTCCTGTTATTAATAGTCTTCTCGAAATTTATAGTGCTTGCTTTTAAAGATTAATTAAAATTATAAATCTAATAATCGATCTAAAATTATTTTAAAAATGTAATAGATCACCTAACAATAAAAGCTCAAACTCTAATTTAATTAATTTTTTCTTCTCTATACAGTATAAAATTCTCTATAAAAGTTATGGTAGACAGCTATACTATATGTAAAAATTGCAAATAAAGATTGTTAAAGGGTAAGCTTAATTTTTGTCCATAAGATTCAAAAATAAAGCTCAGCGAGCTATATCAGTCTTAATATATTTAATGAACTTAGATTCCAAAGAAGATTTGCTGGAGAGCAATGACGCTTTAAAATTCCAATACAAGAAATCATCCTTTGAGAAACAAAAAAGTCGCATTTTTAAGCTATTTGGAAAAATTTTAAAAGCAAAATACAATTCAAGCTACAAGTTAAAGTCTCAAATAGCAATAGAAGTCCTCCTCAATGCTATAATTTCTCTTCAATTAATTGCTTTGGCTTGATACCCAAATATGAGCATTTCAGGATGAAGTAGCTATTCAAAGTTTTGGGACACAATCAGCATTTTTAACATAAGCAATTTTTGTGGCACCTATGAGATTACTGATTACTGTTTTCATGGGATTGCCTCCATTTTATGCTTCTGCTTACTTCCCCCATCCTTGATCAAACGATTGACTGTAAAAAATTCCTAAAAAATTGGGAAAATTAACCCCTATCCTTGATCGAACGATTTTCATATCATGGAAATTTCTATATATAAGTATCAAAAGCCTGGGAGATGTGTCTAATGAAGTTGTTGTCAGAGTCTTTAAGACGACAAAAAGCTACGGAATAAACCATCCGAAGTGCTTTGTCATCAATCTAGGCTTAAAAACTCAATAATCTAAAAAATAGAGATTCTTTAAAATTTAAAAATTTTTAATTTAATAAAAACAAATTAAAATTATACAGTTTTAAAGGGGTAACCAATAAGAAAAATATTAAAAATTGGTATTTTTTTATAAAATTAATTCAATTTTTTGCTGTAAAAATAATTATTAAATACTCTTAACCCTCTTATTAAAAAATATATATAAAAAAAAATATATTTTTTATTTTATATATAAATTTTTTTTTCCCAAAAAAATGTTTTTTTAACCCCCATCCTTGATCGAACGATGGCGAGCCTTTCGATCAAAGATGGGGGGGAAGCTAGTAACATTTTTAGGAATGTTCTTTATTGGATATACAAAGTATGAAATTCCAAGGATTTTATTTTGGGTATTAAGAAACTTATTGCTATTTTGTGTTACAGTCTTGTATATACCTTCATTAATTGAGCTTACATTGGGTTTTAAATATTCCACTTTTAGCTATGAGAAAATTGGTGAATATCCAAGCAATAAAAATTCCGAAATTCTAAATAAAGGGTCCATGGGAACTATAATGGGTATCATTTTGATACCATTTTTGGTATTTATAGCTTATTTTTGAGAACTATTCACGACAGATACAAAGCATATCCTCTGAGATAAGGATTTAAATGCAAGGTCACACTCAGCAGTTGATTTAAAATTTCTAGCGTTCAAGACCTTATTCAGTATCTGCTATATATTAATTGGGAATGACAATATTGTTACATATCAGATGATTTTCATGGTTTTTTCTTTCTGAATATTTTTAGAATATTTGATGAAATTGCCATATTATAATATTATTGAAAACTCAATAAAATCTTGTAAGCTGCTATTAGTATCTGTATCATTATTAGCAGTTTTATTAGGAACTATGATAGATAATGCAGGAATTATTTGTATGCTTACTCCCCCCTCCGTGAGTGAACAAAAAAATTTTGTTCGGGTTAATGTTTTTTCGAAATTTAAAAAAAAACTCACTTCTATAAAATTGGAAAGCAAATATTAATTTAATTTGTAAAAATTTATGTTCTAAAACACAATCTGTTTAAAATTAAATAGAATTAGCTCGAGATTTCATTATACTAATTATCACTTATATACCACAATTTTTTCACTCAGGAGGATGGGGTTTTTTGGGGAAAAAATAGGATTTTTCCAATGGTTTTGTTCGCTCACGGAAGGGGGAGCTAGCTTTTTTGTGCAGCCTGTGATGATTATAATTAATTGCTGTATTATATATACTAACTCCCCCCCTCCGTGAGTGAACAAAAAAAATTTTGTTCACTTACGGAGGGGGATTAAATTTTTTTTTTAAAAAAATTTATATATAAATTTTATAAAAAATTTTTTTTTTCAAAATTTAAAAAAATCCTAATTCGCAAAAATTGGAAATCAAATATTAATTTAACTTATAAAATTTATGTTTTAAAAAGCAATTCGTTTAAAATTTATGTTTTAAAAAGCAATTCGTTTAAAATTAAACAGAATTAGCTCTAGATTTCATTATAATAATTATCATTTATATATCAAATTTTTTTTCCATAAAAAATTTTTCTATTAAAAAATTTTTGTTCACTCACGGAGGGTGGGTTTTTGGGCAAAAAATAGCGATTTTTCTAATGGTTTTGTTCACTCACGGAGGGGGGAGTAAATATAATTACTTGAAAAAATCTCCTGTAAGCTTTCAGAATCAACTCTATTTTGAAAGAACAATTAGACACCTGCTATGTAGTAAAAATTTGGAAAATAAATTTGAAATAATTGATTATTTTACTGCATGCTACACTAATAAAAGGCTAATTAAAGATAAACTAATTGTGGTTTGGGAAGTCAACTATTGTGTATTTTCAATGAAAAACGAAAGGCTAGGAAGAATAAAGTTAGCAAAAGCAAGCTCGATAATTCCTACAGTTGAAGGGGATATACAAGAATGAATCGCTAATAAAATTATTGATAAAAGGGACAAATCTTCAATAGACTCTCATTATATAGAATACTTAGAAAACCTTCATAGAGTAAAACACCAAGATGAAGAAATTTGCTATGAATTAATTGATCTGTGATCAGAACTCTGAGAAAAAAATCCAAAATATGATAAATTATTTAAATTTGCAACCAGAAGTGCCGAACTTTTGACTATCCTTAAAGAATTATATGCAAAGCTTATTAAAAAGCATAAGCATTTAGAGCTTTTTGATCTTTATGTTTCGTTCCTAGAAAGCATATTAGGGGAAATTGGTCAGGCGAATGTTATAAATAGATTTAAAAGCAGCCTAAACCATCAATGAGATTTCACAACCGGAGATGAATCTAAAGTAGCCTCATTAGAAGAAAGCTTACTCCCCCGAGTGAACAAAAATTTTGTTGACTCACGGTTAATTTTTTTTCGAAATTTTAAAACAATACTAATTTTCAAAAATTGGAAAGCAAATATTAATTTTATTTATAAAATTTATGTTTTAAAGCGCAATTTTGTTAAAATTAAAACAAAATTAACTCGAGATTTCATTATAATAGTTATCACTTATATATCAATTCATTTTTTCATAAAAAATTTTTTTTCTATTAAAACAATTTTTGTTTATCACGTAAGGTGGTTTTTTGGGCAAAAAATAGCGATTTTTCAAATGTTTTTGTTCACTCACGGGGGGGAGCTAGGCATTATTCTTATATCAGCTAACGAAAGCTCATTTGGATTAATTGCACAAATCAACGCAAGAGCTTGCCAAATGCTAAAAGGAACTGCTTCGGACCTAATTGGCACTCATTTGTCTTACTATATTCCTTATCCTTATCTTACCGACCATGATGATTATATGAGACAGTTTTATACCAATTATTCTTTGGAAGAAATAACTCATATGGGCTGATTTTTCTTAAAAAATGCTCGAGGATTTCTAATTGAATGTGGAATCTTAATAAAATTATCTGCTTTTCATAGCAATGCTTATTTTTTAGTGTCTTTAGCACCAAGAAATTCAAGCCGGCAACTAGCACTTATATCAGAAAATGGCATAATTCAGAACTATACAGAGCTCTTCCCTCATTATATAGGGACAGATATTTATAATATTAGGGGCTATTGCATATCAGAGTTTATCCCTGGCTTAGAAATATCAGAAATGGAGCTTTTCGAGCCATTTATCATTGAAAATAGTGGAAGGGAAATTGCTATTATTCATATAATAAAGCAATTAAGAACAACAACTATTCATATGCTTGTCGTTTCTCATACTGAAAAAGAAATCCAATCGTGAAAGAATAGGCAGGAAATTGATCAAATTGAATATTTAAAGAAAATTCAACTGTTTAACTATGAAGAGGAAGAAAAATTAAGCAGCGGCATAGCAATAAATCACTCACTCCCCCATTAAGTTGGAACTAAAAATTTTGCTCCAATTTAAAGGGGGGTAAGAAAAATTATTTTATAAACAAAATCAATATAAAATTTTTTATAAAAAAAATAAATTTCAAAAATTTATCAAATTAGATTAATGAATTTGTTTAATAAAATGCTATTAACTCTTTTTCCTTTAAAACAAAGCAAGATATAACTAAATTTTCATTATTAGTTAATACGCTACTATTAATTGACATCAAAACTATTTACACAAAAAATTATTATTTTTATTGATAAAAAACAAATTAAAAAAAAAAAATTTTAGAAAATTTATTGATCAAAGTGCTAATTTTGTTTAAATAAGATGCCATTTATACTCTATTCTTTAAAATAAAATAAGAAATAAGTAAATTTTTAATTTTTGTAAAGAATTCGCATGTAATTTATATCAAAATTATAAAAAATATTATTTTTATCTAAAAAATAGAAATGTTTTAAAAAGTTCAAAACAAAAATTTTTAAATTTTTTTTTAAAATTTTGCAATTAAAGATAATAAATTTATTTAAATAAGATGCTCTTTATACTCTCTTCTTTAAGCAAGAGCAAGATATAACTAAATTTTTAATTTTATTTAAGAAGAAACATTTAACTTATATGAAAACCTTTTGCGTAAAAATTGTGATTTTTATCCATAAAATTTTTTATTATAAAATTGATTTTGTTCCAATTAAAAGGGGGTTAATTACCAAAAAAATGGAAATTTTATCTATATTTTGTTCCAATTTAAAGGGGGGGGAGTCAGAAATAGATATAAGTGTAAAATTTCAGAAAACACCGTCTTTTACTTCAATAGTCCATGCTGAAAGCAATATATTCCTAAACGAATCTCCAAGTGAAAACTTTACATTAATAGAAAACAATGAAGGAAAGCTAGCGCAAAACATGCTAAGCGGCAGCTTATCAAACGTATCAACGTCAAATTTTTATTCATCAGTTTCATATAAATGCATTGAAACTTTATCCAGAAACCTGAAACACTACCAATGAATTTTAGTATTTTGTGTAATCCTTATATAGATAATGGCAGTAATTGGCACAAATATAGCAATTTTAGGCTATATATACCAAGATGCTAATCATACAAACAGCCTTAATGTTTTTTCTCATTTTGGCAATTTAATGTTTTATTTGGTAGATTCTGCTGATCTAGCTAGAAGCTTAGACAGCGAGATACGAAATGGGATATATAACCTAACAAGAGACCGAGCTCGATTTAATTCTACTATCAATGAGCTTAAAAAGCTAACTCCCCCCCCCCCCCTCCGTGAGCGAACAAAAAAATTTTGTTCGCTCACGGAGGGGGGTTAATTTTTTTTTTTTAAAAAAAATTTATATATAAATTTTATAAAAAATATTTTTTTCGAAATTTAAAAAAATCCTAATTTGCAAAAATTGGGAAGCAAATATTAATTTAATTTGCAAAATTTATGTTTTAAAACGCAATTTGTTTAAAATTAAACAGAATTAGCTCTAGATTTCATTATACTAATTATCACTTATATATCAAAATTTTTTTCCATTAAAATTTTTTCTATTAAAAAAATTTTTGTTCACTCACGGAGGGTGGGTTTTTGGTCAAAAAATGGCGATTTTTCTAATGGTTTTGTTCGCTCACGGAGGGGGGGGGGGGAGTAAGGGAGTTTATTTTATCTGACTATGAGGATTGAAGATATTGCTCAAGCTCAGACTTGATAATAGACAATTTGATCCCTGTATGAACTTCTAGTCAAATAAAAAAATACAATTTTTACGATGAAGTTGATATATTTATTCAACATGGTGAAAGCTTATTAGATATGATCGATAGTGGAAGTGCATACTCTACTGATGAAGCGAAATTTTTTGGACTAAATAGCTTTGGGTATACATATGAATTTACTCATCAAGCAATGCTTAATTTGAGAGATTGCGAAGTTGATAGAGTAAAAGGGCTTGGAAGGTATATAACTGCATGGATATTTATAGGCACTGCTCTATTAGGAATATTCATAGGAGTATTAATAGTGTATGTGATTTATATGAATCATAACTATGATAAATTTTGGGAATTTTTTAAAAAAAATCTACAAGTTTCTTATATAGATCTAAGAATTGTTTGCGTTGAAAGGCTTTGAAAAATACATGGAATTGACTACAAGAGAGATTACTTTGAAGAGGGATCTGAAAGCAAAGATGCAAAAGCAATCAAATCAAAAATGTATGTTCGATATATTTTAAGGCTTTCTATATTTTTAATTATTGCTTTAACCTATTATCTATACATTAAATGGTGTGGTGAACCAAACAACACTCTTAACGTGAGCTGGCACTTCTCAGGCGCGTAGGAAAGGAAGGATAGTATTCGTGAATGCATCTCGGCCAGATTTTTTCCTCTTTTGGAAAAGAAATATCGGGTTAGCCGACAGCAAGCTTTTCCAGATCCAGGATTTTGGCTTAGAGGGATTGGGGTATGAAAGTTGGAAAGTGGTCTCCCACAGAGCTAGCCGTATGCATTTGAACAATTGGGACTATTACCTAACACCAACCAGAAGTTACGCCCTTGACTTTGGATTTCCATTTTGGTTGAGAGTCAACTAGAAATTCAACGATTTGAATTTTACATAGTGGGCAACCTTGGCTGATGTACTGTGTGGCGACGCGACGTACCCAACTATCGGAGAGCGAGTGCACGCCCTAGTCTGACAGGAAAAACTTTTGTGAGGTCATGCAAGAACTGTAAATTAGGTAAGGGAGCGTTACGGATGAAGATAGTCATTAGAATTACTGCTGGCTTCTCAATAAGTATTAATAATATGATATAACTTAACCTATTATATTATCTTGAAATATTATTTGTACGACCAATGCGAAAGTTTTCTCATAAATAGACCAAATCTGCTAATAGATCTCATATCAAAAAGAACATTATTATCTCGTATGAGTGTGTTTGCAAGAGATATTTCATCTACAAGCAATATAAAATGGTTTCCAAATACATATGGAGTTGCCAATTCGAATTTAGAATTTACTGTAAGTAATGAAAAATTTAAAGCTGCCAATTCACAACTTAGAAACACAAATTTTTTAAGGTTAATTCAAAATGATATGAAAGCTCAAATATTTGAAGGCTTAGATACCACCGACCCATATTTAAGGCAAGGAACGTATGCAGCTTCTAATATTGCATATATAGATGCAAAATTTGCTTCGAATCCTATAGATATAAAAGACATCGTATCTTCACACAACGACTATTTCATAACGACTTGTTTTTTTGGCCTATTTTTTTCACCTATTTTTTTTTCACCTATTTTTTTTTGCCTATTTTTCTTGGCCTATTTTTCTTGGCCTTTTTTTTTTTGTCCTATTTTTTTTTAGCCTATGTTTTTTTGCCTATTTTTTTTAAGCCTATTTTTTTTGGCCTAATTTTTTAGCCTTTTTTTTGGCAATTTTTTAGCTATTTTTTATAATATTTGGGCCTAATACCATACTAATTATTTTAATATAATTTTTAATGTATTTTAAACGATTTTACCAACAAAAAAATTCACCCTTAATAGACCTCTTACTCGATGAATACTAATTCATTGCTTTTTAAATTTCGAGAATTTAGATTTAATTAGGAGATATCCACTTAATTTACTCAATATTAATCGCGTAAAGAAATGTTTCCGTTTTTCAATAAAGTTTTAGTTCTCTCAGCAGCTTCATGAATAAGCAGGGGCAAAAAAAACCAAAAAAAAATAGGTGAAAAAAAATAGGCTAAAAAAAAATAGGCCAAAAAAAAATAGGCCAAAAAAATAGGTGAGAAAAAATAGGCCAAAAAAAAAATAGGTCAAAAAAATAGGTCAAAAAAAAAGAGTCGTTATGAAATAGGCGTCGTGTGAAGTAACCAAAAGACATTATTATATTGGAAAACTACATATCAATTGAAGTAGCTCTTCAAAGCTCTTTGGGAGTTGAATACGATGCTATTGATCATGGCTCAAAACAAATCATAAACCATGAATTAAATTTAATTATATATGTGACCGTAGCTTTCTCATTAGCTTTAGTATTGGTTTTTACATTTTTTTACCTTCCTTTTATTTTTAATGAAAAAAAATCGCTGATAAAGCTTAAAGTTCTGATGTCAATTGTACCAAATTCCAAGCTGGACTCAAAGGCTGAACTTATAAAATAAATTTCCAAGGTTTATTATAATTTCTACAATAATACAAATTTAAAGCTTAGCAACATTTCTTCATATAATTTTTAAAGTAATTAAAGAAAGAATAAAAATGTACATTATTTATGGTGTATATAGCAAAATTAATTAGAAAGTTGTGCTACATCCCTTGGTCTTTTTTTAAGTAAACAATTGTCATTAAAGTTCTCAATTTTTTGATAACTTCTAATTCATCTCTTAGAAAAGGAAGATAATATACAAAAAACAAAAGAAAAAGCACGACAGAATAAATTTCAGTTACGTAAATCAAGGTATCTAGCTCATCATATATGGCATCTTTTGAATCTTGATTAGCTTGATCATATTCATTCCCAATCATATCCTGCAAAATCGTGCTGCCCGACCCTTCTTTAGCTCGGCTATCCCGAGGTCTCCCGATGCTGGGATGGGAGTTGGTCCTACCAACATTTGTTGGTAAAACCGCCTTCCCTGATGGAAAATCTAAAATATCGAGTGAATTGTGGTGGGGAGTTGGTTTTACCAACAAATGTTCGTAACATCAACTCCCCTTCCGATTTCGGGACACTCAGGATAGCCGAGTAAAAGAGGCTCGGACTATATAATTGCCGATGAAATCTGATCTTTCTCAATCAGCGACTTTTATTTGGCTGCCAATATAATATGACTCTAGAATAATGAAATTTAGCCCAGATAAAGTTCCATACTTTAGAAAATTTTGTTTATTATTTGTTTTTTCAAATATTATTGCTTTTAAGCTTGCTGACATCAAATTTTTATAATCATTATTTCGCAGCTCAAAATCTTTTGTTTTTAAATCTTTTATAGTTTCGTTTAAGCTTAAAGCAGGATTTTTAAAATCGTATGAATTCGGATAATATTTTAATGTTCTTGGGTTATTTACATCTCTTGCTCAATATCCCATTCTTGATATTCAAGCTTTAGTGTATACGAAATAGCTAACCCCCCCTCCGTGAGTGAATAAAAAAAATTTTGTTGACTCACGGGGGTTAATTTTTTTTTTTAAAAAATATTTATATATAAATTTTATAGAAAAATCCTAATTCGCGAAAACTGAAAAGCAAATATTAATTTAATTTATAAAATTTGTGTTTTAAAAAGCAATTTGTTTGAGATTTCATTATAAAAATTATCACTTATATATCAAAATTTTTTTCCATAAACAATTTTTGTATTAAAAAAATTTTTGTTCGCTCACGGAGTGTGGGTTTTTGGGCAAAAAATAGGGATTTTTCTAATGGTTTTGTTCACTCACGGAGGGGGGGAGTAAGAAGAGCCGGACGATGTTTCATATCAGTTTCGCATTTATCATACAAATAAAAATAAATTAAAAAATAAAATGACAAAGAGATCATAACAAAAGCAAGCAGCCTTTTTGTGTATTTATATAAAATCCTTGATCTAATAACTCGGATTGTATTTTTATTAAGCTTTGGCTGTATATCTGTAGGAGGTATATCTAAAACTCCAAAAGTAGTTGCCAGTCTTTCTATTGCTGAGTCTTTTAAAATCCCATAAGAGTTTACAGTAATTCTTCTTATATGGTATCAAAACTCATCATATTGCTTTTGAATAGAAAATGCGAAATATAAAATAACTCCAGCACAACATACAATAATAAATATACCAAGTATTAATAAAGCATGTATGCTGAAGCTCGCCGAAATAATCTTATCAACTTCACAGTTTTCTAGATCTTTTAAAGAATTGCTTATATACTCATATGTAAATGTCAAACTGTTTATAACTAGAAAACTTAAATCAGGATGATAATCTGAGTTTGTATTAATTGCATCTATAAAGCTATATCCCTAAATAAAAAATACATGCGCAATAAATTCTCCAATTGTGTCATAAAGATTAAGATTTTTCATATAAGGAGTCTTAGTATTAAAAAATCACATAGGAATAAGATTTTCTTTAACAATTTTTGAACTGGAGCAGTAACTTCAATAATCGTAATCCGATAAAATTGTGCTTTTTAAATCTGCTAAATAACCAATTTCGTTAGTAAATAAAGGCAAGTCGCGAGAAATGTTATATCTTTTATCCGCAACTTCGGCATCCAAAGTGCGCACAAGCTCAGAGTAAGAGCTTATTTGAAATAAAATTTCACCTAAATGTCCAATAGTTCCTAAAGAAACTTCGTGCGAAACTGTTCCTTCAACCACGAGAAGTATTGAAACATTTGTAATAATCATAGCAATAATGGAAAAAAATACCACATATTTGAATACCTTTAAGGAATTTTCTGTGCCTTTTGAAAAATTTTTGGAAATTTCTTTACCTTTAGAGCTTGAAGAAACACTTAATAACTGATTTCGAGATCCTGACAAGACTATATCACCTCCATCATCAGCGTCTTCCTTATCATTTGAGCTATGAATTTTTATTGAATTTTTTCTGTGATATTTATTGTCTTCCTCCGCTTTAAAATCACGTATTACTTTTTCTCTCATTGCTAGCATGTCTTTTGGGATATTAGTTCCTTCATTATATGAAATGCTTGACATTCGCTGATATGAGAAGCCTTTTCTGACCAGCTCAATTTCATCGCTGTCATGAAAAATCGCTATAAGATGAAGCTTAGAAGACTTAAAAGTGATATCAATAATGTAAAATATCAGCATTCTACCATTAAATAAGCTGAAATGAGGCTCGTTATGTGATCATTTTGAAACTTGAGGTAAATAATCTAAGATGCATGCTCCTTTGTGAATTGTTTTTTTATTGGAATTAAATAGCCCAGGCACCAATATAGAGTAGCTTAAAATATTCATTTCATCTGATAGTAAAATCACTTGTCTTGATGAATTCGATGGCAAAAGTAAAACCAGCACATAAGCATCATCATTTGCCGTAGTCAGCGTAGCACTGATTTTACATTCCAATAAAAATCCTTGATAATCTTGAATGAAAAATTTCTCGGGAAGTGGAATCGCTGTAGTTGAGCAAGAGTCATAAAATTGTTTCATATATTCAGTATGATGCAAGTTGTAAGGCCAAGGAATAAAGTCCATAAAATTATATTCAGTTCTGCTATAGCTTGGGATCCCTAAAAATTGTTTCGTTTTGTCATTCATAGAAGTTATGCAACCAAATGAATTTCTATTTAGAGAAATCAAAAAAACGCAAGTGTAAGGCCCGAAAATATCGATTTTATAATAATCATTTACTGTATCCATAATATGGAGAGCATTTTTTTTTCGATTTATTATCATAGCTTCCTCATAATCGCCAAGCAGATTATCTAAGAAACTGCTGTAAAAATCAAATACTTCAAAATTACGGTATTTCCCTATAAGTGAGCTATAAAGGGAAGTTATTTTTTCTGTGTTATCAGATATTTTTTTTACTAAATCCATCAACTTATTGAAATCAGGATGTCTTGAAGCGATTTCATCCCATAAAACCAAAAACATATAGCATAGCTCTTTATCAAAAGACTTAACATTTCCAAAATCAATTATAGAAACTTCCTTGGAGTGGCGCTGCAAGCGCAGGCCACTCCATGCGGAATTCATGGGTTGGTCGAACCAACACACAGTTTTGGTTCGACCAACTCCTATGTTGGCTAAACCAACACAGGAATTCCACATGGAGTGGCCTGCGCTTGCAGCGCCACTCCAAGAAAAGAAGTATAAATACTGAATATATCTCATGTCAGATAAATTTTCTTTCTTAATAATTTTGTCGATTCTCCATTTCTGGATGCCTCCTTCTATCGTTGGGTAGAATTCTTTAATTTTTAGCAGCTTTACTCTTCCCAGCCTTACATCTTTAAGAGTGCGTAAACAAAAATTTGTCTCTCATATTCCAAATAAATCTGTTTTCTTGATAGTAAAGTCCTTTTGAAAATCTGAAAACATCTCAAAAATTGCATCTCTATTGCTTTCTTCATAATTTATTAATAATTTTCTTATTTTCAGTTCAAAGTGTCATTGATATTTCATGCGAAAATCGATATGGGCAGAATTTCAGTCAACCCTCCTCACAACCAAAAGCATAATAATTGGTTGCAAAAAAAGAAAAAAAATCACAGTTATAGAAGCATCATCTGCGAACTTGGCAAAAATAAATGATAAAGAAGTCACCCCTAAAGTGCAAAGCTTGCATGATTGAATTGAGTTTTCTAAAGGATCATAATAGGGTAAAGTTGAGATAAATAAATAAGTTACTAAAATTGAAATTAAAACTTGGAAAATTTGTAAATAAATCGCTGTGTCTGTGCTGAAAGAGTAATAAATAGCACACATGAGTGCGTAAACAAAAATTAAAAAAACATCTAGATCAGATTTAGACCTAGCTTTAAAATTTTTATGTGAATTTGAATGATTAACATCGGCAGTGAATAATTCGTAGCCATAAACAAAAACCAATAGAAGTATAAAATATGAGATACTTAAAAATACTCCAAAACCTCCTAAATCAGCTGTTTTTTCGGCTCCATATCAAATGACCGTGGATTTTTGACAGTATATATTTCATCGAAATCCATTTTGGTCGAAAATTTTTGATAGTGCGGACATTTGGCAGAAAATTAATGGTTTTTTTTTCGGTCAAATGTCTCACTATCAAAAATTTTCGATCAATTTTCGGCCAAAAATTTTTCGGTGAAATGGACACTATCAAAAGGCAAAGCCATTTAGCCTGCACCTGTTTTTTCTTCATGTGAGTCACTTCCATATTTTGTTTTTTTAGGTTGAATATTTACTGAATATTTAAAGGTTTCGATCAAAATCATCATTAGAGGTATAAAAATCAAGCTTGTTAGTGGATATATGATTTTTCTAGAAAAAATGACTATGTACTTTGGAGTATTTTTCCAGTAGAGCTTTAAAACTCCTAGCAGAAATATACTCAAAAATACATAAGATAGAAGAGAAAAAGCTCCGTAAAAGCAAATATTGAAAATCCCTATTCAGTCACAAAAACTTTCGATGTTGAAATACCCTAGAAATTCTCAAAAATATTTATAATTATCTCAATTGGATATTTTCATATCAGAATATCAGCATAAAGAATTCATTTGGAGAGAAATAATTATATTGATAATTAATTCAATAATAATTTGCCCCTTTCTGCTGAAATTTTGTCTATGCTTTGCGCTGAAAATCGTTCCAAAATAATTGTAAAGTTGAAATATTTTGTTTTCAAAAGATGATTCATTTTGAGAAAATTCATGCGCTGAATTCTCGCTTATGAGAAATTCGTTTTTCTCAAACATATTTATATATATGGAATAAGTTTTAAGCCCATGGGTTTTTTATATAAATATTTTTTTTAGAACTATACTTGTGAAAAATTAACAGTAATCAATATAATAAATATGAATTCTTGATGCTTTTCAAGCCTAGTAAGTTTACATTTTCCATCATTAATGATTAATAAATTAATATTAATAGGGATTCAGCTAAATAATTGAAGAAACAGAGTTAAAGATAAATAATTATAGACTTAGAGAGAAAGCTTATTTAATCTGATGTATATACTCAAAAAAAAATAAAAAATCCAAATATTTTATTAAATTTTTATAAATAAAAACACAGCTAGAGTAAAATTATTGGGTCTAAGTTTTCCTCTACATAGCTTTAATATAATAGTATTTCAATTTTGGCATAATTGCTTATATTTTCATAAATTTAAAAAATATTTTTTTCAATCAGTCTTAAATAAATATATCGAAAATCCTTTAACTGAACAATGATAAATAATTTGAGGTCTATTGTGCAAATAAAGGCAAAATACTATAATTTAACCATGAATTTTAACTTTTCAATCGAATCGGTTTGCTAATATAAAAAATATAAGAAAAATGTATGCAAGCTCGAACTTTAATTTGTTCGAAAACAGGGATATGCTTGAAGTAAATGTAAGTCAAGGCTTTTTTAAGCCTTGAGAATTATTTTTATTTGAAATTTTTGAAAAGATTTTCCATCTAAAATACAATGAAAAAGTAAAATTCCGTCAGCAAATTATCACAGAAATTTTTACCAATACTTTGATGAGTCTACAGATGATTTCTCTTGCTTGATACGCTACTATGGATATATCAGAGTGAGACTATTATTATGGGTTTTGAAAATTGGTTGGATACTTAAACTTTGTTAGTTTTTGTGACTCATTGCAGATTATTGAGTTATGCCTATACTTACAAATTTTTCTAATAGGGTTTTGCATGGCTAACTTTTTACTTATTTTAATCTATAGGATTTTTAAGAAAATTTATCATCCTACAGCTTATTTTATTTTGAGAAAAGTAGCTGAATTTTTATCTACTATATTTTATATCCCTTGCACTTTAACATTAAGTTTACTATTCAAATATTCAATATTAGACTATCCTTTAATTGAAGAGTTTTCTGGTAAGCACGATGCAGTGAAAATCAATTTGGGACCTGCTGGAGCATTTTTGAGTCTTATTTTGATGGGATTTTTATATCTAATGGCTTTAATTTACACTTTATTTTCAGCTGATATTAGACATTTTTACGTAACCAAAAATTTTGTTTCCAAGTCAAATTCGACAGCAGATTTGTATCTTGTGTCGTTTATCACAGCTGAATGCTGACTTTTTGTTTTATTTGGCTATAATTCTACTCTATATTATCAAACAGCTCTAGCTTGCTTCTCGATAGGTATTTTTTTATCAATATTTTATTCCTTACCTTATTATAACCCTCTTGAAAATGGCATAAAAGCCTTTAACATTTTAAGCCTTGCAATTGCGTCAATAATTTTTTTATTTGGAAGAATGATTGACAATTCCTTAATTATTATCCTACTCAATATATTTTTGCAACCTTTATTATGCTACTTTACAATTAGAGGAGCAAAAATTAATTTTTTTCATCTAAAATTAAAAGGAGGGATTCCGAAAAATCAATATGATTTTGAAAGGATTTCTAGACATATTTTATGCCAACGAAAGCAAGATAATCCTTCGCAAGTTATTGATTATTTTACAAAGTGTTCCAAAGATAAGAATTTTAAAAAAGATAGATTGTTTGTGGTATGAGAGGTAAACTTTTGCCTTTATATAATGGAAGATGAAAGATTAGCAAGAATTAAATTAATACAGATTTTATCAGAATTACCAAGTGCAGAAGGGATGGTTCAGTCCTGAAGAGCTGTAAAGCATGTTGATGAAATAAGCTCAGATTTATTTACTGATGTAATTTATTTATCTTATTTAACCGATTTATATAGAGTAAAACGGCAAGATGAAGAATTATGCTATTCTTTACTAGATTTGTGATCAGAGATTTCGTCTAAAAGCCCAAGATTTTTTAAGCTTCACCATTTAGTGATAATGATTTCTGACTATATTTCAGATATAAAGAAGGTTTATGATGTTTTAGTAACAAAGCACAAACATGCTCAAATATTTGATCAATATATTTCATTTCTCGAAAATATTCTGCTCAGGATTAATTAGTATTAATTTATTATTTAAATAGCTATTTTCCTGTAAAATTATATATATTAATTTTTATATGATCGAATAATTCAATTTAACTTTTATATTTTAGGCGACTCCGATTATGCTAATATTATAAACTCTCGTAAGATCGGCCTACAGAACGCTGCTAATTCTAGGGGTGGAGATGAAAACTTGTTAAATCCCTATAGTGACAAAAATGGAATTTTTTTAATCTCAGTTAACCAAGAGTCGTTTGGATTAATATCATATATCAACGAAAAAGCTGCACAAATTTTAAGGGTTTCAACAACTGATGTTATCGGCGCTCCATTTTATCAATTTGTTCCTTATCCTTATTCAATAGGCCATGACTGGTTCCTCAAAGAATATTTTCAAAATTGTTCGAGGCCTGAAATAATTAAGCGTAATTGAATGTTTTTACAAAATCAGATGGGATACTTACTCCTCCCTCAGTGAGTGAACAAAAAAACTTGTTCGCTCACGGAGGGGGGTTAATTTTTTTTTAAAAAATTTATATATAAAAATTTTATAGAATTTTTTTTTTCAAAATTTAAAAAAATCCTAATTTGAAAAAATTGGAAAGCAAATATTAATTTAATCTGTAAAAAATGTTTAAAATGCAATTTGTTTTAAATTAAATAGATTTCATTATACTAATTATCACTTATATATAAAAATTTTCTATTTAAAAAAATTTTGTTCACTTGCGTAGTGTGGGTTTTTGGGCAAAAGAACAAGGATTTTTCTAATGGTTTTGTTCGTTCACGGAAGGGAGGAGTTAGTGGAATGCAAATTTATTATAAGAATCACAGCATTAAGTAATTGCGCATATATATTAGTGTCAATAAAATCAAGAGACACAACTAGGCAAATTGCAATGCTATCAAGTGATGGAATTATTTATAATTACAGTGTATTATTTCCTCATTATATAGGAGCAGGAAACCAAAATATCAGATGAATGCACCTAACTAGTTTTATGCCGAGAATGTATATATCAGAAATGCGAGTATGTGAGCCATATATTATTAATTTAGGAGGCCAAGAATTAGCATTTGCGCATAGAACGATTCAGTTGAGAACAGCATTAATCCATGTATTAGTTGTGATAAATGACGATAAAGAAATTCAGTTGTGAAAAGAAAGAAGAGATACAGATCAAATTGAGTATTTTGGAACAGGCGATATTACTGACGAAGAAATTCGGATTCATGAGAGTATGAATTTTTCAATAACTCCCCCTTGATTTGTTAGCAAAATTTTTAGCTTATAATTTAATATTTTTTAAAATAAACTAACCCCTGCTAATTAGCAGCAAAAATTTTTGCTTGCCATATCAGGGAGGAGTAAGTAGAATCAGCAAGCTTGGAAAAGTCAAATTTCAAGATCTTCAAGACCAAGAAAACCGGATGGAATCACCGAATCACAGCGAAGCAGATTCTGGTGCACAATTTTTGGATGACACTTTGAATGCGATGAGTGATTTAGTAGATGAAGGTAAGGCAGAATCACTTTTTGAAAAGCAAGCCCAAAATACTTCTTCAGGTATATTTTAAATAGTTATCATCCAAAAATTAGTTGATGATACCACAAAATATTTCAAAACATTTGAAATTATTTTATTTTTTTCTATTATAGCAACAATTGGCATGAGTATAGGAGTATTAATATACACATATAGAGACGTTCAACATACAAGCGAAATAACTATTTTCACTCATCTGGGCGAGCTATGATATAGATTCAGCCATATGGGCGATACAACAAGAACACTATGATTTGAAACTAATTATGGAGTATTAAATGTTACTCGAGAGTTCTTATCATTCAACGATACAATAAATACTCTGATATTCATTAAAAACGAACTGCTAAATGATCTGTCTGAATGAACTTATTGTTCTGCATCAAGCATTGTGACTGATTCTAAAATAGGAATTTGGAATTTCGATGGACCTCCTCACATAGACAATTATAATCTCTATGATACTGTCCAATTATTAATTTCAGCTGTAATAATTATTTAGGGACAAACTCTGATGGCTAAAATTGAAAGAAAAGTATCAATTATTGATGAGGCTCAGTTTATTATAATTAATTGTTTAGGAACAGCTTATAATGCTGTTACAAATACGATAAAAGATTTAGGCAACTGCGAAGAAAGTAGAGTAAAAGAAAATGGAACAAAAATCACTCTACTTTTATTTTTTGGGATTTTAGCTGTGGGATGCTTTCATGCAATTTTGATCTATTATATTTATTTGATAAACAGAAAATATAATGCATTTTGGAGTTTTGTACAGCAAATATCATCATTGTCATATATAGATTTACGAATGGCATGTGTAGACAGGCTCTCCAATGTTCATGGGATTGAGTATGATCTTATAGAGAATTCTGTGCGCATTCGATCACAAAAAGATAAGGCTGCAAAAATTCATACCAAAATCTATATAAAATTGATCCTTCACTTATCAATTTTTTTTCTTATTGTTTTGTTTTACTTTTTATTCCAAAAATTTTATTTATATGATAAGTGTGAAAATCTAATGAAAAATCGCCCATATTTGATCGAAAATTTTTCTTACAGAAGAGCAACACTGTCAATGCTCTCACTTTTTTCTAGAGATACAAACACTCAAGAATACAAAAAATGATTTCCTCTTTCCTATGATTTCACAAACTCGTGGAGCGAGTATAAGCAAGCATCTGAAATTCTCAAAAAAAAAGGCTTAGAAGCAAGGATTAGCAAATTTAAAATATTAATGTCTGATAAACTCAAAAAAAGAGTTTTTGAAGGCATAGACACTTATAATATGAAATTGCGTCTAGGAGATTTAGCTGCAACAAATTTAGTCTATTTTGATGCAGTTTATATAGCTGCTGCTGCTCAGCAAATGAATACAGTTAATGATATCTGAAACTTTGTAGATAGTATTTATCAGCTACAAGTTGAGATGGGGATTGATTATCAAATGGCCAGCGAAGACTCCAAAGATGCTATTAATTTGCAATTGTCCTATATTGTATATACTACGATTATGTTTTCAATTGTCCTAATTTCGCTGTATGTTTTTTATTATTTTCCTTTGCTGAGGCACGAAAAAATTGTATTAAAAAAGCTTCAAATTATGACGCAGATAATTCCATGCACAAATAATCATTTAAAAGATCTTACCATATAAATTTTAACAAGTTGCTTAAATTTAAGTATTTTTATCAAAACTTATCAAAAAATTCGCCTGCTATAATTTTTAGAAGTGCAATTTAAGCTATTAACTAAATTATTGACATTTTTGTTAAAATAAAATAATTCACAGGCTTCAGCACAAGAAATATGATAATAAATTCAATAAAATAAAAAATTTAATTCTCTCAGATATATTTTACTTTGTGAAGATTAAAATAATTAGCATTTAATGCTTAAGTGAATTTTAAATTTTATTTGACTCAAACTTTATCACTTTCTTAATTTGATTTTGATTTTTATGCTATAATTAAAAATTTTCAATTATAATTTCTTTGAAAATTACAAATTTTTGCTGGAATTGCTTGAAAATATTTATAAATGACACAAATCCGCTTTAATTGCCAATTTCTCCTTCTATTTATATTTTGAACTTAAGACAAAAGAGCTAAATCACCCTTCCATATTTATATAAAAATAGATTAATAATATTTTCTAGAACATTGAATCAGCTAAGAAATACCTATCTATTTCAATTTTATGCTTATATTGTAGCTCAGCTTTTGAATTAATAGCTCCTATGGTTCAAGCTTGTCAGATATCAAATTTACCAAATTCAGGGAGGAATTTTGGATAAATTGTGATAAGCATTGCATTAATTTTATTTTATAAATGACTGATTTATTGTTAAATAATCAAAGTTTATTAAAAATGGAATTCTAGAATTTCGAATACTTATTGATTCATTTATGAGATTAAGAAGTTCTAATATAATTAAAATGCCTGAAGATATAGCTCATAAACCTATATAGATTCTTTACCGAATAAAATGTACTGGATTCTCGAGCAAGCAAAACAGACTCTCTCAAAGAAATGAGCACAATCTCTATTAAAAAATGACATAAAATTTAAGATACCAAATTAGATTGGGATTGATTAATAACTAAAAATCCTATCGCCATCTTGATTTTTAAAAGCCATAATAAAAATTAAAACTCTGATTTTTTTTGTTCGTTATGTCGCCATCTGGATTTAAAAAATTAAAATTCTTAATCCACCTCACGCTGTTTCATTCAGAGCTTGATATTTGAAGTGTTTAATAAGATATATTGCAGCTTTATTTTCAGCTTTCTGTATAAGCAAGCGCGCAAATTTATTTTTGAAATTTTTTTGTTCGTTATATCACCATCTTGATTTTTCTGGCTATATTAAAAATTAAAATTCTTAATCTCTCATTGAGTTTCATTCAGAGAATGTATTTTAGGTTTTTAATAAGATAATTGGTAGCTCTATTTTCTGCTTTCTGGGTAAGCTCACAATTTATTTTTTATTTTTCAAAGCTATATTAAAAATTAAAATTCTTAATCGATCTCACACGGCTTCATTCAAAATTTAATATTTTAAGTATTTAATAACAAAGCCATTTTTAAAAATTGGTGCTTTTAATTGTCAACTATTTTCACGCTTACCACCATTTTTGGCATGCCACTTTTTAGCACTTCCGATACTCATCTCTTTGAGAGAGTCTGTTTTACTCGTTCAAGAGTCCAGTGCATTTTATTCTATAAAGAAATTTATATAGGGGTATGAGCTATAGCAAGATATTGGGAACCGAAACCACCGAAGTTTTTAACCTTAAAAAGTATCCAAGCACTAAAGAAGAAATAAAAATTTATGTCTTCAAAATTTTGGAAAAATTATTTAAGGTAACATACAATACTAAAATGAAAAGAGCAAGACAGCAAATGCAGGAAATTATAATAAATTTTATAATTGCATTGCAGATGGCTACAATGATTTGGAGTCCCAATGTAAATATAAAAAACTGGGATCCAAATTTAGATACTTGGCAAATAATCAAATATGTCAGCTTCGAAAGAATATGTGGAGAGACTGGAACACTTAATATATATTTCTATGTTACAGTCTTCGAAATATTACTTTGAATATTTTGCTTTATAGCACTTCTTTCATTTAGCTATTTTGAAACTACTCTCTCATATTTCTATATTTTACTCCCAAAGAAAATTTTATGTTTCCTTACTTCTATAGGCTTTATACCTAGCCTGATGATTTTATTAGTAGTATTCAAATATTCCACCTTTAATTACCACGAAATTTCTGAATATTCCAATAGTATTTCATCATACTATATTAATTATGGAAAACTTGTCGGATTTTTTTCAATTTTACTTGCTATCATTTTACTGACAATTAATATTTTTTCAATAATATTTACGTCTGATATTAGGCATTCCTCTGCAAAAGTAAATATCAGATCAAGAGCTTTTTCGAAGCTTGAAATAGCTCAGCTTTTTTTTATGTTTTTTCAATGCATTTCTTATGTAATGCTGAATGAAAAATATTTTTTAATTAGTCAAGGATTTTTATTCATATATGGATTTATTCTTGCTGAAAAAATTATTTCAGCACTTCCTTATTATAGAGGTTTCCTCTATATAGCGCTGAAAGCGCAGACATTTTCCCAGGAGCTTTCCAAGTTCGTCGGACCAAATCGCTTTTTGGTCCGACCAAGGCATTGATTTGGTGCAACCAACCGATAAATTCCGATCAGAATTTATCGGCCTTACAGCGCCAAACATAGGAAACTTCTATATAACCCCATTGAAAATGCAATAAAATCATGCCAAATTAGTGCAATATCAATATCTATCTTAATTTTTCTATTTAGCGCATATTTGGACAATGGAGAAATTATTGCTATTTTAAACATATTTTTGCAGCCTTTTGCGCTAATTTTAGTATGTCTTAAAGTAAAATCAAACTCAGCTGCAAAAATTGAAGTAAATACTGACTTTATAAATCAATATGAATTTGAAAGAAAAATGAGACCAAAATTATGTAATGAATTAAAACATGATTTTAACGATTTAATAAATAAATTCTCTTATTTTAGCCAAAAAGCGAAATTTGAATATGATAAACTATTTGTATTATGAGAAGCTAATTATTGTTTTTATGTGCTCAAAAATGAACAGCTAACAAGGGTTAAATTAACAAAAATGAAAAATGCCAAAAATATTTTAGAAGGAGAAATCCAGCAATGGTTACTTATTAATAAGCTTGACAACAATAAAACTAATTCATCTGAAGTGAAGTTTTTAGAGTATTTAGACGAGTTAAACAGAGTAAAAACATATGATTTATCATTATGCGAAAAATTGCTTGATGTGATCAATGAAATTTTATTAAAATCTCCAAAAATTGATAAATTAGTAAGCATGATTATAACGATGACCCCCTCAATCTTCATGTCTACTGCAACAAAAATTTTTCGAAAAAATCTTCGTGCCTACTGCAACACAAAATTTTTATAAAAAACATTAATGCATTTTTCTCTAAGTGAGTTTCTCAAAAAAAAACATAAAGCAGTGCTGCTTTAGGTGTTTCAATGACATTCTCATCGAGATTTGGACGGCTATTGCCATCGCTCACCATTTTATTAAACTTACCTAGCTAAAAAGTACGGAAAAATTTAAGATGCGCATCGAAAATTTGTTGCAAGAGGATTAGGATTAAGATTATTATAGACAGGCGCTAGCCATATTGATGGCGCAGTCATTAAAGACCTCCCGTACGGAAGGTTCTTCCGCTTTTCGACTCCAGCCCAGAGGATCTATCCCTCTTACGAGTGCCCTTCCGGTACCTTCTGTCTCCTCCTTGCCTTGGGAGTTCAGCCTTGAGTGGGCGGCTTACGGATTTCTGCGGCCCTGCTACGGGCGATTGGAGTAGCTTGATTCCAAGGAATTGGAGTCTATTGGGGTGTCAAAGTGCCTTTTTTCAACAGCTACAGGAAAAAGACTGTTCCCCTGCGGCCTGGGCCGAAAGCCCCGGTTTCTCGTTAGAGGAATACTAATGGGTCCCGGATTCAAAGGACGTTGCTGAGCTCCTCCATTTCCAACCACAGGAAAGCAGCCAAAACCTACCCGGATACACACTTCTTGAGCCTGCGTCTGATTCTCGGCTTGGAGTCCGTCCCAGTTCGCCGTAGCCATAAGGTCTGGACTGCTGCGCCAAGAGGGCAGGCTGGCACGTGTCGCCATTTTAATGTATATATAGAAATATAATTTAAATGGCGCTATAAGGAGTATTTTCTGGATGAACCAGCAGGTCTAAGGTATTTGAGGTCTTATGCAAGATGCACAGAAACAAAATGGGGCATGCTGCATTGATACAGGAAGAGATGATACAAGAGATCTTCAGTGCAAGCTTAGTTGATGAAGGATGAATTAATGCATGATGTGCTGGCACAGAGCACTGTAGACAAGTGGCATTGATACAAGAAAATGAAATGATAAAAGAATTGACAGTGCAAGATGATTCAATACAAATTGTGCTGGCACAGAACGAAGATTGCATGTGATGTACTAATAAGGGTGAAGCTGTAAGAGTGGCAACTATGCAAGGTATCATTCTGCAAAATGATATTAAGATAAGGTTTAACCTAGATTTCCTTATAAAGGTTTGACTAATAGTGATATGTTAAGTTGTTATTGTGGAATGATCTTAGCAATTAATGCAATTATGAAGCAATATATATAATGAAAATTGAAAACTGCTTTATGAAATGGGACTTATTTATTTATCATGCTATAGATATGCAAGTTAGTATGGAAATGGTCATGAACATTTGATATTGATATTTTGTCTTGGCATGCACTGTTTGACTATAAGTGTAATTCTTTGAATTCAAGACATAAGTCATAAATTATATTACATTCTATGTAAACTCGATTAATTTCATATACATGAAATTGTTTGAATGCTTAGGAAAAGCACATCATGAAGCTCACTATGTTTCACTTGTTTTATGATTTATGGTTCAAAATGTAAACAAGAGTTGAAAAGTGAAATATAAAATTTCATATGAAAACAAAATTTAGCATGCTAAAATTATTTCGTGCGCCAAATTGATGCTCAAATATAAGTTTAGTTTGCTAAAAATGTTTGACATGTGAGTTTTTATTTTCACGTGTCAAAATAATTTGCAATTCTGATCGGGATTCCATATTTAGTAAACAGATTTTCATGGTTTTTAACATTTTGGTAATTTATTATTTTATGTATGCTCAGCAGATCACATGGGCTCTATTAACGATGCAATCACATGCAACAAATTTTCATAATAATCTTATTTCTGCAAGCACTTGCACAATCAATTATTATTATCTCATACTTTTCTAATAGATCAATGCCCTAAAATTAATATAAGCATCACAAATATACTTTTAATATCACATTTGAAAGCATTCAATAGTGCATTATATGATCTGTAGGACTACCAAATTTTTTACCAATATTCAGCTGAAATCAATATCAAAGCCATCGTTAAAATCGATTACATTGCATCTTTTTGACAGAAAAAGAAGCAACCGGCATTTCTCCATAAACGAATACTATAACACTGTTCTATCATATCAGACAAGTGTTTAATACAATAAATGTTCAAATACCGCGAAACAATAAGACAACAGCAAATTATTCAAATTTTCGAAAACTGAAGCAATAAGAAGCAATTTTAGATGTATTACAACTCAATTAAGCATTACCAAGTATCTATCCACTGTTAGATGAGCTTAACATAAATACTTCATCCTGCCTCAACTAAGTTTGCACTGAAGATCTCTTGTATCACCTCTATCTGTATCAATGCAGTCTGCCCCATTTTACTTCGGTGCATCTTGCACGAGATCTCAAATTCCTTGGACCTGTCGGCTTATCCAGAAAACACGCCTTATAGCGCTATTTAAAGTAAATTGCTATAATTTGTTGCAGAGACATGAAAATTATTATTTTTTTTATATAAAATTTTATATTAAAAAATTGCATTTTTGTTGCAATAGACATGAAGATTGGGGGGGGGGTCATCGTTACCTTCAGCACAAGTATGACTCGACCTGAACTTCCCTTCCCTCCCCCCATCCCTGACGGTTTCAATTTGAACGAAATTGTTAATTCAAAATGAAAAGTCCCTCACTAAGGATTTGACAAGTCAAATTTAATTTGTAGACTTTAATAAAGTTGAAACTGTCAGGGGCTAGGGGAGAGGGTAGGAGGGTTTCTCAGGTCGATCTATAACCGTGCTCACGGTGTACTAAAGCATCAGACGATGTCAATAAAATGAAAAACTTGTATGAGAAACTTGTAAGTAGCCACAAACAAATCTGTGGGATCGAGCTTTATGCGTCATTTTTGCAAAGTATTTTTCATAATGATGACCTCAGTAATCTGATGCTACGAAAAATAGAAACCATAAAAATTAATGACTTTAAATCTGCAGCCTTTAGCGAACAAAATGGTATTTTGCTTGTTTCAGTTGATTCTATATCATTTCCCGTCGAAGATCGAACACTGCATTTGCCCGTGGCCTAGCGCAACGAAGTGGATCGATCCAGAGGTCCATGTGCCCGACACGTGGACAAATATGGTGGCAGCTCTAGAAACGGTTATCCCGTAAAACTTTATAGATAATAAGATAAGATACTATATCATTTGGAGAAATCGTATATATAAATGACCCAGCTTTATATATACTAAAAACTTCAAGGCTTGATACTATAGGAAAATCTTTTACGAAATTTATACCTCTACAGTATAGACTTAACCACGATACATATATTCATGAATTCGTCCAAAACTGTACAAATCCTGATGTTACAAATCATCATGATTTCTTCCTTGAAAATGACGAAGGATTTTTATTTGAATGCCAGCTAATAATAAGGTTCACTCCGATGTATAACAAGGTTTATATTTTAATTTCCATAAAGCCTCTCAACACTTCTAGGCAAATGGCTTTAATTAGCAATGAAGGCATTATTCAAAATCATACTAATAAATTTCCATATTTTGTAGGGTGTGAAGGGGCAAGTGCTAAGAACAGAAATATTTCTGAATTTATTTCAAATTTTAGCATGCACTCTATCAATACTTTGGAACCTAAAATTGAAATGGTTGACAACCATGAAATCGCCTTAATCCATTCAGAAAAAATCATAAAAGACACTAAAATCCATACTTTTACAATAATTTATAGCGAAGATGATATGCATATCTGGAAAAGAGAAGCTAAGTCTCACCAAGTCATTTATCTCAATAACAACAATGACACGGACACTGCAGTTTACTACTGCAACTGGATGCCATCAATTAATCAAAAAATGTATGAAAATATTAAATCTGTCTTCAAGATAACTGGAAAATTGCCTCAAGTTCCTATAGAAAATAATGATAATATCGACGCCCCAAAGGACTCTCAAAAAACCATAGAACATTTTTCGACCCCTAAAGACCTTCTAACTCCATTAAGCAAAGATAGATATAATTCTGCCTCAAACAGCCAATCGAATTCCGCTCAACGATTTGTTACAAAAGTGATCCAAGAATCAGAAAACCGTATAAAATTTTTCCAGTCTATCTTTTTCTTTTCAGTTTTAGCTGTCGCTTGCTCAAATATTGGGATTTTAATTTATATTTATGATGAAGTCGATCATACGAGCTCATTGAAAACTTTTGAGCATTTAGGAGAAATTTTATATTTAATAGTATCCTCTGCTGATTTTGTAGTATCGATAAGCTATCATGTGAAAAATGGGCAATTATCAAATTCAAGTAATGTCCTGAATTTTAACAGGACTATTTTGCAGTTGAATTCTTTAAAAGATTCGATCAGAACTGATTATGCAGACTGAAGTTACTGCCAGAACTCTGATATTTCGATAAAACCTTTAATTCCTGTATGGAAATATGAAAATAATAATGAGCTGAAAATGGTTAACTTTTATGATGCCATACAAGAATTCATAATTAAAGGAAATGATTTTATATCAAAAGTAGAAACTAGCAGCGATAATTCTAATGAAATGAAATTTATCATAAAAAACTCACTTGGATTCATGTATGAGTACTCAGATTCTGCATTAGAAGGACTAGTTAGCTGTGAAAAAGACCGTATAAGTGGCCAAGGAGCTAATATAGGTGCATTTTTAGGCCTTGGAGTCGGGATTATTACTCTATTCTTAGCTTTTTTAATCATCCAGATTCTCTCCATCAATAAAAGATATCAGGCACTATGAGACACTGTTATGAAAGTAGCCCGACTTTTTGGCGTCGAAGAGAAATATATTTTAATTGAAAGGCTTGCAGAGGTACATGGAATTGACTATGCCTCCATAACTCATTCTGTAGGTGGGTTTTGGCCGGCTCAAGGGCTTTTGCACTTGGCCACGGCTGCCCTGGCTAGTGTCAAGAGAAAGCAGGAGAATCTGTTAATGTTGAGATAAGGCAAGTGACGAGCAATCCACAGAACTGCACAATCTAACTTATGGACTGTCCATATACCACCAGCAACAGCCGGAAAGAGACCCTCAAACCTGGAGGACGGGCAGACAGCAAGTCCGTAATTAAGTAGCTGACACGTCCTAGTTAAGTTTTAGGATTACTCAATCATTCTGATCAGTAGACTGACAAGAATCCTGATCAGAGACTAACTATTAAGTCTAAGTCTAAGACTATGCCTCATTAGACAATAATTGCTCTTCTAAAAAAAGCCATGAGGACTATAAAAAATTGAGTTTTAAAGTATTATGAAGATATGCATGAAGGCTCTCAATATTTTTCCTTGTTTCTGTTACATTTTATTTGGTCATTTATTTTGTACTTTATGCTCATTGTGAAGAATTTATGGTGAGTAGGCCTGTGATTCTACAAACTTTTACCAAGCAAAGAGCTCTATTATCAAGAATGAGCCTTTTTGCAAGGGATATTAATATTCCTGTAAATGAGGGATTATTTGCAAGTAGTTATTCTTTTAAGAATCCAAAGACAGAATTAGTAAACTCAGCAAGCCTTTTGAACGATGAAATATTGAGTATGAGGGATTCTAACTCCCCCTTTTAAATTTGAGCAAATTATTGGTAATTTCCATTTTTTTTTATATTAAAACCCACTTTAAATTGTGAATTTTTTATAGGAAGGTTTAAATTCTAATTTTTATATCATTAGTTTTGCCTAACTTAATGGAGCAAGTGCAATTAGGATAATATTTAAATTCAATTTTTTAAAAATTTTAATATCTTTGATTATTTTTTATATTGAAAAAATTATCCCTTTTTCAAATTAGAACAGGACTTTTTTGCTCAAATGTGAGTGGGGAAGTAGGATTTTAGATTTGGCATCTGAAGATCTAAAGAAGAGAATTTTTGAATACTCTGAAATTGATGTAGGGATATTAAAATATGGGACAATTTCAGCAACAAATTCAGTGATTTTTCAAGCTTTTAGCTTAGGGAGTGGGACTCGTTTCTTTTACACGAGGTCTACTCCATAACGACTATTTTTTTTTGGCCTAATTTTTTTTGGCCTAATTTTTTTCGGCCTATTTTTTTTTGGCCTATTTCATAACGACTATTTTTTTTTGGCCTATTTTTTCTGTCGAGGATAATTCATGAAGCTGCTGAGAGAACTAAATAATTATTGGGTAACGGATGTATTTCCTTACACGATTAATATTAAGTAAATTAAGTGGAAAAATCCTAATTAAATTTAAAATTCTCGAAATTTAAAAAGCAATGAATTAGCATTCATGGAGTAAGAGATCTGTTAAAGGTGTATTTTATGTTAATAAAATCGTTTAAAATACATTAAAAATTATATTAAAATCATTAGTATGAAATTAGGCCCAAATATTAGTAAAAAATAGCTAAAAAATGGCCAAAAAAAAGTCAAAAAAAATAGGTCAAAAAAAAAATAGGCCAAAAAAAAATAGGCCAAAAAAAAATAGGCCAAAAAAATAGGTTAAAAAAAAATAGGCCAAAAAAAAATAGGCCAAAAAAAAAATAGGCCAAAAAAAAATAGGCTAAAATAAAATAGGCCAAAAAAAAATAGGCCAAAAAAAAAATAGGCCAAAAAAAATTAGGCCAAAAAACAATAGGCCAAAAAAAAATAGTCTTTATGGAGTAGACCTCGTGTGAAGGAACCGAGTGGACTAGATTCTTCTTCAGAGGCTGAAATCCATAATTTTATTTTGGACATATCACAAATCCAACAAGATGCTGATATTAATTTCGGATTAGCAAATCATGAGTCAAAAAAAAAAATCGAAGATATTTTAGGCAATATCATTCAGATTACAATTGCCTATTCAGTCGGATCCATCCTCGTCTTTATCTGTTTTTACTGGCCCTTTTTAATTTCCGAGAGAAAAATTCTCATAAAAATCCAGAATTTTACAATTATTTTGCCTGCAAAAATAATTTTTAACAAGAAAAAAGATATTATATAAATAAACAAATAATTTTATATTAAATTCCCTTCAACTCTTTCGAGCTTGTCATTATAAAAATTTGTAAGTCTTGGAAATGAGTCTTTTTCTTTGCTAGATTGCTTTAATAATTTCCCAGTTTTGCTATACAATTTTCTTTTCAATGGCGCGATAAAGCGTTTTTCCGGCTGGACCAAAACACCTTGGAAGAGCTTAAAGAAATGCAATTGCCAAACTTTCATTTTTTGGTTCGTCAAGTGGTCAATTCTGGCCAGCACTTAAATAAAAAAAATGATTAATTACCTATTTTTTTAATTTTTCTGATCATTAGGATGATCAGACGTTTTATAAATGGCAGAGATTCTGATAATTTATTAAATGGCATATTCCTCATTAGCTTAATCAGATATTTATGTTTTTATATAAAAAATGATTAAGACTTTAGTGTGCTGAGCTTATTAATCAGAGATAGCATATACTTTATCTTGAAGGTATATCAATTGCCACTTTTTGATGTTCAATTACTTCTTTTTTGCAATTTGCGTAATGGCCTTATTTTAGAATGACTGGTGACAATTTGTATAATTTTAAGAGTAAACGAATGTTCATTTTTAACTCTTGCCTCTTACTTCTTAATGTTTTTAAGCAATTATATTTTGTTATGCTTATATCACTGATTTGATAAGCACAGATAGTAGCAAAGACCAGCAGATATATAATAAATTTAAACTGCAAGTTTTTTTGTATTAAAAATTTGATTTATCCAGTTATAAGACTTCAAAATTTTGAAATATAAGATCAAATATATAGATTTACGAATGGCATGTGTAGACAGGCTCTCGAATGTTCATGGGATTGAGTATGATCTTATAGAGAATTCTGTGCGCATTCGATCGCAATAAGATAAAGCCGCAAAAATTCATACCAAAATCTATATAAAATTGATCCTTCACTTATCAATTTTTTTTCTTATTGTTTTGCTTTATTTTTTATTCCAAAAATTTTATTTTAATGATATTGTAATTGCCCGAGGATGGTGCTATCTTGCGCCATCCTCGGACAATTTAAAAAATGGCCCCACACCGGAATTGAACTCACGTTTGGGGCCATTTTTGGTGCGTGAAAGTCGATGTTCTCCACATACCAAAAATGGCCCCACACGTGGGGTTCGATTCCCGGTGTGGGGCCATTTTTGTATTGCCCGAGGATGGCGCAAGATAGCGCCATCCTCGGGCAATTACTATAAGTGTGAAGACCTTATGAAAATCGCCCATATTTGTTCAAAAATTTTTCTTACAGAAGAGCAACTCTGTCAATGCTTTCTCTTTTTTTTCAAGAGATACAAATATTCAAGAATACAAAAAATGATTTTCTCTTTCCTATGATTTCACAAACTCTGAGGAGTATAAACAAGCATCTGAAATTCTCATAAAAAAGACTTGGAAGCAAGGATTAGCAAGTTTAAAGTATTAATGTCTGATAAACTCAAAGAGATTTTTTTGAAGCATAGGCACTTATAATATGAAATTGCGTCTAGGAGATTAGCTCCAACAAATTTAGTTTATTTTGGTGCAGTTTATATAGCTGCGGCTTACAGATGAACACAATTAATGATATCCGAAACTTTGTAGATAGTATTTATCAGCTGCAAGCTGAGATGGAGATTGATTATCAAATGGCCAGCGAAGACCCCAAAGATGCTATCAATCTGCAATTGTCCTATATTGTGTATAATACAATTATGTTTGCAATCATCCTAGTTTTGTAGTATGATTTTTATTATTTGCTGAAGAGCTGTATTAAAAAGCTTTAAGTTATGACGTTGGTAATTCCAATATTTAAAAGGTCTTATCATATATAGATTTAACAAGTTGCTTAAAATTAATATAAGTTCAGATTAAGTATTTTTTTCAAAACTTATCAAGAAATTCGCTAATTGGCTTAAGCTATAACTTTTAAAAGTGCTATCTAAGCTATCAATTAAATTATTTAAATTTTGGTCTTAAATAAAATAATTCGCAGGCTTCAACACTAGAAATATGGTAATAATTATATAAAATAAAAAAAAGTTTTATCTCCCAGATATATTTTACTTTACGAAGATTAAAATAAGGAGCATTTAATGTTTAAGCTTTATTTAACTTAAACTTTATTACTAACGTTAGATTGATTTTTGACTCTTATGATAAATAAAAATTCCAATTATAATTTATTTGATAATTGCAGATTTTTGCTGGAATTGCAAGAAAATCAATATCAATAGTTGGTATAGCAATTCAAGCCTCTTCAATTGCCTTCCATTTATATTTTAACTCTGAGAGCTAAATTGGCTTTTACATATTTATTTATATAAAAATAGGTTAAGTAATTTTTTCTAGAACGCTAAATCAGTTATAAAACTCCTATTTCAAATTTCTGTTTGCACCATAGCTCAGCTCTTGAATTAATAGCTTCTATGGTTCAAGCTTGTCAGATATCAAAATTAACAAATTCTAGCTGGAATTCCAGATAAATTTTCATAACCATTTTAATTAATTTTATTTTATAAGTGACTGATTTCTAGTTAAGATAATTAAAGTATTAAAAAATGGAATTCTAGAATCGAGTATTTATTGATTCATTTATGAGATTAAGAAGTTTTAATATAATTAAAATGCCTGAAGATAGTAAAATATTGGAAACCGAAACTATTGAAGTTTTTAAACTTAAAAAGTATCTCAGCACTAAAGAAGAAATAAAGATAAATGCCTTCAAAATGTTGGAACAATTATTAAATATAGCATACAATGCTAAAATTAAAAGAGCAAGACAGCAAATGCAGGAAATTATAATAAATTTTATAGTCGCATTGCAGATGGCCATAATGATTTGGAGTCCCAATGTAAGTATAAAAAACTGGGATCCAGATTTAGATACTTGGCAGACAATCAAATATGTCAGCTTCGAAAGAATATGTGGAGAGACTGGAACACTTAATATATATTTCTATATAACAGTCTTCGAAATATTGCTTTGCGTCTTTTGCTTTATAGCGCTTCTTTCGCTTAGCTATTTTGAAACTACTCTTTCATATTTCTATATTTTACTCCCAAAGAAAATTTTATGTTTCCTCACTTCCATAGGCTTTATACCTAGTATGATGATTTTATTAGTAGTATTCAAATATTCCACCTTTAATTACCACGAAATTTCTGAATATTCTAATAATATTTCATCATACTATATTAATTATGGAAAACTTGTCGGATTTTTTTCAATTTTACTTGCTATCATTTTACTGACAATTAATATTTTTTCAATAATATTTACATCTGATATAAGGCATTCCTTTGCAAAAGTAAATATCAGATCAAGAGCTTTTTCGAAGCTTGAAATAGCTCAGCTTTTTTTTATGTTTTTTCAATGCATTTCTTTTGTAATGCTGAATGAAAAATATGTTTTAATTAGTCAAGGATTTTTATTCATATATGGATTTATTCTTGCTAAAAAAATTATTTCAGCACTTCCTTATTATAACCCCATTGAAAATGCAATAAAATCATGCCAAATTAGTGCAATATCAATATCTATCTTAATTTTTCTATTTAGCGCATATTTGGATAATGGAGAAATTATTGCTATTTTAAACGTATTTTTGCAACCTTTTGCGCTAATTTTAGTATGTCTTAAAGTAAAATCAAACTCAGCTGCAAAAATTGAAGTAAATACTGACTTTATAAATCAATATGAATTTGAAAGAAAAATGAGACCAAAATTATGTAATGAATTAAAACATGATTTTAACGATTTAATAAATAAATTCTCTTATTTTAGCCAAAAAGCGAAATTTGAATATGATAAACTATTTGTATTATGAGAAGCTACTTATTGTTTTTATGTGCTCAAAAATGAACAGTTAGCAAGGGTTAAATTAACAAAAATGAAAAATGCCAAAAATACTTTAGAAGGAGAAATCCAGCAATGATTGCTTATTAATAAGCTTGACAACAATAAAACTAGTTCATTTGAAGTAAAATTTTTAGAGTATTTAGACGAGCTAAACAGAGTAAAAGCGTATAATTTATCATTATGCGAAAAATTGCTTGATGTGATCAATGAAATTTTATTAAAATCTCCCAAAATTGATAAATTAGTAAATATGATCACCCATGTATCAGACCAAATCAATAAAATGAGAAATTCGTATGAAAACCTTGTAAGTAGCCACAAACAAATCTGTGGGATCGAGCTTTATGCGTCATTTTTGCAAAATATTCTTCATAATGATGACCTCAGTAATCTTATGCTAAGAAAAATAGAAACCATAAAAATTAATGGCTTTAACTCTGCAGCTTTTAATGAACATAATGGAATCCTCCTTGTTTCAGTTGATTCTATATCATTTGGAGAAATCGTATATATAAATGACCCAGCTTTATATATACTAAAAACTTCAAGGCTTGATACTATAGGAAAATCTTTTACGAAATTTATACCTCTACAGTATAGACTTAACCACGATACATATATTCATGAATTCGTCCAAAACTGTACAAATCCTGATGTTACAAATCATCATGATTTCTTCCTTGAAAATGACGAAGGATTTTTATTTGAATGCCAGCTAATAATAAGGTTCACTCCGATGTATAACAAGGTTTATATTTTAATTTCCATAAAGTCTCTCAACACTTCTAGGCAAATGGCTTTAATTAGCAATGAAGGCATTATTCAAAATCATACTAATAAATTTCCATATTTTTTAGGGTGTGAAGGGGCAAGTGCTAAGAACAGAAATATTTCTGAATTTATTTCAAATTTTAGTATGCACTCTATCAATACTTTGGAACCTAAAATTGAAATGGTTGACAACCATGAAATCGCCTTAATCCATTCAGAAAAAATCATAAAAGACACTAAAATCCACACTTTTACAATAATTTACAGTGAAGATGATATGCATATCTGGAAAAGTGAACCCAAATCTCACCAAGTCATTTATCTCAATAGCAGCAATGATACGGACACTGCAATTTATTACTGCAATTGGATGCCATCAATTAATCAAAAAATGTATGAAAACATTAAATCTGTCTTCAAGTTAACTGAAAAATTGCCTCAAGTACCTATAGAAAATAATGATAATATCGATGTCCCCAAAGACTCTCAAAAATTCGTAGAACATTTTTCGGCCCCTAAAGACCTTCTAACTCCATTAAGCAAAGATAGATCTAATTCTGCCTCAAACAGCCAATCGAATTCCGCTCAACGATTTGTTACAAAAGTGATCCAAGAATCAGAAAACCGTATAAAATTTTTCCAGTCTATCTTTTTCTTTTCAGTTTTAGCTGTCGCTTGCTCAAATATTGGGATTTTAATTTATATTTATGATGAAGTCGATCATACGAACTCATTGAAAACTTTTGAGCATTTAGGAGAAATTTTATATTTAATAGCATCCTCTGCTGATTTTGTAGTATCGATAAGCTATCATGTGAAAAATGGGCAATTATCAAATTCAAGTAATGTCCTGAATTTTAACAGGACTATTTTGCAGTTGAATTCTTTAAAAGATTCGATCAGAACTGATTATGCAGACTGAAGTTACTGCCAGAACTCTGATATTTCGATAAAACCTTTAATTCCTGTATGGAAATATGAAAATAATAATGAGCTGAAAATGGTTAACTTTTATGATGCCATACAAGAATTCATAATTAAAGGAAATGATTTTATATCAAAAGTAGAAACTAGCAGCGATAATTCTAATGAAATGAAATTTATCATAAAAAACTCACTTGGATTCATGTATGAGTACTCAGATTCTGCATTAGAAGGACTTGTTAGCTGTGAAAAAGACCGTATAAGTGGCCAAGGAGCTAATATAGGTGCATTTTTAGGCCTTGGAGTCGGGATTATTACTCTATTCTTATTCCTCCTCCTCGATTAGCGATCAAAGCCACTGGAAAAATCCCATTTTTTGCTGAAAAAACCCATACTCAATAATTGAGAAAAAATGTTTTTGATATAAAAATATTTTATAAAAAATTTTTGATCGTGATTATTGGTATAAATAAAATTTCTAGCCAATTCTGTATCATTTAAAACAAATTCCATTTTTAACATATAGAAAATTCCTGGGGATAGCGCGGAATACGCTATCCCCAGGAATTATCTATAAATTTTACAAATTATATAAATATTTGATTTCCAAATTTTTGCTCAAAAGTATTATAAAATTTAATAATTTTTTCTTAAAAAAATAATAAATCCCCTTCGTGAGCGAAAAGACTTTTTATACGCCTAGGGGTAGAAGTTAGCTTTTTTAATAATCCAGGTTCTTTCCATTAATAAAAGATATAAAGCACTATGAAATACTGTTATGAAAGTATCCCGATTATTTGGTGCCGAAGAGAAATATATTTTGATAGAAAGACTTGCAGAAGTCCATGGAATTGACTATGCCTCAATAGACAATAATTGCTCATCTAAAAAAAGCCATGAGGATTATGAAAAATTGAGTTTTAAAGTGTTATGAAGATATGCATGAAGGCTGTCGATGTTTTTCCTTGTTTCTGTGGCATTCTATTTGGTCATTTATTTTGCACTTTATGCTCGTTGTGAAGAATTTATGGTGAGTCGGCCTGTGATTCTACAAACTTTTACCAAGCAAAGAGCTCTATTATCAAGAATGAGCCTTTTCGCAAGAGATATTAATATTCCTGTAAATGAGGGGCTATTTGCAAGCAGTTATTCTTTTAAGAATCCAAAAACAGAATTAGTAAACTCAGCAAGCCTTTTAAACGATGAAATCTTGAATATGAGGGATTCTAACTCCCCCTTTGAATTTGAGCAAATTTATCTGTAAAATTTCAAATTTTGGTATATTAACCCCGCTTTAGATTGTAACAAAAATTTTTAAATGGGAGGTGAAAATTTAATTTTTATATAACTATTTTTGCCTAACTCAATTGAAGAAGTGCAATTAGAATATATTTAAATTGTTAAAGCACTAAATCATTAATTCAATTTACATGTTTTAATTATGTAATACTTTGAATTTATTTTTATATTGAAAAAATTCCTCCTTCAAATTAGAATACGACTTTTTGTTCCAATTTAAGTGTGGGAGTAGGATTTTAGACTTGGCTTCTGAAGATCTAAAGAAAAGAATTTTTGAATACTCTGAAATCGATGTAGGTATATTAAAATATGGGACAATATCAGCAATAAATTCAATGATTTTTCAAGCTTTTAGCTTGGGGAGCGGAATAGATTCTTCTTCAGAGGCTAAAATTAATTGTTTTACTTCTGGTATATCACAAATACAACAAGATGCAGATATTAATTTTGGACTAGCAAATCAAGAGTCAAAAACAAAAATCGAAGGTATTTTAGGCAGTATCATTCAGATTACAATTGTCTATTCAATTGGGTCCATCCTCGTTTTTATCTGTTTTTATTGGCCGTTTTTAATTTCCGAGAGAAAAATTCTGTTAAAAATTCAGAACTTTACAATTATTTTGCCTGCAAAAATAATTTTTGATAAGAAATTATTTAAATAAACAAATAATTTTGACAAGAAGAAAGAGATTATTTAAATAAACAAATAATTTTATATTAAATTCTCCTCAACTCTTTCCAGCTTGTCATTATAAAAATTTGTAAGTCTTGGAAATGAGTCTTTTTCTTTGTTAGATTGCTTTAATAATTTCCCAGTTTTACTAGTTAAAGATGTTGATGTCATATAATCAGGAAGAACATTTACAGGCCGATCATTTCCTGTTGCATCGCTTTTTATATTGAATTTTGTGACGTTTTTGAGAGTATATTTTAATGGGCTTGCTACTTTTTGCCATTTGATGAAAAATTTTCCTCCTCTGCATTCCTCGGCATTTTTGGTCGAATTTTTTTCTCGTGATAAATTTGATATAATTTTTTTTTTTTTTAAACTATTGTATCACGAGGGAAAGCTATAACTAAAATCCAGGGAAATGTGCACGGAGAAAAAATTCATATAAAATAAGTGGCAACGGACTTGTTGATCTGTAACCAAGGGAAGCACTAACCGTACTCATTGCTCCGACTTTATTGACAATTGATTTAGATTTTGTAGTGCCTGGCAAAAAGCTGGCAGGTGCTGTTGATATGGCTAAATTTTTGCGTCTTGGCTGGACTTTCTTGTTGTCAGCTAAAAACTCTTTTAATTTTTTCGATTTTTCTTTCGTTCTCCTGAGTTCATCTCTTGTCATCCCTACTTTTTCTGCGAGCCTGCTTGCGAGATTTTGATTTTTGGTGATATCATGTATATGCAATTTTATTTCTTTCTCGAGTCTGATTTCATCTTGCTGCATTTTTATTTTCAATTTATTGTATTCTGTGCTATTTTTAATCAAAACATGATTTATTTCTTTTTCTTGCCTTTTTAACAGTTTTTTTCTTTTCTTTTCTTGTTCTTCTAAAATTTTGTTTTCCACTCGATTTTGTTCTTCGATTTCTAAGCTTTTGAGTTCATTTCTTATTTGTTGTGCTTCTGCATATCTTTCATTTATAGCTACCACCTTTTCTCTAACTTGCAATTCTTTCATAACAGGCTTTGGCTTGATTTTTACAAATTCCACATCTTTTTGCAAAGTTTCATTTAGCTCTTCAATCTGTCTGGCATGAATTTCTTTCAATTTTTGCATTTTTTCTTGGCAGTCAGTTGCGAAATCTTCAAAAATTTTATTTCACTGTTCTTTGAATTTTTCTTTTTTTTGTATCCCTATATAGCCAGAGCCTCCTTTTTGCTCGGGCTATCCGACGTCAATCTGGTAGTAGGCTACCCATATTTTTTGGTTTTGCCAACTCCCTAAATAGCAAGTCCACTTCTTATTTGGGATATTTATCACCTGGGGAGTTGGCTATGCCAAAAAATATTCCCGATTGATGTCGAATAGCCCTAGCAAAAATGATGTTCGTGGTATATCATGATATAAAGAAATTTCTTTATCATGGGTGCGTAGCCTCAAAGTTCGTTGGAAATTGATGATGTCACTTTCCAAGCTACGAATAGCTTTCATTAGTTCTTTGTAAAGGCTGTATTCATGAATATTGCATAATTCATCAGCGCAGATCTGCATTCTTTCTTTTATAGTTGAAAAGAGCAAAATTTGTTCATCTTCATTTAAAAAACCGTCTTCATCTTCGTCTAATAAATCAAGTAAGTCGTCAACGTTTCTAACAAGCAACAATTCGCCTAGGTGTTTGGCTTGTTTATCAAGCAGAAATTGCAGGGCTGCATCATTTAACAGCCCATCTTTCTTATAGTCTGCTAATAGCAAAGCTTCCCAAATTTCTCGGCATTTCAAATGGGCATCTAAAAGGGGTCTGGCTTCATTGAGGACTTTGGCCCGCTGTTGAGCACTGACGGACGTTGAAAAATTCGTGTGTGCTGTGGCAAGTCTTCTATTTAAAGATTCCTCATATTGCTTTGGCTTGAGCATCACGATTTTAATCTAATAATTGTAGTAACAATAAAAATGGGAGGAAAAAGCTCGAGCCAACAGCTAGAAGACACGATTTTTAATATGAGACTCGCCTCAAAACAGCTTCAAAAAGAATCACAGCGTAGCGAAAAAGAGGAAAAAATCGAAAAAGATAAAGCCAAAAAGTACCTTGAAAAAGGTTTAATTGATACTGCAAGAATTTATGCTGAAAATGCTATTAGAAAGAAAAATGAAGCTCTGAATTACTTACACACCCCGGCTAGCAGGACCATTAGAGCAATCCTATTTTAAAAGAAATTAGTATATAATTAATGTTTATATAATTAAATTTCAGACAAATTATATTTAATTTTATATCGCTCGCATGTAAAACATTAATTTAAACCAAATTAGATTTTTTTTTCAAATATTTGCAATTGTCAAAAAAATTACAGCAAGCAAAATATCTGCTTTATAGTCAAGGGGGGAGTTAAGACTGTCAAGCAAAATGGATGCGGTCTGCTCCAGGATCCAATCGGCAGCCAGAACTGAGAATATGACCCACCAATTCCAAAGAGTAATTCCTCAAATGAATAGAGTCCTTCAGAATATGAACTTAGAAAATATCAGCCAAACAATGGGCCAGTTCGAAAAATGCTTCGAAGACTTAGACGTCGCATCGGGGTATATCAATGAATCATTGAACTCTACCACTGCAGTTTCTACACCGAAAGAACAAGTTGATTCTCTACTAGGAATGATCGCAAGCGAGCACAACATTAACATTCAAGAACAACTTGGAGAAACCCCGTTAACCGGTGGGGCCAATTTGACTGAAGATCAGATGAAGTCAAGATTTGAAAGACTAGGATAAATTTATATCAAAATTATTATAATCAAAGTATAAAATGGCATACGAAAATCATATGTATAAAAAATGGTAATGGAACTGGCAAGCTATCCTAACTCCCGTAGCCGGTGATCTGGTATAAAACCCTTATGGAAGGGAGAACGACTTCTAGAGATATGCATCTGGCTAGGTTTTCTAGGGAACTAGCCCAAGTCCAATTCTCTGACTAGTTAATTCTAAAGGGAGGGAGCTTGAATTTGGAAAGGGAGGTTAAAACACCACCAAGTATGCCCAGTAGGTGTCTGAGAAATCGGATATCATCATGATAGCAGATATTATGTCATGGGCTCACAATTCCTCCATCTTTAGCCGATATTTAACTAGAAAATTCGAATTTCAATATTTTTGAAAGCGATCAATGTTGGCTGCGTCTCTAGACCCCATACCATTAATCTCTCAGTTTTAAGCGAGAAAAGCGAGACGATGGATACAGCGAGTTGCTAGCCAGCAAGGCTCAGATAAATATTATATTGTATCAAAGGAAGCTTTTCAATAATCTAATTAATTTAAGGCATACGAAAAAAACTTCATCTACTTATGACTGAGAAGAAGTTCTTACTCACCCCTTCATGAGCAAACAAAACCATGGAAAAATCCCTATTTTATAATTAAAACCAGTGAGCAAAATAATTTTTTTTTAAAAAAATATTTTTATATAAAAATCTAGCTTATTCTGCTTTTCAAACATAAATTTTATAAATTAAATTAATTTTTGCTTTCCAAATTTTTGCGAATTGGGATTTTTTTAAAGTTTAAAAAAATTTAACGCCTCAATGAGCGAACAAACTTTGTTTGTAAGGGGAGTTAGGAATATTTTTATAAAATACACCAATTCAGGCCCAGCCGTCTCGAACACCTATATGACTACAATTAAATTCCAAAAAATGATCCAAGATGCTGGGCTATTAGATGAAGAATTCACCCCTCAGAAAGTTGACATTATTTTTTGTTCTGAAAATCGTCATAGGCCACATATGAAATTCGAAGTATTTGTGAACACAATCCCAAGAATTGCCGAAGTAAAGTTTATTGATGAGTTCCAAAATGACCCTAGGGAAACGTTAGAAAAATTATTAACAAATCATTTCATGCCTCTCTGCACCAACATGAAGGCTCCTCACCAGATTTTTCACCCAGATGCAATTGAGCTGAATGAAGATGTGAGAGAAATCATCCATAGCGTGATTTCTCCTCTCAAAGATTTGTATTCTACTTATTTTCCATGAGAATTGGCTGGCAATGATAAATCTGCTCAAAAAACGAATAAATCCCAAAGTGCACTGCATTTATTTTTAAGAGATTTTGATATTTGCCCACAGCTGATAAATAAATCCACAGTTATCAAGCTATGAAAAGATGTCGTGCTGTTTCAAGGGCAATTTCCTCCAGCACAAGCGTTATTGCCAAATCCTTCACATGAAGCTGGGACTCACTTTTCGTTCAGTAAATTTTTATATAGCGCTTTCCCGAGGATGGCGCGGAATGGCGCCATCCTCGGGAAAGTCAACTAAGCATCCACACGGGAACTGGGAGTTCCACGTGTGGATGCCATTTTTGACATGTGGGATCCAAACTTCCACATGTCAAAATGGCATCCACACGTGGAACTCCCAGTTCCCGTGTGGATGCCTTCCTGGCTTTCCCGAGGATGGCGCCATTCCGCGCCATCCTCGGGAAAGCGCTATATTTTTTGTATATGAGTGCACTGGTAGGATATTCTCATGATTCTCAATTAAACGCCTGCCCTCCTCCAGAAAAGCTTTTGATCTTGCTAGAAAGAATGGAACTTGCCAAAGAAAACCATACAGTCCACAAGCATCGGCCAAGGACTGCAAAAGATTCATTACTTCCTAGCCGAGATTTAATTGAAAGAATCATTTTGAACACAGAAGACATGCAAACTCAATCACAAATGCAAAGCGTTTCTCAGTCAGAGCAAGAATATGAGATCTCCCAAGCTGCTCAGAGTATATCTGCACTCAATTTAGATCCTTTGGGCTTAGAAAGCTTAGAAAAATACTTAGAAAGGCTTCAGAGGATTTTCCAAGCTTATTGCTCATATGGTGAGCCTATGAATACCACAAGGTTAAAATCTTCAAAACTTATAAAAATGCTAAAAGATTGCCACTTATTGAAAGAGCCTAAAGGAGCTGAAAATTTTGATATTTCAGTAAATTCTGCAGCTAATGGGCTTACAAAGGTAGATATTGACCTATTATTTTCAAAATTAACAGGGAATTATGCAAACCCTACTAAGCGTAATGGAATTAAATTTGGCCCAAAATCACACCTATCACTGCAGAATTCTAACAGCAATGGAAGAATGGAATTTCAGCAATTCCTTAAAGCACTAGAAATAGTAGCAATGAAAACCTACCCAGACTGTTTACTAGAAGAAGCTTACATATCACTCATAGAAAATCATATTTTGCAGCTAGAAACAGACTGAAGCCAGCAGAGGGGAATCAACAGCTTATACGTAAAAACTCTTATGGACATGCTCAGAGATGAAGAGGTCATCGAAATTCTTGGCGTCGTCCACAAGGTCATGCTTCCTTATTACAACTTTTACGCCGACACCAGAGGCTATATGAATTTCACTGCCTTTGCAAGGTTCGCAAAAGATTTTGAGCTGTTTCCCGACCTAATTTCAAAGGCAAAATTATTAAGATATTTTTATACATTAGCAGGAATTTATGCACAAACTGAACATCCAGAAGCCCAAGGGTCTGTGAATTCTGCAGCAAATGATTGGAGGGCTCCAGAGCAAACCGAAGTAGAGGTTATTGACCAGCATTTATTTGTGGAGTCATTAGCACTTATAGCAGCAGATTTATCGTATGTTAAAAACGCGACAGCAGTTCAAAGAATCTGCTCACTGATGGAAAGATTAAGCCAGTCTCAAGGGCCGATCATTCTTGGGATTTCTGCAGGGAATTCTCAGCCAACTTTTCAGAAATCAGATATGATAAAGCCTATCAAGCAAAAGTATCCGAATATGTTTGCACGTGCAAGAAGCCCTTCCAAGCCGTCTTTTTCTGAGCTAATGTCTTAAAAAATTATTTAAATAAATATGCTTATTTATAAAGACTTGATATAGTGTTTTCCCATGGATGGCACTATTTGGCCTTGATTTTTTCAGTGGAAAACCAAGGTCAAAACAGCGCCATTCACACAGGAAATTGCAATATTTTTTATATTTATAAGCCAATAATACACACTATATGATGATGATCTTTCAAACCAAAGAATTTAGTCTGCATAAATGGATATATGATTTTCTACCTTTTTATCTTACCCTTTGTAAGCTCTTTAAATCAAGGTAGCCAAGTCCCATTAGACATAGAAAACTTTTCAGATCCTATCTGTGACAAGCACAGCGAATGCATTTCATGCTCTTTTGAAGAATTAAGGACTTTTGATGTCTGTGCTTATTCAGGATACTATCAAACTGTTTTTTGTACCATGAGAAATACGCTGGCGAATTCTACACAAGAAATTTCATATGTGTCTTCATGTTTTCCTGCAAAGGCCTCAATTTTATCGAGTTTCTCATGGTTTTTTATTATTTCAGCGATAAGTGCAATATTTTTAGTGTATAATTGGAGGATTTTGAGAAATAAGAAAATTGAAGCCCAACAAGCAAACTTAGAAAACATAATAAAAGCTTAAAATTTACAAATTGAAATTATTATCTTTTAATCCTCGCGGATATGCTAATTTTGGGCTCCTTTTCATTTGATCAGAACATTTTAGTAGGGTGATTTTTTTCCCAGTATTTTTGGTCAAATTTTTCCTTATTTTAACGGCTTTTTGAGGAAATATCACATGAGGAGAAAGCTTCGGCCAAAAGTCCGATATAAGAAAAGACTATAAAATGGCTGGCGACATAATTTTTGTAGTTTTTCTGAAAGTGGAGATGGAGATATTAATTCATAATTTCCCACTTTTTCCGGAAGTTGGCCAAATGGGCGAGGCTTTTTGCCACCTAATATTCTGGTGAGATCAATATTCATTTGAGAAGCACAATTGTTAAACTGCCCTTTTTGCAGTTCATGCATTCTTCGGTCTAGCACATTAAGGAGCTCTTTATGATTGAAATAGAGAGGATCAACTAAATCAAGCGTGTCATCAATAAGTTGCTGCTTGACAAGATCATCTAAATAATTTTCTCTGGCTAAGCTTGGGCTTGAGTTAATTTCAATTAGTCAGCATTGGCAATTGGAATCAATCATAACATCGTACCCTACTAAATCAAAACAGCACTCCAAGCTTGGGATTTCGCTTTGCACTGCAATCAAACTTTTCAAAACAATTTCTTTTATTTGTGCCCAAATTTTTTCCCAATCAACGCCAGACCTTCCTAGCCTTTCTTTCAAAGTTTTTAAGGCAAGTTTTGTTCCCCCAAAAATAGCATCGACTGTCTCATTTTGGGAATTCTGGTTGTATTTTTGTATAGAAGAATTTGTTAACTCCCCCCCCCCCCCCCCTCCGTGAGCGAACAAAACCATTAGAAAAATCGCCATTTTTTGACCAAAAACCCACCCTCCGTGAGTGAACAAAAATTTTTTTAATAGAAAAAAATTTTAATGGAAAAAAATTTTGATATATAAGTGATAATTAGTATAATGAAATCTAGAGCTAATTCTGTTTAATTTTAAACAAATTGCGTTTTAAAACATAAAATTTTGCAAATTAAATTAATATTTGCTTCCCAATTTTTGCAAATTAGGATTTTTTTAAATTTTCGAAAAAAATATTTTTATAAAATTTATATATAAATTTTTTTTTAAAAAAAAAAAATTAACCCCCCTCCGTGAGCGAACAAAATTTTTTTGTTCGCTCACGGAGGGGGGGGGGGAGTAAGTGAATAAATTTGTTAGAAAGTTTGTCTGGGTTTAAGGAAAATGGTACCGTGCTTACCCTTGCGAATCCTTCTTTATATAGGAATACTTCAAGAGGGGAAAAACTTGTAATTAAAATATACAGCCTTAGGTCGAATTTATATCCGTCTAATAATAAAGGATTCATAATATATCGTTGAATTACCATTGGTTCACCATATGTAACTTGATTTAAATCATTAATCACTGAAATTCCACGTCCTCTACTTTTCCCTATAGGTTTCATAATTCATACATTTCTGCTAGAATCTGAGTTTTCTAGCTCTGTATAATTATCAACAAACTGCACATATTCCTGGGGTAAGCAATAAGTTTGTGGGATTATTTTCCATAATTGGTTACATTTTGCTGAAGCTTTCATTATTCTTTCAATGTTTTTTTTAAGTAAATCTTTTCTTGAGAAATTCTTTGTCTCAGGGAAATGGTTGACTTTTTGCCAAACAAGCAGCTTTGGAAGCTCTATACGAGGCTTTGACCAAGTCCACATCACATTTCATGTAAATTTCAAATTCATACCATGAGGAAGCTCATTTCACCCTTTTTTCTTATTAAAACCTCTGCTTACAATATCATATACTTCTGGTCTTGCCCTTACAACTCTAAAATACATTTCTTTATCGCATGGAACTGAAGGTCTTAAAAACTCTTTCCCTTGATTTACAAGGTCTCTTGGATTTATTTCTAAAGGAGCCAAAGAAAGCTTGAATTTTGTATGAATTTCGAATTCTGGACTTGTAAGAAGAGACTGGAATTCTTTGAACATTTGATAAGCCTCACGCAGAGCAGCCACTGCATTAAAGTCGCGGATTTTGCCAGATCCAGCAAAAATATCGAGAAATGATTTATAAATTCCTGTGTAGTCTACAGCATCTATTGGAGTTTCTTTAGGAGGCCTGGGAATTGATTTTTTAACTGGAGTCTTTTTCTCTTGTTTTGGAGGTTCTTTTTGAGCAGGCTTTGGTTGAGGCTTGTGGGATAAAGGAGGCTTTGCAGCTTTGATGATCTGGGGTTCTAATGCTGGCTTTTCTATTTCTTCTTCATATTCTTCTTCATCACTAGATTTTTGGCTTTCTTGAGGTTGCTCTTTTTTATTTTTAGAAATTAATTCACGAATATTTTGCAGTTTTTGGTGGTTTGATGAGTAAAAATGCATTCCTTCTTTAGTTTGTGTGATTAACACGTCTTCAGAATTTTTGGTGATTTCGGATATTGTAGATGGATCTAAATTCTCTGTAGGCTTTGCAATTGTAATTGTCATTTGATGAGGATTTTCTCGAGTAAAGGGCTCTGCTGAGATTTCTTGGGATATAGAAGATACTGATTTTTCTTCTTGAAAATCTGGTTGAGATACTGAATTTTCATGACTTATGCCAATACTTTCTTCTCCTGTTTCTATATTTTCCTCGGATTTTAGTTCATTTTCAGAGTCTGATTTATCATTTGATTTTTCTAATATTCCAAAATTTTCTTCAATGTATCTTTCATTTTGTGCACTTTTAGACTCAGCGTCACTGCTAGATGAGCTTTCTTTGTCTTCTTCAATTAATAAATGGCTTTCTTCATTAGTTTTGCAGCTCTCTTCAAAATTTTGGGTTTCTAATTTCGATTCAAATATATTATTTTTTTCTTCATATGCTTGATTCAGCTGGCTTTCTCCAATAGCTTTTTCTTTATTTTCTTCGTTAGGATTTTCATTTATTTTGCTATCTATTTTCTTTATCTCTTTAATTTCTTCTTGTCTTTTATCTTGAATTTTTTCTTTGGTTTCTTCTTTTTTTAACTCACTTTTGGCCGATTTAATTTCAGGCTTTATTTTTGCATTTTTTTGACTTTGATCTTTTTCTAAATCCTTTACATTTTTTTCATTTTTCTTTTTAATTGCCACTTCCAATGAATTCTCTCTTTTTAAAGTAGAGGATTTTTTGTTTATTTCTTTTTCTTTAATTTCAGAGCTTGCTCTATGGATTGACCCTTGCTTATTTTCAGCAGTTTTTGTAGGCTTTTTTACGGGTGAGGTTAATTTAAAGTACACTGTACTTTTTTACACCCCCTCCGAAAACCTACAAAAATGACTGTGTACTTTTAAAAATGGTCGTTTAGTGTGAAAAAAAGTACAAACGGTACTTTTCGATTTTTTAAAAACAGGGGGGTGAAAAAAGTAAACGGTGAAAAAAAAAAGCCAAAACAGAGGAAAAAGTACATATAAAAATCAATATTCTATCAAGACTAAGTAAATTTAAGCAAAGAAAGGCCAAGGTTAAATTGCATAATAAGCAGCTTGTATTGCATTATAATAAATACTAAACAATATTGCTGGAAAGAATGCAAGAGCTGCATGATAAGCAATAAAAAATATTTGGCTCTCAAAATAAGAGGAAAAAAGTACGCTGCAAAATATAAAATGATTAAAGTGACGTAGAATAATCTAATATAAAAGACTAATAATAAGCACAGGAAATTTCCTTAGAAAGGTCAACTTAATTTGTTAAATAAAAGACCAAAAGTTACAAAGAAATATAAGAAAAGTGATTATGGAGAAAATTTTAAAAAATGGATGAAAAAAGTACATGTTTTTTTCATATGCAAAAAAAGAGTGAAAAAAGTACTCATAAAATTTTTAACAGTGCAAATTTTGGATGAAAAAAGTACAAAGGGAAAAAAAAACAGAGGAAAAAAGTACATTGACGTTTTATATGAAAATACTAATTTTTTAAATATGTTTACCTTAAAATGAGAAGAACGCATCAATTTAATTTTGCTGCATATATTAATTCTCACTCCCACCCCCTTTAAATTGGAGCAAATATAGGTAAAATTTTCCCTTTTTTGATAAATTAGCTCCTTCAATTGGAACAAAATTTAATTTTATAATAAAAAATTATATATAATTTTTATCTAAAAAAGTTTTGATATAAGTTAAATGCTTCTTCTTAACTAAAATAAAAATTTAGTTATATCTTGCTCTTATTTAAAGAAAGAGAGTATAAGAGCATTTTATTTAAATAAATTTATTATCCTTAATTGCTAAATTTTCTATTTAAATAGTTTTGATATAAATTCAATAGGAATTCTTTATAAAATATAAAAATTTACTTATTTCTTGCTTTATTTTAAAAGTATAGAGTATAAATAGCATCTTATATAAACAAAATTAGCACTTTGATCGATAAATTTTCTAAAATTTTTTTTTTAATTTTTTTTTTTTTATTAATAAAAATAATAATTTTTGTGTAAATAATTTTGATGCCAATTAATAGTGGCGTATTAACTAATAATGCAAATTTAGTTATATATTGCTTTGTTTTAAAGGAAAAAGAATAAATAGCATTTTATTAAACAAATTTATTAATCTAATTCGATAAATTTTTGAAATTTTTTTTTTATAAAAAAATTTTATATTGATATTTTTTTCTAGATAGTTAAAATATGGCGTCTTCGTTTAGGTATGGCCTCACGGCCATACAGCCTTCGACTCATATTTTAATTATACCCGGCAAGGTTTTTCTAGCCTTGAAATGGACAGTAATGCTAGCAACCAATTCTAGAGGAGCGTAGAACCTAGCCCAAGTCCAAATTCGAGACTGGTTTTTACCTCTTAGGAAAGGAGGGTTAAGATTTGGAAAGGGCAAGCCCATCAGAGTCTACAGGTAATAGCTAGACAATTGGGCAACTGCCTAGCGTGAGACTGGGCGTTACGTTCCAGGATCTGGACTTTACCCTTTTGCCGACAGGCTATTAGAAATTCCATTTTTTGGAATTTCGGAATGCCAACTTGTATTCCCTCAGCCTCAGGAGGCCTCACAAACCCGTAGTCTGCCCACACTCAACACTGGAGTCTTTTACAAGAGACAAGGAGGAGGCATCAGTACTCCCGCTTTATGTGGGAGTGATGTCGCAAAGCGGATGAATCCCACAAGGGATCATTGTGATTGCGTTAAAATTAAAGGCACGAGCCCGTCTGTTTAAGTTAAGTTAAGTGATATTTTTTTCTAACAAAAAAAAATTTTTTGTTCCAAATTAAAGGGGGTGGAGTGAGAATTAATATATGCAGCAAAATTAAATTGATGCGTTCTTCTCATTTTAAGGTAAACATATTTAAAAAATTAGTATTTTCATATAAAAAGTCAATGTACTTTTTTCCTCTGTTTTTTTTTTCCCTTTGTACTTTTTTCATCCAAAATTTGCACTGTTAAAAATTTTATGAGTACTTTTTTCACTCTTTTTTTGCATATGAAAAAAACATGTACTTTTTTCATCCATTTTTTTAAAAATTTTCTCCATAATCACTTTTCTTATATATTTCTTTGTAACTTTTGGTCTTTTATTTAACAAATTAAGTTGACCTTTCTAAGGAAATTTCCTGTGCTTATTATTAGTCTTTTATATTAGATTATTCTACGTCACTTTAATCATTTTATATTTTGCAGCGTACTTTTTTCCTCTTATTTTGAGAGCCAAATATTTTTTATTGCTTATCATGCAGCTCTTGCATTCTTTCCAGCAATATTGTTTAGTATTTATTATAATGCAATACAAGCTGCTTATTATGCAATTTAACCTTGGCCTTTCTTTGCTTAAAATTTACTTAGTCTTGATAGAATATTGATTTTTATATGTACTTTTTTCCTCTGTTTTGGCTTTTTTTTTCACCGTTTACTTTTTTCACCCCCCTGTTTTTAAAAAATCGAAAAGTACCGTTTGTACTTTTTTTCACACTAAACGACCATTTTTAAAGTACAGGGTCATTTTTGTAGGTTTTCGGAGGGGGTGTAAAAAAGTACAGTGTACTTTAATTAACCTCACCCCTTTTTTACATTATTTTGAAATTTGGGTATGCTGTCTTTTCTCTCTAACTCCTTCTTTTTAATTGGAGTGTCTTGGATTTTCTTTTCTTTTTTTACAGTTGGCTTGATATTCATAAAGCTTTCAACTTTTTTAGCGACTGGAACGCTACTCCCTCCAATGACAACAGTTTTTTCAACATGTGTGTTTTTCAATACATTTTTTACGAAATCTTTATTTTTTCTGATATTTCCTCTCTGTTTTCACAGTTTTTCGCCTATGTCTTCATCCTCTCTGCTTTCGCTTTTATATTCATCATTCGATTCTATTGTAGCTTGAGTGCTTATCTCTTCTTTTTCAATTTCTTTATACAGGTCTGAGTTAAATTCTTTAACACAAAACATAGTAATTTGATTTATGCTTACTCTTTCATCAATTTCTATTTCTATCAGCTCTAGAATTCTTTGAGCTTTTCTTGTCCATTTTTCAGAGGCTGAAAAAGATGATGATTGAAGGGCTTTAGAAATAGCGTCATGATGGGCATGGAGATCGGTTTCATTAAAATCATAAATTTCTTCAAATGCTGGGAGTTCAATTTCCATTTCTTATTAAAATTGGAAAATGGAAATTTAGATTAAGAAGAAGCTATCTATATGCTAAAATTTAAAATAAATTTATGATATCTAGGCCCAAAGCGTAATAATAAATAAAATAATAATCGCTGAATTTTATGGAAAAGAATGCAGCTTAAAATACGATTAAAATCCCATAATTTTTAAGTCACTTCCCCAGCTATCAGAAAATTTTTGCCTATTCTTACTCCCCCCCCCCCTCCGTGAGCGAACAAAAACCATTAGAAAAATCGCCATTTTTTGACCAAAAACCCACCCTCCGTGAGTGAACAAAAATTTTTTTAATAGAAAAAAAATTTTAATGGAAAAAAATTTTGATATATAAGTGATAATTAGTATAATGAAATCTAGAGCTAATTCTGTTTAATTTTAAACAAATTGCGTTTTAAAACATAAATTTTGCAAATTAAATTAATATTTGCTTCCCAATTTTTGCAAATTAGGATTTTTTTAAATTTCGAAAAAAATATTTTTTTATAAATTTATATATAAATTTTTTTTAAAAAAAAAAATTAACCCCCCTCCGTGAGCGAACAAAATTTTTTTGTTCGCTCACGGAGGGGGGGGGGGGGAGTTAGAGATTTTTCAAAAATTTTTAAATATTAAATACATCGAAAATTGCTTATTATTATGAACGTTTTCAGTTAAAAATTTAACAATACAAATTTTAACCATTTACTCCTCAATAATAAGCTACTCATATTAAATTTAATTATTGAAAATCTCAAATATCCCCACGAATAAGCAATAAATAGCTTATTACAGAGTATGAGTTAGTGTATTATAATAGATTAAAGTCATAATAAAATTCTCTTGCATATTTTACATGGTTCAAGTATGATTCTCTTTTGAATTTCCTGGAAGTTGTTATTCGGGGAATGTGTTTTTGGTTAATTGCAGGCACAAACCTTGGCTTAGCCACAAATCCTGTCTTAGGATTTGAAATTAATTTTCTAGAAGATCCCATTCTGCTTTCAGGTACATAAATTTTTTCAAATTCTTTTATTTTTCGCTGCCTCATAGGCATATGAGGAGATGAAAGGACATTAACTAAATCTGAAACAAATGAGTCATCTTCATTAAAAAAATCTTGGACACTTTTTATCGGCTCAAGGCCTAATTTTAAATGTCCTTGATCTTTAAGTGGCATGAACCCAGAAAATTTTTCACTATTTAAGCTTGCCCGGACTTTCAAAGGCTGAAGTACGTAATTTGAATATTTAAGCACTGAAAACGATTTAGGAACTGCTTGATTTAATTTATCTGGAGACCCAGGATTAGATTCTGGGAGTAGCAAATTGTCGATTTTCTTTTTAGAGCTAGAGTCTCTATAAGAGATCATTATTTTACCATTTTTACTGAATGTTTGTGCAACTGACCGATAATAAAAAATACCTTATTTCTATAATAATCATGTTTGTGAAACAGTTCTTTCATACGACACCTATTTCATGACGACTATTTTTTGGCCTATTTTTTTTTTGGCTTATTTTTTTACCTAATATTATTTTACCATTTCTTTTTGCGTTATTTTTTAAGGCCTATTGTTTTTGTCTATACTTTTTTGACAATTTTTTAATGCTAAAAATTTCTTAATGTAACTTCTGCTAAAAACAATGGCTAAAATTGATTGAAAACCACCTCATACAGTCAATATGGAGTCTTTTCAAAGCAAATGGACCAAAGAGAGTTTAAATTAATAAATGAATGAAAAAGAAGGGACAAAGAAATATAGCATTGTGTGAAGATATATTGTGAAACATCTTATTAAATAAATATTATGCGAAAAGAAAATAATTTTTTTCTGAAAATTAAGTATCATTTTAGATTTTAGAAATTATTAATGATTTATTGAGATTAAAGCTAATACCAATAGCTTATTTAATAAATTTAAATTAAAAAATAATAATATCATAGTGATAGATTAAATTTTCTAAATATGTCATTGTTAAAGGAATTTGCCATTTAGAATTTTAATAAGTAGTAACTTCCTTCTTTAAAATATGGACTTTTTACAAATTCCAGCCTCATTTCATACTCCAGAAGATAAGAAGCCTAGTCCAAAAATTATAAAAGTCCGCAGGAGGCTTTTAACCCCTCAAAATCAAGAAGCAACAGTAAGTCAAAAAACCTTTAATGTTGCTCATAAAGTAAGCAAACCTCAACCATCTGAAACTCCCCTTCCTGGGTCAATCGAAGAAGATTTTTTATTAGAATCTTCAGACAAGCCAATTCACTTTTTACGCATAAAAAATCCTAAAACAGGAAAATTTGAAATAAATCCCCATATATTCACCCCAGAATCTGAAAAAAAAATCCTCCGCAATTTTTAAAAAAACTTATAAAAAAATATATTTTAATAATAAAATGCATTCAAAAAATGTTTTAATCCTCCCATAACCCCGAGCAATAAAGAAATTTTATCTAAAGCTAAAAAATGTGTAACAGTTATCAGTGCTGCTGAAGTGCTTCAAAAACCTGTGAAGACTTTAAGCTTCCAAAATTTATCAAGAAAACCAACAGTAATTGTAAATCCAGAGGTAAAATATAAGGAAAAAATTCAGCAGATTAAAGAAGGCATGAAAAAAGAAGCAGAAGCAGAAGAAAGATTGCTGAAATCATTAAAAACAGGCCAGAGAATAACTGAGACAATGCAAAAACATTCTTTAGAAAATTACTACTCAACAAGCCACTCTTGGCACAAAATTTCTAATTTTCTATCACACAAGCTGAAAAAGGAGCCCCAAGATTTAAGGCTGAACTCAGCCCCTAATTTTAGACAGAAAAAAGAAGCATGTGAGCTGCTAGATAAAATAGTTCCATTGAAAGATAAATATGGAGTTTTAGCTTGAAATTTAACACTTAGACAGTGGCCAAAGTCAGACGTTCCTGGCGAAGTGTGAATTCCTATAGGAGGGCAATTAAGTGGGCTATACACCACGATTAGACACAGAAGTAACACAAGTCAAGAGTTTATTAGAACTGTAGGATCACATTGCAGTTCGAGAGGGAGCTTAAGAAATTCTCAATATTTTAAGCAAAAGCTCGAAGAAAACCAAAGTAAAGACCAAATTTTGCTTGACAAGGAATTGGACGATATGATGGTTCTAGGTGAATCAAAATTCCCTATTGAAAAATCAGCTGCAGAAATGATAGGGGTTAGATTTTTAGCAACTGATATAGGGAACAATGTGATGCCTGAACAAACAATTGAACTGAATTATGAAGTAAAAGTCAAATATTAGCTATATTATATGTGATTTATATAAAAATCTATATTTTACCTAAATTATTGATCGATGATTAAATTTTCAGCTGCATATAGCCCGGGCTTCCTTTTATATACCGAAGTTTCCCAACGTTGGAAAGAGAGAGTTGGCTCTATCAACATTCGTTGGTAAACCCCATTCCCCAGATAGCAAATCCCAAGAATACAGTGGATTTTTGAACTGGGGAGTTAGTTTTATCAACAAATGTTCGTAAAATGAACTCCCCTTCCGATGTTGGGAGATATTAATATAGCCCTAGCTAAAAGAAGGCTCCAGCAATAGTAAAAATTGGATTAAAATAGACTCATAAAAAATTGGACAATAGATATGAATATATGATAATTAGTTCTAAATCAATAATGCTAACGACTTGCCTCTTTCTAAAATGTTTTAACAATAGAAAATGGTTTGCTTGATCCCCACTCCGTTCTCAAGCAAACTCGTTGAAAAAATCCCCATTATTTTAGGTAAAAAATCACTTCTGAAAGGAACAAATTTACTATTATTAAATATTTTTATGAAGAGATATTTTTATATAAAAGAGATAATTATTATATCATGAATTGGATTTTCGATGTAGAAATTTAATGAAGAAACGAAATTATTGAAATTTTAAACGAAAACTCATGAAAACCCTGAAAAATTTAAAATAAATAACAGTTTAGAAATTAAGTTGCTCATAGCTTAAATGATAATTAGTATAATGAAATCTCTTCTAATTCATTTTAAAAATAAATTTTATAAATTAAACTAATTTTTGCTTCCAATTTTTATCAATTTATGATTTTTTTGAAATAAACAATTTTCTAAAAATGAATTAACCCCCATCTGTTAGCGAATAAAAAGTTTTTATTTGCTCATTGAAGGGGAAGCTAGATAAATAGCTATATTAGCTTCATAATGGCTATTTGGATTACAATGATGATACATCAAAATTCTTGACACACAGGAGACCTTGGTAATTTAAGTCTCGACTTAAATTTTTTATTTTAAAATTTTTCGCGTAATTCCCATAAGAATACCCAAATTATAAATTTATAAAATTTGCTCTTTTTCAAATATGTTTAGAATGAATGCTTATCAGTAAAAGCTGCAATTTGTTCCATTTGTAAATTTTTGCATCATAATAATCCTAAGAATATGGCTGGCTGGTTGTAAATATGAAAATTTTTGACAAAAAATATCATCTAACAAATCCCAAAAAATCTTCCTCAAGCCTCTAGAACTTCTAATTGCCTCTAAAATAATTCATCTCTCATTCCTATAATCAATAAAAAATTAAGAGGCAATCTACTAAAAATAATTCCTAAAATTTAACAGTCACTTTTTGTAATCTTATTCTTTAAGCAATAGTTTCAATTCTAGACTTTTTTATATATTAATTTAAGGCTTCTGATTTCTGTTGAGATAAATTAATTAAATATGAAATATTGACTTTAAAAAACAACCCACTGTACAAATATTTGTTAAGCTTCAGGGCTGTCTTGCTGTACACTTTCAACAACTTAATTTGAGCTGCTTGAGTAGAGAGAGTGGATTATAGAGCAATCATTAGAAAGGAGACTAGGCATGGAGTAGCTATGAAGCGACTTACTTCTCTTCCGTGAACAGTTATAAATTTTATATCGCAAATTTATTTTTCCTCAAAATTAACAAAATTCATCAAAAATTTATTTAATTGCTTTTTAATGTAACTTTTTGAAATTATACGGAATAGCTAGAGATTTGATATAATAATTATTACTTATATGCCAAAGTAATTAAAAATGTTTGTTTTCTCATGGAGGTGGGTATTTACCCAAAAATAATGATTTTATCCAATAGTTTTATTCGCTCCGGAAGAGTAGGAGAGTTAGGAAAAAATGGTTCCAAGCCAAGCTCTTCAATCATGTAATGGCTGATGTATTTTTTCATTAGCAATCATTTTTCTAGGCACTGAAAGTCGTGATTTCCTCTGCAGCAATTAAATTCAAACTTATCACAAAGAATTCTAGGATTTAAGTCAACAAATAAAAGCTCAACATAGTAATAGTAAGATTCTCTCACTCCATAAGGAGTGAAGTATTCCTTGCAGAATCCTGAATTAAAACTGTTCGCAGTTGCCTTAAATTTTTCTTTTCTCTTAGATTTTCCATCTGTTTTCGGGCCATTTTCTGTCTTGCTGATTTGAAAAAGGACTTCTTCGTGCTTGTGGAAAACCTTTGTTAGCTTCATCCAAATTTTCATTGCTGTAGGGTTTTTAGGGTCAAAGGAATTTATTGTTCTTGTTGGGATCTTTTGGTTTTTAATCTGACGCAAAATACGCTTATGGCCACGTATAATTCTACACCTCAAATATTCCTTTTTAGGTGGAGTTGTTGAAGCTCGCTTTGCATTATAAAAACAATTTTTGATTTTAGCTTCTAGCTTGCTTTTCCGTCCTGAATAAGGACCATATGATTGAAGCTGGCTTACCAAAATATTGTCCATTGATTGCATAAATTTCATTATTTAAATTTTTATTAATTTGGCTAGACTTAAGCTAATAATTAAGAAATTTATTATAAATATTATCAGAAGAAACTAGAAAATTTTGGTGGTTAAAAAATAGATGAATAGTTGAAATAAATTATGAAATGCTTTGGCCATATTGCTGTGGACAAAATAGAAGCGAATAGGGTGAAACAGAAGATGGATATAAAAAATGGAAAATCACTATCAAAATTCGATTCAATCAATCTTTTTATTGCTCAAAAATAGGATTTTCGAGGAGTCTTCTAATAAAAAACGAAAATATCATAATTCTATAAATCATAATTGTGGCGACAAAAGAGTAATTTTATAAGGGACACGTAATTCTGATAAATTAATTAATTTATTAATTCCTGAGTATTTCTATATGATTTATATAATTCATGATTTTTAATAGCTATTTTAAATGAATTATAAGTTAATTCTCATTCCTCAAATTTTGAATTAGTTAAGATTTCATGTGCAATATAATGAAAATATACATAAAAATAATTGTCTTTTCTTTAAATTTTAAGAATGATTAAGTAATTAATACTAAAATAACATTAATAAATACGCGAAGTTTGTAATAAAAACAATTTTATTGCTTTAGAGTTAATTTATAAAGACAGATTGATATTTACCACTCATTTAAAGAAATTCTGGAGAATAAGTATTAAAGATTTAATTTAATTAGTTTAAAATATTTGAAATTAGCCCAACCATCAATAAAATATCTTCCAGCTTAATAAAATATTAAAAATTTAAAAACCCTAGAATAGTTTATCACTATAGGAGAGATTCCAAATCATTTTTGTCCTAAATATATATAAATATTCCATGCTCTTTAATTGTTTTATGCATAATTTTAATAGATCTTTATTGAATAGATGAATTTTTATTCTCTTTTAAAAATATTAAATTGGTTTTGTCGATATACCATTTTGATTAGGATTTTAATTTTTAAACATTAAAATTATTTAAATAGTCAAAACCAAAAAAATTGTTTCATTCAATTTCTGAGAGATCCATGGTTGCATTTTCTCTTAGGCTTTAATTAAAAATATTTAATTAAAGCATTTATAAATTTAGATCTCTATTCTGGATGTAAATTCTCCTTCAAAACATATTTTCAGTAATAATTAATTAGCTATCTCTATCTATTAAGATTTACTTTTCTAAAGATTTAAAACTAAATCCTGCCTATTCATTAGTAAAACAGCAGAAGTTTTAAGTCCAATATTAAGATTTTGAATATCATTAACGTTAAGTTAAATTATTAAGAGCCTTACTGCAGAGCTTGCTGCTTCTGAAAGAGCCCCTTCAAATTCGTGCGCATTTCAAATAATGAAAAAACCTACCCCTGTATTAGACTTTAACTTATAAGCTCAGCATTACCATCTCACCTGCGCAGAAAAAACTGCCAGATACCTTAACTTTTGATTCACTAAAAGAAGCCAGTATGATGAGTCGATTTACAATACCATTTTAATGATAGATCTGGAATATCAATTAAGAGATTATTTCATATTATTATTTTAATAATAAAATACACATTTAAAGTTCAAATTGAATTTAAATTGCTTTGTAAATAATCTAAAATAATTTTTATAAATTATCCAAGGCTAAAAATAATTATTTTTTATCATTCTATATTTTGTATTTTATATTTAAATTTTTTCATTTCTAAGACGTTGAGACCCAAAATATTTCATAAATTATAAAATTTCCACATTGACAAACTCCTTAAAAAATAAAAATTATTTTTACCTTAAACATTATTTTATGATTTTTGAATTCATTCCATTTTTTGAAGACCTTAGAAATTTAAAGATGGGCTAATTTTAAATTATTCCTTACTTGTTGATTATAAAATTATCGTTAACATATTAAACAAAATTCGATCTAGATGCATCATTTCATGATAAATTTTAAGTTTTCTAAATAAATGATGAGCATCTAATGATTTCTTAATTAATCTAATAATGAAGTTTATACAACCAATGGATCAAGTATTGGTCAGTCAACTCCAGACTTATGCTTCTAACGCAGGTCGTAAAAGCAAACTAGAGGCCAGGATCAGAAGTTGCTTTTTTAACACCAAGCGATCAACCCCTATGCCTCCTAAGAAAGAATATCTAAGGTGCAGAATCATCCGTGGCCATAAGAGAGCATTAAGGCAAGTCAAAAACAAGAAGATCCCAACTAGAACGATAAATTCCTTTGACTCTAAGAACCCTACCGCAATGAAAATTTGAAAAGCGCTTACAGAGTCTTTCCATAAATATGAAGAAGAACTTACCCCAATTAGTCAAACAGAAAATGGGCCTAAAACAGATGGGAAGTCTAAAAGGAAAGAAAAGCCCGATGAAATTGCCAAAAGTTTTAATTCCGAGTTTTGCAAAGATTACTTCGCTCCTTATGGAGTTAGAGAAACATATTATTATTACATTGAACTGCTGTTTGCCGATTTAAATCCAAGGATTCTCTGCAACAAATTTGAGTTTAATTGTTGCAGAGGAAATCATAGCAAACAGTGCCTTGAAAAATGATTGCTGATGAAAAAGTACATCAGCCAGTATATGATTAAAGATCTTCAATTAGAACCATTTCTTCCAGATTCGCTAGAATACTACTCCATGCCAAGCCTTTTTTCATACAGTCATTCTTGTACTCAAACTCGTCGTTCTAGCCGTAAAAATTATGGACCCTATTTAAACTCAAAAATAGACTATTATATTTCAAAGTCAGAACTTGGGGAGTGCTATATGAACAAGGTAGAAAATTTAATTATTTAACGAAATGAAGGTGATAGCTAAGGAAAAAGGCATATAAATGTTTTTTTAGGCTTCTAATCAATATAATTATTAGTTAAAAATTTTTGCTGGCTTGCTGCTTTTCTAATTATATAAATGTTTAAAATATATCGAAAAAAATTTGCCTGAGCCTTTCTCCAGAGTTTATACTAAAGGCTTGATGATAAAAGTTCAAACTTGTTCATTAGACTTGCCATGCTGACCATATTATTTTGGCCAATAGAAAATGGGACTTGAAAATTGTTTTTTTTACTAGAGTCCTAAACTTTTTTTATTCTTCTAAAAAATTTTTCAATGATAGATTTGGCTATGTTTAGTAAGAATTCTTTAGCCTAATTCCCAAAAACTTATCGCTTTTTATAGGCTTTTGAAATTTTTTATCACAAAGATTATTAAATTTCAAATTCATTTTATGCTGAATCAAAAGCCCAGTAATAATTTTTATAATTCAATAATTTAGCTTAATCATCATTATCTGGAGCCATAAAAGTTAAAATTATGTTCAGCTCAAAGAAAAAAGATTTTCTTTGGAAATAAAGTATATTTATTCTTTTTGAAATAGGAGTAATAAATTTATTTAAAATCAATCACTGTAATATAATGACTTTAAGCTTCATCAAATTTTAAAATAATTAATTATTTATTTATAAAGTTAAATAAATTTTTCAACAATGGTGTCATTAGGGAGACACAAAAGACTATTGATACTTTTATTAAGCATTATTATTCTCTCTTCATTCTCTTGAATGCTTATTATTTATATCGAAGGAATTTCTGAAGATAAAGAAAATATCATCAAGCCAATTATTTGAGATTTCGATAAAGTTCCTATAAGTTTTTCGGATGAAAACAATAGAAAGATTCCAAATGACACTATTAACTCTTTAGAAATCCCTAATTCACTCTTAGAGTTAAAATGGAGACTTTGGTCGAATAGGACTCTTAGGTAATCCTCCTGATGAAGTGGGTGGACCGGAGATTTGCTGAGAAATTGTCTCCTAGCGAGCGAATTAGTAGACCATCTCAATGATAAAACAGCCGAAACATGGCATTTTTATTATCCACAGAAGGTTACCAGTCTTTGAAGTTAAGCTAGGCTGGTTCTGCAACTGCATGATCTTACTTTATCGGACACGATATGGGCACATCTCAAACAACGGCTCTGCCCTAGAAATTAACCCCTTGGATATTGTTAAGGTTGAAAATCTAAGGCAGCCATCCATCTTCCTGATGAGAATACCGAGGGAAATAGGCACTGACCTTTTGCAGTCAAAATAAGACAATGTTTAGTGGGTTATCCAGCTTATGGCCAGAAATTGTTTTAACTTTAACTTAATTCACCCTTTCAAGGAATATAATATGCTCTAAAAATTTTTTTCTGAAGATAATTGCATATAATATTTTAATTTAAATTTAATGATTATTTTAATTAAAACTTCCGAAAAATCTACTAGATTGCTTGAATGGCACTGCAAAATATATAAATTAACTGGCTTCACATCTAATAAAAAATTTAAACATACTTCTGTGAAATGAAAATTATTCTCAGAGTGATGGAAGGATAATTCAGAAGCAAAGCAAGGAAGTAATTTTGGAATTGATGATGAAAAAGCAAAATACTCAGCATCATGAGTACCAGAAAAAGCAGCTTTTACTGTCGACCCAACTGATTATTTTAATACAAAATTCAATGTAGTAAATCCATGAGAAAATAAAGATAATTCGGAAAAAGTGGAAAATGGCATTGATGACACTAATAGCGAGATAAGCATAATAGAAAATCTTATATTAGAATCAAAGCAAGAAAACTTTGAGATAAAGTCATCGTTTCTTTCAGCAAATGTAAATATTTCTGAAGAAAATATTGCCTGTGTCCCTGAGATGCAAGGTTATACACAAGAGCAAGCCAACTGGAGATATCGATATAGAAATAATCTTTTTATATTAAATATGGCATGAATATCTAAGCTGCTATTTTGAGATGCAAAGTATGCATTTATTATAAATGGCTATAGGAAATTTGGTTGTGGCTTTGAGTCTCAATCTATATGAAAAATAAAAAATAATACTCTACAGCCAAGGACCGTTTTTAGATCGCCTGGGCTAGCAACTTTTCCTCCAATTCATGGAATGGTTTGAAACCAAAAGTTACCAACCAACTCCTCGAGTTGACAAGTGAGTATAGACATAACATTTGCCAACTTGTGGAATTGGTTTGGCAACTTCTGGTTCCAAATCACATACACAAGCTACTGGTCGAGAATGGGCTAAAAGCCGTCTTGGGCTATAACTCTTCATTGTGAGCCTGAGCCAGGACAATTTGTATTAGGAAATTTGCCTGAAGATGAACTAATAGGAAATATCAGATATCAGACAAAATATCAGCCTTATAGAGGTCCTTTAGATCTTGGCTCTGTTGAATATGGATTTGTTAAATGTGGAATTTCTAATAAACAAGCATTTTTATTCAACAAATTTTCCGAAAAAGTTTCACAAAATTCCCAAGAAAAACGTCGCCAAATAATGGATAAATTAAATATAACGGACTCAAAGCCTCAGACTGTCTTGATAATTCTAATAGATTCAGTTTCAAGGAATCATTTTTACAATACGTTAACAGATACTGTGGACTTCCTTAATAAAACAATAGTTAATGGAAAATATTCAAAAAATTATGCTATTTATGATTTTTTAATAAATGGTGCATATAGATAAAATGGAGTATACTTCCGACCATCTTCTCATGTGATGGCTACCCATGTATATCTGGCATGATTTTTAAAGCTATAAGTTGACCCAGAAGCAACACCCAAGCAAGTGGACACCGAAATGGAGCAGGGTGACTTATTGCTCAAGTTTCTACTATGGGTTTTCCGAATCGCTGAAGCGGCTGAGTATTTCAAGGGATAACATGAAAAAAGGAGAGGCAATTAGACATCACTAGCAAGGCAGTATTCCAGTTAAGAGCCTTTGGGCGTTCTGGCTGGGTATAATGGGCAGGGTGGAGTAATTAGACTGACAAGGGACCAAGCTGAAAATTGTGGTGCCCCAACAAAGGATGTCGAACCTAAAAAGGGCAACCAATACTCTGAAAGCAGGGATTCAGCCTGAATTTGGAGTTACTAGGTGGACCCATCTAATTCACTTGTGCCCCCAGACAGCTTTAAGCCGCCTAAATGCCATTTCTTAGAAGCAGAAAACCTTTAATATATAGCATTAATCTAATCTAATCTTACTTAATGGTGCTCATGGGGAAAATACACTACCTAATTTAATTCCTATGATGTTTGGCTATAACTATACTACACATAAACAGAAAACTAAAAATCTATCATTAAAAAAATTTGAAGACAAAGAAAAATATATAGCACTTCAAAATGAAATTTTATGAAAGTTTTATAAAGACTTAGGATATGTTACTTTATTTGAATGGGAAACTAAATGAGATTTTTTAGCAGATGCTGTAGGAAGAAAAATATTATGTGATCATGTAGCCACGAGCTTTTGGCGAGGAGCTGCTGAAATAAACGGGTTTTCTGATTTTATTGATAAACAAAGATGCATTGGGATTAATCATTCTCACCAATATATGTTTGACTATGCTAAACAATTTTTAGAAAATTATAAAAGCCACAATAAATTCGGGTACTTGCACACAGTGGCAGGACATGAAATAACTGGATCAGTAATAAAAAGTATGGACACAGATTTATGGGCATTTTTAGATTGAATTTTAAATTTTCACAACGAAAATAATGAGGACTTGGCAATTCTTTTAGCCTCTGATCATGGGCTACATATGGGCCCATGGGATCGTTACGAAGAAGGAAAAATTGAAAATTTAACTCCTTTCACTTTTCTAATAACAAATAAAGATTTATTAACCTCCCTCTGTGAGCGAACAAAGCCATTGGAAAATCCCTATTTTGCTCAAAAACCATCCTCCGTGAGCAAAAAAAAAATTTAGATATATAAGTGATAATAGTATATATTAAATTCTCTAGCTAATCCTGTTTAATTTTAAACATCTTGCATGCTAAAACATAAATTTTACAAATTAAATTAATATTTGTTTTCCAGTTTTTGCGAATTGTGATTTTTTTTAAATTTCAAAAAAAATTATTATAAAATTTATATAATTTTTAAAAAAAAAATATCCCTCCATGAGTAATATTTTTTATTGGGGAAGTAAGAAAAATCGGTAAAAACTCCCATGAGAATTTAATGCATAACACGAAAAGAATGATGACAAAGTTTGATATAAATCTTACTTTAAAGAATCTTGGATTAGCAACATATGGGAAAATCGCTGAAAATTCTGATATATACAAAAACTGGAAGAAAAGAACTGGGGTAAAAGATGCAGTTTCTTTATTTCTTGAGAAAATTAGCGATAATCGAAACTGCGAAGATGTAGGAATTCCTGCATATTGATGCAAATGCTCAAAGTTCAAAGCCATTGAAATTGACAAAATTAGTGGCTTAGCTGAACACATTGCTAATGAAGGAATAAAAACAGTCAATAGGAAGGTATGAAAAGATAAATCACATGAATATTGCTCCCAGATAACTCTAGGGGATATTTTAAGTATAGAACAAGAAATTGTTTCTCATAATGAAATATTCAATAGAACTTACAAAGTAAAGATTTCAATAAATGAGAGTTCGGATTTTATATTTAGCATCCAAGCGTATGTAGCACCAGTATTCCTCTCAGAATTAACCATAAAAGAAGAACTAGAAAATGAACTTTACCCCTTATCTGATTTTTCTTATGGAAATTTAATTTTATCAGTTCAAATACACAAAATCGTCAGAGATGACCAAAATTGGGACTTTTGCATAGAATTGGCAGAGCTTCTAACTGCAAAACACTCTTATTGTGTCTGTAAAAGCCCTAAGACTTATGATCTTGAAAATATTCCATCTATGAAAAGAAAATTTTATTATGAAAAATTTAAAAAAAAGTTATCAATTATTGTTGAATTAAAATATATATAAAATGGCGATAACTTTCGAGCCGTCCTCTCGTGTGACTGTTGCCCATGCATACCCGAGCATGGTTTTTGGAGTTGAGGAGTTAGCCCAGCAATATCAGTGAGGGTCTTAGGCACAAAACTGCAGTTTGTGGCTTGATCTGACTGGCAGCCCTCTCAACTTCTTTTGCAAGCAGTATCCAAGCAATTGGACGCCCGAAATGGAGCAGGGTGAATTACCTACTCAAGCCGCTACTGTGGTTTGCCCCAAATTGCGAAGCGGTGGACTATTTTTTAGGGATGACCTAAAAAAAGGAGGAAACTAAACACGCATCTATTAGCTGTTTACTCAGGTTAAGGGTCACTTGAGTGGGACGACTTGGCTAGGAGTAGGAGATAGAAGTTGGCGTAATAAGGTTGATGAAGGGACTGAGTTTGAAATGATGGCGTTCGGCTAAAATCTGCGGACCTAATAGGGCAACCACTACGAGAAACCAGGGATTTTATCCAGTGCTCAGATGTTCCATAGGAGGAAGTCACCCAATTCGCTTAGACCACCACACAGCTCTAGTGGAGGGTGCAGAATGTCGCTTGTGGTAATGGGGACTTTAAATATTTAGCATTAACATAATATAACCCAAAATTGTTGAAATTGCATATAAATAAATGGTTTCGAGACTGACTCACCCCAGTGGTGAGTCCCTTATGCATATCCGGAAGGTTTTTTTGCTGCGAAGAGCTTCCTAAGGGTTGGATTAGTCCTAATAGGAGAGACACCACACTATTTTTGCTGATTAGCCCTGACTCGAGTGACAGTTCTTCACATCTTTTCTGATCCAGGCTGGATGTCTGAAAGAGCTAATGAAATTTTCTTTTGGTTTAAACAAAGAAAATGAAGGTAAGTTCGACAAGAGTTCTCAAGGACGCAAGCCTCTCAACTAAAAGCGTCCTACATAAAGGACGATCTGACTTAATCTAAGCATTAGGAAAGCTCCCGGAAAATTCTGATGCACTGGATTAAAAAGGAATCCTTAACTAAGAAATTGAGGCTTCAGCCTGACAGGAATTAGGAACTATTAATATAAAACGTTAATTTAATCAAATCTTATTGTTGGAATTGCAAATTCTACATGCGAGGAAACATGCAAAAAAGAAGGAAAGCTGTGCGAAAACTGAGGGTTACAAGTATAGTGTTTGCCTTTATAAATTTTTAAGGGGCAATAGCCTTTCAAAAAACAACTTTTTTGAAAGCTCTAACTACCCCCCCTCCGTGAGCGAACAAAAACTATTAAGAAAAATCCCTATTGTTTGCCAAAAATTCACCCTCCGTGAGTGAACAAAAAGTATTTTTATGAAAAAATAGTTTCATATAGAATGAAAATTAGTATAATAAAATTTCTAGCTAGTTTTGTTTAATTTTAAACAGCTTCATCTTAAAATATAAATTTTACAATTAAATTAAATTAAAATAAAATAAATTAATTTTCACTTTCCAATTTTGGTGAATAGAAATTTTTTAAATTTCGAAAAAAATATTTACTACAAAATTTATATATAAAAATAATTAATCCATCTCCATGATTGAATTAAATTTTTTTGTTCGCTCAAAGCGGGGGGAGTCAGCGAATCTAAAAAGTCAAAGTTAAATTGAAAATTTCTCTTATTATCAAATTTTAATTCGGGCATTTCAGAATTTTTTAAAAGGCCAAAAGAATCTTCTATTTAATTGCGCTTGTCCTCAGAAATCAATAATTAGGCAGATGCTATAGTAAATAGGCTTGAAATGCTGACTGAGCCTTGAAAAGAGAGACAAAGTTATACTATGTATATGGATAACCAAGGAAGAAGCTTTAAAGAACTTAGAATAAATGAAATTGAAGAAGGGGAATTTGCGGGAATTTATTTTAAAAACCAAACATATAAATTTGTGCAAGGAAATTGGGAAGATTTAAGCTGCAATAAAAGAAATGATGAAGTGAGACCAATTTGCCCATGCTCTATATATTAAATGCTTAATAGGATAGATTAACATTATTTATAATTAACATATATAAAAATTATAAATAGAAGTATGATTATGTTAAGACTGAAAATATGGTAGCTAAATAAATAATGAGCTGGCTTGCAAGGACCAAAAAATCAATTCTTATTATTTTCAGCTCTTTGCTATTTACAAGTTTCTTCTGAGTTTTTATTGTCTACTTGGAAGATAACAACTGAGAAAATCACGAAAATACAATAATTTTAAAAGACGAACCAGAAGAAAGAAAAAAAGCAGAAAATGATAGTTTCAGTCTTACTTTCAAAGAATTTTTTGATAAAAGTAATCAGAATGAGTCTCTACCTTATGATTTTAGCACTATTAAGTCTCAAAAATTATCCGAAGAGATAATTTTTTACGATGAAGATATAAAATCTAAACCTCAACACCAAGGGTATACTAGTGAACAAAGTGAGATTAAATTTAAGTACAAGAACCGATCTTTAAGCTGCCCATCAGAAGTGAGGAAAATCTTTTCGTTAGAGAACAATAAATTGACTATGAACTGCTTTGACTCTGAAACTCCTCAATACATATTAGGAATTTCTCCTGATGAAGAAATAATTGGAAGTGTCAAATTTCCAACAAATTGAAGAGTTTATACATCTCCATTAGATATAGGAAACACTGAATTTGGTTTTACAAAATGCAGCAACTTAGAGAAACAAGCCTGGCTTCATAATATTTTTTCTGAAAAAATTTCGGAAAAATCCTTAAATAAAGTAATTGAAATTGCAAAAGAGAGCAGATTGTCTAAAAAGCTAAGGCCTCAGACTGTGCTAGTTTTACTTGTAGACGCTGTGTCCAGGCAGCATTTTTATCGGTCGATGAAACGCACGGTTTCTTTTATGAATGAAAATATAGTAAATGGAAAATTTTCGCAAAATCACACAGTTTATGATTTTGCTAATGGGAATGCACATGGGACAAAGACCTTGACTAATCTAATTCCTATGCTTTTTGGGCGCTCTTATCTTGACCACCTTTCAGCAATAAATAAGCTTTCTTTAAAAAACAATGGAGACGAAGCTAAATTTAAGAAAGTTCAAGAAGAAATTATATGAAAACATTATGAAAAGTATGGGTTTGTTACTATGCTTGGGTGGGAAACGAAAATGGATTACTTGGCTGAAATGATTGGAAGGAAAATTTTATGTGACCATGTAGCTGCAAGTTTTTGACGTGGTGCAGCTTCAATAGAAGGGTTTAATGACTTCAGTGACAAGCAAAGATGCATCGGCCATCTCCATTCCCATGAATATCTATTAAACTATACAGAAGAATTCATCAAAAATTATAAAGGACATAACAAATTCGGATATCTACACTTTTTGTCAGGACATGAGCCGACTGGCTCAGTTATACAAACTTTGGACTCTCATTTAGCAACATTTTTAGAAGAAGTTTTGACGTTTTATGATAAAAATGATGAAGATTTAGCGATTTTTCTAGCTTCAGATCATGGCCTACATATGGGGCCTTGGGATCGATATGAAGCAGGAACAGTGGAAATTGTAACTCCTTTTTCTTTTCTTATTACTAGCAAAAAATTACTATTAAAACTTGGCCCTGACACTCATGATATACTACTCCATAATACGCAAAGGCTAACAGGAAAATATGATATTTATCTCACTTTAAAACATTTAGCTTTAGCTCCATATGGAAATATAGCAAATCAATACCAAGAATGAAAAAGTGGCATTAATATAAATTCGGCAGTTTCTTTATTTTTTGAAAGAATTCCAAATAATAGAACCTGTGAAAACATAGGGATTCCTTTACATTTTTGCAAATCTTTGAAATACCAAACCATTGATTTGCAAAAGATTCATAAACTGGCAGACCATATTGCAAAAGAATCTGTTATTACGATAAACAAAAAAATTGCAAAAGATAGAGCTAAGGAGCTCTGCTATGATTTATCCTTTAAAAAAGTCCTTGATATTAAAGAAGAGACAAAAGAAAGTCAAAATTATTCTGGAAAAGTTTACAAAGTTACATTTACAATAAACGAAAGTGAAATAACCATTTTCAACACAATTGCTTATGTAGGGAATTCGGATAAATACTTAAAAGAAAATACAGAAAAAGAGGCCTACCCACAATCAGAATATGAAAATTTACAAGTACAAATAAAAAAAATAATGAGAGTTGATGAAAATGACGATTATTGCATAGAATTAGCCAGTGTTATTTTTACGAAAGGGCACTTTTGTATATGCAAATACCCAAAAGATTTTGACATAAATGCAAATTTGCCAGCCAAAATAAGATCATCACTTGATAAATTGAAGAAAACTCTGTCAATAATTATCGGAAATTCAGGCCAAAATTGTACACAGGTTTGCGAAGAGAATAAGAAGAAATGTGAGAAATGAGGGTTTTGGATTGTAAATGAAAAAGAGATATTGAATGAGCCTTGAAGAGCGCAATCAACTTACCAAGTTTTAAAAGATAGAAGGCATGTTGATTTTAAGAATCTTCATGTAAATGATGTAGAGAAAGGAGAGCTTCCTGGGCTTATAAATGACCAAAATATTTATAAGTTTGTGAGGAATGATTCAGGAAACTTTAGTTGTGGTACGTATAGCGATAAAATCATGCCTATATGCCCATGCACGCTTCATTCGTTTGAATATTAATTATTTAGGCTAATTAATTCCTTGAATGTTTTTTTAATATGGCTCCGGGATTTGTTTAAAAATAACTGGGAAGTCAATACACGTTTCATTCTTTTATTTAATGAAACTAAATTAGAATTTTGATGTTTCTTCAACTCCAGACTCAAAGAAGACTTTTATTGTTTCTTAAAAATCAATTTTTAGTTATAATTAGAATAAAACGCAATTGAATAGCTCAACTATATGTATTTTTTCTTTCCATTATGATTTTTAGAGCGAAAGAGCCTTATATTATAATAATATTAATGCCTTGGCTATTAAGCAAGAAACAGTCTCTAGCTATTATTTTAGGTACTATATTTGTATTTGCTTTATTTTGGTCATCAATAATATATACTGAAGAAAAAAACCTCAAGAATTTAAATATTAGCGACACCGATGTGGTTATGTCTGAATCCAGTGAAATTTCAGATAACCGTATAAAGCCTTCAATAAATAAAGATCAAGAACAATCCCACAACAATGAATCAAAAATAAATGCAGAGCCATCCAGACAATATCCAATAAAATCACTTATACTAAGCCCTATTGCTAATATCACAAACAAAATAAAATGTTCTCCTCCACTGAGTGGCTATACAAAACATCAAAGCAGCCAAAGATATAAATACGAAAACCGCCAACTAAGCTGCTTTAATGATCCATTTGAAGTCTTTAGAATCGAAAATAACACCTTAAGAATGGACTGCAAAGGGCTTCAACCTGCACAATACTCATTAGCAAACTCTCCTGAAAGCGATATTATTGGAGATGTAAAGTATGCAGCTTCTTGGAAATCTTATATATCCCCAGTTGATATTGGGAATAGTGAGTTTGGGTTTGCTAAGTGTGGGCCTTCTAAAAAGCAAGGTTGGCTTCATAATAGATTTTCTCCATCAGCTTCCCTTAGAGCTCAAGAGATGAAGGATACTATAATAAATAAGCTGAATTTAAAAAATAGGCCAAAGCCTTTGACTGTGCTAGTTTTGCTAGTTGATGCAGTGTCAAGGCAGCATTTTTATAGGACGATGAATAAAACCGTTGATTTGCTGTATAGTTTATGCATAATAATAAATCACTATAGTAAAGCAGAATGCCGAAGACCAGGAAAAATATGGCCTAAGAAACTCGGTCTACAATCCTAAGTTTAATAAGGTATCTTAGCACCATAAACAGAGATTTATCATTAATTCGCACTTTTCAAAAATTTTGGCAAGGGGAACTTTATTTCAATAATTAAAATAGATGGCCAATAGTGATCTATTAAAATTCAGAATTTATATAATCTAAACGCAGAGAGTTCAGATTTATATACAGTCTTCGACTTTTTCAATGGTAACTCGCATGGTGAAAATACTTTGCCGAATCTAGTTCCACTACTTTACGGGCATACATATCAGGAGCACTTACTAAAAACTCAATCGCTTTCATTGAAAAAGGCTGATGACGCAGAAAAATACTCAAAAATCCAAGAAGAGATCATATGGAAGCATTATGAAAAATATGGATTTGTCACGATGTTTGGATGGGAAACAAGGTGAGATTATTTCGCAGAAATAGGAGGTAGAAAAGTTTTATGTGACCATACAGCAGCGAGCTTCTGAAGAGGGGCAGTTGAAATAGCGGCTTATACTGATTTTATTGAAAAGCAAAGGTGCATAGGAAATTATCATTCTCATCAATATTTATTAAATTACACAAAAGAGTTTATTCAGAACTATTTAGAGCACAATAAATTTGGATATCTTCATTTTGTATCAGGCCACGAAGTTACAGGCTCTGTTGTGCAAATGCTAGATTCAGATTTATCTAAATTTTTAGCTGAAACTATAGATTCTCATAGAGAAAATGACGAAGATTTTGCTATATTTCTTGTTTCTGACCATGGACTTCATATGGGCTCGTGAGATAGATTTCAAGAAGGGATAATTGAAAATTTATCCCCATTTACCTTTCTTATCACAAATAATAATTTTTTATCAAAAATCGGCCCAAACACTCGTGATATCTTACTAAGCAACACACAAAGACTGATTAGTAAATTTGATTTACATTTAACTCTGAAACATTTAGCCGCAGCCCCTTATGAAGATGCAACGGAATATAGTGATTGAAAAAAAGATGTTAAAATAAGCTCACCAGTTTCACTGCTTATTGAAGAAATTTCTGAAAATAGGACTTGTCAAGATATTGGAGTTCCCTTATATTGGTGCACTTGCCTAGAATACAATAATGTCGAAATAAAAGATATAAACGCCTTAGCACTTCATATAGCAAATCAAACAATTTTCACAATAAATAAAAAAATCCAAAACGATAAAGCTGACGAGTTCTGCTTAGGGGTATCATTAGGAGAAATCTTAAAAGCTGAAGAAGAGACCAAAGAAAGTGAAAATTACCCAGGGAAACTGTATAAAGTTACTATATCTATAAAAGAAAGAGAAGGAATAATTTTTAGTGCTTTTGCATATGTCGCTGACTTTATTAGAGATAAAAAAATCGATGCAGAAACTGAAATTTATCCTCTTTCCCAATTTGAAAACTTTAATGTCCAAATCCAAAAAGTCATAAGGGTGGACGAAACTGATCATTTTTGCTGCGCTTTCTCAGAATTCGTGGGAGCGAAGTGCTCATTTTGCGTCTGCAAGTATCTCGAAACTTTTGAAATCGATAAAGGTATGTCTGCGAAGAAAAAACAAACCTTTGATAAGTTAAAAAGAAGTGTCACTATAGCTATAGGAAATACTAATAGGACTTGTGTAGAAACTTGCGAAGAAACTAAGAAAAAATGCGAAGAATGGGGGTTACCAATAGGAAATAAGCTAGACCTACTTAAAGAGCCTTGAAGGTCTCAATCTGCATCTCTTGTGTACAAAGATGGAGGATATTTAGATTTCAAGTCTTTGCGAGTTGACAAGAAAATAAATGGAGCACTACCTGGGCTTATTTATGAAAATAAAACTTATATATTTAGTGAAGCAGATCAAGAGAAACTTGCATGTGATGTTAGGGATCCTATAATTATGCCAATTTGTCCTTGCACACTTTATTCATATAATTAAAGATTATTAATCCATTACATGTTTTCTACAGATTTTCCTCAGTTGCCTTACTTTCTGTAGTCTCATGATTGAGGCTCTCGATTTCACTATGAGATGCAGCTCTCTCATGAGAAATATCTTGACTAAGGATTCTGTTAGAAGGGTTCCTAGCACTTTGTGCCACGCCCATGTCTTTCGATTCATTTTGGCTTACTGGAACAGTATTGCTTTGGAAATTGTTGCCTCTGTCATCTACAAGCACCAATTCTCCTTCTTCAAGCTGTAGCATCCCAGCTAGATAGTCATAGTCTTCTTTGCCATTGCAAATTTCGATCAACTCTTTGATAGGTAAGGACAGGCTGAAGCTTTCAGGGGTTTGCGTATCAAACACTACGATTTTTATGTTTCTAAATAATACTTACTTTTTCCCTTTGTACATTTCAATCAGAAAATATTTTCCACTAATTGTTAAACCTTTTTTAAACACTAAGTTGCTTTCCCCAAGTGGTGACAACTTTCTCGGTTTTTTCGACCCAGAACTTGTTGAATTTCTTAAGAGCACATTTCCTGGAGTCCATCTCCCATCGTTGCTTTTACGGTTTCTTGAATTTCCTAACGCATAAGGAAATTCGCACATAAATTGCAGTCTTCTTTCAGAGTCTCTTCTGTCGTCTTCCCACTTGTGGACGTTATAAGAAGGCTGCTTTTCTTGCAGCCTTTTCAGTAAAGCTTGATTTTCCGCTGTAATCTGCACAAGCTGTCTCCTTCTTAATTCTCTATTCAAGCTTTTTTTCGGTTGAGTAGAAGACCTCGACGATCTTGCTATCATTATATGAGACATTTTTTCCAGCAGCAAGCGATTTTCACGTTCAATTTCGGTGAACCTTTCTTCTATCATTTGCTCTTTTTTAAGTTTTCTTTTAAGATGGTTAAATGAAGCTGGGCAGGATTTGTCGATTGAAGATTTCATACGTTTGAGTTTGTCGTAGTGAATCTGCAGCTTTTGTTCGTCCCATTTTTTGGATAAAACTTTATTGCCGATTGGAATTGCTCGGAACATTGTTTGATTTATGAAAAAATGGATTCAAGTTGAAGAAAAGAAGAAAAAAGGTAATATATGATAAGTCAGTTGGAAGTTTGGAAAACGTGATATAGAAAAGGAAAAAGATTTGATAGCAAGAAATCATTGAAATAAGATATGCTATTTGTAATGAATGAACCATTCCTACTGGCTAGTCTTGCAAGATGAATATAAGATAAGGGCAGCCAGTAAGAATATTTATATTTGTATAAGTAGGTATAGGAGTCGACAAAAACACGAAATAAATTAAATATTAATGACATCTAATAAAAATTCTTTAATTTATTAGAATTCAATCTAAAAAGGTAAGTGAATATTTAAAATTAATAGCGTTTAAAAATGAAGGAATTGAATACAGCTTGCAATTATATCCCTTGCAGCGCATATTTAAATGAGTTATTAATATTTACAAGAAATTTAATTATTTTTGAAAATGGGACATTACTTTAAGTATAGGGGGAATCCATAATCGTGATATGCGATCTTCTTACTCCCCCCCCCCCTCCGTGAGCGAACAAAACCATTAGAAAAATCGCCATTTTTTGACCAAAAACCCACCCTCCGTGAGTGAACAAAAATATTTTTAATAGAAAAAATTTTAATAGAAAAAAATTTTGCTATATAAGTGATAATTAGTATAATGAAATCTAGAGCTAATTCTGTTTAATTTTAAACAAATTGCGTTTTTAAAACATAAATTTTGCAAATTAAATTAGTATTTGCTTCCCAATTTTTGCAAATTAGGATTTTTTTTAAATTTCGAAAAAAATATTTTTTTATAAAATTTATATATAAATTGTTTTTAAAAAAAAAATTAACCCCCCTCCGTGAGTGAACAAAATTTTTTTGTTCGCTCACGGAGGGGGGGGGGGGGAGTTAAGCATAATTTGAGGAAAAAATATGACAAAGGTAAAACCAGCATAAAAGAAGCAAATCCATATATCAAGACATAGCCTCAGCTCTTTTGTGGGACTGATTGAATTGCAATCATCAAAAAAGAAATGCAAGCAAAGCTTAAAATTGAAACAATAATGATATCTTGTAAGGAAACTCTATTTCTATCTTCCATGATCCTATTTATTGTTCTGAATATTTCAATAAAATTAAAAGACAAAATATATGAAGCTTCTTGGAAAGAAATATAATTCTAAATATTTCAGCCTTTTTATGGATATTTAATTTTTATATTGAAATTCGCTCAGTAATCAAGCTTTCGCAAAAAATTAATGGCTTATAAAATAAATGATTCTCTTTAGGAGAATGTCCCGATTAACAGATAGCTACTATAGAATACTCGAGCTTTCTCCTGGGGCTTCGAAACAAGAAATTAAAGCCTCTTACAATCGCCTTGTCAAGCAATGTCATCCTGATGTGACCACTAACACAAACAAACGCGAAGCTGCAAACCAATTTAAACTCATCCATGAAGCCCGTGAAAAACTGCTTGGCATGCCTGAAGAAAATCAAGAAGTCCATGAGCCCAATCAACAATATAGCAAAGCCAGTGAAAGTCATTACACCACAAGAGACTATGAAGAATTCAAGAAAAAGCAAGATGGATGAGCAAAAAATGACCAAAAAATGAATCAAGAGAAATCCAGTCAAAGCAATTACAATTATACCGCAAAAGACTATGAAGATTTCAGGAAAAAACAAGATGAATACGTAAAAAATGAGCAAAGAATGCATGAAGAAATGGAAAGAGAAAAAGAAAGTAAGCGAATGAAAGAAGCCTGGGAAGCTCATAAAGCAAAGTATGAAAATGAAAAGGAAGATGAACCAAAGTATGAAAACATAAAGATACCTCAAAATGATTCAACTGAAGTCTTTATATTTCTAGGATTCTTGGTAGGTTTATATCTTTTGGCCTGCGGGATAAAATACATTCTTCGAGTAATTAGTTGAGGAACTCCGTCGTGGTCTGGAGGTGAAAATCCTTATTTAGCATCAACTGTAGATCAAGTACTAAAATGGAGGAATATTTATGACAAAGCTCGATACTGAGGAGTTGAATATTCTACATATGATAGAGAGTTTATTACATATAATAATTATGACGGAACAAATCATTCGAGATTTGTAAAATACGGGAATGCAGATGAGAAGAAATATAAGTGTCATACTTGTCAGGAAAGGATGAACTCTATGGAGCTTGTCAAAAATCATGTAGAAAAATATAATCCTAATGGCCCGCAAAGCGGACTTGATTAACTATCTAATGTTAAAGATTGGTTATATTTATGATGAGGTGAAGAAAATAAAGTAATGATATTTAAAAAAATTGTAAATCATTATGAGTATTTTAAAATTCTATCTTACATGAATTCTTGTTTTTGAGGTTTGTAATTTAAGGACCACATCTTCATCGATTACTTTTCTTTCTAATTCAGGGGGTTTTAACATATTCATTATGTCCAGTTTTAGCTCTTTGATTTTTGGGTCAAAATTTATACTATGAAAAGTATGTTTAGTGTCAGCAAAAACTTTTCTGTAATAAACTTCACTGTGGGATAGCTCTTTTGGCTCCTCTTCCATACACACATCATTTACTACAGTAGAAAAAACGCTAAAAAGTCGATCGTAGCTTTCTGCAAAAATTAATGATTTTGCTTCAAGTCTTCTCATGGTTGGGGTATTGCCAAACTCATTTAATGACTCAAACACCTTATTACCGAACTTTACAAATTTGCCATAGGAATTATAAATCCATCTAAAAAATCCTGTTTTTTGTGGAGGAGGCTCTATTATTTCAGACCCTGCTGATTTTATTTCTTGAAGTTCTATAGCTCTAGGTTCAGCTTTTAATGCAGATTCAGTGTTATAAATTTTGATATCATGATTTACCATTCTGCCAAGTTCATACGAAGGCATAAAAGCAACATATGGCTGATAATTAGAAACTACACTAAGCATGCTCCTATAAAACATTGCAGCCCGAGTTCGATATTTCACAAAAATTGATGGTTCTGATCTTAGTCCATAACATGTTAAAAATTCTCTAAATGCTGAATTCCCACCTGCCACTAAATGCCTGAGCTCAGAAATGTCCCATTTATCCTTTTCGATAGATTTTACCTCACTTATTTCTTGGCCGAGCATTTTATGATTTGAAGCACATTTTGAACAAATAAAGATGCCATGATTTATAGATGCAAAGCTAGGCTCAGGTTTTTCACAGTCAAAGCATTTGGTATTCTCAGGGTCTTGCTTGAGTTTTACTACTACTTCTTGCAAAATTTCATGAGTGATCATTATTATATCATAAATGGCTAGGAAATTTCTGGCCAGAAAAGATTGATAGAATTAAATAAATGCTAGAATTAACAGACTATAAATTATTATAACTAGATCAAGGGAATTTTTTCAATAGTATTTTAAAACGAGAATTAATTTTGAGTACCTTTTACAAAAGATGTGATGCAATATATATAATATAATAGGCTCCAATAGACTTACTCTAACTCCCCCCCCCCCCCCCCTCCGTGAGCGAACAAAAAAATTTTGTTCGCTCACGGAGGGGGGTTAATTTTTTTTTTTTTAAAACAAATTTATATATAAATTTTATAAAAAATATTTTTTTCGAAATTTAAAAAAATCCTAATTTGCAAAAATTGGAAAGCAAATATTAATTTAATTTGCAAAATTTATGTTTTAAAACGCAATTTGTTTAAAATTAAACAGAATTAGCTCTAGATTTCATTATACTAATTATCACTTATATATCAAAATTTTTTTCCATTAAAATTTTTTCTATTAAAAAAATTTTTGTTCACTCACGGAGGGTGGGTTTTTGGTCAAAAAATGGCGATTTTTCTAATGGTTTTGTTTCGCTCACGGAGGGGGGGGGGAGTAAGCATAAAACTTTAATTGTATAAGAAAATTAATATAAATTATTTATCTAAATCACTCTTTCATTAATATAATTGATTTTCCTTTAAATTTAGTCTATGAAAAAGTGTGATCATTAATATATAACCTTAATCTCTACTTTTATATCTAGAGGTAAAATATGCAGAATTTAAATAGAAAAATGGGTTATAATAAATGAACTCACAAAAATTCGAAGTGATCCAAATCCTAGATGAGTATGAAGATCAACGAAAACAAATTATTGGAGGTAGATATGCTCAGCTAGAAGATGTCTTTAAGAGATTTGAAGATCTTAAGCAGCACATTATGGAAAATATTATGAAGATTGATTTAGATAACCAAGAGCGAGCACGAAACACACAGTGCTTAGCAGATATTGCGAATGAGTTTTACAAAAGAATGCAAAAAATGATCAAAAAATTTTAATTAGATTGACAATTTTAACATAAAAAATTACTAAACTTCTGATCTTTCGAATACCGCCATATATCAATTTACATATCCATTTAAAGCTTAATATTTAGTGAATATTCCATCTTTTCCATACTGCTTAGCTTTTCTTCCTCTTCCCTGCTCCATTTTATGCTTTTATCGCATCTTCCCATAATCCTTAATCTCCTGCAGTCTCTTTATATATTCTTAATATGGATTCAAGTTTCTCAGAGGAAGAAAGCTCAAAAATCGAGTCCTGGGTTTCAATTCGTTTTCTCAAAGAAGCAGCCAATATTCAATCAGTCTACCGTCAACGCAGCCGCAGCTCTTCTCTAGACTCTTCTTCTCCAATCCCATCAGAAGAACCAAGCATTACATCTGAATGGAAGCCTAACGCCTTCATCAACCAAAGCATCTGTTTCAGCGCTGTTAACAGAACTCAGCCTCTAGAACCACCCAAACCTACTGAAACCTCCCAAGAATTGGAAGACTTACACTGTCTCTTGCAAATCAAAGACACCAAAATCCAAAAAATCAAACAAAAATACCAAAATTTGTTAGAGAAAACGAATAAAGAGCTAGTTGAGGCAAAATTACACTATAAACAGGCAAATCAAGAGATAGCAACGCTGAAGAAAATGAACGACATGATAAAAGAACAAAATGCAAAGCAAATAGAAGACCTACAAATGAGGCATGAAAAGAAATTGCAGAGGGTAAAACAAGATGTAGATAGCTATTTAAGCGAGCTCTATGAAAAAGCTGCAGTTTATGTAACGGAAAAACTGAAAATTTCACATAAAAAAGAAATGATGGGGTTAAGAGAACAGTATGAAGAGGAGATCAGCAGGATAAGGATGGATTATGAAGCAGAAATTGAAGAAAAAGAGTATGAAAATCAAAAATTACTAGAGCAATTAGAAGAGCAGACTGAAGAATTTACAGAAGAAACATCAGAAAAATACGAAAATTTAATTAAAAAACATGCACAAAAGAAAAAGCATAAGAAAGATAGAAAACTTGAAACAATGATGAGACATATAGAAGAACAAAAACTAATCATCGAGTCACAACAGAGGATTATTGATGATTTAAGCAGAGAGCTGCAAGAAACCTTCAGAAGAAAATCAAGGCTGAGCAGCTCATCTAATAAATCTTGCCATATAAAATCCCAAAAAAGCTTTCAAGGACTACTTGATCAGCTAAATGGATTTTTAGATACAGCAGATCCAAGCACTTCAAGAGAGCTTGAAGATACTTTAAGAGGCCTCCAAAGCCGCCAAGGAAGCTCAGAAAAATTAAGTTTTTAATTAATATATGTAAATTAATTCCTAACTCCCCCCCTCCGTGAGTGAACAAAAAAATTTTGTTCACTCACTGAGGGGGTTAATTTTTTTTTTAGAAAATTTATATAGAAAATATTTTTTTCGAAATATAAAAAGATCCTAATTTGCAAAAATTGGAAAGTAAATATTAATTTAACTCATAAAATTTATGTTTTAAAATTAAACAGAATTAGCTCTAGATTTTGTTATGCTAATTATCACTTATATATCAAATTTTTTTCCATAAAAATTTTTTCTATTAAAAAGATTTTTGTTCACTCACGGAGGGTGGGTTTTTGGGCAAAAAATAGCGATTTTTTTCTAATGGTTTTGTTCATTCACGGAGGAGGAGTAAGAAAATAATAATTTCTACAATGACTAAGGATAAATAATTGTTATTTAGCTACTGATTGCCTACGAGATTTTTTATAAAAACATTTTCATTCTCTGGGAATTCTCTTGCAGGGTTCAGTTGTGCAAACTCATAAACAGTTTTCGCAGCTAAAAGTCTTGGTGAGAAGTATTCATGGTGCGTTCCCATTCCCATATCCATTTTCTTTATAGGCAGCATTTTATTCAGGTACATCTCCATTTGCTGAAGTGGCCAGAATTTATGTGGTGGAGATTCATGCCACTGAGTGAGAATCTGCATAAGCTTAGGTGGGTGGCATTGTCCTTCAATGATTTCTGGGAATAAATTACCGTCCCCAATAATGTTCATGTCATTGGTAAATCTATTCCAGGCCAGGAGACAGTAAAATTCCATTTTCTTCATGTTTTGGATGACTATTGTAGAAAGTTGGTTGACAAAGCATTCAGTTACAATGTCGCCGTTATAGCAGATTGCGAGATCACTGCCAGCCATAGCGGATTTTCTGTTCTCACAAGTGTCAACTATCTGAACACGGCATTTCCAGCCTTGGATATTGACTCTTTCACTTACTTTCCTGCTATAGAGATTAATTCATTCTATTTTTATATTATATCAGCATAATTTATAATAATATCTTTCAATACTATCTTATTTATTAAAATACTCAAAACAGTAGAAAGTTTATATGGGAAGCTACATAAGCTTTTGTTTTTTCTGTTGTTGGAATAACTACTACGAATTTTTCAACTGGAATTGCATCTGATCTCTTTGAAAAAGGTGCTGCATATTCATCTATAAAAGCATTAGCAGTCTTATTTAGTATTGGCAAGCTCCACGCTATCTCACTTTCTAAGCTCCCAGGCGCTAAAAATAGCACAGTTGCATCTTTAGCAATTCCGAATTTTTCTCTAAAAGTGTTTCTTTCAGCTTCGATGTATTGATCCATTTCTGAGTAAAAGTGGTCTTTATTCATAAAAATTGAGTTTTCTGTCAACAAGTGGTCGCCTCCATTTCTGCTTAATAAGAATCTACATGTTTCCTCGAATGCAGACTGTCCGATATAAGTGCTTGGCATTTTGAATTTATTCCAGTTTATAGGCTCGAGGGGCATTGTATATAGAACATGGTCTAAATAGCTTAACTGATAAGGCTGATATTTATTGACGAAATTCCCATAATGGACCTGCTTAGGCCTCGAAAGGTTAGTTTTTCCATACAACTGAGCAATCTGCCTATGGATCCTAAAGCTGAGCTGGTCGTGGTCTAAAGTAAGCACAACGCTTGGTCTGAATCCTGCAATTTTATCAATAATCTGGTTTTTTGAAATGTAAGCGAGAACTTCGCTCATTGGCTTGGTATATGATTTAGTCATTGGGTTTCGCTTGCTCCAGACCCACCAGTTGTTTTCTTCAATCCATGCTGTCCTGAATGGGACCATTGGCTTTGGGTGGAACATGTCAGTATTGTATAATGGGGTGATGCCTTCTTTAATCATGCCTTCTCCGCCTGATCCAATGAACTTTATTGAATTTCCGCTGACTTGCTTGAGATCGCTCATAAGCTGAGCACCTATTCTATCTGCTTTTCTGGAGTTTGCCAGTAAGCAGACGACACGGCCAGATGAAAAGTATCTCTTCAACATTTTATTTACCATTGAAAAATGGAAAGAAAAGAAGAAAGGAATTCAAGATTCAGAAAAATTCGGTTAGTTAGTAAGATAACCCTTAAATCTGTTTCTCCAGCCTTTTTTATGTAAAATACGACTTCCAATAGAGCAACGGATCGGCAGTTGCACGATTGTTAGAACTTCTACTCGCATTCAGTTACAAAGAGCACTCTCTACAGCCATTCAGTGCCAGTTGATTGACGTCTCTATGGCAAAACTCTCAGAAGAACTGAAATTCTGCTTTACTGAGCCCAAAGTAAGGGAATTACCCTTACCAAAACACCTTTATTTTAATTGTGAAATTCGGTTAAAATGTTTGGGTTAGAAAGCTAAAATAATTATTAGACTTTATTAAGAATAGGCAAACTAATGCTTAAAAAATCTTAAATCCTCCATCCTCAAGTGAACAAACCATTGGAAATTTTATATTTTTCCCAAAACCCACCTCTATGAGCTAACAAAAAATATTCTAACATAAAATTTATTTATGAAAAAATATTTTGTTATATAATTTATAATTATTATAATAAATCTCTAACTAATTCTTTTTTATTTTAAATAGCTTGCATTTAAAACATAAATTTTACATAATAAATTAATTTTTGTTTTCAATTGTGCCATTTGGAATTTTTTAAATTACGGAAAAAATTGATTCTAAAAATTATAATATAATCAAAAAACAATAAATCCCTCCGTTAGCGAACTAAATATTTTTGTTCGCTCACGGGAGGGCGAGTAAGGGATTTAATTAAAAGATGGTAATTTAAGCTTCAAAAGATGCTGGAAAATGGCATTCTTATAAAATTGACTATGAAAAAAAATTCTAATTACTTTATCATTTTTTGGAATAAACATTTTTATTGAAAAATTCTTTGCCTACAAATAAATTTCTACATCAGATTGATTATAATCATAATAATTTTAATTGGAGTTAATTATGATAATTCTTGCTTTATTAATTGATATTATCATAAAAATTATCCCTAGACTTGCACAATAATTTTCGATCTTTGTTTGGTAACATCCAAACTTTGTGTTTTTTCTTAAGTATACACCATTTAAATGGAGATAAATAATTTGGCATTTTCTTGACAGTTCAGTGCTCTAGAAATATTGCAAGCATTAGTTACATAGAACTACCAATAATTTACAAGAATAGAATAGCACTTTAGAAAAAGTCTAAAATAAATAGACTCATAAATCGGCAATCTCCCATATTATTTAGACAAAAATTTTCTTCCCATGATTGAGATAAAAAATATGCCATCTTACGTTAATATTAATTGTTAAATATGCACCTGCAAATAAGGCCAAACCCTGTAGGAAAAATCACAATTTTTTATCTAAAACACCATTTTTCAACAGGAATAAAAACATCCGAAACTCATTCCTATCTTAAAAAAGGCTTTTCTGAGGCAAAAACCTGGTATTCTAAATATGGGACAATGACCAGTACCAAGCTTTACCAAGAATATTTGCCTTTTATGAAGATGAGAGAAGCTACCTCAGTGATAGAAACAGGTTCAGGCCCTGGAAATGGAGTTTCAGCCATATTAAAATCTATTTCTCCATCTTGCAAATTTACTGCTACAGATATCAGTCCAGGGTTTCTGGACGAGCTAAAAAAGATTAAAGCTGAAAACTATTCAGTAGAAGAAGCCAATATAGAAGAGTTGCCTTTCCCTAAAAAAACGTTTGATCGTTACATTTCGAATATGGCTATACATAATGCTGCAGATCCTGAAAAAGCATTTAGTGAAGCGTATAGAGTATTGAAAAACGGAGGTATTTTAGGAGTTTCAACTTTTGGGGCAAACGAAAAAACAAATACTTATATGAGCCTCATGAAGAATTTCAGAGCCTTTATTGGGCAACCATACCACGATTCAATTTTGAATAATCTCGCAGTCATGGGGCTCCCTGAACCTTTTAAAGAGTTTGTAAGCAGGATCGGATTCCAAAGAGTACTTTCGTACTCAGCTATGACTGTTTATCCTTTGAGCACGCCTGAAGAGGCTGCTGATCTCTTCTTAAGTTTCGGTCCTTTAGAAAATTTCATGAAAAACAACCCAGATAAGGCTGGAGAACTTCAAAACTTGGTGATGTCAAAGCTTTATGAATGCCTTATTACAAACGGTACACCAATTGGCTACGATTCCTCTATTTTAATTGCATTTAAGTAATTTATTAACTCCCCCCCCATCCTTGATCGAACGACTCGCCATCGTTCGATCAAGGATGGGGGTTAAAAACAATTTTTTTGGGAAAACAATTTTATATACAAAATCAAAAATATGTTTTTTAAATATTTTTAAACAAGAGGGTTAAGAATATTTAATAATTACTTTTACAGCAAAAAATTGAATTAATTTCATAAAGTACCAATATTTAATATTTTGATTATTAGTCACCCTTTTAAACTGATAAATTTTAATTTGTTCATTATTGAATTAAATTTTTTTTTTAATTTTAAAGAATCTCGATTTTTTAGATTATTAAGTTTTTTAAGCCTAGGTTGATGACTAAATCACTTCGAATGGTTGATTTCGTAGGTTTTTGTCGTCTCAAAGCCTCTGAAAACAACTTCATTAGGTACATCTTCCCAAGCTTTTGATAACTAATATATTTTTATATATATATAAAAATTTGCATAATATGAAAATCGTTCGATCAAGGATGGGGTTTAATTTCCGCAATTTTTAGGAATTTTTACAGTCAATCGTTCGATCAAGGATGGGGGAGTAAGGTTTTTATTAAATTTTTGTATAAAAATTTTTATTATGGACACTGATATCTCCTTGCAAAGCTCTGATAATGAGTTTTGAAACGACTTAGAGTCAGTGCCACAACTTACCAGTTTTCACAAGACGACTCCTATTGATTTTTCATATAAAAAATCATCTAAAGCGTCAAGTCCACCTATATCGCCTAGTCCAAACAGTCCGATGAGATTGATAAGACTGGAAAAACAAATTGACCATATGAGATTAGCCAAAGAAGAAGAAATGGAGGCTTTGAAAATTATTGTAAGAAATAATACAAGAAAAGAGCTCCAAGCGAATGTTGAAGCAATTATTGAAAAGTTTCAAGAAGAAACGAAAGTTATGAAGGAAGGATATGACGGTCTGAAGATTATTATCACAAACAAAGAAAAAACCATAAGCCAGCTTGGCGAATACTTATCTGATCAAGCTGTCTTGATTTCGGAATTTCGCATTGAAAAATCAACGGAAAAAGAAGCTTCGTCGCCAGCTAAAACTTCTGACAAATTCGAGACTCGTGAACTAAAAAAAGAGGTAAAGCTTTTAAAAGTCCAATTAGATGCTTTACGAGAAGTTTGTGCTAGTTGTCAAAAAGATACTGACGAATTTAAGAAAAAAATGATGGCTCTACAAGAAGAAAACGATGCAATGAGGAGAAATCATAATAACGAATTAGAAACAGTAAAAAGAGAAGCTAAAACAGTTGAGGATGAGCTGAATGATGAAATTGATAGGCTAAAGTATGAATTAACGAAGTATAAAGAAGATGTCAACAAAGAGCTTGCGACAAGAGATATCATATCAATAAGGCAAAAGTCATTTATTAACTCTCTTCAAGAAGAACTCAAAAATGCCAAAATTGTCTTACAGAATCCAAGGATCAGAAACAAACTTCATGACCGGCTAAAAGACTACATGGAAGAGCACCAAAAAGCTATGGTTGAAACTATAAGAACACCTAAAAAGACTCATCCAGGATCAATGACAGCTACCTCGAGAAGGACTCAAACGGCTTGAGATATAAAACTGAGCCGCTCCAAAGGCCGCTCTTTCGATAATGATACTGATGAAGAGTCCTGCCTTAGCAAAGCTATTTCGATCCGTCCTGGCTCTATTTCCAAGCGGAATTCCATTGACAACCATTATGCAGTTTCTCGCTTAAGTTCCTTGTAAATTAACTTCTGATAATTTAAAATATGGACAAAAGAAGGAGATCAAGAAGCCCACGCAGTTCTCATCGTCACCATAGTTCCAGCAGTGAGAGATACTCTAGTCATAAATCCAGCAGGCACGAGAGAAGACACCACCATCACAGCCATCGCTCCAAAAAGCAAAGATCCCCATCCCCACGGTACAGGTTCGACAGTCCTCCAAAATCGTTCTTGGCTTATAACCAGCAGCTCTGGGACGATCACAAGACTTCAGTAAACCCTGAGGGTTTCATCAATAAAATTCAACAAGTTGCGTCTACCATCCCTTCATCACAAGCAAATAAAATCGATAGAGAACTTTATATAGGCAACTTACCTTCTGGAATTACTTCAACTCAGCTTGTAGATTTGCTGAACAGCACCATTGCTTCGATGGAATTAAATTTATGGGTAATTTTTATGTAGCCTGGCCCTCCTGTAATTTCAGCTTGGATAAGTAATGATGGACACTATGCTTTTATCGAGTTCAGAAGTATTGAAGAAGCTAAAGCTGGGTATGCACTAAATAATGTAAGCATTTTAGGTCAGCCTTTAAGAGTCGGAAAACCTAGAACTTATGCTGGAAATGAGCCACCGGTAGTCGCTGGCCTCCATGCATTAGGAGCTTCTGCTGTGGGACTAAACAAAGTTACTGAAGATATGGCAAGCAAAATTCTGGGTGGCAAAGGAAGACTTATTTTAAGCGGGCTCCCGCACGGCTACTGCAGAGAAGAAACCAAAAAAATGCTGGAAGAGTTCGGGACCCTAAAATGCATGGACATGCCAAAAGACCCCTTGACTGGGCTAACCAAAGGCTATGCGATTTTTGACTATGAAGAAGACGAATCTGTAGCAAATGTACTGCAGCAAGGCAGTTTTTCTATTGCAGGCTGTAAAGCAGTAGTCAGTAGAGTAGGTAAAGAAAGTTTAACTCAAGCATTTCTCCCGCCTACACCTGAACTAGACAATAGAGCCAAGTTCAGCTCAAGAATTTTAGTATTGAAGAATATGGTGAGGATCACTGATTTAGAAAATGACGATGAGTACCAAGATTTGCATGAAGACGTGCTGGAAGAGTGCAAAAAGTATGGAAGAGTCATCTCTATAGTAATTCCAAAACCTGGAGAACATACAAGTGGGATTGGGAAAATCTTCGTGGAGTACACAACAGTGGAAGAGGCAATGCAAGCTAAAGTAGGGCTGACAGGGATGAAGTTCAACGATAAAAGAGTGGAGTGCTCTTTCCACCCTGAAGAACTCTTTTTCCAAGGCAACTTTGTAGGGTAGGATTATTATAGATTTAATAATGAAGTTTATATAAATTTGTAAAGCCAGACCAAAAGCCGCTATAATGAAATTTGCCTGATAATTAACTATTGCGAAGTTAAAATTTTCATTAAAATTTCATATTAAAAAGTCACTTCTTTAATTCACCTAGACAAAGTTTTGAATCATTTAATTTTAGCTCTAATTCAAATTCTTTTGAAAATATAGCCTAAGTTTATTACCATAGCATCAGATCCATTATAATAATCATCCAATAGTTGAAAAAATGCAAAAAGCTCCAACTCAAGTCAAAGTAGTTCTCTTAGGCGATTCTGGCGTAGGAAAATCCAGTCTCGTATTACGATTTGTAGCCGACAACTTCAAAAACGACGCAGATGCAACCATTGGTGCATCTTACATGGGAAAAATCCTTCAGTTCAATGATAAGATGATTAAGTTCAATATCTGGGATACAGCAGGCCAGGAAAGATATCACAGTTTGGCCAAAATGTATTACAGAGACGCGAATGCTGCCATCATGGTCTACGATATCACTAAACGAGATAGTTTTGAAGGACTCAAAAGATGGCACAAAGAACTTCAAGAATTCGGGCCAAAAGACATAGTCGTCACTATTGCAGGAAACAAAGAAGATTTAGTCGAGACTGAAGCAGTGCCGCAGGAGGAAGCAAAAGAATACTCGAAATCAATCGGAGCTTTGTATAGGAAGACTTCAGCGAAAACCAACTATGGGGTTGAACAAGTGTTCCGTGATATAGCAACTAAAATGTGTCCGGATTTAGAAGCACAAGCCCCTGCTGCGAGGCCGTCAGGGACCATTTCTCTTCAGCCTAAACCTACACCAGCTGGCGGTAAGAAAAAGTGCTGCTAATTAAATACGTTCATTTACCAACATTTTCATTGCTTATTTTATTGAATTTTAATAACGTTATGATAAGCACTATTCCTGTTCAACCATCATATTCCATTGGGAAACAAAAACGGTTTGGACTTAGCTCAGCTATTTATAATGCTCCTGGGCCAGCTGCCTATAATATTCCAAGAGATCTAGCCAAGCGTTCTTCGTCTTTTACAAGAGCTAAAAAACATGCAGCTATGCCTAATGGAAATCCAGGGCCTGCAAGTTATAATACTCCGGCAAAGATAGGAGAAGGGCCTAGGGCTATTATAATCTCAAGAAAATCTATGAGAAACCAAGAAATGATCCCAGGGCCTGCGGATTATTCGCCGAAGTATCTTAAAAGAAATATCAGTTATTCAATGAGAAGCAAATCAAGTGGAAAAAATGACGAAAACCTTCCTGGGCCTGGAGCTTATAGTGGAAACCCAGTCAAACCAAACTCGCCAAGGGCTACAATTGGGAGAGCTAGAAGATTGTCATTAAATTCTGATACTATAAACCCTGGCCCTGGGGCTTATGAATCTAAATGGGAACGGATAAAGAATCCGAATTATTCCTTTTCTCACAGTTCTCGCGATGGGTTTCTGAACACCTCAGTACTAGAAGATGGAAAAGAAAGCGTGCGAACACATAGAAGGATAAAAACTTCCAAAGAAATCACACCTGGCCCTAGCGATTACGCCCCAAACTATAATTGCAATAAAATTTTATCCCCAAGAGCCGTAGCAGGGAGGTCTGTAAGGGATTCTTGAATAGCAGATAAAAGCAACCCAGGGCCTGGCAATTACACCCCTAAATCTGACTATTTTTCTCCAAGATTCAGCTTCTCTAGAGACCAAAAAACGCGTGTCACCAAAGATGTTCCAGGCCCTGGACAATATGATATCCCAAGTACAATCGGGAGCATTAAAAGTACAGCGTCATTGAATAATACATTTTCTTAAGTCTAAATGGTGCTTTATAACATTTTTATTGGATGGGAAAGCGCACAAAGAAGGTCGGGATCGTAGGGAAATACGCCACGAGGTACGGAGCTTCACTCAGAAAGATGGTTAAGAAGATCGAAATCTCTCAGCATGATACTTATGAGTGTGCGTTTTGTGGAAAGAAGACCGTCAAGAGAACTTGTGTAGGCATATGGAAATGCAAGCACTGCTGTAAGACTATTGCTGGAGGAGCTTGGGCACCAACAACTGGAGCCGCTCTTACTGCTCGTCACAACATACAAAGGCTGCGCAAGTTAATGCAAACTGGAGCCTCCCAAACTACAGAAGCAACCCCACAAGCCCAACCACAAGCTGCAGCTAAGAAGTAATTTAAGAATTTTCACATAGTTGAAGATAAGTTTGCGTTAAAATTATGGGAAATAAGAGATCAATAAAAGCATAAGTTTGAGGCTAAGAAGGAATAGGATGATTAGAATGGGGATAAATAATTAATATGGTCCGTGAGTTCAGTTAAGAGGAACCAGGAAATTTGCTATCTGAGTGTGCTGTTTATATGATAATGTGCCAAAAAAGTTTAGATTAATTTCATGGGGATCTGCACTTCATGATAAATGCAAAAGCTCAATGCAAGTTACTCCATATCAATATCATCATATGTGACTCTATGCCTTGAAAGGTATATTATGTGCTTATTATTGAAGTAGGTTACCATGCAAAGTGCTTTATTATTTGCTTCTATGGTAACTATCAGAATCTTCCAAGTTGACTCCGTTTCAAGAATTATAATGCACATCAAAAGTTAAAGCGCATGGCTTATATTATGCTTGATCAAGATTAGATATATATTAGCAATAAAATTGATAAACACTGTTATTTTGAAATCCAAAGAAGTTAAGCAAGCCTTTAAATTTCCTTTGCAATAATTATGTTGCTAAATCTCTTAAAAATTAACCATGATAAGATTTTTTCACTTAGTCTTAGAATTCATTGCTAAAGCAAATAATTAAAAATTAGAGATATTTCATGATTATAGGCAAAGTTATAAATATGGAGATTTCTGCACATATCATCAGCTATACGTTGGCACAACCGCATATGACTGCGGATCTCCAAACGTCAAAGACTCTAAATTCTGTAGTATCAACTGAAAAATCATATAAAATTTCGTTCATAATTGAAGTGCAAACAGAGTTCTCCAAGGCAAAAATTTGAAAAACATGTGATGATTTTTATAATTTTCACAGTCAGCTGTGCTATTTTAGCCATGCCCCTTGCCAAGAAGGTCGCTTAATTGATATCATACCTAAATTTCCACTAAAACGCAATATGTCAACCTTTACGAATCATTCCTCAGCAGTAATCCTTCTTGCCACTTTAGAGAATTATTTGCAGTCCCTTACATATATTCTATCAAACCACTATTTCAACAAATTTGATCCTTGAGTCCGCTTGATTCTTTCCTTTCTCGAAGTCAACAGCATAAAATCACGAGAAGAAAAAAGTGCAAAATTAATAACAAAAATTTTTAAATCACTTACAAGAAATAAATAAATTTACTGATTTTCGTCCTTAAATTCATATTGTTTCCACTCTCTCTTACTTCTATTAAAGCATAAAAGCTGTCTGCTATCATTAGCTGTGTAGATTGAGTTTTCAAAGGTGACAGAGTAATAAGGAAGTAGTGGAGAAATTCCACAAGGCATTTCAGCGATGCTATCATACCCAAACTGAGAAATCAGCAAGGTTTCACTTATATCTTCTTCTTCGCTAGCCCCTCCAAATACCAGGGCATGCAAAGAATCAATAGGCATGGCGATGTGAAAATACACAGGATAAGGCAACTTTATATCAGTAGACTTTCATATTTTTTCTGAGAGGTCATAAATTTGTATCAAGTCAATGGTTTGCAAGTCTCCAGATTCCACCCTAGCACCCCCAGTAACAAACACTAAATGGCCTAGAATATAGGCTCCTGGGTATTCTACTCCAATAGGGATGTCTTCCAACTCTTCTCATTTGTTTAGGTCGATTGAGTACTTTAAGAAGCTCCTATTATAAGCAATCTCGTAGCTATTGAAATTAAATATCTGCCTATTTCCTCCAATACAGAAAACTTCATTTGTATCTCTCTTTTCAATTAACCGCATTCTCCGCTTAGGATAAGGCATATTTTCGCAAATAGTTACTTGTATAGTTTTTAAATCAATGATAAGGACTGATGCCACTTCTTCATTATTCAAGCAATTAATGCCGCCCGCCAGCATAATTTGGTTTTCTTTTAAAGGGGTGATCCCACATTCGCCATAGATTTCATGCGAAATGCTTATCAATGTAGGGGTTAGAGTAACTATATTTATTTGCATTAGGCTGTTTGGTCAGATTGGGATTACAATCATGGTCTCTTCTATGTCAGTTGTGCGGTTAAGAGCGGTTATTTTAGGAGGTTGGTGTTTTTCACTTCATTTTGGGGTCGAATTTTTAGATGATGGTACAATTATATGCTTTGTGTTTGCGCAGCCCATTTTTATACTAATTTTACTATCTTTGAATAAACATTATTAAAATCTCACTGGTCTTTTCGATTTCATTATCATCAGTTTATTGTATTCTTCTCTCGTTAGCTTTATTTTGAACACAAGTTCTTTCCAGTCTCCTTGGAGGTTAAATTGAGACTGAGAGGCAGATTCCAGCCTTTTTGATGGTTTTTGGAGTAAATCCTTGACGAAATCGTCAGTGGAGATTGACTTTGGCTTATCTGGAGCTTTTTCTATAATGATTTCTGGTTCATATGGCTTTTCAACAGGTTTTGGCTTTGGAATTTCCATTTGAAGAAGCTTCCTCAGTCGAAGTTTTTGTTTTTCAAAGAATTGTATAAAAGGATGCTCTGCGTTTTCTTCAAAAAAGTCTTCAAACTCCTGAATCCTGCCTCTAATAGAGGCTTGAAGCAGAGTGAGTTCTTTTAGCTTTGATTTGTCACCAGTTCCCGCCTCTTGTAGGAGCATTTGATAAAGTTCACAAGCTCTAGACACTTCTTCAGCAATGCAGGGTATTAATTGTAATTTTAGTCTTAACCACAGCATCGTTAAATTATGAAATAATAATCAAATTAATAGATTTCATATATATGCAACAAATTTTATAGTGAATTTATATTACTTTGGCATTTATTATTGATATGAATTTAGCTATAGAAGCTCTCAATATTTTAAATAAAAACCAAATTTCGAGTGTTGCGAAAAATTAATCAAGAAAATCATTTGCCTTTCTCAATAAAATGCGTCTATATACATAATTAATTCGAAAGACTAATCACTAGTTTAAAGCTTTATACAAAATCTTTTATTTCTTGCTTTCATAATAATTTTGATGTTTTTGACATAGATGAAATATCAGGAAAAAGGCTTCCTCTTCTGGACTCTCCTTTACAGAACTCTTGATTTTCAAGGCTAACTACTGAAAGTCTTCCTCTTCTTGGGTTCTCTAAGTTTGGTAGGTCTAAATATGTGAATTTTTCATTGTTTCTAGAAGAAATAATTGGTGATCTGAGCGTCATTATGGGCTGCCTTTTGGTATAAATATTAAGTCATTTATTTTGTAGCGCATCTCTCGGATTTGGTCGAAGAGATGGCTGACACTTTGTGAGAGCTAAAACCAAGCTAATTGCTTCTCTTGAAATTCCACGCCAATACTGCTCCTGAAATTGAATTATACCATCGCGATTTTTTAGAAGTGTTTCTCTTGGAGTCTTCCCTGAAAATGGAGCGCGGCCTGATAGCACCATATATAAAACTACCCCAGTGCTAAACACGTCAACCTTTGCGCCATATGGCATCTTCCTTACTCTCCCCTCCATGAGCCCAACAAAAATGTTTTTAATAGAAAAATTTTTTATGGAAAAAATTTTGATATATATATAAATGATAATTAATATAATGAAATCTCTAGCTAATTCTGTTTAATTTTAAGCAAACTGAATTTTTAAATATATTCGAAAAAAAATTGTCAATAAAATTTTTTATATCATTTTTTTAAAAAAAATAACCCCCTCCGTAAGCAAGCAAAATTTTTTTGTTCGCTAACGGAGGGGTGGAGTTAGAATTTCAGGCGCAACATACCCTGGTGAACCACAATTTTGTGTCAACTCTTTATCTGCAAAGCAGGCAAGTCCAAAATCTATGAGCTTAAAGTCTGTTTCGCTTGACTCTGAGTTCAATAAAATGTTTTCAAGCTTCAAGTCTCTATGAACTACATTCATCAATTTCAAATAGTCTAGGATGCCTAAAAGTTTAGATGCAAATTTTGCAGCTTTTTCTTCTGTTAGAGGTCCGTGCTTGAGCAATCTTTGAAGCATATTTCCACCGGGCACATAATCTAGCACTAAATATATATGATTTTGTCCTTCATAGACTTTGTGAAGCTTTACTATGCCAGGGTGATCAATCATTCTCAAAATTTCGATCTCGTTGCACAAGGCTTGAAAATTATTTTTAGAGAGAAGGAGCTTTTTAGGAATGGATTTAATTGCATATGTCCTTGAATCTTCATAATCTTCAGCCAAATATACGTTCGCAAAGCTACCTGAGCCTATTATGCATCTTTATATTAAGTAGTGCGATTAGAAGTACTTTTTGAGCAGACCAATACGTTTCTGGCCAGAGAAATTTCAGTTTTTACTTTTCTCAGGGAAAACAGAAAGATAAAAATAGGATGATTGCTGCTACTAAGATAAATTTTCTAATACATGTTGATGTTGAATACGTTTAAGAAGCATTAAAAATAGCTTATTGGTGCGAGAGAAAATTCAGGTTGAAAATATTCAATGTGCTGAAGGGTATAAAGGCTACCATTGTCATGGATCCAAATGCCTGGGATAAAAACACCTGAAATTTAAAAACATCTGGGAAGAGGTAGAACTTGGGTTTCTCACAGGCATTTTTATGCCAAATTTTTTGGCTAGTCAAAATCGATTTGGCAAGGCGATTCTGACCTGTAAGTAAAATAAAAAAATGAAAAAGATACTAATAATGACCAATTCTGACATCATTTTAATTTATAATAATCTTATCAGAAATGGAAAGTGATGACATCGTTTATGCTTTTAATTGTACTGATTACTTCTGACTACCAACACAACTACAGCATTTATCATATGCAAAATTTTTCTTTAAACTAATTTTAAATGGACCTTCGATCTTTACTCGAAAAAATAAATTGGCAAAAAATAGGTATAGAATCTCCTCTGTCACATAAATTAATAGAATATAGAAAGATAGATAAATTTTTAATAAAAGAATTAAATATTTTACTTGAGTTCCTGTCTCTTAGTATTCTTCACCAAATTATTCTAGAATTATGAGACTTTGATAATGATAATATTTCATTTATTAACTGAGTCTGATCATTTGCTTTCATATTGAGTAGTTTTGGAAAATTGAGACCACTTATTGAGCTACTTAGAAGCTTTAAACAATTTTGTTCTGAATCTCATTTTAATCAGTCTGGTAGATTTTCTATAATAAAACTTCCTCATTATAGGGTAGCTTTTGATGCCTGCTAAATTATCTGGAATTTGCATGGTATGGGTAAGTTCTAAGCTCAATAGCCATTCTTGGAAGTCTTCTGAAGGTTCATTAATTAATTTTCCAAGCAAATTTGAATTTCATAATTCTTCTAGTGAGAGATTTAATTTAAATATCTTATTTTCGTAATAAGCATCTGTTAGAAAAATTGACTGGAGACCTTCAATAACCTTCATTATTTAGCTACTTACTTTTTGCCCCCTTATTAATTAAAAATAGCTTCTAGCAAAGAGATTTGACTTGCAATTAGAAATATAGAATACAGAATCTTTTTTTCTAACTCCCCTCCTCCGAGAGTGAACAAAAAAATTTTGTTCACTCACGGAGGGGCGTCAATTTTTTTTTTTTAAAAAACATTATATATAAATTTTTATAAAAATATTTTTTTTGCGAAATTTAAAAAAAATCCTAATTCGCAAAAATTGGGAAGCAAATTTATTTTAATTTATAAAATTTATGTTTAAAACGCAATTTGTTTAAAAATTAAACAGATTTAGCTCAAGATTTCATTATACTAATTATAACTTATATATCAAATTTTTTTTTCCATTAAAAAATTTTTCTATTAAAAAAATTTTTGTTCACTCACGGAGGGTGGGTTTTTGGGCAAAAAATAAGGATTTTTCTATTGGTTTTGTTCACTCACGGAGGGGGAGTAAGTTAAATCTCAAGGAGATATTCTAGTCTATAAAGCATTATTTATTAGTCAAAGCATTTTGAATGCAAGGGGTCGGATGCTTTTGTATAAATCATGGAAGAAGAAGAAGAAGTAAAGAAATTCTTGATAAAAGCAAAAAACAGCTAAAAAATATATTTTCCTTCATACCTTAAGATAATGCAAAACTCTTATAAAATAAAAAAACTTAAAATTATTATTTTTTTCCCTTATTTCATAAAGAATTCTTACATAATTTATCCTCTCCTGCTTTTGTCGAGCATATATTATGCAATAAAACTCCACAAAATTCATTTATAAATGGCAGCACTTCTTTATCGAATGGCAAATCACATGCCTTGCGTTTTTTGATTAAAAAATTTTTAACAATTTCTTCTTTGAGCTTCTAAACATGAATATCTTTTGAAGATTCCTTTCATTCCTTTCCTATAAAGTCTTTTAAAGGGTAAAATTTGAGGCATGCAGGATATTAAATTCTTTCTTTGCAATTTGTTAAAAATTCTTTCTGCCAGATATAGAATCGATAATATTCTTTGAAATAAATATCTCTTTAGCTTGGCAGTATTAGGCTATTTCTATGAAAATGTCCCATCATCTTCCTTAAAGGTTTTGTGATAAAGCCCGATTCCTTCTTTATATTCATCATAAAGGGACACAATATCATCGTTTGGACAGATGCGAAGGTCATCTTTTTGGAGATATTTAAATACTTTCTCTGATGTCATTATTTATTTTTGAGGCTATTTATATCAATATAAAATTGAATTTATTATTAAATAAGTTTATGACTGATATCACCATAATTTATAAACTCAGGAAAAATTAAAACCTTTTCTTCATTTCTTATTTTATCTTTTTCATTTTTTTATTTTACTTACAGGTCAGAATCGCCTTGCCAAATCGATTTTGACTAGCCAAAAAATTTGGCATAAAAAATGTCTGTGAGAAACCCAAGTTCTACCTCTTCCCAGATATTTTTTAAATTCAGGTGTTTTTATCCCAGGCATTTGGATCCATGACAATGGTAGCCTTTATACCCTTCAGCACATTGAATATTTTCAACCTGAATTTTCTCTCGCACCAATAAGCTATTTTTTAATGCTTCTTAAACGTATTCAACATCAACATGTATTAGAAAATTTATCTTAGTAGCAGCAATCATCCTATTTTTATCTTTCTGTTTTCCCTGAGAAAAGTAAAAACTGAAATTTCTCTGGCCAGAAACGTATTGGTCTGCTCAAAAAGTACTTCTAATCGCACTACTTAAAGCAAAGATGTATAACGATTTTAGATCGTAGTCATGCTTTATGTCAGTCATTATCCCAATCCTGGATAAATAAGCCAACCATTCATCTAGCTCTTCAGACGTTTTAGTGTAAAAGTATTGGCAATAAATACCCTGGCTTAATCGGAATCCATATTTTATTCCGGCTTTATCCTCTTCAATAAATGGCTCTATTATTTTTCACTTTAAGCTTGAAATTTTTGTAATTCTAGAAGAAACGTTCTTGGAGCGTAAAATTGAGTTTTTGTTCAAATAGAAAAACTTTTCCTTCAAGACATTTGAAGTTGACAGTTCTAGAAGGCTCCCTTGAAAAAAAACAGTGGAAGTTTCAGGTTTGTGCAAGTCTGTAAAATCTTCCCAAAAACACATGTCTTTGGGGTGGTAAATGTTACTGAAAATTGATTTCATTGAATATTTAATTATTATTGCATCACTTTTTTATAAATAATTGGACTAAGTAAATGGCTTAGATGACAGTTTAATGTATTATGGACTAGAGACTAACCTTAATTTTGAGATTCAAATTTAGATATAGTAGTAAGAAAATTTACTTCCCCCATCCTTGATCGAACGATTAACTGTAAAAATTCCGAAAAGTTGGAAAATTAACCCCCATCCTTGATCGAATGATTTTCATATCATGCAAATTTTTATATATATAAAAATATATTAGTTATCAAAAGTTTGGGAAGATGTGCCTAATGAAGTTGCTGTCAGAGGCTTTGAACCGACAAAAAGCTACGGAATCAAACATCCAAAGTGCTTTAGTCATCAAACTTGCTTAAAAACTTAATAATCTAAAAAATAGAGATCTTTAAAAATTTAAAAAATTTTAATTCAATAAGGAACAAATTTAAAATTTATACAGCTTAAAGGGGTAACCAAAAAATCAAAATATTCAATTTTTGCTGTAAAAATAATTATTAAATACTCTTGACCCTCTTATTTAAAAGTATATAAAAAAAAACAATTATTTTTTATTTTATATTTAAAATTTTTATCCCAAAAAATTATTTTTTTTAACCCCCATTCTTGATCGAACGATGGTAAGCCGTTCGATCAAGGATGGGGGGAGTTAATAAATTATTTTATCAATCAGAGGTAAGGTGATAATTTAATGTAATAATGCCATTATTTGTTTATTCTCCATCACTAAAAAATTATCGCCAAATTTATGAAATGCTGATCCTTAGTATTAAAAAATAAATTGCCTAGTAAATATATAAACTCATAGTAGTTCTTTTTTACTCTTGAGCATAAACTAATTAAAGTTCTCAACTAAATTAATACATCAGAATTTATTTATTTGAAATAAATATTAAATTTGAAGCTAAATTATGTATTAAAAACAATAATATTAATAAATGATAAAACGATTTATCAGTCTATTTTGTTTACAGCATAATTCGTGTTGTTTTTTGTGTTAAATCTTCATCATTGTTGCTCATTTCATCAGCAATACTAGCAATCGCACAATTGTTTTCTATTATTTCACTATTTTTTTTAAAATAAAATTTATTTTGGTGAGCCAAAACATCTTCTTTAGCAATTTCTTTAATATTTTTTACTACAGTTTTGACTTTTTCATTATGCTTTGAATTTCTTCCTTTTGTGTTGGCTTGCATAGAAAATCAATCATGGCAAAGGGCCTGTCTTAAGCTAAGCCTTTCTAAAGGATTAGCTTGCAGCAAACCACTTACAAGGTTTATAGCTTGATTTGAAATATGTTTCCAGTGCTTGTGACTAAAATGAAATATGCATTCTCTGTTTTTTGCTAGTGTATGTCTTAAAGATTTACATAAAAAAGGAGCTTTTCCAGTCAAAAGGATAAAAAGTAGCACGCCTGTGCTGAAAATATCTACTTTTCCGCCATATGCTTGCTTTTTCAACATTTCTGGAGCCATGTACCCAGGCGAACCGCATAACTGAGTAATACCTTCGCTGATTTTGCAAGCAAAGCCGAAATCAGCCAGCTTAAAATCTGTGTTTGAGCTTTCTGATGCTAGTAAAATATTTTCAAGTTTGATGTCTCTATGCAAGATGCCATTCTGTGATAAGTAATTTAAAACTCCAAGAAGATCTTTAATAAGAGCAGATGCTTCTTTTTCTGAGAATTTATAAAGAGAGTCAAGCCTTGATAGCAAATTGCCACCAGGCATATAATCGATAACTAAATGAATATGGGTTTCTGACTCATATACTTTATGAAGCTTAACAATTTTGGGATGGTCTAGCATCCTCATTATTTCGATTTCGTTAATTAATTCGTGAACCAAATTTTTCTTAACTCCCCCCCCTCCGTGAGTGAACAAAAAAATTTTGTTCACTCACGGAGGGGGGTTAATTTATTTTTTTTTTAAAAAAAATTTATATATAAATTTTATAAAAAATATTTTTTTTCGAAATTTAAAAAAATCCTATTCACAAAAATTGGAAAGCAAATATTAATTTAATTTTATAAAATTTATGTTTTAAAAAGCAATTCATTTAAAATTAAACAGAATTAGCTCTAGATTTCATTATACTAATTATCATTTATATATCAAAATTTTTTTCCATCAAAAATGTTTTTATTAAAATAATTTTTGTTCACTCACGGAGGGTGGGTTTTTGGGTAAAAATAGCGATTTTTCTAATGGTTTTGTTCACTCACGGAGGGGGGGGAGTAAGGACAACTGATTTACTGATGGATTTTACAGCAAAAAATGTTTGGTCGTCTAGATCTGTTGCAAGATAAACAGATCCAAAACGTCCATTGCCTAGTTTACCTTTAATTTCATAGTTGTCAGCTATTTCAACCATAATGACAACCTTAGATAAATGGAGAAGCCAATTGTCTAAGTCTTCGCTTGAGTCTGTGAAAAAATCAAATTTCTGCTCGCCTTTTCTTATTTGGAAGCCGTATTTCACACCATGCAATCCTTCTTCGATAAATGGATCAATAATTTTCCAGGAAAGTAGGCACTTTTTTCAGACTGGCTGATATTCTGAGTCTGAAAAATATAAAAAATCACCAGCCAAATAATAAAAACCTTCATTTATTTCACTCTTCTGATTAAGCTCGATAAGTTTTCCTTTATATACAACGTTTAAAATTTCATTTGGATCCTTTGGAAATATTTCAGTTCAAAATTGATAGCTAAAAGAGTTGTCAACTGTTTCGAATATCGATTTCATTATTAAACGCATTACGAAAATAAAAGGAATTAAAGGTTTAGGGATAATCTTTAGTGAAAATAATAAAATAAATTGATCAACATAAATTAAAGATTTAATAAGTTAATTTATTATTATAGCAAATAAGAGGTTTTTAATTTTTGGTTTTAATTATATAATTAATGAGTGATTAAATTATTACTATTCTCATATTGATTTATTCTGAAGATTTTCTTGAGTAATTTTTAATTAGTAAAAATTGACATAAATTATCAAAGATGTACCAAAGATTCCAATTAAATTGAGCGAATTAGTTTGCTTATATTTAGGGAAGAAATAATGTAAAATTGTGAATTTATTTGAAAATTTATATATTCTTTGTAATAAAAATTAATTTTGTTGAACCAGGCTATGGAATTTGAAGAATATTATTTTTTTTTTGAAGAATAAATCAAAGGTTAATTTTGATTTTATTTATAAAATATATTTATGAAAGTTAATGATATTATGATAGTATTTTATCAATAACTCTGTTCAGCTTAGTTTCGAGCCAATCTCTATATCTTAATTCTTGAACAAATCTTGATGGCAGCCTCGAAAATCCTAATTTGCAGCCAAGTAGTGCTCCTGCAATTGCAGCATTTGTGTCGGCATCCCCACCTTCTATAATAATGCTTCTAATCATCTCTTCATAATTATTTTGTCTAATCCCATAAAACCCGCATCCAAGCGCAAAGTATACATAACCCATATTTTTCCCGTCAATTGGTCTCATTTCATCTAGTCCAATATGCATATACTTTCTTAAAAAGCTTCTCTTAAATAATTTTCTGACTCTCATTCTATTTTTATCATATTCTTGGCTTATTTCAGGGCTACAAGTCGCATGTACTTCTCGATCAAGCCCTTCTCTATAAGATTTCAAAAAATTCTGTGCAATTTCACAGCTTGCTCCGATAACTTCATCAATATTTCTGACACCCTGAAGCATCAATGCAATGGCAACTGTTTGTGCAACGCTTGAAGCTAAGCTTCTTGGGTCTGCATGTGTGCATTTTCCTATCATTTGAGTCTGTCTTATTACTTGATCTATATCATGAAAATTAATAATGCCTAATATTGCAGATCTCATTAAAGCTCCGTTTGCAGCAATTTCGCAGCTGCCATTTACTCACACTTCTAAGGCGGCACGATGAGGATTGCTGATAAAAGATTTATGAAGAATAGCCTTTTTAACAGTCTTTCCTATCCCCAAGCCTCTTTTGTCGCCGAGCTCAGGAAACCCATGACGTTTCCAATCCCTTATTTTTGCAGCAAAATCAAGAGTGCTGAATCCGTTGGAGTCTAAGTAGGAATTGATGATAGCAACTATGCATAATAAGATGAATACGGCCAAAGTCTATTTTTTATGCATATTCATACTATTACTGCATAGCTGGTCAGTATCATCGCTTCAATCTCCTTCAGGAAAGTAGGATTTTTTTGGAACCCAATTTAATAGAGTTAAGGGCTGGTTTTCCCATTTAGAAGCAGCTCACTCAGAAGATTTACACTCAGTCCGAATTCCTATAGCATCTCCAATTGCTTGACCAAAAATACATCCTCGTATCTTATCAATTAATTCTTCACGAGAGTAGGGAAGAATTACAGAGATGTGTCTTCTTAAGATTTCTGATGTTGACTGTTCCATAAATGGAAGAAAAATCTATATAAAATAATAAAACGACTCAATTTAATTGACTATATATTTGAGAGAAAAGTCCATAAAATGTTTTCTTTATTTTAAGTTTAAGCAAAATAATATTTAATTTAATGTTTATTGCACTTTTTATCAAAGGTAATAATAAGATTAAAGCTTAAATGCTGTTTATCAACTTATATAGACAAATCCAAAACTATTCATTTTGAAATATCATTTCTTTAATGCATAAATAAACCATGTGTGTTCCCTACCAATATTACCCAAGCCTTCATTTACGCTCTGATTACTCAGCTCCAAGATGAGTGTCATGAAAAAAGGTATCTCCTTCTTGTTTATTTAAACAAAGTGAAAAAAGAATTAGAAAAACTTCTCTACCCCCGCTAGTTAAACAAGAAAACTCACTTTTGGCTTCTTACTCAAGAGAAGAAGCAGAGACTTTTTCCTATGACCCTTTTTACGATTTAACGATTGATAGAAGAAAGTCTAAATCAAAGCCTAAGCCCGAGAATATTCTTATTAATGTAGAAAGTATAAGTGACGATGACCTTTTCAGCGATATGAATCCAAAACGCAAAGGGCGGAGCTTAGGGAAAAAAACAATTTTATTATCGAAAAAAGCAAAATTGCTGCTCAGAACCAAAATTGAATCGAATAAGCAATACCAAATAAAGACCCCTGAACCAATTTTTCATGATTTTCGGAAGTCACCATCGCCTGAGTCTGCTTTAGTTAAGTCAACTTTGAGTATACCAGATTCAACAATTGAAAAAGTAAATCAAAAGCAAGTATATAAAGAAGCTTTTTATAGGAAAGAACAAACAAGAATTAAATTCACTGGAAACAGCAGTAGAGTAACTACGTTGAGAAGTAAAAACGAAGAAAAAATTATGAAGTTTAATAAAATTGCGCTTGGGATCAACGTAAAGGAAGAAAATGGTCTTAAAGATGCAAGCGAAAATACTGAAGGAAAACTTGTTATTTCATTACCGAAAATCGAGAAATACGATTAAATAACAATTTTTGTAATTTGTAGGCCTAAATGAGATCAAGCTTGCTAATAAATTATAAAATAGCTTGTCAGTTTTTTAAATACATATTTTCAATTATTTAAAAATTATAATAATTACCCAAAGACTAATTATATATCTGTTGGTAAGGACATTGTCTTGCCAGATGCCCAAGCGTCTGACAAATTTGGCATTTTGGCCCCCTTCTACAAGATCTCTTTTCATGCAGCTTGCTCCCACAATTATCACATCCTTTGCCAACTTTTTCGAATTTTTTCGCACTGACTCCACGCAAATTCATAATTAAAATATGGCGTCTTCGTCTGGGCATGGCCTCCCGGCCATGCAGCCTCGACTCATATTTTAATTATATCCGGCAAGGTTTTACCATTTCAGAGATGGACAGCAATGCTAGGTAAGCAATTCTGGTAGCTTTCAGAGCCTAGCCCTAGTCTATTCTCAGGGGTGGATTTTTCCTCGTGGGGAAGGAGGGTGCAGGGTTGGAAAGGGGAAGCCCAGCAAAGTCCTCTGGACCATTCGGGCAACTCCCTAGCGTGAAACTGGGCGTTACGTCCCAGGCTTTGCATTTTTCCTTTTTGCCGATAGCCGACCAGAAAAATCCATTTTTTGGGTTTTTCGGAAAAGCAACCCATGTACAAGCAAGTAGCTCATCCATGAGCCGTCGAAGACGTGGACATTTGCCCTAGAAGCACTTGGTGATCGAAGCAAGTTTGTCTCCAGCAGACTGGTGGGCCCGATGCGACGAAAGGCGAGTGATAAACCTGGAGTTGTAACCCCGTAGTGGACGTTAAGCGATATAAATTCTAATGTAATGTAATGTAATGACTCCACGCAAATTCATTTCATTATGCAAACTTATCAAAACAAATGCATCTAACGACGCATAGTGTATTTGTGATAATCTAAGTGGCCTTCTCTCCCAATTAGAAATCTGCTCCCCTTTGCACAAATGCTTCCCTAAAATAACTTCACATAACCCTGCAAGTCCTCCAGAGTTTTCTTTGAACAAGTCTTTATACTGTTCCAATAAATCTACAAAATTTTTGAATTCAATGTCAAAGCATGTCATATGAGGATAGTCCTTTTTAAAATGTCCTTTGTCACCTACAAAATTTATTCCTAACTTTACAATGGTTTCATTAGAAAATAGCTCAGCTAGCATATTGTTTAGTAGTGGGCTTCTATTTAACTTGATCATGTCTACTAGATAAACAACGTCTTCAAAACCGATTTGAAATAAAGCGATCTTTGGCTTGTCAAATTTTACTCTTGCAGGCTTCCATTCACTGTCCAAGCCGACGATGCTTCCAGTTCAAACCATTTGGGAAAGCTTTGCCTCAGTATCTATAAAAAGGACTCTTTCCATAGGCAAAGATGATTTTATGCTGAAGTTGTTAAGAGGCCCATATATATCAGGGAAATTGTATGGCCTGTATGGGATTTTTTCTAACTCTTGAATTATAGAGGAATTCAGCTGGCTCACAACTTGAGGGTACATATTATATAAATTTGCGGCAACCGCCCCAAAGTAGTCTTGCCTTTTCCTTGCATACTTATCATAGAAACTTTTTATCATAATCCCTATTGATTCAATATCATCAGACACCATATCAGCTAGCCTATACCACCCAATTCCTTCAATGTACATAAGATAATTCATAGAATTTCCTTTTAGAACGCTCATCATTTCAGGAAATTCACTTATATCTATATCCAGCTTATCTACAAGCTTTGCTGCTTCTTTGGAGTGTTTCTTGTTGCTCATCATTTTAATTGCTTTTTTAGCGAGCCTTAAATCTGTACCTACCAAGCAAAAAACTAAGTCGACCAAATCGTTGGCTAAAAGCTTTGAAATGGCAGAAAATTTGTTCTCAAGGACTGAAGACAGCTCAAAATCATCAGCCATTTTTACCGCCTTTTCGTATTCATTTGTGTTTCATATAGAAAATAAATGGCTCGCTGCCTCTTCGATAGGGATATCGATAAATTTTGCTCGGGTAAGATGGATTAAAGATTGAGGATCTACAAGTTTCCAGTTGTCCCTGAGAAGGTTTGAGAAATTTTCTTTAGAAAATCTGATATTTGAGAGGGATTTTATGAGGTTAATTGAGATATAGGCTTTAACGTTGCTGATGTTAAATGCGATCAGCAGGTCAAATGCTTGCTGGGCTATATCTTTTGAGGACTTTTTAAACGCTGCTACAAAGTGTTCAACCATTTCAGCTTGTTCCATTTTCTTTTTATTGTTTAACAGAAAATTAGCTGCTTCATCTGGATCACCATTTACTTTGACAATAAAAGTTTCCACGCTATAATTTTCTAGTTTTGCTTCTGGGCTCCTTATTTCCTTTGGCTTTGCTTCTGGTAATTTCCTCTCAGGTTGCTTTGGTATCTCAATTTTTGTGTTTTCTTTTTTCTCTTCCTTATTTCCCTTTTGTTCCTCACTTCATCATCATCCTTGAAAGAGCAGGGACACTGTGATCAAGTATAGATAAAAAATTTCATAAAATAGTTTATATATATATAATAAGATATACAATTTATTGCTTTCGTGCACAATGCAAATATTAGAGCTTACTTTTTGCATTCTATTTCCATGAATTATTATAAATATTAACTATATAAGTTTAAGGAGAATGACCCACTAATGATTATTTTTCATTAATTCCCATAATGATTACTTTTCATTAATTATACGTCAGTTGGCTTAAAAAAATTTGGCTAATTTAATCTAAATTTGGCTAATGTAAATATGCTCCTTAAAGGGCTATTCATCGTAAGCATGCATAATCTCTTTTAATATTATATAAAATACTAAAATTGTTTTTGAAAGTATTATATAGAATTGTTGAGTCAAGCATGGGGTCAGATTTAGGGAACTCATAAGGAATTTGCTTTAAATCAATGAAGTGCCCAATTCCTCTCATTGGCCTTCCGCTACCTCTTCTACTTTGGTAATTAGGTTGCTCTTCATATTCTTCATTAAAATTCACGTTTAAACAGATGGCGAGTTAATTATAGGTCCAAGGTAGCCGGCGAGTTGATCCTGGCTCCAATTAAATCGATTCCATCGTTTGAGGGAGTCTGGGGCAGGTTTGCCTAGTCAAGACTTATGACAGGCTTTTTTCCTCGGCCCACAGACGAGAAACCGAAGTAGTAGTGCCAGTTCATGCTTCTAGGGAAGCAAAATTTGCCTATAGGCATGGTAGTCCTAAAATAAGGCTTTGGGCGATAAACTTATACTCTGAGCACTATCAGAGACTTAGAAAGTCCTTGGTCACGGAGGCAATATCCAATTATGGTCGGGTGAGTCTTCCCGAGAGGTATTGACAGGAAAAGGGGGCTACATATGACTGCCGGTACTTTAGGGCAACCTTAGCTCAAAGCCAGTTAAGAAGGTTAGAGGCTGAAATAATCCTCCGCGTCTCACTAAAATTTTATCTAATTTAATCCTATCTATTCATTAAAATTCTGTCTTGAAATCCCTCTTCCTTGTCCTCTATCCCTATAGCTGTCTCGGTTTTCTGTGCGTCCTAGTTCCAGCCATACCTGCCTATTTCTGATAGAGCCTCCATCGGCGTAAACTATTTCTTTTGCAATTTCTTTACGTTCAGTTTGGATTACTGCGTTACCTGTGAATCTGCCTTGATAAACCATCCTGACTGATATTTCTTTTTCATCCTCATATCTCAGAGATAGCAATTCAAAAATTTCTTTCTCACTCCTGCAGGAGAATGCAATATTTTTCATTAGAAAAGAAAAAGGTGGGCTTGATGATTCTATTTGAGAAACTAGGGATTCCTGTCTTCTGGATAAATGTTCCATTTAATAAAATAAGGAAAAATAGGAATTTATGTATGAATTTCGGGATTATTTGAGATTTGCTGTTTTGATGCAAATTTTAATTAATTTACATCATTTTTCTAAATGTTTATATAAAAAATTTTTTTTGATTTCCCTTCATTCAATTGCATTTTCTTATAGCGTTTAACAATTTTATAGCTCTCAAATTAATTATATGCTGACTAAAACTTTTAGAGATTAATTTAATATGGACTTAGATATAACAATACAACCTAAAGGACTTAAAAATAGAGGTGAGAACAACTGCTTCCTAAATGTAATCCTACAATCATTGTGAAACATAGAGGTTTTGAGAAATCAACTTATGTCCCAAACCAGGCATGTCCACGAAAAAAGCTTCTTTGAAGAATCAGAAGATCAGAATTTATGCTTACTTCTCATTCTGCGAGTGAATAAAGCTATTAAAACAATTTTTTTGAGTAAAAAACTACCCTTTGCGGGTGAACAAAAAATATTTTTGAATATAAAATTTTTTTATGAAAAAGAAATTTCGTATAATGAAACCTCTATCTAATCTAATTAATTTTAAGCACCTCGTATTAAAAGATATATTGTAACTTAAATTAATTTTTGATTTCCAATTTTTGCAAATTTGGAATTTTTTTTTAATTTTGGAAAAAAAAATTACTACAAAAGATACATTTAAATATTTTTAAAAAAAAAATAACCCCCTCCGACAGTGAACAAGACTTTTCGTAGTCATTGAAGGAGGGGAGCTAAAATGCGAAATCGAAGTAAATCCTATCTAGCACTTAATGGTTGAAATCCAATTCTCTGAATCAAAGTCTATCCCTTCCACAACTGTAAGAAGAGCTTTATCGCAGCTAACCTCTAAATTTCAAGATAGAGCAGTAAAGAAAATGTAGATGGCATGCGCAGTTGAAGCCTTTGAAGAGATCTTAATGTACATACATAGAGAGTCAGTCTCCAACTCAATCTGTATTAATTCTTCATCAATTTATATAAAAGATCAACTAAACTCTACAATTTGCAACCCACCATGCATTTCTCATGCAAATTTCACATTGCAAACAATAGATGAGTATTTTTGCTGTGGAAAAGATAGAACGGCACATATTCAAAATGAGTTTTTTCTGAGAATTTACGTGTCAGAACTAGAAGCTCAATATCAGATCTTTGCAAAGATCAATGAAAAGGTGCTGCCTGACTTAGATATCTTGATTGGTGAAGCAGTCAGAGAAGATTTGATGGTTAATTGCTATAATACTTGTGATGAGTGCTGCCAAAAAGTTGAAATAAAAAGAAGATGGATTACAACTCCACGAGTCTTGGCACTTTATTTGATATGAAACAGTGATGTATCATTCAGTAAAACACTTCTAACGTGCCTGAGACATGAGCTTCGGACTTCAGTTATCTTCAGCGCTGATGCAGACCAAGAAATTTATAGAACATATACTTTGAAAGGCCTGATTTGCTACAAAGAATATCATTATGTTTCTTTTTATTATAGCCCAATTTTCAATAAATGGTATAAAACTGACGATTCTTCTATTCAAAAAATAGATTCATGAAGCAAAGTTCTGTCTAAAATCAACAGAAACGGGTTCCAGCCTATTATTTTATTTTACGAAGCAGCTGCTGAGAACTCAATCTTCCTTGCAGATTCAAATGAAAGTGCCCAAGCTCCCCACGTTGAAGGAGAAGGAATTAGCAAAGGATACTTCGATAGCTGTAGCACATTTTAATTAAAATTGCCTAATATAAATATGTCATCTGGCAGTCACCTTTCTAAAGAGCTTTTCGACCTCGTGAAATCCATTGGTGAGTCCAGGTCCAAACAAGAAGAAGACAAAATTATCACTCAAGAGGTCAACCTCCTCAAAGCCAAAATCACAGAGCCCAGCATCCCTCCAAAGAAAATGAAAGAACACCTATTGCGTGCTATCTATATTGAGATGCTTGGCCACGACGCCTCATTTGCTTATATCCACGCTATTAACCTTGCACAGAGTTCCAGCCTAATCGCAAAAAGAATTGGCTACTTGACATGTTCTTTATGCCTGTCCCAAGAAAGCCATTTGATCATTTTATTAGTCGCTACACTTCAAAGAGACCTGCAGAGCCAGAATTATTTAGAAGTCTCAGCGGCGCTCACAGTGATTTGCAAGCTTGTGAATGTAGGAATGATGCATGCCATTAGCGACCACGTCGTCAGACTTTTGTCTCATCCAAATGAAATTGTTAGGAAAAAAGCTGTGATGGTGTTGACCAAGTTTATAAAACTTAACCCATCACTAATCCCTGACTATAATGAGCATTTCCGCAGGGCACTTTGTGATAAGGACCCTTCAGTCATGGGAAGCTCCTTAAACGCTTTTTGGTCACTTCTGCAAGATGAAAAAATTAGGCCGCATTATAAAGACTTGATTTCTTCATTTGTGGTGATCCTGAAACAGATTATTGACCACAGACTTCCACGTGATTATGACTATCATAGGATGCCTGCACCCTGGTTTCAAATTCAGCTGCTAGAAATATTAGGAATGCTGGGACAGGACGACCAAAAAGCTAGCGAGCAGATGTATGAGATTTTAAGCGAAGTTATGAGAAGGGCTGATGATACTGGAGTTAATGCAGGGTATGCGATTGTTTATCAGTGCTTAAAAACTATTACTCAAGTTTATCCAAATCCAGCCCTGATTAACAGTGCTGCGCTTTGCATTTCAAGATTTTTGACTTCAGAAAACCATAACTTAAAATATACAGGAATTACTGGACGGCTCGTTTGGCTTTTGAGAGATACGGGATGTCCATAAAATGAAGAACCAATATTTAATTAAAAGAAAAGAGTTAGTATCTCTTATTAATAAGAAAACATCATGTCCTTCAGGTAACTCATAACAAGGAGAAAAAAACCATTAAATTTGACTGTAAAAAATTTTTTTTATATCACAAAAATAGAAGATTCTAGATCTCCACAAAAATGGAAACAGTTGAGTCCTTAATAAAAAAGGCCTAGTAACTAAGCAAAATAGACGATACCAGCAATTCATCAATGCAACCTAACGGTCTAGATAATTTGCGAGAGTCTAATGAAAATAAAAAAATTTCGATACACGCTTGCTTCAATAAAAAACGGAATTGTTATGTTTATAAGTCAAAGTTCAGCCAGTTAAATAAAAAACGAAATCCATCTCTTTTTCTCAAGAGATAACGGTTTATTAGGTGCTGCAAAAACCTGCTTAAAAAGACCGTTATATTTGCGCAAAAATTAATATAATTTCTGCACCGATTTGCGTTGCAACACACATTAATATAGTGAAACGATGCTTTATTTTGAGCCTTATTTATATTAGATTTTATGTCTTATATAAGAGAATTCAATATGATCTAATATTTCGAAACTATCAGCTCATGAAAATGTGAAATTGTTTGCTCAGATAAAAAAAACATTAAACTGAGCTCCTTAAAATAGAAATTTATTTTTTTATGAAAAATAAATTAAAATTTTTTTATTATTATTATTATTATTATTATTATTATTATATTATTATTATTATTATTATTATTATTATTATTATTTATTATTATTATTATTATTATTATTATTATTATTATTATTATTATTATTATTATTATTATTATTTTATTATTATTATTATTATTATTATTATTATTATTATTATTATTATTATTATTATTATTATTATTATTATTATTATTATTATTATTATTATTATTATTATTATTATTATTATTATTATTATTATTATTATTATTATTATTATTATTATTATTATTATTATTATTATTATTATTATTATTATTATTATTATTATTATTATTATTATTATTATTATTATTATTATTATTATTATTATTATTATTATTATTATTATTATTATTATTATTATTATTATTATTATTATTATTATTATTATTATTATTATTATTATTATTATTATTATTATTATTATTATTATTATTATTATTATTATTATTATTATTATTATTATTATTATTATTATTATTATTATTATTATTATTATTATTATTATTATTATTATTATTATTATTATTATTATTATTATTATTATTATTATTATTATTATTATTATTATTATTATTATTATTATTATTATTATTATTATTATTATTATTATTATTATTATTATTATTATTATTATTATTATTATTATTATTATTATTATTATTATTATTATTATTATTATTATTATTATTATTATTATTATTATTATTATTATTAATTATATTATTTATTATTATTATTATTATTATTATTATTATTATTATTATTATTATTATTATTATTATTATTATTATTATTATTATTATTATTATTATTATTATTATTATTATTATTATTATTATTATTATTATTATTATTATTATTATTATTATTATTATTATTATTATTATTATTATTATTATTATTATTATTATTATTATTATTATTATTATTATTATTATTATTATTATTATTATTATTATTATTATTATTATTATTATTATTATTATTATTATTATTATTATTATTATTATTATTATTATTATTATTATTATTATTATTATTATTATTATTATTATTATTATTATTATTATTATTATTATTATATTATTATTATTATTATTATTATTATTATTATTATTATTATTATTATTATTATTATTATTATTATTATTATTATTATTATTATTATTATTATTATTATTATTATTATTATTATTATTATTATTATTATTATTTTATTATTATTATTATTATTATTATTATTATTATTATTATTATTATTATTATTATTATTATTATTATTATTATTATTATTATTATTATTATTATTATTATTATTATTATTATTATTATTATTATTATTATTATTATTATTATTATTATTATTTATTATTATTATTATTATTATTATTATTATTATTATTATTATTATTATTATTATTATTATTATTATTATTATTATTATTATTATTATTATTATTATTATTATTATTATTATTATTATTATTATTATTATTATTATTATTATTATTATTATTATTATTATTATTATTATTATTATTATTATTATTATTATTATTATTATTATTATTATTATTATTATTATTATTATTATTATTATTATTATTATTATTATTATTATTATTATTATTATTATTATTATTATTATTATTATTATTATTATTATTATTATATTATTATTATTATTATTATTATTATTATTATTATTATTATTATTATTATTATTATTATTATTATTATTATTATTATTATTATTATTATTATTATTATTTATTATTATTATTATTATTATTATTATTATTATTATTATTATTATTATTATTATTATTATTATTATTATTATTATTATTATTATTATTATTATTATTTTTACGGTTTTCGTCCAGCATTTTTGGACCAACTTTCCCCTCCAAGTATTTTCTAGTTTTAAAAATTTCTCCAATAAACTTCCTTATTTCTCCATTAACTTTCCAAATATGTTCACTATGTTTCAAACGCATAATTTTGTCAAGCCTTCAACCACACAGAATTATTTCGGTAAGACTCAGTAAATAAAAATCCTCCTTCAGTAAATTTTTCCATTTCATTTATTAGTTTCACCCTGCTACTCTGATAAATGTAGCAATTTTCAATGACATGCACTTCATCCTCAACTTGCTCTCCACAAAATCTGCATTCTGATCTATCTGCTATATGTCGGACGAACCTACAATAAAATTTTATTATTAAATACTTTTAGAGCAAGCTTTGTTTATTTATTGCGCTTTTTTTACAAATAGTAACAATATTTAAGGTAAAACCTTACTTATTTCAGTTCTAAGTGTGCCTCTTTCAGTGTCTATTAAATATATTAAAATTATTAAAAAAATATATAAAACCGTTTTTCAAGACATATTCTTTCAAAATATATCAAAACGATGACCAAAATTTGCAATATTTTTGGGTTAATTTCCTTCAAAAAGGTTTTTAAGCTTTTTAATATCTTTAATAGACACTGAAATAGGCACACTTAGAACTGAAATAAGTAAGGTTTTACCTTAAATATTGTTACTATTTGTAAAAAAGCGCAATAAATAAACAAAGCTTGCTCTAAAAGTATTTTAATAATAAAAATTTTTAATTTATTTTTCATAAAAAAATAAATTTCTATTTTAAGGAGCTCAGTTTAATGTTTTTTTATCTGAGCAAACAATTTCACATTTTCATGAGCTGATAGTTTCGAAATATTAGATCATATTGAATTCTCTTATATAAAGACATAAAATCTAATATAAATAAGGCTCAAAATAAAGCATCGTTTCACTATATTAATGTGTGTTGCAACGCAAATCGGTGCAGAAATTATATATTAATTTTTGCGCAAATATAACGGTCTTTTTAAGCAGGTTTTTGCAGCACCTAATAAACCGTTATCTCTTGAGAAAAAGAGATGAATTTCGTTTTTTACTGAGATGACTTAAACCCAATTTAGTAACATAATGATTTATTTTTTTATTAAGAGAAGCGTTTATTGATTTTTTAATATATTCAGAAAGGAATTGCAAACAAGGTATAACGTCAGTTTGCATTTATATGAAACTGTCAGATCTTATTTCTAGTACATATAAGTTGCTTATTTAATAGACTTAACAGTATCATAGTTTATATAGCTACCAAGCTTTTTTCATTAAGACATAAAAAAAAAATTTTTACCGTCAAATTTAATGGTTGTTTTGCTCCTTATTATAAGTTACTTATAGTACATAATGATATCTTATTGATGTGAAACACTGACTTTTTTCTTTTAATTACATATTGGTTTCTTATATTGTATACAGCCCGTATCTCTCAAAAGCCAAACGAGCCTTACTGGACTTATTTCCATTGTAAAAATTGACCCTACCCAAGCAAGCCAACACCAGATGGTTGTGGTAGACTGTTTAGAAGACACCGATGATACTTTGAAGAGGAAAACGCTAAATTTGTTGTTCAGGATGACGAATCCTAATAATGTAAGAGTTATCATTGAAAAACTGATGGGCTTTTTAAGGTCAACAAGCTTTGACTCACATTTGAAAGAAGAATTGGTGAACCAGATTACAGATATTGCTGAAAGGTTCGCTCCAGACTCAAGATGGTATTTAGAAACCATGAATGGCGTTTTTGAGCTATCTGGAGAACATGTGAAACCTGGAATTGTCAATAATTTAGTAAGGTTAATTGATGAGTGAAGAGATGATCCTGAGTCTATAAGATATACGACAGAAGAATATTTAGCTATCCTAGAGCGATCAACTTCTGTCAATGATGCCATGATGCAGGTAGCAGCTTGGGTGTTGGGCGAATTCGCTGAGTCTCTTGATAGTGACCAGCAATCCCGTGTAATGACCATTCTATGCAAAGCTCTACATTGGAGATTTGAAGACAACCTTACCAAAGGATGGATCCTTACAGCTTTACAGAAGCTAGGCCGAGGTGTTCCATCTGATGATGTTAGAGAGCTTGTCAGCAAATTTAGCTCATCCCGTAACGAAGATCTACAACAGCGCTGCTATGAGTTTGCAGGAGTCTGCACCAAGCTTACTTACCCTATAAGCTTCAAAGAAAACCTTGGCAAAGAGTTTGACCTGACTTTGAACTTTTTGGATGACTTTGTAAGGCAAAAATTAATGGAAGGAGCAAGACCCTATGATCCAGAAAAAAGCAGAAGAGGTCTAAGTTATTTGATAAATAAAGGCAGAGAAGAATATAAAGTGAGTGAGGCTTTTCAAGCTATGAAAATGGACCCTTATGAAGCTCCAAAGGTAGAAAGTGGAAGACCTTACTCCCCCCCTCGAAGTTCGACCAAGATTTTTTTGGTCGAACTTCGAGGGGGGTAAGAAAAATTTTTTTAAAAAAAAATTATATAGAATTTTTTTTTATATAATTTAGTAGTTTAAAAAAAAAAAAAAATTTATCATATTCTTCTGTATGGTTGAGAGGGTGTAAGGGTTAGAAAAAATAGTGCAAGATGGTTTTGTAACGCTTTTTTAGAACTTGAATACAAAAATCGCAAGCTCACCCCCACATAGTTTAAAAATTTTGAAAAATTGCTTATTTTCCTAGTAAAAATTTATATAGGTCTTGGTCGAACTTTGAGGGGGGTTTAATTTTTTCCAAAAAAATAGGAATTTTCCCTATATCTTGGTCGAACTTCGAGGGGGGGGAGTTACTTGGTATCGACTCCTGGAGCACCACCCCTTCAAGAAGTTAGTGCAGATAGAGAATTTAAGGTGACTAACAGGCTCTGGACTAATGAAGGATACACTGGGAAAAAAGGGCAAGCTCCTGTAGAGCAGCCGAGACCAAATCAGGGTGGGATTAGTTTGCAGCCTTCGCCTTCTTATGCACCTGGAAGAGCCCAGCCTCCCAAACAGAAAACCCAAAAGGAAATTGAAAAAGAAAGGTTTGCTCAAAGTCTATTCAGCGGCGTAGGAAATGAGCCAGCTCCTCCACAACCACCTCAGCCAGTGCAAAGGCCTGATCCAAGACCACAACCACAGCCGCAACAAAAAAGGATCAATGACCTTTTAGAACTTTAGATAACGTAAATGATTATAACTTATCTAAATGATTGTAGTCACGAAGGTTACTTGTATATTATTTCGTTTAAGATTGAGGATAATTATATAGAATTAATTAAAAATGTTTTTTTTTGTGGAATTATAACTCTTCCTACTTGAGCGAACACAAATTTGGTTTCGCTTATATGGAAAGGATTAATTTATTTTTTTAAAAAAAAATTATACATGAATTTATAGTAAAATTTGTTTTCAAATTTTAAAAATCCCACTTGCAAATATTAATTTAATTTAATTTTTTTTCATTAATATGGCAAAGCCGTTTAAAGTCAACAGAATTAGCTCGAGATTTCACTATACTCTTATCACCTATGTTTAAAAATATAGAAATTGCCCGAGGATGGCGCAAAAATAGCGCCATCCTCGGGCAATTTCTATATATTTTTATAAAAAAAGTTTATATTAAAAAAATTTTCTTTTTTCATGGAGTGATTTTTAGTAAAAAATAGGGAATTTCCAATATTTTCGTTCGCTCACTGAGGGAGGGGGATTAAATTGTTTTCTTATTTCAAAACGCACTTAATAATTTTGTACAAATTAATATGAATAGACAGGATCTGAAAAACGCTCTGAGAGGAGCAATTTTTGACTCAGATGATGCGCAAATTGCGATCATCTCAGCTGATATCGTTGCTTCAAATAAAGACAAATGCAAACGGTTTTGCAAGGTTCTTACTAATATTTTTAATTGCAAAGAGAATTTGTTTTCAGCGAAGATCCAAGCGTTGAAAATTACCCGATCAATCGCAACCGGCAATAACCCAGGGTTTACTTATTACTTGGAAAGGAAACTTATGCCTATATTTAAAGACGTCCTTTTTAGCAAGGTATTTTTCACATAGGAACTTCAAAACATCATAAGTTTGAAACAAAGAAACAGAGACCTTGACCTCAGCCAGAAGACTGAAGCCCAATTTTACCAACTTCTGCACGAGTGCATCACTGAGTGGGCTAAAAATTTTGGGAAAAATAAAAAAGGCAAAGACAATATTTTCTCTAAACTCAGCTTTGCGGCTGAACCACTCTTTGAACACTTTTCGAAGCAAGAAGTTTTCAAAATTTCTAGCCACTATGACAATTATAAAGAGCTGATCAATACAGTCATAGGACTTATGAATCGAAACGGTGACGTCTTAGAAATAACTAACTCCCCTCCTCCGTGAGTGAACAAAACGATTAGAAAAATCCCTATTTTTTCCCCAAAAACCAACCCTCCATGAGCGAACAAAAATTTTTATGGATTTTTTTTTTTGACATATAAGTGATAATTAGCATAATGAAATCTCTAGCTAATTCTGTTTAATTTTAAATAAATTGCGTTTTAAAACATAAATTTTACAATTTAAATTAATATTATTGCTTCCCAATTTCTGGGAATTAGGATTTTTTAAATTTCGAAATAAAAAAATTTTCTATAAAATTTAAATATAAATTTTTTTAAAAAAAAAATTAAACCCCTCTGTGAGGGAACAAGATATTTTTGTTCGCTCACGGAGGGGGGATTAAGCAAATCAAGCTCATTAAGTCGTCAAGAAATGAGCTCAAAGCAAAGTTTGACCAAGTGACAGAACAAAACATAAGCTCTCATATAAGAATTATAGATGAGCTTAATGAAGTGTGTAAACAGTATAACCAATGAAAAAAGACTATAAATAATCATAGAAAATTGTCGACGCCTGATAATGATACTTCAGATAGCAGAGCTGATACTGAAGAGGCTGACATGACTAGTACATTAATTAGGCCACAGAAAGTTAAAAATGCAGTTCCTGACCCAAAACCGAAGCCAGCTCCTAGATGTGATAGCCCGATTGACTATGATGGGAAAATCACTGATGACTTTGAGCAAGACCCAAAAGGTCACTATAATATGGTTCCAGAAATTGATCTTGGATATGATCCAGAATGTGAAGACTGAAAAGAGCTTGTAAGAATTACTTACTCTCATATATTAAAGAATTTTTTGTCCCCATTATAATTTTTGGGATATCTTATGCGGATTTTCTCCTTTTAAAATGTAAGAATTTTTATAAAAAGCGCTGTAGATTTAATATTTATGTACTACCTCGCTTGTGAGAGCTTTCATAGATAAAAAATTTCGCAGAGCCCGGACCGACTTAGTCTTGATCGCTAATGCATCAACTTCCACCCTCACTTGACTCCGAAGACGGCTGTCCTTTCGGAACTCAAACTTAGAGCCTAAGCCGGTCTGTGCCCTAAAGGTCCCAGCTTCTGCTGCCCGGGGTGGCTCCTCACATTAAGAAAATTTCATTTTTGAGATATTCGGGCAGTTGTGCTTTAATATGCAAGAGAATTATTGGTTGGGAGATCATAAAAATTTCGAACAACTCCATATTTTAATTTTAAAGTTTTTATATTCAATAAAAATATTCGATTATAAGCCCTAACTCCCCCGGGCGAGCAAAAAAATTTGGTTTGCTCACGAATTTGGGTTAATTTTATTTTCAAAACGTTTATTAATAAATTTTTTTTAAAAATTTTAAAATTTCGTAAACATTAATTTAATTTGTAAAAAATATTTATATTAAAAACATTTTGCTTATTTCTAATAGTTTTGTTCGCTCAAGGAGGGGGAGTAAGAAAAAATTAAAACTTTAGTTATTAAAAAAAATTTTGTTTGCACTATTAAAGGCTATTTGTTTAGGTTTATTTTTATTAAATAAAGAAAAAGAGTTAGAATAAAGATTATATCAGAATAAAAGACAAACTCAAAGAAAGGAAAAAATTCCTTACTCCCCCCGTTTAAATTGGAACATAATATTGGTAAAATTTCTCTTTCTGGTACTTTAAATTTATATATATTTTATTCTTATATAAAAAATAATAATTTCTATTATATCAAATTTAATTTTAATGAATGAAAATTTGACCTCTAGCTTCTTCTGTTTCAAAAGGAGGAGTGTAAATATAAATCTATTCAAATATAGTGAGTAATAATGAACAGAAAGGGCTTTCTTGGCTTGCGGCAAGCCAAAAAAAGCCCCGTGCTGTTCATCCTAACTAGCAATAAATTAATTTTTTAAATCGATAAATTATTTTTATTTGTAAACTTTCTTAAAACGATTGAAAATTTCATATAATTTTATTTCACAAAAATTTAGATTAGAGGATGCTCCTTTTATAAGAGGTTGGGAGTTAAACAAACTCTCAAAGAAAATGCTAAATTGCAGAAGTACAACGAACAACTGACAGTTCAGCTCAGCCAAAATAAAAAAGAACTCCAAGAAGCAGTAAATATTGCAAAGTCCATTAAAAAAGAAAAAAAAGAAATAAAAAACCAAGAAAAAGCCTTCCAAAGTGTTATTGATGAAGCTATAAAAACCAATGAAAACTTGGAAAATGAACTAAAATCACTCAAAAACAAATACAAAGAAGAAACCAAAGCTCATAAACGCAAAGACGATGAGCTGAAACTATTAGCAGAAACAAATGAACTGCTTGATAAAAAGCTGACTTTATATATAAAAAATGAAATGAAACTGATTAAAGAAATAGAAGATCTCAAAGCTAGCTCTAAAGAAAGTTCTTCAGCGCGTCATAGAAGATGCATGACTATTTCAAATCCTAGTCAGCCTGCTAATTCAGATGCTCCAAGCCCTGATAATATCCAATCTCAGCGCAGTACCGATAAAAAATTTTTTTCGCAGCAAGATGAGTCACAGTTAAGCTTTTATTCTGTTGAGAACCCTATATTCCAGAAGAAAAACACTGTAAACAATTAGAAATAAGCTATTTTAATAATTATATATTAATTTCTTACAACCGCGAAATTCTAACTACTGAAAAAAAAAAAGCGAAATAATTCAAATTTTTGATACAAGAAATTAAATGGGATGCTGTGAATGCAAATCATCAACGAAAGAAGAAATGACCAACCAAGAAAAAAACGCCTCACAACAGCTTTCAGCGAGTAAAACAGACGCTTCTTTGCAGGACCAATCAATAATCACACAGAAATTCAACAAAATGTTCCCCAATATCAAAGTCAGCACAAGAGCTTCAGTTAAAGTTATTCAAGGAAAAATCTATACCTAATAATAGCAAATAAAAATATAACCGTTATTCTATTTTTATATATGAAATTAGGATAGTAGAGATGTTTTTATCATTATAATAGGTATATGATTTCTACGAAATAAAAGAACAGCTCGGGGAAGGTGCTTATGGCTGTGTAAGGCGCGCACTTCATAAGCAGTCAGGAGTAGAAAGAGCGATAAAATCTATAATGAAAACATATGTGAAAATTTCTGATGCAAAAAATATGCTTCTGGAAGTGGACATTCTGAGGAAGTTAGATCATCCGAATATTCTGAAAATAATTGAGGTCATACAAGATTTGAGATACTATCATGTGGTTTCAGAAATCTGCACAGGAGGGGAACTTTTTGATAAGATAGTTAAGGCTCAGCGCTTTAATGAGCAGATGGCAGCTCATTATATGTACCAAATTTTGTCAGCTGTTAGCTACTGCCATCGACATAAAGTGCTGCATAGAGATCTCAAGCCAGAAAATTTATTGTTTCAGCATGAAGGAGAAGACTCCCCATTAAAAGTTATTGATTTCGGGGTTTCAAGGCTGCAAACACCTACAAACCCGCAGCAGTTTCAAAGATACGGGCTGGCTTATTATACAGCTCCTGAAGCCCTAAATAGAGAATTCACTGAAAAAAGCGATGTATGAAGTTGCGGAGTTATCTTATATGTGATGCTATGCGGGTATTTGCCTTTTAATGGAAAAAATGACTACGAAATAATGCAGAACATCCAAACACAAAAATTGCAGTTTCCTGAAAAGGAATGGAGTAAGATTTCAAAATCAGCTAAAAAGTTCATAAAATTATTATTGAAGAAAAATCCTGAGGAGAGGCCTACAGCTGAGGAAGCATTTCAAGAAAAATGGGTTCAAGGTAGAACTTCAACAAATGCCCCAAATAAGCCTATTCTTGTCTCTTCCTTGAGAAATCTCACGAGATTTCGCTCAAATATAAAAATCAAGCAATTTGCCTTTGAGTTTATTACTGCTCATATGACCGCCCAAACTGAAATCGATAACCTCCAGAACGTTTTCATGACACTAGACGCTGATGGAGATGGCCAATTAAGTAGGGAAGAGCTAATTGCAGGGGCTGAAATTCTGGATTTGCCTTTAAAATTCGACGTAGAGACTATACTTAAAAATTGTGACTTGGACGGAGATGGGTTTATTAACTATAACGAATTTCTAACAGCTTCAATAGACTGGAAGGCAACTCTTACAAGAAAAAAACTTGAAGCCGCATTTCGTGCCTTTGACTTAGACGGAAACGGAGTCATTGAACTAGATGAGTTACGAAAGATGCTTGGTAGTGGGGAAGTTGACGATAATATCTTGCTAGAAGTCATGAACCAAGCAGACAAAAATGGAGATGGGGTTATTGACTTAAAAGAATTCGAAGAAGCCATAGTTAGGCGAGGAACAATCGGGACCGGGAGCATTGTTCTTGATTAAATTATTTATATTTACATCAGACTTTTTTTTATTATACTAAACTATGTCAAAGCCCTTAAAGCACTCCAGTTCGATGCCTTCTCCGCGCATTATCAACGCAGCCAGACGTGCGCGAAAAGCAACAAAGTCAAAAGAAGACTCCTTTGACGCGTCAATCCCTGAGCTTGAACAGCTTCGTGCATTGCGTGCAATTTTGAGGATGAATCCAAAAGAGCGGACATCTGAAATGCTAAAAAAGCTATATGACTACACAATCACCCTGAAATTTTTCATGAAAATGAAGGAGGAGTACTCAGAAGAAGTGTGTCACTCGTGCTGCATGTATATCACTTATGAGTACCATCCTCCAAATTCTTTTATTTGCAGGCAAGGAGAAAAGGGGACTAAGTTCTATATCATTTTGAATGGCTCGGCAAAGGTACTAATAGAAAACCAAGAGCATCACCTTTATAAGCAGCAAGTGGGAGAGCTAGGATCTGGGGACACTTTTGGAGAAAGAGCTATCATGCTCGGAATCCCACGAGCAGCAAGCATTCAATGTCAGACTCCTTGCCATTTAGCTGTATTAAATGCAAGTGACTATAGGAAAATATTAGATAATATGTTTGAGGAAAAATTCGAATCAATTGTTGAAGTTCTGAAGAAATTACCCATTTTGCAAGGGTTTTCTAGGAATTATGTACAGAGATTAGGATACTATTTCAGACAAAAGAAGTTTAAGAAAGGACAATTTGTATACAAAGAAAAAGATAAGAATGAGGAAATCTATATTATACAAGAAGGCGAATTTAGGATCTGTAAAAAAGTAGAAGTAACAGTCAAGTCTCCCAAAGCTTTTCCAGAAAAATCTACTCTGAAAAGAAAGCAATATCCATTAGTGACGCAGCTGGCTTCTTTATCTAAAGGAGAAATGTTCGGTGAGGAAGATATTTTGAGTGATTCAAATTTGAGAACCACTTCTAGCTATTGCCACTCAGATCTTGGTAAAGTACTGGCTATAACCAAAGATGATTTTTTTAAGCACATTGTAGTCACTGAAGAAGGCAAAGCAGCTATGAGGCAAAGAAATCTTCAAAAATCTGAAAGTAGAAGCCATGTAATGGAAAACAACTTGAAGCTTAAGAAAATGCATATAGGAGTCATTCCTTTAACGATCAGCTCCCCAGAACCCATGTACACTAGATCAGCTTCTCCATCTCCGAAACTTCTCAAGCACCCACCAACTCCTTCTCTGCCAAAAATAAAAGAAGAGTTTGAAAGCTTCAATCACAAATCCATGATATCCAATGACACAGAGCTACTCAAAACAAGACCAAGCACAATGAAAAATATAACCATCGAGAAGCGCAAATCTCGACAGAAAAAGCCGATAAAAATCGAAATCCGTAACATCCACACATGAAAGCTAAAAGCAAAAGAGCCTTTAACGCCTATTGACATTCTCCAAGAGCAAGGCAAACTAACCCTCAACGAATTAAAACAAATGCAATATAGTGTAATCACAGATGCATGGGAAGAAAAGATGCTCCATGACGGAATCACTTCACGCAGAAGGATGAAGCGACTGTCTGCGACAGAGCATCACATGTTTAGGTTGAGTTGATAAATATATTAAATTTTGTAGTAATAAAATGGATCCTATCTCGTTTTCTGAAGAAATCCTAATTGACAGAGATGGAAATAAATACCAAATCAAAGATGTGGTAGGGATGAGCTTTAAAATTAGCTTTGAGGAACCCTCAAGGTTTGCGTTTGCTTTAAAGAAAGGTCATGAAGGAATCAGGATCTTCTCGAGATTTGCACTCTTAATTGCAACTTTGCTGTTTGGGGTACCGCTTGAGCTTTATATGGCACAATATTCGATATTAGTAGTTTTACTCCTGCTGTTCGGGTTTTTCTTCAAAATTGTCCCAATTTATTGGAGAATCTATAAGCAGTGTCACGAAAAAGGCTTCAAGGTGTTTTATTTTGAAGACACTGTCGCTTTTGTCGCATTTCAGAAGAAAATCTGGTCCCATCGCCAAGCAAGACACATAGCTAAAAGAGGATTTATATTTGGAGAGGGAATGGAGCAGTTCATGTATACATTCGTACCATCAATTCTATACAATTCAGACAGTCTACGAAGGTGGATAGGATTCGTCGGCCAAGTTATATATCCAATCGTCGTTATCTTGATTCCTATGGTGTTTGGAACTACATTTGTGCTGGCAAAAATTCTGAAACATTTCATCAAGAGCATGAGAAAAGACATTTTTATTAGGTTTCTCATTTCCAACCTGGATGATATTCTGGAAATCATAGAGAAACTTGCAAGGTCTATTGGGCCAACTAAATTGGTCATTTTTATTGTTGAGTATGCAGCAGATCTTTTGCTGCCAATTATTTTTGAGGTATTCAGATGGTTGAGAACTGAATATGTTTTAGTTATTATGCAGATTGATTATTTTAGGGAAAGATATGTTAAAGTATTTAAAACACTGACAAAAATGTACAAAAATGTGTCTTAAGCTTATTACAGGTTTGGCTGCCGCCTATTGTTAATGCAGTCATCAAGGATCCCGCAAGGGATTCACCCTCTTTGCTACGTCAACAGGAACTTCTTCGAGTTAGATTACTCACAGGGCAAGTTGCAGCTCTTGACGGATATAATTAAATATGTACTCAAGGAATACACGGCGAATCGAGTGAGAAGCGCTGAGACTCCATGTTTATTATTTATAGAAATGTGTCAGTTTGGGTAGAAAAATTGGGATTTCATAAAAAAGCTCAACCATTCATTAAGGGGTATAAAAAAATCGATAACACTCTAAGTCCTGGATTGTTGAAGAAAACAACAAATCAGATATATGATATTAAAGGCAACATCGAGGATGTGAAAGAGCAAATTGAGCTGCATAGAGATGATAAAAAGAATAACTAAATCTAAGGTATAGTAATTAAAAAATAAATAAGATGTCAAAGTAAGATATTTAATAGACTTCATTACATCTAGCTAAGATTTCCAGATATATATAAGCAAAGCAGATACAATTACTGAAATATTAAAAGCCATCATTCAATTTAGGAAAAAATGATCTTGCAGAGTGTTGGTGTTGGAGTTATTAAATCAGTTGGCAAAAAACAATGGGTTTGATAGTTTCGGCACTAAATGGACTATTCTATGCGTATTAAGAATACTAAGCTCAAAATAAACAACAATAAAAATATTAAACTTAATGAGAAAATATCATAATAAGCAATATTATGCTTTTTTGCTATAATTTAAACAATTAGCCATATTAAAATAATTTTGCTCTAAAAGATTGTTAAAGATAAAGTCTTATTAATCTTATTAACTCCTCCCCTTTATGAGCGAACACAAAAATTTTGTTCGCTCGAGGAGGGGATTAATTATTTTTTTTTTTTTTTAAATTTATATATATTTTATAATAAAATTTTATTATTCGAAATTTAAAAAAATCCCAATTCGCAAAAAATTGAAATCATATATTTTTTAATTTGCAAAATTCATGTTTTTAATATGCAAGCTGTTTAAATTAAACAGAATTAGCTAGAGATTTCATTATATTAATTATTACTCATATATCATTTTTTTCATAAAAAAAAATTATTAGCTCACAAAGGGTGGTATAATAATCAACATTAGCCTGATATATTTATAAATCCCAAAAGTTGAAAAATTCCTATAAATGATTTTAATTCTTTTATTATTCCAGTTAGCAAACTCAGAATGGGCAGGCTATTTTCACCTAAATGCAAGTCAAACTAAATACAACGTCACACTAGTGAGCCATCCAGTATCTCCTATACAGAGATTTTTTAAGCATTCAAGCGAAGTCTGCTACATGACTTACAATCAAACCTGCAACCAAAAGGATTCTTTTTTCATTTTTGACATAGACTTCCCTATAGACACCGCAAAAAATATTTCAATTACCCAAAATGCTACAGCTGTTATTTTGATTTTAAACGGGACTACTCTGTGACAGTCAAATATCCCTGCTTTTGCTATGTCACCTGGTGACGGTTCTTCCTTCCTGAAAGAGCTTTCCTCAACTAACTCTACACAATCTTAACTTAAATGGATAACGCTTAGCTTCATTATTGGGCTGCTGACACCAAATCTCCCACTTCCATCATTTTTGTATATGTCAGCATACATAACTCAGAGCTAACTTACTTTTTATTCACCAAGACAGCATCTAATAATACAGAGCGACTTCTGTTTTCCTGACGCAGTACGATTACTAAAAGATGTAAAAGCCATGCCTCATAATCATAAAGTGCAAAATAGTGGTGCCAATCAGCAGATCGGTGCCTTACGAATGTTGCTGTATTATGATTATAACTCTACACTATCAACAATTGATTATTTTTATATATGTAAATTCATATTCAGATCATTGTGAAGAATACTGGCCCTTAATTTCCACCTCAATCCTTTTCGTAGTAATTTGGCTTGGTATCATATCTATGTGGTGCTACAACAACCACTATGCGAATGCAGACCATGCTCAGCTGTTTCACAAATCATCCTCAGTTGTGATTTTATTTAAAGTCCTCACCACAGTAGCCTGATTTTTTGAAACTAGAAATTGTCCTCCAACTCTGCTCGGAAATGAAGTGATTGGGCTGCTGAAAAAGCAAACAAGAAGCTTATATGAGACCTCCTTTTTCTTTTTGCTTATCTTGCTAAGCAAAGGATGGAGCGTGTCGCGAAATTCGATATCAAGGAAAGAAATGAACTACCAATTAATGTATTTGGTGCTAATCTATATCATGGATAGTGCTGCCAATATAATTGGGCCAGTTATGAACACTATAGCATTAATGATGTATTTATCGCTTTTCATTCATATTTCATTATACTGCTGCTCCACTATAAAATCCTTATTTATTCAGGCAGAAGTCATTAATGAAGCAAGGGTTCTCCACTTACTACCAATTGTAGCTAAAAAGAAAAGGATATTTTACTCATTTACAGTCCTCTGCTTCTTTTACTTTTTTGGAGAGTTTTCAATCCATATTTTGCTGTCAGATTCAATTTTAGATATAGACATCACCTGGCAGATGAAATACGCGATGTGGAACCTTGCACATGAATTTATGGAGGTTTTTATAATTGGAGGGATTTTATATTTATATAGAGCAAGAAATATGGGAAGATTTTTCTCGTTAGATTTATTGGACTCTGAAGAAGTCCAGCAGTTGAGAATCATTCCATTTTATGAAGCAAATACTGAAAAATCCAGCGAGGAAACTGGGCTTATCATATTTTTGCAGCCAGAGTCTACACTTTTGGTAGGAAAAGAAATAAAAATGAGTAAGGCTATAATTGAAACTGAGTCAATAGAACTGCAAGAAATATAAGAATTTGACATAAATTAAAAAATAAAACATGCGCATAAGTCTCTCTTCATGACTTCTGGCCTTCGATTCGAAGGAGCTGGAATTTTTTCTTCATCAATTGCATCGCTGAACATCTTAACGTATGCATGCTTGACTTTCTGTAGGCAGAGCCTGCATACCACTTGTTCCACCAGCCTGACTGGAACCATCGTCTGTATAAAATCTCTGATCTCTAAATAGTTCGATTCCAGCTCATTTATTTCCTTATTCTTCTCTATCATTTTGTTTCTTTTATCGTCTAATTCCATCTTCACTTTCCCCATCCACCTGGTCGTCGCGTTTTCTGTGTACTTGGTTGCGTCAAGTTGCCCCTTGATTCTCTGCAGCTCTTCATTCAATTTCTGCTTCTCCTCGCTTTCCTCTGCTAACTTCTTATTCAGATTTTCTTCTTCCTGTGAGGTTTTGTTGTAAATTTCGTTCAGTTCTTTTCTTAAAGCCTTTTCCTTGGTGCTTTCCTTGTGAAGCAGCTGTGTTCTGGACTCCCTAACTTCTTTTGACCTGATAATATCATTCATAATCTGGTCTTTTATTTCTTGATCAGCATCCAATCTCTGTTTTAATAGTCGCTCATGCATGCATTTATCACAAATCCTATCTAGTTCGTCTCGTGATTGCACTACAAGATGCTCTTTGCATGTGGGTTCTTGGCATTCTTTGCAAGTGTATTTCTTTTTGATGAGGGAAAAATTGACATTGCAGATGTGGCAGGACTCAACAATGATTTCTTTCCCGCCCATGGCTTCAAGAAGGAAAGGATTGAATATCTTGACTGATTGCCGATTTGAGTTTGGCCGTGGAGGGAGATTGAGAGAAATTGTGGATTCTTCCTTTTGAGAGCTTAGCATATCAGATAGTTTCATTTTTAAAATATAAGGGATTAATAAGTATTATTTCTTACTCCCCCCTCCGTGAGTGAACAAAACCATTAGAAAAAATCGCTAATTTTTGCCCAAAAATCCACCCTCCGCGAGTGAATAAAAATTTATTTAATAGAAAAATTTTTCATAGAAAAAAAAATTGATATATATAGTGATAATTAGTATAATGAAATCTCGAGCTAATTCTGTTTAATTTTAAACAAATTGCGTTTTAAAACATAAATTTTACAAATTAAATTAATGTTTGCTTTCTAATTTTTATAGAAGTGAGATTTTTTTAAATTTCGAAAAATAAATTGTTTTAAAAAAAAAAAAAATTAACCCCCCTCTGTGAATGAATAATTTTTTGTTCACTCACGGAGGGGGGGAGTTAGAACTCTGCTGCTGCATAATATTAATAAAGAGAATCCTTAATTTGTGTTATTCATATATCATAAATGGTGTCAAAAATTGACTATTATGAACTGTTGGGAATTGACTCGTCTGCAACACAAGATGAAATAAAAGCTGCCTATAGAAAGCAAGCATTGGTATGACACCCTGATAAAAACCAAGACAAAATTGAAGAAGCTCATGAGATGTTCAAAGTCATAAAGGAAGCTTATGAAGTCCTATCAGATCCTCAAGAGCGTTCGTGATATGATTCACACAAATCTGAAATTTTATCTGGCTCCAAGCGAATTCAATTAGATTTATTATTCGTTTAGCGTCTATTTGCAGGCTACACTCTCCAACTGCTATCTCCAACTCTGGGGCGAAATTCGCGTCATCTTCCCCCGGCATCCCAACGTATGGTCACCTTGACTTCGTTACGCGGCAAAGTGCCATTCTTGAGTTTGAGCTTCGACAACTCTTCTTTGAGCTCAGGCCGCCTATTTGGGTCTACTAGGCACCCTGGGGTTCCAGTCCCACCACCTGAGGTAGGTGGTGCCCATTCTGGAAAATTCGATTCCCTAAGATCAGGAGTAGGAAAAACCACTGGCACAGCTGGGATAACTTCACCAAGGGACACCAAACCTCATAATTAAAATATGCAAGGGATAAATTTTCGGATCTGGCTCCAAGTCAGAAGAGATGGATCTTTGGCCCTATTTCTCAACCAATGCCTATCCAGGTGGCTTCACAGATGCTCCTGACGGCTTTTATGCAGTTTATAGAGATCTCTTTGAAAAAATCAATCTAAAAGAAAACACAGAGGCTAAGAACAAAACAAAATGCTCACAAAGGCCTAGTTTTGGGGGACAGAATACTACTATTGACGAAATAAAAGAATTCTATAACTATTGGGCCAATTTTTCCTCAATTCGCTGCTTTGCATGGGCTGACACTTACAATCCTCAGGATGCTCCGAACAGATATGTCAGACGGCAAGTAGAAGCTGAAAACAAGAAGGAGAGGTCAAAGCAAAAAAAGAACTTCAACGAAATGGTCAGAGAACTCGTCGGCTACTTGAAAAAGAGGGACGAAAGATGGGTAAAATATCAAGAAGAACTAAGAAATGAAAAAATAAGAAAGGCAAGGGAAGAAGAAATTAAGAAAGCAGAAGAGGCTCAAAAGAAAAAAGAATTGATGGAGCAGTTTAGAAAGGAGCAAGCAGAGAGATATGCACGAGAGTACGAGGAAAGAAAAAGGGCTGAAGAAGAGGAAGAAGGTGAAAATGCAGAAGAGGACAAAGGAATAGAAAGCGAAGAGGAAATTCAGCAATTTTATTGCGAGCTCTGCAAGAAAAAATTCAATAACAGCAAGCAGTTTGACAACCATGAAAACTCAAAAAAGCACAAACAAAAAGCCCAGGAGCTGCTGAAAGAAGTAAGGTTGCCTGAAGAGGAGCCTGTTTTTGTAAAGACACCAAAAAAGCCTAAAAAGAAAAAAGCAAAAGAAGAAGTAAAAATTGAAGAAAAGCATGAGAGTGAAATAGAAGAAAATGAAATGACTGAGAACATTGAGGAAGACCATGAAATGAAGTTTTTTAAGAAAAAAGAAGAAATAAACGATGAAGATTCTGATGAGGAGCATAAAGTTATTGATAAAGTAGAGAAGAAAAGAGAAAAATCCCCGATCGTATTTCCAGATAGGAAAGCTGGAAAAGCGAAGCAAAAACGAGAGAAAAAGCAGAAAAAGGCTGAGGAAAATAAAAATGAGCCTCAAATGGAAGAAGAAATTGAAGAGAGAAAAGTCGGAAAAGCCAAGCTGAAACGAGAGAAAAAGAAAGCAGTCTCAGAGTTTGTGTGCCGAACATGCACAGTCGATTTCGAGACCAGGAATAAATTATTCACTCATTTAAAAGAATCTGGCCATGCAATTGCAAAATAACTACACAAAATTAATTAAATATGTTCATGCTAAATTATTAAATGAATGGATTCGAGCATTCAGATGCCTATTTAGAAGCATCATCAGCTGATGACCGCTACATCATAGTATATACACTGCTCAAGCTTGGCTTGATTACAGGGAAAGTTATGATTTACACAAATACAGCAGAGACTGGCTACCGATTAAAGCTCTTTTTAGAGGAATTCCACATAAAGTCGCTCCTCCTTAACTACGAGCACCCTAAAAGCACTCGTCACTTAATGGTCACCAACTTTGTAAACCATAATGATGTTCTTGTGGTTATTGACCCTGACGAAGAAGAAAGCCAAAATAAAGGCTGCAAACGACACAAGATCTTTAAATGCCCAGTCTCAGTCCTCATAAACTTCGATTTTCCATCGTCAATATCAAACTATCGCAAGCGTGTCTCTGATGTGTCTGACGATATCAACACAAATATGTCAATTCTCAGTCTCATCCTCCAAGAAGATTTGCATCAATTGGAAAAACTCAATAGACGTCTGGAGAAAAAGGAAGAGAAGCCAGTAGAAAAACTAGGCTTGAAAATGGAAGAGTTTGAAAAATTCAGGTATCGCTGTGAAGATATTTTGAGGACAGTCACAAAGAAAGCTGTCCATAATGCAAGAATGAACGATGTGAAAAAAGCGATATTAGCGACAAAAGAAGTCAAAGATAAATTTAATGAAAACCCACAGGATAAAAAACTGCTGGCAGAAGCTAAAAAGAAAAATAAGCCAAAAAGATATTTGGCATCAGTTCCTGATTATTTGCTACCTGCTCCTTTAAAAAGAAAAAGAAGTGAAACAACAGCTTTGGATAGGAAAAAATTTGAAGAGAAATTAGCAAAGAGACAACACAGAGCAGTTAGAGAGGTAGAACCTGGTGAAAAAATTGAGGAAACCCCAGAAAGCATAGCGTGGGAAGACTTGCCGCCAACTTCCAACAGAAAGCTATGGAAAATCCGCCATCACATGTCATTGAAAGGAGGTCCCAGAAAAATCCATAAAAAGAATTAATAGTAATTTTTCTATCTCCCCTTCAAAGGACAAAATATCTGTAAAATCTGACATTTTTAGTATCTAATCCCTTTAAATTGGAACAGTTTTTTTTTTAATAGGAAAATTTTATAGGTGAAAATACTAATTCTATAAATGAGTTTTTATTTAATTTAATAGGAAAAAATGAAAGTCGAATATTATTGAAAAAGAATCATTAATTCATTCTTTATAAAAATAATTTCGAATTCAAAAAATATTATATTTTTTATTAAAAACATTTTAATTAAAAAAAAATTTAATATAATTTTGTTAAAAAAACATTCAAATGGAACAGAATTTTCTGTTCCAATTTAAAGTGGGGGAGGCGGAGTAAAATAAATGGAAGAAAAGCCAAAAGAAGACGTCCCTCAAGAAGAAACCTTATTCCCCCCTCATCAGTAGGCGAAAAAAAATTGGAAAAATTCCTATTTTTGCCATAAATTGAGCGAACAAAAACTTTTTTATGAAAAAAAATTGATATATAAGTTTCAAATTGGGATTTGTTTAGATTTTGAGAAAAAAATTTACAATATAAATTTATATATAAATTCCTTAAACAAAATTAGCAAACAAAAAAATTTTATTCGCTAACAACGGGGAAAGTTAGCAGAAGGCCCAATGTCGTTGCTTGTTAAAGCTGTTAAGACAAATACACAGGTCCTTATCAACTGCCGCAACAATAGAAAGATCTTAGCCCGGGTCAGAGCTTTTGATCGGCATATGAACATGGTCCTTGAAAATGTAAAAGAAATGTGAACAGAAGTGCCAAGAGGAGGCAAAGGGAAAAAAGCCACTCCAGTTAACAAGGAAAGATATATTGCCAAAATGTTTCTAAGAGGCGATTCAGTTATTGTTGTCCTCAAAAACCCTAAGTAAGGTAATTGACGATTAGTTTAAAAAGAAATAAGAAATTTTTATTTATGTTGCTCTTTCAGAGCCTTCAATGTCTTCAGCCATTTTCAGCATGGTCTCCCCACGGTTTCTGTAAACGAAAAAGAAAAGTACAACAGCGAAGAATGAAAGGATGGTAGAAATGATGGCTAAAATTGGCCCAGCAGTACTACACACCTCCGGGGTTTCTGTAAAACTGTTGACCAAACTTCCGCAATCCCTGTCGAAGCCAGCTTGAGAAACTCCAAACCAGATGGCCACTGCCAAAAAGTTAGCTAAGAAAGCTATCACTGAGTAAGCCTACATGAATTTTACATAATTGAGGATTGGCAAGCCATAGTCGTACCCAAACATCAACTGTATCAAAACTTGGGACAAAAATATTCCAGATGCCAATGCTATTGCTTGAAGGCTTATATAAGCATATGAAGCGACGCTGAGGGAGTTATACATATTGCAGGACCCAGAATTTCTGTCTACTGCACAATCGTAGCCAGCTAGGCAGTTCCAGCCGAGGTTATCAACGTTTTGCATGCATCCTGAGCAAGTAAGAAGACTTCCAGACCATGAATAGGTTTTTGGAGTCCTTTTGACCCAGCTACCAACACCCATTGAAGCAGAGCCGAAAATCATGCACATAAAGAGCAATCCAAGGATGGTGACTGCCCAAGTTGGCATTGTCAAGCCAAGGTACCTGTTTTGATGGGATAAAATTATTGATGTCTTCGAGTCATCTTTGTGACTGAACACTCGGTAGTTCACGATCATTCCAATTGCAATTAGTATCCCAATGCAAATCGCCAGAACTGGACCGCCTTTTGCACACATGAATGGTGTTGTAACAGTGGAATCTGGATTTACTGAACAATCTGCTGACCATGTCGCTTCACTCAAAGAAAACCACAGATAAACTCCAACCAAGTGAAAGAACAGCATCAAGGCGCTAAGCCCATATATGTGAGAAGTTTTTCCATAGTTTCTGACAAAAATCGCTAAAGTAATTTTTTCTAAAAGTAGTAATGCAATAAAGATAGTAATTGACTCTAAGTAAAAGAAAGCATTGGAGGCTTGATAGCCATTATCCAGTAATTTACAATCTCCGACCAAACTCTGAGCGTCGCAAGCGAATTTCATAAAGCATTGCCAATCCCATTGAGCAAGAGATTCCGGACAATTGCTGCAAGTCACGAGACTCATTGTAAGTAGCTCGTTCCCTGATTTCATTTCTGCCCATTCAGGAAATCCTAAACCTGTACATATGAGGGCTAAAATGATAATAAGTAGAGAAAAAGGGATCCAAAGGGTCCATTTAGGCCAAAACTTTTTCTGTTCCATATTGTGTAATGTATTGTCGGTATTTTTATCAGTTGGAACTACGAAGTTTTTAAAGGTTACAGCCATTGAAAAAATAGTTAACGAGCTTCTTAATATAAAATTTTTGATTATTCAAGTATATTGTCCAGTGATGCTTAATTTTTATGTAAAAGAATGGGAATGAAAATGCATATAAATTAAATGCTATTTTACTAAAATTATTTGATAAAAATTATTATCTCGCATTAATTACAAATTAAAAGGTAAAATTGGAGTTTCAAATTTATTTACCACAATGGTAAGAATAAATATAGCTGCTATTCATTTATTTTTGAAACCCAAATTCAGGTAATTCTCAATTCAAATGTTTATTCAAGCTTTAATAATTTAAAAAAGTCTCCTTTTAATTATCGATAAATCATCAACTTCCATTTTGTGCCTTTACTAACTTTAAAATACTCTAGGTGTAACTCATTATATTTAATCATCTTCCAGTCCTCCTAATTCTCATAATCAAAAATGGAACAAAAGCAGTTTAAAGACCTAAAAAAAAATCTCAAGAATTCAACACAGTCTAAGAATTCAAGTTCCGGGGCCTTCAAAAACACGGCCTCATCTATTAATGAAGAAGACAGCACACAACTTGCAGGCTCTGAAGATGAAAATTTTGATTCCTTTTCAATAATGGGCTCAATCAGTGAAGGAGTCCAAGTTCAAAAGGTTCCCAAAGTTGAAATGAGCCCGAGAATCCCAAGAGTGGAAGCTGCGCCTCCTTTTAAAAATCCAGGGACCCTCCCATGTCCCTTTTACCAAGATTCATTGCAAGAAGATTTCGTTGGAAAGAATTCTGACCTAGACAAGTCGAGCGAAACAACAGAATCTACACAAGAAAACAATGAGAGAATGAACCAAGCACTGTGGGATGCAGCTGATTCAAACCAATATGAGACTTGCAGAATGCTATTGGATAAATCCCTCAATGGGGACATGGTAGCCAATGTTAACAGCCATATGCCAGATGGACTGACAGCACTTCATTTGGCTGCTCTCAAAGGCCATGTGAAAGTGTGCGAAACACTTCTGGACTACGGCGACAACACTGATTTAAATTCGCGTGACCTGTTACAAAGGACCCCTTTGCATTTAGCTTGCTTGCATGCAAAACTCCAAGCTGCACAGCTGCTAGTGAGGTCTGGAGCGTTTTTAAATGCAGCCGATGTTGATGGGAACACTCCTTTACATTATGCAGTCCTAACTGAAGATAAGGAATTCTTACATTGAATATTATGCAGGTTTCCTGACTTAAGCGTGAAAAACAATGAAGGAAAAACCGCCTTTGAAATGACTGACAAAATGAGCATTCAAGAGCTGGCTGAAAACAAACGGCCACCACCGCCAGTACTTAACTTAACTCCTCAAAGAATAAAAATCAGAAATTCTATTGATGAGCTGACTGATTTTATGATGCAAGGGGTCTCACGAAGAAATTGTCCATTTAGCATCCCAGAAACTCCTCAGCCTGAAAAGAAAAAAATTTCTCCTCTGGACTTTCAAGCGATTCAGCAAATTGGAAAAGGAAGCTTCGGCGAGGTATTTTTGGTAGAAAAGAAAGACTCTCATGAGCTTTTTGCCATGAAAATTTTACAAAAAAGCAAAGTCATGCGTCAGAACATAGTCAAGTACGCAATGACTGAAAGAAATGTGCTCAGTTATATGAGACATCCATTTATAGTAGGGCTGAAATACGCTTTCCAGACACAAAACAAGCTATTTTTAATTTTAGATTATTGCCCAGGTGGAGACTTAGGATCGCACATTGCGAGAGAGAAAAGATTCAGCGAAACGCGTGCGAGAATTTATTTATGCGAAATTTTGGCAGCTTTAGAAGAGCTACATAGACGTGACATAATCTTTAGAGATTTGAAGCCTGATAATGTAGTGCTTGACTCAGAAGGCCACGCTATGCTCACTGATTTTGGGTTGTCTAAAGAAGGAGTTTTAGATAACTTTTCAGCGAAATCTTTCTGTGGATCTGTCGCATACTTGGCCCCAGAAATGCTGAAGCGTCAAGGCCATGGCAAAGCAGTGGATTGGTATTTACTCGGAGTGCTGTTGTACGAGATGCTTGTAGGAATCCCACCTTATTTTTCCCATAACAAAGATCAGCTATAGCGCTTTCCCGAGTATGGCGCGGAATGGCGCCATCCTCGGGGAAAGCCAGGAAGGCATCCACACGGGAACTGGGAGTTCCACGTGTGGATGCCATTTTGATATGTGGAAGTTTGGATCCCACATGTCAAAAATGGCATCCACACGTGGAACTCCCAGTTCCCGTGTGGATGCTTAGTTGACTTTCCGAGGATGGCGCCATTCCGCGCCATCCTCGGGAAAGCGCTATATTCCACAACATCCAGCACTCAACACTAAAGATCCCTACCAGTCTGAGCTCAGACGCAAAGAACTTGCTAAAAGGACTGCTGCAAAGAGAGCCATCGAAAAGACTTGGAAGCCGAAGAGATGCAGAGGAAATCAAGGAGCATCATTTTTTTTATGGGATCAACTGGGATTCGGTTATGAGGAGAGAACTGAGGCCTCCCAGACCGCCTAAGCCCGTTGTTGCACATGGGTCTGTGCCACAAGAAAGAGTAGTAGCTGCAGAAAGCTTGGTCAATAATGAAACGACGCACTTGACGGGCTGGACCTTTGTATCTGAATAATGTAAATTGTTAATTAAATAATGGTTATTATGCTAATTACTCTTCTTTATTTATTGTGAAAGAGAATTTAAAAAAATTATGACAGTGGCCATGAATGATAAGGTTTTTTATGAATGCAGAACGCTGGGATAAGAATAAATTAACGACTGAGGTTACATTTAAACTTTATTATCACTGGCTGCAGTTTTAGTTACAGAGGAATCAAATGATGTATTGCTTTCAGGAGTCATTTGACCTGTCTTTTTCCTTCTCCTTCTCCTTCCATTAGGAGATTTACTAGATCTTGTTTTGGTTGGAGAATGATATTCATCCTCTTTAGCACATCTTTCAGCCTCCTGTGTAAATGGGATTCCAAATCCCATAACCACTTCTAGAGGCAGCTCACCATTTTCAAAAACTGGCCGACTGAATGTTTTTGGTTTAGACTTTGTTCCTCCCATTATCTTACTCCCCTCTTCCTTTTAAATTAGAACAAAATATCGAAAAATTCTATTTCTTGGGTGCTTTACCCCATATTAAATTGGATCAAATTAGAAAATTTTATAAGTGGAAAACACTAGTTTTTTATAAAAAATTAGTTTGCCTAATCGAAAAAGTGCAGTTAGAATGTTATCTAGCCTGCTTTTGCACTGAATCAATTAGATTTTTAATTAATTCTTAAATTAATTTCCAAAATATTGCGTCAATTTATATAGTTATAATTTTTAAATTTTTTTTACAAAACTTCAAATGGAACAAGATTTTTTTGTTCCAATTTAAAGAGAGGGGGAGTTCGATGTTATTAATTTTATACAGAGTAATATGAAATTTGTTCATAGTATATGAAATTTATCATATAGCTACTTATATCTAAACACTTCTACACCTAACTAGACTTTGCATTTTTACCGGCTTTTCAAAATGTATATAATCTACTTCAACATGCCCAAAAGCAATATCCATAACCCAGGAGCCTATTTTCCTGCAATAAGCGCAGCACAACATCAATAAAGCAACCCATCCATCAAACACAAAAAATTTCCACTCCTCAATTATCCCGTCCAAGTAGCATGAAAGTGCAAAGATGCAGAGCCCTGCACTTACACTTCCAGCGCATGACAGCAGCGTTGCGATTTCGCCTCAGACGTCTCTTGCCTTCTTCCTACTGTTAAATAATATCAAACTACAAAATCCGAGCAATAAAAAATTTAAAATAATTGGCATCAGCGATATATATCACGGGATGTAAACCTTATAGTCTTCCTTCACTATCAAGATGACTATTTGTATCAGCCACAGCAATGACGCTGACAGCCAAAACGCTAATCTTTCAATGTGTATAAAAATAAATTTTACAATTGCCATGATCAATAAAATCGTGATTGGCATAGTGATAATCATAAAAGAATGCAAAAAAAATTGATCTTCAGTCGTTTCTATGTAGATGATTGACAAAATCATGGATGAAAGTCACAACATTCCGATAACAGCATTCTGAATTAGCCTTCCGACTGCAGATCTGTGTCATACAGAAAATCCTTGCTTTTGTTTAATTACATCACAAATGACAATTACAAACATTACGCTGCTAAAAGTCACCACTTCAGCCCCAACACATATTAAAGGAAGTAGTGCTAGCTCATATTTATCATAGCCTTCAGAAATCTGCATAAAAATTACAGTCACGATTGCAAAAGAAATTATTGGATGCAAAAACACAAAAAGCCCCAATCCAGTCTGAAAAACCAAGATTGTCCTATTGGAGTTCCCGAGCAGTATTCTATAGTAAAAGCATTTTCTTCTGAACCTCCCTTAAAACGAGCCAGATTTTGGTTCTTTTTTCATTGGTGCTTGATTTTTTTGTTTAAGCATTTTATATTAAAGTTAAATGTAAATTTTTTTTCAGAACGAAAAATCTATTTTAATTTATAGATGAATGCAAGTTGTCTAAAATATAAGTAAATAAATGGTAGATCTCGTTATAGCAATTATTAATTATTAATAAACATTTTATACAAAAAATTTTATACGCTCGCTCTTAAGGGAATAAGTGATTTAGGAGGTTTTTGTTTCAAAAGCTGTGATGTTAGAAGATCCATTTATTCTTTATACGTCTTTTCGTAAGTGAAGCATACTGCATTTACAAATAATTCAATATGAGAAGGTTCTTAAGCCAGGAAGCAGCGAAAAGATTTGACGATAAGCTTATGGGAGAACTTGGGTTTGCCACTGAATCTCTGATGGAGCTTGCAGGACTCTCATGTGCCCAGTGCATATTTAAAGAATATATTCCTGATTCTGTTATTGTTGTGTGTGGGCCTGGGAATAACGGAGGGGATGGGCTGATAGCAGCTAGGCATTTATTTCATTTTGGTTTCAGACCAACTGTACTCTATCCCAAACCAACTTCAAACTTGGTTTTGACACGTCTCCTAACTCAATGCAGGGTGCTTGGAATTCCTATTGTAGATCAATTAGATGATTACAGCTCTTTTAGCTTAATTGTTGATGCAATTTTTGGGTTTTCTTTTAGAGGTGATCTCAGAGAGCCCTTTAAAACAATTATCCAGAAAATTAAAGAAAGCGGGAAGCCTGTGGTGTCTCTTGATATTCCCTCAGGGTGGGATGTGGAAAACGGAAACATTACTGGGGAAGGACTAGAGCCAAATGTATTGATTTCTTTGGGTGTGCCCAAACTGTGTGCGACTTATTTTAGAGGGATCCACTATATAGGTGGAAGATTTGTGCCCTTATCGCTTGCTGAAGAATTTCAAGTTGATTTGCCTTTATACCCTGGGTCAGACCAAATCGTAAGGATTAACTAATGAATAATTAATTGTTTAAAGAATTCTTAGTGTTATGCCTTAATCTTGTATGAAAATTTTGGCTTCTTTGATCTCTCTCTTCTATCATACCTAAATAGTCAATGACTGTTCTCAGCAAGAAGTTCGGCATCAATAATCAGACCCGAAAGATGGTAAATCATCGAACATACCTTTATTCCAAATATGTCTCTTGAAGGCTCTAACTCCCCCTCCGAGAGCGAGCAAAATCATTGGAAAAATCCTTATTTTTTGCCTAAAACCCACCCTCCGTGAGCTAACAAAAATTAAAAATCTTTTATGAAAAAAATTTTTTGATATATAAGTGATAATTAATATAACAAATCTCTAGCTAATTCTGTTTAATTTTAAACAAATTGCATTTTAAAACATAAATTTTACAAATTAATTAAATTTTATATCTCAATTTTTACGAATTGGGATCTGTTAAATTCAAAAAAAACTTTACTATAAAATTTTAACTATAATTTTTTTTTTTAAAAAAATAACCCCTCTGTGAGGGAACAAAATTTTTTTGTTCTCTCATGGAGTGGGGAGTAAGCAAAATTTATGGTTCCATTTATATTATTATATTGCCATTGTAATTTTATCTATTTGATTGAGTGTTAACTCTTATTCTTAATTTTTTTAATTTTTGTGGGCTTTCTCTCAATTCCTTTAAACTCTGCTCTTTTTGTTTCAAATCCTATGATTTCATCATTTTCCATCCCAAGCATATGCATAATAATTCTTTCGACTGTCTCAATCTCAGGCACTTGCGGCCCTATAAGCTCCATCATTCTCAAAACCATCACCTTTATCTGCTCAATTGATGCACTCTTTTTATCATTAACTAGCTCACTTAACGATTCAATCTTTTCTTGCTGTTCCCGCTTTGTATTTTCTAGTATTTCGTTTTCTTCTTCCAGCTTTTTTAGTGTGTCATATACATTATGAGTTTCATCTGAGGAAACAATCCCAGATTCAGTCTCAGTCTGTGTAGTCTCTGAGTTCATGCTTTTTGTTTCTGAGGAGAATTCTGCTTGGAATTGTGGAATTGAATTCAGATCAGAACTTTCTGCAAGCTTCAGAAGCTCATCAAGACGGCGCAACTGATCAGGGTCATCAAGGGAACGACGAAAATCGATGAGATCGGAAGACTTTCGAGCGTAATGAGTAGCAAGAGTTTGAACTGCGTCTAGCGTAGTCATGTCTTTCAGATCTGGTGGAAGAATTGTCTGAATTGAATCTTTAAAGCTGTCAGAATTGTCTAAAGATGCAATATACGCTGATGTTAGGATTTTGATAGCATCTTCCAAAGAGTGGGATTTCAAAGAGTCTGGGAGATATTCTTTAAGAGAGTCTTGGTAATCTGAGACTGCTTTAAGTGAGTTATCAGCTTTAGGTTCTTCGTTATTATTGATTTCAAGACTTTCTGGGATTTTATGAATAATCTCAGGATCATTCTCTGACAATTCAGTTTCTGGTTCAATTTTCGGTGTGCTATCCTTTGATTCTTCAACTGGGATTTCTGTTTCCTTGTTTTCAATGGAGTTTATTGTTTTTACTGTTTTCGCATCTTTGTCTATCTCTTCATTGTTTTCTTGCCCTTTTCCTGTTGTCCCATTCTCAGCTTTATCAAACTGGCTTTCACTCACTATTTCTATTGCCTTGTCTTCTTCCACTTTCCCATTTTCAATTTCCAGCTTAGTTTCAACAATTCTATTAAGTTCTTCTTCACCTTTCGGTTCCTGATCTTGATCAGGATTTTCTCTATTTTTATCTTCCATTTATACAAGATAGTATTTAGCAATTCAAATAATTACAAGAATCAAATTTATTTTAATACAAACTCTTTCAAGCATTAATATATTTTCTAAATCTGAACTAATTAATTTTTTACTTCTATTTATTCCTCTTTTCAATATCACCAACCTTAAGAATTATATAAGAGTCTTTTGTTAGAATAAAAAGATGCCAAAATTAGTGTTGTTGAGCTTAATTATGCTATGCTTCAGTTGAATTATTTATGTGATTTGCAACATGATGGACTTATTCATCCTTCCTTCATACCAGAACTATGAAGAATGTGAAGTAATTCAAACGAACGGTTCATTAGAAGATATCACATTTTATGGAAATATTGCTATTGGAGGAGAAGACGATAGAGTCCCTTTATTTACAGAGTCTTTTGCTGCAAGTAAAAGAAAAGAAGGCAGACTACTCGCAATTGACATAGGGAGTAAAAGCACATACGAAATTCCAATCCATAATTTCCCCAAAGAAATAGGATTTCATCCTCATGGACTATTTTTATTCAAGAATGAAACTTTATATATTTTAAATCATGCGTTTAATAGAGGTGGAGAAAGAGTAGAAGTTATCAAGCTACAAGAAAACGAAGGAAAGATAGAAGCTACCTATTTAAGATCTATAGTCTTCGATGATGAATTCATAGCTCAATTTAATGATTTAGCTGTGATAGATGAAGACGAATTTTACATAACTCAGTCAATTCCTTATAATGAATCTCCTGAAGGCTTAGATCTTTCAGGCTGGCATCAAGCCAAGATGTTTTTGACAATGCAATTTACTAAAAGTTGCAATTTGTATTACTGCAAAAATGTGAACGGCAAAGCCGACTGCAAATCGCAAGATAAGAGTAACCTCTACAATGGTATCAACATTTTAGGAAGCACACTTTATGTTACAGAATCTGTTTTAAAGCAAATCATTACATACAATATAACAGAAGATAGATCGCTTAAATTTATTGAGTCTTTTAATGTATTATTCCATCCTGATAACATTGAAGTTTCGGATGAGCCAAACATTTTGTACGTTGCAGGATTTTCGAAGATCTCTGAATTGGCTGATTTCATGGAAAAGCTTAAAACCGTGAAGTATCCTGAACTCTCAAGTGGAGTATATAAACTGAATCACACGATTGGCGATGTGAGCAAAAAGAATATGATAATGCAAAAAAAAATGCCGATAAGTGTTGCTGCAGCTAAAAACAATACCTTCATAATTGGTTCTTTTACACATGATATGGTTATGATTTGCCCCATAAAACAATCCTAAGGTTTTTTTTTTTAAATTTTATAGTAATACTGTTTTTCAAAATTTAAAATAATTTTAAAGCAAATAAATAACGAAGTTATTTCTCTTTATTTCTAAAATTTTAAGCTAATCTCTTATATTTTCAAGTAATTAGTCTGACCAGAATTATAGTGTACATTTTTAAATTATTATAAAATATTAATTTAAAGTCTTTATAAAATTAAAGAATGAGAACTTAAAAGTAAGAATAACTCTTCTCATATAGCATAGTTAAACTTTTCTAATATTCTCTGATGTAATTCGAGAGCTATCAAAATTTTTCATTATTTACTCCAGTTTTGATTGGTGGATTAATAATATATCCAACAAAATCGGCACCAACTATATTATCTTTTAACTCTTCACTATCTTTATGATTGCTAAAACCGATACTGATTCTTTATTTTATTAATGATTTGCCATTAGCATTATTAATAAATGTGTTCTGACATTTTTATTAAATTTACCGACTGATGTTGATTTATTAATGGTAAGTTTTAATTGTTAATAATAATATGTATACCATGCAGCCTATAATCCTTTGTATTCTATTCGCATCTGCTTATTGCATTGCAACCCAAGCAGAGCAAAACACAATGACTCCCTTATCAGATGATGAAGGAATTAATTTCCTAGAAAAAGGAAGTGGGGGCGGCAAAAAATGGTCATTCTTACAAATAGAAGACGCCGATGGGAAATCTGGAACATGGAGTTCAGGAGGATCACAATCTACAAGCACAGGCTCAACAGTTCCAGCGAGTTCTGGTTCAGGATCTGGAAACGCTTCAGGCCAGCAAGGGAAAACTGACTCGCAATCTTCTGGTCAAAACAATCAAAAACAGTCAACGGCTACTGGGCAGCAAAGTGGAGGGCAAAGCTATGGAGGAAGCCAACAAACCGGACAACAGGAGGGAAACGATTATCAATACTCTTATGGAGGAAGTCAACAAACTGGGTCAAGTGGAGCATCTGGCCAGCAAAATTATGGAAATCAGCAATCAACTCAAGGCGGATCATCTGGCCAGCAAAATTATGGAAATCAGCAACCGACTCAAGGCGGATCATCTGGCCAGCAAAATTATGGAAATCAGCAACCAACTCAAGGAGGATCATCAGGACAAAGTAACACTGGCAATCAACAACCAACTCAAGGCTACTCTTCAGGCCAAACCAATACTGGAAATCAACAGCCAAGTCAAGGCCAAAATAATAATGGCAGCCAACAACCAACTCAAAATGGATCATCAGGACAAAGTAATACTGGCAGTCAGCAGCCAACTCAAGGTGGATCATCAGGCCAAAGTACCGGCAATCAGCAATGAACTCAAGGCGGATCATCAGGACAAAGTAATACTGGCAATCAACAGCCAACTCAAGGCGGATCATCAGGACAAAATTCCAGCGGGAACAGTCAGTCAACTCAAGGGGGGTCATCAGGAAATCAGCAACCATCTCAAGGAGAATCATCCGGGCAATATAACTCTCAATCCACATCAACTCAAGGCCAGCCATCTTCTGGTGAAAGCTCTTCTCAAGGATCAACATCTGGACAAACTTCATCCACTTCTAGCACTTCCTTCTTAGAAACAGAGCATTAACATTAGCATTGCTTAGAGGTTTTAACGTGCTTCTCTGACTCCGCATGGTGGTTTTAACAAAGCCACAAGGGCTCAATCCAGTAGACACCAACTAGTGACGTCACCGGCATTTCCGATGTCGCCCTTTGTATTGGACCGATGGACCATCCTAAGCAAGTGACGGTCAACTGGCTGCCAGATCTCACAGGCTGCGTTACCTTGCTGCCTTGCTCGAAACTTTAATCCTGCGCGTTGCGCCGCCTATGGGTCTCCCTCCTGGGAGTGTCAAGCAGCAAAACCCTATGTCCACCAAACATCCAAGGATTAGGTCAGGAGGCTGTGAACCCCTCCCCGCTGCTTACCTGATATAGCTGGATAAGGTGCTCCATGAAAACTGAACCCTATAATAATAAATTGGTCAAAGGAGTGAAATTCTTCAGAGAAGAATTTTCTCGACGACATCATTTTATTATTATTATTACTCCCCCTCCGTGAGTGAGCAAAACCATTAGAAAAATCGCTATTTTTTGCCCAAAAGCCCACCATTTGTGAGTGAACAAAAATTTTTTTAATAGAAAAACTTTTTATCGAAAAAATTTTTGATATATAAGTGATAATTAGTATAATGAAATCTAGAGCTAATTCTGTTTAATTTTAAACAAGTTGCTTTTTAAAATATAAATTTTATAAATTAAATTAATATTTGCTTTCCAATTTTGCGAATTAGGATTTTTTTAAATTTCGAAAAAAATATTTTCTATAAAATTTATATATAAATTTTTTTTAAAAAAAAAATTAACCACCCCTGCGAGTTAACAAAATGTTTTTGTTCACTCACGGAAGGGGGGGGAGTTAGAAACAGAGCACAATCAATCAGGATATATAACATCTGGAGAACAGGGATACTCTACAACAAATGGGAATAATGCCAATTATGGAGCCACTAATGGTGGAGAAAATTCTAATTATAGCGGCTCAGGATCTGGGAACACTGGAGGAGGAAATAGCCAGCAAGCAGGAAGTTCTTGTGCTGGAGGATGCTGTCAAGGAGGAAACTGCGGTTCAGCTGGGAGCGGTGGAGGAAGTCAGCAGGGATCTAATGGTAACTCTCAGCAAGGTGGAAACTACGGTTCAACTGGAAATACCGTAGGGGGTCAGTCTGGAAATGATAAATCTCAAGGGGAAAGCTGTGACTCTAAGCAATGTAGTAGTAGTTCAACTGGAGGAAATCAATCAGGGTGTGAAGGTAAAAATTGCCAAGGAGGAAAGGGAGTTTGGTTTTTGCAAAATCTCAGAGGCTCAGGAAGCTCAGATCAAGGAATAAATGGGTCAAATAATGGAAGTGGGCAACAAGGAAGTTCCGGATCTATAGGTGGACAGCAGGGTTCAAGTAGTCAAAACAGCGGAAATTATGGAACGGAAACGAATACAATGGGCGGTCAACAAGGGAATTACGGATCTGGCACAATGAGTGGACAACAGGGAAATTATGGAACGAGCAGTCAGGGCCAAGAAAATTATGGAACAGGAATGGATACTAATAGCGGTCAAATGAATGGTCAGCAAGGCAGTTCTGGATCAAGTGGCCAAAATTATGGATCAGGAATGAATTCCATGGGTGGTAGTCAAGGGCAGATGGGAAGCTCCGGATCAAGTGGCCAAAATTATGGATCAGGAATGAATTCTATGGGTGGCAGTCAAGGACAGATGGGAAGCTCCGGATCAAGTGGCCAAGGAACTTATGGAACAGGAATGAATACTATGGGTGGTAGTCAAGGACAGATGGGAAGCTCCGGATCAAGTAACCAAGGAACAGGAATGAGTAATATGGGCAATAGCCAAGGACAGCAAAGTGGAACCATTTTTATTGAAGATTATCAAGGCTCCTCAGGAAATGTAGGCCTTAGTTCAAATACTGGAACAACGGGCAACACTAGTGGCAACGGAAGCCAATCATGTACTGGCTGCAATAATGGTAGCTCTTGTGGCAATTCAAATTGTCCTAGCGGAAACAGTGGCTCAACGAATAACTCTGGAGTCAACAATTCAGGAGCACAAGGATGTGGCTGTTCAAATGTTGGATGCGATGGGAAATGCAACAATTCAGAAGTGCAAGGATGCGATGGCTCAAATTGTGGAAGCAGTGGATCTACAAATGCAGGAGGATCAAATACTGGGACTCAAGGAGGTTGCTCAAATCCTGGATGCGGAAGTGGGTCAAGCACTCAAGGATGCTGCACAAACCAAGGACAAGGTACATCTTCAACTGGCAGCTCTCAAGGGGGGATGGGCAATAATCAAGGATATTCTCAAGGCTCCGGCTCAGATACAACCTCTTCAGGAATGTATGGTAATCAAGGTTCGACTTCAGGAGGAATGTGGAGTAATAACGACCCCACCATGGATTGGCCTGGCTCAGGCATTTCATTCTTAGAAAGCGATAATGACTTATCTGCTGAATTTAATGAACTTGATTTCATGGAAGTGGATAACGATGTCTTTGTTGAAATTTCTTCCGAACTGGATTGGGATGATTATGACATGGATGACTTTGACGAATGGAGGGCAAACAGAACTTCGCGTCGAAATGAAACTTCATCATCATCTGATTCATCAGAGCCAACTAATACAACAGATACAATTGGTGCAACTGGTACAACTAGCACGACTAGTGGTTTCTTCTTCTTTTAACTGAAGAAGATTAATTAACACTTTTATTAAAACCTCTCTCAATTAAAAAGAAACTTTTTTTTCATTCACTAAAATTGATACATTAATTATACATTATTGTGTTTCTTTCTCAAAGAAAACTGTCTTGTTTCAGCATTAAAATTTCTATGTAAGAATTTTATATAATCATCATCTAAATCTAAATTCATTGCTCTTTCAATCAGTTCGCTCCATTCCAGCTTGCGCTTTCCTCCATCCAGCACAGCCATGAAGCTCTTTCATTCTTTTTGAGACTGGTGGCAGATCTTTAGCTGTCCCAGAATTTCTATGGGGTCATCTCAATCTTAATTATACTTATAGAAAGCTCACTGTCTGACGAGGGCCTGCATTCGCTTCCTGGTAGTTGTGTCGCTATGCCGTGCGTCAAAAAAAGGTTGCCTGCCATTGAAATTCAAGATAATTACATTTTTTCGACTTTTAGCTAAGATAGAAACCTGAAGCCTGCGACATAACTCCCGGCTTTACGCTGGAAATAGTTTCCGATTGGTCAGAAAACTGACCTCTGTGATATTGAAGCCAAAAAGAGGCTCAGGATATACAACTTTTGGCTCCATTCCCTCAGAGGCAAGGGCCTTGATTTGGAATAAAGCATATGGCCAGCTAGGCCAGCATTGCACTTCGCAAAATCAAGTAAATCCTGGCCAGATCCGCATTGACGAATTGCATCCTCGCAGTTTTGTACCCCACTAGACGCGGAATCAGCTTCAAGAGGGTTGGTTGACTCCTTGCCATTTTAATGTATGTTCTAAGAGATCATCAGCTGCTAAGAGCTGCTCTTCAAGGCATCCTAATAGTACAATCACAATTCTATAGAAAAAACTTCACCCTTTCATAAAGAACTGCTCCAAGATGTTCACCATTTCTCTCACAGGCACTACACTTCCGAATAGTGTAAAACACCACTCAGCTGCGTACATTTCGCTTATTATCCTGTGCTCAGCAAAGTGCGTATGCAGCCTTGGCAATAAATCCAAACAAATCAGCTGAATTATCTGGCAATGCTTTGAAAGCCCAGGAAGTGCCGGCAAATAAATATCGCGCAGTTCGTATTCTTCCATGAGCCCGATAAATAACCAGAAAGCATCAACCTCACTGGAGTGCCACAATAAGGCGGCCACGATAAAGTTCATTCCTTGCACATAGCCGAGCACGTGGTCGTATTTGCTGAATGCCAATAGCACCCTTCTCAAGGCTTCTTTGCCTTTCGATTTATTCGAGAAATAATTTTCATCAGGAAAAGTTCGATTTAAGTCGAGCTCAATTTGCTTTACACTTGCGAGGTACTGCGGGGTTTCGAAGTTACTTTCCAATAAGTCTTGATAGATTTCATCAGCGTTTCTAGGCGGGCCGCACTTAGAAAGCCACATTGCTGCTCGGGGGCATGAAAGTAATGAATGCCGCGGGATAAACTGTAAATATTTGCGGGTAATGAAGCTTCTAGACTCAGAGTAGCAAGAGCATTGAATTTCGTGGTTGTTTGTGTAAATTCTCATACTTTTGGAGGCATGTCTGTGATTAGGTGTATTGCTTTTGAAAATATTTAAGTTTTCCATATTATCTATTAGCCGAATTCTCAACTATGTGTGATTTGCTTCAGACTTGACCCTGACAGCTTGTCTTTTTAAAATTAAACAACCTTATTCATTCTATAAAAACCAGTGGAATCTGCAGCATGGACTGGAATTATAAATTGTAAGATAATTAAGGATAAATAAAATGGCATTCGGTTCGAGAAAAATTAGCTTTGCTAATTTTCTCTCCCTCATGGAATTTTATTTATAGGGTTAGGTTTTCACTCGAGAACTTCTGGACAGCAATAGCGGTTTAACTCTGGGGATAACCAGAGGAACCACTCCTCAGTCCTCTCAAGATTTCGGGCTTTTACCTCTCAGCACATCCCCACGGGAGTATGACCCTTAGGCGGAACACGCGCAGGAGCTGAGTCGAGCGACAAGGGCGACAGCATCGCGCCGGGTGAGACGTGCAGCAAGGCTGGTGAAGCAGGAGTTGATAGAAGGCTTGGCCAGGGCTCACCTGTTCCAAGATGGCTCGCCTACGCCACTAGTTTTGCCATAGGTCCTTTTTGGGCTGCGGCACTAGACACCTTAAACACCAGATAATTAAGTAAGTAAGTAAGATAATTAAGAATACAGTTACCCAAAATGGCTATGAAATCAAGCAAGGTACAGGATTATCATTTTGGGACATATCCTCGGTCTATGATTCGTACTTCTGACTCCAACAGTAACAACAAGCCAAGACATGACCGATATGGGAATCTTTTCAAGTCCAAAGTGCACAAAGTGAGTTTCAAGGACAATATCCTTGCAGAGCCTTTGTTCGTCTTGTTCGAAGTCGAACCAATTGTATATCCTGATATAGAACCCAAACAAAAAAAGTGCTGTGCGTGTCAGATATTTTAGCTGTTAATCGAGTAATTTAAGCTGTTTTTGCAATAATAAACATTTTACCATGGAGTTTATTCAGTTTCTGACACAACTCCCAGCCTGAAGATACGCCAAAAACACATGGAAAGTCAAAGTCACAGCGCCTGAAGAATATAGTGCAATACTTGTGGAGTATGAAATAATGAATAACAGGCATTTGATTGACATTGTTCAAAAAATTCAAAGACTCCCATCACTGACTGAATCTGAAGACGCGCTGGGCCAAGTCACGATGAGTTTCCATTGAAGTGGGAAATTTTATATGGTGTATGAAGATTTCGAAGAAGCAGAAAATATCATTGGTATTGAATGGATTTGTGAAAGCTTCAGGAAAGGAATTGAGGGACTGGCTAAACTAGAAAAAGATGGCACTTGGCATGGTGATATTTGTATGGAAAATTTCAAAAGAGGCGAAAAATGTGGAAAGCTTTTTGGATATGCATTGCCAAAACCTAGAAGTTTTGAAGGCTCTGGGAACGTGAATCCATATAAACAAGATATGAAAAATTTATGCCAGGTTTTATTAGATACTACAGGATGTCAAGAGAGCTTTGAAAAGTTAGCAGAAGCATATGGAGACTTGGAAGAATTGAAAATGATCAAAAGAATTGTGGAAAGTGAGCTTGAAACAATTCCTACTGCTCTAGATATTCTAGATTTAAAGAATTCATTAGCTAGAAGAGATAGATATAAAGATGGCACAGAAGATAGAAATATAAATGAAGGCCAAATGCTTTTTTTTACTAAAAATGATTATCTTCAATCATTTTCTATCAGCCTGGAGCCAAAAATTTCAAAAATTATTAAGAATCCTTTAGGAAAAGGAAGCAGCATTGGCAAATTTAAGGGAGATTTGATAATAACTGGAGGATGTGGCACAGAAAATAATACTTTTAAATATAATGCTGAAAGTATGCTATTTGAAATTTTGCCTGCAATGCTATGCTGCATTGAAAATTTTGCATCTTCAGCTTTGAATTACGACTTTCGCTTGTGTGCTGAAGTCTAAATATTTTAGGCATCAAGTTTCCGTAAGCAACAGAAAATCCATAGGAAAAATCTCTATATTTTGGTGAGTGAACAAAATTTTTCAAATATAAAATTCTATATAAAAAAAAATTGATATATAAGTGATAAATAGTATGATGAAATCTCAAACTAAATCTATTTATTTTTAAACATTTAATTGGATTTTTTAAAAAAAAAATAACCCCTCATGAGCAACCAAATATTTTTGTTCGCACACGGAGGGAGGAACAAGCATTATAAATGATTATTAGGTATATCAAATCATCAATTTCACACATCAATTGAATTTTCAAACAGCCTCTGAGTAATTGGAGGGATTTCATCAAAGTCTTGTGAAAGTTGAGATGGAAATCATTGAAATGTGCAGCCAGAGCTCAGGTATGCAAGAGAAAGTCCAAGTGCTTATATAAGCGACACTTTATATGTTTTTAGTGGTGGAGTAGAGCGATTGGAAGGTAATTCATGGACACTCCTAAGCATTGAACTAAACCTTATTGGATGCTTTGGATTAGTAAAGGACTCTCAAATCATAATTTTTGGTGGGAGAGAGTTAGCAACTTATAATGATGAAATACTAATATATTCACTTGATAGTCCATCTATTCAAGAGAGACGTGAAGGGTTCACTGGCCTATTCGGTAGCAACCCATTCTATGAGTCTGGGAATGCTGTTTGTGTCCCTTCCAATTCAGGAAAGATTGTCCAATTCAACACAATATCTAATTCACACCTGTGATGAGCAACAAATTTTAATTAAAATTTTTTAAATCTAAATCAATTCGAAAAATAATAAATTAATTTATTAAGTTTATGCTTTAGAATGCAAGGAGCTTAAAATATATTAGAATTAGCTTGGGCTTTTATTATAATCATTATAACGCATATACCAAATTTTTTTCGTAAAGCAAATTTATATTAAAGAATTCTTGCTTTCCAACTGAGGGGGAGTAAGCAACTAATTCTTCTTTAAATAATTCATATTAAAAAACTCTACAAAGACAGCAGTTCTGAAGTCCTTCTCTTCCTTTTCGGTTGTTGATTTCTTCCTTCACTTTCCTTGCGCATTCAATGAATGCAGTTTCTAAGTTTTCCCTTGTCTTCGCAGACACTTCGAGCGATTGGCAATTTCACTCTTCCGCCAATTTTTTCGCAGTCTCTGCTGTCACTTCTCTTTTATTTTCTACATCACTTTTGTTTCCCACTAATACCAAAGGTATATGTGATGTGTCTTTAACATGGAGGATCCGATCCCGCATCTGCTTAGCGTCTTGCAGGGTTTGCCTATTAGTAATGTCATAAACAATTATAAAGCCAATTGCCTGTTGAATTAGTGAATTTAAGTTTCCTACACTTGCATCTTGACCTGCTGTGTCAATCAGATAAAACATGATAGCATCACCATCAACTGCCATTTGCTTTCGGTAATAGTCTTCTACAGTAGGCTCATAGTTTTCAGGGAAGCGATTTCTAGAGAATTGCAAACAGAGCGAGCTCTTACCAACGCCAGCTGCTCCTAATACTGCGACTTTAAATTCTAATGTCTTAGAACGCTCTACCATTTTAGAAAGAGATTAAAAGATGCGTGAATTTAGTTAAGGGATGAAGTTTTATGTCAAGCTGGCTATTTTATTCGAATTAGTTAGATTAGTAGCCAATTTATTTAGCTAGATACTCAAAATCTGAATTAATCCAAAACCACGGAGGCGGGAGAGAAGATTATTTTCAGCTTAAATTTTTCAATAGTAGTGATTTTTACAGCAATCAAATGATCTTTAAATCAGCTGAAAGCATGATACATAAAGTGACTTGAATATTCCTTCACAACCTTCAGTTCACAATATCAATGATAAATTAATTTTACATTGAATATAAAGAGTTATAGCTTCAAATAGATTATTGTGTTCAATTTGCTATAATAAAACAAAATTCAAAGGGTATATAGGAAATTCTATAAAGCTATTCGAAAGTTTCGATAGTTAATTGTCTTACTCTCTTCTCAAGCTAGCAAAAAAAATTTTGCTTTTAAACGATGGGCTAACTTTTTTCAACAAAAAAATTATATATAAATTTTATAGACTTGAATTTATAAATACTTTAATTGCAAGCCATAGATAAAGCTAATTGCTGTGATTTAAACTTTTCAAATAAAAATCTAAAGCCAACTATTTTTGCCACTCATATTCACTCTTCTAACTCCCCTTGCAATCCGTGAGCGAAAAACCATTATAAAAATCCCAAAATTTTTTATGAAACAAAAAATTGATATATAAATGATAATTAATTAGTATAACAAAATCTCTAGCTAGTTCTATTTAACTTTAAACAGTTTGAATTTTAATTAAATTAATTTTTGCTTCTCAATTTTATAAATTTGAATTTTAAATGTTTTAAAAAAAATTTTCTATAAAATTTATATATAAATTTGTTAAAAAAAATAACCGAACAAAATTTTTTGTTTGCTCACGGAGGATGTGTAAGAATCTTAGGTAATCTAATAGTTGGATATAAAAATGTCTTCGCTGTTCGAAAAATACGGAGGTGATCCTTTCTGGCGCAGAGTTCTCGACGATTTTTATAATGTAAACATTACTGACCCTGCACTGCAAGCATATTTCGTTGGAAGGGATGTAGAGAGAGTGAAAGCTATGAATGCAGGTCTACTCAAGGCCGCACTTGGTACCGCAGAAAACCACTTTTTTACTTCAATTAAAAGAGTTCATGTCGGATTGGCGATTAGCTCTCCTGCATATGATAGATTTGTTTCCAATTTGTTTCAAATCTTAAGGGATAGAGGTGTTACTCAGGAAGATTTGGAAGATATAAACGATGTTGTCTCATCCTTTAGATCAGATATCGTTACGATATAATCAAGGTTAACTAATAAAATTAGGTTTGATTAAAAGTTAGATTGGGTCTTTGGGGTTTATTTCAGCCCCTCTAAGCATTGGCTTACACTTACGCCCTTTTCTTTCTACTTCATCAAAAAATGGTATGTCGCCATCTCTAGGGATTGGAAATAGGGCTCAACCCCGTTTCCTTCTTCTGATTCTCACCATCTAGAAGTATGGAGTCGTCATATAGACTCTGGTTTCGTTGTCTATGGTGCGGGGTAAAAAAACTATGGTATCCAGACCAGGGATAAAACCCACTGGTACAAGCTCCAAGCCAAAGCCGACTTAAACCCAAAATCTCAAGAGTATATGGGGAAGGACTAGCCTGATAAGTCGCCATTTTATTTGTGTTGACTAATTAGAAGATTAAGAAATAATCGCTCATTCACTGCATAACTTAGCTAGCAATAATATCCACATATGCATTACTTCAACCTCTTTTGAATTCAATGCTTCGGTACTCTCAAATTAAACAGGTAATGGTTATTTTTTAAAGGATAAGAACGGGCTTTAACTTTGAGATTAACTCCCCCCCTCCGTGAGCGAACAAAAAAAACCTTGTTTGTTCACGGAAGGGGATTAATTTTTTTTTTAAATAAATTTATTATATATAAATTTTATAGAAAGTTTTTTTTCTTTCGAATTTTAAAAATATCCTAATTCGCAAAAATTGGAAAGCAAATATTAATTTAATTTATAAAATTTATTTTTTAAAGCGCGATTTGTTTAAAATTAAACAGAATTAGCTCGAGATTTCATTATATAATTATCATTTATATATATCAATTTTTTTCCCATAAATAATTTTCTATTAAAATATCTTTGTTCGCTCACGGAGGGTGGTTTTTGGGCAAAAAATAGGGATTTTTCTAATGATTTTGTTTCGCTCACGGAGGGGTGATTAAGCAAGCAAAGAGGTATAAATTGGTCTATCATGCTTCATAGCCACATAAACGCTTAGCATTTGATAGAAGTTATAAAGAGTGCAGGATGTGCAAGCACAGGAAGTACATAACAATATAGATAGATAGATAGATAGATAGATAGATAGATAGATAGATAGATAGATAGATAGATAGATAGATAGATAGATAGATAGATAGATAGATAGATAGATAGATAGATAGATAGATAGATAGATAGAAGTTATAAAGGAAAATAATATTGATACAAAAGAAGTTTAGTCTAATTATTGTGCTTTATATAAAGCCAATTCTAAATCAATCGCTTTGAAAAGCCCTGTTTCAATGTCGAAAAATAAAAGAGATAATTATATTTTTATATCAAAAAAATAGATAAAGAAACAAAATATTATGATAAATTTAATAAAAACAATTTTAATATCTTTTATAATTATTTAAATTAAAATCGATTGAAGTGATTGCTCAAATCTTTTATGCTAAACACTAATATACTTTTATTAGTGAATCAAGATCAAAACTGATTATATAAATTATTAAGATATAAAGTACTGATTGATTATGCGTACTTTCATGAGCTTACAGTAAAGATAATGATTAATATAATTAGATGTTATTTACAATAAATCGTTTTAATGAATATTTTTAAGTACTTAAATCATAGAAATGAATTTTATAAGAAAATGAAATATTTCTCCTGTAAATGCATAAATAATGCAACCTTCTATCTATGATAATAATTTTGAATTAAATCCTTTGAGTTAGGAATTGAATTAATAACTTAATCTCAAAGGTGTTCTCTATTAAGCATTACAATCGCCCAGAAGAGTATGAAAATTAAGAATATATGGGCTTTGTTTGATAAATTTCTTTTATAAAAGTGCAATAGCCATCATATCTTATATATATAACGCCATAAAATTGTAGCTATTAGTTTTTGGCATTTAATATTAAATAAGAAGAATTATTAAAATTCCCTAATTAGTATTTGATTTAAACTTTCTTATAATTTATTATCCTATGATTTGGTTAAAAACTTCATTATAATTTATGAATAATAATGAATTATAAAGTAAGCCATGGAGCACATATAGCTAATATCAAGAAAAATCAATGTTTTCTAACCTCAAAATCAAAATATCATTTTTTATGTGCTTCTAAATCGCCAAATGAAGCAAAATTATTTATCGCTAAAGTTATCGCTAAAGTTATCGCCAGGGATATTCCAAAACTAAAAGGAATTGACTCTATAGTGCACAGTTATTTCAATAGAATCAACATCGAGAATTATTTAGATATCATTATTCTTTTAGTTCCATTAATAACTCAAAATTTGCAAGAAGATTTATGCAATGTCATCAAACTAACTAGATCTTCAGATTCCATAAATTTAGCAGCAATAAATGCAATTTTTATATTAAACAGGGCTGATTTTGAATTTAGGAATATAGATTTCAGTAGAATAAATATTTCAGGAGCTAATCTATCAGAAAGTTTCTTTTTCAATGTAAATTTTGAAGGCAGCAACCTCAAAGCAGTAAACTTCACTCAATCGAAATTATCCAACTGCAATTTTCGGAATTGTGACTTCAGAGATGCCGTTTTTAGTAACTTTATATTTTTTGGGAAGCATAAGAAGTTTATTAAAATCGTAAAAATTTCAAAAAATGACGAACTTCTCCTTGCATATAGCGAAAAATGCGCGAATTTGTGGAACTTAAAGAAAAAAACGTTTCTTAAGACATTATACATTGATATTCGTGATGCTGAATTTTCTCCATGTGGAAATTTTATTGCTTTTATATGTGATAACTTTTCACTCTGGATATGAGATATAAAAAATAAAGTAAAACCCCAAAAAGTGCATGAAAAGATAAGCAATATCGCATTTTCTCCATACGAAAATATATAGTATTTAGCTGCAATGATTTTGTCCAACTGAATTGTTTAAAGCATTTCAAAATGCGCAATAAATGAAGAATCAAAAATTTTCGCAACCTTACTTTTACTAAATGCGGAAAGTTCATTCTAGGTGTCTCTGACAGCATATGGATAAAGCAGGTGTCTATTATAAGCGAAACTGTGGAATTGTTTTGTGACCCTAAATGGCATGAAATATGAGTATACTTCTTTTTGTCACCAAGTCATAAATATTTCTGCCTTATTGGTAAAAACTTTTCTATTCTGAATTCAGACACAAAAGAGCTGAAATTTGTATCAAAATGAAATCCATTCAAAAATCTGCAAGCAATTTCATGATCCCCTTATGAAGATAAAGTCGCTTTTGCAAATTGAGATGGAATATGACTGCTTGATGTTGAAAAGCAAATGATATCTGCTCAAATTAGAGCTTCATTTTGAAAAACGTGGGCACCGTGCTGACCAATTTGCTTTACAAAATGCGGCAGATATATAATTGTTGGATGAAATGATGGGTGAATTAGGCTATGAGTATTAGAAAGCCAAAAAAATCAAAGAAAAATCGAGTTGACGGAAAATTATACAACTTCTGCAGCATTTTCTTCATGTGAGAGTTATTTATATAGAGTTAACAATTGTGGCAGTGTTGATAGGTACGATATAATCAAAAAGCACTCAGAAAATTGAATTAAAGGTTCGGGAAATTATTATGATAGTGTTGCAACGTTTTCAAGATGTCGAAAATATGTTGCTGTACAACAAAATTCTTGATCACTTGCTGTTTGAAATCTTGACACAAAAGAAATATTTTGTGACTTTGAAACAAACCTTATTTCTAGATACGACTTATTAAGTTTTTCGGGTTCTGGAAAGTTGCTTTTTTCTAATAATTGAAAGTCAATGGCTATTTGAAACCTTGAGCAAAACAGTCTTGTATCAATATTAGAGTGTAATACAAATATGTTAGCCATTTCACTAAATGATAAATATTTCGCATTATCACAAACATATAATAGAAGTATTGAAATATGAGAGTTTGAGCAAGATTATAAGAAAATTCAAAACTGAAATTCTGATAGGCCAATTAAGTCACTGCTATTTTCTGCTTGCTGTGAATTTTTATATTCTGGAGATTATGTAGGGAATGTTGAGATATGGGATTTTAGAAAGGCTGAAAAAATAAGAGCATTCGGAAGATGTAACCAATCTGTCATATTCATGGCTATTTGTCCAAGAGGTTTGATCTCTAGGACATCAAGAAAAGTATTTTTATGGAACCCTCCCTGATAAAGGAGAAAAAATAAAAGAAGCACGTGCGAGTAGGGATAAGCGTTTTTACACAAATTTTGATTATTTGCAGTCATTTTCTATAACTAAGTCTGGCGAATGGGTTCTTTCAAAAGGAAATCATAAAGGTGTAGGGGTCTGGAAGCAAATTTAAAAAAATAAATATATTCCTTCCCTTTTCATTGTAGAATTTTGTTTGAAATAATGAATAAGAGAAGTAACTTATAGAAATTTAATGGAATAATTAGATTTAATATGAATTTATGAGTTTAATGATGCGCTTTCAATCATATTCTCATACCTGTGCTTTGTTTTTCTCTTGTTGATGAAAATATAAGTGAAAACTCCTGCCGATATGAAAAGAAGAATGCCCAGACCAACAGCCAGCCACACCCACCATTTTTTATATCATTCTGAGCTCTTGCTGCTCCCATCTTTGCTAGGAGTTGAACCTTTAGGAGAAAACTCAACTTTAGCTGTTCCTAAAGATTCTTTTGAACCTGAGTCCTCGATGCTTGCTTCTAGCTCTAAAGTTTCAGAGTCCTCACGTCCGATTGGATTATAAATGACAAGTGGAAACGTTCGCAAAGTGGCACTCACAATTTCAGTAGTGCTGTCAAGGGAGGTCTGCACCATCAAAATCATTTCCACAATCCCCAATTTTTCAGAGTTTCCCAGTATAATTTTTGTATTGAGAAAGTTAGCGATATTAGTTTCAGGACTCTCAGAGCCAAGTGGGATTTCAGTGTAAATTGCATTGTCATTTGGCTGAGAATAATTGACAACTCTTACTCCCCCCTCCGTGAGTGAACAAAACCATTAGAAAAATCGCTATTTTTTGCCCAAAAACCCACCATTTGTGAGTGAACAAAAATTTTTTTAATAGAAAAATTTTTTATGGGAAAAAAATTTTGATATATAAATGATAATTATTATAATGAAATCTAGAGCTAATTCTGTTTAATTTTAAACGAATTGCTTTTTAAAATATAAATTTTATAAATTAAATTAATATTTGCTTTCCAATTTTTGCGAATTAAGATTTTTTTAAATTTCGAAAAAAATATTTTTTATAAAATTTATATATAAATTTTTTAAAAAAAAAAAATTAACCCCCCGTGAGTGAACAAAATTTTTTTTGTTCACTCACGGAGGGGGGGTGGAGTTAGGGAAAGTCTGGTCAGTTTTATAATTAAAATAGGGATAAGCAAAAAGCTGTAAGCTCTCAATTGCTACCAAAGAATTCATCCAGAAGGCGTTTTCTTCGTTTATAGATGGAACTTGTCTAACGAAATTGATGTCTGTGTCTCCCAAGCGGAAAATATAGGCGTCCCCTTGATACTCTGTAGCAATGATAGTCATATTATCGCTCAGTAGAACAGCTGACATTAAATGAAGGCCTCCATAATCTGCAATCAGTGACTCAAATGAAATAACGCTAACCAAATCGTAGAAGACTGGATTTGGAGGCAGATTGTTGGTTTTTAGCCAAAGAAATCCTGCACTTTCTTCAATCAAAATTAACTCAGTAGGACTTGTGTATAAAATTGAAGTCAAATAAAACTGGTTTAAGTCCAAAGACTCTGCATCCAGAGTGAAGTAAGGGTTTAATTCATACTGAGAGTCTTGCTTAACGAGTTGGTAGATCTTTAAGTCTTCTCCGTTATACACAAAAACTAGTGGGTAAAGTTGAGAGCTATCAACAACAGTCTCAATGATATATGCAGGATATGCAGATGGTATTGGAAATCCTGAAGAAAAGTCTGTAAGATTCAGTGTCATCAAGTAAGTGTTCCCATAAGTTGATGAGGATTTTGCAAAAACCTCACATGACATAATTAAAAGCTGAGGGAACCCTCCTACTGTATGAATTTTATAGCAAGAAGTGAAGTATGCTTGGTTGATATTTGCAAGATTGTAGATCTGTAATAGTTTGCTAGGCGACTCACTGGTGTTATATGCAAGAATTTGATTCGGCGCTGAAATATAAAGAATTTCTCCATAGCTGGCCATATCGTACGCAAAAGTAGTCAAGTTATTGAATGTTAAGGTTTCGCCCATGGAATACTTTCCCAGAATACATATAGGCTGGGCTGCATTGCAATAATCCGTTGGGTCGATTCTAGTTCCATTTGAATAAACAAGGCCAAATTCTATATTATTACCTATGAATGCTGACAATGGGATCGGAGTTGAGAATTGAGCATCAATAACTTTCACTTTGCTCCCAGAAGTCAAAACTGAGTTTTCAACGTCGAATCTATCATTGAGCTCAATGACTGTCCCTCTTGACAAGAAAGCAAAAGTGATGATTACTGAATCAGAATAAAGTTCGTTTTTTGCTATCAACTTGAGGTCTCCTGATACATTTTCATCGGGGACTTGAGTGAAGTTGAATTCCAAAAGAGCCCAAGTCGAAATTCCAGTAAAGTAAGGCAGCATATAGGAATGCTGATAAAGAGAAATGTAATCCGAAACTTGGCCCACAGTATAAGTGCTCAGGTACTGTCCAGAATAGACAAAGAGAAGATTATTTTCTGCCTTGACTGCTGATATACTTCCGACCTGAGACAAGTTGATAGTTGTATAAAGGCTCTCGAATGTGTACAGATTGTGATAGTCGAACACGAGCACTTTATTTTGTTGAATGTTCTGGCAGAAGACTAGCAAGAAGTCCTCAGTAACTGAAAGTCCAGTGTAGCTACAGCCTGGCATCACTGGCAAAGTCTTTTCGTACACGAGCTCATTTTCATCTATATTGCAAACAATTATACTGAATGGGTCTGCTTCTTCAGAAGAAATAATAAACAAGTTTCCATTGGTATATGATATAAAAACACTACTTTCTCTATCTCCGAAGGTAGAGAAGAGCTGATAATCATATAGAGTTTGCTTTTCAGTAATATCTTTGAGATAAACCAATATCAGTCCGTTGACCAAATCATAGACATAAAGATTGCAGAAATCATTATCAGGAGAAATATCAGTAGGAGTGAATTCTGTAATTCCATTAAGTGAATCGCTGCTAATTATCTGAAGAGGATTCAGAGCGATTGCATTGGACCCTACTGTCATATTGAATAGCTGAATTTGGTTGCCTTTCTCAGCATAGAATATATCACACACAAAACCAATTTTCTCGGAAAATAGGGTCTGGGTGTATGAAATGGTATTCAAGTAGGAAACTGTATAATCAGTATAGAGAACATAAATATCCCAGTCAACGCTAAATAGTCCAGTACTTGAACTTTGGGATGAGCATTCAATAAGGATATATTTATCCTCAAAGTTATACGTAGTAGCAAGAGTGGCAGTCTTAGTGGGATCTGAACACTTTAAAGTAGACTGCAAAAATGTCCCTTCGTTGGTTGATGAATAAAGGAAAGCATAAGATGTGGAGCTTGGAACGGCAACAATTACTCTCAATTTGTCATCAAAGTCTGATATAACGACTGGCGAGTACCCTGCTGTGGTGACCTGGGTTGATGAAATGATATTGCTCTTCGGAGGCATGATGATATTGACTTCACACCCATCAATAGGATTACTCATATACATTTGGTAGCTCAAGTCCTGCCCAGACAAGTAGTTAGTCAATGGGAGATAGAAAACCTGATTTAGCTTGGTTATGTTAATTTCTGTGTAGAGCTCAATAGTGTCTGGATTTAAAAACCCATCTGCTGCTGAGTTTCCTCTCCATGTGTAGATTGTATAATCCCTTGGATCAACTCCCTGTATACTTACATTTGGAGAAATCTGGCTAAAGGAGTTCCAGACTTCTAGTGTCCCATTAAATGTATAGCCTGAGTTGCTTGAAAAAAGTGTGATCATTGGATTAGTGTCGATTTCATATGAAAACACATAATTTGGTGTGCTGAAAATAATGTAATAAAAATCAGTATCGACATTGTAAGCAATAATATATGGAGGAGTTGTGTCATTGCTCGAGTCATCGTAAAAGAGTTCGTTGACTGGAATGTCATACAACAGGTTTTCTTACTTACTTAATTATTAACTGTGTTTAACGCCATTTACGGGATTGCCCCGACCCAGAGCTTCCCGCTGCTTCTTCGCCGCACAGGGCCCGCCGACCGTCTGGGGCCAGTCAGCCTCGATCACCAATATGCGCCTCCGAGCAGTGTTGCCGACTAAGGCGGCCATACAACAGGTTTTCATACATTTCTTCATCGAGCATTGAGATTCTAAAAGTCACAGTGTTTGCATCTATTACATAGTAGCCAGTTATCAGCTCAGGAGGATACAGACTGATTCTTGGAAGATTGCTTAATATATAGGGTTGAGATGGATCTTGATATCTTGCAAGCTTCTTTATATAGTAAAACTCTGGTAATCCGTATAGGACTATTCCAGAAGCTGTTCCAACGTATAGAACGTCACCTTGAAAATTGCATGAAAAGATCTCTCCAAAATCTGTTGGGTCTGCAAGAAGGGATGTGATCAAAAGGGGCTGGTTTGGAGCTGAAAAGAAATTCGACGACTGGAATTGATATATCCCATTTGTCTGATCACAGATATAACCTCCAGAATTACTAAAAGCTACACTGATTGGGTTGAATTGCTTCTCCTCAACTGCACTTCCATTTATCTGGTTGAAAAGCTCAGCAGATCGCGACGTCAAATTGTAATGGAAAATCACAATTTGATAGTCTGAGTTGGAAAGGACAACAGCATGCCAAATTTCGTTATCCGAACCATAAATGCTTGCACCAATGATGCTTCCCTTAGATGTAATTGTAACACTCATTTCTGATAAGTAATTTACCTCTTCATAGTTAGTAACATTAATAAGGCCTGCTTTGAAACCTGCTGAAGTAGCTTGCAGTATAGCACAAACACTGCTAAGTCCATTAGAGTATGGAACTACGCTAATTATACTTGATTGGAAAGGAGGCTGGTATGAAGTAATCATTTGTGGGGCGGAAGCATCAGAAATGTCCCAGAGAGTTAAATTATTTTCTTCTATAATGAAAATGGTACCTAGATTCATAGGATCTTGTCCTATTAACTCAAAACCGTTTGCTGATGGGATGCTTTGATTTTTATTAACAGAGCCAGCCAAGGTTATTCCTTGAGATAAATGAGGGAGTTCAGCTTGAGTATTATTAATGATTTCTCCGCTGAGACTATAAGTGAGATTTTTGCCTTGAATTAAATCTTTAAGGTAAAAAATCCCTCCTGTGTTAGCTGCGACTCGAAGATCCTGAAGACCCTCTAGCTCAAAAATATTGTCGCCTGTAACTCCATGAAATGTCAGAAAGACACTAAGAATGAGTGTGAAACATAAAATTCCAATTTTCTCAACCATTTTATAAGCAAGTAAATGCAAGAAAGCTCAGAAAGCAAAAGATGGGATTAAATTATTTATGAAGTAAAACTGTAAGGACTTAAGAAGACATCTATTTTGTTTAAGATTAGCAAACCCACGCTCTCAAGGATGATCTAAACATCTCATCTCTTAAATTTTTTAACGCATACTGAAAAGATTTATTTTGCTAAGAACTTATAATAAACTGCAAACGTTTAATACAAACATTGTTCCAGATTCGCTACGCAAGGTTTTATTTAGTTTAAAATTAATTTCTAGTTAATACAATTAGGCCCCATCACCAATCGATGCAGCAATAATCTCATCTAATGCTAGTTTTGTAGGAGACTGACTCCTGCTTCTTGATTTTGCTTTGTCTTTGACTGCATATGCCGTTGAGTATTTATGCCCCTCAACTGCTTTGATGAGTCTCTTCTTCATTGCTTCATCATCATTTTCTTTATAGTCCATCAATCCTCCTACCCACTTGGCCATAAACTTTTTCATTCTTGGACTTTTCTCCTCTGGCCTATGATTCAACTTTTCAAACTCCCCATCATAGTAGCATTCTACGAAGTCATCAATAGGCAAAAATCCTCCTCCAACCTTAACAATAAGTTTGCCTCTTTCAAAGCTGATCAGAACTCTTCGTGTCCCAAACAAATAAACTCCTTTAGCTTCTCTAATAAAAGGCACAGGCACAACTTCATCTCTCGAGTTCAAAAAGGCTGAAAGAGCCTGATCAATATTATCATCATCAGCAGGAAAGTAAACTGGGTTCTGCATCTTTAATTCGACCACCACCCTTCTCATTGCATTGAGATCATACTCTTTTTCTTCAAAAACAGCACTGAGGCTTTTATAAATTCTGTGCTCTTTCAAGTATAGCTGAGTCAGAGAAAAAAGGAAATCAGAAAAATATGAAAGTTCAGAGACCAGCAAATCTTTAGACTCAAAATCGTGACGTCCTTTTGATTGGACAATATCAAAGACATGATCAATGTTCTGTTTTTTCGCAAAAATTTCTTCAAGCTGCTTTATATAACCTTTGAGATTGTTGAGCTTGCTTTTGAGATCGCCAATTAGCTCTGATCTTTTTTCAATTTCCCCTTGGGAGCTTACTTTGAGGTTCTTGTATTTCTTGAGATCTGATTCTAATTGTTGTTGAAGAGCAAAAGTTTCAGTTGAAAAAGTGTCTTTTGAGTTCCTTATTGATACGACTTGAGATTTAATCCGGTCAAGTGCGGACTCATGTGATTTTGAAGCTTGCTGGAAAATGGAAAGAGTGCTTTTTTGTCTTGCTGAGACACCGATTTGGCCTTCAAGGATTTCTATTTCTTTTAATAAGGAGTCATTTTCCTGGTTAAGAGATTCGAGCTGATGACTCTTGGATTTAAGATCTTCCTGTAGAGAAGATTTGTTTTCTGCGAGTTTCAAGTTTTCAATAATAAGCAAGTCAGCTTGCTTTGCATAATCTTGAGAATAAGCTTCAAAGTCCGCCTTTAGTCTGTCTCTCTTGTTTTGAGAGTTCTCAAATGCCTTACCGAGATCTTGGATGTCTTCTATCAGCTGAGAAATTTCTGCCTCAGAAGAAAGTTCACCCTTTTGACTCTTTAGTTTTGCTAATTGTTGCAAAACTGACTCTTTTTCATGGCTAAGCATTTCATTCTTTTTCTTCAGCCCTTGAAATGACTCTTCATTTCCTCTTATTTCATCCTTAATCTCTTTAATTCAAGCTTCATAGTCTGCAAACTCTTTTTCTATTTCCTCTTTTGTTTCGTCTGCAGAAGATTCCAGAGTTTCTGAACCTTTTTCAATGTTTTCAGTTTGGCCACGAATAAGTCCTGCTTCTCTTGCAAGTGTTTCATATATCGACTGTTTTGATAGGAGCCCAACAATAGAAGCTATAAAGCCGTTTTTGGTTTTTAAGGACAATTTTTCCAAAAACACGTCTGAGTTCCCTGCTATTTCAACGAATTCTTCTTCCTCTCCTCCTTTAGAGGCAGAAGATATACTGCCTCCTCCAGCAACCCTTGTTGGAGACCTTGCGGTCAATTTTTTTGTTGGAGACCTGCTGCCAGATCGAGTGGGACTTCTTGATCTTAATCTTGTAGCATCATCAACAAGCTTGAGAAATGATTGGCCCATTTCTTCTTTCAGCTTATCAAGAATGTTCTGGGTATATTTTTGGTGGTGCTCTGCACCTTTGATGTTGTCTAAGTAAGAACACTTCCCACTTCTTATAGGCCCAGATATAGGCAGGGGCTGAGGACGTGCTCTGTCAGGCTTTTCTTTCACTTCAGCTGCTATTTCAACTGGTTTGCTTTCAACAATGTTCTCAAAAGTCCTAGGTTCTTCAATTTGACTAATTCCAATATGCTGCTGAAAGTCTTCCACTGCTTCATTCATATTCTCTTCCGGATGTATAGGATGTGGTGCATGTTTATGCTCATAAATAACTTCAGAATGAATAGATATGTCATCAGATTTAGCAGCACTCTCTTTAACTTCAATATGCTCAAGGATAATTTCTTGCTGAGGCTCACTTACATATTCAATATTATCAGATTCTTTTATCTCTACTCTAGCCTCAGGTTCAGAAAATTCGAAATCTTGACTTGAAGTTATAGCACCTATGATTCTCACTCGCAAGATCTTCTCTAGAGATGTTGAAGACTCAATCAGAGCTACAACTTCTCCTGGAACATCAAACTCAAACCATTGATCCATTCTCTGAGTCAGATCTGCACCAAACACTTGCTCTAACGACAAGGTAACCGAGCCAAGCGCAATATTGCCAGTTTGAATGAGAAGGTGAATTTGGATTTTAGGGCTTAGCTGAGAAAGAAATATTTTTACAGGAGATTTTAAAGAAAGCGTTGCAACTTTACCTTCTAAACTTATTCTGCACCAAATTTCTTCTCATTTTCCACTCCATATGTCAACTTCTTGGAGTTTCAGACAAATAAACTTTGATTCCATTTAACGGTAACTGTTAACTTTATTAAAAATTGAAGATAGCTTACATCCCCCTCCGTAAGCGATCTTGTTCGCTCAATAGGGGAGGTTAATTTTTTTTAAAAAGAATTACATATAGAAAATTTTTGTTTCAAATTTTAAAAAAAAATCCTAATTCGCAAAAATTGGAAAACAAATATTAATTTAATTTGTAAAATGTATGTTTTAAAATGCAATTTGTTTAAAATTAAACAGAATGAGCCAGAGATTTCATTATACTAATTATCACTTATATATAAAAACTGTTACTATAAAAAATTTTCCTATTGAAAAAATTTGTTCGCTCGCTTAGGGTTGGTTTTTGGGTAAAAAATAGGGATTTTTCGAATGTTTTTGTTCGCTTATGGAGGGGGAGTTAGCCTCACTGAAAAGCTAGTAATCGCAGCTTATGCTGCAAGTTCTTTCACTTTCGTATTTTTCAGTCATCTTCCCGATATCGCAACGCCTGGTATGGTGTTGGGAGATTACCCGATTAGCAAAGAGTTGTCTCTTGGTCGTGATAGGTTTTCCCTTTCAAGCTTAAGGGACCATCTCCACATTATGTAAAATCTTGATTTGAATATGAGCTTGTAGTCAACTAACGACATTGAGCTCCACCAGATCAGATAAAACCTGGCCTGATGCACATTTCTTCTCCTCCGCAAGATCCCTGCGTTTCTTTAGATACAGATGCTAAGAGGGCAGGTTTGATCGCCACCCCATTTAAAGCTTTATAATAAAAAATTGAAATTCGCAATTTTTTGAATTAATTCTGACTATTTATTTTTTAAAAGAAGCCTAACTTAAGCTTTCTCAATTCATGCCGTTATATTATAACAATCAATGCAATTAGCTTCATTAAATTAATATTGAAGAAATGAATAATGAGGCACAATGTTGTATTTAATATAGCATTTTTAAGGCAGTGCATTTTCAAAATAAAATTGATAATTTTAAATAAAAAAATAAAATACAGCGATAATAACACTATGAACTAAAGAATTATAAAAATAAATGAAATAAAATAGTTGAGCCTGTGCAACATTTTGCCTTTCAGTTACTTAATATAAGTAAAATTTCGGATTTGCTCTTTTCAAAATCCAGTAATGTCTTTCGATTAATTATTATTATTATTATTTCATACTCTAGCTAAAACTGATTTTTTATATAAAAACTGCTAAATAATGTCAGCTCTTGCATAGATAGCTATATAATTTTAAGCAATAATTTATTAAATCACCTCGGTTAAACATAATGGGCAAGTTTTCTTACTCCCCTCTTCAGCAAGCGCAACCATTGTAAAAATCCTTATTATTTGGGTAAAAGCTACCCTCCGTAAGCAAACAAAAATTTTTTTAATATAAAACTTTTTTGAAAAAAAATATTTCATATATATGCGATAATTAATTTTTATAATCGATTTCCGGCTAATTCTGTTTTATTTTAAATTGCCTGCATTTTAAAACATAAAATTTACAATTTAAATTAATTTTTGCTTTAAAATATTTTGAACACAAAAATTGCTATTAATTTATATATAAATTTATTTTAAAAAATAACTCTGAGTAAACAAAATTTATCTGTATACTCACTGAGGGAGAGGAGTTAGCTTTCAGCCACTGATCAATACACTCAGCATGATACGAATGGTTACATTTTGGTAACAGCTTGGCCATTTCTCCCTTTTCCATGTTCACTAGGCAGATTGAGCACATATTTTCTGCTGTCAGTGGAACAACAGGAAGTTCCTAATTTGCTTTTACCCTCATTTGGTCTTCATTCAAGCCGACTGGGACATTTCCAATTCTCTCTTCCAATGCAAGAAGTTGCTCATAAGTCATATTTTCTTCATTTCTTGCCATCAATCCCCTCAGGTTCATCACTATATCAAAATTACGCTGTGCTAAAACATCAGGGCCTTGTTGAGCGAACAAGTTCTCCAAGTCTTCTTCACTGATATTGATGACTCCGTCTTGAGAAGCCATTTCATTCCTCCTCTTCAGTTCTCTTTGTTCGTTTCTCAATCGGATAATTAGCTGTCGATTTTCTTCCATTTGAGTTGTTAAGTCGTCAATTTTCTTTGTAAAAATATACCTTTTGATTTTCCTGGGTGCGCTTTTTTAGCTTCCAATACTCTTCTTGTAAGGCTGCTGCGCTTTGTGAAGACCCGTTTGGCTTTCCCGATTGAATCCTTCTGGGATTTAGAACTGCCTGATGGGCAATTGGGACTTCTTTGGCTTCTTCTTTATCAGCAGGGATAGGCTTTATAGCCTTTCTAATTGGCTGCAACGGGGTTGCGATGTTTCTTTGCACTTTTCTTTCTTCGAATTGAGGATTTTTTCCTTGTTTATGGTTAAAGTTTGGCTGCCTGTTCATTATATTAATTATCATATTTTAGACGAGACCAGCTTGGTTTTATTGTAGAAAGTATCTAATAAACAGCTAATAAAGTCAATAGTCTTATTTCAAAATTTATCGGTACTTTGTTCACTATATCAAATATTTAATTTTTTATTTAATGCAATCTATATAAAAAGGATAAAAATTAAGTCCTATGAGCATATTCAAGAAATGTTAACATCTGAAAATATTTATTATGAAATTATTAATAATATATATTTCATGCTAATTTCCTATAATACTTGAAATCAAAATAAATAGCATAATCACTGTGTTTAACCCTGCTATCGCCAAAGAAAGATACTACATAAATGATACCTTAGACGGAAAGGGAGCATCATAATTTGATGGAGTGTCATTCATCAATCTCACTGCTATATGCATAATTGGGATCGCAATTGGTTGAAGAATAAATCCGAATAATCCCACCCAGTTATAAATAAGGCTCTAACCTCATTTGGCAATAAACATTTTTAAATATAAATCACTTTATTATAAAAAACTGCATAAATTGAGGGAGGGTCTCCCATGCTTAACCAAAATTTCGCATATGGAGCCATTCAGGTGTGGGGACTCCACAATTGGAATTTTGGTCCCACATGTGAAATTATTTTTCCACGTGTTGGAAACCCTCTCATAATAATATCAAGAATAATAGATTTTTGGAAATTTTATTTTAAAAATTTTTTAGCCCAAGTATGATTTTTTTAATGGTTTCTTTCAAATCGGCGGAGAAAGTAAATCATACGATATCATATATAAAAAAAGCAATAAAGAAAGGGAAAAAGAGACAAGCCGCTCGGAAGTAATAATGGGCGTTATTAGGAATATTCTTTGAGTCAACTCCATAATAAAGGGTCATCAGGTTATCTGAAAGAGGAAGCCCCATTAAAGGGAAGCTTGAAAATACATCAATTGCAGGAAACAATACGATCATATAGGCTATAAGATAAGTCCACCACTCACGGTCGCTTTGGCTCGCCCCAGCAGAATACTCTCTAAATGACAAGGTGCATTCTCCTTCAACATCATGAATCGCAATGGGTACAATCATTCCAATCAAAGCATACAATACAAAGGACGTTACTGTCACGAGAACTATGATTTTCTTAAGATTTCGCGACCTACACTTCATGAACTCAGATATGCTAGGAAACTGAACTTGAAAGAGAAAAGTGAATAAAATCACAGATGCCATGTTCCCCAGCTTACTCATCGTCGCTAAAGGAGGCATTTTAAAACTTTCGTGATCATCATCGTCAACTTGCTTTTCTGCTGCCAGTAAACCAATTGATGCAAAGACTACAAGTGAAATTATGCAAAATCTCATTATAGTTAATGACGATTGAATCCATTTTTGCTCTCGAAGTCCTCGAATTGTTAAATAAGTCATAAAGAGACAGTAAATCATCAAATATATCCAGTAATTTGCATAGCAGGAATCAGAATAAGATGAATGATCATATATATTGCATTTGCCAAGAGACCCTAATGGGACATTCGATGCAAACGAGCTTGCAAAGACGGTTGCATACCCAGCCTGAGCTCCTTGCAAATAGGGAATGAGCATCAAGATGTAAAACCTACTTCATTTGGATCCAAAAAGAATCCTTACACATTCACTGATATCAAACCTTCTGTTTGATATTGTGGGTCTGTAATTAGGGGAGTTAGCTATCAAGGTTTCTTGTGGACTGATTCCTAAAATAATTTGTTTTCATGTTGGTCGGTCTACTTTTATGCCTTCTTCTCTCATCCTTGAAATGATTTCTGCTCTGCTCATTATTTCCAGTAGCTGCATGCCTAAATAGTAATTTTGGAGTGCCATGAATATCATAAAAATTAAAGAGATCAATCATCCGCTAGTTGAAAATGAATAGGGTAACGCCAGAAAACCTGCTCCTACGACTATATTAATAGAAAAGAAATACCCAGTTACCAGTCCGAATTTCTTCACCCCTTCTATTGAAACATCTGCAGTCATTTCAAGGATCGACATTTTTGACTTTATCAATTAATTCATTCCACAATAATATAAAATTATTAACTCCCCAGGAAACAGACAGCTCTTATAAAAAAATTTATTTAGGATAGTATTATTTTTGATATATAGTCCAGATTACTTCGATGAAAAAATTATAAATGTTTAATTATAATTGCCTATTAATAAAAAACTTTGCTAATGAATAGAGATAAAGAAATCATTACTCATCCGCTACTCAAATGAAATAGCAAAAGATAAATTCTTTTCATGCCAAGAGAGAAGGGACGATATAAAGCTCATAAGATTTATATATTACTATTTGTAAGATCAAGACTATGCCCATCTTGCTGACTCCCCACTCCAGAATGAGCAAAACTGCAGGAAATTATTTTTTATATAAAGTATTTTGATATACTCATACCCATTAATAGATTTCTTTATCGAACAAAATGTAATGGACGGATGAAAAATCGAGTCAGACTTTATCAAAGGGATGAGCAAGATCTAAGCCAGGAAGTGTTAAAAAGTTACATCTCAAAAATGGTTGACAAGCAAGCGCGATAATTTTTAAAATGTGCTTTATTATAAAAATTAATTTTAAATTAAACTGCCCTTTTAGAATGACACTGATGAGTATCTTGGCCTATTTTTTCCTTCTTTTTTAAGATACTAAAATAAAATTATAAACTCTTCTTTAATACAACATATAACTCCAACTTTAATATTAATTTATTATGGAATTTAAAAAAAAATAAAACTTTTAATAGACGATTTTCAATTGCAATTATAACTTATTGTGTATACAATATAATAAAATTTTTAATAGATGTTTTTAGTGATACTAAAGAATAAACATTTCTCTAATTCTCTTTAATGCCTTTATAAGTCGTAGCCACTCTTAATTTTTATTGACATAAAATTCCTTATGATGCAATGCCATCTTTATGAATCTATTGTATTGTAATTCAAAAAATCAATTTTTTAAAAGAAGTCTTCGATCATAATTGAAATATAAATATTACTCTATTAGTTATCCCTATAGCTTTAAAGGTTTTGCATTAAAGAGGGGATTAAGCATTTTACATGCTTCTATTAGCAATGAACATTAGACAAGTTACCTTGCTAAAATCTCGCTAAAATATCATATCAGGAGATAAGCTTGAATAATGAAATGCAATAATCCTTTTGGTTTAAATAACACTAATGGCAAATTCGAAAAGATAAATGCCACAAAAGGAAAAAAGCGCTGATTGGCTTATGATTACACTCATAACCTTATGACAAGTAAGGCAGAAAAGGTAAAGAGGCCTGCTTCTTGCACATAAAAAGCAAGAAAGAGCTTGAATTAAAGAATTTGCAGATAATGGAGGTTCTGATTTTAACATCAAAAAAGAGTTTTCCTATCTGCCTCCACTTACTACTGCAGAAGAATCAGAATAGCATAGGAGCATTATTAAAAACTCGAAATAATGAAGATGCTCTATAATTATTTAATTTTCAGTTGATTAGAATTTAAAATAACTGTAATCGCAATAAACTTACACATTTAGACTTCAATACAGGGATTTTAATTAAATTAAGTCATTGATAGTAGACAAACTCCTTCATGCAAAGTTTTAAGATGCTCTATGGTTTCTTTTAAATAGTAAACCCATTTCGATCTCTGTTCTTCATTTTCAGCCCAAAGAGTAATTTTCGTTACCCTGGAGATAAGTATGAACCCAAATCCATTCTTTGCGTCTGATTCTTCTTCTACGCTGGAATCATAAAATAGTCTTATAGCGTCTTTTTCTCTCAGGGCTTTATCGTTTTTGCTTGCATATCAGTACAATCCTTGAGTCCTTAATATAAATCATTTTGGGTTCAAAGATTTGAAAATCGCTCCTTCTTTTTTGAGCTGTCCTTCCATAACTTTATCACCCATATAATCTCTGCTTGTCGTGACATTGCAAACGTGCATTTCCGAAAGATCAGGCTCTTTTATGACTAGATCATCCTCCAGGTTGCGTATCAGATAAACTGCAAGAGATAAGGAATGATACCATTCCATCACCTCTCATATATTAGCGCTTATTAGCAGCTTGATTCCTTCACTAATAACTGAAATCATCACAGAGTTGCCAGAGTCTACCAAGTCAAGAGAAGTGCTGTCAAGGTGGAGCTCCAGGTCAAAATGAGAAGAATTGCTACTTGGAAAAATCAGTAGCTTTTTCATATATAGGACCAGTCATTTTTTTTGAGGCTTGGACTTTCCGACGACAACTTCTACTGTGCCTTTTAAATGAGGGTACCGCTTGTCCAGCAAAATCAGCATTTTTTGGTATTTTTCTTGTGTCACTATGTCATCTTGCTCGCTTGAAGGATTGATGGCGTCGAGAGTTTTCTCCACATGGCATCACTTATGCCCTATACTAATTGACCAAGAATAGCCCACTAAGGAGCCATTCTTGGTCTGCCAGAAAAAATTTTGATAAAAGATCCTAATCTGCCATTACCACTGAGTTTTGGTGTTTCCAAATTTTTTGGGCAAGCCAAATGCAATAAAAAAAATTGTTCTTTTGCGATGATGCATTTGGCTTGTCAAAACAATTTGGCAACACCAAAACTCAGTGGTAATGACAAACGATCCTAATCTGCCATTACCACTGAGTTTTGGTGTTTCCAAATTTTTTTGACAAGCCAAATGCATCATCGCAAAAGAACAATTTTTTTTATTGCATTTGGCTTGCCTAAAAAATTTTGGAAACACCAAAACTCAGTGGTAATGGCAGATTAGGATCTTTTATCAAAATTTTTTCTGGCAGACCAAGAATGGCTCCTTAGTGGGCTATTCTTGGTCAATTAGTATAGAATTGGGTGCCAAATATAGCTCTCTAGGAACAAAACTTCTGCGTCATTAACCATCTTCCTGATCTCTCATCGAGTTACAGGGCCTCTTGTGATGGGAAATCGTTTTGAGACTTCATCTATGTAAAATCAGTATTTATTAAGGTCGTAAGTAGGCCGTTTCTTTTCTCTGCGCTCTCTTGCGAAGATCATTTGAATATATTTCGACTCAATATACCAGTATCGAACGCTTCTATATAGTGCTTACTCGAATTTGAAGATCTTTGGAGTGGCAATTCACGGATCTAGGTTAATAAGCAGAGAATCGTTTACTTTTTTGTTCCCTCTTGAGAGCAGGAAGGTGATTTCTTCGCCCAGAAAAGGCTCATGCAATCTGCGAATTGGCATATTGAACTGGGAATGAGTTTTTGCACAGGCTTTGCACACAAGCACTCCAAATTGCATATTGACTCCTTCAATTTTTTCGCTGTCACAATCTGCACAATATTGATTATTATTCAGAAGCTCTTCCATCTCTTTGTATATATTTTCTATTTATTAAAATATATAGAGATGTTATCATTAAGAAGTATATAAGTGTAGTAATATCATTATCTCAATTGATCTTAAGTATCTGAGAACTCTTATTGAAAGCTTACTCCCCACATCTTGATCGAACGAGCGATTTTAAATTTTATAGAAATTAAGCATTAGCCTGTCCTTGATAAAACAATTTTCATACAGTCAAAAATGAAACACATGTCTCTCAAATTACTACCTATTATGATGATAATTAATATTAGAGTTTATATGTATAATCATCCCTAGACAATTATAATATAGTCTCTAGCAAATTTGTTAATATATTGCATACTCCATCTCTTATAGCTAGAGTATAAAATAATTTTTATATGGCAAAAGACAATTTTAATATAAATATTTTCATCAAAAAAACAATATAATTTTCTTCCAAAATTTATATTTGGTGGGTAATGATGATCAATTCGGTCAAAGATGGGGATAAGCTAGCAGCATGCATTATTAGCATTGAAGATGATCTATGAATATTTAAATATTCAGGATTGTTCACGCATACTTATAAGAATTATCTTTCATTCCAGAACTTGATAACAAGCATTTTTGACTGACATAAAATATATTATAGCTTGATATTAAAATAATGTTATTAGTTTTCTGTATGAATTTCGATACTCGAAGCAAAGAGCATGCAAAATCGTCTTGGCTTGGCTAGGAACCAAGATTTGCAATTACTCAAATATTTAAATGATAATGACGAATATTTTTAAACTTTTATCTTTTAAAGGATATATAAGTAAAACATATGCATAAACAATTTATTTACTAACTATCTTCACTAGACTCGAGCAGTTTAACATATATACATAAAATCATGATGGAGTGAATTTTCGTTGATATCCAAGCAAGAATCAAAAAAGGAGTCATTTTTACTCTCATTCTCTTCAATGATGATTCTCAGCTCTTTGTCAAATTTTCCTGCGGCTTTTCTTATTTTTTCGATTGTTTCTTCATCAAAATTGCTTCCTGCTAAGTTTAAGACCTGAATAAAATTTACTTCTAAATATCTTTTGGATAAAATAAAGTTGACAAGAATTTCTCCTATCTGTGTATCATCCAAATCATTATATTCCAAATGAAGTTCAAGCAAATTTTCAGACGGGTGCAATGAATCTAGCAAGCAACCTACACCTTTGTTTCCCAAGCAGCAGTCAGCAACATCAATGATACTCAGAAACCGCAAATTTTTTAACGCTCCATGCAACTTGGAAAAGGCAGCAGGGTCGCTGATGAAATTGTCTGCAATTCTTAAAATCTGCAGCTCATCGTTTTTTACCAATGCTTTACTTAGCGCAATAATCCCTTGCTTTTTTATATCGTTTTTGCTCACACATATTTCCCTTAAGCTCTGCATTTCCCCGAAGACCTCACTCAAGCTGACAATTCCAGCGTCCTCAAGTTTTGTGTTTTCTGCAGAAAAAACGAAAAGTTTCAGCTCTGCAGAGTTCTTCAAAGACTCCGCCAACTTCACTCCTCCTTCAGCACCTAGTCGGTTGTTATCGATCCTCAAAATTTTTAACGTTGGGGTATTTTCCAACAAAAAGCCGACAATATCTACAGCCTGTACAGTTAAAAAGTTGTTGGAAAGGTCCAACTCTTCGAGTTCGCGAAACCCCAGAAGCGTTCTGCTCAAAGTGTCCAGTATTTTTGGGGTGTAAAAGTCATCCCATTCTCTGAAAATTGAGCTCAAGTTTGCAATTGTGATGTTCGAGCACTCTTGGATGGCTTCTGCAAGCTCTTCCATAACGTCATCAGAATAAGTATTGTGTCCCAGAATAATTTCTGTGATGCTTTGGCTGTTCATTTTCACAGTTTGGCATAAATCATAAATATCTTCAGTAGTCTTATAATCTTTTCCAACAGGAGGGATCTCAAATACTGTGATTTCTTCAAACTCCTCCTCTTTAGAAAAAAGTAAATTCATTTATAAACCCATCTAGCTAATATAGTAATAGAGAAAATTTAATAAAAATTAATAATAACCAAAATTTCCAAAAATTATTTTTTTACCTTTGTTCGTTGTTGATGATTCTCTTTTGGAGCATACTGGCGTATTTTATATCAGTAGGCCATATTTATGTGAAGCAAGTCCGATTTCTTTAATTTATTTTAAAAATTGATTATAAAAGAAATGGGTAGTAATGTTTCGGCAAACACAAAAATCTTATTAGACTCAATTGACGCAGGACAAGAAGTTGATACTCAAACGCTGCTCAGGTTCGGTGCTCAGATAAATGCCTTAAACTCTGAAGGCTACTCTCCTTTGCGATTAGCACTTGAACGTGGAAGAGTTAAGAGCTTTAAATCGCTTTTTAAGGCTAGCGCTCTGATTATTCCAGAACTTCCCCAAAAAATGACCCCACTCCACAGAGCAATTGAGCTCGACCACTATAAGCTTGCCTGAATGCTCCTTCGTGAGCATTCTTTATTCGGTAACTTCAAAAACCAACAAGATGCGTATGGAAACACGCCCCTTCATATTGCAGTCCTTAAAGGAAACTCAGATATGGTAGCTTTGCTGCTGAAATACAACGCTAATCGAGATATCTTGAATTTAGCTGGGAAAACTCCTCATGAACTAGCTCTTGAGAGTAGAAGCCACATGGCTGATGAAATAATAGAACAATTTACCCTGGAAGACTGCATTTCGAAAAGAAGCAGAACTCCACTTCAGGAAGAAAATGCTCCAAATAGAGAGCAAAGATCAACTCAAGGCTCAAAATCAACACTCAAGGTAGAAGAGAGCATTGATGAGCCCATTACATTATTAGAGCAAGCACTGGCAGGAAGCAGGCTAACTATAATTAAAGGTGAAGAATTAGAGTTTCAAGACGTCCTGAATAGAGGCTCAAGCTGCATTGTATTCAAAGGAAAGTGGCGAGGCAGTGAAGTCGCTATAAAACAGTTCAAACTGGAGTACAGCACATCAGAAAAGGATTTGCATAAATATGTCAAAGAAATGCAAGTCCTGTCACAAATTAGGCATCCAAATATTCTGCTTATCATGGGCATTTGTATAGACCAGCCAAACCTCTGCTTGATAACAGAATACGTCCCTAATTCGTCGTTATTCTATGCAATCCATAAAAATAAGTCAAGAACATTAACTCTGGCTGAAAGATTCAATATAGGCATACAGATATGTAAAGCACTTGCTTATTTACACTCCAATGATCCACCAATTATTCACAGAGATCTAAAGCCAGAGAACTGCCTTCTCGACTATGCAATGAATGTAAAACTTGCAGATTTTGGACTGGCAAGGCCAGTTTCATCGTTTATTGCTGAAGAGTCTCAATCAATTCAATTTAATTAGATTTATAACGTTTGCACACTGCCGCTGCTTCAACTCTGGGGCGAAGTTCGTGTCATCTTCTCCTCGGCCCCCAAAGTGTTGCCAACTTGACTTCGTAACACGACGAGGACTCCAGTCTTGGGAAGTTTGGACTTCTAGGACTGTTCCTTGAGCTCAGGGTACCTACTTGAGTCCGTCAGGCTCCTAAAAATTCCCAGTCTTTACCGCCTGGGGTAGGTGGCACCCTTCTTGAAAATTCTATTCCCTAAGGTTAGGAGTAGGAAAAGCCATCTTGCTCTTGCTTCCTTCTGAGAAATTTCATCAGGGAAATCAAACTTCATAATTAAAATATGCAAACGATGAATTTTCGGTAGGGATACAAGAAAACTCGAGCGATGCCATATTTAAATTATGAAGAGTCTCAATCAATGACCACGATTTGCATTGGAACCACGCGATTTATGGCGCCAGAACTTTTTGATAAAGATAAAGTCGATTCAATTGGGGTTGAAGTAGATATATGAGCACTTGGCTGTTTGCTCATCGAACTTTTCAGCAGCAAAAGACCTTGACACTATATTTCAAGCTCCAAAGCGAATAACATTTTCTACGAAATTTTCAATAAAAAGCCTATTCCAATCCCCGATACAATAACTCCAGAAGTAAGTCTAATTATCCAAGAGTGTTGTAGGTATAATCCCCGCCGAAGACCTCGCATCTGCGATGTTCTTGACAGGCTGGAAAGGGCTAAAGGTACTTATATCCTTACATCCCCAGGAATTCATTTAAAAACTTTATATACATATTAAAATTTCCCCAGAAATTCAAAAAATAACTATTCCAGGAAAGTAAACATTAATTTAATTATGCTAAAATGCATTGTAATTATCACTTATATATTATAAAATTTACACACAAAAAATTTTTCCTCATTAAGGAGGGTGGTTTTCCAAAAAAAGATTTTTAATTATGTTTATTCTCAATAATTTCCCGGACAAAATGGTGTCTGGCGCCAAAGCAGGAAGTTGTTGTCCTGAGTTCCTTCTGAAAAAAGGAAACAGTATGAGCGAGGAATTGGATCAGCACAGTTCCTTGCAGCGCTGGATCTGTGCAGATGGAGGTGGAGTGGAGATGGCATTGGAGTGTGTAGGGCATGGAGTCAGTGTACATGAAAAAACTCTGAATGGCCTGCATTGGAGGTGCAAGCAGGTGATGCATTCGAGTTTTTACTTTTTACTTTTTACTTTTACTTATTACTTTTTTACTTTTTTACTTTTTATTTTAGTATTTTACTTTTTAGAAAATTTTTGGGAATTTTTACAAATTTCTGGAACTTTTTGAAGATCTTTTAATTGGTCCACTTAGTTGGGCGATAACCATTAATTCTATTCTATTCTATGTTTATTCTCGTTTGCTGAGGGATGAGAGTTAGTTAATGTATTATTGAATTTAAATTAACATAAATGCAAATAAAATAAGTAACTCCACACATTTTCAATATCTTCCCATTTATCGGTGTTGAAAAATATGAGATTAGTCATAGCTTTCACTCTCTTAAGTGCTGCTTTGGCAGCTATTCAATCTGACCTCGTTAAAGAAATTCCTCATGCACCTTCAAATCTCAAGTTCACGATGTACTCAGGCTACCTTCCACTTAAAAATACTCAAGGAAGGCAAATCCACTATGTTTTCTTCACCAGCCAAAACAACCCACAGACTGATCCTCTAGTTTTATGGCTGAATGGTGGTCCTGGATGCTCATCGCTAGAAGGAGCTTTTATGGAAAACGGGCCACTGGTGTTTTCAGAGAGTGAGATGAAAATAATGGTAAACCCTTATACGTGGAACCTGAATGCCTCAATGCTTTACTTTGAAGCTCCTGCTGGCGTAGGATATTCAATTATGGGTAATATTGCCAATAATAATACTAATGATAACCAGACAGCTGCTGACAACCTGCAGGCCTTGCTCCTCTGGTTCCAAGGATTTCCTGAGTATTTGCCTAATAAGTTTTATATCGCTGGAGAGAGCTATGCTGGCATCTACGTCCCTACCCTAACTTACAACGTTTTGACTTACAATGCTGGAAATCCTCCAACTAAAATCAACATTCAAGGATTTTTGGTTGGAAATGGCTGTACCGATTGGAATGTGGACGCTGAAAATGCTTTTGCGTACTTTGGCTGGTGGCATGGCCTCTTTGGTTATGATGTATGGAATACCTGGGTGAATAATAACTGCACAGCTTTCAGTACTTCCCCAGTTTGTGTAGCAACTCAGGATACTATGTATGACTTATTCACTGATATCAACTTTTATGATGTTTATAGACAGTGTGTTTATCCTAACTTTGGATATAACTCTCACCGTGCTAAATTTACATCTGCTACTAAATTAGGAGGAGTTGTAAACTGCGTGCCTGACATTGGGCTAACTAAGTATCTCAACTTGCCACAGGTGAGGACAGCTTTCCATATCAACTCCAGCTTACTCTCTTTAAAAAGAAACAGATTTGTTTGCCAATTAAAAAAGACAATCCTTTTTTTTAAAAATACATATGAATTTTATCAATGAACTGATTTTGAAAAAAACTAAAGAATCAGTAGCATTATTTATTAAATTTATGTTGTGGGATGAAAAGGAATAAAATTTAAAGACTTTACCCAAAAATAATTATTAATTATTTATCAAATGCTTATATAAAACAATTTTGGATTAATTTTGCATAAAAATAGGATTTTAAATGCTTGCTTACTATCAGAAGGAAAATTAGGAGCTTGGACTGAATGCACTGATCTGAATTATCAAATTGATTATCAACTTGGTTCAATCTATCTCTATCCAATTCTTCTAGACCCTCAATATGGGCTGAGAGCTAGATTCTACAGTGGAGATACTGATGCTGCTGTCCCTACAATTGGAACCCGACAGTGGATCCAAAACTTGGTAAACAAGGGAGTAATTTCTGTGACAAAACCATGGAGGGAATGGATATTAAACCATCAAGTCGGGGGAATGGTCATTGACTACGCACCGGCAGGATCAACCAAGCCAAATTTCACATTTATGACGATCAGGGGGACAGGACATATGTCTATTCAGTGGAAAAGGCCAGAAGGCTACCATATGTTCATCACCTATATCACTGGCCAGGATCCTTAAATTTAATGACTAAACGTTTAGTATCATCATAGGAAAATTATGTGTATTTAAAAAAATTTGAAAAGCCTTCGTGCTCAAACGGCTTCTTGTGGTTCTTTTGCAGAGGGATAACGGGTCTCATTCCTCGGGGTGTTGAGTACTTGGCTTCTTCAGGCTGCTGGCAGAAGTTTCTGGGAGTGGAGTCTAAGATCCTTCGGTCATAAGGAGAAGGTTGAGGCTGAACTGTCTCTTTTCTTTGCATTAGTTGGCTTCTTAGTTCGTCGTTTTGCTGTTTCAAGATCTGCATTTTGGTCATTATAAATTTTTGGAGCTGCTTTTGATGATGAGCTTTAAGCTCTAATGCATTATGCAGACTTCCAAAAGTGGTCTGCATAGTTGAAATGAACTTAGACACAACTGATTCCATTGTTCGCTTTAGCATATCGGTTTGGTCCATTCCAATCATTTTGATTTCATCTGGACACTCGTGCGATAGGTCAAGCCAGCCTCCAGTGCCTCCACAAGCACAGACTTCTTGACTTCTGCTTCTGCAAGGTTCACAATAGAGGCATCGACACTGCCTTAAGAATCTTGGTTTACAGGAAAAGCATATAGTACAAATTAGCTCGTTCATAATATATCTGAGTTTAAATTGCAAATGGCTATCTCAGAGAGAAATGGGTTTTTAAGATTTTCACATTTAAAGCAAAATTTTTAATAATAATGTAAGTTAAACTTGTTTTGTGATGCAGTTTCAAACATAAAAATAAAATTTAATTAATATGTTTTTATAAGCTATAATTAGATCCTAAATGCTTATTTTATCAGTCATCAAATCGATTGCAATTAATTCTTCAAAATTTAAGATTCTGACTAACTGCATGGCGTATTTTGTTTATATTAGCTTAATGTTCTTCTTGCAAATTTTCCATACTCTGATTATATATTTAAAAATAATAGTTTGTTATTAATGACATTCAACAGCTTCAACTTTATATTGATGTTTACTCGCATTTAAAATGGATGATTTCTCAAATTTGGCATTCAATTCTGCAGGACCACTAATTCTAATCCACAGTATTTCACTATACGCTTCAAAAGGAACTTTATGACCTAGAGCACCGACAGGCAAAAAAATTTCTCTCTCTGTAGCATCAATGCTCCCAGCATTAAAATTCACTTCTGAGGTTCTTGAATCTCTCTGGATTGCTGGACTCCAAAGTCCTTCAAAGTCTGCTCTAGGAGGCTTCTTAATAGGATACAAGCACTCTCCAGCCCATTTTTTGAACGTTAACATCAAAGAAAGCCACTGGCGTGTCCGTAAAACACCAAGAAATTCAGGAGATTATGCAATTCGAGTTTTTCCAAAAGAAAGCGAAAAAGGAGATATGGCAAGGCGAGAATCTGAATTTATGCTTCAGTCTACCCTATTTAAGCTTGACTCTTATGCTGAATTGGAGTTTTTAGAGCCACTTGATTTATGTAAAACCTCAGTAAATTTTGACGTGAAAGGAAACCAAATAGTAGTTAACTGTCAGATGCTATTTCCTTCGCTTAATATTGACTTTACCCCGATATCACCTTTAAAAATAGTTTCAACTCCTCTGAGTGTTCAACTTACTCAGAAAAATGCCAACCAGAAATTTCAAACAGGGTATTTAACTCTTGACCAGAAAAAAAGAGCTTTGCCGCTATTATGCTCAGATCCGCTAGCCTTCAAGTATACTTAAATACTATAAATAGAATTATATTGAACTTTTTCCCACACAAATTTGGCTATATCATAATTCCTTTTATAAGGTTATTTATGGGCAGCAAACATATCCACTTGTAGGAGTTTGGGCTACAGGCTCACCTGGAATCCAAGAATGCCCATTGACTCATCCATTGATTTGGGCATCATGTGTGAGATTCATTGAAAGCAAGCTGATTCAAGAAAGAATTTCTCCTAGTCCAGACCAAAATACTTTTTTATTTGTGTATTTTTCGCCAAAACCTCACTTTTATGAAGCAAGTACTAAAAATAAAGCAGCTTGGTGCAGCCAAAATATAAGTTATGAGCTGCAAAAAGAAGGTAAAATTTTCCAGCCTCTCATCTGCAGATTTTTGGAAGCTAGAAGCAGCTCTCCAGTACTGAACTCGCCAAAATTGAGACTAAACTTGAAAAAGCAGCCGAGTTTTTTGACACGAGTCAATACTTTAAACAGTGATAGGCTAGGACAAAAAGAGTCCACGCCAGGATCTGTAAGAAGCAGCTTAGAAACATGCAATGGAATTGCTCAATCCACAGAGCGGCTAATAAGAGAGCAGTCTGAAATGCTTAAACGGCTTGAAAAGCAAATCCAGGACTTACAGAACCATGTCATTTCTTCACAATTAGAAACTCCAAGGAAAAGTGCTAGGTATAGAAGCGTATATGTTAAAATGGCGAACCAACCCACCCTCTTAAGCTTAACTCCTGTAACTAACACCCCACAGAGTGCGAAAAGATGTGGCATTCGGAAATGTGCATACGATGTCTTTTTTGTTTGGCCAAGCGCAATGGGCTTCTCAAAAAGTAAGACAATGTTAATGCTAGGTATGGAAGCTCCGAGCATGCTTCCACAAAGATGGTTAGTTCAGCCACAAACACAACATTATCTACAGAATCCAAAATAAGCAGCCCACCTTCTGGATTCCTTGACTCAAAAAAATCAGCCTCAACCAATACAAGTTTCATCATTTCTCATTCCGAACGAAAACTTCTGCCTCCAAGAAAAACACGTGCCACCACTTTAAAAATGATGAATGAACGTGAAAGCTCGGAGTTTATAAAATCGCCAGTCCGAGCTTCATCAACAAGATATAGCTACTCTTCTGAGCCTTCGACAGACATTTCTCACGTACGAAGCTCCTTAAACACTAACAGCAGTTTTCAAAAATCTGAGAATTCTGACACGACCTTCCCAATCCCAAAAATTATATACGAGTCTTCTAGTGACGTGTCAGAAGATGAAGACGTAGCAGAACTGGAAAAGAAATACATGACATAGATGCTATTTTTACCCAAACTAATTTAATTGCTTTTAATTAATACTTTTTATTTAAGTGATCCAGGCGTAATCTTGATCCAATTAATAAGATAATTTCTATGATTAACGTGAGGCGATTATTTAGAATCTTAAAAATCATGGAATCAGAAGAGTTCGGGAGTTCAGTCCGCCTATTTGCTTCTATGGTGAAGTCTGATCAAACCAACAAAATCTATAATCCTAACTCCCCTTTTCTTTTGAAGAGGGGAGATTTAAGGAAAGTTTAAATTCACCTTATAAAATTTTATTTAAACTATCTGATTTTTAATATTAATTCTGATAAATTTTGGCTAAAAATTTAAATTAATTCGCATGTGTGAGCAACGGTAGCTGCTCGCTTCAAAGATGAGAGTAAGCACCCTCCTCACGTAGAGAGACCAAAGGCAAAACTCACAGAGCAAGCTGAAGAAGTCGATGTGTCAGCAGGAAATTATGGAGCACTCCCTCTGATCCAATCTGTTGACTACACGCACAAGCGCTATTACTCTCTTTCTGAGCTATCTCTTAGTGTAGCAGAACCAGTTTGGATCCGCGCTCGCGTCCACAATACCCGCTTCAAAGGAAAGCTTGGCTTTATCATCCTCCGTGACACTGTCCACACTTTTCAATGCACCTTATTCCTTAGTGACCAAGTTTCCAGAAACCTCTTGAAGTTCGCTTCTGATATTACTAAAGAATCTATCATAGACGTCTACGGAACCTTAAAAGCTACTTCTCAGCCAGTGCAAAGCTGCTCAATCAACAACATGGAACTGGAAACAACCAAAGTGTTCGTTGTCTCAAAGTCCCAGGCTTCCCTTCCATTCCAATTGGACGATGCAGGCCAGCCAATGACTCTCGAGCAAGCTGAAAACGAAAGAGATGAAGATCAAGCAGAAGAAGGCGGAAGAGCCAGAGTGTCTCAAAAGCTAAGACTTAACAACAGGGTAATCGACTTAAGACTTCCTACAAATCAAGCCATTTATAGAGTCAGTTCAGGAGTCTGCCAATATTTCAGGGAGTTTCTAATTCAAAACGGCTTTGTGGAAATCCATACTCCAAAATTGATCCCAGGAACAAGCGAAGGAGGCACTGAGGTGTTCAAGGTAGACTATTTTGGAAGACAAGCCTGCTTGGCACAGAGCCCACAGCTTTATAAGCAGATGGCTGTCATGGGAGACTTGGAACGAGTTTTTGAAATTGGACCAGTTTTCAGAGCAGAAAATTCAAACACTCATAGGCATCTATGTGAGTTTGTGGGGCTTGACTTGGAAATGGCAATTAAAGAGCATTACTTTGAGGTACTTGAAATGATCCATGGGATGTTCATCCATATTTTCAAGGGCATTGAAACTCATTTCGCTACAGAATTGCAGACCATTTACAAGCAATTTCCATTTATCCAGCCATTTCAATACACAGAGAAGCCAGTCTGGTTGACTTTCCACGAAGCTGTAGCTTTGCTAAATGAAGCTGGAAACCCTCAATCAGTCCATGCAGACTTCAACACAGCCACTGAAAAGCAATTGGGAGCGATCGTGAAGGAGAGATACCACACTGATTTCTACGTGGTTCATAGGTATCCACAAGAAGCGAGACCATTTTATACTATGCTTTGTGCTGATGACCCTGAGTTCACTAATTCATATGATATTTTCATGAGGGGAGAAGAAATCATTTCCGGAGCCCAAAGAATTCACGATCCTGCTATGCTTAGACAGAGAGCAATATTTAAGGGAATTGATGTAAGCACCATAAAAGATTACCTTGATTCCTTTAAGTTTGGAGCCCATCCTCATGGTGGCTGTGGAGTTGGCCTTGAGCGCGTTGTCATGCTCTTTGTGGGGCTTAAAAATATCAGATGGACAAGCATGTTCCCTAGAGATCCTAGCCTCCCTTTCAATAATAAATAATTTATTTTGTTGCTCATTCATTTGAAAGGTAGATTTTTTAATATATTTATGTACCATTGAAATTTTTTGGAGTTTATATTTTCAAATTAGAAAAGTTATTTATTAAAATTTTTACTCTATAATTCTTACATCTGAAAATTTCCACCTTGGCATTATACTGAGATAATAATTAAATAATTATGCAGGCAATATTTATATAAATTTTTGCTAGTTAACTAATGAATATTATCTAAGATTTTCACTATGCTGCTTGTTCTCTAAAGGGGGATAAGAGAATTTCTCCCTAATTAACCATCTTATTCGGTAGATTATTTATATATTAATTTATTTATTATTGCAAAGCAAACAAGGAACTAATCCTGATTAATTAAAGTTAGTTCATGCCGTATTGACATAAATTTAATTCTATATTCAGAATCTCATTAGGTATTATTTTAAAATTCGTGTTTGCAATCAATTCTTTTATTGATTATTGGAGAATTTTTAAATGTCTGAGCTCAAGAGCAGATTGAATACTCTATGTTTTTGATAGGAAACAATGCATGATTTCAGCTTTATTTTAATTAAGCATATTTACTTAAATAAATAGTTGTAAAATGGCAGCTTTAGATGAAATATCAGACTTAATTCCTAAATGCCCTCATGATAGCCTTTTTGATCTTCTTATAATATCAGCAAAATTCTCAATCACTCAATCAAAAGCTATTCTTCTTGCAGGCTATGCATTAGAGCACAATCCGAACGTAAAGGCATTAAAGAAATATTTAAAATACCTCGGCCTGCTTGATTCTCTTCAGATTAAAGGTCTCCCTCAAATGCTATCCGAAGAAGTTTTAGATGATTTTATGATAAAATACTATGAAAACTTAAAATCTCTATATGACTCTGAGATCCCAGTCAATTGCAAGGAAAGAATTGAATCCTGTGTGTCGAAATTTATTTCACATAATATCTCAGACATCATGACGGAATTTTCTAACTCCCCGCCTTAAATTGTAACAAAATATCTATAAATCTCCAATTTTTGAAAAATTAATTTCTCTTTAAATTGAAATGATTTTTGGTTAAAATAGTAATTTCTATGCAAATAGCTTAACCCTATTTATATAGGCTAAATCAAAAAAACCCATACATTTAGAGTTTTAAATCGATAAATTTTATAAAATTTTATAATTTTAGAATAATTTACACTCTCTTATATTGGAACAGCTTAATTGCTACAGTTTAAAGGGGACTAAGAGTCTGCTAGAGAAAAAGCATTATAAAGGCAGAAGAATCAACCATTTGAAAGGCTGAATCAAAGGAAAATTCATTGATTTCGAAACTGGAAAATGCATTCTGAATGTGATAGAAAGTAATTATTTAAAAAACAGAAAAGGATCTATGAAATATGAAAGTTTTCATTTATTGAATATTCAGCTGGCTACTACGGCACTGAAATGCCAACCAACGTTACTTTCCGAAAGCAATGAAATAATTTCAAAAATTTTCGAAAATGTGCTAGTCATAGCTAAAAAATATATTATAAAAAAGCATGGGACTGAACAAATATTTTTAGCATCTTTGGAGTTTGTGTTCGCTTGCTTGAGCAGCCCAATGATAGGAGAGATTGGACTTAAGAACATCAAATTGGCAAGCACTATCAACGATCCATTTGGAAAAATGCAACCCTTGGAAAATTATTTTTGGTATTTTTTTAACTGTGCTCATAGCACATTATCCAGGCCTTCACTGGCTGCAAAAATAGCTTGCTTAGCGAAAGAATACCTTTCTGCATATTTAATACAGAATAGCCAGTATATTTTTAAATCTTTAGAAACAATTCAAAAGAATATTAACGAATCATCTGAGTCTCTTGAAATAGGAGAGTCATTAACGAATATGATGCAAGAAATCTTAGAAAAGTACTTTAAAAAAAATTATGGTTGGTCTGAGAGTTCTTTAATTTTAGGGTTTTTGCAAGAGCACATAATTCCTCATCTAGACATCAAGCAAAACCTTGACACTTTAGTAAAACTGTTAGCATTAATTCAAGATAACGAGCTATCAAATACAATAATAAACCAAATATTTTCGATTTCACATCAATTTCCACATGATCATATTATTAAAGTTTTTGCCTCTTTATCTTCATGTCTTCAGGAATCAAGTCAAGTCCTCAGCATTATTCAGTTTTTCTTAACGATATACCAGCACGAAAGCATTGAGCTTATTCTGACAGAAATTATTCAGGACCTTCAAGAAATAGCTTTAAAATTCCCTAATTTAGTGTTCAACTCCACCTTAAACGTAGTCGTTGATTTTTTGTTACTCTTTGAAAAGCAGGTATGAATCAAACCTCCTGGGGTCGAACCATTCGAAACTCTAAATCAAGGACTTTTATTGCTGCAAGTACTGAAAGCTTGTGTGATAAATGAAAAAATTAGCCAAGAAAACCTTGAAGTTGGCAAGCTAAGGGAATTTTGGTGTCTTATATATCATATCCAGCTGAATTATAGTCCTAAAAAAACATCCCTATCAAAAATTGAGACAAATGAAGCGTTAAAAAGCATTGGATTAACATTAACATTTCTTACTTATTGAGCAGCCTAAAGCACTATCCACCAATAACGGGCTCTTCATCTGCTGCCAGTTTCGTGTACCACCTTATAAAGAAAAGTTCTACTTGGCCTGGGAATGCACTCGCCACCAAATAGTTGCACCACCGTGTCTATGCCAAAAAGGTTGCTCGCCATGGAAAATTCAAAATGGGTTAATTTTCTGGTCGACTCTGGTCAAAATATAAATGCAAAGCCTAGGGTGTAACCTCTGACTTTGCTCTGGAAATAGTCCGAATTGGTTAGGAAACTAATCACTGGCACGCTGGAATACCTTTCCAACTCTTGGCTTAATTTCCCTCTGAGGCAAAACCTTGATTTGGACTAAAGCATGGAGCTATCTAATCCAGTATTGTGCTTCCTAAAAGCAAATAAAGCCTGGATGATGCATGTTCCCTAACGCCATTCTCCCTTCCTCAAGATCCTTACGCATCCTGTGGAGTTAAGAGGGTAGGTTGATTCGCCATGCCATTTAATATATATTGAAAACCATTGCAATGGTTACACCAATAATTATTGAAGGAAGCCACAAAGAAGCAGTCGTTCCAGCTAGCTTGATATATCTATTTGACTCTAGAAGCAATACTGCTAAAGAAAGCTATGAAAACCTCACTCCCCCCCCTTTAAATTGAAACAAAATATAGGTAAAATTCCTACTTTTTTGGGAAATTACCCCCCTTTAAATTGAAACAAAATTTTATTATAATAGAAAATTTTATAGGTAAAAATCATTATTTTATATGTAAATACGTTAATACCCTATTAATATGCTTCAAACATATAAGATTTAGAAATTAAACTCTATTTTGTCCAATTGTTATGGGGAGAGTTAGAAGAATACCATTTCAGCAAGTTTACACTTTGAGATTGAGAAATTTATGAATGAAATTAAATTAAAAATCAAACACAGAATGAACCATAAAATTTTATCTCTGAAAACATTTTTATATATAAATTTTTTTATAAAAAATTTTCTTAACCCCCCTTTTAAATTGAAACAAAATTTTTTGTTTCAATTTAAGGGGGGGGAGTCAGAGACCAAGTCATAGATGTTATTGGTAACAAAAAACAATTTTTATCTAAAATTCTCAATAAGCTGGACTATGGCAATTTATTGATAGTTTTTGTGATTTATAAGTTAGTTGATATCAGGGCAACTGAAGAAAGCATTTACGAAATCTGCTTTGAGTACCTCAACAAAGAAGAAATTTTGGGAGAAGCCACAAATGATCTGCTGATTGTTATGCTGAGGCTTACAATAGAAGCCTGTTTTGAAAACTCAATCAAGCAAAAAGGATCAATTGATAAAGAAAGATGGGTTGCAAAAGAAGTGATTTCGCTTTTGAAAAATTCGACATCTCCAAATAATCTTATAAGAGAATTGTCCCAGCAGCTTCTTTTTAATATTGTTCCTATGAGTGTAAATCGGCTTGAAATTTCCTCTTGCTATGCTCATTTATTTCCATATATAGTAGAGTTTGATAAAGTACTAGAAACTGCTTTAGATTTATTAGGATGTACCCACAATGAAATTTTAAAAGCGTTTACATCGGTTTCTCCAAGCATAACGCTACCTCACTCTTCTACTATTCTTATACTGCCAACTTCCCAGACAGCTCGCCAGCAAATTTTTGAGTATTTATGCTCCTTTATAGGAGATTCTTTAGGAAAATCATTTTTGATGGGCTCTCAAGGTGTAATTTCTGCCTTCGCTAACTATAACCACACATCTGGAATGATGATTAAAAATAGCACGAAATTATCAGAAAATCAATATCTCTCTTCAATCTTCGGTTTTTCGATTCTTTTTGTTAACCACCACTACTACTCCTACAAGCTGTTTCCAAAATGCCCTCTCCCTTTCCTCTCATTATATGAGGATCCTTTGATGTTCCACAACTGGTACAAAGACCACTGTATGGAAATCAATAAGCCAATTGAGTTCATAAAATCTTCAAAAGCAGGAACTCCTCGATCTCACGACTTGGTAATTGATGATTCTCAGCTAATCCAAATGCAAGTTAATTTCCTATCGCTTGCAGATTCATTAATAGCTACTGACCCTGATGCAATTAAAAAAGCTTATGAGAGAGTTATATTATTTAAAGAAAATGGGGCACCAAAAGAGGAAAATGGAGACACAGCGCTGCTTTCATTGACTGATTTATTAGGCCAGCTTGCAGCAATCATTGTGATTAAAGGCAAAAATAAAGGCTCAGAAAGCTATTTGCATGCTTTTATTTTAAGATTTAAGATTTAAGATTTAAGATTACGATAACACTCTGTCGACCCCCACTTAGCCTAGGATCTGACAAACAAGCCCGTCCTTCCTGAATTCCATCACTGGCTAACAGCTCTGAACAACGGTAGGTGGAATTGGCCTAACCGTCAAACCGTTACAGTAGCCTATGACCTAGACAAGTCTTTCTTTCTTTCTTGATGTTGATTCAAGCTCAGTAGAACTGCCGAAGCAGTTCCAGCGCTTATATCCTTCAGAAAGTCTGAACTTCCCTCACTAGGATGACCTAAGGGAACAAGGACCCTAATTCATGCGCTCCATTTTTAATTGTGTGATGCTTTTATTAATAAGCATTTGGAAGAAATGAGTGTCATCTCCTCAACTGGATGTGTTTATTGCTCTGAGTGGCTATCTTATGCAATGCCGAACCTAAAGCCAATGCTTTTTGAAGAAATTGCCAATTTTTGGAAGAAAACATTGTCGAAAGGAGGAATTGTCTCTTCCTCATCATCTTTAATCCCCCATGTAAAGAGTCCGTTTTTCTCCTCAATTTTTGCAAACCAGCTCGATGTGAAACTAGGGAACTTAAATGAAACAAGTGATCCGCACTCATTCAGCTATGAACAATTGTTAGAAGTCCAAAAATGCTGGATCGATTATGTGTCAAGGAATTATTTCCCTGTGCTTTTTCGATATCAAGACCTAGCTGTATATCTAGTAAGGATAATATATGATACGATTTCAGTCCCAGTCAACACAGAAGCTCTAAAAAGTGCAATTGGGACAAAACTTATCCTCGATCTTTTTGACTTGGCCATCAAAATCAGCAATAACTTGCCAAGCACAGTATCATTTACCAATAAATTAGCTCTGCAGCATAAAGCCTTGAATTTTTTGATTTCAGCGTTTGCAGCCCCGATGGTTTGGCTCAGTGTTTCAGATTCAGTGTTTCTCTCAGAGCTCATGTCTTCATTTACCAATGCAATTTCTGTATTTATTATATAGGTCATCAATAAAATTGAAATTGAAAATGCCCTTTTTGACGAAGAATTGTCCAATAAAAGGCTTTTCCCAAACTTAAGCTTCAAAAAGCTAATACAAAGAGAAAGGCTTGATTTGGTGGCAAGAGCCGAAACTATTAATGTGTTTTTATCGTTTAAAGAATGCAATATGTTTGAAAAAATAGAGTTAGCATCTTTATTGGTCAAGCGGCAATATGAAATGCTCATTGTTTGGAATATTCCATTAAAGGCCAAATCTTACCTTCCATCATTGTAATTTTTATTTAGCACTAAGCCGATTCATATGTCAAGACTTCTTCACACAGCCTGACTTATAAGCGAAAATGTTGCCAAAAACTACTATAAATCATTACGTGGAAAAATTTCAACCAAAAAAATGGGTAATTTGACTCAAGATTTGGCACTTTTAGATGTAAAAAGCGCTGAAACTGAAGATGAGTGCCTATATTTATTTGCTGAATGCAAAGAATTACCCCTATTAATACCTCATTTGAGTAGCGCCTCACCTTGCGCTCGTGCTTATGCAGTTAAACATTTCTTAAGGAGTTCTGAAAGAGCCCAACTGTATTTTATGCAGCAAATTATTGAGGCAGGAAATCCTAGATCTTATTGGGAAACTTATTCAAGGGTTGATGGACATGAAGATACATGGACACTTCTACTTCAAGCAGTTGCCAAGTCTACTGTAGTTATGAACCAATTAGAATGGCTTCTAAGAGTTTCTATATTTAAACCTGTTGAAAGCTCCAAAAAGAAAAAAGTTGAAGAAGATTTTTTCCCTGAGAGAACTACAGCAATGGCGTTTCATTCAATAATCATGAAAGACCTGGAGCTTGATACAGAAAAGTGGACTGTCTTTAGAGAAGAACAAGATTTTTTTATGAGATTTTCTATGATTTCTGCGTCATTGACTCCTGGGGATTCCCAAAATATTTCTAAAATCAGAGAAGGGCTGACAGAATTGGCAGGAGATGGCTATGATGTGCCTCCAGGAATTTACCTGCCCACAGACCCAAGTCGGAAAGTAGTAGGGATTAGAGTCGACAATGGAATTCCTTTGCAAAGTGCTAATTCCTCCCTCCATGGGCTAGCAATAATATTTTTGTTCGCTTATGAAGGGGGGTTAATTTTATTTTTTTAAAAAAAATTCGCAGAAATTGGAAAGTAAAAATAATTTAATTCATGAATTTTATATTTTTTATGTTTAGAATGCAAGCTGATTAAAATTTGAATGATTTAGCTAGAGATTTTATTATAATTATCACTTATAAATTAAAAATTTAAGCTTGAAACTATTTTTGCTCACTCACGGAATTTGTTTCCAACGGTTTTGCTCGCTCTAGAAGTGAGGGGGAGTAAGCGAACACCAATTTTAGTCACTTTTATTACAGCTGATGATGCGAATTCAAAATTCGAAAGACAACAATCTTCAGCATCCCAATTGAGCAACTATACCAAAAAGCAGTCAACAAAGAATATTCAGTGTATATTTAAGGTGAATGATGATGTTAGAAACGATCAACTTTGTCTGCAGGTTATTGATTTAATGAGAGAAATATTTAGGATCGAAAATTTACCTATTTATTTGAGGCCTTATAAAGTAATTAGCACAATAACTAAATTCCAAGACCAAGACCAGCTAGGAGGAATTTTAGAATGTATCCCTAATTGTAAATCTAGGGATGAAATAGGTAAAGAAGGCACCCAATCGCTTTATGCTTTCTACTTACACTTCCCTTCTGTGAGCGAACAAAAACATTAAAGAAATCCTATTTTTGGGTAAAAAAAACTCTCTGTAAACGAATAAAAATATTTTAATATAAAAAATATTTTAGAAAAAAATGCTGATATATAAGTGATAATGAGTATAATTAAATCTCTATCTAATTCTGTTTAATTTTAAACAGCTTGAACTCTACTTGCGATTTGGGAATAGGATTTTTATAAATAAAAAAATAACAATTACTATATAATTGATATAGAAAATTCCCTTAATAGTCCCAATTCTGTTAGACCAAATTGCATTTTGTAGGTAATTCACATTGCTTATGGGACTATTCATAGCAAAATTAGCCTCCTCCTGAGTGAACAAAATTCTTTTGTTCGCTCACGAGGGAGGAGTTAGAAAAATTCGGAAATGAGTCATCCGAAACCTTCAATGCAGCCAGAAAAAGTTTCATAGAAAGTATGGCGGGATACGCAATAGCTTGCTATATTCTTCAAATAAAAGACAGACACAATGGAAATATCTTATTTGATGAATACGGTCATATACTTCATATAGATTTCGGGTTTATCCTCAGTATAAGCCCCGGTGGTAACATGAGATTTGAGCGGCCTGGCTTTAAGTTGACCAAAGAAATGATTGATATCATGGGCAACGAAAATTCTGAAGCTTTCGATTATTTCAGAGAACTTGTAATCAAAGGCTACTTAGCAGTCAGATCGCATGCTAATAGCTTTATCGCGCTAATAAAAGCAATGGAGTATTCAGGGCTCACTTGTTATAGGAAAAACGCTGTGGCTGGGTTCATTAAGAGGTTTTATTTGGGTGTTAACTACGCCACAGTAGTCAATAAAATGCAGCAAAAAATTGCCAGAGCCAACAACTCGTTCTTCACAATTTGGTATGACAGAATCCAATTGATGCAGCAACAGATAGAATATTAAAATAATAGCCAGTAATAAATATGAGTAAAAGGGAGAAAAAGATTGAAAGCGATGAATGTTGATTCAAATTGTGGCAGCTGACTGAAGAATACCCAGTTGTGCTGATATGCAATTGCTTTTTGGTCGGAAATACTGTACTGAGCCAACTAAGAAGCAAAATCAGAGGCAAAGGAGTCATGCTGTTTGGGAAGAACACCTTGATCAGGGCCGGGCTAAAAAAGAAGCTCGAAATTTTAAATATAAACTCTTCATGCAAAGGTGCAAAGCAGACAGCAAATGACTGGCAAAGAAAAAACCTGGAAGTGCTTATAGAAAATTTCCTATAGATGGCGCTGTTTGCCCTTGATTTGCCCATGAGGAAAATTTTTTTTGTTTTTACCAAACCATATGGTACTGGTCGAACCAAAAAAATTTCCCCGTGGGCAAATCAAGGGCAAACAGCGCCATCTATGGGAAATTTCTATATAAGAAACTTACAAGGAAAAGTTTGCATGATTTTTTGCAAAGAAGAATTTTTAGAAGTTATTGAGATAGTTAATAAAATAACTGTACAAAGACCTGCAAGGCTCGGAGAAATTGCTCCAGCCGACGTCTATACAGTTCCTGGGCCAACGGATCTTGACCCAACAAAAACCTGCTATTTTGCAGTTTATAACATTGCTACGAAAATCAGCAAAGGAAAAATTGAAATAGTCAATAAAGCGCATATTATAAAGAAAGGTCAAGCGATTCAAGAAAATGACAAAAACATGCTTGAGCATATAGGAATCCATCCTTTCACCTCAAAACTTGAAATTTCACATGTAGTTGATCATGGGAAGCTCTTGAGTTCGAGCGTTATTACAATGGACAAATCTTTACTTATTCAAAAATTCTGTGAGGGTGCTAAAACAATCACAGCTTTATCTTTAGAAATTGGATTCCCAATTCCTAATTCAATTCCATTATCCATTTCCAAGGGCGTGAATTTTCTGTCAAATCTTGCGTCACTCTCAAATTATTCTTTAAAAAAGACTCATTAAAATAACTTTAAACGCTTTTAGCCTATATTTTAATTAGAGACTAAATTAATTAGTATTCAAAGCTGCATCCCAATCAGATAAACACAAAGGTCCTTTATTTGCAACATCCATCCTACAGGCATTCTTTTTGACATTTCCTTGCAGATCTATGAGAACCAGGGAGGGAATAGTTTGCCCTCTATATCTTTCGATCAAAGTGGTTCTAATTTCAACTGCTTCATAAGGAATTGTGAGCCATGGCATTTCGTCATAATATTCGTTGAACTTCTCAATCGTACGATCTTGGCTGACGAAAACAACTTCAACCTTCTTTTCATCAAAGTTGACTGAATCATAAAACATAGCAAGCTTAGGTGTAAATTCTCTGCACGGTGGACAATAACTCGCAGAGAAATACAAAAGAACATACTTTGCCTCATTTAGTGGTGTCATACCAACGCTCCCGCTTTTTCCAATCAACACAGATCCTAATAATTGCTCCATTTATAAAGCAAGTTGCATCAATATAAGAACAGAATTTCTATAGAGATCTTTTTTCTCCAAAGCATAATTTTTTAAAAAGTGTTTTTAATCTTATGTTGAAATTTTGATAAATTTACCTTTTAATTGAGCAAATTTACAAAATGTAAATTGTTTTAATAAATTTATAATCTTCTATTGGAAAAAAATTATTTTTAAAGAAATAATAATTTCTATGCAAATCATTAGAGTCCTAATCAAATTCGCAAAAATTAAAAATAATCAATTTAATAGCTTTTGCCCCAATTAAGATGCTGAGTGTCTTGCTCCTCACATCTATCAAGCTGCTCTCTATATGAAATAGGCCACGCTGTCTATTTCAAATGTCATCACTTTCAATTAAATACCGAAAAATTGCTATAGTCAATTGCACATATTTCTTAATGTGCAAGACATGTGGGAAATTTCTCCACATGTCAAAAAAAATTCATATGTGAAGTCTTACATAAATGCAGTCTTCATATGTGGAATATTTTTTTTGCATGTGGGGAAATTTCCCACATGTCAAGCACATTAAGAAAAAAATGCAATGGATAATATGCTATTTAAACAATTAATCAGAAGAAATAATATGCTTAGTCAGTTTTTAAGAGTTGAGTGCTGCGTCCCAGTCGGCCAAACATAAAGGTCCTTTATTAGTAACATCCATTCTGCATGCGTCTTTCTTCACTACTCCTTCATGATTAATCAGCATTAACGAAGGGATCCCTTGAACTCTGAATCTTTGAGCTAATTCATTCCTTGTTGCAGATTCCGAGTAAGGTACAGCAAGCCAAGGCATTTCGTCATAATATTCAGCAAACTGCTCAGGGGTACGGTCTCCGCTGACGTACACAATTTCGACTTGCTTGTGCGCTGAATTGACAGAGTCGTAAAAAAGCCCAAGCTTCGGAGTGAAGCCTCTACATGGTGGACACCAATGTGCTGAAAAATAAAGCAGCAAATATTTTGCGTCTCTAAGGCAGGAGGTTGGCTGGTTGCCATTTTTCCCCAAAAGGACAGGTCCTAAAATCGCTTCCATTATTTTTATTATTTAATTATACCTTAACAGTAAGGATGGTGAGTTTTTGATTCGGAGCTCCGAGCTGAATTATTGGGAAAAGTGGCCCCGAGTCAGTTTCGTGCTGGTAAATTTTTCGCATGTTTTTGAAAAAGTTGATTTGACTTTGTGAAGGGTCATATTCAATTTTGACATGGTCGTCCTGATTAATTTTCCATTGTTCAGCGTTATATGAAAATGTACCATATTGAGAATGTGTAAAGATAATTAAATATAGCGTCTCTGCCTGGGCACTCCTGGCCATGCAGCCTCGAGCGCATATTCAAATATGTTGGCCAAAATTTTTTTGCTACATCAGAAATGGATGGCAATTTTTAGGTCAGTAGTGGCACTTAGCCAAGTCCGAATTCAAAGATCTTTTACATCTTTGGGCACATGGGATTGGAAAGGATGCTCAGGGTCTAAGCATGTCAGTGAATAGCACTATTAGACCCATCGGAAATGCCTAATGCGATACTGGAAATTACACCTGGGCCACAAGCTTCCATGGCAGGACGAAAGTATCCAGAAAATTCCATTTTTTGAATTTTCGGCAGTCAATCCAAATCAGATATATCTATCAAGCCCGAACAAGCGAAGATTCGAGGAGGTGCCTCCTTGTAGCACCTTGAGAAGATAGGTGGGGAGATAAGACCTGGATGGCAGCTTCTTTACCGGTGTCAAGCTTCAAATAGTTGTAAGGACCATAACCGATGAGCACTAAAAGCAAAGCTAATTAGGTTTAAGACTAAGAGATGTGTAAACCCTGTGCCTTCATAGGTCCAAACGTTTAAGTTGCAAGAAGAATCGAATTTCACATTTGGAAGATTTTTTTTATCAGCTAAAATAATGCCGCCAACTATTGTAAATTCAGAATTTTCACCTGTAACTTGGAGCTCGATGGAAAGTTTTTTCTGTAAAGGGGAAATAAAAATTAAAGTAGATCATGATGAATGATTAGAAGGGGTTGAAATAGCAGAGCCATTACAAGTTACTGATGCTGGAATTGTGAAGTACTTTCTAAGATCAAGATTTGGAGATGGAGATTGCTGAGTTGGGTCTGGAAGATTTGCAACAGATATGAATTCACGAGGCGGGGCAGAGTTTGAAGGATTAGCCTGAGGATTTACTTTTTGGCTTGGCTGAGATCTGACAATTACAGAACTTGCAGTATTGACTTGAGATTTAGCAGAGCATCCCATAATTCTTAAATTTATTAGTCAAGCTGTATATAATTATAAACTAACAAAAATTATTTGCCCAATTAAATCACGGAATAATAAGTTCTTTTCCTTTACCAATTTACTAAAAAATTGTAAATTCAAATAAAATTTAATTTAAATGGTTTCAAGGCCTGACTTTGACTGGAAGAATGTTCCCTTCTTCCCAATAAAGTTGACATTACACGGAACAAGCGCAAGCTTTCACCCCGAAACAGGAGAATGGCAAACTATAGAAATCCAAAGCAGCGAAGATTCACCTGAACTAAAAAGGATCCAAGAAGATTTGAATACTTTAAAAATAAAAAGCGATATTGTGCTAGACATGATAACTGCAAGGGAGCTCGACTTAGGAGAAGCAAGCAAGTTAAAATCTGAACTAGAAGATTTAGTATCAAAAGGAGAGGCTTAATTAATTGATTTTTATTTGTTTTAAAGTAAGATTCTACTAGTAGCTTAAATTACTCTAAGAGATTGATAAAGCAAGCTTGAGCATTATATTTTGAAATTGAAATAAGCATTGAAGTTTCAGAAAATATAAATTGTTATGAGCAAAAAATATAGAGATTAGGAATAAAAAAGAGAAGAAAATATATATGCCACTTTTGTGTTCTATCGAAATATACATGAAAACTGCTTTAGAAGTAAGCTAAACTCTTATAAATAATTTATCTTTTGTTGTTTTTTTTTATATGTATAATAATTCAACAAAATTAAAGCCTGGAGGAACCTTATGCTTAAAAAAAAAAAATCAAAATATTTCTACTTTAATTATAAATGTTGTTTAATGGGATTTATTTCTTATATTTTATATTATCTCCTATTTTCTTAACCAATAATAAAATGTCTGAAAGTGTCAACCCTTTGTCTCCTGAAGAAGTAGCTCAGTTCAATGAAACTTTAGCAACTTTCAATAATACTAAAGACTTGTCTCATGCAGAAGCGCTCTTTCACCTGCTTGATAGGAATAGAAATGGACTTTTGAGCAGAGAAGAAATTAGAATTGTTATGAATCAAGTTTCAGCGCATGGGTTTAGTGATGGAGAGGCCCAAAGATTTGTTGAAACTTTCGATAAAAACGGTGATGGGCAAATCGATCTTAGAGAATTTGTCGAGTTTTTAAGAACTAAAATTTAATACCTTTAAGGAAGTAAATTATAGTAAATATAGATGCTTATTTAGATTAAGTACAAAATAAAGTCATTATAGATTACAATAATCATTTTTATAAAATTTTAAAGACTTAGAGTTGGACATTAATTATCATTAACTCAACCTTCTTCATATTTTTTATGAGTTTTTATTCATAATTTACTTTTAATCTTTTTTTAAGCCTTAGCTTATCGATTATAGTGAATTTCCTCAAGATAAGCTTTAATATCAGTTACATATTTTAGTTTGAAAATCCATTAACTTTTTTTATAAACTATTTTGATCAAAATATAATAATTTTTAACGCAGTAATTTTTCGCATCTTTTAAGATGGTTTCAATTTTTGCTATTTTATATTATCTAGCAAACATGAACAGCAAGTCATTTGAGAAAGATTTATAATGACTGATAAAATTCTTCGTGTGAAAATTTCAAATGAAATTCATTAATTTAAGGAGTTGCAAAATCTAAAACAATAAAACTGATACCTTGACTTCTCTTTTCGTATAATAATTTGATTCTCTTTTGCTATTAAATTTATGTATTCTTCTTACTACCAATAAAATGTCTGAAGAAGTGACTCCTCTCACACCTCAAGAAATTGTTGAGTTTAATGAAGCTTTATTAACCTATTTAACTCATCACGACTCATCTAGATTAGAAGAACTCTTTAGATTATTTGATAGAAACCATAATGGATCACTTAGTGAGTTAGAAATCAAAACTGTGATGGAGCAAGTGTCTGGGCATGGATTTAGTGATCAACAAGTCCACGATATGATCAGGGCAGCAGATAAAAACAGTGATGGAAGCATTGATATTCGAGAATTTATAAATGTTATGAAGCATCTCACAGATTAAGCTTAATTCATAATAAAGGTAAAATCCTTGAAAATGGTAAAATTTTGCTCTTATTATCTAAAATTTTGTTTTGGTTTATTAACTTTATGATTTTTAGATTTTTGTTAGAAATAGAAGTGGATTACTAAGGACCCCCCCTCATTTGTCGAATTTCTAGTCTTTTTTTTATAAGAATTTTTTTTTTTCAGGACCTCATTTGTCCCAAAATCTAGTCAAAAATGATTTGTCCAATTTTCTAGTCTTTTTTGGGATTTTTCGAATGCCCTAAATTCTAGTTTTTTACTTTAAAAAAACTAGAAAATGAGACAATTGAGGTCCTGAAATTTTTTTTTCTCTATCAAAATTTTGACTAGAAAATTGGACAAATGAGGTCCTAAAAAAATTTTTTTTTTTTCCTATAAAAAAAACTAGAAAAATTGACAAATGATAAAAGACTAGAAAATCGGACAAATGAGGGGGGGGTCCTTATTATAGACTAAGTTATATTAAACTAGACTATGAAAATAATAAAATTATAATTGTTTACCTATTAATTAGTTATAATGAAAAATAATTTACAGGCACAATTATCAAAATTGTCAAATTTTCAACTACCCAGGCCTCAGCTGAACTCTCAATTATCAGGGGCAATAAAGAAACTCGTGACATTTTCTCAGCTAAATCCAAATATTATGAAAAAGAAAAATTCCGCCAAGCCCCTTAACGAGTTAATCAAAAATCGTGCCAAGTCAAAAGCAGTTGATTCAGAGCAGCTTATTTTTCAGAAAGATCCGAAATCAGAAAAAATTACAATAAAAACCCCAACTCAAAGACAACCTCCTGCAAAACCCTCCCTGAAAAAAACAATCGATTTTAATTTCCCTCCAAATGATTTTGAATTCCCGAAAAAGAATTTAGAAATCACCCCTCCAAAATGGCAACAATCATCTGAAATAAGCCCAGAGCGTCCTATAGTTAGTCCTATTAAGACTCACAGTTTCAAATCTCCTATAAAATCAACATTAACCATTGCAGACTCTAGCTGATCAGAAAAATTTCCATGAAGCAGTTTTATAGACCAAATAAATCACGACGTTTTTCACAATGAATATTTTCGCCCGAACCAAAGAGAAGTAATTAATGCAGTTTTGAGTAAACGAGATGTCTTTGTTTGTATGCCAACTGGGGGTGGTAAAAGCTTAACATTTCAACTATCAGCCTTAGCTAGCGAAGGCATCACAATTGTCATAATGCCCCTAATTTCTCTAATTCAAGACCAAATGAACCACTTATCTGCTTTGGGGATCAACGTGCGCATTTTTAATTCGAATCTGACTCAAGAAGAACAAAACCAAATTTACCAAGAAATTTATACGGATAACACAATTAAGCTTGTTTATATTACCCCAGAAAAACTAGCGCAAAGCGAAAAAATGAAGAGATTTCTAGATCAGCTGAATTTTGATAAAAGGATTGAAAAGATCGCGATTGATGAGGCACATTGTGTAAGCCAATGAGGCAGGGATTTTAGATCTGACTATTTAAAGCTGACCTATTTCAGAGAAAGATACCCAAATGTTCCGATTTTAGCATTGACTGCCACAGCAACTGAAAAAGTTAGAGAAGATATTGTAAAAGTTCTTGGGATGAAGAATCCTTTGATATTTTTAACAAGTTTCAATAGGCCAAACCTTAGTTATGAAGTTAGGACAAAAAATAAAAAAGCTGTTGATGACATTGCGAATTTAATTAGACAAAAATATAATAATCAGACTGGGATTATTTATTGCATTTCTAAAAAAGACTGTGAGAATGTGTCAAAAGTGTTGAAAAGAACACATAAAATTAAAGCTGGGTTCTACCATGCACAGGTGCCACAGGAAAAAAGAGTGACAACACAAAATAAGTGAACTCAAGGGGAACTAAAAGTTTTGGTTGCAACTGTAGCATTTGGGATGGGAATTGATAAGCACAATGTCAGATTTGTAATCCATTATTCATTACCAAAATCAATAGAAAATTATTATAATCAGCTGCTTAAATTTCTGATCTTCTCCCATGAGCCAAAGATGGATTTCACGAGTGAAAATCCAGAAATTCCACGTGGGAAACCCATTTTTGGCTCATGGGAGCCGATCAGAAATAACGCCAAAAGATCATATCAAGAATCAGGCCGTGCTGGTAGAGATGGAAAACCAGCTGATTGTATCCTCTATTATAATTATTCAGACAAAATAAAGCAAGACTTTTTAATTCATAAGACTCATAAGCATGAGAACCAGCAAAATCAGAATTTCCATCAATTACACTCGATTCTTGAGTACTGTGAAGACATTTTTACTTGCAGAAGGAAAATGCAGCTGTCTCATTTTGGCGAAGAGTTTGATCCAAAAAATTGTAATAAAACTTGTGATAATTGCAAAATAGGGAGAATTGCAATAGAAAAGGATATGACAAGAGAAGCTTTGATGGTAGTAAGAATAATGGAGGGTCCAAGGACAGGCCTAAATACACTTCATCAAATAGCAACACTGCTTAAAGGAGGAAATTCAAGAAAAAATGAAAATTTAAAGTTTCATGAATCTTATGGACTATTAAAAATGCTAGCTCCCCCTTTTCTAAGCGAACAAAAAAATTTTGTTCGCTTGAGGGGTTAATTTTTTTTTTAAAAATATATATAAAAAGTTGTTAGTAAACCTTTTTCGAAATTTAAAAATATTCATTTCTAAAAATTGGAAATAAAGATTAATTTAATTTGTAAATTTTATGTTTAAAATGCAAGCTGTTTAAAATTAAACAGAAATAGCAAGAGATTTCATTATAGTAATTATCACTTATTATCAAATTTTTTTCACAAGAAATTTTTTGTTTGTTTATGGAGGGTGGGTTTTAGTCCAAAGAATAGGGATTTTCCAATGTTTTTAGTTCGCTCACGGAGGGAGAGTAAGCATTGACGACATTGAAAAAATTCTCAGAAGGATGGTTATTGATGATGTGCTGAGAGAAAAATCTGTCAAATCCTTCAAAAATTTTTCTACAGTTGTAGAAAGAGGGCCAAACATCCAAAAGCTTAAATCTGGTGAAATTTATATAAGAATAAAATTTGAAGGGGGCAGAAATGAAAGAGCCTATGAACAGTATGAAAGTGATATCGACATGTCACCGCCCGAGTTCAAAACAATTCCCAAGCCAAAAATTTCACTTGAGAACAGCATTTTTACTCCAAAATTAAGTGATTTAAAGCAACTAACTTATACTCCCAAGCCTATTGATATTTCTGGGAAAAAGAGTTTTGATTATAAATTTGCACCCAAAACGGTAGGAAATGATTATTATACGAACAAAGAAAACTATTGCGAAAGCATTGAAATTTCCTATGGAAAATGCAAAACTGAAGAACTCTATCAAGAGCTTTATGAAAGACTTGAGCTTGTCAGAAAAAGATTGGCAAGGCAACAAAAATGCAATCCTGAAGCAGTTGCACCTGACTCTTTTTTGCATACTCTATGTAGAGATTTGCCAATTTTTCAAGGAGATATCGCTGAGGAATTTGTTGAGGAAATAAAACATTTTGCAAAGTCAAATAAATTAACTGATGAAAATCCTTTCGATTTTGATTTAGATCTAGAAACAATTGACTTTAACTTCGATACAATGGAGTTAAAGAGAAAGAGTGATGTATCTGATGACAGAATTTCAAAAATACCTAACTCCCCTATTCATGATTGAGCAAAATCATTGGAAAAATCCCTATTCTTTAGGTAATAATACACCCACAAAAATAAAAGTTTTTAATATATAAGTGATAATTATTATAATGAAATCTCAAGCTAATATGTTTAATTTAAACAGCTTGCATTTTAAAACATGAATTTATCAAATTAAATTAATTTTTACTTCCGTGAGCGAACAAACTTTTTTTAATTTCTACAAAGGGGGGCGAGTAAGCTGGTTTAATTATTTAAACATATAATTAATTTAATAAAATACAATTAAAAGTGAATGATATAATTTCAGGTTTTATTAGATATTTAATTAAAAAAACTAATTCTTATAATTATAATTTGGACATCAATACGATCGATGCCTGCTTATTAAGAAAAGTAAGCTTTGATAGATTTTTTTTATCTTACTTCCGCTTCCCCCTTTAAATTGAAACAAAATTAATTATAATTTATATACATTAATATTGCGGAGATGACCAGCCCAATCTCTTGGCGCAATTTTCTCGAAATATGCAGGAAAATCTAGGAAAACAAAGCTGAGAAACAGGTCCGGCATCCTTGATGTATATCGAGCGTAGGTTTTTCTCTTGCCTCAGAGAACTAATCCTTAGGACATAGATTTTTACCCTAGGTGGTTCTGGAAAGGGCACGGTCAGCGACAATCTGGCTGGGGTATAGCGATAAGACTCCCTACATACCGCAAAACGGTATGTGCCTAGCATGATACTGGGAGTTGTGTCCCGGGAATCTGCCCTTAAAGACTTCAAGCCAGAATTTCGAATTTGGTTATATTTTTAACGAACTTTTATGAAAATAGTACTAAATTCTGCTTATAATATTAAGTTGGAATTAGTGAGCCACTCTAAGATTTCTTTCAAAATGTAAGTCTTTCTAGGAAATTGAGAGGACTGGATATAGCTTAATGCTAATAAATTTTCTTCCATTTGATCTTCTTTCAAGTCAAAATTCAATAGTCAAAATTAAAATAGGATTTTAAAATATTTTAGTAAGCTTAAAAACTAAAAGATAGCTCACGTTTTATTAATGCTATCTTGTTTCATATTTGATTCACTTATGCATATCTAAGATCCCAAAAATCTCATTATATTCTAGCTATATTATGCATGAATTACTTACATTTCCAAAATCAGCCTTTTTATTTTTTCAAAAACTTCTAAATTATGTTTATTTCAGCTAAATAATTTTTTTGAATTGGAATGGAAGATGAAATAAACCAAATAAATGATCATAAAATGACAGGGATCGATTCAATCGAAGAAGATAACCTCCCATTTTCACAAAATTGAGAAGAGATGTCTTGGGACTCAGATCCTCAATTGGAAGATCACCAATATCAAGACTCTGATGAATATGAAGCTGCATACAGTGCTGGAGAATCTATAGGCGAAGAAGACAACTATGATGTGTGAGATGAAGATTTTGTAATTCCCTTCGAGGAGTGAAATAACCAGGAAAGTCTAGCTTATGATCCTGACTATCAGCGGATTCTATTACAGAGAAAATTATCAGAGGAGATCAGGCATGAAATGCCTTTTTACAACGAAAGCATAGAGGAATGACAAATTATGTGTTATATGTGCCTAGAAAAAAAAATTGATTTCGAGGTCTTGGATTGTAAGCATAAATTTTGTAAATCATGCATGACTCTTTTGATGATAAATTACATTAGCACAGGGAAAATTTTCCCAGATGAAATGAAATGCCCAAGCTGTAGCACACAACTATCAGAAAAGATTATATATAAATATACAACCAAAGAGCAACAGCACAAAATTCTTACATTGAGAATCCAAATGAAAGGGCAGAAGCTTGTATCAGAAAATAAAGCAGTTCATTGTCCAGTTCCTGACTGTAATGGGTTTGGGTACATTTTTAAAGATGACACTATAAGTGCTTGCTCTGAATGCCATGCTGGGATCTGTGTTTTGTGCAAAAAAGGAGCTCATTCTGGCATGACTTGCAAAGATTATGAAGAAGTTAACCCTGAAGCAAAACTAGATGAGCTTATCATGAGTAGGAACTGAAAAAGATGTCCAAGCTGCGGAGCAGCTTGCATACGTGAAGATGGGTGTAATTTTGTAATTTGTGACTCTCCAGTTTGCCGTGGTAATCAAAGATTTTGCAATTTATGCGGAAAACCTTTAGCGGAGGAACAACATTACAGCCACTTTTTAATGGCTGGGCCATTTGGAAACATCTGCAACACCTTAGATGGTACACCAGAGCCGCCGTTTTAGACTGTAGACTAGACACATTCATAAATAAGAATAATTAAGTGATCTATCAAAATGGACACATAAATTATGCTGGATAATCCAAATCCTGTTATTCACACAGTCACAAAGGCGTATAAAAGGCCTTCGGGAGCTTTGGATTCTGAAGAAATTTACAATTTATTGAAAGATATCAAAGATCCTGAGCATCCTTACTCATTAGAGCAGCTCAAAGTAATCAGTGTAGATCAGATAAAAATAAACCTGGAAGAAAGAACTGTGAATATAAAATTCACACCGACTGTTCCGCACTGCTCGTTGTCTAAGGATCCCCCCCTCATTTGTCCAATTTCTAGTCTTTTATTATTTGTCCATTTTTCTAGTTTGTTTTATAGGACAAAAAAAAATTTTTTAGGACATCATCGTCCAATTTTCTAGTCAAAATTTTGATAGAAATTTTTTTTTTCAGGACCTCAATTGTCTCATTTTAAAGTAAAAAACTAAAATTTAGGACATTTGAAAAAATCCAAAAAAGACTAGAAAATGGGATAAATCATTTTGACTAGATTTGGGACAAATGAGGTCCTGAAAATTTTTTTTCCTTATAAAAAAAAGACTAGAAAATTGGACAAATGAGGGGGGATCCTTACAATGATCGGACTACAAATTCGAGCAAAATTGCTTGAAAATTTGCCGAGCTTCATGAAAGTTTTTATATTCGTTGAGCCTGGAACACATAGTCAGGAATTCGAAATAAATAAGCAACTTAATGACAAAGAAAGAATTGCAGCAGCAATGGAAAACCAAAATTTGATGAATATGGTACAAAATAACATTGGGCTGTGGGAATAAATAGACTCTAATTAATTGAATATGGAGGAATTAATAACAAATTAATGAAGCTTTACAATGAGATGACAATAATTTAAATTTTTTATTTAAAAACGATTTAATACCAAATTCGTAAATAAAGTAATGGCTTATGAAAAAATTTACCATTAAATCTGTAAATAATTATGGGATGCAGTGCAATTAAGCTTCCTCCTGTTACGCAGGAGTCAATTTATGAATTTTCGATGCAAGACATTGAAGGTAATACTGTAGAGTTATCTAAATACCAAGGAAAAGTCATGATTATAGCCAATGTGGCTTCAGGTTGTGGCCTTACAAAACGAACTTATTGTGAATTAAATGAGCTGTACAGTAAATATAAAGGAAAAGGGTTAGCAATTCTAGCTTTTCCTTGTAATCAGTTTTTTTGTGGCGAGCCTGGGGGTAGAGAAGATATAAAATGCTGTCTGAGAAACAGCTTAAGGATTGATTTTGATATTTTTGAAAAAACTGAGGTCAATGGCAAGAATGCATGCCAGATGTTTCGATTTTTAAGAGACAAAAGCTCATTAAAAGGAAAAAACATAGGATGGAATTTTGGAAAATTTGTTATAGATAGGCATGGAAATATTCACAGTTATCACGGACCTAGAAAAATGCCTTTGAGCTTTGAGAACGAAATTATTAAGCTATTAGATGAACAAAATTAAATATAATTCAATTACTTCTATTTATAATTTATTATGTTTCAGCATAATTATAATGATAATCACTTAAAAAAAATGCTTATTTTTATCAGAATATCTCAGAATATTATGTTGTTATTTAACTAAACTACTCTATTCAATGAAGGACATATTAAGAAGATCTTTGAGTATTTTATCAAGAGAGAGATAATTAGGAGGGTTAAAACAGAGATTATTCCAGCCCCTAGCCAGTCTAGTTTCAGTTTCGCATTTCATGTGGCAGTAGGCACTAAAGCCACCAACTCCATTTTTCTTCAAAGTCACCAAAAACAGTGACATCGTCAATCTATTGTGGGGCCCTCTGCCATTTGCAGGCAGCAGAATGATTTTCCAGAAGTGTTTGTTGATGCTACGCCATCGGTATCTTGTCTGTATGCCAAGGCAAAGCCCAGTTAGCATAGGCCTGCACCGCACCTCGGAATTGTTGCCACCACGAGCCTGTGACCCTTTAGAGCCTGTTTTTTGTTGACTGGCAGCCAAAGTGGTCGGATTCATATCTGCTTGCCATGATAACAAAATTATTTTTTCAAGAAGTTTATAAAATATTCATCTTTTTATTATAAATTTCATTAGCATTTATAAGAATTTTATTTAAAATATAAATAGGCTAGGTTATTAAAGTCAGCCATATTGGTGATGCAATCACCAAAGAGCTCCCGTACAGTAAGTTCAACCGCTTTTCGATTCCAACCCATAGGGTCTTTTCCCCGAAGGTGGATGCCACTTCCGGCACCCTCTGTCTTCTCCTTACCTTGAGGCTTCAGTCTTGAATGCTTATAGATTTCTGCGGCCCTGCTGCAGGCGATGGATAACTTGATTCCGAAGATTAGCTCCTTGAAGTCTATCGATTTTGAAGTACCTTCCTTCAAGAGCTAAACGAAAAATGATTACTCCCCTGCGACCTGGGCCGAAACCCCAGTTTCTTGTTAGAGGAATGTCATTGAATTCAAAGGACATCGTTAAGCACCTCCATTCCAACTACGGAAAGCAGCCAAAACCTGCTGGATGCATATCTCTCGAGCCTACACTTGATTCTCTCCTCGAAGTTCGTAGAAAGAGGCCTGGACTGTTGCGCCAAGAGGGTAGGTTGGCACGTGCCGCCATTTTAATATATATTAAAATTTAAATAATAAAATCTTGTGAAACCTTTAGATGATGGATTTACTATCGAAATAAAATAAATTGCTTACTCCCCCCCCCCCTCCGTGAGCGAACAAAACCATTAGAAAAATCACCATTTTTTGACCAAAAAACCCACCCTCCGTGAGCGAACAAAAATTTTTTTTAATAGAAAAAATTTTAAATGAAAAAAAATTTTGATATATAAGTGATAATTAGTATAATGAAATCTAGAGCTAATTCTGTTTAATTTTAAACAAATTGCGTTTTAAAACATAAATTTTGCAAATTAAATTAATATTTGCTTCCCAATTTTTGCAAATTTAGGATTTTTTTAAATTTCGAAAAAAATATTTTTTATAAAATTTATATATAAATTTTTTTTAAAAAAAAAAAATTAACCCCCCTCCGTGAGTGAACAAAATTTTTTTTGTTCGCTCACGGAGGGGGGGGGGGGAGTTATAAAAATTCTTGTTATAAATGGACTGTGGAAGCAGATATCACTCACATCCTAAATAGGGATTAATTTATGAATTTTTCAAGGAAGGTATGAGTTTTTTTTGACGAGTATCAAATATAAAGGAAAGTCTTAATTATGAAATTGCTGTTGCTTCAGGCGGAAAGGATATATCGCAGATATACAAAACATATAAAGATCAGAGCTTAGCCATTTGAAGTTTTTTGAGTAAGAATCTGATAGTTATGAGAACATGAAAAATGCATTAAAAAAGTTTTAGATACAAATTTGTGTAAATGGCACATGCAAATGAAATATTTCGATTTTTAAGACAAAGAGTTCTTTGAAGAAAATAAAATTGAATGGAATATTGGGAAGTTTATTATAGATAGATAAGGTAAAAATATAAGGAAGTACCATGAGCCTTGAAAAATGCATTTGAATTTTTAAAGCGAAATTATAAAATAAGCATAATTACAGCTTATTTTAATAATAAAGTCTCATTTATACAAAATCATATAAATTACAAATAAAAACTTGTATTTAATTTTTCCTTAAATTTTAAATACATATAAATAATATGATATAGTCTAGAGCAATCCTAACGAGGCCCTGAACTATACAGCACAATAATAATAAATAAAATAAATATTGATATATTACTAGAGTGTCAAAGTGCAGATTTATACCGCTTAAAGACAACATCAATTATCTGGGAATAATTTTTAAAATATTTATTTGTGTCGAATTATTACAATTTTTTTTATCTATTTAAATGACCAATTAGATAGTATAAATTTATTAAATGTTTAAAATAATAATAAAAAATATAAGATTCATTTTTTAAATTAGTTTTTAATAAGCTAAGTTATATATGCTTTGAATCTGATATCATTTGCTAAAGTTTAGCAAATAAGAATGTACTCTTCAAGTATTAATTTTAAATTATTGATAAATAATCCATTTATTATAAAAATAAACTTAATATAAGTTGTTATTGTGATATTTCTTTCTAATTATTGGTTATTTTTGAATTAAATTAACTGCCATTATTTTAAGTCGGCTGAGTATTTTCACCTCTGAAGCTCAATGCCCCATACGGAACCCCCGGTAACCTTGCTTCTAGCTTCTCCAACCTGAATTGATTTAGAGTTTCTGGTCTCTAAAGCGTGGAACCTGGGGTCAACTCTCAGTTTCGTACTAGACATCTGGGTTCCAGGGTCCCTAATCAAGTACGATCATAATTAATCACTGGATAAATGGCCACTATGCTTTTACCAATCCCAATTCCAGGAGAAAAATCCTATGTTCCAAGTATCATACCCTGTGGTGCGGGGAGAGCATCTATCAGCATATATAAGGATTTTGTGCCTGCTTCTCGATTGAATCCTCCACCTGGGTACTCCTCGCAGGTCTTGAGGTGATTGCATCAGGAGATCGGTTGTTCACTGTCATATTTATGGATGTAGTTTTTTGAAAAACTGAAAATTCAAATGATAAATAGAAGTAATTACAATATTATGCTAATTTTAGGTAAATATAAAAAAAATTTAGAGCTAATTAAAGAAAGTCAATTTTTCTTATAAATAAGACACTAAACTTCTATTATACCTGATAGCCTAATCTATATATAATGCTTATTCTCTATAATCTCAATTCAGAAATCAATAATAAAAGTATTTTGAGCAGAACTTAATTTTTTTTTGAATTAATCATGCTATTTTTATGCATGCAATTACCTAGAATTGCCCGATAAGGACATAGGACTGAGAGCTCCACTTTCCAGTCGGTATAGCCTACTAAGATTGGTATAGCCAACTAGAGAGTTACAATTGAACCACAAGGGGATCATTTTAACTCTCTAGTTGATTTGGCTAGCCTGATTTGGCCAGACTAAATAGAGAGAGGAGCTCTCCATCCTTACACCCTTATCGGGCAATTCTATGCAATCGCTTATATTTTATTATCCATGCCATAAAGAGCATTTAATTATTCAACCCCAAGAATTTTTTATAAATAAGCGATTTGAAGTTTAGCAAAGATAATAATTCTACAGAGTATTTGGACTTCTAAATATTGTTGCAAATTGATAATAGTTGCAATGCAATTCTATTCCGATTTTGTTTAATGATGCTCATTTCTGATTGGAGAAAAGAGTTAAAGAAAAATCGAAAATAAATTGTAATAAATCATAATTTCATTAAAAATCGTTTCAAAAACTTTTATAATTGACATTAAGTTGAATTTTAGTATTTATTAAAAAAAACCATAATCTTAAACCTTAATGAAATCTGATATTCTTAATAATTTATTAATCATGACAAGATCTCACAGCACTCTTGACAGCTATGTTATTATTAAAACCCTTGGTAAAGGTGCAACTTCGAAAGTAAAGCTTGCCCAAGATAAAAACACTCAGGAATTTTTCGCAGTAAAAATATTTAATCCGCCAACTGAGATAAATATCGAAAGATATCAAGATTCAATTGCTAATGAAATTAGAAGCTTAAAACTGATTTCGCATCCTGGTATAATAAAGTGTTTCGGGTTTAGCGAGAATGGAATTTATATTCAAAAAAGAACAGGAAAGCTGAAGAAATGCACATATCTCGTTATGGAGGTTTGCCCTAACGGCTCACTCTATGATATTATATTTTATACTGGGATTTTAAATGAGAGAGTATCCAGGTATTTATTCCACCAATTAGTTGAAGCTATAGAATGCTGCCACATTAACGGAATTTCTCATAGAGATTTAAAGCCCCAGAATATTTTATTTGATGAAAATTATAATTTGAAACTGTCAGATTTCGGGTTATCAATAAGTTTGCTTGGAAGAGATGGGTCTGGATATTTAGGAAGCACAGTAGGAACTGAAAATTATATGGCTCCTGAAATACACATGAGACTCGCTTATGTGGGGGCGCACATTGATATTTTTTCTTTAGGCGTCATTTTATTTATCATTTGCTCTTATAACCCTCCTTTCACGGTTGGCTATTTGACAGACCCTTGCTATAATATGCTGATAAGCAATGAAAACGTGTTTTGAGATTTGCACTCAAGAAACAAATCAGCTGGATTTTTTTCACCTGAGTTTAAATCACTAATTAAAGGTATGCTCGCATTTGACCCAAAGAAGAGATACACTATTGATGATATCAAAAGTGATAATTGGTATAATGGGCCTATTGCTACTGATGAAGAAGTAAACAGAGAATTAATGTCTAGGTGTCAAGCTGTTAGAGGTATGGTTGAACAAATTAAGGAGCAAGGTACGAATCCCAGCAGAAGATCGACCGAGGCTTCTTCCAGAATTTATAGAGGAGATTCATCTTTGCCTGATTTTAAATCAAGATCTCTATCTCTCGCTATTGACGATCTTACAATAAGTGTTCTTCCAGAAAATTATACTTTTGTTAGAAAATTTTCTCAGCTTGCCACAGATTTGAAGCCAGCCGAGCTTATTAGCTTGACTGTTCAAGAAATCGAAAAAAATGATGGGCAATTTGAAATTTCACCAGAATTTTATGAGCTTAAGGCTACAATTTTCCTAGAAGAAAATGAGTTGAGTTTTAAGGCTACAATTTATCAAATAGAAGCCGATATCTATCTACTTGATTTGACATGCAAAAGTAGTGACCAATGGATTTTTATTGATTTCGTGAAGAGACTTTTCGAATCAATAAAAGAATTTCAAAATTCTCTTGAGGAATCAAATCCACAAAATCAGACTGTTGCCCAATCCAATTAACAATTTTTTCTTTATATTTACTTGATTTTGATAATATTATAAAATATATAAAAATATAAGACAGAGATCTTGCAAGAGAGAGTTTAGGAGCATAATAAATTATTCATAGCGCTTCTAATTTTATTTAAAAAAGCTTTCATGATTGCATAACTTAATCGGTATTTAATGACTCATGTTTTCAATTGTTCTTGCATAATTATTAATTTAATTTTTCATTTAGTTCTTACTTTAAACTTACTTCAAAAGATTTCGTTGTTTTAGCTCTTAAATTCTTATAAATGGATAAAAGAAATCAAGGTTTAATTTTAGCAAAAGCAAGATTAAAAGATCTTTGCAACGAAGATAAAGAAAAATTAGGGCAACTAATGAGCAAATTAGCAGAAGAAAAGCAAGGAAAAATGAAACTTGAACAGAGAGTTGGAGACTTGAAAAGAGAGCTAAAAAATTTGAGACTTGAAAGAGATGAAATGAAAGAAGAAAATGAAAAACTCAAAGATAAGTTAGAAGACTGCTTAAAAATAATGGAAAAAATAGCGAAAGTGCAAAAAACAGAAATTTCCGAGAAATCCACACAAACAATTATAGAGGAATGCGAAAATTTGAGTGATGAAAATAAAAAGAGAATTAAAGAAATGTTTGACAGCCCTTTGCAAATTAGGAAAGAAAATAAATTAAAGAAATATATCAAGCGTTCAAATTCTAGCACAGGGAAAATTGATAGAAATGATTCTAAATGAGAATTGAAAAATCGACAAGATTTCCGAAAATTAAAAAAGGAAATGATCGATAACCAGGAAGAAAAATTTTTCAATGAAAATCTTATTGATATGATTGAGGTGATGGAAAACGAAGAAAAAGAAGAAAGCTATTTTGATGATCCTATGCTAATCCAAATGATAGATGAGTTTGAATCTTTGTAATAATTTTAATTAATATAAAAAAATTCAACCTAGCTTTGTAGTAAGATTCCTAAATTGTTTAATGATAATATATAAAAGGCTAATTTAATTTGTATTCTTAATATAAGAAAGGTCGAATAAATATGGAGTTTCAGTCGGTTTTTTAAGTTTATAAGTAAAACTGTTTCTTAAAGCTATGCTAAATTATTTGAAATTAAATTTATTCATTCCTTATGTAATGCCTAAGAATTTAATAAGAACTATCAAAATCTTTATAATCAGAAATACTTTACATCTGATCAGATTTTTTAGTAATCATTTCTATCAAGAAAATATGAAAATTCCCACTTATCAGCTTACAATTCATATAATTATTTTCTTATAATAAATAAAAAACTTCCTTCTCATTCAAATTATATAAATGTTTATAACTAAATAATTTATTTTTAAGTTTCTCCTCTCCTTAAACTTTATTTTTCTGTTCTCCATATCCATTACTCCTTATAGCGCTTTTCAAAATTTCTTTATAACTTCCTAAAAGATCAGAAATTTTCTTGTAGTTTATTTTTATTTCTCCTCTACAAAATTGCCTAGCCTTTTTTTTGCATTCCTATTTTCTTTCCCTTTCCCTATAATTCATTCATATACCTTATCATTGAATTTCCTAATTTCTTTTTCAACTTCTCTCCTTTCCATTAGCAAATAAATCACTTGTTACCAAAACCAATGAATACAAAATTTAATATGAACACCAAAGCTTTAGAGTACCCTTTAACTCAGGAAAAAACTATTTATAGGTGGCCTTTCTGCCGAATTAAAAGAGCAAGATATTAAAGCCTACTTTGGCCGCTTCGGCCGAGTAGAAAAATGTTCATTAATTCTTGATAAAAATACGGGCCGATCCCGTTGTTTTGGTTTTGTAACTATGGCAAACCCAAGTTCAGTCCAAGTGATTTTGCATAGAAAGCATTTAATTTTAGGTAAAGAGGTTGAGTGCAAACCTGCTGTCCCAAAGGAAAAAAATGAAAAAGTGAATAGGAGTAGAAAAATTTTCGTAGGAGGTTTACTTCCAGAAGTAACAAATGATGAATTTTATGAGTATTTCGAACAATTTGGAGATATTGAAGATAGTGTAGTTATGAAAGATAGAGTCACTGGGAAGCCCAGAGGTTTTGGATTTATTACTTTTACAAAGCAAGATTCTGTTGAAAAAGTTATGAGAAATTATTCAAATAATTTTATTAGAGAGAGATGGGTTGAATGCAAAAGAGCAACCCCTAAGGAAGAAATGAACAATTCTTTGCCAGCTATCGAGAGCAATTTAAGCTCGCCAGAATTGCCTGAAGGAGAACTTAAAAGGTCGTGGTCAGATAGAAATAGCTGTGATACGGAAGAATTGTGTAGGAACCTGATTGACTATGTGCTTTCAGACGATGATAAAGAATAAATGGCAGCTTTGCCATTGTAGTAATAATTAATAAATGTATATTTATAAAATAATATTTTATACTTCTTATAGGAAAACAGACTTTAAGCTTTGAATACTTATTGGTGACTTAGCTATTTTGGTTAGATTCCGTACTAATTGGCTATTATTTTAATAAAAATAGAGCCAATGGTTGAATTTGATTTTCACCAAATAAACGATTTAAATTTAAATTAATAGATTTCAGATTAAAATAAATATGAGTTCATTTGATAATGCATGTTTCTATTTTCCCTTTTAATTAGAACAAAATATAAGTAAAATTTCGATTTTTTGGGTACATTAACCCCCTTTAAATTGAAACAAAATTTCATTTTTTCAATTTACAGTTTCCTGTAAATCACTAATTAAATAAAAAAATAGTTTTAAACTAATTTAATTAAGGAAACTCAAATATAATGTTCATTTAAGCAAGAGCTCCTATGGGATTAATATTTATATTAATTCTTCTTAAAATAAACGTATTCGTTTTATTTTTTTATGTTTATAAAATTTATTTAAAAATTTTAATTATGAAGAATTTTTTATATTACTTTTTTTTAAAAAAGAAATCTTTCAAATTGAATATAATTTTTTTCCAATTTAAAGAAGGGAGTGAAGTATTTTATATGATATTCAGTTAGTGAGTAATGCTATACTAAAAATAGTTTTATTATTATTGGATGTCTTAGAACATAATAAAGCTAAGAAAGTTATATCCTTATGTGCATTGAATATTTGACATTGAAAAAAAAATATAATAAAATAAATCACTAAAATTCTTAAAAAGGATGAGTAGAAAAAAATATATAAGAAATTATTTGCACAAAATAGAATAGGTCTTACAAAATACCTATTTTAAAGTTATCGAGAATAAGTTATATATTAAATTCTTCTAAGTGGGTCAGGAATTGAAGGCTTTGTAGGCTCTTTTATATCATCTTTTAGTTGCTTAAGAAGTTCTAACAAATACTTCATGGAAGAATCACTATAAGTTTCACTAATTGGAAATTACTTGTTAATTTGCTCTTGGACGATATCGATTGCTGAATTTATTTTTTCACTCGATGACATAGCTTTTGTAAGGGGGGCTGTTTGAATAATAGGCTTCGATTTCTGAGGAATTGGGTCTGAATGAATCGGTGAGCTTCCTGACTGCTGCCTTTTCGCGGCCAATGGGTCTGGAACCGAGAACTCTGGGGCTTTTTGGACAAGCGAAGGAGAAGCATCCCTTGCAATGGTTTTTGGAGCCTCTTCAGTTGGACTTTTAGCTTTAGGCTCAGGCGCTCTTATCATAGCTCTTGGAGGCTCAGGACTTCTTATAAGTCCTACAGGAGCGTTTCTTTTGCCTCCTTCAATTCTTTCTTTGTAAGATAGCCCCATATTAACAAGGACATGCACATCTTCAACAGGCGGAAACTTTAAAAGTCTTCTCAAAATTCCTGAGTAGTCACTTTGCAGTACTAAATAAAATTTACGAAAAGTTCTAACGAAAACAATCATAGCTACACATATATGATCCATCAATAAAATATCCTTATTATTCTCAATCGGCTGTACCAAAGATGCAAACAAAGAATCCCATACAACCAAAGTATCCGCCATATTAAACTCTCTTGTAAACATGCATCTCACCCATCTTTGTAGATACATTTGCGGCTCGATTTTCTGGCTTTCCATATGCTGATATAGCTCTCTATCAATAGACTGCAGCAGCCTATGATGGATTTTGTGGCACCTTTTTAGGACACTTGAAATATTTTCTTCATGACTTTTGTCGGTGTTGACCAAATCATTTCTTTCTTTTTCAGCGTCCCAGGAAAAAAGGTCATTTTTCTTGTTTGCTTTATTTTTGTGTGTAACCACAGGGTTAAACAGCTCTTTTATCCCTAAGTCCATGACTCTACTAAACATCCAAAACGAATCGGCTTCAATATATCGAGGGTCATTAAGAATGGATAAATACCTTGCTGCTTGTGGGCTGATTTCAGATGTTTCAGGAGCTCTTTCAGCATACGCCACAAAAAGGATGATGCCTAATATTTCGTTCATCCCTTGCTTGTAAGAAATATCAGAATTTTGCTTTGACCAGGTGAATAAAATGCTAGTTAACAATTGCTTAATTTCAGGCAACTGGAAAAGCAGCCTTTCTTGAAAAGTCCTGTCTACGTCTTGTCGAATTATGCCTTTTAATTCATTATCAACATGAAAATTATTCCAAGGATTCTAACTGCTTGAAAAATTACCTCAGTTGCCGAAGACAAAGGGTTGAAAATTAAAGGATCGAGATTGTTGGTCTTTACTGACTATGTAAAGCTTACGCATTGGGATTCTTGGAGTTTTCTATAGTCCTCTCTGAGCTTGGTACAAATTTCGACTCACTCGTCGAGGGATTTATTTTCAGGTAGAAGGCCTAAGAATATTCTTCATGAAACAAAGCGATTATGCAAAGGCAGCAGATGACCGCTTAATGCTAATTGTCGGAGCTGGGAATAGTTCTCTCTCCTATAAAAAGTTGATTCAAAATATTGAGGGTTCAACAATAAATCAGGAGGAACCAACTCTTCACCCATGTTCGACATTTTAATTAAAAACTTATTATTAGTTTCAATAATTATATAGGGATATCTCCAGAAGGCTTTATAAAAGCCATTGCACTTGAAAAACTTTTTTTTAATGGCGATCTTCTAAGCGCTTTCTTCAAATTTGTAATGGAATCTTTATGAGTATTCCTTAATGTTTCTTTTATTAAAGTTTTTATTTCTTCGTAAGAAGATTCTGGAAGCGGTTTATTTAATGGATTGATGGTTTCTTGCAATTCCATATATCGGTCTGCCCAGGAACCTAATAATGTATTAAGCCTGATTACTTCTGATTGTTTTCTTAATAACTCAGATTCACAATTTTCTTTAAGCTCTACAAAGAACTTTCTCCATCGCTCGCGCTCTTCTCTCTGAGCCTTGAAAATGTCCTTTTCGAATTCATTAAGCATTTTCTGGTAGGTTTCTGACTGTTCAGTCAAAATTTCATTTGTTTTTTTAAGCTCAAGGTTATAAAGCCTTTGGAGCTCAAGGCTTGTTTCTATACTATTATATTTTATTTGGAAACTGAAGCTGTCATTTTTGTCACAGAATAAGTCATCTCTTGATTTTGTAGTTTCTGATTCACAAGACTCAGTGAATTTTGGAGTCGAAATAGCAGTAAATCTTCTTTTTTGAGTAGTGTTAATGGGCGTAAAGCTCCGAAGCATTTGCGATTTAGGAACAAAAATAGGATCTCGGCTTGCTAGCTTTGGTTTCTCTGGGTTCACTTGCTCATAGAGTTTCAGCATATGCTTATGGGAATCGTGCAAAATATCAATCATTTTTTCCAGTCCATCTATTTGCTCTTTTTGATGCTTTATCATTATTTTTTTAAGGCTGTATTTATCAGCTAGTAGTCTGAATTTTCAGTCTAATCCGTGGATTCCTCGGACCAAATTTGAGTTAATCACACTTGCATGAAAAAGCTGATTTTTCAAGTGAAAAATTGAAATATTTCTATTCAACTCACCATTAAATTCTATAGCTCTTTTAATCTCATCAGTGTACACATCTGAGGCGCTTCTCCAGCCGTCAAAATTTATTGAAAATGTGCTTGATATTAATTCAATATTTTCAGTTCGACAGATTTCTAGCTCACTTGCTTCATAATCTGCCATCACTGGTGTATTGCATTGCATCACACTTTTCTCAGACAATTCATCAAATTCCACTTGTGTAACGAGCCTAGGATTTGCCAATTTTTCATTTACTTCTTTAAATTTTCTATTAACCTCATCCAAGGCTTTTGTAAATTTACTGACCTGCAGTGCTAATCTTTCATTTTCCTCTTGAATTAGCTTCAATCCATTATTTTCTTTGCTGCTTCCTAACATTAATTTATGATATTTTTCATAAAACTCATGAGCTTTTTGCTCATTTTGCAGCTGTTTTGTTTTTGCTGAAGCTAATTTTCCTTCTAATTCTGTTATTTTTTCTCTTAATTCGTTGTTTTCTCTCTTAAGGAATTTATTTTTCTTTTTGTATTTTTCTAGTTTCCTGTCATATTTCTCTCCATCTCTAACGATTTCTGGAGATAATGATAGAGGAAATGAAGAATCCAGCTGCCTATCAGCTTCTAGCTGGAAAGATCCAGTTAAATATTCAGGCTCAAACGCTATAAATGGAGATTTTTTTATATCAAGCTGAGAATCCTCGTATAGGGATAGTCTAGAATTGTCAACGGAGTTTTTGGGGGTTACAGTTTCTGAAAGGATTATTGTTTTAGAATGGGAAAGGCCACGCAAAATAGGATCTTTTAGAAGAGGAGATAGCGAAGTGATGCTTTGAGAATCACCTGTGTAAGCTGTAGAATCTCTTTCAGAGCGTAAAAGATTTATTTCGCTGCGAGCTTCAGCCAATTCTGCCTTTAATTTTTCAATCATTTTTATATAGCTCTCTGGAGAATTTTTTATGTTTACTGTAGCTTTATTTTTTATTTTTTAGCTCGCAACGCAAATTTAAAGTGTTTAGTGTTTCTTCCATTGCACGAGGCGATGGCGAACAAGCCACAATTAAGGTTGTTTTATAGTTTCCACCTAGAGATTCTTGTAACAGTCTTGTCAGTTTAGAATCACGGTATGGTATATGATCGGAATAAGAAATCAAAGCATGAATAACATTTCCAAGCGCGGAGAGTGATAAATTAATTTTTTTAGCTTCCTCAAGCTTATTTCCTGTCACTCCAGAATTATTAACTTTTTCGCTTCCAGCCAAGTCGACCAAATTTAATTTTCCTTTCTTTTCACTATCGTTCGGTAATTTCTGATTGACTTCTAAAGTAAATAATAAATGCGACCTTGATGATGTTTTATTTAGCTTTGTTGATGCAACAGTTCTTAGTTGCTGTCCTAATGCCAACACCTCAAGCATATCGTTTTCATTAGTTACACAAACTTCGCTGAGGCCCTGAACATGAATTCCTTTTCTAGGACATTGCTTTATTTTAAGTTTTACAGGGTCATCTACTAATAAATCTCTAACTTCCACTTATAGCAACCAAAAAAAATTATCTCATATGGAGGTGGTTTAATCTTTTTTTCGTATTTACAAAATTGGAAATCAAAAATTAGAATTATTTTTTAATTTAAATTTTAACAGAATTTTTTAGATATCACTTTATACTAAATATCACTAATATATCAAAATATTTTTTAATAAAATTTTTTTTACTCACAGAGGTTGAGTTTTTTACCCAAAAATAGAAATTTTCCGATGGTTTGTTTGCTCTAAAGAGAGGGTAAGAGTTTCTTTATATATTTCAAGCATCGAACATTTTAAGGTATATTCAATTTCTCCATAATCTGAATGAGCAGCTTCAAAAATTTGCGCAGCAGCCCTGGGAATTATTCCTTTATGCTCTTCTTCAAAAATGTTTTTTCCCATCATAGTATGAGTTTTGCCACTTCCAGTTTGCCCGTATGCAAATATTGTGCCATTATAGCCATTTAGTACATCTTCAATAACAGGTTTACCTACAGTTTCATATATATCTGACTGTTTCGCATCAGGATCAAAAATATGGTCAAGTGTAAAAGTCTCAAACCCAGGGCCAGCTGCCAAGGAGTTTTCTGATAAAAATGTTACTAAACTGTGATTATCACTGCAAGCTTGATTTTCTTCTCCCATTTCATAGTCAATCAAAGGACGAAATCTTGCTATCACTTTTATATTATTATGCCTTGATGTCTTGGCTTTCAGATTAGAAGCAAAATCTGGGTCTGCTAACGTAGTTTTTGAACGAACCCCACTGCGTCGCTTCATGATCTTAAAATTTATATATTTTAATTCTATGGATATTAACTAAATTTTTGGTCTAGGGATTAATCTCAACTCATCTAAAATAATCATTGGGCGAGATATGCTATCGGTGAATGACGATGGATAGTCGTAAGGCCCTTCAAAATTTTGGATAGATTTTCATTTTGTTTTTAAGGCCTCTGGTGAAATATTACTTTTCAAAAATACCCCTTTTGCCCTCTCAATACGGAGTTTTGATATAAATCCCCCTCCAGCTTCATAGATTCCACCATTTTCTTTGCATAAATCATGTAAAAGCACCAATATAAGTGGGATTACATTTTCTGGTATCAACTTGGGACTTTCTTGGGATATCAGAGGGAGAATTGTGTTACATTTTATATTGAATTTCTCTCCTTCTCGGGCTGCAACTTGTGTAAGCCCATGCAAACCAATTTTTGAAGCAGAGAGACCAATTTTTTTATATTCTCCAAAAAAGCCAATATGACTAGAAACATTTACAATTCTTCCAAATTTTTGAGCTCGCATGTGATTCCATGCTGATTTTATCAGTTTAAAAGGGCTTGTAAGATTAAGTTTAATAAAATTTTCTCAGTCTGCGTCACTAGTTTCTGTGATTTCGTTTTCACTGCAATCCTCAATGTTATTGATAAGTAAATCAATTTTTCCATATGTGTCTAAAGCTTGCCTGATAATTCCCTCAGAATTTTCCAGAGGAATAAAGCTTGAAACAGCCTCTCCTTCAGCATTTTTGATTTGGTTGATTACGTCATCAAGCTCTCCAGCATGCTTTTGATCATTGAGAACAATTTGTGCTCCTCTTTTAGCTAGCTCTATTGCTAATTTTTTGCTTAGTTCTGATGATCCACCTGTTATAACAGCAACTTTATTGTCAAATTTTAGCCCAGGATTTTTTTGACTCATAATTAAAAAATGAGATATAAACAAAACATCATTGATTTTTCATGGTTTAGCATTGCTGATTTTACATTATTAAAATTACTCAAATTTTATTATTTTAAAGGTCATCAGTGGAACTAAAGATTAAATCATGGATTTTAGAGAAAGTCTTTGAATATGGCTCAACAGACTGATCGCAGACTATATGAGGATAAGTTTTATTCCTGAGAAAATCATCTAAGTCAACTGGGAAAGGATCATCTAGCTGCACAGCAATCAATTGAACATCTTTATCAGCGATTTCATCAAGGTCTAATAAAACTGCAGACCCTCCTTTTTCGGATATCGACTTTACAAATAACACAATATATTTTTCATTAGAATCATTCCCAAACATTCTATATCCTCTCATTATCACATCATATATATAATCTCTCTGCGTATCATACTGCGCTCTTACAAATAAGTGGTCAATATCCATTGAAGGAAAATCACGTTCAATTATGTCTAAGACTCTGTTCTCATGCATGCTCATCAGCATTGCTCCGATTTTTTGATTTTCTGGCTCGATTTCTTTGCCTATCCATTTAACGATTTCTTGGTTTATGGTTTTCAGTAAAGAAACATCGTAATAAAACACAAATAAAATCGATCTTTTCTTAATCTGCTGAGCTTTATATATCTGCTTCAGCTCTCTGCATTGGTTTAGCATGCCAAATTTATTGATTAGTCCATACATTTCACGAATCGCTGCTCTTCTGATTGCTGGGTCATATACAGTCCCTTTTTCCTAACTCCCCCCCCCCCCTCCGTGAGCGAACAAAACCATTAGAAAAATCGGCATTTTTTGACCAAAAACCCACCCTCCGTGAGTGAACAAAAATTTTTTTAATAGAAAAAATTTTAATGGAAAAAAATTTTGATATATAAGTGATAATTAGTATAATGAAATCTAGAGCTAATTCTGTTTAATTTTAAACAAATTGCGTTTTAAAACATAAATTTTTGCAAATTAAATTAATATTTGCTTCCCAATTTTTGCAAATTAGGATTTTTTTTTAAATTTCGAAAAAAAATATTTTTATATAAATTTTATATATAAATTTTTTTAAAAAAAAAAAATTAAACCCCCCCTCCGTGAGCGAACAAAAATTTTTTTGTTCGCTCACGGAGGGGGGGGGGGGGGAGTAAATATTTTTTACGATAGCTTGGGTGAAGGCATAGGCTGCTTCCGTGTATTTATCGTTTTCTTTCATAATTATAGCAGTTCTATAGAATAATTGTTGCCATAAGATGTCTTTTTCGTGAGACAGCCCTGAGACATTGAAGTGGATCATCTTTCCATCACCTTGGTCTTTAGTAAAAATTCCAATCCTTCTTAGTCTAATGGTGTCAATATCCGCTTCAGCACTAATTCCACTGTCAAGTCTTCAAAGAGTCTCATTAATCAGGTCAAGAAGTTCAGTTGCAGAGTGGTAATATTGCAGATTTTGGAAAACATAGGACATGTCGATAAGTAACTTCAAGACAATTTCATATCTTGTAGCAGTTGCTATATAATAATCAAGAGCTCTAGTCATCAACTCTAATAACTCTTTTCAATCTGCCCTTAATTCTACTACGGGAGCTGATTCCTCTTCTAGGTATGCCATTTTCGCCATGCAAAGCTGCATTAACCTTTGCGTTATATCGCCTCTTAAAAACTCTTTTTCTGGCTCCCATCCTGAGTAGTTTTTTCCTATGTCCAGCTGCAACTTTGCCCTCTCTTCTGGTGTCAAACTTTTTTCGTCCTCTTCTTGTTTCTCTACTTTTTTCAGTAAATCTTCCATACTTTTCAATGACTTTGAGTAAGCATTAATAGCTTGCAAGTAATTTTTCTTCTGGAAATAATCATTTCCCAGCAGATTATTTGTGATTGCATAGCCACGTCTGTTTTCAGTCATTTTGAAAAACTTCCTAGCAGCTTTAAGGTTTTGAATGCGTATTTCAAGCCTAGGGTGTAGCAAAAACCGTGGATAAATGAATGCTTCTTGCACTTGAACCATCCTCAAGTATTTAAAAATCACATTGGTTTCTGCATTATAGTTTTTGGATATAGAATTCAATGATAAAGTACCTTTAAGGCAGGATTCCATCAGCTGCATAGGCTCAAGCAGCCTATGAGTGATAGAAAAAGCTAGCATAATCGCACATAAGATGGTTACAAGTAAGAAAATAAAGAAAATTATGAGCATAATGACAATGATTATCAATAAATCATGAGTCATATCATTATAATCATTCAGCACAGCTGCCCTTGAGATGTAAACCCCGACAGCTAAATTTTTTTCATCAGAATCTCTACCAGTTGCTATATCTAGTGGTGCATATCCCATTAGTTTATCACTGCTAGAGCTTGAAATTTCTTGACTTCCTGTTGAGTAGTTCTTCATTTCTGGAATTATATCGTCTTGGACTTTTTGAGCAAGCTCAGGATCATCAGGAAATAGAGCATTCCACACGTCTTTTCCTTCGAAATCCTTATAGCTATTCTGGTCAATCGCTAGCACCCATAACCCCTCATAGTGGGTCAAAAAATATGTATAGTCGGAGTAAAGGTTCATATATGTGAAGAATGCGTCATTTGGAGAGTATTGCGCGATAGCTCCTATAGAATATTTTCTGAAAATATTTAAGTAGGTATACTCAAAATAAACCATTAAGTTTTTCACTACAGAGTCGCCTGCAGAAAGAAGCGCTGCATAAGTTTCAGTGCATCTGGGGTCCATAATTACATTCTGTTTAGCACAAGTTTCAGTAAAATTATAAAGTTGGTTTACATAAGTCATGTTTTCTAACGGATACCGAAAGTCAATAGCATCCCTGTCAATTATGGTTCCAATCTGGTGGATATCATCAGTATTATTATATATAACTCTTGCTAGCATATCCACAAACATAGTAGAATAATAATAAGTCGCAGAGTTGTCTAGGGTCGTTGATGTGCTTGCAGCATATCACTCAGACTTCTTCAGCTGAGGGTAACCTGGCTAATTTTTACTCGTTTCAGTATCTGTACGTGCGTTGACATAGGAAGGGATCGTCATTTGGCTTGATAGCGTAATTGAGTTATTTTCAACGCTTGTCTTAACTTCGCTTAAAAATTCTAATTCTTGGGCAATCTAAATAAAATTCACATTAGAAAGATAAGAACTGAGGGTCTGAGCTCTGGCTGAGGCCACTCGTTGAAGATGCTGAAGTTCTTGGTCAATTAAATATGTTTTTGCATCTTTTGTTCAATTGAGGTATTCGGAAAAAAGAAAAATAAGACAGATGATTACTGCGATTATTATCCCAGCCAAAAGAGGGCCAATTGTGACAATTTGAAGCTTTCGACCAACTTTGGGAGGGGTAACATCTTCTTCAGGGGGCGCCTGAGCACAAATGTCAGTGAAAAGACGGAAGGTTGGAACATCCTTTGTTGTAGGGAGGTTATCTTTTGAAGTATCAGCAGACATTTATTAGAGCAATGCAGTTATTTTAAGAAACGAAACTAATAAAATTATAATTTATATTAGCGCATCACATAAATGGTGTTTTTTCAAGAAAGGTGAGTCAAATCTTATATTAACTAAAGGCTGAATACTTTACTGCTGATTCTATATTGATATATATTTAAAGTTATGAATCATTTTATTAGTATATTAATCTGCAAATCTCTTTAAAATTAAGAGTTTTATAAATTGATAAAAGCAATATTGAATATTTTTGTTTTGTTTAAGACTAAAAATTGATATATAAAATGTCAAGACTTGTATCCCTATTCCAAAAATTCAATTTTATAGGAAGCTCAGTCAATGAGCCGGACGATGACAGAGATTCTATACCTGTTTACACTATTAAAGAATGTAAAAGTTAAATAGCTTTGCCTCAAGGCACGCATCTTATTTCTGATAGAATTTTAATAATTCCATTCCCAGACCTCCATCAGCGAGCTTCAATTTCTGCTTATTTGAACACCTTTCATGGAAAGAAATACATGATATGAAATATAAGTGACAAAATTTATGACACGAGCCATTTTGGTGGCCAAGTTCTTGATTTTGTGTTCCCAGGCTTTCCAAATCCTCCTTTACAAGTGATTTTTTCAATAATCAACTCCATGAACGCATGACTAAATACAGATGAAGAAAATATCATCATAATTCATGGACAAAACAATAAATCCAGAAGTATCATGCTCGCTGCTTGCTTGCTCTCATGAAAGCATGAAAATATTTCTCCAATTCAAGGAATTTCAGAAATCTGTCATAAAATAAACGAAAACGAAAAAATTATATCCCCTTCACAGGTAAGATATTTATCTTATTATCATCGAATTCTATTGGGAGAAAGAGTAATTTTAATATAGCCAGTCACATCAAAGCTGCATTTACATAGGATTATTTTGAATAATATTCCATCAATTGAAGCAGGTGGTATAAAACCTATCATAAAAATATTTCAAAATAAAGGCTTACTCCCCCCCCCCTCCGTGAGCGAACAAAACCATTAGAAAAATCGGCATTTTTTTGACCAAAAACCCACCCTCCGTGAGTGAACAAAAATTTTTTTAATAGAAAAAATTTTAATGGAAAAAAATTTTGATATATAAGTGATAATTAGTATAATGAAATCTAGAGCTAATTCTGTTTAATTTTAAACAAATTGCGTTTTAAAACATAAATTTTGCAAATTAAATTAATATTTGCTTCCCAATTTTTGCAAATTAGGATTTTTTTAAATTTCGAAAAAAATATTTTTTATAAAATTTATATATAAATTTTTTTTAAAAAAAAAAATTAACCCCCCTCCGTGAGCGAACAAAATTTTTTTGTTCGCTCACGGAGGGGGGGGGGGGAGTTAGCATATTCAAGCGACTCTGATAATTTGCAATTTTTCCCATCTGAAAACCTTTTCATTTCTTTTGATTTAGATGTAGAAATAGAAGGAGACGTACTAATTGTTTGTAAGCATTTAACTGAAGCTAATAAATTGCTCACAACCTTCAAAGTGATGCTCCATACTGCTTTTGCAAACCAAAACGTGCTGCATATCATTAGAAATGAAATCGATTTGGCTTGTAATGACGAAAAATATAGTGATTATTTCGCAATGGATTTATTTTTTGATAGAATTGAAGAAGTTGGGGTAGAAAAAAGCAACCATCTTTGGGTTAGCGTAGAAAGGTCTAGAGGAATTATAAGGGAAGATGCGGTAGAAGATAAAGGTGAGATGGATTTTATGAATAAGTTCAGTATTGGGGATATTGATGAAGATAGCTATGAAACTTTATAGAATAGCAAATGGGAAAAATAATTAATTCGGTTAAAGTGGCCAGCAAAAAATTATTTAATGCCAGTTAATTATAGGATATTTACATCTAGGCTATTTACATCTTGATGTACCGTAGAGGAAACTAGTTGAAATATATATTTAGTGCTTGAAGTAGCTTTTCAGTCTTTTTTTCTTCATCAATTTCTGCCTCTTCAAATCAATTTTGAAGATTCGTATTTTTCTTTTGATCGTTGCTTACGATTTTGGTAATTCAATTCAACTTTTGGATTTTCACTGATTTTTGATTTCCTTCGCCTGAATCTTTATTATTTTTTGAATCTGAAGGCTGTTGCTCTTTTTCCCATGTAGGGATGGCTGTTTTGCTTGGTGAAGCGGGAAGGCTTCATTTAGCTAGATTTGCTTGAATGCTCCTGATCTGATAAATCTTTTTCGAGCTTGAATTGGCTTTTTTCATCAAATCAAGTTCTAGATTATCATCCCTTAAATTAAACGATTTCAACCTCCTAACTTTGTTGCCATTTTCATTGTTGGCAGGATTAGGGCTTGCCGGGGGTATCTCTGCTCAATTGAAGTGGTGTGACTTCGTTTTCCTGATTTTTATTGTAACAGGGCTTTTATCGAGTTGCAGATCTAAGCTTGTGCCTGAGTTAAGGTTACGATGGAATGGGATCTTTCTATTTACAGCTTTTATTTGTGGGTACTTATGATTGCTATCCTGAACCTGGAGATTTTTTTGCATGATGTATTAATATGTGGTTATAATAGCTATATTTTACTATATGGAAATAATTATGTCTAAACTTTAATTGTTGAAAGCCCTATTAAATAGTTGCTTACAAGATTAGATTCTTCCAGAAAAGCTACTCATAAATGTAGGCCCTGAAACATGCTCTCATATTTTAGAGCTTTTGAAATTTTTGTAAACTAGTTTACTGCTAAAGGAAGCTTTTTGTTGAATCGGATTTTCAGCCTTAAGTTGTATAATATAAAACTTATTTAATTAAAGTTTTTCTCTGGACAAAAGATTATAATAAAACAGCTTATGGTATAGCTAATCAAATTTTTGCGAACGGTTATAAGAAATGTCTTTAATATTTTATAATTTAGCTATATTCTTGAATTTGGATTCATCCTAATTCATTTTCTCCGTGAATTCCTTTAGCAGCGACTTTTCTTAAAAAGGCTATCTCTATCTACATGTCAATTTGGCAAATTTGATTCCTTAGGACAATTTTAAAATTGAAGCAAAGTGATTTACAAAAAATAATTGTTAGCTCAAGAAGCATTTTAAAATGCTTATCCTTTAATACCTGAATTATTATATCCTTATTTTCAATGAGAATTAAATTGTTCATGCTCTTTAAGGACTTGGCAATGAGATTATAAGTTAATCAGCATTGATGAGACTGCATTCCGTTTAAGAATTAAACAAATAGCTGATATTTGAAATCTAAATAGCCTTAATTGAAGTATTTTCAGATTAGATCCTTGCTAAAAGTTCTGATATTGCACCTAATTTTTTTTCAATTAGAGAAAAAAGCCTAAAGACAAGGACTTTCTTAATAAACTATCTTTTCATAAAATGGTTGACGTTGAAGAAAATTTGAGCCTGATCTTGTACTTGTTACAAGAAGAGTCTTAAAAAGTTATCGATATACACAAGAATTATTAGAAGATTTAAATAAAGCCAAAAAAGTTAGAGGAATTATTTTATACGGTAGTGGATTAAACTACATTTCTTTAACTCCCCCCCTCCGTGAGTGAACAAAAAAATTTTGTTCACTCACGGAGGGGGGTTAATTTTTTTTTTTTAAACAAATTTATATATAAATTTTATAGAAAAAACAATTTTTCGAAATTTAAAAAAATCCTAATTGCAAAAAATGGGAAGCAAATATTAATTTAATTTATAAAATTTATGTTTTAAAACGCAATTTGTTTACAATTAAACAGAATTAGCTCGAGACTTCATTATACTAATTATCACTTATATATCAATTTTTTTTTTCATAAAAAATAGTTTCTATTAAAAAAATTTTTGTTCACTCACGGAGGGTGGGTTTTTGGGCAAAAAATAGCGATTTTTCTAATGGTTTTTGTGCACTCACGGAGGGGGGGAGTAAGTAAAACAATCCTTGATTTGTTGGAGGTTGTTATAATAAAAGCACATGACTGTAAAGATATTATTAAAAATTCATTAGAAGAAACAGAAAGAAGTGTTCAAGAAATTTTTAGAAATGCAGTAAATGATGAAAGAGAAAGTGGGGAAGAAGGATATTTACACATAGTTGTACTCGCGAATTTTGACACTATTTTTGGAGTTTATGAAGAGGCATCTCAACATAAAGAAATAGTAAAGAAATATATTATGGATCTGGTAGATGGCGAAAGTCGATTGAATAATATTTTAATCATTGGAATAGCTGATAAATTAGAAAATATCGAAAATGATAATTTAAGGGCAGGAAGATTTGAAGTGCAGATTGAATCTGGAGTATAATAGAAAAACATAAACCATTATGCTATATTCAAAGAGATTTTTATTTTCTATTATATTTGATCAGTATTCTATTATCCATTTTATAATTTTATAATATAAATATCTTTCTATGACCTTACTGGTCACACGTTCCTATCCTTTATAGTCTCAATTAAAATTCCTTTGCCATTTTATTCTTTTTATAAAAGGTATTTCAATGAGTTCCAAGACTACCAATAAGAAAGGCAAGGCATCATTCCTTGAAAAGCAAAAGAAGAAAAATGCAGCAAAAGCTGAGGAAGACCCTAGCAAAGAAGAAGCCAAATCTGCAGGAAAAGACCAGACAAATATCCTAGAAGATGTAGAATTTACGAACTCTGTTGAAATACCTTCAGAAGAAGCTAAAAAAGAGGAGCCAAGCGAGTCTGCCGAAAGTGTGGATAAATCTGAAGATTCATCCAGTATCGAGGTTCTAAAATCTTCTGAGCAAGAAAGTTTACAAGTTTCAGAAGAGATCAAGCAGGATGAGAGTAGCGAAAAAGCTATTGAAGAGGACAAAGTGCAAGAAAATATAAAAGAAAATGAGGAGACACAGCAAGAAATAAAAGTTGAAGAGAAGAGCGAGGAAGCTAAGGCAGAGAGTCAACAAGAGGAGGAAAAGCAAGAAGTTGAGGACAAAGAAGTAGAGCAACAAGAGGAAAGCAAAGAAAAGAAGGAAGCGGCCACTGAAGAGAAGCAAGAAGAGCAACCCCAAGAAAGCCAACCCGAGCATCAAGAAAGCCAGCCTGAGCATCAAGCAAGCCAGCCTGAACATCAAGAAAGCCAGCCTGAGCATCAAGCAAGCCAGCCTGAACATCAAGAAAGCCAGCCTGAGCATCAAGAAAGCCAGCCTAAGCATCAAGCAAGCCAGCCTGAACATCAAGCAAGCCAGCCTGAACATCAAGAAAGCCAGCCTGAACATCAAGAAATCCAGCCTGAACATCAAGAAAGCCAGCCTAAAAATCAAAAAAGCCAGCCTGAACATCAAGAAAACCAGCCTGAGCAACGCCAAGCTCCCCAGCAAGAAAAAGCTGATGAACCTCAAGAACGGCCAGAGCAGGAAGTAAAGGCTGATTTCGAGGAAGAAAAAGTTGAGTTTGATGGTGCAATTCTCATAGAAGGAGCAGAAGTCGAAGAAAATTCTGGCAAACAAATGGTCATTGTAGAAGAGGAAGAAGATTCTATCATAGGTGCAGAAACAATTGAACCTGAGTCCCAAATCGCAGCTGAGCGTCAAGCTGCACATGAAGAATCCAAAGAAACAAAAGAATTAGTTCTACAAATTCATGAAATCAAGCCTCTCAAAAAGCCTAAAATTGAATCTAAGGTTGTATCTGGAGTAACTATTGCAATTGGAGCATTAGCAGTTCTGATCGGTCTTGGAATCTATTTTATTCGAGGTAAAAAATAAATAATTCCTTACATATCTTACAGAAATAAAATGGTGAAGTTGACGGTAGACGACTCTGAGGCGCACTCCCTATGGGACCATTTCGATAAAGCTGAGTGCAGTGCATAAGTCACTTTCAAGTATGCAACTTAGTTTTTGTCAATGGCATCAGTAAGAGGTGGCTCTAATCTTAGGAGCTAATCCATAGATTATGTGGGTCTATGCTAGATAGTCAGGGTAGTGATTATTCGCTTATAGCCTTTTTATACTTAAACTTAACTTAAATTGCATAGCTTACACATAGTTATATCAAATAATAATTCGTAAAGTGCCTATTCCATTCCTTTTTCTTTCTCCCATTCTATGATGCACCTATTGTTGCTCATATTATTTTTGATAAAATTTAGCATGAGTTTTTAGTTTTACAAGTTCATGAACTTAGATGAATAAAATAAATATATTAGAGTTCGATAAAAATAAATATTAATTTATATCAATAAGTTTTAATCTGTTCATGCAGAGTATTGATTGCTCACTTGTACTATTATTTGACACTCAAAAACTGAGCTAAAGTTAAAGTGAAAGTTGAAATTATATGATCACAAGCGGATAGACCAGTAGCCTGTTTATCTGGTATAAATCCACCTAACCCATCTGACAGGGACAAGGAAAACTTCAGGGAGAAACAAAACTTCCCTCTTCTGCAGGCATCCCTACCCGAAGGACAGGGCACTATCTTCAGTACCATCTGGATAGGTGCTACCTGCTCCATAGGAGTGTGTCTCGGAGTCCATTTTCCGTCTAGGTCACCATTTTATTTCTAAATTGAGCTAGGAATTTATAAAAAATTACAAAAAATTACAAAAAATTCTGACTTATAATAAAATGAGCGACATAGATCTCCCTTGCATTGATTATCAAAAAGTGAACTCTTGGATAAAAGGTGAAGAAGATGATGGCGTGCAGCGCGAAAACAATTTTCCAGAGCCAGGAAGTGAGTGGTTTGTCATAAGCATGAAATGGCTCAAAAAATGAAAAATTTTAGCGGGAATCGATCAAGGATTTTTAGATAGTGAAAATATTGGCCCAGTTGATAGTTCTGACATTATCATTGATAATAATGATATATGAAAAGAAGATAACGAATTTTTTATTAAATCTGGACTCCTACTAGGAGATTATTTAATTATAGCGGGTTCCTATGGTTTATTACAGCCCCTGTCGCTTCGCGAGTTAGCTTTCACGCTTAGGTGACGCCTAGACACTAACTCCAACTCACGCTCTTTTCTCGTCCTCAGATAGTCTATCAGAGAGGCTCACCCGTTTAGGTCTTGATTCTAGCCAGTGATTAAAGACCCATCAGCAGAGATTAATGTACCTGAATCACCTAAAATCTTCTTCTTGGCCTGCCATAGATTGCCTCCCAAGAAGTACGGAAGAATGTTGTACCTCGGTCTGTTGTCATTGTGCCGAGGAAAAAAGGTTTAGCACCAAAATCACACCCTTAAAGCTATCACCAATAGGATTCATCTTTCTCGGACCTGGATTAACTTGCACTCTCCATTTTAATAATTCTTCTATTAGGAGAAGATTACGAAATTGTCCCTCCAAAGGCATGGAGCTATTTTATTACCACTTTTGGAGCAAATCAGACTATAAAAAGATATAGCGTTCAATTTTCTGAGGATAACACTCAAGTAGAAATTACTTACAAGCCGTTAAAAGTTTTCTATATAATGAGAAGTGAGCTGAAAACAGAAAACCCCGTAATTGTTTATGTCCCGCATAAAAGTGAAATTGGAGACATTATGACGAAGCTGAGAAGTCTTTATAAAACGAAGAATAATCAGCATGTTGATAAAAATTATATAAGATTATGGCATTTGGACCCTAAAATCTCAATAGAGCAATTTAAAGAAAATATAAAAAAATCGACAAAAATTTTTCCTGGGAAGTTCTTAAAGGAAAAACTAATGCTTGAAGATGCAGAAGTTGCAGACGATGATGTAATTGCTGCTGAGCTTAAAAGCAGCTATATTACATGATCATTCAATAACCCGAATGATACAGATGTCTGCAAATATTGTAGCAAAGCCATTTCTAAGTATATAAAATGCTCATGTGGAAGGTTCAAATACTGTGATAGCACTTGCATAGAGAATGATAGAATTAGCCATAGATGTAGCGACAGAAACTCTTATAGTGAGTCTGATGCGAGGTTTTTATCACCGTCTCCAAGCAGCCGCAATGGGATTGCTGGTCTTCAAAACTTAGGAAACACTTGCTTTATGAACTCTGGGCTACAATGTATGTCAAATACCTACCCAATTTCACAATATCTATTGAATGATGATTTTCTAGAAGATATTAATTATGAAAACCCTTTAGGAACTCAAGGGCAGATTGTAAAAGAGTATGCTTATCTTATCAGAGAATTGTGGTATGGTTCAAACACATATGTTTCTCCATGAAAGTTCAAGAGAGCACTGGCGAAGTTTGCGCCCCAGTTTTCAGGGTTTCATCAGCAGGACTCACAAGAAATGCTATCATTTTTATTAGATGGTTTGCATGAAGATTTAAATAGAGTAAAAAAGAAGCCTTATGTGTCACAAATTGATATTGCTGGACTTACTGATCAAGACGCAGCTAAAGCTTTTTGAAATGTTCATACACAGAGGAATCAAAGCATTATTATTGATTTGATGTATGGGCAGTATCGATCAGAAGTAGAGTGTCCTGAATGCCATAATGTATCACTAGCTTTTGACCCATTTTTAATGCTTGCATTGCCAATTCCTTCAAAAGAGCAAGTATCCCTTGATGTTTACTATGTCTCATATTCTGAAGACAAAACCCCTCTGAAAATCAAAATTTTAGTCAATAAAAATTACAATTGAAAAACTGTAAACGAAGAAATCGCAAAAATAATTCAAACGCAAAATTCCATCATTTTTGGAATTGTTTCTGGGCAGTCATTGGAAAAACTAGGAAATTTAGAAAAAATCGAAAATAATAAAATGCTTTTTGCTTACTTCCCTATTAATTTTATAAAACTATTTGATTGTCCAGTCAAAATATATATATGTGTGTTTATAAGCATATTATTTTTAAAAAATTTATAGATTCAAGCCACTCTCTTTATTAAATAGCATTTTTCGTGCATCCCTCATTTAAAATAGAAACAAATATAGGTAATTTTTTATTTTTGTGCATTCAATTAGGTATCAAAGTTATTTACATATAGATTATTATTTTTATCCACAATTTTCATCCAATTTAATGGGATTAATTTGCCAAAAAAATGAACATTCACCAATATCTTTCAAATTTCACAGTAGATAGTTACGAAATTCCTGATGCAGGCTCAGATGAGGCCTTCATTATTTTGGAATTTGTAAAAGAAAGTTCGAACTATATGTATCCACAGGGTGAAACAGCTGGATATCCTCGGCTATTTAAAGTGTCAAAAAATGCTACTTTACAACAAATTCATTACTTTATTTATCTATATGTAATGTGGCTATTTGGAGAAGACTCAAAAAGCAGTAATGATTTTCAAAATTCTTTTCCTTTGCTATTTCCTAGTATTTACACTTTGAAGTTAGTAAACCCTAACAAAAAGCGATATACATACTATTCTTCGTTTTCTTCAGCTTGCCCTTATTGCCACGATCAAAAATGCATGAATTGTAAATTACCTTATGACGAAGAAACTTTGCAAGACTACCTTAATAAATTTCCAGATGGAAATTTAAAGCTTGAGCTCAATTTTTCATCAAATTATAATAGTCAAATGTTGAAAAAGTTAAAAGAGGCAAATCTTCATGAAAAATACCAAGAAACAGCTCAAAGGCATCAGGATCAAAAAGAAGCTTCTATTACATTAGATGATTGCTTAAATTTATTTTCTACCAGAGAGCAATTAGATGAACACAATAATTCTTGATGTTCAAAATGCAAGGAGCATGTTAGAGGGATCAAGAAAATGGATATTTTTAAGCTGCCAAAAATTTTGATTATTCATTTGAAGAGATTCAAACAGGTTGGACATTATAATTCAAAAAATAGCAAAAAAGTTGAATTTCCGATGGAAGAACTAGACATGGGAAAGTATGCATTGGCGGATACAGGAATTTATGATCTTTATGCTGTTTCTAATCACTACGGTGCATTGGGTGGTGGCCATTATACAGCTTATTGCAGAAATTATTTTGACAAAAAATGATATCACTTTGATGATAACTCTGTAAGTACCGTCAGAGATCCACAAACCAAGATTATTGATTCAGCAGCATATGTGCTATTTTATATGAAAAGAGATTAAAAATGCATAAAATAAATATCAATCTGTCACATAAATAATAAGGTTTTTTTGGATTTCCAACTGAGAAATAGCTTAAATTCATCTAGACAATCCATAAGCGCACAATAGCTATCCCTTATTAATATAAAAAATTTCTAATTAAAAAAAATGGGAAACAAGCACTCAGGAAGAGGTGCACTCTCAGAGCGTTGCAGAGCATTAGCTGAAGAAATTTTCAAAGAAATTGATGTTGATGGAAGCTTGACGATAGATATGGAAGAGACTGCAAAATGGTGGTCTCAAAACTTCGCAATTGTAAATTCTCGAGCAATGTTTGAGAACGTTGACCGTGATCGCAACGGGGCTATTGATTTCAGCGAATGGATGGATTTTTGGGCTCTAGTAAAGCATCAAGGATATAGTGACGATGAGATTTTTGAAGAACTCACTAATTTAAAAAATAGAGGTTCATGGGTTCAATTTATTGGAACTCAAGTTCATGCAAAGGCCAAGGATTAAGCACTATTTAGATCAAAATATAAATATAAATCAGAGTAAATTCATTTAATTGTTAAGTAGAAAAATTAATGCAACTCAATCAAGTTGTTAATTATTCTGACAACAAATTGTTACAAATTGGATATTAGCCATAAGAAAAATAAATCTCTGTTTTAAGATATTTAAATAATTGAAGTTGCAATTAAAGCAGAATTAATTTTTCTTAAATTATTATTTGAAAACCTAATCATCATCTTTTTTTAGTTTATTCGAAAGTCTAAACATACACTTTAGGCTTAATTGTCTCGTTAGGAATTTCTCATTCAGGCATAGAGGACTTTTTTCGATTTTTACAAACAGCTCATTCCTCCTCGTATATTTATCAAAGCTTGGAGCTTTTTGTTTTTTACCATGATTGACTATTTTAGGGTTCAGCTGAAGCCTTGACTCATTTAAATGATTTAAAGGGAGCCCTTTTCGTTTTGCTTGTTTACTAAAGCTTACACAAGAAACATGGCCTTGAGGTAGATCAGGGAGCGGCTTTATTTGTTTTATTACGCTTTCGTTTAATAAAGTGCTATACTCATCCACTGTCATTTGTTTCGATATTCCTGATAAAGATATCCTCATCGGGTATTTGCATTCCAAATCATATTCGTCTATGCAGTCTGGTAGTGAAATTTTTCTCTTTTTTCCACAATAAGCCCTTTTCTTATATTGCGAGGTATTAATTAGCCGAGGCTTTATAGAATCGTACTGTGGGTTATATTGAGTTGGAGGTGGAGCAATGCTGCAGTTCATTTTTTGAATCCTTTCTCTTTTCTCTCTAGATATTGCTAGAAAACTAGAAGTTTGAGATAAAGGGCGTTTATTTTGCAAGGATATTCTATAGTCTTCAATTTTTTTTAGCTTTGTTTCGATATCTTCTTCTATAGGCATTTTTGCAAATTTTGAATCTGAAAAAGATTGATGTGACCTGACAGGAAAAAGCTGCTTAATAAGCCCATGAGTTGTGCCGATATGCTTATAGTACTGAGGAGTGCTTACAATTGCCTTTAAATCACTCACAATTTCTGTTGAATTTAATGAAATCATTTTTGCTTATGCGAAATTGTTATTTCTTTATTATAAATGAATGCAACTGTTATAGGAGCTTAAGTATTAATTAATGGTATAGCTTCTATTAGTCTGCCTCCAAACATTTTATTTGAAAGCGTCTTTAAGACTCTTTCTTTTTCTTCTTGTGTCTTTAGCACTACGATAGCTTCTCCAGTAGTCTTATCAATGGAGTCTTGCCTTAGAATCAAGTTATTTTTTGTTACTTCAAAATCCCTTAAGTACTCCAAAACCTCAATTTTTTTAAATTTTTGATGGAAGCCGCGCAATTTCACAGCTCTCGATCTTTGTTCAGATGTTAAGAATGGCAGTGATTTTGTTAGGCTACTTCTAAAAATATTTATAATTTCTTGCTCATCAACTCTAAGCTGCTGGTAATTTTGGATATCATTTTTGTCATCAAGGCCATAATAATAGTTTCCATTGTGGAGGTATGACCATTCTAAGTAAGATTTTACTGGATTTAGCTTGAAGCTGTAGATTTTTTTCTCGAATTTTAATAAAAAATAATCTTTCACCATTAAGCATTGATTCTGCATTTTGAGAGGCAAGCTGAAATAGCTCTTCAGAAGCTTCTTCAACTAAAATATAAATTACTGCTGATAGTCCTGTTTCTTAGTTTTCTTTTATCATAGCATAAAGCTTCTTGGGCATCTTCATCGGATAGCATTTTGCTCAAAATAAAGCCAGTTCTTTCCCCATATGGATCTACAACATGCAAAATTTTTTCTATTCTTAAACCATATAGAAATTCCTCAATTTCACTTTCTTCAGTTTTGTTAGTAGTTCCTTTCATAATGATAACTTTTCCATATAAAGGCTTTGGAGGAGATAATAACGGTTGTAGCAATGGCGGCTGAATAATTTCCTGCTTGACTGGTGGTGGCACTTTTGGTTTAGCTTTTTCTGTATTTATATCTTTTTGTGCATTAAACTTATGTCCAGACTTTACAATGTGGCTTATAATTCTAATTATATTTTTGCATTCTTCATGGGCTCTAATCTTTTCAGGTACTTCAGTAAGTCCTAAATGTCTCAGCATTTGGTTTACACTTAAATTTTGAGAAGCTTCTGGATGAGATTTTTCAAATTCTGCTTGAATGTCGTGATATTTTGAAAAATGAGGAGCCAATTTTAAGCCTAGTCTAGTACATTCATCAGGTAAAAGTTGAGTAAGCAGCGTATCTCCATTTGTGATTATGGAAAAGCTGGAATTTTGAAGAATGATAGATTCATACACGAATTTATTAAATTTCTGCATCGCAGAAGGGAGTTCTTCTGCTGTTTGCATATCTTGTAAAGTGAGGCCTGTTGTTTCAGTGACTTCTCCAGATGTAAAAATATCTTCAAGTTCTTCTCCACTGGGGTTAATAAAAATATTTGACAATTCTGTGACTGATTTTGTGTGGATATTATACGCGCACCAATTGAGTTCTAGAAGTCTTCCATCTGCACTTTCAGTATGAGTCAAAGCTACTAAAAAATCAGGCTCTTCTAATTCCATATTAAAATTTAATTATATTATTAGATTACTCCAGACTTTTCAAACAGCTACATAGAAATTACTCTTCACAGAGCTTTTCGCCATCACAGCGCCCGTGGCATTTTATATGAATATTATGCCCGCAATTTCCCGTAACAATGCTAATTTGGTCAAGTCTAAATAAAAGATTACTGTGATTCACACGTTAGACAAATTTCTGCTAATGTTTCTTTAGCTTTATAAATTTCACTATCTTGCGTATCTTTTCTTTTACTTCTCCCTTCCTAACTTTGTCCCTCGTGAGCGAACAATAATTTTTCGCTCACGGACTAAGTTTTTAACAAATTTATATATAAATTTCTAGAAAAGATTTTTGTTTTCAAAATTTAAAAAAATTCCAATTTGCAAAAATTGAGAAGTAAAAATTAATTTAATTTATATTTTAAAATGCAGACCGTTTAAAATTAAACATTATTGCCTAGATATTTCATGATAATAATTATCAATAATATATCAATTGTTTTTTCATAAAATCATTTTATATAAATCAATTTTTTTAGTTTCACGAAGAATGGGCTTTTAGGAAAAATTAGGTATTTTTCCAATGATTTATTTAAAGGAAGGCGGGAGTAAATAATAAGCAAATTCTTGCTTATTCATGGACTTATAGCCCAAAATTTTCAAATAGTAAATTTTATAGTAATAGATCGGCAAATGTTTATAGGGTTTCATAGAAAATGCCAAAAATGCAAATTTTGAGTCATTACTCCCAATAATAAACTACCCATGTAAAATTTACTATTTAAAAATTTTCTGCTAACATAAATTTGAATTTGCTTATGTCTTAGGGTGTTATACAAATAATCACTATCAACAGTATCTCTAGTGTTTGGTCTATACATAATGCTTGGAGATCTCATTAAATCTTTATCAAATGAACTATCTTGATCCTTAGTTACATTACAATCATCAAATTGAGGATACTCCAAAATAATTTTGCCAAGTTTTGACTTTGACAGTGTTTTTTGACCTGGGAAAATTTGATGAGTAGTTGTGGATGATTTTTGGGCATACAGCAAGCAGTAAAACATAGCAGCGAAAAATTCACAAATTAAACTAATAATTGCAAAAGTTGGGCCTTCTTCTGAGCAAAATGAAATATCATTATCCCCAGCCTTAACCCTACAATTAGCTCCATATGTGACTCCACTAATATTAAACCAACTGATAATCCCTATTAAGTTTAAAATTACACAAAGTGCAGGCCAAACATAATTCGACTCAGAAATTCCAAACTCTTTCTTCCTTACTCCCCCCTCTGTGAGCGAACCAAACCATTAGAAAATCCCAAAAGCCCACCCTCCGAGTTTAATTGTAAAATTTTTTATAGAAAAAATTTTGATATATAATTGATATTTATTATAATGAAATCTCGAGCTAATTTGGTTTAATTTTAAACAAATTGCGTTTTAAAATATAAATTTTACAAATTAAATTAATGCTTGCTTTCCAATTTTTGTGAATTAGGATTTTTTTAAATTTCGAAAAAAAAAAGTTTTTTATATAATTAAACACCTTCGCGAGCGAACAAGATTTTTTTGTTCTCTCACGGAGGGAGGGGAGTTAGCACATTAATCAAGTTCTCAATTCATAATAATAAAAATAGTAAGGAAAAACTGACCATCCAATAATAAACACGCCCAGCGTTATTAACTTTATCAAAAGCATTGCATTCGCGCTGGGACAGCGCAAGTCCAGATTTATTGGCGCAAGCAGGGCCACTTATACAGTCGAAATCTAGATTCTTAATAAAATCCCCATATTTATAATATGAGTTCATGCTAAGAAGAGTCCCAGTTGATGTTTTTGGAGCTTGAAAACTTATCCAATCCCATCCAAGAGCTAGCCCAGTAAATGCTGCTCCGATCAGAAGTACTGGGAGCACTTTGCCGCTAATCATAGCAGATGATTCTAGCCCTTCAATAATCTTTTCTTTATCAAGTTTTTTATTCCTAAATCTCAGCACAACAGCTCCGAGTCCACAACCGATCGCACTTAATATAAGAGAAGTAAGCATATAATATGGTCCGTTATTATTACAAATTTCATCGTTCGTATCACAGCTGGAGCTAATTTTTGAGTTCGTAAGTTCAATGTAACTTAAAAAACCAGCCAGTTTTGATCCAGTAATTAGACCTATTAAGGTGTAAAAAATCCAGACTTTGCCATACCCTCTTCTCATGAGCATGTAGATATATCTTTCAATTAAAAGTATTGTTAATACCCCTGCCACTGTTTCGCATGAAATCACACTTGACCGAGCTTGTATTAATTTTTTGCCAGTTGAACATAGATCAGATGATGAGTCTTGGCTACATGAAAGAGAGTATACACAGTTAGGATTTGTATGCTCAAATCCAACAGGGCAGTCAATGCAGTCAAAAATTCCATAATTGAACGTCTCCTCTTTATATGAGAATGAATTTCACTCGGGGGTTAAAATACTTGCAAAAGAGATAAATAAGGCTGAACTCAAGACTATTAAAGCAGCTAAGATGATAACAAAGAAAAACAAAGGATGTTTGAATATAAGCTTCATACAGCTCGAGCTCTCTTTTTGCTTGGGCTTACCGATCTTTTCCGACAAGAAAGAGGTGAGTTAACTAAAATAACTAATTCTAGTTTTACCAGCTCCCCAAATGACAAAGCCTCTTGTTGCAAAGATTCTACCGTTTGGGGGAGCTGGCAAAACCAGTATTAGTTGGCTTAGTCAACTCCCCTCTTTCTTGTCAGGAAAGATAGGTTAGCCCGAGCAAAAAGAGTACTCGGGCTATATAATTTAATTGGCATGATAAATTTTCAACTTTTTTAATATGAAATCTGCTATTTTTAGCTTGAGGCAAGCTAAGTTCATTATTGTTGATATTAATAATTATTGGGTCTTATTAAAGTGAAAAATTACAGAAATTACAATTATTGCTATAGAAGTTTCCTATGTTTGGCGCTGTAAGGCCGATAAATTCTGATCGGAATTTATCGGTTGGTGGCACCAAATCAATGCCTTGGTCGGACCAAAAAGCGATTTGGTCCGACGAACTTGGAAAGCTCCTGGGGAAAATGTCTGCGCTTTCAGCGCTATATAGAGGAAACCTCTATAAATATTATTGAGATAAGATTAAAAAGTGATTGATTTTAAAAATTTATTTTCGGATTTTTTTGCGCAAATAAAATGCCCTTAAAATCTTTCTTATTTTTATTGTAAAAGACTATAATCTTCATTAGTTTTTGTTTAATTTTATAATCTCATTTTAATAAATTGTAAATACAGTATAAATATGTAAGGGAAAGATATACAAATTGCAGCTTCTTTTATCTATAAAATTAAGTCAATTTATTGGCTAATACTTACACACTTAAATATCTCTATAATATCTGGAAGGGATTATCAATAAGCTTGACAGAGTCCTAACAAAATCAGTGAACTTTCACATACATAATAAGTTTTGTGTAAATTCAAAGAAAGTCGCTTCGAATATGTATAATAAATTATTTAAAAGTATTCATAATAAAATACAGTCCAAACGACATTTTGGTGATAAACATTGCACAAAAATTTATATTATAATATCTGTGATAAAATCAATAAAATATTTATCAAAATGCATTCCAAAAGTTCGATTCTTGCACAATATAAATATATTGTAAATGCAAAGTAGTATTATATTCAAGAAATTAAACCCAACATAAATCTTTGAAATCAAATTTTATTCATACATCATAAAAAATGGATCCAAAACATTTCAGGAATTTGTCAGGACTTTCTCCAGTTTCCTGAAAGCGTAAAAATTCTTCAATTACTGCTCTTTCTCAAGACTCATCGCCGTTAAAACCTATAAATCTGAGAAAAAACAGCACTGACACATTATTTTACGGAACTGCTCATGCAGCTCAATTTTATGCATTGAGCCTAATGCCAAGCTTAACTCTTCCTCTGTCTGAAAGCCCTGTAAGGAAAAAGGAGCTCGATAATTATTCACCTACTTCAACTATCAATGAATTCTTCAAGGAAAAAAGAGATTCGCCTAACATAAATTTTGATAAAAAAAGAAAAAATCCCAGATATTCCAGAGGTGTAAAATCATATGATTTCAAAAGTAGCTCATTAAAACCCCTATATTTTAATTCACCAAGTCCGAGTAGCAATCTTAAAAGAACAAAAATGCTGCCATTATTTTCAGATTGGGAACTAAAAGAGGCACTTAAGCCATTGAGAAAAAGAAATTTAAGAAATAAGAGAATGACTCTTGTAGCTTCAGTTAAGAGAATGGATTCTTACAAGCCTAAAGATTTTGATTTGGTAGGCTTTTAAGCAAGAAAGTTATAAAAATGCGAGTACTTTAATTAAACAGTAAAAAAGCAAAAATTTTTTATATACAAAAATAATCCATCATCTCTAATAATAATTATTTGCCTATTTTTGAAAAATCCAAGATGTATTGCCTACCTAGTGCTACCATTTAAATTTACATCTTTGAAGCTATTACTGATTATTTCAATGACATTTTAATTAAGCATCTGCAATTTGCAATATTCTATCAAATCTGTGCGACATTTTTCTTATTATTTAAATTTTTATTATTAATTTCTACAATGAATTATCAATTATTAAATTGCAGCCATCTGCTTTGGCCCATATCCTCTCATATCTAGTGAAAATGACTTTGAAGTGCTTTCCAAGGGGAGGAATGTTGTTCCAATCAATGAATCCGAATTTGAGAAAAAATCTTCTTTATGTGTAATAATGATGCACTGAGAATTTTCTTCAGCGACTTTTTGCAAATAGTTCAGCAGCAATTGACAGTTATCAAAGTCAAGAAAAGCATCAATCTCATCCAAAATATAGAAAGGTGATGGCATAGCAGAATGGACCGCAAATAGCAGGGATAAGGCAGCAATCGTTTTTTCGCCTCCAGAGAGCTGCTCCATTTCATACATGCATCGCTTTCCAGGTGGAGTCGGGGAATATACAACGCCTCCATTGTAAGGCTCATCACTGTCTTCAACATATAATAAAGCGCTTCCTCCATAATAGTTATTTTTAGAGCTCTTTGTCATTTCTTTGTAAATCCTATTGATTGCTCCTTCCACCGAGTTAAACATGTTCATAAAGCAAAACCTTCTTTTTTCCTTGATTTCTTGGAAATTTGCTTTAGCATCATTTAGAAGTCTATTGAAGTCTTCTAGTTGCTTTGTAGTTTCTTCTTCTTTTCTTTCTAAGTCTTCTAGTTTATCTTGATTAAACGTGCATTTCCCTGATGAAGCTAGCTGCTCCAGATTTTTGCTTTCTTTTTCAATCAAACTCGCAATACTTTCTGACTCTTTATCAAGCTGCTCAGAGCTCATTCTCACATATTTTACATCCAGTCCAGAAAAGTCAATATCAGGTGTGTCATCATCAGTCCTTCTCAATGGCACATCTAAATTTTTCATTTGAAATTCTTCAATTCTCTGCTGTTTCTGCTGATATAAATATTCGATAATAAAAATAAGGCATTTTGCCGAAACTAATTACCTCCGTAATTATTTTTCATTAAGCAATGTTTAGATTATGATGCTCAGTTTTCACGATGAATCCTATCCCGCCTATTCCGGCGAGCCATACTATGAGCGGACTTCTGGTGCTAGGGAAGTGGAAGGCATAGTATTTTTCTGCTCGAATTAGCCCGAGAAGGGTTGACCTCAGCTGGAGCACAGTCAAGTCGAATATGGTAGTGCGAGGTCAGGGAAAACCTTCAAAGCAGCAACTTTCCAGAATCACCTCGAAAGTCCTTCCTGGCGAGAAAATTGAAACCCAGAGCGACGACAGTGGTAAAAAGGCGTGCAACCCCGTAGGAGTAGTTAACAATATAGACTTAATAAGATAAGATATAAATGCTCTAGCTCTCTTTCCTCATTAGACAGATCTTTTTCTAATATAGAGCAAGCTTTTAATGTCTTATCAAATTTGTCTTGTTGCGACGTCAGAAGATCCTTCATACGTTGGATTTCTTCTTTAAGCTTGTCCTCTGATGATTTTAGCTGGGCTTGGGCATCTTTTAACTTGTTAAGTTCTTTGTCAAGCTCTTGATAGCGATCATTTATTTTGGTTAGCTCAGATTTGTCTTTAGCGATTGAGCTTTTCATACGGGAGACTGCTTCTTCTGAGGACTCAAGGTTTAAAGAGGATAATTGCCATTCTACTTTGCTGTATTCTTGGCGAAGGCGATTGATTTCCTCTTGCAGCTTGTTGGCTTCCTCAAGGCCTTTTCCTTCTAACGACTTGATATTTTCGATGCCAAGCTCTCTACAAAAGTCGCTAAATACAGAATCTTCAATTGAAGAAATTGATGACTCGATTGCGAAAAGCTGGTCTTTTTGTGTAGAAATTTGCCTCTGTAGCAAATTCAATTGGTTTTCAATAGCTTTGGTATCTTTAATCAAATCCTTTCTATTTCCCATCAGATTTTGCATTTTTTCGCTCATCCCTGCAATTTCATTATCGATTGAAGCAATTTTATTTTCGTATTCTACTAGATTTTGCTTCAAATTAGCAAGTGTATTTTCTCCTCTCAAGCTTTGTTGTAGATCATGAAGTTGGGCCCTTATGTCTTCAGTTTCTTTTACTAGGATGTCGAGCTTTTGTGAGCCTTTTTCAAAACGCTTTTTGGAAGGAGCTGAACTGATCATTCCATTTTTTATGGTAACTCCGTCTATTGTGACCACTTGCCGAATCCCTTTGACTCTTCTTAAAGATTCAGCTTTATTTATATCTTCAGCGACTACACGGGAGCCTGCAAATGCAAGGACTGCTTTATCAAGGCCGTAATTTCTATCATAAGTCAAGATGTCAGGCAGCAAAGTCCCAAGATTTGACACTTGGTGACGTAAACTTTCATTGACTTGGCCTTCAGGAACATTTTCAAGAACCACGATATCTTTCAGTAACGAATTTTCTTTTAGCTTTGTATGGACAAAAGCAGCAGTTTCAGCATCTTCTACTACTAACTCTTCCTCCATGAGCGTGGCCTATTTTTGGAGTAAAACCTACATCGGCGAGCGAATAAAACAATTTTTTATTAAAAAAATATTTTTATATATAAGTGATAATTATTATATTGAATCTCTAGCTGATTTTGTTTAATTTTAAACAGCTTGTGTTTTTAAAACATAAATTTTACAAATTAAATTAATTTTTCCCTTAACATTATTCGAATTGGGATTTTATGAAAAAAAAAATTACCCTAAAATTTATTTTATAAATTTTTTTAAAAAAATATCCCACTTGAAGAACAAAAAATTTTTTGTTCGCTCACTGAAGGGGAAGTAAGTAATCGAGGATACTTCCTAAGCTAGCTTCAACAGCCATCGAGTAACGAGGTTGGATAGGCACTACAAGATCTCTAAAGAAACCTCGAACCTTTTTATTTTGCCTCATCATGTCTGCCACAATTGTTTTCTCTTTTTCTTTTTCTTTCTTAACTAAGCTTACTGTCTCATATTCTCTAACTTTTCCTTCCAGCATTCTAAGCCTTTCTACAAGCTCCAACTCTCTTTCTTTATCCTTTTCATTTTTCATGGTCGCTTTCTTAATCTCGTTGAGTGTATCACTCCTAACTTCTTCAAAGCGCGATTTTTCGTCATTTTTTCTATTGAGCTGCTGCTCAAGGCCAGAAATATCTTCATCTAATTTACTCTTTTCTTCGAGTTTAGCATTGTGACTTTGCTTCAAATAAGAAAAATTCATTTCTTTAGAGCCGAGTTCTCGTTTGACCCTTTCCAGCTCTTTTTTCTCCATAAAAGATCTTAGTCCTGCTTCTTTTTTGAGCTGCATGTATCTTTCTTTTTGGGTTTCATCTAAATCGACCTTGAGTTCTTGAATTTGCTCATGCAATTTCTTTTGGATTTCTTCATCAAAAATGATTAATTCATTTTTCATTTGCTCGGACCTCTTTTTGCTGTTGTCTAAATTGGTCTTTAGCTGCTCCAGGCTGTCTTCTTTGGCTTGAATGCGTAATTGGAATTGCTTTAAGTTCTCTTTCAGCTTGTTTAGCTCAGGCTTTTTTATTAAAATCAAGTTATTTTTATTGGCCAAATCATCAATGACGTTCATAAGCTCTTGTTCATATTGTTTAAAATTATTTCCACTTTCTCTCAATCCAACAGCAGATTTTTCTTTTTTTATTCTTGCATCTTCAAGTCCTTTCTTTTTACCATCAACTTGTTTATTTTTGCCTGCAATTTCTCTTTCTAATATAGAAAACTGCAGTAGCTGGTATGTGACTTGCAGAGCTTTGACTTTATTAATTAGGTTCTCATAGTCTTTTGCATGGGATTTTTGCTCTTTTAATTTCTTTTTTTCATTAGTCAGATATGTCAATTTATTAGAAATCGTTTTCATATTTTCTTCGCAGCTTTCCATCTGTGCCTTGCTTTCTTCATAGGCTGCTTTATAGTCGTCAGATCCTGAAATCTTTTCAAATAGGGCAGTGAGTTCTTTCCCGCTCTTCATAGCTAGAGAGTCCACTTGGCCTTGGAAAATCAAAAAGTTTCTGGCTTTGACTAAAATATTGAATCTCTGAAGGGTCTCCTGATAAGCATCACTTGCTTGCTTGTTTTCATTTATGAAATATTCACTAATTCCAGTTGGTGAAATTGTGCGTTTAAAAATGATTTGTTCATCCTCTTCAGTATAAAAATAAAGCTCTACATAGGTTGAACGACAGTTGTCACTAACTTTTTCGTTCTCTTTACGATAGACAAGCTCTTTGAGATTGGTTGCACGAAGATCAGCTGAACGCACTCCAAGGACGAAGCTTATAGCGTCCATTATGTTGCTTTTGCCGCCGCCATTTGGGCCTATAATAGCAGTGAAGTCTAAGAAAGGGCCAATATCGTGATCCTCTGAGAAGGATTTAAAGTTGTAAAGGTGGAGGTGATCAATACGAGCTCGGGCGCGATGAGGAACTGACATTTTAAAGATTTTTGTCTAAAGATACATTAAAATTAATCAATTTTAACTCGCTAAAATATTGGGAAATTAGCAAGTTTATCTAAATTTTTATAAATTTATCATTTTGTTATGTATTTTTATTTTGGTTTTCTGTTATTTCCCCCATGTGAACAAAATATTTTTTTGTTCGTTCAGAGGAGCCTTAATAAATTTTATAATAGTTTTTTTTTTAGAAATTTAAAAAATCCCAACTAGCAAAAATTGGAAAACACATATTAATTTAATGTGTAAAATTTATGTTTTAAAATGCATTTTTTTTTAAATTAAACAGAATTAGCTAGAAATTTCATTTTACTTTTATCACTTATATATATATCAAAATTTTTTCATAAAAAAATTTTTTGTCTTCTATTTTTGAGCAAAAATAGGGTTTTAAAATGGTTTTGTTCACTTGCTGAGGGAGTTAGCATTTTTGGTTTTAACAAAATTTTGCCAGCGCTAGGATTATCTCTATAGTAATTCAGCGCGGTATCAATTTCTCCTAAATCAAATTCATTTGCAATATCAGTCTTAAGAGTTCCTGACAGTTCTTTTACAATCTTTTTAAGTACCTTAATTAGATAATAAACTCCTTTCCTCTTGATAATTTCTTGTGTCCATAATCCTTCTATCTTTTTCCTATTAAATATCAATTCAGCAGGGTCAATTTCAGTAATTTTTTCCTGACTTAGCATCCCATATACATACACAACTGAGTTTTTTCCTAGCAAATTTATTAAATTTCCAGTCATTTCTCCTCCAACACAGTCAAAAGCTGCTGTAGCATTTAAGCTATCTATATGCTTTTTCAGTTCATACTCAAAATTCCTACTAGAAGAATTCACTATGTATTTTGCTCCTATTTCCTTCAATGATTTTGCTTGTTCATCCCTTCTAACAACATTAATAACAGGAATATTCTCTTTTATACATGATCTTAATATCATTTTTCCTAATGAAGATGCAGCTGCAGTCTGAATGATTGCCTTATGGCTATTTTCTTTGATGGTATCCATTATGATGACTGCTGCTATAGGATTTGTAAAGCTGCAAGCTCCTTGCTCAAATGAAACATCTTTAGGCAATTGCATGCATTTTTTGGCTGATGTGACAACGTATTCGGATCATGTGCCGTTTCCTACATCAGTGAAGCACGCAACCCGCTTGCCTTTCAAACTTCAGCCTAAAAACCCACTGCCGCTTTCAACTACTGTGCCTGAGCCCTCAAAGCCTGGGATTAATGGATATTGATTTTGGATTCCGCCTCGAAGACATATGATATCTGACGGATTTATGGGAGCTGCCTCCATACGGATAAGAACTTCGCCTTTTGCAGGCTTAGGAATTGGGACTTGCTTTAGCCTAAATTTATTTGGGCCTTGCAAAAGAATAGCTCTCATCATGGAGTTTATTGATAATCATTGTAAAAGACAGTCAGAGCTAACAAAATTAATATCTGGCGTGCTAATTATAGAAATTTTAAAAGAAAATAATTGTTGTCTGGCTGGAAAATAAAAGAATATTCTGATCATAAAATTTTAATAAATATTCAACATCTTGCAAGTATTTGAATTTCATCTACCTATATAAAAACGAAATATTAAAAGTTAAAAAAACCAATAAAAAAAGCAACTTAAAAAAATTTGACTACATTCAATGTGCGATTTTTCATTATATTCTTTCATTATTTACCAAGTAATATGAGAGTTATTTAATAAGTTAATCCGGGTATAAATGGGGAAGAAAATTCGAGGTGATACCCAATACAATAATGAAAAGCCGGTCTCATATTGAAAATTCCTGAAATTTACAGCACCTTATTGCTGAAATGGCATCAACTGTTGCCAAAGATTAATCCTTCTTTCCTCGCTAACTTTACTTGTAGTTTATAATCTCCTTAAGCTTCTGGCCACAATTGTATTGAAGTCTATTGTCGATCAGCTTGCTGTCGGAGACGTTAACTATTACTACATCGGTGCCTTTTGCTTGCTCGAGTAAGTTTTAATCAGATTTTTCATTGAGATTTGTAATAGTTTAAAAACTCTTTCGTTCGTCTTTGTGGAATCGAAACTCCAAACTGAACTTGCAGCAAAAGTGTTCAATCATGTACTAAATCTAAGTATGAAATTCCACATAGCAAGAGAAACGGGAAAAATATTGAGGTGCTTACAAAGAGGAGCAACGTCAGTGCCTTTAGTGCTCAGAACGCTATTATTTTCGTTTGGGCCAGTAATACTGCAGATTATGTTTGTGATGACTTATCTCTCACTGAAATACGAACTTTATTATCCTATGATTGTTCTAGGGACTGTCATTATATATATTATTTTCACTATTTTCGCGAGTGAATGGAGGTCCCAAATCCAGAGAAACATTAATGCAAATGATAATAAGTTTTCTCAAAAAGCAACAGATGCTTTATTTAACTTTGAAACAGTAAAGTACTTTAATGCAGAAGACCATGAAACAAAAAGATGCAGCGCAGCCTTTTATGAATTTCGGAAAGAAAAAGTAAGGATGCATGCGTCTTTAGTGCTATTAAATACAGGTCAACAAGTTTGTATCATTTTGGGGACAAGCATTGCTCTATGCTTAATAGCTTACGAAATATACCTAGGAAATAAAAAAGTCGGGGATTTTGTATTGATGCAAGGCTTTATAAGCCAGATCTACACTCCTCTGCAAGCAATAGGTGTCTATTATGATACGATAAAACAAGCAATTATCGATATTGAAGGAGTATTTGGATTATTAAACGAAAAACTAGAAATCGAAGATAAGCAAAATGCAGTAAAGCTTGACCATTGCAAAGGGGAAATCGAGTTTAAAAATGTAGATTTTGGATATTCACTGGAATATCCTTTAGTGCTAAAAAATATCAATTTTAAGCTTTCTCCTGGCAAGACTATAGGAATTGTAGGAAAAACTGGCTGTGGGAAAAGCACACTTGTGAGACTTTTGTATAGGTTTTATGATGTGACCAATGGATCTATATTGCTAGACGGATATGACATAAAAACCCTTTCCCAGTCATCATTGAGGAGGCATATAGCAATAGTGCCACAAGACTGCAGTCTATTTAATGATACATTAGGATATAACATAGCATATGGCTCAGCATGGGATCCAAAATTTGATATGAATTCTAAACACACAATTGACAAGATAAAATGGTCAGCCCACCAAGCTCAGCTTGATAGCTTCACTGAAAAGCTGCATGAAGGGTATCAAACTATGGTAGGAGAAAAAGGAATTCGGCTAAGTGGAGGGGAAAGGCAAAGGGTGGCTATTGCCAGAGCCATTTTAAAGCAACCATCAATTTTATGCTTCGATGAAGCGACCTCATCACTTGATTCTTTAACTGAAAAGCAGATACAAAATAGCTTAGATATGGTAAGTAGAAATAGGACAACAATTATAATTGCACATAGACTATCCACTATAATGAAAGCTGATGAAATTATTGTACTGAAAGATGGATGCATCATTGAAAGAGGAACTCATAAACTTTTGCTAGAAATTAATGGATATTATGCTCAATTATGGGCTGAGCAAGAAAGGGAATGCACAAATGAAGATAATAATTAATATTAATTCAGGTCATTACCAATTTAGAATACTGCGCCTATTCTAAACTTTTTGAATTATAAAACTCTTAAGATCACATATTTTGGTATTCTAATTTATTTCTATTAATAATGGTTCTAAATTGCTTAAACTTTTACGTTGTTTTCTTTCGCCCACTTGTTAATGACCCTTACAATATATTCTACCTGTGGGTTGTTCGTGTTTCTCAAGATCTCCACAGTCTCAACCAATCTGTCTTTGCTTTCTTTTCCAGCTACAACCATCTGAAAAACTCCAACAGCAGCTCCTCTTTTGCCTTCCCAGTACTCAGGGTCAGGATCAAGTCTTTCCAGCACGTCAAAAGCTTTAAGTGAGTAATAAAACTGTCCCATTCTATAGCAATCATTCGCGATGAGTTGCAGCAATGAAAAAGATTCATTGGAATTTTCCATATTGAAGTAAATACTCCAAGCCATACTTGGCTTACCATTCATTATATAAGCCCTGCAAAGTCAGCTTATATACGCATAATCCATTTTTAGTCTTTCATTCTGGATTAGCGACAGCGACTCTTCTGCATCTTTATACTCACCTGCAGCAGCTGATGCAATGCCAAAGTTCCAATTGAAATCATCATCGCTCGGGAAATAAGCTTTCACTGACTTAAGATAAACAAGCACGTCTTCGAATTGCTGAAGCAAAAAGAAGCAAGACGCCATGCATTGTCTGCCAGGAATTGTGTCACATTCACTTGCAGAGGCCCCTACGAGCTGAAATAGGGTTTGCGCAAGCTTAAGGTGTTCTCTATTTTCTGTTTCTTGTCCAAGCATAGCATAAACGACTCCTTTAAGTATATATTCTCTAGGAACAGTTGGCTCTACATCTTTTATGAGCTTGAAGGCTTCCTGGACTTCATCATTTCTTAACTCCCCCCCCCCCTCCGTGAGCGAACAAAACCATTAGAAAAATCGCCATTTTTTGACCAAAAACCCACCCTCCGTGAGTGAACAAAATTTTTTTAATAGAAAAAATTTTAATGGAAAAAAATTTTGATATATAAGTGATAATTAGTATAATGAAATCTAGAGCTAATTCTGTTTAATTTTAAACAAATTGCGTTTTTAAAACATAAATTTTGCAAATTAAATTAATATTTGCTTCCCAATTTTTGCAAATTAGGATTTTTTTAAATTTCGAAAAAAATTTTTTTATAAAATTTTATATATAAATTTTTTTTAAAAACAAAAATTAACCCCCCTCCGTGAGCGAACAAAATTTTTTTGTTCGCTCACGGAGGGGGGGGGGGGGGGAGTAGTGATAAATTACTAAATTCAAACGAGCCTCAGGAATAATATCAATTAATGGGGGCAACACTTGCAAAGCATTTTCTCCATTTCTGAATACAACCAGGTTATGTCTTAGCAAATCACTGTCATTAAATACGTTTCCACTTTCAGCAGCCGAAGAAATCCCCTTAAGCTCCTGCTCAGCCGCTTTTCCATTAAAAAGCTGAAATTGGTTACAAGCCTTTAAATTAACTGCGATCACACTGTCAGGGTGCTGATTTAAGTAAACCTGCAAAATTTCATTGCTAACTTCAAAATAGTCTAGCTTGTAGTAGCACAAAGCAACATACACATTGAGTGCATTAAAATCTCTATTATCAAGTAATAATTTTTTATAAATATCATTGGCTTCATCAAAGTGGCTTCTCAAATAATGGATTGCAGCCATGCACAGCTGATCTGGGGTGCTTTGACCTATTTTCTGATGATAAACCAATACAGCGTTTTCATCTCCACGCTTGTGAGCGATATGGAACATAAGTCTTACTAATAAAGGAGTTTCGGGAGCCTTCGTACACTCATCATAAGCTTCGTCATATTGGCATAGGGCATAATAGCAGCATGCCTTATAAGTATGAAGCTCAGGAGAATATCCAGGATTTTTCATGAGTTCATCATAAGCTTCTATAGCTTTTTTATACTCTCCTGCATGAAATGCTGAATATGCCAATCACAGTAACAGCTTTTCGTCTCGAGCGGCTGATTTTTGGATTTCAAGGAATGTTAAGGCGCCTAAAAAGTCTCGGTCGTCAATAAATGACTGCAGCTTAGGCATTTGCTGCTCTTTTCGCTGGACATTTGGGACAGTTGCTTGCTGATTTGCTTTATGCCTTGATAATGCTGAATTTGGTCTATTCATTTTTATATTTTGAAATCCTGTTAAAGAGCTTACTTAGCTGTTTCGCTATATATAGCAATTAAAGAAAAAGAATTTTAATTGTTCAGAGCAATTTAGGTTTTCTTAATAATTTTAAAAATTGACTTATAAGAAATAAATGAGCGTTTATATGAGCATTTATGACCTTTAATAAATATTATGGGTGTATGCATATCTAGAGTAATTGGTCCTCAAATAACTAAAGAAGAATTGAAATCAAAAATATACACAGCGATAGATCTTGAGAAAGTGGGAGCTTTAAGTCATTTATGAAAAGTCTATATTCGACAGAGACCAAAATTTGTTCCTTTGTTTGACATCAATGAGCCATTGATAGAGATTCAAGGAGTAATTTTAAATTAGGTTGAAATAAATAGTCTAGCTTTTGCAATTAGGGTAGGAAAGACAAGTATAGTTAAATTTCTTATTGAAAATTGTAAGGCTAAAATTGAAGCAATGAATGATGTGTTCAATGCGGTTGGGAAAACTCCAATGGACGTCATTTGTGAGTATGGGCACCTCGATCTCTTGAAATATTACTTACCACTTTATCTTGAATTCAAAGAAATGCAAGCTACAGAATTTTCAATCCATGAGGAAAAATCAGAAGATTTTTCTATTTTTAATTCAAAATTCCTCCAAAAAAAGCCGATGAAAGGTGCATCGGCCATACAGAGAGCTTGTGAAAGAGGTAAAATTGATATTGTTGATTTTCTTATTAATTATTTTGATAGTAAATCTATACCGGATGAGTTTAATGTACATAATGAAGACGAAAGAACAGGTGAAAATTGTGCTTTAATAAGCTGCCGAAACGGAAACCTCGCACTTGCGATGCTTCTTTATAAGAAGTGCAATGCAGATTTTCACAAATTGAATAAAAGATCAGAAAATGCAATACAATTAGCAACTATTGGAGCCAATAAATATCCTTACCGAAAACATCTGGATTTATTGAAGTTTTTAATTGAAGAGCTCAATGTAGATGTGACTTATCATTATGAAGAAACTTTGATTATCTCAGAAAACCCTATGATCACTTCGTACTTAGAGTATAAACTAATACAAAAAGGCATAAGCCAAGCTAGAAAGAAAAATATTGAAAAGGAAAATGCTATTAAATCTGTAACTGGCGATGATTTGCAAGGATTATCTCCAGAAGTCATAGAAAAATTAAATAGAGCTGGAAGAGAGTTTGAGTTTACTGAAATATTTAGAGAGGAATTGGATGAAAAATCACAATCTCTTGTTAGCTCAATTAGTCAATTGGGGGAATCAGAGGATATCTCAATCCCAAAATTTTGGGAAGAAAAGCGAATTTAGAAAAATAGGAAAATTTGTTGTCGATAATAAAAAATCTTATAAATAAATTTAATAATAAAAATATCTAATTATCATTTAAGATCTTTTTACTATTATTATATATCAAAACCACTCAAAAGATACATTATTTAAAAAAATGATAATAAATTCGCTCTTAATCTAGATTAAAATAAAGAATAAGTAGTCATTAACTTTTCAGCATTCTTCTCAAAATCCTTCCAGAAATAGACATAAAAGTAGCCCATCTAAAAATAATTTTCTAGAATTAATAATTTTAAAACATTTTTTCACTAAGGCTTATTTTCTCATGCTTCTATTTTAATGGATTTCCTTTTTATAGCAAATTGAATTTCTGGATATGGTAGTTTCTTATTATGAAATTCAGTTATTTTTAATAGCTGATATTTACTCACTATTCTCTGCTATTAAATATATTTACTACTGACGTTAATCATAAAACATTAGAAAACCATTTATTTAGAAAATGAAAGCTGCTGAAAACTTAGCTCAAGATGAAAATGAGTGTAAGATCTAAATAGCAAATGCAAATCCTCAACCTCGGAGCTCTTCTAATAGCAAGCATAGCCAAGTCGGACAAAAATATATAGGCTTTCTGATGTCCCAAATCAAGTTGATGAAGCAAGTGATTGAGCAAAACAGTATTATTAATTCAAAATTTCTAGATATCAGAAACGAAATTGAGAGGCTGCAGCAATCTAATGCTCCTTCGGAATCAGTTCAAGGTCCAGTTCCAACCAAAAAGAATATTTTGGAGTTAATATGCCCTGAAGTAGAATCATATGATTACAGCCTTTCATTAGTTGATAAAATTCCTTCACCTGTCTGCAAGGGTAAATACTTTTCGTTCAATGTTTCACTCAAAAATGAAGGGATACTAAAGATTCCAATAGAAGAAAGGATCCAGATAAAAGTTTCTATCTATTCTGCAGAAAATCCTCCAAAAGTAATTAAAAAGAATATGAGTGGTGAAATTATGATAAAAGGCCATACTACAAGCACACTCACTTATGACTCAAAACTGGGCACCCATTCAGCAAGTTTTAAAATCCAGCTTAATGAAGTTACTTCGCATTTTATGAATGGATGAGTATTTTTGGTTGTTGAAACTCAGACACCTTGCGAATTTTTAGAAACACTGGGGATATATATTAAGCCTTTGATAATAAAGAAATTGATAATTAAAGCAAAAGAAACGACTTGCAAAAGATGGCGTGAGAAAGAGCAGGAGATGAGAGAAATTGCATCTGAAGAGAATTTAGAAAGCGGAAATTCTGCTGAGTCTTAAGAATGCTGACATTTAAATAATGCTAAAGATAAATATATGTTGCATTTTGAATATTCATCTTTTTCTTTGATGAGTAAATTTATAAATGTAAATACGATTAAAATTAAAAAATGAATATGAATAAAGATAATATTGCAGGAAAATTTTTCGAATATTCGCATTTATATTCAAAATACATTTTCTATACTTATTATAATGACAGGAAATTACAGATATTAAACTCAATTGATTTCTATAGTTTAAAATCCACTTTTGCAATATTTATGACAGAATATTTGAATATGCCTAATAAATAACTAAAAATGATATCGTTTTTTGCAGATTTTTGAACTTTATCACTTAAGTGTGGAATTTTTCCGCGTGTGAAAAGGTGTTTTTCACGTGTGGAGCCCTTTTGATTTCACATGTGGAATCCTCTTTTCACACGCGGAAAAAATTCCACACTTAGGTGGTAAAGTTCAAAATCTGCAAATAACGATATCATTTTTAGGGACTAATACTTCAATAGTAAATGACTATAAATCATGACAATTATTAATTGAGCAAGAGCTTTCATGATTGCATTTTTTAAAAAAAAGTTCTATCAAATCTTGAAATTTATTATTCCCTATTCATTGTAGCATAAATTATAGATTCTATATAAATAAATAATTAGGATGAAAAAGGTCCTTATTTTTTCGAAAAAATTGGTATGATTTAGTGTCTCTACCTATCATGAAAGACTGTAAGGAGCTTTGAGCTTTCAAATACTTCAAAAAGTGCCAATTGCGAGCTGAAGGGTGAGTCTCTCTAGCCTATTGGGAATTAAGATAAATGGAGCAGCTCTAATTCCATGGAAGATTGATGCTCGTAGAAGTCAGAAGAACTCTCCAGGAGATAGGCGACTTCAGTCGAAAACTTATATAGAAATCAAGCCTGAAAATCTTCAATGAACTGATTATCATTGGGTAAATCAAATTATAAGATATATGAATATTGTTTGACCAAAATAATGCGTATTAATATCCTGCAAGCTCTCATTTTATCTCTACACACATAATTAGCTTTTCTTTAATTATTCATTCTTACTTTTAACTTCATAAATGTCAGAGCTCAGCTCCCAGTCGTTTTATTTAGAACCTTCACGACTAAACCAAACAGCTCCTCTTCCTATAAGTGAAATATACAAAACTATTAAAGGCTCTAACGATGATTGAGGTGTTGAAGGTTATCAAGTTCCTAAAAAATGTGCAGTTTATATTACAAAAGAAATAAAAGTCCCCAATGCTAAAAAGCGAGACATGTTCTATGATATTAGCAAAAAAGAAAAGGAGCCATCTCCTATTACATATGCTCCAAGTAATGAGCAAGTACTCAAACGCTACTGGGATAAAGCAACAGGAAGATTTAGGAAAGCTCAAAGGAAAACTGTTATTGATGAAGTCATGAAGCTAAGCCCAAGAGTCCCAGGACCTGGAACTTATCATGTAACTGAAAGAGGACAGTCAGAAAAACCGAAATACAAGATCCCACTCGGCATTATGGAGTAAAAATTATACAGCAAAGCGCAAGGGTTGTCTTTCTTAAGCAGCACTGAATTTTATGCTGAAGAATCACCTGGAAGTGGAAGGTATTTTGAGAAAGAAGAAGATAGAGAAAAAGCTGTAAAAATTATTTAGTATACCAAAAGAGAAAGAAAATCTCCTGTGTTTAAGTATTATGCTGGAAAACCCGAGAAAAAGATGGAAAAGCAAGAGGTTGGACCTGGATATTTAAAAAATTTAGAAAATTCTGTAAAAAGATCGTCAACTATGAGAAGATCTCCAAATGCACTATTTCCCAAGTCAAACCCACCAAATGCTATCCATCGCAGAGCAGCCACGACTAAGTTCGTGCCTGGGGTAGGGGCTTATAAAGATGTAGAAAAAGCATATACAGGCCATATCGTTAAGAGAAAAGAAAGAATTCCTTTCATCTCTCCCTATAAATTCACAAGATTTAGCGACGCAGAAGCTAAAAATCATAATTGGGTTCCTGGTCCTGGATCTTATGAAATCATGCCTCCAATGAGGAAAAAATAATTTTTTAAAATTAAATTTTAGAAGTACTTATTTATAAATCGTCAATTTTCCCTCGTCTTGAAAACTTCTTTCTTGGGCCCCCAGTTTCCACCCTATATCTGAGTTCTCTTCTCTTTTTTGTGTATTTAAAATCAATTTCTATATCTTTAGAACTATTAAGCCCCTCTATCAGCACAGGCACCAATTGACCAAACCTAGCCTGCTTTGATAGACTTGTATGTGAAATTTCTATTGCTTCTTCATCTGAAATTCATTGTATACAGTGATTATAAGCTCTTTCTATCAATTTATTTCTTAAATCTACCGCATCTAAATTAGGCTTTATTGCTATAGCTCTTTCTAATTCATCAAATTTTTGTTTTTGAAGTCACATTGTAAGGGAGTAACAGGAGTTTTCTTTTAGCTCTTCTAAGCTGAAATCTGTAATTACTAACTAACCCCCTCCATAAGCGAGCAAAATCATTGGAAAAATACCTAAGAGCCCCACCCTCAGCGAACGAACCAAAATTTTTTATGAAACAAATTTACATATAAGTAATAATTATTTATATGAAATCTCTAGCTAATCGTGCTTAATTTTAAACAGCTTGTATTCTAAGATATAAAATTTACAAATTAAATAAATATTTGCTTTCCAATTTTTGCGAATCTGGATTTTTTAAATTTCGAAAAATTACTATATATAATTTTTAAAAAATTAATCACCCTTCCTTGAGCGAATAAAATTGTTTTGTTCGCTCACGGAGAGGAATAAGATAATTAAAGCGAAAAATAGGGTCTTTTGCAGTAGCATATTAATTTTTATCAAGAATTTTGCTACTTAAATTAGTCTAAAATGGAGTCAAGCGGGAAATTATTATTTATAGGTCCTGTTGAGGTAGCGCATGGAGAAATAGTAACTTTGCAACTTCCAAGAAGTCAAATGCCTTTCCTTTTGACTGACAGCTCTATTTACTCTATTCAAAAATCATCATTTTTTGGTTCTTGCGTAGTTGGCAAAACTATAAATAGCTCGACTGAAGTGTTTATAATAACACCATTTGATCCAATTTTCCTTTTGCTGCCAGTTTTAAATCAAATTTATTCATTTCGTGCTTATGAAGAAATTTTGAGGGATTCTAATCTTTCTGCGCTTATAGGGAAAAGCGAAATTCTAGCAAAAGTTTCAAAGTTTTGTGAGTGCAAAGACCATCAGGGCCAGCTTTATGTTAGGACAACTGAAGAAAAAATCAATGAATGGCTTCAAATGAAATTTGAAGCCCTTGTAAGAGAAATTTCAGTGAAAGTCCCATGGGCTATGAGTATTCAAGGGCAGAATCCAAATGCAACAAAAACTGCTTTAGGAATTCTATATGAGCTTCTAAATGATGATTTTTTTATGAGACTTAGTATGGGCTTCACTATTAGAGAAATTTTGATAACAGGTAAACCGCAACCTTTAAGAAGGCAAAATAATGAAATTGAAAACTTCAAACCTCAACAGCACTCGGCCAAAAAGAAACCACAGCCTCCTAAAAAAGCTGCAAACCTTCCTAAAGGCCAATTAACACTGAGTTTTGCGAAAGCAAAATAATAATTACTAATTAATATTTTCAGGGATAATATAATTGTATTCTATACCTTTCCATAGCCCTTGTTCATTTTTTATCTAAATTATTCTATTTAGATTTGCCGAAATATATTAAATTTTATTCACTTAATAACAAAAATCACCCTATGAAGACTAAAATAAACTCATTTTAAGCTTAGCCAATCAAAAACTTAACGGAAATTACGTAAAATGCAAACGAGTAATTTGATATAAAATTAAAAGGGTAAATGCTAAATCAAACAGTAAATGATTTGTGGGCATGTGATCTTTTCTATTCAACCGAAGTATTTCCTTCTCCTCCTAGAAAAGATACTGAAAATGTAGTATCGTCAGGATCTATAAGCAGATACAGCAACTCTCGATCTCCGAATGAACCTCTTATTCTTTCTGGTAGAAGCCCATTAAGGAATTTAGCGCAGTCTACAAATGGAAGACTTTATATTGCAAATGATCCTGTAATTAGAAGACTCAACTTTCAATAAAATCTGCATAATATATATTCAAGCCAATACTTTGAATTAAATATTTAAATTTAATCTGGCGCAAAAATATTTATATTCTATTAATTCGTTGTTAAGGTATTTATAAGTATAATAGGCCCCTATAGTTATTTTATATGAATTTTAATGAAAAATGGTATAAAATTAATAAAAAATTGGGTGTTCAAGAAATACGCTTATAAAGAAAATTTGTTGAACGAGGCTCGACCTTTTCTATGCTTTAAGTAAAATTACCCTTATGATAAATAATGGCTTTATCTAAACCTCTTAATTTAGTTAAAAGCTCAGATGCTTGCAAGCATATGTAATTTCAACATAGAGAAAGCGTTCAATTTGGACTACCTTCATGCGTGGAAACAGAGAAATCATCTGTAGTTGAAATCATTAATAAACAGCTCTATACAGAAAATCATTTAGCTCCTTATCCTTATGGCCCACTAGACATTCACTTAGGAACTTCAGAAAAGTCTCAAATTTGTGAAACATGCAAACAAAAACTCATATTTTGCCCTGGACATTGTGGATACATAAAATTGCATCTTCCTATTTTTCACATCGGATACTTTCGGCATACCCTTACGATCTTACAAATAATTTGCAAAAAATGTTCCAGACTGCTTGTGCCTTCTGAAGATTTTTTACAAAAATGACTCATAGTTGCAAGAACTCGAAAAATGGATATAATTCAAAGGGAAAATGTATTTAAAAGTATTATTAAAGCGTGCAAAAAACAAAAGCTTTGCTTATATTGTAGTGAAATCAATGGAAATGTAAAGAAAAATGGTCTGAAAATTATCCATGAGAAGTACGGGGACGAGACGCAGTATATAATTGATGATTTAAGCTATATGATATCTAAGCATAAAGAAATAAAAGATCAAATAGCCAGCAAGGTGACCTTCGAAATCAACGCAGTTGAAGCTTTGGAATTATTCCAAAAAATCCATCCAGATGATGTAAATCTTCTTGGTATGAATTCTGAAGTTTCTCATCCGAAAGATTTGATAATCACACACATATTAGTTCCGCCTGTATGCATTAGGCCTTCTGTACAGGTTTCTCAAGGAGTTACTAATGAAGACGATTTAACAGTGAAGCTTCAAGAAATCATCAATTTAAATTCACTTATAAAAAGCACACTGGATGAAGGAAAACCCTTAAATAAGGTATGCACTGCTTAGCTATATAATAAAAATTGAGAATACTTGAGAACTAATCAAAAATAAAATATGCTTAATTGATTATATTCAGATACTGGCTTTAATTCAATATAGCACAGCATAATAGAAGAATGGGAATATTTGCAAGCCATTTTTGCACAATATATAAACAGTGAAGCGTCGGGCTTACCTCCATCTATTACTATGGGAAAACCTATTAGAGCTCTCTGTCAAAGACTGAAAGGAAAACATGGTAGATTCAGAGGAAATTTGTCAGGTAAAAGAGTGGATTTTTCAGGAAGAACTGTCATTTCTCCAGATCCAAATTTGAGCATAGAAGAGGTTGCAGTCCCAGAGCTGATGGCAAAAGTTTTGACTTTTCCTGAAAAAGTTCTTCCATATAACATTGAATATTTAAGAAAACTGATTATGAGAGGCCCATTTTTACACCCAGGTGCCAATAGTGTTCAACTTGGCTCCATGCCATTTGATCGGAATGCTTTGATAGTGTGATATTTCTCTCAAAAATAGGAATTTGGATTAAATATTTTAAGAGGGAAAAATAGGCCAAATATCCAGGGTTTTTTAAATGTTTTGATCAAAAAGCATGCCCCGTTTCATTTATGCGTAACAATGAAAAAATCTTACTCCAGTATGGCAAGAAAAACGAATTAGCTGCAGCACTTCAAATTGGAGACATTGTAGAAAGGCATTTAGCAACTGGAGATTATGTGCTATTTAATAGGCAGCCATCACTTCATAGAATTTCTATTATGGCACATAGAGTAAAAGTAATGAAAAATAGAACTCTAAGGTTCAATGAATGTGTATAACCCGATCCTAATATTTGATTGGTCTGTACCAACTATTCAGAGATCATTTGGGGCTTGGTAAATCGACATTTGCTGATAATCCAAAGCCTCAGATGAAAATTTACATTTGTTACTGGAAATTTGCCACTTAAGGGGTTGGCTTTACCAACAAATGCTTTTTTACCAAATTTCCGAATAATCTCGGGAGAATTAGTGTAGACCAATCTAAAACAAGGATCGGGTATATGCACACCTTATAATGCAGATTTTGATGGTGATGAAATGAACATTCATCTACCCCAAACATATGAAGCTCAAGCTGAAATAAAAGAATTGATGAATGTTAGTGGAAATATTCTGACACCTAAAAGTGGCGAGCCTATAATAGCTCCAACACAAGATTTCTTAACTTGCGCCTTTTTGTTGACCCAAAAAAATGTATTTTATGATAGGTCTACATTCTTTAAATATATTTCGTATTTTTCTGATGCAAGCCAAAGAATCGATATTCCTAAGCCTACAATATGGAAACCGAGAGAGCTTTGGACAGGCAAGCAGCTATTTTCAGTCTTGCTAAAGCCTAACAAATCAGGAAAACTCATCAATCTAGAAGTAAAAGAAAAAAATTACTCCTCTGGCGGATGCATGTGTCCTAAGGATGGCTGGGTCGTTATAAGAAATTCTGACCTTCTATGTGGAAATATTTGCAAAACAACTATTGGCTCTGGCTCAAAAGGAGGAGTCGTTTTCACATTAGTAAGGGAATATTCTCCAACTGAAGCAGCAAAGTTTATGAGACGAATGGCAAAATTAAGCTCACGATGAACCATGGAACGAGGCATTACGTTTGGAATTTCTGATGTAACGCCATCAAATGAGCTTTTATCAGCTAAAAAGAGCATAATTCAAGCTGGAGTTGAAGAATGCAATCACCAAATTGAGCTATGGAAAATAGGCAAGCTACAATTAAAGCCTGGCTGCAATGCTGAGCAGACGCTTGAAAGTGTATCAAACGGAAAATTGTCACAAATTAGAGACAAACTAGGAGAAATCCTGAAAAATGGGCTGAATATTTTTAATTACCCATATGTGATGGCTATTAGTGGCTCAAAAGGCTCCAATATTAACCTTTCACAAATGATAGCTTGTGTAGGACAGCAGACTGTGTCTGGACACAGAATTCCTGATGGGTTTTGGGGAAGAACCCTGCCTCATTTTAGTAAAGGAGATAGATCACCTGAAGCTAAAGGTTTTGTCTCAAATTCGTTTTATTCAGGGATGACACCAAGTGAATTTTATTTTCATACCATGGGAGGTAGAGAAGGGCTTATTGATACAGCTGTAAAGACTGCTGAAACTGGATATATGCAAAGAAGACTTATGAAGAGCTTAGAAGACATGTCAATTAAATACGATTATAGTGTAAGAACTTCCACCAATGAAGTCGCTCAATTTCTATACGGAGATGATGGGCTAGAGCCTATGAAGATGGAAAATGATGAAAAGCCTATAAATTTTTCAAGGTACTATGAGCACATAAAAGCGACTATAAAAAGAGAAAAAATTTCATTAACGCCATATGAAATTTTGAATATATCAAATCATGAAATTAAGAAAAGGAGAGAATTAAAGATAGAAGGACAAGAAGGATTTTTGAATGATATCACAATTTTCTTGGAAGATACAGCGAAAAAGATTGCTGACACAAGACAATTAGTAGGTCTTAAGAGATGTGATACACAAGACCAAGAAAGAAATGTAGAAGATAATACAGAAAAATCTATATCAAACTTAATTAATTTATCAGAATTCCAGCTGAAAACTTTTATAGCAAGATGCTGGGAGAAGTACTCAAAAGCGCAAATAACCCCAGGAGAAGCAGTAGGTGCTGTAGCAGCTCAGTCGATAGGAGAGCCAGGCACCCAAATGACATTGAAAACTTTTCACTTTGCTGGTGTGGCATCTATGAATATCACTTTAGGTGTTCCTCGTATAAAAGAAATTATTAACGCTGTAAAAGAAATCAGCACACCAATCATATCAGTGAAGCTTCTCACTCTCTGCATAAGTGAGGGAAAAAAATTTGCTCATTCACGAGAGTTTTTCTAAAGGAAAAACTAATTTAATATATATAATTTAAGTTTTAGAATGCAACATGCTTAAAATTAAATTGAATAAGCTTGAGATTTCATTTTAATAATTATCACTTATATATCAAAAATATTTTTGCTCACACACAGATTGTGTTTATTTTTTTAACAAAGAAGCAATGGCTTTGCTCGGAAGTGGGGGTTAGAGAAAACAACAACGTTGTATCAGCAAGGATAGTCAAAGGAAAGCTAGAAAAAACTTTACTAGGAGATATAGCATTATACATCAAAGAAGTCTTCACGCCTCGAGGCTGCTATTTAAGCATAAAAATCGACACAAAAACAACAGACTCTTTACGCCTTGAAATTGACGCAGAAAAAGTAAAGCAGGCCATTTTGCATCATGGAAGGCTCAAGCTTAAAGACAAGCACATCATAGTAATGAGATCAGACAAATTGCGTGTAAACTCATACGAGACTACCCGTGATAAAATGTATTTTTCTTTACAAGAATTAAAAACCAAGCTTCCTCATGTAATGATTAGTGGAATCCCCACAATTCAAAGGGCCGTCATCAGTGCTGATGAAGAAAACAAGAATTTTAATTTGATCATTGAAGGGTATGGCTTGTATGAGGTGATGCAAACACAAGGGGTTGATTTCAGGAAATGCAAAACCAACCATGTAATGGAAAGCGAAGAAATTTTGGGTATTGAAGCTGCTAGAAATACGATTATTGGAGAGATTAAATATACCCTAAAAGAGCATGGAATTTATGTAGACCCTCGGCATATTGCATTAGTAGCTGATGTTATGACATTTAAAGGACAAGTACTCGGGATTACAAGATTTGGGGTTTCTAAAATGAGGGATTCTACACTTATGCTTGCATCATTTGAAAAAACTGCAGACCATCTATTTGATGCAGCCTATAGAGGAAGCTTAGATCCTATACAAGGAGTATCTGAAAGAATTATCATGGGAAAGCCTGTGTCTTTGGGGACAGGAATATGTGATCTAATTTATAAGCCAGAAAACCCCATTTCAAGGATTCCAAGAAAAAGAAAGCCGCTAATTTTAGGGTAAAAGCGAAATAAACAAATCTAAGAAAATTCTTTTTAAGTCGTAATTTTATATAAATGACAGAATTATAAATGTCCAGAGAAATTGCTCTAAAGCTAGACCAAGAGCGTCTTATAATTGAGCAAGAAATCAAAGCAATTGTAGACTATTTAACTGCCCCAGGGATGCCAGGAATAGATGGCCCACTGGTAGATGCAGAGCAATTCCCAATTCCTGGTCTTGACCATTATCGAATTAGAGAAGCCCGTCAAAGGTTTAACAGGCTAAACAACGACTACAAAGAAATCATGAAGAGAATAGAGCAAGAGCTTGAAAATTATTTCCAAAGTGTGCAGAGTGAAATACATAATGGAAATAGTTCCTCGCATGATCAAGTCCCTATAGAAATTGGGATCCCAAGCTCAGCACTGCCTCATGCTTTTGCAATTATTTCTGAAGTCACTGAAGGAAGCCCTGCGATGCAAGCGGGATTGAAGAAGGAAGATAAGATCGTGAAGTTTGGAGATATCGATTATAGGAATCACAATAATTTGCAAGGGCTTGTCCAGTATATAGTTTCACATGAAAATCAAGAAATAAATGTTTTCATTATTCGAAAAAACGCTATTAATAGAGAAACTGAGCTAAGCTTGAAGATCACACCAAGGAGATGGGAAGGAAATGGAATTTTAGGATGCAGATTTGTCCCGACTACAAATTAATAATGAAATTATTTTTATATGCATTCTTCTGTAAGAAGTCCTTGGTATCTATCCATACCTTCTAGCCTGCCATCATAAACTTTTAAAAATCCAGTCCCTGCTAATATTTTGTCAAAGTCGGCACCATAATTTAAAGCATACTCCAAATCCAGCGTATCTTTTATCAGTTTGCTTTGAATTCTTCCTTTTTCTTCTGTCGTAGCCATCATAGCGGGACTTCTATTTACTTCTAGAAATCACAGATGCAATTTAGAATCAAACATAAAATCAACTCCATATAGTTCAAATACTCCAGGATGCCATAAAAACTTTTCTATGTTCATTCTGACCAGATGCAGCATTTTTAATTTCATTGTAGGCCTCACATAATCATTTATCCAGTCCCCTTCTACAATCCCTTGTTCTTGCATGTAGCTCAAAAATTGCTGAAAAGTCCACATTTGATCTTTCATTACTTCTTCATATTGGTCTTCCGATGCATTTATTTTATCTAGATACTCCTTGACTAATGCTGTATTTGTTATGTGGACGTTTGACTCTGTAGAAGTTTGGTCATATGTATTCATAGAAACTCTTAAAAAGCCATCATGGTATAAAATAATTAAAGGATCTAGGCTTGCTATTAGCATGTAGACCCTGAAATCAAATTTTCTCCCCTTAACTAGCAATGGGTCAGGAATATATTTCTGCACAATATATTTCTCTTCCTTTATTCCACACAACTCTCCATTATTATAATTTTCAATCAATTTAGAAATAGTTTTCCTATTCAGAATTTCTACACCTTCTGCATTATGACTTCCCCTTGCTTTCTTTTTAATCCATTTCACCACATCAGGACTGTTATCGCTTTTCAAAAAATCCATTACTTCCAAGCATTGCTCTTTGTTGCTTAAATCAAGTGTATAAGGCATAAACTTCCAAGGATCAAAACAATGTGGTCTATCCATATAATATTCTCCGTAATTCTTATTATTTTGCGCTTCTTCATCTTTATTTACCATATGTTCATGCCCTGGTATATGGTTATATCTCTGACCAAGACACAAAAAATGGACCCCAATTTTATGAAAAAGATGAAATTCCATTGATTTGTGAAAAAACATGGTGATATCAGCTGGCAAGTGCGTTAAAGGTAGCTCCCTTAATGACCCCATAGTATACTCAGGAAGTGCTAAATACCCTGTTTCTCTAATTACATCTTTTACTAAATTGTTTGAATAGTAATCAGAATACACAACACGAGAAACTTTATTTGGCAAGCCTAATTGGTCAAAATTAGCTGGGTGGTTTTGCTGATATTCTGCGAATTTCTTACAATAGGAGTCTTCGTCTATTATTTTGTGATCGTTTATATAGAAAGTCGAACGACCTAAGTATTCATCTCAAGCTGGGGACAGTAAATAGGGGAGCTTTGGTTCCTTCACACGACGACTATTTCATAACGACTATTTTTTTTTGGCCTATTTTTTTTTTGGGCCTATTTTTTTTGGGCCTATTTTTTTTGGCCTAATTTTTTTTGGCCTATTTTTTTTGGCCTATTTTTTTTGCCTAGCCTCATTCATGAAGCTGCTGAGAGGACTACAACCTTATTGAGAAATAGAGACCTTTCCTTACGCGATTAATATTGAGTAAATTAAGTTAAAAAACTCCTAATTAAACCTAAAATTCTCGAAATTTTAAAAGCAATGAATTAGTATTCATGGAGTAAGAAATCTGTTAAGGGTGCATTTTTTGTTGGTTAAATCGTTTAAAACACATTAAAAAATTAGATTAAAACAATTAGTATGGAATTATGCCCAAATATTAGTAAAAAATAGTTAAAAAATTGTCAAAAAAAAGGCCAAAAAAAATAGGCCAAAAACAAATAGGCCAAAAAAAAATAGGCCAAAAAAAAATAGGCCAAAAAAAAAATAGGCCAAAAAAAAATAGGCCAAAAAAAAATAGGCCAAAAAACAAGAGGCCAAAAAAAAATAGGCCAAAAAAAAATAGGTGAAAAAAAAAATAGGCCCAAAAAAAAATAGGCCAAAAAAAAAATAGGCCAAAAAAAAATAGGCCAAAAAAAAATAGGCCAAAAAAAAATAGTCGTTATGAAATAGTCGTCGTGTGAAGATACGGGGAGCTTTTGCGCATTTTCATATCGGATTTTTGTGGAGGAAAACGAAGAAAATAAGGATCGCTGGAAAGGAAGGGTAGGAGAATAGAGGTAGCAGAGGATAAAACTTGTGGTAAGGACAAAGGATCCAATGTGCTTTAGAGTTATCATTTTATTTATGACCAGAAGTAACGGATATTAATGTAATTAAAATAGTATTATTTTAATATTGTTTAGAGTAATAGCATTGCTATCAGTATATAGGCAATTGCCTTTTATATTAGATCTCAATTATTTTACTAAAATAAACGAAGTATTTTTTATTAAAGTGGTTAGTTTTTAACTATCTTTGAATTCTGGCTTCTTCTTGTTCAAAAATGAGCTCATCCCTTCTCTTCTGTCAAAGTATGCAAAAGTTGAATGGAACATTCTTCTCTCATATAAAAGACCAGTTGCCAGTGTTGTCTCAAATGATTGATTAACACACTCTTTCGCCATCATAACCATCGGTAGCGAATACCCAGCAATTTTCTTAGCCACATTCATAGCTTCTTCTACCAAATTATCCTCAGCTACAACCCTTGAAACAAGTCCTCTTTGCTGAGCTTCTTGTGCTCCCATAAAGTCTCCAGTCAAAACAAGTTCCATTGCCCTTGATTTTCCAATTGCTTTTACCAACCTTTGTGTACCACCAGCACCAGGAATGGTCCCAAGCTTGATCTCAAGTTGTCTGACATACATAAAAATAGAGATCTAAGTGTACTGACCTCTTGACGCAATTTTTCAGACTTATGGCCAAGGCAAACTGGTGAGAAACCAGATGAGATTCAGGTACGATTTGGGTTTATGTATATCTGGATGGGTTTTTGTCTTTGTTTCTGAGATTCGAAAGAGATGACTAGCAACGTCCTTCGAGACACGAAGGTGGATCTCACCGAGATATCAAGGGTCGTGGCTGGAGCCCAGGGTTAGGCTAGGTTATTAAAGTCAGGAGTTAGCCAAATTGGTGACGCAGTCACCAAAGATCTTCCGGACGAAGTTCTACCCTTTTCGAATCCAACCCAAGGGTCTTTCCCCAAAGGTGGATGCCACTTTCTGTACCTTCTGTCTCCTCCTTGCATTGCGGCTTCAGTCTTAAATGGGAGGCTTGGCAGGAGCCAAGGGATTAAGGCTTTCCCTGTAGCTGCTGAGGGCAGACACTCTAGACTCCAGAATTTATTCCTGGATCAGATACCTCCCAATCACCCAATCCAAGGTCGCATAAGTCTATAGTTCGCCCAATAAACACTGGATACAAGGCAAGGAGGAGTTGCCCTCAGTGTAAGATACTCCGGATTTCCATGGCATCAGGGTCCAGAGAAGGAGCAAGGCTTGTCAAAGGCAACTTGCCAATCTGCAAGGGTTTTTGGCTACTCCATAACCAATACGGCCACTCCCATCTGCTAATTAAGATTAAGATCTCAGGTTGTCCAAACTGTGCTTTATCCCCAGCCAAAATAATATCACACATCATAGCAAGCTCACAGCCGCCTCCTAACGCATAGCCGTTAACAGCTGCAATTGTAGGTTTTCTTGTGGCAGCTACGTTGAACCAATTAGTTAAATAATTTTGGGCGAAATTTTCTTGGTAGGTCCTTTCTTCCATTTCTTTGATATCAGCACCTGCTGCAAAGAATTTTTTGCTGCCTGTGATGACTATGGCTCTGACTTCTGGGTCTTCATCACATTGCTTGAGTTCAGCACTTAATTCTGTGATAAGCTGAGAACATAGAGAATTCATAGCTTTTGGACGATTCAGAGTAATGAGGCAAATCTTATCTTTTTTTTCGACTTTAATCATCTCTGGAGCTGTAGAAAAATAACGAATTGCAGAATTGACCCTTAAATTCTTGAGAGCTCGGGATAAGCAGAGCATATTTACCAATAGATTATTAAATAGAAAATTTTTTGTATTTGAAAACGTATAAGTAATTGAATGAAATTTGTATGCAGGCTTCTAGTTTTTTTATAATTTCTTAAATGGAAACTCGAGGGTACAAATGGTTGCTCAAAGCTTTAGCATGGAAAAAGACACAGTTAAAAGTGCTAGAAACTTATTTGGTACGCCAGGGAATTGTGGAAGCTAAAATTTATACTGATAGCTTAGGTAGAGTAAAGAGTAAAAAAAATATCGCCTCAGGCCATTTAACAATTTCTGATGCTATGAATGATTTTCTAAGCCAACACACTCAATTAATAAGGACTTCGGGGGAAACATTGGCGATAGTGTATCATAGAAACGGAAGATTATTTTTGAGTCGCCAATCAGTAATGGATTTTATACAAAAACCGAATGGAACACCTTCAGTGTTCGCTGTGCAAAAAATGGAACCGCATTTGGATGACCAGTATGGGATTTACAGCTTAAGGATTTTTTATCTAAATCATCAGTATGATACAGAGTTTACAATAATTAAAGAAAAATCCAGGAAAAAGGTCAAGGATAAAGTTTCTTTTCAGCAGATTAAAGATATAGGAATTGTTATACTTAGGACTATTGAAGAGATTGAGAGAAAAAGACTTTTATCACTTGATTTAGAATTCATTAAAGACGAAAACGGAAATTTTTGACTAGCATTCTGTTCCGATTGTAAAGTTATTGACCCCGAAATTTGTTTAACTAAAGATTTTAGTTCTTTAAAAGACATTGAAGAGTCTACTATAAGCAAAAATTATTCAAATAATTTTACGTCAGCTGACGAAACACAAGAAAAAATCCCTGAAAATAAATATGTGCTAAAAAGAGGACAGCTTAGAAATGTTGATAGTAAGCTTTCATCTCCTATTAGAGTTGTTTCACCTAGAGATTCAAGTGATGAAGAAGTCCAAGCAAGTCCCAAAAAAGTCGTATGGTCCAAGTTTCAGCAAACTTTAAAAGCAAAAATATTAGCTGCAGCAGTTATAACAAATCTCGCTAAAAAGGTCAGGCAAAAAACAAAAGCTATAACTTCAAGAAGGAAAAAATACATTAACAAAACTGACCACAGCATTTTCAATAAAATCATTAAAAGCAGCATAAACGAAACCCAAGAAACTTCACAAGACGAATTAACAGTCAACTCCAATTTTTTAGAACTTGCGTCAAAAACACAAATAAAAAGCAGGTATAAAGGGCTGAGCTTTAAAATAGGCTTTGAGTTTGAAGATGCTGATATTAAAAAAGAAAAACAAAGGATTCTAGCCGCAGTTAAAGAAAATCCGCAAAATCGATCATTAGGAAGACTTAATCAAAGAGAACTGTTTTGGGATCAAGATATTACACCTAGAGAAAAAAATACAAAAAGTCTTGATGAAAATGGATACTTGAATCCTAAGAAATTCCAGAGCGCCATGACGATGAGAACAAGCATTAGACCCATCCAATCCTATAATGAATTGGTGACAAGCTCTGCAAACACACCCTCAATATTAGGAAAAGCACTGAAATCGTCAATGAATAGGGTCATAATTAAATCCCCAAGTTATGAAGCAATTAAAAACCAGCAAGTCATTCATTATTAGAGGCGACTGTATTTGCCGTGAGTTTATTAATAGAATTTAAATTTAACAACTTATTTTTACGCATATATAAATGAATTACGATCTAGCATCAACATGGAGCAAGCTTGAAACTGCTATTGGCAGCGAGCCAATTCTTACTCCCCCCCCTCCGTGAGTGAACAAAACCATTAGAAAAATCGCTATTTTTTGCCCCAAAAAACCCACCTTCCGTGAGTGAACAAAAATTTTTTTAATAAAAAAAATTTTTTATGGAAAAAATTTTTAATATATAAATGATAATTAGTATAATGAAATCTAGAGCTAATTCTATTTAATTTTAAACAAATTGCTTTTTAAAACATAAATTTTATAAATTAAATTAATATTTGCTTTCCAATTTTTGCGAATTAGGATTTTTTTAAATTTCGAAAAAGAATATTTTTTTTATAAAATTTATATATAAATTTTTTTTAAAAAAAAAAAATTAACCCCCCTCCGTGAGTGAACAAAATTTTTTTGTTCACTCACGGAGGGGGGGGGGAGAGTTAGAGAAACTCCAGAAAAAAAGCCAATGCGACCTAAAACTGGAAGACCACGAACTGGATCAGGATCATTAAGAAAAAATAGTTCTTTGGTATTTAGCAGTTTGACAAGCCCAAAATCTCAATTTTCACAAACCGTCAGAGTAAGGCCTCTAACTGCTCAATCGCCTCGATATTTTAAACACTATGCAGCCCTAAAAATAGAAGGTTTTACTTTAAACGATATAAGGAAAATCTATCAAGCTAAATGCAATGATATAAATATCCCTGTATTAGTCGATCAAGAAATGAGATTTATCTCATACTGTGAAAAAAACTTTAAAAATCGAATTATAGATCTTACTCCCCATCCGTGAGCAAAATAAAAAAAAAATTGTCGCTTACAGAGGGGATTTCTTTTTTAAAAAAATTTATATATAAATTTTATGTTAATTTTTTTTTTTTTAAATTTAAAAAATTACAACTAGTAAACATTAACTTAACTTGTATATTATACTAATAAATCACTGATATATCAAATTTTTTTCATAAAAAATTTGTATGTCAAAAAAATTTTTTATTCGCTCAATGAAGGTAGGTTTTTCGGCAAAAAAGGCGGATCTTTCCAATGGTTTTGTTCACTTGCGGAGGGGTGGGGAGTTAGAGACAACGGAATTGGACCCTTAAGTGCTCATGTACTCGGCTCAGTTTTAAAACGTGATGAAAGCTACTGTCAGCTGTTATTAGGGAAGAACGTTATTGGAGATAAAGGTGCAATTGTTTTAGGCAATTCTTTACAGAAAAATGCATCAATTATTCATATAGATATAAGTAGCAATGACATCAATCCTGAAGGAGCCAAATCGTTTTTTGACTCTATTGCCAACCACCCTACAATTGTCAGTCTAAATATGTCATCTTCTGAAGGACTGCATAGGAATAGGATTGGAAACACTGGCTCTGAGCCTTTAAGAAACTTGCTTAAACAAAATAAATCATTGGCGTTTTTAAATGTATCAAGAACTGCTTTAGGACCAGATGGAATCGAATTTATAATAGAAGGATTACAAAATAATGAGTCTCTGTTGTCATTAGACATATCAAATAATATGCTAGATGCTAAAAGTATTGAAAATTTGTGTTTCTCCCTAGTCACAAGCAAAGTCATAGAGCTGAATTTATCTGGAAATAACCTGGGAAGCGCAGGTTGTGACCACTTACAAACAATGCTATGTGGAGGGCTATCTATGGCTTGCTATTTACAAAAGTTAGATGTATCTTATAATGAAATTAATTTTAAAGGGCTTGCAAAACTTGCAAATGGCTTAAGAAACAACACAATTTTGAGGACTCTGAACTTAGAAGGAAACCCCCTGTGTGGGAATTCTTCAACTGGGGTATTTACTCTTATAGCTGGAAATGTAGCGATTCAAAATTTGAATTTGAATAGTTGCCAATTAGGCGATGAAGGGGTAAACAAATTAAGCGAAGCTTTAGACAGCAATAAAGTTCTCTTAAAATTATTTTTAGCTTCAAATGATATTGATGATAATGGTGGACTTGTTATAGCTGATGGCTTACTCCCCCCCTCCGTGAGTGAACAAAAATTTTGTTCACTCACGGAGGGGGGTTAATATTTTTTTTTAAAAAAATTATATATAAATTTTATAGAAAATATTTTTTTTCGAAATTTAAAAAAAATCCTAATTCGCAAAAATTGGAAAGCAAATATTAATTTAATTTATAAAATTTATGTTTTAAAAAGCAATTCGTTTAAAATTAAATAGAATTAGCTCTAGATTTCATTATACTAATTATCATTTATATATCAAAATTTTTTTTCCATAAAAAAAATTTTGTTTACTCACGGAGGGTGGGTTTTTTAGGCAAAAAATGGCGATTTTTCTAATGGTTTTGTTCACTCACGGAGGGGGGGAGTTAGAAAAAAATTACACACTTAAGCAGCTAGACCTTTCCAACAACCGAATTCGCAGGAAAGGAGGAATTGCTCTGGCAAATGCAATAAAAATCAACATGACGCTTGAAAACTTGAATTTAAAAGAAAATAATATAAAAGATGACGCTGGACAGCTATTCTCAGAACTATCTCGAGTAAAGCAAAACATTCTTAAACTTTCTTTAGATTTAAACCCTATTGGCTTTAAATATCTTCAAGACATAGAGTGCAATGTCAAAAAAAATCGAACAATTTTTAAGCAAGGAGTCGCGCCAAAAATTAAAGAAAAAATAAAGAGATTGGCGCTTTCTGATGCACAGATTGACCAGATAAAAGAAGTGATTGAAATAAAAAAAAGAGAAAGAGATGATATTAACATGGGATTAGAAAAACAAACACAAAGATTCAATAGAATTGAGCAAGAAGAAAAAGCCAAAATCGATACCTTATATACAGAGCTAGAAGAGAACCGAAACATCAATGTAAAACTGAGTGAAGAGCTAGAAAATCTGCAATTTGAAACAGTCAACGTGAAAAGGAAAGGCGATAAAGAAATCCAAGAATTAAATGATTTGCTAGCATATGTTGTTGCAGACATGAAAAAGCTAGAAAAGCAACGTAAGTTATAGTCAGGCCAAAGCTCAAGAGAAGATTTTGCATTAAGAAGAGGACAATTTGAAACTATGAGTGGGCAGCTCAAAGAAACTCAGCAAGTAGTTGATATCGCAAAAAAAAGCGCACAAGGATCTTATGATAACATGATGAAAAAGCTAAATGCAATGAAAGAACAACTTCGAAAATTGAAAAATCCTAACGAAGTGATTGAAGAAAGCAAAGTTCCAAAATTAGAGGAAAAGCCAGCATCTAAAACCCCAGTTATTGCAAACCCTTCCAAAACTCCAAGCAGCTCAAAACCTAAAAAAGAAAAACCTGCCTTTAAGCCTACAAGTGGCACAAAGCAATCACCTAAGAAAATCCGTCCAAAAACTGCGAAATAATTTACAATTTTATCATATAATTAACCACTATGTTTATATTCTAATCCACTCTGATAATAGACTCAGCAAACACTTCCTGTATATTTTTCAAAAGCACATTTCTCATAGCATCATCATCACTTTCTATTGTAAAGCTCACAATTTCTAAGTCTCCTCCTCCACTCTCAATCATCCCAGTTTTAATAATTTTGACTAATTCCACTGGATTTTTATTAGCTTCAGTTTCCGTCCATTCGGGAATTGGGATAATTAGATGCTTAGCACCTTGCAAATTTGCATAAATAATGACATCTTTAACCATTGTTATTCTGTTTTCTGGGATATGGAATGCTCCTTCAATGCCTTTTATATTAGAATGCTTAGTGAAAATAATTTGTTCTCCATTAGAAGAAGATTCAGCGTTATTTATTTGATAGCGAATTGGGGCGAAATGAAGCTCAGGCTTTTCTTCACTACAGCGTATAAGCTCAGGGACAATGTGTATAAGTGAATCTTGATAAGAGTAAGGAAGGACTAATGCAGAAATGTATCTTTTATAGACATTTCCTGGGTGAGATATATGGGTCGATGATTCTTCTATATCTGAGGCACTTTCTGATTCTTGTGATAGAGGATTTTCAAAATAAGAATTATTTTTTATTGGGATTATAGGGATGTCACAGATGTCGTCAGACTCAGCAACACCTAAAATAAATTTTCTTTTGGCTTGAGCGCCTATACTTACGGTAATTTCATGGGAAAAAGGCTTGGAATTGGGAATTTCCAGCTGAAGTATTGGATCGCTCGGAGTATTTTTGCTTACTCCCCCCTCCTCCGTGAGTGAACAAAAAAATTTTGTTCACTCACGGAGGGGGGTTAATTGTTTTTTTAAACAAAATTATATATAAATTTGTTTTTCGAAATTTAAAAAAAATCTCACTTCTATAAAAATTGGAAAGCAAAAATTAATTTAATTTAAAAAATTTATGTTTTAAAACGCAATTTGTTTAAAATTAAAAGAATTAGCTTGATATTTTATTATAATAATTATCACTTATATATCAAAATTTTTTTCCATAAAAACCTTTTCTATTAAAAAAATTTTTGTTCACTCATGGAGGGTGGGTTTTTGGGCAAAAATAGGGATTTTTCTATGGTTTTGTTCACTCATGGAGGGGGGGGGGAGTTAGCTCAGCAATTTCAACATACTTCCAAAATTCTTCTTTCAAGCTTGCTTGAGTTCTCAAAAACTCATTTTCAATAGCATCAACTGCTTCTTTATGCACTGAATCAATCTCTTTATGCTCATCTTGTCCAATTCCTGCTAGTTCGTGTGCATATCTATTTTCTTCGTGTATAAGCAATTTTGTTCTTTTATCTGAACTGTCTTTTAAGCATTTAGCCAGCTCTTTCTCTCTGAGCAATAAACTTGATAATGATGAAGCACTTTCGAACAATTGTGAATATGATTTCCAATGGTGATTTTCTTGATCATTTCCACTCTTAGGAAAAACTCCTGGGGATGATAAGCTTGCTAGAGGATTTCTCCTCTCATATAAGAATATATCACTAACTATTCTCATGATGTCTGGAAATATTGCATATGTGATTCCTTCTGATTCAAAAAGTCTGTCTAAAGCTGATTTTATATGTTCCCCTTTTTTAAAATAAATCTGTAGCTCTAGCTTAGATCCTGAAGGCCAGTAATAATGTATTGTTATGTCTCCATCTTCTGGGACAAATTCCATAATTTTATAATTTTAGCTGTTTGCTAAATAAATAAAGCCATGCAGCTTGCTATTTTTATAAAAATACTGTAAATTAATAGCGAGAATTATCTCAAAATTTCATTAATTTCAATTTTTTATGCATTAAACTTAAAATGACAGAAGACCCACAAGTTGATAGATATGGTTTTGCTGCTCCAAACTTGGTTTCCCTCGGAAATCTATCACGTGACAATGCAAGGCTTGAAAAATGAGAGGATATGCTATTGCGATGGGAGTACAACATAACCCGAAGAGCTGATTTCCTAAAAAAGAGGATTCGCAAAGGAGTCCCAGATTGCTTAAGAGGTAGGGTTTGGTCCGAGCTAGCAGAAATTGAGAAATTTCGGACTCAATATGCAAAGGACTACTACAAAAATTTGTCAGAAACTGAATGTGAATCAATAGCAGTAAGAGATATTTTACTTGATATTAATCGAACGTTTCCTGGGCATGTTTTATTTAAAAGTAACGGAGATGGCCAAAAATCACTTTTTCGAGTTCTCAAAGCATTTTCCCTTCACGATCCTGAGCTAGGATATTGCCAAGGTATGGGCTTTGTGACGGCTTTATTTTTAATGTACATGAATGAAGAGGACGCTTTTTGGCTACTGGAAGCCTTGATGAAAAAATACAACATGAGAGATTTTTATATGGTAGGTATGCCGGGAATTTATAAAGCGTTTTACAAAATTAATTCCTTGTTTAAAAATTATTTGCCAACTCTTTGGCGACACTTTATAGGACTCAATATTTACCCATCACTATTTGCATCATCATGGCTAATGACACTTTATGTAAATGCCTTTCCTATGGATGTAGCTCTAAGGATACTTGATATTTTTTTTAATGAAGGACCAAAAATTATTTTTAGGGTTTATCTTTCAGTATTTAAAAATACTAAAGATGAATTGCTAAGACTTGATTGTGATGGTATATTAGACAGAATTAGAACTATCCCTGATAGTTTGATACCAGACTCAGTGATTAAAAATACATTCAAAATCTCTCTCTAACCCCCCCCCCCCCTCCGTGAGCGAACAAAACCATTAGAAAAATCGCCATTTTTTTGACCAAAAACCCACCCTCCGTGAGTGAACAAAAATTTTTTAATAGAAAAAATTTTAATGGAAAAAAATTTTGATATATAAGTGATAATTAGTATAAATGAAATCTAGAGCTAATTCTGTTTAATTTTAAACAAATTGCGTTTTTTAAAACATAAATTTTGCAAATTAAATTAATATTTGCTTCCCATTTTTTGCAAAAATTAGGATTTTTTTAAATTTCGAAAAAAATATTTTTTATAAAATTTATATATATAATTTTTTTTTAAAAAAAAAAAAATTAACCCCCCTCCGTGAGCGAACAAAATTTTTTTGTTCGCTCACGGAGGGGGGGGGGAGTAAGCAGAAAGAAGTTAAAATTCCTAGAAGAGGAGTATGAAAATAGTCCAAATTCGGAATTTATGAATTGGTAATGTAGAAAATATTTTTTTACCATTAATAGCGTTTTAATAATTAAAATTGGAGACTGGAATTTAATATTCTGCTCCTTTTCGGGTATTTACTGACGTTTTTAGAAAACTCTGTAAGTAAATAATTTTCTCTAAAAATTTTAACATTTTTAGAGTATGGAGACTTTCTATCATCATTAATGCTAGTTTCTCCTATTGTTGCATTTTCGTCTACTGGAGAATGGCTTTCACTGATATTTTCTCTGACATCTCACGTGTTCCTTATATTTGATCGAAGATTTCCTCTTTGATCTAGAAATGGATGTGCTGATTCTTTGATTGAGTATAAAAAATCATGAATTCTTGTTTGGTTTTGCTTTTCAGCCTCATCCAAAGAGTTGTCGAACTCGTAGTTTGACTTATTCATTAATGAGCTGATACTTCTTCTGTACTTGTCTAATGAATCTAATACAATTCTTCCTTTGTCATGAAAGCTTGCCCTTGGCTTTGTACCCGTCATCATTAATTGCCGCTGAATCATAGTAAATTTTAACTTTACAGATGAAGATTCTTCATTTAGATCTAAACCTTGCAGCCCATATGCCAAATTTAAAAGCTCAGCTTTAAAAATTGCTTTATAAAATACTTTTTCAAAATCCTCGTAAGTGATATATTTTGACTTATTATTTTGTGAAGAAATCATTATACTTCCTTCATGCTTATTTGATACAAGTCCTTTTCCAACCATAAATTCGCCTATTTGAATATCAGTGACTTTAAAATATCTCGATTTAATTTCACTCCATCATTTTTTTATCATTCTTATATAGTCTTCTATAACACAATAGCACTTTGGGAGCTTTTTCATAGGATTTTCTTCTATTTCTTTATTTTTTCTTAAATATTCATTATCTTCATCACAATTTATCATATTCTTTGTATGAAAATCTAAGCTTTTTATCATGATATCAAGTTTTCTATCTTCTCTGAATATACAAATAAAATTTTCCCTATATAGAACTATATCATTCAGACTTTTTCCATCAAAACTTGTAATTAAAATCTACATGTATATTACTTTTTCAAGCATTTCTGCTGTTTCACAGAGCCCCAAAGCTATAAGAGGGATAATTATTTCGTCGGGACTTAAATGCTTATTATTATCTTCATCTAATGCATCAAATAAGTCTTTTATGAACTCAAAAAAATCCTTATTTTCTGTCCCAGGTATTACATGCCCATGCTTTTTTATTCATATATCTCTGTCACTAGATTTTACTTTTATTTTCGCATCAATCAAATTTGGTTTATCCTTTAACATTGGCTGACTTATATCAATTTTTGGCCTATTTATATCATTTTTCAAAGTAAAATTTTCATGTAAATCTTTCATCCCTTCAGACATTCTATGAAAAACCTGTGTTAAAATTGTATTATCTTTTGAAGACTCCGCTTGCTCTTCTATAGAAACCAAAGCTCGAATTATATGATGGTCTATATCTAGCTTTAGCTTATGATCTTTTTTTTCAAGGTTTATTGAAGTTGAGTCCATCGTTCTTGATTGCTTTGGAATTAATTTTGCCTTTGAGATTCGCTTTTTTGCTTGTGGCTTTGATATTTTAGGTAAACGAAAAATTGGCTCAATGGAATCGCTAGTAGAATTAGATTTTCTGTGCCTTGGAATAAGGCTAGGAGTTAAGACCTTTTGGCTTATCGTGGAAAAAGAACCTAAATATGACTGCAGAGAGCCAACCGGTGAAGAAATCATTAATTTTTTTTATTAAGCTGGTAGCAGTATTTAAACGTTATTAAAATAAGTTCAGCAGTTATTTGCACATACAATAAGGAAAATTTATTATTTGTAGTTAATTTGCTTGATTTTAATAAAAGCATAAATAGTTTTTATCCTTTAAATTTAAATATAGCATTTTCATATTTAACTTATTTTTAAGAAAGTAACTATTAATTTCAATAAAATTATTTAAAGAATAAATCCAAGAGTATTTGAAGAATAAATCGCATAATGCAACAATGCTTGATAATTTGAATTAATTCTCATTTCTTTTCTTATTTATTATAAAGAATAATAAAATTAAACTTTTAGTGACTCCCTTCTCCGTGAGCGAACAAAAAAAAGATTTTGTTCGGTCACAAATGGAGGTGATCCATTTTTAATATAGTGAACTACACTGACTGGCACGGGGTGCTTTTGGCTCAGTTTTCGAGCCAAAAGCACCCCGCGCCAGTCAGTGTAGTTAACTATATATTTTATTGTAATATATTTTTTTCAAAAATTGGAAAAGAAATATTAATTTAATTTGCAAAGTTTATGATTTAAAATACAAGATGTTTAAATTAAACAGAGTTAGTTAGAAATTTCATTATACTAATATCACTTTTATTAAAATTTGTTCTAAACAAAAAATTATATTAAACAATTTTTTGTTCGCTGAGGGTGTGCTTTTGGGAATTTTTCAATAGTTTGGTTCGCTCACGAAGGGGGGAGTGAGTAAATAATATTTTCAATTGAAAATTTAGAGTATTTATATATTAATATATGATTCATATTTGCCTACTTTTCCGAACAATGCTGAAATGTGTCTTTCGGAGTAAAATGAGGGAATAGGAATTCATTCATATCAAATGGTGGCTGATCGTTCAAAGAATCTTGTCTAATTGCGCCTGAATCTTGTCTCATAGCACCTGAAAATCCCTGACATGAATCACTTCTTAAATAGCTTTGGAGTGAGTCGCATCTTATATAGCTTTGAATTGAGTCTGATCGATTATAAGATTGCAGAGAATCTTGATGTGAAATCTACATAGAAACTTACTAAGCTCTCTGCAGGTATAGGATTCAAAAAGAGATCCCAATTAAACACTGATGGAATTTCCTCAACCGGTTTTGGGATATTGTTTTGCTGTGCCATGTAAAAATTATTCATCAAAGGAGACTCAAAAATACTAGTAGCTTCTGATATCTCCTGTTGTGGGATTGGCGTGGAATTGGATATGGTTATCTCTGGCCTGGGCTTAGATTTTGGTTTGGTCTGTGGAGGAGGAAGAGGGGAAGGGTTTTCCTTCTGCGTTTCATAAAGAGAATACAGAATTGACGAGCCTTCATCGTCAGCAGATTTTACTTCTTTACCCTCTGGCTTAACTTCTTTAATAGCTTGCAATCTTGAAGATTTTCGCCTGCATAAATTTTACAAATTTTGCTCGACTTCTGGCTTAGCTTTTTTACGATCCGAAGGAATCATTAAGAGACTCACAACATCTGGCTTTTGGATCAGTTCGGAAATAGAGCCACTAATTCTTTGATTTTCAGGGACTTTTCGATTATAACGCCTTAAATTTCTTCGAATGGTGCTATAAAAATAGTTTTTTATGGCGTTTTCTGTTCTCCCTGGAAGAAAAGTGGCGATTTTCGACCAACAATTTCCATGAAGTTTTTGGCTTTCAAAAAGTGTCTTTTCCTCTTCAACGGTCCACCAACCAATTTTTATCTCAGGATCCAAGTGGTTAAACCATCTCTCTCTGCATTGCTTGCCAGATCTATATAAGGATTACTTTCCTCTAATCCCGTATCTGTCGCTTAAAGCTTTGGTAATTTGAGTTCAATGCTTAAGTCCAAACTCTTTAACAAGAGCAGCAATGGCGTCGTCTGCCTACATAGATCGCACCTCTTGAGACCATAACTCTCGATCATATTTCGGCATATTTAGAGATTATTTGTAATATAAATTTTGTAACCTATTTCTTAATGGTTCTTATTATGGTGAGAAAATATTTGTTTCAGGTTTCACTTCGCTCTTTATAAGAAATATGATGAGAATTAATAATAATAAAGCGGTGGCGGGCTAAAATTTAAAGGATCCATAAGAATGCAGAGTTTTTGAAAAATTGTTATACTCTGGTCTTTGCTTTATTCAGCTTTGCAGGCTCAACTATTAAAGAAAATGGTCGACAAATAGAATAAAGCTGTAATAAGTGCTTATCTCATATGGTATTTAGTCTTAACTTTTAATTAAGAAGATGAAAGATAGCCACATCAAGAAATCTACTGATCAAATAAATAAAAAATAATTTTAAAAGATATTTGAAACTCTATAGGATTTGTGTAAAGAATTACATTTCATATATGAACTTATTTAATTCAGCCTCTAAATTTATCTGACTTAGCAATTCCAATGTTGACTTTATGCAATCATCAGAACATTCAATCATTTCCTTTTTTCCTCTGCAATCACTTATGCATCTAGGGTATTTTGCAATTGTTTTACGAAGCTCTTTTTCAATATACCAATAAAAATCACTTACGATCTCTTGGCATTTTGGCAGGCAAGTCTCACCAGTTGGATCTTCATTATTTGCGCACTCTTTTGCACAATTTCATGCAATTTTTTTCATTCTTGGCATAATTACTTTAGCTTTAACTTCGAAAAAGTCCTTGAAAAAATTTAGAAAGTCTGGATGTTTTCAGATTGTATCAAGGTGCCTCTCAACAAAAAAGTTTTCCTCATCCATATTTATATTATGTTCATTATTTAGAAATAGGTGGAACAATATCATAACTTCCTGGTCCAGGAACCCAAGAAGCATTTTTCTGAACTTCATCTAGTAATGATTTTGTTTTATATGGATTTATCACTGCTGTTCTATCTCGCTTAAAAATATGATTTTTAGTATATGCAAGATCAATATCTTTATAATTCCCAACAGGCGGGATAAATCTTGTAAGATGAGCTCGTAAATTAACAGCATTTGGAGTTTTGCTTTTAGGGATAATAAAGCTTTGGTTACCTTCTTGCTTTTTTAATGCTTTTTCAACACCATCATGATACACCCCAGGGCCAAGCTTGTCTTTATCTTTAGGCTTTTTAGGCTGGGTTTTAACCATTTTTGGTATAGGAGATTTGTATTCAACTAATGAATGATTTAAGTTATATTTTCCAGGATCTGGAGACTGCTGGGCACGATAAATAGTTGTTGATATAAAATTCATTTTTTCGCATTTGCTGCATATAAATTACTCAAATTTTCCGAGCTGTTTTTCTCTGCAAGGTTCATCTAGCTTTGGTAGATCTTTGAAATAAAAATTGCAAGCAGGGACGCTTTTACTTCTTTTTATCATTAAATCTATCTCACCTTTGCGTGACCCATTGAGAAACTTTCCATTTGGTTTTTCTCAATATCTCCTATAGTGTTTTTCTTTTGATTCTGTATACTTTCCAGGTTCTGGATCTTTTGCTCGCTTTTTTACTTCTGTAAAAGTATCTTTGCGCTTCTCTAAAGGGAATTTGGAAGCTCGGACAAGGTAAAGATGATTTTTTGGAGGAACATACCCATCAATTCCAAAAATATTTTTATGTGAGTTTATAATTGAGTACATTTCTTTTATTGGAAGAAGCTTAGGTTCTTGATTTTCATGGACTAACTCCCCCCCTCCGTGAGTGAACAAAACCATTAGAAAAATCCCTATTTTTTGCCCAAAAACCCACCTTCCGTGAGTGAACAAAAATTTTTTAATAGAAAAATGCTTTATGGAAAAAAATTTTGATATATAAATGATAATTAGCATAATGAAATCTAGAGCTAATTCTGTTTAATTTTAAACAAAATTGCTTTTTAAAACATAAATTTTATAAATAAAATTAATATTTGCTTTCCAAATTTTTGCGAATCAGGATTTTTTTAAATTTCGAAAAAAAATATTTTTTTATAAAATTTATATATAAATTTTTTTAAAAAAAAAAAAATTAACCCCCCTCCGTGAGTGAACAAAATTTTTTTGTTCACTCACGGAGGGGGGGGGGAGTAAGGGCAATTCGGAGCATGAGTTTGACATTTGTTATTTCCAAACAAATTATATTTGAAATATTTTGTAATATTTAATAATAATTAATTGTTGAAATTTAAAAATCTAACTATTCCTATAAACTAGTAAATCAAATGAAAAATGAGAATTATTGAAAAACAGCCCCCTTTTACGAATGCAAAAAATTACTTATGTATACACTTTTCTTAAATATAATTAATGATTGCTATCATAGGATCTCTAGATAATCCTACATATTTAAACAATTTGCATTCTTAAAAAAATTCTTTTTTAATATTTGCAAAGGAGAGATAAGTAAAGTGAATATGGCGATGAGCGAAAGAACTTATTAGATCTGTTTGTAATAACTGTATATCAAATTTAAAATATTAATCTTCTGCTCAATATGATTATGCCATATCTTAATCATTCATTTCTTTAATCTTAAACATTTAGATAAAAAGTTTAATTAGTCCCATCAAAATATGAGGGTAAAAGCAATAACCATTGAAAAATACATGCTAAAGATTTGATGATCTGCTTATTCCAGCTTTCGTATAAATTCTGCGTTTTAACTTTTTTTTATGTCGTAACTTCCGAAACCATTTACTATGTAAATGCAACTAGATGCTGAATTTTATAAAAATGAGTTATAATTATCTTATGGACATTATATTTATCTGTCAGTAAATCAGAATATATTTGTAACCTCATTACTAAGACATTTATATATCCACGCACAGAATGTCCAGTAATAAAAAATGGGATCCTGTAACTCGAAACAAAGATATAGCATAAGCTTCTCAAGAAGTAGTTCTAGAAAACTTACACAAAACACACTTGTCTACGAAAGACAAAACACAAAACACACATCAATTGTACCCCTATCTAATCCTGCAAAGCCTAATAGAAGGCTTTTATTAGATTATTACGCAAACGAGAGCTCAAAAATGCCAAATAAAATTAAAAAATATTACGAAGCGATTTTTGCAGAAGAAGAATTGGAGGTTTTAGAGATTGACCTTGAGCATGTTTCTTTTGACTTGAAATCAATTTACAATTTTAAGCTGATTTTGAATTTCTTTCAAAATCTGAGAGTTTTAAATTTGGGATATACAGACATGACCTCAGCAGATTTAAAACGAGTATACAAATCTATCGATAATTTAGTCCTGCTGGAAACATTGTCGTTGAAAAATAACAAGATTGATCCTTCAGGAGGCGACTATTTATCAAAAATTATAAAGCACCTATTTAATTTGAAAAATCTATATTTACACAATAATCAGCTTGGATCTGATGGGCTTCTAAAATTTTGTGAAGGACTACAGAATTTAAATAAGCTTGAAAAGCTTACTTTGGATAATAATAATTTGGAAGATAATACTGTTTTGAGACTCCTAGAAGCTTTAACCAACATGAAAAACCTCACCTGCCTAGGACTGAGTGAAAATGATATAACGTCCAAAATCGGAAAAGCACTTATTGAGACTATAGATAACCTCCCGAAGCTTGCAATTCTCCGTCTTCACAACACACAATTACACCCAAAATATTTGATGATCATCGAAAACAAATTAAAATACACAGTAAATTATTAAAATATAAATAATTTTCTTTTAATTTTATTTCTCTTAAAACTAATTAAAATGCATAGAACCGCATACCATGATGTCATGCCAAAAACACTTTATTATAGAACAGATGGGTCTGGGCGTGACACATATATTGCATATGACAATGGAGGAGTCTTTCAATCTACTGCGAAATTCCCTTCAAGTCAGACAGCGAAATCAGTAATTAGACCAAGAAGCTCATACTCAAGACCTTCAGCGAAGTCGTTAAGATATGCTCCAGATGGCTCTGGAAGAGATAGCTATATTAAGTGTGGGGACGGAGGTCTCCATGCCTCAAGTACACCTAAAGAGGGGTTAAGAGTATTTAATAATTATTTCTACAACAAAAAAAATTGAATTTAACTTCATAAGAATACCAATTTTTAATATTTTGATTTTTTGTCTACCCCTTTTAATTTGTTCCTTATTGGATTAAAAATTTTAAATTTTAAAGAATCTCTATTTTTTAGATTATTGAGTTTTTTAAGCCCATGCTAATGACTAAAGCACTTCGGATGGTTGATTCCATAGCTTCTTGTCGTCTCAAAGCCTCTGAAAACAGGCTTATTAGGCACATCTTCCCAAGCTTTTGATAACTAATATATTTTTATATATATAAAAATTTGCATGATATAAAAAATCATTCGATCAAGAATGGGGTTAATTTTCCCAAATTTTAGGAATTTTTATAGTCAATCGTTCGATCAAGGATGGGGGGGAGTAAAGATTTTTTTATCAACTTTTCGGGAAAGTTTAAGAACCAATGATTGTTTTTTGACGAGGACAATTTCGGACCCATTTTCGTGGGCTCAGCTAACTTGGAGGGATAATAGGACTAGAAGTATTAGTAGAGAAAAGAAAAGACGAGTCCAAGATTGCGTTAATAGGCTTTATTATAACAAAAGAAGCCACTAATTTAAAAAAAATTGAGTTATAGCAACTTACTTATTATTATTGTTTAATTTAATATGGATAATATTTCTAAAAGTTATTAGAAAAATTAATCCTATTCTTAATGATTTTTTAGACTGTTTATACAAAAATATTCAAAAAACAGAGGTAAAAGCAGTTATTTTATATCTTGAATTAAAGTAAACTGCTTACATTTTAAGTCGCAAAATATAAATCAGTCATGTCTGAGCTAAAGTTTAAAGGCTTTCCTTTCCGAAAAATCAAGGAAAAAAATATCCGTTCCAAAGTTCAACTGGAATTTATGGATACTTTACTTCAAGTAATTGCCAAGTCTCCTCACAAGATTTCCTTAAATATCCCAGAAACTATTATTTATGGTTACGGAAATCAAGAACCTTATATGGTTTTTACAAATGACTTGGGCCATTTGATATCGGTAAAGGCTTCGAAAATCAGCTTGTAATTATTATAAAGAATTCATCGTTTTTTTAAGAGATGCTACTTTTTAAAAAGAAATCCTTTTCCAATTATAACTCATGAACCTTAATAGATCTCTATACCCCAGCAGAACACCGACCAGAAAAATATGGTACAGGGCGCCTACTTTATACATATAAGTCTGATTAGGCGCCTTAAAACCATAAACGGAGATTTGCCATTTTCGTTTTTACTTTTCAAAAAAGCTGGCAAGTACAAATTAATTTTGGAAATTAAAATGTATGGCCAATAATGATCTAAAATATTTCAGGAAGCTATATCGTTTATAAGAGTGATAAAGGGAATTTAATGGACTCGTGCAGCACTATAATGAGCATTAAAGAAGGAATTGATCTATGGAAGTCTAAGCTAAAGGCCGAAGAGCCAGTTTTAATTCAAAGATATGTAGCTCCTTGTGCAATGTATATATCAAAACTACGGGCTTTTTATTTACCTTCAAAAGGGTTTGTGCAATGCAAGCTGATGAAAAATAAAATAAACATTAATGGTGAGATCACAAGCAGCATTCGAGGAACTCCAAAAAGGAGATCTGTTATTTTTAATGAAGATATACTGAAGCAGCCATTTGGAAATGATGACAAATTTTTGATTAGAAAATCTGAATTTATGCACTATGATGAAGCTGATTTCCCTATAAATAGTTCTATACATAATCAGCTGGAAGCTTTAAAAGCAATAATTGAAAAAGGAAATTTGTATGGGAAAATCAATGTCATGGAAATCCTGGCTGATTTTGTGCAGGATTATGACGAAAATTGGTATTTTATCAATATGGTCGGATTTAAGACAGAAAAAATAATTTCTGGAATTACTCCTGCATATTTCAGCGATAAAAAGCATAAAAGGCCATTTGTGAGGTCAAATTCTCAGCCAAAATACACTTCTCCTAAAAAATCATGAGGTCCAAAAATATTGCTAAATAACACTCAATTTATGAAATCACCAGAAATAACAATAAATAACATTGAAAAACCTCGATCAGCAGCAAATAGTCCTGCATTTACAGACTATAGTAAAACTCCTCAAGATGCCAAGAGTGTTCCAATTGGAAATAAAAGAAAATCCCAGAGTTTTTCAAACGTTGCTGCTGATGTCACACATGATTATAAACATAGGAAAAATAGTGTTTCAGTTTTAAGGGAGGAAACGCTGAAAGATTTGACTTTTATTGCACAGCGTGAGAAATTATTGTTTAGTTTGCCTCAAAAAATAAAAAAATTGCAGAAAATCTCTTTATCGAAATCTCCTTGAAATATTGTTCTGCATAAGCATTTTAGTACGCAATCCTAAATTATGTATATTTATTTTCAGAATATTGATTGAAATTATGCAGTTAATTATAAACTTAAATTATGAATATTAAGCCGAAATTAATTTTAGGTTCTTTCATAAATAATGACTATTTATTTAGCCTATTTATTTTATTTTCAATCACAAAGGCAATAATATTTAAAGAAAATAAAATTATTACAAAGATATCAGAATAATTAATTTATATTAATAATATCGAAAAGCATGAAGCAATTATAAAAGATGCTGATGATACTGTTAAATTCAATGACCTTTTATCTGGGGAATCAGCAGTAGTCCAGTTGAGGGAAATAAGGTAAGAATCATCTAAAATATCAGGGTATACAGGGTAATTATTTGTGCAAATCACATATAAACTATAATTTGTTGCAGCAGTAAGATTCCCAATTGTCAGATTTACATGCTCATTAGCGGAGACAGACACATTGGCAGCTATCTCAGGGCGGTTATTTAAATTGTATCCATTATAAACTTGAAACGAATAAGGTATCCCAGGATCGTTAGTCCTAGGAATAGCAATAGCATAAATATTGCCATCAACTGTAAGTTCGCTATTTATGATAATTGTATTATAAGTGCTAGCACTGAGAATGCTTGGCGTCGTTGCAAAACTGCAAGGCTCCATATAAACTTCGACTCCTGCAATGCTTTGGGTAAGATCTAAATTTGTTAGCATGGAGCTGAGCTGGTTTTTCTTACTCCCCCCCCTCCGTGAGTGAGCAAAAACCATTAGAAAAATCCCTATTTTTTGCCCAAAAACCCACCCTCCGTGAGTGAACAAAACTTTTTTTATACAAAAATTTTTTATGGAAAAAAAAATTTTGATATATAAATGATAATTAGTATAATGAAATCTAGAGCTAATTCTATTTAATTTTAAACGAATTGCTTTTAAAACATAAATTTTATAAATTAAATTAATATTTGCTTTCCAATTTTTGCGAATTAGGATTTTTTTAAATTTCGAAAAAAAATATTTTTTGTAAAATTTATATATAAATATTTTAAAAAAAAAAAAAATTAACCCCCCCTCCGTGAGTGAACAAAATTTTTTTTTGTTCACTCACGGAGGGGGGGAGTTAGAGGCTAGGAGCTTGGTCATATAAATTGGCTTCCCATAGTTATCTGATGTAGGCTGGTCTAAAATGTAAAAGGTTACACTAGAGCTGATAACGGTATCGAGCCTTCTATTATGATTTGAAGGGGAGTCCGGATAATTTGGGTCAGTTTTTACACTGTCTTCTTTTTCAACTACTCTATCGCTATTTAGACTTAATAATAAAGCAACTGCTCCTCGAGCTTTATTTATATCATCTGTAGTTAAATATGATTGATCAAAATCAAGTTCTACTGATGCTGCTCGGTATCTTACATCAGTTTGAAAATTTAATTGAGTGTAATCTGAGTTAGCAAACCCTGATAAATCTTCAGAATAGATATAAAAAGAGTAAAAAGTTTGAGCTGTAAGCCCTGTGATGGTAATTGTTACATTGAGATTTGATAAAATTCTGGCTGAGCCATATCCGCTTTGAGTAGTTGAATATGGGGCTGGACCTCCTTTTCTCACTTCATCGAATGTAGGAGGAATGGTTCCCCTTAAAGCCCACGAATAATAGAGTTGGCATATCCTATTAGCCATCACAAAAACTGAAGCAGAAGTTCTATTTGTAGATAATAAAATAGCATTGTATATAAGAGATGATCCACTTTGAGCGTAAACGCTAGTTTGCAAAGTTGTTTTTTGAAGATAGAAGGAGTCTTTATTAGTTCCGTTAACTGAGATACTTATATAACCATATGGTGCTATAACGCCACCACTCACTGATACCGTGAAGTTCGACAAAATTTCTCCATCTGTAAAAGTCAGAGAATCAGTAGAAATGCTTACCCCATTAGATTCATAAAGATCTAAATTCACAGTCAAATCAGTATCAGGAGCATTGCTTAGCTGTACCAATACTGGTAGAGATGTGCCTCCTACAGGGATCGGAACAATATCTTCAATAGAAATATTTGCCAAAGGACTACTCGTCACGTTAAAATAGGTCTGTAAAAGTGGGGTATAGTAAGGAGGGGTTATTTCACCATTAGTAGTCCACTTAATGCTATATCTTCCTTCTGTCATAGAAGGTGGGACACTTATCCTGAAAGTCTTATATATTTCGCCAATTTGCACATCAATTCTTCCTGGAATGAAAGAAAACCCATCACAAGAAGGAATTAATGTCAAATTTAGCGCAGCTGGATAATTAAATGACACAGGGATAAAGGTAGACATCGTCCCTGAGGTAACCTGAAAATCATTATTGTTATTTACTATAATCAAGGGGCCATTATAGTAGAAATTAAACCGGCTTGGGTTTAAATTTGGATATGACCTATCAACTATAATTGAGTTCCCTCCATCAAAGGTCTCGACTGTTATTTGCCTAGCTAGCCCAGAGAAATTGGGGTTTGGGACATCATCATGATAAAGCATTAGAAATCCTGAATATTTTGTCGTTTGAGCATTCGCAATCATGACATCATAGTACAAATTGCAATCTGGGACACCAAGTGCCCAATATGAGCTTGATCTGCAATGAACTGAAGCTTCTGATAAGTCGTAATCTTTAGGGTACCTTACCCATATAGCTCCTCCATTTTCAGTAGTTGGGATATAATTGGAAGTCGTCATATTAAAGGTGTAGTAACTTACAAATCTAGCATATGGGTATAGAGTCGTGGTATGAACTACATCATTATACCCAGGAGCAGCTGATAGAGTAAGTTTCCCTGAATATTCATTAAGTTCCTGGTAAGAGTCACCTGTAATGATTCCGATCCAAAATTCGCCAGTCTGAGTTGATGAATGGTAATTTGGATTTATGATACCATAGATTGATAAAGAAATCTGGCATGTTAAGCAAGATGGGAAATACTCAAACCCTGTTATAGATATCACATAGGAATGTGAATTTGCACAACTTAAAACTCCATTAAGTCCAGTACTATAGCACTTAAAGCTGTCTCCTAGCCTTTTATCATATTCTTCTGGGAAGGTAATTCTTATTTCAGCATCTGCCGAAATATCTATATTAGGGGTAAAAACAAAAGTATATGTTGCAATTTCTCCTTCATTTTGTGGGTAAAAATTAATTTCATTTACTTTTAATGTAGGTGCTTGAGAAGTTGTATTAACTAAAACACTTTCAGTTACACTGGAGTCTGTTGTTTGCAATACTACTCCATCATATATAGTTTTTATAGTAAAGGGGTCACTTTTAGACTGAAAAAAATTTCTTATCCCAGTGATTGATAATATAATTTGGTATGCTAACGCGTCTTGGGACATTGTAACTAAAATTGATGACCCATATCCTTTGCAAGTCTCATAATAAATAATCTCTCCCCTCATTCTGCATATAGGCTTTTCTGGAAGAACGCCAAAATTAGCCAAAGGAAAATCAATTTGAATTAGCCCACCAGCCCAAAGCTTATATGATGGGCTAAACGTAAACGTATAAACAGCAGTTGCATTAGCATTAGTTGGGCTATTTTCAATATCTACATAAGAAATTATCTCTGGGGTCCACGCGCTTTGCAAATAAATAATATCAGATACAGTGTACTGATCAATCACTCTTCCTGCCGAGTTATAGGTAATAAATTGAAATCCTGAAATGCTTGAAACTGCTGGATTTTTTACTCCAATCACTTTAGCTACAATAAATTTAAATGCTCCAACAAACCCAAAGCTATAAAAAGTCAATTGATTTCCTGAAATTATGCATGGAGTTTCTACATCAGGAACTGAATACCAAAAAGTGCATGTTGGTTGAGGGTCTGAACTTGATATAGAAAATGATGAGGGAAAAGTGATAGAAAATCTACCATCAGAAGGAATATTGTGCTGCATCATCATATTGAACTCATAAGTTGTGGCAACATAGCCTTGCCCATATTCGTGAGGGACAATCATGTAATTGTACATAGTCCCTGAGCCAAGCCATGGGAGAGTTGACGAAAATGTGATGTGCTGAACTATTGCAGAGCTTCCTATTGTATATGCATAAATCGCGTCTGAGCTTGTAGATACTGAATCAGGGTTTACTAATCCTGATATCACAATACTCCTGGTGCCGGCTGCCAAAGAAGCCGATAAATAAATTAATACCATGTCTATTTTAGGATAGCAAACACAACTATACGATGTGCCACCTACTTGGCAAGTGATGCCTGCTGAATAATAGCAGTATCCTTTATCATGGGTGGGGTTAAATCTTAACAAAATGTAAGGACTTGTTGCACCTGTAGCACTTGTTGTGGTGAACGAGTTTATTGTCAAGGAATTAGTAGCGTTTACAGTAGAGTTTGAATTTGTGTATGTGACGGATATAGAATTAGAAGCTGGAGCTGTGTTTCCTGCTGTTAAGGTGACGCTACCAGTTTCTAAGTTGTATCGTATACGGTTGTTATTTTGGTAAGTTGTTACTACAATTGTCGGGGCATTTGCTGTTTGGACGTATAATAGCCCTGCAAAATGGACTATAATAGAAGTACCAGGCTGAACTTCAGCGAATTCTGAAATAGTGACGATAGCAGGAGTACTTGCTGATGCAGAAGATGGCAAAACAGTTAGCAGACATTGAATATCAACTCCTGACCTTGCTGGAGTTAACCCAGAAAAGACTTTGCAAGGAACATTCCCTCCTTGGGATATTCCAAGTCCTAGATTAGTTCTGAATAAATTATTTCCTCCAGACATTGAAGGAAATTGAATTTCTATTAATCCTTGCATGTCTACCGTTGCGTAAGGAGTTTGCCCAGACGGAATATATTTTTGGGTTGTAAACTGCAGTGACATAATGGTTTCTGTATCTATTCCCGCATGCACAACATTACTTGATAGTGGAGTTAAAGTAGAAGCCGCCATTGTTGCAGTTCCAGAGCCACTTTCAAGAAAAGTCCATACTTCACTATAAGTATTGAAATCAAAAATATAGTCCCCTGACGCATATGGAGCAGTTATTGTTGTAATCAAAATATAAGAATCTACTGTGGCTAGGAATTTCCCAGTTATAGTAGTGCCTGAGTCTGGATAAAGTTGCAGAGTGACTACCCCATCTTTATATGTGCATGCATTTGCTGCTTGTAGCGGCATATTTGTGGGCTTGACTTGACATGTAGGTGAAGCTGTAGGTATTACAAACCCATAAGGGATATTGATAGTAATCCACCCTAATTGTGGAATTTCTACTTGTGGGAACATGTCTATTTGGATTTGAGTATTGGCACCAGTTGCTTGATTAGTAGTTGCTCCTGGGTAAGACACGCTCACTCCTGTAGGTGACGAATAGTCTAATATAGTCACATAAGCGTCATCAGAGTTTTCATCAATTACAGTTCTCCCATCAGCTTTCATCGTCCGAATAATTAATGGCACAGTGCTTCCAGCTGTACTAGGATTTGTCAGCTGAAAAATTATCGATATCAATTTTGGAGTAAATGCTGCAAAGTTGCTGAGAGTTAAGATTTTTGTGGTTGTGCTATATGATAAAGTCACAGTATTTGAGGACGATATATCATCAAGGCCGTATAAAACTTGCTGAATGCTTGGTCAAGCACAAATAGGACCTCGGGACCCCCACCCCCATATACATAGCTTTTTGTAGAATATTTAATAGTTTAAGCCTAAGTGAAGGAACTAAAGTTTTATACTCTAAACTATAGCTCATACCCCTTTATAGATCCCTTTATCGAGCAAAGTGTACTTGACTATTGAAAGACCAAAACAGACTCTCTCAAAGAGATGAGCTCAATCTCTATATCAGAAAGTTCTAAAAAGTGGCATGCCAAAAAATAGTGGCAAGTGTGAAAAAAGTTGGTAAGCAAATTCGATTAGACTTAAGATAATTAATTATTCATCTCTTTCGTTAAATGATTTAATAAAATAATATCTACATGTAGATTTGACTATGGATTATCTTTGGATTTACATAAGTTAAGATTCTACTGGAGTTTTTGATTGATATGCTTACTGGAGTTATAGCACTTGGAGATCTATTCAACCGTTTACTCAAGAAGTTCCTCCTTTGCATTCTCAATTTAAAAGTTCAGGTGCAATTTCTTCCATACTGGACTCTATCTTTATAATCGCTTAAATTGAAACAAAATTCAATTTTATAATAAAAAATTGTATAGATAAAAATCATAATTTTTATATGTAAAAAGTTTCGGTATAAGTTAAATGTTTCTTCTTAACTAAAATTAAAAAATTTAGTTATATCTTGCTCTTTTTTAAAGAAAAGAACATAGAGAGCTTTTTATTTAAATACATTTATTATCTTTAATTGCTATATTTTTAAAAATTTAATTTTATTTTTAAAAATTTTTAAAAAACAAAAAATATAATTTATTGCATTTATTTCTTATCTTATCATGCATATGATGTTATTTGAATTTATTATTTAGAAACCAAATATACGTTTCAAAACGCAGATTTTAGTGCGCCAAATTAATAATTTAAATTTCATATGAAAATAGTGTGTATTACTGCCATAAGAAATTAAGCCAAGGGATTATATTTTTTATTTACTCCCCCCCCCCTCCGTGAGCGAACAAAAAAATTTTGTTCGCTCACGGAGGGGGTTAATTTTTTTTTTTAAAAAAAATTTATATATAAATTTTATAAAAAATATTTTTTTCGAAATTTAAAAAATCCTAATTTGCAAAAATTGGGAAGCAAATATTAATTTAATTTGCAAAATTTATGTTTTAAAACGCAATTTGTTTAAAATTAAACAGAATTAGCTCTAGATTTCATTATACTAATTATCACTTATATATCAAAATTTTTTTCCATTAAAATTTTTTCTATTAAAAAAATTTTTGTTCACTCACGGAGGGTGGGTTTTTGGTCAAAAAATGGCGATTTTTCTAATGGTTTTGTTCGCTCACGGAGGGGGGGGGGGAGTTAGATAATTTTGATAAAAATTTAATGCGAATTCTTTACAAAAAATTGAAAATCTACTTTATTTCTTGCTTTATTTTAGCAAAAGAGTATAAATAGCCACTTAATTAAACAAAATTAACACTTTGATCGATAAATTTTCTAGAAATTTATTAATCTAATTCGACACATTTTTTAATTTTTTTTTATAAGAATTTTATATTGATTTTTTTAATAAGAATTTTATATTGATTTTTTTTATAAAAAATTTTCTTAACCCTTCTTTTAAATTGGAACAAATATTTGGTCCAATTTTAAAGGAGGGAGTTAAATCAAAATCCTACTGGAGTTTTTGCACGATATGCTTACTGGAGTTATAACACTTGGAGATCTATACAACCGTTTACTCGGGAAGTTCCCCCTTTGCATTTTCACTTTTGACAATTTATTTCATAATGGACTCCATCTTTATAATCACTTAAGTCAGGATCCTACTAGAGTTTTTGATTGATATGCTTACTGGGGTTATAGCACTTGAAGATCTATACAACCGTTTACTCGGGAAGTTCCCCACTTGCATTTTTAAACTCATTTCTATAAATTTATCTCAAGCACTTTTACATAAACAAATAACCAAAAATATTAAATCTATTAAAATTTATATGTAGCATTTATTATTATAATTATCATTAATTAAGGCCTGAAAAAATAGATTTTTTAATTATTAATCAATTCCAGTCTAATTGGGTATGTTAAGTTTTTAAATTATTTTATTAATAAAGCCATTTTTAAAAATTTGCGTGTTTGCTTACCAACTTTTTTCACACTTGCCACTATTTTTTGGCATGCCACTTTTTAGAACTTTCTGATATAGAGATTGAGCTCATCTCTTTGAGAGAGTCTGTTTTGGTCTTTCAATAGTCAAGTACACTTTGCTCGATAAAGGGATCTATAAAGGGGTATGAGCTATAGTTTAGAGTATAAAACTTTAGTTCCTTCACTTAGGCTTAAACTATTAAATATTCTACAAAAAGCTATGTATATGGGGGTGGGGGTCCCGAGGTCCTATTTGTGCTGGACCAAATGCTGAGTCCATCCATATTAAAATCTGTCGAGCATATTATTAAGATCGTTCCTCCTTGTTCTATAGGATTTCTCAACAGAAATTGCAAATTGTATAAAATTACTTTATTTTTTGTAAGTGACCAATTGGTGTTGTTTGGCTTTAAAGTTATTTCTGTTATTCTACCTGGAAGAATAGTGACCCCTGTGAGGCCAGTTATCCTTTCGTACACAATGTTCGTATAATTTCTTCCTGATTCAATAGTGAAAGTGCCAGTTAAGCCTGATTGTGGAGGATTCTTTGCAGCAATTCTCATAGCATACTCAGTGCTCGCAGCTAAATTTTGGTCAATCCCAGTGACAGTTACTTGATTTCCAAATGAAATACAGCTGAAGACTCCAGAAATGCTGTTTCCTTCCATATCTACAGAAAGGCATGAAGGAAATTTCGCTAGATCATACCCGTCATCTGGAAATGTGAACCTCAGCCAATCTCATGCTCCAAGAACACTACTTAATTTAAAAGTAAAGTCATAGCGAGTAATGTCTCCTGCATTTGAGCTGCCTCCACTCTGAATACTTGCAGTTCCTGAAATAATTTGGTCAAAATTTCCTGAAATTCCGATAACGCCAAACACTTGGTTCATATCTAGCAGATTATTCCCGTTCCAAGATTCCAATTGAAAATTTCCAGTTCCTCCAACTTGGCTAGGGTTTTTCACGCCATATATAATGAGGGCATTCGAAATTCCTGCTGTTATATACGAATTGACTATTATAGTCACTGTTCGTTTAAATATTGAGCAAGTGCCCAAATTGCAGATTGGTGAGGAAACTCCAAGTCCTAATGAAAATTGATCAGGAAATGTGACGTATAATTGCCCTCCTGAAGGAATGGTATGATCAGGCTGGAAAAGAAAAGTGTAATCAGAAATTTCAGAAGTTGAAGTATATGAATTGTAAAGGGGAAGACCTCCCACAGGTCAAAGAGTTCCAATACTGTCTAAAGCTTGGCTTTTTGCTTTAGTTCATATGAGAGTCAAAAGTAAAGTGATTATCATTTTTTTGTATTTGGCAATAATGAAAATAATTGATAATTTAAAAATCACACGATCAACCAAAAAAATTCAATGAAATATCAGAAATAGATATGTAAAACTTTACTATAAATCTTATTCAAAAAATTAATAGATGGAAGAAAACAAAAACGCTTTATTCGGAGCCCTATCCAAAGCTCTTTCAGTTAACATCCACAAGCCCAGTATGTATTTAGAAAAGCTTCCAGCAGGCTCTCCACCTACCCGTCAACGAGTTTATGAGCTTCTATCGAAAGACCAACGTATGCTTGCATTCGATTTTTTGTCCAGTATTACTACTAGTACACCAAGACTGGACTATATTGATGCTGTGCTGTTTGCTGCAAGATTTTTGCTTGGCAACCAACTTATAAACGAATGCTACATTTTCTTAAAAATTTGTCAAAATCATTTAGAAAGGACATGGGGTGAGCCGATTGATTATTCTCTTGTGGAAGAAATAGGAAATATGTTTTATTTGACTGGCCAGTGTAATGAAGCTGTCAAGTGGTACGAAAAGTTAATGGAAATGAACGAAGCCCCTGAAAGCAAAATGTATTTTAATATTGGCATGTGCTACCAAGTAATGGGAAACATTTCTCAAGCGATTGAAGCCTACTTAAAAAGCACACTCGCAGATTCAAGATTTACAAAATCCTGGGTCAATCTTGGAAGCTGCTACTTACAAATTGGCAAAGGCGACAAAGCGATTGCTGCTTTTCAAAATTTGCCACTTTCAGCTGAAAGTTTGACTTGCATTGGAAACGCGTACTTTAAAATGGGGAATTTCGAAGAAGCGATTGCTCATTATTTAAGAGCAATTGAAATTAAAGAAGAGCCAGGGACTTACAATAATTTGGGAGCTGCTTTAAAAAAGGTTGGACTATTGCAAGATGCGATTTATGCATTTAATGATTCTTTGGCACTGCAACCAAATGCAGATGCAGGAGCGAATTTGTTGATTTTATATATTGAGACAGGAAAATTTACTGAGGCTCAAACACTCTTTAGAAGCATTGCGAGAATTTTGCCTTCCAACGAGTCAAAAATGATTTCTAAAATCCTTGACGAAAGAAAGCCAGCAGAAAGAAGAAGCACTATGATTGGTAATAAAGCTATAGAAGGGTTATTGGGAAATTTAATAGCACCTGCGCTATCGAGAAGGCAAACAGCTGTTAATCCTTTCAATGTCACAAGTAGCCCTCAAAGCAAATCTCCAGTTACTCAAAAATCTCCCAATAATACTAGCCCTTCGAATATTTTTGGTAACGCTCTTCGTAAAATTAAAAAATAGTTGACTATTGAGTGAATGCATTTTTCTTTAATATTAATGTATATATGGTATCTTTATTTCTATCCTAGGTTCTATGGTGTAGTGGTAGCACGTAGGACTTTGAATCCTGAGATCTGAGTTCAATTCTCACTCCCCCGCTCTGTGAGCGAACAAAAATATTTGCTCGCTTACGGAGCGGGGTTATTTAAAAAGATCTATTTCTCAAAATTGGAAAGTAAACATTAATTTGATTTGAAAAGTTTAATTTTTAAAAATGCAAGATTTTTAATTTTAGCTAGATTTTATTGTAATAATTATTACTTATATATTAAAATAATTGTTTCATAAAAATTTTTATTCACTCATTTGAGGGTGTGTTTTGGGCTAATAATAAGGATTTTTCTAATGGTTTTGTACGCTCACGGAGATGGGGGTTAGTAGAACCATTTTTTCTTTATTTTGTGATATAATTTTACGATTTAGTAATTTTTATTTTGTCCTATTTAGAACTTAATTATTAAGAAAATTATATATTTCCTTATTAAAATAGGGCTAACTCCCCCCCCCTCCGTGAGTGAACAAAACCATTAGAAAAATCGCCATTTTTTGCCCAAAAACCCACCCTCCGTGAGTGAACAAAAACTTTTTTAATACAAAAATTTTGATATATAAATGATAATTAATATAATGAAATCTAGAGCTAATTCTGTTTAATTTTAAATGAATTGCATTTTAAAACATAAATTTTATAAATTAAATTAATATTTGCTTTCAAATTTTTGCAAATTAGGATTTTTTTAAATTTCAAAAAAACAATTTTTTAGAAAATTTATATATAAATGTTTTTTAAAAACAAAAAATTAACCCCCCTCCGTGAGTGAACAAAATTTTTTTGTTCACTCACGGAGGGGGGGGGGAGTAAGTATCAATTTAGCACATACTTTGACAGTTAAAAGAATAATTTAAAAAGCATGGTATGCTGTATTTCGAATATAAGCAAACTATTGGGTAGCAATTTAAGCGAAATAAATTAAAATTAATTGATTTATTATTTAAAAAATAATTCATATATAGCAAGCTACTGCTTTATAGAATGATCTGGAATTATTGTACTTTGAGTTGATCCACTATTAAAGCTCTGCATTTCTTGGGAGAATAGCTGAATTTTAATCATTTCTTTTTGCTTATCTTTTGCTATAAATTGTTGTGAAAGCCTTACGTTTTTTTGAGCCCTTATGGGTTTCATACTGACATCAAAAGCCTTTACAAAAGTTCCTGTACTTCCATACCTTCGATGAATACTTTCGACCTCATCATTTGCATTTAATTTTTTATTTAGCTTTAAAACATTTGAATTTCCTGGCTCCCCCCCTTTAAATTGGAACAAAAATATAGGTAAAATTTCCACTTTTTTAGTAAATTAACCCCCCTTTAAATTGGAACAAAATTTAATTTTATAATAAAAAAATTTTATATATAAAAATCATAATTTTTATGTAAAAAGTTTTGATATAATTTAAATGTTTCTTCTTAACTAAAATTAAAAATTTAGTTATATCCTGCTCTTGTTTAAAGAATAGAGTATAAAGAGCATTTTATTTAAATAAATTTATTATTCTTAATTGCTAAATTTTTAAAAATTTTCAAAAAAATTTTTATTTTTTTTGATAAAAATGACATTTTTTTATTTAAATAATTTTAATATAAATTCAATGTGAATTCTCAATTTTTTTTTATCAATAAAAATAATAATTTTTGTGTAAATAGTTTTGATACCAATTAATAATGGCGTATTAATTAATAATAAAATTTAGTTATATCTTGCTTTGCTTTAAAGGATAAAGAGTAAATAGCATTTTATTAAACAAATTTATTAATCTAATTCGATAAAATTTTTGAAATTTTTTTTTTTTAAATTTTATATAAATTTGTTTTATTTATAAACAATTTTATATTGAATTTTTTTTAAAAAAATTTTCTTAACCCCCCCTTAAATTGGAACAAAATTTTTTGTTTCCATTTAAGGGGGGGAGTGAGTTTTTTATTTCACTGGTTCATTCTCTGCAATCAGTGACATTTTTTGAAATAAATTTTTTATTAGCTCTCTCAGGGAGAAGATTCTTAGAAAATGTTTTATTTTGTAAATCATGGCATTTTACCCTTCTATCATTGAATAATTTATCTTTTGATTCTGCTAGATCAGTCTGGCTATTATATTTTGGATTAAATATATTATAAGTTGATTCTGACTCTCTAATTTTCTCAGTTTGCAGATCAGCCGTTTTCCATTGCTTTGCAGATCGAGTTGGAGCCCAAATTGCCATTCTCTTTTTCTTACTCCCCCCCTCCGTGAGTGAACAAAACCATTAGAAAAATCCCTATTTTTCGCCCAAAAACCCGTGAGTGAACAAAAATTTTTTAATAGAAAAAATTTTGATATATAAGTGATAATTAGCATAATGAAATCTAGAGCTAATTCTGCTTAATTTTTAAAACAAATTGCGTTTTAAAACATAAATTTTATAAATTGAATTAATATTTGATTTCAAATTTTTGCGAATTAGGATTTTTTTAAATTTTGAACAAAAAAAATTTTTATAAAAATTTATATATATATCTTTTTAAAAAAAATTAACCCCCCTCCGTGAGTGAACAAAATTTTTTTGTTCACTCACGGAAGGGGGGGAGTTAGCATGAAAATTTTTGGATGTTTGAGATTTATTCAATGCAATTTGCCCGCTTTGGAATTCCTTTATTTGAGCAGATCCCATGGTTAAAATTTCTATTAAAAGGAAACAAAATAATGGAAGATAAATATTCATTACTGCTATGCTCATCATTTATTATAATGCGTTTTCATTATTTCGGGATGGCTCCACGCGCCGCGACATTTTCTCACGTGTGGAAACCGAATCCCACATGTGGAGTTTCCACCCTTGAATGGTCCACATGTGGAATTAGGGTTCCACACACAGGAAAATGTCCCAACGCAGAACTCTCCCGAAATAATGCCAGCCCATTATAAAAACCTTATGAGAATTCAAAACTTAGCAAATTTATTTTTGTTTATATATAGATATTTGAAACGACATATTTAAAATTTATATATGCTACTCTTCAGGAAGCTTGCTTTAATAAGTTATAGATAAAGAATTTGGATAAATAAAGATAAACTACAAATTGTGAGATCTTTTTTATTTTTAATGCGATTGGGCTAATGATAAAAGTCTTACTAGTAGTCTTGCAGAGCATCAGAGCTAGGTGATCATGGTGTCTGAAGTTTATTACATTTTAAAAATTTATTTTCCAATATTTAGCCATTTGCATGATTTTAATAATATTTATGACTCAAGCTGATTTTAAATTTTCATGATTATTAGATTGCTTCACAGTCAATGATTTATTATTTTCTTGGAATAAAAAAATAATTCGCTTTGTTCATATTTAATATTATATAGGCATGGAGGAAGTAAATCCTTTATCAACGCAATATCTATCCCAAGCCCAGCCTGATATCAAGAAATTTATTAAGCACATGCACAAAAAAATCGATGAAATCCAATCGCAAATGCACGAGTCCAAACAAAATTATGAACAATTGCGAAGCGAAGCAAAAGCAATGGAATCACAAAACCTCAGAGACTCTAACGACATAACAGATAGAATTCTCGATGAACTGGACAGAATCGAGCAGGAATTTAAAAAGCAAGTTGGCGAATCGAAAACTGAGGCAGGTTTTTTAAAGCAGCAATTGGCTAGTGTAACCCAAGAAAAAATGAAATTGGAGCAAAACTCTTTGCTGCTGGCTACTAGAGTAGGAGAAGCAGAAAAAGTTATTGGGATCGAATTGATGCTTCCTCATATTGACGATCATAGAGGCTACGAATAGTTGGAAATATTATAGATTTAAATAAGGAATTACTTAATCGGAAAATCTAAACCGGTTTTTATCGTACAAATGTCTTTCAACACACATAGGCCTGATTAAATGTGAAACCTCCTCTTTTTCTACGACAGTTTTGTATTTCGAGTCATTTAAAGTGCTAATTATTTTTTCTCTGGCTGCAGGAGGTTTCGGGTTGGCTTTTTTCTCTTTTTTTATTTCTTTTCAGCTCTCTCTGCTCGTTTTTGAGTTTTCAAATCGGTTATTCTTATAATTTTCAAGCTCATATTTTATATTTTTCATAGGAACGTTATACACTTCAATAGATTCATTGATTTCAACCAAGCGATCGTGGTTTCCTTTTTTATCGTAATAATCTGCATACATAAAATGGCCGGAGACGAGTGGCCTGTCCTTCCGTGGCGGGTGTCTCTCCAGTCGAAAAGGGTCCCGATCAATAGGGGCGATCTGGCCAGAGGCGAGCAGGGTTGGGTAGACATGGCCTCGAGTTGGAAATTCGTGGTTCCCGGCAAAATCCGTATGACCCGGATCAGGAGGGAAATTGCCACTACCGAGAAACCGGGGGTTTCGGCCCGGGCTCGAGTGCCTTTATGGAGCTCACCCCGCAGCGGGTCCGCTGCGGAACGCGAAGACTTTGGAAGTGGGGACTATAAAAACACACAGCTTTAATCTAATCTAATCTAATCTAATCTAATCTAATCGTAATAATCTGCAAACACTTGATTTGGGTAGATTTGAGGTGCCTTAACTATTTGTTTTCCTTCCAGATGTTTCAATAGATTTCTTACTCCCCCCATCCTTGATCGAACTACTGACTGTAAAAATTCCTAAAAATTGGGGAAATTAACCCCCCATCCTTGATCGAACGATTTTCATATGCAAATTTTTATATATATAAAAATATATTAGTTATCAAAAGCTTGGGAAGATGTACCTAATGAAAATGTTTTAAAAGACTTTGAGACGACAGAAAGCTACGAAATCAACCCATTCGAAGTGATTTAGTCATCAACCTAGGCTTAAAAACTCAATAATCTAAAAAATAGAGATTCTTTAAAATTTAAAAAAAAAAATTTAATTTAATAAGGAACAAATTAAAATTTATACAGCTTAAAGGGGTGGTAACTGATAAATCAAAATATTAAAAATTGGTATTCTTATGAAATTAATTCAATTTTTTGATGTAAAAATTTTTATTAAATACTCTTTAACCCTCTAATTTAAAAGTAAATAAAAAAAAAAATATATATTTTTTTTATTTTATATATAAAATTTTTTTTTAATCCACATCATTGATCGAACGATAGCGAGCCGTTCAATCAAGGATAGGGGGGAGTTAGAGATTTTTCTGAAGATGTTTTACGATGCTTTACACTTGAATTTTTAGGTTTATCAGGAGAAGCTCTTGGCCGATAAGTAAGTGAGCCGTGGCTAAATGCTCTGGGATGATAAGGTTTCGGCCTATTTGAACTTGATTGAGACGAAACTAAAGAATTCAAGTATGGGCTATTTGTAAAAGATGATTTGCTTTTATGACTATTATAATGGCTTGAAGATGAGCTCTCAGAAAGCAAGCTTTTCAGAAATTTCGGTAAATTGTTACTCATGTATATAAATTTAATTAAATATTCTAAGAATAAATAATGACTGAAAACGTTGAAATAACGAGTGACTATTATTTATTAGTTTTTTACAAAATTCGTGGAAAATTATTATAAATTACTTATTTTAAAATTGGGCTATAAACTTTAATGGATTTTAGAAGACCTATGAATTTCAGAGAAGTCGCTCAGTCATCAGGTGGCTTTAAAGCAACGCCACCTATAGGTGCAAGGCCGTTTAACTCTAATTCAAGAGATTTTACTGCAAGAAATGACCAGCCAAATGAGAAAAATCGAAGTCCAGGTGGATTTAATCAAATGCCACGCTCTCAAAATCAGGGGTTTGGAGGTTTTTCTAATCCTACACAAGGAGGATTTATTCCTCAGTCTCAATATTTTCAAAATGGGCAGAACAGAAACCTTTTCCAGCAAAATGCAGATCAAATGGAGACTGAGCCACAAAATCCTGGTACAAAATTTCAAAAACATCAGAAAAATAAGCCCCAAGTAAAATCTATTAATTTTAGACCCCAATCTCAGACACAAGGTGGCTTCACGAGTGCAATTCCCACAAATGATACCTTTAGGCCAGTGCCTTTTGGTGCGGATAGTTTTTCAGCAAATAATCAAATGAGTAGCCAAAAAAAGTCACAAGGAGGCTTTAAGTCAGTCTCACAAGTCGCTCAGCAGCCATTCGGAGAAATGAGGGGACAACAAAAAAACCAAAGAAATGAAAATCCTAGAAAAGCTTTTAACCAGCCTGAAGGAGCCTTTCAAGGGGGTTTTAGATCTGGGGTTCCAAATAGGAAAGATGCTTTTCAAGAAAGAATGGAAGAAGATCGCGAAATTTCTGATATACAAGAGCCTAAAAGAGTGAAAAATGATTTTAAAAACAATAAGCCAGAAAATAAAAACAATGAAGGTTTTGGGTTCAAAAAATTCCTCAAACCTCGAATAAAGCAAGAGCCTGATGAAGAGGAAGAAGAAGAGGAGAGACCAGTCAAAACGGAAAATAGAAAAAAGATATTTCGAGAAAATATAAAAAGAGAAGAAAGGCCAATAATGCCAAGAAGACAGATAAAAAAGGAAGAAATTGATGAAGATAAAGAAGAAATCGATACAAGTAATGAAGAAATAAAAAGCCGAAATAAAGCATTGGCTACTTTTAGAAGACTTAAGAATAAACCAAAAACTGAAGAAATTATTATTCAGGAAAAAGCTGTACGAAATAGTCAAAAGCCAGAAAAACCTAAAAAATTAGAAGTAGAAGAAAAGCCAAAAAAAATAAAGATTGCACCTCAGCGAAACATGAATGAAGGAGGAATTTTTATGTGTAGCGCTGAAGAAGCGAATCAAAGAGAGCAAGCTCATACGATTCACTTATTTGAAATGGCTCCTGGACTTGATCTAACAATAGATCCTCCAAGTGTTCATTTGCCTTGGACAGTTAAAGAGTACCTACGAGCAAACTCAGGCTTATCTGAAAGTGTTAGGAATGAAGAAGCCTTACTCTTTTCTTATAATACTATATTTAATAAAATACGCTCACTTGCTTTAACGAGCAAGATATTTTTGCTCTCTAGCCGACAGCTTAATTTAATATCTTAAAAATTTTTATAATTTGTATATATTTGAAAAATTTGTCTTAAATTTAAGTTATTTTGTTATATTTAGTTATTTGGAATCTTAATACAAAAAAAATTGATTTTAACTCTAAGCCAATAATTTTTCTTGCTGCTTTGTTCGATAATATTAAAAGCATAGAATCATTTTTAAAATTAATATCACTTAGCTATATAAGAGTCGGAGAGTTAGGAAAAGTGCTTGATTATTTATTTACAAATATTTTAGACGTTGATACAAATGGCAACCCATTAAATTACACATACCCTCCTAACAGCTCTTCTCATTCTTTTAAAGAAATTTACGAGTTCATAAGCGACCGTTCAAGAGCAGTTGCAAAAGACTATAGAATTTTAGACACTATTGGCAGTGATAGTTTTATACGAGATCATGAGCGCATTGCAAGATTCTTCATCATGTCTTGTTCAGAAGGATTTAATTCCCCTGATTTTGACCTCAAGCTCAATATGGACAGGGCCAGAGACATCCTCACCTCTCTTATGAAAGCCTACAAAAAGAAAAGGAGCCAGCACATCTCATGTGAAAACGAAGCTGAGTTTATGACCTATTTAATGGTTTTAAACTTATCAAAATATATAGAAGTAATTGCTTTGCTTAAAGAGGCTACAAATAAAATCAGAAAACAGCCAATTTTCCAGATAGGGCTTAAAATCTGCATGGCTTATTATACAAATAACTACTGCGAGTATTTTGAATTGATGAAAAATGCGCCTTATTTAGTTACCTGTGTAGCTTATGCTTCTATAGATAATATGAGGATAACCGCATTAGAAATGATGCAAAACTGCAGTAAAGAAATTAGTATTGAAGATATGACAAAATATTTGTGGTTTTCTGATGAAGAAGAAACAATTGAATATTTGGAGCATAGGGGGATTGTGGTGGATTATGATAATGGAAGTGAACTGGATTTAAAAGATGTAGAAATCACGGAAACTGCGTTTAGACCTACGCAAGAACAGAAAAATATTGCGGAAAGAAGAAATGAAATGTTTTCATCGAGGCTAGAAATAATTGAAAATTCTGAGATTAGGGTGCAAGGGCGCCAAGAAGATACTGAAGAAGATGAAGAAGAGGAAGAAGAAGAAGAAGAAGGAGAAGAAGAAGAAGAAGAAGTAAAAGAAGAAATTGAGGAGCCGAAAACAATAAAAACAGTGACCTCACCTCGAGAAATTCCTGCTAAAGCCCCAGTGTTAGAAAAGAAAGAATCAATAATTCATGCTGAGCCTTCAAATTTGCTAAGAAACGCAGCATCTACAACTGAAGCTGCTGCTAAAAGTATTGAAATACCTAAGCTGGTATTTAGAGTTCCTGAAGTCCCGGTTAATCTGCCTTTCTCTCAGCCTCCTTTATTTTCAACTCCTCTTCAGCTTCCAATTTCAACTACACCACTAGTATCAGAGATCAAAGCTACACCAATTTCTCAGCAAACTTTTGTACCTAAATTAAGCTCCTCTGAAAACACTGAGTCTTTTCCAATCCTTCCCAAAAAGCACTCCAGAACTTGGAAATTCCCACAAACCAGCGAGGAAATTTTAAGTCTCTGCGAAAGCAAAGAAGAAAAAGAAGAATTCAAAAGAGAAATAAAAGAATTCCGAAAAAACAAAAAAATAAAAAAAATGATAAGAGAAAAGCAAGCCTTTGTAGCAAGACTGTTACTGAGATTTGTGCATTGGAAAAGATATGTTAGGATGAAGAAATTCAAGATTTATGTAAAAGAAAGAATGGAAGAAGAGAAGAACAGATTTTTATCACAGTTTTCAAAATGTGTTATAGATGATACCCAAGCGATGCTTAGATATAGCGAAATGAAGAGGAGAAAGTTGGACACAACACAAATGGTAATATAATTTAAATTCCCAATAATTTAGTTAGTCAAGCTCATCAAGCTCTTCTTGGTGTCGTTTTATTATATACATTAAAATAGCCAAGTGTGCTAGCCTACCCTCTTAGCATCTGCAACTGGGAGGTTCATGGGAACCGGCGACCTTGCAGAAAGATGGATGGCATCCGGAAAAATGTACTCGGCCGGGTTTAACTTGGTTTGGTGGAGCTCAATATCGGGGAAACCGAGCATATGCTCGCATTCAGGTCATGGGGTTTCCCCTTGGAATGATTCTCTGGAGTTAGAAAGGGGACGTCCAGCAAGCCAGAGGTGAGTTTCTTGACCAATCTGGCAGAATCATAGCGCGATACTAGTAGTTACATCTTGGGCTTTGAGTTTCACTTGGCAGATAACTCAAATAGGAAATTCGTTTTTCGAAATTTTCTAGAAGGCAAACTTGTTGACTTATGGCGTGGTCTGACTCTGGATACAAGTGCAAGCCCTCAGAATGAGGAACAGCACAGTGGAAGATCATATCTTGGCAGGCAAGCAAGCGGCTGAGCGTTTAAGCGGAGGTGAGTAGTGACCTGCAGGCCTACAGGGGGGATTCTCTATAAGTAATTTAATTTAAGTTTAAGGGTCGTTTTATCATGTCTTCTATTGTTTCCTCATTAATAACAGGAGGAATTTCCTGTAAATTATCTTCCAAGGATTTGTTTTTATACGGGCATTCTTCAACTTCTTCAATTATAATTTTGTTGAATTCTTGTGGTCTATTTTCTTCCTTGTTGTTTTGAGCATTTAAAAGATTTTCAATGTAGTTTTCTTCTTTTTCTTTAAATTCTTCAGGCTTCACTATTTTCACTTCTTCTAAATCAGGGAGTTGTATATCATTCTGACTTTTGTCGCCGATATATGATACTTCCGTTGCTTCACTAGAAGAATTCCACTCATCAGATGATCCTTCACTGATTGTTGTGCTGCCATTGGTTTTATTTTCTTCTCTACCCAATCGATCATTTCTATGCTTCATTGCAATTTCTCTAAATCTGTGATGCTCCAGCATTCTTTTTTCTTCTACTTCTTTTTCATATTGTCTTCTTTCTTCTCTTTCTGCCTGAATTCCTCCTCTTAGGAATGCCATTGCAAATCTTCTGTCTTCGTCAAAAACAGGTCTATCATCTAAATATTTCAAGTTCGATAATTTTGCAATTAAAATTTTTCTATAATTTTCAATTTTTCTGCACACAGGATTGCCGTGTAAATATAGAACACATAGCTGAGGCAGCTTTTCGAGGATTTCTGGAATAATTTCGACATCTGAAATTTTATTATCGCTCAGGTCAAGAATTTCAAGACTTTGAGCATCTAAAAGACCTTTTAAATCATCTATACCATTTACCCCAATTTGGTTGGCTTTTAAAGTGAGCGTGCTTAGCTTTTGAGTATTTGAAAGACCTTTAATAGAAGAAATAAAATTTTCTGCAAGATTCAAGGTATGGAGGTCAGTTAAAGTATCAAGACCTGAAATTTCTTCTATGCAATTTTGTTGCAAATAAATGCATCTTAATTTTTGGCAGCTTTCCAGTCCTTGGATATGCTTACACCCCTTTAAATTGGAACCAAAATTCTAGTTCCAATTTAAAGGGAGTTAATTTTTTTTTAAAAAAAATTATTTAATTTTTCATTGTAAAAATATAAATTGAGCACAATATTTTGAATTTTAATCTAATTATTAAAGAATTAATTAAAAAAATTAATACAAATTAGCATTTTCGCCTATAATATGTTTTTGAAAACAATAAATTTGTTTCTATTTAAAGAGGTCTAAATTACCCAAAATATGGATTTTGTTCTAATTTAAATGGGGGTTTGTTAATGGAATTTCCCTCCATGTAAAGAACTTTTAACCCAGTAAATTCATCAAGATTTTCAATTTGATGGAAGCCTTTATAATGAAGATATAACCTATCATTGAGATATCTGGTATTATAGTAAATTCGTACATCACTGCCTAGTAGCTGATTCAGAAATTTATTTGAAATTCTTGGAAAATCATCGACAATCATTTTAGTCTAACAAAATTATAAAAATGCCCAGAGCATTTGTTAGATCAGCTCGGGACAAAAACCTATATATATCTGACTATTTAAAGAGAAATGCTAAAAATATCCATAAAAGAATTCAAGTATCAAAAGTTTATTGTTTTTGTATCAAAGTCCCAATAAAATTCCTTAATTTCCAATAAAACAGTTTCAATTTAACTCAAAAAGTAAAAATGCTTTTAGAGATCTTCATAATTGATATTTAAATATGAAAAAGGAAGAACTTAAGAAAAACACTAGAATCCTTAAAGGCAAAGAAACTAGCAGAGAGTGCCTACTAGAAATCACCAATTCTTCAATAGATCACCGACAACCTTTAAAGAAACGTTCAAAAAGCTTTAAATGTCCCAATTATTTTCAAATGATCCCCAATGACCTAATGATTTGTATTTTTGGCTTTTTTTCAGCAAGTGAACTTATAACAGAAATTCAGCTGGTTTGCAAAGATTGAGAGAGAGAGATTTTAAATTAGACTACGGGCTTTATTTCAGGCCATTGCTCCAGATAAATTTTCCTTACAAAAACTGTAAAAATTCAAAGTAAAATCTTCATAAAATATACTAAATTTTTTTGATTCTTTTTTGATGACGTCATCATCTGACGGGGGGACCCTTGTTTCCCTTGAATTCAGGCCTTATCGGTCACAGATTCCACTTCAGGGGGACAAAATCAGCCTGAAGTTGATCGTCTGGTCCTCCTTCATGCCCATGCTCCGCTTGAAGCCTCCTAGCATCCTTTCTTCCATGAGTCATCCCAAATTTTTTAGCTTTTCTTCTAAGGGTTCAGGAAAAAGACCAATTACAGCTGGTAAAACATACCCCCGGATCTCCTGCGAGCTGCGGACCCTCGGACCCTATGCCAATGGCACTAGGTGAGGGTTGGCTATTTGGCCATTTCTTGCCAAATAAAAAGTATGCAAAGATTGAAGATACTTAGCAAATTCCCCTATACTCTGAAAAGAATTAAGCTCAGCCAACGTAGAATTGAAATGGCTCGTAAGGTGTGTTGAATGCCTAGCTGAAAGAAGATCTAAAGGAAGAATCTACAAAGGCTACTTAAGAAGCACAGAAGCACCTGTGATTCTAAGAAAAGTAAACCTCGACGTTACAAATGCCGGCTTTGATGATGGCGTTCCTACTTCTTTATTAAGAGAAATAGGCTATTTATCAGAATTCTCTCATCCTGGCATCGTAAAAATTCTTGGTTCCGAAGTGATCAAAAAAACGGTTTACACTTGTACAGAACAGTGCACCTACAATTTAAAAGAGTTCATAAAATTCTATGAAACAGGAAATTGCAGAAATATTCCTTTGCCAATGATAAAATCTTTATCCAAACAAATGTTTGAAGCTTTAGCATACATTCATGATAAAGGGGTTATACATAGGAATTTAAAGCCAGATAATATATTGATAACTGATTCAGGGCAGCTGAAAATCACTGATTTCACACTGTCAAGATTAGCATCAATTCCACATTATATGTACACACCTGAAGATCCTAAAGAAAGGAACCGCTCTGGTAGGGAAATTAGGAGGTTATGATATAGAGCTCCTGAATTACTATTAAGATCTGATATTTATGGATTTGAGATCGATGTATGAAGTGTAGGTTGTTTAATTGCTGAATTAATTACAAAGATGCCACTATTTAATGGTGAAAGCGAAATTGAGCAGCTTTTTAAGATTTTCAAAGTGGCTGGAGTCAACGAAGATGAGGTTTCAACTCAGGCAAAATCTTTCCCAAAGTGGGAAAAAATTAATTTTTCTGATGTTCTTGCTGAGCCAAACTCAGAAGAATTTAAAAGGATAATTTCTGCTTTGATACCAGCGCGTGAGCAAATATTTACAGTTCTAAGGCAAATAGGTGCTATTATTGGAGCATCTGGATTAGATTTGCTGCAAAAATGCTTAGACCCAAACCCAAAAACAAGAATTACAGCTTCTCAAGCCCTTTGCCACCCATTTTTTGACATAGAAATGAGCTCCCCTTCAGACTCTCTACAAAGTTATATTTCTCACCTTCTCTCTTTAGAGTCCCAAATTTCCCCAAGCCCAAAATATTTGATCATGCAAAAAGATATAAATGCGGCAATGAGAAGCATTTTAGTTGACTGATTAATAGATGTTGCAGTCCATTTTGAAGTAAATGATGAAACCTTGCATTTAGCTGTTAATTATATTGATAGGGTTTTAAGTGTTGCTAAAGTAGAAAGATCAAATTTACAGTTAGTTGGAGTCGCTTGTATGAAAATCGCTGATGTTTTTCATGAGAGATCTAAAGAATACTATAGACAGGAAAATTCAATAGAGTATGCCTATATTACTGCTGATGAGTTTACAGCTGCTCAGGTAGTGGAGATGGAAAAAGAAATATTAAAAAGGATAAAATTTAGAGTTTTGGCTCCTACGACACTATTTTTTATTAAAGCTTATCAAGCTGAGCTGAACTTGGATCTAAGCACTTATAAAATTGCTTTATTCCTTTCTGATCTTATGCTGCTTTCATATGAAAGTCTTAAATATAAGTACTCTTTGCTAGCCGCAGGAATTATTTATATAAGTTGCGCATTTACACAAGGATTTCCAGCACCTCAAAATGCTGATTTTTTTACGAATTTTCCAAGTTCAGACTTTAGCTCAGTCATTGAGTTTATTAAAAGTTTTTGGCTTGATGCAAAAACAAATCCCCAAATTTCAAGATTTGAAGCAATAAATCATAAGCATCAGGACATTAATCCTCGACAGCTTTGGCCACCGTCTACGCATTATCAAAATCGTTATTTTTAAATAAAAATGATTATAATTTTTTACATCAAGACTTTTTCACCCACTATTTTTGTAAAATAAAAATGCTCTAAACCCATAAAAGAGCAAACATTTCTATAATATAGCTAAGTATGCAATTTAAAACGCCAACCATTTTATAATAAGAATGGGATGCTTCTTGGTAAAAGGGAAAAATCAATCGCAAAAAGTAACTCCATATACAACAGACCAATCATGTGTACATACAATCAACTCTGACTCTGAAACCGCAATGAAGATTCAGCAAGGCGGTCTTAGCGATAATTATGAAATAATTAAGGAAGTGCAAAACGAGAATAATACAAAGACTTGGATTTGTAATTTCGTTCCTCAGGATACAATGAGATTTGTTAAGAGAATAAAAAAACAGACTAATCAGCCTATTGAGGCTAATTGTAAAGAAATAAACCAAGAAGTAGAAATTTGAAGGAGGATAAAGCACCCAAACGTCATAAAATGCTATGAAATTTTTGAAGATGATGCTAGCTTTTACATAGCTACTGAGTACTACGAGGACTCTCAAATTTTAGAGAACCTAATTGAGCAAAGACAGTTTACCGAATACGAATGCTTATCAATCATAAAGCAACTTCTTACAGTCATTACCGTTTTACATAGTAAAAAAATAATCCATAGATCAATAAACCCTCGAAACATTATTTTAGATAAAGATGGGCCAGTCATAAAACTCACTGGATTTGAAACAAGTTCAATATTAACAGGTCTAATACTCAAAACAGACAAACTCCGACGGTTTTCTCAAACCTTATCCCTTTTCACCGATAAATACACATTTTCTTGGTATTCTGCCCCAGAATTCGATTCCAAAATGTATAATGAAAAATGTGACGAGTGAAGCTGCGGGATTCTTCTTATCGCTCTTTTTACAGGAAAAGTGCTTCCCTTTGAAGATCTTCACAAGGAATTTAACACCTCAATTCTTTCTGGGTTGATCGAATTATTGAAAGAGCAGAAAATTCCAAAACTCGCAGCAGAGCTGATACGAGATCTAACTCAGTCAGACACTTTTGCGCGGATGTCTGCTGGAGTAGCACTCACTCACCCTTGGATCCAACAAAAAAAGAAATTAAAGCCAGTAATCATCATTTCTCCTTCCCAAGAAATCCAAACTTAGCATTGTAAATATTAATCTATAATTAATTTAATATAAACCTCCATCATTTCTATATAAAGCCTCTGCAATCTCACTTTTTCTTATATTTAAAGTTCTTTATTTTCCAGAAACACCCACTTTTAACAATATTTTAAAATGGAATCAGATCATGAAGATCTTGGAGGTGAAGTTTTCACATGGGGCTCAGGTGAAATGGGACAGCTAGGATTTTCACCAATCGAAGTCGCACAACTGCCAAAAGATTCAGAAAGTTTTCCATATCAGCCTTTTCCAGTCCCAATAAGAACTCTGTCAGGCTATGTTATCACCCAAGTAGCCGGTGGCGATGGCCACTCGCTTGCAGTTACAAGTAATGGCCGGGTTTATTCATGGGGTGCAAGTGCGTGTGGCCAGCTCGGACTAAGCGATATAGATCAAATGCCAAAAGATTCTGAAGGATATCCCTATCATCCAGAGCCCAGACTTACAGAAGGACTTTTAGATTTCAAAATTGTTTTGGTTTCTTGTGGAGACGCACATACAGCTGCACTCACATCAGAAGGAATTGTTCTTACATGAGGTGGGGGAGGCTGTGGACAACTAGGCCATCCAGATACTTTAAATATGCCAAAAGATGATGATGGATGCCCGTTTCAGCCGGAGCCGAGGATAGTGGACTCTTTAAATGTATCAATAAAACATATAAGCTGTGGAAAAGCGCATACAGTCGCAATAAGTGAAGAAGGACTTATGTATACGTGAGGAGCTGGGGCATGTGGACAACTGGGACATCCGGATACGTCGGTGTTTCCTTTGGATGAAGATGGGTATCCATATCATCCAGTCCCGAAATTAGTATCTGCACTTAGAGCTTATAAGCTGAAAATGGCAGCTTGTGGAGATGTACATACTCTGGCTCTATCAGAAGAAGGAAGCTTATATTGCTTTGGGGGTGGGAGTTTCGGCCAATTAGGTTTAGGAAACATAAAAAACTTGCCTGTAGATGTTGATGATTGCCCGTTTATGCCGATTCCTAAACAAATAGAAACTCTTAAAAAAACAAAAATTTCATATATTGCATGTGGAGATTCTCATAGTATGGCTGTTACAGTAAATGGAGAACTATATGGCTGGGGAGCTGCAGCTTGTGGGCAACTAGGCATTGAAGATACAGCCTATTTACCAAAAGATCAAGAAGAGTCTCCTTATGAACCTTTGCCTAGACTGATTACAGAGCTAAAAGGGAAAATCGTTACTTCAGTCGCATGTGGAGAAGCCCATACTTTGGTACTCACAGACCGAGGAGTACTATATAGCTTTGGTGCTTCAAGTTGTGGGCAACTAGGACTTCTACAGCAAGATCTCACAGACAACACAAAAAGAAGGATTGCAAGATCTATACGAGACTCCGAACAAAAATCAGTTAATTATCAGCCGACGCCTAAACTAATATCTCAATTGCTATCTAGAAAAGTTTTAGCTATCGCCTGCGGAGGTGTTCATAATATTGTTATAGCAGAGCCATCACCCCAATCGCTTGCTGCAGATTTGTATTCTTCATTCAAACAAGGGCTATTTACAGATGTGAATTTTGTGTTTAAAGTAGGATCAAGAGAAGAAATCATAAGTTGCCATAAGATTGTGCTTGCAAGTCGTTCTGACTATTTTAAGCAATTATTAAAAAATACGTCGACGATAGAAATGACGTATTCAAAAGAAGCATTCAGCAAAGTAATTGAGTATATCTATTTGGACGATATGGAAATTCTACTGGAAACAATATCATCTTGCAAATCTTATGACCAAGTTGTAGAACTCTTAGAATTAGCAAATAATTTTAAATTAAGTGAACTGCAAAAAGCCTGCCAAACCCATCTAATGCAAATTTTAAGACCCTATATACCAGATCCTTTGCCAATAGACCATGGAAATAATTTGAAAGGGCTAATATTCTTGCCTGATGGGCGAGCTGCAATTTTACCATCAGCTGCTTATCAAAGAATGCTATCAGAGTCCATAATGCTTGATACTAGAGACCAAAATTCTCCTGAAGTGGAGCCTAGGCTGTATCCATTGGGTATGAATTTGCTTAAAGAGCTAAATTCTCCCGAATTCAGCGATGTCACTTTAATTGTTGAAGGAAAGCCTATTTATGCTCATAGAGTCATAATTGCTGCACAAAGTCAATATTTTTCTGCTTTATATAGCCATGGATTTCGAGAAGCTAGAGAAGGGATAGTTGAAATTGGAGATGTTACATATAATGGAATGATGAATTTATTAAGGTATTGCTATAGTGATGAACTACAAATCGACCTAGATACAGTTCTTGATTTGTTTACATTGTGTGAAAGATTTTCTGGGCTCAGCAAATTTATCCAAAACATCAGGAAGCTGGCTTTGAGAAAAATTTCTGAAAGTCGTTTTAGCAAGAAAACCATGAAGTCTGTTTTTGGAAAAAATAGTTAAGTCGAATAAAATAAACTTTTAATAGAAAATTTTAACCGACTTGCAATGGTTTTCATTTAATAGACATGGATAAATGGTATGAAGTCGGAGAAGCAAAATACTAGCGTGACTGAGAAATGAAAAATAGCAGAGTTGGAGATAAGAAATCTACATAAGTCGCGATCTTAGGTTATCGGCAAGTTGGTGCTAAAATTAACGGAAATTTTGATGAACCCTACCAAGTCTTCAATATAAAACCAATACAAGTCGAGTAATTAAAATATGATCAGATCAATTAATCTAAATTTAAAAAAAAACACCATTTTCTTATATTTTTTCGATAATGTAAAATATATATAAATTTCAGTGTCGTGATTATGAAACCATTTATAGTAGAGAAATTAAAACTGTAGCAGGTAGGCTATGAGAAATATTAGGAAGTCGTTGCGAGTTTTAGTATCCAATAAAATAAGTATAGTCGATTAAAAAAAAAATAATTAAATTAAAATCTTTGATTGGGGGTCTTAAAATAAGGCATATAAAATTAAATATGAATCCAAGATTTACTCACCCTCTTTACGGCAATTTCGCAGAGATACTCAGAACTGAAGATAACGCAATAAATTGGTGCCAAGAAGTGAAAATAATGCAGCCAAACATTTGTGATATATGCCATAATCCATGACTCTCTTATTGAAATGGAGGATCTATGTTTCTACGTTGTACTTTATGCAATTTAAGTTTTTCAATTCGAAGAAGATCCATATTTTTCCCAATCAAGACTCTCAATAAGCAAGATGGTTAGGTTAATTTTCCATTGTTTCGTCCGAGAACAGTCCATGATAACTATTGTTGAAGACAGCGAAATATCAAAAGATGCTGTTATAAAGCTGTTTAAAAAGCTGAGAGCTTTAATAAGTGAACATGAGATTGAAAATTATTTTACTGATAATCAGCTTGGAATAGAAGATGAAGATGGCAAGATCATCCAACTGTAGAACTTGATGAAACTCATATTATGACTATGGATCATGATCCCAAATGGCTATTTCGGAATTTTTTGACAGAGGAACAGAAGACTATAGATTTTACTATGTAGGCAACGATAGAACTTGGGAAAATTTATCAGGATATATTCTAAATGCAGTATCAAACGATCAAACGAATGCTACAGAAGTATTTACAGATGGCTGAGCAGCTTACAGACAGCTTCCAACATTAGGATATCGTCATTCAATTGTTTTTCATAATCAAGACTTTGGAATTGGAAGGCAAACAACTAATCATATTGAAAACGTTTGGAGCAGGCTAAAAAGACTAAAGGCTTATAGAAATGGTTTTCGCCCAAAAAATGAAAAAGATTTGGATAATTACTGTATGTTTTTTTATTGGCTTCTCAAACTAAAAAATATACCAGAAAGAATAGACTCATTGATACAAATTTTAAATATCTCTAAATTTTAATTTAATTATTTTTTTTAATCGACTATACTTATTTTATTGGATACTAAAACTCGCAACGACTTCCTAATATTTCTCATAGCCTACCTGCTACAGTTTTAATTTCTCTACTATAAATGGTTTCATAATCACGACACTGAAATTTATATATATTTTACATTATCGAAAAAATATATAAGAAAATGGTGTTTTTTTTTTTTTAAATTTAGATTAATTGATCTGATCATATTTTAATTACTCGACTTGTATTGGTTTTATATTGAAGACTTGGTAGGGTTCATCAAAATTTCCGTTAATTTTAGCACCAACTTGCCGATAACCTAAGATCGCGACTTATGTAGATTTCTTATCTCCAACTCTGCTATTTTTCATTTCTCAGTCACGCTAGTATTTTGCTTCTCCGACTTCATACCATTTATCCATGTCTATTAAATGAAACCATTGCAAGTCGGTTAAAATTTTCTATTAAAAGTTTATTTTATTCGACTTAACTATTTTTTTTCCAAAAACAGACTTCATGGTTTCTTGCTAAAACGACTTTCAGAAATTTCTCAAAGCCAGCTTCCTGATGTTTTGGATAAATTTGCTGAACCGATTTTCTGTGCCTGGAGTGAAACAAAGAGGCGAATTCCAGCTTGTGCCCAGTTTGAGCGTTGAAAGAGCTGCACAACTGTTTAAGTATGCCAAAAATTTCCAATGCGGACGGCTAAAGGAGATTTGTTTAGTGTATATTGAAGAGCACTTTAATCAAGTTATTGGAACGCAGGCTTTCGAGGATCTTGATAAAGATAGCATTTTGGAAATTATGAGATTTAATAAATGCTATAGATAATGTTATTGATATTTAAGGTTTTGATTATTATGAGTTTATAATAAAATTGTGAATGTCAGTATCGAAACTGATTTCATTGTAAATTGAAATAAATTCTGATGACTCTTTTTCGTTGGCTAAATCTATAGAATTAGATGAATCAGATTGATATTTTGACTTGTCAATATATTGCAATATGCTTTCATTTTGCTTATCTGAGTCTCCCCTTTCTACAAATGAATCTTGGAGATATTCAAATTTATTAATCATATCATCCCAACTTTTGATATATTTCTGCTTTCTCTCTTCCAATGCCACTTCTTCTGCGTGGATTTCTTTATATTTTTCAGATATCTCTAATTCTTTTTCGCAGATTATTTCGTCTCTTTTTTCTATTTCTTTTAAAACCTTTTGTAGAATTTCTTGTGAAGATTCTATTTCTTGCTTTTCCCTCATGCTTTGCTCTAAGAAGTCATTTTTTTCATTTTCAAATAATATTTTTGCTTCATTTAGCTCGCTTTCTTTTCTGGCTATCAAGCTTAATTGATTTCTAATACTGGCTTCTTTTTCTATCAGCTCATTATCTTTTTCCATAAGCTTTACTTGCATTTCATCTATTTCATACATATTTGTTTGAGAAATCAAATCATTATACTGTGCTTCTTTACTTTTTAGAACGAATTCTCTTGCTATTAGCTCGTTATTTTTTTCTTCTCATTGGTTTATCTGATTTGAAAGATTTGCTTCTTTTCTTTTTAAGATTTCATATTTTTGTTTTATGTCATCGTTCTCAATTTGAGAAATAATATCATTTATTTTCAGCCTACATTCAAGCTCAATATAAAGGCTATCAAGCTTATTAGCTTTCGCCACATTTTCTTTATCTTTCAATTCAACAAATTTAATTTTTTTTGCTAATTCAGCATCTCATTGAGCCAGATACTTTTCTTTGCTCATTAGCTCTCGAGTTTTTCTCTCCAAACATTCAGAAAACCGCTTTATTTCATTATCAGCATTTTCTCTATGGGTGCTATTTTGATTATTTTGCCGATTATCAGTATTCTTTAATTCAGCTAAGCTTTTGTCAATAATTTCATCAATGTTTATTTTTCCTGAAAGATTTTTCCTATGCTGATTTGAGGCCATTTCAGATGAAAGCTTAAGGCTTTCTTCTCTATTTTCTATTTCTTTTTGTCTTCTATCCAAGGCTGCACTTCATTCTTCAAGGCTAACAAGTTTATCTCTAACGGTTCTCAACAGTTTTGTTATATACTCATTGTTTTGCTTTGAATTAAATTCGTTAACTGTAGCGATATTTCCTTTAATGTCACCCATATTAGCACAATCAGTAAATTTAGGCTTATTTTGTGATTTCTTACTAGAATGGTTTATATTGGTATTTGTTTCGGCAGGGGTGGAATTATATGCACAGGCAAATGGATTTTCAAACTTTTTCTCAGGAGAGCTTTCTCTGTATTTTGTGAGTAATTTTTTAAGATCTTTCATATGAATAGTATCCAAGGCAATGGTATTGCAGATGCTAGAGGAATGATTGTGCTTTTTCATGAATAATTTATATGAGTAACATATTTTTACATAAAATCTAGAAATTTAAAATATGAAGAGTTTCTTTGGATTTTATATATTCTAGGTCTAATTAATACTAACTGCAATTAGGAAAAGTAAACCCACCGCATGCAAGTAAAACTATAAAGCCTATCACAACAAGCAAAATTGCAATAATAATCAAGCTGAGTTTGAAGTTTTTTCACCACATATGTCTTTTAACTCTTGTAGAAGTTTTTCTCAAAGTGACGGCTTGATCACTCATATATGCTGTCTTGCTAACCAAAAGCTCAATTTTATCTCCTCGGGCAAGAACTTTATCAATATTTTCAATCATAACGTCTCTTGTCTTATCTAGCGTTTGCCTGACAATCTTCAGTTTATCTGCATTAGGATCTGTGTTAAAAAACTCCATTCTCTGTTTCATTATATACTTAATTATAAATATTAAAAAATTTGGCATAGTATTTACCCCTAAGTTTTTAACAGAAAAGAGAAATATTTAAGTCAATAATAATTTATAGACTCTCTACTTAGATATATCTTCAAATTGCTTGCTGGCAGAAAATCCAATAGCTTTTTGAGCTTCTTCACCGAATTTTGCCTGGAATTTTTCTCTTAAGTCGAATAAGAAATTGTAAGCAGCTCTATTTGAGAAAGCAGCATCTGTCATACATAGATATGTGAAGCCAGAATCATTATGATAATGGAAAATATACTTATCTTCATAGGAATATGATATTGAGGAGTTTGGCTTTATTTTTTGAAGTATTTTTAGAGCCATCAGTTGAAAATTGCCTTCAGCCAGAGAGACTTCTGCAAGGGGTGTAGGATTATTGTCATTTGCGACAAGAGCATATATAATTGATGATGACATTTCTTGTAAATTATGGCATTGAAATCAATTGATTACAGATAAAAATTTAATGAATTCTGCTAATTATTAAAAAGGCTTTTATTTTCAATTAATTCAGCAAGCAATTTTAATCTTTTTGAAAATAATCGAAAGTTCTTAAATATGCATTAGAACGTTGTAAATTTGAATCATCTAAAATAGTAAGCTACTTTGAGCAAATGACCATCTTAAATTCTAAATTTCAATGCTTTTTAACTTAGAAGCTTTGAGCTTTCAAAAAGATACCAACACACACAGTTTTAGAAAAATGTAATATATCATATTCAAAATACATTATAAAATGTCAAATAAAAGATTAGTTGATTCAGCTTTAGGCGTAATTTATAATTAGAGCCAAGCAGTTGCCTTTAATTACAATAAGCTCGCAGTCGAATGTATGAAATCAAATAACCTCGAGCTTGGCTTAGACTTACTTCAAAAAGCATATAAGATTACAAAAAATCTTCCATCAAATAGTAATCATCTTCTCAAGCTAACAACCCTCAATAATTTAAGCTGCGCTTATATGAGAATAAGCAGCATAAAGCAGGCCAAAGAAATTCTTAATGAAGCTTTGGAAGTTGCCTCCACATTATCTACAGGATACAAAGAAATTGCTAGCACCTATTTGAATATCAGTGCAATTGAATCCTCATTTGGATTTCACAAGGAATCACTAGCCCACGCACAAAAAGCCTTAAAAACCCTTCAAGAAAATAACGAAAACAGCTCATCAACAGCGATAATTGCATTTTATAATATCGGTTCTGAACAGCTTCAGTTGGGAATTATAGAAGGACTTGACAACTTAAAAACGAGCTATGACTTAGCAAACTCAAATTTATCACCTAACGAGCCTTTAATTGAATATATCAAAAATAACTATGCCGATGCTTGCTTAAAATACAAAAAAGTCCCAAAAGCCGAGAAAATTATGCCGAATTTCAGAATAAAATCCAAAACTTCTGCTCAGAATTTCGACCACTTAAATTCACAAAAAATGATTTATAAAAGCCAAAAAACGTCTGAGTCTTCATCACATCCTAAAATAAAGGCAACACGGGCTGAAATCAGCGTAGCTAAAGGAGGGTCTTGTGATTATTCTAAAGGTGACGACAATTGAGCTATGAAAGTTGGCAGCCAAAAGAAATTAAAGCCATCGCCGAGGATGACTGAAGGACTTAAAAAAATCAAGCCAAAAGAGCCTGACGGAAAAGTACTAAAATCGAGATCTGGAAGGAAAATCAGGGTTCTTCAAAAGCAGTCTACAAGTGAAAAAAATTCTCAAGCTTCAAGCGAAGGTTCGCTCATAAAAAAAGTTGAATCCCCAAAGCCAGAAATGGATAGAATTACTTCAATAAGCGAAAAAATCGAAAGCCTTAAGAGACAGCTGTGCAAGTTCGAAGAGGTTTGCAAACCTTTAAAAGCAATGGACTTAGAGTCTTTGGATTCTCAAGCATCATCCGATAGAATTATTACTATTAGAGATAAAAGCGCAAGAATTATACAAAATAGTGTCAGGAAATGGCTGAAACATATAAGCACAACAAGAGAGCATACAAATTCGTTAGAAAATCAAAATTTAGAGGATTTTCGCTATAAAAAAGAACAAAACTCATTGAAAAACCTTATAAAGCAGCATGAAAGAAGCTCTGATGTAAGCAGCTCAGATAAAGATGGTGAGACTCCAAATAAAACAGAAAATCCACTTTTTGTTAGGGTTAACGGCTATAATTCGCAAACAATTTCTAATAAAATCAGCTTGAAATCTCACGCTAAAGCATACGAAAATCTCCGAAGGCATAAAATCAAGTACGATAGCGTCAAACCTGTTCAATAATTAATAAAAATTTTGAGTTAATAAATAAACATTATTTATTAATGATTCGAATAATTCTAGCAAGCCTGATGCTCTTTACAAGTCTACTCTTAAGTAATTAATTTTTTTTGTACCTAATCCATAATATAAACCATTCTTATGCACATTTTTGTATATCTACTTTTATTTTTCATCTCATAAAAACCAATTAGATCAACAATGGATCTAGACTTACTTAAAGAAAACCTCTATATGTCCTTAGAAGATTCAAGGGATGACTCTATAAAGCTTTCAATTCTCAAGTGCTTCTACATACAATTAGTTAAATATCGCGTATCCAGAAGACCAACCAAATCTATTTTATTTACAGATATCCCTGAATTATATCGTCGATCATTTAAATCTAACCGAAACAGCCGAAATTTCAATAATTGCAGCTCGCCACCACTAATGCAAGCTTTATCTGACCCTTTCAAGCGCACCAGCTCAGACGAAATAAAGCTAGGATTGAATAGCCTTGACGATATAGGCTGAAAACAGAAAAATAAATTATGTAAATCATAATCAGACAGTGATGAAGAATATGATTTAATCAGGAAAAACTTTTTATTCTTGTTTTCTATCCACCGCACTCAAGAAGGCGCAAGAGTGCATAATGGAACTCATGAAATACACAAGTCGAATATTAAACAATTTTTTCTGGACTGCTCAATATCGTCGTTGCGGATGCTAGATATAGCAATGTGCAATATTCAAGATACTTTATGAGTCAATTTATCTGATTTCACTAGGTGTATAGAGGAGTTCCAGAAGTTTATCATGGAATACTCAACTATTTTAGCGCAAGATCCTGTTTTCAGGGCCAATATCACGATGCAGCTTCTTTTATGTAATTATAAACTTAGTCTTCTTTCGATTTGTCGATATCCGCAGAAGAAATTTATTAGACAAAGTAGGCCTTGAAATAGCTTTAAGTATGGCGTCAAAGAAAAAACGCAGCAAAACTAATTTTACTGACCTTGTAAACTTTTCATTTTCAAAAGTTGAAGAAATTACTGGAGAACCCAAAATTGAGATTTCCTTTGAAGAATTTGAACAAGCTTTACAATAAATATATTGTTATAATTCCTTAAGTTAATCTAAACTGTTTTGCCAGTTTATAGAAGCACACAGCAGGATGGTCGATAGACTCCGATTTTTTTGTAAGAGTTGAGAAACTTTATCTGGTAAAAATTCAGGGCTCCCTGCCTATGTTTTCTGATCAGACTCACTGCGTGATTCGGATCCAAGCCAGCTTCTATCAGAGCGATAGCCACTAGCACAGGAGCCCTTCCCAGCCCAGCCAGACAATGCACGGCTATGCATGGCGATTTTCCTTGTGTGACCTTAATTTTTCCATTCTCAAAAAATGTGTTCTTCACCAAACTGAGCCACTTGAGGATTACTGCTTTAGGAGGAGCTGATCCATCAGTAAAATTCAATTTCTACTTACTCACCCCCTCATTGAGTGAACAGTAAAATTTATATACTTTAAAATGCAATTTGCTTAAATTTTAGCAGAATTAGCTAGAGATTTCATTATAATAATTATCATTTATATATCAAAATATTTTTCATAAAAAATTTTTAGGGTGGTTTTTGGGTAAAAAATCGAGATTTTTCCAATGGTTTGTTCGCTCACGGGGGAAGTTAGTTCTTACATGGATTTCAATTCCTCTCTCTTCGAAAACTCTATCATCATACATCCCCTCACATGTTCTAGCTAAATGAACCACTCCTAAATGCTCGAGCTCTTCAGCATAAATTTCAGCATTTTCGTCGGAAGGTGCATCCATCACAATAAATTTTAATCCTCCGCTCGAAATCAATGAAGGTTTGTTAATCATTTCTCATTTATATTGCAATGGGATCGATTGATTATTTTTGATAATTATTTATCAATTACATAAAATATTTAGGAAAGACTTAACAGAAATATCGCATCATATAAGCAATTGATTTAATTAAAAGTTGTTTTTGTCCATAAATATAATATAACTTATATTTTATGCTAATTGATAATTTTCATTGTTGTCGAGCAATAGTTGTATAGAATTTGTAAAAGCGGATATATAATCATTATTATTAATCCCTAAAGAATAAAATAGAAATTTCAATTAATGTATTATTGGCTCAAAGCTAATTATCATTATTATCTTTATATAAGTCAAAGCCCGAACAAATAGATCATTAAATATCAGTCAGAAATTGCTCAGGCTAATAAATTAGTCGAACTAGATACCCATATAAAATAAAGATGCTATGCTAGTTACCTTAAATTAATAGAATAAATTAAAAGATATCTTTTACTTAATTAATTTTAGCATGAAATTGATAAGTCTCCTAATCTTAAATGCTCAATTTTCTTTATTGAAAAGCATTGATACTAATACTTTCAGGGTAAAAAGATAGAATTTTCACATAATGAAAGAAGATCTTAATAATTAGCAACAACTGAGAGTTATTATTTTATTTTTTTAAATTATAAAATACTGAGAGATGAAATGATGATTAATTAAGCACCCTTATTCACTGATAAGTGTTGGATGCCAAATATTAAGTTATTAAGTTATCAAGTAAACAACTAAATGGTGTTGATTAAATTGGATCAATATGAAACCAGCAAATTCAAAAAATTGATACATTCTAACAGTGACATAAATTACAAAAATATTAATGGAAATAAGTATTCCAGGATTCAGAGAAGTAAAAGTTGGGAGCAAGAATTATATTCTCTACACTATAGAAATCGTATTCGGAGAATGGCGAAACACTATAGAGAAAAGATATTCTGAGCTGTTAGAACTCCATCAAGTTATGAAACTTATGAGAAGGGTTTTAAGCAAGCCACTTCCTCATTTCCCTGGACAAATGATATGGAAGCAAGTGTTCAAAAAATTGAAACCTGAAGAGATAAATAAAAGAAAGGAAGATTTAGAACGGTATTTGCAAGACCTCGTCAGAACTGACTGTGCAGCAAATAGCCGATTCTTTGTAGAGTGGATGGGCATCCCTCAAAGAGTTAGAAATGAATGGATTGCTGGAGCACATTGGGAAGGAAGAAATAATATTCTTGCTCAGCAACTACAGTTAGTAAAGTAAATTTCGTAAATATTTATTAAAAATGGCTTACAAAATAATTCAAATAATGGGTTTAAAAATTATATTTTTGGCAACTTCTTAAATGTTTTAGTTATCAGATTCATTTAATACAAATGTTTTAATATGAACAAGAAAATGATATAAAAAGATAATTTTAAGTATTTTTGTTTTTAATTGATATAAAATAAATCATTATATAATTGCTACTCATTGAAAAATACATATCCTTCAAAAAGCAATTAAATAATTTAATTTTATAAATAATTATATGAAAACTTGTGCTTATTGCAAAAGAATAATTTTTTCTGGCGATAGACATGATTTATTCTGTGTACAACGAATCAAACATTTGGGTGACACTGGAGAACAGAAAGAAATAGAAGCCTCAATAGGCTTTAAAAATAATCTTGGAGATATGAATTGCTTTCTAAATGCAGCTCTGCAAGCATTGTAAATCTTATTTAGATGGCACATTACACCTATAAAAGAAAATATTTTGGGATGCAGTTTGCATTGCCCCTCTAATAGAAATCATTGGTGCATTCTTTGTGGCATTAAGAAAATTTTTCAAGAAATCAATGAAATGGCGAGAAAATCCAACCAAGTAAATTTTGATGCAAGTGAACTTAGAAGCAATTTAGCTAGTCTGCATATCGAATCAGGTGAATTTAAGCTTAATTCATCAGCAGACAGCATGGAAGTGTTAATTGAAATATTAAATACCATGCACAATGCCTATATTCATAATGACTCCATGAATGCTTCAAATATTTTGTGTGAACCAAAATGCCCTTCGCATTTCACATTTGATTTTCAAATTGAAGAAAAATCAATTTGTGCTTGTCAAGCTGAAAATATTACACAATGAGATTATTGCACTTTTTCACATCCATTTTATATCAATGATATATTAGAAGAAAGCAAAAAAATTAATTCAAGTATTCTTATGAGGGTTGATATGGAAGAAATCAATAATTTTGTGGGAAACTCTAGCGTTGTGCCCTTTAAATTTAGGTTGGCAGATTTTATTAAAGCACAATGAAGGGATAATGTTGTAAAAAAATGTGCTGGGGATAGAGAAAATTGTAGATATAACTCTTCAACAAAGGAATTGAGACTCACTCCCCCCCCTTTAAATTTGAACAAAAAATTTTGTTCCAATTTAAAGGGGGTTAATTTTTTTTTTTAAAAAAAAAAATCAACAAAAAAAAAATTCAAAAATTTTTATCGAATTAGATTAATAAATTCGTTTAATAAAATGCTATTTACTCTTTATCCTTTAAAACAAAACAAGATATAACTAATTTTCATTATTAGTTAATAAGCCATATTAATCGGTATCAAAATTATTTACACAAAAATTATTATTTTTATTGATAAAAAAAACATTTTTAGAAAATTTATCGATCAAAGTGCTAATTTTGTTTAAATGAGATGTTATTTATACTCTATTCTTTACAATAAAGCAAGAAATAAGTAAGTTTTGAAATTTTATAAAGAATTCACATTGAATATATATCAAAACTATTTTAAATAAAAAATTTTTTGAAAAATTTTTTAAAAAAAAAAAAAATTAATTTTTTTTTAAAATTTAGCAATTAAGGACAATAAATTTATTTAAATAAGATGCTCTTTATACTCTCTTCTTTAAACAAGAGCAAGCTATAACTAAATTTTTAATTTTAGTTAAGAAGAACATTTAACTTATATCAAAACTTTTTATATAAAAATTATATATAATTTTTTATTATAAAATTAAATTTTGTTCCAGTTTTAAAGGGGGTTAATTTTACAAAAAAGTGGAAATTTTACCTATATTTTGTTCCAATTTAAAGGGGGAGTGAGAACAATTCCACGATTTCTGATATTTCAATTAGTGTGAAATGATATTTATCAGAAAAGACTTGATATTTTGAAAGTAATTACAAGTATTTCTGGTTCTATTAACGTAGAATCAATTTATGCCAATATAAATCAGCAATGCTATAATCTTCATAGCATGATAATTTATGGACTTGGACACTATATATATTGTTTTCGCAATAAACGAAGAAATCAATGATATAAATGTGATGACGATAAAGAATCAATTATTGGTGAAGGAAAATGAGAGGATTTTATTGAAGATATGATAAACTCAAAGCAGTATCCTGTTGGGCTGTTTTATGAAATGTCAAATTTAATGGATAATTATGAATTATCAGATTCGAAACTTTTGGAGCTCGAAAGACATTGCCTCTTTGATGATCTTGAAGAAGGACCAAAAGAACCAGACACAAATCAAGATCCCACACTAGTTCGGCCTACACCCAGCATAATCAATGAGCCTCCCAAACAAATTGTATACCAAATTCCTGAAAGGCAAATGTGAACATGCAAATGCGGGCATGAAAATGAAATTAATTGGAGCCTCTGCAGTAAATGCAGCTCCCTCAAAGCTGGAGAAGTTGGCTGAGTCTGCAATAGCTGCACCTTTATAAATGACATTAACCTCTCCATTTGTGAATCTTGTGGCCAAGAAAAGTTTGAGCATATTACATCTCCAAATTTATGAAGATGCATTATATGCAGCTTTGAAAATTCAATAAATTCAACTATTTGCAGCTCGTGCAAAAATTCAAGGTTAGGGGAATCTTGAAAATGCAAATATTGTGCCACTCCAAACTCTTCAAGAGCTTCTATGTGCAAAAATTGTAGGAATAAAAAAGAAGAATCTATTGATAGATGTGAAAGATGTGGGAAGCAGACACCTAATTTAAAAATTTGCCTTGATTGTAGAATAAGAGCGAACGGTTATAATAATCGTTGTGAGCCAGCTTCACAAAATCATGTAAAATTTTGCTTCAAATGCAATAAGGTACTAATAAACTGATTGTGCAATTATTGTGAAGCTAGGATTGAGCAATCAAACTATAATGGCTTTTGTCCATATTGCAATAAAAAAGATATAGACTTTCCCACTCTTTGTGAAAGCTGCTCGAAAATATGTTGGGTTTGCAGTTGCGGAAGATGTAATATTGGATTAGAATATCAATGTATCTACTGCAAACTTTACAAGTCACTTTCAATTAATCGGCCAAGGTATTAAGACTATTTTAACATTGATTAAGCTTATTTTTAATCCTAATTCCTTTGACTAAGCATGATTTCCCACTCATTTACATCAAGATGTTGGGTTTTCTTGCTGCTGATAATCCTGATATAGTCTTTTGGCGTTATTTCTGATTGACTCCCGCGAGCCAAAATGGGTTTCTACATGGAATTTCTGAATTTTCACGCGTGAAATCCATCTTTGGCTTGTGTGAGAAATTTAAGCAACTAATAATATACACTAGGGAGCTATTTAAATTCTGAATATTAAAGTATTAACATTAAATATAAATTAGCTTAACTTAACTTAACTTAGTGTCTGGTATTTAAGGTGTCTAGTGCCGCACCCCATAAAAATGGAGTTATAGCGAAAATTGATGACGTCGCCGGGCCATCTTGGAAGCGCGATGGTTAGCCCACCGGCCAAGCCTTCACCTGCACTTCGCCCATCTTCGCCGCACATCTCACCCGGCGCGATGCCGTCGCCCTTGCCCGTACTCAGCTCCTGCGCGTGTTCCGCCTGAGGGTCATCCTCCCTTGGGGATGTGCTGAGAGGTAAAACTCCGAAATCTTGAACGCACTGAGGAGCTGTTCCTTTGGTTATCCCCAAAGTTAAACAGCTATTGCTGTGCAGAAGTTCTCGAGAGAAAACCCAAACCCCATAAATAAAATTCCATGAGGGAGAGAAAATTAGCAGAGCTAATTTCTCTCGAACCGAATGCCATTTTATTTATTAAATATAAATTAGCAAAAAAGTTTTATTACGTTACATAACAATTTTTTGAGCTAAAAAATACGAAACTGTGTCAGCAACCACTCCATCTTTAGATTCAAGTGCTGAAATAACTTCTTTTTCAGTCAGATTCTTTTTGCTTATTTTTTGGCACAATTTTACTAATTTTAAAAATTGATTATCTATGTCGTAATCATTTGAGAGAAGTCTAAGTGGTCTCAAGTCATGAACTGTTCGAGTTTGATTATTAAATGTAACAAGAAAATCTTCCTTTTTGGGAAACATATCATGAAAATCATATTGCTCATTTGCCTTCTGAATTTTGCAAGACTGATTTATTTCTTTTATCTTAGGTGAATTCTTGCGCAAGATTGAAGCTGGAAGGTGAATATTTGGTTTTTCAATTGTTTTACTCTCTAAATCTGATAGAATTTCTTTATTAATGCTGTTGCTTTGATTAATTTCAACATAATTGTTTAACTGCTCTTCTTCTGCAACTACGCTCTGCAGCGGTGGGCGAAAATGAAAATCCTTTTTCTCAGTTATTGGGTTTTCAATATTTTCATTTGGATGAATATTCTCTTTTTCTATAGATTTCTGCGAGATAATTTTGGATTTTCCTCGTGCCTGCATTTCTTGATTTGAACTGTTACACAAAATAGTTTGGCTAAACTTTTTTGAGATTGGAGTGACTGAAATACTTTCTAGTTCATCATATGCTCTTGCTTTTAAGTCTAAATTATTGCTTGGAATCTTGTTTTGGCTTTGCCGACTCCTTTCGGATTCTTTATGATCAATGCCTTTAGTATTTTGGACGCGTATTTCTTTTATTATAGCTTTAGTTTGAGACTTTTTAGATCGTTCTTTTTCACAACTATCGATTTCTCTTATTTTTTTCATACCTTCAATTGATGTTTCTCTTTTCCTTTTGAATTGATTTTCAAAGCATTTCGCTAAACTTGGAGTTCTATTCTCATTTTCACTGAGAAAATTTTGCTCACTTTTTAAGCTCTCTAAAACAAATTGAGACTGCGATTTCTTACTCCTCCCTCTGTGAGAGCAAAACCAATGGAAAAATCACTATTTTTTGCCAAAAAGCCTCCTTAAAACATACAAAAAATTTTGATATATAAGTGATAATTAATATAATAAAATCTCTAGCTGATTCTATTTAATGTTATACAGCTTGCATTTAAACATAAATTTTTTACAAATTATATTAATATTTCCTTTCTAATTATTTCGAATTGGGATTCTTTAAAAGTTTTTCGAATTTTAATATTAAATTTATATACAAATTTTTTAAAAAAAAAAAACCCTCCATGGAGCGAACAAAAATTTTTTGTTCTCTCACAGGGAGAAGTTAGGAGTTTCAGCTTCATCTGGCTTGATAATCTCATATTTAATTTTTAAGTTTTTACTTGATATTCTTTCTGCTTCTTCTTTGTTTATTCCTGTCATTATCCTTGTTCAATGGTATCTCAAACTTTCATCACTATGATTTATACCTTTATCTGCAAGTCCTGCCCAAAAAATTCTATTATTTGGGTTTCCAACTGTTGTCTTTACATATTCAATCATTTTTTCTTCATCTTCTCTTGTAACGAAGAATTATTAAAATGGCGTGATCTGACGTGGACTCCTGGTGACCTGTGAGTTGATCCAGGCCCAGGAAAGGCGAGCCACATGGCGATAGTTCTCCGGGGTGGTTTTTTGACTTGGGGCTGACCCTTGTCCTTTTTTCCTTACCTACGAGTTAACCCTACTGGCACAAAGTCCCGATACCACTCCATGAGAGCATTATCGAACCTGTGACACGGTTCTGACAGGTCATGGAGAAGGCAGAAAGCGATTCCCCTATACTCTGAGCCCTGTCAGAGGTTAAAGGAGTTTTCTGCTGAGATTCGGAGACCCTGACCGGATGGGGTGGCTTCCCCGAAGACCTTCGACGTCACCATTTTTTTTGGTGACGTCAGAAAGGGAAAAAGGTGGTGTGAGGATAGCGCTTAGCGTCGCTGCGAAGCTATCCGTGAGACGGCGAGGGGCTGAAATAATCCCTTAAGACCCGCTATAACATATTTCTAATCTAATCTAATCTCTTGTAACGATGACCCCCCTCAATCTTCATGTCTATTGCAACAAAAATTTTTCGAAAAAATTTTCATGCCTACTGCAACACACAAACATTTTTTATAAAAAAGAATTAATGCATTTTTCTCTAGGTGAGTTTCTCAAAAACCCCATAAAACAGCGCTGCTGTAGGCGTGCCAATGACCTTCTCATCGAGATTTGGACGGCTATTGTCATTGCTCACCATTTTATTAAACTTATCTAGCTAAAAAGTACAGAAAAAATTAAGATGCGCATCGAAAATTTGTTGCAAGAGGATTAGAATTATTACAGACAGGCGCTAGCCATATTGGTGACGCAGTCACCAAAGACCTCCCGTGCAGAAGGTTCTACCGCTTTTCGATTCCAGCCCAGAGGGTCTATTCCTCTTACGAGTGCCCTTCCGGTACCTTCTGTCTCCTCCTTGCCTTGCGGCTTCAGTCTTGAGTGGGCGGCTTATGGATTTCTGCGTCCCTGCTACGGGCAATTGGAGTAGCTTGATTCCAAGGATCAGCTCCTTAGAGTCTATCGGGTGTCAAAGTGCCTTCCTTCGACAGCTACACGAAAAAGACTATTCCCCTGTGGCCTGGGCAAAAACCCCAGTTTCTCAGTAGAGGAATGCCCATGGGTCCTCGGATCAAAAGGACGTTGTTGAGCGCATCTATTTCCAACCACAGGAAAGCAGCCAAAACCTGCCCGGATATACACTTCTTGAGCCTGCGTCTGATTCTCGGCTCGGGGTCCGTCCCAGTTCGCATTAGCCATAAAGTCTAGAATGCTGCGCCAAGAGGGCAGGCTGACACGTTTCGCCATTTTAATATATATAATTTGTTGCAAGAGACATGAAAATTATAAATTTTTTTTATATAATTTGTTGCAAGAGACATGAAAATTATTATTTTTTTATATAAAATTTTATATTAAAAAAAATTGCATTTTTGTTGCAATAGACATGAAGATTGAGGGGGGGTCATCGTTATATTGAAGCCTTTTTTTATTTAGCCTTCGCAATTCATAGCTATCAACATCCAGCAACTTTCGTTCCCTAATTGAGTCATATATGAATCGAAATGAATAAACCGGGTATTTTTGATTTTGTGGAAGAACGTAATCAACGTCATGAGGTGCTAAAGCTATATATTCAGGTTTTCGCTTTGTTTTGTATAAGATTCCTCCATGGTCATATACAAGCTTTTTTAGTTTGTTAGCTTCTGGACTAGGCTTCATAAAAAATATAAGTCTCTTTTCGTGGAGTTTAAAGATCTTTTTCCCCATTTTTAAAATTCTAATTTGGCAATAGAAAGAAATGGATTCTGATTTAAGCAACTAAGATTGTTTGAAAATCACAAAAAATATAATTAATTACACTTTGCTTGAAATTTAAAAACCTAACGGAACTGCATGATAAAATAAAAGATAGAGGCCATAAAATACAATATTATTGAGTTAATTTTTGATATTAATCATCTTTCTTATCATCAATGGTAATCCTTGCCCGCAAGCATTGATTTTAATTATATAAAAATAATCAAGCAATGACTGCTAAAAGTATAAAGTATAAAAATAGTTATCGTTGCTAATCTGGTAAAACAAACTCTTCTTGTCAAATGATTGTGTGCTTTGATAGTGTACAATACCCGGGGAAATTTATTTAGTAAATTTTTGATAGTGAGACATTTGATCAAAATAAACCGTTAAATTTTGGCACGTTTTAAAAATTTTCGACTAAATTTTCTTTGATGAAATGCACACTGTCGAAAGCGCGCGATCATTGCACCAAAAACAAATATATCTTCGCCAGATTTTTTAACGATTTTAACAGAAGTCTTTAATTAAAAATATGGATAATAATAAATATGGATCTTGACTGGTCAGGAAGAGCTCACACAATATTAGAACAAACTTTAAATGAAATAAAGACCAGACTTGCCTCAGCAAGCTGGAACCATATAGAAGAAACCAATACTATAGCAGTCTACAACACAAACATAGGAAATAGCTTCTTAGCCAAGGCAACAGGAACTATCAACACGTCTCCAGACAACCTTGTGAGGTTTTTCTCAGACTCAAATAATATCAGACAGTGGGTGGATAATCTAAAAAATGCAATTCAACTACAGCAGTCAGGAGATGTGAAACTAATCAAATATCAAATCCAAAATAAATGGCCTGTTGATGACCGTGAATTTCTTTATGTCACCAAATCATTTACCGAAGGAAACTTGACATACTTAATCGAAAGAAGCGTTGATCTGCCAAATATCCCGACTGATGCCAAACATGTGAGAGGAGATTATATGGCTGGGTACATTTTTGAACCTCAAGGAGGGAATCTAACAAAAACAACTCTTGTATTAAATTATGATCCCAGTGGAAATGTTCCTACAGCAATCAAGACAAGCATTTTGAATAAGCAAGCAAGTCGCCTTAAAGCTGCAAAAGTTAATTTCGGATAACTATTTGTTAAAAATGAGGATTTATAAAAAAACTATTTTTTATCGATATAATTTTTAATTTTTTTTTTGAGGTTTCGTCATCTTCTTCTTGTTCAATTGATGGCTTGCTATGGTTGCTTTATCTGATTGTAGAGATTTTCCTGGAGCTGGATTATGCTGTTCAGCAAGCATAACTTGATAAGAAGGAATGATATCTTCATTCATCTCATTTATCTGAGCCATTTGCTCCATATTTCTTTGATTTGAAAACATATATTGGTTCCAATTATTGATATTTTGCACTGCTTGACCATATTCTCCTTGTCGTGCCAAGCTTGCCGATTGTAATTTGCAATTTCTAGCCAGGACTTCAAAGTTAGCGTTTTGCATAATTTCTTCTTGATCATCACTCACTTCAAAAATTTGGGTATCAACAAGCACACATTTCATGCCATTCATTTTCCTATGTTCAATAGTAACTTGGAATGGGACTTTTTCTAGATTTTCTGTGTTGTTGACATTATATTCAAAGGTAAACATGGTATCTTCAGTAACGTTTCCAAATTTTTTGATTAGTCTGGTCCCGCCTGGCTGAATAAGGGCTGGATCTTGGTTTTTGAATGACAAAGCTTTGTGGAGATTCACAGTTACTACCACGTTTGTCGCCAAGATCTGCTGAGCCAAAATATTTGCGAAATCGGCAGAGACGTCTTCAGGGTCAACTTTAGTAAGCTCTCCCCCTGTTTCTTCTACAACTTCAGCCAAACTTGCTAGTCTACAGTCTTCACTGGCTATAGAGATAACAGAAACACTTACACCTTTTTCCTTTAAAAGAGATAAAATGATGGTGTTGACGGAATTAGACTCCGAGGTGCTGTCCTTATGATGAAGCTGAAAGCAGGGTGTCTGTCCCTTTTAAGTACGCTTCTAGACTTGTGGATGACTTGATGAAGAGGAAAGTTTTGTTTCTCTCCCAAAGGCTTTCCTGTCCCCGCCAAATGGGCTAGGCAGGTTTTGCCTGCCATATGGTCCTTACTTGTCGGGATAAGCAGGCACTCTTCGGATGGTGGCTCTGTCCAAGGGAAATTCAAGATTTTGGCCTTCCATTTCTTTATTTGAACTTTAAGGCCTATGGAGGCTACTCTTTTTGAGCAGAGATGAATGGGTTGCCTCTTATGGTCAGATTAACCGTTTAATTTTAAAATTTTTCCTTTGCAATTGTAGAAACTCTATTGTAATAAGAATTTGCTTGTGACAAATCTTGCAAATTTTCAAAAGACCCAATCCCTACATTAGCAATTCCATCTGTGCATATTATAACTTTGGACCCTGGCCCACCTTGTGAAGCAAGTCCTACAGAAACCAAAAGTGCAGGGCCTAGAGCAGTGGCTCCACCTTCCTCCAAGCCTAAAACTTTGCCACTCAGCTGTTCTTTTGTTTCATTGATCGTATGTCCCAAATATTCATTATGTTTGCGTTCAACCAAATTTAGTAGCCCATCAAAATTATTAAGCCTATCTCCCGTAATAGCAACAGTTTGGCTTCCATCTCCAATAATAGTAACTTCATTATTAAATGTGACAACTCCGACATGCCGATTAGGAGTTCCTCTTTGCATTTCAGTGAGCTGAGAATCAATAGCAGCTTGTAAACATTCAAGCCTTGACACATAAGTAATGTTTCTTTGTTCACTAGGCATATATTGAGGGCCTTCAATGTCCATTCTAAATTGATTTTGCAAGTCTTTAAGCTTGTTAGTTTTCAGTAAAATATTACCTGAAACTGGCTGCGTCACACACATGGAGCCAGAAATATCAATACAAAATATGATAGTGGAATTGTCGTCTGGGCCTTGCAGTTGAGCTGCCACTTGTTGTGATGACTCGACAAGGTAGTTAAGTTTGCTTTGGGTAGGAATTTCTTCAGGCTCTAAATGGACTATATTATCGAAATTGCAAAATTCGCAGGTCCATTTTTGTTCTTCTTTGTCAGGAATTGGTGTCAATTTGCTGAAAAAATTAAATACTGCGTGGCATCCTTCACAGAACACAGGGTCACCAGTTGCAAAAGCATTTTGTTTAGCAAGTTCGTCCATACAAATTTCAGTAACATTTGCATCAAGATCTGGAGGTTGTTGAGGAATTCCTGGAAATGGTGGAAATCGAGGAGGAGCGCTAAACATTGGCTGTGGTATCATTGGAGGCATCACCTGAGGTATCCTTGGTAATTGGATAAATGCTGGAGGAGGAGGGGGTATAATATTTTGAATTGGAATTGGTTTTTTGAACTTCCATAATAATAAAATGGCTACCTAGAGAATAAATTCTCTTCAAGAAGTATCCCTCCTCCGCAATATTTATTCTTATAGGGTTCAGCTTTCTACGCAGGCATTTATACACAATGCCAATATGAAATTACCGTACAGGTTAATTCGTCGGCCCAAGAGAAAGGAGATATATGAATTTTACTACCTAAATTACTTGAGGAGGGCTACTCTTAGGCGGAATAAGCGCTGGAGCAAGGTTCAGGTGGGTTCAAATGTTACCTGTGAAGACTTTCGACCTCTTTTGGGGGCTCGTGGAATACTTATAGGACAAATTGGCTGCTTTATCACCACTTGGCAGTTAAAGCGTGGGATCAGTCAATATATCCTGCTGAAGAAAGAGCAATATGCTAAAATCTAACCTAAAAATAAGGATTTTGATCTTTCTGAGGAAGCGGTAGTGGAGGAGGCATAGGAATTATTTTAGGTGGATTAAAAGGGTTAATTTTGACTGGTGCTGGTTTCACTTCTCCAATTTTAACTTCTTCACTAGGACTGCTTTTGACTAATTTAACTTTTTTCCCTTTTAAGCTTGCATTGAAACCGAACCCAGGGCTTAATGATTCTGGCTGCAAAGCTCCTACATTTGCAGGCTGAGCAGGAACCTCTTTAGGCTTGCTGAATGAGAATAGCATATCATCAGAAACATTTGATTGAGGCGCATTCATCATATGAGGCATAGGAGGCGGAGGAGGCGGAGGCAAATTCATTAGACGCTGAGGTGAGGGAGATCCAAAAGAAGGTGCATAGTTAGGTTGATTGGCAGCTTGGCTAGGCTGAAAAAATGCTGGTGCCTTCTTTTGGGGAGCAGAAAAAGGAACATTGTTAAATTGAGGAGGTTGCATTGGATACGCATTCCCATATGGAACATTATACATTTGCTGGCTCTGCTGAGGCACGTTCATAAGGTATTGCTGATTTATTTGATGTTGGGCCTCAAATGGCTGAGCTGGAGCACTTTCCTGGGGCTGTGGTTTCTTTTTGGCAAAAACTTTATGGGCAGCAGATCTCATCAGTAATATTTATGATTTTTCTTATGAATGGCTTATTAAATCATAATAATCTTTTGCTAAAAATTTATGTCACTATTTATTTTAAAACCTATATTACATTTTCATTCTATAATTCAATAAAATAATCTAATAGATTTTCTAAATAATCAGCACTATTAATTACTTTATAAAATGCTAGGCAGATTTGCACAATTAAAATATGGCGTCTTCGTCTGGGCATGGCCTCCGGCCACGCAGCCTCGGGCCACGCAGCCTCGACTCATATTTTAATTATATCCGGCAAGGTTTTGCCATTTCAGAGATGGACGGCAATGCTAGGTAAGCAATTCTGGTGGAGTACAGAGCCTAGCCCTAGTCTATTCTCAGAGATGGTTTTTTCCTCGTGGGGAAGGAAAGCACGGCAGTTGGAAAGGGGAAGCCCAGCAGAGTCCACACGACCCATCGGGCAACTCCCTAGCGTGAAACTGGGCGTTACGTCCCAGGCTACGTGTTTTTCCTTTTTGCCGAAAGCCTACCAGAAAATCCATTTTTTTGGGTTTTCGGAATGGAAACCCATGTCACAAGCAAGTAGCTCATCCATGAGCCGTCGAAGCCGGCAACACTTTGCCCCTAGGCGCACCTTGGTGAACGAAGTGGACCGGCCCAGAGGTCTGTGGGCCCGATGCGACGAAAGGCGAGCGGAGGTCTGGGCTCTGCCAACCCCGTAGTGGACGTTAAGCGTTATAAGTAGTAAGTTAAGTTAAGCTAGGCAGATTTGCAAGAAGAGCTTATAAAGTGATGAATCGTGATGAATACAGAGAAAACATGAGGATTGCCCAGCTAGCTAGGAACGTTGACCGCCTCGAAATGCCTGATCTTCTTGCAGCCGATGGAGGTCTAATGAAAAGGGAGGAAAAGGTTTTACTCCATGCAGTCCCTGAAATTCCTATTAAGAAAGACGAAATTATTGACGACCCTTTATTTAACACCCTTTACACTTACAAGCCTGATTTAATTTATCTTCAGTTCAACCCTATGCACTACATCACCAGGCAGCGATACATTTCATATCAATTAGCGATGAAGAATAACGAAGAATACAATAGAAAAGCTGCGTATTCATTTGATAATCCGATACCTTTAAGCTGGGACGAGTGCTGTGTGAATCTTATTACGCTAGATAGCATAACTCAGAATAAAAGTTATGAAGAATTGGATTATACTAACTCCCCCCCCCCGTGAGTGAACAAAACCATTAGAAAAATCGCTATTTTTTGCCCCAAAAACCCACCCTCCGTGAGTGAACAAAAATTTTTTTAATACAAAAATTTTTATGGAAAAAAAATTTGATATATAAATGATAATTAGTATAATGAAATCTAGAGCTAATTCTGTTTAATTTTAAACGAATTGCTTTTTAAAACATAAATTTTATAAATTAAATTAATATTTGCTTTCCAATTTTTGCGAATTAGGATTTTTTTAAATTTCGAAAAAAAAATATTTTTTATAAAAATTTATATATAAATTGTTTTAAAAAAAAAAATTAAACCCCCCTCCGTGAGTGCACAAAATTTTTTTGTTCACTCACGGAGGGGGGGGAGTAAAGGCTTTGGAACATACTCATACCCGACTTTGCAAGCTTATGATATCCATAAGCAGCTAACGAATCCTTTTATTAATGCGATAACTGAGCACATTGCTGGAAGAGAATGGAGCAAATATCATTATATCAATAATATCCTATATCTGGCACTTATGGGAAAATCTAAGGTTATCTTAGGAGACATGCCTGAGCAATTGTTACGTTTGCAGCTGGGAAATACAATCCCTCTGGCTACAGTCAGGGAAATATATCACTTTGTCGTTGAAAAATTAAATGAGCATTACAAAGAAAACCCAGGCGTCTTGATGACAATGGAAGAAATGACAATGAGCTATTTCCCACACATTTTTCAAATGCCAAGAGATCTTTATATCACTGCTATGCTTAAAGAAACCTTCCCTGCTGGAGCTTTAACAGCTGCATTTTTAGGTAACCCTCACTATATTCCAATTCAAAGATATTGGGTTGGCCCTCCAATGGGGATTAACTATACACAAGCTACTTATGTCCCTCCAAAAATTCCAAATGAGACTGAAGAAATGCTAATTGAAAAGCAAGCTTTATTTGACATGCTGCTAGACACAAAAGTATGGGGCGCAAAATATGTGACAAATCCATTTTTGTATTTGACTGAATCCATTGAGGATATTCCTAAAAAAGATTTAACTTATTTCAAGAATTATTTCAAGCAAATCACGTCTCAGTATAATGAGGTGAGAAACCAAAAATTGAAATTCCCTGATAAGATGCTTGCAGAGGAAAAAAGTAATTAAGTTAGATTAACTTTATTGATAAAAAATGTGATTTTTGAATGGCTTAAGCTTCAATTATTTTCTTATAAAAAACCAATAAATCCTAAAATTCGTTAAAATATTAAGCGCTTGCCAATTTGTCTTGAGAAAAGAGCTTGCTTAAATGCTCATTCGCTTCATAGTATTTGAAAACACACCTATCTACGCAGTTTTTCTCTCCATTGCTCAAATCAGCTGTCTTATATTCAGGAATGCATTTCTTTAAACAGTTTTTTTGCATGCTATATTGATGTTACCCCAACATAAAATCTTGATTTATTTTCGCAATCTTCTGAGGAGGTAAATTTCCAAATTGATTCATGAAAACAATATAAGCAATATGGCTTTATTAAGACTTTTATAAGCCAATAATGCAAATGATGAGACTTTTCTTATTACTTTTCACTGTTGTTTTCAGCCAAACTTTGGTGGAAAACTTGTTTCAAAAAATAGAAAAAACGAAAGGAAAGATTACGATAGAAGCTGGAGCGGCACTGGTGAACTTAAATGATGATGAACTTGATTTCTTGCTTTATAACTCAGAAGAAGACTGGGTTATTCTATTTTATGACTCATCAGAAAAGTCAGCGTTTTCTGTGAGCTCAACTTGGAACTTGGCAGCAAGGTATATAAAGTACGAGGGATATAATGTTACTTTTGGAAAAGTAGATATAAAGAACTATAGCAAAAATTTCAAGAGATTGAGACTTTATAATCATCCAAGTGCTGTTTATGTGACTCATGGAACTTATTATAACTTGACAATGGGATTTGAGATGGAAGAGGTCCTGTCAATGATCAGAAACCAGACATACTTAGCATATCCCAATAAAGAACTGCCAATTTCGACCCATGGTGTATTGGGACTGATGTCATATTTTTATGTTTGGCACTTTTTGTCTGGCTTTGCGATTTCTATATTTTTAACTTTGGGAGCCTCAAAGTTTTTAAAAATGTTGAAAAAGCCTAAAGCCAAGAAAAATATTTAAAAATTATTTGAAGAAGTAATTAAAAAATTGATTATAAGAATTTAAACGAAAATTTAACTTAAACTTTAAGTAGTAAGCTTATTTAAAATGGGTTCACTTCCCTATGAATATGGAGCTTAGAATTCTTATGAATTGTGCCAACGAGATGAATTATTATAATATTGTAAAGGGTTTTTAAGTCTATATATTTTTTAAAATCACATAAAAATAAAAGTATCTTTATGTAATTTCTGAATATGCTGTTATCGTGCTCTCTCAGTATTTTCTTATCATAAAATATTTTTTAACACAATAAAGGTCCCAATAAGCAATGATCAGATCACTTAGTGTTATTAAAAATTAAAATAAATATAATAATTCAAATTATTTTTTTCCAAAAATATTACAATGATTATTAAACGGTATTATGCTTTTATATATTATCTCCAGCAATATTGATACGAGATTGAAGTGTAAGATCCATATTAAAATCTGCGATTTCTTCCAGCTGAGGCATCTTTACTTCACATTCCTCTTTGCTGTCCTCTAATGCTCTTAATTCAGATTGAGTTCTATAAAAGTATCTTTTTATTTTCATTTCAGCCTCTCTCAATCTTTGCAAATTTTGCTGCGAGGTCATTGAAGCCAATAATTTTTTTTCTAAATTTAATTCTTCTTTTTCAGCAATCTGAACAATTGAAAAAGTAATATTTATTGCAATACCCAAATTTTCGATTAATTTAGGTCTTACATTTTCTAATACTTCTTTGCACAATAGCAAACTTTCTGTGTAACTTCTATAAGACATAAAGAGAGGGCTATCTCCATTATACTCTAAATACGGGTATTCTGAAATAAAATTGATTTCTTCACCATCAGCCTTTAAAGTGGCAATTAGCATTTTGAATGGAATTCCAGGGTAGATTTCTTCGCACTGAGAGCCGAAGTTCAGCTGCTGGTAAAACTGTTTTTTGTTGTGTTTAAAGGAGCGCATATTTGCAAATGCTTGAGATGTCAAAGATTCGCAAGTTGTGTAGAAGGTGTCAATTTTAAGGATACCGGTTCGATAAAACTGGATAAATCCTGAGCCGATTTTTGACTTACAAGAGTTATCGGATTTTCGGCAATAGCTTATATTACAGCCCATTTAAAAATAATAATTGTTGTGACTTGTGGCTTCTTTTATATCAAAATAAACCAGTTTAAGAAGAGTATCATTACTAAATTTTAATTAATTAAAATTCAAATGATTAATAAAATTATATGAGGCCTAAAATGTTTTGTGAAAAAAAAATAGAAATACTTATAAAATTGTTTAAAAATTTAAAAGAAGGAAGTGCATTATATATTTTTTTTTCATTCCACTCTTATCTAAATATTCATTCACAAGAACCTAATCAAAATTTATGAGAAACAATATATATATTTCAATCTATTTCATAAAATAAAATTTTCAATATTATGCTCTAGTTCTGCTTTGCCATCATTTTCACAATTGCACAATTTCCTTACTAAATCATAAGTTCATTTGCATATATTGTTAAATTGGATATTCATAAATTAATAGGCCTTCTATATCTCTAAAAAGATAAATTGTCCTTTGCAAACTTTTATGCATTCCTAATGTGCTCAATAAAAAGCAGGATTGTCTTGTGAAATAGTTTATGTATTAAATAAGTCATCAAAAATTTTCACAGGCAGCGATATATCTTTGAATATTTGGGCTAAATTAGTACTGATGCTTTAGATCTGCTCATCATCCGTTTAAAATACAGCAGGTCTGAAAATGAATTTATGATAATTTAAGTCAGCATTTATTTGAATATATTTGCATTATAGATAATTAAAAAATTCATATTCGCAGTGATGAAAATGATAGAAAGGGCGAGTGTTCAGAAAATATTCTCAATAATACAAAATTGCAAAGAATATTAAAAGATTTTAATAACCCTTAACAAAAAATATAAAAAATGCCTTTATATTTAATTCCAGTTACTAATACTCGAACAATTTTCGCTTGGCCTAGCTATTGCGTAAAACAATTGGACTCTATCTGGTGCCATGCCTTTGCATGTGTATTCGTTCCGACTCCTTATATTTTTTCAACATAATTATAAAAGCATCATATTTAAAAATATAAATTTTAATTATGATTAAATATTGGAATGGTTGATTTATGCTATTAAACTCAAAAATTTACCAAAATTCCTAAAGATTGGCATCATTAACAAACTGCTCTACTACTTCCTTTATTCTTCTATCCCCTAAGCCTTCAGTCCTCGATAGTAACTTTTTAACATCGAACCCAGGATAAGGATGTCTGGCTAGCATACACATAGCCTCATAAATCATTTGATTTTCAATAAAAGCATCAGTTAGGACGTCAAAGGCTCTCATTCTATATAGCATATCTACAGCTAACTGTAAAGCTGGCGGATAATAATTAGGATTATTAGGTGTTGCCAGCGTTATTAATAAGCTCGCAAATTCTTTTGTGTCATTGAAAACATTATACTGTACTAATTGATGCAATAAATTGAGGTTTTTACCTTTTACTAAGACTTTTGCTAGCAAAATTTGTAAATCTAGATGAACTTGTAAATCTTGGTCAACTAAAGTGCGATGATACTCCAATATTACAGATGATAAATAGCTGATACTTATAGAGCCATCTAAAAATAAAGGATGGAATACTATTGACATTAGATCACTTTGAAATAGAACAGTCATCCCTGTTTCTAACCTCATTTCAGATTCTCCGTCTGCGTTTTGAAATAGCGAATATTTTCTTGGTGAGTTTGTTTTGCTAAGTGAAGCTGACATACTTGCCCTTCTCCTTAGGTCATCATTCTGAGAGCTTCCTTTTCTCTCCAGAGCTGCAATTTTATAAACTCTGTTTATAGTTGAAAAAAGGTAGGAAACGCCTTTTAAGTCTACTTTTTTACGTAAATAGTGCTTTAGCAATTCAAAGGCTTGCTTTTTGCATCCAATTCTGCGAAGCAAAAACAGAATTGATTCAATAGGGTCTGGGTGGTGTTTTACAAGCTTATCAGGAAACAGCTGCAGTTTATAACATCGACCATTTTTTATATCAACACAAGCGTCGTGATCAACATATATTAATGAAGGATCTAAGGGCATAGGACAATCTATGACTTGACCATTTTTTCCTGATGTGTTATCAAATTCTTGCAAGGTCGAAATTTGTTTGCCATCAAATAATAATGTAGGCAATACTATAATATTAGGTTTTTCGATAATAACTTTCATTTTGTATGTCATTGTTGGAGGATCCAGCGACATTCCATTTCACAGTGTGCAAAAAGGTTTAGCGCTATAATTTTCGCTTTTTATATCAAAAATATAAGTTTCTTGTAAAGTGTAATTAAATATCAATAAAAGGTTGTCTATTGTGCATATTCCGTAAGCTCCGGGCTTAATTTTTATTGTTTCTCTATCTAAAGCTACTTTCTCATGAGTCAATTTATACAAATTTAGCTGCCCTTTTACGCAATTTCCATGAACTAGATACACTGACTCATAAATTTTCAGCAGCTCAACATGATGCGGGTCTTGCTCTGTGTTATTTTCAGTGTCTTTTATGTTCTTTACATTTGTTTGGTCACTTGTTCATTTATCTGTTACTGAAGGATTAATATCAATAAAAAACCTCGGTCCGTGGAAAAATTTGGGTCCTTTATCTTGGTATACAAAAAAAGTATCAATTTGTCCTAATTTCGGTGGGGAAGCTGCTACCACAAGAACTCCATCGCTTGGCTCGAATCAATAATGCCCTATATTAATTTGATATCCTCTTATATTAGAAAATTTCAAGCTCGCTTCAGCTAATTTGTAAAATTCGACTCCAGCGTTAGTAACCATAACAAAATCACAAAAAGCTGACCTCTCACCTGTTCAATGATAGCCTAGAATTTTACGATTTTTCCCACCAATAATCTGCGTGTGGTCTTGTGTTTCTAAATTGAGGACATCCTAAATTATTTTTACAAGCTCATGATTAGACCGTTGAAATGCAACTATTTTGTTATCTTGAGAAAGACAGAGCGAGAGTATCCTCTTTTGATTTGGTTTTAAAATACATAATGGATAATTTATACTGTGACATTTATATTTTGACTTATTAAACTAAATTAATATGACTCAGCATAATTTTAGACTGAGTAAATCGTTACCCATATCCTTGTAAATCTATGTAGGGATATGTCACAAGATCATCTACCCCTTTAGAGTACATATATTGGAATTTCTTTAATATAAGCCTTCGCTGGCTTGGATTATAAAAAAGTTCGACATCCTGTCCATGCTGCCATCTCTCGACAAGGCCAAGCTCCATATTACATGCTATTCATTTCGGTTAAAGAGAAAATGATTTTATAAATTAATTAAATGAAAATTTATTTGAGGTAAAAAGTTATTATTCTTGACAGGTTAAAATTAACTATTTTAGACCAAAATTATGCCAATAAGCTATTCATATATAATTAGATAGAAATTCTATTTATGAAATGTGAATCTTTTTATTACTAACCACATCTTCTTGCTTTGTCCTTTTCTTTGGCAGCAAAGTCATTTCATTAAGAATGTGATCAAGCTGATATGATTGCATGCACAATTTCTCAGCTCTTTGATAGTGCTTTTGCGAATATACAGAAATAGCTTGCAATATTTCTGAAACATTAGGGAAATTGCTATAAGAAACTCTATCAAAAATTTCGTAAAGGATTCTTTGGGCGAGTGATGAGTATTTTTTCATTGAATTCCAATCCCTTATATGTGTCAACAAACTAAGCAGCCCGTCTGGATCTTCCAAGAGTGTATCAACAAACAGAATTACTTCTTTTTCCGTCATTTCTTGTGTAATTTTATATAGCATTTGTGGTCTTTTTAATCTGTGAGCAATTAATGCAGCTTCTACTTTATCTCCACTTTTCAATTTATTTTGCATTAGCTGCTCTTGCTTTATAGCTTCCCTTTTTTCTTCTAATTGCTTGGTTTCTTCTTGCTCGGTGATATCCTTTCAAAGGACTAATTTTGAGTCAATTCCTCCAGTTAATAAGAATGATTCTTCGTTAATTTTCTGGCCTCCAATAGCCCAAATCTTGTCATTGTGCTCTTCTAAGCTTAAAACACAAGTTCCAGTCTTAAAATTCCAAATTTTCAGTAAATTATCGCTACTAACGCTAGCAATCCCTGATGGTATCCATGCAAGCTTCAAAACTGCATTTGTGTGGCCTTCTAAAGTTCTTATGCAGCTATAGGTTTCTAGCGACCAGAGCTTTACGGTCATATCACCACTTGATGATGCCAAAATTCTATCTGAAGGGTGGAATATTAAATCCCATATGCCTCTTTTATGCCCTTCTAAGGTTTGTAAATTCGCAAGCTTTTTGTTCCATAGCTTGATTGTTTTATCATGAGAGCCAGATGCAATTCTTTTGGAATCTGGGGATAACCTTACAACTCCTATATCTTTCTCGTGGGCAATTGTGGTTTGCAAAGCTGTTGCTATTTCGCCTTCTGATTTTTCCCAGATTTTGATGGTGCGGTCTTGGCTTGATGTGACTAAAAAGTTTTTTTTTGATATTGCAACGGAGATGACTTCTTCGGTATGGCCTTTATATACAGCTAAACATTTTGTGTTATGCCAGTATCTCATTGTTTGGTCTCTTGATGCAGTTGCTATGTATTCACCAAATATATCTATGCACAAAATATTATCAGTGTGACCTTTAAGACTTTGTACTAGAGATGTGTTTATATCAAAAAGTTTTGCTTCTGTGCTGTTTAAGGCAAGAGCGACCTTACTTTCGTTGATCCATTTCAAATCTAAAATTTCATCAATGTCTCCAATGATTTCTTTTTGTAATTTAAGCTTATTATTCAAGAAATACATAGAAAATTCTTGATTCGATACCAACATCTCTTCATTGTTTATATGTTTGATCAAATTAATCCCAAAAATAGTCACTTGCTTTTTTCTTTTCACTTCTAGTTTATTTTTTGATATTCCATTTCAATTTTCTATGAAAATTAGTCTATCAATAAATTTTATATAAAAGACTTTCATATATATTTAAATTAGAATAAATTTACCACATTTCCGCTATCTTCTCCAATCCAAACGCCTCCCGAAATCTCAATTGCACTTATGTCCCCTTCAGCTTTATACACCCCTTTCTCTTCCCACTTTTTGATGCTTCACAATTTCGCTTCATCTGACGTACAAGTGACCAGTGATTTTTCAAGAAAAGCCACAAATCTTGTTGGATGTTGCATTGTTATTGTGTGTCTGCAGGAATATTTCATCAAATCGAAAACTCTAACTCCCCCCCCCCCCTCCGTGAGCGAACAAAAAAATTTTGTTCGCTCACGGAGGGGGGTTAATTTTTTTTTTTTAAAAAAATTTATATATAAATTTTATAAAAAAATATTTTTTTCGAAATTTTAAAAAAATCCTAATTTGCAAAAATTGGGAAGCAAATATTAATTTAATTTGCAAAATTTTATGTTTTAAAACGCAATTTGTTTAAAATTAAACAGAATTAGCTCTAGATTTCATTATACTAATTATCACTTATATATCAAAATTTTTTTCCATTAAAATTTTTTCTATTAAAAAAAATTTTTGTTCACTCACGGAGGGGTGGTTTTTGGTCAAAAAATGGCGATTTTTCTAATGGTTTTGTTCGCTCACGGAGGGGGGGGGAGTAATTGAATAGTCATGAGATGAAGAAGCTAGAAGAAATTCTGTAGGGTGAAAAGATAAAGACAAAATAGGCCCAGAGTGCTGTTTGAAACAGTGTGTTAAATATGATTGTTCCAGCTGGTAAACTCTAATTGAGTTATCGCTGCCACCTGTAGCTAGCAAAGCATCTCTTGGATCGACTTGAAGTATTGTAATGGCACAGTCGCTTTTCCATATCTTTGGAGGATCCTTGTGGAATCTTATGATGTTGTCGACCCCAGAAGTGACTAAAGTTCCACTTTTTGTGAGGTCAAAGCAGGTGACATCTTCACCTGTATGAGAAAGAATTTGGAAATTTTCCAAGCTAAAACAGATAACTTGGTCTTTGTATAGCGAAAATCCCATAGTCCCTTCTTGGTCCACACAAAGTTTCCCACCAGCGAAGACTGAACGGAAAACTTTTTCTGCTCTTCATACTTGGCTTTTCATATTAATTCAGCCAATTTATTATTAAAGATAAACACGTACCCTTATAAATGGTAAAAACCATTGCGATTATACACCCAGATCTTGGTATTGGCGGTGCTGAGCAATTAATCGTTAATATTGCATTAGCATTACAAGCTTCGGGAAATTTTGTCAGAATTTATACACCTCATCATGATCCATCAAGAGCGTTTAAAGAAACTACTGATGGGACTTTATCTGTGGAAGTAAGAGGAAATATATGCCCACCAACGTTTTTCGGAAGATTTGTGGCTTTATGCTCTTTGATTCGTATGCTGCTAGCAAGCTTATTTGTAGTTTTATATGCGGGGAGATATGATATTATTATAGTAGATCAAGTTTCAGCTATTTTGCCAATTTTTTGGATATGCCCTAGTAAGGTTGTTTTTTATTGCCATTACCCTGATCAGCTGCTATGCACAAACAGAAGTTCATTATTGAAAAGAATATATAGATTTCCATTAGATAAAGCTGAATGATTAGGATTAAAAACTGCAGACAGGATTTTTGTAAATAGTAATTTCACAAAAGGGGTCGTAACAGGGCTATTTAGAGCTTTAGACGCTGAAAAAATCAATGTGGTTTATCCTTGTGTCGATTTAACTTATGAAGAAATTGATAGCCCACCTGGATTTTTAGATGGGAAAAAATATTTTTTCTCTTTGAATAGGTATGAAAGAAAGAAAAACATACAAAGAGCAATTGAAGGATATGCAAATTTGAAAAAAAGAAGCGCAAAGCTAGTAATAGGAGGAGGGTGGGACCCAAGGATGGCTGAAAATGTTGAGCATATAGAAGAACTCAGAAATAAAGCTGAATCTTTAGGACTGAAATGCGTAGAAGTTAAAGATTTTTCCAAGCCTTTAGAAAGCTATGATGTATATTTTGTTAAAAATTTATCACATAGAGAAAGAGAGCAAGCACTTCAGCATGCAATATGTGTTTTATATACTCCAGAAAATGGTAATTTATATACAGAACATTTTGGAATTGTCCCAGTTGAAGCAATGGGAAGAGGAACGCCTGTCATAGCTATGAAGAGCGGAGGACCAACTGAGTCAGTTATACATGGTGAAACCGGATTTCTTGTAGAAAATGAAGAAGGATGGAGCAACTATATGGAAACTTTAGAAAGCAAAGAAAATCTCAGGAAGAAGTTTGGGGAGCAAGGAAAAAAGCACGCAAATAAATTTTTTTCTCTTAAGGGGATGAAATATCAATTGGAAGAAGAATTTGAAACTTTATAGGATAGATAAATTATTATGAAAATTAAATGCACAGCATTCTATGAAGACTGAATGCACCTTTTTTCTTTGGAGTTATTGTGCTAGGGATTTTGACTGGAATCAATGTGATAAGCACTTATTTTGTGGACTATAGAGTTGATACGAGCATTCAGAATATTCATGTCAATAAATTTATAAATAATTCAAGATTCCATTGGGAAGAGGCTGAGCTATCATTCGATTTGAAAGGAGATTTCAGTGAAGTCTTTAATTGAAATGTGAATTATATATATATTTATGTGGAACTAGATTATGAATCTCCTATGAGAAATGCAATCATTATATGAGACAAAATAATACCGAGATTTTATTATAAGCCTCTTAAAATCGAGTATAAATCAGAAAAAGGCAAATACACACTTAAGAACAAGGGATACAATTTACGAGGGAAAAATGTTTTAGCCAAAATAAAACTAGAAATCGAGCCAATAGCTGGGTTTATATTTAAAATTGAAGGCTCTCATTCGAATATCACATTTCCTACAAATTATAGCTATTAATCTCACTTATCTAAAAATTATTATAATAAAATCTATGTCAAAGCTTGAGCAAGCCCTTCAAGAGCTTTTTCCGAGCAATGACCCACTGGACGCTCCAGATTTCGATCCAGTTGCTTACATAAATTCTCAATTTCCCAACGAACAGAGCTTGTCAGGCATAGAAACAGTTCAAGCAAAACTCAAAGAAGAATACTCAAATGTAACAAGTGAAATTTCCCAATTAATAAGGGAGCAAGCCAACCTGCGCGATTCTGCAATTTCTGAGCTATCAAACTCTAAGCAGACAATCAGTGAGCTTCAAGACAAAATTTTAATTATGAAGAAAAAGGCTGAAACATCAGAAGAAATGGTCGAAGAAATCTGCCAAGATATAAGAAGTCTTGACATTGCCAAAAAAAATCTAACTAAAGTGGTATCATCATTAAAAAGACTCGGAATGCTCACACACGGAATTGACCAATTAGAAGGCGTCAGTGAGAAAAAGCAGTATAGAATGGCTGCAGCTTTACTGAACGCCACAACTGATTTGTTTTCACAATTCGAAGACTGTAAGAATTCTCCCTCATTAGTAACTTTGAAAAAACGTCGGGATCATATTGCTTCTGAGCTTCGTTTGCAAGTTCTTGAAGATTTTAGAGAAATGGAAAATGTGGCTCCTGAAATACTGGCTGAAGCATGCATATGTGCTGATGAGTTAGGAGAAGAAACAAGAGCTGATGTCTGCGATTTCCTGTGCTCACATTTTTTAGAGCCTTACATAAAATTATTTCAGCCAGGAGAAATGCATGCTGGATTTGAAAATGTAGAACGCCGCTATGCATGGCTTAAAAGGTGTTTAAGAGATATTAAGGATAATCATTTACAAAATTTCCCATCCCATTGGGGCGTTTTGTCATTAATTGCTAGAGAATTTTGCGAGCTCACTAAAAAACACTTTATAGCACTTTTAGATAAAGGAGAAACTGACACCGGAGGACTTGTGGTGGCTTTACAGAAGACAATGCAATTTGAACAAGAAATGCACAAGCGATTCGCTGCACATGTTCAGCAGCCAAAGGAATCAGAGCCTGTGATTCTTGATAGAGCCTTAGGAGATTATGATCCATATAGCTATTCGCAAGCACCTCATAAAGCAGCGCCAACCCCTAAGTTCATAGGCGTCATTTCGATATGTTTTAATCCGTATTTGAGCAAATTTTGTGAAGATGAAGAGAATAAGTTGACAGAAAACGTGGAACAGTTTTTAAATGAAGATAACTTAACAGAAGGCACTGTTTTGCCATCAAGTATAAGGCTATTCAGCTCGATTAGGCAGACTTTTAATAAGTGTCTTTCATTTACCACTGGAAAAATATTGAGTGAGCTATGCGAAGTTTTTAAAAGAATTTTGCAATACTATGCTGAAAAACTTGTACAAAAACTGCCAAAAGTGGATAAGCCAGTAAAATTGGCAGAAGGAGAAGAGATAATGATAGCTTTTATTATAAATACAGCTGAATACTGCAGAAATACTATAGTTGAAATGGAAACAACTATTAGAGCGAAGCTTGAAACCCAGTATGATGTAGAATTTTACCCAGAAGTGAACACATTTTTAGAGTAATTTTTATTCAGACTTGCTGGAAGAGGAGTCCAAAGCTTGATTTTGGGGATTGACACCAAGATGGAACCTCATTTTGTAACGATGACCAAAATGAATTGGCTGCTAGAAGGAGTAGGAGATAAGAGCGAATACATCGTAAAACTCAATGAAGTGGTCTTAGGCTACAGTAAAAACATTGCGACAGTGCTAAATGAAGACTATTATGTCACTTTTCTTAATAAACTTGCTGAGTATTATTTATGTAGGATGATCAATATGAAATTAGTCACAAGCATTTATAAGTGCAAAAGAATTGGGGAATTCGGGGCTCAGCAAATTTTACTGGATTGTTTTGAGCTCAAACAAAAGTTTTTGACTCTTCAAGCTAAAAATTCAAGCTTCAGCGGGATCGTCAATAGGCTGTTCCATAAAACTGAAGGGTTGCTGAAAATTATTAGTAGCCCGCCTGAAAGAGTCCAAGAAAATTATTCTTCTTTGATTGATAACCCAAATCAGCAGGATTTTGAAAAGCTTCTTACGATTATGGGTTTAAAAAAGAGCGATCACCCTTGGGAAAGCCTTACAAAGCCTGCAAAAAAACTGTTTAACTTTTAGATTAGTTTTCAAATTATATGTTAAAGTATTTGATAAATCGGTTGCGGTTCTTTTTCTATTACTTCTGAGCTTGCGCCAATACGGAAATCTACAGTTTGCACAGTAATTGGCCTTTTCCCTCCAAATGCTGTACTCGGCAAGCTCTTCCTCGGAGTCTCTGACTTTTTTCTATCTGCTAAATGTGGTCGAGAAATAATTTCTTTATATTTCCTTGACGCTTTATACCCAGCTTCTCATTTTTTGACTGATAAAGTAGGACGAATATTGATTAGTCTATCTGCAAATTGTAAATTATCGTACTCAATTCTACTTTTTTCCTTCATTGTTGACGAGAGTCTCCTTAAATTATGCTTTTTCTTACTCCCCCCCATCCTTAATCGAACGATTACTGTAAAAAATTCCTAAAAATTGGGGAAATTAACCCCCATCCTTGATCGAACGATTTTCATATTATGAAAATTTTTTATATATATAAAAATATATTATTTATCAAAAGCTTAGGAAGATGTACATAAATGAAGTTGTTTTCAGAGACTTTGATACGACAGAAAGCTGCGGAATCAAACCATCCGAAGTGATTTAGTCATCAACATAGGCTTAAAGCTCAATAATCTAATAAAATAGAGATTCTTTAAAATTTTTAAAAAAAAAAAATTTAATTTAATAACGAACAAATTAAAATTTATACAGTTTAAAGGGGTAACTAATAAATCAAAATATTCAAAATTGGTATTTTATGAAATTAATTCAATTTTTTGCTGTAAAAATAATTATTAAATACTCTTAACCCTCTTATTTAAAAATAAATAAAAAAAAAAATATATATATATAGCTTTATTTTATATATAAATTTTTTTTCCCAAAAATGTTTTTTAACCCCCATCCTTGATCGAACGATGGCGAGTCGTTCGACCAAAGATGGGGGGAGTTATGTGCTTTCACAATTGTTATGCCAGAAGTCACATCTAATAGCTTGTGCAGGAACCTATTATTTTCTTCATAAAGTCAGTTAACTTTCTCTGGAGATTTATTTTTGCGCTTACAAGGAGCTGAATGATAAAAGCTTGGCAATAAATTATCGATTCTTCGGCTAGGAGTTTTCATTATTTCGGCTAGTTTTTGTTTGTGCTTTGATATTAAGTTTGTCCAGTCTTTGAATTGTGTGATTCTGTTATCTATATAATCTCCCATTTATAAAGCGGAAAATTAAAGAAATTAGTTATTAGTTTTAACATCTTCGTCAGAGAGCTCTCCTAGATCAGGATAAGATTCTATATCTTTTATCATGCTCTTGAACTGAGAGTCAATTTCTTTTGCATTTTTCTGAATTCCATCAGTGGTTGTAGATCTTACATTGATGTTTTCGCTACAGACTGCGAGTCTTTTTCTGATTTCTGCCAAATCATCGTCTCCTTTTTTGAGTCCGCTCGTCATGTTCTCAACTTCTTTGATCATGTCTTCAAAGGACATTGGCTGATAATCAGCTGGAATTTGTTCTTCTATTTCATTAATTTCAGCTTCAGTAAGGAATGTTTCTTTATCGGTTGTTTTATTTTTTAAGGATGCTAGCCTTTTCTTTGTTATTGTGCCAGCTGATATGGGAGGTTGAGTTTTTGGAGGGTTGGTGTTTCCAAACGCAGCTGAGATGCTTTCTGCTATTGCTCCAGGCCGAAGTCTCCAGCTTACATCAGTTTTGCTCCTTATAAGTGAGTTTGAATCCATTTTAAAATATATGCATGAAGTTTTGATAGTAAATTAAAGAAACTTTATGCAAAAGTGGCATTCCTATTTTTTAACTTGTTGCAAAATTACTATAGCCTTATAATATGATTTATAATGCAAATTAAAATACTTTAATAATATTGTGATAGAACAAGGAGTTTTGCTTTAGCATAAATATATATATTTTAGCTAATCCAGCATTATTTTTTATTGAAACCTCATAAATATTCAAGTGCCTATATAATTAATTTGATCTTATAAAAATCGATCATTTTTCTTGAACTTGACTAATCTAAATACTTCTAATAAATTGTTGCTGCCTCACTGCCAAGAAAACCCAAAATATGGATATTATCTTATAAGTTCTGGTCATAATTTTTTAACATTTAAATTGCTATTCTTACCAGAAAAAAGTTACGATACTGGTTTCAGAGTTTAGCTTCGATTATGATTATCTATTCGCTGACTTACTAGCATTATTAAAAATCTTAATTATCTTATATCTTCGTCAGTAATACGGTTTAGGTTCGGCCTAATTAATCTTATAAACCATTATTATTTTTCAATTAAAAATAAAATAATTTTCTTTATCCTTATAATCTCTTCCTTAACACAAATTACCATTTTGTTCTCTGCATCCACAAATTATAAATTTAATTCCAAAATGTACAGCAAAATTTAAAGATTACCTGATATCCTCATCTTCTCATAAAAAAAATTATGACATAAACATAATATGGGCACTTGTGTTTCTGCCAATTCTGCTAACAAAGTTGTTTCTATCAAGATTGACAACACAAACATAAAAGAAACTGAGCACTCCCTTGCCGATAAACGATACAGCAGCCAAGTAAACAGAAAAATCCTTTTGGATTATTACGCAGCTGCCCGAAGCCAAATGCATAGAAAAATAAAACAACTATTCGAAATCATTTTTTCAGGAGACCATTTGGACACCAAAGAAATCAATTTAAATTTCACAAAAATTGACGTTGTAGGGATTTACCACATAAAAACAGTTCTGCAATATTTTGAGAACTTGAAATCCCTGAGTCTTTGGAAAACAGGGATTGTGTCAAGAGATCTCAAAAGGCTTTCAAAATCGTTTGAGACGCTGGTAAAGCTGGAAAATTTGAACTTGCAGGGAAATAATATTGATTCTGAAGGGGGGAAATATTTATCAGGGATTCTCCGCAAAACCAGGCAGCTTAAAACTTTGTATTTGAGTGAAAATCAGTTAGGATACGAAGGGACAATTAGTTTTGCACCATCCTTGAGATCAATTTCAAATTTAGAGCAGCTAGCGCTGGATGAAAACAAAATCCAGGATGAAGGGCTAGCTGCACTGATACCGAATTTACTGTATATGACAAAACTGAAGTATTTAGGGTTAAGATATAACGACTTAACTATAAATTCTAAAAACAACTTGGAGCTTTTGGCAACCACACTCACAAATCTGAAAACTCTGGGTTTAAGAGATAACGAAATTCCAGACAGCATTCTACAGGTCATTAAATTCCGTGCACCAAAGATAGAGTTTGTTTAATTGCCTCGTAGAATATAAACTATAAAATATCGTAGATATTACATAAATACAAATTCCTGTTATATTTATTTTCATAATTAAATACCATTTAGCTATAACTCTTCCAAATCCTTCGCTTCCTCCTCTAGCTTCTGAAGAAAACTCAGCTTTGATAGAGCTTCCCTAATTGCCATCCAATTTTCTTGCTTAAATCCTTTATCTATACACTTTTTGAGTTCCTCCTCATCTTTTTGCACTTCTCTCAATATCTTTTTGGCTGCCCTCGCCCCTTGCTGCTGAAGAGTCTCCCTTTTGCTAATCTGCTCTTCCAAAAATTCAATATCATCCATTGCAAAATCTTCAACATTTTCATTGTGCAGCTTGAGCTAACTAGTTTCTCACCAAGTATTTTCCTCTCTGTACATCACAACTCAGCGTCTGGTATGCTTCTGATAGGAATTTTGAGTAATTTGGATTTGTAATTCCATTAGACCTTAATACATCTGGATGCAAAACCTTTTGAAAAAGCTTGTACTTCTTGTGAAGATCTTCTTTGTCTATCAAATAGCTTTGTTCCCTTTATAAAAATTACATAATATATAACTTGTAATAATTTACCCCTGCTTCTAGAACAGCTTGAGCTTCGTCGTAGCAGAGAGGGCAAAAGAGCTTGCAGTAGTGGGGATGCTTCATTAAAGCTTTGCATTTGTGAGCAAATCCTCGAGAAAGAAAACCCAACATATTTATTACATTGGCTGGAGAAAATAGTTAGGTTAAATATAATAATTTATGCCTATTGGAATTGAAACAAATCTTAACCAGAGTTTTTATTCTATAATCTAGAAGAAAATAATTAAGATTTCATTAATATAAATTGGAATAATTAGTAGTCTGCGCTGCTCATTTCTCTGTCATTTAAAGTCTTAGAACTCTGGATCTCTGCTTTAAGCCTCTCAATTTTTTGTTGCTGCTCTTGGACTGTTTCTTTGAGCTCTTTTATTTTTTTTTCTTCTTCAGCGACCATGGATTGTCTTACAGAGCGGACTCCCGGCTCTTGAGGAGTCAGGCCTTGGTCTAGATCATTCTGGACTTTTTGTGTTTTTTCCTCAATCGTGCTTATTTCTGTGTCTAACTCTGTTAGCTCTTGAGTTAGTGATTTATTTTCACCTTTGATTTCTTTAATTTGATTTAAAGCTGCTTCAATTTCGTCTATTAATTTCTCTTCTTTCTCTCCTCGTTTTCTCGTCTTGTTTTCTCTGACTGGAGGAGCTTCTTCCTCTTCAAGTTTCCTCAGCAGTCTTTCTTTTTCTGCTTGTTTTTCGGCAATTATGTTCCTTGCTTCCTCTAATTCAGCTTTATCTCTCTCCAATGCGTCTTTTAATGATTCAGCTTCATATTTCAAGACATTTATGCTCCCATACTGGCCATCCCTATCTTCCTCTGCAGCCTGGATTTTATTCCTCATCTTCCCATATTTCTTTGCAATTTTTTCTTTTTTCACCTTCAGAGTATCAGCTTGGTGCTGCTGTTCTTCCACTCGATAATTCGCATCATTTTGCACTTGCTCAAGCTTCTCTTCTAATTGTTCTTTTTCTTTTATCAGCATTTCATTTTCTCGTTTTGCGCTTTCTAACTGTATTTGTAGCTCATCATTATCACTGCGGGCTCTATTTAGCTCATAAGTATAGGTTTCAGAAATTTTATTCTCCTTTGATTTTTGGAAGCAGGAATTACCTTAATATTAATATAGTTATCAAAAGCTTTCGGCAGGTCCAAGTTCGAGCCAAATCACCCCGTAATACTCCACCGCTTTCTTGCCAGTCAGAGCACGAACTCTCACTGTATTGCTCCCCACGGACGGGCTTGCACTCGATCCATGAGTTAGAGGCGCTGGGTCACTTAAATGGGAACTGGTTTACAGAAAATTCGAAAAAAACGAATTTTCTGATCACTTATCACCAAGATGGAAATTCGCAGTCCAGGATGCTACTTTTGGCATCGCGATGGGAAACGTTCCCGATTGACCAGAAGGAACCCTCACTGGTACTGCTGGGACACCCCTTTCCAACTCGAATTGAATCTTCCTCTGAGGCAAAACCTTGATCTGGGTGTGAGCATGCAGTCAACCAGCCGGATATTGCTCCACCAAACCAAACAAAACCTTCCTGATGCACACATCGAACGCCATCCTTCCTTAAACAAGGTTACTGGGTCTCCCCAGCCGCAGGTGTTAAGAGGGTGGGTTGGCTCGCCACACACCATTTTAATTTATAGAAGTAGGAATTACAGATTCTTTGAGGCTTGTCAAAGTCAGGATGCCTGGCTCGCGTTTTTGAGCAGTCTCCACATGTTCCTCTCCAGCAAAACTTGCACCGAAACTTCTTTTCATTTATTAAAGAAATTTTGCTACCAAACTTCTTTTTGCATATGTGGCAAACTTTGTCTTTTTTTCACTGCTGCTCATTTGGGGCGATGTCAATATAAACGTCGTAGATGGACTTGTTCGGGTCGACGAAAGAACTGTTGTTGCTTGAGGTGTCTGACTTATTGTCCTCGTCCATTTTATCACCAGAGTGAATATAATAAAATTAATGTATTTGGAGTTATATGGATATACGAGAAGACTTAATTACTATTCTTGGTAAAAGTTAGTATGAAGGTTTCAGAATGAAAGCTAATTTATTATTTCTATTTGTTTTATTGAGAGCACGTAAAAGCTTCATGGTTTGTAATTTGAATTGCTGGATTGAATATAAAGCAAAAGCATTTAAAACAAAACCGGATATTGTTATGAATTCCATGATGCTATTGATTAATCTAATGAAAATATTTACTATAGTCCATTTTTCTCGTCAACTTAAGATACTGTAAGAATAGTTTGCTTGGCATTAATTTATCATAATATATATAACTTGCAATATGGAAAGAGAATCTATCTTCATTGCAAGTGCAGAAGTTAAGAGTTATGACATTGTAATCTTAATAATAGCAAGATATCTACGATCTTGAAGATTGCTTAGATATTTTCGATTCAATAGTTCAAGATCTTAAAATCCCCAATAAAAAGAAAAGTGAAATCAGTGAAGTAATTTTTACACAGCTCATGGCGAAATATGTATACATGGAAGATTCAATTTTAGATGGCCTAGATAAGCTTCCAAAGTCAGCCAAAACCGCTAAAATGCAACAAGTAAAGACTATTTAGAGACTTCTAGATGATACCCAAAAATTTAATGAATTAGGATGCGATTTCCAGGATACATGAAACAACGAATACTGGTCAGTTTACGAATTAACTAGAGATGGATATAATTCTAAATCATTGAAAACAAACCAAGACCAAATCCCAGGCAAAACGATAAAACAAATTTCAAAGGAGTTATATGACTTGCAAGATATGGCACTAGTTTTAAGCAGAATGAGTCGAGGCGGCGAAAATAAAGACATCCATGGCTACCAATCTTTAGCTGCAATCGATGAAGAAGCAGAGCATTACTCAACCCCTCCCAGACAAAATGCAGCTAATAGAAGCTGCAAAGTATGCGTTTTATATTAAGCTTTATAACGATATAAATTAATATTTCTTTCATCTCTTTCTAAATAATCTCTCTCTATCAAACTTTCAATTCTTTTCTTCACGGTCTTAATATCAGGCGTAAATCTGTGGCTTACCAATTTGCATACCTCTACAATTAAATTGGGATGCTCAAGTTCCCTTCTTGATTTCATGACTCTTATAATGGCAGACTCAATCACGTGCTTTCTTTCTTCATCCACCATGGTTTGGGATTGTGAATTTTTTTCTTTTTCTTTTGATGAAATTATTGTGACTTGGATTCTTTTTAATTTATTTGTGAATTTTGTGTTTAGGGTTAACACTGAGTCGTCAGGAAGATCTTTACCTCTTGCTGGCTTTGTGAGGATTTTTGCTTTGACTAGGCCAAGGATGTGCTTTACGAGCTCGTCTTTAAAGCCTCTTAAAGAAGAAATGATGGAAGTTAAAGGATAATTGTCAGTTTCATTATAAAGCAGCAAAACACAGGCTTGGTAAGTAGAAACTAATCATCAAAATATGATTTCGATCGAATTTTCTGTTCTCCTCTACAGAAACTCCTCTTTTGGCCAATTTTGATTATAAGACTTGGCTTCATCCAGTAAACCGATCCTGGCAACGATTGTATATTATGCCCAAGGATGCGCAGCCTCGGACACCCATCCTTAGGGAAATGGAATTTTCTGGAAGTGTGCCACAAACCCAGACGATTGAGACTTAGATCTTTAGCGTGCCTGACTGACGCAAGCTGGTGTCTTCCGAGAGCTGTAGGACAGCCATCGAAACCCAAACACCAGAAGCCGAGGAGCCATTTAGATCAAGACCAGGTGATGCACGACGTAAGGTGGGTGGGGTTAGTAAGCAAGAGTGAAAGCCCGTTCAGGTGATGTGGTAGTGGATGTTAAAGGTTTAAGAATTATAACTAATTACTAAGGTTAAGATAAGTAGAAACTAAAAGCTCGTACTGTTTTCCTTCGCATCCTATATTGGCTTTTAATATGCAGTTTCCATAGGAATGTTTCCAATTTAAGCGGCGGCCTGAATGCTGAGTCATGTAGAAGTTTGTAAATTTTTCAGAAATCTGAGCAAGCTGAACTGGCAGCAAAATAGGTTGCAAATCGTCTTGGGGCCAGTAAGTTTGAGTCAGTACTCTAACTTCGAAGTCAAACTGAGCTGTATTTTGGAAATGATTGCTATCTTGCTTAGCCACTCCCATATCGTTAATCATTCCTTCTATTCTTGATGTATACTGAGATCCACACTCAGTTTTCATCAGTCTCACAAATGATTTTTCAGCCTCATCATTAAGACTTTTATCAGATAAAAGCCTTTTAGCTAAATAGTTTTTATAGTAGCTTTCGAAAACATCTTTATCTGAAATATACTTAAAAAGGGCTATAATCTTATTCAACTTCAGATCGATTTCTTCGTCACTAATTCCTTTTATTTCTTTTTGAAACAAATAGTCAATGTAAAGCACAAGTGCCAAAACAATTCTTGGATATTTATTGAAGACATTTTCAAAGCTACGGCGGATTGAGACTTCAGCCATAATATCTCGCTTAAAAGCACTTGTATGAATTAAAATAATTTTTTCGCGCAACTCAATAATATCGCTTATAAGCTTTATTGGATTTTTAATAGATTCTTGGTTTTTAACAATTTCTTCACATTTTTCTAAAATATAGCGTTCTAAACAGGCATGAATTTCTTTTTGTAAATCATGTGTCCTTTGATAAAGCCTATACATCCTACAAATGTCATTAATACTTGTATTATTGATCATTTTAGCTAGCCCAGAATCAGAATTCACTAATGCTTTAGCATTTATTTCAATAAAATTCTTATCTACAAGCCTCAATAATGGCTCCATTGAAGAAATATCTAAATATGCAAAAACTCTTCGTTTTTCTTCTTCCAGCCTCTCTTCAGCTTTTTTCAAAAATTCTGGCACCTGTATTTCATCAATCAAAAGCTTTGCTTCATTATTATAAAATATATCAGTTTGCATCAAAAACGAATCTTCTAAAATTTCTTTATACATTTGTCTAGAATTTAAGCCAACTTCAATTAGCATATTTGATATAGATTTTATCACATCTTTTTCTATGACTTCTCCATTCCTATCCTTATTTATCATTTCCATCAGCATATACATAAAATGGCGTATGACGTCCGACCCGTCCTCCCAGTGACGGTAACCCATGTATATCCGGGCATGGTTTTCAGGAGAAGCGACTTAGCCCAGCAGTATCTGGACCCTGGTGGCGACCAGGGAAGCACATAGACCCGCTGATCTTGTCCAGATCCCAGGGCAGTTAGGAGCATCTTCTTTTTCCAGCAGCGCCCAAGCCAGTGGGTGCCCGAGATGGAGCAGGGCGACTTACCTGCTCAAGCTGCTACTGTGATCTGCCCCGAATCGCGGAAGCGATTGAGTTTTTCTCAAGCGGATAAGCTGGGAAAAAGGGAGGCAGATTAGACAACAAGGCGGTCTCTCCAGTTAAAAGGTTCCTTAAAAGAAGGACGACCTGGCCAACCGGAGACAAAGACTGGCGTAACTCGGGGCGGAAGGCTGAGTTGGAAATGGTGGCGCCCGGCGACGGTCGGCTGACGACCCAAATAGGGCAACCCACTACCGAGAAACCAGGGGTTTCGGCCTGGGCTCAGAGAACCAGTGGTGGAAGTCCATCCTTTTCGCTCGTGCCAGCACGGCTCCTCACGGAGCGCGAGGAATGTCACGCATGGAAGTAGGGACCTTAAATACATATCGTTAATTTATTTATTTATCATTTCCATCAGCAAATTATTTAATTTCGGACATAATGTTTCGTCTTTAAAAACTAATTCTTTAAAAGTAATAAGCCCTAAATCATAAATCGGCGTCAGTCTATTTTGCTGTATATACCCCGTCTCCAAATAGCTCATTAAATTTTTCACGTATCCTGTACAAGTTTTATGGGTATCCCAAAGATCTCTAAACTTCACCAACAAATTTTCCCTTTGAACGCCTTTGAGCTGCTCAGTGATAATTTTGGTTTTTTCTTCTATGATTGATTTTAACGAGTTATATAGGATTTTTTCCTTTTTGCTCATGGTCAGCGTATAGCAGTATGAGTAATACTCTTGGTATCTTAATGTGGAAGTCTCAAAGTTATAGATCTGATTGATCGCTTTCGATATTTTTTCAAGCAATTCTTCTGCTTCTTCTACAGAAGCTACTTTGGCGATGGACTTAAAACTCTTGATTTTAGGCTTTTTCTTATCAGACATTTATAGGTGTCTTTAAAATTAGATAGAAAATTAGAAAGTGGTTTAATTAGACATGTTATTTCCATTATTTTTACGCTTTTCTGGAAATGGTTCTAGGGGCTCTGCTTCACGCTTTGTGGAGTTTTGAGGACGATCTCGAACACCAGGAATTTGAGCTTGAAATTGAGGGCCAACTCGAGTATGCCTAGCCTCTGTAGGAGGTAGCATGTATTTTCTTTCCATTTTAATTATTATAAAGTCATTCTTGAGGATTTTTATTATTTCATATAGTTAATGTCTTATAATTTTATATTTTGGAAAGCTAATTGTTTAAATATAAGTGATTACCTTGTCTGGAATTAGCAAAAAGATATGAGTTAATTATTTCTACTTATAACTTTCATTAATTAGCTGTCGTATGGGGCCTTATCGTACTAGCCAAATCTAAACTCATGATCTTCAGCGCAAGTGTTTTTTCGTTCATATTTTGAGTTTTTGCTTGACTTGGAGCTGTCCACAAATGAGAGAGTGTAGACTGTCTCCACTTCGCCTGCGTTGTCGTCTTCCAAAACGTCGCACAAGGGTCATCAGACCTTCTCATCTTGAATTCATACCCTTTCTCATTTACCTGCCTCGTAAAACTTTTGCTAAATCTTGCATCCAAAGCCAAATTGCTAATAGCAATGACTGCAAAATCAAATGGAATATGCAAAGTTCTTCCTAATTTTGCTAGATCCTTAATAGCTTTAAATATTGCATTATGAGTGTCTCTGACTACATTTTTTTCTAAATAGCATGCCATAGAGATCGGCACTGGGTTGCAGTAAATCATTTGGAAGCCTCTCTGATAAATCGAGCTTTGACTTGCAGGTTTTTCTAAGAAGTTCTTGCCATGATATCTTGATAAAACATATTGAAGAGATGCATCAGGAACAAAGATGGGATAATTCTTATGGAGATGATGCCTTTCTAGTCGCTGCTCATTTATGTCTCCGAGATTGGGATTGATGGACCCAATCCTTGGGAGCTCAGTTTCAATGCTGAAAGTGAAAGCTCCAAAGTTTGGGATGTTTACGCCTTTTCCTTGTAACAGTTTTTCATGGATGTACTCAACTGTGGCTTTCCAGATCAATTGCATTTGGGAAGCTGGCTCAAGAGGTTTTAAAGACGGGTTAGAACGGGGCTGAGATCTTGACTGCATCCCTGGGTATCGCTGAGGGTTTTTTAGAATCCACGCTATGATTGCTTCAATATCCATTATAAAATTCTTTTTAGAAAATGGAAATTAGCTAGTTATAATAAAAATCATTAATTGGAGCTTTCACGCAAAATGTCATTCGCGAGTTTTTTACGCTCTCTGGCTTCTAAGGGCTTAGAGGTGATTATTTGTTGCATTAAGACCATTGTGTCCTTTGGGTCTTGGGTTAGATTCATGTATTTTAATAACCCTCTTAAAGTGTCACCAGTGCAGTTTAATAGATCAGAAGACTCGACCGGCTTTTTGATAAACCTGTGAATATATTCTTGGCCATAAGCAGCAATCCTTATTAGAGCTTCTTCAAATTCTGGATACGACAAAATGCTTTGATCAGAAACTTTGTCCTTAGTGATCGATCTAAATATTTTAAGAAGCCTTTCTTGTGGGATAATTCCGGGAATCATGACGAAATTGAGAGCAAACTTAAGAAACCCTGCATAATCCAGTCCATATGGGGCTTCAATTTTTGACTTTTTCGAAGATTTAGCAGAAATATCAAATAAGACTTCTAAAGATTTAGAAAATTCTTCGAGAACTGATCTAATTTCATGGTCTACTGACAGCTGATTTAACGCTAGTTTTTCTTTGTACTCTTGGCTTCTTTTTTGCCTTTGTTCATCTATAAACTTCATAGATTTCTTTTTGAGCTCATTTAGCTTTTCTTTATTGTTTTCTTCGCTTTCTAAAGCTTTTTTCTTTGCTTCTTCTTTTTCTTGAGTGATTTTTTTCATTTCAGTAATCATATTTTGAGTTCGCTCTTTCAGTTTCCTCTCAATTTCTTCTCTCCGACTCTCCTTCCATCTTTTCTCCATTTCTTCCTTTTCTTGCTTTTCAGACTCTTCTTTTTCTTTAATTTCTTTCCAATTCTGCACCATTTTTTTCTTTTCTTTTATTTTTTCTTTTAATTTCTCTTCCTTTTTCATTTTCCTCTCGTTTTCTCTTGCTTCTTGTTCCTCTTTTAGCTTCTGCTCTTCTCTTTCTTTTCTTTCTTTTTCTTCTTTTAATTTTTGATGTTCAGCTTCTGTTTGCTTTTTTATTTTTTGGAATTTTTCTTCGAATTTTTGCTGATTCAGTCTTTGTGCCGCAGCTTCCATTTCTTTTTTGTGCAAAGCTTGATTTTGAATTTTACTAGGAGGAATAGGGGAAACTGAGACCAAAGTTGCACTGTTTATTTCTACACTGTATAATAAATCCTCTAATACTTTGGCACATTCAATAGCATGATCTGTAGGGTATCGATTGATTAGTTGGGAAAGCTCAAAGCGAAGGACTGAAGAAAGGTTTATATAAGGAGGCAATGAAGGAGGAAGAATTTTATGTCGGGGGCTTTGAGCTTTCATTGGTTTATAGCCTCTTGCACGTGTTACAGGAGTTAAAGAAAGCTGAGGATGGAGAAAATGAACACCCAAAGTATCAAATAGAAGCTCATCTAATATTTCGATAGAGTTTTTTTGAGATTCCTTTAGCCCAATTAGAAATAAATGGTGACATCGACAGAAGATAGACTACCAGACACAATTCCTGTGGAGGTCCCGATGAAGCTGAAAAGAGTGCTTCAGACACTTTTGAAGTAGACCTTCAGGTAGAGATGTCTGCCAAAGAGGGAAGTTTGTTTCTTCCCTGAAGGTTTTCCCTATATCTGCCAGGTGGGCTAGACAGGTTTTGCCTCCAGCTTAGTCTTTGCTTATCGGGACTAGCAGGGTATTCGTAAGAGGTGGCTCTAACCTAGGGAGCTAATCCTTAGATTAGGTAGGTTTACGCCAGATAGCCAGGCTAGTGGTCTATCCTCTGTGGCCTTATAATTTTAACTTTAAGTTTTTAGCCCAATTTCCTCTGGTATAAAATATGACAGCTCTATATCATGATCTATGAATTTTTGATAATTTGGAGGCATTTCATATTCTGGGTTTTCTTTTAACATAGAGTTCAAATATTTGACTACTTCTCTGTCTCCATTTCCTGGGTCTGGCTCATCATAAATTCATGTAGCTTTTCCGCCATTATTTCTAAACTCCATTAATAAGCTGTAATAGTTATAAGAAATTGGCAAAATTGCCTGGGATTTATAGTTGCTTGCAAGATTCCCTGCAACTTGTATAAGAATTCCTACAAACCCTTTCATGTCAAACATTGTGTCTGATTTTTGGTCTCTTTTAGCATATTCTTTAATAATCCAAATAGCGTCTTCTCTTTTCAGAAATGGGCCAAAGATACTATGATCTTTTAATAAAAGCAAAATTTGCGTTTCATTTATGACATCTTCTAGAGGGATTTTATGTAACTCAGTGCGATTTTGGGATATTTTCTGATATTTTTGATATTTTCTATATAACAGGCTTAATGGCAGTGCATATCTCTTAGTTATTTTTGAAATTGTGCTAACTTCATTCGGAGGCTCTTCATTCAGATCTATGTAATACACATTTCCTCCAATTTCTGGGAGGATTTTAGGTGCAATTAAAGCAGTCTCTGAAAGCCCAAGCTCGATTTTTCTTCTTTCAATAACTGTCCTTGATGACTGTAGCATTTTCATTGATTTATTTTTAAAAAATGTCTCCTGTTCTTTTTTCGCTTTTTCTGATTGTATTTTCTTATGCTTGATTTTTTCCAAATCATCAGCAATTTTCCCTGTTATTGGTGGAGGTCGATAAATTGCAGGAGACATAATCCCTGATTCAGCTCTATCGCTCATGGCTTCTCTATATGGCATAATTGACATATTTTGGCTTTCATATTCTCTTATCATTTCATCACTATTTCCAATTATTTCTAGCAGTACCTCAAAGCCTTTAAAATTGTTCCCAGTTGATCTTTTGACAGTCCTATTTCCTTGCAACAGAATTAATTTGATTTTTTCATTAAAATCCGAATTTTCAAGTTTCATAAGCTTGGCTGTTAAATCTAATATTAAATTCCGCTTGTGAAGAATTGTTGTTTCTTCATCAAAATCTTCAACTGTAAGCGGCTGCCCTAAAACTACAGGCTGATTTAAATATCTCGGCAGCTTCTTTTGCAGAGGTTTTTTCTGTTTTTCAGAAGCAACTATCATATTCAACGCGACTTGCAAGTATTTTATGATATATTCTTGCACAATTGGTTTATCAAAAAAACGAGATGTCAACAAGACAAATGGAGTAGAAGCCGCTTTGGAAAATTGAATATCGTTTAAATAAACTCGGCCCAATGAATCCAGCATCTGTACTGCATTTTCTGAAGAAATTCTTGGATGCCTTGCAATAGCAATATAAAAGTCAAAATCGAAGATATTCATAGAAATTTCTTCAAGAATTTGAAGCTGCTTGAATAAAGGCTCAACAATGATTCCTACAGGCAAGCTTTGGATTTGCTCTAAAAGCTGAATCATGTTGCTCATAATAAACTCTCTCATAGTTTCAGAGCTGTAATTTTCTATAAGTAAAAATGTAAGCGTTTTAAAAAGAATTGGGGCATAAAGATTTTTTGTCTCGTAAAAGGAATCCAACAATGCGAAAAGTCTTGATAAGCAGCTTATGCGAATCATCCATGATTTATCACGGCATCCTCGTTTAAGGACACTTAGAAACGAGCTTGTAATGTCTTCTCTTGTTTTGAAATATTCTTGGTACTCCATCCATATATTGCAAAGCAGATTTATCCCAATATGTCTGGTGCTTAAATCTTTATTTGAGTCATAGTCACCTTCTCTCAATACAGTTCCTATATAATAGTCAAACAGTCCACTTCTCTTGAAAACTTCTTTATGATTTATTAGCCCTTCAAATAAAGTCTGCAATAGAGAAAGATAAATTTTACTATTTTCTGCAGTTTCTTTCATTATATTGCATACGATATTGTTCAAATTGTCTGGGCCGAATTTTACAAAGAGATCAGTGATATCATTTGCAATTCCTTCTCGAAGTCTCTGCAAAGAAATCACACAAGCACTGACTCCTTCAGACTGAAACCAATCCCATAAAGCACCCATCATATTTTTCTCTATGAGAACTTCGAATAAGCTGTTGTATAGATCACAGCAGGCATGAGCAATATCTTCATTTTTGCTTAAAAACCCAGGCCTAAAAGCAGAAAGCACAAGCTTAATTGACCCATTTGGCTCTTCATTTATCATGAGATCTGTCAATCGGCTTAGGTGCTCAAGAATCGTTTTATACCATGAATAGATCGGTTTTAAATCTCCTTTAAGACCTTTGACAATTATGTGGGCAAGGTATTTATAGAAGTTTCCTATGTTTGGCGCTGTAAGGCCGATAAATTCTGATCGGAATTTATCGGTTGGTTGCACCAAATCAATGCCTTGGTCGGACCAAAAAGCGATTCGGTCCGACGAACTTGGAAAGCTCCTGGGAAAATGTCTGCGCTTTCAGCGCTATATAGAGGAAACCTCTATATTTCCTTGAGTTAGTAAACCTGCAGCTTGCTTTGGTTTTAACTCAAAATATTGGCAAAACGTGACCAGTAAAAATTCCAAACATGTATCTGTGCTATCTAAGCCTCTATAGACATTGACGCTATCAATATAAAGTGCCCCGTCTTTTGCGATTTTTGGTTTTTTCCCTTTTTTCTTCAGTGTAGGGGTACTTGAAATTTTTGGTAAAAATCTTTGTGAAGATTTCTCTTTTTCCAAAATTTCTTCTAAGATTTCAATCACAATGTCGTTATCCCCAGCCATTATCAAAAGCTTTTTGTCTTCATCAACATTTATGCCAACAGCATCTAATGCTTTGTAAATTATTTTTCAATTGTAAAGTTTCGCTGATGCTGAGTCTGCTGTTTTCATTGCTTTTGATTCTGGTAGGGGTGAAACCTCTCTATTATTCGCAGACATGATCGTGTGTAACCGTCTTATGAGTGGCAATATAAGTTGGCCTGACTCTAGATGCTGAGTGGTAAATGCATCGAGTAGAATTATTTTATTAGGTCCGAAAGCAGGAGGCAGTTCATCAATAATACCAGCATTTCGAAGCCATTTCGCTATATCTTCTTTAACTTGCATATTTATATGAGATTATTTTTATATTTAAAAACAAATTCCTACTCTTTTTCAATTTTATTAAACTTATAAATTATATCAAAGTTCTCACAAATAGGTATTTTAATCAATAATTCTAGTAGCCTTTACATATCATTATGTCACAGAAAATAATCATAAAATGGACACCATCTTCGGCTTTGTTGGGGCAGATTTCGTTCTATTAGGTGCTGACCGCTCTACAAATTTCTCTATTGTGAGACTTACAGACACTGAAGATAAAATTTTTTCAATCGACAGCAATAAACTTTTGGCAACAGCTGGAGATCCCAATCTTCGCTCTGATTTCGGAAGTTTAATGCAAAAGAACATGCATTTATATCATCTCAGAAATGGAATCAAATTAAGCACTCATGGCACTGCTCATTTTATAAGGACTTATGTTGCAGAAGGTCTGAGAAAAAGCCCATCATATACTGATATGCTATTAGCAGGCTTTGATGAAAGCGGCCCTTCCCTATATTATCTTGACTACTTAGGCGTAGTTCAGAAAATTCGTGTTGGATCTCACGGGCATGCTGGATCTTTTATTCTCGGACTTTTAGACAATTGGTGGAGTCCTGTAAATTTTATTTAGAACATGACTCTTGAGGAAGCCAAAGAAGTCGCCAAAAAATGCGTGAATGAGGTGAAGACCAGGTTTTTAGTTGCTCAGCCAGAATTCATCATAAAAATAGCTGATAAGGTAAGAAATATTCAGAATGGAGTGACGGAGTTAGAATTATCAGCCTAACTAAAGATATTATTCAAATTAAGCCTTAATTAATATGGAATTTACAAAATTGTTAATTTCACGTTATTAAAATATTCATCTAAATTTCAGCCCTTCTTTTAACCTTTATGATTATAATTGGCGCGAAGTAATAAAAAATGAGTGGAGATTTAGCCGCCAATGTCCAAGAGAATGATTTTACTCAGAATTTAGAAGGAATTCAAAATATTGGTCGACAGACCATAGAGGAAGCACAACAGATGTACGCCTATTTTAAACAGAACGATCCTCACTGAAATGAAACCAAAGCCAATAATGTCAAAAAGTGTGCCATACTTGTGGCTTCGAAATCCGTGGTCCTTCATACAGTTGAAGGCGAAGAAATCAAAGGAGATATGCTCAGTCTATCTCAAATAATCAAAATTTCCTCCGATTCTGATATGAACTCTATGATTCACCAGCTAAAAGAGTTCATTTCAATTGTAAAGATCCCCGAACCTTTATCGCATGATATTCATAGGACGATACAGAGCTTTGCGATGTCTCTATTAATCTATAAAAAATTCCAGGAAATATGAAAAACAATTAATTTTCAAGGTGATGTGGATTATATCCACCAAATTTTCCATACAGCGTGGCTCCTACTTATTACAGCAAGAGCTTATTTGCTAACTCTCATTCATCTTTAAAACTCAGATAAATAAATTATAATAAGAAAAAAAAAATGATATTAAATCAGATAAATTATGGAGTAGGCAGAAATGGAGATATTTTTCATTGTGGATGCTTGATAATTGGCGTTTTGCATTTAGTTCTTACTAATTTGCCAAATTCTGTCTCAGTTAATATGAATGCATCAGCTCTCCCTTATCTGTGCTCGCTTCTTCAAGCCCAAGCAGATCAAGCTTTGCCTTGGATTGAGAAGCTTTCTCACTTCATTGTCCAAATGAGAGATCAGGGCTTCATTAAATACAAAGGTAATCACCAAACCGCCAGAATTTTCGCTGAGAACGTGATAAATTTCAATATTACCAGTTTAGGAGCTTATTATCAAAAATCAATGAATTTGGATGATTTTGATGAGAGAGATTTATCTGGCCCAACCATATACATAAAAATGGTGACGACAGACCACCCGACCTCTCGACCCTATTTCTTCAACAGCAGCAGGCAACGGCCCAGTGTTGGAGATTTAGGTGGAAAGAGGCCGGTAATCCTTTATGTATGTTCGGGCTGGGTTTTCTTCGAGCCCGAGGAGCTAATTCTCGGACTTGGAGTTTTTTCCTCCAGGACAACCATTGGAAAGGGCAAGGTCGGCCAATGTTTGAGGGCAATATGACCCTCAGACCCTGAAGACGGTATTTGCCCAACGAGAAACTGGGAGTTTCGACCCAGGTGGTTGGCCCTTAGACTCCAGAAGCCATGGAAGTCAAGACTGGTCGCGCGAATCCCTTGTTTGAGACAACAAGGAGGGTGTCCGCCGAGGCTCCTCAGGGGCGATGAGCGTGTAGGGGTGCGAATCCCCGGCCCTGCAAGGCAAACGGCACAATCTAATCTAATCTAATCTGGCCCAACCAATAAAATTGCTACCCCTATGAAAAACCGAATGGGGCTAACGCCATTTACAAGAAGAGGAATTGTTAAAAAAGGAGTAAATGGCAAAACACTTAACTGGGACGAAAATGAAAATAAAATTGACATCCATTCGAATTTGAATGAAATTCCTGCTCAAAGCTCCCCATTTGTTGTTCCTCCCACTCCTATGACTTCTGCTATGGAAATGAATTCATGACTTTCTAATGTTTTGGATGAAAATCTTGATTATCAGCTCAGAGAAATCTGCAAAAAGTTAAGCCCAGATATTTCTGAAGAAATTGAAATTAGATTGGAGAGACAAAGCAATACAATAGAAGATTTATTTACCCAAAGAGGAGTAATTAGCATCAATGGAAATGACAGAGGATGCCTAGTTCAGTATTTTGACTCTATCGATGGGATGATGGCTCCATCTGCATCAAAAAGCAACCATAAAGTGCAGGAGGTTAAAAAACTTTATAAGTGCTATTTAATTAAAATGATAAAAGAAGAAATGAGTAAAGAAGAACTAGAAAATGTTTTATTAGTCATGAAAAACGATGCTTTTCATCAATCACTTTATGCATGCTGCTTAGAATCCATTTTGTACGCCTATAGCGTCACTTCTATATCATTTGAAGATGTTTTGCATTTTACCCATGTCCTTCCTTTTGAGTTTTGGAAGCAAATTAATAAGTTTGGAAAAATTGATAGCACAATGCCTCTTCAGTTAAAACGGCACTTCAAAGAAATTGAGATCAAAATTCTTTCTCATTTAGGATGGAAAGAAGATAGCCCAGTTTATGGTGTGATCAAACAAGTAATTTCAAATAACGAATCTTGCGATATAAACCATAAGTCATTTCAAATGTATTTTAGGAGATTTTTGAGCCAAGCTGCTCAGAAAATTTTGGATTTGACGAATGCAATAAATGCCCCAGAGCATGTCAAAGAAAAAATTTGAAGCAGCTTAAAATATTTATTGAGCGAAAAGACTGAAATACTGATAAATAGACATTTAGATCAGCTAATTTTATGCACTATTTATGGAGTTTGCAAATTATCTGAGTGCCCTATGAACTTTAAAACACTTATGGAGAAATATAGTTCATTCTATAATGAGGAAGAAGGGCTATTTAATCATGTTTACATTGATACAGGCCGCTATGAAGATATTATTAAATTTTATAATAAAATTTATATACCTTCAATGAAAGATAAGTTGAAAACAAATTGCTTTATGGAAATGCCCAGAATTGGGCAATTATGTCCAGAGAGCCCATTAAGAGCTGTTATCCCAACAACGCAATTTGCACAGCCCACTTTAGGACTTAGTGTTCCAAGATCTCCTATAAGGTCTCCATTTTTAACTCCAAGAACAAAGGCATTGTTTGCAGTGAGTGAATCTCCATCACACAACAGCTGCCTAAATATAAACTTTCCTCAAAAATCATCAAGAGAGCTAGACTTCAATAAAAATGGGCCTACCAAGAAATTAAAAGTCCTTGCACAGATATTTGATAAGTCCAAAGGTGAAAGCATTGGTACACCAACTTTGAAAAAAGAATAATTAATTTAATGACTTGCATATAATGATTATTTATAATTAGCAATTTTATTGGGTTACACAAATATTTCCTTCAGTATGGTCAGAGTAAATATCTGCTATAATGCTTCTTATGGAATCTAAATCATGCTTTATGCCTATCAAATCTCGAGAAATTTGATGGGCTGATGATTTAGAATAAATATTTTCTTCTCCCATCAAAATTACCTTTAAATTAACTTGTTTACCTTCTTTAAGCTCTTTAAGAACATTCAATGTCTGCGAAACATCTCGCTTAATTTTTCTAACATCAGAAGAAAAATATAATAAATTTCCCCCATCACCCTGCTTCATCAACATTTCATTTTCTTCTATCAACTTTGAATTTTCTGCTGACAATATTTCGTTTAATTTTTCTAATTCTTGGATCTTTTGAGTAAATAATCTTTCTTCTTCTTTCTTAATTTCATTTTGATCTAAATCAATTATAACAGACCTTCGGAAATTTTTAAAATTTCCTTCACTTCCTGCCTCTTGCAAAGATTGAACTTTATTTATTGTACCTGATGATCTATTTCTAATTGTGTCATCTTTTCTTATTAGTTGAAGTTCTAATTCTTTCATTCTTCTATTTTTCTCTTTGATAATTTTTTTCAAATTTTCTAATTCAATGCTCATCATTATTTTACTTTTTTTCTCTTTTTCTTCAAAGACCTTTTCCAAATTTCTTATTTCTTCATTTCTTTTAATTAATTCTTTTTCTCACTTTTCAGTCAGTTTAACTATATCATTTGTCTGTCTGTTTTTGTATTTTCCCTTGAGTTTTTCGTTTTCTTGGGCAAGCAGTTCGATTTTATTCTCAAATTCATCTAACGTAATTGTCATTTGTTCAACAAGCTTTTCAAGTTCATTAATATGATATTCCTTTTGCTTGATCTCTAATTTTAGATCTAGGATTATTTTTGATGTAAAGGAAAAGTCTTTACCTGATGTTGTAGTTTCTAAATAGTCTGACTGAATTACGGGAGACCCAGTGAGGCTTGTATTAAGTGAAGAATTTGGAGATTTATAGTCGGATTTTTTATTATAGGTTGACAAAGAGTGAGGAATATTGAATGAGGATGTAGATTGAGGGGTTGCATCGGGGATAAGTAGTGCGGAGGATGTATAAAGAGGAGAATATTTTGGAGATGTTGGAATGATTGTATCAGTATAGCCTCGTCTTCTTGACATTTATAGTAAAAGAGATAATGTTTTTGAGCATATAAACGTATAATAGAAACATATAAAAAGTATTACATCAACAGCTGCCTAAAAACTATGTTTGATTTATTTAAATGTTAGGTGAAATAAAATCATTGAATTAATTAAATTTGAGAGGGCTAGATAAGGAAGAAAGCTATCTAACTTCCTCCAAATATAAAAGTAGCAGCTTGCTTAGGTTAACTCCTTGACCATAAGAATTAGATTTTAGTTCTTGCTTTTTACGTAAAAGTGAAAAAGGGGAAAATATGCGCTATAATAAGTCACCATATTTTTCATTTTTCAAAATTTTTGTATCTTTATAATCCACAAAATTTTTTTATAATTTAATATGTTACTAAAATTACTTCAAGAATTGACTCAGCCATCTAAAAGCTTCTACATATCCAGTTCTCCTTCTAACTGAACACATAAACAGTTCAACTGGCCTTAATCCTTCAGGATGCTTTCCACTTTTATTTATAAATCCATAGCTCTGCAGTCCTAATTCAAGCCTGAGCTCATCTTCATTTGCAGCTTCATCCAAATCGATTTTATTGCCTAAAATCGCAAAGGGGACATCTTGAAGTTCTTCCAATTTTAACAGCCCATCAAGTTCGCTTTTTGCCAATTCAAATCTTTCTCTGTCTGAAGAGTCTACTACAAAAACAATTCCATCTACAAGCCCCAAGTAATCTGTCCAAATTTTTCTAGCGATTTCATGACCTCCAAGATCAACAGTATGGAACCGAATAGATCCCATTACAAGTTCTTCTGATTGTGGATGAATTGTAGGCAATAACTCTTCAGCTTTATCATCCTTTAGCATTTTGAGAAGTGTTGATTTTCCAGCATTGTCTAAGCCAAGAAAGACAAGCTTGGCATTTTTGTAGTAGAGGCCTAAATAGCCAAGAGCACTATAAAACCAATTCAATAGAAACATTTTGAATAATTTTTTATATTAATTGTAAATAGTTAACAATATCTGGACTCCATTTTTAAAATCCTACGTGGACTACCTTTTAAATTCTAATTCACTTATTAAATGCTTTAATAAATTTGATTAATTAAGATAAAAAACTTTGAAATATAAATATTCCAGGAAAAAGAATTCTCTTTTATGATTTTTCTATGTATTTTGTTTGTGTCTTATAGGAAATAATTAAATATTATTTGAATATATAAATAAAAATGGATTGATATTTTCTAAAATTATAGCTTTTCTTTACTATTAAACTCTTGCTTCTTAAAAATCAAACGCATGATAATTCGGCCACTTGGCTTATATAAATCATACATTATTTGTTAATAAGACATAATATCATATAATAATTAGAAAAGATCAAAGCTTCCTACTGGCAGCCGTTATCCTATTTTTATAATAAATAGGATAATGGCTAATTATAATGAATGTTTTTATTCATTCTAATTAAGTATTTATATATTTCCTGCATATTTCCTACGTGGACTTTAATCTAATATCTTTATGAAATAAACAAAATTAATTTCAATATGAATTATTATTATCTAAAATTTCTACTATTAACATTAGCATTATGTAGAGCATTTAACGTGTTTCTCCAGCTCCGCAGGATAATTTAGCAAAGTCACAAGGGCTCACCCCAGTAGCCACCAATTGATGACGTCACCCTTATTATCGGGTCGACTGACCATCCTAAGCAAATGACAGCCCGTTGGTTGCAAGATCTCACGGGCTGCGTTACCTCGCTCATAACTTGAATCCTGCGCGTTGTGCTGCCTGTGGGTCTCCCTCCTCGGAAGTGTCAAGCAGTAAAACCCTGCGCCCACCAAACATCCAAGGATCAGGCCAGGAGACTGTGCAACCCTCCTCGTTGTTTACCTGACATAGTTGGATAAGGTCTCACTGGTAAACTGAACCCTATAATAATAAAATTGCCAAAGGAGAGAAAATTCCTCAGAGAGGAGTTTTCTCGACGACGCCATTTTCTTATTCTCCTAAAATTTCTATCAATCTGCTGCATTCTTTTTGACGATGATTTTTTTAGAGACTTCTCTGAATTCTTTTTGACTTTAGGCATCGTTTTTTCTCTAGGATTGTCAAGTTCTCTATTTATTGTCTGAATTTTATTGAAAACAAAAACAGAATGGGACACTAAAATTTCATCTGAAAAAGCTGCACCAAGGTTTTCAATTTTTTCGAATCCAATATCAATATCCCAAAAATCACTTTTTGTGATATATTCAATTTTTAAATAAATTTGATTTTTAGTATTATATTTATAATTTTTTATTGCACTTTTACTTTATAGTCGAATTATAAGGTTTTGCCAATTTAATATTAAAAGAATTATAATAAATTCATTAAAACCTGATATTTGTCTTCAAATCATGCCTAAATAAATTTCTTATTATTTGTGAGATAAAAATTGCCCTTAAAATAAAAATCAATTCAGCTAACCCTCGTAAGCAAAATGAAAACATTTTTATTCGCTTACAGTTTTTTTTTTCCCGAAATTTAAAAAAATCCAATTTAAAAAATTGAGAAGTAAAAATTAATATAATATATAAAATCTATATTATAAAATGCAAGCTTTCAAAATTAAACAGAATTAGCTAGAGATTTCATATATTGAAATATTTTTTAAAAAAGGTTTTAGATGAACTTTTACCCAAGGGATTTTTTTCCAATGATTTTTCCTTCACAGGGGGAGTAAGCATACATTTTAATAGGTAAAGCTTCATTCAAGTCAGCAGTTAAGCATCTTATAATAAATCTAAGCAGCGCATATTGAACTTCATGCCTATCAGGAAAACCATTGCTACTGTCACATTGTTGGATTATTTCAATAATTCTTTGCTCAAAATTATCTGACTTATCTTCTTTTTTATATTCAGCTCTGATAAATTTCAGCATGTAAGGGAAATAAGCTTGCTCGATTTTTTCATATAAAGCAATAATGTTTTCTAATTTTATGCTTGATAAATGGCTTCTGGATTTAAAGAAATCGCTGATTTTAGTCATATTTAGAGTTTCTCTACAAAATTCTGATATGTTTTTTTCAGGATTTATTTTTGAATTTTTGAGATAGCACAAAATATAGTTTAATGAGCCATAAATTTCTTTGAGTTTTATCGAAATTCCTCCTCTTTCTCGAGCTTCTAAATCTCTTACTCCCAATATTTGATATGATACCATTTCCTAAAAATAGGTGAAATTAACCTAGATTCTATTGATCGAACGATTTTATAAAATCACTGGTCAACCTCAAATTTAACTACCTATATTTGATAGTAATGAATTTAAAAGATTATATTATATATGCGTTTTCAATGAATTTTAATGCGATTTATAGCTTATTTGCTAATATATTTAATACTTCATCTCTTGTAGCTAGAGCATAAAATATTTTTTGGAAAAAAATTGTTCTATATTATTATTACGCTAATTTAATGCTGATTTTCAGCGCATCTCTCTTTTACCTTCATAACCACATAAATAAAATTCTTTATTAAAATTGTTAAAATATTTATATATATAGTTTGTTATTTTAGGGTTTTTTATCCTTTATTGAGCAGTTATGATCGGTTGATCAAGATGAGGAGTTAAGAAATAGTTTACCTTTATCATTGTTTCTTCATCAAAGTGTTTTTGATGGACTGAGTTCCTGATTTCTAAAATAAGCCCAGACTCTTCATTTTGCATATTTAGTAATTCCAGCTGGTATTGGATTAAATCAAGCTTTGTCTTATCTAATCTATATTATATTAAACTGATATTTTCATATCTATTGTGCTGCATCAATCTTAAAAAAATAAGGCTCAGACCTCCAGACTAAAAAGATTAATTATACATATAAGTAGAATAAAAACTTTTTATTGATAATATTTTTCACCAAATTTATTTGCAGTCTTTCAAAATCATAAGAGATTTCACTGCCCATTCCATATTCAGGATTATTAAACGAGCAAATCCGCATTATCGTAATATCATCAATCTCTAACGATAGTAGATTTTCTTTCTTGACCCTTTGCAAAGGATAAAATATAGGATCAACTATATTTAAGTTTTCAACTTGTTTCTCTGAGCTAATTTCATTATTCATCTGCAGTAAAATTTTATTCTGAATTTCCGCCAACTCTAGCATTGCTGATGCCATATACATGCCTCCTCCATGCTCTTTATTGTCTATCAAAAAGAAATTTAAACTGCTTGATCTATTGAAAGGAATATTTTTAAGGGCTTTACAGCCATACTGCATTTCATCAAGTCCTTTTGTTTCCCATGCCTTTAAAAAGCTATCAAACAGGGCCTCGAGATTTTTATTTTTGCTATCTTTTATAGCGTCACCTATTGTCAGCACCCTAGCTTCTTCACGAGGAATAGTGTGATTATAAATTTCTAATAGAGCATTGGTAAATTCAATTATTGGATAAAGACTTTCAACTTTTTTGATATCTTCATAATTTTGGAAATAAATGCGCAATAGCCCATATTTTTTGTTTTCTCTTTCCAGTTCAAAAGCATTTTTCATCGCTTCAAAGCTGGGCTCCTCGTTGTGCCTGAAGAATTTGAGCATTGGATAATTTTCATCTTCAGGGCCTTTTAGCTCTTCAATATAATCTTTAAACGAAGCTTCAAACTCCAAATCTGATTTTAGTCTATTTTTGTAGTCCATTATAACTGCTGGCGTACTTAGACGACTATTAATTATTTCATTTTCAAAAAATGTTTCAAAATCATCTCTTATATAGTGCATTGGAAAATTTAATAATATATTTATTTGGAATACAAGTTAAAAATTAATTGTTTCGATTTTAATTTGTCGAGCAAAAGATTTACTTAATACCTCAGCACAGTATATCTTTTTCAGATGGTTCTCTGCTAATTTGTTCAATAATTCATGGTAAATGAGAAAACACTTCATACAGCCATACATGCCTTTCATTAGTGCCTAACATATTTTCAAGATTATTTAAGTCAGCTTCAATTCCTCTGCTTAAGAAGTTTTCGTAATTATCATTATTTGGTAGAATATCTCTCAAATCTCTATCAGAAATTAAGTTCAGCTTTAAGAGACCATATAAAGAGCTTCCAAGTATAAGATGGAGAGCTTGAGAAGAAATAGGCTTGAGTCCTCTCATATAAATTTTTTCGCCAATATTTCTGTAGTATTTACATCCTTTGCTTGTCTGTGCTTCTTGTCTGGCTATAGAATTTCTTAAAAACGCTAGTGCTTCGTCATGAGACAAATTTTCATGTCCAGGTCTCTGAACAAGTTGGTGATTCACTCCTCCAATTTGTTGGCCGCAAAATGGGCAATTGCCTAATTGTGTAGGACCCCCGCAATTGCTGATAAAGTACATATAATCACATGTATCAGAGCATTTATAAGTACTTCCTCTGGCATAAGGAGCTATAAAGGTATTTGAAATCAGATTATTGAAGTTTTCCAGAGTAGATCTTGTGAATTGAAGCATAGGGCTTGGCTCAGAAGCGACAATAAACATATTATTAAATCGGTTGGGTAAATTTCGATCAATTTTTCCCGACCTGGAAAAGAAAATACTTGTCAGAGGGTTGGCTGTATCTTTATAGGCGAAAAGATTTATCAGAATCATGCAGATTATCAAAGATTGATGGACTTCCTTTTGAGGTTGGCCTATAGAAAGATGCAAAATAGAGTTTCTTGAGAAATTGTGTATAAAATTGAAAAGAAGAGAATAAAATTCATCTCCAAGAGCTTCAACAACTATTTCTTTGCTGTCTTCAAACCATCTAGCTAAGTTGTCATTTATTCGTTCATCTAAAGTAAACAAAGTAAACACTTCATTCATAAAAGCTAATCCCAAAGCAAGCCTTTCCCTTGGGCTTCTCGATGCTAAGCTTGATTTGATTAAATTTAGTGAAAAAATTGGTTCAAGTAAAATGATGAGCCTATTAATTTTTATATATTTTTTATTATTTATTCAATTTAAATGGAAATAAAATCTTTGTAGAAAGTTCTCCATAAAAATTTTGCCCTTGAATAATTCCATTAAGAATTGCTACTGTTTCAATATAAGGCTTCTTCAAATTTTGAATATATGGAATGATCTCCAATTTATTTTCGACCTGGAGTTGGCCTATTCTGCTAATTCATTCAACTCCTCTTTTAGCTTTTAAGAACTTAGATAGATCGTCTATTGTGAATTGATTATGATAAAAAATATTTTTTAAGCAAAATAATCTAAAAGTTTCTCCATATTGTGATTCGCAAAGAAATTGATTCACGTTGCCCATAGCATACTGTAGATCAGGCTCAAAATTATTGGAGTCTTCTAATAATAACATAGAATAAATTTCCAGATAAATTCTTATTTGTACCATTGATATTTGTTTTTTTATAATGAATAGGATTTTTTTTTAAATTTTTGTGCAGATGAATATTTTAGATGAAATTGCATATTAATTTTTTTGATATTTGAAAAATTTCCAGAGTAGTCATAGAGATAATTATTCAAAAAGGCGACTAATGGCGCTTTAGCAATCAATAACTCTTTATAAAATTCAGTTTGATCATGTTGATTATCAGCTTCTTTTAGCTCTTCATTAGACTCTTCAAGCTCTTCAGGCTCTTGCTGTTCTTCATCTTTAATAAATTTGCAAATTGTATCACTTAAAAGCAGGGCAAATTTGCAATCTAGTCCAATATCTGATAGCAATATTTCTATTGCATTCAAATAAGGATTTTCATCTATCTCGAAGTCAGGATTTTCACCTTCCCCTATTCTTTTAGAAAGTTCACTTATAGTGCCAATTAATCCAGAGTTGTTTAAGGCAGTTGTAATTAATTTTGTTGAATATTTCCATATTTCACTATTTTCAAATTCTTCTGCTATATTTAATATATATTCAGCGTTCTTGTTTAAAAGTAATTTCATATATGAGGCTTTAAATGCTGCAAGGTCATTTTCGTTAGCTTGTTCTTGAAATTCGTCTTCTGAATTTATCATTTCAAAGATATAAGTTACAAATTTTTTATTATAAATGTAGCTATTCTCATTTTCAGCGTAGAATTGTCCTACTTGATGAATATATAATAATTTTTGCTGATTTATCTTTGATTTTGCAACAAGTGAGCTAAAATAAACCCAGAATTCAAGCTCATCCAAGTTTTCTAGTTCTAATTTTCCTTTTAATTCTGTTTCTGCAAGCAGATTATAAATTTTCTCAACTCTTATTGGATAATCCAAGCCATTTTTGTCAACGATCAATGCTTCATGTTTGGGCATCATTTCTTTTATGAGGACTTTTAGGACATAAGTAATTGATTGTATTAATATTTAATTATGATCTCATAAAAAAAATATTATAAATCATTTGGAGTTGAACTTTATCTTATGAAGTTTATTAATGATTCATTAAAATCACATATAAAAATGGTGTGCAAATCAGCTTACCCTCTTAGCATATGTAGTCAGACAGGAGTTTAAAAACCCTGGTGAAGGAGAGCAGCATGTAGTGAAAGTGTGCGGCCAGGTTTTACTTGGTCTGATGAGCACAATTTCTGGCTGACCGATAGCAAGCTCGTATCTAAGCAAGGTCCCTACCTCGAGAGAGGTGGAACTTGAAAGTTGGAAAGGGATAGCCCAGCAAAGTAATAGGGCGTTCTTCTAGCCAATCTGGCACTCTTCCAGCACAATACCAAGAGTTGCGCCCTGACTCCCCCCCCCTTTAAATTGAAACAAAAAAATTTGTTTCAATTTAAAGGGGGGTTAAGAAAATTTTTTTAGAGATAAAATTTTATAGAAAATAAATTATATAAATTTAAAGAGACAATAAATTGAACAATTGGACAAAATAGAGTTTAATTTCTAAATATTATATGTTTGAAGCATATTAAATAGGGTATTAACGTATTTACATATAAAATAATGATTTTTACCTATAAAATTTTCTATTATAATAAAATTTTGTTTCAATTTAAAGGGGGATAATTTCCCAAAAAAGTAGGAATTTTACCTATATTTTGTTTCAATTTAAAGGGGGGGGGAGTGAGCTTCAAGTTTCATCTCTATCTATAGCCTGACCATAAATTCGCTTTTCGAATTTTTCGGAACAGGTAATCCCATTAACGAACTACATAGCTATTGGTCTTTGCTTCTATTGCAGCGCAACCCTTTGTCAGGGAGTAATAAATACGTTTAGTCCGTGAAATCAGACTGGCAAATAAGAGGGTGGAAAGAAGCAAGGGACGTGAAAAGCTGATAAGGCTGTTCGTGAGCCACTCTATAATAATCTAAGTTAAGATTCATTAAAATCATCCTCAGCAAACGATTCAAGACTCTCTTCACTTGTTTCTGACTCGCTTTGATCACTCTCAGTGTATACGCCTTCTTTGTATTCTTCGTTCTCTAATTGCATAGAGTTTTCTATTATTCCAAGCAAATTCTCAGCAGAAATCAAAGATACACTGAAGATTTCGCACAAAAGGACTAGTAAGTTTTCAAAATTCATGAAAGAAATTAATTTTTCTTCAAAACTTTCAATATCCTTGACACTTGAACAGAAAAGTCTAAAAATTACAAATTCATATTCCATGCTCATTAAGTTCCTTGCTAGCTCCACCTTCTTCGTGAGCGACCAAAAAATTTTGTTCACTGACAGAAGAGGTAATTTTTATATAAAATTTGATAGTGATTTTATTTTCAAAATTTAATAAAATTCGAAATAATATTAATTTAATTTGTAAAATTTATGCTTTAAAATGCAGCTTAGAATTACACAGAATTGCTAATTATTTAAATATAATAACTATCGCATATATATCAAAGTATTTTTTATATTTAAATTTTTTTTCATTAACGGAGGGAAGGCTTTTACCCAAAAAATAGGGATTTTCCAATGGTTTGATTCACTCAAAAAGGGGAGTAAGCAAATCCTTATCATGTCTTTGATAAAAATATCCTGCAAATATTTATTTTGCTCTATAATAGCTAAATTATCTTTATAAACTGTTTTTTCTCTGTAGCTTTCAACAAAAGTTCCTAGAGCATCTTTATCCCTTTTATTTACCTTATATATTTTGTAAAGCTCTGTAATAGTCCTATATTCTGGCTTTGAGAATGGAAAATTAAGCTCAAATTCGAGCTTCAAAATATTTCCCTGATTTACATTTTGCAGTGCAATATTTCCCGTCTTCATAGTTTTAAAGATTGACAACCAAACATTTCTTTTTTCTTCTCCATACTCTTGATCTTTTTCACTAAAATAGCTTAATAATGCTGACTTTTCTTCCAAAAGATAAATAAGGATAGTCAGTGCACTTTCTATTTCTCTTGAAATTGCTGAAGTAATTGCTGTAAATAATCGGTTTGAGTCTGATACAAGTTCACTATTATAAAATATTTCTGATTTTCAGTCTTTAACTCTCGGCTTCTGTCTAATTAGATTAAATGATTTTTCTTTAAGAGCTTCAATTAGAATTTCATCTTTTGCTATTTTATCAATAATATCTAGAAGGTAGGAGTTTAATTTTTCTTTGCTAGCATAAATAGTTTGCTCATATTTAAATCTTAAAATGCAATTTTCTACTAAAGACCCAATATTTTCTTCGAAGTTTACTATTTGATTTTCAAGGATAAGCTCTTTAGTGGTTTTATTTAGCAGCTCGTCTGAAATTTCAAGTGTTTCCATTGAGAGATCATCAAACATTCTAATTTCCCATGAGCCAAACAAAATGACAGAGCTGTCATATTTTATGTTTCTTGTCATATGAATTATCACACACACTAATTTACTGCATTTCCAATAATCTTTAGTTTCTTTTTCTTCACGGTCAATGATGAATTTTATTAGCGAAAGATGGCTGCTATCCTTTGAAAAATCAAGCTCTAAAATGTATAATGATTTAGTTTCACTATAGTAAAATGCCTCAATATCTTTACTCCCCTCCTTTGTGATTAGAAAAATCACCCTCTGCGAGCAAGTTAAAAATTTTTTTAATAAACAATTTTTTTTATAAAATGAAATTTCTAACCAATTTTAGGATTTTTAAATTGACAAAATAGTATATTAATAAAAAATTATGTGGGAAAGCATTTAACTATTATCCTATTTCTTCTTCTTCTTCTTCTTCTTCAAAAAAAAAAAAAAATAAAATATGACACTGGACAGCCAGAAAAAAATGTTTATCCTGTGCAAAAAAATAAAATATTTTTATTTAAAAGATATCCCCTGAGAAATTAAAAAATTTTGCTGGCTCACGAAGAGAAAAGTTAGTGATTTCTCTTTCTTACTTACTTAATTATCTGGTGTTTAAGGTGTCTAGTGCCGCAGCCCAAAAGGGCCTATGGCAAAACTGATGACGTAGGCGAGCCATCTTGGCACGGGTCAGCCCCGTCCAAGCCTTCTATCAACTCCTCCTGCTTCACCGGCCTTGCTGCACGTCTCACCCGGCGCGTTGCCGTCGCCCTTGTCGCCCGACTCAGCTCCTGCGCGTGTTCCGTTCCGCCTAAGGGTCATCCTCCCGTGGGGATGTGCTGAGAGGTAAAGCCCGAAATCTTGAGTGGACTGAGGAGTGGTTCCTCTGGTTATCCCCAGAGTTAAACCGCTATTGCTGTCCAGAAGTTCTCGAGTGAAAACCTAACCCTATAAATAAAATTCCATGAGGGAGAGAAAATTAGCAAAGCTAATTTCTCTCGAACCGAATGCCATTTTATTTATATGAGTGATTTCTCTTTCAGAACCAAAATTGCTGATTTCATTTATAACAATTTCATCACTTTTTATTTCTTGAATTTGGTTTGCTAATCTATTATCATAGGTAAATGCAATTAATTTATCAAAAGGTGCTTGATTTTCTATCATTAATTTCAAAACTTCAGGGAATTTTTGACTGTGAAATTCTCTTCAATGACTATTGATAAAGCTTTTTTCTTCATGGTCTAATGAATTTAGTTCAAGTAATATTAGTATATCTGCTGGGGCTATTTTTAAGAGAGTTTTTTTGCAATCACTTAGCACTTGATTTTTATTTTTACTATCATCAAACAATATTTGCAAAGCAAGTGTTTCTCGGCTGTAAATTGGGAATATATGATTTTTAGTAAAAATGAGATCAGAGTCATCTTGATAAGAGAGAATTGAATTTACCCAATTTTCTAATTCAGTCAAAAGGCCAGCTTGTTCCTGGTTTAGCATAGATTCTAACGATAGGCAATGCTTTTCAAATCTATTCAAAAATGGAGCATCTGCCTTCAGAAGATTATTTTCATCATCATTCATAAAGACAATGACATGAAAATTGCTATGCACAAAACATCTTGGATTAAAAAGTGCACCTAATGCAATTCTGCAATATCTCCTTTCTCCTTCCCCTTCTCCTGAAACGGCAAAATTCTGATTAAATAAATCATATAGAGAGCTGTATATGTGATCCATATCTTTTAGTATTACAGAAATTCCTCTTTCCATATAGAGAATAATATCACTCACGCCCCCCCCCCTTTAAATTGGAACAAAATATCGGTAAAATTTCCACTTTTTGGTAAATTAGCCCCCCTTTAAATTGGAACAAAATTTAATTTTATAATAAAAAATTATATATAATTTTTATCTAAAAAGTTTTGATATAAGTTCAATGTTTCTTCTTAACTAAAATTAAAAATTTATTTATATCTTGCTCTTTTTTAAAGAAAAAAGTATAAAGAGCATCTTATTTAAATAAATTTATTATCCTTAATTGGTAAATTTTAAAAAAAACATTAATTTTTTTTTTTTTAAAAAATTTTCAAAAAAATTTTTGTTTTTTTTGATAAAAATGATATTTTTTATTTGGATAGTTTTGATATAAATTCAATCGGAATTCTTTATAAAATTTCAAAATTTACTTATTTCTTGCTTTATTTTAAAGAATAGAGTATAAATAACATCTTATTTAAACAAAATTTAGCACTTTGATCGATAAATTTTCCAAAATTGTTTTTGTTTTTAATTTTTTGTTTATCAGTAAAAATAAAAATTTTTGTGTAAATAATTTTGATACCAATTAATAGTGGCGTATTAACTAATAATGAAAATTTAGTTATATCTTGCTTTGTTTTAAAGGATAAAGAGTAAATAGCGTTTTTATTAAACAAATTTATTGATCTAATTCGATAAGTTTTTGAAATTTTTTTTTTTTAAATTTTTATATTTTTTATAAAAAATTTTATATTGATATTTTTTTTTTTAAAAAAAAATTTAACCCCCCTTTAAATTGGAACAAAATTTTTAGTTCCAATTTAAAGGGGGGGAGTCAGAGACCTAAAACTATACTCTTCTTGATCAGTATCATTCTTTAGCTTGCTTCCTACAATAATTCTTCGTTCTGCTAATGAGTTCAAATGTTTGTCAATTATATATGTGATAACATCCACTCTTCCAATGAGCATTAAATACCTGGAGCTTGGATCTCTTAAATTATCATTAATGAGATCTAAAACGTTTATTTCTGGCAAATATTGGTAAATGTGCTCAAAATGATGAACCTGGGCAAAAAATAGTCCCATTTTATTTGAAGAGCCTGGCTTTCCCCCAAAATTTCTTTCAATTCCTTGCTTAACAAAGAAATAAAATGGTGATATTGATGGAAATTAGACTCTAGGAACACCCCCTATGAAGTAGGTAGGACCCATTCTGATGAAGCTGAAATCAGGGCTCTGCTCCTTTTTAGTAGGCCTTCAGGCTTGGGGATGCCTTGCCGAAGAGGGAAGTTTTGTTTCTCCCCAGAGTTTTCCCGTCCCTGCTAGATTGCTAGATAGGCGGTGTCTGCCCTAGGAAGCAAATCCCTTGGGTAGGTGTTTCAGGTCGGAAATTCAAGATGGCTGCCTATCTATCCCTCTTTTGTCTATTGGAGCGAGGAAGGAGGCTTTGGAGCTGATATGAGGCAAAGGCTAATCTTCTTGCCCGTTTATGTCCAGTTAATTCGTTTAATTTAATTTATTTGCTTAACAACCATTGCAATTTCTTGATTATCTAAAACATTTCTATTAATAAGATTTTTTGACACTTGCTTGATTAAATGATAAAAATCTCTCAGCCCATAAAAATCTGTGAATTCAGTATTTTTATATTCATTTTTCAGAGCAAAGTATGATTTTGCAAGACTGTTTATGACTGATTCATGAGTTCTGAGGCCATCGCTATATGAAATATAAATGCTCATAGCAGTGTGAATTAAATCTTTTTCATCTGGGTCTGGTCTCGCAAGATATAAAGCTCTGTTCATTTTAGAAGCATCAAGCCTCCAATTAGAAATTCCTATAAAGCCTACCACATTATTTTCTATTTCTAGTAGAGAATGTAGGACTTTAAGTGGATTATGCTTACTCTTGGGTAATTATTTTTTTTTAAACAAAAGCTGATATAATCAGTGATTATAATAATGAGATCGCCAGCTAATAATATTAAATTTTAAACTATAAAACATTTATTTTATAAATTAAATTATCCATATATTTACAAATCTTGGTTTTTTTTGTATAGAATTTTAATATAAAATTATAAAGAAAAAATTAATTCTCCTTCTTTAATATTTTGCTGATAAATCAAAGGGGAAAGTTAGATATTTCTGCAAGCCCAATTTCATCAAATACAATAACTGGCAATAAATTGGAGTCAGCATTTAGGAACTTTTTAGACCTTTCAAATGCCTTTAAAATACCTTCTGATGTGCACGAGTCTGATCCTTGAAACGGTACTAATGTTAGCTCTGGAAGCATTTTAAAATAAGGATCAGTTGATTTTTCACCCCTTAAATTAGCAAAAATAAGCTGAATTGATAATGATTTACTACATCCAGGTTTTCCACATATAAAAATTGGAATTTTATTGATGATGCATGGAATTACAGCAAAAATATTTTCTCTTAAAGCTTGGTTTAAAGCTGTCCCTTTTGTTATTTCCATTCTGGCCAAATAATCATTCTGCTCCTCTTCCACTATTTTAAGTATTTTTTCTACAGTTAGAAATTCAGCATCTAATTCCTTTACAATTTCTTCTAGAAATTCATTTCTTTCTCTTTGTGATGAAATCCTCAAATAATAGCAATGCGAAAACGCAAGAATTCCAGCTTTTAAATCAAAATCTCCATTATCCACTTGATCGTCTATAGCCAGACCATATTTTTTCAAATTTTCATAAAATAAATCTCCTCTTAATTCATTCTTGGATTGTATTGATTCCCTGAACCATAAATAGAGCATAATAAATCTTGTGACATCTCTAAGACTTACGCTGCTTACATCTTCTTTTGATTGGAAGTATTTGTGAGATAAGCAAATCAAATAAACGAAAAAGTCATGATAATTAGTATTGATTCTTGTTTTCAGCATAGTGTGAATGTATTTTCTTGAATCATTGTCAGCTAAATAGCCGAAATCCCACACATATTCAATCATTGTGTCTGGAAGCGGCTTAACAATATGCATTAATTTGCTGATTTTTGCATTAGCTTTTTTGATTCCAACATTTTCTTCGTATGTAGCTTTTCTACAAGAAACTCTATAGGGATTGCAGGCACCTAAAAATGCCATATTATCAGGCAAAGAATCGCCCTCTATACTTCGCTCGCACATAATCTCACATATTAGCCCTATGCTATCAGTTGTATTAAATTCGTCAAAGAATATTCACAATTTTTCTTCGCTGCCTATGTCATATGCTAATTCAACTAATTTTCCCATTTTTTCTTTAATTTCCTTTGATGTAACTCCTGCATGGATGCTTATTTTTATCAATTGATTTCCTAATTCCCCTCCCGTTTTAAACTGGAAACAAATATCGGTAAAATTTCCTTTTTTTTAGTGCTTTAAATTGGGACAAATATTTTTTTCAATAAACATTTTTTGGTGAAAATACTAATTTTTAAAATTACTTTTGGCCTAATTTAATGAAAAACTGCAATTAGACTATTATTTAAACAGTTTTCACATTAAATAGATTAATTTTTTTAATTAATGCTTATAAACAAAATATTAAGTTCAATTTAGAAAATTTATTTTAAAAAAATATTAACCCACCTTGAAATTTGGAACAGGTTGTTTGTTCAAAATTAAAGGGGGGATGGGAAGTAAGACTTCTTCGACGAAAAATTGAATCAGTGAGGTCTTTCCGCACCCTGTCTCACCCATGATAATTACTGGAATATTTGATTGAGTTCTTAGGTAAATCAAATTCATTTTTAAGAAATTATCTGGAGTCATGATATATCGAGAATTTGAATATTCCAACACAAGATCTTTTCCATGCTTATTGTAGGTTTGAAGCTTCTGGAGCAATCCATTATGAGACATATTGGCATAGTCATCGATTTCATATTCTTGAGATTCTATCAATTTGGCAAGCTCTTCCCCTGGTCTGTTATAATTGTGCTGTCAGAAAATCAATTTTCTTATGCTTTCTGGAACTTGGTCTTTATTTCGGTATATTGGAACAAATGATCCGTCTTCTAAAAAGATCATAGTGAAATGATTGGAGTTTTCCCATGTCAACGTGCACTGAAAAGCATTTGCAAAATCTTCTTGATTGTCTTGTATTTCTTCATTTTTTCATAGATTTTGTGAAGCTTTAAACTGAGATCTTCTAACATTCTTAATGCTTTTTGTAGTAAACTCTTCTGTAGTAAGTAGCAATGCATCTATTATTGTGGCCCTGAAATTCTCGAATTCCTTAATTAAAAATTCAAGGTTATTGTATACCAAGTCATTCATAATTGTTCTTATTATTTCTGGATCGAAAGGGCTTCTTCCAAAATTTCTCAATAGCCTATCAAGAATGTTTATAAAGACACTGATTTGCGTATAAGTAATCTGCTCTTTATCGGCTTGCTTATCGATGAAGTATCTTGTTAACTTCTTCTCTACGTGAGCGAACCAAAAAAATTTTGCTCGCTTACATAGAAGTTAATTTTTTTTAAAAATTTTAAAAAATTCCATTTTTTCGAAATAATTTTAAAGAAACATTAATTTATTTGTAAATTTTTTTATCATAAAATTTAAGCTGCTTATAAGAATTAAATATTTTGTTACGGACGGTGGGTTTTTTATACAAAAAATAGAGATTTTTTCAATGATTTTGTTCACTCATGGAGGGAGGAGCAAGAGAGCAATTGCGCTTTCTTTATTTGTAAAATTAAAATGGTTCTCATTAACGCTTTGAGCTTCAATTCTGCCAGTCTCGTATAATTTCAGATATCTGGCTATAAATTGAAGTTTATCGGAATGATCAGAATTCACTATTAGTTCGTTGAGGTCTAAGCCATTGATATGAACGCATCTTAATGTTAATGCTAATGCTATTAAGATTACCTAGCTTCAAATCCCAGATTTTTGCGGTCTTAGCTTGGATTGACAGCTCTAAATAACGGTTTGTAAGACCGACCTAGCCCATGTCACCAACTCCCAGTGTAGATCACTATATTTGTGCCAGAACCCTCAAGAAAGTGTAAACTTCATTATCTGAGCTCGGTTGTATGGCCAGGGTTTTACCCCTATCTGCCATCATAATTGTGAACTCATCTTAAATATTTCAAATAGTCGATAGAGTTGTAAAGCATATTGTCATACGTGTTAGCAACTTCAATACAAATTAGCATGTCTTTTGGGAAAATTATAATATCTTCTGTATAGTTTAGAGTTCTAAATAAACAAATGTTCATGAGAATTTCATTTAATAGAGCTGCATTGCTAACAAAACTTAATTGAAGGTGCAAAATACAGTCTTCGTTAAGATCTATAATAGAAAATCTATTGGAGATATCAATGCAATCAATATCTCCTAATATAGGAAACGTTACAAGCTTTTCCCCTTCGTTATTAGCCATAGATCGTATGGCGGTAGTTTTCCCCAATCCAGCAGACGCAGAGGTATAAACAATGCTATTTTTATCTTCTAAATGCATAATGAGGCTAAGTTTTTCATCAATCAATATCTGGCTCTCTCGAAGATTAATAACTCTAGGCGAATCAAGATACTTAAAATAAGACGACAAAGATGATCTTGGGTCAGAAGTTATGATTCCAAGTCTAAACTGAAGATCGCCTACACGGTCAAAAATAAGTTGAGTGAATAATGCCTTAGCCTTATTTTGATTTTCCAATGATAAATTTTCGCAATTAATCAGCAAATAAAGCTCGCCATTTTTATTTAAAAAGCATCTATGGAAGAATGATAATAAATCTTTTCAATGAGTTGCATACTGGCAAAAAAATACCTGGTCTGCTCTAGGCAATTTATTTCTGGAGTTTATATAAGCTGAAATCACTGCATTGATTAGTTTTGAGGTTTCTATATAAAGAATTTCACCATTGTTTTGGGAAATAACTGAACGCGGGGCAATCTCATATTCGTTATCAATTCTTATATCTTCCAAATTTGGTATTTGATCTAATAATATTGCCAGGAGCTGAAGTCGGCTTTCAACGTCTTCATTGACTCTAATGTGTTCAATTTCTGCAAAATAAGACTGCTTTCCCATAAATGTCAATAAATTTTCTGCTTTTCTTCTGTATGTTTGGTCTTTTACTCCTCCTGCTCAAGGTAAATATCTATTTGATCATTCACAATTATGAAACGGAATTAATCTTTGATATATAATGTTAATCAAAAACTTATTTGAATTTTAATTCCCATTTTAAACAATTTGAAGGAACCGTTAATTTAGCTTATCAAATTTATCCTTTCAATTTTAAATGAACTTCATCAGCTAAAGTTTTTGAAGGGTTTAATAGCCTATAATTAGGATAGCTTATCTCTTTCTGATTCTTAGGAGAAAGAGTTAGGATTATATATTTTTCTAATGTCCAAAATTGTTTGCCATTCATGAATGATAGATAATAATTTGACTTATAATGGCCAACTAAGTTTTTTTCTCAATTGCTGAAGATCTCAAGAAGATCTTTTTCAAACTGCTCAACTTCATCGTATTTTCCATCTATGCACGAAAAAATTTTTTTAGGACATTGAGAATTCGGATACCCATATACATCTAGATTTTTTAAGTTTGCCAAAATATTTTGGATTGATAAAGAATACTGATTAAACTGAGAGTAATAAGCCATGTCTGTGTCACCATTTTCTTCTTGCTTTGAATGGGTCTTGGTATGAATTAATAGCAGAGACCTGTCTCTTAATTCAAGCAAATTTACTAGGTTAAATGTTTGTTTATCATTCTTTTCATATGTCAGATTTACATCATAACTGTCTCCAACAGAAATGATTTCAAATGTCGATTTCTTTACAATTCCAATAATTTGCTTTTGCTTGGCTTCCTCTTTGCAGTTCAGTACATTATGGAGTTCTTTTATTCCTGGAAGATTTATTCTGCAGTTCGAGAACTTTTCTTTCAATTTTCCTTCTCTACCATCAATTTTCTCAAGTATAAACAAAGCCATCGTTTTATAAGAATCTGTAGTTTTCGCTATTTCTTTAAAAAAGTACCACAAAAACTCAAAATCTAGAATCACTTGTGTGGTTACATACATATCATCATAATCATTAACGCTTTCTTTTAGCTGCTCTAGTTCATTTTCTCTTACTCTTGAAGCAAACTTTATAAGATCTTCTGATTTAGATAATTCATCAAGCACTGAAATTAATTTGTCTTCTCTTTCTTGATCAATGTACATATATAAATTGCTTCTTAAACTGTCTGAAATTTTAAAAAAACTAGCAAGGCTTCTTTTGTTTATATTTTTAATGAAGCTTGTATATTTATTGCATATTTTTATATAAGCTTGATCATTAAAATCAATCAAAGTTTGAAGTTTAATTAGGCTTTCGCAGGCTCTTAGATAATTGTTTTTACTTTTGATGAAGTAAAGGCATCACCCGAAAAACTCAATCGTTTCTTGATTTGGATTGAAAATTGAATTTATAAGTGAAATTTCTTTTTCATGGACAAGTTAAATAAACCTAAAAAAACTGTAATTTTCAAAAATGTTTTTTTTGTATGAAAAAATTACAAATTGTGTTTTTTGAATTTTCTAAACAGATAAAAAAAAGTAACGGTTCTAAAACAGCAAAATTAGAGGAAAAAGTACATATAAAAAATCTATATTCTATCAAACTAAGCAATTTTAAGCAGAGAAAGCTCAAGATGGGATTGCATAATAAATATTATATAATAGAGGATCCAAAGCTATAAAGAAATGCAAGAAAGGTAGTTATGAAATAAATTATTTAAAATGTATGAAAAAAGTATACGATTTTTTCATATACGAAAAAGGAATAAAAAAAATCTAACTACCCCCGACGAACAAAAAATTTTGTTCAGGGGTTAATTTTTTATAAAAATTTTATTTATTGTAAATTTTTTTTTCTAAATTTAAAAAATTCCCAATTCGCAAATATGGAAATCAAATATTAATTTGTAAAATTTATGTTTTAAAAAGCAAGCTTATTAAAATTAAGTAGAATTAGCTAGAGGATGGGAGTATAAAAATTTCTAATGGTGCAATTTAAAGGAAAAAATATCAGAGAAAAAAAAGTGCTATCGATTTTTATATGCAAAATTTTAATATTTTAAACCCTTTCATGGTCGAAATGCGCCCTTCTTGGAGTCAATATCAAAATGTCTTTTTGGTAAGAAATTGAACCTATTGTAAATTTAAGCATTGAGCCACTTTGCCCAATAAATTCAAAAGCCAAGATGTTGAATGCAACTCACCTTTGGATAGTTTTTTTATTTTTAAATTGAAATTTTTCAGAAACCATTTGCTCATAAACTATAATTATGCATGCGAAAAGTTAATTTCAGTACCTCTAGGTCAGCTCAAGCTCTATATTGAAAAGATTATTGAGTAATGAATTTTTATAAATATATTTCAATTAGCTATTATATAGGAATTGCCAGATATTATGAGCAGTTATTTTATTGATCAAAAGATGCTTTCTATCATGATTTTTTTTTTACCTGTTTAGAACAATTCATAAAGCACTATTTGTACTTTTTCATACCAAAAAAATTATTTTTACAAATAACAGTCATTTAAATAGGGCATAGGGAGAGGGTTGAAAAAAGTGCAGTGAGCTTTATTTAACCTCACCCTTTTTCAAAATCATTGACTTTTTCAAAAATCGCAATAATTTTCGCAACTGAATACTTCTTTATATCAGTCATAATTTCATTGAAATCACTTATCATTGATTCATAGGCAATTTTACTTATTTCTCCAACATTTTTTGAAGTAATTGATTGCTCCTTTTCTTTTTCTAAAGGAAGATAATAATTTAGATAAATTGATGAGTTTATCACAGGGACGATATCCCTAATAACATTTAGCAACGAAACTAAGTCTTCATGAAATCCGAAATCAACAATATCTGCTTCTAAATAATCCTGAGTGGAATTACGATATAAGGTTTCCAAGTTATCACGATCTTCTACATCATTGCAGACTATATCGATATAAGTTCTTAAAACATTAATGTAAACTTTGATTACATCTAATTTCTGGAATATATTATTTTCGAGATTCCCAAAGAAATCAATATTTTCTCTATTCTTAATTTGTAAGCAACTTTGTATATAGAAATTAAAAGCCTCTCTTTGATTTTCGCTATGACTTTTAATTGCCAATAAATTTTTAATTTTCACTTTGCCTTGAACAATATTTTCTGCTGATTCTGTAATGGCGTTAACTAATGCTGTCACATACCTTAAATTTTGAAAATTATCAAAAAACCTTATAAGCAAACACCAAAAATGATTCAATGAAGGATTGCAAAATAAATGCTCTTCAATAGCATTTTCAGAAACATTGTCACCTTCAGTTATAGCAATTTTATAGGCTAAAAACGCAGTTGCCAGTTCATTGTCCTTTTCATTTGCTTGATAATACTCTAAAGTTTTTATTTGATCTTTATCATAATTGTTCAGAACATTCTGATAGCAATAGTTGCTGTAGGCTTCCTTTAAAAGTTTTGTATTGCACCGATTAAACTCTGGAATATAGCTCAGAAGGCTTATACGTTTATATTTAGAGCGAGCACCTAGCAAATTTATAAACTCTCTACAAAAATATTTTTTATCTTTTTCATCGTTAGGCATGCGTAAGATCTCTGAGTCAAAAATGAATATTTGGTCTCTATAATAACTGCTTTCAAATGGAAGTAATGTATTCAATCACTCCATGAATTTTTCTTTTCATATTTCTTCATCAAGTTCAAAAGATTGAAAAATATCTGAAAATAGACATTTTCCTTGCCTTATTAAGGATGAGCAAGCAGATTTTGCTGTTTCAGGATCAACTAATTGAGCGTCAAAATAATCTTTATATATGCTCTTTAAATCAATTAGAGTGCTGTCGGTTATAGGGTAGGGATCTTTTATTTTGGCATTTATCAAGTTTGCTAAACTAGATTCGTAAAATAAAATTTTAAAAGAAGAAGGCATGGCATGCAAAACTTCAAGTGTCTTTGCAATTTCGTCTGTTTTTAGAAAATAATTTTTACTTATATATCTGTTGATGAATACAATTAATTCTTGCTGATTTCAATATTTCTCGAACCATTCATCCAGATTGATATCAGTTCCTCTTTTGTAAATAATAGTTTTCAGTAACACAACGAAGTCAGAAAAATTTTCGCATAAAAATGCTATTTTAAGTGAATAATCAATAATTTTATTTTCTTCTAAATTCCCAATTATCTCAAATAAAACTTCGCAATCATTGAAATTTAAATGAAGATGCGACTCAGAATTTTTAATAAATTTTTCAATGACTTCTTCTTTTATTTCAGTACACTATTTGCAAAGATTGCATATTTTTAATTTGCAGCAAGCACTCTATAGCAGAGATAAATAGCTTTTTTATTTTATAGAATAAAAATATGTCATTTTAATTAATATATTTTCTATATGACCCAAAATCATTTTTCATTCATCCTTATTTGAAAATTTTGAAAATATCATCATATGTGTCAATCCTTGAATTGCTGCGGGGTAATGCTGTAAATTTTTTAATTTTTCTAAAGTAGATGATATAGAATTTCCAAGAAAACTTAAAAAGGTATCAGTGTTATCTATTTTAGCGATTTGATAAGAATGGATATTATGTGGAAAGCACCCTAATAATGATAAGATTGCTAAGCAGCCTTCATCAATTCTATCGGCATGTATATATTCGATAGCAGTGCTAATTAATTTGATTAATTCTAGACTGGTATCTTTAGTAGCAATAGGATTCATGCAATAACTTAAAAATTGTCCAGCAAGAATTGGAAAAGTCAGAGTTCAATCACTTTGTTCAAGTAAATAATAAGAATAGCATATAAGGTGTATTAATGAATCCATGACTGCAGCTCCGGCTGGCTGGGATTTTATGATTCCTGAATTTGGAACGAACATTAAATTGAAAATGAAGGCGAAATTTTCATCCGGAAAGACCCTGATACACTCATCTTTTTCATAGTGAATGAGATCTGCTAATAAGACTCTGTGCTTTTTTAAGCTTATCTTAAAATATGGACTGCACCCACTATAGGGATAATAACCCACTTTATAAAGCCAGATTTTTTTCTTATCAAAAGGATTTGTATAAGAAAATCCAGTTTGCTCAAATTCTAGAGTAGTGGAATTATCTTTTTTCTGGATTATTAATTGTAGGGCGTTGCTTTGATATTGCTCATCGTTAAACGAATAAATAGCCAAAAGAGTTTTTAATGGATCTGATTCGTGCTTTTCCAGTATCATATAATCTTTTGACTCTTCCTGGGTAGGCTCGTTCTCTTCTTTTATATCCTTAGGTTCTAAAGTCAATTTTGCACCTGCCTTATTATCAGATTCAAGCATTTCTCCTTTTTCGTTGGACTTATTCTTATTCTTCTTATTCTTCTTATCCTTCTTCTTCTGCGTATTGCTTGTCTTCTGCCTTTTCATTTTTATAGATTTGTATTTTAGTTGTCAGGCATACAGTCACTGGGATATTAGCAAAAAGATAGCGAATTGTGATAATTATAAAAAAAATATATGCATCAAAAAAAGTTAAAGCATTTAATAAATTATAAAAATATAATAATTTATGAATTCCGCATATGGTCTCCATATAATATTCCTTTAATTAATACGTTAGATGAAATATTATTATGTGGAGCAGGCTTACCTCTTTTTTAATTTATTCATGATACACATTCTACCCTTTGTTTATAAAATCAATTTAATGCTATATAGCTTGGCACATGCACTTCATAAGGAGTGCACTCTATGGAAAGCGCTTTCTACTTTTTTGAATTCTTTGGCGATTCTGGATGGATTCTCTTGTCCCCTACTTCGGGATTCATACTTATTCTGTTTTGTGTTGACCATTTATATGCCATTCAGTCAAAAATCCTTATTATTATTATTATTATTATTATTATTATTATTATTATTATTATTATTATTATTATTATTATTATTATTATTATTATTATTATTATTATTATTATTATTATTATTATTATTATTATTATTATTATTATTATTATTATTATTATTATTATTATTATTATTATTATTATTATTATTATTATTTTATTATTATTATTATTATTATTATTATTATTATTATTATTATTATTATTATTATTATTATTATTATTATTATTATTATTATTATTTATTATTATTATTATTATTATTATTATTATTATTATTATTATTATTATTATTATTATTATTATTATTATTATTATTATTATTATTATTATTATTATTATTATTATTATTATTATTATTATTATTATTATTATTATTATTATTATTATTATTATTATTATTATTATTATTATTATTATTATTATTATTATTATTATTATTATTATTATTATTTATTATTATTATTATTATTATTATTATTATTATTATTATTATTATTATTATTATTATTATTTATTATTATTATTATTATTATTATTATTATTATTATTATTATTATTATTATTATTATTATTATTATTATTATTTATTATTATTATTATTATTATTATTATTATTATTTTATTTATTATTATTATTATTATTATTATTATTATTATTATTATTATTATTATTATTATTATTATTATTATTATTATTATTATTATTATTATTATTATTATTATTATTATTATTATTATTATTATTATTATTATTATTATTATTATTATTATTATTATTATTATTATTATTATTATTATTATTATTATTATTATTATTATTATTATTATTATTATTATTATTATTATTATTATTATTATTATTATTATTATTATTATTATTATTATTATTATTATTATTATTATTATTATTATTATTATTATTATTATTATTATTATTATTATTATTATTATTATTATTATTATTATTATTATTATTATTATTATTATTATTATTATTATTATTATTATTATTATTATTATTATTATTATTATTATTATTATTATTATTATTATTATTATTATTATTATTATTATTATTATTATTATTATTATTATTATTATTATTATTATTATTATTATTATTATTATTATTATATTATTATTATTATTATTATTATTATTATTATTATTATTATTATTATTATTATTATTATTATTATTATTATTATTATTATTATTATTATTATTATTATTATTATTATTATTATTATTATTATTATTATTATTATTATTATTATTATTATTATTATTATTATTATTATTATTATTATTATTATTATTATTATTATTATTATTATTATTATTATTATTATTATTATTATTATTATTATTATTATTATTATTATTATTATTATTATTATTATTATTATTATTATTATTATTATTATTATTATTATTATTATTATTATTATTATTATTATTATTATTATTATTATTATTATTATTATTATTATTATTATTATTATTATTATTATTATTATTATTATTATTATTATTATTATTATTATTATTATTATTATTATTATTATTATTATTATTATTATTATTATTATTATTATTATTATTATTATTATTATTATTATTATTATTATTATTATTATTATTATTATTATTATTATTATTATTATTATTATTATTATTATTATTATTATTATTATTATTATTATTATTATTATTATTATTATTATTATTATTATTATTATTATTATTATTATTATTATTATTATTATTATTATTATTATTATTATTATTATTATTATTATTATTATTATTATTATTATTATTATTATTATTATTATTATTATTATTATTATTATTATTTATTATTATTATTATTATTATTATTATTATTATTATTATTATTATTATTATTATTATTATTATTATTATTATTATTATTATTATTATTATTATTATTATTATTATTATTATTATTATTATTATTATTATTATTATTATTATTATTATTATTATTATTATTATTATTATTATTATTATTATTATTATTATTATTATTATTATTATTATTATTATTATTATTATTATTATTATTATTATTATTATTATTATTATTATTATTATTATTATTATTATTATTATTATTATTATTATTATTATTATTATTATTATTATTATTATTATTATTATTATTATTATTATTATTATTATTATTATTATTATTATTATTATTATTATTATTATTATATTATTATTATTATTATTATTATTATTATTATTATTATTATTATTATTATTATTATTATTATTATTATTATTATTATTATTATTATTATTATTATTATTATATTATTATTATTATTATTATTATTATTATTATTATTATTATTATTATTATTATTATTATTATTATTATTATTATTATTATTATTATTATTATTATTATTATTATTATTATTATTATTATATTATTATTATTATTATTATTATTATTATTATTATTATTATTATTATTATTATTATTATTATTATTATTATTATTATTATTATTATTATTATTATATTATTATTATTATTATTATTATTATTATTATTATTATTATTATTATTATTATTATTATTATTATTATTATTATTATTATTATTATTATTATTATTATTATTATTATTATTATTATTATTATTATTATTATTATTATTATTATTATTATTATTATTATTATTATTATTATTATTATTATTATTATTATTATTATTATTATTATTATTATTATTATTATTATTATTATTATTATTATTATTATTATTATTATTATTATTATTATTATTATTATTATTATATTATTATTATTATTATTATTATTATTATTATTATTATTATTATTATTATTATTATTATTATTATTATTATTATTATTATTATTATTATTATTATTATTATTATTATTATTATTATTATTATTATTATTATTATTATTATTATTATTATTATTATTATTATTATTATTATTTATTATTATTATTATTATTATTATTATTATTATTATTATTATTATTATTATTATTATTATTATTATTATTATTATTATTATTATTATTATTATTATTATTATTATTATTATTATTATTATTATATTATTATTATTATTATTATTATTATTATTATTATTATTATTATTATTATTATTATTATTATTATTATTATTATTATTATTATTATTATTATTATTATTATTATTATTATTATTATTATTATTATTATTATTATTATTATTATTATTATTATTATTATTATTATTATTATTATTATTATTATTATTATTATTATTATTATTATTATTATTATTATTATTATTATTATTATTATTATTATTATTATTATTATTATTATTATTATTATTATTAATATTCATTTACTTCGGTTTAATATAATTTCTCTCCACCTTAACTTTAATTGCATGAAATCTTTAAATATTCATATTCAATTTAAATAAAATATACTTCTTTCTTTACATCTTTCTCTAACTTTAGGCAAAAAATTGTAATAAAAAATAAGAGAAAAACTTTCATTTATATTAAATACCTTATCTAATGTCAATAATTATCTAATTCAAAGCATTTATTCAGAAGCTATACTTAAATAAATATCTACATATTCTGCTTGGTACTAAAGAAAATTTATATCTATCAACTATTTTTTAACGATGAAGATATCAGATACCCTAACTATATTTATATGTAACAATTTTATTCTTAAAATTAATGATAGATTTGGCTTAGAATTTGCATTTGTATGCTTGCTATGCAAATATTCATGGTCTTAATTATACATGCTATGTGGGGGGTCGGGGGGATGGGGGGTCCCAGTTGTGCTTGACCAGTCAGGCATATTTTTAGTTCTAAAGAAAATCGGGAAAATGCCATTGGATATTGGGCTCTAAAGCTAAAGATTATCAGAAATAAATATATTTTTAACATAAGCTTATTGGATTCCGAAAGGACTCATTTAGTCAGACTTAATATTAGGTCGCCATATTTAAATATATAATAAGGTCTAGCTGCCCATAGGATGAAAACTTTTATTATAATTTATTGCATAAAATTTTATGCTCACTAAGAAAAGTGTTTGCTAAAAGTTTGGCTTGTTTGATTATTACCGTAAAAGGATGAATAATTTGCAATCTTTTATCAATTAACCTATATCTTAAGTAAAGAATTTTACATTGCGTTCAAGTTTTTTGCTTTGGCTTTTCGATAGCAAGACACTGGCTTGAAAAATTTGATCGAAGTTTTTTATATTCAACAGGTGTTTACTCTGAAGTTTATTAGTTTTTCCGATCAAATTTCTGTCCAGAAAAAGATTGATAAGTGGAATCTGCTAATATCAAAAAAAAAATAGGGCGGATAAAATTTAGCTCTTTTTATAGTTTATCAATTTTTTTAGATCGCTTTGAAACAATATCTAAAGTGATCTAAAAAGTCAGACTGAAATAAAAAAATGCTATTTTTATGGCAGCTTTATGTTTGGTTTGGCAAGCAGAGCTTAGGATTATATATGGCCAAGTTTATCTGTGCTTATCAGAAAAATGATGGTTGCTATTTCTATTTTGACTTGTCAGATCGCTTTAAATATTATTTCTTAGCGATCTTAATAGGTTCTCGAACTATACATTTATTTCTTACTTGATCCTTTAGCTTCAAGTTTTCAGTCTTTTCTTAATCTAAATATTTTATAGACTATTAGGCTATTTCAAGCCTCTTTTCCTGATATATTTTGCAAGGCTTTACTTTATTATATCGCCCTTCAAAGCATTTATTAGATGGCTATTTTAACTTTAAAGAAGCTCCCTTATTTTCCAGATGCCTTGCACAATAAGAAATATGTGCAACAGATAATATGAAATCATTTACTTGAAAAAAAATATTAGGCAATATTATTTATTCATCCATCTTATCAGTATCTTTTATTTTAAAGATTTAATAAAAGAAAAATTTCTTACTTTTGATAATAAAGTTAAGATTCTATAAAAATAAGGTAATTTTATCATCCAATAATTTGCCTATAATAAATGTGTCCAGCTGGTAAGAAAAGTAAGAAAGGAAAACCAATTGATAAAAATCAACCCTCTCCAATTGAAGAAACAAAAAGAGAGTCTGACCTAGGAAGGCAATCCCTTTTAGATAGTGAAATGTCTCAGAAAGATATTGAATCACAAGGATACATTTTAGACACCAAAACAGGAAAATTTAAAGAGTGCAAATTCGCTTACATTCTTTATGCTTTTGACGATCATCAATTTTCACAGAACGAATTTATGTTGATGATTCATCAATTTAGTTATAAAATCAGAGAGGTGCCCTTTCATTATCAAAACTATGATTACGCTGAATTTGGATTGAATAGAAATATAAAACTTTACAGAGTAGCTTATATCCCTGTAAAACATGATAAAACAGATTCATTTCAATTAAAATTATGAAGAAGTCAATCAGATGATTTTTATGAAAAAGAAGGAACTTTTAGAGATTTTAAAAGTTGAAGCCACGCTTTTATTTTCAGCATGCAGATTGTAAAAAAAACTTGGTGGGGTTTTGGATGAAAAAGTCCAGATGGTGAACCTGTGCTCGATCCAATAGAGCAGCTAACTTTTTATTCTTTATATGCTTTTCGAAGTGCCAAATGAGAAATACTTCTCCCAATTCTCATCGAACAATTTAATTACAAATTTGATTACCGAAAATTTAATGTTGAAAAGCAAAGAGCAATTGAATTTCTCCAGGTTTTGGATTACTTTATTAGAGAGCAAGATTCAAATTACTCTGAAGAATCTTCGTATATAATTTTAGCACTTTTAGGCTGCCTTAAAGCAGAAGCCATTCAACACCAAGAATGCAGACTGGATTCTGGGATTAGTCTTCTGTTAAGGATTGAAAATTTTGAAAATTTCTTTGAAAAAATCAGAATGCAATCGCTTTATAAAAATGCAATTTCAGGAATTGGCTATGCTTTAGCATTAAATAAAAAAGCAGGAGGAAGAGAATGGGCATTTATTCTTAATAAGATTGAAGATAGAGGCCAGAAATCTATAATTTTGCATCAATTTATAGAAATTGTGAGCTCACTAGGCCTTACTCTTAATAAAGATGAATGCGAAGCTTTACAATTGATTATACAAACATTAGGCTCAAGTGAAATTTATAGCAAAATACTAGCATGTGCTGAGTCGCTCCTGCTATTCACAGAACTTTTACATGTACTGTTTTTATCAGTCGATGAGAATGCCAGAAGGGAATTCAACATAAAGCAAAATTGGAAAAGGGCAATCAATTTATTTCTTGAAAAGCAGCCATTGAGAATAGACATAGTAGCTGATTTGTTGGAAATATTGCATAATAAAGAGCCTGAGTTCAAAAATTTATTCTATGATTCAAATTTTTCTAATATTGTAGATTCAGCAATAAGGAAATGCTTAGAAAGCTTCAATAAAAGCGACTTGGTTTACTTTAAGAAAATTTATAAGCTTTATTATAATGAAAGAGTTCGTTTTTCTATGAAATCAGATTCTGTATGCGAAACACTTTTAAAAAATTATTATTTAAAGCCACACGAATTGATAGAAAACTTCAACATCGATTGCAGATGGCTATTCAAATATTGATTAAAACAGCTTAAAATCAACTGTTATTCTGACATAGAAAAAATTATCAAGGAGTTAGAAATAGAAATTAAAATAATAAAAAGCCTCGAGATCAAAGGCGTATTCGAAACAATTAATGCCATTATCAATAATGGAATAGTGCACATCTATGAATCTAGTAAAAGAATACTAAACAGCATTTTCGAGCTCGCGCCAATTATTGATGGTTTTGAAACACTTAAAACTGGTTATATTCAATTCATTCAAGAAACACAATTTTCTCTTTATAATTATTCAAGATCTTATGATGACCAAGTTGGTAAAATTCTTGAGTTGCAAAAAAGGTATAAACATTGCGATCTCCTAAAAGAATTGTTAGCATTAAAGCTCGCCATTTCTGGAGTAGCTGAATTACCCGAAAAGGAAACTAAAATGTGCCTTTATAAGGATCCATCCTCTCAATTCTTCTGGGCCGCTTTGATTGAATCTCACAAGTACTATTATTCAAGAAACTTGGAATATTTTGCCAATTTGATAAGTTTTTGGGAAAAAGAAGGCTTAAAAATAGTGAATGAAGAAATTAAAGTTGATGATTTAATGATTATAAAATACCAAAGTGAAGAAGACAGAGCTGCCTTTTTAAAATATCTAAATGCACCATTTGACATTAAAGGAAATAAGGCTAGGCCTGATTTTTTTGGAAAAATAAAGGAATTATTGACTAGGATTGATTTTATTAGTGAGGAAATGAGCCATGTGAAAGCTTTTATAGACATAATCTGCATAAATCTGCTTGATGTAGAAGGGGCATATAAAATATCCTTACATAGCTTTTCTTATATGGATTTAAAAGATTTTCAGTATCACCCAATAATTTTGCAAATAAAAGAACTTGCTGTAAGCTTAGCTACGGTTTTGCATTCTCATTCATATATCCATTATTTCTTACAAAAAGAATTAGAAGTCTCTCCCTTAAGCCTATCAAACATTGCAACAATCTGCACGGAAGCAAAAAATAAAATGAAAAATGAACTAAATTCACTTTTTACCACATTTGAAAATTATCCTATGGAAAAATTTTTAGCAATCTTCAAAGACCTCAATTACATTCAAAAGGAAATATCAATCATTGAAAACTTATTTCCAAATCCAGATCCTGTAAAGCTTTTAAATCTGGGCCAATGCCTAGGTTATTTAAAAGAAAAAGAATCCTTAATATTCTCTTGCAATGCCATCAAAGAGCTTTCAGTGCTTTTTACTGGAGATGAAAATATCATAAAAATATGCCAAGATTGCATCGCTATTTTGCAAAATATTAAATCTCAAAAATTAAGTGTGTTTTTATCTGTATCTACCTTGGCAAAAGAAAGCTTGAGTAAAGATCTTAAAATAGGGGATGAAGAGATATTTTTTAAAACAATAAATGAAATATCAAGATCAGAAGAGCTGATAGCTTTTTTGAATAGTATTAATGAAAGTGATATGCTGCAGCTGAAAGAAAGTGTAAATGATTATGATGATTTATACGCTGATACTCAAGCCATTATGGATTTAGAAAATTTATGGGAGTCTATTCGAGAAATCAAAAACATATTTTATGATTATCCAAGTTTTTGCAAGATTTTTAACCAGAGAAGGATTGATAAAAAATATGATAAAATTATAGCTCAGCTGCAAAATTGTAGGTCTCAGCTAGCAGGAATAAAAGAGCTGCATGTAAATATAAATTGCAAAGAAGAAGCCAAGAAAAAACAAATTGTTGAAATAATAACAGACTCAGAATTCCGCATAGTTTTAGTTGGAGATTTTTATGATGTGAATTTGAAATACTTAAAAAACCAAAAGCATGATTTCAACTTGCCTAGTTTGCTTGAATTCAAAGAGCGTGCTTCATTGCTTCTTCATACTCTTGATGCAGCCCAAATTCAAGACCCAGATATGATTCTTCTTCCTGGATTTAAAAACTTAGTTACATCAATTCAAGAGATTTTGGCAAATCTAAATAATCTCAGAGTATATGGGTATCCTCTTATAGAAATTCCGGAATTATTTAGAGTTCATAACGGAGATATTTCAAGTGTTCTGGACTATGAAAAGCAGTTATCAGAGCAATTTAAAACCTGGGAAATTTCACTGTCTGATAAATATAGTAGTAACTATTTGCTTACTTTTCTTCATGGGCAGCAGTTTTGGTGGCTTGAAGGTTATTTAATTGATGATAAAAAGGAATTTGAAAAGGAGGCTAATAGTCTTTTAGAATATATGGGGAAATCCTATGCAAAAATAACAGATGTACGAATTGCAAATAAAAATAATGCAGCTGAAAGGCTTTTATGTTCTAATTGTTTAATTATCAATAAATTATTACTAAATCAGTGCTATTTTGTAATTCTTAAATTTAATTAAATGCAAAATATTATTAGGAGAAACACTGGAACAACTTCCTAATCTTCAGAACAACGACGCAAAGCTAAATTATTGTCCGAGAAACAGAAACAAATTCATCATAAACAATGGAGAAGTTGTTTACCTTGAGACTTCCAAAATATTACTAGGTATATTTTCAGTTTATTTTAATTCTTGCTCTTCAATGCCTCGAGCAGATCAAATCTTTTTCTGCCAATATAAAACCTCCTGGAATGAGCTCTTTGCATTTTTATATAGGTGTTTCACAAATCCAGGCCATGAACTATATCTTTTAGTTAACTGCGAAGAATTAGCTTTAGAGATTCAAAATAAATTTAAATCTTTATTTGCAGATTTGTGCTTCCACAAAGTCGGAGATATGCAATTTAAATTAGGCATAATTACAGCAGATAAATCTTCTGCATTATCATCATACTTTAAAAATACCGAATTAACAAGAGTGATTATTTTGAATGATAGCAAGTTGCTGAGCGATGATGACTTGAAAGAAATAGTTTTGGAGACTAATAGAAATTACGTGACTGTAGTATATCATATTTAAATCAATGCTTAGCTATAATTATATTTACTAGAAAATAGAGTTGATATTTCAGGCTCAATAAGGCACCATCTTTTTAATGAAAAAATATAGACTGTGTAAAATTTTTAATTTAATAAAATGTAACTTCTGAGATGGCTGGGCTTGGAAAAACAACAGAAATAAGACAGCAAGTAAAACAAATTAAAAATTATAGCCTTAATGATGAAGATGCTGAAAAAAGATTAGATGAAATAATAAAAATGTTCCCAATAGCTGGGGAAGTTGACTGTATTGATCTTTGTAAAAATTTCCCTTTCATTTCTGAGTCAATGGCTTTGCATCTTCATTTAAGCTACGTAAGCAACAGTTATCTGCTAAATGAGTTCCTTATTAATCTATGCATTTTCCGAACACTAAATTACACAAAAAATATTATAATAATACCAAGAGAAATAAGGATTTTTATTGAAGTTTCCAACACATATTCAAATATTCTTTTAAACTCTTTAGAATGTCTCCACTACTTCAACCATATTCATATAGAAAAATTTTCTTTAGATAGGCTAATTATCAGCAGAAATCGAAATGATAAATTACAATTTATTTGTTCTTATCTTGACTTATATCATAGAAAATTGTTAGACAGTCAATCAATTTCTGAAATGACAGACCAAGGTTTATCAGTTTATGATAATGAAAAAGTTCGTTTTTTGCTTGCTACCTACTTACTACCTAAACAAGGGGATGAAAAAAGCAATATATCTTATATTCAGCTAGACATTATGATCAAAATTTTAACAAGCCTATGCAGGAATTTCGGAAATTGTGGATTTTTTGAGCCATGGATGATTAATGAAATGAAAAGTGATTTCGCAGCTAGTGGATTGGGTGCCTTTGTTTCTGATCTTGATAGTCTAAGATCTCGCATATTTGAAAGCATACTTTTGACTGTTAAAGAATTTACTTCAAAGTGTATTGCTGATGTTAGAAATCAACAGTTGAGAACCTCTCAAAATATCCAAGCAAATACTAGCATAATTGAGGATGAGGAATTAGCTGACAGATTCAAATGCTGCTTGAAATGAGAGTCATCAAACCACTTTACAATGGTTTTTCTAGAAGATGGTTCATTGATTCCCATATACAGAGATCCAAATGAAGTCCCAGTAAATATCAAGAAGCTGATTTTTACTCACTCTATATCCGAGAAATGAAAAATATTTTAGAATTCCTTTATTTTGGAAAGAATTGACCCTTCTCCTATTAGAACAAGAATTTTATAATATTTGACTACGATTTTTAAATCATTCAAACAGTTGTAAATATAAAAAAAATTATTCTTTTCTTAAGGAGGAGTCAGCACAATGCTCTGACGGCATATAAAGGAGGTGGAATCCCAGCAAATCAAATCAATCAAATAATCAAATCTGGAGCATACACAATTGAGGATTATCGACAGATGTTTCACAGTGATTTTCTTTTTAAATTACAAACTTATTGCAAAGACAAAAGGGACCTGCAATTAATGTACGTAGACTCTCAATATGTTATTACTCCAGACAATTTTTTAAAAATGAATTTAATTTATTTGAGAGCAATATCAAATATCCCCATAATCATAATGGGAGAAACAGGCTGTGGGAAAACATCTTTAATCCAATTTTTTGTGGAAAATATCCTTGGAGACCAGCTTGTAAAAATCAGTATTCATGCTGGCACCACATCAAGTGAAATAAAACAAGAACTAGAGTCTCCGATGCTACAGTCGCAGATGTATATTGAGGAGGCTGCAATATGAGGCATAAAAGTAAAGAAACTCTGAGTTTTCTTTGATGAATTTAATACAACTGAAAGTGTAGGGCTCATTTGCGAAATAATATGCAATAGAACACTCGAGGGAAGGAAACTGCCTGAAAACATGGTATTTATTGGTGCTTGCAATCCTTATAGGCTATCAATTCGAAGCCAAAGCTATCAAGAAAATGTTGGAATTAAAAAAGACACCAAAACAATTAGCAAACTCTCACATGTTGTTAAGCCGCTTCCAGAAACCATGATTGAGTATATATGAGACTATGGAGCTCTGACTGCTAATGATGAAAGAGAATATGTTATAGCTATGTTTAAAAATATTGAATCAAGTTATACTGATCTTTTTGTAGATTTTATTTGCTTATCTCATAACCCTCCCCCTCCGAACAAACCATTGAAAAATCCCTATTTTTTGTAAAAAAAATCTCCTTTCTTAAGCGATCAAAAAAAATTTTTAATATAAGTGATAATTATTATAATTAATCTCTAGCTAATTCTATTTAGTTTTAAACAGCTTGCATTTTTAAAACATAAAGTTTAAAAAATAAATTAATATTTGCTTTAAAATTATTTCGAACTGGATTTTTTTAATTAAAATAAGCAAATAACACCTCTGAGGGAACAAAATTTTTTTTTCACTCACGAGGGAGTAATCATTTTCAAAAATCTGAAGATGCAAGCAGTGTTAGTCTGAGAGATGTTTCAAGATTTATCAAATTATATAAATGATTCAAGAACTCCATTATAGAAAAGAAAGCTCATAGAAATGAAAGATACCAAGAAAACCTGAAAAAATATAATTTGATTACCGAAGATAGAAATAGTGACCCTGATTTTGATGCAGGAATTTTAGCTTTTTGCCACTGCTACTATTTAAGGCATAGCACTCAAATCAAAAGATTTGAATTTTTAGAGGAGATTTGTAGAATTATTAATAGAGATACAATTTTTGTAGAGAGAATAATGGCTCCTTCACATGACGCCTATTTCATAACGACTATTGTTTTTAGCGGTTTTTTTTTGGCTTATTTTTGGCCAATTTTAGCCTTTTTTGGCCTATTTTTTAATAATAAAAATTTTATATATTATAACTTCTTTTAAAAACACAATAGACTAAAATTAGTCATTATGAAATAGTTATGTGTGAAGACACGAGAATAATAGCAATAATTGAAAATGAGCAAAATGACTATCTTGCAAGGATGGAACTGCCTAAAGGAACAGCGTTTAATAAAGCTTTAAGGGAAAATATTTTTACAATTATTCCTTGCATTATAAATAAAATTCCTGTATTTCTATGTGGTAAGCCAGGATGCAGTAAAACTTTATCAATTCAACTTATCTTTGCCCATCTTACTTCTCCTAATTAGAATTAAAAATCAAAAGATTCTTATGGAAAAGATAGCTATGGAATTATAAAGTTATTCAAGAAGAAAAATGGATCCTCATTGCAAATTTAAAGAATAGATTTTAAAATATGTATATAATTTTATTTAATAATTAAATGAAATAGTAAATGTTTTGTTAATATTAGTTTCAATCATACATTTTTAATCAAAAAATTTTGCACATAAAAGAATAGATGAATGAAATTTTAAGTTATTTATATGTAGAGCAGAATTAAATCGCCTTAATAGCAATTGAATGAGTTAGGGGCAAAAAATCAACTGACTCCTATTTTCAAACACTTCCAGAACTTATTCAAGTGCCATTTCAAGGCTCAGATTCATGCACATCAGAAGGAATTATAAAAGCTTTTAAGAGAGCGGAAAAATATTATGAGACCGATAAAGCTCTGCTGCTACCAGTTATAATATTTGATGAGATTGGGCTTGCTGAAATTTCAAAGCATAATCCATTAAAAGTCCTTCATAATTTGCTTGAAATAGAAAATGTAACAGTAGGCTTTGTCGGAATTTCTAATTGAAGACTCGATGCATCTAAAATGAACCGAGCGCTTTATCTCGCAAGACCTGATCCGGATGAACTTGATTTAGTGTATACTGCAAACAGCATTTATTCATCTTTTGGAGGTATAGATAAAGTACACAAAAAAGTAATCAAGCATTTGGCTTTGTCATATTTTGAATTTAAGAATCAGTACAAGGATACCAATTATGCTGATTTTTATGGGCTTCGAGACTTTTATCACTTGATAAAGCAAGCATCAAAACAATTAGTCGTTAATAATTTCTTGGATCCTCAGCAAATTGCAGGAGTAGTTAAGAGAGCAATTGAAAGGAATTTTGGTGGCAAAGAAGGAAATTCATTAAAATGGTCTGGCAAACCAACCAACCATCTTAGCATCTGTAGCTGGGCAACCGAGGGACCTTGTGAATGGAAGGATAGCATTTGGCAGTCAGATTTCACTTGGTTCGGTGGGGTGCAATGCCGGGGTGCCGGCACATACTCACATATAGGTCAAGGTTTTAGCTCGTGAGGAAATGAACATGGAGTTGGAAAGGGGTTCTGGGATTAGTTCTCAGCGCAATATCAGGCGTTGCATCTTGGGCTACGTGTTTCATTTTTGGCGGCAGATGACCAGAAAATTCGATTTTTCGACTTTCTGGAAGCCGAACTTGTTGGTAACCCAAAGCCTTGGACTCACGGTAGTAAGTGCAAGCCCTTGTCCGTAAGTAGCGGTACAGTGAGAGGCCGTGCTCTGACTAGCAAGCAAGTAGTGGAGAGAAGCAGTGAGGCAAAAGTGGCTTGCGGACCTACCGCGAGCTTTCTTATAATTTAATTCAGTTAATTCAGCTGAGGTGGGAAAGAAGGAGCTGCAGGAGAAATGGGAAGTATTTTTATGAAGTTGCATGGATTTGAAAATATTTATCCTTATTGTGAGCCAAATATCAATATTTTAGATCTTATTAAAGAAAACTTAAAAGATCCAAGCTCACGTTATCTTATGCTTATAGGTAGGGTTGATGCTGTCTCATTTATTCTTGACAAGCATTTACATTCTCTTTTAGAAAGAAGAATAATTGTTGGAAGCAAATTAAAAGATGATATAAGCCAAGAAGAATACGGCTTTCGGTCACTCAGTGATATTATTCTCTATATGGAAAAAGGAATTTCTATAATTCTGAAAAATATGGATCATATATATAGCTCTTTATATGATTTATTCAACCAAAATTTCGCTGTCTCAGGAGAAGGGGAAGGAGAAAGAAAATATTGCAGGATTGCTTTAGGGGCTTTGTTTAACCCCAGGTGCTATGTGAATAATAATTTCCATGCTATTGTTTTTATGGATAATGACAAAGACATTTTGCTTAAAGCTGATGCCCCCTTTTTAAATCGATTTGAAAAACATAACTTGTCACTTGACAAAATTCTGACTTCTGAACAGAAAAGAATCCAAGAAAACTTATTCCTACCTCTGTAAGCGAGCAAAACCATCCCATTTTTTGGATAAAATACCACCCTCCATGAGTGAACAAAAAATGAGTGATTATTAATAATACTTAAAAAAAAAGTTAATTCTATTGAATTTAAACGATTTGGGTTAATTAAATTAATTTCATTTTAATTTTTGCGATTGGGATATTTTTTTAAACTTCAAAAAACAATTTAACCTCCACGAAGGGTCAGAGTTAATAAAATGGGCAAAAAGAATATTTTATTTTCAAGGAGGAAACAAAATGCTTTACACAATTAACCACTTATTCCCTATATATAGCTCAGAAACAATTGCATTATTGGTACTTTTCAACTATTGTGCAGATGAAGAAGAAACAATGAAAAGATGCAAGGATGTGCTACTAAGAGTGGCACCTTCTGATATTAAAGTACTACTTGAAGTAAACTATATGGAAGAGCATGAGAAGATTCCTATTATTAGTGAATGAAATGAACTTCATTTTGATAACTTTCCTGATCACATCGATTCTATTTTAAATGATTCAAAAGTAAATGGAAAATTTAGCAAACTTATTGCTTTTACTTATGATACTAATTATTATTCAAACGAATATGAACAAGAAAACAAAAGCAAAATGCTTGTGAAAGAATTAAGTAGCTTTAAATCAGAACAGGATCTAACCAAAGACCTACAAAAATTTTATGTTGAAGACAAAGAAATATAGAAGTTTCCTATGTTTGGCGCTGTAAGGCCGATAAATTCTGATCGGAATTTATCGGTAGGTTGCACCAAATCAATGCCTTGGTCGGACCAAAAAGCGATTTGGTCCGACGAACTTGGAAAGCTCCTGGAAAATGTCTGCGCTTTTAGCGCTATATAGAGGAAACCTCTATATATATTTTGGAGCTTGAATTTTCAAAAGAAAGCCAGCATTTATCGCTGATAAAGTTTATTATAGATAAACTTGAGGATGAATTAAAGATAGAAAAAAATATTTGCATTATTATTCATATGAAAAGAAATATTAAATATGATAATGCAATTATACTGTTTGAGTCATGGAAAATGCAAATGTTTGATGGCCTTTCAACAGAGTCTTTTGATGTATCTGATAAATTAGCGAAAGATACTAAAACTCTTATATCTGAAAATCTCGTTATTAACTTTGAGGACAATGTAAGTGTTTTTATTGAAAAATGTTTATTGAAATTTAAGTATGACCAAAAACTGGCAAATAAAGAGAATTTAAACGATCACATTGCTTCAATTATTAATAGTGCTTCTGCAGACAAAGAATTTGTAAAAGAATTAAAAGGAAAAGTTTTCGAAGAAATTAAAAAATCTGAAAATGTTAGGGACTGGAAAGAGCAGATTTTTATGAGTTCGGCTATTGTTTCAGATTCAAATAAGCTAGAAAATGCGATAAAGGCAGCTCTTTCTTATGAAATTGAAAAAGTTTTAACGCTGATTTTATATTCTCTTGAAGAAAGTTCGGCCCTTATTAGTTTTTTTAAAAATGGAAATAAAGAAATAAATGCAATTAAACGTGACATTTGGCTTGATAGTTTCTGAAATATCAGTACTGGGGAAATAAAACTGCAAGATATTAATCAAGGAAATTTGCTGAGCTTAGAATTAGTTTTAAATTTCCCAACTTCTAAAGCAGAATATAAAATTATTGAAGACCTATTGTAATTGCCCGAGGATGGCGCTATCTTGCGCCATCCTCGGGCAATTTAAAAAATGGCCCCACACCGGGAATTGAACCCATGTGTGGGGCCATTTTTGGAGCGTGGAAGTCGATGTTCTACACATACCAAAAATGGCCCCACACGTGGGTTCAATTCCCGGTGTGGGGCCATTTTTGAATTGCCCGAGGATGGCGCAAGATAGCGCCATCCTCGGGCAATTACTATATGTGAGAACTGGAAAGAAAAAGGCATTTTTTATGAGGAGTCAATAATTAAAAGTAACATCCGAGAATTATATAAACAAAAATCGCTTTTCTATAATAAATTTGATGCATTAAATCAAAACCTCGAACTTCAAGAGCTGCTTCTGAGTGATCTGGTCAAAATTTTATTAAATAAAAATCTAATAAATCAAGAATTCGAAGATTTTGTGTTTAATCTGCTAACTCCCCCCCCCTCCGTGAGTGAACAAAACCATTTAGAAAAATCCCTATTTTTTGCTCAAAAACCCACCCTCCGTGAGTGAACAAAAATTTTTTTAATAAAAAAATTTTGATATATAAATGATAATTAGTATAATGAAATCTAGAGCTAATTCTGTTTTAATTTAAACGAATTGCTTTTAAAACATAAATTTTATAAATTAAATTAATATTTGCTTTCCAATTTTTGTGAATTAGGATTTTTTTAAATTTCGAAAAAAAATATTTTCTATAAAATTTATATATAAATTTTTTTAAAAAATAAAATTAACCCCCCTCCGTTAGTGAACAAAAATTTTTTTTGTTCACTCACGGGGGGGGGGGAGTAAGGTTAGTTACAATCTATGAAAGCTCTCTAGAAGAAAAAATCTTAGCATTTATGAAGTTCAAACCTATTTTTGTACTTATTTGCTATGCAATTAACTTATTTTATTATTCGCCAGAATCCAAAATTAATGCGATTCAGAGTTATCTCACTCCCCCATATAAATTTAATTTCCATTGTTTTTCTATCTTAACACCCTTTAATTTAGGTGAAAATAATAATTTTAGCCTAACGAATGGAAAAAGTGCAGTTAAATATTATTTAAACAGTTTTCACACTGAATCAATTAATTTTTGAATTAATTCTTTAAAAAAATTAAAATCCAAAAGATCCTTTCTGTTTATAATTAAAAAAATTTAATAAATATTTTTAAAGGGATAAATTTAAATAGATTTTTTTAAAACAAAATTTCCGTTTAAATTGGAACTACCTATTTAAATTAGGGGAGAGTCAATAAATCTTTATCGATTTTAGAAAAATTGAAGAATAAATCCCCTGAAAGCGAAGAAGATAAGGAAGAAGAATCAAACTGCTTTAGTAAGATATCTCAGCCAGAGTGGAAGCTATTCATTAGTAATATATTGAATGAATTAATAATCTACTCTTGTCCAGACCAAATTGATAAAATCTACAGTGAAAATTGAGAATCTTACCCTTCAGAAACAGGGAAATTAATAAGTATCATCAAAGAGATAGAAAACATAGAGGTTTTTGATATAAGAGGATTAGATTATCTTGAGTTTTGAGCAACTTTTAGTACTTATATGACCAAATATGAAACAAAAGAAAATTTATTAAAGGTCTTTGAGGCCTCAAAGTCATTTGAGAAAGCCAATTCGTCTTTTCTTTACAATCAAGATTTTGTAGAATATGTGTTTGGCTATATGAATCAGAACTCATCAAGTGATATCTATCAAAAGGCTGCATCTTTAAAATTTCAAAGCTATTATTTGGGCGTTTTACTTAAACAAGATGAAAAATATGTGCTAAAAATAGCTCAGCTTGTAGAGCAAAGTGAGATATGAAGGTATTCATCAGAGTTATTCAGTAATTTATTGAATTATATGAACATAAAATGTGGTTTAAACACTAGAATGCTTGATACAGAAGATTTAAGAAATAATAAATATTCATTAGAAGTAGAAAAAACTATTGAAATATGTGGATTTGAAAGCAAGTTTTCTATATTATTAAATGATTTTATTGGAAAGCATATAGATGAAGTGAATGAAAAAGAAAAATCAAGAGAGCACAGTAATATTTTTAAATTCATGGAAAGGAAATTTTTGTTTGCTCAGCATTATAGGAATCTCTGCATGGTTCCTTCTGAATTTCCTTATTTAAACAGACTCTTTTCAATTTCATTTATTAGCTCTCCCCCAGATCGAGCAAAAATATGGAAACAATGCTTTATTTTTGATCAAATTTAAGATCAGGATATATAAAACTTTATTTTTAATTAATAGTTAAAAAAAGGCCTCTAGTTAGAAAACTTGCATTCTTTACTTAAATTTTATAAATTAAGTTTATATTTACTTTTGCAAAAACAGATTTTTGAAAATACAAAAATTTAATATAATTTTTTTCAAAATCTTTTGCCCTTAAGAGGGATTAAGCAAAATCTTGAAATTTATGCCTCGTATTTTAATCCTGAAAACAGTAATTTTGAAGATATTAATGAGGAATCCCGTCAGTTTTTGAACAAAATTAATGAAGAGTTGAGTTTAGAAACAAGCTTTCGGGATACTCTGAAGCTTTACTGTTTAAAAAACATTCACAAATCAAAGAATTTTGATGGCTTTATAGAAGAAAATAGAGAACTACCTTGAATTCAGAATTATTCACCGTCAGAAAATGAGAATGAAAGATCTATATTCCCTTACTTCCCAAGCATGAAAGAATCTTATTTAGAAATGGTTTATTTATTAAAATCATTGATAAATGATAAGTCAGAAAATATATTAGATGAAAAAATTATAAATGCAGATAACCCAAAATCCAGAATTGTGATTGCAATGGCTTTTATGAATGAGGTATTTATTAAGCATTCTTTAGGAGAAAAAATAAACACTTCCGTTAAAAATTGGTTTACAAACAAAAAAGATATGATCCTTTCAAATCTTGGTAAGGAATTTTATCAACTTTTATACTTTTTTATTAATAATTTCCATCGCAGCAGCTATCTTTGCTTATATAAGAATCAGCCAATTGAAGAAGTAGAAAAAATTCTAATTTTATGCTCTATTTCAATTCTCATTCTTTCTTATCGAAATTTTTCAAACCCCCTTTCCAGTCTCTTTTTCACGCCTGAAGGAACAATAGATCCTGACTTCCAAAAGCATTTCAACAATTTATATGTCATTTGTTCTGAGCCAAGTCCTATGTTACACTACTTGAAAGATACACTTAAAAATTTTAATTCTCTCATATCGAGTACTTGGAGGGCTCCACATTCTAAAGGGAGCACTTATAAATGTTCAAGTGATTGCGATTTTCTTTATTTTGTGAATGCATGTGGTGGGCCAACAGAAAAAGGATTTTGTCCATATTGCAAACGAGAAATAGGCGGAATAGGCCATAAACCAGTTCCCAGAGAAGGGCATGAGAATTTATCACATGAAGAGGCTATGAAGTTTCTGCAGGATTCAATAGCTCGAAGAGAAGCAAATGAATGCAAAGGATGCCAAAATTATGGAAGCTTTAATGGAGTAAAGCTGATTAGAGAATTGAAGCCAATTACATCAGAGTCACTTCATCTTATTCTTAGTGGAAGCCTTTATGTAATATTGAAGCTTGATGTTTTAAGGATAGGTGATATTGCTTCAGCAATAAATAAACCTCCTTTAGAATGCGAAGGCATTTTATGAGCAGCAATTCAAAATGATTTTACACAAATTTCTTCACTTTTGAGTATACATGAGCCAAATATATGAATATTCAGCATTATATCAGAGCTCCCTGAAATAATTGAAGCTTTTAATGTTGAGCCCAGCACAAAAGAAATTAGAGATAACTTTGAAAACTACTTTGAAAGAGAAATAATAAATAGCCATATGAGTCCATCATCTGTGATAATTGACTATAAAAATAATTTTTGTGAATCTTTTGGAAATGGAGGCATCTCTGATATTCTTGATGAATTAAAAGGCATGTACAAGCCAGAGTATCCAAATTTAAGATTATTCAGATTAATAGACAAGCCTTCAGCAGAAGAAATGAAAAATTATTTTTTGTTTCACAACCCAAGCCAGCAATTCAATTTGCTAACTATCCATCACCTTTGATTTAAAATTTCAGAAAAATTGGGAATTAATTCCTTGATCGAACAGCCTCCTTAAGAGGCGGCCGGCAGGAAAGTCGCTGCGTTTTTTTTTTAGGGGGCCTAAAAGTTGCCGTCATTAATTTTGAATCGCTTCGACAAAGGCGATTTTGCGATTTTTTGGTTGCGATTTTTTTTTTTTTTTGGGTGTTGGTGTTGGTGCGGCTTTTGGTGCTGCTTTTGGTGCAGCTTTTGGTGCTGATTTTGTTGCTGCTTTGGTGCAGCTTTTGGTGCTGCTTTTGGTGCTGCTTTTGGTGTTGCTTTTGGTGCTGCTTTAGTGTAGGGATAATATAACAATTTTTCTTCTTCTTGATCGAACAATTTTCATATGGTTTGTCTATAGCTTATTTACAGAGTTTTTTTAGCCTTACCATTGGTTTGAACGACACACTGTCACTCAATCAAATATAGGATGGGATAAGCATATATTTTAAAAATTATGAAGAAATTAAAACTATTGAAAGCTTATACCCTATTATTGATTTAACGAATAGCCTTCTAGAAATTTACAATCACAAAATTGCTAGAGACCAAGCAAGAAACTTGACTATCAAAGATGCAATATTTGCGAATGAAAGCATTAAAGAAAAGTTCAGAAAATTTAAGCAGGCATGGAAAAGTAAAGGAATTGATGAGCTTTACTATGAATGCAAAAGACTTGAATCAATTGAGTTTGAAGACGAGAACTCACCATTATCATATTTCCTAGTGGACAACAAAGAGGTTGGAGGAGGAATGTATATGGCTGCTGCGCTATTAGAACTAGCCTCACGCCATAATAAGTTATTAGGTCTAATGAAAGACGCTTTACCATCAAATCAGCCAAATAGCTTCCAAAGTTCTAGCATTGAGATGCATCCAGTTCAAAATGCAATGAAAAATCATATACTTTCATGCGAATTAGATGACCCAGATATAATCAACAGCTCTTCAATAAATAACCCTCAATATGGAAAAGGGAGGGAACTTATATATGATTTTGAAAAATTGCAGTCCTATTTAGCAAACTCTCTACTCACGAAGAAGTACCTTGACAAATCAAAACTTGGCCTAATTCAATATCAATTTGAGCTATTAAATATTCAAGATGAAAACTCAGGCTTAATATCAGAAATTCATAATTTGATATGCCAGCAGCCTTTTAGCAAGGAAACTGAAATCAAAGTAAAGCTGTTCTTTAAAGAATTAAAAGAAAAAGAGGAAAGAGGGTATCAAATCATAGTTAAAGAAATTTACTCTTCATTAGATTACATACTTTGCTATCTTAAAAACTCCAAAGAAAACCCTGAGAAATCGATAAGTGATTTCTGCCAAAGACTGAATCAAGCCAAAATAAGTGAATTCATCAAAGGCCGTCATGCTTTAGCTGAGATAAGTCTATTTAATATTGTAGCTCTATATGAGCATATAGAATTTTGCTATTTCCCTTACATGAAAGACTTAATCCGTGCAGAGTTTCAGAAATCAGCCAACAAGGATGTCATTAAACATCAGCTGCATGGCTTGATTGAAGAGTGTGATGGACTTAGACTCCCAACTCGACTTCAGGCTCAAAACGCTTTGATGAGATTTATAATGAGATGCTTGACTGCTGAATTAAATCCCAATTTACCAATACAAATGTATATTCAAAAATCAGACTTTTGGGATAAGTCAGTTTCCTATGAACAAATTCAGCTATTTGAAATGAGATTTTCAGAAAAGGTGAAGATCTCTCATTCATTGGCAACTTATGAGGAAATCATGACTATTGGAGAAGAGCTTGAAAAAAGGGCAAGATTGATGGAATTTGAGAATAATTAATTCTTACTCCCCCCCCTCCGTGAGTGAACAAAAAAATTTTATTCACTCACGGAGGGGGGTTAATTTTTTTTTTAAAAAATTTATATATAAATTTTACAACAAATATTTTTTTTCGAAATTTAAAAAAATCCTAATTCGCAAAAATTGGAAAGCAAATATTAATTTAATTTATAAAATTTATGTTTTAAAAAGCAATTCGTTTAAAATTAAACAGAATTAGCTCTAGATTTCATTATACTAATTATCATTTATATATCAAAATTTTTTTCCATCAAAAAATTTTTCTATTAAAAAAATTTTTGTTCACTCACGGAGGGTGGGTTTTTGGGCAAAAAATGGCGATTTTTCTAATGGTTTTGTTCACTCACGGAGGGGGGGGAGTTAGCTTAGCCTTATTAATAAATGGGATCTTTTAAATTAAAAAACCCTATTAATTAATTTAATTTTATTACCTTGAAATGTTATGTTTTAATTGCTATATGGCTGATATATCAATTGAATAGCTCGAGAAAAAAAATCGAGAAACAATTTAACTTCTAAAATAGCTTATTTTCATCAATATATATAATCTAATGTTGGAAAGATTAAAGAATAACAATTTGAGTTCAAGCTTCCCATTTATTATAAATTAAAGAACGTTGCTTTTAATTATTTATTCACAAATTCAAATGGTTATACAAACATTTGCTTTAAAATTTATAATTCTATGAATAATTGAGTTTCAGTGTAAAGAGGTGTAAGCTAATTATCCTATTAGATATTTATAAAAAAAACTTTGGGCATAGTTCAATATATAAAAGTATTTAATTAGGAGTCGGATATTCTTTTATTTAAATTTGTTGATTCTCTCTTAACTCCCCCCCCCTCCGTGAGTGAACAAAACCATTAGAAAAATCGCCATTTTTTGCCCAAAAACCCACCCTCCGTGAGTGAACAAAAAATTTTTTTAATAGAAAAATTTTTTGATGGAAAACGATTTTGATATATAAGTGATAATTAGTATAATGAAATCTAGAGCTAATTCTGTTTAATTTTAAACGAATTGCTTTTTTAAAACATAAATTTTATAAATTAAATTAATATTTGCTTTCCAATTTTTGCGAATTAGGATTTTTTTTAAATTTCGAAAAAAAATATTTGTTGTAAAATTTTATATATAAATTTTTTAAAAAAAAAAAATTAACCCCCCTCCGTGAGTGAATAAAATTTTTTTGTTCACTCACGGAGGGGGGGGAGTAAGTACATGCAGTAAAGTTTGAGAACTTTCTAAGATCTTCATGTATGCCCCTTCAGTTTCTTGAATTGTCCTATCAAATTCATTTCTCGCTTGAATCTTTTTACTCAAGTTTTCTATAGAAGTTTCCTATGTTTGGCGCTGTAAGGCCGATAAATTCTGATCGGAATTTATCGGTAGGTTGCACCAAATCAATGCCTTGGTCGGACCAAAAAGCGATTTGGTCCGACGAACTTGGAAAGCTCCTGGGAAAATGTCTGCGCTTTTAGCGCTATATAGAGGAAACCTCTATACCTAGTTCTTACCATTAACTAATGCTAATTCTTTACTAAGCTGGGCAAGTTGCTTTTCTATTTCACTTTTTTCCTTCAAAACTTTCTCAATGTTTTGATCAAGCCCTCCTCTTTGTTCTTTTAGCTCTTCTAACTCCCCCCTCCGTGAGCGAACAAAACTTTAGAAAAAATCCTTTTTTTTACCCAAAAACCCACCATCCATGAGCAAGCAAAAATTATTTTTAATATAAAAATATTTTATGAAAAAAAAAGATTTTGATATATAAATGATAATTGTTATAATGAAATCTCTAGCTAATTCTGTTTTAATTTTAAACAGCTTGCATTTAAAACTTAAATTTCGCAAATTAAATTAATTTTTGCTTCTCAATTTTTACAAATTGGAGTTTTTTAAATTTTCTAAAAAAAAATTTAACCCCCCTCCGTGAGCGAACAAAATTTTTTGATCGCTCACGAAGGGGGGGGTAAGCAAGCTACAAGCTGATTATTGCAGTTTTGTAGAGATGCACCCTGATTTACTTATACCTGAGAAGTCATTTAAAATTATATCAATTATTAAATTCCATTTCTTTATATCAAAATTGCCTAAATGTCCATCACCTCAAATAATGTTTGATGAGACTTGAAAATCATTCCATTATATATCTCAAAATCTTCATTTAAATACAGTCAAGTTCCATTTGTGCTAGTCCTTTGAGAATCGATATCTCCATCCCCTAGTGTTCAGCCCGAGATTGGATTATAATAAATTGTGCATTGAATTTTCGATAATAAAGGGTCTTCAATCTTCAAATTGCAGTTCATATGCCGCCCAATTCGGATCATAGAATCCGCCTCACTAAAACTTTTTACTTCTCCAGATATATTCCCGCTGAAAACTTTTAAAAGCAACCTAATCGAATTTTCTGTGTTTTCCTTGAGCAAATTTATAACTACAAAGCTTTCACCAACATTTATAAGCATGTTGTCTTTTAAGACCTAGATATTCTTTACAAGAGCGTAGTCAAGCCTAACGAAAACTCCAAATCCTTTAGCCAGATCTCGAATTCAGTAGGAATCTTTGTCTATGTTGTAAAAAATCACGAAGTGTCGGCCTCTATGATGGTCCTCCATTTCGCGATCTTTTAAGGGAATTACAAAGTCATTTACTAATTTTGATTTTAATTTCTTTTTGCAGCCAAAAAATGTGAAGCCGTCATTTGCATTTCTAAGCGAACCTATCAAACCTGTGGCCTTAAATAGTAAAACTGAACCTTTCATAAGGTTCCCTGAATTCAAAATTTTTAACTGTAATGATTTTGCATTTGTGAGAGTTAGCAGTTGAATTCTTCGAGATTCAATATTAGACATATCAACGTCGATATTTGGAATAATTGATGAAAAAAGATTAGAAGGTCTTTGATATGAAGTTCTTGAGTTTGATTTGCTTTTTGTAGCAAATAATGACACTTCGTTTGCTCGGTTTGCTGCGATTGCATCACAACAGCCAAAGATGCCATTTCCCATCGTGCTTTCTTTAATAAAGAATCTGCTGCTAATTTAAAATTATTTCATCTATTTTGACTCTTAAACTAATCCTTACTCCCTGCCTCCGTGAGGGAACAAAGCAATTGGAAAAATCTTTTATTTTTTCTCAAAAACCCGCCTGTGAGAGAATAAAAAATTTTTCGATATAAAATATTTATATGAAAAATTATTTTGATATATATATATCACTTTTTATTTTTAATGGATTTCAAGTCAAAGCTTAAGCTAACAGGAACAGCCCGCACGGGATTGTGTGAACGTTTTGCAAGCTTAATTTCAGAAATTCCAGATGATATGTTTGATAGGTATGTTGACGCAGGGTATCTTGACGATGTCTTCGATGATGTTATGGACGATTATGAAGATGAAGAAGAGTGGCTTGATGAGAGAGCAAGTGAAGATGAGCTGGATGAAGAAAGTGATATAGAAGATTTAGCGGAAGTTGAGACTCAGGAGAATTTAGCTATTCAATGGCTGTCAAAGTTGGATGGGGATATAATGGGGAGGATCAGAATTGATGCAAGACTTGCATAAACTTAGGAATGAAGGAGTGTCATTAAAAACCAAAAGCCAAAGAAAAGTAAAGAATTCGAAAAGCCAGAAAAAGCAAAAAATTCAGGAAGAGCCAAAAAATCCAAAAAGCCCAAAAAGAATAAAAAGCCATAAGAATTAATTTTGCCCAAAAAATCAATAAAAGCCCAAAAAGTAGAAAAAGTTAAAAGAGCAAACAAGGAAAAAAAGACCAAGCGAGACAAAAAAGGATAAGAAAGTAAATGAGTCATACAAAGTGAATGCAGGTGGAAATTTAGAGACTCGAGAACTGGAAGATTTTGTTGGGGTGACTTCGAATGTCAAGATGGAAAACACCAATAATGATGGAAAAAAACCTGGAAAGGAGGAGAAAGCACAAACAGCTCGGTATAAATCGCTTATTTTTTGGTGAAAAAAAACCCAATTTTAAGTTTAAAAAATGATCCATAAGGATCGTTAGGCAGAGATTTCTGCTAGATTCTATAAGATAAGATAAGATAAGATATATATATATATATATCATTAGTATATTCAAATCTCTAGCTAATTCTGTATAATTTTAAAATTTCGCATTTTAAACATAAATTTTACAAATTAATTTAACATTTGCTTTAAAATTAATTCGAGTTAGGATTTTTAAATTTCGAAAAAAATTTATATATAATTTTTTAAAAACAAAATTAAACCCCTCCGTAGGCAAACAAAATTTGTTCGCTCACTGGGGAAAGTTACAATTTTATGTTTGAATTCATTTAAAATCCCAATAAAATTCAAAACAGAATAAAAAATTGCTCAAAGTAGGTGCTTTTTAGCTATTTATTTCTAATCAAACTTTACTGATAATTGGGAAATTTTTTATTTAATTTCTTCTAAAAACATTTAGTGAGATTCTTAAAAATGGTATCATTCAAATCATTAACTCCCCTACTTCCGCGAGCGAACAAAAATTTTGTTCGCTCACTGAGGGGTTCATTTTTTTTTAATATAAATTTTATAGTGAAATTTGAATGTATTTTAAAACAAATATTAATTTAATTTATAAAATTTACATTTTAAAATGCAAGTTGTTTAAAATTAAGCAGAATGAGTTATTTATATATCAAAAATAATTTTTCTAAAAAATTTTATATTTAAAAACATTAGTTAGCTCAGGGAGGGTGGTTTTAGGCCAAAAAATAGGGATTTTTTCCAACTGTTTTGTTCGCTAACGGAGGGAGGAGTAAGTATTTTGCTTTGTAATTATAAGTCGGTTTAAACCAGTATAGAGCGGCAATAAACTGATTTCGTCTTGCCAAAGAACTTTAGTTTAAAAAGCAAAGGTAATTTATATATGTATTTCCAAGATAATTCATTGCTAAACATCAAAAGCTGCAGAATATTAAATTAATTCCCTACGAAACTATTTTCTATCGATCAGCATGAAAAAATCTACCCCTTCAAATAAATTACTATTTTGGCCTTATCCTAGATAAATAAGGCAATTATTAGACATTTTTGTTCTAATATCAGTTGTTGAAAAATTAAATGATTAAACAATAAATCAATTCTAAAAGCAATGGAATAGCAATATATTTTTCAAACTTTCAAAATTATTTTTGGCCTCAAAACCAATCAAAATTCAGAGGACCATTAAATATGTTCATATTTTTGAATCTCAATAAAACAAAATCGAGCTGCTGATAGTGATTTTTCCTGGCTTATGGCAGACTGCTATAAAAGCTCTCGAATTAGCTTGCTTTAATTTCTAGAACGATTATTATCTTAAAGAATTTAAGTAAAGCATTATTTTATATTAGCCATCTAACGAATTTCTTTTTAAGGCTCATTACTACTCATACCTTATTAGCATTAATTAAAGCTGCTCTAAGGATAGAACAGGCTTATTATAATTTCAGGGTCTTAATTACTTGTGATAGACCGCTCAGGGGTTGAAATGAGTGCCACTGTGATCTTATAAGCCGTCCCTTTGACATTATAGTCAAAAGGGCCATCCTTTGAAGTGCTAGCATTAGGGTCTCTCCCAAGTTTTAAGGGAGATGAAATATATTGCTCTTGAAGGGAAGTATCTCCTTCTTCATCTTGGCTACTTTTGCGCTTGAAAGTTTTGGATGGTAAACCACAACCCATTATTAGAATTAATTATAAAATTATGACCATTTTAATTATTGTGAAACTGTTTAAATGTTTTTTAAATTGGGAATTTAATTTTGATCGTAAATTTTGAGATGGAGATTTTATAGCCTGAATTTCATAAAATGGCTAAATTCAAACGATAAGACTAACTCCCCCCAATCCTTGATCGAACGATTGACTGTAAAATTTCCTAAAAATTGGGAAAATTAACCCCCATCCTTGATCGAATGATTTTCATATCATGCAAATTTTTATATATATAAAAATATATTAGTTATCAAAAGCTTGGGAAGATGTAAATAATGAAGTTGTTTTCAGAGACTTTGAGACGACAAAAAGCTTCGGAATCAACCATCCGAAGTGATTTAATCATCAACCTAGGCTTGAAAACTCAATAATCTAATAAAATAGAGATTCTTTCAAATTTTTAAAAAAACAATTTTTAATTTAATAAGGAACAAATTAAAATTTATAGGGGTAACTAATAAATCAAAATATTAAAAATTGGTATTTTTATGAAATTAATTCAATCTTTTGAGTAAAAATAATTATTAAATACTCTTAACACTCTTATTTAAAATTAAATAAAAAATATATATATATATATACATTTTATATATAAAATTTTTTATCCAAAAAAATATTTTTAAACCCCCATCCTTGATCGAACAACGGCGAGTCGTTCGATCAAGGATGGGGGGGGAGTAAGCAAAATAATTTAAAGAATTACTGGAAAATAAAATTTCAAACTTTTTGTCATGCTTTAAGCCTAATCCCGAGTATAAAAATACCAAAAAACTATCATAAAAATTTTTAAAATTAATAAATTAAAAAGCTTTTTTGATTTTTATGAAAAAACTAAAAAACTAAAGAGTTTATAAAAGTAATTTTATATTATATAAATAATAAGCAATATATTAATAAATTATTAACTAGCTTTAAACATCAAATGCCTTCCATAAAAAGGGTTCTTTTATATATCGGTGAAATAATCTTTCCATCCACTAATCAGCCAAAGAAGAAATTTATAAAGAAAATTAAAGAGCAATTATGCGTTTTCTTCAATTTACTTTAAGTTATTAAGTCAAAAGCAAATAAATTATTAAATGTTCATGTAAAGTACATAATCTAGCATATTACCTGGGATCCATCAGGCGTTTTGATCATTGCAACAGTTATCTTATATGCCGTTCCATTAACTTCGTATGCATATTGATCAGCTCCATATAGCTCAGGAGACTGCTCCATCTGAGGAGGACTAATGTTTATTCTTAAATCGTGAAATGATGTATCCCCTTCGTCTTGACAATTTTTGATTCTGAATATTCTTCTTGAATTTCCACAACCCATTAATATAATTATAAAAATTAATGATTGCAGAATGGAAAGCACTTAAGCTTTTTAATTAATGTCAGGGAAATAATAATTGATATATAAACCATCTCAATGATTGCTCATTTGCAAAATTGCTAAAATAATGTTTATACTTATCATTAGCCTCAATGATTATCAATGAATAACTACCATCTTAAATTTTATTTAGAACAGAACTATAAAGGCAATATTCAAAATTTTATCAATGAGTAATAAAAAGAATTTTCTATTATTTTCGAAATTGAAAGGGGTGCTAGTTTGCGGTATTTTCAAAATTCCTTCAAAGTATGATTTTTTGATACCAAAGAATTATTAGTTATAAGATTTGATCTTTTATATTCGATAATTTGAAATTGTGATAAAGATTAAATTTTTAGTAAAGTAAATTTAAAAATTTGATTTAAATTCAAAATGGTTTCTTTATTATTTATTGCTAAATCTAAATTATCAGCGAAATTATTTATAAATTAATCATAACCATATATCCTTTCTAACTCCTCCACTCCGTGAGAACAAAAAATCTTGTTCGCTCACGGAGGGGATTAATTTTTTTTTTTAAAACTTTTATAGAAAATATTGTTTTTTAAAATTTTAAAAAACATCCTAATTCGCAAAAATTGGAAAGCAAGTATTAATTTAATTTATAAAATTTATGTTTTAAAACGCAATTTGTTTAAAATTAAAAAGAATTAGCTCGACATTCCATTATAATAATTATTACTTATTAAAAATTTTTGCTCGCTCACGAAGGATGGGTTTTTGGGTAAAAATAGCGATTTTTCTAATGTTTTTTTTCTCTCACAGAGGAGGAGTAAGAAAAATTGGAAATCTAAGCATTATTATTCTAAAATTCAATTCTAAAAATTGAATAACATAAGTCGAATTATTCTGCAAGCTTCAATATTCAAAGAAATTAACTCAAAAAGCAAAATTCTTTGGTAATTAAACTATATTTAACAAAATTATAATTAAAGATAGCAAAGGAGGTAACGTCACAGATAAAATTCTCAAAATTAATACTTCAAAATTAGCATCCCATTATTGAATAGCTAACTTAAATTTAAGAATAGTGTCTTAAAGGATTATTTATTTTATTAAATCTAGCCTCAAAGCTAATTTAAAATTACCGATTCCATTATCTTTTAAATTTTTCATAAAAACTTATCCTTGCTTTCAGACAAATCAATATTGATCTTATTTACTTTTATTTTTATTAAAGAAACTAGGTCAAGTCAACATTAAAAAATGCCCAGTTATTAATAAAGAAAATTGGAATAGGCCATTTAAACCAAAATTGCATACCTATTGAATCTATGTATTATTTAATAGCAAAAAAAATTCTTTAGGATAGCGAAGATGATTTTCATAATTAATTATTAGATAAATCATTTTATGCAATTATTAATATTTTGTAGCGCCATTATAAGTCTGCATCATTTGATGAGAGCAAAGCTATATTGTTCTAGATTTGATACCAAAGGTTTCTTATAAGATCTGATTATTGCTCTTTTATTATATCAGTTATGTAAACCTAATCGGCGGGCTTACTTGATAATTTAAAACTTAATTATTTTTCTCCAATTGGATTTTCTTATTGGAAAGATTTGCATATAATTAATTTAAGTTAAGGCTATTGAACATTGATTTAATATGTCAAAACTCCTAAGACATCACTAAAGATTTGTTAGGAGTCTGTATAAGGGCCACCGTAATTCTGTAATTTGTCCCTTGGATCTTGTAATGAAAAGAGTTGTTCTCTGGATGGTTAATTTTGGTTTGTATACAAAATGATTCTGAGTGCTCTAAAGGTTCTTTTAAGGAAGTTTCTTCGTCGTCTTCTAGATGCTTTTTTCCATATGGTCTTTTTGATGGTATTCCGCAGCCCATTGTTTATTGATTTATTGTATTAATTGTTGCCATTAACTAATAAATAGATCTTAAAATACTTTCTCTAATTTAATAAGACAATAAGTGAATTTAGATTTGGGCTTAACTATTAAGTTTTGAAGCTGACAAAATGAAGCACCATTAATATTGGACCTTTTGCTTTTTGAAAAATTTTCAAAATATATTATAGTTTAAGGGCTTTTCTTTATTAGAAAATTGAATAAAACGCAATTTAAGCATAAATTTTATCTTCAGATATTCAATCAATCTTATAATCAAGCTTACAAAATTAGAATTGTTCACATTTAAAGAATAAAATGCCATTATTCGTGAATATTTAATCACATAGCCTATTCTTTCAATATAAAGGCTAAAGTCTTATGTTTAAAAATCTAAAAATTAATTAAGCCACGAAATAGCTGAGAATGAAAATATAAAAATTTAAACCAAAAAAACATAAAAATTAGTAATTAAGCAGAAATATGCAATAGAGAGAACTATTTGATAGCAGACTTAAATAGTTTCTAATAATCAAGGGGCTTTTATCAATCTTCATTTAACTTTAAATTCAAATAAAAGCATTTAGGCCAAAGATTAAAGTTAATGACAAAACTTTTTTAAGGGGACTATCCATAAAATAAAACGAAGGCAAGATTTACTATTTTGCATATCTAGCTATTAAGCTGTTCCGACACTCCTTCTTTATTGACAGATTTATTGCTAGAGTAAAGAAGCCAAATTCTGTGTAATAAAAAATGAAGGAATATAGATTGGTATTCCCTTTGATTCAAATAAAGAGTGCTTGAGAAGTCTAAACAATTGTTTTAAAATTTATATAGGCTTCAAAATCCTTAGCATCTTGCTAAATCTGGGCTAAAATCTTAATTATTCCACTAAGTGAAAAATGCAATTATTTTTAGCTAGAATCATACTTTAATGATCCTGGAGAAAATTAATAAATTCTTTTAATTTCTATAAATCATAGCCAAATTAGTTGAAAAAAGTTATATAACTACGATATAAATATTATACCTCTTAGTAACTAAACTCTCAATAATTTTTAATTTTAAAATAAAATATTAAAAATCTGATCTTTGGTTTCAAATTTTAAATCAAAAATTAAATGCACTATTTTATATTTTGTGAGAAATAAAAATTCATAAAAATATTTAGTTAAATTCTTTATTTTAATTATTAGATTAAATATATATATATATACCCAATATAATAATCAATATAATAATGGTAAAGTCGAAACGGTTTTATAAATTGTTTGGTAAATATAAGTTTTATTTAAATATTATACACACTTCATTAATTAATATAAACTGCCACTAAGTTCTTTAATGATTTGTAACCTTCCTGACAATAATCTGATATTCATCTCCTTTTATCTTGTATTCGAAGTGGGCTACTAGCGTTGAAAATTTGCATTTTTGGTCAAGATTAGGAGAGTTAGGATTTGTTTTAGGAGTAGGTATATTGAGGTAATCGGAAGGCTTTCCATCTTCCTTTCCATGATTCAGTTTTGAATAGCTTCTTTGAGAAATTCCACAACCCATGATATTGAATATTTATTACGGAATTAAAATAATTTTATAAAAAAATGATTTTTCACAATGAATCAAAAAAAATGAACTAGAATTTAACGCTTCTATTACTGATTCAGACAATTGTAGAGAGTTCTATTAAAAGATGCGCTAAGATTATCAAAATCCTAAGAAATAGGTCAAATTTATATAAGTTATTGAAGATAAGGTAGATTTATTTTAATTTCTTTGACCAGAAAAATGAAAATAAAAAAGTGCAAGAATTTATTTTTTTTAAAGTTTTTATCTAAGTTTGAATGCTTTCAATTTCAAGACAATTTAGAAAACGTAAAAGAAAAATAGATTGATAAAGGACAATTCTTTTTTTTAAATTTGAAACTTCATACTATTTTAACCTTTATTTCAAGTATAAATTTAAAAGTAAATTAAGCTTTCAATTATAAGATAGGAAATCTTTCTTGCTTTTAAATGATTAACACACTTTTATATATAAATTTAACTTATTGATGTGAATATATCTGGTAATTTTGATTAAACTGCTAAGCTCGCACTATTTTATTTTATTCATTATAATCATTTATTCAAAATTACTATTGTAGTTTCAGAATTTTCATTCCTTAGGTCTTTTTTTACTAACTCTTCCCTCTGTGAGCGAGCAAAACCATTAGAAACATCCCTATTTTTGACCCAAAAACCCACCCTCCGTGAGCGAGCAAAAATTTTTTAATAGAAAAAAAAAATTGATATGTAAGTGATGATTAGAAATATGAAATCTCTAGCTAATTCTGTTTAATTTTAAATAAATTGTATTTTAAAATATAAATTTTACAAATTAAATTAAGATTTGCCTTCCAATTTTTGAGAATTATGATTTTTTTAAATTTCGAAAAAAATTTATCTTTAAAATGCCCCCCTGCGTCAGCGAATAAGTTTGTTTGTTCGCTCACGCGGGGGAGGAATAAGTTTAAGATTCTTCACCGTCTATAAAGACATGCACCCTTTTTATTCAATCTAATAACGCCATTTGTAGTCTCTTTTATGATAAATCTTAGTTAAGCACCTGGAATTTCTGTTCAGAAATTTTGCTAATGAGCCATATCAATTTATATATATTAATTTGCTATTAATATGGATATAAAAGAAATATACTGACTATTGAAAATTATGGATCTATTTGAAATGAGCTTTATCAAAACTGAAATTTATTATTGCATCAATATATTTTGCTAATTTGATATAGGATAAAATTGTTAAAAAGTGCCCTGCACAAATTAATAAAATACTTTACAATATTGGATTTTTTGCTATGAAAATCTAATAATTAGCATCCTTACCGTGTTTATCTATGATTGCCGTCACTCAAGGTATTTAATATGCCATATATAAGAAAAATTACCAATTTCATATAATAAGAACCCAATTACTAACATAAAACTTTTATGCATTATTTATTAGTAGCTTCCACTATTTTACTGATTATATATAAATCTAAATTGGTATTCAAAAAAAAATCTAAAAAGAAACATAACTACCTTTTGAATTTTTATATATTTTATCCTTACTCCCCCCCCCCTCCGTGAGCGAACAAAACCATTAGAAAAATCGCCATTTTTTGACCAAAAACCCACACTCCGTGAGTGAACAAAAAATTTTTTTAATAGAAAAAATTTTAATGGAAAAAAATTTTGATATATAAGTGATAATTAGTATAATGAAATCTAGAGCTAATTCTGTTTAATTTTAAACAAATTGCGTTTTAAAACATAAATTTTGCAAATTAAATTAATATTTGCTTCCCAATTTTTGCAAATTAGGATTTTTTTAAATTTCGAAAAAAATATTTTTTATAAAATTTATATATAAATTTTTTTTAAAAAAAAAAATTAACCCCCCTCCGTGAGCGAACAAAATTTTTTTGTTCGCTCACGGAGGGGGGGGGGGGAGTTAGGAGTTGACGGCCATACATTTAAAAACGAAAATCAATATCAAGAAAATATAAGCAATGTGTTTTTAAGATTTTGATACTATTCAGAATGTTAATTTTTGAATTATCCATTTACAATATTTTGAATTTTTGATATAAGAAAAATTAAAAACATGCTCATTAGTAAGAATTATAATATTATGATTGTTTGATTTTTGAAAAATTTCGAATTGTTTGAAATTAAATGATTTCAGAAAACTTTACATTTAGCTAAAAAAATGAAGGAAGTGACTTTTATTTTTTGAATAAAGATGATAGAAGTTTAATTCAAATTCGCCAATAATTTATGGTTTGACTAAAGTAAATCACTTAAATTTAATGAAAGTGATGATTTGAAATTAAAACTCTTCAAATTTATTGAATTTCAAAAGATTAGAATTTTAATTTTTTGACGATGAAGAGAATCATAGATGGAAAGAGACGAGCAAATATATAATTTAAGCCCAGTCGAATTTAACAAATTTTAAGTTTTTATTTGGAATATACTTTTACCTTGTTAACAACTTTAAATATTCTAAAAGTTCAGGGATGAGAAAATAATAAACAAGCAATTGAGCGCTTATTCTTTTTCATAATAAAAGTAGATACAGAAATTTTCCTATTCTTTAATTTGAGCTGGAATTTTGATTATCTTATTTTCATTTGAATTTAAATATCCTATTACCTATTCCATTATTCACTGAGATATTCAATCATTTCGTGATAACTTTAATACTCAGAAAATGGTGAGAATTTGAAGTATCAAATAAGCATTCATTAATATTCGATTGTTTCATAATTTTTCTCAGTTATCAAAAAATTAGAATGTATAGTTTCTTCAACGAAAATTTGCTCAATTTCTGAAAAATATTATATTTGAAATATTTATTTTTTATCTTTATACTAAATTTACATTACTCCAAGAGGTGAGACCTCTTGGCTACACTTTGCATGCTTTAGTTAAACACTTGAGATTTATCTGGGCTAATCGCTCCACTTACAACGATTCTGTAGGCAGTGCCATTTACATTATATCAGAACTGACCTTGCTCAGATAGCTTGGTCTTGCTGGGAGAATCATTATTGATATTAAGGTCTTGAAGAGAGGTATCACCTTCTTCAACTTTGTTGCGTTTCGATCTGAAACTTTTTTGAGGAATTCCACATCCCATGATGATTAGTAATTTTATTACCTTTAAATTTCAATGCTATACAGGACTTAATGGGAAATTTTCTAAGCCAGCAAAAATTTTGCTTCTGATAAAAAAATTATTATATGATCATTATGATAGCCATATTTAAATGGGTAATCGAGCCTTCCAATTATAATAAATTTACTAATTTTAAATTTTTTTTAGCTATATAGCTGTTGCACTCTTAGCATTAAGATATTTTGAAAGTTTAGATCAAGCATTATAGCCTATAATATCAGATTTATTTTATTTATAAAGTTTTGATATTAATACAAATAACGATGCATAAAATTTCAAGGAGAATAATTAAATTTATAATATTTTTATTTACGTCTATTATAAATTAATCAAAAGAAATCAGAAAAAATATTTACTTTTAAATAATTAAATTTTAAAATAGTGAAACATTACTTTAATGAGGCATGTAAGGCATTAGTGATGCTATATATTAATTTAGCTATTCTCTGTTCAAACTCTGATGCTTTATCAGTTTAGTGAATTTAGGTTTTATATTAAAGAGATATTAGACTGCAATATTGAAATTAACAATTATTTGTTTTTATATCTGATTTTATCAAAAAATATCTGGCTCCCCTCTAAATTGGATATTATTTTATTTTGAATTGGAAAGCTTATAGGAAATTCCCTTGGATCTTCCGGTAAGGCAGACAACTTGATAGAGGCTTATTTGCCAACTGCCTCACCAGGCGATTCTAGTAATTCATTATATCAATAAAAAAAATTTATAAAATCCATAAAATATATTTGCATAAAATGTATCGTGCTAACTCCCCCCCCCCCTCCGTGAGTGAACAAAAAAATTTTTGTTCACTTACGGAGGGGGGTTAATTTTTTTTTTTTAAAAAAATTTATATATAAATTTTCTAAAAAAATTTTTTTTTGAAATTTAAAAAAATCCTAATTTGCAAAAATTTGAAAGCAAATATTTATTTAATTTATAAAATTTATGTTTTAAAATGCAATTCATTTAAAATTAAACAGAAATTAGCTCTAGATTTCATTATATTAATTATCATTTATATATCAAAATTTTTTTCCATAAAAAATTTTTGTATTAAAAAAATTTTTGTTCACTCACGGAGGGTGGGTTTTTCGGCAAAAAATAGCGATTTTTCTAATGGTTTAGTCCACTCACGGAGGGGGGGGGAGTAAGCAATAATGTTTCCTCATTTATAATAATCCGATAACGAATAGATATTAAATAAAACCTTAATTTAATATTCAAGCAAATTTAGTAACTGAATATTTATGGCTACCTTTAAAATCTATATTTACAATTTCGTTGTTCCTATTATCCTTATGCAATTTCTCGCGATTTCTCCTCTTACACAGAATTCAATGTGTAAAAACTTAACTCCATAATAATAAAAATTGAGCGAGAGAGAAAAGGAGTTCACGGAGTGAATTAACTTTTTATCTATATCCACTTGACTATTATACTACACTTTGACAAACTTAGAACTACAGCAAATAAAAATGCACACTCTATTAGTAGCATTTTTTAAGATGTAAATTCTTGAATGGAAAAAAGATTTGAAATAGTTATTTGGTCATTTTATCAAATATTATGCAATAAAACCTTAAAAATTTTAAAGAAAATAATAATTGTTTCTAAAATATATATTCATACATTGAAACAGTTGATTATAAAATTAATTAAAATCTTTAGATTAAAAAATTAATAATTTGTATACTGATCATGAGAAACTTTTAGTCTATATATAAGCGTATATCTTATTTTATCAATATTTTTGTTCATCTTGAATTTATGACTAGAGCAATTAGTTTCTGTCAAAATCATTTCTAAGTTATTGAAAAATTTCAAATAAATAATACTTTTCGAGCATTTAAAACAATTTCAGAGCTATATTTGAAAATATTTTTATCCCCAATTAATATTCTGGCATGTTAAAATTTTAAATACAATAAAAACATTATATAATAAAAGTAATTTAAAAGAAAGCTTGATTTTAATTATACTTATCTTAATTAGACTCCCGATGAGGAACCGGGCTGGAATGTGTAATAATTTACATAAAAACTTGAGATTTTTCTGGAGTTTTTGCATCACTTATTACTATATTATATCTTATCCCTTTAACATTAAAGGAAAAATTACCCTTCTGAAGTTGATTAATTTTGAGGCCAGCAATAGGAGAAGCGTTAAAAATGCAGAAGTTATGAAGAGATGTATCATCTTCTTCTTCTTTTTCTTTTTTTTTATGACTTTTCTGAGGAATACCACAACCCATATGTTATTTTATTTATATAATATTGAGAAAGATAATATGCCACCATGATAAATTAGAAGCCAGTAAATATTATAAAAGACGGAAATCTTTTATCATTCAGTAACGCAGCCATTTTTGTAAAAAGATAAAAATGTTAAAATTTTTACTCAATGAGCTTTTTGAGCACAGCTTGAACCTTATTATAGCTTGGACTGTGCTGATAAATTCCAAGGCCACTCAGAGAGCTGACAAATCAACATTTGTTGGTAACCAACTCCCTGATTGCGTCGAGAGACGTCAGCGCATCCCGAGTATAACAAGGCTAGGGCTATAAAGGAAAAATATAGCAATAGTAATAGAAATTTTGAGTTTAAGTTAGTTTTTGTGGTTTAAATTTAATTTTATAAGGACCTCTTGAAGAAATTGACTAACCAAAAAAATTATATATATGTATCTAAAATGACCTTTGTGCAATTATCTAAGCCACAACTCAATAAATTAAATTTATAAAAGATTGAAATCAATAAAAAAGATGACAAAAAGAACTTTATTTCAGATTTTTATAATCCTAATTCCAAATTAATGTTTTTAAGTATTATCGTTATTTGCAGATTTTTGAACTTTACCACCTAAGTGTGGAATTTTTTCCGCGTGTGAAATCAAAAGGACTCCACACGTGAAAACACCTTTTCACACGCGGAAAAAATTCCACACTTAGGTGGTAAAGTTCAAAAATCTGCAAATAACGATAGTAAAGATGTTAAACTTTATTGTTAATATGCTATTCTAACTCCCCCCATTAAATCGAAACAAAAATCCTGTTCCAATTTAAAGTGGGGGTTAATTAAAAAAATTTATCGATTCATGGTAAAACTGTTTTCATAATACCTTATTAAAATTAGTATTTTTACCTAAAAGATTTTCCTGTTTTAAAAAATTGTTCCAATTTAAAGGATGTATGAAGTACTCAAAAAATGGAAATTTTACTTATGTTTTGCTATATTAAAAGGGGTAATAAGAACTGCTCTAATTCATCAGAAAGCATCTATATCAATAACTAACTTATATATATGTTTAATAATTTGATTATTATTTAAAGTTTGATAAAATCAAAATATAGTTGTTAAAATCTAATATACTCAATATAAGATTTTTAAAATTTTGATAAAGCCAAATTACCAGTTGCCACCTTCTTACTCCTGAAAAAAGTTTATGGATAATTGTATAAAAATATATTTTGATTTTTTTTTTCAATATCAAATAAAGTTTACTAACTCCCATCTATGAGCGGACAAAACCATTGTAAAAATTACTATTTTTACCCCAAAGCCCACCCTCCAGAACGAAAAAGTTTTTAATAGAAAAATTTTTCTGAAAAAAAAATTTTAAAATCAAATGATGATTATTATATTGAAATCTGTAGCTAATTCTGCTTTATTATAAACAGCTTGAATTTAAAACATAAATTTTTTGCAATTAAATAAATATTTGCTTCCCGATTTTTGCAAATTGTGATTTTTTTAAATTTTGAAAAAAAAAAAAAACTAATATATAAATTTTTAAATAAATTCTCTCGCGGAGTAAGGAAATAACTATTATATCTTACAAACTTCCATTAAAAATAAAATGTTTGCTATTAATTAGAATTGTTAGATAAATATTCTATAAAATTTATTACTTATATTTTCTGCTACTTCAAACCTATTTTCATCTTCAAAAGCTAATTCCTTTATCGTTTTTGAGAAGTTCACAATAAAAGCTTCAACCTTTAGTAAAATACATTATCTAACTCCCCCCTTGCCTTAGCCAGCATGCAAGGTTTTTTTAGATTAATTTTTTTTAATAAAGAAACCGCTGGGCATTTTGGGCAACAGCAAACTGGTCAGTTTTTGCGGCATGTCTTCTATTTCAATTCAGAATAGGCGACAGGTCGTGACCATAGGCCAGTTTACTGCTGTGAAAAAGGTCTAACGGTCTATACATTTCTTTTCTGAACAAGGGATCTCATTATTATAATTTTTAATTTATATAGCAAATTTTTATTGTAAAAATATTGTTCTCACTATCAAAGGGATTAATTTTACTAAATATGGATTTTCCAATATTTTGCTCAATCACCAAGGGGGAAAGTAAGAATCTAGAACTTTACCAGCGACATTGATTTCCTCTTAGATTGCTCTATATAAAGTAATTTAAGAATAATAAATTTTATGCATTGGGCATTGATATGGATTGCTCTAGGCTCAAATTAATTGATCAAGCGAAGAACTTATATTTTTCATCTAACAAAGCCTTCAATTTATTAGTTTACGAACCTTTAGCAACTCATATATATGCTCAAAATATATCAATAATTTTAAATTTATAATCTAATTTCTTAATATGGCATTTTAGTTCCATTTTAATTGTTTTATGAACATTTATTTTAATCCTTAATTGACTAAGTTTACATATAGGCTAATTATTTTTAATTAAATTATAAAAAATTCGCATTTAATTATACCAATAAGATATACTCTAAAATTTCCATCTCAATTTAGAGCCAAAAACAAGTCCTTTAGCTATTTCAATCAATAAATGATCTGAATCTTTGGCATTATAAAGAATCTTGCAAACCTTAGATTTTTAGCAATTTAATATTTAGTAAATCAATAGCTTCTTGATAATTATAGTTTCTTTAAATTTAGGGTAATCTTTTATTCTATCAGTTAAAAATTGTTAAGGACCTTCTTCACTTATGCTCGGCAGCTAATGAGTTCAAAAATTCATTCAGAATTTTTGAAATAAAATAAAAGATATAGAAGCTAAGGTTTCTAGTATTAAGCACAAAATTTAAAATCTTTGCTAAATGAGGCTAACAGAACAGTGATTAAAATATTAAGAAACTGAGTTAGCAACTAGGATACATAAAAATGGTGACCTAAATACATCCGACCTTTTAACGCAAATTTTTCAACCTTATGGCCAAAGTGAACTAGGCGAGAACCAGTAGAGATTCAGATCTGATATGGCTTTATGTATTCTGGGTAACCTGGTAGAGTCCTTCGGGTAACTAAGGTGGACCTTCACTGTAATGGCAGGGTTGCAGCCTGAGCCTAGGAATTGAGCCTTCTTACCTGAGCTGCTGAGGGCAACATCTAGCATCTGCTAACTTTAGTTTTTCCTAGATCCAGCTAATATCCAATGAGTCTGCTGCAAGGTCGAAGAAACCCAAGTCTGTTACTCAAAACTGGAGCCCTTAGCTGGGCAAGGAGAAGGCTTACTTCTTCGTGCGTACACAATCCGCTTAGTGATGAGGTGAATTCTAAAAAAAAAGAAGAAGAAGAAGAAGGTTCAAGCACTTCGCTTGATATCATCTCGATAAATCACGCCTTTTTCAAGCAGATGAACCTTCTGGATCCTTGATGAGTGAGTAAGCAATAAGGCACTCTGTCCACCCGTAAAGATTAAGAATTAGCAACTAGGGAAATTAAAAAGCATATCAAAATACCCTATCAAATAGGGAAAAACCAATAGTTTCGAGCAAAAATTTTGATTGTTTTCATTTGTCTTATTTTATCTGATAAGATTAACAAATAATTAGTTATTTTTCTAATCAGTAACATCATCGAAGCTCCATTTTTTGACGTCAAATTATGTGGATTTATTTTTGTGAAGCCAAACCAAAATCGTTTAATTTAGTAGAAAAACGATTCTGAATTGGATATTATTAACAACAAGTCTTATAATCCAATTAAAATTTTCTTTTGGCTGTCCGAAATTTAAAACCCAAGTTTAAAATATTCTCCATTCTGTGAATTTATAAGTTTTAAAGCCAAGATATATGCATGATTCGTTCCGCAATTTCCTTAAATAATAATTATTAAACTGCCAGTAAAATATTTATAAATAAAAATTAGTGTATTGTTATTTACGTTGTATAAATAATTTTACTTTCAGTGACAGTTCTTTTAGCTCACTGAGATAGATTGATTTTTTGGTGTAGGCATAAAATTAATAATAATCCTGTAGCTTGCCCCATCTACTGTATAATTTAAAGGACCCAGTCCGGGAATTTTATCTTTACTTTCTTTTAATGGAGAGCCAAAATTAGTGCTGGCTCTTTTGGGAGAAGTTTCTGCTTCTTCTTCATGTATTGATTTTGGCTTGGTTCGCTTCGATGATATCGCGCAGCCCATTTCTTCTTTACAATAATAAAATATGAAGTAAAATAATTTATGCTAAATTATGCGTGTTCTATTTGTTAAGATCTTGAAGTGGCACGCACATTTATCTAGGATTTCAGGATGCTTTAATAATATAAAAAATGCTTGGCATTGCTTATGGTTAAATTTCATTTTATTGAATAATAATGAGACATGAACTATATCAATTAAAGATAATGCAAAAACAAATCGCTAAAACTATTTTCCACGTATTTTTTTTAAATATTCTAATCCTGGCTATAAAGGAAAAATATTATTTTGAATGATAAAAATTAGAATTAAAAATTATTGAATTATACATTCCAAACATGACTCATTGTGTGCTTCTTTATTTAAAGGCGCTAGTTGCCTATACAGACTTTTTTTATGCTCTCTAAGTTTGAATAAAGTATCATGCATGCCATCAATTTGCTTTCTTTTTTCATTATAATTTTTCAACTTCGATTCTAACATCCTCGCTTCTTTGGAAAGAAGGATTCTATCTTTAATGGCCTCTCCTAGCTTATCATCGAGTTTCCTTACTCAAATAACTCGATCTTCTGCCATCCTTGTTTTTCTTCTCCGAAAATTATTTTCAATCTCTATTATTCCGATTTCTTTGCTAATTCTTGAATTTTCCTTGGTCTTTTCATCAGCACTTTCCCTTAATTTAGACCTCATTTCGATATTTTTTATTTCATTGTCAATGGCTTCATATTTTTCTTTTAAAATGCCAGTTGTCTTTGAATCTCGGCAGACGGTTTCTGTGGTATTTTTAATATAATAGTGCAGCTCTTCAATTACTTTTTTTGATCTTGAAACTTCATTCTCAATTGAGGCATTGCTGAGCTTGTAAATATATGCTTTAAAGCATTCATCGCAAATTCTTTTCGCACATTCATAAGTAGGGTGGTAGGTCTTTTGTTTAGAACATTTTGCGCAGACTCCATGCCAGCAAAATTTGCACCGATATTTGTGTCTTGCTAAAATGAATTTGTTTTTGCAGATGAGACAAGAGCTATCCATCAGATATATGTCTTTATTCACATTCGGGTCGATGATTATAAGCTGAAAATTCACAATATTGCTAAGTATAAGGCTATCTGAGGTATTTGAGTATTCAAATGATAAAGAATCCACCATTTTACAGTATTAGCTAGAAAGGAAATCAGGACATTACTGAAATGAAATATATTGGTAAAAATGATGCTGAGCTACTATTTATGCTTAAAATTGCTGATATCAGATGGTTTGGACTCAATAAGCATAACTAAAAATGAAATGAAAAGTAATGTCTTCAAATTTTTGTTCGAAATTAATTATCTGGTTTATAACTAATAATAAACTTACTCCCCCCCCCTCCGTGAGTGAACAAAAAAATTTTGTTCACTCACGGAGGGTTAATTTTTTTTTTTTTTAAAAAAAATTTATATATAAATTTTATAAAAAATATTTTTTTTCGAAATTTAAAAAAATCCTAATTCGCAAAAATTGGAAAGCAAATATTAATTCAATTTGCAAAATTTATGTTTTAAAAAGCAATTCGTTTAAAAATAAACAGAATTAGCTCTAGATTTCATTATAATAATTATCATTTATATATCAAATTTTTTTTCCATAAAAAATTTTTTGTATTAAAAAAATTTTTGTTCACTCACGGAGGGTGGGTTTTTGGGCAAAAAATAGCGATTTTTCTAATGGTTTTGTTCACTCACGAGGGGGGGGGAGTTAGTAAATAAAAATCTATTACATATAAATATCTAATTCTTCTCCATTGGTTATTGAATCTTCATCAACTTTATATGGCTCATCAGCTTGATTGAGCTCAAAAATGCTGCTAAAGTACTGATTAGCAGTTTTTGCATCTGCTTCTCTACAAGACTCTCTGCAATTACTTGGGTCCTCCACTTTGGCCAACTGAGAGCCATTCTTTCCACAGTTTTCCTGAGAAACTATCCTTCAGTCATGGAAAGAACAACCTTCAGCTGCGCGATCATGAGAGTTGGTCAAGCTCTTGTAATCAAAGTTTGCAGCTTCTTTTTTTGTTTCACAAGATGAGGTTGAGCAACTAGATTCTTCGTCTAGTGAATACCTTCTTTTCATTATTAGGTTTATTATTGAGAAAATTAAAAAATCTAGTGTACGAGAAAATTTTTTTGAGGTACCAAAACCTTACTTTCATATTACAAAGGGAATTTATAATTGAATCAGTGTAGGCACATTGTTAAGAATTATATAATTTAAGCCATTAAACTTAATCTATGATAATAGCTATTGAAAGAAAAAGCTTATAGTGTGCATAAGGTTTCTCGTGCCATTTTCATTATATTCAATTGCCTTTTTCAATGTTCAAAGCAATGTGGATTCTATAAAAGCCATTAAATAAATCGTAAAGTACTTACCATTGAGTTACAAAAGAATTGAAAAAATCAAATCATTTAGATTTTTTCCCTTTTGATTAGCCTACTTTATAAGCAATATTAAACTCCTTATGAACTATTACATTAATAAGTTAAATACAAATAATTATAAATCTTAGTATAGAATTGCTTTATGATAATTAATGGGAAAGCTCTGATTAATAAGACACGCTCAAACATTTTACAATAAGGCTCAGTACCAGTGGGAAGAAGAGGGCAAATCTATGGACAATGCACCTTTAAGATGAGATCCTGACTTATGTGATGCGGAATTATCTGAAGTTGGGATTCAACAATGTTTGAGTGCCAGAGACTTAGTGCACACTCTTGACGTACACAAAGTATTTGTTTCTCCTTTAAAAAGAGCTTTGCAAACTTGCGAGATTTTATTCAAGGACCATCCTAATCTTCCTCAAAAAATAGTTCATCCGATTTTGCATGAAATCATAAACAATGGCCACGATATATCTTCTTACAGAGGAGCTCCCTTCCCAGAATACTCTCATTATGACTGGTCCTTAGTTCCAAATGAAGTTTTAGCTCCTTACATACTCAAAAATCGCTATACAGAACAATTAGTTGGATTATCCTATGATGATGCCAAATCTAGATTACTAGAAATTATGAGGGAAATAAACCCCCATCAGGTTGAAAGCTGTGATGAGCTGTACGACAGAGCCCAAAGAAGTAAAGAAATTTGAAGAAAAGAACTGGAAGAAGGAAACGTTGCTTTGGTTTCACATTCAACTTTCTTTAATTATTTCCCTGCAGAAAGATTGGAAAGCGGAGAGTATAGAGGATGCAAATGGCTGCAAAATTGTGAAGTTTATGAGTATAATTTGAATTAAATATTTATGCTAAATTATCTTGCTTTTGCAATAATTATATTTCAGTCAGGGAAGTTCTTGATTTCTAAAATAAATTCTTTTTATAAATGTCTTTCACAGGTATCTTAAAAGCAAAATATGATACAAGCTTTTCTCAGTCCCCTGGAATTGAGATACTTGTAAGTTCTATTAAGGTAAAACGTCAGCCAAAAATCTCTGAACTTACAGTTGTGAGTCTTAAAAAAACCAATCTTTCGTCAACATTCCGGCCTGGCCTAATATCCTCGACTTGCCCGAACATAAAAGAACTTGATATTTCATATACAAAAATAACAGACTGAAACGTGATATTGCAAATCTGTAGAGAGCTGCCAGTAAGACTCACTTAGGATTTAGAATTTTTAGATCTCAGTTCTATAGCATTTGACTTAAATACGTTTCCTGAAAATTCAGTAGAAAATTTCCCGCAATTGAAAAGCTTAGTTTTAATCAACATGAGAATTAGTTTCAATCATTTACAAACCATAGCACAAACCTTCCCAGGAATAATTTCCTTTGTACTGTGTGACATTCGTGAAGATTTCACCCCTATTTTTCAATCATGTTTTCAAAATCTCAGAACCTTGAACTTGCATAACGCTTGTATCAATGATTTTTTACAAATTTTAAACTTAGAAAACCTTAAAAATTTGTCAGAATTGATAGCGAGCTCAAACCCAATCTATAAAATTCCTATTTTTACTACGACAGGTTTCGAAAGTCTTAAGCTTCTAAATTTAGAAGAAACAGAAATCGATGATCTTGAATCTATAAATAACCTTAACACTTTTCCAGCTCTAAAAGAGTTAAGGATTGGAAATACTCCTTTAGCAGCAAGATTTAAAGACCGCTTCAGACAAATTTTAATTGCATATCTCCCAAACAGTGATTGCATCAATGGAGGGGCAGTTGATTCGGCTGAGCGTACAACTGCAGAAAGAAGCTTTGTCAGAGAATTTTCAGATCCTGAAGAATATGATAAACATATTGATTTTCAAGCTGAAAATAGTTTGGCAAGCTCACTTATCCCAGTCGAATATGAATGCAATATACAACTTTTTAACAGGTTGTTCGAAAAGCATGGAGTAGTTCACAAATTTGCTGACTCCCCCCCCATCCTTGATCGAACGATTGACTGTAAAAATTCCTAAAATTGGGGAAATTAACCGCCATCCTTGATCGAACGATTTTCATATCATGCAAATTTTTATATATATAAAAATATATTAGTTTTCAAAAGCTTGGGAAGATGTACATAATAAAGTTGTTTTCAGAGCTTTAAGACGACAAAAAGCTGCGGAATCAACCATCAGAAGTGATTTAGCCATCAACCTAGGCTTAAAAACTCAATAATCTAATAAAAGAGAGATTCTTTAAAATTTTAAAAAAAAAAATTTAATTTAATAAGGAACAAATTAAAATTTATACGGTTTAAAAAGGGTAACTAATAAATCAAAATATTAAAAATTGGTATTTTATGAAATTAATTAAATTTTTTGCTGTAAAAATAATTATTAAATACTCTTAACCTTCTTATTTAAAAGTAAAACAAAAAAATATATATATATATATAGTTTTTTTTCCCAAAACAATTTTTTTTAACCCCCATCCTTGATCGAACGATGGCGAGTTGTTCGATCAAGTATGGGGGGGAGTGAGGTAAATTTGGCGCCTCCAACTGAAGTTTTGCTCCACTTTCAATTAAAAAATGGCAAAAGATCTGAAGATACAGTGGTTCCTTTGAACTGAACAGTCCTCGATTTAAAGCATTTTATTGAAAAGTTATTTAAGATCCCCGTTCGTAAGCAGAAAATTTACCACGGCGACTGAGAGTTATTGCACGTATATGGGTTTAAGTTCTTGAGATATGATGAAAAACTATTGTATGAAATTAAGAAAATCAAAGATAAAGACATTATTATGATTGACCGGTATAACTAATTATCAATTATCTATTTACTTTGAAATAAAGCCCTTTGTCATCAGCATCTCTATATTTGAATGGAAAAGGCCAAAATAAAGGCTCGTTTCCTAATGCTTCTTTGAAATTATCAAATAGACCGAGTTTATAGGGCGATATCTTGCTTTCTAGTGTAATTTCTTTTTTCTTCTCACAAAATTCAATTGTTGTGTAATTGTTTGAAATTAGCCAAAGATGGAAAATTACAAAACCAAGCAATGCGATTCCTAGCATAGATAATAAATAAAATGTGAATTTGATGGAAGATCGACTCAAGGTGCACTTCTTATGGAGCAGGTAGTAATGATTCTGAGGTTCCAAATAAGAGTACCGGCATCTTAAGACGGTGATCTCCCCAAAAAGCTGTCTGGTCTAAAAAGATTCCAAAATATATATTAACTTCTTGATCTGCAGGCGAAAGGCCAGCATTTTATGATCTTATGGCCTGCAATTTAATAAGCTATATTAGCATAGATCCCAATGAGTAGCTTAGAACAATAAAAAGGCACAGAAATTGAGAAGAAGTTTCATCATTCAAAACAACTACAGCAGTTTCCCAGAAAGTGCAAATAAAAATGGCCAGAGCTAAAGCTCCATAAAATACCATCAAAAAGAAATATTTATAGTTAAAGTACCCTACACAATTCGCGATTCAGTTGCAGTGATGGTCCATTTTTAAATTGCATCGCTCGCATTGTTTGCAATGATGAGTTCTATCAGGTTTTCGATGCTGACACCTTGCACAGGTTCTGATGGTTCCATCTTTTCTTTTTTCGATCAGCATGGTGCTTTCATTGCTAGACTCTGAATTATCTTCGCTTGGAAGATCCCATTCTTTTTCTTTTGGAATTTCGCCTGCGTTAGTCCTTAATGCTCGATAGTGGCTTACTAAGATTCATAAAACACATCATGTTATTAATGAAAAAAAGGTTCACCCTTTAGTCTTAGAGGCATTCCTTTTAGATTCTAAAAATAAAAATGGTGACGTCGATGGAAATTGCCTTCAAGGTGCACTTCTATGGAGCAGGTAGGACTCATCCTGATGAAGCTGAAAACAGGGTCTATGTCCCTTTTGAAGTAGCCCTTCAGGTTTGGGGTGCCTTCCGAAGAGGGAAGTTTGCTTCTCCCGATGGGCTATATAGGTTTTACCTCCCAGTCTTTGCTTATCGGGAATAGCTGGGCATCTACAAGAGTTGTCTCTAACCTAGGGAGCTAATCCTTAGTTTAGGTGGGTTTACGCTAGATAGGCATACTAGTGCCTATCCGCTTATGGTCTTATAATTTAAACTTTAACTTCGGATTCTGAATGGTAATAATATACTTCAGGAATTTTGTCAATATCAGTTATTAAAGGCTTAATATAGAATATCAAATATATTGAATATCCTCCTACTGTAATTATAAAAAGAACTAATACAGGCAAGTATATTGCAATATATAAGCACACTGTCAATAACTTTTGACTTGCAGTTGATAATCTCCATGGCGGGAGATTGAATTTTAGTTCTTGCTCAGCTTCATCATAGGCACGAATAAAATTTGGAGGTCCAACTGATCGGTATAAATCTGCCATTGTTTATGTTTCTTAACAAATAATCTGGTATAGAGTTTTATAAGCCCAGAATTAATTATGATGAAGCTAAATACCATTTATTTATGCTTATTATATACTCAATAATTAATAGTATGCAATGACAAATTAAATTAAATTCTTGGGATTGAGGAATTTTTTGTTGGTTTAGAACTATGAAAAATTCGAAAACTTTGGGATTAATTTAATTAGAGAATCAGTGCTGCTTACCCAGTTGATGAAATGCTGTCTTGATATATATTATAAAATGTTTGTTTCTATAAAAATTATCTATTATATAATTTCAAAATATTATGCTATTATCTCTTAAAGTGAGCGAAAAAGCTTTAAAAACCTAAGCTAAAGAATATTAACAATAAATTTATTAATTTAATTTATCCATCTAATTAAAAAAGTCTTCAGGCAATACTAATGGTCTTAGAGTTTCGCAGAAAAATACTTCTTTTGAAAAATTCTTACTACAAACTTGGCAATTAATATCACTAAATCTGAATCCCATTACGATCAGCGTCTTTATTCAGCCTAAAAAATATAAATTATCAATCTTTCATCCACATGCATGAATTAAAAAATCTTCATCTTTATATTTGCATATTTCGCAATTCCTTGCATGATTATTTTCTAGATAATGAACCTTTAAAAATCACAAGTTGGAACGACTATTTTAGGCAACAAGAAGCACTTGTAAGCTATTAGTCATCGATATGCCTGATTCTTTAGAGCTATTGCTTGACTGGGATCTTTCAGATGAATGCAAGATTGTGAATTCTGATGACAAAGAATTAGGGTCCAAGTTTACTTCAAGATTTTTGAGTTCTTGATAAATTTCAATCATTGAGGGCCTCGCATTGAGGTCATATACCAGCATTTTAGTGATAATTCCAATCAACGAATCACTATAACCAATATTTTTTAATTCCCTTTGAACTTTCTCCATTGTTGCAGTTTGATTTTCAGAAAAAATTTCATATAGGTTCAAAGTTGCCATCTCGTAAAATGATTTTCCTAAAGACCAAACCTCTTCTTTCTGAGGAATTATATCAACACTTCTAATGATTTTTTCATTGTGCTGGTTTCTTAAAAATGGAGACATATAGCATTGAGTGCCAACTACAGTGTTGGGTACAGTTTCATATTTTATATACTTTGCTGCTCCAAAATCTCCAACTTTTAGATACTCGTTATTTCCGACAAAAATGTTGTCTGGTTTTATGTCTCTGTGGACTATGCCTTTGCTATGCAAAGCAGACATTACTTCAGTTAGGATAACAAAATGCTCTAAAAGCTGAGTTTCAGGCCAATATTCTTGATTTCTCCGCCTTTGCTTAATTAAGTCTCCCACGCTTCCGCTTGAGCAAATTTCCATAAAAATGAGAAATTTGCCACCTTGATTCATGTAGTGGTAGATATTCACGATGTTTTTATGGTAATTTCCAACTTCATGGAGATATTTTGCTTCTTCTTCATATTTTGGTTTATAGATTAAAAATTCTTTCATTATGGCTGATTTTGGATATGGGCAGCCTTCTTTTCATTGAGTAAATTCTACTTTAAAGACATTTACTCTAGTTTTCGACACGTATAAGGTTTTAGTAAAATCTCCATAGTAAGAGTCTAGCTCTCTCAAGTTATTATTCATAATTTATTAAAGCTTTATTCTTTATTTCCCAAATAGGGATCTACATTTTTCTAAAGATATTACTTTAATATATTAAATATTTGTATAAAAAGAAGCAGCCATAAAACTATTCTGAATATAGTTCATGGATTGATTTATCTCACCCTGCGCTAGCAGCTTTCCTTTGAATTTGTGAAGAAGTAGCTGGGCTAGTAGCATCTGTCATGAATTGAAGCATGCATATTACATTTTTAACTTGCCATATTGATGCACTGTGAAGACAAACTGATGTGACTTTTCTTATTTTTCCCACAATTAGATACTAATTGCATATACATAGCCTATTTAAGGGATTGAATAGGCTATAGATGTAATGCCATCTAATTTTTTCATTTATTTTACTTACTGAGATCTACGAATCAAGTCAAACTCAGCATTTTCAGCCGTTATTGCCATATGTGCCTATTATATTTTGTTTAATTGAATAAGCATGCTTCTCTAAATCCAGTCCAAGTCCTTTAAGGAGTTATAGCTATACGCTATAAATCCTATTATAACCATTTTCACAAATTCTAAAATTTGAGTTGAGAGAGAAAGAGAAGTTGAAATTAAGAAAATTTATAATTTTTTTAGATTTCAGAGCTGTGCCACATTAATTTAAATAGATTGCGAGATGAAACTACCACTAATAGCACACTGAATTATAATAAGTTTTAGAATACGGATATAGGTAAAAAGGATAAGATATCTATGTTTTTCATTTCTATTTTTCTTTATTTTTTTGCAGAAATTTAAAAATTAGAAATTAAATATTTTAATATTTAATATTCGTTATTTTGGTACTTTATTTAAATGAATAACATCTCACACATCAGTTATCAAAAAAACAATCTTGGCACATAAATAATCCTTATTATAATAAAATTATTAGCTGACACTATTAAATTTTTAATACGCTGCTATCTGAAACATAAAGTTTTATAAATTAATTTCAATTTTGGAATTGAAATTTTGAGTATAAATCAATGAGAGAGATCATGAAATTCCGTACATAGGGAGAGTTAACAGATTTTATTGCTGTACATGAGAAATTTAAAGCAGCATGTGACCAAAAATATGAATATTTCATTTCTAGAATAATCCCTTATCATCTTAAATAATCATGAGGTTTATCTGTTTAATATTTCTCAATAATTATGCAAATTCCTTTAAAATTTTAAAATTTAATTTTCACTCACATATTTAGCTATTATCTAGCCACTCCATAATAATTTTCCAGCTTCTCCACAACCTTTACATTTAAACCTAATTCTATTTATTCATAATTTAACAATCTAAAATCATGGTTTAATGCACAAAAAATTTATTTCTTTAAATTCATCACCGACGTCATTCTAAATGGTCTAATAATGGGCTGTTGTAATAGTGAGTTAAGACGTCAAAAATATTTGCATATCACTCAAAAGGTTCGTGAGTCAATTGAACGAAATAATGCCAGAGGCTTAAAAGAATTTATTCACATGACTGATACCAATTCAAAGTCATCAGAATCGTCCATGATAGATGAACCAATCATAACTATCAAAGGGATTTCGCTCAACGCTCTTGCATATGCTCTATACCTTGGCAAAGCCGATGTATTTAAGCATCTCTGCTCAAAGATGGGCGCCAGCATCCAAGAAATGTGTTCTTTACTCGAAAGACAAAAAATAAATGCACTTGAGTTTATTTGCCAAAAAGGCCACACGGAAATTTTAGAGTGTTTTTTGCCTTATTACTTATCGATGAATAAAGAAACTGTTATTGTCCAAGAAGAAAGTATTACTATAAATTTCAATACAAACCAGGCAATGGAAACACCTCAACTGATAACTTATACAGCAATCCACATGGCTTGTGAACAAGGTCATATCAATTTAATTAGTTATGTATATAATTACTTCAAAACTTCACCATATTGTCCTTATCAGCTTGATATTGATTTTCAAGACGATTTTACTGGAGAAAACTGCGCTTTGATTTCTTGCAGAAACGGGAATTATGCAATGATGAAATTTTTGAATGAAAGTTGCCATGCAAATTTCAGAGTCCTTAATAAAAGGAACGAAAATGCTATACAAGTGGCAGCTGCTGGCAGCAAGAAGAAGCCTACAGCAGCGTTTTTAGAGTGCTTTTCTTATTTGACTGAAAATATTGGCATAGATATCACTTATATGCATGAAGAAACACTTTTGTTGTTAGAAGACCGTAATTTGATTAAATACGTGGAAAAACAGCTGCAAAATCGTGGAATAAATGTGACGAAAACTCAAATAGAAAAAAGGAATAAAATTGTCAAGCCTCACATCCCTAAAACATTAGAAGAGCTAAAACTTGACCGAGAATTTGAGGATAATTTCGACTTGCGAAAATGTCTTGAAAATGAAGACCGTGCCAGACAAAGCATGATGAGCTCAATAAATCCGCTCGATTCTAATATTGAGACTCCATTTATGAGTACGAATGAGTTCAGTCCTCAAGGGTAACCGTAAATTACTGCGACATTAATTTTTTATATAATTCTAACTTTTATTGTAGTGGATATAATCTTAATAATGGCAGATGTACAAACAGAGAAAGCCTTTATGAGACAAGACGGGGTCTCGCTAAAGAGCAAGAAGTTCTTTGCAAAGAAAACTGCCAAAGGAGTGAGATACTGGAAAAACGTCGGTCTTGGTTTCAAAACTCCGAAAGAAGCAATTGAAGGAGCTTATGTTGATAGAAAATGCCCATTCACAGGAGATGTTTCTATCCGTGGGAGAATCCTGAAAGGTATGGTTATTTCGACAAAAATGAAACACACAATTATTCTTAGAAGAAACTATCTTCACTATATCCCCAAATATAAAAGGTTTGAAAAGAGGCATAAGAACATTTCAGCTCACTGCTCACCAGCCTTTCAACACATAAAGGAAGGAGATATTGTGACAATTGGCCAATGCAGACCTTTGTCTAAAACCGTCAGATTCAACGTTCTTAAGGTTCAATCAAATCAAATCTTTGGATCAGCTAGAAAACAATTCGTATTATTCTAAGAATCGCTATTGAAATGCACGCCTATAAGCATTTTGTAATTAATTAACCTAGAGCACTTGGAGAGTCTAAAGATAGTTCTTTAATCTTTGGTCTCACTTATTAGATTTCATTATAAAGGCTAGAATATTTTCTAACAATTCTTCTTGATAAAGAAGCTATGTTGCTTGAAGACTCTCATCATTTAATTAGAAATTTTTATTTTCTTAGGGTTAATTATCCTACTTAATATTTTTATAAGTAATTCATTTTATAAATTTAAGTCATTTGTCGAATTAAAAGCATTCCTACCATTTTTCACTGGACAAACTAACTGATATTGCATCATTTTCTTGTGCCTGATGAAATTAAAAAATATTACAAGATGGGAAGCGGATGTTGCAAAGATGTTGAAAGAGAAGAAAAAAACGCCAAAGACGCAAGCATTAGTGTTATCAACACACGAACTGATGAAGGTGAGCAAGAAATATACACGATAATTCAAGACAACTATTTGACAATTCCTAACACGTTTAATTCAGATAAATTCAATAAGTCAAAAGATATCGGGGTTTCTGGGTTAGAAAACCTTGGAAACACGTGCTATATTAATTCAGTTTTGCAGTGCTTATTCAACTGCCAACCATTGATGGATTATTTTCTTTCAGGAGTTCATATAAAAGACTTGAATATACTGAACCAAAATGGAAACCGAAGAGCAGTCACTTTAGCATTTGCAGAGCTAGCAAATGCTTATTGAACAAAATCATATGATGTGATGGTCCCTAGGTTTTTTGTAAAATCAATTTGAAATACTATAGGCGCAATAACTCCAAGAAAAGAAAATGATGCTTACGAGCTTCTTTTAGCACTTTTAAATTTGATAAGCGAAGATTTAAATCGAGCAAATAAAATTCAACTAATGAGTCCCCTAAAATCAAACAAAACTTCAGAACTAAAAGCCGCTCAAGCGTGGCAAGAAGAATTAGACAAAAACTCCTCCATTGTCGTTGACCTTTTTCAAGGGCAATTAAGGTCTACTGTTTCTTGTACTGAGTGCAATTTTGCATCTCAAACTTTTGAAATTTTTTTTTCTTTAAGTTTGGCTATTCCAAACAAAGAAAAGCCAATTTCAATTGATGACTGTCTTGAACTTTTTACTCGTCCTGAAGAGCTAGACAAGCCTTGGTGTTGCCCTAGATGCAAGCATGAGGTAAAGGCAATTAAGAAAATTGACCTTTGGAAAGTTCCACCAATCCTGATTATACATTTAAAACGAAAAGAAATATAGGAGATTCCCGATGATGGCGCTCAATGTGCCATCATCGGGAAACGTGTTTTAAGGGTCCACACTGGAAATGGGTTCCACGTGTGGAGCCCTTTTTGGCACGTGAAAGTGAGGATTTTCCACGTGTCAAAAAGGGCTCCACACGTGAACCCATTTCCAGTGTGGACCTGAATTTTAGTTGCCCGATGATGGCGCATTGAGCGCCATCATCGGGCAACTTGTATAATTACAAAGAGGAATCAGGTGAAAGAGCAGCTATTTGATAGAGCAAGCTCCAAAATTGATATAGCTCAATGGGTTTCAGCGTTTCAAAGGGAAAATCCAGTATACGAGATGTTTGCAAAAATTAATTATGAGTCAAACTTAAAGAGCAGGCATTATACAGCCACTGTGAGGCATAAGAATAATCAAACCTGGCAATTTTTTGATGATTCTGATGCTTATTATGCTGAAGAAGAACCTTTGCTAGACAAAGACTCATATGTTTTGTTTTACCAAAGAGTTACTGGAAATGCATATTACAGGCAGTCAAAAAATATGCCAAAATATTGGCCGCATTTAGTTGCAAATCATCTTAACAGAGTGGTTTTGGAGACACTAGAACCATAAGAATGTATAAATAATTTTTCATAAAAGCTTTTTATGAAAATTTGTAATTAATAATAGTCATTATTTAAATTGATAAAAATGATCATTTACTGCATTGATTGATGCTCAATATTAACATTAGAAATAGAAAAATATCCGTAAAAATTGATTCTTTACTTTATAAGAATAAATTAAAATTTTGATGATAGCCTTATCATTGTAGTACTTTTGCTTTATTTAAGTAAGCTTAAAAATGGAATTAGTAGAGAATCTCTTTAATTAACAGAATGGCAAAAAATACCGCAAAAACCATTTACTCTGAAAGTTTAGCTCTGGAAGACGGCTCTGAATATATGGGGCATCATATAGATGGAATCCCAAATGGTCTTGGAATTATGAAATGTCAGAATGGAGATATTTATAAAGGACATTTCGCAATGGGCAAAAAAGAAGGAAATGGGCAAATGTCCTCGAATATCGGAAATATTTATACTGGCAGCTGAAAAAATAATCTCAAGCATGGCTATGGGATTTATAAGAATACTAATGGAGATGTTTATAGAGGAAATTTTCAAAATGATTTGAAAAATGGAAAAGGAGAAATGTACTGAATTAATGAAGACTCTTATGTTGGGCACTGAAAAGACGATAAGCAGGATGGATATGGAATTCTGAAAAATTCAATATTTGAATATCAAGGGCAATTTTGTGATGGATTTCCTGAAGGCCAGGGGGAAATTTATTGAAAATCCGGAGCGTTTTATAAGGGTGAAATGATAAGTGGAGAAATAAGTGGCTATGGAAGATATGAATATAAAGATAAAAGCTCATATTTTGAGGGGGAATTTGCTGGAGGATTCCCACAAGGCTATGGAGAGCTTCACAACAAGCAATGACATTACCAAGGGGAATTTAATAATGGCCAAAGACAAGGATATGGAATTTTAACTATTTTTGAAGGCTCAAGATATGAAGGATGATGAAAGAACAATAAAATGTTTGGAAAAGGGTGCATAGCATTTAAAGATGGCAGGATTTATATAGGCGAAATCAATGATTCTAAGCCAAATGGAAATGGAGAATGCACATATGCTGATGGCAGCTGGTACAATGGGAGCTGGATCGATGGGAAAAGGTTTGGAAAAGGCAACTATACAGGCACAGATGGAATGCGATATATAGGGGACTGAATAAATGATATGAGAGATGGAGTTGGTCATTCAGTAGAAATTGATAATAATGGACACTTTGATGTTTATGAAGGCGAATGAAAAAAGGATAAGAAAAATGGGATTGGCAAATGCTCTCATTTTGAAGATGGAAAAAAGATCATTGAAATTGAAGGAGAATGAAATATGGGGAAATTTGTCAATAATTCTATATTATAATTGCAATTTATAATTAAATTTATTGTAGGTATGGCGAAATTATTGCTTGTTTCGCTAATTTGTTCTTCTTTTTGTGTTTCTTTCTCAGCTTATCCACCATCATATCTTCATTTTTATCTAAAACATAGCTGGGTCGAAACATGACTGAATCTTTTAGATCTGGAATTTTTGGTTGAGCTTGGAAAATCTGTTTCAAAGTGTGATGATAATTGTCGCCATTTAATCCATAAATGTTATTAGGGTTAAATGGTACTAAATATACGATATTTCCATTTGAATCATACAATTTTTCATCATTATAATCAATGTCTGGGGTTTCCCAATTATATTGAATTCCTTTGGAATTTTCTCTAGCATTTTTAATGCTGAGTTCTAAAGTGGAGGAGTCTTCATCAAAAAGCTGAACTGGTATGCCATTTTCTCCTAGTCTTGCTTTTTTGCTTATCCTTAAATATGGATTATCCTAAAATTACCATAGAAGACGTTTTCGGTCTAATTTTAATTTTTTATTACGTAAGAGTTTTTGAAAATTTCAGTCATTTTAATTAAGCGAGAAATCCTAAGACATTCTTTAAAATATGGATCACTCAGATAAGAAGTTGGGGAAGTTGAATTATGACTGTCTATAGTTGCGATAATGCTTTCTCTCCACTTTTTATCCAGTTGCAGTTCTTCCTCTTCCAATCTGCTTTCTTCATTATTCAGAACAGATTTTTTGGATGATTTATTAGCGTAATCTGTTTCCTTATTTATATGTTTTTTCAATGTAGATTTTGTATTAACTGGAGTAGGCTGCATTTCATCTATAGGTGTTTTCCCTCTATAGCCCGATAAGGGTTGTGGGTTCTCTGTGGGATCCCTTTGCCGGTTGAACCAACCAGTGAATTGGTTAAACCAACGCACTGAATTGGTTTGACCAACAGAGGGATTCCACGGAAAACCCATGCCCTTATCGGGTCATATAGGGAAAACCCCTATACTTTACTCAAAAATGAATTTCGGGGTTGGTGCTTCGCAACAGATTGGGTGACTCCTGTTGATTGTGAGCAGTTGGTATCCATGCTCAGCCTTGATATGGCTCTTGCGTTGAAATCAATTGTGGAGTTTGAGTCTGATTTCTGAAATATATTTTGGTTTTCCTCATCATTTTCAAGACCAGGCTGAGGTATAATTATGGAGTTCGAGCTGCCTGACATATTATTTGTGGATGTATGCTTTGAGCTCAAGAGTCCTTTCGAAATTTCTTTATTTAGCTTTTCTTGAGAGCCTTTATTTTTTTCTTCAAGATCTTTTATTTTTTCCCCATTTTCTTTGATTAATCTTTCATATCCCTCAGTTTTTTCGACTAATTTTTCAATTCTCTTTGACTGCTGCTCAATCCTCATCTCTAAATTTTTCTTCTCAGCTAATCTATTTGCCAATTCAGCTTTTTCTTCATCAACTTCTGTTTTTAATTTTAGGTTTTCTTTTTTAATATTTGCTACTTGCTCTATCATCATTTCAGCTTCTTTTTGAGTTCTTGAGAGAATCATTTTCATGTCTTCTTTTTCAAAATTTAGCGTTTTGATTTCTTTATTCAAGCTAGATATTTCCTCAATTTTTGCATTGTAATCATAAGCTAATTGATGAAATTGCTTTTCGAGTCTTTCAATTTTGCTATTAGCTTCATCGTATTTTTGTGGCTCAATAAAAGTTTCTTCAGTTTGAGTAACGTTATCAAGCTTGGTTTGTTTTGATTCGAAGATTTTATGAACTCTACGGGCAGTGTTTGTCTGTAAAATTCGGAAGTTTTTCATCAGATTTTTTTCGATATCTTCAGGCTTTAGAATTGGATTATCATAATTTCTTAGGGAAGGAATTTCTCTTTCTTGCATCATGTCGTTGTAAATTTCATTTAGAACATCAATAGTTGCACCACCCCTGACACTATTCAATCTATTCGCCTTTTGCTTTAACAATTGATATTCCCTATCGTCTTCTCCAAAAATTTCATTTATTTCTTTTTTTATTTTCTCTTCATCTATTTTTGACTCCTTCATCCTTTCTTCTGAATCTCCTTGCATTTTTATGATTATTGCTTTGCATTCTTGAAGTTTTTTCTCAAGCCCAAGTTTCTCTTCTTTTCTTTCTTTATTTTGAATTCTAAACTGGTGTGTGACTTCTGAAAACAGTGATAAAATATATTCATTTATTTTCGAAACAGCCTTAGCTGTTTCCTCCGATTGCATTTTAATTAACGGTACAATTTCACTATAGCATTGAAATCACATATAAAATTCATCACTCAAATTTTTAAAATTTCTTTTTGGGTTTACTTTTTGGATTCTTTTGATCTCATAATTCTCAATCCTTTCCATTATTTCTCATTTCGAAGTTTTTCCAATTAATTGAAGTGAAGGATTTATAAGTATTTTTGGAGTTGGAGTTTCAGTTGGAATTATAACAGATCGAGATAACAAATCCGGAGAAGGAGAAGCAGGGGATAGAGGCTCATGAGTAAAAAATTTATGAGCTGTGGTGTGCTCTTTAGATGTAAAACTTTTATCGTTGAAATATGTATATAAGCTTAATTCAGGGGTCTTATCACATGGGGTAGCTCTAGCTGAATTATCTGAAATATCTCGCAGGTGGTGTGAAATGGGAGGTAAAGATTTCTTAGTCCGGTGGCGCTGGCTTTGAATTTTTGAGTCAATTGACTTATGTCTTCTGCTCATATTAATACGAAAATACTATTTGCAGTCTTTAAATGGAAGTATAAATATGAGAGGAGTTAAAATCTTCAATGCCAGTTATAATCAACTCGAAGAAAAATTAGCACTCGTCAAGACAGAGCATCAAAAAAAAGATGCAGAAATATCGTTCATGAACCAATGTGCAACAAAAATACAAAAGATTGCAAGGGGTTATTTAACAAGAAAGCAATATGATAATGTAAATTTTAGATAGGAAATTATCATGTTTAAAGAAAGAGCTATCAAGGTATGGATGAATTCGCTTCAATCCACAAGTGACTTTTGCGTTTATAGCGTAGGAGTTATGCCTGAGATCAGTGCAAGGAAGATCCAAAAATGTGCGAGGAAATTTTTATTTTTACAAAAAATCAAAAGACTGAAGAAAGTCTACGAGACGATGCTGGAAGAAAAATTGAAGAGAATTTATGGGATAATTGGCACTGGGCTGATGTATATGAAGTCAAGAATGATTATAAATGGCTTGAAGTTCGAAATTTATAAAGCAGCAAGACTTAAAGAAATATGTGAAAAATTGGCATTATTGAAAATCAAAAAAATATACAGAGAAAACAAGCTTTCGTTTAAGGTAATTAAATATAGAATGAGAAAATACAAACGAAAGCTTAAATTTAACCAAAAATCACCTAATAAATCGAGGGACCCATCAATCGATGACAAAATTGCACAGCAAATTGTTACTGTAATAGAAGATCATGAGCTTACAAAAGTCCCCAGTGTAGCTAGCTCTTTTATATCTACTCCTAAAGATGGCCTTTTAGGAGAAACAATGCTATCTTCTCAAGGCAATATTGAATTTTTTGACGAAATCAACCAAGAAGTTGATGAAATTGCAGATGAAAGCAGCGAAGATGACTCCGTGATTCAGCGCAGAAAGGAAAAAGAAAGAAAAGAAAAAATAAAAAAGGGGTTCATCTCATATAAAATTCCTAAATCCAAGCCGCAGCAAAATTTATTGCCTTTTCTTTACCAAAAGGATTTAATGGAAAGCACAAGGCCAATAACTCATCATTTCATGTCGACAAGAGCAACAGTCACAAGAATGTCTGAGTCAGTCCCATTAAGATATGTCCCTAAAAAGGAGCCGCCTTTAAAGCTGCCAAAAACATTGGAAACACGATATTCATCCCCTAAAAATGCAAAAAGAAGCGATAGCAGGTCTAAATCGCCGAGCTATTTAAGAGCTACAATGTCTTATAATTTAAGCAGATGGGATGCTGATATGATATACCCAAAAACTGAGGCAGAAGTTCATAAGAAAACTGCAAGTGGCGACAATAAAATTAACAGTCCAACCTTTACACACACCCAAAAGACACAGCAGCCTTATAAGCCTCAGCATTTTGACAACAGGCCTGTATGAAGACCAAGCACTCACGATAACAGAAAACACTATGTTGTTTTACCTTTATCTCAAACTTTTAACAAGCCCAAGAAAATTCATCGACCAGCCACAAATGAGGCTCCTATTGTGAATAGAACTCAATCTGCCTTGAATTCTATTTCAGAAGATGTTCCTAGTGGCCAAAATCCTGGCTCCTTATCTTTTCAAGCAGCACTGCCTGAGTTCACTCAGATTTTGAATCATTATTCATCTCCTTTTTATGTGAGACTGAAACCTCAGACCTATAAAGTGAAAGGTTTTACTAAACAGTAAAAATATGTATAAATTAATTTTATCACAATATGGACTCGTTTGAAAACAAAGAGCCAACGTTTTATGAGATGGTTATGCAAGACAGGCTGCAAGATATGATCTGGCAAAGCATCAAATTTGTTTTAGGAGTTTTTTGTGAAAAGTTTTCAGTGCTGATTCCTTTTAGGTATTACCAAGATGAGATTTCGTCATTATTTTTAGGGTCTCTTGACCTCTACTCATTGCTAAAAACAAACTCAAACTTTTCTGAAAGCTTTTATTCTTTGAGGCGCATTTTTACGTCGAAATTTGATATAGTGAAGTATCTCGTTGTAAATTATATTTTGCCTTTATTAAGCAAAAGGATTTCTAGCCAGAGCTCTCGTATTCTGCACTCTTCACATGATATTATCAAGGGGATTCATATGATTTCTTATCTTTATTTGAATTTTCCTTATTTTGCTCCTGCTTATTCAATACTTAGGCATAAGGTGATTAGGCAGCAAGGAAGCAGCTCAATGGGATATGTGTTTATTTTTGTATTGCTTTTGATTAAGGGTCTTGAGCTATGGGTTTCATCAAGATCTAAACCACCAGAATTAACAGAAGTAGCAGATGTTTCTGCTCCTTATAAAGAAAGCAAGGTCCAAAAAGGATATTGTGGAATATGTCGGAAAAATATTGTGAACCCAGCAGCTCTATCAGTTTCGGGGTATGTATTTTGCTATTCTTGCATCAAAGGGCACGTTGATGTATTTAAATCTTGCCCTGTCACTGGAATAAGAGCAGATGTTAAAAATATAAGAAAGCTTCACTACTAAGCAGCCAAATAGTTCTAATTATTCCTGTCAAGATTCGCTTCTAAGTTTATCAATTTCTTATAAAGATTAATATTATAGGCTATCTGTTCATATAATATCCTCTGCTAACAAGCAAGCATAAGCTTGTCAAATTTTTGATTATTAAGATGATTTAGGAATCCATAATTAATCTATGGCTGCTGTATCAAGAACATCACTATCAAAAGCTGAGCATGATGAACTTTCTTGCGTTTTTGCAGCTTTAATTCTTCACGATGATGCCTCAGATATACTAATTGCCCGAGGATGGCGCTATCTTGCGCCATCCTCGGGCAATTGAAAAAATGGCCCCACATCGGGAATTGATCCCACGTGTGTGGGGCCATTTTTGGTGCGTGGAAGTCTATGCTCTACACACACCAAAAATGGCCTACACGTCGGTTCAATTCCCGATGTGTGGCCATTTTTGAATTGCCCGAGGATGGCGCAAGATAGCGCCATCCTCGGGCAATTAGTATATCACAGTATCCTTTATTTAGGCTGACAAAATCTCAAAAATCCTCACAGCATCTGGAAATCAAGTTGAAAAATATTGGCCAACACTCTTTGCAAATGCCTTAAAGGGACAAGACCTTGCAAGATTACTCAGTAATTTAGGCGCTGGCGGAAGTGCACCTGCTGGCTCAGCTGCTCAATCTGGCACTACAGTTGCTAAAGAGGAAGCTAAACCAGAGGAAAAGAAGGAAGAGCCTGAAGAAGAAGTCGTTGAAGGCGCAATGGATCTTTTCGGAGGAGATGAATGGTAATTTCATTAAAATCATACCTTTCAGTCACTTTTTGTAAAAATTGAATTTATAATGCTTCGTTAGGATAAAACAAAATTAAGTTTGCTTTAAGCTGCACTTAGTTTATTAGTAATTCACAAGTGAAAATGCTTGCAAAATAATAACTTGTGATTTGTTGAATTTTACATGAAAAATAAAACAAATATTCATATGCGATCATAAAAAACATACAAGACAGCCATTATAAATTTATAAAATTTATTTTGTTATCTTCTAATTAATTATATAACAGAAAATATCAACACTAATCAATTTCGAATAATACCTGTCCCTTAAAGCTTAAGATCTGTTTTTATTTTATATCACCTGCTATAAGAATCCCGATGACTATACGTTTTTCTTAATAATTTTAAAATATTTCTCATCTTTTTTAAACCATTTTTATCTGATCACCATCAAAAAGGTATCTACAATAAATAATGTGCTGTTGCCCATATAAAGTTTTACGATTGACACTCTATGTTTGCTGTATAATCATGCTTGTAAAGCCTAAATAGGGGATAGGGTCTGTGATTATTTGGATTGGATACGATCTGCAAGACTCTGAATTTGCTCAAGCGTTAGACGTGAAATATATCGGATATGCAGTCATCGGTGTAGGGGCTGGCATTATCCTTTTTGCAGCTTTTGCTTTCCTTGGCATATGAAAAGATAGTATGTTTATGCTTGGCCTTTTTATGCTTTGAGCTCTCATAGTTGGATTCGCTCTGCTAGCTCTTGCTGGGTCTTTTCTATATGCCCGAGATAAATGAGCGTCTGATTACCTTAAAAGCGAATCCAAATGTCTGAGCAATGATAAGCTCGCAAGCGCAAACGACGCAATTATTAAGGCTGATAATGTTATCTGCACATATTATTGTCCTTGTGATTTGAAGATAGCTAATCCCAATTTATTCGCAAATCAGACAGAAACTAAAGGAACTGCTACAGATATATATACTTGTGACCCTTGTAGTGGCTTGCCATCATACTCTAGTGAAGTCCAGAATGAAGTAGTAAGCTGGATTAATTCAAATCTTAATTTAAAAGTGACAACTTCGAATTGCAAAATGCCCGATGATATATTTGAAGACACATATTTAGGAGACTATTCGGATTATTTGCCATTCCTCAAATGGATGGAGAAAAAGTTTGATTGTTCAGGACTTTGCACAGCTGCGAATTTGTACTTGTTTAGTGATATCAATAGAGGTGTGCCAGATGGTAGCTGTAGGCAGGAAATTTATGACTGAATACAGGATAATTTTTTGACGTATGGAATAATAGCGCTAGCATTTGGGCTGTTTCAGGTATAGGCTATATAGGTATTCATGTTCTTTTTAACAGCATTCTCATGCTGTAGCAGATCTAGGGACAAGAAAAAAGGAGCGTAGGCTGTACAGAGAAATAAATCTATACATATTTATAAAGTTTTTGAATTTATTCAGTAATTTATTCTAAATCATTTGCTTCCGAGAATTTATGATAAATTAAAATTCCCATTGAGCAGTTTTATATATATTAGCTCTATAAATATTAATTATTTCGAATAAAAATTATTCTTTATTTACAAGAACATATATAAAATCAATGAAAAAGCTTAAAATTTTTCTATTGGGTTTTGCAATTTTTATTCCGTACTTTATATATAATCCAACCCAAAATCAGCCAAGAATACTCTATGGGCTGCCTGAGAGCTCACTTTCTACTGAACAAATACGAGGAGGTGGAGAAATTCTTTATGGAATAGGCATTCTCTATGTTTTATTTGGCATCAGAGAAGTATGTTCTGGATTTTTTATGCCAATCATTGATTATATTGTAAATAAATACTCTATTTCCCCCAATGTTGCTGGTGCAACACTGATGGCATTGGGTGGCTCTGCACCTGAAATATTTATTTGTTTCATGAGCACTTTTGCTGCTAGCAGTACAATAGGGTTTTCAACAATCATAGGCTCAGGTGCTTTCAATGCTATACTTCTTGTTGGGATATAGCGCCAGCCTCCTTTTGGCTAGAGCTATTCCGAGGATCCCCGATGTCTTAAATCATCATCAAGCAGCTCCCAGCCAGCCATATCAGCTTTGCGACTCGAACTTGCACTCTCATTCTGAAGGTAAAGGCACTAGAACACCGTGCCGTACGCCAACGGGGAATTTGGAATTGCCCGATTGACAAAGTAAGCACCCTCTGACCTTTCTGGGCTATCCCTTTCTAACTTCCAAGTTCCATCTTCCCTAATGTTAAAGCCTTGCCCTGGACTAGGCCAATCTCGAGTAGGTTTTGAAATTGTTTTTATCAACAAATCTTGGAGATTTGGGAATAGCCTCAGCCAAAAGAAGTCCAGACTATATGCGCTATGAGTGCTAAATCAGTCTTCGAACTTCAATGATGGCAGGTCGCAAGAGATTTTATGTTCAATATGGTCTTACTTGGTCTTTTAGTCTTATTTTGAAGCAATCTATTTATTGACTGATACGAAGGACTAGTCCTTATACTTGTATATATACTTTACGTCTATTTTATGAAGTTCAATGGCACAATTGAAAAATTTTTTAAAAAACATTTGAATTTGCCATATGAAGGAGATGAAGTAGATTTCAAACCTCTTCCTGACAAACCTTTTAAGTTAAGAAGGTATTCTATTTCGGAGCTTGAGGCCTATATTCCTCAAGCTCTAAATTTTAAAAGAGGCATTTTAGCAAAAATGATAAAAAACGCACAGTTGCAAATAGTCAAAAATTCATCTGAGGAAAGCGAAGAACTAAGAGCCAGATTTAAATATTGCGTATATTTAATCATGAGGGCGATTGAAGAAAAGAAGAAGTGCCAAAAACGAAACAAAGAAGAAAGAGGACTCATTTATCCTTATAAGCATGAAGTTTTTGACAAAGAAGACATAATTGCGCCAATGGCGAGAATCAGGAAATTACAAACAATTGAAGAAAAGAAAGAAATTCTTTCAGAGGTTTCACCTTCTAGATCACTTTTAAATAGAATTTTGAGATGCTTGATGCTACCACTTAGGCTGTGTCTAAAGCTCACTATTCCTAATATAGAACGCCATCCAAAGCTGTGGATCTTTTCAATGATTATTTCATTGACCTGAATTGGAGGTCTCAGCTTTTTATTGGTATGGTGGACTTCAGATATAGGAATGGCTCTTGGAATTCCTGAAAGCGTCCTTGGGATTACAATTTTAGCGATGGGTGTATCGATTCCAGATCTTTTGAATAGTTTAAAAGTTACTATTGAAGGCCATGGGGATATGGCCTTATCTGGATGCATAGGCTCAAACATCTTAAATTTAGGTGTAGGGATAGGAGTTCCATGCTTTTTCGAAGCCGTCATTAATCACCCTATAGATATCCCAGCAGATTTATACATGGCAGAATACGTGATGATGAGTGTATTTGGGACTTCTTATATCTTCCTAGCCGGCTTTAAGTTCCAACTATCCCGCCATTTCGGGGTTGTTATGTTCTTTTTCTATGCGTCATTTCTAACGATATTTTTGGTGTTTGAGTTTTTAAACATTCATTAATTACTTTATAACGCATTGATAAATATAGTAAAATAAACCGAAAAAATGTTAAAGAATTTGGATCTGAATAGCAGATTTATTATTCCGCCGTCTCTTTCAGAGAACTCACAGCGCTCTTCACCACAATTATACACGCTTTCTTCTACAAGGACACCGTCATATGTATTTTTGCCTTCTGCCAGTTTAGAATCCCCATATGCTTCGCCAGTAGGTAATGAAAAATCACCAACGGCTTCAGATTTAAAAATAAGGAAACTGGAACGGAGTGTTCAGATGTGAAAGGAAAGAGGAAAAGTGTGGACAAATGAACGAAAATCGCTGAAGAAAAGGCTGACTGAGGTCAACCAAGAATCAGGAACTTGAAACAGCAGATTTGTTACTTTGAGGAGAACAAAAAACCCAATTGTAAATAGAGTGGCTAATAAAACTTCTTGGATAGGTAGCCTGGAGAATACAGTAAAATGGTGTGGGAAGAAACCTGCCCTCTTAATTCTTGCTGCTGACATCTCATAGGGTGCGCAGGAACCTTGAGGAAGGGAGACGGCGTTCGGGAATATGTATTCTGCTGGATTTTTCCTAATTTGGTGAAGGGCAATGTCGGGTTAGCCGACCGCAAGCTTTCACTCCAAATTCAGGCTTTTCCCTCAGAGGAAAATTGGTTCGATAGTTGGAAAGGGGTCTCCTAGCAGAGCAGTGGAGTTAATCCTGACCATTCGGAACTATTCCCCAGCGTGAAACCAGAAGTTACGCCCTGGGCTTTTGATTTCCATTCAGGTTGATAGTCAATTAGAAAAATAACCCATTTTGAAATTTTCCATTGTGGGCAGCCGATACGGTGATGCTACTCACCTAGCCCTCATCAGGTAGGAACAGCCTTCGCGATATTGTGAAACGCGAGCTGGCGATCAGAAGGGAGGCCATAGTGATGAAGGCAGTCAGTTAGAACTGCAGCAGGCTTCTCTATAAGTATTAATAAGTTAATTTAAGGCTAGCCCAGAGAAATCACAAATATTGAAAAGCACTGAGATTTCTATAAACTCAAGTGATCTCGAAAGCAACCCTGACGTAGAGTCGCTTAATGAAAGCATTAATACTTTATTCAAGTGCCACAAGAAAACTGCTGAAGATATAAGAAAACAAAAATCATTAGCGTCTAAAACTAAAGAACAAATAAAATCGTTAGAAAAATCAGTGACCAAAATCCAAAAAACTATCGAAAAACTTGCACCGCTGATAAGTGTAAACTTATCAATACCAGAGAAAAGCCTTGTAGATGAATTATCTGATAATTCTAATTTGATGACAAGAGATTCTTTCAGTAATTATATTTTTGAAGACAAAAATAGCAGTATTGGTTATGCGTCACCAACTTTAAGTCAGTATAGTCCTCCATCAAAATTCAGCTTCAAAAAATCTGGGCTTTTTAAAGGCGAAAAAGAAAACAGAGACCCAAATTTTGTAATTGCTGAAAATGAGTCAGAAATCTTGAAGGAAGAATTTGATTTAATATTAAATGATACAAAAAGAATGATTAAAGAAAAAATTGAGGCATCGAAGCATCAGTCACAAGATGATGCAGCAGTGATGGGTATTATGGCAAAATCTATTGAGAGCTTAATTTTGGGTAAGAGGTAATTTATGATTTTTATATTAAATTAATATTTTTATATATAAAACTTAATGAGTAGTCGACGGTCAAGATCTCGATCTCGATCACGATCTCCCGAACGTCCAAACTTTACTCCGTCAGGGATTTTAGCTAGATATGAAAACGAAAACTCAGGGATTGCTATTAAATACACTGAACCATTAGATGCATCTCTTCCTAGATATCATTGAAGACTTTTTGTATATGAAGGAAATAATGAAAAAGATCCAATTGATTTACACATAAAAAGCAGCTATATAATTGGAAGAGATGAAAATATTGCTGATATTTTAATACCTCACATGTCTGTTTCTAAGGAGCATGCTGCAATACAGTTTAGAAAACGAAAGTCTCATATTCTTCCATATATAATAGACTTGGAAAGCAAAAACGGCACATATTTGAATGACAAGAAATTAGAAGCTGCAAGATTTTATGAAATTCAAAGCCAAGATATTTTGACTTTTGGGACCTGTGAAATGGAATATGTTGCAGTTAAAGGCGATAAGCTTAGGTATAGAGAATAAGTGTTTAGCAATTATATGGGGCACTTGAATATTCACCCAAATTTTAATCATTAAGTTGAATTTAAAATTTATATTTATAAGACTTATCTAAATGGAATCTTTCTTGGAGACTTTACTTCTCTGGTAGTTGGAATAATAGAAGTTCTTCCTGGAGTTGCAGAATTCCTTCCCTTATTAATGCTGCTAACTGTCTGCTTTAACAATCTTTTGCTTGGAGATGGACACTTGGGTTTTCCTTTATCCACATTCAATGAGGATTTGCTACAGACACTTGCAGTCGTTTCTGTCTCCACATCATCTTGGTGTTTTGCATGATTATTCCACCCTGTGCTTGATCTCTTATGATACTTTTTCGGGCTTTGAATTGGAGTTCTTGACTGTGTATTTTTCTTCCTAGATTCTAGCAACGCTTCTAAATCTTTAAGCGTGCTATCAAACAGATTTGTAGGCTTTTGGGCACTTTTTAGCTTTTGCAGTTCATCTTTGAGTTTTTTATTTTCATTTGTCAACATTTGGAGCTGAGCATCAGAGCCCCACCCATCGTTTAAATCTTGAATTACCCTTTGCAAGTTTTGCCTTTGTATTTCTGACTGCTCAAGCCTTTGCTTTAAAAGCCCAATTTCTTGAGAAAGCTGAAAAGCATTAGAAGACTCAGCTTTTGATTTCTGTATCTGCTGCTCAAAGTTACTGGCGTTCTTTTTTCATATTGTCAGCTCTGTTTGCAGTTTAAACATTTCCTGGTCTTTTTTCTCGATTAATTTATGCAAAGAAGCCTCTGTACAGTTGAATTTTTTGGTAGCTGCGTCATACTCTGTGCTTAATTTTTCAAACATCTGTTTAAGTTCTTCTGTTTCTTTTTTTTCTTTACTTAAATTTTCTTTATTTGATTCTAGCTCGCTTCTGCATTCAAGATATTTCGATTCAAGCTTTTTATTCTGAGCCTTGATCTTCTCAATCTCGAAATTTAGCCCATCAATGGTGACCTTTACGTTTTGATTGACCCTCAATATTTCTTCTTGATGTCTCCAATTTTCTTCTTCCATTGCTCTTTCTAGCTCAATGATCCTAAAAGTATTTGAGCGTTCATTGTCTTCTATGTTTGGCTTTTTGTCGTATGGACTTGGACATAATTTAATTTCAGGCATAAATCCACTGTCACTTTCTGAGTGAACAATGCTATTTTGGTGCATTTCACAATCAAGTTCAGAAAGCTCAGTGACTTCTTGGACAGGAGTGAGTGCTCTTTTGGTGTTTACTAATATCAGAATTCGTGGTGAGGTTACTTCTTCTGGGAATGATGATAAATAATCGTTACTCTGGGGCTGAAACAAAGGCAGCCATTGAAAGCCTTCTGATGGCAAAATTGAAGTCGGCAGACTCACACTGCCTATTTCTTCTCCACTACTCATATTTTTAAGGATCAGCTGAAGTTTTCCAATGCTGTTAATCTGCACAAGATTTTCTTCATTATCAGGGCTTAGTGGAGTGATTACATCAAATAGGCGCCCATCAACAGAAATATAGCAGCCAACTTCGGATTCTTCTCGGTCTACAGGTTCTGCTCGAAGCACGGTGATTTCAAATGATTTTTCTAACATTTAATTTATGAACAAATTTGAATTCAATTTTAGCTCAAATGGAACTAATATGGCAATAATGACAATTATCTTCTAAATATGATTCTTAAGAAAGCGGAGAAATAATCATTATTTCTAGTAAATTAAAAAGCAAATATGCTTGTTTTCCCCATAAAAATATAAGTGCTCTTTTAGTGCTTTTTGCTTATATTGACGCTAAAAAATGCTTATATATGTGTAATAAATCAGATTTATGTGCCTGCTTTGTTTAATATGCCGAAATTTCAAATAAACGAAACAAAATTATGATTTCAAATAAATAATTTATTCTTTGCAAGCCTTGTTTTTTTGGAAATCGAAAAAAATTAAATAAAGAAATACTTATTATAGCCTATACCCCTATATAGATTTCTTTTATCAAGCAAAATAATAGACAAAGACAAACTCTCTTAAATGGACGAGCTAGATCTCTATGCTAGGAAGGGTCAAAAAATGGCTGACAAGTAAATGTGCGGATTTAAAATGGCTTTATTATTAAATTTATTTTAAATTTAAGGTACCCTTTTAGACTGGCATTGATTAATATCTTACCCACTTTTTTATCTTTTCTGCAAAATTAGGTTCAAGCAAGTATATTATTTTTCCAATGATTTTGTTCGCTCACAGAGAGGGTAGAGTCAATCGTTTCTATGATAACTCTGAAATATCGTTTCTGCACAAACAAAATTTAGCTAGATTTAATTAATGAATTTTTTTAAATATTTTTATATTCATTATTAAATTTACTAAAGAGCATCATATTAGCCATTAAGAACCTAATAAAGAGCAATCAGCGTTCAATACAAACTTTGGCTTTTATAGAGCAATTGATCATAAACAAATTGGCATTATTTATTTAAAATCTATTTTTTATGAGCACTAATTAATCTAGATATTTGTAGTTCTTACTTTTATAATGATTATGCTCTTTAGATTTGAACTTATTTCTTGCTTTGATTTAATTCTATGGTAAGATATTTATAAGGACCAGTCTAAAAGGGTGTCTTAAATTTACAATTTTTAATAATAAAGCCATTTTAAAAATTGGCGCGTCTTTTATTCAACTTTGTTTACATCAGTCAACCATTTTTTTTAGATGACACTATTAACCCTTCCTGGCATAGAGATCCAGCTCTTCGACAGAGTTTGTCTTGGTCATTCAATTTTCTATTTACATTTTTCTCGATAAAGAAATCTATATAGTGGTATGGGCTATACGACTAAATAAATTGGTATATTATTCGGTCTAAATGCCTTTGAACGCTATGATTACCTAAATCTTAAGCAAATTAATCTTCTTCTATAAAATAAATTAGCAAAGCCAAAATAAAATAGTAAAAAATCTAATAAATCAGTTCTAAAGGTCCAATGAGCATTTATTTTTGGAAAAATATAAAATTTTGATAATTTTTTTATGGTTGTTTCCATTTTTTTAATTTCTGTTACACTGTCTTAAATTAACATAGGTGAAGGAGGAAGACTCAAAACTATTAGTTTACGTAATTTTTCCTGGGTAATTTCCAAATACCATTTCGATGTTCTATTTTTCTAATATGCATTAATAGCAGTAAATAATAGAAGTAAAATAATAATATAAATATGGGTTCATGTATAAATCTCCAAAAGAAAAGAGCAACAGGAGCTGAATTTGGCAAGTCTCAATCATATAATGTTATGGTTGTAGCAACATCAGCATTTTTTAACTCTGATAAACTAAAACGCCAAAACTCATCCAAAATCAAAGATCTTCGAAGAAAGATATGAATAAAAAAGGCTGAAAACGTGCCTAAATTGAATCTGTCCAAAAGTGATCTATACATAAGAAGGTTCAAAAACAATAGTAAAATCAGTTCATTATCAATATAATTCTTGTTCTGTCAAAAAAGTCAAGTAATCTTGGTCCTATAGAGAGGTAAATTGCTAATATAATGCATTTAATTATTTGAATGTTAAACTTAGTGTTTTTAATTGCTAATAGTGTGTTATATTTAAATGCCGTCGAAGCCGGTAAACGTTTATCCTAGACGCACCCTGGAGCAACAAAGCTGGTTGACCCAGCGGCCGGTGGGCCCGATGCAGCGAAAGGCAGGCGGAAGCCCTGGGACAGGTGACCCCGTAAGTGACGTTAAACGTTATAAATCTAATGGTAATGGTAATGGTGTTACATTTAAATTTCTTTTCCATATTGAGTCCAATAATATCAAAAAAAGCTTTAATTTTATTCTCTTTTATATAGCTACTGGAGAAAAGAAGAAATATGGCAACTAAAAAATAATTCTTGATATTTTGGGTATTTCTTGAATTATATTTTTTTAAGTTATAAATCGTATAGTTATTTTTATTATTAATTTTTAGAATAAATATGAAGAAAATTTGCCCAAAAAGTTTTTATATTCAGATCAATCATTTATTCTGCAAGCCAGAAAAAAAAATATTCCAAATTGTTCAGCAATTATTTAAAAATGGAACTCAGAATAAAAAATTCAAATTTATCAATAACTTTTTAAAAATGGAAGCCAACTTAGGGTTTCTCAAGGCAATTCCATATATAATATTTCATTGAATTTATTTTTAGTTTTTATTAACACAATGAATAGGAATACAAAAACTTACCCAAAGGAATGCTCGATAATATAAACATTTAAATTAAGAATCATTGGATTTTATATCTTAATAAATGTTTTATTCTTAAAATTTTAACTATTTCACTATTCTTCACTAAGAGATAGCTTTTGCAAAACAGCAACCTTATCTTTTTCTTCTTTATTATCCTGATTTGGTGCAGGTTCCTATATAAAATTTACAGTTGAAAACAAAGAAATGCACTCAGAAAATGTTATTTGCTGGTTATTATAAGGATCAACTATGTGCAGCAGTCTCAAAGTGTCTTCTTCACTAAATCCCATTTCAGTAAAGGCAAGCAGCTCCCTAAATTCCATTTCATTTACAACTCCATTATTATCTGAATCTACCTTTCTAAACAGCTGAATAAACTTCGATAAAAACTTTTCATGCCCCTTAAGTTGGAAGTCTAATAAGATTTTCAGTAGATCTGTATAAGCAATTTTCCCGTTATTTGCCTTTTCTTTTTCTTTAGCGCTCAAAAGTTCTTCACGAGTTAGCTTATTTTTATTTTGTGACTGTTCTGTTGGGTAATTTTTAAGCTGGATCACCTCACCTATTAAGGAAACTAACAAATCAGCATCAGTTTCATTATACATGTATTTCACTATATCAGTCCACTCCTCTTCAGATAAAAATCCGTTGAATTTTTCTTGAAGCATCTCTTGAATGTCACCATTGGTTTTAAGTGGATATTTCCCTTTTAGATGGACTCTTACAAGCTCTGCTACGGTTTCTTTGACTTGGCTTTGGACGAATCTAAATTCTTCATCACATTCATTTCTCAGTATTTTTCCGAAAACAGCTACATCGTTATCTTCAGATGAAAAACGCTTGATCCCTGAAATAATTGCTGAAGCCCATTCTATAATTAAACTCTTTAGCCCATATTTTTGATTTAAAAATGTGTACATGTGCTGCTCCATGGTTTCTCTTGGCTGCTTTGTATCAAGGCATTTTTGGTCAAACTTAGCTTTGGAAGCATAAATTTCTAGGATGGTATCTTTTAATTGTCTTAAAGTAAGAATTCTTGACCCGCCAAGCGAAACTTGTCTATAGCTTGTATTTCCTCTTGAGCTTCTCAAATCTTCATTCCCAGGGCTAATTGTCCTCCCAGTAAGTGCAGATTCTGCATTTGTCTTTGAATGCTTTATAATAATATCCAAATACCTTTTATTTTCATTTTGCAGTGTTTCTAGCTCCTGCCTCATTTCTTCTTTTTCCTCATCCAGCATTCTTTTTAGTCTTTCTTTTTCCATTTTATGTGTTTCTGCTTCTTTTTCTATTTGTTCAGCAGCTTCCAAAACTTCTGCAGTTTCTTTCATAGCTTTTTCCATATCACTTTTCATGGCCTTGATTTTCTCTTGATATTTCATATGGACTGAAAACAATGATGACAGTGAATCTCCAAACAAAGAAGAAAGGGCTTGATTAACATTTTTTAATAAAGCTCCTGCCTTTTTGTTCTGCTTAATAATCAGCTGTGTTATTTTTTCCTGGCAAATTAAATAGAGCCCATGTTTAGCTTTCAGCATATACCCATGGATGAGGTTATTTGATTCGCCTTGCTTTAACATCTGCGAAAGTTCTCCCATGATGTCTTTGACATGGCTATCAAAGTCTTCAGCAAGCTTTTTATCATAAGAAGGGTCAGCGTCCCTTCATAGATTTCTGATTTCGTCATACATGATGGCGACTTTTTCTAAATCCTCTTGTTTTAAGTTCAAGTCCTCAGAGCCGAAATCAATTGTTTCGCTCATCTCGACTTGGATTGCTGGCTGGCCTTCTTTTTCTTCTTTTTCAGTCTCAATTTCAGCGCCGTTGAGTCTTTGCAGGTTGGGGAGAGAATCAAGAATGAGCTGTTCTTCGTCGTCATGCTGCAGAGTAATGTGAAGATCCACTAAGGATGGGAGCGATTTTAATGAAGGAATGATTTTGTCTATTGATTCTATAAGGTTGTTTGAGATGTCGAGTTTTTCTAATTTCCTTAACTGTGATAGATTTCTTGGAAGACTCTCAAGCCTATTTCCAAAAAGCAAGAGTTCTTGGAGCTCTGTGAATTGGGCTAGTAAAGGCAGTAAAGGGTCAAGAGCTTCAATTTCGCAAAATTCCAAGTTGATAGAATTGGTTTTGGGGTTTGTTTTTAATAAGTTGGGAAGGCCTTCCATTTAATTTAAGAATATGAATCTCCATGAATGAAGCAATTTTTAGAGATGGCTAAGATTAATTGATATTAGCTATTTAGAGTCCCTTGCGACGAGAAATAGAAGAAAAACCAATGCAACCCCAGTGTTCCAGTATCTGTTGACAAATATTTCTTTATTGATTGATTTCTCTTCATGAAGTTTTTTCTGGCTACTTTGATACTTTAAAGCATACCAAAACGTTTCAGGTCGCTTTGAAACATTAAAATAAATTTTTGGAGGAAAATATTCTTCTTGGCAATCTTGAGGTGGCTGGGCAAAGCAACTGTAAACAGAGTTATTTATTTCTCCTCCTTTCATTGAGATGACTCTATCCATCCTTTTCAAAAACCCAATCAAGTTTTCATATTTGGCTAATGAGTCCTTCACATTAACATTATTTCCAATATTATTCAGTTCTTCCATCAAATAAGCATAAACTACAATATCAGTGCTTCTTGGGAAATCTTTTCTCCCAGCTTTGCTGAAAAAGAAAGGTTTCTCCCCCAATTTTTGGCTTAAAATTTCATGAGCTTTTTCTGCTTGATAATAAGCGTCTCTTTTATTCACAATATTGTGCTGCCTTACGAGATATTCTCTAATATGCCTTTTTTCTTTTATGAAGCTTAATTTTTCAAAAGGCAGCTTCAGCAATCTTCAAAAGAAATTTCCTCTAGAATAGAAAAAGTTTTTGGATGTGTCTTCTTCCATCCATTTGGCATAGGTAGTTGCAGGGTGTAATTTGCTTATGCATTGCTCCTCAATCAGATCAGATTCAAGCTTTTCTTCTTCTGAAAAATCAAAATTACTATCAAATGTAATTTTGAGGAATGGAAGAATGTGGTCATTTGTGAAAAATGATTTATTAAATCTTAAAACTGGGAGATCGCCAAGGCCATTCCAGTAGTAATTTGAATTGATTTCTTGGAAGTTTTCGATTTCGTAGAGATCATGCCATAATTTGGTAATTTGGGTAATTGGATCGTAAATGTTTCCGTAAGAATATAGCACTATTTCTTCCATTTATTTAATACTGAAAAGATTCAAGGCCACAAAGAATTTATTTGTAGTTGCTTTAATTTTAAATGAAAACATAATCATCCTCTTATTCTTTATTCTAATACTCTGTTTAAAATTAAAATCTAAGGCCATCAGCTTTATGAGAATTGATTTTGATACGTAATTTAACTTCATGGTAAAGATTGGCTTGATTTCAATTATAAAATATATCCTGAGAAAAAATCGAGGTTTTTATTTTGATTTCGGAGTAAATCTTGTCTGATATGATTTATTATAAATCGGAGCGGAGATAGCACATGCTTTTATATATTTAAAGTAATGATTATTTCTAAAAGGCAATAAAGCTAAATTTCCCAAATAAATGATGACATCTCGTCTCATTAATTTCAAAAAATTCATAAATCATTTTTTATACCACAAAATGGTATAAAAATTCAGGTAATTTTTCAGTTATTAAAATGGGCTGTTGCTGCTTAAAAAATCAAAAGACACTACCAACACACAAACTAGATGAAAACACGAAAAACACTTCAATGATTCCTTTAAAATCTTCCACAAACCCGACCTCTCCTATAGCTTTAGACTTGCAAAATACAATAAAAGAATCCAAAAAACGAGAACTCACAGATGTTTACAATATAAAAAAAGTAATAGGTCAAGGAAGCTTTGGATTTGTTAGAAAAGGTCAGCATAAAAATCATCCAGATTTAATCGTTGCAATCAAAAGTATTGATAAATCCAAAATAAAAAACGAGTTGCGTTTATTAAAGCGAGAAGTGACAATTTTGCAAAGCATTGATCATCCTAATATCATAAAACTTTATGAAACATTTGATGATGCAAAATATTTTCACATTGTTATGGAATTTTGTTCAGGAGGAGAGTTATTTGAAAAAATAATTGAGCTTGGAGGAAAAATCAATGAGAAAAAGACTGCAGTATACATGAAAAAGATACTAAATCCACTGCAAATGCTTGATGATAGCCTACAATTTTTAAATAATATTGGTATCTTATAATGGGGTAAAATGAAAGGGATAAATTAAAATGCGTTTTGACCTATAAAATGACTGTAAATTTAATAATTGTTTTATTTATGCGTGAATAAAATCATGAAAAAACGGCAGAATTTTATAATTTCAGATATGCTTTTAAAATTTTTTGGGGCTTTTTATGGATAAAACAATTTTTATTTTATAGTAATTTTTACAGGTTTAAAATTTACTGTAATTTATTACTCAGAAATTTTTCATGTTAACTCCTTATAATTTCAAACAAATTAATAATTTTTTATGGTTTGATAATAATTCACAAAAAATCGATTATTAGAAAATCGAAAATAAACTAATATAATTTCTTAAGCGTTTTATAAATTCAAAGATTAAAAAGTGCTTGCAATTTATTGCATAGAGTAAGAGCAGTTAATCATCTTCATGAAGTAGGGGTGTGCCATAGAGACCTTAAACCTGAAAATTTTGTATTTGAAAATGACTCCCCTGATGCAGAACTCAAAATCATTGACTTTGGATTATCAAATAAATTCGGAAGCAAGTTTAAACATATTGTAAAGATGGAAAGCTTTGTAGGCACTCCTTACTATATAGCTCCAGAAGTTATAAAAGGGGATTATGGTCCAAAATGTGACATTTGAAGTGTAGGAGTTATAATGTATGTAATGCTCACAGGGCATGTTCCTTTTCCTGGTGATACCCAAGTAAAAATATTTAAGAATATAATGAAAGCCAAGCTCAAATTGGAAAATCCGATCTGGGATACCATAAGCGACGCAGCAAAAGATTTATTAAAGAGACTGCTTGTGGCAAATCCTCATCAAAGATTAAGTGCGGCTGAAGCCTTAAATCATCATTGGTTTAATGATCCATCAAAGCAAAAATTAGCATTAGATCCAAATATAATTTTGGCTTTGAGAAGTTATAAGCCGAAATCACAGATGCAAAGGGCAGCACTTGGTATTATCGTAAAATATTTATCTGTCGATCAAATTAAAGATTTAAGACAAGCATTCTATGATATTGATGTGAACCAAAAAGGAGAGCTAAACATACATGAAATTGATGAAGCTTTAAACAAATGTGGGATAAATTTACCGAAGACTCAGCTATCTGAACTTTTTAGGAATCTTGATTATAATGGAGCTGGGGTGATAAATTACTCACTCCCTCAAAGAATGGCAAAATCAATTTATCTATAATTATATGCATTTTTTCATACAATTCTTTTACGATAATAGAATTTGAAAAAAATCTTTCGGAGTTCATATTTTGCAAAGTATTATATAATTTTTATTTGAGAGCTATTAAATATAATTTTAAATCATTAATAGAAACAATTATACAAAATTTACCCAAAAAAAAAAAATTTTACAATTTTATAAAAGAAGTCAGAATTTTTATCTGCTACACTATCATCTAAAATTCAACTTGATGAGCATATGCTATGGATGGCTTTTAAAGTATTTGACAAAGAAGATCAAGGATTTATCACTGTTGATAATATACATGAAATCATGAACAAGATGGGTAAGCACGTCACTAAAGATCAAGTCAGGGAAATTCTTAATGAGGTTGATTTGCAGCACGATGGAGTCATCTGCTTTGATGAATTCAAAAAAATGCTGTCTGGTGCAAAGATTTAAATTTTGTTGTATATATACGTTACAGAAATATAGCATAAAGGCCATAAAACTCTTAAATTGGAAGCTTAATGTAAGAATATGCTATTTTTTAAATCAATTCATATATAAATTAATCCATACAGCTATCTGAATTTTGGAGAAAAACTATAACTCCTACCCCATCCATGGTCAAACAATACAAACATTCTATAAGGATAGGGGTTAAAAAATTATCTAGAATAAATTTATTTAATTTGATTAAGAATATTTTTCCCATAGAAAATATAGCATTATGTGCGAAAATATGAAGATACATACAAGAAGAAATAAAGATCAAACCTAAGTGAGACTGTAAATAAATTTCTCTCATCGATTCAAAAGAATAAACAAAAAGGTGATTCGTTAGCCTCTTGCTATAATTTTTGGTGGCACAGCTACAATTTTCGAAAAAAGCAAGACACTTTAAATTCTTTTATCTTCTAATAATTTTCATAAATAATATAAAATTTCAACACATTAAAGAAGATTAAAATTAATTTAAGATATCAATTCTTTTATTAAATAAATAAATAATCACTTATAATTTTCCTTTGCCCTGTGTAGCATTTCATTAATTTACCTTGTTGATTCCATAATAATTATTTGATTTATTTCAAATTCCATATTATTTTAATTCAAGAAAGTTCAATTACAAAATGAAAATTACAAAAATCTTGAATTCAATTGGAAAGGCTTTTTCGCTCTTCATAGGGCTTAGGGTCCATAAATTTTCCAAACAAGTTCAAATTATTAGAGAAAAATACGAATCAGTATTAAAACAATGTAATTTTGCTGTAAGTCATTCTAATCAAGCATACAAGCCTCGTGAAAAAACTATTCTTAGGAGACTTAGATTATTAACTGCTTCAAAAAATATTGATGACTTTAGAGCTATTTTGCATGAAACTGCTCATGGCCCTCAAGAAACGAAGCATAACAATATTACATATAGAAAAGCTCACAGAATTAGCATCCGAACTTATTTAGAAGCTGTTCATTCTATTATATCTGAAATTTATTCAGAATTTTCTTACAAGGAATTTGATATCAATACAACTCACTCGTCTATTATCCCTTCTGAAGACGAATCTGATCAAAGCCAATATTATATTTTATCCAATTAATAAAAAAAATTATATCAACAATTTTATTTTCCATCTTCCTTATTAAAAGAAGCATCTCTGCTAGATCCATTTCTACTTAAATATAACGCAGATAATATTCCGCTTTCAATATCATCAACAACTTTTTGATCTTCTAGGTCTTTATCAGGCAGAGTCTTTATTAGACTTTCTTGATCATTCTCAATTTCTATAACCAAGCATGAGATATCATCAATCATCACGTTTTCTTTTTTCGAAATTTCTATTCATCTTTTTCTTGCTTCTTCACAAAGAAGTCTAGAAATAGTTGCGTTGAGAGGAGTTATAGGGAATTCAGCTTTTAAACCTTTCCGATTTGATTGAGAGGAAAATTTTTCGAGATATGAAACTACTTCTTCATTGGTCATAACATCTCAGATTCCGTCGGAAGCTAAAACAATAAATTTATCGTTTATGTGGCGTGAGAATGATTGGATTATTGGTGTTGAAATGACACCTACAGAAGCTGCCAATTTATCGCCGATTGATCTTGACATTGCTAAGCCTGGTAATGTTAAGCCTTTTATTCAAACTCGATAAGGACCAAGATTTTGACCATTATTATATATCATTCTTTGTACACAGCCGCCTGATTCTGTAATTCTTTTTAATTCTAAATCATTATTCGGCTTTTGATCAACAGTTAAAGGAAGTGCTTGAAGCTTCTTTTTTGGTTTTGGAGAAGTCCCAATTATTGCTCTAGAATCCCCAACACTTGATACATGAATAGAATTTAAGCTTAAATACACAACAACAGCCGTTGTCCCAGAAAGGTTGGTATCAATTTTTGACGATTTGAGATCTTTATCGCATTTTACAATAATTTTCTCTACATATTTTTTTGGGTTTTGATGGATTTTTTCGAGTTTTAATTTGCAATAGGCTTCGATGTGCCTTTTGCAATGCTCTGCAACTCTTTTTCCATGCTTTCCATGGCCATCTAAAAGTACGGAAATAATGGAATTTGGGCTTGTAATGCAAAGAAAGTTGTCTTGGCATTCTTTGTTGTAGCATAGAGATGGATCCATTCCTGGTAAAACGCATCCAGTTATGAAGATTTCTTGGTTTTCAAAGCTGCAAAACTTAGAATATTCATGAACAGGAATCGATAACGGGCATGAAATTCTTTTTTTGTGTGTTTTTCTTGTAATGCTATCATGAAAAGGAATAATTACATCTATATTACTATGATAAATAGGCCTGCTGAACCGAAGTTCTGTATTGCTGCAACAAAGTCCCATATTGTTCAATTAAAATTGCAAAAAATCATTTTATTGCGTATTTTATCCTTCCAATCAATTGTTTATCAGAAAAAAGATATAGTGTTTTGGCGTTATTTCTGATCGGCTCCCACGAGCCAAAAATGGGTTTCCACGTGGAATTTCTGGATTTTCACGCGCGAAATCCATCTTTGGCTCTTGGGAGCCGATCAGAAATTCAAGCAAGGGACTATATTTATTAGCAGACCAAGAGAAACGAATCTTTATTGGTAAACATTTTTGTGAATTTAGGTTTAGCTTATTATTTAAATTGATAAATAGTTAAACAATCAAATAGAAGCCTTTATGAATCACAAATATATATGAAGTCTCTGCGATTTCTTATTAGTTTTATGCTAAAAATTTTGAAACTCTTGAAAACCTATATGCAATAAAAAGAGCCCCCAACCGGGTTTGAACCGGTGGCCTTTTGCTTACAAAGCAAATGCTCTGCCGACTGAGCTATAGAGGCTTGGAATAACTTCCAATAATCAGTATTTATATCTTAAAATTGATTAAATTCTAAAATAATTTTTTCTTTTGATCATCAAACTTTCATAACAAAATTTATCAAAATACATTTAGTCACTTTAAAAGCAAAATCTAATGTGCATTGAAGTTCATAATAGACTGGAAATATGGAAAATAATGATATCAGATAGCGATAAGCAGGCTAAAGCCCGGCAAATTATTGAAGAAAAGAAGAAATTGCTTGCAGAAAGAGTTCAAAAGGTAAATTTTATATAGCAAAATGAAGAAAGAAAAAAGCAAGAAAAGCAAAAAGAATTAGAAAAACAGAAAAAGCAACTTGAAAAATTTAAGAATGCGAAAGGGTGACAGCCAGCAAAGCAGAAAGAAATAGAAAAAGAAAACGTACAAGTGATAGAAATTGCAAAAATTGAAACTCTTCCACCATTTGTCCTGCACATGAAACCATTGATACCACCATTATCTGTAAATGAGGAGCCTCAAAAATCAATTACTCCTGATTCACAAATGAACTATGAAGAAGACTTCGAAGATGAAACACCTATAGAGTCATCTGATGAATTAAAAGAAGAAACCCCACTCAATTTTGAATCAGAGATTGTTGATGATCTGGAAGAATCGTCATTATGCAATTTTAAATGCTCTGAAACTGATTTTCCTAACTCACCTTTTAAAAATCTGTTTTAAATTAAGGGATTGTTATTATTTTTTTAAAAGTAATAAACAATTAATCATAATTTAAAATTATTAAAATAAAATATACACTGAATGTAATATTTTGAATTTTGATTAATTTTACCTATCGAATATCCAATTTAAAAATTAAAATTAAAGGGGATTTAAATTTTCAAAAAAAGGAAAATTTGCTGACATCTTGTTTCAATTTAGGGTAGTAAGCTAGAATCGGTAAATATAATAGAAGAACAACCAAAATCTTCATTCCATCTAACTCTTGAACCTTCGCCAACTAATAATACTCAGCCAACTTGTATTTCATCTAAAGATCCAATTCAATCTTTATCTGAAAAGCAAAAGGATTGGCATATAGAAATTACTAACCCCCCTCCCTTTAAATTGTAACAAAAAATTCTGTTCCAATTGAAACAAAGGATATAAATTGAACACAAATATTTTTGGATTTTAATTTATTTTATAAAGAATTAATTAAAAAAAACAATCGATTCAATGAGAAAACTCTTTTCATAATATTCTTCTTGCAATTTTTTCATTAAATTAGGTTAAAACTAAATTTTAAAAATTAGTATTTTCACCTATAAATTTTTCCTATTAAAAAATAAATTTTGTGGAAATTTTACCGATATTTTTGTTGCAATTTAAAGTTACGGGAGTGAGACTGAAAAGCTTATTATAAATGATAGTACCCCTGAAGCAACGAAGACATAAATAAAATAGTGGCATCACTGACCGTCCTATTCCAGACCTTTTCTACATATGAAGCCAAACTGAGCAAGAAAGAAAGCACTGTGCTTGGTATATGTGCTCCGTTGGGCTTTGCCTTTCCTCGTTCGTTAATTAGGAAAGCCGATCAAAGCTATAGGAATTGCCCGAGGATGGCGCTATCTTGCACCATCCTCGGGCAATTCAAAAAATGGCCCCACACCGGGAATCGAACCCACGTGTGGGGCCATTTTTGGTGCGTGTAAGTCGATGTTGGCCACACACCAAAAATGGCCCCACACGTGGGTTCGATTCCCGGTGTGGGGCCATTTTTGAATTGCCCGAGGATGGCGCAAGATAGCGCCATCCTCGGGCAATTGCTATATCTCTGCTGACAAACTTAGGGTGATTCGCCCGCAGCTAAGCAAGCCTTTTACGAAGATTTGGCTTGGGTATAAAATTACTAAAGGAGGCTAATCTTTAATAATACTCTCCTAATCCCTAAAGCAGAATATGAAAAGCAAGAAAAACTATCAAAAGTTGAAGAAATACCAAATAATGATAAAATTAATGATATTTTTACTATAGAAGAGCCAGTAACTATAGTTGATCACACTGCGTATTTCCCTGAAGCTCCAATGCTTATGAATTTCAATACTTTTGGTGAAAACTTTTATTCAAAAAAAAATAAAAGCCGCTATGGCATCGAAATTACTCCAGAATTGAGAAACCAAGAAAATATTGAATCAACTCCAAACGAAATTGATGTATTAATTGATGATTTAGAAAATGAAAATGCTAGAATAGATGAAGATATCAATGTTCTGATTGGTGATCTCACACAAGTTCAAGAAGATAACTCTGATTTGAAGCCTAAAAAAGGCGAGCTAATACTCATTGATTACGATGCTGACGAGAAAAAGAAAGAAAAATTTGAACTATTTAAGAAGAAAAAAGAGATTAAAAATGAGAGAGAAAGAAAAAACTGAAACCAAGCTATCCCAGTGCCAATTTCGCAACAAACTTCGAATAGCCCCAAGCCACAAAAACGAGTAATAGAAACTAAAATTGATTCTAAAGACCATTCTCCAAGAGAAAACATAAAGCATAACCAAAATCAACTAACTGCTTGCATTCAAAAAGCTACTAGAAAAGTCTCAAGCTGCATAGAAGCCAAAAATGACTCTAATGAGCATTCTCCTAGAAGAGTCATACAAAACCCAGAAAACCAGCTTAATGCTTTTATCCCAAGAACTAAAAAAAGTACCAGTCCAAACATTAGTCCAAAACCCAATAAAAAGCAAGAATCTTCTAATTTAAAAAGTGAAAATATAGTCTCACCTCAACCTCCTGAGCAGCCAAAATCTCGTGCGCTAACTGAAGAAGCAAAGCAAGCAATTGCTTCAAAATACAGGCGACATAAAAATCTTCCAAATTTAGTCTATAATAAGCCCACAAATAGAAAACTTATTAAAAAGGCAATCACACAAGTATGTTGTGCAGGTGAGCCAAATCGAGCTCTTCGAGAAGAAGCGATTGAAGTGATTGACAAAAATGAAGAAGTTAGCTATTTTATAATTGTTTTCAAAAGCGAACTCGGTAGAAGAGATTTAAGGGCTATTTATTCACATGACCCTAATAATGGTGACGTCAAGAAAATTTATGGCCCAGCAACAATGCCAGAACAACTCAACAGTGGTATGGTTAAGGGATATTTTAGATTTGATTCAGGATCCAATGAGTTTAAACCTATAGAATGCAAAGATTTTATTACGGGCACTGATGCAATTGTTCTAAAAATTAATCCAAAAATTTATTAAATCATTTCTAGAATTCTTGCTAGCATATTTTTATGTCATCTTTTCTTTATAATAATTATCTGATGATATTGGATAGACAGCATTTACGGTTTCTCGCATTGACAATATGCATTTTTTTGATTATTAGAGGAATTTCTATTCAAAACTTCAAGTTTTTCTTATATCTCACTCATTGGGCACTTATTGTCAAAACTTTGACTTTCTTATGCATTTTTAGAGGACTTGGTAGCGATAATTTCAGGAAAAATTTGCTAGTAATTGCATGGACTTCTGGAATAAATGTGACAATAATATATTGGACATATGCCTACCCTCTAATGGTTTCTCCTGATTTTGAGCTATGGCATCTCTTGTTAACTCACGGAGGTATATGCCTTTTTTTGATTCCTGAAATTATGACTTGTCCTTTTACCCTTTCAAATAAAGACTTCTTAGGGCCAGCTTGTGTAGCAATTATCTATATAAGTTGTGTTTTAATACCATGTGCCTATTTTGGCATGATACTATACCCAGGTTTGACTTTTACGAATTTTCTTAGCTTTATCGTTGTATTGGCGAATCTTCTTGTCTCATTCGGAGCATTTTCGATAGGTAAATATGTTAGCTGGAGATTCAAAATTAGACCAATAGAGCTAAAAAAGGTTGAATAAGATTATTATAACAATATTTAGTTAATAAGTTTTAGAAATCTAATTTATATGGAAAATTATTTAGGCTCAAATTTGAAACTTGGAGAAAGTGAAGTCACAACATCAGAGCTTAAAAACAAAGGAATGGTTTTACTTTATTTTTCAGCTTCATGGTCATATCCTTGCAGACGATTTACTTCAATTTTGAAAGAATTTTATGAAAAAGTGAATAAGGTAGATAGAGAAATTGAGATCGTTTTTATAAGCTGCGATCTTAATGAAGAGCAATTCAATGAGTACTATGGAACTATGCCATGATACGCTTTACCTTTTGAAGAGCAAGGAATTAAGGATATCGTGACAAGACATTATGAAGTTTCAGGGATTCCTCAGTTAATATTAGTTAATGAGTGTGGAGGAGTTGTGAGCGATTCGTGCAGGCTAGATATTATGAGTAAAGATTCTAGTGATTGCATTTTATATTGAAGAGATAAAATTCAATCTCGATCCAGTATTATGATGCTTTAATATAACTAAAATATATATTTTCTGGCTAACCAAATTTAAGAATGGCAAGCCAAAAAATGTTCCTTACTCCCCCCCTCTCCGTGAGTGGACAAAACCATAAAAATTTTTTATGAGAAAAAAAAATTGATATATAAATGATAATTATTTTAATGAAATCTAGAGCTAATTCTGTTTAATTTTAAACGAATTGCTTTTTAAAACATAAATTTTATAAATTAAATTAATATTTGCTTTCCAATTTTTTCGAATTAGGATTTTTTTAAATTTCGAAAACAATTTTTTTATAAAATTTGTATATATAATTTTTTAAAAAAAAAAATTAACCCCCCTCCGTGAGTGAACAAAATTTTTTTGTTCACTCACGGGGGGGGGAGTTAGTGGGTTATTCTTGGCAAACAGGTATATATTCTTTTTAAAAATAACTCTGAGCAAGAAAAGATTTCTAAACATAATATTAATATCGTTGAAATAGATTTTATTAAGTGCCAAATTTTCTCAATTAATTTCATGAGAAGCTGTTGAATTAAAAATCTACATCTAAATTTTGAAGAGTTATATAGAGAACTGGCTGCTAAAATTTTCTCACGCTCAGCGCTATTGGCCTAGAGCAATCGAGCTTTTTAGTTCATAGCACTCAATAATTATAGCATCATGTCATATTCACATTATATTCAAAGAATTTAATGAATATAGCACGACACATTTATTACGCATTAAATAATATATATTAGTTTATGAATCTAATAGATATATATTTTCTATACAAACAAGTGTTTTTATGAAAAAATGCTTTTTGAACTGATGAAAAATGAATATTAATCGAAAATAAAAAATGTAGTTCTTCTTCTTCTACCTCAAAAAAGAGTAGAAATCTAAGACAAACTATTTTAATCATGCTTAATAAATTGATTAATAATGAATCTGCATAATAAGGCATTTAACAAAACATTAATACTCAGTTAAAATTAATACTTTCAATATTATATCCCCATATCTTTAGACATTTCTCTTTGCTGATAAAACTCGAAATGCTTGATCTTCATGTGCTGATTTAAAGATCCTTCAGAACTGAATAGCTCTTACCCATAAGATTTCGGGCACAGGTAGCAGCGATAGTGCCTATCAATCTGTTTTGCAAGCCTTCTAGTCCTCTGAGCTTTCACTGGTGACCTTACGTGCTTTATAGCTGGCTGTTGGCGTTCTAAGCCTTGGATTTCTTTTTGCAGTCTATCAATATCAGCTAACAAAGTTTGGAGCTCAGCTGTTTGAATTTCATTTTCTCCCAAAAGCTTTTTGTATTCTTCTCTGTAATCTTTGCCAAATTCTCGAGGAGGAGCCTGTGACATTGAAGGAGGCTGAGTAAACATCGGAATTACGAAAAACGGGGTCCCACCTATCTCTTGGATTTGAATGTTTTTTATTGAAGAAATCATATTCCCTGTTGGTAAAAAACTTTTTCTAACTCCTCCCCCCCCAATTAATAGCGGACGAAAAAATCGTCCGCTATTAAATGGGTCATAACTTAAAAAGTTTGATATTTTATATATATTTTTCTATTTAAAATTTTTTATAAAAGGTCTGAAAAAAAATGCATTTTTAAGTCAAAAGAGTAGCACTAAATCTAATAAAATGGAGTTGAATGGAGAAACCAGAAAGAGAAAAGACTAACAACTGGTGATAAGCTAGTTATTGCACAATTCTTGGTCACAAAAACAGCGATCTTTGCGCTTAGACCTCTCGCCTTGAGATCCCAAGACATAGCTGGGCCAATTCCTGGCTCCAAAAACCATGCTCGGATATACAAAGGTAACCGTCTCAAGAGGACGGGTCAGAAGTCATCCGCCATTTTATGTATATTAGTAAATTTATAATGAACGATTATCTTATATAAATTTAAAATTTTTTATAGTAAAAAATTTTCCGTTATTAAATGGTACCTAAGGGTCCATTTTTAGGGAAAAAAACCCATTGATTTCGTCCGCTATTAATTGGGGGGAGTAAATAAAATATTACTCTTCCATCAAAAAATTATCATTAAACTATTAAAGAATTCGAATTATCGTCAAATTTAGTCTAAAAACTAAAGATTTATAGTTATTTATGGCATCACTTACAAGAGGACGTACGGATGATGCTAAAAAAGAGCAAGAGCAGAGGAGGATTTTGTTAACGCTTTGTGCGAGATATATACAATCTGCTGGATATCCTGAAGCATCTGCGAAACTTATTCATGACTCAGGGATAAGCCTAGAGAAGTTTGATGTGGCGGATAACATTGACCTTGCAATTATTGTGAAAGAATATGAAGAGTATTATCAAATTAAATATAATAAGCCACCCAAATTCATAAAGAAGCTGGATTTTGTTGAAGAGAAAAAAATAAGCAGACCTTTACCGCAGAGAAATAAAACAGGTGTGACGTCCAAAAATTCGAATAGAGAACCTTCTTCAGATAGTCGAAATGAAAGCCTAGAACTTTCAGGAAAAGCTATTACAGTAATAAATATTTAGAAACCTCAAGTATTTTTTATTTAGGAACCTGAAGTGGAGTCTAATAACGATTTTTATGAAAATCGTCTACTGAAACCTCTCCCTGATTATTCTGCTGAATATAAAGATCTAGCCACTTCAATCTATAGAGATATTTGCCAATATAATCCAAACGTTAACTTTTCTGATATTATTGGCCTTGCAGAAGCTAAAAGGCTACTGAAAGAAGCTGTACTAATGCCAATGAAATATCCACATTTATTCACTGGATTACTAGAACCATGAAAAGGAATTCTCCTCTTTGGTCCTCCTGGAACTGGCAAAACAATGCTCGCCAAAGCTGTAGCCTCTGAGTGCCGCACAACATTTTTCAACATTTCTGCATCCTCAATTGTCAGCAAATGAAGAGGGGACTCAGAAAAACTCGTCAGAGTTTTATTTGAGCTTGCAAGGTACTATGAGCCTTCCACAATCTTTATCGACGAAATAGACAGCATAATGAGCCAAAGAGATTCAGGAGACCATGAAGGGAGCAGAAGAATGAAAACTGAGCTTCTAGTGCAGCTTGACGGGCTAGTTAAGACGAAAGAAAGGATCTTTTTGCTTGCTGCAAGCAATCTTCCTTGGGATCTTGATTCTGCACTTTTGAGGAGACTGGAAAAAAGGGTGATCTTTATTTAGATTTTAGTGCCGCTTCCTACACTTGAGGCGAGAGAGCAGCTTTTGTTGAGTTTGGTTCCACCGAATAAAAGCCAAGGGGTGGATTATGGAGAATTTGCAAGAAGAATTGAAGGGTACTCTGGATCAGATATAAAACTATTGTGTAAAGAAGCAGCGATGAAGCCAATTAGGAGACTGATGGGAGTTATAGAAATTATGGATGAAAATGTGACGATGAATTGGCACAAGCCGGCTGACCCATCTTCAATTCCTACCCCAGGGCCTGTAACGAGCAGAGATTTCGATGATGCGCTGGAAACGACAAAAATTTCTTCTTCTTTGCCTTTGCAAGCATATGAAAAATGGTATAGTGAATATGGATCAACATAATATCGTTATATTTTATTAAATTTAATATAAATCAGCAATTAATTTTCATTTTTTGAGATTATCTAATGCTTGGATATTTTAAATGAAGATTTATTAAGCTTCTATTGGCAGTTTATATATTTTTCCGGTTTGGTAAGCTTCTTATTTTTGCCCATCTTAAAATGGCATAGTTTTATTTCATTTTATTATGGTCTCATTTACCGATGAATTTGTTCAGTTATACAAAAAACATATAGCTTAGCCTTATGATTAGACCATTATACCCTAATATTTATTTGATATATATAAATTATAAGAAAATTGAAATTTGACAGAAAATGAAAGATGATATCAGATTTTTAATTAGTTAGAATAAAAAGAAACTCTATCTGGATATTATAGAAAAATACTTTTTTGCTGCATGAGAACTTTTAAGTTGGCTGATATCAGACTTATGTTGTTTTATATCTTGATTTTGCAGCATTAGATGCACAAATAATGTAATTTCTGTTGCGCTTTTTAAGCCTTATAATTCCGCCATCTTTTTAATCTCCTCTTTATAAAAATTGGATTGAGATTATGAAAAGATTTCTCCACACTATTCTCTCTTGGTTAGCAACTTCAAAGCATTATTTGGTTCTTATTATTGAAAGAGCTTGCCCAATTCAAATTATTTTTACTTCTTTTCATATAAATTTTCTAAGAGTGTAATTCACTTTTATATATTATAAAATTGAAATTAAAATAGTTATCTATAAGTTTGTCTCAAGAAAATATAAATTAAAAATGACAATTAAAATTGATGAAATAGCTGCATATTGATTAAGAAATTCTGTGAATCCATAAATAAAAAAATGGGATGTGGATTGCCTAAAGGTAAAGTTTCAGAAGATGATGATACTTCTATTGTAAGAGATATTATGACATCTGATAAATCTATGAATAGAATTAAAAATCAGTTCGATTTTAATGCTCGTGGAAGAGTATACAGAATTGTCGTGAGCCACGCGAAGACTCCGGAAAATTCGCAAGTATTTTAAATTGAGAGAGTTTCTCTACCATTGCTAAATAATTCAACTTTAATTAATACAGTTTAAATTATATCGATTGAATTTGAAATTTTGACTTCGCCATCTATCTGCTGAATTGCAGATAAAACTGTTAGCATGATACTAAAAATATCCAGGCAAAAGATTTTAATTCATAAGCAACACACAAATAGAAAAGTATTTCTCTGAAAGAAAATAAATCTAATCTTTATCTTGAACTTTTTATCAGCGCCAATAAATTGCGATAGGTTTATTTATTAAAAATAATACTTTTTATTACATAAAATATAATTTTACGATTAATTAAGGCTTAGTGTTTTGGCTAAGTATTTTCAAAAAGTAAATTGATATCTTAATTAATGCTTTATTCTCTTAGTTGTATTATACTCTGCTAAATTTTCCATAGAATTTTCGAAAAATGTCATTTAAATCTGAACTAGTTTGAATTTGGTTAGGCGATATCCAATTAAATATATATCATCATTTATTGGAGTTCTAAACAAATGAAGATAGCTTTAAAGGAAATAGAAGCTTGTAAGCGAAAAAAATCGAGTAGCAGTATAAACTTATTCAGAAAACGGCACTATTAAAAATGAAATTAATGTTAATATCAATCTTTTCACGCTATCTGGGGGTAGAGATAGACTCCTCATGGATTTTTATTAATTCGGTTTTGTTGAAATTTTCGATTTCACTGGACTGTTCTAAGGCTTGCTTCCTCTGCTCAGTGGAATCAGCTCGATCAGTTCTATATATTTCCTTTTTCGATTGTGACCTTCCATGATCTCTTCTAAGAGGTTCCTATTCGAAAATTACTTGGAATACTACAATAAACTTTATACAAAAATTTATCCATGACTGGTCTTTTTTTGATAGTTTTAATCCTAAAATCTTTCATTGTAGGTGTTATATTAGGCCCAGTATTTAGCTGTTTTATTGACTTATTTTTATTTGAATCTTCTATCATAGATACTGAGTTTTCTTCTATAATTTCCAGTCCGCCCTCCAGCTTAATTTTATTTTCTTTGTTAGCTTCTTTGATTTCATTTCTCTTTTTAATTTCTTCAGATTGCTTTAATATTTCTTCTTTTCTTGCATGAAACTCCAAATTTTTCCTTAAAAGTTCTTCTTCTAGCTTCTGTTTGAGCTGCAACTTCTTTTCTCTCTCCTGCTCAGCCTTCACTTTGAATCATTCTTCTAATGCTTTTTTCCTTTTTTCTTCAAGTTCTTTCCTTCTCTCTGCTTCCTCTCTTTTCAAATCTTCCACCTTCTGTTTCTGCTTTATTTTTTCATTCCTTTTCGCTTCTTCTAACCTCTGAGCTTTTTCCAACAAAAGCGCCCTTTTAGTCTGGTCAAATTTTTCATCTTTTTCTTTTACTTTTTTGCTTTCAACTGTCTTTTGCCTCCTAATTTCTTCAAATCGTTTAATAGCATATTCTTCTACTTTTATTTTTTTCTCTTCGTTAAGTCTATCTTCTAATTCTTTTTGCTTTATTTTTTCTTCTAACTCAAGCTGTTTTTTGCGCTTTTCTGACTCTACTAATCTATTATAGTCTTCTCTTCTTTCATTACAGTAATCTTTGATTTCAGATAAACTTTGCTGTAGAAAATTAGGATCTGACAAAATTGAAGGGAATTTTACTAGCTCTGATAAGCTTTGAAGTTCTGTGATGCTTGATCGCTTTTTTGAGCCTTTTGGAGAAGATAAAGGGTTTTCAATCCTTTTTTCTTCTCCAAGAAGAGTTTCTAGCACACTTATTTGTAGATCCCAGTCAGGTAGACTGAATTCAGCTTTTAAGTGTTTATCTATCATTTCACTTTTGTTTTCTTCAGACTCATTTTTCAGCTTATAAAGACACATCAAAATGCCTTCACATATTATTTTAGCTCTGATCCAATTATGATCCCTTGTTTTCCCTGGTATATACACTTTCTTGGTAGAGTGGGTGCTAATTACAAAAATTGCTTTTAAAGCTGCTTCAGTCGCACTTTCATCTATATTTTTATTGTAAACTAAATTTATCAGATTTTCGCATAAACCAATTTTTATCATCTCTTTTCGAAAAGTGGTATCCTGGCACCCCACGGCAAGACTATTTAATGCACCAACTTGAATATTTTTTGGCACATTTTCAGATATACATAAATTCATTAAACTTTGAATATGATTATAAGCAATTAAAGCTCCTAAACCAACACTTGATACCAGTAAGTTCAAAGCTTGTAAGCTTGTGTTTATTTGCTCCTCTGACATTAATTCCCAATTGTTTAGTTGGCTCATTAATCTTGAAGTAACAGTTGCAAAGTCGACAATGTCTTTGATGTAGGTAGAATCCAAGAGATCTTTAATAGTGTTTAAGGTGTCTCTTGCAACGATCTTCGTGCTTTGCTGTTGAATTTGCTGCTGTTCAATAGCAGCTTGCTCTGATTCTGGCTTCTGAGGAATTGCTTTACACATCGGAGATTGAGCTAGTTCAGAAAAAGGATAAATTGGGACTGAATAATGCTGCCTTTGGTTTACTGAATTTCCTTCAGGCGAAAAAGTTGATCCTGCTTCACAATAAAGAAGCTCATAATCATTTTCAGTTCTTGTCCTCGGATTTTTCGGAGGAATATGAGCATCCACTGTAATTGCTAACAAGTCATCAAGCATTTTAGGAAGCAAACCTTCAATATATTCATTCGGAACTCCTAGATATGGATTTGTATTGACTTCAATTAGCCATACCCTGAAATCTTCATCAATCAAAAAGTCAAACCCAAACAACTCGAAAACAAGCTTTCTTTTCCCTGAGTGCATTTCTTTTTTTCCGCTCAAGTATGAATCGACCATCAAGTCTTTTATTCTTGGAAGAATGTGCTCCCAAAAATTGATATGCAATTGAGGAAAAGTTTCATCTAAATACTCTTGAAATGCTTGGAAGCTCAAGGTATTTCCTTCTTCATGGACTCCATAGTTTTCTCCGTATTTCTGTAAACAGTTGTTAGTTAAATGGATGAAATTGTCCTTGCCTTGAGTGTCATATTCTGAGCTTGAAGTCCTTAAATACCCATGTCTGTAATAGAAAAACTCATATTTCGCTGTCCCTACAGCCCATACTCTTATATCAAATTTTCTCCCTTTAAATAATAAAGGTCTTTCAATATATTTTTGTATAAGCCAAATTGTATGCATCTGCTTGCTTTTTAATATCGATTTTATTTCTTTCAGATTTCTGCATATCTCAATCCCTTTGCCTTGGTTTAAATGAGCAGGCTTGATCAGCCACATATTTTTCTCACAGTGCTTTATAGGCGTTCTTTCTTTATAAGAAGTTAAATTTTGAATTTCATGATACCTTGCTTGGAATTGTCTATATTCTGAATCTTCAACTTGGGCTGTTATAATAAAAGATGTAGCAATTGTATCGTGGACATTGTAGCCAGCAGAAATAGCCTGCTCATTAGTTGAATAAAATTGGCGAAGGGAACGAATCAACCCAGGCTTTGTTGTAATAACTCGATTGTTTTCAAGGTGATTATGGATCATAGGCCCAAAGCCTTGACGGTGGATTTGATCTAGCTGACTATAAGCCTAAGTAAAGAGTACTCTGACTGATAATATGGTGGGTTTTCAAATGAAATTGAGTTTTAACTCTGAAGCTTCTTGTTCGGATACTTCTACTCAGTTTCCTCGCTTCTCGAGGAGAGGGCGTAAGAAGAGACGGCTGTTGTTACCTTGATAGACATAATATTTATTCATGATTTTAAATTTTATAAACTCTCACTTTAGTGTGAGCAAATCTTTCAAAAAATCCTTCTTTTACAAATTAGCCTTTTTACGCGAGCAAGCAAAAAACATTTTTATATAAAATTTGTAAAAAAATATTTTTATAATGAACTCTATTAAATTTTAAATTTCATAAATATATAATTTCTAAAATAAAAAATTAGCCCGCTATGAACAAGCAAAATTATATTTGCTCAATATGGTGAAGCAAGAACTTTTGAAAGAAAATTATGAGATTTGCCATAATGGTATGTATGAAAAAGGACAGAAATTTTAAGATGGAAAAGAAAAAATTATCAGTTAGATAATTTTTAATTCAAATATGCTAATTAAAGCGCTTGAAATCCATTTAAATGACTATAAAATTAAAAAATAGCTTAATCTTTTCCCTTAATAAATGATTAAGACATTTTGCTATTTTAAAAGAATAGGCTAATATTTATTGGATAGCAATTAAGAATTAATGAAATTAACTAGAATTTAAAATATAGCAAAATAATTATAAACGATATTAAAAAATTCTCGCTAAATCATAGTAATCATCATTTTTAAAATAATTTTTATTATATCGATCACGGGAAGAGAGAGGAGTTAAGTTATTGAAAATATTCATCTAATATTCTGTTTTTTAAGTTTTCCTTTAAAAATTGCAAGTTTACATCTTAATACTTAATATTTATTTCAAATTAAAATTAAAAAATCTATTTATAGCTCTATATAATTGGTTGAGATGAGTTTTTATTTTTTTAATAACATGATTCAACAAATGCTCATTTAAATTTTAAAATTTTGCATAATTAATATTAATATTTAATTACGAGGGGGCGATTTGGGTTCAATTTCTTGAACAAATTCTCTGTAACTGACTTTACCATCTTTATCTTTATCATACCTGCTCAGCAAAGCCATTAAGTCCTTCTCAGTCGGATAAATACCATTTTCATGAAGCATTTTCCTAAACCCATCAATCGAAATTGACCCATTATGAGTTTTATCTAGTTTCAAAAACAAAGAATGAATATTAACGCTTGGATTATTAGCAATCCTTTGTCTAATTATTTCTGATGCATTTTCAATATCAAAAATTTTCTTAAAAACTCTCGCTAATAACTCTTGCGTCTCAATAGACAAAGCGCATTTTCTTCTTGAAAACTTCACCCCTGATGGAGCTCTGCTATTAAGAAGTTTCGAATATTCCGACTGCCTGGGTGTTAGCATATCACATAAATCAGAATATGTCAGTTTGCCATCACAGTCTTTATCATAGTGTCTAAACAATAAATAAAGCTCATTTTGCCGAGAATATACATTTAAGCTTCTAAGTTCTGAATCAAGCTGAAGCTCAGAGATGTGCCCTTTAGAAGTCGGACTTTCAAGCATCCTAAATGCATCAGCAATTGTGAAATCGGCTCTTAAGGCTAATTCCTGCCTCATATTTTCTAGTTCTTTATCGAGTGTTATTTGTTCACCAAATGTTTTTGCTAGCTCGGTTATATCATAGTCAGATGTACTTTCTCTTGACATTGATGACCGTGTAGACAATGAGGAGTCTTTTTTAAGGGCTGATTTTAGCTTTCTAGGAGGACTTTGACTTCTTGGCTCTGCAAACGTAGTTTTCTTTGTATCAGAGCTTATGGAAGACCTGAAGGATTTATATGGAGATGGGGACATTGAGTAATTTGATTTTCCTGAAAGATAAGTAGAGCTGCAAAGTCCTATTTTAGAAAAAGGCTCAGAAGGCATTATTGAATCAACAAACTCTGAATAACTCACCCTTGAGTCTCCATTTTTATCAATTCTCCTCATAATTGACTCCATGATTTCTCTGCTGGGCTTATACCCATTTCTTTCTAAAAACCTCTCCAAAGACCCAATCGTCAAATAAGACAGTTTTGCGTCATCAACTAATTGGAAGCATTGCAAAAGATTGAAGTCCGGCATCCTTTCTAAATCTTGCCTAAAGTTTTCAACCCTTCTTAAATAAGAAATTTCCCTCTCGAGAACCCTCATAAGTGCATATTCAATTTCATATGACAATTCGTTAGGATGAAATCCCATTCTTCTTGATGCTAAAATTGCTAAATTTTGGTTTTGAGATGGTAGCATCCATTTTTGAAAGTCTCCATAAGAAAGCAATCCGTCAGAGTTTGAGTCTCATTCTCTTATCAATAGATAACTTTCTCGCTCTGTAGGTCTAAAATTGTTTCTTCTTAAAAATTCGAGGAGATCTGTGCTGGTAAGAAAACCATTCCCAAATCGATCTAAACTTCGAAAAGTACTGAAAGGCTCAAATGTGCGGATTTCTGAGAGAACTTGGCGGACGACTTCGATATCTTGGTCTCCTTCGCCGATGTTTATTAAGATATTTGCAAGTCTTTCTTCAGTTTCTTGGCTTAACATTTTCAGATATCGTTAATAATTAAATAATGAGAAATTCAGCAAATTTGCATAAAAGTGTCGATAATAGTCATAAGTGTTTCAGTTTAAGGTCTTAACCAGTTTTAAGTCGAAATTAAGATCACTTATGCCTAATAATCAGTTATGCAGCTGCAAACGATCTGCAGCTTGTCTTAATTAAATATATCAAATTAATTCAACAATAAAGCGAAATAAGATAAACCTTTTCATTATATTTTATTTCATATTTGATATAAGATTAGATTAGATTAGATTAACGATGTGTATTTAAGGTCCCTGCTTCCATGCGTGACATTCCTCCGCGCTCCGCGAGGAGCCGTGCTGGCACGAGCGAAAAGGATGGACTTCCATCACTGGTTCTCTGAGCCCAGGCCGAAACCCCTGGTTTCTCGGTAGTGGGTTGCCCTATGGGTCGTCAGCCGACTGTCGCCGGGCACCACCATTTCCAACTCAGCCTTCCGCCCCGAGTTACGCCAGTCTTTGTCTCCGGTTGGCCAGGCCGTCCTTCTTATAAGGACCCTTTTAAACTGGAGAGACCGCCTTGTTGTCTAATCTGCCTCCCTTTTTCCCAGCTTATCCGCTTGAGAAAATCTCAATCGCTTCCGCGATCGGGGCAGACCACAGTAGCAGCTTGAGCAGGTAATTCACCCTGCTCCATTTCGGGCACCCACTGGCTTGGGCGCTGCTGGAAAAAGAAGATGCTCCTAACTGCCCTAGGATCTGGCCACGATCAGCGGGTCTGTGTACTCCCCTGGTCGCCACCAGGGTCCAGATATTGCTGGGCTAAGTCGCTTCTCCTGAAAACCATGCCCGGATATACATGGGTTACCGTCACTGGGAGGACGGGTCGGACGTCATACGCCATTTTATGTATATATTTGATATAAGATAATTGTAATAAAATGAATCAAGCTTTTCAAACTGGTTTTCCTCAGCAGCCACAAAGCTACCAACAATTTTATACAAACCCATCTAAAGGCTCATTTCCAGGAATCACAAAAGAAGAAATCAAGCTTTACCAAGAAGGATTCAAAAATATGTGCGGAAATAAAGGGCATTTGTCTGGCAAAGAAGGCCGAGATATTTTGATGAAAACACAACTTCCTGTACCTACATTAAGGAAAATTTGGGAATTATCTGATCCATTGGCTACTGGGATAATGAAAGAAGAGCAATTTATTATTGCAATGCATATAATAGCAAATGTAAGATCAAAAGGGTACGAAGTGCCTGATGCTCTCCCTGACTCACTAAAGCGGCTAGTTTATAAAAATGAAGATTCATCTCCTTTATCTCCACCGCCACCTCCTCCTCCATTCAAAGAAAAGCCTAAACCAGAAAAGCCTCCTTCTCCAAAGCCAGCACCTAAAGTCATAGAATTCACATTTCCAAGTATGGATCAATTTACTGTAAACCAGCCCCCTGCTCCACCACAGCCAAAAGTTCAGAAGCACTCCAAAAATAGCTCAATAAGATCATATGAAGATGTCCCTCGACCAGAAGAAGTCTCTATGCCAAAAGACCACATGGTGGCAGAACAGCTTGAAAAAATAATAAAAGAAAAAGAAATAATGATCAAAAACAAAAATGACTGACTAGCAAATCTAAAAGATATGGCTGAATATGATAAAAATGAGCTAGATCTTTATAAACAAAAAAATAAGCAGTTAGAAAATAAGATTAGAGAGCAAGAAGGCACACACACAAAAATGCAAAATGAGCTGTTTAGTGCAAAAATTAAATTTGAGGACAATATCAAAAAGAAGGATGATGAGCTGACTGAAATAAAAAACCAATTAGCCCAGCTGCAAGAAATCAATAAACAGCTGATGGAAAGGAAAACTGTCTCACAGCTGAAAGAACAATATGAAAATTATGCAGCAAGGCAAGAAAGTAAAGCTGAAAAACCAAAGTTTGAAAATAAGTCTGAAAATATAGCTGTTGAGAAGAAAGTGGAAGCTTTTAATTTTAATGCTCCAAATGAAAAATTTAATTTTTCTCAAAAAGATAATACCAATACAATTGAAAGTAAAAATGAAAATTTTGAGTTTAATGGGAAAGCAAAATTTGAAACAGAAGTGAAAGAAATTAAACCAATCCAAGCAGCAGTAGAAGATAAATCAATCAAGCCTGGTTTTCAATTCGAATTTTCAACGAATGAAAGGAAAATTGAGCCCTCTGCCTTGAACTTACCATCAATTGAAAAATTTGATTTCGAAATTAGATTAGATTAAGCTCTTCGTCTTCACAGGCCGGATTTCCAGCCCTACATGCTCATCGTCCCTGCAGACACACTTTTTCTCGCTGCAGACAACAAGCGATTCACACGGCCGGTATTGAATTCTATGACTCCTGGAGTCTATGGGCCCACCACCTGGGTCGAAATTTTCAGTTTATCGTTAGGCAGATACCACCACTTGAGCCATGTTCGAGGGATTTATCTTTCACTCGGGGCTTTTGCTGGTCCTGCCCTCTCCAATGAAGGTCTCAAAGGCAAAAATTCAAAGCCCCAGGGATTAGCATCCTAGGACCCGAGATAAATCTGGCCCGATATACACAAAGAATTCCTGGCCTCGCTCTGCCCTCCTCATTCACCATGGCAGGCGTTGAAGAAAAAGTGTCAGGAGGCCTGGCGGTCTGTTGTGACATTTTTATGTATTTGATTTCGAAGTTAAAGCCCCTATCAAAGAAAACAAGGTAATGCAAAAGCAAACTCACATACCAGAACCTCAGAAAACGGCAGAATCACCAAAAATAAAAATAGAGCCTGATGATTTTACAGTGTATATTTTTGCTTTCTGGACTTTTGACTAATATGAGATTTAAACTACCCTATTCTAAGTTGAAACAAATATATGGGTAAAATTTCAATTTTTAGGTAAATTAACCTTCTTTATGCTTGTCCAAAATTTTAATTCTTATTTAGCATCGGTAAATCGAAAATTTGCCTCTAATTTATTCTATTTAAAGAATTAATGCTATTTAAACAAGCTAATCCCTCCTTTAAATTGGAACAAAAATTTCTGTTTTAATTTAAAGCGGGGTTAATTGTCCAAAAAATGAAAATTTTCCTATAGCATATTCCAATTTAAAGTGGGTAGTAAAACACTTAAGAACAAATGTCTGAAGGTAAAAATTGCCAAATTATATTCGATAAATCTAACTTTCAAAAAGTGCAGAGCGAATAACTCGCAGCCATTTTTACAGCTTTTCAAGAAATTCCAAATAAAAAGCCGGATCTTCCAAACTTTGATTTTAACCCTCAGGCTCTTTCATTTGAAGATAAGTCTATTATGCCTCCAAATATTGATAAAAAGATTGAACCAAATTCATTTCAGTTTGAACCTCCAAAGCCAGCTTTAAAATCTGAAGGATTTGGATTTGACTTCACAAATGCGCAGAAAATAGAAAATAAAATTACTCCAATGTTTGATTTTAATATGGACATAACAAAGCTTGAAAATAAAAAGCCTGTCCCTGCCAAAGAAACTAGTATTTTTGATTTCCCAAAAGACGCCTTGGTCCAAAGAGCTACTCCAGTTATTGAGCAGCCAAAAAATGATCCAAATCCTACTATTGAAATAAAAAATAAAAATAATAAAACTGCTGTTGATCAATTTCCTCAATTTGTTTCGCCAGATAAAAGTAAAGACCAAGCAAATATTAAACTGCCGGTTAAAAATTTTAGCTTTGACATGCCTAAAGAAATCAAGTCTGATAAAGATTCAAAATCATCTTCTCCTTCTATCCGATCTGAATCCCCCGAGTCAAGTTTCAAATCTGAGCCAGTCACTTCTTCTTTGTTTTCCTTTGATATACAAAAACCTAAAGAAACTCAAAAGATAAATATAGATCCTTTTAATATTTCTCCCACAAGGCCCGCAGACCAGTTTAAATTCCCAATAGATACAAAAGAGCTACCAAAACCAGCTGCTAATGAATTTCAATATATACCTGAAATTAAAATTGTTAAAAACGTCAATTATTCAGCTAACTCCCCCCCCATCCTTGATCGAACGATTGACTGTAAAAATTCCTAAAAATTGGGAAAATTAACCCCCATCCTTGATCGAACGATTTTCATATCATGCAAAATTTTATATATATAAAAATATATTAATTATCAAAAGTTTGGGAAGATGTGCATAATGAAGTTGTTTTCAGAGACTTTGAGACGACAGAAAGCTTCGGAATCAACCATTCGAAGTGATTTTAGTCATCAATCACGGCTTAAAAACTCAATAATCTAATAAAATACAGATTCTTTAAAATTTTTAAAAAAAAATTTAATTTAATAAGAAACAAATTAAAATTTATACAGTTTAAAGGGGTAACTAATAAATCAAAATATTAAAAATTGGTATTTTTATGAGATTAATTCAATTTTTTGCTGTAAAAATAATTATTAAATACTCTTAACACTCTTATTTAAAAGTAAATAAAAAATATATATATATATATTTTATTTTATATATAAAATTTTTTTTAACCCCCCATCCTTGATCGAACGACGGCGAGTCGTTCGATCAAGGATGGGGGGGAGTAAGGAAAAAGAATTAAAACTAGATGAGTCTTCTTCTAGCTCAAGTGAATCTCTAGAGTATGAAAATGAAAAGCCTGATTTTGACTTTAACTTGAAGCCTGAAGATATTCCTCAACCCAAAATGGATTTTGGATTTGGCAATGATACGCCCAAGACAAATGCTCAGCCTAAGCTTGAGTTTAATTTTAACCAAGCCCCTGCAAATAATCCTCAGTCAAAATTAGAGTTTGATTTCAATAAAGATTCGCTTAAATCTGACTTCAATCAACCCCCAAAAATTAGCCCGCAGCCAAATATAGGGTTTGATTTTAATAAAGATGCGCCTAAAGTTGACTTTAATCAATTTCCAAAAGACAATCCTCAGCCCAAAGTTGATTTTAATTTTAGTAAGGATGCACCTAAAGCTGATTTTAGCCAAACCCGAAAAGACAATCCTCAGCCTCAAATGGAGTTTAATTTTAATAAAAATCCTCCTAAAGCTGAGCTTAACTTAGCCCCAAAAGAAAATCTTCAGCCAAAGGTAGATATTGATTACAATAATGCTCCTAAAGCTGACTTTAGCTTAGCCCCAAAAGAAAATCCCCAGCCAAAGATGGAATTTGATTTTAATAAAGATGCGCCAAAAGCCCCTCAATTTGATTTCAATAAAGGATTCGCGCAAGCTCCTCAGTTCGATTTCAATAAAGGAATGCCAAAAATCAATAGTCAGCCGAAAGCAGAATTTGAATTTGGTAAAGAGATTTCTCAGCCTAAAGCTGATAACAGCCCTTCATTCTCTTTCGAGTTCAAACCAGATGATATTAAATTTGACCCACAATTTGATAAGCTTAATGGCCAAGGTTTTGATTTCCAAAGTGCTCCAATTGTAAATGCTTTTAAAGGAGATTTATTTAAAATAGAGACATCAGCCATTAAGCCTCGAAAATCTCCTACAGAGCTTGAATTTGATTAAGTAATGATAAATTTAAAGATAAAGTAATTTCTACTTATCACTATATAATTTGCTGCTCTTAATTGCAATAATAATTATACCAAACATTTAATCAACATACTGGCATATATTCAAAAAGGAATTAATCAAACCAATTCAATATTTTAAAATTATGATAATTCTTGTGTCTGCAAAAGCAGCTATCATCAATGCTAATGGGGCTCGCCTCTGAAAAATTATTTTAAGCTATGTATCTTTTATAAGCAAGACTGAGCAGGTGAAGGTAGTATAAGAATAGTACTCATTTTATAAAAAATAATTTATAAATTTATACAAGAATTTTTATACTTTCTATGGTAGAATTCTCATAATAATTTTAATTAATTATTATTTTTGGCCAAATAAAATTTCTCAATTCAATTGATCGCAGGCAGATCTCATGGCGAAATATCTCCTTTCCGAGAAAGTATATCTGCTCTGTATTTCTTTTATTCTAGATTTTGCCATATGCATCAATGAATCATGTTTATTTATTAAATATCTATAACTAACGAATATTAAATCACATATCATATTAATATAATACCAAAAATCATTATCACAATTACAAAAATAGCTCACATTGAGAATTAAATATTTTAAAATCCTAACTCCCCCTCCGTGAGTGAAAAAAAAAAATTTTGTTCAGGAGGGGGGTTTATTTTTTTTTTTTTAAAAAAATTTATATATAAATTTTATAGAATTTTTTTTTCTCGAAATTTTAAAAAAATCCTAATTCGCAAAATTGGAAAGCAAATATTAATTTAATTAATAAAATTTATGTTTTTAAAACGCAATTTGTTTAAAATTAAACAAAATTAGCTCTAGATTTCATTATATAATTATCACTTATATATCAAAAACTTTTTTTCATAAAAAAAAATTTCTATTAAAAAAATTTTGTTCACTCACGAAGGGTGGGTTTTTTGGGCAAAAAATGGCGTTTTTTCTAATTGTTTTGTTCACTCACGGAAGGGGGAGTAAGATATGATTTACTGATAAACTTATTATATATCTAATGTCACAGCAACAAAATGAGAGAAGTCGAGAAATAGAACTTTCAGGATATGCACTTGAGCCCACATCTTTGTATCCGAAAAATAAAGTCAGATCCACTCGATATAACCCTGTAACCATAATTCCAAAGAATTTGTTTGAGCAGTTCCATAGGTTTTCAAATATATGATTTTTGACTGTCTCTGTTTTTCAACTAATTCCAATAACAGCGAACCCAACTGCTTCATGAAGTACAATAGCTCCATTTAGTTTTTTATTGGCCTTTACCTTCCTAAAAGATGCTTATGATGACCATCGTAGGCATAAAGGTGATAAATTAACAAACAATTCGTTTTGCCGATGCTGGAATGGAGTTAAGTTTGAGCAAGCCAGATGGAAAGATTTGCAGGTTGGGCACATTATTAATGTATTAGATGGAGAAAAGATTCCTGCGGATATTGTGCTACTTTCAGCTGATAACTCAGATGGTACTTGCTATGTGAGCAGATCTGGGATTTTGGGGAAAACTGAATTGAAATTAAAAACCGCCGTGACGGAAACCCACAAGATAATATTTAATTCTGATGAAGAGCTAGCACTAAAGAGGCTTTCAGGCACAATAAAGCTTGACGACCCCAATAATGATTTTTCTCATTTTGGAGGAGACTTGAGGCTTAAATTATATCCAAAGTCAATAGACTTATCACTTGATAATGCAGTTTTTCGTGGAAGTACACTAAAAGGATCAAATTCTATTATTGGAGTCGTTGTTTATGCTGGAAAAGAAACGAAAATCCACATGAATATCCAAAAACCCTTAAAAAAGACCAGCAGGATTGAAAAACGTGTCAATGAATTTGTGCTGTACATTTTACTCTTTCTACAACTAATAGTCGCATTTTCTATGATTTTTCAGTATTTTGTATATAATACCAACCATGATTATAATACTTTTGAGTCGTATGTTAATTTCGTGCTCTTATACAACAACATTATACCCATTTCGCTTTTTGTGACTATGGATATTATAAGGATTTTTCAAGTTTGGATTATTGAAAGACAAACAAAAGGAGAAATTGAGTTCCGAACTGGAGATTTAAATGAGGACTTGGGACAAGTAGAGTATATTCTGGCTGATAAAACAGGTACAATAACTGAAAATGCGTTAATCTTGGACACCTGCATTGTAGGACTGGACACTTATACGAAAGGAGGCTTGTTTGAGAGCTATTTAACTATAAATGATGAAGAGAAACCGTTGACATCTCATATAGAAAATCAGTTTGGAACGACACTTCCTGAGCTTGAAAAAACTCATGAAAAGATCAATATTGACACCTTCAATTCATCAAGGCCCTTAATAAAGCTCAAAGATGAAGCTTTAATTGAAAAAGGCGATTCCCAGCTATTGCATTTCATCAAATGCATGGCTCTATGCAATTCTTGTGTAATTGAAAATGAAAAAAATTGGAAATTCATAGGAATTTCAGTAGAAGAGAAATTATTATTGGAGTCTGCAAAACTTTATGGCTTAAAAGTTATTAATATGAATCCGAAAAACTGTGTGATTGAGTGGAATGGAGCCTTAGAGCTCTATAAGGTTATTGCTTCAAGGCCTTATAGCTCAATTACTCAAAAATGTTCAATTGTTCTAGAAAAAGAGGGTGAAGATTTTGCTATTTTATATAGTAAAGGATGCTTACTACCCCCCCCCCCCACTCCGTGAGCGAACAAAAAAATTTTGTTCGCTCACGGAGGGGGGTTAATTTTTTTTTTTTAAAAAAATTTATATATAAATTTTATAAAAAATATTTTTTTCGAAATTTAAAAAAATCCTAATTTGCAAAAATTGGGAAGCAAATATTAATTTAATTTGCAAAATTTATGTTTTAAAAGGCAATTTGTTTAAAATTAAACAGAATTAGCTCTAGATTTCATTATACTAATTATCACTTATATATCAAAATTTTTTTCCATTAAAATTTTTTCTATTAAAAAAATTTTTGTTCACTCACGGAGGGTGGGTTTTTGGTCAAAAAATGGCGATTTTTCTAATGGTTTTGTTCGCTCACGGAGGGGGGGGGAGTTAGAGCAAATAATTCCACTTCTAGATGTTGGAAATGAAATTAAAAGCTTTATTGATGAAAAGACGAAAGAGTTATGCTTCAAAGGCCAAAGAACTATAATTGAAGGCTGCAGGATTATTAGCCCAGAAGAGAACTTTGAATTCAAGAAAAAGCTAGAAATAATCAGGAGCTCTCCAATAAACAGCGAGGTAAGAATGGAAATTTTATTTCAAGACATGGAAGCCAATTTATCATATTTAGGCATCATTGGTATTGAAGATAGCATTTCTTCAAAAACACAAGATGCAATTACCAATTTGCAGGATGCAGGAATTAAGATATGACTTTTGAGCAGTGATGCAGAAATTTCATGCATAACAGCAGCTTATAAATCGAATTTATTTAAAAAAGAGAACCCAGTTCTCAAAATCCATGGCTTAAATAGCCAATACCTCTGCACTAAAGCTTTGCAAAATGGAATAATGAACTATATTTATTGTGAAGGTGTAAGCTCAATGGTCTCCAGAAATCAATCATTAAGTTACAAGCGAAAAATGACTTACAGAAGAAATAAATCAATTAATTTGCACATGCGGTCAATATCAGTAAGAGATAGCCAACAATTATTAAAAGAAGTAAGTGCTAATTACTCAGAGCCAGAAAATGAAGATCCTGACGCTATGCCATTTCAAAACGGAGCTGAAAAACTCCTCTCTGTCCACACTATGGGAAAAGAGTTTACCTTAAGAGAAAGATTTTCAAGCAATTTTCAGCTTTTAGACAAATCATTTGCCCATGATAAAGTAAAATTTTCATTAACAATCGACAGGATTTCTTTTGATACTGCATTTGGAATCGATGAAACTCGAAAACTCCTAGTCTGTTTGCTTTTGGCAGCTGATTCTATTTGTTTTTATGGGTTTTTACCTCAAGATAAAGCTAAAGTTGTAAAGCTATTAAAAGAAAACACAAGCTTTAAGCCACTTACTCTAGCAATTGGAGATGGAAATGGAGATATACCAATGATACAAGAAGCTGATATTGGGGTTGGGATTATAAATAACTTAGAAAGCCAAGCACAAAACTATGGCGAAATCAACGTCACAGACTTCGCACAGCTGGAAAGGTTGCTATTAGTATATGGATTCTGAAATTATTTGAGAATTACAAAAGCTTTGCTGCTTTATCTATATAAAAATTTTATATTGACTTATCTAATTTTCGTCTTTGTGTGGGTCAGTGAGTTTTCAGGCACTTTAATATTTGATGGCGACCTTCTAATTGGCTACAATATTTTGTTTACCACTGTCCCTATTATTTTACTAGGAATCTTTGACCAGCCATTATCCCAAAAAAAAATTTTCGAGAATCTCCAAGTGTATTCAATTGGAATTTTAAACAAATATTTCAATGCCAAAAGGATCCTGAAATACACAGTTTTCTCATTTATCCAAGCTCTCTTAATTTCAGTTCTGGTTTTTTATTCATTCAGCTCAATATCTAATGAAGGAAAAACAGAAAACATTGGCATGATTGGACTTGCGATGTACATTATAATGGTTTGCTCAATACTTTTTCAAGTCTTTTGTGAGACTTTCCAATATTCGCTGCTATATTTATTATCTCATGTTTTATCTATTTCGGCTCTTGTTATTTGTGTTACTATTTTATCATCTGTGTATTTTGATGATAATGATTTATATCAAGTAGGCTCGGAAATATCAAATTATCCAATAGCTATCATATTAATACTAACTGTGCCGTTGGTTAGTATTATCCCAAATATTACCTACAAACTTGTAAGAGCTCTTCTGTTTCCTACAATTCTTGAAGAAATTAAGTCATTTTCTATGACTTTAAAATCATCAGAAAAATTTTCAAGACTAAAGCAGTTTTCAAGCAGTTTGAAACAATTGTATAAATCTGGAAACATCACTCAGGCAACGCTAGAATATGAACTTTTTGATATAAATAAATATACGTTGAATTTTCTTTCAAGGTATATCGAGAGATTCTATAAAGAAACTTATATTGCAGAAAACAAATTTTATTTTAGAATAATAACAACACTGCTTTGGGTGTTTTTCACTGTATGGTCGCTAATTGAAATTTTATGGCTCAACTCAGCTCTTTCTTATAGTCTGATTAGAGCTCTTTGTATGTGTGGATTTACTATTATCCTTTTCTTTGTATGGACTGATATTTTTCATAAAAAATACGTCAACTTTGTGATTATTTCTATCTTGATATCTATAGTAATCAAATTTATAATAGAAATGACCTACTCTCAAGTCGGCACAATAACTACAGCTTGTATTCCTGCTCTAACATTTATCTTATTTAATGTCGACTGAATAAAAAACTTAGCACTCAATGTATTTTCAATGACCTTATTCTTTTTCTCAATCAGCATTAACTATCCATCTTCAAACGACCAGTTTCAAGAAACTCTAGACATTTTATCTTTTATCATAATAATCCTATCAATAGCCTTCTCATCAGGAATCGTTGGCTATTTCATTGACCTCTCCAAAAGAGTTGAGCACAAATATACAAGACTTAAAGAAATTGGCATTGAAAAAACCCAAAACATTTTAGCAATATTTCTCCCTAGCTTTGTAAGCAAACGTGTAAAAGATGGAGCAAGATATATAGCAGAAGACCAAGGGATTGTAACTGTAGTATTTTGTGATATTTATGATTTTGATACTATATGTGCTGAATATAAACCAAATGAATTGACTTCCTTTCTGGATCAACTGTTCCAAGAATTCGACCAGATTTGTACTGTGGTAGGGATGACGAAGATAGAAACGGTTGGGAAAACTTATATGGCTTGTGGAGGATTGAAAGATAGTGATAATGAGATGATAACAAGAGTTAGAGAAGTCCCTCATGCTAGAAGAGCAGTCGAGCTAGGGTTGGCTATGATTTCACATGTGCAGACTTTGTGCTTGAAAAGTGGGGCTGAGCTGAAAGTAAAAATCGGGATAAATAGTGGTCCAGTGACAGCTGGAGTTGTTGGGTTTCATAAACCGCAATTTTCACTTGTAGGGGATACTGTCAATACAGCAAGCAGAATGTGCTCAACTTTGATGAAGGCAAATAATATTCAAATTTCGAAAGAAACATATGATGTGTTGGAAAATTATGCAGGACTTTCTTTTGATCCAAACGAAGTAGAAGCCAAAGGAAAAGGAATAATGCAGACATTTATAGTCACAGAGATCCCAGATCCTAATAGCTCAGTTAAGCAAGTCGCTGAGCAACGGAGAGGATCACGCCTGAGCTCAGTTGGGCAAAATGCCTATGATGAAATTCCAACAGAAACAACGACTACCACTCTTTCAAAACTCACGAGATACAGCACAATCTTAGACCATTTCGAATTGAAAAACCCTAAAGAAGTCTTCAAACGAAACTTCACCGGACAAATCAAAAAAGTCAATTTTTTTGACTTTTCTTGCAAAGAAAATGAAGTCCAAAAGCAGTTCAGAGAAGACAAGCTAAACAAAAGCAGAGACGCCAAATACATTGTAGTCTCGATTTCCGCCATTTGTTTTGGCTGGCTGCTGCTTGTGTCTATTTTGAAATATAGTTACTTGGATACGTGCACAAATACCCCTATTCTTATCAGCCGAATTATTGTAGTAACTATTCTTGTGTTGGTGATTACCCTTCACAATAAAATCTACTTGACCAGACTTTATCCATTATTGATAATAATTTCAATATTATTTATGTCTGTCTCGGCGCTTAATGCTTATGAGTATTGTGAAATTGTAGTCGATGACCTTGTTGCTGTTGAAATCATGTATATTATTCTTATCCTAAATTATATCAGCGGAATCTCAATTACTAATTTAATTTGGTCGAATTTTGCTGTATATATTTCATGGGTTATTACTGGGGTTATTTATGTGGATAGTAGCTCTCATTATTATAATATTGTTTTGATTGGCGCATTTGCATTGACCCATTTATCGAGTGTGTACTCTCAAGAAAACCATTTACGAATCCATGAAAATTTGAGAATACTTGCTGAAAAAGAAATAGAAAAAACTGATAAGCTATTAACACAGATGATGCCACCTAATGTGCTAGAAAATTTAAAACAAGGAAAGCCAAGCACTGATCGACTTTTTCAAGTGACTTTGCTTTATGCGGATATTGTGGGGTTTACTGCATGAAGCTCAAATAAAACACCTCAAGAAGTGGTAGGTATGCTCTCACTTCCCTATTTAATAGTGAACACTTTTTTGATTGTTATTAATTGGCTGTGGCTTGTAAAATACTATAAAAATATATATCAATTTTTATTTGTTTTAAAAGTGCTAAAGATACTTGCAATTATAGTAAAAATAAAGTTTTAAATTTTTTAAAGATTAAAATAAGAGTAAATTTTATTTGTTATTAAAAGGTAGGTAAAATTTATGGAAAAATGGTAGTTTTGCTCATTATTATAAGGTATAAGTTAGAGCTTTTTACGAGATTTGATAAGCTCTGTGTAACTCACTGCGTGTATAAGGTTCATACAATAGGCGACTGCTATGTGGTTATGGGATACACAAGTGAAGAGTCAAGAGACCCTGAAATTGAATGCTTGAATATGATTAATATGGCAAAAGATATGATTAGGATTATTAATGAGGTCAATGAAGTTAACGGCAGCCAATTAAATATGAGAATTGGACTCCATACTGGAGAAGTCATTGCTGGGATTATAGGTACTACTATTGTAAGGTACGATATATATGGTCCTGATGTGCTGATTGCTAATAAAATGGAGAGTGGAGGTGAAGCAGGAAAAATCAACGTTAGCGATGTGACTAAGGAAATGCTAGAAATAAGATACCCAGGGCACTTTCTATTTACATTTAATAGAGAAATCAGTGTTCCGACGATTGGGAAAACCCATAGATGTTTTTTCGTAGATAATGAAGTAAGAAATTAATTTTATCAATAAATGGAGAGCAGAATTCATAAAGAGTTCAACGATTTTACAAGCAACTCAATAGAAAATTGTTCCATTGAGATGCAAAGTGACAATTCTTTTATTTGGAATGCTGCTATTCTAGGACCACTGGAGACTCCATATGAAGGAGGTTACTTTTTTTTGAGAATTACAATTCCTGAGGATTACCCTATAAAGCCACCAAACGTGCAATTCACGACTAAGATTTATCATCAAAATATAAATCCTGATGGAAAATTTTGTAGTTATCATTGCTTTTGGAAGGATAATTGGTCAGCAGCTAAAACAATAAGAGGTGTTATTGAATATATTATTGATCTTTTAAAAAATCCAATTGCTGATTGCAATGCGGATCATAATTTTGATGATATTAATGATACTGAGAAATTTAAAAGAACTGCGAGAATTTGGACTCAGAGATATGCGATGTAAATCGGCTAACTAGAAGATAAGTTATCGTTTTCTGAATGAGATAGAAGATTATTTAAAGGTTTTTCTTGCAGGTCCATTTTTCAAATTAAAACTTTTAAAATAATGCAAAATTCTTCGTCCTTTTCTGATGATGCTGTCGCCTTCTGCTGATGTCATCATCTCTTGAGGAGATACTTTCTCTTTGTGAATCAAAGATATAGCGGCCTCCATTCCTACTCCAGATGGGTAGTCGGCTGAAGATGATTGTCTGGGCCTTCTTTATGTATCTAGTCTAGCACTAAGCCTCTTAGCACTGATTAATTTTGTGAAGTCATCTTGAATTTTATGTTTCATGTCTCAAGGATCTAATAAAAAGCCAATTATTCTGGCAAAACTCACCCTGGACATTCGGCCAGGAGTGGCCCTCAGACTTAGTCCAGTAACGCAGGAGTGGGTTGACTTTTTTTGTAAAAAAAATATTTTTTCTGAATTAAGAATTAATATTAAAATAATTAAAATAACTGAAAAAAATATTTTTTAATTATAGATGCCGAATTTATTAAGTTTAACTTTTAACGGTATCTCTCATTATTGGAAACTCTAAGCCATCAATCAAGCAAGTAAAATCAACTAAATTGAAGTGAATAAATCCTTCGTTTTCATCACTTAAATCCAAGGTATTTTTCCCTAGAAGCCAAGCTTGATCAAGCAGAAAAGATTTATTTTGGCATAATGTTTCTCAAACCTTATGCCTTTTCATGATTTTTCACGCAGGCTCTGCCATAATTGTATTTACCCTTTTAATTTTATTCGCATTTCCTCCATCAATTTCTTTCCAATTTTCAAAATTAACTCTTTTATATTTATTTCCCACTCTAATTCTGACATCAGAAAACCCAGCATTATACGAAGATTCGATAACTCCTGAATTTTCTGCATATTCAATTCATTCGTTTTCTTGATTTTTCCACGCCCAGTAAATTCTATTGTCATTTCTCAAAACTTTATTTTGACTTCTTGTTCCCTTATCACGATTATTTTTAAAGATTCTTTTTTTATCTAAATTCTTAATATGTTTTCCAACCAAATTTATGATATTTTCGTTTTGTTTCTGAATTTCTTGTTTCTTGATTTCTTCAATTTCAGCAATCCTCTTTTCTTCTTCAAGTTTTTGAATACTATCTATAGCTGCCATAGCTTTGGCGGCTTCTTGCATTTTAGCTTGTTCTAGCTCTTTTTTGTGTTCAAGTTCTATTTCTTTTTGCCTTTTTTCAAGCCACAAAGCCATTTCAAGCTTTCCTTGGCATCGAGCTGTCTCAATTTCTGCAGCCATTTTTCTTTCTGATTCTGCTTTTGATCGATTTATTTCTGACATGCTTTTTTCCTTTTCAGATAAAATTTTTTTTCTTTCTTCTATGAGAGATATCATAGCAAATGCTGGGCATAAGTTGCTGACGTCTGCAATTTTGTTGTCCTGAGGACATCTAGCTTGGTTCTTTTTTTCTTTTCCTTTTAGCTGTCCAAGACAGAATCCGCATAATGCATGGCCGCAAGAAAGAATATATGGCTTATTTCGTTCTGAATACTCCTCAAAGCAGATGCAGCACTCAGTTATTGGATTATCCATATTATTAATAACATTTATATCAGAAAAATTCTTTTAAGCAATCATGCATTGACCATAATTTCATGAAATTATTATTTTAGAGTTATGTTCGTAAGCTACTCCAGATCTTTTCCTTCCTTAATCCATTGCGTCTTTACTCCATTTTTCCATATTCCGTATCTTGTTTCAAATTTATTCTTGTTTTTAACTGGGAATGTCAAATGTCCTTTTCCATCTTGTTTCCCATTTCTCCACTCCCCATCATAAATTTTCCCATCAGGCCAACTGAAAACTCCACGTCCGTGCTTCTCATCATTTGCGTACTCTCCATCATATTTCCTTCCATCAGGCCACGTAAAGACTCCACTCCCATGCATTTTATTTGCCTTCCATGCTCCCTTATATTCTTTGCCATCATTCCAAACATAGTGCCCGTACCCTTGCATATCGTTATCTCTGAATTCTCCTTCATAATAGCTTCCATTTTGCAAAGTAAACACTCCTTTCCCATGTTTTAATCCATTTTTATAATTTCCTTTATAACTCCAGTCTTCTGTTTCTTCTTTTCCTTCTCCATGCTGTACACCATTTTTGAAGTTGCCTTCATATTTGGATCCATCATAGCGATAGAGAGCTCCTTTTCCATTAAGCTTGCCTCCTTTGAAATCTCCTTGATATAAATCTCCTTCTGCCGTAATTAGACGCCCATCTCCACATCTTATGTTATTTACGAAGTATCCTACATATTTAGACATGTACATTAAAATGGCGACACGTGCCAACCTGCCCTTTTGGCGTAGTAGTCCGAACTTTATGGCTACAGGGGAACTGGGACGGACTCTGAGCTGAGAATCAAGTGCAGGCTCAAGAGATGTGCATCCAAGTAGGTTTTGGCTGATTTCCTGTAGTTGAAAATAGAGAGATGCTCAACAACGTCCTTTGGATCCGAGAACCTATGGGCATTCCTCTACTGAGAAAATGGAGGTTTCGGTCCAGACCACAGGGGAACAGTCTTTTTCCTGTAGCTCTCGAAGAAAGGCACTTCGACACTTGATAGACTCCAAGGATCCTTGGAATCAAGCCACTCCAATCGTCCGTAGCAGGGCCGCAGAAATCCATAAGCCGCCACCAAGACTGAAGCCTCAAGGCAAGGATGGGACAGAAGGTACCTGAAGGGCACTAATAAGAGGGATAGGCTTTTGGGCTGGAGTCGTAGAACCTCCCGTACGGAAGGTCTTTGATGACTGCGTCACCAATATGGCTAACACCTGACTTTAATAATCCTAATCCTACATATTTAGACCCATCTGCTTCAATTTCAATGCCTTTTCCATGCTTTTCTCCGTCTTCATTCCATTCGCCTTCATAGATGGTTTCATCATTAAGAATATAAGCTTGGTGGGATGTGACTTGTCGATTCTCATTAGAGCTAGTTTCTGGGGAAAAGCTTCCCCATTGTTTTTCTACTTTTTTAACATTAGATGATACCTTGCTGGAGAGGGAGCCGTTGTAGGCTTCGTAAACAGTTTCTGGGTTAAAACTTTTGATAACTTGATGGATTTCTTTCATGGCTGATAACTCTTTTCTATCCAGATAGCCTCTAGCTGCACTCTGAATTCCTGTATATTCGTGCTTTGTTTCTTGATTTTTGAGTTTTTTATCAGCTTTGCTTTTAGTTGCACTCTGTTTTTCAGTATAGTCAAGTTTTGTTTCATGATTTGGGAGTTTGATATACATTAAAATGTTGTGGAGGAAGAGTTGAAAAGGGATGTTCCAGCAGGACAAATAAGGCTCTAGCCAATTGGGAACGATGCTGGGCGTTGCGTTTTGGGCTTCAAGTTTCTTATTCAGCCGATAGGTGACATGAAAATTCAATTTTAAGAGTTTTTTGGAAAGCCAAAACTAGTCACGATGACGCAGCGTCTCTGATTATAGGTGGCAAGTCAAAGCACCCCAATCTGTAGGAGCGAAAAAATGAGAGGCTAGCGTTATGAAGATAAATATGGCTTGATTATTTTGACATACAGGGGAGCTTCTCTTATAATCTTAGTTTAAGATAATTTTAAAATTTGGGAGTTGGACTTCAACAACTACTTCAGGCTTGTCATTCTCTTGAGCGGATTCTTGAACTAGTGCTGATCTCTTGGATTCATGCATTGTCATCTCATCTCTATTGAGTTTAGGATCTTCTCTCAAGCAGGAACAGTCAGCACCCATTTATTATTAGTGATATTGCTTATCTATTTTAAGAACTATTCGTTTATGGCATAATAATCGTTAATATCGATACCTTTTTTATATTTCAATTTTAGTTGGATTACAGAATTTTAGCTGCATGAAATCATTCAATATAGTTTTAATAAAAATTATTTGGATGCAAGAGATATTCAATAATTATAATTGAAAAAAATTTTAAGCTATGTATAAAAATAATAATCAGGCTGATTATGCGGGTTTTATTGCGCATATAAAATTAATTTAATTTATAAAATGCATAGAGAAACCCCTATCTTATGTATAGAAAGCAAAAAAATTTTGATAATGCATTTTACACAGTTGTTTATTAAATTAAAACTATTATAACCAAATTTTATAAAATTATATATAAATTATATATAAATTAACATTTAAAATTATATAAATTAAAAAAAATATATTAGGCGCTTTTCGTACCAAAAGAAGGAAGGAGCAGCCAGCCCGGAATGAATGGCTCTGAAAACTGTGGAGACTTAGAGGATGATTGTTGAGAATTCAAAGATGGCATGGAAGCTTTGAAGGATATTTTAGCGGTCGATTTTAGCTGAGTAGTATGCAAAGAAATTCAATTCTGCGGTGCATGGGCTGTCATTATAGATCTAGGTATGGTTGTGATCGGAGTTTTGCTGTTTTTGTTTGTTGTGGAATGTGCAGAGTTTCTGCTTAGTAGAGGTTCTAGGGCTTTTGCTTTGCAGATAGACGTGACAATTTGTTGTTGAAGTAGTGAACAGTTAATTGAAAAAAGAGAGAAGTGCTGGTATGACTAGCAGTAAAAGTTTAAGAAATGATAACATATAAATTAATTTTTTTTTAACTATTTATTAGGCGCCCCACAATATTTATTTTACCTTACTCTCGCATTTAACCAGGTACTTTACGCCCCTTTAAATTTTAACAAAGTTTTTTAATATAAAAATTTTAAGGTAAAAATAAAATTAGTTTCTACTTAATTTAACTTAAAATATTCAATAGAACATTATTTAAACAGTCTTCAAAATGAATCAATTTTTTGAATTAATCTTATTATAAAATAAATTTATATTTTTTAATTTTAAAAAAAAAATTATAAGAAAAATTTAATATATTAAACACCATTAAAATGGAACAAGACTTTTTTCCAATTTAAAAGGGGGAGAAGTTAGATTTTCAGAATTCGAATTACTATGAAGGTAGTGTCTCAAGCTTTCCCAAATCCCGCTCAATTTTATTCCTAGCACAAATAAATTTTCGCTACTTGCCAATATCAAATTCCCATTCCTTTACGATCCATTTCCATTAATTGCCTCCACAAATTAAATTATGACCTAATCCATCTAAAATGTCGATTATAAACTAGCTGTAGATAGCTGTACATAATGAACGAAAGGAAATTGATTGGCAATATCCTCGCTGAGGATAACGACTCTGATGAGGAACCTCTGGCACGTTTTACGAAGACCAAGCGGCATGTCCTTTTAAATAAAGATGAGCTCAGCCAGCTATTTGAAAGACCTACGTCCGCCCCTGCAGTTTATCTTCCTTTCCCTCAAGTGTTTTGGGCTGAAAAAGATCCTCAATATACAATTGGAAATATCTCATCTGGCTTGTCAGAACTTTCCGTTCAGGATTCCTTTTCTGTCCATAACCCACCTCCAGGCCTATCAAATCCAAATCTAAACTTGGGTGCTCCGGAATTTGTCCCTTCTTTTAGTGCCCCACCGGTCCCATCCAAGATGAGTGAACTCGCTGAAATTCGTGGAAGAGTAGCAGAAATGTCCCGCGACCAAGCAGGTTCAAGATTTCTACAGCAAAAATATGAAATTGCTTCAGCTGAAGATAAACAGATGGTTTTTGAAGAAATTTATAGGTGTGGCTTCAGCATCATGATTGATGTTTTTGGCAATTACGTTGTTCAGAAAATTTTATGCTTGTCAAATAAATAGGGAAAGTCTTTCTTTATTTTTGGCGCAAAAATCTATTTTTTTTGGCTTAAAAATAGCAAAAATTTGCTGAGCATACGAAAGTATTTCCGAAATGTCTAGATAACTATAGAGTTTGGAAACTTAGAACAGCGCAGAGCCATTGCAAGTGTAATGTCTGGGAGAGTCATTGAGCTCTCCATGCACATGTATGGCTGCCGAGTCATACAGAGAGCCTTAATTCCCTTCCGTGAGCGAAACAAAACCATTGGAAAAATTCCTAGTTTTGGCCCAAAAGCACACCCTCTATGAGCGAACTTTTTTTAATAAAAAAGTTTTTTGTTAAAAAATATTTTGATATATAAGTGATGATTAGTATAATGAAATCTCGAGCTAATTCTGTTTAATTTTAAAAAACGTAATTTTACAAATTATATTTATATTTGCTTTCCAATTTTTGCGATATGGGATTTTTTTAAATTTCAAAATTAAATTTTATATAAAAGTTTTTCAAGCCTTCGCTCCGTGAGTGAACAAATTTTTTGTTCACTCACGGATGGGGAGTTAGAAGTTATTGAAGTTGACCAAAGAAGGTTTTTAGCTTTAGAGCTCAGAGGGCATGAAGAAAGGCTAGTTGAAGACCAAAACGGGAACCATGTTGTCCAGAAGTGTGTGGAAACTCTGCCTTACCAGTTCATGAGCTTTATCGTTGATGCTTTGAGGCCAAACATTATTTATTGGACTGAACATCCTTATGGTTGTAGAGTTGTGCAAAGAATTATTGAATTTTCTCCTAGAGAAGCGATAACTGATGTGCTGCTAACTGTCATAAGAAATGCCGTTGAAATCAGCAAGAAAAATTATGGCAACTATGTCCTTCAGCATATTCTCGACAAAGGCAATCCTCAAGACAAGCAGCAACTTATCAACGCATTTCCAGGCAGACTTTATGAGCTCAGCAAACACAAGTTTGCAAGCAACGTCATTGAAAAATGTTTAATTGTCGGCTCCCCAGACCAAGTTAAGGTGTTCACCAAAGAGATTTTTGCCCCTGAGCGTGTGTTTGAGCTGATGACTGACAAATTTGCCAACTTTGTGATCCAAAAAGCCCTTGAAGTTTCCAAAGGCGAATTGCAGCATTTCTTAGCTTTAAAAGTAAATGAACATGCAGCGGCTTTACGGAATTATCCTTACGGCAGACACATCCTCAACTGCCTCGAGAAAATAAAAAAGAGGATATAATAAGCTAATGACTTCTCCTAATTATAAAAAAATATTAATAATCTTTACATGTCACTCCTTTGTAGCTGCATATAATAAAAGTCAGCAATTGGCCCACAGACAGTGTCGCATCTATTGTTCTGGTGGCTTTGATGGAACGTTGTGTTTGCAAATTCCCACTCAACTTCGCCAGGGCCTGCCACTTTTTGTGAGCAATCCACACATTTATAGGTATGATCACCTTCTATGCAAAAAATAACGCTGTACCAAGTCAGTTTTTTGATTTTTAGCCCACCGATGATGGGAACTTTGGAGACTGAGGTTTCAGGGGCGTAGGTGATTCGGACCTTGGACGGGTTCTTGTAGACTGGGGTGGAGTTGGTGCTTTTTCCTTTGAGGACTTGGAAGTCTTTTACTGTGACCACTCCTCCTTGCTTGTAAGGAGTACAAAGACCAACCCCAGTAAGCTTTACATCGCTGCTGGCCATAAAAGTTAACGTATCTATTCTTTCACCTGTATATCTTCATTTCAGTGCCCTCGTAATATTAGTCCTCCTCACACTCACTTCCAGTGGGTTCACCAAACTGACTTTTGTGCTGAAATTTATCAAATTTCTCAATAACTCTTCTTGGATCGACACATTCAACGTTGAGCAGTTCAAGCTGTCAAATTCTCCAAACCTCAAACTATCTCTTCTCCCTGCCTGTATTTTTCTGATTTTATTTATCAAAGAGTCATCTCTTTGATAAATCATTTGAAAATTCTTATAGCTCTCGTCCTCAATCTCCAGTCGTTTCGTAATGTCGACCAGTTCTTGTTCAACCTTATGAATATAACTGCTTTGGCTTTCTTCCAGCTCGCTCACAATTTCTTCTTCTCGATCCTGCAGCAGCTCTTTGATTTTGGAAAAAGTGCTTATGAGGCAAACCTCGCTTGTCGCTTTTTTTTCTTGCATACAATTGATTGCGAATAAAGGGGGAGAATGGACGTGACGAGCATGGTTAATCATGTTTAGCCAAGAACACATTTCTTTGTCGGAGTCAGCAGCAATGAAGTATCGGGCGTCCTGAACAGTTATACGGAAACAATGATCTTTTGCCATTTCAAATTCACAAGGAACAGCTTCGTCGATGGTAGATAGCTCGATACTCATTGTAGAATGGTCTTGATCTGCAGGATTTTTATACGTTTGGAGAACTAAGGGGGAGAGAACAAGCCATCTTTGTCGCCAGGTCTTGAGGTATTGTGATCGCTTTTCTACCCAGCCTGACTTAATTTCATTTCCTTCCATTTCAGGTATATAATATATTGGTTCACCATAATCAGTGAGGAAATTTATTTTTTAAGTAAGACAGGCCTTATAAAGATTTCCGATTAAAATAGCCTATAAAGAATGTATATTTGACTGATAATGGATATTTATTTTAATTCTAAAATAAATTATGCAAATATTAAATGGGTTTATTTTTTTTAAAAAGTATATAATTCAATGAAACTAATTGGGTTATTAATTATTATTTTACTCCTAACTCACACAGATGGAGCTAAAGCCAAATTCAAAGACATGAAAATTAGAAAGAATGAATGCTTAAATTATGACGCTTGCAAATTTGACAAAACTGAAAACTGTTTAAATCGCTGTCTCTCTGAAAAATGCTACCTTGAGTTCTACGGAAATAGCCCTTTAATCCCCCGTGAGCGAAGAAAACTATTGAGAAGCAACCCTCCGTGAGTGAACAAAAATTTGTTTAATATAAATTATTTTTTGAAAAAAAAGTTTGATATATAAGTGCTAAATATTATAATGAAATCTTCTGCTAACTCTGTTTCAATTTAACAGTTTTTTATTTTAAAACATAAATTAATTGTTTTCGCTTTCCGATTTTTGAGAATTAGGATTTTTTTTAAATTTGAAAAAAAATTTAGCGAGCCAAATTTTTGGAGGGGCGAAGCTGCTCCCCCATTAAATCTGAAGGAAAAATCCTTTTCAAAATTTTAAAGGGGGGATATTTTTTTAAAAAATTTATATTTTAATAAAATAATATAATTGAGCACAATACTTTTATTTTTATGAAGAAATAATTTTTAAAAAAATTAATCGATTCGGTGTTTAAGCTGTTTAATAATAATAATAATTAAGCGAAATGTGTTTTAAGGTCCCTACTTCCATGCGTGGCATTCCTCCGCGCTCCTTAAGGAGCCGTGCCGGCACGAGCGAAAAGGATGGACTTCCATCACTGGTTCTCTGAGCCCAGGCCGAAACCCCTGGTTTCTCGGTAGTGGGTTGCCCTATTGAGTTGTCAGCCGACTGTCGCCGGGCACTACCATTTCCAACTCAGCCTTCCGCCCCGAATTACGCCAGTCTTTGCCTCTCGGTTGGCCGGATCGCCCCGTTTAATTTGGGGCCCTTTTAACTGGAGAGACCGCCTCTTGGTCGTCTAATCTGCCTCCCCCTTTTCCAGCTTATCCGCTTGAGAAAATCCTCAATCGCTTCGCGATTCGGGGCAGACCACAGTAGCAGCTTGAGCAGGTAAGTCGCCCTGCTCCATTTCGGGCACCCACTGGCTTGGGCGCTGCTGGAAAAAGAAGATGCTCCTAACTGCCCTAGGATCTGGACACGATCAGCGGGTCTGTGTTTGTCCCCGGTCGCCACCAGGGTCCAGATATTGCTGGGCTAAGTCGCTTCTTCAGAAAACCATGCTCGGATATACACGGGCTACCGTCACTGAGAGGGCGAGTCGGTCGTCATACGCCATTTTATGTATATATGTGTTTAAGCTGTTTAAATAGCATTCTACTTGCACTTTTTTCATTAATATATGTCAAAATTAATTTTACAAATATTAGTATAATGCTTAAAGGAGGCTCAGGCTATATTTTTTCCAATTTAAAGAGGATTTACGTGCCCAAAAAATGAAAATTGCACCTATATTTTGTTGGAGTTAGAAGAAGGCCAAGTTGATCGAGAAAAATACAGGGTTTTTAATGAGTGCTTAAAAAACGAAGAAAAGGAGCTAAGGAATAGGTGGCGGAACGAAGAATTATAGCTTATTAATTAGCGCTTTCCTCTAGCCTGCTGTCTTTGAATTTCTGTTAATGGTGCTACATTGTTTGTTGGTTTTGGACCCCACGCTCCTTTTTCAGCCTGCCCTAACCCCAGCATTGATTTCAAGCTATTTGTGGCTTCTTCATCTTTCCCAGTTTGCTTTGTCTGAGCCTGCTCCCTCATTTTTGCCTGCTGCCTCAAAGTGTAATATAAAAGAGGAGCGAAGTGTGAAGCATTGCTATGAGCAATCATAAGGTTACTATCAAAATACCCTGCAGAACTCCAATTAAACATCTCAATAGTGCTGAAAGGCCCTTGCACAGTTTGCCGAGGATCCTTATAATACCAGACTTTTTCATATGCAATTGAATTTGGGATCGGGATGACTCGTTGCTGCTCGTCCACTGTACAGTTTTCATATATAATGGCGGCAAACGGGTTTCCTTCTTGCAGCTGCATCTGGACTAATCCTAAAGGGTAACACACTATAGTAATTGGCTGCGCCTTTATCTCAGGCGAGTAGGGCTTTTCTGGCTCAGGGTCATCCCACTCAGGGATTTCTTCGTCCTCTTCCACAATTTTCTGCTTCTTTTCGAACTCCTCGTCAACCTTACTAAATTCTTCGTCAATTGAAAGCCCTTGGAATTCTTCAGGCAAGTTCTTGATATTCCCTACAGTAGACAGAGTGATCTGTACAGGCTGTTTTTCAGCTTCTGTCTTTTTTGCGGTTTCCTCTTCAGCTTGTGCCACAGGACTTGATTGTTTTGCAGTCTCTTCTTCCTTGAGAGGGTTTTCTTCTGTAAACCACTCAGGGACTTGCTCCTTGAACTCTCGTTTCACAGGAGGAGGCCGGCTATTTATATTGGATCCTAATGGAGTGGAAAAAGCTGCATTTGAAGATAAAAGAGGAGCTAAGCATTCTAAAGATGCCGTTAATCATTAATTATATTTATAAGTCTACTGTAATGTGTTCTGAAGGAATTTATACCATAACGCTCCTCGGCTTGCTCACGAATCCGCATACAACCTTGAACTGTATTACTCATTCAATTAGGTCTGCACTTAGTTCCTGAAGCTAGAATGATTGTGTCGCTATGCCGCGTGTCAAAGAGTTTACTTTCGTAGAAAATTCAAAAAGTCTTATTTTCTGTAGGCTAATGGTAAAAATGTAAACTCAAAGTCTGGGACAAATGATCAGTATCCCGGAGGATAGGTATCCCGATTGGGCAAGAACACCCTCTAGCAGTGTTAAAGAGAACCCTTTCCAACTTCGTGTCCCATTTCCCTTAGATCCCAGGATTGAAGTTAGTAAACCCACTCAACCTGCGCCAGTAAAAACCAAGCCGAAACACACACCGACGCCTTTATTCCTCAATGTCCCTGCACCCATTAAGGCCCCCGCTACAGAAATTAATAGCAGGTTGATTCACCATTTTAATACATGCCTTCTAAAGATATCAAAAGATCAAGACCATCAGCTTGAGGGAATACAGGGCTTTCAGGTGCGTGAAAATAGGAAAAAATTGCTTCTCGTGTGTACTTTACAACTGCAGGATTTGTCAATGGTTTTCTCCAGTCTGTTTTGTATTGTGGGGCAGCTTTTCGAGTTTTGCTGGGGTCTGACATGTTTAATGATATTAAATTATGTATCACCTTGCAGTTCTATTTTTATCAGAAAGATGTTAAGATTGCAATGCAATTCATAAATAAAAATGAATTTGGCACAAAGACTCACTCTTTTTGGGTCCATAGGAAGTGTTTTGGTGTATAATGCCTTACTCCTGTGCTACCTTGTGGCAGCAAAGTTTAAAGAGCCGATTCTCAAATTCTGTGGACTGGCTTTCTTTTCAATTAGCTGTATGACGAATCCTATCATGCTGGCACTTGCTACGAAGGACGGCTCAACATTCTCGTCTCAAAAGTATACTTTAAGACTGCTTATTTTCTTTCCTCTGTCTATTGTCCTTTCGAATACCTTTTTGGCTCTGAACCCAATTATCATGCAGAAACTGATGCTTATCGTCGGGGTGACTGATTTTAGCAAGGTGGTATACTCTGTTTTTTATCTTTATATATACCATTTATAATTATTTGATAAATTGATTCCATTAGTAAATAGAACAATAGTATACTAGCTGAAAATTAAGATAAATGGGGATAGGAAAATTGTGCTCAACTGGAATTCTCGATGTTTTTTGCCAATTCTTTATTGTCGGATCAAATCTAGAAAGAGATGGCATTAATGCAGAAGAGCCCCAAATTTATTTATTGGCTCTTTTGATATTATCAATTATTTTGATTTTTTTAAGCCTCTGCTGCTGCACTGATGTAGTAACAGCTTATTTGGAGCAGTATCAGCCGTTAAAAAATGTCAGAGAAAAGCTAATTCCAGGTATTAAAAATTATTCTATAGAAATGAAAGAAGAAATGTGTGCTATCTGCTTACTCCTCCATGTTAAATTGAACTACCATTACCAATTCCCAGAAAACTGTGAATTAGCCCCATCCTTGATTAACGATTTTCTTATAGGAACAAAAGAAACTCACTCCCCCACCTCAAATATAACTTCCTATTTTTGATAGTAATGAATCTTAGAGATAATACTTTACAACGCAATTTTCTAGCATATTTGCTTATATATTGCATACTCTATCTTTGTGATCAGCAAGTAAAAATTGTATAGAATTTTAAAATTAACTTATGAAAATTTTATATTTTTCAGATATAAACCCTTGATCGAACGATAACGATCTGTATGATAAATTTAGAAGTTTTCTCTGTAGGTCAAAAAATAGGAGCATTAATCGGCTGCCAGCACATTTTCCACGAATCCTGCTTGAACAAGTGGCTTGGGTACAAAGAAGTCTGTCCAATCTGCAGAAAAGAAACCCCAGCTGGGCTGTAACTAATGTAAATTAACCCTTACAAACTAATAATCTGCTAGACTTTCGAAGGATAATAATAAAATGGCTCAGTGCGGAATTAGTTCTCTCCGAGAACTATTCCTTCCCTCGCTTTTATTATTATGGGGTTCAGTTTTCCACGTGGCCTTTTATCAGCAACACCAATATGGAATACCGCATAGGGTATTTCTTTGGTCCAAGATACTAAGAACACCTGGGTTTGCTGCTTGGCACACCCGAGGAGGGTGACCCTTAGGCGGAGCACGCGCAGGAGTCGAGTTCGGGCGAGGCAACGCTGCCGGTGCGGGATTTCTGGCCCAGCTGAGGACGGAACTTTATAGAATGGCTTGGTCGGGCTAACCGGTCCAAGATTGCTTGGTGACGTCACCAGTCGTGAGTTAAAAGGATGGGCTTAAGCATGCCTAAATCATCTTGCTGAAGAAATCAAGACACCTTAAATACCTAAGTAACTAAATAAGTAATAAGTAAGCTAGACTTTCGAAGAGAAATTAAGTTATTACTAACCTTCAATAAGCTTCAAGTTTTCATTGTCACCTTCCCAAGCTCTTCTCAGTACATCAATTGCTTCTCCAACTTTAAGTTTCAATCCGTCTGGGTTAGTCAATAACGATAAAAGTTCTTCATTTTCCATCTCCAAAAGCATACCAGTGATCTTCCCTGCAATCTTTTGGTTCGAATTCTTCAGCACCACAGGGTATAATGCTTCTCCTAGCATTCTTTTCTTGAATTCTGGTGGAGCACTTTCATAGGTCTTGATGTCGAAGTTCAATGGGACTGGTGGTGGCTGTGCTACTTGTTGAGGAGGGAAAGCTGCTTGAGGAGGGTAAACTGGCTGCTGAGGGAATGGTTGTGGAGGGAAGCCTTGGGGTGGGAACGCTGGCTTTCCTCTCCCCATTTGTTGAGGTCCTGCCCATCCTCTTCCAGGCATAGCTCTTGGCTGCTGTCTTCCTCTGCCTCCCATCATTGGTCCAGGCATCATTCCATAATCAAACATGAAGCTCTGCATCTTCTTCATCTTAGAGATGTTAATCGCTTTCGCAATTTCTTCCCTTGGCTTCCAAAGATTCACGAACAGCTTTTTCTCTTCTACTGATTTATCCCTCATCCCTTGTACAGCCCTTATAGCGCTCTGAGGTTGGGCGAAAAGAATATAGGCGACGCCTTTTACAGTAAATTCTTTGATCATTTCTGAGTTTTGGTACCTGATGTTTTCAACTTTTGGAATCCTTATAGACTCGATTTCTCCGAATTCTTGGAAGAGTTTTCGCAGTTTTTCTTCGTCAATGTTAAGTGGAAGTCCTCTTATATAGATATTTCTTCGTTTCCAGTCTTCTTGTTTTTTCGCATTTTCTTGTCTCAGCAAAGCTAAACGCTTTTTCTTGTTCATGTGGACTGCAATGTACCAGGTGAAGCCATTGTCTGATTTCCCATTTAAGGCTTGCAAAGCGCTTGCGGCGTTTTCTGGGGTGGCAAAGCAGACGAAGCCGAAGTATCTCTCAGTGCCGTCTTTGGCTTTGTTGGACAGAATGACGTGTGAAGTGATTTCGCCGAAGGATGAGAAAATGGCGTGGAATCGTTCAGCGGTCATATCAGCGCCAAAGCCTCTTACGTATAGGTTGTTGTTGGCAGAGATTATTCTGCTGCTGATTGGAATAAACTTGGCTACTTGCAATTCGCTTCCTCTCAGTACTGATCCATTTGCATTAGCGATTGCTGCTTGAGCTGCTTCACGCTTATCGAACTGAACGAATCCGTATTTTTTGGAATTTCCGTTTTCGTCGTAGCTGATTTGGTCCATTTTATTTAGAAAAATAGAATTATTTATTATTTAAAAAATAATTGTAAAAAAATAGCACCTCAGCTGATCTTAGAAGACAAAATGTTTCCATAACCCTTGAAGTGACTTTCAAGCTCCTTGTAAGTGACATTTTCGTTGATATTTTTGACAAAAATGTTTGCTTCAGGGTCACGTTCTTTATTAAATTTCATCGCTCTGATGACTCTGCCTTTGAAGAGCAGCCCATTCATCTCGTTTCTCGCCCGCTCCACGGAAGCAGCATCAATAAAATTGATAAATGCGACTCCAAGAGACGATTTTGTGTCAATATGCCTGAGAACTCTAATGTATGCAACTTGGCCATATTGTGAGGCTTGTTGGTAAAGGTCAGATTCAGTGACAGTTTGGTGAAGATCGCTTACGACTATTTGTGTTTCACTACTAGGACGTTGCTGCATTTTGTTCTCAGGTATTTATTATGGCCATCAACCATTTACAGCCTCTCCTGCTTGATGCAAATATGAAATGATGGATATTAGCTATAATCATTTAAGGGATCATTTGAATGAAAATAATTATTAATAGATTTTTATTTGGCTTGTTTTGGCGATTTTTTATTTTTTATTTTGTGAAGATTTGATGTGAAATTGTGAAGAGAAATATATTTGAATTCAATTTGTTATATATGGGAATAAAAAATGAAAAAATTTGTATCTTTGATGATGATTTCGGAAACAGTTCCATATTAAGTCTGTAAATTAAAAAATAATGGGATCATTTTCAAGTAAATCACAAAAGGGTCAGATAAAATCAAAGAATAATCTTAGCAAATACATTGAATTTAAGTCATTGAAGAACAATAAGCTGTATTTTACAAAGAGATCAGATTTAGAATTACTCAAAACAAATGATAGACGAAGAATGTCTACTGAAGAAAGTAGCCCTAGACAGAACAAAACGACGATTAAGCAGCTGCATAGTCATCAGAAAGCTGTAAGATGCCAAGTTTTGAATTAACTTTATATTGGCATATAATTAATTAAGCAATTTTGAATGTATTATAATTATAGAATATACAATAAATTATCAAAAAATCGGTATGAGTTTTTAAACAAAAAATTAGCTTTAACCTTGCTAAGAGCCTCATTTCAAATAGCTTATTCTTCTAAGATTTTTTAAAAAAATTAATTGGTATGCTAAACTTGTTCCTATCAAATTGAAGATATTTTCATTTGTCTTTATATTTAAAAATTAATATTTAAATCTAAATCTTCGAAATCTAAAATTTTACGTTTTAAAATTTAAATTTTTGTCTGTACATTTTAGATTAAAAGGGGAAAAAATGAAAACACAAAATTGACAAATTCAAAATTTATCGCTTTATTTTTTATAATCTTTTATTAGATTATCAAAAGATCATTAGCTTATTCCTTTATATTGCGATTAGCAAATATTAACTATGATTATAAATTTAGAATTAAACTATTATTATGCATTCTTTATGCTTAAAAATAAAGCTTATAATTATCTCTTATTTAGAAGCGATTCTCTTTTATTATAGCTTCACCATAATTTTTTAACCTCATTTCTTCCTTTTTATTAGTGAGAAATTGGATCTTCATGCTCCTTAAAGCATTTCTAATCTCGCATTAAGATTTATACCCTTTGATATTAATTTCACTTAAGCTTGCGTTTTGGAAATTTAGCACTTAAAAATTTTGGTCTACAAAGTATGCAAACCAAGTAATACCTGGCAAATTTTTTAAAATAAGCTGCTTTAAATATTTTATATCAAAAGTTAATCAAACTACTTGTTAAATGTTAGTTTCTAACTCCTAGTTTTTTAAGAGCCAGCTAAGTGATTAGAATTATCTTTATTTTGAACAATTCACCCATATATAAAAAGTGTAAACAAATTTTTAATATAAAATATTTTTAATTTAAATTATTTCATAAACATGACTAATTAAGAGCTTAAGCTAATTGTTAAATTCTGCATAGCTTGGATTTTTAAACATAAATTTAATAAATTAATTATATTTTTATTTAAAAATTTTAAATAGTCCAAAACATAATTTTTATATTAATTTTAAAATTTTTTTTAAACCAAAAATGCTAACCAATTCAATAAGCTTGCTCACTCTTAATGGATGGAATAAACATGTTGAATAAATTAATGTGGATATTGTTAGTTGTCGCAGGCGTAGCACTAGCTGACCCAATACCTCCTCAGTGGCCTAACACTTTTACCCAAGTATTTAACGAAACTTTTGCTACAGGCAGCTATGGAAACCAAACCACAACTGGAACTTTATATTATGACTGGACCACCAAAAGCACTCGCATCGACAGAGCTAATGGAAGGTATGATGCATTTTGTGGGCTAAATGGGTTCAAAATCCTTGTTGATGGCCCATGCTCACATATTGTCGTCAATGGAAACAGATATCTCTATTATCCTAAAGACCACTATTGTTGCTATTGCTGCAATTCAGCACAAGGATGTGGATCACTAAATCCTACTTGGATGGACAATGAAATAATTAAAAATATGGCGTCTCCACCTGGCATGGCCTCTGACCACGCAGCTTCCGAGCGCATATTTTAATTATATCCGGCAAGGTTTTACCAAGCTGGAAATGGGCAGTTATGCTAGATAAGTAATTCCCGTGTGTGTAGGGAGCCTAGCCCTTGTCCTTTTTCTGGTTTAGGTTTTGCCTCGAGGACAAAGGAGGCTTGTAGTTGGAAAAGGTGTTGCCCAGCAAATCCTTTGGACCATTCGGGCACTGCACTACCGTGAAACCAGGGGTTACGGCCTGGGCTACAAGTTAGAACTTTTGCTGAAAGTCGGCCAGAAAATCCATTTTTTCGATTTTCTGTGCAGGCAACCTCGCTGTGCAGCTTGAAGCAAGTTCCCGGGAACCCAAAGTCTGCCCACTCAAGACTGGAGCCATCGCGGAATGGCAAGGAGGAGAGACGGAGGAAACCGGTAGGAAGTACGCGTCCCGAGAGCGGATGAATCCCCTGGCGGGGGATCCTTGGTAACCGAGCTAACAAAGCGGGCCTCGACTAACCGCCATAATAAGTTAATAAGTTAATAAGTAAGTAAGTAACTAAGTAAGTAACTCCCCCCCCCTCCGTGAGTGAACAAAACCATTAGAAAAATCGCCATTTTTTTGCCCAAAAACCCACCCTCTGTGAGTGAACAAAAATGCTTTTAATAGAAAATTTTTTATATGGAAAAAAATTTTGATATATAAATGATAATTAGTATAATGAAATCTAGAGCTAATTCTATTTAATTTTGAACGAATTGCTTTTTAAAACATAAATTTTATAAATTAAATTAATATTTGCTTTCCAATTTTTGCGAATTAGGATTTTTTTAAATTTCGAAAAAAAATATTTTTTATAAAATTTATATATAAATTTTTTTTTAAAAAAAAAAAATTAACCCCCTCGTGAGTGAACAAAATTTTTTTGTTCACTCACGGAGGGGGGGGGGAGTAAGTAACTAAGTAAGGATGGACAATGGAACATTTTTAGGGACTGCTCCTCACAACGGAGTGAATGCTTATGGCTGGCTTAGAACTCTTCAACAGGACAGATATTATTATGAAACAGCTGCAACTCAGCCAAGCGCAAGAGTCATGCTTACTCCCCCTCCGTGAGTGAACAAAACCATTAGAAAAAAATCGCTATTTTTTGCCCAAAACCCACCCTCCGTGAGTGAACAAAAATTTTTTAATACAAAAATCACAATATTAAAATGGCAGTAATGAGATAGGTCCTACTGACCTGCTCTGCAGGTGAGGACCTATACTCGAAACTTAGTGAAAGAGGTCAATTCTCCTGAGAGTCTCGAGTGAAGTGGAGAGGTCAGTGCTGAGTCTGGCACTGATCAGAGAAGTCTATGCGGACTTGATAACATTAACAGTTCGACGGTAAGGAAGGTCCACCTACCGTTGTTCAGAGCTGTTAATCAAATTGGACCTCAAGCACGGAGACTGGATAGAAAGAGATTTCATTTAAAAGTAAACTTAAACTTAAATACAAAAAATTTTTTATAGAAAAAAATTTTGATATATAAGTGATAATTATTATAATGAAATCTAGAGATCATTTTGTTTAATTGCTTCTTAAAACATAAATTTTATAAATTAAATAAATATTTGCTTCCCAATTTTTGTAAATTAGGATTTTTTTAAAATTTCGAAAAAAAAATTTTTTCTATAAAATTTATATCTAAATTTTTTAAAAAAAATTAACCCTCCTTCGTGAGTGAACAAAATTTTTTTTGTTCACTCACGGAGAGGGGGAGTTAGTATTTACGAAATGGGTGGAGATTTCAAAGATTTCCATGCTATTACTTACAGCGTTCCATCTGGTATTTTTGACCTTCCTAAGGAGTGCAATATTAAGCTAAAGTGCCCAGAAACTTCGGTTTGTTCACAGCTAGGTGAAACAGAATCTGAAGAAGAAAGACCAGTCTTTTTTTAATAGCTAAGATATTTCAATAATTAGTATTGCAGTCTAAAGTTCAAATAAAGTTATTATCTAGTTGCCTAAAGATAATATTGTTTTTTTATTTGTATAGATTTAAAAATAAGGAGACGATATCCCTTTAAATATCAGCTTTTCATGCAGAATATGATACAAAATCATCAGATTAATTTAATTTAACAGTAGCCTACTTTGAATATTCATTTCTGATGCCAAAGCTTATATATGATTTAGTGTATCGGAGGTATATAGAGCAGAAAACATGACATCTAATGTGATCTTTGGTATAATTGTTATAAACTTAATAAAATTAAATATATATGCAAAATTTATCAATTTTTAGATAATATGATTTATTATACTTTAAACTCTCAGCACACATATTTCATTGAAATTAAGTTCTAATATTTGTTAACCCTTGATTTATTTTTATCTTTCTCATATTAATGACAAATAATTGACTATTACCTTCAGGTCATTTTTAGTATAAAATATTCAATAATGCTCTTCCTTCATAATTAAACAATAATTATACTGAATAATTATATGCTAAATCATAAATTAAATTTACATAATAATCATTGTTGAATAAATAAATGTGGACATTGCTCATTGTAACTGGTTTAGCACTTGCTGACCCATTACCTCCTCAATGGCCTAACACTTTCACCCAATCCTTCAACGAAACCTTTATATCCACAAGCTATGGAAATCACACCACAAATGGAGTTTATTACTATGACTATACAAGCCAAAGCACACGTATAGACAGAGATAATGGAAGATATGATGCGTTCTGTGGATTAAATGGGTTCAAAATTCTAGTTGACGGTCCATGCAACCAGTTCGCAGTTGGTGGAAACAGATATATTCATTATCCTAAAGACCATTATTGCTGCTTTTGTTGCAATTATCAACAAGGATGCGGACCATTGTATCCAACTTGGATGGATAATTCAACATTTTTAGGAACTACTATGCACAATGGAGTTCAAGCTTATGCTTGGGATAAAATGGGAAACCAGCCAAATTATTATTATGAAACAGTGGCAACTCAGCCAAGTCAAAGAGTAATGCTTGGAATTTATGAAATGCCTGACGACTTTAAAGACTTCCATAGCATAAGCTACAGTGTCCCTGCTGGAACTTTTGATTTGCCAAAAGAATGCTCTGTTAAGATAGTTTGTCCGGAAACCTCAGTTTGTACGCAAATAAGAGGTTCTGGTTTACAAAGTGTTCTTAAAAACATAATTTAAGATCTTTTTTACATAAAAACTATTCGGGAAATATGAAATTTTAAAATAGAATTATGAATACATCATTAGCCAAGCAATTCTTATTTTTAAGCCAAAAAATAATTATTTGCTTTTCTCTTTGATATATTTAATATTTTCTACGATCTACACCTTATTTGTGATGAATTATTTCTAAATTAATGAGCTCTCGAAAATGCTCAATTTATTCATCCCGATTGCTTGAGATATTATTATTTCAAAGAGACTGCTTATATTATGTGAGTTTTGTGCAGAAACTTCAATGAAGGTCGCATCTAAACTATCAGCGAGCTGTTTTCCTTCATCGAATGAAACCTCTCGTTCTTTTTCCAAGTCGCATTTGTTTCCTACAACGAGAAGAGTTTTCCTATTTTTTGATTCTTTTTCTATTCTTTTCCCTCAGCTTGAGACATGTAGAAATGAATTTCGGTTTGTAACGTCATATATCAACAGTATCCCATGTGCCTCTTCAAAGCAATCTCTTATCATAAATTCCCAGAATTTATTCCCAGCAATATCTCATACAAGCAAGCCGTATTTTGTGCCGTTTCTTTCGATTAATTCTTTATTCTGCATTAAGATTACAGGTGAAAGTCCAAAGGTTGGGTCATAAGCTTCTTCAAATTGATCGTTGAAAAATCGGTTAACAATTGACGTCTTCCCAGATTTAGCTTCTCCAATTAAGGTTAACTTTAAGCAAAAAAGGCTGCATAACATGTACCTTTTCGAAGTAGCCATATTACTGGCGATTTTATTATATTAAAATACATTTATCCTTTGTAAGCCTTAAATATGGATACTCAAACATAAATGATCAGTTTAAAGTTAAATCTTTTATAGGCTGCCAGAATTAAAGGATCTTTGAGAACTTATGGAATTGAAATCAGGGAACGATCAAAGATATAGCATTTTAAAAAATCAGCATAAGTGCTTATAATCAATAAATAAAAGGCTTCTAAGAGCTCATTTAAAGAATTTAGCTTAGAAAGTATGCGATATGAATTGAGTTTTAAAGCAAAAGTGCTATAATAAATCAAATGTTTATTTATTTGTAAATTATCTATAAAAATTTTGAAATCTGAATGCATTTTAAGCTCAATTATAACCTGAAAATAAATTTTATATGAATTGCATAACTGAAACAATATGGATGAAAATTCAATCCCTGTTAGCCTTATAGATGCCATCAAAGCTAGAAAGCAAATGGAAAGAGATGCCCAGCTCCTCGCAAACCGCATAAAGCTTCTCCAACAAGAAGAAGTCAAAACTTGGAAAAAAATCGAAGAAACCCGTAAACGCACAAAAGAAATCATGACAAAGAAACGGCATCAAGAGAATGAGCAAAAACAAAAATCAGGTCATCTATCAGAAAGAGAAAGAGCCATGAGTGAAAAGCGCCAAACAAATCACATGATAAGAGAAGAACGAAGAAAAGAATTCGAGAACCTCAAAGATTCCATTCAAATAGCTAAAATTGAAGAAGCTAAAAAGACAAGGATGGAGCGAAATTTGAACGATAGGAGAAAAAGAGAACACCTAGAAAGCATAAGAGAAGAAAATGAAATGAGAAAAAATGCAGTCAAAGCCAGCAAAGAAAAAGGAAAAGAAAAAATTAACCATTTAAAAGCTAAAAAGTACGAAGAATTCAAGCAGGACTATAAGAAACGTATCGAAATTGAAGACATTGAAAAGCAAAACACAGAAAAAGAAGTGATGAGCATGGAATTGTTAGAAATGGAGCTCATCAAGCGTCTGCAAAACACCCAGCAGATCCAGCAACAAGTAACACAAGACCTCGAACAAGCTATCTCCCATCCAAGAAAATCATCATATGGTGCTAAAGCAACATTTTAAATTTACACTGTATTATATTAACTCAATTCAAACTCAGCCACAAGAGGGTAATGGTCGCTTGGACAAAATGTACCTTCTCTGATATTATTTACAACTCTTGCTGTTTTTAGCTTGATGTTCCTAAACCAAATGTAATCATACACTCTTGGCACTTTGGGGCCCAGCAGCTCGTAATGCCAAGTTTTCATAATTTCCTCGTGATCTAACAACTCTGATGGGAAAGTTTTTTCCGGCTCCTCTCCATTGGCCACATAAAGTGCAGATTGGAACTGTTCTGAAAGCAGAGCGTAGGCACTTGAGTCTGGGGTTGCATTAAAATCTCCAGTAATAATTATGGGGCAATCCATCATTGGCTTCATCCATTCTAATAATTCTTCAACTTCTTTTAGCCTGCTCGCGTCGGTTTGCCAGTCTAAATGAGTGTTGACGACCCATACAATTTGGTCATTAAGCCTTATCTTCATTCTTTGGGCATTGCGCAATTTATCTGAGTATTGGCGGTAACCCTCAGCCAGGACTTTGATTTTCGGTTTTACTAGAAAAGCGTTCCCGTCAATCCTGAACCCTTCGAGCCACCGAAATGATTCTGGAAGCTCATTTACATTCCAAGGTCCCATTGATTCATATAATGGGGAGAATTTATAGTCGTAGTCTGGGTGTATGTAAATTTCCTTGTTACCTTCATAATTTATTTCTTGAAGTCCTATAATATCACAGTCCATTTCTTGAATGGCACGTTTTATGAGAGGAATGCGCTCCTCGTAGAATCTATGGGTGTTGAGGATATTGAAGCTGCTGATCTTGAGTGACATATTTATATCAGAATTTGAATTTTACTCAAGAAATGGACGTGTATGAATGCGATTTTGGTAAATGGGACAAGGGCTTATAGAGAAATTCATTAGGATTTTACTGGACTAATTATTTTACATATTTTTTTGTTTTAGAAAAGTGAAAAATATTCTTTTGCATTTTTGGCAAAATGCAAAACTCATGTTAAATTATTAGAAAAATCTCTGTTATCAGAAATTTACATTTTTTTAACAAAAATATAATTTTTATAATACCTTTACTTTTTTAAGATCTAGAGCTTGAGAATAAAAATCATTTTCTGTATATAAAAATGATCTGGCTATTAATCAAAATTATTATTAATTTCTATAGATGGTATATTTTTGATGATTTTAAAGCATTAACATATAAGATCTAAAGACAAATAAGTATTTGCACATATTATTTATTTTTTATATATCTTAGAATCATATTTCCATGCATGAACCATATTAACAGTAATTGGACACATCGTTAAAATGGATTATTTTGCAATTTCTCCTCTACGAAAGTCATTTACTCCTAAGCCAGTTCTCCAAGAGAAAAATGAAGCTATTAAATACTCCGCCACCAAGCCAGAGGCATCATCTCGCATAAAAAGATACCCAACAACTAGCAAACAGAAATCTTCTCAAAAATCAAATATTGAAAACAAACCAAAATTAGAAGATAAGAAAGCAGAAGCCAAAAAGGTAAGAGAAGAAGAAAAGAAAATCAAAAATGAAGCCAAAAAACAAAAAGAAGAAGTTCTCCAAGCCGCCAAACAAAGGGTACAAGAAGAGCGACTTCGAAGGAAAAAGAATCAGCCTGAGCAGCCAAGATCCAAATCAAAGACCATTATCCAAGAAAAAGTTATATTGGATAGGCCTATAACCCCTCAACCATCAACCAAAAAAGCTGAGACAACTGGAGATTGGCTTAAAACAAGAGTTCAATTAATAGAGCAGCTGCAAAATTGAATGAAAGAGCTCGATAAACAAGAAGACACATTATTAAAAGATATAGAAAAAACTTGCAACTCACATATAATGTCATATAAGGACTATGATGCAAATCATCAGCCCTTGACTGCTAGAGAGTCTATTATGAGATCTCCTTAATTTTAATTGTATTCATTTTATCATATTTTATAACTGAATAATGTCTCAGAATTTAATAAAGCCGGGATTTGATGTGCTTGTCTTCGGGGATGAAAATGTTGGAAAATCAGCGATTTTGAATAAATACTGTGCTGGAGACTTTGAAATTAATTCAGAAATTCAAAGATTGGAAAGCAAAAATTGTAATGAGCGGCATAAGATAATTCAAGCAAATCATGAAAATATGCAAGTTAGCCTTTGGGAATATCAAAACTGGGCTATGCATGGGATGCTCCCTCTATTCTTTGGAAAACCTTATGCAATAATTTTTTGCTATGATGTTACGAACAGAAAATCTTTTAAAAATATATCAAATTGGATATCTAAATTCGACGAAAGGTTGATTAAAAATTTTACTGGAATTTTAGTAGGAAATAAATCTGACTTACCAAGAGAAAGAGGAGTCTCTTATAATGAAGGCAAAAAATTGGCAGAAAAATTGGGACTATTGTTTATGGAGACATCTGCTGAATATTCAAAAAATATTGATGAAATATTCAATATTTTACTAAGAATCCTAGCTTTAAATTTCGATAGATAATGATATTATTGTATTATTATGACTTTATTTGCTTTAATTGTTAAAATAGTTTTCCAGATTATTGAGCTTGTCTATTGAAAATTAGGCGTTCTAATAAATAAAAAAATTATAATCTAACTGAGATTCAGCACTCTGGTTAATCTTAAAGCTTATTATAAATGATCTTAAATATTTTAAATTATTGATTGTCAAATTTAATTTATTATAGCCTAATTTATAGTGTGAAAAAAATTAAAACGCTCAATAGAAAGATCAAATCATTTCCTCATGTATTATTTCAAAAATGTCACCTCTTAATATTTATTATATGGACGTACACAAATAGTAACATCCACTCAGCAAAAATTGCATTAAAATTGTACTAGTAGGCGATTCAGAAGTCGGAAAATCTGCCTTGATAAATCGTTTTTGCCTAGGCAGGTATTTAGACATCTATGTACCAACAATTGGCATCGAAAAGGTATTTTTCTAAAAAGAATTATATTTCAGCCCACCAAGACACTAGAAGATGCACGCTAGAGCTGTGGGCATCTTCTGGGAATGAGAGATACAAAGTGATTTATTCTCACTTCTATAAGGATGCAAAAGGCATCATAATTGTATATGATATTACCAAGAGAGAATCATTTTTACATATAAAAAAATGAATTGGAGATATACAACTTTATGCTGAGCCGAGCTCTATAGTATTTTTAATTGGAAGTAAAAGTGACTTAGAAGGACGGAGAGCGGTGGCTTATGAAGAAGGGAAAAGTCTTGCTGATAGTCTAGGATATCCGTTTCTTGAGGTTTCTGCAAGATCATCAATGAATCTGGAGAACTCCTTTTTGACTATTACAAGAATTATAAATTGCAACCAAAGGCTTTCAATGTCATTTTAATTTCACTGTAAAGTTGTTAATATATACATTTTAAATTGATTTAATGAAAGATCAAGAAATAATTAGTTAGCTGGATGGAATGTTTGTATAAAGCTTTTTGTCTCAAGGACAGCTCTATAATTTGGATAATGAGGGGCTCCATTAGCTAAAGAGTTAACTGCAGCTTGAGTATCAGCGAATTTATAAGTTTCAACCCTTGGATAAACATTGTTAATCCTTACAAATTCAAGCATTTGTTCTGTTTCAAGTCTGGAACCTGTTAAACTTGACTGAACTTTTAATTGATTTAAAAGTATAGGAACAGATTAAAGTTCAAATTTTCATTTGAACTTGGAGCTCCACATAAGTGAAGAACGCCTCTTGGTCTAAGCAATGAGCAGCACTGAGTAATATCATAACTTGTGGCAGTATTAATGATATAATCTAAGCTTCCCATTGCATTTTTCATCTGGGCCTCATCTCTCAAGTTAATAAAATGATGAGCTCCAAACTCTCTAGCATCAGCTTGCTTATTATTGCTCGTAGAAATTGCTGTAACCTCAGTTCCCATAGAATTTGCAAACTTAATGGCCAGATGCCCTAAACTCCATTATCTATAATGAAGTTATTTTTTTCCCAAAAGGGTTAATCTTATTTTGAAAAAATATTTAAATGAATATAGAAATTGCCCCACACGGGAATTGAACCCACGTGTGAAGCCATTATTTGTATGTGGAGAATCTTGACTTCCAAGTACCAAAAATGGTTCCACACGAGGGTTCAATTCCCGTGTGGGGCAATTTCTATATATATTGTAGAGTATAAGCTTAAAATGGTAAAAAAGCTGGAGAGTTAATTATAATAGTATTAATTGTAGATTAAATATTAACTTATACAAATTTTTTTTCTTAAAGAGGAATTTAATAAGTGTTTTTCTATTATTGTATATTCGATAAGGAGGAAGTAAGCCTCCAATTCCAATCACTCCAACTCTCATTCCAGAAACTACGTCTCGATGAAGTGGAGCAAACACTGTCAACCCTGCGCAAAACATTGGTGCTGCCTCTCCAGGAAAACTCTCATCGAGCTTAAAGAAAAAGCTTCCTTTGGCTTGAAATGATGTTGCATAACCTCCAAAATGAGGATCATATGTAGTCACCTTTTTAGGGCACAGATTATCGAATCCTGTTCGGCACTGGAGACAGCTATCATATTCTTCGCAGCAGTCTCGAATAGTCCCAAACCCTACTTTATCGCCAGGCTGAAATTTTGATACTTTTTCCCCAACTTTATCAACAACTCCAACTATTTCGTGCCCAGGAACAAGAGGAAAGCAGCCACCAGGGAACCAGGCCTGAGTTGACATAAAAATATCAGTGTGGCAGCAGCCAGCATGAGTTACATTGATTCTAACTTCATTGTCAAGAAGGGCTGGATGACGAAAAGGAAGAGGCGAAACTGTTGTCCCTGGATTCATAAATGCCATCGCAACTCCATGGGCGTCACCTATAGCACATGGCTGGGGTGCTCTGTCTCCTAAGACTTCAAAAGTATTTCTTTGCATATTTTTATTATTAAATTCATTGAGCTATATTAAATGGCATACTTTTGCGTTAATTAATGGCTGATTTAACATCAGATTAATAAGCTTCAGAAAAATTAAAATCTTAGAAAACCTATGCTAGAAATCATTTGTTATCCTATTTTTTCAATTATTAGATGCAACAGCTTTCAATCTAATTTTTGCTAAGGATGCATTTAGTTTGGAAATCATTTAATATATCTTATTGGCCGAAATTAAGCTTAAAGAGCATTTTAGCATAATTAGAAATGCATCAAAGGTAAAATAAGTGCTGAAAGTTATTATCTGTTTCAAGTTTTTCACATATAATCTTTTGTTGTCACAAAAACGTTATTTTTGACCATTAAGAGGTTAACATCTTCTGAAATATTCAGAATGGTTAAAATGCCAAGTGAAGTTATGTCCCCTATGCCCAGTTGAGTTGATCTCTGACTAAAAGAAGGTGGATCCAATTCGTCGAATTTAATTATTAAATCTTGAATTAATGAAAATTTATGTGTTCTTAATAATACACATTTTTGCTTAGAAATAATCATTTTGTTTATTAAGTCCTCCTTTTGCTAACGAACAAAAAATTTTATTAGCTAATGGGGTCAATTTTTTTTAAAAAAATATACAGCAAGCTTCTTGGCCAAAAAATAGATTTTTTTAATGGTTTTGTTTGCTTATGCAGGTGTGGAGTAATTATTCATCCTCTATAAGCATTTAAATTAGAGGAAAATAAGCGCTTTCATAGAGCTTTTTTCCCTAGAGCAACTCTATAATTTGGATAATGAGTAGCAGCTTGAACTTCAGTAAATATATAAATTTAGCTCTTAGATAATATTATTAATTTTTATGAAGTTATGCATTCTCTCCATTTCAGTCTAGAGCTCATAGAGCTGAACTGAGCTCTTAACGATTTCAAAGGATCGGAAACATGCTAAAATTCAAATTTTTATTTGAGTTTGGAACTCCGCATAGATTAAGAGTTCTTCTAACCTCAGTGACGAGCAGCATTGAGAAATATCATATATTATAGCAGTATTGATAATGCATAAGCATTCAATAGAAATATTACTAATCAATCTATTTAACGAATTAGCAATATTTAATAACTCATGTACCCGAAACTACCTATTTCTCATTAATATAATTTAAATTATATATGTAAATTATTAATAATTTTGGCTTTTTATCTTTAGGTCCCAAAATCATTATTCTTATTAATCTTAATCTCATCCTTAAAATTTTAATTTTAGTTTCATTTTTATAGCTAATAATATAAAGCAAAAAGAGATCTTTTTTTGGTTTAATGCATTCTTAATCCCACTTCTTTAATTTGGAAAAACATCGGCAAAATTTCAATTTTTTGGGCATTTTCAATTATGAATAAAATTATTTTATAGGAAAATTTTATAGGTAAAAATACTAATTTTAATAGAATTAGTTTTAACTTAAACCAACGAAAAGTTCGTGCAGAATGTTCATTAAACAGTTTTCACACTAATTGATTTAATTTTTAGAAAAATTTTAAAATATTGGGTTCAATTTTTTAAAAAAAAAATTCTATATAGAAAAGTTAAATATTTTTGTTTTTAAATAAAAATAAATTGGAACATGATTTTTACTGCAATTTAAAAGGGGGGGAATTAGTAAGAGAATTAATTAGCTGGGGTGAATGTCTCCATAAAGCTCCTCATCTCAAGAACAGCTCTGTAGTTCGGATAGTGAGGATTTCCGTCTGCCAACGAGTTAACAGCAGCTTGAGTATCAGCAAATGCATAAGTTTCAGTTCTTGGATAAATATTATGAATTTTTACGAACTCAAGCATTTCCTCTCCTTCTAGTCTAGATCCTACTGGGTTTGCTTGAACTCTAACTTCCCCTTCCGTAACCATTGAAAAGTCCCTATTTTTGGCCTAAAAACCCACCCTCCATGAGCGAACAAAATATTATTTTAAAAAAAAAATTTTGATATGTAAGTGACAGTTATTATAATTAAACCTCTAACTGATTCTGTTTGATTTTAAACAGCTTGCATTTTTAAAAATAAATTTTAAATTTTACATAAAATTTATATAGAAATTTTGTTAAAAAATATTTAATCCGCTAACGGAGGGGAGGTAAGTTGATTTAAAAGAATTGGAAGCAGACTAAAGTTAACATTTTCTTTTGCATCTGGGAATCCACAAAGATTTAGAGTTCCCATCGGTTTGAGAAGTGAACAGCACTGAGCAATATCATAGCTTGTTGCAGTATTAATGATATAGTCTAAGCTTCCTATAGCATTCTTCATTTGAGTCTCATCTCTTAAGTTCACAAAATGATGTGCTCCAAACTCCGTAGCATCAGCTTGCTTGTTATTACTTGTAGAAATTGCTGTAACTTCTGCTCCCATGCAATTGGCAAATTTTAAAGCTAAGTGTCCTAATCCTCCTATTCCGACAACTCCAACTTTCATTCCAGCAACCACATCTCGATGAAGGGGCGGGAAAACAGTCATTCCTGCACAGAATAGTGGTGCTGCTTGACCTGGGAAACTTTCGTCAAGTTTATAGAAAAAGCTTCCCTTTGCTTGAAATGATGTGGCATAGCCTCCAAAATGAGGATCATAGGTTGTAGCTCTTTTTGAGCAAAAGTTTTCATGCCCAGTTCTGCATTGCATGCAGGTTTCAAAGTTTTCACAAGCGTCTCTCCATACTCCAAAGCCAACTTTATCACCAGGTTGGACTTTTGTAACTTTTTCGCCAACTTTGTCCACTATTCCAACAATTTCGTGGCCTGGAATGGATCGAAATTCACCACAATATATAAGCTTTTTTTCTTAAAATTTTTAAAAAGTAAAAAAATAGCAGCCTGGAACAAGAGGGAAATTTCCATTTGGAAACCAAGCTTGAGTTGCCATAAAAATATCGCTATGACAGCATCCTGCATGAGTTACATTGATTCTAACTTCATTGTCAAGAAGGGTTGGATGGCGAAATGGAAGAGGAGAAACTGTTAATCCTGGGTTCATAAATGCCATCGCCACTCCATGAGCATCTCCTAGAGCACAAGGCTGAGGAGCTCTGTCTCCTAAGGTCTCAAAAGTATTTCTTGCCATAATTTATTATTAAATTCCTTAAATTCTACCAAATAAATGTTTGATATTTTATTAGTAAATTTATTGGGAGCTATTTAAATAATATTTCTTGTCACTGATTTTATTATTAAAATCATTGAATGCTATTAAGCAATATAACTATGTGAATTTTAAAATGGCTATTACCAGCATTTGAAGATTATAGCTTCCTCCTTGGATAGCGAGCAGGATGTTTTTTCTCTTAATAGAATTCAATATACAAGATTTATCATTTATAATGGAGCTGTCTAAATTTAATATATAATTATTTTTAAGATTTAATTATTATAAATCACTAAATATATATTAAACACTTTACACAAATAAATAAATTTATAAAGTTTTTGTTTTGCTGCAAAAGGTAATTTTTTTTCCAAAATATGGATTTTTTAATTGTTTTCTCGCTAAAAAAGAGGGAAAGGAAGTGCTTTATTCATCATTTTGATATGGCTATTTCCTATATATTTCAAAAAGAAGCTAAATAAATAATTGTAAATAGCTAATGCTTTACAAATAAAATAAAAAATTAATTAGCAGGCGAGAAAGTCTTCATAAAGCTTCCCATTTCTAGAACAGCTCTGTAGTTTGGATAATGAGGATTTCCATGAGCTAAAGAATTAATTGCGCTCTGTGTATCAGCAAAGTTGTAAACCTCAACTACTGGGTATATGCTATGGAGTCTAACAAAATTCAGCATCCTATCTACTTCTCTTTCAGACCCTGTAAGATTTGACTGCACTCTCAAATCATTTGTTAAAAGCTGAAATAAATTAAAATGCAAATCTGTGCCTGCCTCTGGTGCTCCACACAAGTTAAGGATTCCTTTTGGTTTTAATAATCCGCAGCATTGTTCAATGCTAAAGCTAGTTGCAGTATTGATTATATAATTCAAGCTTCTTGAAGCACTTTTTACTTGATTTTCATCTCTTAAGTTAAGAAAATGATGAGCTCCTAGATTTCTCGCATCTGCTTCTTTGCTTTGGCTGCTTGAAATAGCAGTAACTTCAGCTCCCATCGCTTTTGCGAATTTTAAAGCTAAATGACCTAGGCCTCCTATCCCAACGACTCCAACCTTCATTCCTGGTCTAACGTCATTAATAAGAGGAGGGAATACCGTAATTCCTGCACAAAACAAAGGAGCAGCCTCTCCTGGAAAATCATCATCAAGCTTATGGCAGAATTTACTTTTAGCTTGAAAAGATGTGGCATATCCACCAAATTCTGGATCATAGGTATGCTTCCGTTTTAGGCAATGGTTTTCAAGGCCTGTTTTGCATTCTTCGCAAGTTTCGCAGCAATCTCTTCTTGTGCCAAATCCTATTTTATCACCAGGCTGTAAATGTGTAACTTTTTCTCCAACTTTTTCTACAATGCCAATGAACTCGTGGCCTGGAACAAGGGGAAAGGAACCATTTTTTGACCATGCTTGGGTTGCGTAAAAGACATCAGTGTGGCAGCATCCTGCGTGGGTAACGTTTACTCTTACTTCGTTATCAAGAAGTTCAGGATGGCGGAAAGGTAAAGGGGTTACTGTCGTGCCAGGCTCAAGAAATGCCATTGCAACTCCATGTGCATCTCCAAGATTGCATGGCTGTGGAGCTCGGCTGCCTAAAAGTTCATAAGAATTTCTTACCATTATTTTTAATTATAAATTAGATGGCTTATATATTTGGCCCAAATGGAGATATATTTAAACAAAAATAAATTTCTAATTAATTTCTAATTTTTTGTATTTTTAAAACTTCTATCTAATGAGATATTGCTGCATTTATTTATATCTATTTCCTAATCTTCTTATATCAAACATTCATTCTATTTATAATTATTGGCTTAGTTTGATCAATCTACTATAATTGTCAAAAATTACTTAAATATAAGTCATTTTCAATCATAATATGACAATTTGCAGGAATAGTACGAATTTCTGAATCTTTTCACTCCTCCCTTTCGATTTCTTATTTTTATAGCAATAAAACAGACAGTCAACCTCAATACATAAATGGCAGAACTTCACACTCGAAGACGACAAACATTTGAAGAAAATTTTACCCAAAACGAATCCTTTTTAAATTCTCTCCCTCAGCTTGCTCAGGCTCCACAAGTGACATTTGATTTAAACGTCGACGGTCTCCGTCAATTTTTAAATGAGATGAGTAGCACCGTAAATCAGCATAGCAAGTTCTTAAAATCTTTATTCAAAGAACTCAACATAAAAGTACCAAACGGCGATATTTTTCAAATATTACAATCGCTATCAAGCTCAATCCCAAGAGACTTCGGTGGGAGTTTATCTAATTTAAACAACTGGCAAGATGGATTGGCTTCTACTTCTTCAGGCCTCCAAGGGATTTCTCTCCAACTCTCCAATTTAATTAATTTCAAACAAGAAATCACAACAAAATTCAACAATTTACAAGAAAAACTTGAAACCAAAGCTTCCCATGAAGAGGTCGAAACTGTTTTGAGGAAAACCAAAGTATTGCTAGATGAAAAAGCAAGCAAAGAAGAAATGAAAGCAAGGCTTCAGGACATTGAGAGAATTATAAAAGTTACTGAAGATAAGCTTAGCTTAAGGATAAATGAGCTTGAGAAAAAATTTCAGGAGCTGGAAATCAATACATTGTGGAAGCTAAAAGACTGTGAAGAACTTTTAAAGGTCAGGGTTAATGAAAAATTTGTGTGGGACGCTATAAATAGTGTTGAAGGAAAAATTAAGAGAGAAATTTTTAATGAAAGCCAGGGGAGATTGGAAAAATTAGAAGCAGATTTGAGGAGCCTTGGAAAAGAAATGGGGAGGATTCAGGAAGATGAAGCTAGAAAAGATAAGGAGATAAAAGCAAAAATCCATGAAATTAATGAGCAGTTTGATTTAAAAGCTGGAAAAATAGAGCATAACCAGCTAGCACAGCTGATAAAAAACTTAGCATCTGAGCTAGATGCTTTAAAAGCAAAACAGACTAATGAATATGACGAAAAACTCAAAAATTTAGAAAAGGATATCGAAAAATTGATGAATTCTCAATACAACAGTATTATTGAAGAACTTTCAGAAAGGGTCAAAAAATTAGAAGAAGCTATAACAGAGCTACTTAATCGCCCCCCTGTGCAGCCACAAATTATTTCTGTTGAAAAAGTTGAGAGAAGCAGAAACCCTTCAATAGACAGAGACCTTCTTTCACAATTAGTCGCAGATATTGAAGCTTTAAAAATTTTAATCAATACTAAAGCAGATAAAGACATCATTCAAGAACTCCAAAGCATGCAAAAACAACACCCAGTAATTGTGAGCCAGCCCAGCGGAGATATTAATGAGTTATGGAAATTCAGAGAAAAAGCAATGCAAAATTTCAAAGATATCAACGATAGATTTGAAAAAATCATAAAAAAGCTTGAGCTTAAAGGAATTAAAAAACAAATTTTGACGAAAGCTGATGATGAAGCTACAAAACGGAGTTTAAGAACTCTAGAAGAAACGGTAGAAAGGCATGAGCAAGCTTTTGTAGGAATTCAACGCCAATTGGAAGCTCTTCAAAAAGCTCTAGCAAAATTGTTTTCGATGTTCAATGAGTTCAGTGTCCAATCTGGGTCTGCTCTTATTTCAAGAAAAACCTTTGCTCCGCTGACATGCTTGTCTTGTGGCAGAGGTGACACACAATATCTTCCTCCTTTACCTCAAGTTCAAGGGGCTGATGGTAGAATGTATCAAGCGGATACCCAGATTCTTAAAAATGTGACCCTTTCAGCCTCAATGACTGATTTACCGAAAATGGACCCTGACTCTTTGTATCAAGAAACTTCTTCTCCGATTCCGTCTGGAGCTCAAGGAATGACTCAAACCATTCCTCTTAAAGGATCCATGAGATCAACCCTTTCTGTTGTTATTGGAAAAGAGCAAAAAGTTGCTTTTAGAAGTGATAAGTCAAGAAATCGGCCACAAAGTGCAAGAATAACTAATTAGAATTAAAGTAAATTTATAAATTATTATGAAGTAAAATGATTGAGGAATATTAGGATGAATTATTTAAAGCCAACCTTAGGGATTATTTATTACTTGCAACTTTTATTTGCTTAAATATAATTACTACAATAATTTTTGTGAAAATATTCTTTTTAAGTGAATGCTATGCTATCAAGCATATTTTAGAGCAAATTTAAATCATCAACTTTACTGTCAACAGAATAAAAAATATTAATTCTCCATATAACCTAAATTTTCTAACTCCCCCCTTATGAACGAACAAAAACCATTAGAAAAATTCCTATTTTTTGCCCCACCCTCCGTGAATGAACAAATATTTTTTATGGGAAAAATATTGATATATAAGTGATAACTAGTATCATGAAATCTCGAGCTAATTTTGTTGAATTTAAAACAAATTGCGTTTTTAAAACATAAATTTTACAAATTAAATTAATATTTGCCTTCCAATTTTCGAGAAGTGGGATTATTTTAAATTCCGAAAAATAATTTCTTTAAAATTTATATATATAAATTTTTTAAAAAAAAAATTAACCCCACTCCGTGTGCGAACAAGATTTTTTTGTTAGCTCACTGAGAGGGAGGGAGTAAGCATTTTTAAAAATAAAATTGTTCGTTTTAAACTTAGAGAAAATATGTCAAGCAATCATAAAAATGCCAAGCAATCAGAGACTCAAAAATTTAAAAAATACAATATTAAGAAGTATCCTTGAATACAAACTCAAAAGTAGCATTATATTCTTTATATTATTTTTTTTGAATTCTTGAGGTTGTATGAATTATGCATTATATGTGCTTTTGATATTGTTTAATTTTATAAAAGACTCAAAATTATCTTAATTTAAAATTATTTGCTTTTCAAAATTATGTTTTGAAAATTTAAACCCATTTTTATACCCCATAAGTTTCTCAACGAATGAATTATTAAGTTAGCCATACTTTATCCAAAACTAAGCTATCCAAGTTTTAAAGGTAGAACCTTTCACCTTTATTTAAAAATGCAACACTAAAACTTATAAGCTGAAAATTCGCCTATATCTCAAATTTAAAATTTTATTAATTTTTTTGCTTTCAATTTTTTTTCTCCATCTTAATATGATTTTGATTATACAACTTAAAATAAATGCTTAACTCAATCACAAAACTTAATAAATAAAAAGCCAATAACATGTAATTCATGCCAATAAGTGTACTTTATTTCATAAAATTAATGTTCTGATTAGGTAAATTTATTGTTCACATTTAACTTCAATACATTTTTCTTCAACCACTTGGCATTTTTTCAAGTGATTTTTAAGTTTGTACTTGTTGTAAAATTCTTTCTTACATTTATGGCACGGAACTCGCTTGCCCTGATCATGGACCTGGTCCATATGAAACTTGAGGGCATGCTTATGTTTGAATAATTTGTGACATATATGGCATTCAGCATTTTTTCCTTGAGTTTCATGCACCTTCCCTAAGTGCTGCTTATAGCCTTGGTTGGTGCTAAAGTATTTTGAACATAGAGAGCAATAGTTAAACTGATTAGCGCAAGGCAGCCGGACTGTTGAGAGAGGAGGTTTGTAGACAGGGACAGTACAATTTACAGCCTGCATTTCAGGGAAATTATGAGCTGCCAACTCAGCTTCAGATTGGAAGGAAAGGCTGCATTTTTGGCATTGGAAAGGATAGTCATCAGTTTTTGATTGGGAAGGAGCACCTACAGGGGTTATAATCCTTGGGACCTGAAAGCTTAATTGTGAGCTATACAACTTTTCCATGAATGGTTTATTTATACCGAAAAAAGTTAATCAAAGCCATTAATAACCTTTGTAATTTTGTAACAGAAAAGAATTAAAGAGACAGACGTTATTTTAAGTTCTAAAAATTATGTGACCTTGGCTAAATTTTCCTAGCCTCATTTTGAATTTTAATTGGAAAAAAATTTATATTTATTCAAAAATTGTTAAACATTTTATATCATAATTTTTAGATAAGTAAGGTATTGGAAACAGTTTATAGTTGCTTGATGATTGATTTGCAAGCTTATTGAATTAATTCAACTAAATCACTCTATTTTACAAGGGAAAATGGAGTAAAATGAAATTACTGAGTTATGCAAATACTCTTGAGTCTTATCATATTCCAAAAATGGCAGAAGGGAAAGAGATTATTAGCTAAGAAATATCTTAATTGAGGAAATGTAGAATTTTTAATAATTCATTGTGTATTTTGATAGCATTATATTTTTTCAACAGAAAAAATCTGGATTCTAATTGGCCCATTTAGCATGACTTGAAAAACGATTATTTCTGTCATTAATAATGCAGGTGTATATTAGTGATTCTAAGCAATTGCTAATCATCATTTTAAGATTTACTTTCTTAACTATATGATTTTTAAGGTAAAGATGAAATAAATGCTTTTCCCAAAAAATGGGATCAGAAAAAATGTAGTTAAAGTTTACATTTGGAGCCTTATTAGCTAGCTTAAGCGGGTAATCTAGATGATGCATGCTTTTTAAATAAGCATTAGTAATAAAAGACTTAATTTAGATGAATAATTTACATTTTTCAATAATTTATTATTATTATAGAGCTATCATTAAACTCATTACATGTATCATATAAATCTTTCAAAGTGTGAACTCAAGCTGAATTAAATAATTAATTTATTATTTATATTTTAATTCTTTCTTTCCCACAGAAAGCACAAAATCTTGCATCAGGCAAATATTGCTTTCCACATAAGTGACAAAATGATTGTTTTTTAGAAGACTCTAGCAGATTTTGTTTATACCTTTCTAGCCCTTCTTTAGGCTGAATTTCTGCTGGCTTATACTTCCTTTTTCTGATATTTGAGTTGCTAGATTTTTCTGAAATTTTATGCTCTTCTTTAAAATCTTCTAATTTTTTTTCGTTTTCTCTCACAGTCGCATCTCTACACGCAGCCACATGAAACTCAAACCCAAATTCAATTTTTTCATAGCAAAATGGGCATTCTTTTTCCTTATGCTTTTTCAAAATTTCTTTGAGCCCTGGAGGTGTTAAACTTCTTGCATGATGTAGTCATTTTTCTTTCGCTTTTTGCACTTTTCTTGCATATCTGATATCTTTCAGCATCTGTGAGTAATTTCGCTTTAGTTCGATTTGCTTTGTTTCTTTGTCCCTACTTTTTATTGCTGGCTCACTTTTTCGGTTTTTAGGGGTATCTGATACTTTCTTTTCTTTATCTTGAGGCTTATTCATGTATTTGCTTGGGACATATTCTTTAATGTTGCTTTGATTTTCTTTTGATTTCACAGGCTTGTAAGGATGATCAGACGTGCAACTTTTTAAGTGAATTGGGAGTCTTCCTTCAAGAAATTTTCTTTTACAATGTGGACATTCAATCATTTCGGATTCACTTTTGTAATTTTCTTGGATTTTTATATACTCTTCTTTCACTGAAGCAGATTTAGCATTTTCTTTGCTATCATTTTCCCTTGGACTTTGAATTTTTGCGCATTTAAATTGATGAGTGGCTAATGCAGAAATGTTTATAAGTTTTCCGCTGTGTTAAAGTTACCATACATAGCAAATCATCTTCCTAGGATCTGCAGTCATTTCAGTTTATATATTAACACATTTTATCAATATGTATTGAAGATTGATATTAATTTCAATTCAACTCTTCTTTGTCCAGTTATAATTATATCAAAGTAAAAGCACAAAAAATTTTTGTTTGGGTGACTAAATATAGCGATAAACAAGTTATGATGAAAAAAGGAGAAATCTATATTAATAGTCACAAGAAATTGGTGGAGTTTTGGATCAATTCTCATGAATATTTATAATTAAATTACAAATAAAATAATTTTGAGAATAAAATAAGGTTATAGTTTTGAAATAAATTATAATTGCTTTTGTATTATTTAATCAAACAGTTTATAATTTTGCCTATCACCAAATACTTCATTTACAATTATTTATTTATATTAATAAATATATATGATTGGAAGAATTCTAAAACCATTTGCACGAATCCGAGGCTACACCAAAAAAGATCTCTTTGAAAAATACAAAGAAGGCTTCAAGAAAGAAAAATCAGAATTTTTAAATAACCCTGATTTCTTTAACAACTATGAAGAAGTAATTGATATCCCCCAGCTCCATTCTCGAGGGTCCCTAACACTATGTCCTACACCAATCGGCAATTTAAAAGACATTACCCTCCGCCAATATCAGGCTATCAAAACAGCGGATATTTTAGCCTGTGAGGATACCCGTGTGAGTGGTCATTTATTAGAGCTTTTAGATAATTACAATTTATCAAATCCTCGTGATGTAGAATTTCCTCCTAAAAATTTTGAAGTCTTCCCAGAAAGAGATGAGTACACATATGGGCTAAGCGGTGACTTTATTTCTTATACTGTAGAGCAAATAAAGAAAAACAGAGAAGAAAGGGGAAGAGGGCTTATGGTCAGCATTAATTCTTATAATCAAGAAGGCAGAGCCCCAAAACTCGTCAAAGCAATCATGGCAGGACTTAAAGTTGTGCTAGTTTCTGATGCAGGCACACCTTTAATTTCAGATCCTGGCTACAGCTTGGTCAGAGAAGCAGCAAAAGCAGGTGTAAAAATAGAAACTCTTCCAGGCCCAACAGCAGCAATTACTGCATTATCTGCATCTGGATTTCCTACACAGTCTTTTTTCTATCAAGGATACCTTACCAAAACAAAATCTGAAAAAATATTCAGACTAGAAAAACTAAAATCCACTGAATGTACCACGATTATCTATGAAAGCTCACATAGGATTTTTGATACCCTTGAGTGCTTAAAAGAGGTATTTGGAAAAAAGCATCAGATATTTATTGGCCAAGAAATGACAAAATTCCACGAAAAATTATATAGAGGGAGCATTGAAGAAGTGTGTGAAGAAATGAAATTAGAAGAAAATGCAAAAGGAAGAGTCCATGGAGAGCTCACCATTGTAATTTCGCCATTTATTTCGGAGGAGGAAGAAGAAACTATTAGGCTTAATGTAAAGGAGGTAATTGCTACTTTGGTGGAAACAATTGATGGAACTCCGAAAAAAATTGGGAAACTTGTGAATTTATTGACTGGGTATTCAGCAAATAAAGCTGCTGCTTATGCTGTTAAAGGTGATGAAACTGAAGAGGAAGAAGAAGATGAAAATTTGGAAGGAAAAGGTGGTGAAGAATCTGATGGGGTACCAGAAGTTTTCCAACAAATACTTACTCCCATCCTCCCTCAATAGAGCAAAACCATTGGAAAAATCCCTACTTTTTGGGTAAAAAACAAAAATTTTTATGAAACAAACTTTGATATTAAGTGATAATTATTTCAGTGAATCTCTAGCTATCATGTTTAAATTTAAACAGCTTGCATTTTAACATAAATTTTCCAAATTAAATTTATGTTTTCTTTTCGAAATGTTGCGAATTGTTTTTTTTTTAACCTTCGGAAAAATGTTTACTATAAAAAGCTACATATATATTTTTAAATAAAATGAACTCCCCTCTGTTAGCAAATTGTAGTTCATTGAGGGAGAGAGGGGGTGAGCTAAGAAATAATACACAATAATCTTTCTATATTACCAATTAATCAACTCCAGGCTCTCTTTTATTTTTTCTTGCAAGTTTCGCTTCTCTTGCTTCATTTGCTAAAAATTCTTGAATATAATCTTCATAAAACGTCCTGAGATGAAAAGTCTGTCGATTTATATCTCTTATATCATCTACCTTAGCCAGCGCTTTTAAATAGTCAATAAGGTTAAAAAGCTCTTTATCATAATAATCGTCCATTCATGATATAATCGGAACTCCATTATCTAGCTGATTTCCAAATGAGTAAGCTGAATTATCAATAATTACCATATCTTTAAGTTTTCTGTTTGCAAATATCCGAAGATCTTTCATATAAATACCTTCGACATTTACACAGTTATTTCTATATAAGCGATGATGAATGAGCTCTTTGCTAGGGTCTAGGTAATCTAATACAACGTCTGCATAACATTGGTGGCTGGCTGTGAATACAATAATTTCATATTCTTTATTGATTTCTCTTAAACACTCAAGGGTGTAAGGCCTAACATTAATTCCTGCATCTATTGCTTCTCCAGTAGGAAATATAATAGGTAAAACTACATCGCAGTCTTCTATTCCATCACAGCAATGAACCAGTGTTTCATCTAAATCAAAAATCGCTGTCTTTTTATTTTCCCAGCCTGGCCTTTTTGGCAAATTTAGTCTTTTTTCTCTGATTTGGCTGATTTCTACAGGTGGCAAATTTCTAATTAATTTTAATGATTGAAAAGTTTGGAAGAGGTGCTCTTTATAATAAGCTTCACTTTTTGCTTCAATTTCAGCTTCAGTTAATTGCTTTTTAATTCTTTTAGCTGACGCAGGCTTTTGTACCTGCGTGACATAGATATTTAAACTTGGGGATGACCCTGTTTCTGGCTTAATTTCAATATTTTGTACTGCTGCTTTATTAGTGACAGTTTTAGGTCTTGGCGGCAGCCCAGGAGAATTTTTGGATCCTGTAGGAGTTGAAGGCTTTTGGCTTGATTTTCTTGGAGATGTTCCTTTGGCACTTAATAAATTACTTTTTACTGCGAAAACAGGTGGCGCTTTATGCGCTGATTTTTTGACTTTTGAAGGAAAATTGAAGGAGCTATCGTTTGAGGTGGGAGTATTCCCTTCGCTATGGATTTGTTTAGGCTGCTGTTGTTTTGAAACAGGCGCTTTATGTTTTGGAGTCCCTGATGTTGTAGGTATTTTGCTTGTATTTAGAGTTCCCCTTGAATGAGAAGGGGAATTTTTATTTAAAGTAAAAATTTGATTTGATGCTGTGTCGTCGTCATTTTCTGGAACATCTATTGTTAGCTTTGAGGCTTTGGCTAGAATATTGCCTCCTTTTTGAATAGATGAGAAATATCTAGGGTCTGGGTGGGCCTTAGGCGATGCCATATTATTACTAATCATGATATCCTATATTTTATTGAAACTGAGAAAATAAAATTAATAGAAATGAACAAGCTTTTTATTTAAGGTTTTAATTTATTGTCAATCTAGAGATATGATTTTATTAATTATTATAAAATTAAGATATTTCTGATATTTTTCAGGTTTATATCAATTATAGAATTTTATCTTGAATAGCCCTGCAAGGCACGCTTTCTGGATGAACCAAAAGGTATTTACATTTGAAAGCTTAGAAAAAACAATTCTATTAAAGATTTTTAAATAAAAATGAAATCGTATTTTTATTAATTACTGCAATATATGGAAGGAATTCTCCTATGCTTGATCTTCGAGCATCTCTCAAAGTCCCTATATGAACCTCCAATAATTATTGTAGCTGAGCAGGGGTCTACTGTAACAGCAGTAATGAAGTCTATGCAATTTGTTTAACAAGTCTCCCATTTACAGGCGATCTTGTTGAAGGAATATTTAGCAGGCTTCCAAAACTTTTGATTTTGGCTATCGTGATTGATGATAATTCCCAAACTCAAGCTTTAACTTTTTCCAGCGATCTTTGCACATTGAATTCTTTGAATCAGCTGGAGCTTCAGAAATTAAATATAAATACAGCGTTTCCTTCACAAATTCTCATCTGCGAATTTGCCTGATTTCTCTAATATGACCAAACTAGAGACGCTAGATTTGAATGGAAATAAGTACAGGGAACATTCCTCAATCTATAGAATTTAGTAACTTTGCAATTATTCAGTAATTCACTTAGTGGAAGTCATGCAGCAAGAGTGGGCTATAACCAGTCATAAGTTATAATTAATTATTTAGGTCATAAATATATTGCTCTTCTTAAAATCTGCAAAGATTAATAACTCGTTTAAAATGGAGTGATTTCTCTAAAGGGGCTCATGGCTCGCCCAAATTTACTAAACTATTGGCGTAGGCATTTTAAAAGATCAGTTAAGGTAAGTTTATTTCTAATTGCGTTACCCTGGTATTATATTAAAACTATCATGTTTAATACTTAATTATAGAAAATTCCTGGGGATAGCGCGGAATACGCTATCCCCAGGAATTATCTATAATTTTTTTTGGGGATTTTTATGTTTAATTTAATAGTTAATTTTTTTAAAAAATTTTGGTACCTTCTAAAGTGACAAGGATAGTCATTAGCGAATCAGACAGAAGGTATTTTTGAGAATATCCTTCCAGAGTCCGTTGACATTTTCCAATATATAAATGCTTATCTGAACTATGAAGGTCGGACAGGTGTTTTTAATAAACAGTTCCACTATTATTAGACGAATTAACACTTTAATCAATATAAAAATTAACATGACTAAAGCTTTTCTAATTTTTTTAAACTTTCATGTCCTACCTTAAGGTTTATTAGAAAAAAAAATTCCCAAAATAGCCTTTGGTTATTAATGTTTTGGACTAAAGGACCATATGCATAAATATACGAAATTAAGATATATTAAATACAAATTACGCGCAGCTTTGACGGGTCTCGTAGTACTATAATTACATTTTTTATACTTTCAAAATCCATGTTTAAATTATAGGTAGAGGATTTTAACAAACCTCATGGACAGGGCATTTTATGAATTATCAGCTTTGGCCTCTAAAAATTTTTTGACCATTTTTGACCTAAAATAATTAATTTTGGAAATTAAATCATTATAGAATTATTTTTCCTATTAATGATTTTCTGCATAAAGAATACTTATAAAAGTATAATTCTAATTAAATATCTATAAATATTCTTTCTAGTTTAAAATAGTAGCCAGCATGATATATAATATAATATGATAATATTAAAATTACTTTTACCTTCTAAGAGGCTCTTCTAATAATATCTGATAAAATCTCAATATTTCTGATTTAAATTGATTCGAGTCTAATCATAAATTAATTTTTCTGATAAGAACTCAGCTTGATATAAAAATGAATATTCTGATGTTTCTCATTTTCTTAATACAGATTCTCAAGAATTTTCAATTTCTTCAAAGCCATAATTCAGCACAATAGATATCAACCTTACTAATTCTATACCGTTTGCTCCATGATCAATAAGATTTTAGTCAAAAAAATTCATCTGAATAATATTCTTATTTTTTGTATTAAACGTCATTATGCCTTCAGAAAATAAGATGGATAGATAATAGATTTTCTAATTTAATTTAAAATTATACATCTATAAGTATTCTTTATGCAGAAAATCATTAATAGGAAAAATAATTCTATAATGATTTAATTTCCAAAATTAATTATTTTAGGTCAAAAATGGTCAAAAATTTTTTAGAAGCCAAAGCTGATAATTCATAAAATGCCTGTCCATGAGGTTTGTTAAAATCCTCTACCTATAATTTAAACATGGATTTTGAAAGTATAAAAATGTAATTATAATATTACGAGACCCATCAAAGCTGCGCGTAATTTGTATTTAATATATCTTAATTTCGTATATTTATGCATATGGTCCTTTAGTCCAAAACATTAATAACCAAAGGCTATTTTTGGATTTTATTTTTTTTTCTAATTAACCTTAAGGTAGGATATACATAAAATGGCCGGAGACGAGTGACCCGTCCTCTCGTGGCGGGTGTCCTTATGTATACCGGACGTGGTTTTTGGATGCGGAGAGCTACTCAAGGGAAGAGTTAGCCTCGAGGCGAGAGGCCTAACCCAATTTCCGCTGATTTTGGGACTTGACCGGGCAGCAGTTTTTCGCATTCTTTTTGCCAGTAGCGCCGAGGCCCAGATTTGGTGTCCGAAAGAGGCAGGGTGAGTTACCTGCCTAAGCTACTTGGTGGCTTCGCCCCGAATCCCGCAAGGGGTTGAGTTCTTTCTCGGAGCTAATCCGGAAAAGAGGGGAAGGTGGAGCTCGACTTAGACCTCAGGGCATAAGTCTCTCCAGTTAAAAGGGCCCTCGAGAGGAGGGCGATCTGGCCGGACTAAGCAGGGTTGGGTAATTCTGGCGCCTAGGTTGGAAATGGTGGTTCCCGGCAAAATCCGTATGACTCGGATCAGGAGGGAAATGCCTCTACCGAGAAACCAGGGGTTTCGGCCCGGGTCTAGGTTAGCCTTGAGGGAGCCCACCCCGCAGCTAACGCTGCGGAACACATGGTGTCTAGGAAGTGGGGACTATAAAGACCAATCATAATCTAATCTAATCTAACCTTAAGGTAGGACATCAAAGTTTAAAAAAATTAGGAAAGCTTAGTCATGTTAATTTATATATATAACTCCCCCCCCTCCGTGAGTGAACAAAAAAATTTTGTTCACTCACGGAGGGGGTTAATTTTTTTTTTTTTAAAAAAATTTATATATATATAAATTTTATAAAAAATATTTTTTTTCGAAATTTAAAAAAATCCTAATTCGCAAAATTTTGAAAGCAAATATTAATTTAATTTATAAAATTTATGTTTTAAAAAGCAATTTTTTTGAAAATTAAACATAATTAGCTCTAGATTTCATTAAACTAATTATCATTTATATATCAAAATTTTTTTCCTTACTCCCCCCCCCCCCCTCCGTGAGCGAACAAAAAAATTTTGTTCGCTCACGGAGGGGGGTTAATTTTTTTTTTTTAAAAACAATTTATATATAAATTTTATAAAAAATATTTTTTTCGAAATTTAAAAAAATCCTAATTTGCAAAAATTGGGAAGCAAATATTAATTTAATTTATAAAATTTATGTTTTAAAACGCAATTTGTTTAAAATTAAACAGAATTAGCTCTAGATTTCATTATACTAATTATCACTTATATATCAAATTTTTTTTCCATTAAAATTTTTTCTATTAAAAAAATTTTTGTTCACTCACGGAGGGTGGGTTTTTGGTCAAAAAATGGCGATTTTTCTAATGGTTTTGTTCGCTCACGGAGGGGGGGGGGGGGAGTAAAAAAATTTTCTATTAAAAATTTTTGTTCACTCACGGAGGGTGGGTTTTTGGGGCAAAAAATAGGGATTTTTCTAATGGTTTTGTTCACTCACGGAGGGGGGAGTAAGGATTAAAGTGTTAATTCGTCTAATAATAGTGGAACTGTTTATTAAAAACACCTGTCCGACCTTCATAGTTCAGATAAGCATTTATATATTGGAAAATTTCAACGGACTCTGGAAGGATATTCTCAAAAAATACCTTCTGTCTGATTCGCTAATGACTATCCTTGTCACTTTAGAAGGTACCAAAATTTTTTTAAAAAAATTAACTATTAAATTAAACATAAAATCCCCCAAAAAAAATTAATTAAGTATTAAACATGATAGTTTTAATAATACCAGGGTAACGTAATTAGAAATAGACTTACCTTAGCTGATCTTTTAAAATGCCTACGCCAATAGCTTGGTAAAATTGGACGAGCCGGGGCTCATTAATCTAAGTATATTTAAATCATAAAAGAGAATCAACAAATATATAAGCTTTATATCAAATTTTGATGGAACAACCAAAAATAGAATCAATTTTAATTAATTCAATTGATTAAGATTTTTTAAATCTCTTTTCTGGCTTTTGTACTATATTTCTTTTTCTTTTTCTACTATTTCCTTCCTCTTCTTTTTCTCGTAACTTATTACGTATGATTTCCAAGCCGGAGTCTTTCTCTTTGATTTTTTGAATTAATCTTTCTATGTTTTCGTCACCAAACTCAATTCTTTTTTCATTTGTTAAAGTAACATCATTTTCTCGACACAATATTGAACTCTCTGGAAATATTTTTCCTTTTGAAGTACTAAAATGATTATTTATATCTAATGCAACTTTAATGCTGAATTGGTGCTCGTCTATATGAATCTCTCATTTTCCATCAACAATATTTCTATAAAATACAATTCCGCGAATTATCATTCGTTGGAGATAGTCATAATTTGGATTTAAGACAACTTCTATGTACTTTTTAGCGCATATTTGTCAAAGCGCATCATGAGCCTTTTCACAGACCACAGAAATTTCAGCTTCTCCTAACTTTTTATACTCATGAATTATAGCAACATCCCCCTTTCCACGCTTTGAAATGAAAATCCCATCAAGCTTTTTTTTGAATTTGTTAGATATCTCAAAACCGATAAAATATTTTGGATCATTTGATGTTAATAGTGGTATTGCTCCTGCTCCTCCTACGATAGTTTGAAAAAACTTTTCACTTTTATCAGTTCGTTCGCTTATTTTATCAAGGATTTCTTCTTGTATCGCTCTTGAAACTTCATCTTTATGCTCTAAATTTTCAACAAATTTGTCTAACCAATCATAAGAATTAATTTGATTTTCTCCTGTTATCTTTAGTCATACATTAAGCATTTTGGGGTAAAAATATTTTCTCACTTCTTTATTAGGAACTACCAAAACATTGATTTCTTTCTTATTTTCTAATAGAGTCAAGTATCCTGCATGAAGTAGCAGTAAATAAGGATTATTTGCTGTCCAAGGTTGATTAATAATCGGGTTTTTCAATTCAAGATACCCAGCTTTCATTATATCAAATAATTCATTATCAAATTTAAGAGCTTCGAATATCGAAGTTAGAAATCTACCATCATTATCAAACTCATTTCAATATTGACTGAGAGGTCATTCGTTATTATCAACAGCAAGCTTCAAGCAGCTTATTATCGATCGAGAGTTGTATATTTTATGACCCCCTACATTATATCCATTATATCAGTCTTTTATTAATGTTTTCTGATCCATTAAATGACGGTCTGAATATTCTATTAAGTGCTTATTAAGCAGCCATTCAACATCCGCTTCAGTAAATCCAAAGAATTTTGAATATGATTTTGTCGAAATAGTATAAGGAAAAAAAGCATCTGGACTAAATATTTCAAGCAAAGTGTCATAATAATATCCAGCTACAATTAATTTTTTAATGCAATGATCTGTATGATCGACGAGCTGTTGCATTGTTTGCCATAAGAGCAGCTCAATTTCATTCTGGTTATCTTCGGTGAGTCCTCTATTAAAATTTTTATCATATCCATCAATAATAACAATAACAGCTTGCCTATGAATTATATGAAGCATATGAGCCAAATTTTCCAGTGCTATATTTATATCTATTTGTGAGCTGAATTGCCGATAAGTTCTAAACAGCTTAATTTCAGCGGGCAATATTATTTCATTACGATCAATAATATGTTCCAGCACCTCAACATCTCGATTTTTATAATTCATTATTTCTACTCCGTATTGCTCTATTATTTTCTCTAAGTACTGACAATAGGAAGAAATATGCTCTTTATACACACGTGAAATTTCTGTTTGAATTTTTTGTAAAAGGATTTCCGGAGACATTAATCCTCGTAAAAATATCTTAACTAAATCAGGAAAAGCAAAAAAAATAGTCGGAATACACCCAGCAAATTGTCTATAATGTCCATTATCAGCATTCATTATTTCAAAGCATTTTTTACTGTCCAAATTATTTAAATCAGTGTTATTTTTTCCTCCTGTAAATAAATACAAATTTGCGAATTGCCCATTTTCATCTTGCTCTGGATTTAAAAATGTCTTTAGCATAGTTAAATTCAATGTTTTGCCCCAACCTCTTGGTCTCAAAATTGCAAAATTTCGACGCGTGTCATCTAAAATTGCTTTAATGAAAATTGTTTTATCCACATAGACAGCCTTATCATCAATCATGAGTTTAAAATTCCTATTGCTAGTGCTAAAATTATAAGAACTTTGGACTCTAATTACTGATTGTGGTGTCGTAGGAGACTCTTTTAGCTTTTTATTCTTGGAAATTGGTGTTTGGAAGATATTGTGGCAGGGTATTGGGCTAATATTTAAAGATTGGATAAATTTATGCGCCATATCTTTTTTGCCTTTTTCTTTAAAATCCCTTAATATGCACAATTGATTCATGCTCAATTTGCTTAATATAATACCCGCATCAACTTCCGATATTACCCAATCTTCCATATCTCTTTTAAGCTCATTTGAAATTGAGTCTTTTATCCATTCAAGCCAATTCAACTCGAAATCTCACGAGCCTATTTCACAATTTTGTGTCAGGATTTGAATAATACTTTGTTGTTCAAATAGCGCTGTAATTTTATAAGCTGATTTCAAATCAAACTGAGAAAATGAATCTAAAAAGGCAGATTTGCCTGTTGAAATCAGCATAACTATATTGTACATTGATAATAGGCAGCTTTGGAGGCAATGCTTATACATTTTAATGCTATGATGATCGAATATCCAATAAGTTTTGAAAAAGCCTCCAAAGGTAGCTGATTGTCCATCAGGCTCATTATAAGAAATTTTTGTACAAAGCAGGTATTTAAGGAGAGGAGGCAAACTATAATTATTTCCTGATGAATCAATCGAAAAAACTAGCTCAGAAGGGTTATATAGATGTTCTCCGTTAATATTTATGTAGTCCTTGGGGATAACTACCATTGTTTGCCATATGTATTTTTGCTCTATTTGTTCATCTGCAAGATTAGAGTTTTTACTTACATCTAATTTTCAATAGGCTACAATAGGCCTCTTAAGTTTTTCACCATCATTTGCAATCGCCTCTTCGATTTTCTTTGTATAAGATAACACACCAATTACTTCATCATCATCGATGGCGGGAGAATTAATCAAAGTCAACTCTGAGCCTATTATATGAATTTTGTCTTGGTAAATACGCTTAAGGGCCTCTTGAATGCCGAAGGCAGATGCATAGCATTTTGTTTTGCTTAAACGATCATAAGTATCAAGATTGCTAAAAACGGTGTAAAGATCCTGTTTTAAGCTTATCATATTTTTATTAATCAAACTCAATTTATAAGAATATTTCTTATAACCACACTTGCTACATGACTTCCACTAAGTGAATTACTGAATAATTGCAAAATTACTAAATTTGGTAAATTTGCTGTAGATTGAGAAATGCTCCCTGTACTTATTTCCATTCAAATCTAGCGTCTCCAGGTTGGTCATATTAAGAAATCAGGCAAAATCCTGTCAATCCACAATAAGCCACATGGAGAATTTTTAACTTTGTGCAGCTGAGAATTTGTAAAGGAAACGCTGTATTTATATTTAATTTCTGAAGCTCCAGCTGATTCAAAGAATTCAATGTGCAAAGATCGCTGGGAAGAGTTAAAGCTTGAGCCTGGGAATTATCATCAATCATGGTAGCCAAAATCAAAAGTTTTGGAAGCCTGCTAAATATTCTTTCAGCAAGATCGCCTGTAAATGGGAGATGTGTTAAACAAATTGCATAGACTTCATTACTGCTATTACAGTAGACCCTTGCTTAGCCACAATAATTATTGGAGGTTCATATAGGGTTAGGTTAGGTTTTACTTAAGCAGCTACTGCTGCCGAATGAGCCTTATGGCTCACTTTTCTCCTGCACTTCCACAACTTTTCTGCTCTTTTTATCAGTTCCATAGATTTCCCTACTTTCATCCCATTCGCATCCCTGTCAATTTCATCATTTTCTTTGGTCATTTTGTTGTTTTGTGGTTTTGGGTGCTTTTAGAATTTTTTGGGTTCTTTTTGGAATATTGGGCAATTTCGCGCTTTATGGGTTCTTTTGGTGCCTTTTGGGTTTTTTAGATTTTTGGTAGACTCTTGGTTTTTTAAGCTTTACGATAGTTAGCAGCATTTTTTTCCCTTGCATCTTCTCCTCTAGCTTAACTGCTCTTAACTCAGGGTTTTTGATCCCTACTTCTTCTCCCACTATCTTGATTGGTACAGTGGTCAGCATTGCTTCCCCATCATCCAGGATCATCCCATCCATTTTTGCAAAGAAAAGAACGATTCTTTCAAATTTTTCATCTTTGCTTGGTAATTCTCCCAATAAATCTTCATCTTCTTCCTCTTCTTCTTGACTTTCCACAGTTTCCTCATCACTTCCCTCGTCCAGTTCTCCCTCCGCTTCTAGAAGTCTGATTTCTTCTTCCACATCTCTACTTCAGCTAAAGCTTCATCAAGATCTCCATCTTCATACGGGTAGCCACTATCTAAACAATATTCGTCCCAAGAGTCATGGCAACTTGAGTACAAATACGCCATATTCATGGCAAAAAATAAAAGTGGAGGCTCATATAGGGACTTTGAGAGATGCTCGAAGATCAAGCATAGGAGAATTGCTTGCATATATTGCAGTGATTAATAAAAATACATAAATAAAATGGCATTCGGTCCGAGAGAAATTAGCTTTGCTAATTTTCTCTCCCTCACGCAATTTTATTTATATGGTTAGGTTTTCTTCTGAGAACTTCTGGACAGCAACAGCAGTTTAACTCTGGCAGATAAGCCGAGGCACTGCTCCAAGTCCATCAAGAGGCTCGAAGTTTTACCTCTCATCACACCCGAGGAAGGTACCCTTAGGCGGAAACACGCGCAGGAGATGAGTCAAGGAGAGCGAGGCGAACGCAGCCCGTCGAAGCCGGAACATCGTATTTACCCTGTGCCTTGGTGAAACGAAGTGGATCATTCCAGAGGTCCATGGGCCCGACACGTGGATAAATATGGTGGTAGCCCTGGAAGGTGACCCCGTAGTGGACGTTAAACGATATAGATAATATAACGATAACGATTAATAAAAATACGATTTTCATTTTTATTTAAAAATCTTTAATATAATTTAAATTTGCAATAGTTTTTAATATTGATAATTAGAGTTACTGGTTATTTAAGAATATTTTAAGCCAGATTCAGGTCTTTGATAAAATCATTATCTTCTTGCAGATATGTGTAAGCTTCTTTGAATGTGAATCTTTTTGCTGGATCCATTAAGAGCATTTTTTCTAGCACTTTTCTTAGTCAGTTTCATTTTACTTCATTAAGAATTTCACACATTTTCTCTTGATAAATAATTTGATTGATTCCTTTTACTCTTTTACTTATGCTAATCTTCCAAAATACTAGTCCTAATGAATAAACATATGCTTTTTCCAGGTTATATTTAAACTTCACACATGTTTGAGAATTTTTATTTAACTCTGAAGTAAGTTCTGGAGGCACATGCGTGCCTTTAATTAAGTACTCATTTTCTTCAGAAATTGATGAAACAACTTCAGAAATCCCAAAATCAATTAGTTTATACTTAGCATCCTCAGAGACTAAGATATTTTGAGGCTTTATATCTTTATGCACAATATTTAAGCTGTATAATTCTACAAATCCGCTTAATAATTTATTTGCAATTTTAGCTATGGTAGAACTAGAATTTTCACCAAAGACAAATTTGTCTATGCAAGCTACTAGAGCAGTATTCCATAACTATGCAAAACTCATACTGTCTTTCTTATGATTTTTTGTCGAATTTATGAAACTTTAAAAAAAATAGATAATTAAGCAAAGCTAAACCAGCAAGAAATTTTGTTTCTTTTTTGTATTTCAAGTAAGTTTTTTCTTTCTATAAGTATTAACACTTTCTGATCTATTAGATGACGGTCTGAATATTTTATTAAGTGCTTATTAAGCAGCCATTCGACATCCGCTTCAGTAAATCTAAAAATTATGAATATGATTTATCGAAATATTCTAAGGAAAAAAGCACCTGAATTAGATGCATCAACCAAAGCTCATAATAATATCCAGCTACAATTAATTTTTATGCGATAATCGGTATGATCGATGAGGTTTTGCATTATTTTCCATAAGTGCATCTTTATTTCTTCCTGGTTCTTTTGGATGAGTCCTCTATTAAAATTTTTATCATATCCATCAATAATAACAAAAGCAGCTTGCCCATGAGTTAGATGAAGCATATGAGCCAAATTTCTCAGTGCTGTAGTTATATTTATTTGTGAGCTGAATTTCAGTAGGCAATATTATTTCATTACGATCAATAATATATTCCAGCACCTCAACATCTCGATTTTTATAATTCATTTTTTCTACTCCGTATTGCTCTATTATTTTCTCTAAGTACTGACAATAGGTGGAAATGTGCTCTTGATACACTTCTGAAATTTCTACTTGAATTGTTTCAAAAAGGATTTCCGGAGACATTATTCCTTGTAAAAACATATTAACAAAATCAGGAAAAGTAAACAAAATAGTCAGAATACACCCAGCAAATTGTCTATAATGTCCATTATCAGCATTTATTATTTCAAAGCATTTTTTACTGTCCAAATTATTTAAATCAGTGTTATTTTTTCCTCCTGTAAATAAATACAAATTTGCGAATTGCCCATTTGCATCTTGCTCTGGATTTAAATAACTTTAGATTGAATAATTTTATAAGATAGATTTTTCTTATCGGAAAATTCACATTTTTATATTAACCCCACTTTAATTGAACCTTGACCTTTTCTTCTGCAGGATCACTGCTCTAGCCCTATGGCGTCTTAATTAATCAACTATTTAGCTTATTCTTTTTTTATTCTTCTTTTTCTGTCCTTCCTTTATTTTCTTATTTACTATTGAAAGGTTGGAGTTATTAGATATTTATAAACACTTTTTCTTGCTATCCTAATTTTAAAATAAATTTATTTCTCAAGTCAATTTTTATAAGATTTCAATTATTAAATAATTTTGAGCCTAAAATTATAATGATATTCATATTTATCCGAATCATTTTTGTTGAGTTCCTTTACGAAAATCTTCTTCGTAATTGCAATTGTAGGTTAAAATTCAAATTGTGGAATACCATTTATAACTTCCACAATATTTCCGAGCTATAACTTGCCATTATAAATTTCCATCAAGTTTGTTTTTCTTATATTATATAGTCTATGAGTAAAATCGAAAATTACAAAATTAAATTCTGTACGAACACTGACTCCATTTTAACCAGTAAAAAATAATTATAACTTATGAAGTTAGAGAGTGTAATGCATGCAGACTTCACTGAAAAGTCTTCTGTTGACACATTAACTGACAACCATGACCTATCAATAGTAATAAATACCTTGGAAGTAAATTGCTTCCGCTGTAAGCTCTGTCAAAAAATATTTTCTGAGGCCACGGCGCTCAGAAAGCACTTACTTGAAGAGATGGAGCTCGACAACGAAGGCATTGGCTTCTTGAATTTAGAATTAGGACTCGATTTATCTGATGATATTGAGACCCATATACAAAAATCTACAGCCAATAATGCCAAAAACAGCATAGTTTGCCCTATATGTTCCAAGATTTGCAAAAGTAAAAAGGGTCTGGAACAGCACAAAGGTAAGACTCATATACATAAAAGGAAAAGGTGTGTATGCAAAATATGTGACAAAAAGTATGAAAATAAATATGCTTTAAGGTTTCATATAATACAAGTCCATGAAAAAGCAACAAGAGTGGTATGTGAAATTTGTGGATCAGTCATATATAATAAATATATGCTTGCTGCACATATAGAGAGTGTTCATTCAAAAACTATGGTATAATTAAATAATTTTGAATATAATCTCGGCTATAGGCTCCAGTCGAAATTGTCAAATTAGGCATTTCTATGGATAAAAATTTTCATATTTTCTGGCGAGAAATTAAATATTTCTTAAATGGATAATTTTAATAAAGTGCGATAAAGCACTGTATTGCTAATTGAAAAATAATTATTAATTGGTTTCTAACTAATAATTATTATAGTTCGAATTTCATTAAATTAAAACTTAAAATTATATATCTTTATGGTGCTAGCTTTCTATTACTTTTATTATTTATGATTTTTTAAAATATTTATGAAGATTTCAGAGAGATAGTGACAATTCAAAGAAAAGCTCTATATTTTTAATGGAATTTAATTCAGTTAAGAAACATTTTTGTGTTAAAGAAGTAGCAAATTTTTTTGAAGATTTTTTCTTCAATTTTAAAAGGCTTTTTAATTAAATATTGCATACCTTGCTAAATTTCAATTAACCTTAAAAATATTGAGAAGAAAATAATTCATCAGCCAAAATATAAAAACTTTGGTAGTTTATTTCTTCAACTTAATTGCCTTTGACTTTGTAATTAAAAATATTATGGGATTTATATCAGAAAAATATTAATCTTTTAAGTAAAGCCTAGTTAATTTAACAAAATTAGATTCGCCCGATTTTTCTTTAAATTTAGAATAATTTTTATTTGAATTTTAATTATGCTAAAAATGAGAAATACTGCTGAAAAAATTCCAACTAATAAGTTAAAGGTGCTAATTTCATTTTTGATCAATAAAAAGGTTATTATCAGTAAAAACATCCAGCAGAAACTTAAGTAAATAAAAAATGGACTGCGATATTGTAACTTCAAATCCATCTGACTCCCCATACTCCAAAGCATCCACAGACTGCTCATTCCAAACAATGAGTTTTGAAGATTTTTTCTCTAGCAGCAACACATGTGAAGTATGCAATCAGTCCTTTGCGTGCTGCAAAGGACTTAAAGACCATATAATTCAAGAATTTAATTTGGACAGCGGCGCAGCAGGATTTTTGGATCTTGAATATGGGGAAGACAGTTTTTCAGACTTAGAAACTAACTGTAACACTCCAGTCGACGCTACTAAATGTTCATTTAGCACCCCAAATTTCCAAGCAGAAATTTTCTGTCCTAAATGCTCACAGGTATGCAAAAGCCTGAAGGGATTACAGCAACATAAAGCAAGGGCTCATGTACATAGAAAGAAAAAAGTCCAATGTGAAAAATGCGATAAATGTTTCAAACATAAGCATGCCCTGAAATTTCACGAACGACAGGTTCATGAAAAATCAACCAGAGCGGTATGCGAGTTCTGCGGAGTGTCGAAATATAATAAATATATTTTGGAAAATCACATCAAAAAGGCCCACTCAAATTGCTAAAAAGTGTGAATATATAAATATATAAATAACTATACATATTAAAAAAAAAGAGTATTAAAATGGATATCCTGAACAGAATTCCAAAAAAAACCTATTATTTCACAATAATTTTTTTAATTGCTTCGAGAACTTTTCCTACAGGCTCGGACTTATCCAAACCCAAAGCTTTTATGTTTATTAGACTTATAGAGAAGTTTACTGTAATCCCCGAATATATATATTAAAATGCCGACACGTACCAACCTGCCCTCTTGGCGCAATAGTCCAGCCTTATGGCTAAAGCGAGCTGGGACTGACTGAGATCAAGTTTAGCCTCAGCAAATGTGCATCCGAGTAGGCTATGGTTATTTCCTGTGGTCAAAATACACTGGCTCTGCTAGAAGTGCCAAGAAAAATCTGGCAGGTTACACATTTCCGAACGCCATCCTCGTCCATTCCTCAAGATTCCTACATACCCTGTGAGATGTCAACTACAGGAGTTAAGAGGGTGGATTGGCTCTCCACGCGATTTTAATTTATATACCCAAACCCAAAGCATTTTTCATATTTTGTACAAACAGCCTCATTTCATGGACAAATAAAAATAGCTGCTCCATAACTCCTAATAAGTCATCGCCCATTTTTACTTCAAAAAGTTTTTCAAAATATCTTATCGCTTTAATGCTGTCTAATACCACACTTTCTGGAGTATTTAATTGCAATTTTAAGCTTGAATAAACTTTTTGCTTACTCCTCTTTCCTCATCGAGTGAGCTAACATAATTTTTTGTTACCAATTTTTTAAAAATAATTATAAATGAATTTATATAATTTTTTTTCCAAATTTAAAAAATCCCACGAAAATTAATTTAATTTATAAACTTTATACTTTAAAATGTAGGTTGTTTAAAATTCAACAGAATTAGCTGAATATTTACTCCCCCCCCCCCTCCGTGAGCGAACAAAACCATTAGAAAAATCGCCATTTTTTGACCAAAAACCCACCCTCCGTGAGTGAACAAAAATTTTTTTAATAGAAAAAATTTTAATGGAAAAAAAATTTTGATATATAAGTGATAATTAGTATAATGAAATCTAGAGCTAATTCTGTTTAAATTTTAAACAAATTGCGTTTTAAAACATAAATTTTGCAAATTAAATTAATATTTGCTTCCCAATTTTTGCAAATTAGGATTTTTTTAAATTTCGAAAAAAATATTTTTTATAAATTTATATATAAATTTTTTTAAAAAAAAAAAAATTAAACCCCCCTCCGTGAGCGAACAAAATTTTTTTTGTTCGCTCACGGAGGGGGGGGGGGGAGTTAGTAATAATAATCATCACTTATATTTCAAAATATTTTTTCATAAAAATTTTTTTATTCGCTCAATGTGAATGGTTGGATTTTTTACAAAAAATAGAGGTTTTTTTCCAGTTCGCTTACAAAAGGAGGATTTAAAATTATGCAGATGATCTATCAAAGATTTTAATTCTTTAATGGTAGGAATGACTTCTTCAAAAGCTTTAGAATAAGACTCATAGGTCTGTTCTTTTACTGTGGAGGGTAATAATTCTTGACATACATCTTCTATGAACCTTTCTAGATTAGGCACAACTTTTAAGACTTTATTCATTTGCTCAATTGCACTTAAAATTTCATCAATTGAGTCGACGCCTAAAGCTGAAGCTATTTCTTTGAGCCCAATTGTAGATTCTTTATAAGGGGATTCATATGATTCAGGAGAAGAAAAATAGTTCCGTTGGTCGACTTCTTTTAGACGGCTTTTTAGAAAAGAAATTTGGTCTTGATAAGAGGTTAATTTTCCTTCATATATCAATTTATGCTCTTCAGATTGTGAAATATATGAAAGAACTGACTGGTCGTAGGGTGACGAGTTATCGTAATCTTTGTGTGTAAAACGGCTCTGTGTCATTTGATCGTAAAATTTTCCTCGTGCAGCATTTCCTAGATATTTTGGTCAATTTTTTTTCCTTATTAACTTTTTTTCCAGAAATTACAAAAATCCGATTGGATGTCCATAAGGAAAAAATTCTTACTCCCCCCCCCCCCCTCCGTGAGCGAACAAAACCATTAGAAAAATCGCCATTTTTTTGACCAAAAACCCACCCTCCGTGAGTGAACAAAAATTTTTTTAATAGAAAAAAATTTTAATGGAAAAAAATTTTGATATATAAGTGATAATTAGTATAATGAAATCTAGAGCTAATTCTGTTTAATTTTAAACAAATTGCGTTTTAAAACATAAATTTTGCAAATTAAATTAATATTTGCTTCCCAATTTTTGCAAATTAGGATTTTTTTAAATTTCGAAAAAAATATTTTTTCTAAAAATTTATATATAAATTTTTTTAAAAAAAAAAAATTAACCCCCCTCCGTGAGCGAACAAAATTTTTTTGTTCGCTCACGGAGGGGGGGGGGGGGGAGTTATGAAATGACTGTAAAACATTTCAAAAAACTCTGAAGTAGTCGTCTTTTTTTGATCGATTTCGAGGAGTTGAGCTTGACTCTGGAATTGGTGAGCTTGCTCTCATGCTGCTTCTTGGAGTTTTTTCATTATAATTTTGAGATTTCAATTTTTCATATTCTGAAATTAAAGCTAAAATTGCATCAATTATGGATTTTATATCAGGAGTGCCATAGGAATTTATGAAAATTGCATCAAAATCATTTTTCAGCAATAATTCATTGATATAGTCTCAGTCTTCAGTAGTTTGAATTTGAGATCTGCACATCTCGGTTAAAATTTTTATTTCTTCTTGAATTTCATTTGATTCTTTTAAAAAATCGTTTATTGGCTTTTCAAACAGACTTTTGGAGATCTCAGCAGTTTTTAGGTGCTCTAAAAGAGATGTATTAGGATCTGATGAGTAGATTGGAGATGCTCGCCTATGTGTATTTGAAGAGTCTTTTAAGTCTTTTTGAGAGTAATGTAAATTTGAAAATGCACCTTTAGAAACTGCTCTTTTTGAACTTTGAGAACGATGTGAATCAGCCATGCTCTATTTTGAGTTAAAAATTAATAAAATAATATTCGAAAATTATTTAACAATTAAATTTCAAATGGAAATAAACTTTGAAAATCAACTTCATTATTGATCATTTAGAATAATAAAACTTTTCAATGTAGCTAGTCTAATTTCGTTTGATTTTAATCTTAATATTCTTAATTAGCCATTCTTACTATAATAATGCTCCAAAAATCTATTCTTTACTCCAAAAATTATAAATTATTAAATTTTTTTTGAAGCGAAGAGTTTAAATTTCTTCTCATAATAACATATATCAATAAGATAAAAAATAGATTGAAATTTACCTTTACTCTTTAAAAAATTATTTCAGATTTATTCAATTCGTTCTTAACTTTAAGAAAGTTATTAAAGAGCTTTAATCAGTGAAATAAAAGTAATCATAAGCTGAGTTGTCATAAGCTCTCATGCCACAAGCACCTGCTCCGTATATGAACAAAAGCCAAGGAATCAAATAAATTTTTCCAGGAGCTTGCTTCCAATAAATAGCTTGTAACCACTCTTTTGTGAATGGTTTCCTAATATAGTTCTGGTTCAAAGTATAATGTGAGCGCTGATGAACGATGAGGCCTTTTCCATAAGTATAGTCCATAAGCCAATGACGAGCCATAGGGTGAAGGTCTGTTGCAGTATTTTGTGGGAATCTCCACACTCTTTGCCTGTGATTACCCCATTTGTAATAGGCTGTATTGTTAATAGTGGGCTCAACAAAGACAACACCGCCACCACGAGGAGGGTTAAGCCAAAGCTTTGAAGTTGACATATTTATGGTGATTAATCAAAGAATAATTAGGTCAGCATATTTTCATAGAGATCCTTGGGCAATCTAGATATTTATGCCATGCTTAATTGAGTGTGGGCCTATAAGCATTTATTTTTAAAAAAAATTTCCTATTTGAAGCAAAATCTTTGCCACAGACTCATATAATTCAACGAAAAAAGAATAATATTTATTTCAGATATGAAAATTCCAAAGAAATTTAAAATACAAATTTTATCGTAAATTTTAATAATAAAAATGATATGTCATTTTTTATAATTAAACCTGATATTTAAATAAATGTAATCTTACACAACTGATGCTGCCTAGATAAACTGAATATTTTTATGCACATCCCTTCATTCTAATTATTAGAAAATATATGATTTTTATTTGTATTAAATCATTTGTTTACCTTAAAGCAAATCGCTTAAAATCTTTAACTTATTATCTCACAAATTTTCATTGCAGAGTTTAGTTTCTATTGATATAATAATAAAAATGATGCGATATTTAAGAAGATGTCTAAGTACAATCGACTCAACTAAATCTATTGATTTCATTTCTGCTTTAGTCACAGTCCCAGAGAAACACACAATTATGGAATCTCTCTACTTTTATCCTTACCTGAATGGTCGATATTGTGGATACATTATAGTAGACAAAAGAACTAAAAAAATAGTAGCAATAGACTGCGGCGATTATAGGACTTGCAGATACAATATAGAGAAAATAATGAAAGAGGTGAACGGGAGTTTCGATACTTTGCTTTTAACTCATGGGCATGATAATCACTGCATAGGAGCAAAAGATTGGCATCGAGTCCATCCTGAGCTACAAATAATTGGTGGAAGCCAGTTTTTCCCATATGTTCAGCCAGTTGAAGACGGAAAAATTATTTTTGTTGGAGATCTCTGCATTTATTGTATGAAAACTCCTGGACATACAGAGCATGATATCTCTTATGTTATCACTGAAGTTTCAGAAAATTCCACCAAAACACCTGTCGTTTTTCCAGGAGACACACTATTTATTGGAGGAGTTGGTGAAGCTTATACAGGAAAATACGATCTTCTTTATAACTCAGTTAGGACTCTAAAGAGTTTGCCTAATGAGACCATAATATTTTCAAGCCATTTTAATGCGCTTGAAAATATAGCATTTGCTCATATGATTGAGTCTGAAAATTTTGTTTTGAAAGAAAAATTAAAATGGGCAAAAGAACAAAGAGAAAGCAAAAAATTAATTTGCTCGTCAATATTGGCTGAAGAGAGGCTTTATAATCCATATTTTAGGACTGACCAAGCACATTTCAAAACATTTACAGAAGCACAAGACCCTGTTGACTGTTTTATGAGGCTTAAAATAATGCAGAATAAAATAATGTCGTAAAATAAATCGTTTTTATATCAAATTTAGCATTTGCTTTAGCAATAAATTAAACATTTAAAGATGGAAAATTTTAAGTCAAGAAGGAATTCTCATAGTTTGAATAATTTATTATCGAATAGATCTCAAGAACGCCCACCAAAATTTGCAAGGATGAATAAAGCTAACGAAACCTTAAGAGACTGAAAATCTTCTCGAGCTCCGCTGTTAAATCATAAATATGATGTGAAGAAAAAAGCCAAAAATGGAACTGCCTCAATGCTGGATATTTTAGAACAGGAAGAAAAATCTGAATATTCTGATCAAATAGTGTCTTCAGAAAATGCAAGTGAAATGAATTTAGCGAATGATAAAAGTTTTCTGCCTTCAATTACTTTGTGTGGGTTTTATAAGCCTCAGCAATATCCTCTACACACTATATCCAGGCCTGCTGTATTTAGCTCAAAGCTAGAAATACATGAAAAGCAAAATAATAGAGTGGATAACTCACTCCTATTGTTATTGATTAATAATTATTTTATTTATGATGATAAATTAATTGCTGTTAGATTTAATCAAAGAATTTTTATTAATATAAATTTTGACTAGCAGAAATTTGCACTTTAATCAAGGAGTTAGAAAAATATGCAATTATCCAACAAAATAATAAAAATAACGAAACTGAGCTCGAAGAAATTATAAGAAAAAGAATCACACTTCCCCCAAATAAATTTTCAAAAACAGTCATCCTAGACCTCGATGAAACCCTTGTCCACTGTTCAAAATACATTGATAAAAATGACATCGTAATAAAACTCAAGCTGCCAGATTTTCCCACAGGACGTTTCGGAGTAAAAATTCGTCCTCATACATCTGAGTTCCTACAAGAAATAAGTCAATTCTTCGAAGTCATAATATTCACCGCTTCAACAGCTCTTTACGCTGATCCAATACTAGACTTATTAGATCCTGAGCACAAATTTTTCACCCAAAGATTTTACCGAGAAAGCTGCATCCACAAAGGCCATCTCAAAGTCAAAGACCTCCGAATTTTTTCTAACAGAAACCTAAAAGATTTAATAATCATCGACAATTCCTGAAACTCCATTTCCAACCAAAAATCCAATGGAATTTTAATAACCAGCTGATATGGCGACTCATCAGATCACGAACTTCAAGACGTTCTTTCCTTTTTAAAATATCTATGCAGCGTAAAAGACGTCCGTGAGTCCATCAAGCTAGCCCCGAAGGCATTTTCCAAGCACAAAGCGAGTAAATCTTATAATAGTCTTTAGGCTTGCTAATATTCGTTTCTTAAATATGAGTCAAAGCTTAGTTGTTCTCTATAGTATCGGAGGTACCTGTGCGTGCATATCTTTGATAGCCTCAATTCACCTGCTTGCTCAGCACTTTTGGCACTTTTCTAAGCCTGACTATCAGATGTATATATGCAGGATCATACTTATGGTACCTGTCTATGGGATCACATCGTGGATTTCAATGCTTTACCCTGCAAACAGAGCGTTTTTTAATATTTTTAGGGACTGCTACGAAGCTTTTGTGCTATACAGCTTTACGATGCTGTTGATGAACTATGTAGGAGGAGAAAGAAAATTGATTATTAGTTTGGAGCTTAAAGATAGAATAAGCCACCCATGGCCGTTTAATTGATTTTTTAAAAGTTTTACCCCTGGAAGTATGTTTATTCGCCTTGTGAAAGCTGGGACTTTACAGTTTGTGCTATTCAGACCTTTATCTTCAGCACTGACACTTTTATTTGAATTTTATGGAATTTACCACGAAAATGCTTACAACTATGAAGACGCTTTTCTTTATTTATTTGCCTTGAATAACGTATCCTTTTCTTTAGCACTGTATGGGCTGTTACTTTTTTATGTGTCTACTGAAGAAATGCTGGAGCCTTATAAACCACTACCAAAATTTTTATGCATAAAAATAGTGATTTTTTTTTCTTTTTGGCAAGGTATTTTAATAAATATTTTGCAGCAGCTGGGATTTATTAATGAAACTGTAGGACTGAAGCCTGAAGAAGTTGCTATAACTCTTCAAGAGTTCTTAATTTGTATAGAAATGCTTATAGCTGCTTTTGCACATATGTTTGCGTTTGGGTATGAGGAGTACACTTCAGAGGTGAACCCTGTGTTTTTGCCAATTAAATCAAGTGTGGCTTCAGGCTTTAAATCTGTATTCTTAGCAGAGGATGTGATAAAAGAAGTTAAAGACTCAATAAACCCAGTTCCTTATGATTTTGAGCTTCACAATTAACTTTTATTTATAGGCCTATAATAATCTTATAGTAAATTTATTGAATTTAAATAAAATTTAAAATCTGAAAACAAAATAAATGGAATCTGAAGATGACAAAGAGCTAAGGATTCGTGACGCTTTTCGAATGATTGATAGGGATGGAAACAACTTAATTGAGCTGAAAGAAGTAGAAGCCTTCATCTTCAACCAAGGAATGAATATTCAACAAGAAGAGCTGCAAGAATTTATGGAAAAAATCGACACCAATAGAGATGGGAATATACAATATGGAGAGTTTGAAAAAGCAATGAAGGAATTTTACGAAGAAGGTGCAGAGGAAAGGATGCTGAAACAAGTGTTTGATTCTATAGACAGAGACCACGATGGATGTATCCGGTCAAATGAGTTGAAATATGCGCTGTATTGCCTTGGCGAAGAAATTCCTGACGCAGATATTGAAAACATGATCCAGTTTGCCACAAATGGGAATGATTTTGTCACTTTTAGTGAGTTCGTGAAGATGTCGAAATAATTTACATCTTCTTGATGGTTAATAATTCAGTTAAATGTGCTTTTTTAATCAAAATGCTGAAACCTGCTCATCAAAATAAGCATCAACGTTGATAATGCATATAAGAAATTTGAAATCTAAAAAAGGTTATTTAGTGGTGGTGACGCTTTCTGTATTGTCTGACATACCCCGGAATTCTGCATTTGCAAGGCTTATTTTTCTTATAATTCCATCCGCTACCAAGACATCGGGTGCATAGTCCTCTTGATTTGGCGCAAGCTTTGCATGCTCTTCCATGATGCTTGTAGCCAGTTCCTCTGCACTTGTGGCACATCGGATTTGGAATAAAAGGCAACGGACCAGATCCTACATGGGGGAACATTTGGGCTCCTGGCATCATTGGTGGAACTCCGTATCCTGGTTGCATCGGATAGCCTGGTTGAGGGTAGCCTGACTGCGGAACTCCAAAACCTGGATGAGGATGGACATAGCCAGGATGAGGAGGTGCAAAACCGGGCTGAGGTGCAAAACCGGGCTGAGGAGGGATAAAACCTGGCTGAGGAGGATAACCTGGCTGTGGAGGATACCCTTGAGGAGGATAAGGCTGATTAGGATAGCCACCTTGAGGAGGATAGCCGCCTGGATAGTTTGGATAACTCATTTTCTTTTATACGACCATTTCTGATTGGTATAAAAGGACAAAGCTTTTTTTATCGAAATTTCTTTTTATTTACAACAAATAAAAATTCCTTGAGTCATTTAGCCCTACCATAAGTTTGAATCAATTCTTATGATTTTTTATCAATTTATGCAAAAATTTTCTATGTTCATCTATAGCATTATCTACTTAAAAATTTATATAGTATCCAATTTAATAAATTGCTGTTTTGAGAGAAATTTTTATGATTATACCAGAAAGAAACATTTTTATAGATTTTTAGAAAATTCAAAATTATTCAGTGCAATTATATTTAGAGATTATTGAGAAGCTCTGCTTGATTATAAACTTTTAGTAATTCTCTAATATATCTAATATTTGCTTTCTATTCATTCTAAAATCACTATAAATATGATCATTATTTTTCATCTTACTTTCCCAGCTATATTAAACCATTAAATCTCCCAAGAAAAGTATAATTAGATGCTAATAAAAGTAATCTTTAAATGTATTAGAAATCCTTAATAAAATTAATGAAGTAATTAACATTATCAAAGCAAAAGAAATTATTATATATTATAACAAAAATTTCTTTATTTCACCATCCAGCAAAACATCCCTATTTATGATTTGTATTTCATTAAATTAGCAGCCATGCAAAAATCTAAAAGAAAACAATTGACTCAGAATCCTACGATCCCCAAGATTTTTTCAAATCCTGACTTAATGAAAACAAACTCAATTTTCGCTCATCCATTATTCACAAGTTCCCCAGCTTCATTCCGTAATACTCCTGACATTGAAGAATTGATGAATTCAGCTCGCAAAGACACAGCACGATTTTCCCAATTCCTCAGCCTTCAAATTCCATCCTCTACCATTTCCAGCCCTAATAAGCCGCAGCAAAACAAGACTATAAATCTTTATAAGTCTTACCCATCCCCAAGCAGAAATGCAACGCCCAGTACAATGAGCCAATATCCAAACGATCAATCAAAACTTAAAAAAATTAATAAAGAAAATAGATCTTTAAGGTCATTGATCAATAAACTTCAGGCAGAAGTTTTAGCAGTTTCTCAAGAAAATATGAAGCTTATGAAAGTTGAGCATAAGTGTAATGCAATTGAAACAGAAATTGAAAAACTGACGAAGGAAAATGAAGAAATCAAGAAAAAATTAAGCGGAAAGCATAGAAAAGCAAATATAAAGAGATTAGAAAATGCTATGGATGGGTTTAAGATGAAAATTTCAAAAGCATTGAAATACAGGAACTAAATGTAAATTGTTACAAAATTTAAATAATAAATAATCTATATATTAATTTTAATCTAAAATTAGAAAATAATAAAAATTATGGGATTAGCCACTGTGATTGCAGGATATTTTTTGATTATATCAAGCGCGATATTTTTTATAACAACCATGACGTGAATTATAGGAGCTAAACTCCTATTTGGAAGAGAAGAAAACGCAATCCTCAGATGAATTCAAGAAGACAAGTATTATTGTTTTTTAATCCCAATGATTGTTCCCACAACTTTTATTTTGGTTTATGGAAATTGGCTTTCTATGAAATTCTTTAGGCATAACTAATGATTCATTTAATTCTTACTTCCCCCCCCCCTCCGTGAGCGAACAAAAAAATTTTGTTCGCTCACGGAGGGGGGTTATTTTTTTTTTAAAAAAAAAATTTATATATAAATTTTATAAAAAATATTTTTTTCGAAATTTAAAAAAATCCTAATTTGCAAAAATTGGGAAGCAAATATTAATTTAATTTGCAAAATTTATGTTTTAAAAACGCAATTTGTTTAAAATTAAACAGAATTAGCTCTAGATTTCATTATACTAAATTATCACTTATATATCAAAATTTTTTTCCATTAAAATTTTTTCTATTAAAAAAAATTTTTGTTCACTCACGGAGGGTGGGTTTTTGGTCAAAAAATGGCGATTTTTCTAATGGTTTTGTTCGCTCACGGAGGGGGGGGGGGAGTTAAGAAATATCCTATTATTTTAATTAATTAAACAATTATTTTCTTGAATCAACTGGATCCAGTTTTCTTAAGTTGATCAACAAATTTCGATTTTTATAGACCCTTCTAGGACTGTCTTCTTTAGCCGCATCTATATTAATTGGCTTTGTTACATTTTTTCTGCCTAAAATTAGTCTTTGTTTTAAGGTAATAGGCGATCCATAAGGTGGGCTCAAATTATTGAAATTTGGAGTGTTAGGATGCCCATATGGAGGACTGTAATTTAGATTTGGGTCTACAAAATTCGACGAGGCACGCTTAAGAGTTCTTTTTTTGGCTTCTTTCTTCAAGAATCAAGGATGAGCTAAAGCTTCACTTGCCGAATATCTTAAATTAGGGTCTTTTTCAGTCAATTTTACAACCATATTCATAGCTTCAACTGAAATATTTTTCCAATGTTTTTCATAGAAATTTATATTGCAGTCTCTATTATTTAGCAGCACTTCCTGCACATTTCTCCCATAAAACGCAGCTCTCCCGGTAAGTATCACATATAATATTACCCCAATGCTAAAAATATCAACTTTAACACCATATGGATTTTTCCATAATAATTCTGGAGCTGCATATCCTGGGGAGCCACACCTTAAAGTTAGATCTTTGCTTGATAAAGTGGCTAAGCCAAAATCGGCGATTTTAAATTCAGTGTCATTTTCTTTATCCATCATTAAAATATTTTCAGGTTTTAAGTCTCGGTGAATAATGTTTTTTGAATGAACATATTCGAGGACTTCAAGTAAATTTTTGATAAACTGCAAAGCAGTTTCTTCAGGGAAGCAGCCTCTTCTTGTTACTCTACCAAATAAATCCCCATTTTCCATGTAATCCAATATCAGATGAACACACTCATCGTCTTCATAAATTTTATGTAGTTTTACTAGTCTTGGATGAGACAAGACTCTCATGATCTCAATTTCATTTATCAAAGCAGGCAAGGCTCTTTTATTTGCTAATAAATTATCTTTTGAAACTGATTTTACTGCAAATTTTTGCTGAGTTTCTCTATCCAAAGCAAGAAAAACTGTAGCAGTAGACCCTTTTCCGGCTTCTTGAATTATTGTATATTAATAACACTGATTAAATCCTGATTTGGCTGATATCATTATTATTTTCAAATAAAGTAAAAGATACAAATTTATAATAAATAATATATAATAATCCTGCAATCTAGTTGCAATTGCAACGGTTGATAGATATCTTACCCACTTCTGAAGCTTGACCGACGTTACTGGATAAAAATCTTTGCTAATTTTCCCGGAGGAAAGTGAAAATCCAAGCCTTGGCCTGGATTCATTCTCCTCTGTAAAAATTGTTAATGTTTTCCAACTAATTATACACATTTTCTTTGGTGGACTTTTGGCATTAGAACAATAATAAAGTCCTGAATTGGTTAAAATAAAACGCCGCTTCTTAAGCTGCCCTGAGGAGTTCATGACGAATAAAGACCCTGCAAAGATGAGGTTTTGGGCTAGGTCTGGGATATGCGTGCCATTGAATGGCGTCCAAAAAGTCTTCCCAGGATTCGATCTTCTGTCAGAGGAGAAAAATATCGAATTCATGATGGGAATTTATTTAAATTATTAGGAGTTTCATGTAATTTTATTGATATTATCAAGGGTCTTTCTACTAGAATTCTTTATTAATTGCTAAGATATTTAGTAATATTCTCTCCATTTATTTTCTTATCAAGAACTATATTTATGCACCTTAATTCAAAATAAATTCGGAATAATATGATCTGACCTAAGTTTTGAGGATTTTTACCAACCAAAAAATTATAATAAATTAATAAAATTAGCATTCGAAGCTTCTTCTGGGAATTCCCAATATCCAAGATCATCAACTTGCAAGCCTAAAGACTTTCGTCTTGGTTCTAAATCTGTTGGTGTTTTTGTTGTCATTTGTAAAGGAGTATTCGATGTCATCTGAGCATGAGAATACGGAGTATAAGTTCTCCCATTTCTCTTCGTGATTTTTAACTTGGGAGAATTCATTTTATAAACGAAAGGAGATTGTATGCTAAATTCTTCTGCAATTTCATTTGGTTTAGACTTTATCGGAGTTGTTGGCCGGCTTTGATGTATAATTTTTGTGCTTGTATTATCTTCGCTTTGTTTTGATGATGTAAAAGAGGTAATTGGCCTTGCTAGATTAGAAGGCTTTATATTTGAAGAACCTGTAACTTCTGCAGACGTAAATCGTCTATGTTTTAGTTTTGAGCCTGGCAAGGCACTTGAGGTTACAGGTCTAGTAAAATTTAAGAAAAGTCCTGACAAATGAGGAGTATGAGTTTTTCTTTCACTTGTATAAATTGCTTTTAGTTTATGTCCTCGGATATTTCAGTTGCCGTGTATAAAAGTGGAGATTCCTGTGTCAATTGGTATAATTTTTGTTTGGAAATTATTAACTTCTAATTGGAGCTGTTTATCTTGGGATTTTTTAAGAGGTTTTATATTTTTGTTTTTTAATAGGCGCTTTTTAAGAATTTTTGGACTGGCTGATAAAATCTTCGGATCAAAGGTGGAAAATTTGGAAGCTTTCATTGGAGTAAAATTTAGTTATTTAAGAAATCTCTTTATTTATTAAGGAATATTAATTAATTGAGATTTTCGTATTAGTCAAACAAAGTTAATTTTAAAAGTTTTATGTAAGAATCATTCTTATTAACTTATTCTTGTATATAATATAATCAAATTAATTAAGCACATAAGCTAGTCTTCTTTTTATTTAGCATTTCAAACTTTGCTTTGAATTCTTGTTTTATTTGTCATTTTAATCTTAAATTTTTATTTATAATTGAAAAGAGAAAAGATAGCAATTAAGAAAGAAATCATTTTTTGATAAAATTATAGTGCTGTAATCTTAGATCATATTCACTAATTTAAACTCTTCATCGAAATTAAAATTTTATTTTTTTATCTCAAATGACGACATTTATTTTCAGTATTTTTATCATTTTTGCTCAAATAAAGTATGAAGTAATAGAGCATTAGTCACTAATGCTATTAATAAAAATGTTGGCAATTAGAGTAATTTCACGATATCTATCTCTATGCACAGCAGAGCAAAAAATACTCAATTTATCGAGACAATAAAGTGTTGGATTATTTATTTATATCAAAATGCGCACAATATGAGTTTTTATAAAAAAAAATAATTAATTCGCTAAGCAATAAAAATTTTTGTGTAAATAAAATCTCAATAAGCGCTTAAAGATATAGAATAGGTTTTAGTCTGCTTGTAGACAGAAGGTAATTATTTTATTCTGAACCATAATTTAAACTTTATGAGTTTTCATTATTTAAAAGAAATTATATGATATTAAATTCATAAGTTATTCAACTTAAATAATCGGGCAAGAATTAACCCAATACTATTACATCTTCGATTGCCAATTATATATACATTTCACATAAACCATTTTAACTTGCACTTACCAGATACAAAATCCTTTTCTATTTTTGCGATTTTGCATAAAAGCAATAATCATCAAATTAAACGCAAATATTAATGAAAATCTATATTCAGGTATTAGTTTTTTACTAATTTTTGTTTTTTCTTTTGCATCGTTCTCGCCTTTACATTAAGGTTTTCAATCACAAGCGGTTTGATATCTCCACTGCTTAAGCATATTACCGCCAATAAAAAAACTTCGTTCGTGTAATGGCTACTTACTTCATTTATGACCATATTTTCAAACTTTACTATTCCCGGCTCGCTCATTTCTGCTTCTGTTGTCCCGCGAAGGATTTTCTTGCCACGGATATTGCATTTAAGTAGCTTTGGCTCATCGTCTGATGTAAAAAGCAGCACCTTGCATCGAGTATGGTTTTTTAAAAATACATTTTCATTGGAAGAATTTCTAAGAGATACTGCCAATGAAAATCCTCTTTCTTTATAGAGTGTCAGAGGGAGCTCCGATTCCAATTGTAAAGTATACTGGAAATCTCAACGTGATCTTAATAGCTGAAAGACCTCGCTTGAATCGTAAGATTGCTCCACAATAATCTCAGAGTGTCTTGGATTCGACAAAAACAATGAGAGCTGTTGTACTTCACAATGAACCTTGTTTAAGATAATTTCAGTCTCTAAGTTCTTGTTAATTATCATATGCAGCATCGTGTTCTGACTATTGACAATTGAGCATGCACGGTCGATTTCTGAAGACTGCGTGTAGGAAAGCAAGCCTTGGGCAAAACCTGAGTAAAAATATAGACACTCCTGATGATTGCAGAGCTCAGGGTTCTGGGTGATTAAGCACATATTTTATTGAACAAGCAATTTCTGTAGGGCAAAAATGAAAAAGAAAAATCAAATAGGTCTGGAGTTTTAATACGATAATGGCTGCTCAGTTATAGCGCTTTTGAATATAAAAATAGACAAATAGAGATTGGCTAGGGTGTTTGCAGCAATTCTGTCTAATAAGGTGCTATATTTGCTTAAGTAGTTTGAGTTATGCAAGTGCATTTTGTTCGTGGGGCTAACTGTAATTCGAAGTAAATATGCTTACGACAAATAAGGGACCTTGATTCTGATATAAGCTTAATTAAAAAACTTAATAGCTTGGAATTCTTTATAATAAAATAGTATAAAGTCCATAATTGTAGAACATCAATTTGGCTCGTCTATTTATTATTATTCAACGTGAGGCTTTTTAATATGTGTGGGATTAGATACCTGCAGTTTCTCTAAAATTTTAGCTATATTATTTGCATTTTTATTGCATTATATATATATTTAAATTAATTGTCCTAATTTTAAAAAAAATCTTGATCAATATTATAGGATTCTGGCTATCTTGCAAATGTATATAAAATATTCTAAATAAGTATAAGAATTCAAATTTTATCAAAAAAATTAATCAGTCAAAGGTTTAAAAGCGAATAGTGCAGCATCGAAGATTATATTTCAAAATACTGCTTAGTTGTGATAGTTTGATTTAAATAATATAAAAATATTTTGCATTTTTTATGATAATATTTTTATTTGTTGCGTTCCATTTGAAAAATGCCATTTTAAATTGCTTTTAAAATGGTTTTACACTCTATTCTATATTTATTTTAATAATTTAAACCTATCATTCATAATCAGTCCGTTTTATTTTGTTATGACTTATAATGATTCCATAAGTCTATATTTAAGCCGCCATAAATATAAAAATAGCAATTTTATTTAATTTAATTATTAAAAATAAATATTTTATGAGAGTGTATTTAATATAAGATATCATTATATCTCATCAATAATTCTTAATTACTAATCTCCTTTAATTCCATATTTAGAAGGTTAGATCGAATATTAATCAAAAAATTATTTTATGTATAAATCTTCTAATTTCCTATAACAAACAATATGGAGCTAGATCAGCGATTTCTAAAGCCAAAGCCTCTTCTATTACGCTATGACATTCTTCCTTTTCTAGCCTCCCAGCTCTTCCTGATCTGAACCTATTGAGTAATCCCTATCTAGAAACAATATTTCGGGCTCATATATTTTTCAATCGCTATTTCTCTGCTTCTTTCCCAGCTTCTTCTTTATCTCTTTACACACTGAAGCAACTACATCCGAGGACTCGTTGCCTTTAGCTCAACCACTCTTGAAGACTCCACCCACATCTTAATCCAATCAAAAAAGCACAAACACAAGCACCGTCTCTGACAAATTGTCCCATTAAATAGAAATCCTTTATCATTTGAATATTTTCACAAAAAATACGTTTTTGATGACTCCATAGGCCAATTTAATAAAGTCCCATATCCTATAGGACTGACTTTTCAAGAATATAAAGAATCTAAATCCTTAAGCGAAGAGCTTTTAAACAAAGCAGAAACCAAGTGGGGAGGAAACAAAATGGAGCTCCCAATCCCTACATTTTCAGACTTAATGCTTGAACACATACTGGCTCCTTTCTTTGTGTTCCAATTATTTTGTGTTTTATTGTGGATGCTTGACGAGTATTGGCAGCTTTCGTTTTATACCCTGGTAATGCTTGTGGTATTTGAGTCTACTGTGGTAATGCAGAGAATTGCGAACTGGAAAAGAATTAAAGCGATGAGAAGGCCGCCTCAGCCTATTTTAGCATTGAGAAATAAAGGATGGCGTGAAATCAGCTCTGACTTGCTATACCCTGGGGATATTGTGTCGATTACTAAAAAAGACCAAAGGCTGGTTTTGCCTTGTGACATGCTTTTGCTTGATGGAAGCTGCTCAGTTGACGAGTCAATTTTGACAGGAGAATCAGTCCCACAGATGAAAGATGATATTTCTCAAAGGCATCCGCAGGACTGCTTATCTTTAAAACAAGATAAAACTCATTTGCTGATGGGCGGAACTGAAATCTTAGACGTAAAGCTAGGAAAAGACTCTCAAGGGATGAGATGCTACGTGCTTAGGACCAGCTGGGATACAACCCAAGGGAAATTAATGAGAACCATTTTATATTCATCAGATAGACTGACTGTAGGAAGTAAAGAAGCATTTTTCTTTATCTCAATTTTATTGGTTTTTGCATTGATGGCTACAGGTTATGTAGTTTACTATACAATGGATGACCCAAAAAGAGACCCTTATAAGCTCCTCTTAAAATGCATTTTAATTATCACTTCTGTAGTCCCACCTGAGCTGCCTATAGAGCTTGCTTTAGCTGTGAATTCTTCAATCCTTTCTCTCCAAACCAAACAAATATTTTGCACTGAGCCTTTTAGGCTTCCTCTTGCTGGAAAAGCATCAATTTGTTGCTTTGATAAAACAGGGACATTGACTGACCAAGATTTTGAAGTAAAAGGAATTAGCATAAGCTCAGGAAATCTTTCAGAGTCGAAATCCTTAAGACAGCTAGATTCCTCAAGAGAAGCTTCTTTAGTAATCGCTGGGTGCAATACTTTATCTTTTGTAAATGGAGACTTTATTGGTGACCCAGTCGAAAAAGCAGCCTTTAAAGCGATAGGAGCTCAGCTGACTGAGAATGGCATAAACTTCAAAGGACTGCCTATAACAATTTTAAAGAGATTTGGCTTTACTTCAGACTTAAAAAGAATGAGCACCGTCATAAGGCTTTCAGGAAATGGACCTGTAAAACCTTTGTTATTAGTCACAAAAGGTGCTCCTGAAGTACTGCAAAATCTTTTTCAAGAGGTGCCAGTTTTTTATAAAAATTTACTGGAGCATTTTGCATCACAAGGGCTTAGAATTTTGGCTTTGGGGATCAGGGAGTTAACTAATGAAGAAGCAATGAAGCTTTCTGATATTGGAAGAGATGAACTAGAAAATAAGCTGCAATATTGTGGACTTTTAGTACTGAAAAGTCCTATAAAACCGGATACAGCTGCAGTTATTGAAGAAATTTTGGCATCTGGGCATAAGTCTGTAATAATTACTGGGGATAATATTTTTACAGCTGGAGAAGTAGCGTTAACACTGAATTATGGCCAAGAACTGAGGTTTATTGAGATTAAAAGTAATGAAATTGCGGTTGTTGACAACTTAGGAAACCCAGGAGAAGTTTCAGAGAAGAGCGTGCTATGTGTCAATGGAGACGCTTTGCCTATGATAATTGAAAGAAATGTCTTCAGGCAATGCCTATATCAATAGGGTAGCTTATAGCGCTAAACTGAGAATTTCCCCTCAGGCTTTGAATTTCCCCTTTTTGCAGAAAATCGATTCAAAATTCCATTTTTTGTGATTTTTGTGTGGACAATCTAGTAGCATGCTGCAAGGCTCTTAGCTTTTCCACTGGAGCCGACCTGACGAGGAGGAGAACCTACTCATAGATACCATGACATCAGGTTGTGAAAAAGAGGAAAGGTGATGCTTGAGCTAATTTGACAAGCGAATTCATAATCACAAATCAAGCAAGTTCTCTCTGGCAACGTGGCAAAGAGGGTGAACTCCCTGCGAGGATTTTTGGTGACTGCCTTGCCAATAGGCAAGCAGCCAACCCGTAATAAGCTTAAGTTTTAGCCTATGATAATTGGCTCAGACATCTTTTATAAGGTAAAAGTCTTTGCTCGAGTTTCTCCAGCACAGAAAGAACAAATCGTGAATGAATTTAACAGAAAGCACGTAACCATTATGTGTGGAGATGGCACCAATGATGTCGGAGGGCTTAAAAAAGCTCATGCTGGCATTGCTTTATTAAACAAGCCTGTAGCTGTAACAAAGCCTAACACCCCATCATTGACTTCTGAAATGCTCGAACTCGGCGATGCCTCAATGGCTGCACATTTTACCTCAAAAAAGTCCACAATTCTTGCAGTAAAGCATTTAATCCAGCAAGGAAGATGCACATTGGTAACCACCTACCAAATGTATAAAATCCTAGCCTTAAACTGTCTGATGTCTGCATTCAGCTTGAGCGTCCTCTATTTAGATGGTATTAAATATGGGGACACACAGGCCACAATAGGAGCTATCTGTATCTCGGTCTTCTTTTTCTTTGTATCAAGATCTACATTACATTAAATTGATTAGCTTGCATTTCTTGTTTAACGTCCAATATCACATCACCTAGGGCTTCAAGGTACCCTGCTAACTGGTTTCCTCCGCTTCAGGCATTCTGATTTCAACAGCATATCAAAATCTACACCTATGGACAAATTAAGCCATCATCATCCTCCATCAACAGTTTTTGAGCCTCATATCATTATTTCAGTTTTTGGGCAGTTTGCAGTGCAGCTGATTGGGCTGTTATATGTAAATTATATAACAAAGCCTTTTGTACTTAAAGATGATGATTTTAACCCAGATTCGGATTTCAAGCCAAATATTTTAAGCTCGGCGATATTTTTATATACTTCTTGGATTAATGCAGCGAATTTCTTAGTTAATTATCAAGGAGAGCCGTTTATGAAGAAGCTGCAGGAGAATGCGGGGCTGTTTAAAAGCTTGAAAGTGTATTTTGTGGTGATTTTGGCGGCGGCTTTGCAAGTTGATCCATTGCCTGAGATATTGGAGCTGTTTCCGTTTCCAAGCATTGAGTACTCGTTTCAGCTGGCTGGGGTCCTGGTAGTAAATCTTGGGCTGTGTTTGGGAATAGAAAAAACTTGCAATTATTTCAGATATCGTGATTAAATAACTGGATAATACACATATTTATTATTGACTAAAAGATAACAAGATATATAAGGCAGTTTTTTTCATGAAAATTAATTAGCTTTAATAAAAGAGGCTTTGGATTATTTGCAGATTTGAAAACAAGGCTAAAAGCTTTAGCTTAAGGTGAGTAATATTTTCATATATTAAAAATTTAATTTAATAATTTCTCACCGCCTTTCAAATTGAACAAAAAATTCTGTTTCAATTTAAAGAAGATTAAAATAATATATATTGAATGATTTTTTTGATACAAAATTTTAACTAGCCAAGGATCCAACTATTAGAAAAGTATGCATTCTATAAATTAGGTCAAAGCTATTTTTAGAAAAATCATATAAAATTTTCCAATTGAAAAAAATAAATTTTGTCCCAATATTTGGGTTTAATTTACTTCAAAGGGGGAAGTAAGTGAATTTTGAGATTTATATGAAGTAAAAATATGGCCTCGGTATTGCCTTCCGAATAATCATAATTGAAATATATTTATCAATTCAATATCATCTTCAATAAAAAACTTAATAATATTTAAAAAACTAATGAGAAATTTATCCTTTTCTAATACAATTCTTTTCCATTTTTTCAACTCAAGCTCAATCATGAAAATATTAAACTATGAATATAAGCCAAACCACAATATACCGATATTTCAGCGTTTGAATTTTCATTTTCAACTTTGACTTATTTTCTCACGCAAAAGCAATTATTCTCTTATCTCTCGCCTATTTCAACATCAAATTTGCAGAAAACCTGATAACCTACTCCCTCATCTACTTCACAACCCCAAACCCATCAATTTTCGAAATTGGGCTCATTCTTTCTACTTTTCTGTTCCCACTCGAAGAAATTGAGCCTAAAGCCCTTACATTTAAGCTGATTTTATGGTTCCTTCTCAAGACTACTTGTAATAGAAACATTATCGAGCTATCGATTCTTATCATTATAGTATCAGTTTACTCTCTATATCAAAATTCCAGTCATCATGCCAAATCTGAGCTGCACACAAAATTAGAAGAGCTGCAAGTGGAGCTTGCAGCTTCAAAAGAACGCGAACATTAACATTAGGATTAGTGGGTGTCTGCCGTATTGGTTACGCAGTTACCACGGACTCCGAAGAGTTGACAAACTTTGTGCCGTCTTGGTTTCACCTTGATCGACAGGAAATGATTCGCTTGAAAATTGTACAGCTCGGATCCATCCCTTCACCTTCTTGAGACCCTAATGCCATGGAAATCAGAAGTGAAGATTTCTCCAAGGCGTTTTTCGGCTGGCTATGGACTTCTGCGGCTTTTACATGAATCACGAAGGTTGGCCACACAAAAATCCCAAAAAAAATGAATCTCTGGTGTCCTCCTCCTAACTCCCCCCCCCCTCCGTGAGTGAACAAAAAAATTTTGTTCACTCACGGAGGGGGGTTTTTTTTTTTTTTTACAAAAATTTATATATAAATTTTATAAAAAATGTTTTTTTTCGAAATTTAAAAAAATCCTAATTCGCAAAAAATTGGAAAGCAAATATTAATCTAATTTATAAAATTTATGTTTTAAAAAGCAATTCGTTCAAAATTAAATAGAATTAGCTCTAGATTTCATTATACTAATTATCATTTATATATTAAAATTTTTTCCATAAAAAATTTTTTCTATTAAAAAAATTTTTGTTGACTCACGGAGGGTGGGTTTTTGGTCAAAAAATGGCGATTTTTCTAATGGTGTTGTTCACTCACGGAGGGGGGGGGAGTAAGCAAACTCCCAGTTTCACGCTAGGCAGTTTCCCGATTGGTCTAGGCTCCCTGTAGACCTTGCTGAGCTTGCCCTTTCCAAGCCTGTCTTCCTCCTTTCCTTCTAGGTAAAACCCAATCCCGAATTCAGACTGAGGGCTAGGCTCTGTACAGTACCAGAGTTGCTTACCGAGCATTGCCACCCATTTCAAGGTTGGTACAACCTTGCCGGATATAATTAAATATTTGCTCGAAGGAAGTCGGCGTATCCGACCGCGAAGCGCTGAGACGCCATATTTAATTATAAAAGAACGCGAACAAAACAAGCCAAACCTGTCAATGAGGGTCAGAAGAATCATAAAGAAATTAAAGTTGATGCAAGAAACCAATGGGACGAAATCAGTTTCAAGCCAAGATTCTGTAGAATACACACAGGAGCGGAAAGACACAGATCCTGACATAAAGTTTTTAAGTCATGACAGGATTAATAACACTGATTCCCCCCTTCGTGATCGAACAAAAAATCTTGTTCGCTCACGGAGAGGAGTTAATTTTTTTTAAAAAAAAATTATATAGAAAATTTTATAGAAAATTGTTTTTCGAAATTTAAAAAATCCTTGGAAAGTAAATATTATAATTAGCTAGAGATTTCATTATAATAATAATTATCACTTATATATCAAAAATTTTTCCCATAAAAAAATTTTCTATTAAAAATTTTGGTAAAAAATTGGGATTTTTCTAATGGTTTTGTTCGCTCACGAAAGGAGGAGTGAAGGAAATGAGCCTCTTGATACCAGATTTTGGCTGTCTTCTGAAGAAATAAAAGATATTATCTATAACTTGGTGACAACAGAGACTGCATTATGGCCACAGTCAAGACCAAAAGAAGAGCCAGATGTAGCCAATGTAAGTTTAGAAGCCAAAAGAAGGTATACACAAGCTGTTGCTTATACTGGGCAAAACTCTGAAGCAATTTTTAAAGCTCAAAGGGCAAGCATAAAGCCACCCAGTTTAGGGTCCACCAGGGTGAGCTTTGGAGTGATGAGAAGCACTGTAGAAGAAAATGAAGACCTAGGCGGCCATTTAGAGAAAATAGGGATGTGGGACTTTGATACATTAGGATTATTAGAATTAACAGATAAGCCAGCCTTTGAAGTAGGGTTTTATGTCTTTGAGACGCTAGGGCTGACTGAAGAGTTCCATATAGATTCTCATAAGTTATTGAGTTTTTTAACGGACGTAGAGCGGTCTTATAATGCGACAAATTATTATCACAATGCGCTACATTCTGCTGATGTCACCGCTTCAACTGTATTTTTGATTAGAGAAGGAGTTGGAAGATGCGGCAATTTGCTGTCTATTGATGTTTTTTCACTAATTGTGGCAGCTTTATGCCACGATATTGGACATCCTGGGTTTAATAATGCATTTTTGGTAGCAAAAGACGATAAATTAGCTTTAAAGTACAATGATCAAAGTGTTTTGGAAAACATGCACAGCTGCTCTACATTTAAAATATTAAGAAGTGATGACTGCAATATTATAGATAGACTTTCAAGAGCTGACTATTTGAGGTTTAGAAAAGTTGTGATAATGTCAATTCTCGCTACTGATTTACAGAGACATTATGATGTTCTCAATGAATTCAAAACCAGTGTAAAAGCTCACACAAAATATGAAGACGAAAAATTTAGGATTTTGGCTTTACAGGCAACACTTAAATGTGCAGATATTGGGCATGGCTCGAAAAAGCTTGACTTACACAAAATTTGGTCAGGACTTATTACTAAAGAGTTTTTCAGACAAGGAGATACAGAAAGACAAAAAGGAATGACGGTAACTCCTTTATGTGACCGAAACAATATCGTGGTTTCTAGATCTCAAATGGGATTTTTGAATTTCTTAGCAAAACCTTTATTTGAATGCTATGAAGAATTCGTGGTGAGCAATAATGAAGAGCAAGACAAAGACGACTTAGAAATCAAAATATGCACAAAAAATATATTCAATAACCTAGCTTATTGGGAAGAAGAAGCCCAGCGATACGACGAAGGGAGACCTGAATATCTTTTAGACGACTCTCCTCCTCCACTATTGAAGAAAAAACTGCAAAACGCCTAGCTTTAATACCTAATAATTATTTATAAAATAATGTTGCCAGCTATAAAAGAAGATGAAAGCGCAATAATATCAAATTTCAGCCCCAAAAAAAAGCCACTTAAAGGATTCGATAGCAGTAATTCCTATTAAGTCTATTTAAAAAGTAAAGCAAAAGAGCTATTAAAACGAGAAAAAATCAAAATTCCTTTATCATTGCTTAACTATCGCAAAAAGAAATTTTCAAGTGAATCTTCCCCACAGCCAAAAGAATTTCCAAGCATAAACTCTACATTACACAAGCTACGAAATTCATGTTCAGATTCTCCTTCAATGCTTCTTCATTCTGTTTTACATGACTCTGGCTTTAATTCAGTTGAAGACGCTCCAAACACTTTTATATCCAAAACCCCTGATGTCCATCGCCGATCAATTTTCTCAAAAAACTCATCACCGCGGCTTAAATGCCATTTCCGGTCAAATACTCCAATTAACCCAAAATTATACTTGGTAAAAAGAATTTTTTAAGTATAAATAAATGGAATATTTAGACTATCTAAAACCTTTATCATCAAGTGATCCTTTTTTACAAATCACAGGGATAACCCGTATCGCAAGTGCTGTAAAATCTCAGCCTTCACCTATATTTGTCAACACTGTCGCTATGAACATGGCAGTAGAATTCACAAAATCTTCTAACTACGTAAGGCATTTTATCTGTCAATTCTTTCAGCAGTGCAGCACTGAGATGTGTATGATAAAGACCAAGGTCGATTTCTTCCGCCAACTGACCTCAATTTTGGACCAAAACGACCCTGTTGCGCAATGCCATATGTTAAAAATTTTAGGATCTTTAGCGCCACTTCTTACAGATCTTTTAGAAGTCCATCACAAAATTCTCTTAGCGTTAGAAAGCCCACATAGACAAGTCAGAGAAACAGCCAGCAGCATTTTGCCTAGACTTATTTCCTTTGCTCCAAGCATTGCTAGACATGTGTTTGATAAACAAATTTCAAGGCACTGTGTGAGGAAGCTGCTGCAAGTGTTACCAGATGATGAAGAGACTATTAAAAAAGCATATGCTTTTATAGTGCAAAGGTTTCAGAAGACTGAAATGATGGAACATATGTCATTTTTAGCACTGAGGAGCCAGAGATTGGTCAAACACGTCAAAGAAATTTTGATTAAATATAATGAAATCAATTTGTTGAAAGAACTTTGTAAGCATTATGGGAGTAATGAAGTTCTTGGAGATGAAGATATAACGAGATTGAGGTCTAGAGGGGTCATTTTTAAAGAAGGAAGTGAAACACAAAGCATAAGTGAAGAAAATGGTATTGAAAATATGCTGAAAAAAGAAAATTTGAAAGAAAATGAGTATAAAGAAATTTATAAAAATTGAGATAAAAACTGTGATTTTGAGTGAATTGCGAATAGGCTTGAAAAATTGATTAACGAGAAGTCAAAAGAAGTAGATTTTTGTTGTAAATTGGCAAAATTGCTGAGGCTGCCTCAAATTTATATAGAAAACTTATTGAAATTAGAAGCAGCTGACCCTAAAGCTACATTAGAGTTTGCCTATATGATTATCAGAGTTGGCTGGCTTGACCCTTTGAATGAGATTATACACAAATTAGATACCTGGCAGCAGTATTTAGTAGCCTGTGAGCTGATGACAGAAGGTCTGCATTCTAAAGCACTAGAACTTTTTGTCAAGCTTAAAACAGAATTTAAAGGCTCTAATGAAAAAATCTATGAGTGGCTCTGCACACTAAAAATTATTTCTGAGTACGAGTCTCGCAGAGATAGAGTTGTCGATGGTTTTGCTGCACTTTCCCATTTAGGCTGCCTAGACTTAGGACACAAAATCTATTTTCAATCAGAATTTTTACTATGCCGTCTTCTATTAGTCCAGTATCTTAAATCCTTACAATCAAGCTTAGATATTTCTACAATAATTCCTGAATTTGTGAATATTAGAAGCAGGCTAAACAACCTACTGTTTTTATTCTTCAAATTGCCAAAAAGCACTACACAATGCATTAAAAAATGGAGGGATATTGTAGGGATGCTTTATTTAATCCTAAATTCTATAAAAGAAGGAAAAGATTTTCAGTTTCGGCTGAAAAGGTATTACCCGAAATCACACTTTTTGCTTGAAAGTATAGGGAATTCTGCAGAAGAGGTCGTGAATTTTGTATTAAATATCCCAATGAATTATCCGAAACAGTTCTTCCAGTTTAATAACCCAATCAGTATTTCTCTTGATGTGAATCAAGACGGAATGATCAAAATAAACCGAGGAAAAGAGTTTCTTATAGAAGCTTCTGCAAAAGTGACTGAGCTTTCCCACAAACCCCCACTTTTACAGTTCAACGTAAACGGTTCTCAAATAGAAAAAGACCCAGAATTCAGTTTTTCTTACACAAAAAAAGCGACAGCTGCTGGCGTCTGCAATATCACAATTCCAATTGTCCCTACAAATATAGGAATTTATATCGTGAAAATCCATGCCACAATTTTAGACTCAAAATTAAGACATATAGGGAAAAGCGAATACGGAGAAATAATTTTAGAATGCATTTAAATAAAAATTACCTCAGAGTTATAATATGCTCTATCCCTGTACACAACTCGACTAGTTTTTTCTTGTGGATGCTGATGTGAAATGCTTCACCATCAAGCAGAAATGGGAACTCCCCATCTGTGTATGTAAGGATCTCTTCGATTTTTTTTACTAGTGGCCTATAAGAGCCATCCGCAGCTTGCCATCAGAACCTTTCTGATGCTGAGCTTTCTCGGGCTAGTTTATATGAGTCATTGCTTTCTGGCAGCCATAGGCTATTTTCCAAAAATTTTATTTTTGCTTCTTTTTGGTTTAATATAATTTTGCATGAATTTTGGCCTGTAATAAAGGCTTTTTCTATTGTTTTATTGCTGTTTTCGTCAAATTCAATTCTGTTTTTATTTAATAGGTAGTTTCATTTTCCTTGAATTGCCTCAGAAGATGTAAAAAAAACTGTAATATTTGTGATGTCAATATTACTTAAATATGCTGGCAGGACAGGCTTGCTTATGTTTTCAACTTCAAAAATAATATCGGGGTTCTCATCGAGAGATCGCCGACGATTATGAGCTGATTTTAAATTTTTGACACCGAGTCCAAATTTCGGCAGTTCTGTTGTGCTTCTCTTTATTTTGTACCTTGGCTGGCTTGTATTTTGATTATTAGATTCCGTCCTTTTACTAAATCCTTTAGTTATTGTTATAGTCATAAATATCTTGGAAATAAATTATTTATGTAGTAATATGATTTTATTATTGGTTTTATTAAAAAAAGCTTATATTATATGAAAATCGTCGATCAAGGATGGAATTAATTTTAAATAGAGTCGTTCAATCAAGGATTGAGAATGTAAGGGTAATACATTGAGGTATTTTTTTGCTAGATGTGCTCCCCATATTTATCTATTATCTTAAAAAATCTTAATCTTCTTCCAAAGAGTCCTGCAAGCTGTCTTTATCTTCTTGCGATTCTTCTGCATTTTCATCAATTTGTTTATCGTTTTCTTCAGGCTCTTTGACGTTTTTCATATAAAAATCTCTTAATTTTACAAGTGATTCCTGATGCCTTTTTTTTCTTTGGGAAATTTCTTCAATTCTTTCTTTAGTCAATCCTCTAAGCTGTCCTTGATTATTTAAAGCTACCATTTCTGCAAAAGAGTGATCTAATGTAATTAGCAAACTTTCAGCCTTTTTTACAGCATCTTCCAGCTTATCTGTCCTATCAATTAGCATTTTTTCTCTTTTTGTCTGCAAATCTAACAAATTTTTAATTGATGAAATTTCAGCAGTTTTCTGCTTATCTCTGGCTTCTAAAATTGCAATTTTTTCTGTTAGGACTTTGACTTGTTTTGCTGACTCTCTTGACTCCTGTTCAATTTGATCAGATAATACTTGTTTTTCGTTCTCTAAAATCACTATTTTATCTCTATTCATAGACAGCTGGGTTTGCAATTCATTGATTTTTTTCATTTGTTCATGAATTGTATTCTCAACTTTGCTTTGAGGAATTTTTTCTCCTTGTTGGGACACAGAAACCTGTCAAGCTTGCCCAGGGCCTACTTCTGTTTTTTCAAGTGAATACACTTCAATAGGACAATAGCTCAGCTCAAGGCCGCCTAATAGTAATAACTGTGATTTATCTTCAGAACTCTGCCCCCAGCACATAGCATGCCCATATCTTCTGCTTGGGCAGTATCCTCCCATAATGGGAACGCTCCAATGCATTTGTTCTAAATCTAGTATATAAAAATCATTCAAAATGTTCAGTCTTTCTGCTCTCCCTTCTCTTAAGGACTCTACCCCTCCAAAAATTGCTATACAGTTGTTATCTAAAATTGCAGTCGCATGAAACGCTCTTGGGCTTGGTCCTTTGCCTCTAGGTTGTGCCCGATGCCACCTCATGTCGCTTACATTTAAAATATATAGATCTGAGGAGTATTTCTGGATACTAACTCCGCCAAATAAAATCAATGTGTCTTGGTAGCTGCACAATGTGTGACCTTTTCGAGGGCCAGGGCTTGATCCTTTAGTTTTATGCCTAACCCAGCCTGGTGCTGGGACTTCAGTCCCACTTGCACTTCAGTCAATGTCGAAAAATACAAAACTTCATAAGTCGTCTAATAACAAATTTTCAGGAGCACTGCACCCTCCGTATAAAAAGACGGTGTCTCTTAGCTTACAAGCGGCATGATGAGCTCTTCCGCTTGGTTGGTCTATGATATAAAGCTTTTTCCAAATCCACTGATCTAAATCTAAAGCATAAATATCACTTAAAGAGTCTCTTTTTTCGCCTTGGCCACCATGGACAAACATAACGTTGTGAACGTCATCAATTCAGGCGACATGGTAACCACGGCCTTTTGGGCCATTTCCTTCAGCTTCGATTGATTCCCATTGTCCGGTAACTGGATCATAAATAAAAACTTCGCTTGATCTTCGGTCGCCTGTGCCTCCAAAGAGGATTCATTTTCTAAGTCTGGCTGTATAGAGTAGGGATAAGCCTTCGCGAGGGCTTGGGACTGTGCCTTGAGATTTTAGTTTATGCCAAAATAAAGAATTCATATATACTAACATATAAGGGAAAAGATCTGAATAATTTAATTGAAATTTCGACCATTTATCAAGGGAAAGGGTATATTAAATGTTAAATTTTAGGAAAAGTTACATAAGAGTAGGTGTCGGAGTTTTAGTAGAGCCATAAGAGAAGCTGGAAGATGCAGCTTTTCGTCGAGAAGAAGGAGCACAGTAAGGAGTAGAGATTTTTCGAGCAAAAATTCCATTAAGTGATAAGCTGTCTTCTTCAAGAGAAGAAGAAAGGTCGAAGGAGGCATTTTGGTTGGCAGATGATCGATTTTTTATATGGTGAATTCTTCGTCGATGAAAATTTTGAGAAGGAAGAACAGATGCAGGCCTCATTGACTCATTTAAAGACTTTTCGTGGTCTGCCATATACTCACTTAGTTTTTCCCTAATTTTCATACGGAGTCTAGGATTCTGCATTACCACTTTTGCATTTTTAAGCTCTTCCTGCAATGACTTAATATGCTCTTTAGCTCGATTATCAATAAGCTCCCTGACTTCTAGCTCTTTTTCAGCATTTTTTTTATATTTTTCGAATCTGCTTATATTTTACTCAATTTCCATCCTCTGTTTTACCTCTTCTCATTCTTTTTCCTTCATCTCAAAATTATTTTTCAAGTTTTCAATTTCTTTTTCGTAAAATTTTTTTAATTTTTCCTTCTTTTCTTTAGCCTTTTTTGCCTTTTCTTTAGCTTTATTTGTATCTTCTTGATATATAAGACAAACTTCTTTCATATTTTCTATTTGATTTGATAAATTTATAATTTCTTGAGAAAATTGTAGGCCGGGATTTTCTTTCGGTGATTTATTAGGGTCGGTTCCTAAAGACTTTAGATCGAGCCTTTGTGTGGAAAAAAAAATTTCAAGGTCGATTAGCATTGAAGTCAGTTGGGCAATAGTTTTGTCTTTATAGAAAGCAAGCATTTTAAGCTCTTCATATTCGTTAATTAAGCCTCCAATATCTTGGGTGTACTTAGTTTCGAGCTCTTTAAACATGTCTTTATAATGATTTTTCGTCCGATTTCGAATCACAATTGAATTAGCAGCTAATTCTTCGTCTTTAGCTTGCCGTATCCTTGTGAGCTTTTCTTTGAGGATCTCGATTGATCAATTCGAGCCGATTTCGGTTGTGTTTTTGATATTAATTTCAGGGTTTAGATCTGGGATACTTGATTTCTGCTTTAAATCTTTTAATTGTTGAGATTTTTGAGAAAAGAGTTGATAAGCAAAATTAGCAAAAATTTTATTTTGTAGAGGTGGTTTCTGATTCAAAAAATACCTTGTCAAGCTCAGTTCAAAATTCCAAATCTGAATCGTTAGATTCGGACCTGTTTGTATCGAGTTCTCCCATTTCTAAATAGAAATTGTATTTATAAGAAAATTTTAATTAGAAAAGTCAATACTTTTATTGTGAAAAAATTGTTGGAATAAATTAAATTAAGAGTCTCAAAGTCTTGCGGATTTGATGCCTCAACACATTTTGGCCGATGATAACCTACTAGAAAGGCGGAAATCAGCTGCCTTTTGGAACAGTGGCCTTCTCTAGGAGAAGTGCTTGCACTGTGATCGAAGAGTGTAGACAGGCTAGGAGGCGCCCTATCAGTACGCCATGGGTGCAATGGAGGTAAAGGTTAGCCCGATACCCCTTGATGTCCACCTTAGTAAAGGTGACACCCAGGAAAAAAGGAGCCAGGCCCTTCTGAACCGGAAGGGTAAAAAGCTGTGGCTCAAAAAACCTTTTGGATAATTAATACTTGGTCTTAGAGTCATCAGCTAACTCCTAAGGCCACCCATTCACAAAAATTCATTCAAAGGTGAGAATTAAAGGATCCCATCCTTTATTTAGGCTATAAAGAGACTTTTGCAATCAGGGTGATATATTCTCGTCAAGGACATATTATGTCGCCACTCTATATTAATTTGTTGGAGTAAAGAAAAAAGTCATCTTTTCCTTAAGTAAAGAGCCTTTTTATTAAGTTTATAACTTCCTGTATAATTATTGCTATCTAATATCATTAATATTATTTAATTTAATCCAAAGCCATCAGCATGCTGATTAGATAATACTTTGACTGATTAAGCATATACTCTTTAATAATAAATACCATTAAAGCTTCATGCATACCAAGCTTATTTTAGAGATTCTGCCTTGATCTGATATTTAATAAATAATGGTATTTTACTTTCTTTATCCCAAAATTTTCTCTTCCAGATATTTTGTTATAAATGATAAGATTGCATATTAAACGGTCTAAATTCTCATATATTCTCACACTGCTTACTTAAAATAACGCCAAAAAACAGTCTTATGCAAATTACTTATTTACTTATCTGTAAAATTTAATCTTTATAGACTCACTAAAATATTCTTAACCAAATGTTTAGTGCTATTAAGCTAGGATTGATTATTTTTGTACTTATTAAAGACAGCAACCTTTGTATAGAAGCCCTGACCTTAAGCTTTATTCTTATTGGTGCATGCGAAGCTTATGAGCTAATTTTTAGCTGCCTGGTTGTCATCCCTCCCTTTTTATTTCATCAGAACGTTTCGCAAGGGACTATATATGCAGGACAGCTGATATATGAATTGTAATGTCCAATTAGGTTCCGAGCAATTTTTACTTTTGTAATGTCATATAATTTTATTGAAGAAGATGAGTGTACTATGAATATACGGTCTGGATTACTGGCGATTTATTTAATTATCAGTGCTTTTTTAGGGTATTTTATCTTCACAATTTTTATTATTTTATATTGTTGGCAACAGAAAGTAAAAAATCAAGAAAATTCAGAAGAAGTTAAAAATATATTGAATAAATATAAAACAGAGATTCCGATAGCAGAAGTATGTGGTATTTGTTTAGAAAATGAAGGAGGAGAAAGCGTGGTATTAAGATGTGGGCATGGATTTCATTCAAAATGTATAGAGGGATGGCTGGAAATTAAAAAACTTTGCCCTATGTGTAGATCAGAACAAGGAAGTTTTTAGAGAAAAATTGTGATGAAATAGATTTTTTGCTTTTTTTGGAATTTTCAATAAAATAATTTTGCATTTCACTAGTCAAGTGTTTATCAGAAATTTCTTAATTTATATTATAGTTCTTACTGGCCGAATTATCTGGGTCCGTGCCCGAATAATATTGCCAGCTACAAATCCTGTCAGTTTATCATAATCGTCCTCATCTAATATGTCTGTTTTTAATATTTGCTCCATCAAATCTTCAAATGTAATGAGACCTTCAACTATGTCATCATCTCTGATAATTGCCATTTGAATTTTTTCAAATTTAAATTTTTGTAGCAGCTCTAACAAAGTCATTCTGGATCTTACAAAAAATGGATTTTTCAAAGGAATCTTTAAATCCTTTATAGCTTTTCCTTTTTCGACACCTAAAAGTGTTTTGACCATCAATATGCCAATGATATCATTTTTAAACTCACCATTATAAATAGGAACTCTACTATATCCTTGAACTAGCACCTCTTTTAGCTTCTTTTTGCCAAGAATTGTATCATTGCTTAAACAATACATTTTCTGATATGGGATCATATGGTCTTTCACTATTTCTTTGCCTAAATCCATTGCTCCATGAATTATTTTAATCTGCCTAATAAAAAGTCCTGATTTTCTTCTTTCATTTTCGCTATTAACAATTGCTTGATGAAGCGAAATAAGCGTTTTCAGCTCATCATGCTTTAGTTTCTTCGTTGAATCTTTAATTCCAAAGACTTTATCTAGTAATTTAGCTATAGGATAGCTCAATGGAAATAAAAGGACTGTTATAAATTTCACGACAGGGCACATCCTGTATGCAATTTTTAGCTGATCAGGCCCAGTGCAGATAGCTTGTGGAAAAATTTCTCCAAAAATCATGACAAAGAGAACACTTATGACTATTGATAAGATTGGGGATACTATAGCTTCTAAAAATAAAGGTAAAGCTTCCATAGCAGCAGCATTGCCAAGCAATAAAGTTACTAACACTAAATGATGGTTGCTTATAGTTGATAATATTTTTTCTGCTTGCTTTTTTTCTGAACTAGTGCCTGACTCAAGCTTTAATTCAAGATAAAATTCGTCTAATGATAAAAGACCGACTGTGAGGCCAGACATAAGCCCAGAGATAAATACGAGTCCTAATGAAATCACACTATAGACGGTGTATACTTCGATGCTTTGCTCTTCTACTAGTGCGATAGCTTCAGCTTGTATTAATAAAAATAGGTAGATTATCATAGTCTGTGAAATAATATTTTATAAAAATTTTTTGCATATTTTATATGTAAAAAATTTTCATAATAGAGATTTCAAACAGCAAAGAAATTTGATATTATTTGGATAAGAAAATTAAATATTAGATTGCCAAATATTATAGCTCATATCCCTATATAGATTTCTTTATCGAATCAAATGTAATAGAAAATATAACGACCAAGAAAAACTCTATTAAAGAACGAGCTGGATCTCTGTACCTGGAAGAGTTAAAACATGGCATGTCAAAAATGGTTACAAGTGTGAAAAAAGTTGGCCACGCACTAATTATCAAAATCGCAATATTAAAACATGAGTTTTATTTTTAAGATGTCATTTTAGACTGGCATTGATAAATATCTTACCTACTTTTTCTCTTCCCTGAAATTAGGTTCAAGCAAATAAATTATGTTAAATTAAGAGCGCATAGTAATTATAAAAGGGCATTTCTTTTTTAAAAGCTTCGAGCAATATTTCCATATTTATACTAAAGCCATTACATATGAGCCCTTCCGTGAATAAGCATCCTCCGAAGCTAAAAAGTTTAGTAATCAAGTTCATTGTTTATTATAAAATTGGAATATTTAAATCAATAAATTTATCAACCGTTTTGATGAACAGTTTTAATTTTTTAAATTATATGCCATTTTTATTTTCACAATAGGCAATTTCATATTCGCCTTTAAGAACTCAATTATTAAGCATCCTTTGAGGCTAAAAAGTGTAACGAATTAAGCTCATTACTCCATTATAAAATTGGAATATTTGAATCAATAAATTGATCAGCCATTTTGATACACAGTTCGTGATAAGTTTTTTAATTTTTTAAAAAATAAGACCTATTGCTTGGCTTTTGAAAGAAACGCATTTTCGGTCTTCTACTCCATCAATGACTTCTCCAGCGATGTTTTTTATGAACACTAATTAATGTCAATATTTATAGGTCTTAAGACTTCTCCAGCGATATTTTTTATGGGGATTAATTGATGCAAATATTTATCTTAACTTTTATAATGATTTTCTACTTTAAATTTAAACTTATTTCTTGGTTAGACTTAAATTCTATAATGACATCTTTAAAAATAAAAATTTATGTTTTATAAAGGCATTTTAAAAATTACCGCGTTGTCAACTTTGTTCACACTTTTCAACCATTTTTTGGCATGCCGCTTTTTAACTCTTCCTGGTATAAAAATCCAGCTTGTGCCTTTTAATAGAGTATTTCTTGGTCGTTATATTTCCATTGCATTTGGTTTGATAAAGAAATTTATATAGAGGTATGAGCTATACTTAAGAATATTTTAAAATAGTATATGCATTTTATAAAAATTTGAGGTTGAATTGAAAAGGATTTGGGCAGAATAGCATATTGCTATCACATTTGATTTAAAAAGATAAATTTTTTAATAAAAATAATTATGGGGTATAAAGATCTTACTCACGAATTCATTAATAGAGCTAGCAATTTTATTAATTAAACAAAGGTGTATATAAAAATTTTAAACAATGTGCATATACTTTGCCCATTAGATGGGAGAAATTAGTCAAAATATATTAGGGAAAACAGCTGAAATTGAATCATTTAAAGGTTTGAAGTATTTTGGTACAATAGCTCAAATTAATTCACGAGCATTGACGCTGACACTTATGAACGTAAAGCAGAAGGACAGCAAAGATTTTTTTAACGATTTTTTGGTATTTCGAGTAATCGATATGAAATATTTATGAATTAAAGAATAATCAAAATTAATTCAATTTTTATTTAAACATTAAAGACAGGCTTTTAGGATTAAGGCTTTAATTTTCTGGTCATAAAAGTATGCATTCTTAGCTAGCTATAATTAAAAAATAATCTATTTACTCAAAACAAAAATCTGCTAAAAGGGCGGAAACTAAAAAGATCACTCTTAAACCAAATTTAATGCTATTACAGTCTCTTTAAGTAAAATATTTATTTCAAACGAATAATCATCAAATTTCTTTATTATATAGAAAAATTTTACTTTAAGAGCCATATTTCTAATGCCTCCATTTCTGGATTTCAGTTTAATTAAACAAGCCTTTATTATATAAAAAATGATCAGGAGTAGCGTGCTAGGCAGAACAATTGAAATCACCACATTCAGAGGCATAAGATACTCAGGAACAATCATCCAAGTTAATCCTCGGAGTCTCTACGTCACACTTTCCAAGGTCCGAAGAATTGGCAAACGCGAGACATTTTACGACTTTTTTGTCTTTAGAGCTACTGATATACAAAATTTGTACTTTGATGAAGACCCTGCAATTATTTGTAGAGGACCAAAGGTAAACAAGCTTATCGATGCTAATTAATAAATTTACTATTTTAGTAATCAAACCCTTAATAAAATTTTCTTTAAACGAGCACAAAAGCTATTTTTAAGCTATTGTCAAAACGATATAATACATTTGAGTATGAATTGCTATTTATTAGTTAAATCAGTGTCTATTACTTATAAGTATAAATAATTAATTATGCTTAGAAATTATGATTTTATTAGCTGCTCTTATTCATAATTAGTAGCCTCTTTTGACCTTCCTTTGACTATATGTTTGTAAGTTGGTCTGCTTCATATCTTCTATGTCGATTTTATATGACCTGCGAACCTGGATTATAGCTTCAGGGACTTCATTTTGAAATGCTCATTCAATAACCCTTGAAGCTTCTGAGGTCATACTCTCCCACTTCTCATCGTCAATTTCGAAGCGCCATTGTTTTTCAGTAGATTTAACTCCCTCCCTTTAAGACAGAACTATATATCTTTTAGCTCATTTTTTTAAATTTTTATATTAGAGGATTATTGTTGGAGGATTATGGACAGGAAGATAGGGAAAAAAGTGCGTCCATTCCAACTATTAATAATATATTTAAAATAATTTACAAAAAAAAATTATATTAAAATTATTTTTACTCGCTTAAGGTCAAAAATAGGAATTTTCCAATAACTTTACTCAATTAAAAGGAGAGGAGTAAGATATCTGCTATTGGTGAGGTTTTCTGAGCCATCATTCCTTAAAACAGTCGTAACTCTTTTTTTTCTTCCTTCTTGAATTTCTATTGCCGGATTCCTTAAGTTGATATAGCGTTGACTGTTCATTTCTCCTATATAAACTATAGAGGCTGCCTTTGAGTAGCGCTCTAAGCGCCCGAGACTTCCCGACGAAGTCTGGGCGGTGGTTTGACCAGCTGATGTTGGTCAAACCAGCATCCAATTTGACAAACCTTCTGTATGAGAAGAATTTGTCATTTTGGATGTTGGTTTGACCAACATCAGCTGATCAAACCACCGCCCAGACTTCGTCGGGAAGTCTCGGGCGCTTAGAGCGCTACTCAAAGGCAGCCTCTATAGATCTTTGCTGCTTTGAAAAGCATTTTCAATGATTTCATTATCAGCTAGGCTATAAGGCATAAATTCTCCATTATCACCTAGTTTTGATCATATAGCATTCTTCTTCAGTGTTTCATTATAGCACAAGCCTCATTTAGATCCCTGAGGACAAGAGCTTTTATATAAAAAAATTTAAGTTTTTTAAATTAAGGAAAAATCTGAAAAGTCAATTTTCAAATTGGCAAATAGGACATATATAATGGATTTTTCAAATTGATATTTGACTTTTTGGAATTTTTTTGGGATTTCAAATAATTTTTTTCTTTGATGGGCATTTTCCTTGAAAATCTATAGAGGAGCACGCGCTATACTGATTTTGGACTCTTCTTTAAGGTTTGAGGATAAAGGGTTTTGGATATTGTCTATACGTAGAAAACTTGAAATGATTTCTGTAGAATAATTATGAGGATTAATGAAATTATCGTTTACCAGAGTTTTTATCACTGCCTCATATGGACATCTAAATAGGCTACAAGTTTTATCAGTTCTTGAGAACTCGGTTGTCGTAAATATTTTCTTTATTAAGTTTTGAAGGGCTGATATGTCGACTTCAATAAGACCTAAAGTGCTTTTTAGCTTTTCTTTAATTTTTTCAAGCTCTTGATATGTTTCTTTTATTTTTTTGTCATTAGTTGAGTCTAAATCTTTGATAATTCTATATATATTTGAGACCGCCTGCACTCTTTCATTATAATCTGGTCTGAAGTAAAGATTATTAAGCTGATGCAAATCACCAATGTGAGAATAGATGTGCTCTCTGCATAAGATTGTGGTTTTTCCATTGCATGAGCAAAAATACTCAGCGTATAATGGGCATTCAGAGCAATTCATATGGGCTAAATTCTATTTATATGGAAAGCATTTTTAAGCTTATAAGAAATTCTTAAGCGTTATAATTAAAAATACAGAATATTTTATTATTCTCAGAATCCTATCTCCCTCTTTCTAGCTCTTCCATGACACACTTAATTTTTTTAAAAATTTTATATATAAATTTTCAAACTTTTTTTACTACAAAACTTAAAATAATCCCAGTTTGCAAAGATTAAATTTAGTTTAATACGCAACCGACTTAGCCAAAGATTTCTTTATAATAGCACATTAAATATTTTTAATAAAATTTTGCTGTTTTAAATTTTTTTTCACATTCCTAAAAGAAAATTTTCCAATGGTTTTGCTTTCTCATAGAGGGATAAGAGAAAAAGATCCTTTAAGATAGCTACCCAAAATCATCATAAATATATTTAAATGTCTAATTAGTCTTAATAAACTGTTATAGGAATTGCCCGAGGATGGCGCTATCTTGCGCCATCCTCGGGCAATTAGTATATATCCTGTATGGTTTCAGTTATTTGTTCGTAATCATCAGCCTACAATCTAAGTCTCTTCTTATCTTTTGAGAATCTTAATTTATTTTAGAATTGATCTGCTATATATTTAAGTGGGGCGGCATGATTTCTTATTTTTACTCAAATTAAAACTTTATTATATTTTCCTAATATACCCATTCGGCCATTCTTGAAATTTCATTCATCATTTCTTCTAGCCTTTTGCTACTTTAAAAATATCAGTGCTCAAGGTTAAACCTGGAGTCAAAATCCTATCAATTGTCAATAATTTGCTTTGGGACAATATTTATACAAAACAAAAATTTATAGAAATCATAATAATTTTACTTATCAAGTTTATAATTATTCCTAGGAGTAATAGGAGTAAATCAAGGGAGGTTGAAATCTGAATTTATAGACACTTCATCAGTTTGATAGCCTTTATTTAGAGTCGAACTACTACTCCTGTAGCCACTTCTTGGTATCATAACTCTCTCTGTATTATCAGTAGTTTTCTTTTTATTTTCTAAGCTGCGTCCTCTTTTGATATCTCGTTTATAATTTGTTTGTAAATTGATTTGTTTTTTTTCATTTACATAAATTTTATACGAGTTACGATTTTGAACTCAAACTTCACGAATATTATTGTCAAGTGCCCATTCAGCTACTCTTGAAGCTTCTGAAGTCATTTTTTCCCATCCTTTATCGCCTTTAAAATACCACTGTTTTTCAAAAGTTGAGTTTAGATTTTTATTCGAATCGGATATTCGTGAGCCATCATTCCTGATAACTGCTACAGCTTTTCTTGTTATTTCTTGGACTTCGATTTTTGGACATTTTAAATTTACGTAGCATTGGCTGTTTCTGTCTCCTATATAATTAGGTTAAGCAAATTTGTTTAAAGTTACTACGTATGAACTCTCCGTAGCAGCACAGCCACGGGTATAGTTGAGATGATCAAATATAAGAATTTTAGAGTCTGGGCTGAATCCCCTCCAAGTGAGCCCTTTATCTGAGACGGATATTTTTAGAGTAATATTATTTAAACTCCAAAGCCCTATTAGCTGACTTAGGGGCTAGCCAGATCGCAATAACTTAATTTATTTTCAATTCGAGAGAACACCTTCTAGAAATCTTATCAAGCCTGCCTTCCCTTTTCCTTATGGATTAGCTCTAAGAAAAAAATCAACTGCCTCTGGCATTTGGGGCAAAGGCCACTAAGCAGCTAGACAAGTTAATTGTCCTGCCTCTTTAGGCACACAACCCATATCTGGGAGTTTCTCCATAAATTAGAAAAAATTGTGCTTGATCTCTCACCTTGCGGTTACATCCGGGTATATATAAATCACCCTCATAAGGAGGATGGTCTGCTCACTGGCAATCTTATATATACTGTCTCTATATAAGAGCGATCCTGTCCATTTTGATAATCATTTTCAATTCTTTCATTTTCAGCATGGCTATAAGGAACAAATTCTCCGTTTTCGCCAAGTTTTGATCAGATAACTTTTTCTGCCCTTATTAAATTTTTCCTTACTAGCTCGTCCAAAAACAATTTATGAAGAAAAAATCTAGAAAATTTTCTATGCAAATATACTTTTTTTAGGCCCTTCATTTAGAGCTATTTGTAAATTTGACAAATCTTGGCATAATAGATTGTCAAAATATAAAAAATTTGGGATTATTTCAGTAGAATAATTCTGTGGATTTATAAATTTATCTTCTTTTAGAGCTTTCATTGTGTCCTCATAATTGGAATTAAATAGACTGCAGATTTTATCAAACCTTGAATATTTCGGAGCCGCAAATATTTTCGTTAAGAAATCATAGAGGTTTGATATATCTTTGTCTATATAATCTACAATGTTTTTAAGGTTATTTTTGATCTTTTCGAGCTCAATATAGCTTTCTTTTATTTTATTGGCTTTTTGTGCTTCTAAATCTTTAATTTTGTGACATAAATTTGAGGCGAGTTCATTCCTTTCATCAATGCTTGGGAAATAGTAAAGATTGCTTAGCTGATGCAAATCTCCAATATGATAATAGACATGCTCTTTGCACAGCATTGTTCATTTACTGTCACATGAACAAAAATATTCAGCCTCAAATGGGCAGTTGAGAGCCGTACAATTCATATTAAAATTCTATAAAACGAAAAGCATTTAGCTTATCTAAAATTCCAAAATAAGAACGCTTAAGGACTGTATCAAAAAAATATACAGATGCTTTAGGATTTGATATCTTACATAAATCTGTAGCATAAACAGCAAGAAATAAGTCTAACTTAAATTTTTATTATACCAAAAAATACTATTTAGGTAGGGCTCCTCGTGACAACGTATAATCATCATAAATATATTTTAAGCATCAAGGTAAGAATGTGAAGAAGAGCTACTAGAACTTAGTTTGATAATAGCAATTTTAACCATTTTGCTACAAGGCAGTTTTGAAAGTTGTGATTAAATTATTAATACCCTTAGCCTCTTCTTCTAACTCGTTTGGTTCATTGCCTCTCTTAATCTCTTTTTATAATTTGTTTGCTTCACTTTTTTAAGTTGAGTTGGTATGATTTCTTATTTTTCGCTTGAACTATAGCTTTATTAATATATATGGCATGCGCATTCAGCAATTCTTAAATCTTAAGTAGTTGTTTCCTCCCATCCTTTGTTGCCTTTAGAATATCAAGACTCAATTTTACTTTAATAACAAAAATCTCTGAATAATTTCTTGCAACATTTATAAGCTCTTTTCCAATGCGAATTTAATATACTTAGTTTTAAAAATGAGCATTGACTGTTGGACCTTATATACTAGCAAAAAATCTTTTTTGATATGCGTTTTTCATTATATCGTTACCAGCTTTCTCATAAGTGACAAGTTTTCATCAGCAGTAAGTTTTGTCCACACGCCGATATAATTTGGTATTTTTGCAAGAAATTGGTAAATATTTTGAATTTTATGACCTTTGGCCATGATTTGTTTTTTAATTTTTTGTTAATTTTTGCTACAAAAATTTGAAAATTGAATGACAGTTTTTTATTGTTTCTTCATGTGATGAATTAATTACAGGATTTTCAATCTTTGCAGAATTTTTCGAAAAAAATATTGTGTTTGCAAGGCAGCTAAGATTTCACATGTCTCCACCAATTGATTCTAAAAGTTTTGCTATTGCAGATATATGAAAAATTAGAGATTTTATCTGCTATTATGAATTTCTTATTGCTTAGAGAGTTAATTTTCAACAATAAAAAAATCCTAATGTTTTGCTCACTCACGCAGGTGGAAGTTAGGAAATTGAATAGTTTAAAAAAAGAATTGTTTAGCCTTTAAAAATTTTATGCAAATGCTTCAAAATTCTCCAAGAGATAGATCTATCAATTCACGGTTATAGCTAAGTTAATTTTTTACATAAATTCCTGGTATATATAACACAAAAAAGTCATTTTTGCTTTAGATTGAGCTAAAAAGGCTTGTTAGTTACTAGTTAAGGCTATTTATAATATATAAATATATTAATCAAAGTCAGAATGTGATGCACTAGCCTCTCTTAGTCGGTAAAGGTGATTTTTGTGAAGCTAACGCAATAGGCAGTGCATTTAAACCATTATCACTCTTAGTCTCTTCTTCTGCCTTGCTTGGGATATTGCCCCTTCTAATATCTCTTTTATAATTTGTTTTAGGATTAATCTGTTTCATGTTTATCAAGTCAAGTCGGTATGATTTCTTATTTTCACCTTGAACTAAGGCTTCCTTATATTGTTTCCGATGCGCGTATTCAGCCATTCTTGAAGCGTCAGGAGTCATTACTCTCCATCCTTTGTCGCTTTTATAGTACCAAGACTCTAATATGGCTTTAGAGTCAAAAATTTCTGGGCTATTATTTCTTAAGACCTTTGTAATTAAGCTTCTCACTTCTTGGATTTCTAAAATTGGGGATGTTAATTTTACGAAGCATTGGTTGCCATCACCACCAATAGAAGCAAAAGGATCCTTTTTATGATATGCGTTTTCAATTATTTCGTTATCAGCTTGGTTATAAGGAACAAAAGTTCCTTCCTCTGTAAGTTTTGACCACACTGCATTTAATTTTGGAAGTGGCATTTGTGCTCCTCTGTAGACTGGGAAATCATTATTTATTTGAGCTTGTATTTTTGGAGCTGGTCCAACAGTAAATGGATAAGAAAGATCGCATAATGGCCTTTGATCTGAGTTTATAGCTTGTGTTTCACTATTTTTATAAGTTGGGCTGATTTTTGAAATAAAATTTTGAAGTCTTAGCCAACCATTGTCTTCAAGAAATTTTATTATGTTTTCATATGAAGAATTAAATAGTGAAACGATTTTAGCATGCTCAATATTTGAAATACATGGAACAGTTAATTGCTTCAAAAAATAATTAAGATTTGATATGTCTCCATCAATAATTTCTACTTCGTTTTTCAGTTTTTTTAAGATATCTTTGATAACTTGGTCATTTTCTTTAATTTTATTAGCTTTTATAGTTTCCAAAGTGCTGATTTTAATTTTTATATTATTGAAAAGCTTAACCTTCTCTGGATAAGTTGGGTAATAATAAATTTTCTCAAAGAAATGTCAAGCACTCGGATTTTCATTTACGTGGCGAAAAGCGTGCTTTTCGCAAACAACTGAGCTTTCACTCTCGCATATACAAAAATCTTCTGTCTCTGTGTTGCAAAAATAGCATCTCATTTGATTTGATTCTATAAATAATAATAATAATAATTTAATGATAAGTCTAATAAGAGAGACAAATTTATTCAAATAATCGAAATTATATAAATATAAAGAAATTTTATAATTTAAAAAATTTGCAACAATTTAGAGTTGAGATATTTATTCTTCCAATTGAAAATTCAGACATTATGACGCATTTTTCAATTTAAAATATGTTTATCTAATTATATTTTTCTCTAATTAAAGCATGTATATAATTATCATAAATATTTTTAAGTATCAGAACTTGAAGAGCTGCTAGAGCTTAGTTTACGTTTTTTTTACCTTGCCTAGCTCGTTGCCCCTTCTAATATCTCTTTGATAATTTGTTTTAGGATTAATCTGTTTCATGTTTACCAAGTCAAGTCGGTATGATTTCTTATTTTCCCCTTGAATTAAGGCTTCCTTATAATCATTCTGATACGCGTATTCAGCTATTCTTGAAGCTTCAGGAGCCATTACTTCTCATCCTTTGTCGCTTTTATAGTACCAAGGCTTTAATATGGCTCTAGAGTCAAAAATTTCTGGGCTATTATTTCTTAAGACCTTTGTAATTAAACTTCTCACTTCTTGGATTTCTAAAATTGGGGATGTTAAACTTACGAAGCATTGGCTGCCATCACCACCAATAGAAGCAAAAGGATCTTTTTTTTGATATGAGCTTTCAATTATGTCGTTATCAGCTTGGCTATAAGGTACAAAAGTTCCATCTTCTGTAAGTTTTGACCACACTGCATTTGATTTTGGTATTTCTCTGTAGGTTTCAATACTTTGGAGACTAGGAATTTCTAAATTATTAGCTGGATTAAGCAAATATTTTGAATCTAAAGAGATTTGGTCTCGCCTTGTTACTTGAGCTTCCTTATAATGATATTTTGAGCTAATTTTAATGAACTTTTGAAAATTTAATCAGCCATTATCTTCAAGGATTTTTATTGTTTGTTCATATGACGAATTAAACAGTGAAATAATTGCAGAATTCTCAATCCTTGAGAACTTTTTTGAAGAAAATATTGTCTTTATAAGGCAGCTAAGATTTCATATGTCTTCATCGATTAATTTTAATGTTTTTTGGAATTCATTTAAGATTCTTTCAATCTCTTTGCGTTTTTCTTTTATTTTATTAGATTTTATGGTCTCTAAAATGCTGATTTTTTCTTTTAGGTTATTGGCAAGCATAATTTTTTCTTGATTATTTGGATAATGATCAATCTTTTCAAACTTATGCGAAGCTAAAGGATTTTTGTTTGTGTGCCAAAGAGCATGCTTTTCACAAACAATTGAGCTTTCGCCTAAGCATAAGCAAAAATGCTCTGTTTCTGCCATACAGAAAAAGCATTTCATTTGTTATCTTTCTATAAATAATAAAAATTTAATAAACAGCTTCTAATGTAAGTTTGTAAAGTGATAAAAATCAAAATGAACATATAAGAAAATTTTATAATTAATAAAAAAAGTAATTTCTTTAATTGTAAATTTAGCTATTAAATTTGAATTAAAATTTCTGACTTTATAATATTGCTGGACAAATATTTTCTGCTTGAATTATACTTTGGGAGGTATTTTATTGATCAAATGAATATTTTTGTGAAGATATATATTGATGGCGCATTCCTCAATTTAAATATTCATGAATAAATAGATTAAAGCTTCTCTTATTTTTCTCCGAATATATATCTGAATCAGAGATCTTCATTTATTACTCACTTTATAAATTATAATTAACGAATCTCCTAAATCTATTTCAAATCTTCTAAAATTGGCTTTCAGCTTCTAATTCTTAATTAGAATTTATTCTAATTTTCCACTCATAGTCAGATGTGGTATAAATAATGAAATTATAAATATTATTTAAAATCAATGACTATTAACCATAAATATCTTAGCACAAATCCACATAAAACCTAGATTTCCATAATCCTCAAATTTTATGAAATATACCAAAATATCTTCCTTCTGGGGAAAAAATTATTCTCAGATATGATCGAATAAAGCCATATTTTCGAGCATTGGGGAAATAATAAAAATAAAATGAACAAGTTTTACTTCGAAGAAAGTGAAAGACCAAGCAACAAGAAGAAGGTTTTACTCGGAGCTTTCGCAGTTCTCGCAATTGTAGGTGTAGTTGCTACAGTCGCAGTTCTTTCTAGCAGCTCATCCAACGAATATGCCCTTAGGCAATATGAGATCGACGAGCAAGAATTTTTCGGCTTCATCGCCAAATTCAACAAAGTTTACAAAGATATGGACGAATTCCAAGCCAGATTCAGAATTTTCAGAGACAACGCTGCCTATGCCAGAGTCCACAACACCTTAGGAAGATCATACCTTCTCGGCATCACCCAATTCGCTGACTTAACCCACGACGAGTTCTCAGCTCTTTACACCCCTAATAAATATCAGCCATCTGAAGAAACTGCTGATTTCACCCCAGACCTCAGTGCTCTTCCTTCACAAGTTGACTGGAGAACCAAAGGTGCAGTGACTGCAATTAAAAACCAAGGACAATGTGGATCATGCTGGTCATTTGCCACCACTGGAGCCGTTGAAGGTACTTGGTTCCTTGCAGGCCACACCTTAGTATCACTTTCTGAACAAGAACTTATGGACTGTTCAAGCAAGTACGGAAACCAAGGATGCGATGGAGGTCTCGCCACCAATGCTTTCAAATATGTTGTAGTTAATGGCTTAACCACTGAGGCTAACTATCCTTATGAAATGAAAGTTGGAACCTGTAACGACTCAAAAGTCAAACAAGTCGCAGCCAAAATTTCAAGCTACTCAATTGTAGCTGCTAATGAACCAAATGCACTTATGTCAGCTGTTGTTGGAAGACCTGTAGCTGTTGGAGTTCAAGCTAACCAAGCTGCTTGGCAACATTATGTTGGAGGAATTGTGACCAGCGACTGTGGAACTAGCCTTGACCACGCTGTACTTGTGGTTGGATACAATAACGCTAACTCACCACCTTATTGGATTGTTAAAAACTCTTGGGGAGCAAGCTGGGGTGAGGACGGATACATTAGAATTGGAATCACCACTGGATATGGAATTTGCGGAATTAACATGAACCCTTCATTCCCTAACGCTTAAGTTAAAGTTCATTTATTTTAATAATCTTTGAAATATTGTTTAGAATAAATACAGGATAAATAGTCAATTTATTAATGGAAAAGCATTTAATTGTAGAGGATCATAAAATAATCTTAAAGAATGAAGCGATTTAAAATTTAATTTGAAATATATGTAAAAATATTATATCTTTATTTGTGATTTTTATGATTTAAATATCTTTAACGAGGATGATTCAAATTAAATTTTAAATGTTAAAATTTTATGGAAAATATCAAATAACACATATTATTGATACTTTTTGAAAACTAATTTATATTGGGCCACGAAATTATGCAATTATTGAATTTTAATAAAAATAGTTCAAGGTATTTTGGCTTAGCAAAAGGGTACACAAATAAAATTGTGGTATCACAAACCCATCATCTCCTGAAAGTTAGAAGATCTTGCTGCGGCCTGAAGATAGAAACCTGGCAGGAAGCAAAGTCTATAGATACTCAACATTAGTTTTCGATTGGGCTTTTCCTCCCTTGCCTGCTACCCAAGACTTAAACTCAATGGGCACTGGAAACATCAAATCTGAAATTAGAGATTTAATTTATAAGTATATAAAATATTGTTTATCATCAAATGCGATCGTATTTTCTAATTTTAAATAGAATGATACCTATAAGAGTAATTTTATTAAGCTTAAATGGGCAAATATTTATTGGCAATTGGCAATATTATAAATACCCAAATATCCATGCTTAAATTCAAACTTATCTATTTTTGTTATAAAAATAAAATAATTAAATTATTTTTTCAAGCATAATTTATACGATTAAAATTTATTTTATTGCTTTAGCTGATCTTTGTTATGCATAGAATTTCATTTTCCGTTTTTTTAAATTCTCACCATTATCAAATATTTTACCATTACCCAACTTTATCTATTGTGCTAGTTCTGCACAAGATAAAACAAAGTAAAATCTGATCAATTTACTTATTAATTTCAAAATAGAACTGGGAAATGCATTACTAAAAATAAAATAAAGTTATGTCAATTGACTTCGTTAGCACATCTATAGATAAAGAGCAGGAAGATCAAGTTGAAATGTCTGGTTTGGACAAAATTTATCTGAAAAAGCTTAATAAGGCAAGTTTAAAAAGCTCGGTGTTTGAATTATTCCATTTGATATATTTTAATCACCAGTCATCTAAGCCGATAAGTCTTAAAAAGAAAATTATTTTTGCACTTCTTCAATTTTTCATGAGTTTTCAACTAATTACATTACTATGGATCCCCAAGGTTCCAATTTACCACTGGAAAAATAATTATACTATTTGAGAAATAGCTGGCTACTTAAGATTAGATAATATTGGCTCAGATCTGAATATAATGACTGAGTGCATTTATGGAGCTATTATTTTAATATCAGTTAGTTTTTTTATAATTGGAATTTTCGTGATTTTGACGTTTTGCAGAGTCAAGATTCCTGAAATTATTTTGCAAATGCTAAAGGGTTGATTAAATGCGTTATCTACAGTTTTTTTTATTCCTTCTGTAAATATTCTTTGCAAAACTCTAAAATATTATATAAAACCTACAAGTGATCTCTCAGATTATGAATACCCTGTCACAAATGATGATTTTCAAGTAAATATAGGAGTTGCATGCTCTATTCCTGTCATTCTTTTGGTGATATTTGTAATTTTATTCATCAAAACTTCATGCTCAGCAGAAATTAGGCATTCATTGTCTGAGCTAAGTGTCGACAGTCAAGCACACTCAAAAATTGAATTAAAATCAACTATTCTTACAATATTTTTAATTATTTTGAATACAATTTTAGTTCCTGATCATCTGATTTTTTACCAAGTAATATCATTAATTACATCTATGTTCTGTGCTATAAATTCACTTATCTTTCAGCCATATTTTTCAAAGTTTGCAAATATAGTTTTGGCTGCTAGATATTTCACAGAAGCTTGTGCAGCAATAATTTTTCTTATAGGCGCTATTTTTGATAGCTCGGTTTTGATGGTTTATTTATCAATATTTGTCCTTCCGTCTACTGTCTCTATTTTAATTAGATTTTTCTTGTTTTCAAAACGGTCGCAAAATCCTGGAAATTATAGTAGCATTAACTGCTTTAGCAGTATTTATGATTTCGAGCTTAAAATAAGACCTTATTTAATAAAAGGAAACTCAGATGAAAAAGAAGAAATAATCAAATTATTTTCACAGTGCACAGACACAAAAGGCTTCCGCGAAAGCAAATTATTGATTATATGAGAAGCAAATTATTGCCATTTTTCATTGAAAGACGAAACCTTGGCAAAGGTAAAACTGTGCAAAACTAAAAACTGCGATTGAAGCTTGGAAAATGATTTTCAAGAATTTAGGTGTAGAAAAGAGCTTTCTGAAATGGAAAGCAGCGAAGAAGCTAAATATTTAACTTTTTTGGAAAAAATAGAGACAGCTAAGACTGCTGATAGGATTTTATGTTTTGATTTGTTGAATATATGAAATGAGGTTACTTCAAAAAGTCCAAGCCTTAAGAAGTTGACTGATATTACAGGAAAAGTATATGAAGGTATTGAAAAACTCCATACAGTATATTCATATCTTTTAACACAATTCCCTACTAGTACTGAACCATTGATTCTATATGGAACACTCTTAAACACAATAATGCTAGACAAGGAGAAATCTATGGCTATGCTAAGTAAGCAAGAGTCTCTGCAGAAAACTAGAAATTTCTTCCGAGAATCCCAAAAACTCAGCTGCTTTGATGAATCTGTTGGAATACTTCTGATCTCAATAGATGACCAGTCATTTGGTGACATTTATTTTTCAAATACCCGAAGCACTTACATTTTAAAGCAACAAATGAATCAAATAATCGGCGCCAATATCTCCAATTTTATTCCTCCACCCTACAACAAAAATTTGCAACTATCATTAACCTCTTACATTAATGAACTTAGCCATTCCGAAATTTATTTACCAGAAACTTTATTTGTCCTTGACGGCAATAATCTTATCATAGAGTGCTGTATAAAAGTTGTGGTTTCTGCATTATTTAACAATGAATTTATGCTATTTTTAATAAAGGAAAAAGAAATAACCTATCAATTTGCAATTTATTCAGACAATGGAGAAATCTTAGCCCATAGTGAATTTTTTGGAAAATATATGGGATTAGAAAATAAATCTTTAAAAGGGTGAAATCTTGATTCACTGATTCCAAATTTTCCATTTTCTGAGCTTACCGAAAATCGTCCTTATGATATTATTAATAATGGAAAAGAAATTACTCTTATTATCAGTTGCAAAGAAATTGAGGGACTTAGGATCAAGTATATTCAACTGCTGCATGATCCAATAACATCTCCAGTTAAGCTTGATAATGAAGTAGAGGAAATAGAAGAATCAAATCCTCCGCCGCTGAATAAAAAAACAACTTTTGTCAGTACTGGATTGGATGATACTATTATTGAAGAAGAAAATGTTACAAAAGTCCGTCATAGCGAGCAAAATAATTTATTTTCTGAAACAGGCATTATGCTTCCTTATGAAAATAAAAAACTAAGCCTAGCAACTGATAAAAATGATAAATCTTTTCAGTCAACGACCATTTCTTCTAGTAACTCTGGGAATATTTTGGGCAAAAAATTAGTCGCTATTTCATCAAGATCAATAAAAATCTTCAATTATACACTCATATTATCAGTAATTTATATGTAGATTTTAGCAATAATTATCACAAATTGTATAGTCCTCTATTATACCAGTACCGAAGTCAATAAAGCTAAAGATTTAAGCTTATTAATAACGCTTGGAAAAATCACTGCATCTATGGCTTCAATCGCAAATCAAGCTAGATCTATTGAGATATCACGAAAATTAAAAATTGACACTTATATCTCTTATTATGAAAACAGCATTCAGAATAATATAAATTATTTAATTAGCACCAATGCCCATCTTCTTGAAAATGTTACGTCCTGGTCTCAATGTTCTGGCATAGGAATTTTCACTGAAAATGAAATAGATATATGAGATGCAGATGGAACCGGCATGAGTAAAGCGAACCTTATTGATACAATTTCAAAGTTTGCAGCGAAAGCGACTGGCTTCATAAGTGAGTTTCTTGAAGAGGATGACTATAAAACATTTATCGGATTTTTAGCTGCAAATGGGCTTGGAAATGCTCATAGACAAATTAAAAATACGATATCAAGCATTGTTGATTGTGAACAGGACAATGTCCATGAATTGACTTTAAAAGTCTCATTTTTGCTTGGAATAGGATTTGGGGTCCTCGTGCTGTGTGTAATTATTATGATTCCTTTTATATGCTCAATTGATAATGTTTTAAATACTTTTTGGAATAAAATAAAAAGCAATGCTTATCAATCCTATTTTGATTTGCGGCAAGCTTGCATTGATAGATTATCTGATTTTCATGGCCAAACCATGATTACTAGACCTGAAAATAGCAAAAAATTAGTAAACCAGGCTGTCAAGTTTACTAACGCTTGAAGCTATATTATCCGGCTATGCATGTCTCTTGTTGCAGCATTTCTTTTTTTTATGGTAAATTTAAATGTCCTTTATAAAGAATGTGAAAGCTCATTAAATTTAAGACCTGAACTGTTAGAAACAGCTATAAATAGAAGACTCTTGGTGACTGAAGTTGCCTTTTGAGGAAGAGAAAAATTATTTAAAGCCTCTGAGTACCAGTTGGTAAGTTTTCTTAATGAGTCTTATCCTTTTGAAGACGCAGATTATGAGCTTAAGAAAGTAATGGACAATATCAAGGATACCAATAGTTATATTCGGAAATCAAAAACTTCAGATTTACTATCAAAAAGCTTAGAAAAACAATTATATGAGAGTATTGATAATCCGGAAACAAATAAAGAAACTTATGGAACCTATGGGTCTATGAATATTCATGCTCTCGAAGCTTTATATTATTCGTATTCTCTTAGCAATGACAGTATTAGTTCATGAGTAAACGATTATTATGAAATAAATATGTTGCGTGACCAATATAACCAATTCATTGATTCATCAAACTCAGATTCTGAAGCAATAATCGAACAGCAATTTACCTTTATTATTTTGATAGCAGCATTTTATATGCTATTACTATTAAGCTTGTATATTTTTGTATATGCACCATTTTTGAGAAGGGAAACTCAAAAGCTAAAAAAAATGCGTACACTTTTAGCATTAATTCCTATTCAGAGCTTGGAAAAGTGTAATACTTAGATTAAAATTTAACTCTGATAATCGGGTATTTTATAATTATCTAGTAAATAATTAGTCATTACTTATTTTTAAAATGAGTGATTTAGAAATATTATTAAATGCTAAACATTATGATGATATTTCTGATATTCTTATTGCAAATTATAATACTTTTGAGCTTTTTTAATTGCATAATTTATTTTTTTCTCTTCTTAAAATATTTATTTTATTGTTTAACTGCCAAGTTAGTTTTATTTATTTCTTCTATCTCTGGAATAATCCGCAAATGTTATTGTATGGCTACCTTTGACTCTATTCATGGTTTCCATCCATTCTTGGGTTGTTCCACAGGGATCACAAAATATCGCTCCCAAAAGGCTTGTAAATATATTATCTTTTAGTCCCAAATTTTTTGCCAACCTATGAGTGTTATAAACACTCCCATAGCAGCAGAGAGCAAGTGAGCAAAAGCAAGCGACACAGGCTGCATTCTTATTTTCAGGCTCAGCAGTTTGTGCTATTGCTGCCTGCATGCAGTCTCCACCAAAAGGAATGCATATTGCTCATATAAACATCATAGGATTCTTACAACAGTCGAAAAGCCCAAATTCCCAGTCAGAAATTTCTTTTCCTCCTGATTTCACAAGTGGGAGAGAATTAGACATTATATTGATACAACATGTTATAAACTGAGGTGAAAATAAATGATTCAACAATATAAAAGATATATATTATAGATTTGATTATTTTATTATTATAAAAGTAGGGTATAAAATTATATTATTGGGAGGAGAAACAAGCTAAAAAATATTGCATTCGTTTGTGGAAATTTATTAAAAAGAAGAAATTGAGAGGATTTGATAAAGTTACAGTTAGGTTAGATCAGCAAAATGTTTTATTTTATTTAACCTAAAGCTATAGGCACAGCAATCACTGCTCCCAAAACGGCGACAACAACGACCACAATGCCTAAAATACAATAAAGCTTGTTTTTACTCTTTTTTTGATAATTTTCTGCTTTATCCAGTTCGACCACTGCTCTTCCTGTTTCTTTCACTGCAACGTCCACATTATTTTCAGCTGAATCCAGCATAGCTCCTTGTTCCACAACCATATTGCTCACATCTTTAAACATAGCATTAACCGTAATCATGTCTTTTTCCAGCTGCTGTACCTCTTCCATCCTATCTCTAAGCAGAGCTTCATCAAGCCCTCCTACGCTTCTAAAGGATTCTTCAGCCTGTTCTTGCTCATAACCCTGTTGCGTCTTTTCTTCCTCAACATATGTTTTTTGCTTCTCCAATGAAACCTGGCAAAGATTTTGAAACTGCTTGGACAGGGCTTCGAATTCCTTGGCAAGTTTATCGTGCTGAGGCTACGTTTATGTTTATTGGAATTATAGAGAAGCTCACTGCATTACTGAAGGACTATCTCTATCCTTGAGGCTCCCTTCGCCTGTTCGCCAGTTCGCACATGACCTTACAAAAAATGCTGCCGAAAATTTTTTGCACCTACTCGAGACGGATAAATATCCCAAATGCTATCCTCCCTTAGTCAAGGCCTTTTGGCTCCCTGCGGACATCACTACAATTATTAAGAGTGTAGGCTTGCTCGCCCATTCCATTTAATATATTCTTATCATGCTGAGGTTTTTCAGCACGAGATGGTGGTTTTTCTTTGAAAGATCTTATGATTCTTTTACAGAGATCAATTGCATCTTCACGTTCTTTTGTAATTGAGCTGTGTAATTTTGGGTTGTCCTTGGCACTGCCAAGCTGAGCTGATAAATCTTTGAGCTTTTTTATGCGCTGGTTGAACTCTCTGACCATCATGGCTTGCTCTTGAAGAGCAGATTGAGAGTTATTGTAAGTAGACATTTTAATATGCAACAAGAGTAATGACTTTAAGGCTATGTCATGTTTTATTTTAATTCTTATTCCCCTTTAATTTTTAATGATGCATTAAGTATAATCTGAAAATTAGAAATTCTTATATGTAAATATTATAATTAAAAACATTCAGAGGGAAGTTAGTAAAATGATAAAGATATGTGATAATTATAAATCTATAACTTATTATAATGAAAAAAAAATTTATATCGATTAGTGTTATACTGGTTACTATTTAGAATAGGACAACGGTAACCAGCTATAGGTGTTTCCCCTAGATAGCCCTTGCGGGCTGTGGATTCTCTTCGGAATCCTTTGTGGGTCGAGCCAACAAGTGAGTTGGTCTGACCAACATAGTAAGCTGGCTCGGCCAACCAAAGGATTTCCGGACAGAATCCATAGCCCTGTAAGGGCTATTTAGGGAAAACACCAATATACCTTTAGCAGGTATATCTGGCATAAGCCCACCTTACTTAAGGATTAATTTCCTATGCTAGAGCCAAATCTTGCGAATGCCCTGCTAGTCCAGATAAGCAAAGACTAAGTGGGAGGCAACTAATATTTAGCCCGTCTGGCAGAAGCAGAGAATACCTTCCGGGAGAAACAAAACTTCACTCTTCGCCAAGCTTCCCCAAGCAGAAGGCCTACTTCAAAAAGTAAAGCAGGCACTATTTTCAGCTTCATAGGATCCTACTGCCGCAGAGGGAGTGTGCTCTGAGTCTATCTTCAGCCGATGTCGCCATTTTATTCTCAGTAACCAGTAGGAATGCTTATATTTACTATAATTTTTTATATTTAAATATTAATCAGATTCTCGATAATCACGATGAATTCAAATCAATTATATTTTATGCTTAAAGGCTCAAAAATTCGAGTATAATAAGGATAGAGTGAAATACTTTAATAATCAATACATGTGATTAAAATTTTGAATTTTTGTGATCAACCATAATTTGGTCATTAATAGAAATGGAGAGCGTCTATGATGCAAATCATGCAATATATAACGAACAACTGAAATCTGGTCGCAGATATTATTGTGAGGAATATAACGTTATCAAAGAATTAGCATTAAACAGAGAATTCTCAGATAATTGCTTAGAAAACATGAGAATCCTCGATCTTGGCTGTGGTTCAGGAGAATTTGTGGCACACATGATTCAAAAAGGAGCCCAGACTGCAATTGGTATTGATATTTCTCAAAAAATGATTGATGACGCCAATAATTTACTTTCCAGCCAGCCACAGCTATCATCACGTTTTTCATTCGCTAAAGCAAATTGTTTTTCCATCGAAAATGTGCAAGAAATTTTGCCTCTTGAAAAATACGCTGGCTATTTTGACGCAATTACTTCAATATTTTTACTATGCTATGCCCAAAGTGAAAGAGAATTAAACGATTTGTTTTGCCTTTGCAATAAATATTTAAAGGAAAATGGAACTTTTGCCTTTATCACAACAAATCCAAGAATTGCATTAGAATTTCCAGAATACCAAGAAAAAACCAAGACTGGAGGGTTTAGGCTGTTAAGTTTACAAGAAAATAATGGCTTGCCTTTGCTTGAAGGAGGATTTTGCGATATTGATACAAATGAGCTAAGATTTACAGTCAGCAATATAATTTATTCAAGAGCACAAATCCAATCTGCATCAGAGCAAAATGGCTTTGAAATAGAGACAACTTTTTATCCTGCTTTTCACCCAGACTTTGACATTACTAGCCTTTCTACTAGGATAAGCATTGATTTTCTCAACGGAAACGACTCAATCAGTTTCTTTTTTAAAGCCAAAAAAGTTCGCTCTTTATAGGTTTAAGCTAAATCTTTAAATAAAAATTATTTATGTAAGATATAAATGAGTAATATAATGGATACTATACAGTCAAACACAAATCCAAGTACTAAAGGAGACACAATAACTTGTCTTAAGTTCAGCCGCGATGGAGATCTTCTTGCTATTGGGGATGGAGAAGGAATTATACATTTATTGAAATCAGATTTTCGAGAGGTTGGACAGATTGAAGCTCATTCTACAGACTTGGATAGTTATAAAAAACCTGTAGTGTCCCCTTGTGTCAGGAACCTGGAATTTTTACATAGCCATGGCTCCAGGGCTTCTTTGTTTTCCTCTAACGAAAAAACTATAAAACTGTGAAAAATATTTCCAGTCCACAATAAAATTACGGAATTTAATACCTGAGAAGATGGAGAAAAGCTTGAAGAGGAAGAATGGCTTATTCCCCTCCCTAGGCAAGTAAAAATATTGTGTCCTGCTAATATATTTTTTTTAATAAAAAAATAATTAAATTTATTGTAATTTTTTAGATTGCAAGCAGTTAAAATTCAATAGAATCAGCTCAAGATTTATTATAATAATTCATATATAAAAAAATATTATATATTAATTGCTCAATATGAAAAGAGAAGTTAGTAGAACACATAATAAATTAATTATCCCATCAAGAAGAGCTTCACAAGAGTCTTTAGAATCGAAATGTGTAACTCAATTTTTGGGTGCTCATCAATGCTACATAAACTCTGTTTCTTTGTGCTCAAATTATCAAAATTTTGTATCAGCAGACGATTTAAACTAGATTTATCTATATGCAAAAATGTTTATCATAAGCTCAGTATTTAAATTTAATAAAATCAAAAAATTCATAAGCAAAATTCAGTCAATTTTATACAAATTCCTATTAAAAATTTTTTTATGAGATATAAATCGAAACGACACAGCTTTTTTACTAGTAGACCAACGTGAGTCGGTTAAGCCTATAAGTGAAGTAATCACCTCTGTCAAATGCCACCAAAGCAACTCACACATTGTGCTGTGGACCAGCACAAATGGAACTATAAGAATAGGCGATTTACGAGACAGGAGTATATGTGATAACCCTGCTGAAATATTTAAATATTCTTCTCGATCGAATGGCTTTTTTGATGAGCTGGTCCTGGCTATATCAAGTGCTGATTTTTGCCAAAGCATGGACTATATAGTCGCTAGGGACTATTTTACCGTGAAATACTGAGATATGAGGAACTGCAGCAGCCCTGCTGTCATTGTTGATGTAATGAGTAATTTGCAAAGAGACATGAACGATTTATATCAGAGTCAAGACATTTGTGCGAAATTTGAGGTAAAAGATTTTCCAAGCTCGGAGTACTGTGTGACAGGGGGGTATTCGGAAGTGATTATGATTAGCAGGATGGGAGAAATTTTGAATAGAATTAGTAAGTTAGTAAGATAACTAATAAATAGCTTGTCTTCTGTTCTCTGAATCTTACATATGAGATACGAGTTTCTGCTTGGAGCATCGGATCGGCAGTTATACGACTGTTAGAATTTCTACTTGTCTCTAGCTTCAAAGAAAGCTCTTTTTTCGCTAGTCAGTGCCAGTGGATAGTGTCTCTATAGGCAAACTCACTCCACTTCACTGAGCCCCAAATCAGAAACTATCCTTACCAGAACACCCCATTTTATTTGTGTTGAATAGAATAAATGTTACAGATACTGATGAAGAAATTTTGCATATGGATGTGCATCCGAAAAGCGAAAGCGTAGTGTTTGCGTGTGATGATAGGATTAATCAATATATATTTAATGATATTTTATTGCAGTAGATGATTTTAGTCCTATAAAAGTAAAGAGTAAAAGGTTAGATTTTATCGTAAATAAGTAATATTAGGAGTAATGAAAATTAAGCTGAAATTTGCAAATATCGAAGATTGGACTTGCTTTGTTAAGCCAGAACTTGAGAAAATCCACCTAGTCTTAGGATTTGAGTCAATAGCTTTAATTTTTGTATAGCTGAAATAATGTCAAAAATAGGGATGTTTTCTTGGATGGCGAAACAAACTAATTTTCTGTATGCTAGATAATAATTTCTATCTTTGATAATATTTATATCTTCAGCAATTTTAATAAACATCTCTAATATAATTAAAGATTATTATCTATACACCTTTCTGTACCTTTAACGGATTACTCTGTATTTTATCATAAATTAATATGGACTACTTCAACCAAGCTCATATACAGCAGAGCAGTGAAGAATCTCACGAGCTTTGACCTCCACTTAGTGCTAAAGACCGTGTCAATGAAGTCAAAATTTTGAAAGCTGGAATTACAATTAAAAATATTTTCTTTCGACGCTTATCAAGACGAGAAGCTTTTGCGAAATGAAAAGAAACAAGAACATCATACTGGTTCCAGAAGTTTAAATCAATGCTTGATGAAATCTCGAAAGAGCGTGATAGCTTGATGCAGGAAAATAGAGATCTCTTTTTAGCGTTAAAAAATGAAGATAGCTCTAGTTCAGAAGAAAATAATACTCATAAATCGGAAAGAATTTCTTTGGAACTGCCAAATATAGAAACTAATACAGTTCAAGAACTTTTTTCGGAGCTAGAACAGTTTATGGGGATTTTAAAACAAAAGAAATTTGTGCTGGATAGAGAATGGGTTAGGCTTAAAGAGGAGAAAGCAAAACGCTCGAGTAGAAGAAGGACAGAAAAAGATGATTTACAGCATAATTTATGAATTCCTGAGGAGAAGCTCTTTATATAATTTTTCTTACTCCCCCCCCTCCGGGAGTGAACAAAACCATTAGAAAAATCCCTATTTTTTGCCCAAAAACCCACCCTCCGTGAGTGAACAAAAACTTTTTTAATAGAAAAATTTTTTATGGAAAAAAAAATTTTGATATATAAATGATAATTAGTATAATGAAATCTAGAGCTAATTCTGTTTAATTTTAAACGAATTGCTTTTTAAAACATAAATTTTATAAATTAAATTAATATTTGCTTTCCAATTTTTTGTGAATTAGGATTTTTTTAAATTTCGAAAAAAAATATTTTTTATAAAATTTATATATAAATATTTTTAAAAAAAAAAAAATTAACCCCCCTCCGTGAGTGAACAAAATTTTTTTGTTCACTCACGGAGGGGGGGGGAGTTAAATAAATGTTTTTTTTTTATTTTCAGGGGAAAAACACATTATTTTAGAAAAATATAAGGTTTTTTTTATAATAAATGGACTGATACAGCATATACACCAAATTAATGAAAGCATTGAAGCTCATGAAAGAAAACTGACTGAGAACTTAATGAATTACTCAATGAAATTAGAACGGCAAAGATCACATGAAGATGATGTAGAAAGAGGCCACTTCCCCACAAAATCAGCCCAATTCCAAAGCCCATCCAAGCTAAGCGAAAATCTAGACAAATTCAAAAGCAGCCTATTTCGTGGCTCAGACCCAACAGATTTCTGGGCAAGTGCTCCAAAAACAGATATTAATGAAAAATTAAAAACTCTTGAACAAGAGCTAATTAAAGAGCAGCAAAAACAAAAAGCCAACCGAGACAGACTTCAGCAAGAATATCAATTATTAGCACGAGAAAAAAAAGAAATCAAAGTAAAAGAGGAAGAATTAAAGGAATATCAAAGCTTTTTAGAAAGAGAAGGAAAACACATTCAAAAAAGCTGGCTTGAGCTCAGCCAACTAGCTGATTCTTTAGAAACTAAACAAGGAGCGAAGCTGAAATGTTTGGCTGATAAAAGATGCCAAAGCTGGGACTGTTTTTCTAGTAAGCTATCAGAATCTAGCTTTATTCAGCTTGAAGAAGGAGGAATTAACAACAAAGGATGAGATGAAAATATTTCCCCAAAAGAAAACGAAATTTTTGTGACTGACCAAGTAATTCCTAAAGACTATTTTTTCACTGAATCGGTGTCAAAAATTGATCCTATTCATGATATTAAAATTGAGCCTGATGAAAGCTTTTCCCCTTATAAGCCTCTTCATTTTGAAATTACTCAATCTAAAAACAGCACTATTACTGGATTTTTGAAACAAATAAAAAATGATCTTCTGATACAATGAATAAAATATTCTCAAAAATCAAATTATCGAATTGCGTTTTATTTATGAAAATATAATTGTTTAAAAGATAAAAATGAAAGCCCAAGAGAAGTTTTGTTAGATATATTATGACTAAAACGACGCAAAGAGCTTAAGGCACAAGGACTGCTTACTATTGTAAAAAATATTTAGGAAAATTACAGTAAAAAACGAAGAGAATTCGAAACTAGTGCTTTTGCAAAAAAACAAAAAAAATTATTCCAAACCCATACCCTTCGAGTTCTAAAAGCTACCACAAGGCATTGGAGGCAGAGGATTTTATTTTTGATTAAAAAATACCTTTACAAATGATTCTCAAACTCACTTTCCAATAAATCCAGTGAGCTTTGTGTGACGTTAAAAAATATCCCTCCTTCTAATCCGCCTCAAAACCAGGTTTTAAGTGTCACTACTTTAAGGGCAGATTTATCAAACAGCTCTGTATTTGATTTAAGTGCTATCACTTTACATGAAAAAAATGTCGGGATTATTAAATTTATCTGCTTTTTGTCAAAAATTCAAGGAAAGCAAGAAAGAAATATAAATATAAGATTCAATAAATGGAATGCTTCAACAAAGAAAAAAAGCTTTGAGAATATGAAATCGGTACTTAAAGAGTTCGAAAATAGGATATCAACATTGAAAATTCAAGATACTGCATTTAGAACTGAAATTATTATACAGCAGAAAAAGCTTGAATCTAAGCTCTCACAAATGAAAACTGTGCTGAAAAATTTGGCAGCTTGCAGTTCAACAAATAATTCCAATGCAAAAATTCAATAATTATGTTTTAATTTATAATTTGCTATTTTTTTATAAATTCATTTACAATTTAAAATGGCAGTTCATCCCAGTGAAGAGAATCTTTGATATTTGAAGGTTTATCAAAAATAGATTCATCCGCAGGAATTGATGAGAAACCTGTTCAATATCCTTTCTGCTTAAAAGTTTATGATTAAGGAGAAATTAAAAAAATATTAAAATATTTTTGAATGTTACAGTAAATTTTAGCTTCCAATCATGAAAATTTTTAGAGCTTGTAACACTAAATTAATATCTTTATTTAAATTAGCACATATTTAAATTTCATTACTCTAATAAAAATTATAAATAAAAAAAATTTATGAAAATCTATATAGAGCTGATTAAAAGAATTGAAGAAGGAAACAGCTTAGAAATAGCTGCCAAAAATTTAAAGCCTAAGCTTGTCCACATTATTGAGACAATTAAACAAGAAATTGATTTATTAAAGCAACAAGAAATTTTGCTTCAGATAGCTTGTAACCACTACGATGGATTAGCTCAGAAATTTCCAGATAGAGTGAGTTTCTTAAATGATGTCTCTAGAGCTGACATGTGTGAGGTTCGTTCATTAGCCCAACCTCATATGCTTGTCCAAATGGTAGCTGAGGGAGTCGGCATTCTACTGAATGAAAAAGAAAAATGAAATTCTTTTTATCAAAAGCTTCCTAATGGAGTATCAGCTTTATTGGATGTTGAATATAATCAACTTTCTGAGCAAATCCTATATGATTTAGGAACGATTGTTAATGCCTATAGAAATAACACCAGGGCTTTTTATATGGTATCTAGAGCTACAGCAAAATTATTCTGCTTTTTATTAGCTACTTATGACTTAGCAATTACAATTAGAGATAATTTCCCACAGTTTACAAGCTTCAAAGATATTGATAGACTTGCAAGAAAAGAGCTTTTTGAATATAGCAACTTGGAAGCTGTTAGAAATAAAATAAAGAATAAAGAAATGGAGTTAGATTTATTGATACAATCGGACTTAAAGTTATCCAAAATATTATAGAAGTATAAAACTATTTTTTTTAAATTAATAAAATAGCAGATGCTACTCTTATTCTCTGATAATCATATTAATATAAGCAGCAGTTCATCTAATAAACTTAACTCACTTACCTTCTAAATTTTACTTTTTCAGCATGTCCGATATACTCCATGCTTAAAGTTTTATTATTGATAAGAAATCGAAAAGCAAAATATTTTTGAATACTACAGCTATTTTGCAATTTTAAAAAACCGTAGAGCGCTTCCAATTATCAAGAGACTTTAGATCTCATAACATTAAATTAATATCTTTATTGAAATTAATATATTTAAATTCATTATTCTAATAAAAATTATAAATAAAATAAATATTATGAAAATCTATTCAGAGCTGATTAAAAGAATTGAAGAAGGAAACAGCTTAGAAATAGCTGTCAAAAATTTAAAACTTAAGTTTGTCCACCTCATTGATACAACTAAACAAGAAATTGATCTATTAAAGCAACAAGAGACTTTGCTTCAGATAGCTTGTAACGATTAGCTCAGAATTTTCCAGACAGAGTGGGTTTCTTCAATGATGCCTTTAGAGCTTCCAAATACAGGTATGAGAGGTTTACATTTGTTAGACCTCCAATGTCATTCCAAATTTTAGCTGAAGGAGTCTGCATTCTACTAAATGAAAAAGAAAAATGAAATACAATTGGTGGAAAGCTTCAAAGAGTATCAGCTTTATTGGATGTAGAATATAATCAACTTTCTGAGAAAATCCTATATGATTTAGGAACAATTGTTAATGCCAATAGAAATAACATCAGTGCTTTTGATATGGTATCTACAACTGTAGCAAACTTATTCTGCTTTTTATTGACTACTTATGACTGAGCAATTACAATTAGAGATGATTTCCCACAATTTGCAAGCTTTAAAGATATTGATAGACTTGTGAAGAAAGAATGTTTTGAGTATAGCAACTTGAAAGCTGTTAGAAATAAAATAAAGAATAAAGAAATAGAGTTAGATTTATTGATACAATGGGACTTAAAGTTATTCAAAGTATTATAGAAGTTTAAAACTTTTTTAATAAATTAATAAAATAGTATATATTTCTAATATCTTCTGATACTTATATTAATACAAGCATCAGTCCATCTTATAAAATTTATTTGATTAAGTGTTTAATTCATCACTTAACTTCTAAATTTTATATTTTGCAAGTCAACCCTGATTGGACAATGTTTTGATAGGGTTGGGATCAGCCAAAGTTAGAACACTGTCACCAGAGGAAGTCTGTTGGAACTTAGAATGATCTCAAGTAGAAATGTATTGTTGACTTAGGCACAGAAAAACAAGTAGAGTCCTTTCTTTTCTTTAAGGGTCTCGCTCATCACGAACTCTAAGACGTAAATTTATGCTTTAAATGTCTCCCTCCCAGAAGCAGGCAGGAATGCACGTGATGTCATTTAGGCAATTGCCTCTCTACCTTCTCCACTACAAAAGAAATTTTTTGGTCTTTTTGGGAAGATAAAGCGTCGAGTGTAGTGATTTTCTAGAGATAAATAGAAAATAATTAATTGCATATTGCCCATTATTGCAGAGTTAGCCTTAATTAATTTTCTTTTCTTCTTGCTTTCCAGCTAAATCGAGTATTTTTTGGGGCAAGTGAATTGAGTAGAATGCTTCTGATTCATTTTCCTCTTTCACACTAAACTGATTTTTGAAAAAAAATACGCCAAAAAACAATAGTCGTTATAATATAGGCGTCTTGTGAAGGAACCTTTTCATTTTGATATTATCCAAAAATAGTCCCTGAGCTTGAACAGCATCAAATACAAGTTGATTGCTGATATTTGAATAAATTTCCTAGGATAATATAAATTCTTCTCTTCTTCTACTCCATTCAGTGCAGGAATTGATTAGAAAGCCTGTCCAATATCCTCCATGCGTAAAAATTTATGATTAAAAAGAAAAGCCATTGAGAGTTTCCAATTATCAAGAGATTTTAGAGCAAATAGGTTCTATATTTAAATAATATATATAAATTCATTACTCTAATAAAAATTATAAATAAAAAAAAAATATGAAAATCTATTCAGAGCTAATTAAAGGCATTGAAGAAGGAAACAGCTTAGAAATAGCTGCCCAAAATTTAAAGCCTAAGCTTGTCCACATTATTGAAACAACTAAACAAGAAATTGATTTATTAAAGCAACAAGAAATTTTGCTTCAGATAGCTTGTAACCATTACGATGGATTATCTCAGAAATTTCCAGATAGAGTGAGTTTCTTAAATGATGTCTCTAGAGCTGACATGTGTGAGGCTCGTTCATATTCCAGACCTCCAATGCTTGTCCAAATTGTAGCTGAAGGAGTCGGCATTTTATTGAATGAAAAAGAAAAATGAAATACTTTTTACCAAAAGCTTCCTTATGGAGTATCAGTTTTATTGGATGTTGAATATAATCAACTTTCTGAGAAAATCCTATATGATTTAGGAACAATTGTTAATGCTTATCGAAATAACACCAGAGCTTTTGATATGGTATCTAGAGCTGCAGCAAGATTATTCTGTTTTTTATTGGCTACTTATGACTGAGCGATTGCAATTAGAGACTATTTCCCACAGTTTACAAGCTTCAAAGATATTGATAGACTTGTAAGAAAAGAGTTTTTTGAATATAGCAACTTGGAAGCTGTTAGAAATAAAATAAAGAATAAAGAAATAGAGTTAGATTTATTGACACAATCAGACTTAACGTTATTGAAGATATTTTAGAAGTATAAAACTTTTTAATAAATTAATAAAATATTATATGCTACTAATATATTTTGTAAATATGTTTTTGTCAATAATCTGCAGTTATGAGCTCTTATGATTTTTGAACGAAAAAGAAATTTTGCAAAATCTAGAAGATTTTAAATTCTTAAAATAATTTTGAATACTACAATTATTTTGCAGTTATATAACAAACGAGAAAGATTCCAATTATCAAGAGATTTTAGAGCTCATAACATTAAATTAGTATCTTTATTTAAATCAACACATATAAAATTTCATTACTATAAAATCATAAATAAAATAAATATCATGAAAATCTATTCAGAGCTGATTAAAAGAATTGAAGAAGGAAAGAGCTTAGAAAAAGTCGCCAAAAATTTAAAGCCTAAACTTGTCCACCTCATTGAGATAAATAAACAAGAAATTGATCTATTAAAGCAACAAGAGATTTTGCTTCAGATAGCTTGTAACCACTACAATGAGTTAGCTTATAATTTTCCAGATAGAGTGGGTTTCTTAAATGATATCTCTAGAATTGACATGCATGAGATTTATTCATATTCCCGACTTCCAATACTTGTCCGCATGGTAGCTGAAGGAATCAGCATTCTACTTAATGAAAAAGAAAGATGAAATATTTTTTATAAAAACCTTAATTATGATGGATTATCAGTTTTATTGGATGTTGAGTATGATCAACTTTCTAAGCAAATCCTATATGATTTAGGAACTATTGTTAATACCAATCGAAATAATATCAACACAATTTATATGATATCTGTAGCTGCAGCAAGATTATTCCACTTTTTATTAACAACTTATGACTGAGCGATTACAATCAGAGATAATTTCCCACAGTTTTCAAACTTCAAAGATATTGATAGACTTGTAAGAAAAGAGATTTTTGAATATAGCAACTTGGAAGCTGTTAGAAATAAAATAAAGAATAAAGAAATAGAGTTAGATTTATTGATACAATTAGACTTAAAGTTATTTAATCTATTTTAGAATTATAAATTTTTTTTTTTAAAAATTAATAAAATATTATATACTCTAAAAGAGCGTCGAAATACTTCCTCCCAGGTATTCATAAGCACTTGGTGCTTCAAATACCATGGTGGAATATTTGAGTTTCACTATCCATCTGTAATGCTTTCTAGGCCTGACCAGAACTTGGCTCACCATCTGCATTTTGGCTCCAAGTGCATAATTTAAAAAGATGAATTATCTTCCAGAATCAATAAACGTTTTACAGATATTAATTGCAGCTCTGATTGCCTTTCTTCATAATTTTATATATTATGTATCTCTACTAAAGTGGAAAACTAATTAAACAATTTAATATTTAAACTACAATGAGCTGTGATGTCAAACATTAATTAAAAGCTGATAATTTAATTTTAAAAATACAAAGTCGAACAAATTCTAAGCCAGAAGTAATTTATACACTTCATTTCTCCAAGCAGTAATGAGTTTAGATTTTATTGGTCGCCTATATAAAACTAAAATATTTTATTAAAGTTATTTTACATATAACTATGCTAATAAATATGAATATTTATTCAGAGTTCATTAAAGCTATTGAGCAAGGCACCAGCTTTGAAGTAGCCGCAGCCAATCTCAAGCCTAAACTTATCCACCTTATTGAGACTACTAAACAAGAAATTAATTTATTAAAGCAGCAAGAAATTCTGTTGCAGACAGCTTGCAACTACTATAATGATTTAGCTCAGAATTTTCCAGATAGAACAGGCTTTTTAAAAATTTTTGATAGAATAGAATTGTTGGAGCTTGGTTCATTTTCCTGGCCACACCCTATTATCCCTGTAGCAGAAGGCATCAGCACAATTCTAAATGAACACGGAATTTTTATGAAAAACTAATTAATCCTTTGCTACCTTCTTTAATGAATGTTGATTATAATGATATTTCTGAGCAAATCCTACAGGATTTAGGACTAATTGTGAATTCCAATCGAAATAATATTAATCAGATATACAGCATGTATAGAGGTGCTGGGAGATTATTTAGCTGGCTAGTAACTACTTATGATTGAGCTATTACAATTAGAGACCATTTCCCAAAATTTTCAAATTTTAAAGAAATTGATAGACTGATAAAAAAAGATTTCTTAGAATATAGCTCCTTATGCGCAGTCATTAATTCAATAAAAAATAGAGAAAAAGAACTAGAATTATTAGAAAATGCTGATCTTCTAATTACAGATATTAATCACAACACTAATTTGCCTTAATTCATAATTTTATATATTAGTGTTATTATTCTGGAATTTTTTACTAAAATGGAAAATCGTTAAATAATTTAATATTTAAACTACAATGAGCTGTGATGCTAAACATTAACTAAAAACTGATAATTTAATTTTAAAAATGCAAAACCTATCACACTCTAAACCAAAAGTAATTAAAAAACTTAAAAACTATTACACTTCATGACTCCAAGCAATAAGAATTTAGATTTTATTGACTGATCCCTGTAAAACTAAAATTTTGATTAAGTATTTTACTTAGAACTAATGCTAATAAATATGAATATTTATTCAGAGCTAATAAAAGCTGTTGAGCAAGGTACCAATTTTGAAGTAGCCGCAATCAATCTCAAGTCTAAAATTATCCATCTTATTGAGACTACTAAACAAGAAATTAATTTATTAAAACAGCAAGAAATTCTGCTGCAGACAGCTTGTAACTACTATAATCGTTTAGCTCAGAATTTTCCAGATAGAATAGGTTTCTTACAAAATATATCTCTTAGAGACATGGTGGAGCTTCGCACATATGCCCGGCCTCACCCTATTATCATCCCTGTAGTAGAAGGAATTAGCATAATTCTAAATGAAAAGGAAAAATGAGTGAATTTTTGTCAAAAATTAAATTTCAACTGACTACCTTATTTAATGAATATTGATCATAATGCACTTTCTGAGCAAACCCTACAGGATTTAGGACTAATTGTAAATGCAAATCGAGATAATATTAGTCAGATTTACATGATGTCAAGAGCTGCTGGGGAATTATTTCGCTGGCTAGTAACTACTTATGATTGAGCTATTATAATTAGAGATCATTTCACACAGTTTTCAAATTTTAAAGAAGTTGATAGACTAGTAGAAAAAGATTTCTTAGAATATAGCTCTTTATGTGCAGTCATTAATTCCATAAAAAATAAAGAAAAAGAGCTAGATTTATTAGAAAATATTGAGCTCCCAAGGATTAATAAAATTTTAGGACTATAAATTTATATTATCTTAAATTAAGACAGCGTTTATTATATTTTATTATCCTCCTCTCTTATATACAGCACAAAGTACTTGAGGTTAGCTCATATTCCATCCACTCTTGGTAGAAATAAGAAACACTACATTTGTATTTTTTGGCTGCATATTCATATAAGTTTATAGGATTAGTACTTAGATATTGTTGCGACTACATTGTTACGTATTTGGGTACTCATTATAGCTCTTCCAATAAAAAACATTTTCAAAAATTTGACGTAAATACGCTCTATCCGATAATTAATTTTTAAAATACAAAATCGAACACACTCTAAGCCGTAAGTAATTTATAAACCTCAAAATTACTACACTTCATTTCTCCAAGCAGTAAAGAAGTTAGATTTTCTCTAAAAACTAAAATTTTTATAAGGTTATTTCACTTAAAACTAATGCTAATAAATATGAATATTCATTCAGAGCTCATTAAATCTATTGAGCAAGGTAACAGCTTAGAAGCAACCGCAGTCAATCTCAAGTCTAAACTTATCCACCTTATTAAGACTACTAAACAAGAAATTAATTTATTAAAACAGCAAGAAATTCTCTTGCACACAGCTTGTAACTACCTCATGATTTAGCTCAGAATTTTCCAGATCGAAGGGATTTCTTAAAACATTTTGAGAGTAAAGACATGGGAGAACTTCGCCCATATTCCCGACTTCACACTCTTCTTATCCCTGTAGCAGAAGGCATGAGCACAATTCTAAAAGGAAAGGAAAAATGATATAATTTTTCTCAAAGATTAAAGGTACCTGTGATACCTTATTTAATGAATATTGATCATAATGCACTTTCTGCGCAAACCCTACAGGAAATAGGACTAATTGTAAATGCAAATCGAAATAATATTAATCAAATGTGAGGGTTATCACTAGCTGCTAGGGGATTATTTGGCTGGCTAGCAACTACTTATGATTGATCTATTACAATTAGAGATCGTTTCCCACAGTTTTCAAATTTTAAAGAAGTTGATAAACTGGTAGAAAAAGATTTCTTAGAATATAGCTCTTTATGCACAGTCATTATATGCATTAAAATAGCATGGTGAGCCAGCTTTCCTTCTTAGCACCTGAAGCCAGTAAATTTATTAGGAAAGCAGCGACCTTGTGGATGGACAGCATTATAGAAATCTGTATTAGCCTAGATTTTTTTTGCATGATCGAGAGAAGCGTTCGGATTAGCCGATGCACACTCACATATAATCAAGGTTAACCAGAAAACTTGATTTTTTGAATTTTTTGGAAAAGGCAGGCACCTGTGATGAACAGCATGGTGAGTCATTGTCTCTTACTCTCAGATAGAGAGTGCAAGCCCTCGTACGTGAGGTGCAACAAAGTGAAAGACAGTATCCTGGTAAACAAGCAGTGGAGCGTATACGGAGGCGAGTAGTGACCTGCGGGCCTACAATAAATTTTTCTATAAGTAATTTAAGTTTAAGTTAGAAGCAGTCGTTAATTCCATACAAAATAAAGAAAAAGAGCTAGATTTATTAGAAAATTATGAGCTTCCAAGAATTAATAAACTTTTAGGACTATAAACTTATATTATCTTAGATTAAGACAGCGTATATTATATTTTATTATCCTCCTCTGCTGATATAAAGCACAAAAGTATCTCCTATCCTCAGCTCTAGTGCTTTATGTCTGTCATATACAAATCCCATCCTTTTTACTTCAGTCACTATTTCTACACCAGGCTTTTTAATTTCAATCTGAATCCCTATCCTTGATACACTATCAGGTACAATACCCGCTTTTTCAGCTTTATAAGTATTTCTTGACACAGTCACGTCAACCCCTGCAAATTCGCTTCTAACTAGCTTCAAAAAAGGGTAAAAATAGTCATACACATATACTTGGTTAGGCTTCCCATAATATTCTCCATCATATCACTCAGTCTGTGACAGCTCAAGCTCACAATGTCTGGACACATTATAAAGATAAAGCTTTTTCTTTATACCGTCTGAGTCATCCTGAGGAGTTTTTGGAAATTCAGGCTCTAATTGTAAAGATTTTAAGATTTCGTGTGTATTTTGGATTATTGGGGCTTGCCAATGGACACTTTCAAGCTTAATCAGGCCCATTAAATTGAACCAGTTAATAGCAATTTCTATATTATCGCTTATACACACAGCAGTAATTTGTTGTGTGAAAGCTCTTCTGATGTCTTCTCCATTAAATTTGCATTCGTCTCGATGTGCTCACAATTTTCTTTTGCCTTTATTTTAGGATATATAAAAATTGAGGGGTAAACAAACCTACCCTCTTAACACCAGCGAATGGGTTAACCTTGGAAGGGGAGAGAGTCTGGGGTGAGTAAACGGCAAGGCTTTACTTTGTTTGGTAGAACGCGCAGCTTGCATCCAAGTCAAGATTTTACCTTAACGGAGATGGAAGCTCGGAGTTGGAAAAGAGATGATAACCAGCAAAGTCAGGACAACCAATGGGGTAATGCTCCAGCACAATACTAGGTGTTGCATCCTGGGATTCAGGAGACATCTTGGTCAACAACATAGAAAATTCGTTTTTTCAAATTTTCTGGAAGCTTGATAGGGGATACAGTGACTCATCCCACTATACTCCGAGTTAAGGTAATCCACAGGGAGAGGAATGATAAGCGACAGCAGACGGCGAGCAAAACAAGAAAAAGAAAAATATCCTAGGATGCCACCGGAAGCTTCTCAATAATCTTGTTTAAGTTAAGTTAAGCCTTTATTTATGAATGCAGTAAAATGGCATGATAAGTTGGCATGCCCTCCTGCAACCTTTAGCAAGAGTCCGAATTAGGTTCCCAAAATCTTTTAAGGGATAAAATCGTCCTTAGATGTGCATCCAGCTAGGTTTTACCAATTTGGTGGTAAAGTGGGGTTATCCCTTCTCATTTCCGGACAGTTTTTTTCCTCGCAGATATGAAGCTTAGAAAAAGATCATTACCATAGGGCACCCACTAGACCTAGTGGACAATTCGTAGCGCGATGTCCTGAGCTCCGAGTTTCCATCTTATTTGACAAGCGAATAGGAATTTTTTTTAAAAAATCTACATTGACGCTCAGCACGATGACCAAACGCCCTTGACTTTGCAGCAAGCACAATCCTTACACAGAAGAAGCTACAGTGAAGGCCAGTTCATACAGGCAAACAAGAGTTGGAGCGTTAATGGAGACCACTATGAAAACAGTGACTTCTCTATAAATAATTAACATTAGCTTATTTATGCAGTCGAACTTGAATTCTGATTTATATACATAATCAGATGAGTATAGCTTGTAAGTGTACCTTAGTTTAATAGTGTGGTTTATTAATATTGGCAGAAGCTCAGCAACGATTATTCTATCAACCCTTATTCCTTTTCTTTCAGCCACAGCAATATTGGTGATATCATGGTAACTTTTTTTGAAGACTATTCTTATTATAATAAATATTTTTTCAATTTATTGAAAATAAACAGTGTTTTTATTGACTTTTTAAAGAATTATTTATTTAAAAAAGGTATAATAAATGTGAATGAACTAATGCGAACTGAGATTCTACTGAGTTAAAAGCATGATCCATAGCTTCCATAACTTTGACGTGTAGAGAAGCTGATAAAGCAAGAACTGTTCTTAAGTCACCCGCAAGATATTGCAGTATTCGAAAAAATGCAATTTCTGGGAGCGATAATAAGGATAGAGAGGATTTTGAATTTTGAGAGCTAAGGACTCTTTTAATCATACCTGTGTAAAGGTGTTTTCGTCTTCTTCTCATATTAGAAATATGTTTTGAACGTGTTAATTTCCCTTCGATTACTTCATCTGTTTCTTTTGGATGTGATAAATAAGGTCCCATTTAATAATATGAAATTTCAAATTGGTTCTTATTATTGACGATATTTCCTATAATAAAATTTTATTTGTTTCTCATAAATAGTTTGCATTGGAGATATTAAATTATCTGATTTTAAAAAGTTGAAAAATTATTTTATATAATATCCATGATGATAACTCATCAAAGTACTTTTACTTTTGTATACCATTCATAAAGATCTCCAAAAATCTTTTATAGTCAATTTTTGCTTCCTTTTTCTCAATTGTTTTAATTAATTTACTTTCCACATCTTTATCTAATGCACAGCCTTCTCTTTTTATTGTTCTTCTAATATCATTTGCTGTTATAAAGCCTTTTCTTTCAATATCGAAAAGGTCAAATATCGCCCAAATTTCTTCTTGGGAAAAATGATGCTTTGAGCATACTGCAGCTGCTAAAAATTCTGTATAATTAATATTCCCATCTTTATCAGTATCAATTTCTTTTAAAAGCTCTTTGATTTTTTTTTCTGAAATGCTTATAGACGAGCTCTGCAAATGCTTTTGTAGCTGTTTTGTGGAAATCATCCCTTTATTTTCCTCATCAAGTTTGATAAATAAACCGTTTTTAATTAATAAAGCTTTAAATTGGAATAAAAATGTATTTTAATTATATGTAGAAATAAGAATAATTTGTTTAGTTCTCTTAACTCATCGAAAGTTATGTTTTTAATCATCAAATTCAACAGCTCTTTACAAAATAGCGAAGACTTGCAATACTCTTGGAAAGAGACTATTAGAGAGCTATCAATCAGAGGATTATTGTCGGCAAAGATATGGAACCATTCATGATTTAATGCTTTTTTAGCAGAAATTCGTTTTGAAGGGTTCACTGACAGCAATTTTTTTATCAAGTCTTTCCCTGTGGATGAAATTTGATTCCAACTGTCGCTAGTTGTATTAAATGATCCTCTTTTTATTTTATCAAATGTAAAAAATAAATCTTGGCAATAAAATGGCATTTCCCCATATAGCATTGTATACATTATTACCCCTATTCCCCACTCATCACATTTTTGGTTGTAATTGCCTTTGAGAACTTCTGGAGCTATGTAATAAGATGTCCCAAGCTGCTTATGCATTGATAAAAATTTGTTGTATTTTTTTGCAAAGCCAAAATCAATCAATTTTAATTCGTCGTGGTCTGGGGAGATAAATAAAAAATTCTCCGGTTTTATGTCTCTGTGAACTATTTTGTGGAGGTGTAAATAGTTTACAGCCATAAGTATAGACTAAAATGTGGAAAGGCCATAAACGGCATCCCATTAGTTGGACTAGCTTGACTCTAGGAAAAGCGGGCTATACTGGGTACGTAAACATCGGATTGCAAATGATGTTAGCCTGACCAAAATTTCACTCTCCCGTGCGCTGATAGATGGAGATTATGTGAGAGACAAAACCTGTCTATAGAAATTGCCCGAGGATGGCGCTATCTTGCGCCATCCTCGGGCAATTTCTATACCCCCACTTTGACAGGAGCAGGAAAACTTTAGGGAGAGAAGCAAAAACTTCCCTCTTCGACAAGGCATCCCAAGCCTGAAGACCACTTCAAAAAGGGATAGTGGCCCTGCTTTCAGTTCATCAGCATGCAGCATAGGTCGTGGGCCTCGGAGACTAAATTCTGTCAATATTATCATTTTATTTCTTACAGCCATAAGGATTTGATTGATTAAAACTTGTGCTTCTGTCTCAGTATATTTGACTTTCTTAACTCCGCCATCCTTGAGCAAAAAATATTTGAGAAAATCACTATTTTTTAGCCAAAAACCTACATCATGAGTAAAAAAAAATTTTATAAAAAATACTTTGATATTAAGCTATTCTGTTGAATTTTATACAGCTTGCATTTTAAAACATAAATTTATCCATTAAATTAATTTTGCTTTCAATTTTTGCGATTTAGAATGTTTTTAAATTTCAAAAAACAAATTTTACTATAAATTTATATATTAAAAATAATTACCTACATAAGAAAACAAAATTTTTTGTTTGCTTAGAGGGGAAGTAAGCATCCTGCCCCATAGGTGTCCACCTTCGCAATATTCAGTAGCTACATGGATACTTTTTTCATCCTCGTAAGCTTCGTAAAATCTAATAATATTTGGATGGTCTACAGATTTAAGCATTTTCACTTCTCTTACTCCTTCCCTCCTAGAGCGGCCAAAATCATTGGAAAAATTGAATTTTTATCAAAAACCCAGCGAACAAAAAATTTTTAACATTATGAAACAAAATATTGATATATAAGTGATAATTAATACAATGAAATCTAAATTTAAAAAAAAATTAATCCCGATCGTGAGCGAACAAAAATTTTGGTTCGCTCACGGAGGGGGAGTTAAAACTTTAGCTCTGCTGTAGTCGCTAGCACCTTTGGATATTGATTTAATTGCAACCTTGAGTGATGAGTCTGATGAGAAGGCTTCTCTGACAACTCCAAAGTGACCAGCTCCTATTATTTTTCCAAACCGATAAACTGTGCGGACAGAAATTTCTTGTATGGTTTCACAAGAATTGTCTAAAATTGACCCGAGTGAAACTCGGTGTTGTGGCTTACTTACTACTATTCCCATAATCTTTAATAATAAATATCTATTATAAATGGAAATAGGTAGATTTAAAAAAAAAATTAGATTGCTTGAGCCGAGTGACCTTGTTATTAATGAGCATTAAAATATAGGACTTTTTCATGCTATTTTAAGGTTAGTTATTATTCTTTACTCCCCCTTTTTAGCAATCAAACCATTATAACATCCATATTTTTGGAAAAATTAAATCCCTTGATTATCGAAAAAATATTATTAATAAGTGTCCTGGAAGGGCAGCTCCCTTAATTTGGGCTCAGTGAAGGGAATTTCTGTTTTTCTGAGAGTTTTGCCAAAAAAAGACTTCTTACAATTTAAAAGGGGTTCAAAATATAAAAATTTTATCTTTATTTTTTGCAATTTAAAGAGGGGAGGGAATAAAACAAAAAGATTAATTCCTCTTGGTTAGCGAGCACCAAAATTCTGCTCGCTAGCCAAGGACTGAGAGTTAGATTTATAATAATGAATTTACATATTAATATTACTGAATATCATGACCATTGGGCCCAATCATTTAGTTATTATTTTATAATTTTTAAAATTTGAAATAATTCATCTGAGAAATTTGTAAAAATAATTTTGTTATGAAAATTAGTTTATAAAAATAAATGTTTTAATCATAATTGTTTTAATTAAAGTCATTAAGTATCAACAATTTTCAAAAATTTTTAATAATTTGACATCATGCATTTTTTGAAATTTAGATTAAAAAAAAGGCAAAAGGGCTAACTTATAAAGAGATACAAGTCAGTTTTATATTAAATTTATACAGACAATTAGATTTGATGCCACTTAATTATAAGAATAAAAGAAGCCCGTATAGAGCGTTATCTCCCTTAAAAATTTAAAAACTTCAAAAAATAAGAAACTTTCGTAAAATATTTTAATTCATAATATTAATTTAGTCCATTTTTAAGTAAATTTAAAAGGATCAGTATAAATTTATGCTTTGACTTTATCATTTAAATCGCATTTTATTTTTATAAAATTGTATAAAATATGTTTGAAGTCAGAAACCAGCAAGAAATAGATAAAGAAATTCTTGGCTCAATTCTGGCTCAAAAAGAAGAGAAAACTACCAAGCTTAAACTAGAAAATGAAAAATTACTTAAAATTTTTGAAGAAACTAAAGATTTAAAATCTAAAGCTAGATCAAAAGCAATTCAGAAAAAAATTGAAAAACTTGAGAGAAAAGGTAGCCTGCCTTTTATTTGTGACATTCTCAAGGTTTTTGCTAGAAAAAGCTTAATTTTTGATCAAATGCCTGACAATAAAACAGTTTCGATCAAATAGTCCTGAGGAAATATCCCATAAGAAAAGCAACATAGCCAAGAGAAAATCCAAGCAAGTTGAGATCGCTGTAAATAAGAGTTTAGCCCCTGTTACCCAAGCAGAAGAATCCGAATCTATAAGTATCAATGGAGAGCTAAAATTAAACAAAGAATTTTGAGGAAAATTACTTGATCATCAAAAAGCAGCTCTTGAATGATTATGAGAGATTCACAAGAAAAACGCTGGTGGGGTTTTAGGAGATGAAATGGGGCTAGGTAAAACAATAGAAATCATTTCTTTGCTTGAATCTTTACGCTTGACCTCTTTAATAGAAGGTCCAACACTTATTTTGGCCCCAGCTACTATAATTCATCAATGAAAAAATGAATTTTCCAATTGGGCGCCGAATTTCCAAGTATATCTTTATGATTCACAAAGGTCAAAAATCCTTAAAGAGATTTTTAATAATTGTGGAATCTTAATTACGACATATGAAATTCTGCACACAGAAGGCCCTGCTTTATTAAAGAAAAAGTGGTTTTATGTCGTTTTAGATGAAGGACACAAAATAAAAAATCCTAATGCAGCTGTTACTCAAATAATTAAAAAAATCATGTCAAGCCATAGATTGCTGTTAACGGGGACGCCTATACAAAACTCTTTACACGAACTGTGAAGCATTTTTGACTTTGCTTTTCCAGGACTGCTAGGATCATTAGAAGTATTTGACCGAGAAATTGCAGCACCAATTAATAAAGCTGGATATTCAAATAGTGATCATTTGCAAGTAGAATTAGGCTATCAATGTGCACTTCAGCTAAGAGAAATGATTTCACCTTATTTTTTACGAAGAACAAAGAAAGAAATTGATATAGGGATTCCTGAGCAAGAAGAAAAGCTACTTTTTTGTGAATTAACTGTTGATCAATGGGAAATTTATATAAACTATATAGAAAAGTTCTGAAATAGTGTTACTGAGGTTAATAAAGGAGTTACATTTAGATGTATAAAAGATCTTAGGCTGATATGTAATCATCCAGATTTATTGAAAAATTCAGTTATAAAAGTCATAGGTGAAGAGAAAAATTATAGTTCTGGGAAATTGGAAGTAATGAAACAGTTAATTGAAATATGAGGAGATGAAGGCCACTCAATAGTAATTTTTTCTCAATTTAAAAAAATGCTTACTTTTCTTAGTCAAACCATTAATTGATTTAAAAAAAAATTAATTTATATTGCCACAATAATTTTAGAATATTTATTATAATAGAAGAAGAAAAAATTTATATTTACCCTACCCTACATTCCAGAACCAGAAAACAACTGACTCCTTATTATAATAGGAATTTAATATTTCTGAAGAAGTATTAAGAAGCGCAGGAATTAAATTCGGAAGAATTGATGGAAATATTAATATTGATGACAGATTGCCAATTATCCAAAAATTCAATTCAGGGGAAATCACAGCTTTACTAATGACTACCAAAGTTGGTGGATTTGGAATAAATTTGCCTAAAGCTTCCAGAGTACTAATTTTAGATCCAGATTGAAATCCAATGAATGATTCTCAGGCAAAAGAGAGAGCTCTTAGAATAGGCCAATCAAACAAAGTTTTAATTTATCGATTCATAACAAAGCACACTATTGAAGAAAAAATTTATAATAGGCAAGTCTTTAAAACATTTTTGGCTAATAAAATTTTGCTTTGCCCTGATCAGCGATCATTTTTTAAAAATAATGAACTAAGAGAACTATTTTCAATTCCTCCAAAGCCAGAAGACTTAAATACAGTAGAAAGCTGTAATTTACCTCAAAAGCGGAAAAGGGAAAATATTATATTAAAATCATTATTAGATAGTGAAGGAATAAAAACTTATAATGAGCAAAAAGCAATTGGAGGTGTGGAATGTGCTGGATATAGAGAAATAAATAGAATGAAAACACATGCTTATGAGTATTTTTTATTTAGGCTTGCACAAATTGCAAAAAATAATTTATATTTTTTCCTATAAGAATGCTTTATTTTTTATAAATTTATAATTTAGCTATTTTTATAAGAAAAAGGATAATAAATTCAATAAGAAATAATCAAACTGCTGATAATAGAAGATTATTTGAAATCCAATATAGAGACATCAAAATAGGGAATGGTAAGGCTCGAGATATTATTGCTAAAAAAAGAAAAGCTATAGTCAAAGATACAACTGAAAAGCCGAGAGTGGAAGAATCAATCGTGAATGATTTGCATGAATTTTTTATTCAAAAAGGTGGAAAAGCTCAGTCGAATGAAATTATAGAGCATATTAGCAAGGAGCTTTGCCCTTTTGATAATATGCTAGTGAAAGAAGTTTTGCATCAGTTGGCTAACTATCCCCATTCTATGATGATCAAAACCATTGAAACTATCATTAATTTTTGGAAAAAGCCATTCTGTTGGCTATTAAAAATGCTTATACATAATATTTTGATATATAAGTAATGATTTATAAATTTAATGGTTAGCATTCTAAAATAAAATTTTTGGTAATTTTACTAAATTGGGAAACCTTTTTTAAGTGGGAAAAAAATTTGCTCGCTCAAGGAGAGGGAGTAAGAGAAAAAATGGTTTGTGGGTTCTGAGAAATGAGTTCATAACTGAATAATAATTAATGCCTGGATTATAATTAGCATAATTCAATTCAAAAAATAGTATTTCATCATATAAATTATTCTTCAACTTTATAGCAAATTAATTGATTTAATAATAGTAATTAGGTTGATTTACAATAATATCTCTAAAATTAGATATTTTTCTTCTTACCTCAGGAAATATCTTATTTTCCAGAGAAATCGGATTACTTATAATATATTTTGGCTGTTTTTTCGTATAAACCTGTTTATTAAACATCGGTAAATGCTCTAACGAATTCCCTCTATCCTGCGATATAATTCTCCTTTTATGATTTTTTTCTAACATTCTCAGATTTTCTTCAATCAATTTATCCATAGATTTATTAGGCTTCATACTATACAAGTCATTCATTTTACTAAAAATTCTCTTCTCTTTCTGTGGAAATTTTTCAACAAATGAAGATCTGCTATTGATTTTAAGCAAATTCGCATATTCTCTGTCTCTTTTGGCTGCGAAAGGCTTGCTATAACTGTCTTCTAAAGACATAAAGACAGGGCTTCTTCTATGAATTGAATCAAATGATTGATTGCTTTCTCCTGATAATGAGTGATCAGGAGAAATAGAAGGAGTCCTTTTAACATCAAGGTTTAAAGCTTGGGCAAATTCTGCTGAAATATTGTTTTTGTGATTTTCAAATAGTTTTCTCCCATCACTTGGAGCTCTTTGGCCATTACGGGATTTTGTTTGTCAATACCGAATTTTGGATTTCATTTAAAGTTTCAGTTGCAAAATAAATTTTTATTAATTTTAGCTCAATTGCCTTAGAAACCAAAATTTAATAGGTAACATAAAATTTGCTTCGCATTTAACTAAAAAACCAGAAGAAAATGGGCCATTAATATTAAAATGCAATCTGTGCCCGACCCAATAATTGTCGAAATTTTAAGCTATTTGCCAATTTCTGAGATTATCCGAGCTGAGTCTATTTGCAAGAAAATAAAATCGTGCGTTGAAAAACACTCCTACGTACTTTATTCTAGAGTGCTATCAAGGTTTAGCCAAGAATCGATATCTTATAGTCATTGGAAAAATGTGATAAAGCAAATGAACAGTCCATCTAAAGAACTTCAGTTTCTCCCTTACTATACAAATGGAGGCACATATTATGGCAGCAATACTTATTATATTCATAATTTAGTGCTTGAAGGTTATTACTGCTATTGCACAGTATATCCAACTAATATTCTAGTAAAATATGCTTTACTAGGAACGGATTATGATACTGATAGAATAAGAGCAAGGCAGTATATATCTTCTGGAGTTAATGAGGGCAATGATAGAATTTATTTCGAAAAAGAAATATACTAAATTTCATCTTTATAAAAATCAAAATGGATGGGTAAAAGTAGTAAATTTTTTTGATAAAATCAATAAGCATAAATGTAGTATAGTTGCTTGTTTTTGAACATTGCAACCTACATGTTGAATCTCTTCTATATGTGAAAAGATGATTCCACATGTGAAATCAAAAGGGCTTCCCACGTAGAAAAGATTCCACATGTAGGCTGCAATGTTCAAAAACATGCAACTACGATAGTATATAATTCATCATAAAGGATTAAAAATTAAAATTTTTCAGTTAAGAAGAACTAAGGGAGTCACAAGAATTTACATCACAAGCTTCTATTTATGCAGTCATAAAACAAATTTACGCTAGAGCACCTCAAGGGGGCTACACCTGCCCAATATTTCACTTCATGTGCTTTTCATCTATAGAAGAAGATGCTGATTTAGGAATAATTGACAGATTCAATGGAGTAAGCACCATTGACAAAGCCAAAGAAATTTCTGATCAGCTTGGGCTAGAATATGAAGAAGTATCAGCTAACTCAATACGCCAGCTTGTCTTCAATAATTGCAACCTCCCTATGCAGCCTTTATGTTGGGCTGAAATGAGTGAAGATTATAATCAATCCGCTTTAAACTTACCCCTAAAATCAAAGAAATTAGCAAGATACTTTTATGGGCTTTTAATTGACGGAAGAAGAACAAATAACTATGACAATAACATTGATATTAGCCTTTTACTCCCTAAAGGTTCAATTATCCACTTTTAGTAAAGAAATTAATTAATTTGATAATTGATAATAATGGACTGTTATTTTAATAAGAGAATCCCAAATAGTAAGATTGGAAGTGTAATCATAAGGCCAACGTCAAAAACTTTTGTGTCAGGATTATCAAGCTCTTATGATGAAAAATATCCTGAAGAATTAAAAGATAAGCCTATTTAAAGAGAATTCGTATATTATAAATTAATTATTTTTATAAATTGCCTCATATTATTATAATCTAAAATGGGAATATAATGACTGAAAATGAGTTTATTGAAGATATTAAAGAAATCAATGACTCTTTGTTTTACTACTGGCCTTGCTTTTTCTGCTTTAATTTTGGCTACACATGTTGCATTTGCACACTTGGACTTTCATTTTTAGGACCTTGGATTTGTGTTGATGATGCCCAAAAAAGGACAAATGAATCGATTAAGAAAATTAATGAGAGATATATTGCGAGGAATATCAAATGATATTTAATGTGTGAGTGCTCAACTTCTTGGATTGAAATTAGATATGGATAATTATTAAAAAGCTAAAAATTTATAAAATTATAAAAATTCAAAATAATCGTGCGATTACGTTTAATTCTTTTATATAGGTAACTAATTTGAGCTATAGCTTGATTCATGGATTTCTTCAATTCTTTTTTCAATTCTCTTTAGTTTTTCGTCACAAGTTGCAATTAATTTTGCCCAAAGCATTTTTTCGTCTTTAGTCAATTGCATTCTTAGCCTTAAAGCTGGGATTTTGTCAGTTTGTGTGCAGTTACTCAAATTATATCATCCTTCATATAGATTTTGGTCTTCTAAGCTTTTTAAGTTTACTTCATGAGTCCCTAATACTTGGTCACCTTTAAGGCTAGACCTCATCATGACTTTAAAGACCACGCTTTTATATGACCACAATGACTGTTTAAATTGGATAAACCTATGCCTTATTATTATAAATTCTAATTTATATTAACAATAGCTGCTTTCTGACCCTTTTATATAGATTCCTATATACCAATAAGGTCTATATCTATCTGATATATAAGTATCAATTTTTGGACCATTCGGTTCCAAAGAAACTGATACATATGGATTTCCTTGGCTTATACAAAACGAGTCGCTATAAAAATTCGCACCTTTTTGCACCTCTATATTCAGCTCCGGAATCTGTGGAACCCCTTGCAAAGCGTTCTCATGCTTATACTGATATTCCAATTTCTTCCTCTGGAACTGTTTTTTTTTGCTTTCAAGAACATAAATATTAGTTTCATTTTGTACAGAAATTTCAGTCAGGGCTGTATAAGGCACGAACTGAAAATGCTGGTCATTTTTGGGGTTGGAGCAGGTTATATGCATTTCGAGCTCTTTTTCGCTTGGCCTACTTGCGCAGTCTCCCATTTATAAAGCGAATTTTTAAATAAACTTAATTTAATGCTCGTGAGATAAATCTTTTGGAATTTCCCAGGTAAAATCAGCCTCTTCTTCTCTGCCGAAATGCCCATATGCAGCTGTTTTTTGGAAAATTGGTCTATTTAAAGCTAGATCTCTGATAATGCAGCCTGGTCTTAAATCGAAATTTCTATAGACGATTTGCAATAAATCGTGATCGGTCTTGCCTTTTCTGACAGTCCCATAAGAGTCAACGTGGACTGAGAGAGGGTGGGCCACACCAATTGCATAGGAGACTTGGACTAAAGCCCTGTCACAGAATCCGCCTTTTACAAGTGACTTAGCGACCCATCTGGCAGCGTAAGCTGCAGATCTGTCCACTTTTGTAGGGTCTTTTCCTGAGAAAGCTCCTCCACCGTGAGCACCCCATCCTCCATAAGTGTCTACAATAATTTTTCTCCCTGTGAGCCCTGCATCTCCATGTGGTCCGCCAATCACAAATCTTCCTGATGGATTTATCCCTTTTTCTGAATGCTTTATTCAAATATTTATTTAATAAAAAAAATTATTATTTATCTGAAAAAATATAAATGATAAATAGTTTTGTCGTCTAAATACTGAGCTGGGACAACTGGCTTAATGACATGTTCTTTAAGCTGCTGCTGGATTTCTTCTAATGACACGTCTGGGTCATGCTGGGTTGATATCACAATTGTATGGATCCTCAATGGGACGACTCTTCCTCCTTCATGCCTATACTCCACAGTCACCTGTGTTTTCCCATCAGGTCTCACCCACCCTAGAAGCCCATTTTTTCTGACCTCTGCAAGTCTAAATCCCAGCTTATTGGCAAGTAAATGGGACAATGGCATACACTCAGGGGTCTCATTTGATGCATAGCCAAACATGTGACCTTGGTCTCCTGCGCCGATTTCTTCAACAGACTTGTTTATATGAACTGCCTGGGCAATATCAGGGCTTTGGCCTTCAATTGCCACCATTACTTCGCAGGTGTTATAATCTAAGCCTTTGTCGATATGGTCGTAGCCAACTTGTTTTATGGCGTCTCTGACGACTTGCTCATAATTTACGTTTGCTGCTGAAGTAATTTCGCCAAAAATCATGATGAAATTAGTCTTGGCACAGGTTTCGCAAGCCACTTTGGAATTTGGGTCTTGGGAGAAGCAAGCGTCGACAATGGCATCTGAAATTTGGTCACAGAGCTTGTCTGGGTGACCCTCATTAACACTTTCAGATGTGAAGAGGAAGTGGCCTTCTGGTAATTCGGCTATGTTTGTTATGAACTCGGAGCTCATATTTATAGCTGAAATAAAATGAAAGCATTTTTTTCACCTAATGAAAATATGGAATAGCAGATATTCTATGAATGAATTATTTTGCAATGAGGGTGGGAAGGAGTCTATATAATCGGCTAGAGATGATTTAGATTTTGATGTATTTTATTTATAGAATTATCTTTATTTTAGGGAAATTAGTGATAATATGCTCGGCATTTTTATCAATCCTTTAATTTAGTAAAAAATTATTTGAAAAATTAATTTTGCTATAAAAATAGTCTCTCTTTATCAATTTTACTAAATTAATGAAATTAAAGTCTGATAAAATGTCCTTTATGTTTATGAATTTGCATTATTTCCGTGAACAAATAAGATTTTTTTGTTTGCTTACAGACTGGAGGGAGTAAGTAAAATCTTGAAAAATGTGTAATGAATTATGCATGAATATTACTCAATTTTTTGCATTGAAGATTATTTCTTCATTGCATACATAAATATCGTTATTTGCAGATTTTTGAACTTTACCACCTAAGTGTGGAATTTTTTCCGCGTGTGAAAAGAGAATTCCACATGTGAAATCAAAAGGGCTCCACACGTGAAAAACACCTTTTCACACGCGGAAAAAATTCCACACTTAAGTGGTAAAGTTCAAAAATCTGCAAATAGCGATATTAATTTAAAGTCTTTTATAATTATATTTTTAGTTTTTCAATTTAAAAGTTACTTACTCCCCCCATCCTTGATCAAACGATTCACTGTAAAAAATTCCTAAAAATTGGGAAAATTAAACCCCCATCCTTGATCAACGATTTTCATGTTATGCAAATTTTTTTATATATATAAAAATATATTAGTTATCAAAAGCTTGGGAAGATGTGCCTAATGAAGTTGTTGTCAGAGGCTTTGAGACGACAGAAAGCTACGGAATCAACCAAAGTGCTTTAGTCATCAACCTGGGCTTAAAAACTCAATAATCTAAAAAATAGAGATTCTTTAAAATTTAAAATTTTTAATTTAATAAGGAACAAATTAAAATTTATACAGTTTAAAGGGGTGACCAATAAATCAAAATATTAAAAATTGGTATTCTTATGAAATTAATTCAATTTTTTGCTGTAAAAAATAATTATTAAATACTTTTAACCCTCTTATTAAAATTATATAAAAAAAAACAATATATTTTTTATTTTATATAGAAAATTTTTTTCCCCCAAATTTTTTTTATCCCCCATCCTTGATCGAACGATGGCGAGCCGTTCGATCAAGGATGGGGGGAGTTAACTTTTATTATTTACATATTGTTAATAGCACTACTTTTAGCATATTTCTTTGAACTAATTCTCAACATTTATAAATGATTATCATTTTAGTATATTAAACAATTTATTAAAGCCCCTTTTATTATATTATAATGGATAATCAATCACTTGATTTACAGACATTCAACTTAAGCAGTTTTTTCGTGCGCTTCATCTTTTACATATTGAAAGCAAAGCTACAATAAAAGTTACAAATATACTAAAACTCTATGAACTTTATATTTTTGTAACAAAGAATGGTGGCTATAATTACTTTGAGGCAAATCCCGACAATTGGAAAACTACAAGTGAGGTTCTCAAAATTGGAAAACCTAGAGTATGATTCATGCAGTACGACCTCCAAAATTGCAAAAAGTTTTTCTAAAAATCCTCTTTAGAAACATCATTTTTTTCTGGTTTCCCAAGAAAATATATATGCCTACCAGTAATTATAATACAGGAACTTGTCAAAAGTTTGCAAACTTTAGTAGTTTTAGCAATAAAAAAACTCTTAACTTTTCCAGAAATACGTTTTGCATCGAAATTATATACTTACATTGATCAAAGTATTGCCCAGCTTGAATATATTAGATCATTTACCAAGGGGCAGATCAGGATTAACCAAAATCCAAAAATTACTAACTCCCCCCCCTCCGTGAGTGAACAAAACCATTAGAAAAATCGCTATTTTTTGCCCAAAAACCCACCCTCCGTGAGTGAACAAAAATTTTTTTATGGAAAAAAAATTTGATATATAAGTGATAATTAGTATAATGAAATCTAGAGCTAATTCTGTTAATTTTAAACGAATTGCCTTTTAAAACATAAATTTTATAAATTAAATTACTATTTACTTTCCAATTTTTGTGAATTAGGATTTTTTTAAATTTCAAAAAAAAAATAATTTTTATAAAATTTATAAATAAATATTTTTAAAAATAAAAATTAACCCCCCTCCGTGAGTGAACAAAATTTTTTTGTTCACTCACGGAGGGGGGGGAGTAAATAAATAGAAGGATCTCAAAATAAATTTCCTAATTTATTATCTGAAGATTCTGATACTGAATTTGAAAAAGAAATTGTAAAAGAAGAAGAAGGAAAAACTGAAAAAGAAGAAAATTTCCTCGATTGTCCACATTCAAATGTATCTTCAATTGAACTCTCTGTTAAAAGAAAAAGAGATACAGATACAGAAAAAAGAATTTTAAAAAGAAAAAAAGTCAATGAAAGATCATTTAAGCTTTTTTAAGAACATAATTTCTCTTAATTTATACAAGTTTCCCTTGATTAAATACAAAATATTAAATTTAACTTCTTTTCTCTATGTCTTTTTATTTCTTATCGATGGAGAAATTCTGATATTCCAGATTAAAATATTTTGAATTTTCAATCATTTTGATTTTTGTCTCCTTTTTAATAAGTCAAAGAAATAATTTAATCCCTCAATAAGGAGGGATCAAAAACATTTTACTCGATTATTAGATAAGCAAATTTTTATTTTAAAATTTGTATAGTAATATTTTTTCCGAATTAAAAATATCCTAACTAAATTGCAGTAGCATTGATAACGTTGAAACGGGTTGATGAAATTGCATTCACGCTTTCAAGTCTAAATCCAGTTTCAGTCAGCAGTGCTTCGAATTGTTCTTTCGTTCTTTCTTTTCCATTTAAAAGTGCCATCATATGAATATCTGCCATTATGGCGCAAAGATAAAGCTCATTTGATTTACTCATGACGCTATCTATTATTTTCAGCTGTTTTCCTGTCTCTAACCCCTCTATTTAGTTAGCGAGCAAAACTATTAGAAAATCGGTATTTTTAAGAAAATTAACAAAAGCATTTACAAATAATAATTTGATTTTAAAATTTTAATTAGCTTGAATCTTTTAGCATATATTTTATAAATTAAATTAGATTTGCTTTTCTGTAGCTATGCAGCTTAAGTAAAAATAGGAATAATAATAAGATTATTATCAATCAGAAAAGTTTTCTTCGCTAACCAGAGGGGAGAGTAACGCTCGAAGAATTTTTGCAATTTTCATGCAAGATTAGCTTCATCGGGATGCAGTCAAATCTTTCAGGACATTGTCAAAAAAGCTGATATTACACTAATTTTTCTTGTAAATCATGCTCAGTAAATTTTTTCTCTGCTTTTGATGTAACATCCAAAAGGTCATAAACTGCTCCATTTATATGAGGATTCCACCTCAGAAGCTCAATGAGAAGTGATCCATCTCCGCCGCCCACGTCAAGAATTCTATTAGAGCCTGAAAGATCAACATTTTGTAACAGTCTCCAGAGGTCAAAGTGAAAGCTGACATGAATTTTTGAAAAATTTGGAAAGTCTCAGGATGAGCTTCCAGGTACTAAAAATAACGACGTTCAAAGTGCAGCTCAGTGGCTGATGTATGCTGCTTTACTGAGTCTGCGAATTTGGCTAATGGCTCAATCTCGAAGGGGTTCCCAAGCCACCTTACCATAGTGTTGATTTTGTCATCCAGTAAAATTTCTGACATAGGAGAATTTGACCAGTTGCCAGTTTCTTGGTCAAATGAGAAAAATCCTCAGCAAAGCGAGCTGAGAAAAAGGCTTTGGCTCAATAAGAAGCCGAGGAACGTCTAGCTCAACAACTGTATATAGCATCAAAAATTAGTAAATTTTTCCAAAATGAACAAGTTTGTCTCCGTCCAGTTTTAAATGAAAAATTCAGAAAAAAATCATAATTGTTCACTTTTAGAATTAATAATCCATAATAATCATTTTAATTAAATAGTTCCAAAATGAGCTTATGCATAAAAACTATTTTTAGGTTACTGAGTTCTTTAATTTATTACTTATTTTAAAGCTAATAAATGGAAGCCATCAAGAAAATTACAGATCTCCGAAAAGCTGTATTTAAAATCCGCATTTCAGGTGCTATAACAGGTAAAACTCTTGACAAGCTAAATAAAGAGTTGCAAACTCAAAGTTGGAGATCTCCAGTAGCCTTGGCTGTAGTAGTGAATTCTCCAGGAGGTAGTGCAGCACAGAGTTCTTTAATTCGTCAACGTCTATTAGCGTTTTCTAACTCCCAGCCCACTTTTATTTAGAACAAAAATCAAAGTTAAAGGAGTGACATGTTTTTATTTAAATCTATGCTAATTTTTCTAATACTATTTGACCTAATAAAATAAATAATATTAGGGGTGAATTTTTGATTTTGGTGACAGTAAATAGAGTATCAAAATTTATTTATTTACCAAAAAATGAGAATTTTACTGATTAGTTTGTCACAATTTAATCGCAAGTAAAGCACCACCATATCCCAATTTATGCTTTTGCTGAAGACCTTGCTGCATCAGGAGGATATTATGTAATGTCAGCTGGAAATGAACTATATGCAACACCTGGGTCCATAATAGGAAGCATAGGAGCTATATTCAATTTATTTGGGATTAAAGGACTAGCAGCAAAATACGGGATTGAGCGTAGAAGCTGGGCTACTTCACCTTTAGATCTAGATGAAAGAATTGACCCATTAAAAGAGCTGAAGCCAGATACCCTGAAATGGCTTGAAGGTTTAGTAAAAGAAACTAAAAACGAATTTACAGCTGTTGTGGATGAAGCTAGAAAAGAAAGAATAAAGGTAGAAAATGCTAACTCCCCGCCCCCTCCGTGAGTGAAACAAAAAAATTTTGTTCACTCACGGAGGGGGGTTAATTTTTTTTTTTTAAAAAAAATTTATATATAAATTTTATAAAAAATATTTTTTTCGAAATTTAAAAAAATCCTAATTCGCAAAAATTGTAAAGCAAATATTAATTCAATTTGCAAAATTTATGTTTTAAAAAGCAATTTGTTTAAAATAAAACAGAATTAGCTCTATATTTCATTATACTAATTATCATTTATATATTATAACTTTTTTCCATAAAAATTTTTGTATTAAAAAAATTTTTGTTCACTCACGGAGGGTGGGTTTTTGGGCAAAAAATAGCGATTTTTCTAATGTTTTGTTCACTCACGGAGGGGGGGGAGTAAGAAAGAAGAAATTTTGTATAACGGAGACGTTTTTACTGCAGATGAATCCATAAAGCATGGATTAATCGATAAACTTGGGGTCTGTGACGAAGTTATGAAAGAGATATTTCCAAAATATCAAATATTGGATTTGTCAAAGTCTTCTAAGATCCAGAGAATTTATCAATCTATCTTTGGGTAATTTAAGGTTCTTAATAATAAAAATAGATTCATAGAAAAATTATGAAGACTTTTGATATAAATAGCCTGATACGAATAAAAAGAAAATACAATTACCATTATTTATAATAAATTTTTAAAATTTTTCAATAGATATGTATAAGATATTTTTATTTATGATATTTATTAGACAAGTATTGATCAGGAAAAAGATTTTAAAATTTTAAGAGCTATTCTAAAATTTAAAACATAAAGTTTTACTGCCTAAACTAAAATTTTCAATTCATTTTAAATTGCCATATAAATTTGAACTATATAGATTTTATGAAATTTTTAACTAAGTGCAACTGATTATGAAAGGCAAATATTTTGATAATGGTTTTTGAAGTATTAAAAAAATCTATTTAGTTAATTTAAATATAATAATTAATAATAAAAATTTTTTACTTTCGGAAATCGAAAACAAATCAATTTTATAGCTATAATAAAAGTTTTTTGCAAAAATCCGATTCATCAGTTACACACATAAATCAGTTTCTGATCCTAAGTGTTTTTTTTCTTCCATTTTATTATTCAGTAATGCAAGTGAAGTAATTTTAGTTTATTAAATATTAATATGAAAGACATTATCTACGAATGCAAAGCTCCAGGCTGCTCAAGCACTTATGCAAGTGAAACGAACCTCAAGCGCCACATAGAAGCCTACCATACTGAAAGCAAAAAATTCCAATGCAATTTTTGCATGAAAATTTTGTCTTCGAAACAAAATTTAAAAGAACATACTTTTACTCACTCTGGAGAAAAGCCTTATGTATGTAAAGAACCTGGATGCGGAATGAAATTCCGCCAAGGAAGCCAATTATCGTCGCATAAAAGAGTCCATGTAGCAATTAAAGCTTATACGCATAAAGCAGAGACCAATAAAGTGAAGGAAACATATATCAAGCTGACTGAGTGGATAGATAAATCAAACTTCTACAAGCTAGAACAAGTTTTGCCGGTTTTGCAAACTTCTGAGGAGTATAGCTTTATGCTGCCTCCTATATCTGAGCCACAAGGGTTTTGTACTCTCCCAGCAGCTATATTCGGAAGTCAATTGTTCAATCAGTAAATAAATTAAAAATTGCTTATATTTTAACTTTTCTTTTAATTTTAGAATTATTTTAAATAGCTCAGAATTGAATTTTCCAGAAAACCAAAAAGCATCCACACTCAAATATACAAAATATTTAAGTAATAATTTCAGTATTTGCAGTTAAAAAAATATTTTATTTATTTAAATCTCGAAACAAATTAAAAAACAAGCAGTTTCTTAAATATTTTTTTTTTATTCATTAAAACTTATAATCTACTTAAATTGACTAACCCTACCATAGAAATCCAATATTCTTATAAGGTTTAAATACAAAAATGCCAAGCGTGACGATATTTATGGCATAAAGTGCCAGAATTCTAATTTTTGAGAATTTCGTTTTTGTTTGCATCAAAAATGTAACGATTGGAATAATAAAGTATCTTAATTCCAGAAGCGGAGCAGGGATTAAAACTACGCAACTGCAAAAAATTCAAATAAAATAGCGCAGCGAGTTTTCAGCTCTAAAAAACAAATAAATAAACGAAATCTCAAACAAAATCGGAAATATATAAAGATAAGGCTTCAAAATATTTTTCCAAATATAAAAAGTATAATGAGTGTTATCTGCAATAATAAAAGGATGCTCATATGTAAAATATGTAACACCAAGGCTTATTAAAACCAGCCATAAAAATAAAAACACATTTTTTAATTGCTTTAATGCTTTTATTCACAAATTTTGGTCATAATCTGTGTATAAAGCCATTATTAAAGCTAAATAGCATATTTGTGTAAAATGGAAAACAGGGATATGATTTTCCCTATCTCCTACAGCTATTCCTTTATTTACAATAAGAAAAGCAATAAATAAAATCAGCAATATAATAAAAGGAAAATAAGTTTGAATTATTGCATATTTTTGCTTCCAAATTGTTTTAATATTTTGATATAATGAAGGTCCTAATCCAGCAGAAATCTCAATTAGTACAAAATACCCAATTCATATAATATTCGTCTGTCTGCAAATTATTGAAAAAAGCCCAATAAGTGCTGATAGTTTATTTTTCTTATTTTTTAAGAATAAATAAGAGAGGAGAATTGATAATAAAGCAGCATTGTCAGTGTAATATAAGCATCCTGATAAGAATAAAGGTGGGTAAAGCATAATGATTTCTGATGTTTTTGGGTCTTTTAAAGATCTTAATAAATACCAGCACAAGCTTCCAAATAAGGCATTTATCAGTCTTGATGCAAAAACTAAGCCAAGGAATTTATGGATTGGAAAAACTTGGAGTATTATCCATGAAGCAATATAAAGACCTGGCAGGGTTGTAATTTTATCATCCCAAGTTGCGAAATCTCAGTTTAAATATGTGCCTAATTGCTTTATGTGAAAAATTTCATCCATATACGGCTCAGGATATTTTCATGACACTAAAATTGATCCTGCAACCTGCAACAGAAGAAGTGCCATTTATTTAAGCAAAATTTTCAAAAAATATTTTTTAAGCTAATTTTTATAATAAATAGAATTTCATTAACCGAAAGAGATCCTGCTTCATCTCCTTTTGGATCTCATCTTCCATCAGGGACAAAATATAAAACTTCTTATCCTAGAACGGCTTCTGTGCGATCATTTTCTATGAGATCTCCAATTAAAAAAGTCTACCGAGAGCAGTTAAAATGCTCATCAAAATCGAACCTATCCTTGTTTCCAAGCCTCAAGCAAGCTTCTGGGCTTATTTCTAAGCCAAAATATCAAGTTCCTCATAGAAGCTCAACTCTTACCAAAATTCATCTAAATCTTGCTCCTCCTGAGACTTCTCTACCCTTATCAAGACTTCCCCCTACAATTTTGCCTCCAAAAAAACCACGAAAAAAGCCTAATTAACTAAAAAAATGTATTAACTAGTAAAACTAGCCAAATAATCTTGACCCTAATCAGTCTGCGTCAACCCACAGATTGTATTTGCATATTTTTCAAGCTCAAATCCAGAAAATTCTTCGTTCTTAATTGTGATAAAAGTTTCAAGCGTTACCAAGCTATCACTCCCAGCTTGGTGCATTCTTCCGTATCGCTTCACTCCTACCTCTTCTGCAATTCTATTTAGTCCTCCTCTGAATTTATCAATTCCTTGCACCATGGGAAATAAAATGGTGATGCTGATGGAAATTGGAGGACGAGGCGCACTCCTATGAAGCAGGCAGGACCCATCCTGATAAAGCTGAAAATAGGGCCTCTGTCTCTTTTGGAATAGGTCTTTAGGCCTGGGATGCCTTGCTGAAGAGGGAAATTTTGTTATCTTCTGATGGTTTTCCTGTTCCTGCCAGAGTGGGCTATAGAATTTTTTCCATAGATGGCGCAGTTTGCCCTTGATTTGCCCACTGGGAAAATTTTTTGGTTAGATCAGTACCATATGGTTTGGTCAAACCAAAAAATTTTTTCAGTGGGCAAATCAAGGGCAAACTGCGCCATCTATGGAAAAATTCTATATACAGGTGCTGCCTACAGCATGGTCTTTCCATTATCATGATCATCGGACACTCTACGGCGGTGGATCTGAACTAGAGAGTTGATCCCTTGGACATGTGGCTCAAATCTGAAATCCAAAATGGCGACCTTCCATTTTACTCTTTTATCTTATCGGCGATGAAGCTGCTATTTTGGAGTTAGATTTGGCAAGACTCGCTTGTAGCCAATTTAGCCGTTTAAGTTTAATTTGCACCATGAATTTAATATCATAAAAAATCGGAAAATACACTGAAAGCTGCTTATAAAATTCATCTTGGGTTTCAGGCAATTTTAGGTTTGTAGCTGCTTTAAGTAAGTAAGCAAAATCATAGCCGCTATGAAAAGTAATGTATGTTATTCCCTCAGACAAAAAATGACCCACTAAAAATTATTAAAAACCCATATATTATAATTTTTTCAAAAAGTATATGTCTTCATTTAGACATAGCCCAGAGACCGTAAAAAGTTCTGAAAAATCGAAATGAGAAATACCATTCGTCGCATGCATGTCAAAATCTATTCCAGATTGACGGAGTAGCTGGATTGAGTCTTCTGAGTACGCGTCTAAATTTAAATCAAACTCAAAATTGAATTGCCACGTGCAGACACCAGGTGGAAAATTTCCTTGCCCATCTGATAAAGTAATGCCTACTTGGATAAGTTTGAGACGGTCTACGTTGTGGCGGATGTTTTGATATTGAATATCTTTTAACTCCCCTTGAGCTTTGACAATAATTCCGGGAAATTCTGTGTCCATGGCTACCAAAGGATAATTTTCAAGCAGCCTTGAAATTGCAAGAATTTCGGACTTAAGATTGTGCTTTCATACGTTTTTTATCATTGATTCGCTTTGCTGAGGAGGGATGAATTTAAATGATAAAGGCTCAAATGCAGGAGTGCTTGGGTTCAATAAGGACATATTTGCAAACATTTTGAATATGGGTTTATTAGAGTTTCTTATTGATTGGCAGATTAATTTAAATTCAGCATTTTTGTGAATTATATGTGGCTTTTTTATTTAGTATTTTTATAAATGAATAAATTGAACAAAAATTAAATGCAAACTTCGTATGTCTATGGCCAAAGAAAAAATTTTATCATTTCTTTTGACGAAGACAATCCTCCAGATTTGACCCTGAATTCTGAGAAAAATGAATTAAGTCCAATGCCAAGCTATTACAGCTCTCTTCCTCCTATTTCATCTAATAAATCTTTCATAAGACAGAAAAAGAAACCAATGCACTCTAAAAAGGAATTAAAAAAAGCTAATAAAATAAAATATATCACTAAGAAGCTTTATGATCAAGAAATGGAAAAAAGGCATCAAAGATCAAATAGTTACAACGGTATGAACTATCAAGATGAGCACATTAAAGACGAAATTATAAGGCTAAGGCAGAATAAAAGTAAAACAAAAGACCAAAATTCAAATGTGAGCAGCATTTATAATATTTCTATGTCCATGATTAATAGAAGAAATTTTGGGTTTAATGAAAATTTGCATAGAAAACAGAGCTCAATGCCATTATTTTTAATATCACCAATGGATATTGAAAATCCAATTTTTCATAATGAAAACCCAGGAATTAAAGATCAGAAATTAGATACTCAAGCTTATGAGCTTAATAAGCTGCGACAGGCAATGGCCAATATTATAACCAAAGAGGAAGAAGATCTGCACAGCTGAAAAGAGCCTGAAAGCAAAAAATCCAATTTTTTGTTAGATTTGAAGCCTATTTTCAGAAGACTAATCAGTATTGTAATGAAAGCAAAAATCCATAACGAGCTCAAAGAACCTGAAAAAAGAAAATTAATTGAGCAGTACAAAAACCACTTAAAAGAATCAGACGATAAAATCAAAGTTATTATCGGAACTTTATCCATTTTAGAAGAAAATTTAAAAGACTCAAAAATCCAATTCCATGACTTGAAAATAGAGATGCTGAATAAAAAAATCGAGCAATACAAAGAAGCCTTAAAAATCTTCCAAATCACAAGAGAAAAACTAAAAGACGCAATCAAACTTTTTAAGGCAAACTTCAGAAAAGAAGCTCAACAGAAAACTTTTAACGTTTTTAATTTCACTAATGAGTATGACGATGTAAATATCACTGTAAATAACCCAGAAAAGAAAAAAACTGATACAAAGCAAGAAGAAAATAAATTCAGAAGAGGAAAAATCAGCCTTGCAGACTTTATGAAGATGTAATACAATTTTTAGTTACACTAATTTTTGTTTTAAATTGCGTAAAGCTTTTTCTAAATTTTCAGGACTTTCTTTAAGCAATAAAATTTCATTTGCAATTTCTAATGATTTTCTATTTGTGTTAGCAAGAAATGCATTTTTATTTGATAAAAATGAAAATTTCATACAAATTTCTGAGCTGAATGTTTGAGCGTTTTCTATAAGACTTTTTGGTAAAGCAGAGCTGGCAGCTAAAGAGATCCCATAGCCATATTCTTGTTCACAACGCCCAGATTCTAGTTTAAATGAAGATGTATGAATATTATTGATCCCTGGATAAAAATCTTCCAGAGAAGTAAGCTGGCTGAAATGGGTCGATACAATGGCTAAGCAGCCTATTTGAAGCAAATTCTCACAAATAGCCCATGCCATTGCTAAGCCATCTTCATGAGAACTGCCTTTTCCCACTTCATCTATCAATATAAAGCTATTTCTTGATGCAGTCTGCAAAATATATGAGCAGTCTTTCATTTCTGCTAAAAATCCTGACGATTTGTGCTCAAGTGATTCTCTCTCACCAATTCTGGTCAAAATATAGTCAAAAATAGGAAAAATTGATTCTTGCGCTGGGATAAAACACCCAGCATGAGCTAAAATTGCAGTTAAAGCAGAGGTTTTGAGGAAGGTAGTTTTTCCACTAGAATTTGTACCAGTTAAAATTTGGAGTGATGTGACTTCTGTAAATTTGCAATCTAAAGGATGGAATTTTTTGGTTTTTAGCTCTATGAAAGGATTTTTTACTTGTTTTAATAGTAGAACGCCAGGCTGAAATTGAGGCCGCTTTGCGTTAAAAACAGAAGAAAACTCAGCAAAAGCGATTAATAAATCAAGAGTAGCGATGGCGTGAGAGACGTTGTAGAGGCATAAGATTTTTGAGCGGGCTTTGCAGATGAGCTCTTCGATGTGATTAAATGTTAAGATTAAGATTAAGATTACGCTGGTTATTTTAAGTCCCTGCTTCGTCCGAGGAAGCATTCTACGGTTTCCCGTATGGTGGCAGAGCATTCACCAAGCCCGGGCCGAAACCCCCGGTTTCTCGGTAGAGATGAAGGTCAAGGGACGTGTCATACCGTCTTTGCTGACCGCCTCCATTTCCAAAATGGATCGTCGCCTAAGTTTACGCCAACACTGCCGCGTCGTCCGCCAGATCTGCCCATTGAAGGGCACCTTTTAACTGGAGAGACTCCCGTTTAGATGTCTAACTCGCCTTCCCCTCTTTTCCGGTCATCCCAAGAAAGAACTCAACAGCTTTCGCCATTCGGGGCGAGCCACAAAAGCAGCTTAGGCAGGTAAGTCGCCCTGCCTCATTTCGGGCACTCACTGGGCTGAGCGCTGCTGGCAAAAAGAAGTCACGAGTAACTGCCCATAGGTTCGGTCACAAAAACAGCGGTCTTTGTGCTTAGACTTCTCGCTTCGAGGTCCCAAGCATTGCTGGGCCAACTCCTGGCTCCAAAAACCATGCCCGGATATACATGGGCAACCACCACTGAGAGGGTGGGTCGGTCGCCATACGCCATTTTATGTATATTGTGATTAAATGTTAAATTCACAATTTCATTTTGAGTGGATTTTAAGCTTTCGTTTAGGCTGATTAAAGATGGAGTTGAAGCCAGGCATTTTTTCCCTTTCTTTGAAATTTGAACTATGATTAATGTTTTGCATTTTTATGGGATGGGATTCACACGGAGGGACATTTTATCATGTGTGAAATCTAGATCCGCATACGGATGTTCCGCGCTTGAGTGCTTTTATATTTGGTGCTGCTTTCTTAAAATGTAGCCGAAGCCTAAAAACACACAATAGAAATAAATTTTTGGAAGATAAATGGCCATTTTTAATACTGCTAGAGCAAATTTATCCAAATTTGGCTTAAGCCATTTGGCCGAAAAATCGCTACTTTTATATAAAGCGAGAGAAGAATCATTTATTATAAATAAATTTAAATTAGAATAAAATCAGAAAATTTTTAACTCTGAATGTTTATCTAAATGATGATGGTTCTAGTCTAAGATGCAGAAAATATCAAACAAAATATAGCCATTAAATTTTTTAAAATGACGATCCATAACGTTAAATGAGCTATAAACTATTATAGCGCCTAGTAATGCCCATTTTATTTTTCTTAAAATTTAAACAAAATGTTCACCTATTGCAGCAAGAATATTTTTTTTCAATACTTCTTGGTCAAATGATAAGAAATACCCTCGACTTTCATTTTGCATTAATTTTATAGACGGCTCATTCAGCTTGTATTTAAAATTGCTTGAAAGCTTATGTATTTCATCTAAATTATTTGAATATATAAGCCTCGCAATGTCTAATAAAGAATCAATTCCATCTCTTACAAGCGAAATGCAATGAGCTTTATTGATTTTTGGGTTTTTCAATGCAGCTATATCAGGATCGGTTCATGATTTTTGCACTTTTTGAAACTATTTGAATTTTTTTTAAATTTTTAAAAGGGCAAGTATCAAAAATTGTCAAAAAATGCAGGATTAATGGCATATAGCATCAGGATCCATAATTTGGTCAATATCATTAAGCAAATCCTCAATTCTGCTATCATACAAATTATCAATAATACCTCTAAATATAGAAGCTTGTACAGCATGCTTCATAAGTGTGTCTAACAGCACTTTAGATTGCATAAGGATTTGCCTAATTATAATAATATTCCCTGCCTGAGCTTTCATATATTGTGAACTTGTCTGCTGAGGTTTCTGCACCAGTCTAGAAGTCACTAATTCTGTATTCGGAATTAACGCTAAAATATTTTTTATTTCAATTCTCAGTGGTGTTGACCGAATAATTTCTTCGACTGCGTCTAATCTTCCATTAATAACTCCAATATCTCTACTCGGCTGCAATAAATTAGCTCTCAGCATCCTAAGTCCTGGCTGTGTTTTACATTCGAAAAGCCCTGCTAATGACTCTTTTGTGGACCCTTCTAGGGTAACTACCAATTCTAAGCTTTTTGCAGTCGAAAAATCAATTACTAATAAAGAATCCAGATGGCTGAAGGTAACTTTTAACGTCTCTCTATATATCATAATATTTTGTGAGGATTCTATATAGTCAATTAACGCAGAAAGCGCAGCCATGCTCACGTATTTGATTTCTATATCCACTTCATTGATTTTTGAAGCTGAGTGGGAATAAATTTCGCCCCCTTTTGTTTCGTCAAAACATTTTCTGGGTACTAAAGTTATAGTAATTTCTTTCATTTGTTCAGAAATTCGGCTTTTTAAGGCACTTTCTTGGGCTGTTTTGCACATAATTAGCTCAATTGGATCTCAGGCGTAGAGGGTGGATAAGGTGTTTATATAGGTTTGGTTATCGACAAATTGGGTGATAATTATTTGGAAATTTTTCATGTTGATGCAGGCAAGACCGACTTCTCGAGCACGATTTTCAATGAGAGATACAATGCAAGGGGCGTCGCCGGGGGTTATAGGGGTTTTTCGTGATGAGCTTGGTCTTTCAGAAATTGGAGTGTTCATATTTTTGATAAGCTTATTATGCTATTTAACATAAATAAAATTTATATGAGAAAATACGACGAAGATACTATTTTTTAAATTTTTTTTAAAAATATTAACTCCCCCCCCCCCCTCCGTGAGCGAACAAAAAAATTTTGTTCGCTCTCACGGAGGGGGGTTAATTTTTTTTTTTTAAAAAAAAATTATATATAATTTTTAAAAAAAAATATTTTTTTTCGAAATTTAAAAAAATCCTAAATTTGCAAAAATTGGGAAGCAAATATTAATTTAATTTGCAAAATTTATGTTTTAAAACGCAATTTGTTTAAAATTAAACAGAATTAGCTCTAGATTTCATTATACTAATTATCACTTATATATCAAAATTTTTTTTCCATTAAAATTTTTTCTATTAAAAAAATTTTTGTTCACTCACGGAGGGTGGGTTTTTGGTCAAAAAATGGCGATTTTTCTAATGGTTTTGTTCGCTCACGGAGGGGGGGGGGGGAGTAAGAAATAATTTCCTAATTTCTTTTATAAAGCCCCTTATTAAATAAACAATCCTAATAAATCCATTAATTCACCGTAAAATAGCTTAATTTACATTTATTCGTATCTTAGCTACTTCCATGAAATCTTTTCTCGAAAACTTCTCCTTAATTCCTTCAAGTGGGTTCAATGTTGCACCTTGTAAAAGCACATACAGATCCCTTGCACATTCTTTTAATTCGCTTTCGTCCACCCTTGCTTGTCTTCCTAATGCTTTACTCCAATGTGGCTCTATCCTAAAGATTTTTCTTGCTAAATAAACTACACTCGCAGATATAAGTGAAAGTTTATATCTTAGCATATGATACTCTATCAAGGACAGCTCTAATAAATACCTGGCAAATGCAAATTCCATTGGGCTCATTTCTGTGATTTTTGAAAGCCTTTCTAAAAATCTTCAAGAAGAAGGGACTGTGATTTTGAAGTCAAGCGTCCTTATAATAATTTTTAATGAATTTTGGTATATATTTAATAATTATTTAAATTATTTATTTATAGTAAACAGGATAAAATATCGCTTTCCATTAATAAAATTTGCTCTTTTGAGTATGCATTATCAGCGATTTTTACCAAATTAAGAGTTTCTGGGGGATAAATTTCTTCGTATTTGCTGGCAATGAGCAAAGAAGCTAGACCTACTAGTTGTAAATGCTGCTTATATACAGCTTTTTTCTCTAGGTATCGATCTACTAGATTTACAGCGATAAATAATGTTTCTGGTAATAATTTGAATTTCAGATGAGCGCTAATTATTCAATCAATAAGAATGGCGCGCATTTTGCTGTTTATCTCTATATGGAGATCCAAGTAGTTGTAATTAACAACTGCTTCCGTTTCTGATTGAAATAAATTATCGTAAATTTCTAATGCATAGTTTCCTAATTGATGATGAGAATCATTGTTTTCGTTAGAATTGTTGTCTTGGTTCTGAAGAGAAATCGATAAAGTTGGCGTTAAAGCTCGGAGAGGCTGTCGATATGTGCTTGATGATAAAGACCGAGCTGGCTTTGGACGAATGTAAGAAGTATTTTCGTCTTGGTAAGAAAATTTGTTCATATTAATTATTTGAAAAAATATTTGAAAATGGAGATAATGAAAAATGAAGTAAAATGTAGAGGGAAAGGAAAGGATAAGATGCATAAAAAGCGAAATTTAAGAATATAAATTGATGAAAAGACTTATTAAAATTATATTTGCTTATCGGATTAATTTTGGTGGAGAGATTTATTTCTTTGAGAATTTAGGCTGCCTTAAAATAAAAAGCAGAAATATCGTCAAAAATTTATATGAAAAATCGATAATATTTATTATATAAAAAAGTAAAGAAAATTGAGAGTATTTTAGAGCTAAATTAGCTAACTCTTAAAACTTATTTTCGGAAAAATTTTATAATTTCTTTAATATACAAATAATTGTCTTAAAAATCCGAACGATTCCTTTAAGTATTAAAAATAATTAAATAAAAATATTTTTTATAAAATTGTTAGTAATTCCTAATGTTGCGAATACTCAATGGGGTAAATAAAAATCTATTTTTAGAAAAATAGTTCATTTTCTCTACGATTTTATTGTAAAATAAAGAATTCTCAAAACTAAACCCAAAATAAAGTAATTTATTAAGAACATAAATGAAATCCGCGAAACACCATTGCCAAATATCGATAATTTGATCAAATTTCTGTTTGGCGGCATATTAAAAATGGAGGGAACACCTAGATTCGTGATCAAGCGAGATGGTTCGCGGCAAGAAATAGACACTGAAAAAATCAGAATTCGTTTAGAAAACCTCATGGACGGTCTTGATAGGGAGTACATCAAGCTTGACGTCATAGTAAAAAAAGTAAGCGAAGGCATCTATAACGAAGTTCCTACTTCCCAACTTGACAACCTCGCAGCAGAAACCTGTGCATATATGAATATAGCTCACCCCGACTACTCCAAGCTCGCAGCCAGAGTTGCCATTACAAATCTCCACAAGATGACTAAGCCTAGCTTTTTCGAAGTAATCCACGATCTTCACACCATGACTGACAACTTAGGTCGTCCTGCACCACTTATCGGAGCAGACGTCTACAGCTTTATCAGCGAAAACAGAGAAGCCCTTGAATCTGCAATTGACCATACACGAGACTACAATTACGACTTTTTCGGCTTCAAAACTTTAGAGCGCAGCTACTTGCTGAAAATTAAAGGAAAAATCGCAGAAAGGCCCCAGCATATGCTTATGAGGGTTTCTGCAGGAATTCACTATGGCGACATTGAAGCTTGCATTAGGACTTACAATTTAATGAGTGAAAAATGGTTCACCCATGCTTCTCCGACACTATTTAACGCAGGCACAGTCAATAATCAAATGTCTTCATGCTTTTTGCTACAAATGCAAGAGGATAGTATAGAAGGAATTTATGATACTTTAAAGCAATGTGCATTAATAAGCAAATGTGCTGGAGGAATCGGGCTAAGCGTCCATAATATAAGGGCTACGTCTTCTTATATTAGAGGAACTAATGGAAATTCTAATGGCCTGGTACCTATGCTAAGAGTTTTCAATGATACAGCCAGATATGTAGACCAAGGAGGCGGGAAACGTAAAGGTGCCTTCGCCGTTTACCTTGAGCCGTGGCATGCTGACGTTTTTGAGTTTTTGACACTGAAAAAAAATCATGGAAAAGAAGAACAAAGAGCTAGAGACTTGTTTTATGCACTGTGGATACCAGATTTATTTATGAAAAGAGTAGAAATGAACGAAAATTGGACACTTATGTGCCCTAATGAGTGCCCTGGGCTTAGTGAGGTATGGGGAGAAGAGTTCGAAAGGCTTTATAATAGCTACGAAGCCCAAGGAAGAGGTAAAAAAGTAGTTAAAGCACAAGCATTGTGGGCAGCTATAATTGAAAGCCAGACAGAGACCGGGACACCTTATATGCTTTATAAAGATACCGCAAATAGATATTCAAATCATAAACACCTTGGGACTATTAAATGCAGCAATCTGTGTACAGAGATTATGGAATATACGTCAAAAGATGAGGTAGCGGTCTGTAACCTTGCCTCTATAAGTTTATCAAGGTTTGTTACTAGTAATAGGACTTTTGACTTTGAAAAACTCTATGAAGTTACTAAGGTTGTGACTTATAACCTCAATAAAATTATTGACAGAAATTTCTACCCATTACCTGAATGCAGAAATTCCAATTTAAGACATAGGCCAATTGGAATTGGTGTCCAAGGATTTGCTGATGCCTTATTAATGTTAAGATATCCATTTGAAAGCAAAGAAGCTTTAGAATTCAACCGAAGAGTTTTCGAGTGCATTTATTTCTCAGCACTAACTGCATCCTGTGAGCTTGCAGAAAGAGAAGGAACTTATTCTTCATATACAGGGTCTCCTATCTCTCAAGGATTTTTGCAATTTGATATGAGAGGTGTCGAAGCCTCCACACATCATGACTGGCCTGGCCTCAGAGAAAAAATTTTTCAATTTGGAGTAAGAAATTCTTTATTAATCGCCCCAATGCCGACAGCTTCCACCTCACAAATTTTAGGAAGTAACGAAAGCTTTGAGCCATATACATCAAATATATACACAAGGAGAGTGCTAGCAGGAGAATTTGTGTGTGTAAACCCACATTTGGTAAAAGACTGCATTGAGTTAGGTATTTGGACTCATGATATAAAGAATAGAATTATTGCTAATGGAGGGTCGATACAAGATTTGCATGAAGTCCCAGAAAAAATGAAAAAATTGTATAAGACTGTGTGGGAAATACCTCAGAGGACGCTAATTGATATGGCTGTATCCAGAGCTCCATTTATTGACCAAAGCCAAAGTCTAAATGTTTATATTGTAGAATTCATTGAATTTACTTATGAATTTTGACTTATTTTATTATTAAAATTAGCTTAAATTCGGTATTTATAGGATATAGCAGAGCCAAGCTTTGGAAAATTAACATCACTGCATTTCTATACCTGGAAAAAAGGCTTGAAAACTGGAATGTATTATTTAAGATCCAGACCAGCCGCTGATGCTATTAAATTCACAGTAGATGTAGAAAAATTACTAATTTCCTCAGGCTTCAATACAAAGTCAGCAGCTTCATTTGTAGAGGAAAACGACGAAAATTCTCCACCAGAAGGGAATGTTTTGCAAGAAAAAAGCTTAAATGCTGAAGAAGAAGTGTGCATTTCGTGCAGTGGCTAATAAATTAATATTGCTTAATTTTTAATAATCAAGGCTGCTCAAGTAATTTTTAATAATAAGTTGTATTAATAAAATTAACAATTTATAATTTTATTTCGATTAATAAAATGGTATAAAATGAATTATACCTTTCTAACGAAACTGATAGAAAAAGGAAAAAATAAGCATGATTTTTTAGCTGATTTGACTTTTTTAAATATGCACAGAAAATAGTATATAAGCATAAGAATAATGAAAGCAGCTCAAGGAGCAATTATAATGAAGAAATGATAAAAAAGGCCGGTCTAGATTTATACATCTCAGAAAATATTCATCTTACTGACCTGCTACGAGTTGAATACAAAATTGAGGCTACTTACCAATTCATTCAACATTACATCAGGTATTTTTTATATAGATTTATTGCCTCAAGAGAAATAATTTTGCTATCAAACATCCCAGTTGATTTAAATTTGTGGGAAAATTACAATTTTTTAGTTTTAACAGGTGATTGAAAATTCTTTTTATTGAAAAAGGAATTAACAATTATTAAAGTTATTTGCGTAGGCTTTAAAGATAATTTCACTGAAGAAATTTTAAAAATATGCATATTATGATGGGGAAGTTTTATAAAAAAATTAGTTATTTTATATATTATTTTTAAAAAAAAAGAAATATTTAGTTTAAATTAAATAGAAGATTCTATTCCTTATAGAGCTAAAATTGAAGTCCAAAAAGTGATTTTAAGTGGAGAATATCCAAAGTCTTACAGTATCGTCTTAGCGGCAAAATGAATTTTAAATGGACAAAGGATTGGAAATGAAATAAAGGTAACAGAAGAAGGGATACTCATGATAATAGAAGAAATTAAAAATTATATTTTATCTTCCTCACAAATTTCCCAAAAAAAATTGTCTTCTTTGCTTCAAGAAGCTGGAATTATTTTTAAAAATAAATCTGAAAAGCTGCATGAAAAAACAATAAATCCTATCACACAATGGCTAAATTCTAATCAAAAAATCCCTGAAAAAGTTACTTACAAAATCCTAGAAAAACCGTTATTTGATCTTCTCTCAATTGAATCTAAAAAAGCTAATTCCTTTCTCTTTAACAGTGAGCAAAGCCATTGAAAAAGTCATATGTTTAACAAAGTTAACCCTCTTACTCCCCCCCCCTCGAAGTTCGACCAAGATATAGGGAAAATTCCTATTTTTTTGGAAAAATTAAACCCCCCTCAAAGTTCGACCAAGACCTATATAAATTTACTAGGAAAATAAGCAATTTTTCAAAAATTTTAAACTATGTGGGGTGAGCTTGCGATTTTTGTATTCAAGTTCTAAAAAAGCGTTACAAAACCATCTTGCACTATTTTTTCTAACCCTTACACCCTCTCAACCATACACAGAAATATGATAAATATTTTTTTTTTTTTAAAAAAAATTTTTCTTAACCCCCCTCGAAGTTCGACCAAAAAAATCTTGGTCGAACTTCGGGGGGGGGGGAGTTAGAGCAAGAAAAAATTATTTACCCCCTTTTCATGAGCGAACAAAACCATTAGAAAATCCCTATTTTTTCCCAAAAGTACGCTCTTTGTCAGCGAGCAAAAAATTTGGTTGATATATAAATGATTATTAGTTAATGAAATTTCTAGCTAATTCTGTTTAATTTTTAAACAAATTCATTTAAAACATAAATTTTCAAATCAAATAAATATTTGCTTTTCAATTTTTGTGAATTGGGAATTTTTTTTAAATTTCGAAAAAAAAATTTACTATAAAATTCATATATAATTTTTTTAAAAAAAAATAACCCCTCTCCACGAGCGAACAAATTTTTTGTTTGCTCACAAAGGGTGGAGTTAGTATAAAGCTTATTTAAATAAATAATTTTATAATAATCTTTAGTTAATTCTATTAAATTTTATAATTTTTAAAATCCAAGAAAAATTAAACCCCTTAAGAGCAAATAAGTTTTTTCTGCTCTATTTAAATAGGAGACGTAAATATTTCAGCAGACCAAAAGACTATCAAATTAATTTACAATTAAATCCAGATTTATTCGAAGAAGAATTGGATAAAAAATCTGCTTACAAATCAGATACCCCTTTGGAATTTGAAAGAACTCATTTATTTACTTTTGAGCCTAATAAAGATCATTTATTAACTTGAAGTTCTGATTTAGAATATTCCCACTCAGAAGATATGTCCAATTCTACACAAAAATTAAGTGAAGCCATAACCCCATTTAATTTGTCAATTGTTGATAGATTTCCTAAAGTTTTTTCTGATTCTTTAACACTTACCCCCCCCCCCTCCGTGAGCGAACAAAACCATTAGAAAAATCGCCATTTTTTGACCAAAAACCCACCCTCCGTGAGTGAACAAAAATTTTTTTAATAGAAAAAATTTTAATGGAAAAAAATTTTGATATATAAGTGATAATTAGTATAATGAAATCTAGAGCTAATTCTGTTTAATTTTAAACAAATTGCGTTTTTAAAGCATAAATTTTGCAAATTAAATTAATATTTGCTTCCCAATTTTTGCAAATTAGGATTTTTTTAAATTTCGAAAAAAATATTTTTTATAAAATTTATATATAAATTTTTTTTAAAAAAAAAAAATTAACCCCCCTCCGTGAGCGAACAAAATTTTTTTGTTCGCTCACGGAGGGGGGGGGGGGAGTTAGTGAATCTTCCAATGCTCAGCAGCTTTCTCTAGAACAGACAAATCGAAAATCAATTATCGATTATACTGAATCTTTAGACCTGGAATATTACCCAGTAGAAGTCGTAGAAATTATCCATAACTCCCCCAAAATAAAGCGCAGCAAAATCAGTAGCTTTTCAACCCCATTAATTTCTCCTAAAAACTGCAATTTATCAATTCAAGACATCCAGAAACAATTCGCTTTACTAGACTCCCGAATTACAAGCGAAACTATAGACGCTTCTCTAAGCGACTTTGGCAAAGGCTCAGCCTCCCCTGTTTCTCGCCTCGAGACAGCTGCTTTTTCTTCCTCCGTTGATGGAAAAACCCCAAGTACATCCTACCAATCCCAAGACACAAAATCCAAAAACTGTCGCTGCAACAACTGTGAGATATTTTAAATTGCTAAAAAATAAATTAATTAAAAACTTAATTTACATGAACCATTTTTTTCATCAATTTTACTTTGAAGACTTCTGAGTGTGTTTTCAAAATCTCTTGGAGAATTTGGGTCAGCTGTGTCTATAAAGCTTCTATATAAAATTTACGATAATTGGTCAAGAATGGTTTGTAAACTTTTTTCTGAGTTTTTTCTGCCGTGAATATCAAATGATTTTCCTCGGCTTGGGGTCCGATTGTACCTAGATTTAAGCTCTTTGGTGAGGTGCTCTATGACTCTTTGTTGAGATTCGATGATGGACCGCTGCTCTTCAACTTGGTCTTCTAGGGCTCTAATAATGATATGGTTTTTTTCGTTATTTATTTTATTTGTATCATTATTTGTAGCATATTCATGAAGCATGCTGTTTCTGTCAAGCTGGTCTCTAAGCTCGTCATTTTCTTCATCTTTTATTAATAACTCATTTTCATACTCTTCTCGAATTTGTTCAATTTGCTCATGGTAAAATCCGTGGATTTTGTCGATTTCTTGCTGATGGGCCATGTTTAATTTTTCAGTCACCAGTTCTGCAGTTTTTTCATTAAATTCGCCTAATAAAATATTTAATTCTTGTTTAGACCTTTGCATTCTCTGCTCATGCCGAGCCTGCAGTAACTGTATTTGTAGAGCGTGCTCTTCTTTCATTTTTAAATTTTGTTCTTTATAAAAATTTGCCTCTTTAGTTATTTTTGCAATATTTTCATTAGCAGCATTAAGCTCTTCTTTAAGTTTTGCTGTATCAATTTTATATCTTTTTTGTAATTTTCTAAGCTTGGCTTCTCTATTTTGAAGAAAATATTTTATGGATTCCAAGTCTTGCTTCCCTGATGGACTTTCACTGATTTCAGTGATAGTTGGCTTATAAGGGCTCGCAAAGTCTGGATTATAATTCCCATGAATAAAAGTAAAGCAAGCTGATTGGTTTATATAATTTATGCACCATAATAGACCGCTATACCCTAGCATAATGCTGGCCAGAAAAAATATATCCAGAGCACCTGCCTTATACAATCTAAGTCTGATTAGGCGTCTTAAAGCCATAAATGGAGATTAGTCAATTTTTTTTTTACTTTTCAAAAAAACCGACAAGGACAAATTAATTTTGAAAAAAAAAAGCTGATGGTCAATAATGATCTAAAATATTTTAAGGACTATAACTGTATTTGGCTTCCATTCCATCGTAATACTTGTGTCTGCTGAAGGAGTTGGAGATGTGGAATCTGCGCTTGAACTTCGGCTGTGTTGGCGGTAAACTGCTTGTATATTTGTAGCATCTTTTAAAGAGCGAATTGAAATCCAAGATCCTATCTTAGAAAATTCTTTGTCAGCGTCTAGAGTGTCCATTTTGTATTATTTGAAAAATTCAAAATCTTTTTGAAAATAGATAAAAGAGAGGGAGATAACAAAAAGATAAAAAATTAAAAAATAATTGGTGAAATAGCAAGGATTATAATTTATAAGTAAAATAAAGGTAAAAATCATGAGATTTTATAGAAAATAAATTAGCTATTTTTATAATCAATTGTTTGCTAATTATTCATGGAGTTTTACTATAATAAGAGTCATATTGTCACATCCTGGGCCTCCTGCTTCCTCAGCTAAGCATTGGTCTAAAATTTCTTCAGCAATCACGTTAATTGTTTTATTGTTTCTCATCCCTTCATATATCAAGTTTACACAATTTTGATTTGTTAGCATGTCCCAAATTCCATCACAAGCTAAAACCAAAAAATCGCAGTCTGGTGTAATTTCATAAACAGCTATATCTGGAAAAGATGTTAACATTTGGCCACATGGTGGGAGTCCATCATTTTTCTTATATTCCAAATCTCCAATACATCTATAATTTACTATAATAAACAATAATAATCTTTATAAAACCTATATCATAATTTATTTTTAAAAATAATTTCTAGCTTATAAAGACTGTCAGAGGTTTTTCTTAAAAATATACTTAAATTCAAATTCCCCATAACTCTCCCGCCTTGCACCCATCCTTTTGCATTTGTAATCCGATTAAATTCTATTTCATTATCCGGCTTATGATCATGAGACATTGCAATTGCTTCCCCGTTTTTCGCTAAAATGCACCTCGAATCCCCAGCATTTGCCACAATAATCCGATTATTTTTTATAAGTGCAGTTACAGCTGTACATCCAACCAAATCTGCCTCTTGCTCTCCATTGTCTTCTTTTTCGTCTTCAGGCAAATCAGCAACTATTCTTGCTAATTCTATTTTGGATTCTGTAGAAAATAAAAGCTCGTCCATATTCAAATAGGTTTCCTGCAATGCAAGCTCATATGAGCCTTTCTTATAGTTTTCATTTTGTAGTAATACATCACAAAAATGACGTGAGACAAAGATTGCGACTTCTTTGCCGCCATGACCGTCATAAACTCCAAATAGCATCCCATCTCCACCTAAGGATAATTCTATAATTTTGGAGTCTTCCATTGAAGTACGCCAACCTTGCATATCTGAAGCGGCATAGCTGGATAAAAGTTACCTTATTGACTGATGATGGCCTACAATAGTATTTTTTTGTATATTGGGAGTAGAGAGATAAGTACCCATTTTAATTGTGATAATCCAAGATCAGCCATATGAGAAATATCAATAATGCAACAGAAAATATTGTGGATTGAGTTTTAAAGGTTTTTATATTTAATTCTGAAAAATTTGCTAGAAAATTTAACTATAATTATTTAGCATCTAAAAATTTTTAATAAAAATATTGTGTATAATGGACAAAATTGCGAAATCTGAAGAAAGATCACTTAGTGATGAACAAAATCAGTTAATTTCTATTGTTGGGGAAAATGAAAGGCTAAGAATTCAACTATCAAAAGTTCAAGATGAGTCATATGGAAAAACTTTACAAATAAATGGGCTAAAATCTCAAATAGAAACTCTCCAATCGAAACTTACAAAATCCAGTGTCGCTGATGTTAATTCAAGCCTTATCGATCCAGAAATGAACACTATAAAAGAACAATATAGAGAAATTCAGCTCCAGATTTCACAAAAAGAAAAAGAATTAGAAGAATTGAAATCAGAACACCATCAAGCATTAAATAATAAAGAAAAAAGGATATACTATTTTAGAGAAATTAGATTTATAATAAAAATTTTATAGTAAAAATGGTATTTATTAGAAAAGAAATAATATATTTAGAAGGGAAATTAATAGGCTTGGCAAGGATAGAAAAAGAAAAAGTTGAGCTTGAGAAAAAAATTAAAGCTTTAATTGAAGAAAATAGTGCGATTCAAAGAGAGCTGGAAAAGGTAAATAAAGTTTCGAAAGAATTGGAAGATGAGATTAGCAAAATCTTAAACCTAAATTACTTATAGAAAGTCCTAGGCAGACACAAAGGGGCACTCCTCGCCCCACATAGTGCTCCACCACTTCCTCCTAGTCCGGTGTACCTTACACTGTGTTTCTCCTCATGGAAGAGGGCTTGCAATCGCTAGCTGAGAAATAGAGACGCTGGTTTACAATGTGTTATGTCAACGGAGTTGATCTTTCCTAAAGAAAAATCGAATTCTCTAGTAGAGCTGTCGACCAAAATGAAATCTTTAGCCCAGGATGAAACTCCTGGTTCGTGCAAGGGATTTGCCCAATTGGCAAAGCGACGGCCTCTGGCCTTGCTGGGCCTCCCCTTTCTATCTCCTGAGCCATCTTCCACAAGGTAAAACCTTGACCTGAATGTAAGCATTTGGTCAGCTAAACCCGACATTGCGCTCTACCAAAACAAATAAAACCTGGCCAGATGCATATTTCCGAACGCTTTCCTCCTTCCACAAGGTCCCCGGCTTTTTCAATGAACTTCCCTGCTACAAATGTTAAAAGCACTGGTTCACCACGCTATTTTAATGCATATGATTAGCGAACATCAAAACAAAAATGAAGAAATTGAATCAGAAACAGAGAAGCCAAAAATTGAAGAGGTCACAGAAATAGAAAATAGGCCAAATCTCGAAGAAATTTTAAATGAAATTGCGAAGCAAAAAGAAATAATAAAAGAGCTTAAAGAAAAAATTTTAGAGGCCGAAAAAGAACTGAATCAAAAAAATACTCTTTTGGAGCAGCAAAGTTCTAAAATAAATGAGCTTACCTTATCCCTAAATTCTTATAAAGAATTATGCACAAACTATCAAAAGCAAATCCTTGAGATCACCCATTCAGAGGAAGAAAAAAATTCAATTTTACATAGAAATTCCACCCTCTCAGCTGATAATGATAAGCTCTTATTAGAACTTTCTACGAAATCTCAGACTATTGACGAATTAAAACAAATAAACTCAAAGCTGACTGAAGATATGGAAAGATCATCGAAAACCCAAAACTCAGACGAAATTTATCAACTAAAAATGAAAATTATGCTTCTACAAGCAGAAATTGAAAATAAAGAATCCCAGCTTGAAAAATCCTGAAAAGAAAGAATAATTCATAAAGAAAGAGCAGACAGCTTAGAAAAATATTTTCAAGATGAAAAATCAGACCATAAAAAAGAAATGCTATTTCTCCAAACAAAAATCGCGAAATTAGATGAAGATTATAAAGCAAATCAGCTGCAGACATTAAGCTTAACAGAATATATCAATAAAATAGAATTTTCCCTTGAAAATAATAAGAAAAAATTAGAAAAAAATAAAGAAAAATTAAAACAAATGAAAAGGAAAAATAAAACAAATGAAGAAGATTGCAGAAATATGAATGAAATAATTTCGCAATTAAGTGAAGAAAAAGCAAAGCTGGAAACAATAAATAAAAAAAATGAAAATAAATATAGAGAAGATTTCAAAAAAAATGAAGCTGTTATTAAACAGCTTTCAACAAAAATAAATAGCTTAGAAGCAAAAATTTCAGAACAAAGCACAATTTTAGCTTCAAAAGACCAATTAATTTCAGCTGCAAATAAGCAAATTAATATTTTTAAAAAAAGGACAAGCATTCAGCATGGAAATTCAAATAAAAATTTTGAAGAGAAAATTGGTGCGCAGAATAGGAGGATTGAGGCTTATGAATCGCAAATAAAAATGCTTAAAGAGATGGTTAAAGGTCTGCAAAATGATGTAAAAACGAAAACACAAGAAATTATGAGATTTAAAAAATCGAGATCAGAGCATGTTTCTCCACAAATGCTTGTGACTAAAAATAGAATCCCAGAATTCTCACCGTATAGATTTATGGATAAAAACCCATACTTACTTAGTTACTTAGTTACATAGTTTTTAAGGTGTCTAGTGCCCACACCCCTTAATTAAAAAGGGTCAAAGCGACAACTAGTGACGTCACCAAGCCATCTTGGAATATGTGGTCAGCCCACACCCAAGCCTTCTATGAGGCTAGTCGCCAGATAAATCGCCGCACATCTCACCGGCGCGTTGCCGTCGCTCGTCCAGACTCAGCTCCTGCGCGTGTTCCGCCTAAGGGTCATCCTCCCGTGGGGACGTGCTGAGAGGTAAAACTCCGAAATCTTGAGTGCACTGAGGAGTCGTGCCTTTGGTTATCCCCAAAGTTAAACGACTATTGCTGTGCAGAAGTTCTCGAGAGAAAACCCAACCCCATAAATAAAATTCCATGAGGGAGAGAAAATTGGCAGAGCCAATTTCTCTCGAACCGAATGCCATTTTATTTATGATAAAAACCCATACGGCCAAGATACTTTTAAGCTTATAATACCTGATCTTGAGGAGTTGAACAGAGAATCACCGTTTGTGAGAAGGAAAAATGCAGTGAATATTTTTAAAATAACGTCTCCAATAAAACAAAAGTCAAAAATTGATCTTAGAGCAAGTAATGATTTTGCTATGAGCAAAGGAGAATTAATGTAAAAATTTAAATAAACATTTGATTATTAACTCCCCCCATGTGAGTGAACAAAACCATTGAAAAAATCCCTATTTTTTAGCCAAAACTATCCCTCTGTGAGTGAACAAAAAATTTTTTAATAAAAAATTTTGATATAAGTGATAATCAGTATAATGAAATCTCTAGCTAATTCTGTTTTAATTTTGATCAAACTGCATTTTAATAATAAATTTAACTAATTAAATAAATATTTGCTTTCAAATTTTTCCAATTGTTTTTTTTTTAAATTTCAAAAAATTATAAAAAAAATTAACCGTGAACAAAATTTTTTTTTCTCTCTCACATAGGGAAGTAGGCATCATGATAATTAATTTTATTAATATTAAATATAGTAAAAAATAACTGTTATTCTTTATCATAATTAATTCCGATACCTATGTATCTTGCTTAGAAATCAACTATGCTGTGAAATGCATCACCAGTCCGAAATAAAGACTAATATTTTGGTTAAAAATTCCAGAACATTAGGCTTTGCCCGAATTAATTTATAAAATTTCTTATAGCCATAATATCATTAACTGTGAAATTTTTTAATTTTTGCATCATCGACATTTACACAAAAATACATATCAGATAAGAATATGGAAGAAACACAGAACATAGAGACTTTGAACTTTACAATAGACCCAAACGAGCCAGTTACACAGATAGAAAGCTTTTGTCCAAATTGTGAAGGGCAGGGTATTACTCGTTTACTTCTTTGCAGTATTCCATTTTTCAAAGATATAGTAGTGTCCTCTTTCACTTGTGAAACCTGTGGCTATCGTAACAACGACGTCCAAAATGCTTCCACATTAGCTGAAAAAGGCTGCAGAATTTTCTTATCCCCTTTATGATCTAGCATAATATTTAATTATTTTATAGCAAAAATGTCTATTATTTTAAAAATGTTTTACTAGGGAGCTAGCAGTCTCCAACAAACAAACGTTAAATCGTGAAGTCGTAAAATCAGAGTACGCAACCATAACAATCCCTGAAATCCAACTCGAAATCCCAGCATCCACACAAAAAGGTAGCTTAAACACAATTGAAGGAATTTTGAAAAAATCCAGAGATGATTTATCAGCTCTTCAAGAAGAAAGAAGGCAAGTTGACCCTGAATTAGCCACAAAACTTGACGCTTTCTTAGAAAATCTAAATAATCTTATTCATGGAAGAATTCCTTTTACGCTCATCTTAGACGACCCTTCAGGAAACAGCTTTATATCATTTGATGCATCAAGATACAATATTGCTGAAAATGATCCTGCTTTAAGAATTGAGTATTATATTTATTACTTATAAAGAAGTCTCCTGAGACCTGTATCCCACTGATCGCTTTCATTAATATCAGTCCGTGAGGCCTTGTATTGATCCTTCAAAAAACCTGCAGAAGTTAGAGATCCTAGCCCACAAGGACATAACGCTTGGCATTGCTTTAGGGAGATGCCCGATTAGCTTAATGAATGGCTGAGCCTCCCCTTATGGAGAAACCAATCTTGAACAAAGAAGAGATAACTGCTAGCAGTACATGCCGATTTGCCACGTCGTTTTAATATATATGCTCCCTAAGAAATGAGCACTACACAAGAACCAAAGAACAAATGGTCTCAATGGGATACATGGCAGACGATGTTGACGTTTTAACTGACAAACTAGACAACACAAACCTAGAAGACAAAATTTCAGCACAAAACCATGACTTCGCCAAACCTCTTGACGAAAGCAAAATTACTGAAGAGCCTGTAGAAATGCCAACAGAATGCTATGCTTGCCATCAGCCTGGTACCGTAAAAATGTGTGTCACAAATATCCCACATTTTAAAGAAACTGTTGTGATGGCTTTTCAATGCGATTATTGTGGGGCAAAATCCAATGAAGTTAAAGGCGGAGGAGAAATTTCACCTTTAGCAAGAAGAATTGAGCTGAGAGTGCAGTCTGTAGAGGACATGAAAAGAGATATGCATTTATATAGATTTTAATATATATTGTATAACAATTAATGCTTTAATGATACTTTTAGAATTTAATTATTATAATTGGTGGGTATTTTATATTATCAGACTTATTATAAATATTTTAGTATATTTGAAAAAGATTTTTTTATTTTTAATAATTCAGTACAAAATAATATATTATTAAGTCAGAGACATGCAGCTTAGACATCCCTGAACTTGGCTTAACCTTACAACCAGGAACTCTAGGTGGATTAATTACTACTTTAGAAGGAGCTCTTGTAAAAATCCACCACGAATTATGCAGAAATGTAGGCTTTGGAATGGGAGATAGCGACACACCTGAAGACTCTAATAAGATGGCAGTGTTTTTGAATAAACTAAAGAACTGCAAGCACGTAAATGAGCCATTTACTTTTATTTTAGATGACCCATTAGCTAATAGCTTTATATCAAGTCCTATAGAGAATGACCCACAAATAATAATTACAGATTATCCGAGGACTGAAGAACAAAATGAAGAACTTGGCCTAGCAGATATGGTACTAGATAATTATTCATAATTTATAGGATCTTTATATATCAATTTTATAATTTTTCAAATTTTAATTCTGCAAATATACTCATGCATATTTATAGATCGCCATAACGGTTATAATGGACTGATACCTTCTAGATCTTGGACTAGAACTCTCACATTTAGATAGCATCAGATTTAAAAATTTATTTAATAAAAAATTATTTTTATTCTTGCATGGTGACCATTAAGCTCTTATTCCAGCGGGAGCACTAGACAAAAGAGCGCTATTCTTAAGGAGACCCTAAAGCCAGACGAAGTAAGTTGAGATAAATATTTATATTGATCATAGTAGGGTTATTGACTGAGGGGATTTTGATTGGACTCTATATTTGAAAGTGCCTAGGTCAAATGAGCATATTTTTGTAAATAATTAGATCATCACTGATCTATATGCTTTCTTCCTAGCTAAAGGAGGCTTAGCTCTATGAATTCTGTTATTTAGTTTACTAACGGACCAGTTTTTAGGCTTTTTTGATGCGATATAAACTTAAAGCTATCATGATAGTCACTTAAGCTGACAATTACATTAAAATATTTAATAATTTAAAGTAAGCATTTCTTACTAGAAATAAATTATACCATACGCTGGCATAATTGCTCCTAACACTGAGCGTGTCATTTTATTTTTAAAATGCGGAATATTGCTCTCAGCAATAATGCCTTGGCATTGTGAAAAAAGATCTATATAATATATCTTTTAATAATTTTGATAGTAACCTATTTTTATTTAATGATTTTTATTAGTTGTTTAAAGCTTACCCACATAAACAACTCCACTCAAATTATTCTCAACAAACACAGTTTTATCTGAAACTATAACTCTATCTATATCCAAAATCGTATCTGAGTCTGTCCCTATTCTTTTTTGGTGATTTTTTATACATTCTTCAGCATCCCAAATTAATATTATCAGATTATATAGCGTTGATGCTATATATCTACCACATTCAGAGAATGAAATTTTTCAAATTCCTGAGAAGCTAAAAGAAATAAAATGGTTACGTATGACGGAGTTGAGCTCCGAGGCGTCTCACCCATTTTGAGCAAGGCAGGGCTCCACAAATCCATTCGACCGAAGTATGACCGGGCTGGGGTCTAGTAGGGCATGGAGAAGGAGTCTCTTTCCCTCCTCGGGTGAAGTTTTATTTCTCCTCCGTAGGTTTGCGCAGCCCAGGCTGGGTTTTGTCCTACCACCTAGTCCTTCTCTGTCGGGACTAGCGGAGCGCTCAGACGCGGGCGAAGAACCCAGGTGGGCTAACCCTTGGATTCGAGTGGTTCAGACCGGAAAACCAAGTAAGCAATGGGAAGAGGAATTTCCCGCTTGGAGCCGACGGGGCAAAGGCTAGTGTGCAAACACTTATGGCCAGTTTTAAACAATTTAACTAACAATTTAACTAACTGAGAAGCTAACATTCATTTTAGCGATTTTTGCACAATTTGTTGTATCCCATAGAATAATATCAGAGCATCTAGCTGTAATGAAATATTGTCCACAAGGTGAAAAGCATGACTCACAAGGTTCATATATTTCGCTTGATTCATGGCTGACTGATGAAAATAATTTTGTATCAATATTGAGTATTAAAATTATGCTTTTATTACGGGAATTATGTAATGCAGCTCATTTTTTGCAAGGAGAACAAGTAATACTGCCTATTTCTGCTCCAAGAAATATGTGCTCAATTTTGATACTGTTTTGCCTTCATATTCTCACAGAATCAGGAGGCACATAATATATAAGATAGTCACCTGTAAATTTGCAGATTTCACAAAAACCAATATTATTTATTGATTTTATAATTGCACCTGAATCAATGCTATAAATCAAATATGAGTCATCCTGGCAAGAGTACAAAGAAAATTGATTATATTCTCATGATATTTGTAATTCATAAAATTGGTAGCCAATTTTAATTGATGTGACCAATTTTTGATATTTAATGTTCCAAATTTCAATAAAATCATCATTTCCAAAGGCATATAAATCGCCGGAGCTTGCTAAATAATTCGATTTCACATTGATGGGTAATTTAGTAGATTTTATAAGTTTTCTGGTTTCAATATCAAATATTTTTGTAAATCCTGATAGAAAATTAAGAATGATGTTTTCAGAGAAAATCATTGATGAGATATAAAAATTATTTGTCTTTAAATTAGGTTCTTCAGTGAAATAAAATAATTGCTATCTTGGTAATAGCTAATGGCACAAAAAAAAAATCCTAGAGTTCAAGGCCAAAAAACAACAAAATTGCCTCGAAGGACCACGGGGTCCAGGTGGCAGTTTCGGGCTCCCCTCGACCCACAGACAATAAGACCGATGGCACAATACCAATCGGGCACTTCTGGAGGGGCATTATGCTGCCTGCAAATGGCAAAGATAGTTCCAGAAGAAAGCACTGGACGCTTCCTCATAGCTTGAGCACTACAGGGGGTTAAGAGAGTGCTGTGCTGCAATTTTTTGGTGCAAGCAGGCTCGGGTGAGTCTCCCCGTAAGACTGACGACATCACCATTTTTTTTTGGCCCAGAAGAAGGTGGCTTTAGTGCTTAGCGCGACATGAAGCGTGAAGCTCGACTGGCTAGGGGCTGAAATAAACCCCGTTTAAACCCCTCTAACTAACTCTCTCTCAGTGAAATAATAAGATTTTAAAGTTTTCGATGCACATTTTAATCCAAAATAATCATAATTACATAAACCATAAAGCTTGATATCATTATATATCTCTCATATTTTCTCACTTTTTGATGTTTTTAAAAATTTTTGTTTTTCAATATCAATGATCCACAATTTTTTATAATTCACCTCTTCAATAAATTTATTACTTGAATTAAAATACATTTTTACAGTGTCGTATTTTATTTTTCATATCGGCTCATCTCCCTTTATTTTTCATAATTCAAGATAATTGCCCCAGTGATCAAAATAAATATCATTTTGGAAACCATGGTTATTTGAATATTTTTTATATTTTTCGCCAGACTCAAAGTACCAGATTTCTATGTTTTTTCGTCTTAGTTTTCTTCATACAAGAAATTTTTGTGAAAGGTTTACCAAGCTACAATTTTGTGGATTTTCACCAAAGTCAATTTGATAGAGAGTTTTAAAAGTCGCTATTTCTTTAATCATAATAAAATTTGGCATAATATAAGCTAGCATAGTATCGCTGATTATTGAGTCTAATGCGTCCTTATCTTCGAACTCGATCACCTTTGAGTCTCCAGCGAAATTCCATATAGCAAGTTTTGCAGAATTCTTATATAAAATATAAAGACTAGAAGAATCCAATGAAAATTTCAAGTCTTTGATGTCTTTTCAGAAATAATTTGATATCTCTACTGTACAGATGATTTTTTCTAAATCAGTGGAAATTAAAAATATGGAATCATCCTTCTCATTAACTACTGCCACATATTTTTCGCATTTCGAGATAGCAAGCTTCCAAACAGAATTTCCATCAAAAATTAATTTTGAGAGCTTGGAATCCCTCATTTTACAATTCGAAAAATCACAGTGCGCAACTACTGACGATGTAAAGTCAGCAAAAGTTAAATCACTATTTGAAAAATTTGCTTTTAAGAAAGAATTTTTTGATAAATCTGCATAAGGGATTTTAATATTTGAGAAATCTTTATTGTCAAAAATAAATCCTAGTTTATTCAGAATTGTGGCTGCATTGCTAGATGCTTGTGAAATTTCTTCTGAATCTCTTGATAGAAGAATAATTTTGTAAAAAAGTTGCAGGTGGTCTTTTGATGCGAATTTTTGAAGATGCCTTGTGATATTTCAATGGTCAGCAAAATTTATGACGTTGAAATATGAATTTTTAACAGATAAAACAGTTATTCAATTCTTCGCGTCGTTAAGAAGCTTTTGAGCCAAATAGATTTCATGAGAAGATGACTTTTCATGTTTAATAAAATGCTTTAGCCCTGCAAATGTTTGAAATTGTATTTTGAAAGGATTGTGAGGAACTTTGACAGGGGAATAGTTTTTATTTGCCATGTATAAATACTATAATGTATATGGTTAAAAGTATCGGATGTATGGCTTATAAAATATAGCAGCTTTTGATTTGCTTTATTGTTTAGTACTAGATAAAATATCATTTATTTTATGGCTTCTCTAGAATCTTTGATTAACTTACTCCCCCGCTACATGAGCAAGCAAAAGAATGGAAAAGTCTCTTTTTTGGGCAAAATATATCTTTGTGAATGAGTAAAATATTTTTTATAAAATTATTTTAATATAGGTGGAATTTTATTGCAAAATCGTGAGATAATCTATTTAATTTTAAAAACCCATACTGGTGGCCATCTTTGTATCTCAGATTTGATATTAAAATGCAGAAATTATATAAATAAATTTTATAGTAAAAATTTTTTTACAAAATTTAAATCCTAATTCGCAAAATTAGAAAGTCAAAATAATTTAATTTGTAAAACTTATGTTTTAGAATATAATTTGTTTTAAACTCAACAGAATTAACATAAATTTCATTATGATAGTTATATTTAAGTAATCCAGAGATGCTATTTTATTAATTATTCATCTTTTATTTATATTAAATGTATGCTATATTGGGCATGACAGGTGCCTAAGCTTTCGTAAGAATTGTTTTATAATTTAATCGAATTAAATTTTATTGTTTCATCAAATTTTAAATCTTATTATACTGGCCTTATTGATATTTCACTCGAAATTATTAATAAAGCAATATTTTGCTATTTTTAAATTTATGATGGTTTATCTATAGTCTCACTTTGAGACTGGTTAATTTCTTTGAGTCTCTCTATTTCTTTTTGTAATTTCCACATTTTAATGCTGTGCAAATTTTCCTCAATTTTTTTTCGTTGTCTTACATTGTTTACTATAAGATAAACTGTGTAAAAAATTAACCCTGTAACTACAATTGTATAAATAACAGCAAAAGTATCGCTAAGCCAAGTATGTTTTTCTTCTTTATTGTGATCTCTTATAAGCATTTGATATTTTCTTTGCCTTTCTTTTTCTTGTTTAAAAATCTCATCGATGCTTTTACCATTATAATAAATATTCTGCCTTTCTTCAGATTTTTTAGATCGTTTTTCTTTTTGTCTGAGTCATTCTTCATGCAGATTTTTTTGGTCTTGGGAATTCTTGTAAGGGTCTCGATTATTTGTTTTAATTCCTTTTGGATAAAAGTTGCCAGAGTCATATAGAGAGCGAAGTGACTTATCGCTAACATTCCTCCTTTCAGAATAAACAAAAAAATTTTGGGAATTTAACCCTTTAAGAGTGAGCAAAAAATTATTTTATTAAATATATTTTTTTATAAAATATATATAATTGATATAATGAGATTTGCTAGCTAGTTCTATTAAATTATAGATTGTCTGCATTCTAAAAAAAATATTATAAATTAAATAAAGATTTTCTTATCAAATATATTAAAATTCTTTTAAATTCCGATTTAATACATAATTTTATGATAATAATATATTTAGCCCCTTTAAGAGCGAGTATAAAATTTCGTACGATCTTAAAGGAGAGTAAGGATTTTATATGCTTCATTTACTTGCTTGAATTTTTCAGAATTACCTGCAGGGCAATCAGGGTGATGCTTTTTAACTAACCTCAAATATGCTTGGCGAATTTCTAATTCTGTGGATTTCTCTGGTATATTAAGAACTGCATAATAATTCTTTGGAGTATCAGTTGTTGTGAATTTTCTGAAAAAAATTGATTTGATATGTTTAGGGAAAAATTGTTTAATAAGCATATAAATATCCAAAATTATTAGAAAATATATAATGAAAATCACAGTTAAATTTATTTACTTTTTTTTTTCATTTTGTATTGATTTTCAATTGAATTTATGTTTGAGTCCAAAAAGTAGGAATTTGCTTCTATCGTATTGATATTTTCTAATAAAGTGCATAATGAGCCATCATAATAATAAAGTGGAATCATCGGAATTTGTTCTCTACAAAAAATATTCCATCTGTAGGCAATTTATAGGGATTCAGTTTTTCCCAGCGATCATCTAACCAGCTATGCCAGGAAAGCCACAGCATAGTGTCTGATGCTTGACCTTTGAAATTTAGGAGGCATAGGGTTTTCCTTCTGATACTCTCAAGGAAGGAGACCTTAGGTAGAACACGCACAGGAATCAAATGAAAAGCGAGGCAAGATGTCCTTAAACTTTCTAGCAAGCAGAGCTGTCCTGGTGAGCTAATAAAAAGGTTAGGGTAGAATACCCTTTCCGCCATCAGTTTGGATTTAAAATGGTAGTCTGCTATTACGCCCCTACAAGAGAAAAAAAAACACATTAAAGCTTAAATTAAATTAGCATTTAAGCCATCAGAATCTCCATTTTCATAATGCATGCAGCCATCTACTTCATCCAGCACCTTTTTAATCTCTTCTAAGTTTTTGTTAACTATATTAGCTTTAGCATATATAAGCTTTCGCTCGTCAGACCCCGATTTACTTGAATGTACCTCAAACTTGCTTAAAATTTCGTCTAATCCTTCTTCAATTTCTTCAAGAGAAGCATTAATCTCTTTCTGCTCTTCCAAAATCATATCTAAATTATCATTAATCCCTTGGCTTGCGGACCCTATTTTCTGTATAAGTTCTTGCATTGCAATGATTTCTTCTTGGTTTTCATAGAAATTAACTTCGTTTTTGGACAATTTTTCGAAATATATATAAAAATGGTGACGTGAATTGACCCGATCTCTTACCACTATAGCAGGTGACCTGATAAGGTATATGATTTAGAGGAAAGAGTCGATGCATGATCCAAAATTTGGTTTGACTGATGCAGTGATATAATAGTGCTGAGCTGATTAGTCAAAGCTAGTCCTAAGAATGATTTTTTCGTATGAGGATTTGGGGCATCGAATTGGAAGAATTCTCACAGTACCTTCTAGTTATACTTCTAAGCTAATTAGAAAGCTTACCCAGCACGATGCCAGACATTGCGTCCTGGAATATGAGCTTTCATTTTAAAATGGCAGCGACACAAAAATGAACTTTTTTCTCAAGAAGGCAAACTATGCTATTGCAGAGGCGACAAAGGACTTCCTGGGAGCAAGTACAGCCCGATGGAGTAAACAGATGCAAGACTAATAATTTATGCATCATATAGATTGGCATACCTCGAGCAGAATACTGACCAGAAAAAATATGGTCCAGGGCAATTGCCTTATACAGTCTAAGTCTGATTAGCATCTTAAAACCATAAAAGAAGATTTGTTATTTTAGTTTACTTTTAAAGAGAAATATAGGTCTTTGACCCTGACAAAAAGCTCTTTATAATCTAATATAAAGACAATTTCTCTGAATTTTTCTTAAAAGCAGCATAAAGCGCATCAAATTTCGATTTTCAATTGGTAAACATTTCCATAATTTTAGCCTTATACCCAGTTGCGATACCAAAGTCTATTTTTTTAGGCTCAGTTGAAATTTGAGCTGAAAATGCTGATAAAGGCTTTGAATTGTCAGGGAGGGAAGATTTTTGATTCAAAAAGAATGAAGATGAGCTTTCTTGAGGGGGATTTGTGATAGGCTTGTTTGTAGACTCAGTCTTAGGGTTCATAAAGAATGGAGAAGTATTAGATTGAGTTGTGCTTAAATTTAGAGGTGTTTTTGAAGATTGAGCTGGATTTGCAAAATTTCCAAATGGGTTTGACATAATTATTATTTACTTTATTATGGTGATAAATATTTTAAATATAAAATTGCAAAATGGTATGCATAAAATTATTAACTTAACTTACTCCCTATTGATGATTAGAGAGCAAAACCATCGAAATTACTTCGCTTATTTGGAACAAAAAACTTTTTATATGAGTTTTATGTAAAAAAATATTTTTGTATATAATTAATGAATATCCCGATAAGATCTTTTGCAATCATATTGAATTTTAGGCAGCTTGGATTTTTAAAGCATAAATTATGCAAATTAAATTAGATTTTTCATTAAATACTTCCAAATTTAAATTTGAGTTGTTAATAAAATTTGAAAAAAAGCCCTATAACTTAAGGGTTAATCATTTTTCTAATTGAATATCAACGCCAAAATTCCCATAGCCAATCCCAAAGCATTATTTGCACAAAAGATATTATAAGCGCCTTGAAGAATTGCAAAGGTTGATATATATTTATCTACTTCTCCATACTGTGAAATAAGGTAGACTTTTCCATCCCCATTATCAACTACATATAACTCGTTTTCTCCTATGCATAATCCCCTGGCTTGGTTCAGCCCACTCATCATAGATACTGACTCATTTGATTTTTCTCTATAAATTAGCACCTCTTTATCAGTACTATAATAAATTCCATAGCTGTTAGCAGTTACTCCCCAAGCAGAATCATAATTTGAATCAATAGTTTGTGTTGAGCTAGATTTTTCATCTAAATTTGACTTTATAAGAGTCCCTGATTTTTGCCCATTTTCACTGTTAACCCAATATATTACTAAATATAGCAATTTATCCTTAAAAATAGGAATATTTATATTATTCTAAAATATCAATATTTAATATGCTATTTTGAATTAAATGGGGCAACATATTTATATATAATGGCATTTTTCCTGCATTAATCCTTAAAAATATGAAAATTTGGTAAGGATAATATAAATTTGAAGGGAATATGATAAATTATGGCCCGAGCCTCCTTTTGGCTGTGGCTATACTGACGTTCTCGACGTTGGAGGGGTTAATTTAACCAATAAATGCTGAAAAAGCCAACCCCCTTTCGAAATCTAGAGATATCGGTATAGCCAGCCAAAAGGAGACTCGGGCTATATAAAATTGTCGTTAACTTCTAAAGCTGCTGGTGAGCTCACTGAAGTTAAATACAGTCCAGAAAACGCTGTATATCCAGAATCAGAAGTCCCCAAATACAAATCAGAAGCATAAAGCAGATAAATTTCATTTTTAGCTTTATCAGCTACATACACATTTCCATAATCGTCAACAGAGCACTCATAAGGTTCATCACCATTATAAACCACTACAAAATTATCTGATTTCAGCTCCAAACCACTATAAGTTTGTTTATATTCAAATTGATATTCCTCAAATAACAACTATTTTATTATTTTTTTCTATAAAATTCCCTATATCCCTATAATAAAATTTTTCCTAATTCCCGCCATCCTTTTTTTCTGTCACTTTTAGTATAAACTTTTCCGCTCCCTGAATCTGCAACATATAAAAATTGGTTATCTTCATCTGCACAAATCCCTGTTGGCTTATTTAAGCCTACAACGATATCATAAGGCTCACTAGTGCTTCCTCTGAAATAAACTGTGACCTTTCCAGAGGCAGATTCTTCTGTAAAACTAGTAACTAATAAATATACAAATCCAGTAGGTAAATCGTCTCTTATGAAATTTTTAGTCTCGATAAATTCAGTTGGTGTTTGCAAAAATGAGGTTGTTTGGCCTGCTTTTATTAAGGAAATTGACCCATCTACAGAAATCTCATACTGCCGTCCTTGATATTCGACTGTATATATTTGAGAATCTGAATAAATATCATAATCATAAAATGGCGACATTTGTAAGATATCGGCACCGCTCATTCGGGATTTTATGATTATGAGGCTTGCTTTTATATGGAAAGTCTATCCCTCACAAGACAGTTAAGCAACTCAAATGGAGAGTTACCCTTTGGCCTGCCCCTCAGGAATTTGAAAAAGCCTATAGTTATCCACTTCCATCCTGCGACAGCAAAGGAGTCTTTAGTCTTTACACAGCCTCAAGGAAGACAGTAATCTCTCACTCTTGAGCTTTCGAAGTCGGCAACACTGTTTCAAGCGTGCCCTGGCTCATCAAAGCAGGCCAGCCCAGACGCCTTTGGCCGATAAGTCTAAAAATGGTGAAAGTTCTTGGTGCGGCTACCCTTGCAGTGAATGTTAAGCAGGACGCTACGCGTCGAGATTTCTTTAAGTTTATGAATAACCATTGTCAATTCTTGTCGGTTGGTCATCAAAATCAGAGTCTGTAGCTACTTTTACTGCATCTCCATCAAAAGTTTCATCTAAAGTAATTGTAGTTGGCTCCTCTATTGTAATTTGGTCTGAATCTTGAGCGAAAGTTAATGCAACTAAGCAAATATATATCAATTTCATTGTAAAACGGATTTAAAAGACATTTTTAATAACTTAGAAAATTTATGCAGTTTCTAATCATTTTTTATAATCTTTATCAAATGCACTAATTCAGGCTGAAAATTTTATTAATTATGAATAATAATAATTTACATAAAATGGCGGACGGCGACCGGCCCACCCTCTCAGTGGTGATTACCCATGTATATCCGGGCATGGTTTTTGGAGCCAGAGTTAGCCCAACAACGCCTGGGGCCTCGAAGCGAGAGGCCTAAGCGCAAAAGCCGCTGTTTTTGTGACCGAACCCATGGGCAGTTACTCGTGACTTATTTTTGCCAGCAGCGCTCAGCCCAGTGGTGCCCGAAATGAGGCAGGGCGACTTACCTGCCTAAGCTGCTTTTGCGGCTCGCCCCGAATGGCGAAAGCTGTTGAGTTCTTTCTCGGGGTGACCCGAAAAGAGGGGAAGGCGAGTTAGACAACTAAACGGGGGTCTCTCCAGTTTAAAAGGTGCCCTTCAATGGGCAGATCTGGCGGACGACGCGGCAGTGTTGGCGTAAACTTAGGCGACGATCCAATTTGGAAATGGAGGCGGTCAGCAAAGCCGGTATGAGACGGCCTTGACAATTCCTCTACCGAGAAACGGGGGTTTCGGCCCGGGCTTGGTGAACGCTCTGCCACCATACGGGAAACCGTAGAATGCTTCCTCGGACGTAGTGGGGACCTTAAATACCTAGCGTTAATCTAATCTAATCTAATTATGAATAATAATAATTTTTTGAAATTAATTCGCAAAATTAAATAGTAAAAAAATCCTAATGGGTTAATTTATAATAAAATTATATGGCCAAATATAGTCTTATTTTACATAAATTTCTTGCTTATCACTAATGGCATTATTCATTCTTTATTTGTATTATTACAAATTTGTCGTAATATTAAAAACAAATCCAGAATAATTAATTTCTAAAAATGAGTAAATCAGATGACGAAGAAAATGTATTTTATATATAGATTTCTACAAGGACAGTCGAAATCAGAAGAGAAATAGAGTTATTAAAAAAGGTCCTCATTAAATCCTCAAACTCTCCTTTAGACTTAATTTTGAAAAACACCAGTGAAAAACCTAACCAGCTCAATGAGCGAAAAACTCTTCAGCAAGCTGAAAATCTCCAAATTTATCTAAATTCGTGCCGCAAAGGTCCAGATATTTATGCACTGTTTTCACAATGCTCACAGTCATCAAGAATTAATATACCATTTATAATAGGTAAAAATGGAGATTTCGCCAAGGTCCTCGATTTTCATATAAAAATTATTAAATCCTTTGCCTTTATAGAGTTTATTTTGGATATAAAAATCCCTGAAACTCTTTTATACGTCCCATCCCAATCCTGCCCAGTTTTTTTGTGGAATAATTCCTTTGGAAATATTGCTTCCTATATCAATGATCAAGCAATTGATAAATTTTTTGATACTGTAGAATAAATTGAAACACAAATAAAATGGGCGCGACGTCGCCAACCTGTCATCTTCGGATCCGTTCAGAGATTGGCACATTGCTGCGCCTGAAGCGAAAGAGATCAGTAAAGGAGAATACTGGTACTGGGCATTTGTGTTTTGTTAGGTTTTGTCTCCCTCGCCTGGCAATTGAGAAAATAGTTTTTTATCTCTAGAGACTACTAATTCCGACGGTAAATACATCCCGATATTAGCTAAAAACTTTATCCTGCTGGAACTCAGTTACTGAAGCTATAGCTGTGGGTGCCTAATATGTGCACTCCAAGGTTCCAAGGCAGAATTAAGAGCCATGCCGAAAGTCGAAGCATAGTTATCTTTGATAGAATGCGGACAAATCCAGCAAAATTGAACAAGTCATCCCCAAAAGCTACTTTGGATGTATCATTAAACAAGGAGATCCTGATCTTTAACCTATCCTAAAAGCAGAACAAATTGAAGTAAAATCGCGATATAAAGTCCCTAAATACATACACATTGCTATGAATGATAAAATCACCCTATGCTACTCAGCATTTGAAGCTCGCGAAGTTTTTGAGAATTGCCCTCATTATATGCACAGGCTACAAAGATATATTCCTCCTACCACAAATTTAGCCTCAAAAATCCGAATCCATTGATCAGGATCTCGAATTGAAGCAGTTTGTAGTATTTCTAATAATATTTCTCTAGGCAAGCTAGAAAGAAAAGGCAACCTCAGCTTTCAGCCAGTCATGAATAACCTAAAACAGACAATTTCTTATAGCTTTTCTAGCAAAATTCTGCCTACCTCTTTCTCTATGTCAATGCCATTCAAGCCGCTCCATCAAAAACGGTCTTTAAAAGAGAAGCTAAATAAGCCAAAAAATCCGTTTAAAACTCATATTATGGTGACTGAGCCTTGTGAGGCTGAATCTCTGCAGATAAAGCCAGGCTCTGAAACATTGATGACTGAAGAAATCCACCCTGATGAGGACTCCTTTTTAAGCAGCAATAATCAGAGGAGTTCAGCTGAGGAAAATGCAGATATTGAAAAATTTATAGTAAAGTTTTCAGGATTGCCGAAATTAAAAATTATTTTTACACATCAGCCGATTCCTGAGCTAGTTAAAGCGGTTAATGCGTTGGTGGCTGTTATAAATCAATTATTTTTGAGAAAAAATAATCAGTTGCAAGAACTATTTGTGGATTTTATTAAAGATTCTAACTTCCTCCCCTATAAGCGAGTAAGTAAAACAATTGGAGATTCCAATTAAATTTTTAAAAAAAATAATTGATATATAAATGATAATTCTATTATAAATTTTATAAATAAATTAATCCAATAAAATTTTGCGAATTTTTAAGTTACAAAAAAAAATTAACCCCTTTTACAAATTTTTTTGTTCGCTGACGAGAGAGGAAGTAATGAAAAATGGGTTTTACTTTCATGTAAAGGGTATAAAATAATTGGCGACGAGCTTTCACGTGTACTCAAGCCGAAATTTCTGCCGAAGCTTGAAAATATTAGGTCAAAAACCCATATAAAGAAGCCTTTTGCTAGAGATTATGAAATTAACGTATCGAAAATTGATGATTTGATCATCCCTGAAAGGAAAATAGGAAACGATACTATAATTTATGATAAAAATATAGAGATTTTGGCTCATTCTTTTGAAGAGCAAGCTTCGAAGCTGGATAATTCTCCTATTGGAAATATTCACCTTACTCCCCCTCCGTAAGTGGGGTTAATTTATTTTTTTATTATAAATTTTGTTAAAAAATTCCAATCTGTGTTGAGAAGTAAAAATTAAGTTAACTTGTAAAATTATTTTTAAAATGCAAGCTGTTGAAAATTAAACTGAATTTTAAAGATTTCATTATAATAATTATCACTTATATAGCAAATTTTGTTCCCTCATAAAAAAATTTTATATTAAAAAAATTTTTGTTCACTCACAATGGTTGATTTTTACCCAAAAATAAGAATTTTTTCAATGGTTTTGTTCGCTCACAGAGGGGTAGTTAAAGAAATCCAGGAATCAACCACAAAATCATACTTAGAGCAAAAAAAATCAGACCATTTAGGAAGGATTCCTTGTAATATGATAGGAATTATGCCACACAAATTAGATAATCCTATTACCAGCTTTATAGATAACCACAAAGAAGTGCCAATAAAGCCTCTAAAACACAGAGAACGATTTAAGCACTTATATTTAGTAGGCCTAGAAAACAAAAGAATAGATTTAGCATCAAAGCAGCTTGACGAAATCACAAAAAGTTTTGATAAAAAACTAAAAGCAGCCCAAGAAGGCAGAAAAGACGCAAATACAATCACTGGGCTTGTGAATTTTTTAAACAGCCATGAAAAATTAATTGAAAAATCTATTCAAGAATCTTATGAAAAATGCAAACAAAGCGAAACGCTTTGCCCTTACTTTGAAAGTCGCACCAACCACGAAATGGAAAGAATTCACAAAGGATTTTACAGCTGCCTAAAGCCAGGATACGAAATAGGACTTCGAAACAAACTAAAAAGAAGCCATAAAGGCTTGAACATTTCTTCAAATGATTTTGAAGAATTTGTAAAAAATTTAACTGAAAGTTTGGCAAATAATAACTTTTTTGAAGAAGAAGCGAAATTAATCACAGATCGTGCTCGCAGTTTTGAAAAAGAAATTGTAAGTATTCATGATGAAAAATAAATATTTTAATATTTCTTAATGGGAAAAAATGTAAAAAATCAAGGACTTTACTATAAATTTACAAAAATTCTTTGTTTAGTCTTGGGCGAAGTCTTTGATGAATAGGGCTTTCATTTTCAGCGTCTTCTTTTTCTATATTTTCAAGCTGTTTAAAAATTTTAATTCTTGATTTACGCTTACTATGCATTGATATAGGTGTAATAGAAGGCAATTTTTTTTCTTTTTCAATATTTATGCTTAAATCATTTGAAAAATCATTTATATCGACTGAAATTTTCAGTCTGTGGCTTGATATCTGTGGAAGTCTACATGTAGCATTATGAGGAGATATTGACAAGCTGTATCTAAATGGCTGTCGTAAATGCTCTTTGATAACTTTCAATGGAATTCTGCTAGATTGAATATTTTTGTGCTTATTGAGTTCAACTGAATCATCAAGGTGAGATAAATAATTAACAAACATTTACATTTTTGTTTGAATTTAGAATTGTTATGAATTTATTACTAAAATAAATAAATTATTATTTCATCGACTATTTATAATTAATTATATTTTATTTTAAATTTTTTAGCTATTTATTTATTAACTAGTCCAATATATTAAATAAATTTCTATTAAACAGAGTTTAGGTTTAATTCTATTGATTATTTAATTATTTTTATATATCCATTACCAGATACTTTTAAATCCACCACTTTGCTAAGCCCATAAATTCAAAAATTTCACAATAATCTAGTAGTTATAATCTTGTCTAATAATATAATATGACAGAAACTTTAAACCCTTTGGCTCATTCAAATGACATCAGAGCTATGCCGCCTCCTGATAAAAACCATAAAAGCACACTCATAACTGCAGGTGCTGGCGAAATTGTGCTTACAATAATCACGCAATTAAATGAATTATTCACAGAGCATCATAAATCTTTTGTTGAAATTGAAAAAAAGATAATAAACCTATGCAAAAATCTAACTGGCGCTTCTTGAGTAGAAATTTTGATAAAACAAAATGACAAACTGCAAGTATTAGGAAGCAAACAAATCCATGATTTTTTAGAAATAAATCCAAGCTCACTCCCAGGCTTTGTTGCAGAGCATAATTTAAGTCAGATAATTAATAACCCACACACATCCACTTTTTACTCAACTTTTACAGAAAAAATTTTGCCTTTTTCTATTATTGATAACGCATTAATAGAGCCTACATCGCTATGTGCAGTACCTTTTACAAGCGGGTCACATGAAGTCAAAGGTGTTATAATGCTTTTTGATAAACTTGACCAAAATAAAGCTTTAAGCTATTTCACTATGAATGATGTGCACATTGTGCAATCAATTGGAATTGTAATGACACAGATTATAGTTACCCAAAGCCATTTTTCTGAAATTCATAGAAAATTAAATGTTTCAGCTTCATTGAGAGAAGAATTAATTAATATTCTATTTATAATAAATTAATTTCCTAATAAATATGCTATAATTTAATACAAATTAATAGTAAATGGCTTATAAATGAAGTGTCAACCCAGATTTTCAAAAGGATGAAACTAGTGAAAAGATGCCGAGAATTAATAAAAAAAGATAAAATTGTCAATGAGAATATGGTTACACTGATAAAAGACTGTATGCAAGCTCATGGTGTAATTCTACACATTAATATCAACAATGATTTAAAAATGAGATTTATTCAAGGCTTTGAAAATTTTTCTCAGGATGTCCACAGCTTTAAAACACAAACCAGCTTTTATTCTGCATTTACAACAAAAAAGATGATAAATATACAGGATCTAGCCAGTGAGCCATTATGAGAAGAAGACAAGCCAAAATTATTTAGGAGCTTATTATCATGCCCTATTATTAATAAAAATGACTATGTGTTAGGTGTCATTGAATTTTTCAGGCAAGATAAATTTATACTTAATTCTGCTTATTTAGCAGATGCTAAAAGCCTTATTTTTTTACAAAACATAATTTTTTTTAATTTTAATCATGGGCATTCCAAACAAAATAAATATACTACGCTTGATGAAAAAATTGCTAAGTTTTTAATTAGTGCACTAGGAAAAATTTCACACGGAAAATGGGCATTAATATGAGAAAAAGAAAAAAATACCTCCCAATTAGCCCAAGAAGCTGAACTGAATAGGCTTGTTATGTCTCTTTATTCATTTTATGCTAATTTTGATATATTTTATGATTATACAAATTTATTTGAGCAGGCACAAAAAAGCTTAAAAAGAATTATTTCTTATGACGCTATAGTGATATATATAGTAGATACATCAAGGGAGCTATTTTGGACACACAAAAGTGATAAGGATGAAGGATTTACGTTGCCTATAAATAAAGAAAATTTAGCTGGGCTTGTATATGAATCAAAAAAAATAATAACTCTTCCAGACGATGATATTTTGATTTCTGACCATCACCATTATTCAGGAAAATTTGTATTAGGAATTCCGCTTATAAGCAAGATTTTATGTTCCAAAATAATTGGCGTGGCCATAATATCATATAGGAATTTATTTTTCAAAACATTATTTTTTATATAATTAATTAATATAAAAAATTAAAATAAACCCTAATATCACGATCCTCACACATATTTGACTATGAAGAAACTGATTACATAAGCTGTTTTCTTTCCAATATTACCCGCACCTTAGAAGAAATTCATGTGCATACTTTAAAACTTGTCCATCAAACCACAGAAATTGAGCATGAAAGTCCTACAGCCTATCTAAAACGTATGCACACTGAAAAAATCCGAGGAGACGAAATCATCAGAAGGCGTAGCTCTTATGAATCTCAAGATATAGCGACACTATGAAAAAACAATATCATCATTGATTTATTGTTCCACATAGGCACCCTTTCTCCAGACCAGCTTGAAAAAATCACTGATTTTCGGCAAATTATTGACAATGATGAGAGGCCGCTTCATACTTTTGCAAATAATCTAATGAAAGTTGTAGAGTGCAGGGCAGCGTCTTTATTGCTAAAAGATCTGACTGAAGAGCATTTATTTAGTTTGCCTTCAGAAACGCTAGTTAAGCCTTCAGGACTAATAAATTATTGCTTACAGAACGGAAAATTAATTTTATATAGAAATGAAGCCTATAAAGCTATGCAGTTTGATGGGCATGTAGATAGCCTTGGAATCAATGAAAATGTAGAAAGCATATTATGCGTCCCTATTTATAATTTCTGTAACAATGTAGACGGAGTTTTGTGCTTTGTAAACTCACCTGATAATTTCCCTCCAGAAACCGTCACTTTAGCTAGGTTTTTATCATTGATTCCGAGAGAAATTTTGCAGACTAAGGATATTAATATAGAAAGCTGGCAAAATATTTTGAAGGAAAGCAGGAAACATAAAATGCTGCTACAATGGTGCAAGCAAATTTTTACAGTAGGAAATCATGCTCAATATAAACAAATTTTAGCTAAAAATATTATTGAAAAATTGACTGATGTTACTGAGGTTGGGATTTTGTTACAGTCTATATTAGAAATTATGTGCTCATTGACAAATTCTGAAGACTCAAGAGGGATTTTTGTGTCTGGAGGAGAATTCACTGTTTATAACTCAAGAGGAGTAATTTCTCATTATTTACAGGATTCTGATAAAGAAAAATACATGAAAATCATAAAGAAAGATAGACCATTGTCTTTATCTAAATATGAAGATAGAGAAAATACTATAATTTTCATATTAAATACACATTAATGATTTATTTTTTAAATAAAATAATATTCATTATAAATATTATATCCTCATATAAATAAACTGTCTATTTATATATCATTTATTTTTTAATTCTCCCAAAATTTTATCCCTAATCTACAAATCCGCCTTATTTATAAAATCATATTTATTTCCCTTACTCTAAGTCTGATAAATCCATTGTTATCGAGATGTGGAACAAAAAACACGAAACTTTAGCCTACTATTCCACCTATACAAAAGAAGACGAAATCATCATCAAAGAAATCTCCAAAGTTATGCTCAGAGTTCTTATAGACGAAAACCCCGAAACAATGCTAAACTTAAGGCAACTTATTAACAGCCACATTTCTAACCTTAACAATCACTCCTTATTATCGACTATACGCTGTGCTGCCCAAAAGCTTTTAGATTGTGACAGAGCTACTTTATTTTTAAAAGAAGGCAAAAATTTAACAGCAAAAGCCCAAGGAATTGAACAGGAAATTCCAGTGGATTTTACTTTTCCATTAGGAAAAGGGATTATTGGGAATGTAGCGCAGACAGGGCAGACAGAAAATATTAAAGATGTATATGAGGATTCTCGGTTTAATAAAGAAATTGATGAGCTTACAGGGTATAGGACAACTTCTATGCTATGCATGCCTATTTTTTCGCTACAGGGAGATGTGATTGCAGCTTTGCAAATGATAAATAAAAATAAAGGAATTTTTGATAAAAATGATGAGGATACATTAGAACTGTTCTGCAAAATAGTGTCGACACAGCTGCAGAGCTGGTCAGCTTTCCAGAAAGCAATTGAAGAAAGAACGGATTTATTGAATATTTTGAATAGTATTGGGAATTATATTCTTGTTCTGAACAGTCAAGGGGTTTTAAGTTACTATAATATCCTTTTTTTCAAAGTAAAAATTTCGATTTTCTCTACAATTTTTTTCTGTATTTTTTAAAAAAATATATAATTTTTTATATAAAATTAAGATTTTGTTAATCCTAAACAGAATAAATCATTTGAAGACATTATAGGAGTAAACGAAGTAACAGCGACCTCAATGCACTATTCACAATGACTAAAATGTAACCGAGAACTTGTCATTGATATTACCACAATTTTTAATAATCCTTATAAACGAATTAGGAGAAACTCTAAAAGAATTTCTGTGATGCCTCGAATTAGAAGCAGGACTATGCCAGCTGTAGGAGGGCTTAGCTTTGGAGAAAATAAGTCAAATGTCTTTAATTACTCATTGGCTGCACTTAGAAATTTGTCTACAAAAGAAGCAGCTGGGGTTATCATTGTGCTTGAGGATGCATCTGCTATTGAAGAATTAAACGCAAAATTTAAGTCAATGCAAAGCCAGTTTTTAGCCCTCGCAAACCCAATTATGACAGAAACTTCACTACAAAAGTGCATTAATAAGCTGTCCTGCATAGCTACAGAAATTGATTCTGCTTCAGATATGCATATACAATTATACCTTATTTATAAGATTATTATAAATTTACCAATAAATCCCTAATTGAGCTATTCTCTAGAATTTTCTATAAAAGACATCATCCACACCTTAAAGCATGGAAATTTAAACCACGCTGAGCTAAGAATCCCAAGCGAGCTAAATCATATGGAAAACGAGCTCCATTCCCGGCTAAAAGAATACATAGAATGCAATACTATAGAAGAAGCCAAAACTTACCAAATCCCAAAAATCCCTTCAGGCGAAAGAATTGACCAAAACGGAGGAATCGAGCTAGAAAATTTACGAAATTGGAACTTAAATGCTTTTGAAATTGACGATCATTTTACTTATATAAAAAACATGCTGCAGGACTTTGATTTATTGCTGCAGTTTGGAATTTCATCAGCAAAACTGCGTGATTTTAGTGAAAAAGTGAAAGAAGGGTACCAGACATACAAGAACCCTTTTCATAATTTTTATCATGGGTTTTCAGTAATGCATTCTACTTATGTCCTGCTTGTGAGTACAAATGCTGGAGAAGTGTTTAATGCGCATGAAATTTTATATTATTTTATAAGAAAAATGCTTAAATATAGGGTAGCTGCTATGATTTATAAATAATATAAAAATTATTATCAAAATTTACATGGAAAAAAATTATCATTGAGGATATCTCATTTAATTGCTTCGTTATGCCATGATATTGGCCATACTGGCCATAATAACTCATTTGAAATAAATCAGTCAAGCTCCTTATCAATCCTTTATAACGACAAATCTGTCTTAGAAAACCACCATTCAGCCAGGACTTTCCAAATATTGCAAAACCCTTCTTCAAATATCCTAGAAAACGTCCCTCAAGATTTACAAAAAATCGTAAGAAAACTCATAATTGAGTGTATATTAGGGACTGATATGGCGCGGCATTTTGGGATGATTTCTTATATGAATACCCGTATGAAAGATGCTTATGAGCACCCATTAGGGACTATAGAAGACGACTGTGAAAAATTAGCCGCTTTTCTTATACATTCTGCTGATTTAGCACACCCAGCCAAGGAATTATCATTATTCTCAAAATGGTCACATTTGGTTTGTGAGGAATTTTCTCGACAATATGAAGAAGAAATAAAACTTGACCTGCCGGCGACTGAGTTTATGAAAGGGCTAGACGAGCCAAAGCTTTATTATAAAAACGAGATAGGGTTTTTATGATATTTTTTATATAAATATATATAAAATATATATAGAAAAATATATAATTCAGTTTATATTCAGCATAACTATTATAGTAAAACCACTATGGGAATGCTTAAACTTGTGGCTGCACCCTAGGATTGACCACTGTTTGAATAATCTTGCTGACAACATTAAATTTTACCAAAAGAAATTTGAAGAACTCCAAAGATAATTAATGAATTATATTATAAGCTAAATTTTTAGGGTCATAATGCCTATTCGACACTTCAAAAGTCAAGCTGCTTTGGTCTGTAGAGCTCGTCTGGCGGCGATTTCGTCTCGATTTATTAGATTTCATCAATAAGCTGGTCTGCTCTCTCGTTTTTTCAATAATGCTTTTATATATAACTTTTCCATTGACTTCTTTATTTGGGCTTTCTCCTAGCGCTGTAATGATAAATCCTCTGTCTTTTGGGATCCTGGCATCTCTGTCTTTGGTTATTGTCAATTTCCTGAAGCCGCCTGAAGCTTGTGTTACCCTTGCTATTGGGTTTGGCTTCATTTCAGCTTGCAGCTCACTATTGGAATCTTCAAGCTTATAAGGCGATATTATATTTATTTGGTCTGGGGCTAAAGGCGCCCTTAAAAAACTTGCTAAATGTAAAGAACCTTTGCGGGTTAAGGTAGAATGGGACGACTTAGTGCTGTAGCGCTGGTGCCGGTGCTCTTTTTTTAGCTTGCCATTAGGTGATAACGAGCACCGCTTTAGTTGTGCAGAAGGTGGGCGGACTTTTATTTCTGAGCTTGCAATTTTGAAAGGGTTTTCAGGCTCTTTGGACTTATTTTCTTCAGATTTAGGTTTTTTTACTTTTTTGCGCTTGATTAAATATTCGATTCTTTTGTCATCATTGTCAGACGCACTGGAGTCTGTTTCAGTGTCACTTAGGTCAGTTTCGCATTGGATTGTTAAAGGTTCTAATAAATCTTCGTCGACTTCTTTTAAGACGTCTCCAATGTCGAATTCTTCGATTTCGTCCTCTTCTTTAATTATGCTAATTTATTTTAAAAAGTAATTATTTTATAGATTTATTATATGGGGAAAATCAATTATTTCTATATACATTTAAATGGTCGATTATTCCTTTTTCTATTAAATCAACAGTGGATTGGGCGAATTCTTCACTTTCTTCAGATAATTTAGCACTTTTTGAAGGAGAAGAAATAAGAGGCCTAGATCTTCTGTTTATATAAGAACACCCCATTGACCTCCCAACTTCGTCTAATTTTTTTCTAAACGCTACTGGGCTTAAAAAAATAGATAATTGTTTACACAAGTCTCTGCCTAAGCTTTCTAAATGAAAAATCCCCATATGAGAATCGGTAGGACTATCCAGAATATCAGGGCTAGACCTATCAAGAGCAGTGTAACTGCTCGGCCCATAAAATGAAGCTTCCAATGTAAAACTGTTCAAAATTCCGCATTCTTTATAAATCACGATTCTTGCCGTGCTTTCTTTACATTTTTCTAGCCGAAAATGTGAATCTCTATATGAAAAAATCGGGTTACGTTTAGATAGGAGATAAGGAAATAGACGAATAAAAACATTGGTTTTGGCGTCATCATAGTTTCCTTTGGATTTACAAGCGTACATAAATACATTTTTTTTCATAGAATGCCCATGCATATCACAATACATGATGACTTCGTGTTCTTCACTGAAAACTTGGGCTAGTTTTTTTGTATAAAAAACTGTTGGGTGTAAATATTTATTAGGTTTTTTTCACCTTCGGTTTAGGTCGACACCTAAAAGTCCACAGCGGTAATTTCCGTATATTACACCGTCTGGGTTTAGCATAGGGATTACTTTAAATATAAATTTGCTTCGTAGTGTTTTAGCTTCTTTGCTGTCACTTAATAAGAAATCGATAGCACCTTTCATCATGTAAGAGGAATTTGTTTCGCCTGGATGGACTCTTGCAGTTAATATGACTCCTTTTTTCCTGCAATGCTGCTTCTCTATCTAAATTATTCTTCTATAATATAATTTATTTATTTAATTTTTTTTAAAAAAAAAAATTTCTTTCAATTCACTATAGTTTAAAACTAACCTTCAACAATTTTTATATGTTTTACTTGTTCAAGAATCCTCAGCTTTGACTCAACCCTTAATTCTCGTTGTCTCATCATTTTTCTTCCTGCTGTACTTTTCTGCAATTTTGATAACTCCTCGATCCATGGGGTATAGCTTCCTACATTTTCAGTAATCGTTAAAACAGGGCATGGGTTTCCTGCCAAAGTTTTGCATAAAGTGTCAACTCTCAAAATATGCAAAAATCGTGCATCATCTGTATAATTTTTTAAATATTTCATTAAATCTGTATATGTATAAGGAAAACAATGGGCAAAGTAGACTAAATCGTCTGAGTGCTTAAAAGTATAGGTAAATGTTAGGGTGTAATAGTAATTCGGCACCTTTGAGTCTGGCAAGTTGTGGGTTCTTGGGATGTTATTTTGAAAATAGCTTATACAAGTCCCATCTCTGTATCAATTTATCCCTGTAGAATTTTCTTCTTTTAAAGAGTAGATAAGAGGCTTCATCCCATTATTGTAGAGGGAGTCGTATTTCATGAGGTTTATGATGTTAAACCTCACTTTATGGTTGGCTTTGTAGTTTTCTACAGAGAAATAAAACCATTGAGTATATCCTTGAGTTTCAACATCATAATCCAATAATAAATTGAAAAAAAAATTTTTTTTAAAAAAAAAATCATAGTTTTTAAATATTATTTTAAAATTTTTTGTTATCTTAACTTAAATTATTAAAGGTCAGAGGTGTGTGCACAGTTCTCACCAGGGGATTAACCACTTTGAGAAGTGCTGCTGAGGGCTTGAACGGTTGAGTTGTCTCGCCGGCAAGTTAGATCGAACGAGTTCTCCTTCCTCCTTCGGGCCTGAAACCACGAATGCCCGAAGCGCCACTTGCTGCACGTCTCCTCCTTGCCTTGACAGCTTTAGTTCTGAAAGCGGACTAAGTTTAGCCACCAAACACTACTGGAATTGCTTACCCATCACAACTGTCCATTTCTGGGCTTGCCAACCTTGCCAGATATAATTAAATATGCTCGAGGCTGCAGCCTCGAGCACACATTTAATTATAATTTTTTTGTCACCATAAATTATATTCGTCATCGCTTACTTTTATAGCTTTCCTTAAATTCCCAGATTCGAATTTCGAGTTAAATCTAAGTGTACATTCTGTTGGAATCACCAAAGTGTATTCAACAGGTCACTGCCTAAAAGGAGTGTAATTCTTCATATTCAGATACTGTAATCGGTCTGATTAGTAAATACCGTATTCTTTTGCTGTCTGTATTTCTTTTTGAATAAATGAAGAAATTATTCGAGGAGGCGACAAGTTATGATCATGAGTTTCGGCCTCTTGATCAGAAATACGGGCTCGAGAATCATAAACGATAATTCCATCTCATTCAAATCGATAAAGCAGAGACCTCCCTTCTACCTTCGGTCGAAACATTGCTCAGAAATCATCACCTTCTTGTAATGTATTTTGAAAGCCGTCTTTATTTGTGTCAAAGTCAGTTTCCATGGAAATTGTTTAGTACCATTTTGAAAAATTTGCTTCAAATAAGAGAAGAAGTATTTAATTTCGCTGTTAGAGAAAAAATTTGAAGAAAATGATGAGTTTAATATTGCAGGAAAAGACTGAGATAATTTTTAGGATTTTTGAAGAAAAATTGATTTTACAATGGAATAAATAGATATATTCGAATTTGGTGAAAAATAAACGAAATTAAATTCTTTCTTACAAGATTTCATTATTTTAATAAGGGTGAGCTTTTCTACATATAGCTGACCAATATTTTATTATAAATATCAAAATAGGCTCTTTATTAATTCACTTTGCCAGCTTATCTTTTGAATAAATTTTTGCAAAGAGAGTTTTAGAAAATGAAGAAAAATGGAGAAGTCCGGATCATTTTCATAATGATAAATAGAGTTTCTGTTTTTGTAGTATTATAATATACCTAATTTTACAAAATATTTATCTCATCTTAAAGTAAAAATTCATAAATTCCTTCATATAGCAACTGAGTAGCCAAATTTACATTATATCCAGTTTTAGAAGAGCTCTCTATACTTTTTTATTAGGAATAGTCTACTAAGGAGTATTTTTGGTTAGCCAGACAATACCTGATTTGCCAAATTTGTAGGCAAGCCATATTTTTCGTCTAACCAAATGCAAAAATGGTGAGCAAAAATGCTGATTAATCCCAGTATATTTATGCCAAGAGCACAAAGGATGATTTTCCGTAAAAATGCTAATTTTAGCATTTACCAACTATTCATATAAAATTTATTATTTAAAATTTTTTTTTCTAAAGCCCCAACCAATAAGCAAGAATTTGCTTACTATCGGGTGATTTAGCGGCCTATTCTTGATAAGCAGGTATATATAAAGAATCCCACATTCATCAGCAAATTGTTTTCCTTCTTCATATGAAACTTGCCTTTTATCTTCTAAGTCACACTTGCTGCCTATCAAAATTGCAGCATGACTTTTTATTCCTGAATTTTCAACATATTCTCAATATGCTCTATGCTCTTTTTATATTTTTAGCATTTTTATCGTCCATATTTATAATAAAATCAAAGAAAAATAGCTTTCTCATTAAAAATAATGAAAAAAAATTGCTTAATGTATAGCACTTTGGAAAGAGGCTCTGTCAGCCACACTAAAAAAAATAAAAATGCCAATAGGAAATTTACAATAAACTAAACTATATCTTTTTCAAATAAAATCGCCTCCAGAATCTCATATATTTAATTCCAAATGTGCGGTTTCAGATTTTACTACGTTTTTCTTTTTCTATGTAAAATATACACAATAAGCTCCTATTGTAGGATTATAAGATTCAATAAAAGAATTATTTGAAAATCTGTTTAAAAATGAGGTTTTCCCAGATTGCGAACTTCCTATAATGAGAAGCCTAATTTTTTGCCTGAATATGGTTTACTGCTTCATAATTTTATATAATAATTTAATATGCTATATTAAATAAAATTAAAATTAGTTTAATAATAAGTATAGAAATATTTTTATCAAAATAAATGTTTATTTAAGAGAGAAATGATAGTGATTTTTTAATTCAATTTAATATATTAATTTAAATGATAACTAAGAGAAGACTGGTTAATAGGATTAGGATTATTAAAGGCACTAGCCTTATTGGTGACAAAGTCTTCAAAGAATTCTCGTACAAGAGGTTTATCCACTTACGATAAGCTACCCAGTAGGTATAGTCGTAACAGGTAGAGATGTCTCCTCTTGTCTTGAGGCTTCAATCCTAAATGAAATGCTTATGGATTTCTGCAGCCTTATAGCGGAAGATTTGGAGTAGCTTGATTCCAGAGTAGCACCTTGGAGTCTATCAGATACCAAAGAGCCTTTCTTTGGCAGATACAGAACAAAGACTGTTCCCTATGTCCTGGCAAAAGCCCGGTTTCCCCGACAGAGAATGCACAAGGGTTTGAATGAAATTGCTGAGCACCTCCATTTCCAACCACAAGAAAGCAGTCAAAACTTATCCGGATACACATTTACTGAGGCTGCACTTGCTTCTTGGCTTGGAGTATGCTCCAGTTCGCTGTGCCTTAAGGTCTGGATTGCTGTGCCAAGAGGGCTGGCCGATACATGTCGCTATTTTAATTTATATAAGACTGGCGAGTAAATTAAAATTAAACAAGCTTATTCAGCACATAATTAAAATTAATCTATAAATTAAATTAAAAAACCTTGTTTAAAGTCGGCTGAGGATTTTCACCTCTACAAGTTTACCTGCCAGGGATCCGACTAACACTCGACTGCCTCGCTTCCGGCTCAGTCAACTTGGCTCGATTGCAAGGCATCTGGCCTCTATGGGCTATAATCCAGGAAGCCGTACCCATTATCGTGCTAGGCACCTGCTATCTTCAGGGTCCCTGCTCGAAGGATGAAAACTAATCTTCATATCAGGAGGAAAAACTCTATGTCCTAGGTATTATACCCTGAGGCACTAAGAAACCTTTTCCTGCATTCATAAGGGCACCCAGCCTTTTTCTTGACTTGGTTCCTTCACCTAAGTGTTGTGTAAATCGTGTTAAGTGATTGCCTCTGCTATATTAATGTACATAAAATTTCTTTATTCTGCATAGCTTATTTCTCTTTGTTACTAAGCTTTCTTCTTACTATTTGAACTCATAATAAAATTGGACAGAACAAATAACTGTATTTTCTGAATTAAAAAATATAAAATTGGACCTTGATCACTTTTTCCATTAGATTTTAAAATGAAAAGGCCAAATTGATTGATTTTTCTTTTTCTATTTCTTATTCAATGATTACTTATTGAGCATATATTAAAATAAAAAATATATAAAAATACACAAATCAGCTGTTCAAGGATACTTTTCTTTACAAATGCAGGTTTAATCACTCCAAAAACGCCTAACCCTATTCAATTATCATATAATAATGCTTACTCCTATGCAGACTATACTTTTTCTTTTCAAATAGAAACATTATTACCCCCAAGCTCAGTCTTAAAAATAACTTTTCCTCCTTATGCTTACCCCTCTGGTCTTGGTATCACAAATTGCCAAGCCTTAGACAGCTCAAAAAATTCTTTATCCTGCACAATTTCTCAAACCACTGCAATAATTACTATTGGCGAACTTTCTAATACTCCATCTGATAACACCAATACAATCACATTAAAATCAGTAAGAAACCCTTCTAGTCAAGGCTCAACAGGGTATTTTAAGCTAGAAACTTATATAAACAACAACCTTTTAGACTATAATGACATTTTTGGATATATTGGAATTGATAGTCAGGCGCCTTATTTTGTGTCAAGTTCTGTAACTTGTACATCAGGCTGTGCAGCTGGAAGTTCTGGCACTTATGTAAGCCATAAAGCATCATAATTTTTTTTATTAAATAAAAATTGCCCTATATCTCTTAAAAATAAGTCCATATTTTTTAAAATAAAAAATTCATTTATTTTAATTAGTATAGTTTATTTTTCAGCTGGCTTAAAAATCCCTTCATACAGCCGAATAAATATTTATTTTCCTAGCACCTTAACTTTATTAAGCTATATACCTTGTACTTCCAGCTTACTCCCCCCCCCCCCCTCCGTGAGCGAACAAAAAAATTTTGTTCGCTCACGGAGGGGGGTTAATTTTTTTTTTAAAAAAAAATTTATATATAAATTTTATAAAAAATATTTTTTTCGAAATTTAAAAAAATCCTAATTTGCAAAAATTGGGAAGCAAATATTAATTTAATTTGCAAAATTTATGTTTAAAACGCAATTTGTTTAAAATTAAACAGAATTAGCTCTAGATTTCATTATACTAATTATCACTTATATATCAAAATTTTTTTCCATTAAAATTTTTTCTATTAAAAAAAATTTTTGTTCACTCACGGAGGGTGGGTTTTTGGTCAAAAAATGGCGATTTTTCTAATGGTTTTGTTCGCTCACGGAGGGGGGGGGGGGAGTTAGGAAATGTCGAGTGCTATTTATCTGGAACTAGCCTTGCTACCATCCAAAATTTAAGCAGTGATATCAATGGGAGTGTCAGTATCACATTTACCTCTATACAAAACCCATCAGTATCAGGAGCTGTTGGGAGTTTTTTTATTGACATTTTAGACAGTGCTGTGAATTCTTTAATTGCTACATCTGGAGCTGTTTCTGGGCCAGTTTTAACTGCTGGACCCATAACTTCTAAAATTTGTCCTGATAATGGAAATCCTCTATGCACTAAACCTTACGAAAATATTGCTTATTCTACAGCTGCATACCTAAATTCTTATATTTTTACTATCCAAGCTACAACTACTAATAACATCCCATCAGGTGGAGTCATTACTATTTCTTTTCCTTCAGCTTTATCTTTGATTTCTGATACTTGTCAAGTATTGTCTGGGCTAACTAATATAGGAAAATTAGAATCCCAACAAGTAACTTGTATAATATCATCAAATTCTTTAAAAATTAACAATTTCAGAGCTTTTCCTCAAGGGACTTTTTCTTTACAAGCACGTGCCCAGACCCCAGTTTCTCCAGCTTCTATAGGAACTTTTACAATTTCTACATATACGACTAGTGCTATGACTGTTTTAATTGATCAAATTACTTCTTCAAGTATTTTTATTGATGAGGTTAGTCCTGCTACCTATTGGGATATTATGTGGTTTGTTGATGGGGCGGGGAATAATGGGTTTAGGATCACTTTTAAGCCGACGACTGCAATTTCGCCTACAAATAATCATGCTTTTAAGATTATTTTTCCAGATGAGTATATAATAGGAGGGACTGTGACTGTGAATTTTACACCTGGAGGAGGATCACTTCAGACGCCTACGTTTACCACAACAAGCAACAGCCTGCTTATATCGATTCCAAATTCTTTATCAATCCCTACAGGACAAAATAATCGGTTAGAAATCACGTCTTCATTAGGAATTTCTAACTCCTCCGCTTAAATTGGAACAAAAATCCGTTAAATTTAAAAGGTCTCTGCTTGGAAAAATTCAAAAAGTGTCGTTTGTATTTTTTTCATACCAAAAAACCATTTTTGAAGATTATGGTCATTTTTATAGGTTTTTTGGAGGGGTTGAAAAAGTCCTGTGTGCTTTATTTAACCTCAACCATTAAAGTACGATGTTTTGTTCCAGTTTAAAGAAGTAAGCCAACAACTCCTGGGACTTATTATCCTATAAAATAATTTTTTGCCCATTAAATTTGCTATGAATCCTTATTTTTTATCATTTTTAAGCTATTTTTACAAATTATTATCTTATACATTACTGATACAGTTATACATAGAAACAATTTTAAAGAGTTCTTCATCAGATCTCTATGATTATTTATACCCAGACACAATTTTGTCACCAACTATGAGCTCAATTTCGTTATCTATATTTTCTCTTGACATAAATAAGCAGACAGTCTATGATTTTTCTTTTGTTCCTACCCTAAAAATACCAAAAAGTGTTGTCCCTTCTTCACTTATGACCACTTGAGGCACTATTGAGCTGCAATTTCCTATGCTAGACTCGGGAAATAACTTATGGTCAACTGATTTAGGAACAGGGCTATCTACAGGAAGCTTAATCTCTTGTAAAAGTTTATCGGGGATTGTTCCTGCTACGGGGACTGAAATTACTTGTACTCTTACATTAGCTTCTGGTACAACTACTACAGATTATGCTAACTCCCCCCCCCTCCGTGAGTGAACAAAAAAATTTTGTTCACTCACGGAGGGGGTTAAATTTTTTTTTTTTAAAAAAATTTATATATAAATTTTATAAAAATTTTGTTTTTTCGAAATTTAAAAAAATCCTAATTCGCAAAAATTGGAAAGCAAATATTAATTTAATTTATAAAATTTATGTTTCAAAACGCAATTTGTTTAAAATTAAACAGAATTAGCTCTAGATTTAATTATGCTAATTATCACTTATATATCAAAATTTTTTCCCATAAAAAATTTTTTTCTATTAAAAACATTTTTGTTCACTCACGGAGGGTGGGTTTTTGGGTAAAAAATGCCGATTTTTCTAATGGTTTTGTTCACTCACGGAGGGGGGGGAGTAAGATAAGAATTACAAATTTTGAAGAAATTGCTTCAGGAATGACATATAAAAAAATGGTAGCGAGCCAAATCAACCTCATAATACCTACAGCTGGGAGGCCTGGGACCTTCTGGAAGAGAGTTTGGTGTTCGATATGTATATCTGGCCAGGTTTTGCTTCGTTTGGTGGAAACGGATCTCCCAGCAATACCACCGAAGTTCCTCCTGGTCGATCGAGAACGTTCTCAAACGAGATGCCAGGTGTTGAGTCCTGGACTACTCGGCCGACAGGTGACCGGAAAATTTGTTTTTTCGAATTTTATAGAAGCCAAATTCGTTGGTGCATGGCTGGGTGACCCAAAACTTCCAACTATCAGGGAACATGTACAGGCCCATGTTTGTTAGGAGCAAGACTTTGAAGGTCGTGAAATGATTTCCAGACTAATGGAGTGCTATATAAAGGAATAATGGTCATCAGATCCAGACAGGCAACTTTTCTATAATCTAACTAAGCGTGAGTGTAAGCATCAGGAATCACAATAAGGCTCCAAATCGCAGGGATAACAAATATTGCGACAGACCAGATTACAGCAAAAATTACTATAAATACTTATTCAATTACCCAAAAATTGGAAAAAAAATTAAATTCAGATTTTTTTGTGACACCTACGTTTTACTATTCAAATGACCCAAATATACCACCACTTAATGGGAAAGGGCCGATTTCTGAAGGCGGGGATGGGACTAATGTGGCGAATTTAAATCCTGCTACAATAGGAGAGATGACAGAGTTAAGTTTCCCTATGTGGCTTGAAAATGCTGTTGCAGTAGGAGATATTTTTGATTTTATTGAATTTTCTAGCTATTTAAGGTCTATTTTCTATAAAAAAATTCAGTGAATTGATAATTATATGATTATTGAAATCTAGGATACTATGATAATAAAATTACCTTCTCAGCTTATATTAACTGACACGGGAATTTTATGCTATATAAATATTAATACAGCCCAGCCTTGCTACTCATATCCTGTAAATTCCTGAATTGTTGTCCAAGGATTTACAATGGCGCTTTCTTCACAAACTGATTATACTTTTAGCATAAGTGGTCTGCAAAATCCTGGCAAAAAAATTATTTTATCAGGAATCAAAACAGTAACGATCCATTCTAATAAAGAATTAGAATATATTATACTCATACTTAATATTTTTTAAAATAATTATTTCGGTATGTGCCACTTTTTTGCCGATTTTTATTATTAACAGTAATATTTTTATGTCGAATTTTTTTAAAAAAATAATAATTATTCAGATTTTTCTGAGCTAGACCCAGGGAGTATTTTAGTATCTGTGACCCCAGATTCTTATTCAGCCAGCAATATTGATACTTCTTATACCTGGCTATTCACTCCAGAGCATGATTTATCGGCTGGATCAACAATAGTTTTAGTTTTTCCAAGAAACTGGTATGTGCTGCTTACATCTCCATCATTAGAATTCAGTATTTATGGCAGCCTTTTACCAGGTACAGGCGGGTTTACTTATACAGTAAGCTCAGCTACTATAACAATATCGAATTTCCAGGACTATGAAGGTGGGAATCCTATTTATGTAAAAATTAATCATATTTTGAATCCTTTGACCTCTGGTCTTACTGATTATTTTACTATATACCAAAATACTTAAAATAGCCTGTATAATCACATAAAAACCAAAAAAGCGCTATTCTAGGTATAAAAGTATATCTACATATTCAAATGATGGACATTTAATAGACACTAACCAAGAAGTTACAGGCATTTTAATTACCCAGCAAAACCCTATCCAAGCTATCCAGCATCTTGATTTTTATGGAGACCCATCTAATGGTAACACCATCAGTAGTTATTTAATATCAATAATTTTACCCCGATCTGCCCCTGCCGGTAGCACACTTGACATAGCTTTTCCATCATCAAATTTCCCATCGCTACCCACAAGCCCTATTTGTGCACTTTCAGGGGCTTTAACCACTTTTGCTTCCTGCGTCAAAACTTCGTCATCAATCATCACAATTACTACAGATGAAACTCTATTGGCAGAAAATATCCCATTAAATATCACTATATATAATGTCAATAGTTTTGCGGCTGGACTTACTTCTGATGCAATTTCTGTATCAGTTTCTTATTCTGGTGTCATTTATATGGAAAGCCCTGATGGAGGTTCAAATAGACAAACTACTACAGAAGCGGAAATGACTAGTCTTGATATAAGTTCAGTTTATTTTTCTCCAAAAACAGCGGCTGAAGCTGCTCTTTATAGCTTTGGGATTACTACAACACATATGTGGTATAAAAATTGCACTTTAAATATAGAATTCCCTGATAGTTTTCCGAGAAATTTACACCCCCACCTTGTGCAAGCAAATTGCTCATTCATGTTGGCTAATTTTTTAAAACTTATTTATGTTAATGTTAATGTTAAAGCTGAATATTTAAAGTCTCTACTTCCAGTGGCGTGCTGGCACAAGTGAATTGGGTGGACTTCACCTCTGGTAACTCTGAGCCCAGGCCGAAACCCCTGGTTCTCGGTAGTGGGTTGCCCTTTTTGTGTCCACAGACATCTGCCGGGCACCACCATTTCCAACTCAGTCCCTTCGCCCTTCGAAGCCAACTATACCTACCCTGGCCGGTATCGTCCACCTAACGGGACCCTTTAACCGGAGGGACCGCCTTGATTGTGAGTCTAGCCTGCCTCCCCTTTTACAGGTCATCCCTGAATAAAAACTCAACCACTTCCGTGATTCGGGGCAAAGCCATCGAGAGCAGCTTGAGCAGGGAAATCACCCTGCTCCATTTCGGGCACCCACTGGCTAGGGCGCTGCTGGAAAAAGGATTTGCGATTAACTGCCGAAGGATCAGGCCACAAATCAGCGGGTCTGTGTGCGTGCCCATCGCCTCTGGACTCCTGATGTTGCTGGGCTATATCACTCCTCCTGAAAGCCATGCCCGGATATACATGGGTTACCGTCACACACGAGAGGACGGGTCGGACGTCATACGCCATTTTATGTATATTAAAACTTATTTAAATGCAAGCTATTTAAAATTGAATAGAATTAGCTTAAATTTCATTATAATTATATAAAATAGATACTAAATAAAAAATTCTTAGTATTTTTCTCTATCATTGGAGAGTTAGGAAATAATCTGAAATGCACAAGTGACAAACTAGGACTTATAAGCTGCTGGGCTAATAAAAACACCTTAATTATCCAAGGAACTAAAGACAACTCCCCCTCCGCATTTATTTTGAACGTAACCTACATTACAAACCCAAATATCCAAACTATTATAGGAACTTTTAACGCCTTCACAAAGTGCGGCCTAAAAATCCTAGACTACGGCACTCTAAGCCTAGGCACTTATATATCTGATTCCCCACAAAGCATGTATATTTCTTCTCTCTCTTCAGATTCTCTCTATACTCGCTACAATTCCTCCCTAATTTTTACCATATCCACCACTATAAACCAAGTAGGCTCTCCATCAGACCTAATTTTTATTGATTTTCCTATAGATTACGACATAAATAACTCCCAGCTTAATTGCAATTCCTCTATGAGTTCTCTAGTCTCCTGCAGTTCCCTAAACAACCGTTTATCTGTGGCCGCTTATGACAATTCTATTGACAATTCCCAAAAAAAATCATTTACAATTGGTGCAAAAAATATAGAAAATCCTGAAAATATAGGAATTACCCCATATATTTCTTTGGCGATTTATAATAGTGGGACTGATAAAGTTATAGCTAGGACAATGCCGAATTTAAATAGGGTGCATTCTTTGTCGTATGAAGAAGGAAATTTTGAAATAAACATTAATTATGGACTCGGGTGGACTGTAGGAGCAGGGACTGCGACAGATATAATGTACGCAAGTATTGAAAATGGGGCGCCTGCTGAAGTTTTTATATCAGGGAATTTTACAAATTTAATTAAATTAAGCCCAGATCCTATACATTTTGTACTGGGGGAGGCTGAAAAACCATTTAGAATTTCTTGTGAGCCTAGCTTATCAGCTGGAAATTATATAATTGGATGGACAATATCAGGGAAGCTTGCAAAATCTACCTATTCTCCTATAAGAAAAAGCGAATTCTCAGTGATCTCTACAAATTCTGAGACCATTGAAATAGATTCTCTAGGAATAATCCCACTAGGAGGCACCACTTTGCCATTAAAAATTATCTTTACTCCCCCCCCCTCCGTGAGCGAACAAAACCATTAGAAAAATCGCCATTTTTTGACCAAAAAACCCACCCTCCGTGAGTGAACAAAAATTTTTTTAATAGAAAAAATTTTAATGGAAAAAAAATTTTGATATATAAGTGATAATTAGTATAATGAAATCTAGAGCTAATTCTGTTTAATTTTAAAACAAATTGCGTTTTTTTAAAACATAAATTTTGCAAATTAAATTAATATTTGCTTCCCAATTTTTGCAAATTAGGATTTTTTTAAATTTCGAAAAAAATATTTTTTATAAAATTTATATATAAATTTTTTTTAAAAAAAAAAATTAACCCCCCTCCGTGAGCGAACAAAATTTTTTTGTTCGCTCACGGAGGGGGGGGGGGGAGTTAGCCAACCTCCTAGCTCCAGCCTAGAAATCCACCTTATCCAGCTGGGCAGTTCTCCTACAAACATCACAATTTTGCCTAAAATTCTCGATTTTTCAGTCAACGACACACAAGAAACCTTCCAAGTCACAGTTAATGGAAATTCTGAAGGAGACCAAGGGTCAATTTTTGTATATATATCAGGGGCAAATAAAAATACATATACGCTGTCTAATGATATATTGAAATTTATAGTAGGATCTATAGATAATACTGTACCTTTGCTATATGAAAGCTCAATTTATCATATTGACATGAATTCTGCCAATTTTTCAGCAAGTTTTAGTGAGCCTGTAGTGATTTATTGGATGGTCGCGCTACAAGGGACAGTTACGCCAAGCTTCAATGAGATTAAATATCAAAATGCAGGGTATTATTACACGCCACCTATATATGGGACCTATTATAGTTATATAAATGAGACAAATAAATACAGTTATAATTGAAATACGAATGGGCTTACTGCACAGACTCCGTATAGCTTGTTTATTTATTATGAAGATCTTGGTGGGAATCATCCGGATTCTGTTAAAATGATAAATTTTACGAGTAGCCAGAGATTTAATATTGCACAATTTTCGTTGAAGTTTGGGGTAGAGGCTCTTTCAGAGTCAGAAAAAGGGGTTTTGCTTCAGGAAATCAGCACAATTTTGAAAATTCCTCAAAAACTATTAGATTATAGGACAGACTATACCCCAGCCTCATACTCTTACAATAATAAAGCTAACTCTGAGGCAGATTTACCTATTTCTACCACCAGCTCAGATGGGCGCTCATTGAATTCTTATACAGTCATTGATATTTTAATTTTCCCCTACCCAGAAGTTTATTATCAGAATTCCCCATTAATGTACGCTAATTCTTTTAAAGGCCAAGAAAACACTTTATTAAGCTCTTTTCCAGCTTTGGATACCAGCTATGGGTTCTATGCTATGGAGTTGATTGGAAATTTGCATAAACATTAAAATTGCATAACAAATCGGCAGAGACGACGTGGTCAGGGATATTAAGGAAGGGAGGAGGCGCCAGATATGTGTATTTGCTAGATTTTACTAGGCAGGCGAGTGGCGATTCTGAGGTCGCGAGTACAGAATCTCGTCAGAAAGAGTATCACAGATACAGTCTGGTGACAGTATAGAATTATCGAAGGGTATCAGGCTTTCAGACACCTGACATTGGATTTTCTTATAAATATAATTATCGATTGGTAATCTTCCTGAATTCACAGGAAAACCAATAATAGCACACATGAATAGCTCAAGTGTGACTATAAGTCAAATCAAAACTAAAGAAATGTCAAATACTTATTATTGTTTAGTCGCAAGCAGTACTGCAAAGCCATCATCTTGGCAAGTTTATCACGGCTTAAATGCAAAAAATGAGGCATGCTTAATGAATTCTTCATTTATCTGCTCATCATCTGGAGCAAGTGTTACACTATCAAACCTTAGAAGTGGGGTTTACCAAATCTACTTTTCAGCTGCAAATACAATTCAAAGGTATCCAGACCTCTCAGCATCTGTGCTAAATGTCACATTTACCCTTATGAAATCTCTTGACGTCTCTGATTTCTCTTCCCTCCTTATTTTCTGCTCTATTTTACTATTAAGCTTAACTTTTTAATGCAATATTTTAACTATCGTTATCATTATTCCACTTCGTCCTTTTCCCTTCTTTCCATTCCCCTTCTCTTTTACTCCCATTCGCTGCATAATAAAGACCTCTCCCATGCTGTTTTCCATTAAACCATTGTCCTTCATACTTCCTCCCATCAGGTCATACAAAAATTCCAAAGCCTTCTTTTTTATCATCAACATACTCCCCTTCATACTTCCTGCCATCACTCCATGTGAAAAGGCCTTTTCCGTTCATTTTATTGTTTTTCCACTCCCCATGGTACATTCTTTTGTCATTCCAGGTATGGGTGCCTATCCCTTCTATATTATTTTCATTAAAATCTCCTTCATATTTACTTCCATCTGCCCATTCGAATTTCCCTTTTCCATGCTTTTTGCCATCTGAGTAGTCTCCTATATAAACAGCGCCATCAGGCCATGTTTCTTTGCCTTGGCCACATTGTTTGTCTTCAGCCCACATTCCTTCATATCTGGCTCCATCAGAATGAATATATATACTTTTTTCTTATAAATATTAAAAAAAACATAGTTTATAGTTTTAATATACATAATTAAGGGAAATTTTTATATCCCAAAACCATGGGCTTTATCGTCTTTTCATTCTCCGTCATAAACATCTCCATCCGCATGAATAAGCCGTCCTTTTCCATTGGCTTTATCATTTTTTCAGTATCCTTCATATTTACTGCCGTCACTCCAAATTTGAATTCCGTACCCATGGCGTTGGTTATTAGTATTCCACTCGCCAGTATAAATTGAGCAATTTTCTATTTCACAAGGACCTCGCTTTATCTTTGTGGTCGAGTCATTAGGGGTGTTTGTAGTCACAAATGGGCCTAAAATGCTTTCGACTTGACGGGTAGCAATTGTGGAGTAGTCTGGGACGAGGGATTCTGGAAGCTGCTTAAGATCGGTTCTTATGATAGGGGTGTCAGGCTCAGAATTGTTATAAGAAGTGAGACGATTAAAAGTTTTTTGCTGCGGCTGGGTTTCTTGCTGGTGAGGTTTGGGTTCAGGCCGTTTTATTTCTATTTGCAGAGTGGTGTAGATAGTTTTGTGGTTTTTTCTGTCAATGTAGCCTCGGAGGAAACTTTGAAGCTTGATAAGGTCGTCTATGTCGATTTTTGAAGGAAATTTGGATTTAATTAGAGAAATGTCTTGGGATTTGTTGGAAGAGTTAAGCTTTTTATCTCGCTCACGAGGGCCGCTTTCAAGAGTTACCTGCTGAGCTTCATTGGATTCTTCTTTTAAGCATGAACATTTCGTACCCATTTTATATGCAAATTTATATAAGAATAAAACAATTTTTAAATGAAAAAGCGATTTTTCTATAAAAAAAAAGGTCTTATGTTAGAAGAAATGTGCTAAATATTGCTAACTCCCCCCCCCCCTCCGTGAGCGAACAAAACCATTAGAAAAATCGGCATTTTTTGACCAAAAACCCACCCTCCGTGAGTGAACAAAAATTTTTTTAATAGAAAAAATTTTAATGGAAAAAAATTTTGATATATAAGTGATAATTAGTATAATGAAATCTAGAGCTAATTCTGTTTATTTTTAAACAAATTGCGTTTTAAAACATAAATTTTGCAAATTAAATTAATATTTGCTTCCCAATTTTTGCAAATTAGGATTTTTTTAAATTTCGAAAAAAATATTTTTTATAAAATTTATATATAAATTTTTTTTAAAAAAAAAAAATAAACCCCCTCCGTGAGCGAACAAAATTTTTTTGTTCGCTCACGGAGGGGGGGGGGGGAGTAAAGTAATCATAATTATAGTATCGGAGATTCAAATTTCCCCAAATATGGTAAGGTCTTGCATTTAAATTAGCAAATCTTAAGCATTATGAAGAATTTTTGAAATGGCTAAATCGTAAAGGCAGAAAAATCAACTAGAAAATATTTTTATAAATAATTTATTATTTTTAATGCTATATTGGAATATTCAATAATGGTTTAATTCTAGCTAAATAATTATTGGTATTATTTATAAATAGATTGATATTTAATTAAAACGACTAATATTAATTAGAGTTCAAGGCGGCATCCCAATCAGATAAACACAAAGGTCCTTTATTTGCAACATCCATCCTGCAGGCATTCTTTTTGATATTTCCTTGCAGATCTATGAGCACCAGAGAAGGAATAGTTTGCCCTCTATATCTTTCAATCAAAGCGGTTCTAATTTCAACTGCTTCATAAGGAATTGCGAGTCATGGCATTTCGTCATAATATTCGTTGAACTTCTCAATAGTGCGATCTTGGCTGACGAAAACAACTTCAACCTTCCTTTCATCAAAATTGACTGAATCATAAAACATTGCTAGCTTAGGTGTAAATTCTCTGCAGGGTGGACAATAATGCGCAGAGAAATACAAAAGAACATACTTTGCCTCATTTAGTGGTGTCATACCAACGTTCCCGCTTTTTCCAATCAATACAGACCCTAATAATCCCTCCATTTATATAAATAGATTGATAAATAACATATGGAAATAAAATATTCTGATGAAGATAGCCAAACCAATTCTAAGATGGATGAGCTCTTTTAAGCCAGTTTCTATAAGCTATCAGAATCTATTAGAAAGCTCTAATATAATCAATTTAATAGAAGAAGCATATGGTGAAGATGGGCTTGGGATATTAGAAATTGAAGAAATACCTGATTATCACTCAAAAAGGGTAAATTTATTGAAATTTTCTAGGGATTTAGCTTTGCTTCCACAAGAAGAAAAACAAAAAATAACTCTTCCTCATACAAGGGCTGTAGGATGAAGTCACGGGATTGAATCTTTTAAAGGGGAGCCAGAACTTAATAAAGCTTCTTTTTATGCAAATCCTTTACAAGATGAAGGATTTTTAGGGACAAGTTTATATAATGATAACATCTGGCCTGACAATTTGCCTCACTCCCCCCCTTTAAATTGGAACAAAATATAGGTAAAATTTCCTTTTTTGGTAAATTAACCCCCCTTTAAATTGGAACAAAATTTAATTTATATAAAAAAAAATTATATATATTTTTATCTAAAAAGTTTTGATATAAGTTAAGTGTTTCTTCCTAATTAAAATTAAAAATTTAGTTATATTTTGCTCTTGTTTAAAGAAGAAAGTATAAAGAGCATCTTATTTAAATAAATTTATTATCCTTAATTGCTAAATTTTAAAAAAAAATTAATTTTTTTTTTTTTAAAATTTTTAATTATTTTTTTTGATAAAAATGGTATTTTTTTATTTAAATAGTTTTGATATAAATTCAATTGGAATTCTTTATAAAATTTCAAAATTTACTTATTCCTTGCTTTATTTGAAAGAATAGAGTGTAAATAGCATCTTATTTAAACAAAATTAGCACTTTGATCGATAAATTTTCTAAATTTTTTTTTTTTTTAATTTTTTTTTTATCAATAAAAATAATAATTTTTGTGCAAATAATTTTGATGCTAATTAATAGTGGCGTATTAACTAATAATAAAAATTTAGTTATACCTTGCTTTGTTTCAAAGGATAAAGAGTAAATAGCATTTTATTAAATAAAACTTATTAATCTAACTCGATAAGTTTTTGAATTTTTTTTTTATAAAAAATTTTATATTGATATTTTTTTTTTAAAAAAAAAAATTAACCCCCTTTTGAATTGGAACAAAATTTTTAGTTCCAATTTAAAGGGGGGGGGAGTCAGGTTTAAGCCAATTTTTAAAGATTTTGGAACTTTGATTGTAAAAATAGCTACAGATTTAGTATAAAGTTATATTAAAAAAAAATTATTTATTTATTTTTTCTTTTAATAATAATTTCTGTATAATTTATAACTCTATTTTCATTCATTAAAAGCGCAATTTCTTAGAAAAGTATAAAAACACATAGACCTTTATATATCAAAAAAATGCCCAGACTATAAAAAAGGAACCCTTGAAGAGGTCTTAAAAACTCATAACAGTCACATAGCAAGACTAATCCACTATTTTCCACAAGAAAACAGCGATAAGCATTGGTGTGATTGACATAGTGATTTTAGTATTGTGACTGGGCTTACTTGTGCTTTATATCTAGATGAGCAATCAGGGCAAATTATTGAGGATAATGAAATAAATGATGAAAGAACTGGACTTTTTATTAAAAATAGAAGAGGAGAAGTCATGAAAGCAAATTTGACTGGGAAAAATTTTATATCCTTAATAAGCTTAACTATAATTTTTATTAAATTTCTAATAAAAGCGCCTTTTATATAAATAAAAAATACTTCCAAGTAGGAGAAATTTCACAAATTCTCTCAGGCGGCTGACTGAAGCCTACCCCACACTGTGTAATGACAACTGGTCTCCACTACGGAATCTCCCGAAACACATTAGCAGTTTTCTGTGAACCACGTCCTGAATTTTTAATGGAAGTCCCAGCTGAGCATTCCAAACTCTTCGAAAAATACGAAGGAGTGCCTGCGTTATCTGAAAGATGAAAACCAGGCATGACCTATGGCGAATTCAAAGACTCATCCTTTAGGTATTATTCTTAAAATTGCTAATTATTTTTCATAATTATTTTATATGATTATCTAGCTGACGATAGTTTTGCTTTATAATAGTTCGTCACAAAAATAAGCCCTGCTCCTGCAAAAGAAAGGCAGCCTACCACAATATAAAGGATCCCTAAAAAGTTCAGTTTTCCACCAAATGCTGAAGAAGTGGTAATTATGATGCTTTTTTCTCCGCTAAAAGAGCTGACATCATAATTATTAGTAATTTGCATGCGGTATTTTCCACTGTCTAAGTCATGCTCAATTTTTCCCCAGAGCTTTCTAAATGTTGGGAGGCCTGCAGTGCTCATCCATACAATAAAATGTTCTATATAAAAAATTACCGTCTTCTACATCAGTCCATTGTACAGAATCCCAATGTTTATTTCGCTTGAATTTATCATCTTTGTCGACGTCCCATGCAATTCCATCATGCTTAACTGTGTAATATATCAATTTATTATATATAAAAAATATTTATTTATTATAAAAAAATAGGTTTTATTTATTTTATTTAGAATAGTATTTTTAGGACTATCAGCTGGCGGCATTAATATAAAAGTGTCATTAAAATATGACTTCGCAATTAGCCCACAAGGGTTGGCGATCTTAATTTCTTTAGACAAATTGGTGATAAGCCCTAAATCTTTCATAGTCACGACAGGCTCACAATAGGAAGAAATATCACTTTTTGTTTGGTTGTAACCTAACAGTTGATTAATATCGCGAGATTTATTATATTTCCTGTGATTTTGGTACATATTTTTGATTTCATAATATATAAAGATAGGAGATTCCATGTGATCGGAAATGTCCATTTCTATTATGCAGGTTGACGGGTGCTTCCAGCTAGCTTTGCATTCATTGAGATTGTCGTAGCGCTTGGCAACTTCGATTACTTCATTAGACTCATATAAAATTACAGCTCCAAAAGTAACAAAAAAGACACCCATGCTAAGATAAATAATCCCAAGCACAGATGAGGATGGGCTTAGTTTCCAAGCTTTGAGCCGCTGCTGTTTAAAATCTGAGTCTGAAGGCTTATTTGTCTTTTCTTCCTCCATTTATATAGTCTACAGGCATATTAAAATTTTCTTTGAATGACAAAGGCTTTTTATTATTCTCCTGTTAATATTTTAAAATGCTAAATTTTATATGAAATATTATTCCAAAGCGTGCTTATTTAATATAAAGAAAGCCTTTATATAGCAAAAATAATCAAAATTTACTAAAAAATAATCCGGTTTATTATTTGGCTTAATTTACTATTATTAATTAGCATAAACAGATGCATTAATCTTCAGATGAATACTATGACTATTAAATATCAATTGTAATAAATGTCTGCCAGGAAATTTGCTGATGAAGAATCAGATCAAGAGTCTTCTAATGAAGAAGAAGATCGCAAAAAAGCAGTTTTCCGTAGACAGTTCTTTGAGGACAGTTCAGACGAGGAAGAAGACAAAAGAGTAGTTCGATCTCAAAAGGACAAAAGATGGGAAGCATTAGCCACACATTGTAAAACCATCAAAAACAAGCTAAGGATCCAAGATTACGTATCGATTTTCTCTGAATGGGAAGAATTATGCAAGCAGATCCAAAAATCCCAAAATATTATTGAGTCAGCTGGTCTTCCAATATTTTCTATTTTTTTTTTAAAAAAAATATTTATTTTCTCCTAAAATTTCATAAAAAATCGTCTTCCAATCTTCTTTGTCCGAACTTTAGTGCGTCTTGAAGATGCCATCTTAAACGTCACAAAGGAAGCTCAAAAGAAAATGAGCACGACCAACTCCAAAGCCTACACCAAGCTTAAGCTAAACCTCAAAAAATACAACAAAACCTACGAAGAAGACATCGCAAAATTCCGAGCCAACCCTGAAGAATCTGAAGAGTCTGAAGAATCCGAAGAGTCTGAAGAAAGCGAAGAAGAAAAAGCCAAAGAAAGCGACAGCGAAGAAAGCGAAGAATGGGGCTCTGGAAGTGACGAAGAAAGCGAAGAAGGGGAAAGAGACCTCTCAGACCCTACCAGCCGCAGAGCATTCTGGACTATCAAGCAGCCAAAAGAAGGCGCTGAAGAAAAAAAAGAAAAACCAGTAGAAAAACCTCAAGAAAAGCCTAGACCAAGAGTAGTCGAAGAAGTAAAAAAAGAAGAAATAAAAATTGAATACACTTCAGATGTGATATCAGCTAAGCTGAAAGAACTGATGGACATAAGAGGAAGAAAAGCCGTTAACCCTAAAGAACAAATTGAACATTTAAAGACATTACTGAGCCATTGTGAAAACACTGACTTAAGGATTCAGATTTTGCAGCTTATTGTGAGACATGAATTTGATTTGACGAAAAATACAGTCTTGGTGATTATGCCTAGGGAATTGTGGCTTTCTACGATAAACCACCTTAATAGCTTGCTAAATATTTTCAGCCCTGTGAAAGAAGATTTAAAGGATGACCTTGATGATATCAAAAAGTCAATTATTCAGGGATTAGCACATAGTGCAGATAGGCTGCATGATGAGTTGCAAAAAGCATTGAAATTGGCTGACCCACAGACGACGGAATATATTGAAAGACTTGGAGACCATCTGGCCTTGGATAAGGTTGTTAGAAGAATTTATAGTAAAATAAATAAATAGAGGCAAAAAATATAAAGTGTAGGAGAATATTGAGAGATAATAAGATAATAGATAGTGGGAATTTTTAATAAATTATAGGGAAAAGGATACAAATTTTATGATAAGCTAGAAGACTTTGAAAATGTAGTAAAAATGGCTTTAATCCTCATGGAGGAATTTTACTATGTCCATAAAAATCTTTTAGAACAAATGAAGAAAAAATATACAGGGGCTGAAAAAGAGCTATATTTCCAATGTGAGGACTCTGAAGCTGAATTTTCAAGGTTGGCAGACTTAGTGATCACTCATGGAGACGCAAAGCAAAAAGTAGCTGCTGCTTTAATGCAGGCTTACAGGTTGGCTTTACATTCAAATTTCACTGATGCTAAAAATCTATACAATTTTATATAGTTAAATACATAAAAATTGAGTAACTGAACAAATAATTATTTTGATAAAAGGGACAAATTTTCCTTCTAATGGCTAAGAAAGCTCCATAGGAATATTCTTAAAAACAGATTTCAATGAAAAAGTCTTATCAGAACCAAACATCCAAGTCCTCTACAACAGAGCACTAGTCCAAATCGGCCTTTCTGCATTCTATAGTGGGCTTATTGAAGCTTCTTTTACAATCCTCAACGAAATCGTATCAACTCACAGGCTTAAAGACCTCCTCGCACAAGCAATTTCAGCAGCCAAAGAAAAAACAGCCCAACAAGAGCGTGATGAAAGAAAAAGACTTGTCCCTTACCACATGCATATAAGGACAGATTTAGTCGAAACGGCTTATTTTATATGTGCAATGATCATTGATATTCCTAAAATTGCTCAAAATCCATATGATGCAGACCAGCTTACCATTAGTAAATATTTCAAAAAATTATTATAATAATTCCTTATAAATGTTTACAATGGAAATTTATTATAAGGCATTTAAGCTAAAAAGTATAGATTATCATCAAAGGCAAGCTTTATCTGGGCCAGCTGAAGGACTTAGAGATTATATTTTGGAAGCTGCTTTAGAGTTGAGAAAAGGAAAGTGGAAAGAATCAATTCAGCAGCTAAATAAGCTTGACAGCTGGAAATGGATGCCGGATCATGAAAGTGTAAAAAGCAGAATTTTTTCACGGGTAAAAGAAAGCGCATTGATTACTTATATTTTGACTTATGGAGATAATTATGAGTCTTTCAGCAAAACTCAGCTGTCAAAGAAGTTTGACTTATCTGAGGACGAAATCGTGAATATACCGATTAAATGGACTATTAGCTTGACTACTATAAAATTTTATAATGATTTTCGAATCAGGAGAAGGATTTATAATAAAAAAAAGGAAAATAGTTATTTTTATAGGAAATATAATCACCAATGCGATTTCTAACTGTGGATTGCAAGCAGGATGGGAAGGAGAAGTCTTGACTCTTCATTTCAATAAGCAACAAGAAACAGAATATCTAGCTGAACAAATTAAAGAAAAAGCAAAAGAGCTCAAAGAAATCAATGAAAAATTGCAAGAGTTCCAAGGGTTTATAACTCAAGCAACCCAAGAAATGACGGTGAGGAAGCAGCAACAGCCTACAATTAAGAAAAAGAAAGTTTTTAGTGGAAAATAAATAAATAGGCAGTTAGTCATATATTTCTTAGTTATTGATATTAAATCATTAAAAATTATATTATACTATTAAATACATACTTGCCTTAAAAATAAAAAATATAATATTCAAAACTAATAATATTTTAAGTGCGATAGATGGAATTATTATTGATCTGTGCCTATCCAAGGGCTCTATTCATGTAGATTTAAAATATCTTACCTTCTGACTGTCTTTAGCCAAATATAATAGCTAAGAAATAGGAATTTGGCCTACATCTCTAGCTATATTTTATTTAGAAACAAATCAGAGCAAGAATAATTAGCAAAAGGATAATAATATTATTCTTATTGTAGATTCACGTAAGGATAACTACTAGATTTGTTTTAGAAAGTTATTCAAAATTTCACTAATATTTCTTTAATTAAACTCGGCTTACCTAAGTAAGGGATCCGCCCCCTCATTTATCCAATTTTCTAGTCTTTTATCATTTATCCATTTTTCTAGTTTTTTTATAGGAAAAAAATATTTCTAGGACCTCATTGTCAAATTTTCTAGTCAAAATTTTGATAAAAAAAAATTTTTCAGAACCTCAATTCTCTCATTTTTTAGTTTTTTAAAGTAAAAAACTAAAATTTAGGACATTCGAAAAAATCCAAAAAACTAGAAAATGGGAAAAATCATTTTTGACTAGATTTTGGGACAAATGAGGTCCTAAAAATTTTGTTTATCTTATAAAAAAAAGACTAGAAAATTGGAGAAATGAGGGGAGGATCCTTTACATATTTATTAATTCTAGTCATTTTTTAATGAATAATTTATCCTTATTTAGGTTTTTAATAAAACCATGGTTGTAGCTTGATAGATTGTAGATAGTCTTCATGGACGCTTTGGCCGACTATAAAAGCCAGCTTGTGAGCCATCATTGTAGGTGCTGGGACTTTAATTCCTCCACTCCAGTTGTAGTACATGTAGCACAGCTTGAATGCAAGTTTTGCATAAGTCATAACATCTGTTTCCCTTACAGGGCAGGTGTTTTCAATAACTCTATATAGAGTTGGAGATGCCATGCCTTGAGTGACTGAGTGAGCAATTAAATAGAAAGAATTAGGGTCTGGAACTACTACAGAATTCACAACAGTTCCTGGCAATGGATTACCTATTCCTCTATTAGATGGAGCATAGAGCTTTGCATTAGTCTTTTTATTCACTATAATATAAGTGAAGTTCGGATGGTAATCTTCAAAGCTGTTTATAACTTTTTTCATTCCTTCTACCTCGAATATTCTAACAGCTTCTATTTGGGAGTCTGCAACACCATCTCTGTACACAATGACATGCTCAGGCATGAATCTTCTTTTGGTATTTTCGAAGAAGGCAACAAGTGCTTCTCTTAGTCCTTTATCATATAGAAAAAAAATAATTATTAAATCTTAATTTATAGAAAAAAAAAATTTATATTAATCTTCAGACAGGAGAGTTAGACAGCCGCTCACAGAGGATGCAATCTCTTCTCCGCTTCTAGGCTGCAGCTTTACACTGTTATAGTATTGAGTAAATGCAGGATGGATAGATGCTACAAATCCTACAACGCTTTGTGACTTTTTCACGGTGTCGTGGAAAACATCAATTCCAATGACCATTGTTTTCATTAGCAGATTTTCGGTAGGTGCAAGTGCCCATAGATGAGATCCAGTTTTTGCAGCAATTTGAAGTACTAGCTTAGACATGATTGAGTCAAATCTTTTAGGGTTTCTCACGCTATTTCCCATTACAACTTGTGTCGGAATGCCTGATGTCAAGCAAGAAGCTTCTTTTATTTCGTGGTATCTGTCTCTCATGTTGCCTGGCAGCAGAATAACACCGATTTGAGGAGCTGGACGACCTCCTGGAGGTCTGTTGAGGGCGCTAACTAAGTTTGGCAGTGATTTAGGATTATAGTCAAGCTGATAGGGAGCTCCCATAGTGACGCCTATTTGTCTAGCTTTATTTTGAAGAGTTTTCACTAGTTTGTCTCTGTCTTCCTGGTCTCTTTGTGTAGAAAGCACAGCCCAAGTGTCAATATTTACAGGTGTTAGGATGCTTCCTTTGAGGTTAAATCCACCTTTATCGTCTAAGTCAATTGACTGGTTCCCACCCACTTTGATTTTTTCCATAGGAAGTCTTATGGCATCAACTGTAATTGGCTCTGGGTTAATTCCTAACTCTTACTCCCCCCCTCCGTGAGTGAACAAAACCATTAGAAAAATCGCTATTTTTTGCCCAAAAACCCACTCTCCGTCAGTAAACAAAAATTTTTTATGGAAAAAATTTTGATATATAAATGATAATTAGTATAATGAAATCTAGAGCTCATTCTGTTTAATTTTAAACGAATTGCTTTTTAAAACATAAATTTTATAAATTAAATTAATATTTGCTTTCCAATTTTTGCAAATTAGGATTTTTTTGAATTTCGAAAAAAAAAAATTAACCCCCCTCCGTGAGTGAACAAAATTTTTTTGTTCACTCACGGAGAGGGGGGGAGGGGGAGTTAGCAGAAATAAAATGGTGACGTTGACGGAAATAGGACTCCGAGGCGCACCTCCTATAGAGCTGGTAGGACCCATTTCTGATGAAGCTGAAATATAGGGCCTCGCTCCCTGTCTTAAGTAGGCCTTCAGAGGTGGGAAAGCCGTGCCGAAAAGGAAGTTTTATTTCTCCTCCGAAGGTTTTCCTGCCCCTGCCAGATGGGCTAGTCAGGTTTTCCTACCACATGGTCTTCCTTCATCGGGACCATCGGAGCACTCATTCAAGAGTGGTTCTGTCCAAAGGAGCTGATCCTCTGGACAGGTGGTCAGACCAGAAATCAAGATGGCGTCGGGCTTGGGAATATGGTCACATCAGAACCCGACCTGGAGTCGTCTTTCGAGCTGAGGTGTCGTGGTCCGCTGGTTTCGCCCACGTATGGCCATATAATACTAACTAACTAACTCTTAGCTTAAAAAATTTAAAAAAAAAGTTTTAAAAAATAAAATAAATATACATCTCATAAAGATAGGGTAAGGAGAATTTATTTGTAATTGCAGACATTTCTCTTCCTCCTAATCTGTTTGCTACTGTTTGACTTGTTGTCAGACGCTCTTGTGGTTGTAGCCTAGTATATACAGCTATATCGCTCATAACCCTAAAATCGCTTCTCATTTCATCTGAAATCCCAGTGAGCCTACAAAGCTCAGGGATTAGCTTGATTGTCTTCTGTCCTCTGTTAATAGTCGTAATAATTAAAGGCTGCCTCATATCCTTGATATTGACATTATGATGAGTTTTATAGTAGTTTTTATAAGAAACTGGCCCTTCTCTGCCTTGGAAAGTCGAATTGGGATTTTCTTGTGTGTCAATGCCTTCAATTCTATAGCACATATAGTTCCCATAGCTCGCCATCACTATAAGTCCTTCCATACTTTTCTCCAGCGCTTGGCCTAGATTTCTTGGGCCACTTGCTTCAATTTCTCTAATCATGTCTAAAGCAGTCATGTTACGGATAATCTTGCTTGCAAAGTCTAAATTTATTCTAGCCTAAAAAAATTATCAAAATTGCTTATTTTATTTTTAATAAAAATAACTAATTTTTATATAAAGTTAGAGCATCATTTTTGAAGGTTGCAATATAAATTTTGCAAGCTTAAACTGTTGTGGTATAGTAGCATTTGGTCATAGTGATGCTGAAATACAGCAGTGTAGCCTCTCCATACTTCAAGCTGATGGGCTGGCACTTGACATGTTTGAGTCCTGTCATAGTATTTCGGAAGACGAGTTACTTGTAGTAGATGAAGCTAAATAATTTTAATTATAAATAAAGAGTTCTAATAATATCCTTTCTTCTCTTTTCCTATTATTGAAAGAAGTGAAAGCTCTAGATATATTATAAATTAGTCCTATGCCACTTTATTTAAAAATGATGAAGCTCTTTCAGCATTTTCTTAAGGATGACATTCGAGTACATTTTAAATTGCTCTGGCTTTGAATTGTCAATTGTGCCAACGAGACGAACATTTAAGGTATATTCTTCGTTTTCAAATCCTTTTACTCCCCCCTTTTGAGCGAGCAAAGCCATTGGAAAAATCCATATTTATTTAATATAAAAATTTTTTATGAAAAAAATTGATATATAAATGATATTTGTATATTCAAATCTCGAGCTAATTCTGCTTAATTTGAACAAATTGCATTTAAGAATATAAATTTTACAAACTAAAATTTTTTTAATTTCGAAAAAAAATTATTATAAAATTTATTTCTAATTTTTAAAATAAAAAAATTAATCCCTCTCTTAGAGAACAAAATATTTTGTTCGCTTACGGAGAGGGGAGTTAGCAAATGCTGAAAAAGGTTCTTGCTTTATCCTCAAAGCTGCGATGTTGGTCCCTAATTTCATAAATTCACCTATCTGTGCTTCGATGGCATCTTTGGCTCCTTTGATTAGTGTGTCACGAAGACTTCGATTGTTATCCTCGACGTCAGGGGTGAACTCTATGAAATAGAGCCCAACATTCCCAGCTGGAGTGCGGTTCAGCCTGAAAAAGTTGGTGACAATTTGGATTGGCCTGCCTTGAGAAGCAGCACTTCTTTGTCTTGAAGCTGGCTCCATAATATATATTTATTATCCATTGAAAATTTAATCCCAAAATCGGGGACAAAAGGGAAAACTGTAGCTTTTATAGATATTTATATAATTCTTATATGAAGTTAGGGTGCTCAGCATTAGCTTGTAGGCTTTTTTCTAATGAATTATTTATTGATTTCAGGATAAGTTAGTAATTACTAATATTTTTTTATTTTGAAATAAATAATATGAGAAAAGAAATAGTTATCATAGGTATAAGAATTTTAATTTTTATTAATTATTCCCTCTTTCTTTCAATCAGAAAAAAGAAGGGCTACCTTTTTAGTTGAGCTATTTTTATTATTTTTACAATTTCCTCTATAAATTACAATCATTCTATAAAGAAAATACGTTTTGGAATTCTTATTTCTCTAATTTACTCAATACCAAAATTTTAAAAATTTTTTTTTATTCGCCAATTAGCCTCTACCATCCTAGTTTACTTCCCAAATTTCCAAAATTTAATACTTACTCCACCCCTTTGTGAGCGAACAAAAAAATTTTGTTCGCTCACGGAGGGGGTTAATATTTTTTTTAAAAATATTTATATATAAATTTTATAAACATATTTTTTCAAAATTTAAAATAATTTAAGAACAAACTAATTTAATTTGTAAAATTTATATTTAAAATGCAAGCTGTTTAAAATAACTCCCCCCCCATCCTTGATCGAACGATTGACTGTAGAAATTCCTAAAAATTGGGGAAATTAACCCCCATCCTTGATCGAACGATTTTCATATCATGACAATTTTTTATATATATAAAAATATATTAGTTATCAAAAGTTTGGGAAGATGTACATAATGAAGTTGTTTTCAGAGACTTTAAGACGACAGAAAGCTTCGGAATCAACCATCTGAAGTGATTTAGCCATCAACCTAGGCTTAAAAACTCAATAATCTAATAAAATACAGATTCTCTAAAATTTTTTAAAAAAAAATTTTAATTTAATAAGAACAAATTAAAATTTATACAGTTTAAAGGGGTAACTAATAAATCTAAATATTAAAATTTGGTATTTTTATGAAATTAATTCAATTTTTTGCTGTAAAAATAATTATTAAATACTCGCAACCCTCTTATATAAAAAGTAAATAAAAAAAATATATATAAATATATTTTTTATTTTATATATAAAATTTTTTTCCCAAAAAAATTTTTTTTAACCCCCATCCTTGATCGAACGATGGCAAGTCGTTCGATCAAGGATGGGGGGGGAGTAAGCAGAATTAGTTAGAGATTATTATACTAATTATCACTTATATATCAAGGTTTTTTTTCATACAAAATTTTTCTATTAAAAACATTTTGTTCGCTCACGGAAGGTGGGTTATTGGGCACAAAATAGGGATTTTCTGTTCTCTCACAAAGGGGGGAGTTAATTCCCTCAAAAAAATACTAAAAAATATCCTTCCAACATACAAAACTCAAAATCTCCATTTTCTTCATAAATGGAATCTGTTCAAGTCCTATGCTGTCTTTGCGGACTTCCAATGACATACAGCCAAGCCAAAATGTGTATGAACTGCTTATCTCTCCGGGCAACTATCACAGACACAATAGACAAAGAGCAAACCCTGGAAATTTGCCGATATTGTGATCGATATAATCGTCCTCCTTGGCTATCAGCGAAACTTGAAAGTCCTGAGCTTTTACAAATTTGTTTATCACGTATAAAAGGATTATCTAAAGCAAAGCTCATTGATGCTGCTTTTGTGTGGACTGAAGAGCACTCAAGAAGAATTAAAGTAAGGATTACAATACAAAAAGAGGTAGAAAATACAATGCTAGAGCAGCAATGTATAGTAAATTTTGTAGTTAATGATACACAATGTGAAGACTGCCAGAGATCGTTTACTCCACATCAGTGGATGGCAAAGGTGCAGCTGAGACAAAAAGTGAGTCATAAAAGGACAATTTACTATCTTGAACAAATCATATTAAAAAATCACTATCAAAAAGACTGCTTAGGGGTAAAACCTAACTCCCACCTCCGTAAGTATACAAAATAATTGGAAAATCCCCTATTTTTTTTGGCAAAATCCACCCTCCGTGAGTAAGTAATAAATCTTTTTAATATAAATTTTTTTTTATGAAAACGTTTTTTGATATATTATAATGAAATTTCAAGCAAACTCTATTCAATTTAAGCAGCTTGCATTTAAAAAAAATAAATTTTTACAAATTAAATTAATATTTGCTTTAAAAATATTTCGAATTGGGATTATTTTGAAAAAAATTTACTATTAAAATTCAAAAATAAATTAACCCCTCAATGATGAACAAATTTTTTTTCGCTCATGGAGTAGGAAGTAAGAAAAATGGCATAGATTTTCATTTTGGAACTAAAGCACACGCTCAAAAATTTATCGATTATATCCACTCAGCAGTCCCTCTCCAAGTAAAGATGTCTAAAGAATTGATTTCTTCTGACCCAAAATCAAACACATATAACTACAAATTTACATTTTTAGCTGAAATTATCCCTATTTGTAGGGACGATTTATTAGTCCTGCCTAAGTCACAAAGAATTCCTGGCCTTGGCCGTGTTGTCATGTGCTATAAGCTTGCAAGCTTAATTCGTGTATTAGACATAAGGAACTTCAGGACTGGAGAAATAAAATCAGATAGGTACTGGAAGCAGCCTTTCCACGTCTATGCAGGCAGAGAATGGCTTGAAGAATTCATTGTTTTGGATATTGACGAGCGCTCAGAAATGCATGAAGACGAGCCTAACCGATTAAAAACTGTTGAGGTAGAAGTAGCAAGATCTAATGATGCCAGATTTGGGGAGACTACTTATAGAGTAAAAACACATCTGGGGAATATTTTAAGGGCTGGTGATATAGAGGTTTCCTCTATATAGCGCTGAAAGCGCAGACATTTTCCCAGGAGCTTTCCAAGTTCGTCGGACTAAATCGCTTTTTGGTCCGACCAAGGCATTGATTTGGTGCAACCAACCGATAAATTCCGATCAGAATTTATCGGCCTTACAGCGCCAAACATAGGAAACTTCTATACAGTACTTGGGTATAATCTAGAAAACATGGTAGGCCATGGGCTTGAGACTGAAAGTTTTGATGATTGTCCACAAGTGGTTTTAGTCAAAAAAATCATATCAAAAGAAGAAAAACAGAAACCAAAAATAAAAATAGAGAGGATAGCTGAAGTCGAAGAAGAGCCTGATTTTGGAGAATTTTTAGAAGAGGTTGAAAACGATCCTGAGCTCCAAAGTCAAATTTTAGGTGAGCCTTCTACACAACCGACAGAAATTCAGTTAAAATAATATATAATTCTCCAAAGGGTTTGCATCAAATTAAAATTTTGGTGCCCTTAAAATGAAATTTTTAATTTAAAATATATACTTTTTATTAAAATTATTATGATTGATAAAAATCTTAGTCCCCCGTCTTGGAACGAACACCCAAGAAGGGGTGAATTTATGCATGATTTTTTTTGAAATTTAAAAAATAATCCCAATTGGAAAGCGAAAATAAAATTTCAGTTTAAAATGCATTTAAAATCCAAAAAAATAGCAAGAGATTTTTAATATATTAATTATCACTTATACATTTATAAAAAATTTTTTATTCTCTTGAGTTTTAAACCCAAAAAATAGCCATTTTTCTAATGGTTTTGCTCGCTCACATAGGGGGGTTAGCAAAACATATAGGACTTCATTAGAAAATGATTTCCTTAAATCCAGCTCAAGATCCTCTACACCTTCTATATACAGACACACAGATTTAGGCTATGAAATGCATACAGTGGCTAGATCACGAAAAGAAACTGATAACAAAGTCCAGCTTCTAGATAATCGAATAAAAATGCTGCTAAGAAAAGACAACAGTGTCCAAAAAGCCGCTGAAAATGCCCACAAAAAAGCTGATTATTTATTAAAAACTAGAGAACGATACATTAATGACGTAATGGCTGCTCACAAGCTAAAGGTAAAGAAAGAAAAAGAGATTGAAAAAATGAAAGAAATAGCCCAAATAAGGAAAAAAGTCCAAGAAAGCATGCTAAAAGAAATAAAAGAGGAGGTCGTCATTGATAAAAAATACTCTGCAAAAGAAATTAAAAAGATTTCTAGCTTAAATGAAGTAAAAGCTAAAGAAAACAAACATTTAGACTTAAGGAAAAAATTAGGAAGCAAATTTATATAGAATTTCTCATTAAATTGACTATAAAATTGACTTAAAATTCCAAAGGACAAATCTAAAGAAAATACTATAAAACAGATAGAAGATGATATGATAAAAAGAAAAAGGAGTGTGAGCCAGTTAAATTATAAAAACGCTATAAGAGAAAAATACGAAAATAAAATCCAGATAGAAAAAGAGCTCAGAGAAGACTCAGTCAAGAAATTAACAGAGCTGGAAGAGCTAGAAGCAGCCCTACTACTCAAGCTTTCTGATACAATGACACTAAGGAATCAGGCCCTATCTAAACTGGAATCAATCTCAAAAATTTCACCTCCATACACCCCTTCACCTGTGATGAATTAATTTTACTATAACTTATCAATAATTAACGCTCTTCAAAATTCCTCATAATAAATGGAAATAAGAAATTCTGATTTTTCCACCCTTCCTCATGAATTTTCCCGTAGCAGCCACAGATCTAACACCTCTTATCTTGTAGACCAAAGCGCTGATAAGTCAGCATATAAAAAAGACAAAGCCTGTGCAGTTTGTAATACAAATTTCAGTATTCTGGGGCTGACTCAGAAGCATCATTGTAATTTTTGCTATCGTGGAGTCTGCTGAAAATGCTCCTTGCAGCAGGCTTATCATCCTGATATGCATGAAATGACGAGAATATGTGACCAGTGCTATAATAAATCAATACAAACAAAAATCAGTAAAGAATTTGAAAGTAGCCTAGGGGATGTAAAAAACGAAATTAAAGAACTTAAAGAAAAACTGCAAAGTGAACAAAGAACGTCAAGATCTGAAAAAATTGTAAAAACGCAAATAAAAGGAGAATTAACAAAAATTGTGGAAAAGAATAAAGAAACAGAAAATGAGTTAAGCAAAAAAATTGAAGAATCTGAAAAAGCTAATGAGGAAATAGAAAATGAAAACCAAAAACTTAATGAAGAAATTGATGAAATTTTAAAAAATGAAGAAAATATAGATGGAGAGTTAAAATCAATTCAAAGCCAAATAGAAGAAGGGCTCCAGGATTTAAAAAACTACCAGTTAAAAATTGAGGAAATAAAAAATTTGAATTCAAAAGAAATAAATAATAACCAAAAAAAGAACTCAGCTATAAAAAAGGCTGAAAAGATTCAAGAAAAGCTAGATGGAGAAAAGCTTCAAAGAGAAAAAGAAGAAACTGATAAAAACCAAAGAATAGAAAGGTCTAAAAAAGAAATAGACGAAGTAAAAAGAATGAATACAAGATTAATTCATAAAATCCAAGAATTACAAGAAAATGAAGACACTGAAGAAGAAATCAGAAAATCCTTGGAAACGCCAAACAGACTATCAGAAAGGCTATCAATCACACCAAGAATGGGAGACCCATACAAGCTGCTAAGGGACCAATTGAAGTCTCAAATTGAAGAAATAAGCAAGCTTCAATTGGAAATAAAAAATTCAAAAAATGAAAGCACTTTTACGTTAAATAAAGAAAGCATGAGAGATCCTTTTGAAAGAGACCAATGCAAATGTGTACTTCAATAAGCTTGGTAATAATAAAAACGCAATTTAATCCTTTCTAATTAGAAATTAAGTTATTAATTGCTTCAATGACCTCCGATTTTTCAGTGTCACCTTCCCAAGCTCTTCTCAGTGCATCAATAGCTTCTCCAACTTTGAGCTTTAATTCATGTGGGTTATTTAATAAAGATAAAAGTCCTTCATTATCTATTTTCAAAAGCATATAAGTGATTTCCTGCAATCTTTCAGTTCGAATTCATCAGCACAACTGGGTACAACACTGCTCCTAGCGGTTTTTTTTGAGCTCTGAGCAATTTCATAGGTATTGATGTCCAAAATTATTGGTATTGGCTTAGGCTGGGATAATTGCTGAGAAGGGAAAACTGTGTTATAAGGGTAAACTGGCTGCTGAGGGAATGCACGAAGAGGGAATATTTGGGGTGAGAACACTGATTTTCCTCTCTATTTGTTGAGGACTTTCCATAGGCATATTGGCCAAAAATATATATTTTTGTTTATAAAAATGTAAATTGAAGGAAAATCAATCCCAATCAATTTTGTAAAAAATATTATAAAGCAATTAGAAATCTCAGGGAAAGTCGAAAGACCATATATAGGATTAAGCTTCACCCAGACTTCTCCAGGCTTAACAGTTATAAAAGTGCAGCCTGATTGTCCAATTGAAAAAGTAGGAATCAGAGTTGGCGATATTATAGTGGCGGCTGATGGAAGAGAACTAAATAGTGCTGAAGATTTAACAAAGTTTTAGGATTTAAAATAGGAATTATTATACACGTAGATATTTTGAGGGAAAAAGAAAAGCTTAGTTTTACTATAGCAACATAATAATTATATAAAATATTAGTCTTTAATTATTGAAGAATGTAGCAATTTGATAAATTATTTTTGAATATTCGTAATTTAGATTTTATAGATATAAAGTGCGAATCTGTTAAAGTAAAGTTTGAGATATTGATGCCCTTTAGAATTTAGCTTAATTGGTGCTTAGAAAAATGATTTTTGAAAATAAGGCAATGTCCTTGGATTCAAATTTTCTGTAGAGCTTATTTATGAAACCGTTTTATATATATATATATATATATAAAACCATTTTTGAAGCGCTGTCCGCTTAAAATATTTATTGAATCAATCATTATAATTTTTTTTATGTAAAATAAGAGATATTAATTTGCTGCAGATTCTTCAATTTTTAATAATTTATTTACTTCTCTCAATAATATTAGCAAAATTAACCTCAAAGTCCCTATGCTTCTAGCATTATTTTGCTATTACCTTTATTTGTAATAAGTACAGGCATATTAGTTTTCTTTCTTACCTTTAAGGATTAAAAAATAAATTGCTTGACATTTCAAAGCTTATTTTAAACAAAAGTCAGTGATGTTTCTTAAAAAGAAGAGAAAAAAACATTATTAACTAATTACCATTAAATCGCTGTGATTAATTGCCAATTATAAATTTAGGTTTGAAACATTGAAGAAAATAATGGAAACTCAGCCACATTAGATCAAAATCATCATACATTTTATGCATACAATAGAAATCAATAAAAAATAATAATTTAGACTAATTAAACGTTTGCTGGCTCTAAACTTGCGGCTTTACTTTTATTCAGCATTTCAGGAGTATTTTGCATATTACTTTTATCTAGACATGACCCGCATATTTCTGTAAAGAAGGATCTATTTAGACTCTCTAACTTTTGATTGAATACATTAAAGAGCTTTGCACCGTTGTATCAATCTCTGCTGGCTGTTGTCATCAATTTTACTTTCTCAATAGCTTCTTGAGGCTGTAAACTCAATAACCCTAAAATTGGATCTTGTTCTGACTTTAATAATTTAGAAGCTTGGGAAATTTTTGCAATGAGGTCCTTTATTTCATCTAAGTAGCAATCCAACTTGGTGAAATCTCCTAAATCTTTCTCTGAATTAGGAAGACGCTGGCGAAAGGAATCTATAATTTTTCTTCTCAACTCGCTAAATTTTGATTTTTCTTTTGCAAGGAATTCAAGAATTGCTTCTTTTGTCCCTTCACAAGGCTGCATAAACATTGATTCAAGATTATGAGCTCTATTAGGTAAGTTTACATGCTGCCCAATATGCTCTTCGCACAATAAAGTTTCAGGAGAAGAGCATTTTGCATGAATGCCCAGCCTCGTTCTTACACCCTGGCACGAAACATTTCTTCACCATCATATAACAATTATTAGATATCTAATTTTGTAAAGCTATATGCATTCTAATACTTTTTTCAAATAACTCAGTTTAATATATAGATGGCGCTCTGATAATCATTCGTTTGGAAACATAAAGCTACATTCCGAAAAATTTGAGGGGAGAATATTACGATTCCATTAAAAGTTTGAAACAAAAAATTCAAGATACTGAAGGAAATACATCTCAAATGATTTATATAATTATTATAATGATGACTTATTAGAATCAAATTTTATTCTAAATATGCATTTTTTGGAGTAGCTCAATACGGTCTCGGTCTAATGTGTCGTTAATAAAATTGATATCCTCCTTAGAAAGTTTCCATTCATCCCCAGTGAAAACACCACTTACTTGATTTTCTTGCTTCAAATTATAAGCCCTATTAAAGTCCTGCAAAGCTGCTTCTTCTTGTCTGAGACTATTAAATACTCTAGCTCGGCTGCAAAAATGCAAAGGATTATTGGGTGCAAGTTCGATTGCCTCATTATAGCATTCTATTGCTACTTGATATCTCTCTAAAGCATAAAGATTATTGCCTTTACGATTATAAAACCTGGCCTTATTTGGTTTGATTTGGATCGCTTTTTCATAGCTTTCTACTGCTTCTGAGTATCTTTCTAATTTATTTAAAGCATATCCTTTCCAAGAGTAAATATCAGCATCGTCTGGATTGAGTTTGATTGCTTCGTCATAGCATTCGATTGCTTCTAGATATCTTTTTAGATTAGACAAAGCAATGCCTTTATTATTGTAAAAGGTAGCATTTTTTGGATTGAGTTTGATAGCTTCATCATAGCATTCGATTGCTTCTAGATATCTTTCTAAATTATAAAAAGCGTCGCCTTTGTTATTGTAAAAGGTAGCAATTTTTGGATTGAGTTTGATTGCTTCGTCAGAGCATTCGATTGCTTCTAGATATCTTTCTAAATTATAAAAAGCGTCGCCTTTATTATTGTAAAATTTAGCAGCTTTTGGATCGAGTTTGATTGCTTCATCATAGCATTCGATTGCTTCTAGATATCTTTCTAAATCAAACAAAGCTTTGCCTTTATTATTGTAAAAGGTAGCATTTTTTGGATCGAGTTTGATTGCTTCGTCATAGCATTCGATTGCCTCTAGATATCTTTCTAAATCAGACAAAGCGTTGCCTTTATTATTGTAAAATTTAGTATCTTTTGGATTGAGTTTGATTGCTTCATCGTAGCATTCGATTGCTTCTAGATATCTTTCTGAATAAGACAAAGCATTGCCTTTATAATTGTAAAAAGTATCACTGTTTGGATTAAGTTTGATTGCTTCATCATAGCATTCGATTGCTTCTAGATATCTTTCTAAATCAAACAAAGCGAATCCTTTATTATTGTAAAAGCTAGCATTTTTTGGATCGAGTTTGATTGTTTCGTTATAGCGTTCAATTTGTTTTAATTTTTCTCCTAAAGTCTTTAGAGTATTGCCTTTTAGACTTCATTTATCCAGACAATTAGAATCAAGCTTAAAATTGATATTGCATTTTATTACTTCAATCTTTTTACCTACTCTTCTAAGTGCGACATGCGTGTCATAGTAAGCAATATCAATAATGATTTTTTGATCTAAACTAAAAAAATAATATTCTTCAGCCGATACAGAACTATTTGAGATGTATATTCCTCCTTTATTATATGAACAAAACACTTGATCATCATTGTAATTGACTTTTGATTCTGCTATTCTTCTCCAATTCGAGTAACTTCCAATTTCGCTTTCATAGATTGATCCAGGGCATTCAATCAAATAGAGTCTCTCTGCATTTATCAGGATCTTTCTTCCCCACTCTTCAAACTCATAAGGAATTGTCGAGAAAGAGTCAATATCAATTGAGTATAACCAAAGATTTCTACTCTTATATCCAGAAATCAAAATATTTCCATTAAATATTATACTAGAGCAAGAGTAATCAGCTTCTGGCATTGGAGTTAATTTAACTCATCGATTTTGATTCAAATCGAATCTACTAGACAGAACCAAATCACAATCATAATCACCTTCATATATTCCTCCAAAGCAATAGACGCTGTTTTTGAAATAGATATAGATCACTTGATATTTTATTGCAGGCTCTGACAAAGTCTGTTGGGCTTGAGAAAAAGATAAAATGGACTATATAGATTTTTGGGTCTTTTATGCACTCTGTTGTACAATCTATTTGTAAAAAGCCAATACAAGAAAGATGAATTGATATTTGGGAACATACCATATCATTTATCCCATCAATATGCAGTTTCCAAAGATTATCTATATGCAACTATCATTCTTTAAAAGTAGTATACATGATGAGCAATAGTAAGGAGTTCCAGATGGGTGCTATTTCTTACTGATTTATTTTAAGAGGCGTTGTATTGAGTTCTCTAGCTAAAATTTAATTAAGAATGGAAACATTTTAGAGGATATTTAAAGCAAGAGAGAGTACTAAATTATAAAAAATAATTACCATTTTTCTGTTCCTGATGGCAGCACTTCGACTCCATCATCCACATCAATTAGCACTGTAATTCCAGAAAGGTTATGATTACCAAAACAGAATAGTTTGCCATTTGGAAGTTGGGTTATGCAAGTAGAATCGTCTAGTGGTTCTGGAGTCTGCAAGGTTTTGACTTCTTGGGTTTCAGTTTCAGTGTTATAAATAATTAAATTAGTTCTCTTGCTTCCTTTATCTCATATAATATTATAAAGAGATATTTTTAGTTGATAAGCTTTGAGATAATCTTGGTAGGCTTGCATTAGTGGTGGATCATAAAGACTAGAATTGGCCTGAATTGCTGAGCAAGTTGTTCTGAGATCTATCTCTAATTCTCGATTATTCGGTCTACTCAAAATCTCAGCTGTTTTATTTCTTAAGGTATCTATGATACTTAAAGCACTTTCTGTTTCCTTGGATTTACTGTTGAGATAATTAGAAACAGCCCTTATGTGAGAATTAAGCAACCTTATTGGCTTGTTTGCGTTTTCAGATTTTTTTAAAATCTCAAAGTTCTCATTTATTATCAAAAAATTCGAATCCTTAACGTATGCCAATAAAATAGAAAAAAATCAATAAAAAATAATAATTTAGACTAATTAAACGTTTGCTGGCTCTAAACTTGCGGCTTTACTTTTATTCAGCATTTCAGGAGTATTTTGCATATTACTTTTATCTAGATATGCCCCGCATATTTCTGTAAAGAAGGATCTATTTAGACTCTCTAACTTTTGATTGAATACATTAAAGAGCTTTGCACCGTTGTATCAATCTCTGCTGGCTGTTGTCATCAATTTTACTTTCTCAATAGCTTCTTGAGGCTGTAAACTCAATAATCCTAAATTTGGGTTTATTTCTGACTTTAATAATTTTGAAGTTTGGGAAATTTTTGCAATTAAGTCATTTATTTCATCTAAGTAGCAACCCAGCTTGGTGAAATCTCCTAAGTCTTTCTCTGAATTAGGAAGACACTGGCGAAAGGAATCTATAATTTTTCTTCTCAACTCGCTAAATTTTGACTTTTCTTTTGCAAGGAATCCAAGAATTACTTCTTTTGTCCCTTCACAAGGCTGCATAAAAATAGATTCAAGAGTATGAGCTCTATCAGGTAAGTTTACATGCTCCCCGATATGCTCTTCGCACAATAAAATCTCAGGAGAAGAGCATTTGCATGAATGCCCAGCCTCGTTCATACACCCTGGCACGACACATTTCTTCACCATCATATGAATAATTATTAGATATCTACTTTAATCAGAGGGAGGTAATTGTTTTTTAAATTCTTTAATCAAACCGATGAAAATGAACATTTTTGGTCGTTATTCGCACTTTGTGCAAAAAAATAGTAGTGGTAATTTGTTTAGGGATGCGTCAAAGATCCAAAGGTGAGTGCCTGGAAGCCTAACTTGCAAAGTTAGAGATTGTGGAAGATTCAAAATGCATGGTCTGCTTTAAAATCATAATTGACTCTCTTCGGCTATGTAGGATGAGGCAAGTGCAAGTAGTTAACAATAACTTTATTCTTGAAAGTGCCTCAATATTATTTGAAAATGATATGAGTTATATTATCGATCATGGAATTAGTACCACTGAAGTGCTATTGTTTTATTAGCAGATAGTGCTTATCTCTCTTTACAGCCTTAAATCTATCAAACATAAAAAACCACTATATTGCTATTTATAAATTGAAAGAGCTGCCATAAATTATTTTTATCAAGATTTTTTCTCTTCTATGAAATCTAAAATAGCTTTAATATAAGATTTAAGAAGACTAAATTGCTATCAACAAGCATAATAACAAATTCATAAAAAATCTAAACACTATTTAATTCCTTGTAACAGGCTTTGGCTTCTGACTCGATGTAGGTGTCCTTGAGATTTCAAATTTGGCATAGACTGAGTATTTTGTCTCTTATCTAGCGCTTTATTTTGCTTTCATATACCCAAATTCACTTGGAAGCCTATAGCTCCCAGGCCCTGGAGTGTTCCAAAACCCTGAGGTTGGAGACGAATCTCTATTAGAGATCGGGAAAGCTCTGTTCCCTGTAGGCTGAAATTTCGACAAATAATACCCAGACTTCAAGAAATCTTCACTATTATAGTAAGCGCCACAACCAGGCAGTCAATTTTTTTGATCTTCGGAAACCTTGGCGATGATAGTGGTGAAAAAGTCGTAATTCCTGCATTTTTAAAAGCGCTTAAACTGTATCTGCCTTTTTCAACCTCACTTTTAGGGTCATAAGCACCTGGACCAGGACTTTTTCGGCTGCTAGACATTTCATCTGCTTGCAATTACCTAAAATTGATGTGCGAGGCCTGAATGTGAATTTCCTTCCTCCCTGTCCTATCTTTGAAGTAATTGGATAAGTTCCTGAACTAGGAACTGAAGGGTCTGCTTTAAAGTGGCCTTCTACATACCTTTTTTCATAGGCTTCACGAGAAATCCCAAACGAGTAGGCTAGCCAAAAGGCTTTTGCTATCAAAGTCACTTGATAAATTATAAGCACTTGTGTCTGGGTTTCCTTATTTGAAAAAAGGATTAGAATGCATATGGCTTTAAAAAACTAGATATCTAATAATTATTATATGATGGCGAAGAAATGTTTCGTGCCAGGGTGTATGAATGAGGCTGGGTATGCATGCAAATGCTCTTCTCCTGAGATTTTATTATGCGAAGAGCATATCGGGGAGCATGTAAACTTATCTAACAGAGCTCATAATCTTGAATCAATGTTTATGCAGCCTTGTGAAGGGACAAAAGAAGCAATTCTTGAATTCCTTGCAAAAGAAAAGTCAAAATTTAGCGAGTTGAGAAGAAAAATTATAGATTCCTTTCGCCCGCGTCTTCCTAATCCAGAGAAAGATTTAGGAGGTTTCACCAAGTTGGATTGCTACTTAGATGAAATAAATGACTTCATTGCAAAAATTTCCCAAACTTCAAAATTATTAAAATCAGAAGAAGATCCAATTTTAGGATTATTGAGTTTACAGCCTCAAGAAGCTATTGAGAAAATAAAATTAATGGCCACAGCCATCAGAGATTGATGCAACGGTGCAAGGCTATTTATTATATTCAATCAAAAGTTAGAGAGTCTAAATAGATCATTCTTTACAGAAATATGCGGGGCATATCTAGATAAAAGTAATATGCAAAATACTCCTGAAATGCTGAATAAAAGTAAAGCCGCAAGTGTAGAGCCAGCAAACGTTAAGGATTCGATTTCCTTGATAATAAATGAGAACTTTGAGAGTTTAAAAAAGTCTGAAAACGCAAATAAGCCAATAAGGCTGCTTAATTTTCAAATAAGCGCTGTTTCTAATTATCTCAACAATAAATCAATTGAAACAGAAAGTGCTTTAAGCGTTATAGATACCTTAAGAAATAAAACAGCTGAGATTTTGAGTAGACCAAACAACTCAGAATTAGAGATAGATTTCAGAACAACTTGTTCAACAATTAAGGCCAATTCTAGTCTTTATGATCCGCCACTAATTCAAGCTTACCAAGATTATCTCAAAGCTTATCAACTAAAAACATCTCTTTATAATATTACAAGAGATAAAGGAAGCAGGAGAACATATTTAACTATTTATAACACTGAAACTGAAACCCAAGAAGTCAAAACCTTGCAGACTCCAGAACCACTAGACGGTTCTACGTGCATAACTCAACTTCCAAATGGCAAGCTGTTCTGTTTTGGTAATAATACATCTTCAGGAATTACAGTGCTGATTGATGTGGATGGTGGAGCCGAAGTGCTGCCATCAGGAACAAAAAAATGGTATTTATTTTTTATAATTTAGTACTCTCTAATGCTTTAAATATCCTCTAAAATGTTTCCACTCTCAATTGAATTTCAGCTAGAGAACTCAATATAACGCTTCTTAAAAGAAATCAGTAAGAAATAGCACCCATCTGGAACTCCTTGCAAACGCTCATCATGTATACTGTTTTTGGAGAATGGAAATTGCATATAGATAATCTTTCGAAGCTGCATATCAATAGGATCAATGATATGTTATGCTCCCAGATATCAATTCATCTTTCTAGTATTGGCATTTTTATAAAGAGATTGCGCAGCAGAGTTCATAAAAGATCCAAACATCTATATAGTCCATTTTATTTTTTTCTCAAGCCCAACAGAAATTTATAATCAATCTCGATCTCTCATCTCCTAAAAGCTAAACTCTGTGAGAGACTGCAATAAAACATCAAGTGATCTATATCTATTTCAACAACAGCGTCTATTGCTTTGGAGGAGCACATAAAGATTATTTAACTCTATCGAGTAGATTTGATTTGGATCAAAATCGATGAATTAAATTAACTCCAATGCCAGAAGGTGATTGCTATTGCTCTAGTATAATATTTAATGGAAATATTTTGATTTCTGGAAAATTTAGTAGAAATCTTTGGTTATACTCAATTGATATTGACTCTTTCTCGACAATTCCTTATGAGTTTAAATATAATAAAAGAAAGATCCTGATAAATGCAGAGAGACTCTATTTGATTGAATGCCCTGGATCAATCTATGAAAGCGAAATTGGAAGTTACTCGAATTGGAGAAGAATAGCAGAATCAGAAATCAATTCTGATTTAGTGTTTAGTTCATATAATAAAGGAGGAATATACATCTCAAATATTTATGCATCGGATAAATATTATTTTTTTAATTTAGATCAAAAAATCATTATTAATATTGCTTACTATGATAGGAATATCGCACTTAGAAGAGTAGGTAAAAAGATTGAAGTAATAAATTGCAATGTCAATTTTAAGCTTGATTCTAATTATCTGGATGAATGAAGTCTAAAAGGCAATACTCTAAAGACTTTAGGAGAAAAATTAGAAAAAATCAAATACTGTGACGAATTCATCAAACTCAATCCAAACAATCCTATTTATTACAATAATAAAGGCTGCGCTTTTAATGATTTAAAAAGATATCTAGAAGCAATCGAATGCTATGACGAAGCAATCAAACTCGATCCAAACAATCCTATTTGTTACTGTAATAAAGGATTCGCTTTGCTTGATTTAGAAAGATATCTAGAAGCAATCGAATGCTATGAAGAAGCAATTAAACTCAATCCAAACGATGCTATTTATTACTATAATAAAAGCAACGCTTTGTTTTATTTAAAAAGATATCTAGAAGCAACCGAATGCTATGAAGAAGCAATTAAACTCAATCCAAACGATGCTATTTGTTACTATAATAAAGGCAGCGCTTTGTTTTATTTAAAAAGATATCTAGAAGCAATCGAATGTTATGACGAAGCAATCAAACTCAATCCAAACGATGCTATTTATTACTACAATAAAGGCAATGCTTTGTCTTATTTAAAAAGATATCTAGAAGCAGTCGAATGCTTTAACGAAGCAATTAAACTCAATCCAGACCATGCTAATGTTTACTATTATAAAGGATATTCTTTAAATAAATTAGGAAGATACTCAGAAGCACTAGAAAGCTATGAAAAAGCAATTAAAATCAATCCAAATAATGCATATTTTTATAATTGTAAAGGCGATACTCTTTATGCTTTAGAGAGATATCAGGAAGCAATGCAATGCTATAATAAGGCAATCGAACTTGTACCCAATAATCCTTTGTATTTTTGCAGCCGAGCTAGAGTATTTAATAGTCTCAGACAAGAAGAAGCAGCTTTGCAGGACTTTAATAGGGCTTATAATTTGAAGCAAGAAAATGAAGTAAGTGGTGTTTTCACTGGGGATGAATGGAACCTTTCTGAGGAGGGTATCAAGTTTATTAACGACGTATTAGGCCGAGACCGTATTGAACTACTCCAAAAAATGCATATTTAGAATAAAATTTGACTCTAATAAGTCATCATTATAATAATTATATTTAATATTGGTTCTAGCTATATAATAATCTTAAATTTCCTTAGATATTTAATTAAAATTCTGAAATACAATCTCTTGAGATCACAATGTAATGCTGATATTGTCCGAATATAAATAAAAAGTTTTAATTGCTTTATACTTACTTTTTTATTACGAGTGAACACTATAAAGCTTATAATTCTGCATGATCTATAATTTTATAGCTTTACAAAATTAGATATCTAATAATTGTTATATGATGGTGAAGAAATGTTTCGTGCCAGGGTGTACGAACGAGGCTGGGCATTCATGCAAATGCTCTTCTCCTGAGATTTTATTGTGCGAAGAGCATATCGGGGAGCATGTAAACTTACCTAACAGAGCTCATAATCTTGAATCAATGTTTATGCAGCCTTGTGAAGGGACAAAAGAAGCAATTCTTGAATTCCTTGCAGAAGAAAATTCAAAATTTAGCGAGTTGAGAAGAAAAATTATAGATTCCTTTCGCGCGCGTCTTCCTAATTCAGAGAAAGATTTAGGAGATTTCACCAAGTTGGATTGCTTCTTAGATGAAATAAATGACTTCATTGCAAAAATTTCCCAAACTTCAAAATTATTAAAGTCAGAAGATCCAATTTTAGGATTATTGAGTTTACAGCCTCAAGAAGCTATTGAGAAAATAAAATTAATCACCACAGCCAGCAGAGATTGGTACAACGGTGCAAGGCTATTTATTATATTCAATCAAAAGTTAGAGAGTCTAAATAGATCATTCTTTACAGAAATATGCGGGGCATATCTAGATAAAAGTAATATGCAAAATACTCCTGAAATGCTGAATAAAAGTAAAGCCGCAAGTGTAGAGCCCGCAAACGTTAAGGATTCGAATTTTTTGATAATAAATGAGAACTGTGAAAGTTTAAAAAAGTCTGAAAACGAAAATAAGCCAATAAGGCTGCTTAATTTTCAAATAAGTACTGCTTCTAATGATCTCAACAATAAATCCAAGGAAACAGAAAGCGCTTTAAGCTTTATAGATACCTTAAGAAATAAAACAGCTGAGATTTTGAGTAGACCAAACGATCCAGAATTAGAGATAGATTTCAGAACAACTTGCTCAGCAATTCAGGCCAATTCTACTCTTTATGACCCACCACTAATGCAAGCTTACCAAGATTATCTCAAAGCTTATCAACTAAAAACATCTCTTTATAATATTGAATGAGATGAAGAAAACAATAGAACTAATTTAATTATTTATAACACTGAAACTGAAACCCAAGAAATCAAAACCTTGCAGACTCCAGAACGGCTAGACCGAGGCACTTGCATAACTCAACTTCCAAATGGCAAGCTATTCTGTTTTGGTAATAATACATCTTCAGGAATTACAGTGCTAATTGATGTGGATGGTGGAGTCGAAGTGCTGCCATCAGGAACAGAAAAATCGTATTTATTTTTTACAATTCAGTACTCCCTCTTGCTTTAAATATCCACTAAAAATGTTTCCACTCTCAATTGAATTTCAGCTAGAGAACTCAATATAACGCTTCTTAAAAGAAATCAGTAAGAAATAGCGCCCATCTGGAACTCCTTGCTCTGAGTCATCATGTATATTGCTATTAAAGAATGATAATTGCATATAGATAATCCTTGGAAACTGCATATTGATGGGATAAATGATATGGTATGTTCCCAAATATCAATTCATCTTTCTAGTATTGGCATTTTTTAAAGAGATTGCACAGCTGAGTGCATAAAAAATCCAAAAATCTATATAGCCTATTTTATCTTTTTCTCAAGCCCAACAGAAATTCAAATTCAATCTCAATCTAAATCTCCCAAAAGCTAAACTCTGTGAAAGACTGCAATAAAACATCAAGTGATCTATATTTATTTCAACAACAGCGTCTATTGCTTTGGAGGAGAAGATAAAAATTATGATAGTTTAACTCTATCTAGTAGATTCGATTTGGATCAAAATCGATGAATTCCATTAACTCCAATGCCAAAAGCTCATTCCTCTTGCTATAGTATAATATTTAATGGAAATATTTTGATTTCTGGATCTAGTAGTAATCTTTTGTTATACTCAATTGATATTGACTCTTTCTCGACAATTCCTTATGAGTTTCAAAACAGTCCTATTAATATCCTGATAAATGCAGAGAGACTCTATTTGATTGCATGCTTTTGAGCTGGTGAAGTGTATTGCTCATATAATAAAGGAGGAATATATATCTCAAAATCTTCTAGGTTGATTAGAAATTATTATTTTTTTAATTTAGATCAAAAAAACATTATTGATATTGCTTACTATAATAGGCATGTCGCACTTAGAAGAGTAGATAAAAAGATTGAAGTAATAAAATGCAATATCCAGAATTTTAAGCTTTATTCTAATTATCTGGATGAATGAAGTCTAAAAGGTAATACTCTAAAAGGTTTAGGAGATAATTTGGAAGATATTGAATGCTGTGATGAAGAAATCAAACTCAATCCAAACGAGGTTTATTTATACAAAAATAAAGGCAAAGCTTTGTTTTATTTAAAAAGATATCTAGAAGCAATCGAATGCTATGACAAGCAATCAAACTCGATCCAAAAAATGCTGATTATTACGATAATAAGGGCAATGCTTTGTTTTATTTAAAAAGATATCTAGAAGCAATCGAATACTTTGATGAAGCAATCAAACTCAATCCAAAAAATGCTACCTTTTACTATAATAAAGGTAGAGCTTTTTATAATTTAGAAAGATATCTAGAAGCAATCGAATGCTATGACGAAGCAATCAAACTCGATCCAAACGAAGCTTATTGTTACGGTGATAAAGGATTCACTTTGCTTGAATTAGAAAGATATCTAGAAGCAATCGAATGCTGTGACAAAGCAATCGAATGCTTTTGCAAAGCATTTAAACTCAGTTTAGACTATGCTATTATTTACTGAATGAAAAGATATGCTTTAAATAAATTAGGAAGATACTCAGAAGCAGTAGAAAGTCATGAAGAAGCAATCAAAAGCTATCCAAATAATGCCAGATTTTATAATAGTAAAGGCAATAATCTTTATTTTTTAGAGAGATATCAAGAAGCTATTCAATGCTATGATGAGGCAATCACACTTGAACCCAATAATCCTTTGCATTTCTGCAGCCGAGCTAGAGTATTTAATAGTCTCAGACAAGAAGAAGCAGCTTTGCAGGACTTTAATAGGGCTTATAATTTGAAGCAAGAAAATCAAGTAAGTGGTGTTTTCACTGGGGATGAATGGAACCTTATTGAGGAGGATATCAAGTTTATTAACGACGTATTAGGCCGAGACCGTATTGAACTACTCAAAAAAAAAAATGCATATTTAGAATAAAATTTGATTCTAATAAATCTTTATCTATCTACATAAATCAGCCTTTGAGATGGATTTCCTTCAGTATCTTGAATTTTTTGTTTCAAACTTTTAATGGAATCGGGTGAGCTGACTTCAAACTCGTAATATTCTCCCTCAAATTTTTAACTGGAATTAAAAAGTTTTCGGCAATGTAGCTTCATGCTTCGAAACGAAGGAGTATCAGAGCACCGTCATATATATTAAACTCAAAGTATTTTCTAAAATGTGACATTTCCATAAGAAGCTGTTCACAAATATCAATAAGCCCTTATAATGAATTCAACTTTTTCTTCACTGCAAATTTAAGAGTTTATGCAATTACTAGACAGTATCAAATACGGGAAAGCGAAGAATACAATGAGTATGCTTGAAAGTTAGTTGGGGGAATGGCAGTGATTGGCTCTCCTCTAAATCACGCAGTTTTCCAGCTAACCCAAAAAGAGTCAAAATTTTTTGGAATAAGGCAATCACAAAATGTAGGTTATTATAATTTTAATTTCAAATCAAAAAAGTTTGAAAAGATTGAGAAGGGAAAGAAACCTGCCTGCAGCATCATTTAACACTAATAATTTAGATATTTAATTAAAATCCTCAAATACAATCTCTTGAGATCGCAATGCAATGCTGATCTTGTCCGAATATAAATAAAAAGTTTTAATTGCTTTATACTTACTTTTTTATTACGAATGAACACTATAAAGCTTATAATTCTGCATGATCTATAATTTTATTATAAGCTGCCATTTTGCTTTTACTCATTTGAAAAAGGATTAGAATGCATATAGCTTTACAAAATTAGATATCTAATAATTATTATATGATGGTGAAGAAATGTTTCGTGCCAGGGTGTATGAACGAGGCTGGGCATTCATGCAAATGCTCTTCTCCTGAAACTTTATTGTGTGGAGAGCACATCGGGGAGCATGTAAACTTACCTAATAGAGCTCATAATCTTGAATCAATTTTTATGCAGCCTTGTGAAGGGACAAAAGAAGCAATTCTTGAATTCCTTGCAAAAGAAAATTCAAAATTTAGCGAGTTGAGAAGAAAAATTATAGATTCCTTTCGCCAGCGTCTTCCTAATTCAGAGAAAGATTTAGGAGATTTCACTAAGTTGGATTGCTACTTAGATGAAATAAATGACCTCATTGCAAAAATTTCCCAAACTTCAAAATTATTAAAGTCAGAAGATCCAATTTTAGGATTATTGAGTTTACAGCCTCAAGAAGCTATTGAGAAAGTTAAATTGATGACCAAAAACAGCAGAGATTGATACAACGGTGCAAAGCTATTTATTATATTCAATCAAAAGTTAGAAAGCCTAAATAGATCATTCTTTACAGAAATATGCGGGTCATATCTAGATAAAAGTAATATGCAAAATACTCCTGAAATGCATAATAAAAATAAAGCCGCAAGTGTAGCAAACGTTAACAATTCGATTTCCATGATTTCAATGATAATAAATGAGAACTGTGGAAGTTTAAAAAGGTCTGAAAAAGCAAGCAAGCCAATAAAATTGCTTAATTCTCAAATAAGCACTGCTTCTAATGATCTCAACAATAAATCCAAGGAAACAGAAAGTGCTTTAAGCGTCATAGATACCTTAAGAAATAAAACAGCTGAGATTTTGAGTAGACCGAACAATCCAGAATTAGAGATAGATTTCAGGACAACTTGTTCAACAATACAGGCGAATTCTAGTCTTTATGACCCACCACTAATGCAAGCTTACCAAGATTATCTCAAAGCATATCAACTAAAAACATCTCTTTATAATCTTAGAGAAGATAGCAATGGAACTAACTTAATTATTAATAACACTGAAACTGAAACCCAAGAAGTCAAAACCTTGCAGACTCCAGAACCACTAGACAAGACAACTTGCATAACTCAACTTCCAAATGGCAAGCTATTCTGTTTTGGTAATAATAAACACTCAGGAATTGCAGTGCTAATTGATGTAGATGGTGGAGTCGAAGTGCTGCCATCAGGAACAGAAAAATGGTATTTATTTTTTATAATTTAGTACTCTCTCTTGCTCTAAATATTCTCTAAAATGTTTCCACTCTCAATTGAATTTCAGCTAGAGAACTCAATATAACACTTCTTAAAAGAAATCAGTAAGAAATAGCACCCATCTGGAACTCCTTGCTCTGGCTCATCATGTAAACTGTTTTTAAAGAATGGTAATTGCATATAGATAATCTTTCGAAACTGCATATTGATTGGATAAATGATATGGTATGTTCCCAAATATCAATTCATCTTTCTGGTGTTGGCGTTTTTATGAAGAGATTGCACAGCAGAGTGAATAAAAGATCCAAAAATCTATATAGCCTATTTTATCTTTTTCTAAAGCCCAACAGAAATTCATTATCAATATCCATCTCTCATCTCCTAAACTCTGTGAGAGCCTTCAATAAAACATCAAGTGATCTATATCTATTTCAACAACAGCATCTATTGCTTTGGAGGGAGAGATGAAAATGATTATGCTTTTACTCTATCTATTAGATTTGATTTGGATCAAATCGATGAATTCAATTAACTCCAATGCCAAAATCTGATTACTCTTGCTCTAGTATAATATTTAATGGAAATATTTTGATTTCTGGAGATTATAGTGAATATCTTTGGTTATACTCAATTGATATTGACTCTTTCTCGACAATTCCTTATGAGTTTAAATATAATGATAGAAAGATCCTGATAAATGCAGAGAGACTCTATTTGATTGAATGCCCTGGATATTTGATTGAATGCCGTGGATCAATCTATGAAAGCGAAATTGGAAGCTACTCGAATTGGAGAAGAATAGCAGAATCAAAATTCAATTTTAATCAAGTGTTTTGTTCATATAATAAAGGAGGAATATACATCTCAGATATTTATGATTCGGCTGAAGAATATTATTTTTTTAATTTAGATCAAAAAATCATTATTGATATTGCTTACTATAGTCAGCATGTCGCACTTAGAAGAGTAGGTAAAAAGATTGAAGTAATAAAATGCAATGTCGATTTTAAGCTTGATTCTAATTATCTGGATGAATGAGGCTATACTCTAAGGACTTTAGGAGAAGATTTGGAACGAATTGAACCCTATGACAAAGCAATCAAACTCAATCCAGGTGTTGATTCTTACACTTTAAAAGGGAACACTTTGTATTATTTAGAAAGATATCTAGAAGCAATCGAATGCTATGAAGAAGCAATCAAACTCGATCCAAACAATGCTAAATTTTACGATCTTAAAGGATAAGCTTTGTTTAATTTAGAAAGATATCTAGAAGCAATCGAATGCTTTGACGAAGCAATCAAACTCAATCCAAACAATGCTAACTTTTACGATATTAAAGGATTAGCTTTGTCTCATTAGAAAGATATCTAGAAGCAATCGAATGCTTTGACGAAGCAATCAAACTCAATCCAAACGAAGATTATTTTTACAATAGTAAAGGCAGGGCTTTTTCTAATTTAAGAAGATATCTAGAAGCAATCGAATGCTATGACGAAGCAATCAAACTCGATCCAAACAATGCTAACTTTTACGATATTAAAGGATTAGCTTTGTTTGATTTAGAAAGATATCTAGAAGCAATCGAATGCTTTGACGAAGCAATCAAACTCAATCAAAACAATGCTAACTTTTACGATATTAAAGGATTAGCTTTGTTTAATTTAGAAAGATATCTAGAAGCAATCGAATATTTTGACGAAGCAATCAAACTCGATCCAAACAAAAATAGCTTTTACAATAATAAAGGATTAGCTTTGTCTCATTTAGAAAGATATCTAGAAGCAATCGAATGCTATGACGAAGCAATTAAACTCGATCCAAAAAATGCTACCTTTTACAATTATAAAGGCGACGCTTTTTATAATTTAGAAAGATATCTAGAAGCAATCGAATGCTATGACAAAGCAATCAAACTCGATCCAAAAAATGATGATTATTGCAATAATAAAGGCAAAGCTTTGTCTAATTTACAAAGATATCGAGAAACAATCAAACCTAAGAATTCATGCTTTTCTAAATGCATAATTATCTAATTTCTTATTTAAGGCTCTTATATATCAAATTTTAATTAAAATTTTCATAAATATACCTTGCCTAGCTGAAGTTATAATTAGAGCTGCTTGGCCAAATGTATATAGCTTTAAAACACTAGATATCTAATAATTATTATATGATGGTGAAGAAATGTTTCGTGCCAGGGTGTATGAACGAGGCTGGGCAATTATGCAAGTGCTCTTCTCCTGAAATTTTATTGTGCGAAGAGCACACCGGGGAGCATGTAAACTTACCTAATAGAGCTCATAATCTTGAATCAATTTTTATGCAGCCTTGTGAAGGGACAAAAGAAGCAATTCTTGAATTCCTTGCTAAAGAAAAGTCAAAATTTAGCGAGTTGAGAAGAAAAATTATAGATTCCTTTCGCCAGCATCTTCCTAATCCTGAGAAAGGTTTAGGAGACTTCACTAAGTTGGATTGCTACTTAGATGAAATAAATGACCTCATTGCAAAATTTTCCCAAACTTCAAAATTATTAAAGTCAGAAGATCCAATTTTAGGATTATTGAGTTTACAGCCTCAAGAAGCTATTGAGAAAATAAAATTAATGACCACAGTCAGCAGAGATTGATACAACGGTGCAAGGCTATTTATTATATTCAATCAAAAGTTAGAAAATCTAAATAGATCCTTCTTTACAGAAATATGCGGGGCATATCTAGATAAAAGTAATATGCAAAATACTCCTGAAATGCTGAATAAAAGTAAAGCCGCAAGTTTAGAGCCATCAAACGTTTAATTAGTCTAAATTATTTTTGCTTTATTGATTTTTTTCTATTTTATGCATCAAAATGTAATGACTTGATAATGTGCCTCCAGCATTTTACTTCCAATAAAGCTTCGATTTCCTTGATAATAAATGAAAACTGTGAAAGTTTAAAAAGATTTGAAAACGCAAACAAGCCAATAAGGTTACTTAATTTTCATATAAGCACTGCTTCTAATGATCTCAACAATAAATCCAAGGAAACAGAAAGTGCTTTAAGCTTTATAGATACCATAAGAAATAAAACAGCTGAGATTTTGAGTAGACCAAATAATCCAGAATTAGAGATAGATTTCAGAACAACTTGTTCAGCAATTCAGGCCCATTCTAGTCTTTATGATCCACCACTAATGCAAGCTTACCAAGACTATCTCAAAGCTTATCAGCTAAAAACATCTCTTTATAATCTTAAATGAGATAGCAATGGAACTAAATTAATTATTTATAACACTGAAACTGAAACCCAAGAAGAAATCAACACCTTGCAGACTCCAGAACGGCTAGACTCTTACACTTGCATAACTCAACTTCCAAATGGCAAACTATTCTGTTTTGGTAACTGTCCAGCTTCTGGGATTACAGTGCTGATTGATGTGGATGGTGGAGTCGAAGTGCTGCCATCAGGAACTCCTTGCTCTGGCTCATCATGTATCTATTTCAACAACAGCGTCTATTGCTTTGGAGGAAGTAATGAAGATGATAGTGCTTTAATATCTATTAGATTCGATTTGGATCAAAATCGATGAATTAAATTAACTCCAATGCCAAAAGCTGATTATTGGTGCAATAGTATAATATTTAATGGAAATATTTTGATTTCTGGACATTGAAATAAAAATCTTTGATTATACTCAATTGATATTGACTCTTTCTCGACAATTCCTTATGAGTTTAAATATAATGAAAGAAAGATCCTGATAAATGCAGAGAGACTCTATTTGATTGAATGCCGTGGATCAATCTATGAAAGCGAAATTGGAAGCTACTCGAATTGGAGAAGAATAGCAGAATCAAAATTCAATTTTAATCAAGTGTTTTGTTCATATAATAAAGGAGGAATATACATCTCAAATATTTCTATATTAGATGAAGAATATTATTATTATTTTTTTAATTTAGATCAAAAAATTATTATTGATATTGCTTACTATGGTAGGCATGCCGCACTTAGAAGAGTAGGTAAAAAGATTGAAGTAATAAAATCCAATGTCCAGAATTTTAAGCTTGATTCTAATTATCTTGATGAACGAAGTCTAAAAGACAATGCTCTAAAGACTTTAGGAGAGAAATTTGCAAAAATTGAATTCTATGACAAGCAAATCACACTCGATCCAGACAGTGCTACCTTTTACAATAAAAAATGCAATGCTTTTTATAATTGAGAAAGATATCTAGAAGCAATCGAATGCTTTGACGAAGCAATCAAACCAAAAGATGCTAATTATTACAATAAAAAAGGCCACGCTTTTTGTAATTGAGAAAGATATCTAGAAGCAATCGAATGCTATGACGGAGCAATCAAACTCGATCCAAAAGATGCTAGCTTTTATGATAATAAAGGCGACGCTTTTTATAATTTAGAAAGATATCTAGAAGCAATCGAATGCTTTGACGAAGCAATTAAACTCGATCCAAAAAATGCTATTTATTACAAGAATAAAGGCGACGCTTTTTATAATTTAAAAAGATATCGAGAAGCAATCGAATGCTTTGACGAAGCAGTCAAACTCGATCCAAAAAATGCTATTTATTACAAGAATAAAGGCGACGCTTTTTATAATTTAGAAAGATATCGAGAAGCAATCAAACCTAAGAATTTATTCTTCTCTAAATGCATAATGATCTAATTTCTTATTTAAGGCTCTTATATATCAAATTTTAATTAAAATTTTCATAAATATACCTTGCCTAGCTGAAGTTATAATTAGAGCTGCTAGCCTCATCAGAATATTTCATTGTGGGCATAGTATAGTAGCAGTATCAGAACTTGATAAAAAATCATAGACTTCACATGCTTTTTTGGTTTGAGTTCTATAAGAATTGATTTGAATTCGCTTTTGGGCTTTCAGCTTTTTTGGCTTTTCTTGAGTTAAAGATCGAAGGACCAAAGTTTGAGAAGTCTTCGAAATATTAATTTCAGGCTCCTGAGATTGTGTGAGAATGGCGTCGAGCTGCTCATGAATTACTATGCCAGTTAGGCCTTGGAATCTAAGAGGCTTCTTTGTTATTGCATCTGGGCACTGTTGATCAAGCATCTAAAAATTTATTTAAATAAGGGGATTGAAATCATATTTAGATGGAGAAAATCTTCAAATAGAAAAAGAAGAAACTGATAAAAACCAAAGAATAGAAAGGTCTAAAAAAGAAATAGACGAAGTAAAAGAATGAATACAAGATTAATTCATAAAACCCAAGAATTACAAGAAAATGAAAACACTGAAGAAGAAATCATAAAATCATAGGAAACCCCAAACAGACTATCAGAAAGGCTATCAATTACATATATAATCTGTTAAGTGAACAATTAAAGTCTCAAATTAAAGAAATAAGCAAGCTTCAATTGAAATAAAAATTCAAAAAATGAAAGTACTTTTATATTAAATAAAGAAAGCATAAGAGATCCTTTTGAAAGAAGCCAAGCAAATATGTACTTCAATCAGCTTACTTATATTAAAAACGCAATTTAATCCTTTCTAATTAGAATTGAAGTTAAATTGAGTTATTAATTACCTTCAATAACCTCAGATTTTTCAGCGTCACCTTCTTAAGCTCTTCTCAGTGCATCAATAGCTTCTTCAACTTTAAGTTTTAATTCATGTGGGCTATTAAATAATGATAAAAGTTCTTCATTTTCCATTTCCAAAAGCATATCAGTGATCTTCCCTGCAATCTTTGAGTTCGAATTCATCAGCACAACTGGGTACAGCACTGCTCCTAGCATACTTTTTTTGGATTCTGGTAGAGCAATTTCATAGGCTCTGATATCGAAATTTATTGGTACTGGCTGAGGCTGGGCTAATATTTGAGAAGGGAAAGGGTTAACTTGCTGCTGAGGGAATTCTTGAAGAGGGAACTCTTGGGGTGAAGACGGCAGCTTTCCTCTCCCTATTTTTTTAGATTTAGCCCTTCCTCTTCCAGGCATAACTTTTGGCTGCTTTAATCCTCTATCTCCAGGGATCATTCCATATTTAAGCATGTGATTCTGCATCTTCTTCATCTTGGAGATGTTAATCGCGTTCGCAATTTCTTTCCTTGGTTTCCAAAAAACCACGTAAAGCTTTTTATCTCCTATTGATTTATTCCTCATCTCTTGAACAGCTCTTATAGCGCTCTCAGGTTTGACGAAAAGAATATAGGCGACGCCTTTTACAGTGAATTCTCTGATTATTTCATTGTTTTGGTAGCTTAGTCTTTCAACTTTTGGAATGTTTATAGATTCGATTTCTCCGAATTCTAGGAAAAAATTTTCTCAGCTCTTCTTCAGCAATGTCAAGTGGAAGACCTCTTATATAGATATTTCTTTGTTTCCAGTCTTCTTTCTTTTGCTCATTTTCTTGTCTCAGCAGCGCTAAACGCTTTTTCTTGTTCATGTGAACTGCAATGTACCAGATAAATCCGTTGTCAGATTTTCCATTTAAGGCTTGCATAGCGTTTGAGGCGTCTTCTTGATTGGCAAAGCAGACAATACCAAAGTATCTCTTAGTGCCATCTTCTTGCTTCTTGAACAGAATCTCGTGATGAGTGATTATGCCGAATGGTGAAAAAATGGCATGGAGTTGCTCAGTTGTCATATCAGCACCAAAACCTCTTACATAAAGGACTTCATCCTCAGAGATTATTCTGCTGCTGGCTGGAATATACTTGCTAACTTCCAATTCGCTTCCTCTCAGTAATGATCCATTTCCATAAGCAATTGCTGCTTCAGCCGCTTCACGCTCATCATACTGAATGAAGCCGAATTTCTTAGAAATTCCATTTTCATCATAGCTGATCTTACAAGACAAAATGCCACCATAATCCTTAAAGTGATTTTCAAGCTCTTTATAGGTAACATTTTCGTTTATATTTTTTACAAAAATATTAGCTTCAGGGTCACGCTCTTTATCAAATCTCATCGCTCTAATGACTTTGCCTTTGAAGAGCAGCCCATTCATCTCGTTTCTTGCTAGGATCGCAGAAGCAGCATCAAGAAATTTGATAAATGCAACTTCACGAGACAATTTTGTGCCGGCATGTCTGAGAACTCTGATATGTGAAACTTGACCATATTGTGAGGCTTGCTTGTAAAGGTCAGATTCAGTAACAGTCGGATCAAGATCGCTTACGACTATTTCTAATTCACTACTAGGACATTGCTGCATTTTTTCTTAAGAATTTATTCTTCTCTAAATGCATAATGATCTAACTTCTTATTTAAGGCTCTTATATATCAAATTTTAATTAAAATTTTCATAAATATACCTTGCCTAGCTGAAGTTATAATTAGAGCTGCTAGCCTCATCAGAATATTTCATTGTGGGCATAGTAGCAGTATCAGAACTTGATAAAAAATCATAGACTTCACATGCTTTTTTGGTTTGAGTTCTATAAGAATTGATTTGAATTCGCTTTTGGGCTTTCAGCTTTTTTGGCTTTTCTTGAGTTAAAGATCGAAGGACCAAAGTTTGAGAAGTCTTCGAAATATTAATTTCAGGCTCCTGAGATTGTGTGAGAATGGCGTCGAGCTGCTCATGAATTACTATGCCAGTTAGGCCTTGGAATCTAAGAGGCTTCTTTGTTATTGCATCTGGGCACTGTTGATCAAACATCTAAAAATTTATTTAAATAAGGGGATTTAAATAATTATGAATGTTTTAAATATGAGAAAATTTGTAATTTAAGATCCAAATAAATATTAGGAGTTACTTAAGTAATCTTAGAGATTTGTTAAATTTAATTAATTAAATATTCCTTTTAAAAAATGCTGCAAAAACCTTTTGAATATAAAAGTTAATAAAAATAAGAAACTTTTTATATTTAACTTCTATAGAATTAAACTTAATATTTACACTACTCTATAAGACAAAGAAGTTATTTTCAAGTTTTATTATTATTTTTTGTATTCAATTTAGTCTCATAAAAAGGGCTTTAATTTAGAAAAAAAAACCCAATTTTTTTCTTAGTGTTTTAATTTTACTGTTTTGGAATTGAGTGATATCAATTTCAGTGTTTTCTTTTGATGAATTATAATTTATAAATATTCAGTTTCTTGAACTTCTGCACATGATTTTCACCATTTTCAAGTTTTATGCATTTCTTTTTTTGTTTTTTTATTTCTTATAAAAATGGATATCGAATCAATCATACATTCTAGGCAGCAATTCGCTATGAATTGGCTATCTAATTACATCAACTTAAGCCAAATTTTTACTGCCTATTATTCAAAATTTGTAATGGCTCAGCTCTTACCATTTTTTTCTAGGTTGCTTGAGGTTAGTTTTACGAATTTTTTATAGCTGAGCAAAATCAGTGGAAGCAAAATTTAATTTCTCTTTAGATATGATAATTCTAGCTACCTATTTTGAAAAAATAGCTCTCAATTTGCTCTAAAAAATCAGTAAGAGGTCAGTCATTGTATACTCTTATTATATTCCCTACAAAAATCATTTGAGGCCTCAACAATTAATCAGAAACTAGACAAAAACTTACTGTCTCTGATCGATTCAATTTATTTTTGATTTTTTTTATTTTACAAATTTTTTGAAATATAATTATCGGTAAATAATGCATCTTTGTTAGTAGCTTGAATGCTAAAAATAATTTTTATCGAATATTTAAAATCCAGAAAAAAAAATTAGCAAAAAAATCTTGGTTAAACCAAAGCAGTTGTTAGCAGAAAAAATAGAAAAAAATAATTTTCATTGTACAGTTTGCAATAAAGATTTCAACTCCTATAAAGGTTTAAAGCAGCATATAGGTAAAAGCCACGACAATACAGTCAAAAATTTTTGCTGTGAGACTTGCAGCAGGCTTTTCAACAATAAATATGCTTTGAAATTCCATATAAGGCAGGTGCACGAAAAATCAACCGCTGTGAAGTGCGATGCATGCGAAAAAGTATTTTATAATAAATACAAACTGAAGGAGCACTCAACCAAAGCCCACAATAATTTATAATATCCTAAAATTTTTGTTCATAATTATAAATTTTGCTATAAATAAAAAATTTTTATCTCATTTGAATAGTGAAATTGACAATTTTGCTATAATAATTATGAATTCAGCAGAAAAACAATTAATTTATTTTTGCAGGTTTTATACCTATATCCATTTTTAAACTGATAATCTTTATTCATGGGATTTCATTATTCAGAGCTGATAATGTAAATTCAATATAGGCATCTGCTTTATGCATATCTGGGGTATTCTACGTTTAAAGCAATAAGAGTTCCTCCGAATGAAGCTACTGAGAAATCAGAACACAAGAAAAAGAAGCTTTTAATGAAATGGGTTTCCTGCACAATTCTTTTATACTTCCAAGGAGCTTTAGATTATTTTGTGTCATGAGTCCCTACTTATTATTTCTGGAAAACTATTTTAATTTCGCTTATTTTGGTAGAAAACAGCTTGGCTGTCAAGCTGCTCCAAAATTTCGAAAATCATATACAGGAAGTTGAAAATTATATAGACAGTGCACAAAATTCAGTATTCTAAATTAAAAAAAATAATTAAATTATTTTTTATATAGTAATTGGCCTATTTATTTTATAGAGAATATATAGACGCTTATCTTTTCTTACTTTTCCTTTCTTTAAAGCTACCTTAAAAACTTTGAAATTTGTCATACAAGGAGCATCTTCAGACCAGCTTAAAGAATTAGAAATTCTAATTAAATTGTACAAAACACCGACTCAAAAGGCAGAAGATGAGGAAAAATTTGACAAAACTGAGCTGAGAAAGTACCAAACTTTCAGAAAGGTAGATGAGGACGAAAAATTTGACAAAAATGAGCTTAAAAAGTACCAGACTAATAGAAAAGTAGAAGAGGAAGAAAAATTTGACAAAACTGAGCTGAAAAAATACCAAACTTTACCTTCACCAGCTAAAAAAATTGCTCCACCTGCCAAAACTCCTTGGAAAGCCAATGTGCATTTTATGCTCAAAAAAGGAATGTCCTCATATTTTCCACATACTATTTGGTTTGACGTAAAAAATAAACTTTTGCATTGGAAAGCTGAAGGTGACGACCAGACTTTTAATGATACTTTTATAGGGGTCAAGGTAAAAGATGAAAAAAAATATTTATTAGAAATAAAATTAGCAACTTCAACGAAAATAGTCAAGTTTGTGGATCTGAAAAATATGAATAACTGGGAAGGATTCTTGCAAGGGCAGGCTTAATAATTATATTATTTTCATTGATTTTTTTAAAATAATAATCTACATTAGTCTTTTGGCAAAAAAGAATGCGAAACCACTGGCTTTTCTTCAATTTTACTCACAACTTCTTCTTTACCTTTTTTTAAAAATTTTTCAATTTTTTCAAATTTCTCTTTGTCAATAATTTTTTTCTCTTCATCGACCTTAATTTCAACGAAATCTGACTTAATGTCGTTATCATTTTTGCTATACATCTTTATGGCTTCTACCTTTACGAGAACATTCTGTAGCAGACGGTCTAAGTTTTCTTTTTCTTGGATTTGCTTATTAAATTCAGAGCTTATGCTGCTTATTTGAATTTCTGCGCTGTCTATTTGGTCTTTAAGTCTACTTATGCTTTCTAATAGTTCTTTTTCGCTCTCCACAAGCCTTAAAACTTGAGATTCTAAATGGACTTTTTCTTGTTTCAGCATATCTAGCTGAGTATTTTGGAGCTCAATTGATGAGCTTAAATGGTCTAACTGATTGTCTATAGTCCCTTTATACTCAAAAATCTCTTCAACAGACTCTGCTAAGTCACTAAAAATTCCAATTCCTTGAGCTTGCTCATTTTGCATTTGGATTTTTTGTCTATTTAACGCTTTGATTTCTTCTTTAGCATCAGCTAAGTCTTCATTGTTTTTATTTATTTCGTTTATTTGTGTTTCTAACTCTGTAAGCGAGCAAAGCCATTGGAAAGTCTGAAAATTCCACCCTCTGTGAGCTAACAAAAAATTTTTTTTCGCTCATGGAGGTGAGGAGTAAAGAATTTTGCAAATTTTTAATATTGTCTTGCAACTGATTTCTGGTGTCTTGCATGGATTTTATTTCTTTCATAGTGAAAAGCTTTTCGTTTTCTAGGTCATCGATAAACCCTTTTTCTTTGCTCCCCCTCTAGGTGAGAAAACTATATTTTTGAAAAATTAACCCATTTGTGATCGGGAAAATTTTATAATATATAAATAATTATATAGTTGGTGTTTACCTCTGCAAAAGATGTAGTGTTTGTATTTATATTGATTTTTTTGATATATAAAATATATACTCTTGGCTCAACATTTCACACGTTATAGCTAAGGCGAACTGGAGCGGACTCCGTATCAAAAATCAAGTGCAGGCTCAAGACATGTTTATCCGATTTTGCTGCTTTTCTATGTTGGAAATTGAGGTGCCCAGCAATGTCCTATTGGGAAGAAGGCACTTCGGTACTCAATGGACTCTAAGGATCCTTGGAATCAAGCTACTCCAATAGCTCGTAATAGGGCTGCAGAAACCCATAAGCCGCCCACTTAAGACTGAAGCTGTAAGGCAACTAGGACACAGAAGGTACTAGAAGTGGCTCCACCTTTGGGGAAAAGACTCTCTATGCTGAAGTTGAAAAGTGGATGAACCTCCCTGCACAGGAGATCTTGGTGACTGCGCTATCAATATGGGCTAACACCTGCCTTTAATAGCTTAATTTTTGATATATAAAATAATAAAATATTTAATTAAATCTCTAGACAAGTTTATCAAATGCTAATCAGCTAGGTTATAAAGCATAAATTTTATAATAATTTATATCCTTACTTGTAAATTTTTCAATTGAAATTATTTAAGTATCGAAAACAAAAATTTTAAAATAAAAAATTAACCTTCCGTGTGGAGTTAGAAATTTTGGATTCTGAGTCTTCTATTTGTTGCTGGAGAGAAGTATTTAAGGTTTCTAGCTTAGCTTTGCGGTCTTCTAACTCCCCCCCCCCTCCGTGAGTGAACAAAACCATTAGAAAAATCGGCATTTTTTTGCCCAAAAACCCGCCCTCCGTGAGTGAACAAAAATGCTTTTAATAGAAAAATTTTTTATGGGAAAAAATTTTGATATATAAGTGATAATTAGCATAATGAAATCTAGAGCTAATTCTGTTTAATTTTAAACAAATTGCGTTTTAAAACATAAATTTTATAAATTAAATTAATATTTGCTTTCCAATTTTTGCGAATTAGGATTTTTTTAAATTCCGAAGAAAAAAAAATTTTTATAAAATTTATATATAAATTTTTTTTAAAAAAAAAAAAATTAACCCCCCTCCGTGAGTGAACAAAAATTTTTTTGTTCACTCACGGAGGGGGGGGGAGTAAGGATTTAACTTTGGTTTTGGTGGATTCGAGAGAGAAAAGAGCTGGAATTAGGTCAAGTTCATCTCCATCTGCCTTAAGAGGATCGCAGTCAAGGTTTAATTGAGGATAAAGTTCTTTTAGCTCATTACAAGGGACAGAGTATGTGAAGCCTATAAGGAGAAGTAATAGAAAACCCTTCATTAAATTATTATTTTAACGGATTTTTAGCGTATCCATTTTTGATTAGGGATATCAAATTTTGTTACAAACAGAATTTATAAATAGAATTATATATATCAGAAAATAATAAAATCGGCCCCAATATAAAAATAGAATCAGTCATATTCTTAGCTCTTTATGATATTTTAACATTCATGCTTTTATCCTATTAAAAGATTGATACAAAATGCTATTTTTATGCATCTAAATAATTTTATATGCTTAATAAAGCATTAAATTTTGTTAATATTCAATAAAGACTGAAGGGAATACTTTTCTTATCAAAAATATATAGTTCTATATTTTTGATCCAAACGATAGTTTAAAAATCAATATACTTATAAATGATTACAATTGCCTTACCAAATAAATTTTATTATAACAATTTTGAATTATTCTCTTTCTAGCTTTATTTTTATCCTATTTTTCGACTTAATGAGCTCTCTATACTCACTTCTACTAGTCAGCTTCATTTTAATCGGCTTTGGAGTAGTTGTTATTACATTTGACAGCATTTGTCCTGAAAACTCATACGGTGCTGTTTTCAGCTGAAATGATGAAGATTCTCGCTTTAATCTTGCTGGGGAATCAAAAGAAAATTTTCGGAAAAATCCTCTGAAGTTCATATGGTGTGGATTTGATGAAGGTGGAAACTTATAAGGCTCTTTAATCCCAGACGCCTTTCTTGATATTAGTTGGTTACTTTTATACATTTCTTTTTTCCTTTTTACTCTGTTTAGTGAATGATAAAACGATCTTCGATGATGGGATTCGTCGAATGAGCTGTTAAGATTCCACAATTTATTATTCTATTTTTATAAAAAAATATTAATGAGTATTTTTTAAAAAAAAATAATTATTATCATTTTTAATAGGATATCCTCTGTAGGAAGTCTAATAATGAGCTTCAGTTGAGGTTTCGGTGATAAAGAGCGCTCTGGGTTAATAGAGTGATGCTTGGAATTCATAATTCATATGGATTTTTATAAGTGTTATTTCAATTTACCATTTCTCTAATGGTGGTAATTTTTAAGAAAAAAGGCTCATGATTTTGTATTTTTATACATAAAATGCTTAAATTTAAGCTAAATTTACATGAAAAATGGAAAACCTTTATACTAAAGTGGGCAGATGCAATTTTCTGAAAAAAAAACCAAGAAAAAAGGGAAGAATTTTTTTGATTTTAAATTCAAAATTACGAGGTGTGAATCATAGTTTTGCAGTAAAATAAGAAAATTCCTTTGAAATTTTGATTTTATTTTTTTTGAAAATAATAACCATCATTTTTCAATAAAAATTTGATCAGGGTCTCCATAAACCATGATCATTATTTTGGAACAATCTCCTCAAGACAGCTCAAGATTTTCGTGCAATAAACGTAATTTTCCATCTTAAATTTTAGGTGAATAATAATAATTTAATTATGATAACTCCTGAGCCACTACCCAAGGAATTTGAAAACACCTTTGAAAAAGAAAGTAAACTAACGAAAAAATCAAAAGAACAAGATTTCCAAGTGAAATATAAAACTGAGATGTGTAAAAACTGGATAAATGGCCACTGTCAATTCGGTGACAACTGTGCTTTCGCTCATGGCAAAGAAGAATTACGTGAAAAAACCTTGTCTAAAAAAGAGTGCACACACTTTGCAGAAGGTTTTTGCGTTTACGGAGATAGGTGTCTTTTTAAGCATATTGTCAGCTCAAAACGAAGGCTGCCTGTTTTTATAAATATATCAATGAAAGGACAGATGGAGAGACTAGAGTATGTCATCTATATTAAATGGCATTTTTTTCATATTCTAACTATATTTTTTTAGCCTATATAGATTTAGCTTTCAAAAATTAAAGCTGCGATAGAAAAATAATGCAAAAAGTATAGATAATCTTTATCTTTATCTTTATCTTAAATCTAATTTTATTCAAATTTCATTTATATGGTTAAAAAAAAGAATATATGCAGCATAAAAGTATATAAAATGATTTCATTGATATTTATTTTATACTTTAAAATTATAATGAACGTATTAATCGTAAAAGAATATTCAAAAAATTACATATTAAATGTTTTATAATTATGGAAGAAATACCAGAAGAATTTTTCTTATGTGAAGAATACACTCTATTTAATGAATCATTAGGAGAATACACACAAGAATTCTACGCATTAAAATCAGCTTGCACAGACTATGATTTAACTGGACAGGTTATATGGCCCGGTGCAAAAATTTTAAGCCAATATTTATTAGAAAATCAGCACAAATTACAAGATAAAGATTTATTAGAAGTAGGCTCAGGGTCTGGATTTACCGGCCTTTTTTGCTCACATTTTGCAAGAAAAGTGGTTTTGAGTGACGGAAATGACATTGTTTTAAGGCTTCTTGAGAAAAATAAAGTTTTTGGTCATTGCCCGATTTTTGTATGCAAAATTGAATGGAATGAAGACAACTCAGCCGCTGAGCTAGAATCAAAAGAATTGCCAATAAAATACCCAGTGATTATAGGATCAGATGTGATTTATAGTATAGATGCAGTTATACCTTTATTTAACACAATAAATAAACACTTGGAAAATGACGGAGAGTTCATTATGTGCTACACAAACAGAGCAATGAACAATTACAGAGTTCTGTTAGAAGAAAGTGAGAAACTTGGGTTTTCCCATGAAGTCTTGTGGAATGAGCTGAATGTTTATTTATACTCTTTTAAAAAAATCAATAATTAAAAAAATACTTCGAAAAATTGAGTTTTTATAGTCAAAATGCAGCTTGTTCGCTGTTTTGATCTATTTTCTTCATTGAAATTGAAGCCTTATGCTGTCTGAGTGCCATAAAAATGGATTTCCAAGCCATTCTTGTCCTCCAGCGAACCCAAAAATGATAATCAGCATTCCTCAGTCTAAAATTTTTCTTAAAAAATCATCTGCATATCATTTCCTTTCACAAATACCTCGATTTTCGTTAATTAGAAACTAGCTTATTTTGCCATATTCTTTACCATAAAACAAGCTGATTTTTAGGAATTTCATGAGTTAATAATTTATGATCTGATCTGCCAAAGATGGAGAACAGTAAGAGCGCAAACAAAAACAAACCCCAAGCTAAAAAACAAGGAAAACAGCCAGCAGCTAAAGGAAAGAAGATGTCAGCCATCGCAAAAATGGCCCTACAAGCTAGAATGGACGCTGAAGAAGAGGAAGCACTAAGACTATTCTTTTTTCCTATTATTTCCCATATTTCCCACTCCTTATCATAATTTTTCAACAAAATACAGCCCCCTTCTCTTATTTATTTCAAAAAAATCCTTAAAATAGCATAAAAGAGGAAGAAGAACTTAAACAAAAAGAGATTGAAGAAGAAAAGAAGCGGCAAGAAGAAGAAAAAAAGAAAAAAGAAGAAGCCGAAAGAATCAAAAAAGAACGACTGGAATGGAAAAAAGAGCAAAAAAGACTAGGCCTCTGGAAAACCCCACAGCAGCTCGAAAAAGAAAGAAGGGACCGAGAAGCCTCAAAAGCTTTCATTGAGCAAGGACTCGTCAAGCCTACTGACGAATCTCAGCCTCGTGGCTTGCCAAGTGGCAAAAGAGCCAAAAAGGAAAGCGTTGAAGAGAAAAAAGAAATCGAAGAAGCCCCAGTAGAAGAACAAAAAGAAGTTGAAGAAGAAAAAGAAGACGATATTATGGATGACTGGGAAAATATTCTGGTTATAATTAAATAAAAAATTTATATAAATATTAATAGAAATATAGAAAAATTATAGAAAATTGGCATATGCTAGAAGAAAATGATATTAATTTGAAACAAGACACGACCAAGCTGAAGCCAAATCAGCTTTTGCATGAAGACGAGCTTGAAAAAGTTGAAGAAAAAGCTAAACCACCCCCACCTCCTCCAAAGGTGAAAAAAGAAAAAAAGCCAGCTGCAGACGAGCCTGCACAAGAATTCAAAGCTCCTGTTTTGTGCATTTTAGGACATGTGGATACAGGCAAAACTAAGCTGCTTGATAAAATTCGCCACACAAATGTCCAAACTGGAGAAGCAGGAGGTATAACACAACAAATTGGGGCCACAAATTTCCCAGATTATGCATTGCGAGAGCTTATAGCTAAGCTCCCAAATATGAAAATAGACATCCAAATCCCTGGACTGCTTATCCCTTATTTTTTGCCAATTCAAAATTTCTCTATAAGTTATTTTCTTATTTTTATTAAATATAGCCAAGCTTTTCTATAAAAAAATTCCTATTTATAATAATAAGATTATAATAGACACCCCTGGCCATGAGTCTTTTTCTAACCTTAGATCAAGAGGTAGCAGCTTATGTAACATCGGGATTTTGGTCGTAGATATCATGCATGGTCTAGAACCACAGACTTTAGAGTCCTTAGAAATGCTGAGGAAACGAAATATCCCGTTTATTGTTGCACTAAATAAAATTGATAGGATGTATGGGTGGAAACCAATGCAGGATGAAGCATTTTTTACGACTTTTAACCAACAAGATGAGAATGCCAGGGATGAGTTCATGAGGAGGGCTAGAGAAACAGTGATTGCTTTTGCAGAAAAAGGGCTGAATGCAGCTTTATATTATGAAAACCCAGACCCTGAAGAATATATCAGCTTGGTGCCTACAAGTGCGATTACAGGAGAAGGGATTCCTGACCTTTTAGGACTTATTGTGGACATTACACAGACCAGGCTAAATAAATTTATTAAATATAGCCCACAGTTAAGAGCTACAGTGTTAGAAGTAAAGGTCATTGAAGGGCTAGGAACCACTATTGATGTAATTTTAGCAAATGGAGAAATCAATGAAGATGACACTATTGTAGTCGCAGGATTTGAAGGGCCTATCTGCACAAATATTAGAGCATTGCTAACACCTCAGCCTCTTACTCTATCATTTTACTTAAATTTAGCATTTTTGGCTCAATTTTACTATAGGTTAAAAATATTAAATTAGGAAAATATTTTTAAAAAAATCCAAAATATAAATATCGCCTATAAAAAGCCTGGAAATTAGAGAAATGAGAGTGAAAGGAGAATACCAGCATCACAAATCAATCAGAGCTACAGCTGGTGTCAAAATTTCCGCACAAGGCTTAGACCATGCTATGTCTGGATCACAGCTCCTCGTTGCAGAAAGTGAAGACGTGATCCCTTACCTTATGGAAGAAGTCCAAAAAGATGTAGCTCAAATTTTCAGCTCAATCAACCAAAAAGGCAAAGGAGTCCACGTCCAAGCTTCCACAGTCGGGTCCTTAGAAGCCCTCCTTGAGTTCTTAAAAGAGTCCAAAATCCCTGTCAGCAGCATCAACATTGGCCCAGTCTTCAAAAAAGACGTAATGAAAGCCCAAAGCCAAATCGAAAAAGGCAACAAAAAACAATACGCAACAGTCCTCGCATTTGACGTAAAAGTCCATCAAGAAGCTGTAGAATACGCTGAAACAAATGGTGTCAAAATTTTCACAGCAGACATTATCTATACTATTTTTTCAGCATTTTCCACTATAAAATTTACCTTAAAAACCAAAATAATTCATTATAAAACAATATACCATTTGTTTGACCAGTTCACAAAATACGTTGAAGACGTAAAAAGAGAAGAAAAACTGGCCAGCGGCAAAGGACAAGACGCAGTTTTTCCTTGTGTGTTGAAAATTGTGGAGGTTTTTAGGACGTCAAGTCCGATTGTGCTAGGTGTTGACGTATTAGGAGGAGTTTTGAAAAAAGGGACGCCTTTGTGTGTCCCAGATAAAAATAATTTGATTATTGGAAAGGTGGATTCTATTGAATTTGACCATAAACCAGTAGAGTCCAGACGACAAGGACAAGGAAGTGTCGCGATCAAGCTGAAAGGAATGACCTCAGATCAAGATTCACTGATGGTTGGCAGGCATTTTGAAGAAACCAATCAGTTAGCAAGCTGGATTACAAGGAATTCTATAGACTCGCTTAAAGAATATTTTATGGACGAAATGACTATGGAAGACTGGAAATTAGTAAAAGTGCTGAAAGAAACCTTTGGAGTCCTATAGATAACTTAATCATTTAGCTTATAAGTTTAGCTTAATCCTTGAGGTGGCTGCATCAGTGACCCAAGCCAGCCTGTGTTCATTGTTTTTTGCATTTCTTTCATTTCTTTCATCTGTTCAGGGTCTAATTTCATCTTCGGCATACAAAAAGTCAGCCCAATCATGACGACGGCGATCAAGACCATAGGGTTTAAAAAAATGCTGGCAATAGAAAACCCTTCTCTGGTCTCAAAATAGTGGATTCTTCTTTCAGCAGTAAATCTTAGAGGGTATGGGACTCTTTCTTGTCGCAGTGCAGTTGGGACACCGTCTTGTGCTGTTATAATAGAGCCAGATACTTCTACAAGTACTGGGTTAAAATGATATGGTAGGGTATAATAATTTAGAAATTTATCCATAAAATTTTATATAAAATAAATAAGGGATTTTTCATAAAAATAATAGGGATTTATGAGAATTTTATGAAATAATGGTATACATAGCGTCGTAAACCTCAACTATATGTGTCCCATCCTCTACCCCAAAAAATTTAAAGTGTCCATTTGCATCTGGATAAGCGAACTTTTCCCCGTTATCCAATATAACTTTTGTTGTTTTGCGCTGTTCCCAATATCTTTTTTCATTAGGGTCTCTCGGAGACACAATATCACCATTAAGTGTGGCTGCTGATACTGCTGATATGAGAAACAATAGAAACATATTTAATATGAAAAAGTGATTAGCCAGCTTCCCATCAAAAATTGGCAGCTTAAATATACACAAAGATTCTGCACTTTTTGAGACTAGCAAGACAAAAGTTAGGTATCCTAAGGCAAATTAATTATTTTTTTAATAATTAAAATGGTATTTTAAGGCATATAATTTAATATAGAATATTTGATAAAAAGGTACACATATAAAACTAAGCCTGAAAATTGGAAGAAATTTATGACAAAACATTATTTAAAGGTCCAAGATGATGAAGAAGTCGCTATATTTGAGGAGCCAGGATTTGATAGCGTTTATGAGAGTGATAGAAGTGTGTTGATTTTGCCAAGCCCAGTTACAAGGTTAAATGTAATACAGATGGTATATGAATTAAGGTAAAAAAAAGCTAGAAATATTGGGATAAAAGGATGGGTGTTGGAGTCACATGCGGTTTTTGAAAAAAGAGAAAATATAGAGCTGGCTTTGGAATTTTTAGATAAAAAAGCTAATCTTTTGGCATGCTCAGCTAATTATAATGCAATCCAAGACAGTCCTTTATATACTCAAGCTGTTGTGATAGACCCTATAATGAACCCAAAAATTTGTTTTCAATCTCTTCCTTGCCATCTAGACCAAAAACTTCTCCTCACAGGCTCGTTTGGCTTTTAAGAGATACGGGCTGTATACAATATAAGAAACCAATATGTAATTAAAAGAAAAGAGCCAATGTTTCATATCAATAAGATATCATTATGTACTATATAAGTAACTTATAATAAGGAGTAAAAAAACCATTAAATTTGACTGTAAAACAAATTTTTTTATGTCTTAACGAAAAAAGATTTTTAATTATATAAACTAAGATACTGTTAAGTCTATAAAACAAGCAACTTATATGTACTAGAAATAAGATCTGATAGTTTAACATAATAGCAAACTGACGTTATACGTGGTTTGCAATTCCATTCTGAATATATTAAAAAATCAATAAAAGCTTCTCTTAATAAAAAAGTATATCATTATGTCACTAAATTAAGGTTAAGTCATCTCAGTAAAAAACGAAATTCATCTCTTTTTCTCAAGACATAACTGTTTATTAGGTGCTGCAAAAACCTGCTTAAAAAGACCTTTATATTTGTGCAAAAATTAATATAATTTCTGCAGCAATTTGCGTTGCAACACACATTAATATAGTGAAACGATGCTTTATTTTGAGCCTTATTTATATTAAATTTTATGTCTTATATAAGAGAATTTAATATGATCTAATATTTCGAAACCATCAGCTAATGAAAATGCGAAATCGTTTGCTCAGCGAAAAAAATTAAACAGAGCTCCTTAAAAAAGAAATTTATTTTTTTAAGAAAATTAAATTAAAATTTTGCTACTAAATACTTTTAGAGCAAGCTTTGCTTATTTATTGCACTTTTTTGTATAAATAATAACAATATTTAAGGTAAAACCTTACTTATTTCAGTTCTAAGTGTGCCTCTTTCAGTGGCTATTAAATATATTAAAATTATTAAAAAACATATAAAACCTTTTTTAAGGAAATTAACCCAAAAAATATTGCGAATGTTGGTCATCGTTTTGATATATTTTGAAAGAATATGTCTTGAAAAACGGTTTTTATATGTTTTTTTTAATAATTTTAATATATTTTAATAGCCACTGAAAGAGGCACGCTTAGAACTGAAATAAGTAAGGTTTTACCTTAAATATTGTTATTATTTATACAAAAAAGCGCAATAAATAAGCAAAGCTTGCTCTAAAAGTATTTAATAACAAAATTTTAATTTAATTTTTCTAAAAAAATAAATTTCTTTTTAAGGAGCTCTGTTTAATTTTTTTTTCACTGAGCAAACGATTTCACATTTTCATGAGTTGATGGTTTCGAAATATTAGATCATATTAAATTCTCTTATATAAGACATAAAATTTAATATAAATAAGGCTCAAAATAAAGCATCGTTTCACTATATTAATGTGTGTTGCAACGCAAATTGCTGCAGAAATTATATTAATTTTTGCACAAATATAAAGGTCTTTTTAAGCAGGTTTTTGCAGCACCTAATAAACAGTTATGTCTTGAGAAAAAGAGATGAATTTCGTTTTTTACTGAGATGACTTAACCTTAATTTAGTGACATAATGATATACTTTTTTTATTAAGAGAAGCGTTTATTGATTTTTTTTTATTTTCATTAGATTCTCGCAAATTATCTAGACCGTTAGGTTGCATTGATGAATTGCTGGTATCGTCTATTTTGCTTAGTTACTAGGTCTTTTTTATTAAGGACTCAACTGTATCCATTTTTGTGGAGATCTAGAATCTTCTATTTTTGTGATATAAAAAACATTTTGCACCGTCAAGTTTAATGGTTTTTTTGCTCCTTATTATGAGTTACCTGAAGGACATAATGTTTTCTTATTGATAAGAGACACTGACTCTTTTCTTTTAATTACATATTGGTTCTTCATTTTATGGACATCATCTCTAAAACTTTACAAGAGCCCTCCTCACATGCTTATCACACAGAACAAAACCTCTCACAAAGTCTAAAGAAGAAGAGCTTGCTTTATTTATCAATGAATCCAGCTCAAATTCTATGTCAGAACTCATAGGAAATCACATGCCTCCTCAGCTTGACTCTTCAAAACCCTTCATCGCCTATCTCACATCTTCCGCATTTGATTTTTCCATAAAATCCTCCAAATCTCCACTTTTCTACGAAAAATCCTTCTTCAAGCTCGACTTAATCCCACCCCGTGAAAAAATCATCTCCAATATTTTTAAATCAATAGAAAATATCATTAAATCTTAATTTACCTCTTCCTCTTCGTCCACTTCTTCAAAACCACTAGATCTAGCTCTATTTTCTGCTGGAGAATTTCTTACATATTCTTCTTTAGCTTTATTGTATCTTTCCTTAAAATCAGCATTATGATATATTCTTTTTTATATTAAAATATTTTTTTAAAAAAATAATTTTAATTATTTTTATATACAATTTTATTAAAAATAATAAAATTTCTTCATATATCAAGCTTTTAAGCTCCCGAATTGACAAATTTTGCTCCTCAAACTGAAAATCAAAAATCGAGACTGGGTCAGAGACTGGCTCATCTTCTTCACAGTGAAAAGTACTTAAATAAGGATGGGCAAGGGCGTCTTCTACAGAAATCCTTTTATCTGGGTTGAAAACTAGCATTCTTTTGAGAAGGTCAACGGCGTCTGGGTTTGAGTTGCGGAAAACCACTTGTAAGGATTTTCCTTCACGTCTGGAAAATGTGGCGAGTTTTTCTTTGGATTTTTGGTTAGGAATTGCTTCAATATCTTCGTCATTGGGAGTTCCTAATAAATTAAAAATTAATTCTAATTGGTGATTAGAGTCATTTCCAGGTAGTAAAGGTCTTCTTAGTAGCAGCTCGGCAAAAATACACCCAACTGACCACATGTCCATTGCTGATGAATATTTCCTGCAAGCCAGCAGCACTTCTGGAGCCCTGTACCATCTTGTAGCGACGTAATCCGTCATCTGTGCTGACGTGATCCTTAAGTTATTGATATAAGGCCTGGCAAGTCCAAAGTCACAAATTTTTAAGTCACAGTTAGAATTTACTAATAAATTTCTTGGCTTCAAATCTCTATGCAATATGCAAGCACTGGCCATATATACCTTTTATCCTTATAAGCTCTTATTTTATATATAATTATATTATAGAAAAAATTATTGGATTACCTATACTTTACACCTATCAAAATTTGATACAAAAAGAATTGGCAGTGCTCATCAGTTATAGACTGAGGCGATTTAATAATTGATGATAAATCAGTCTCCAAAAGTTCACAAATCACATAAATTTCTTCGAAATCGTCCCTGTTACTGGGGAGAAGGATTGATCTGACTTTCATGATATTTTCATGGTCAAGCAGACGTAGGATTTTCAGCTCTCTTAGTCACGAATTCTATAAAAAACATTTCAAATGGTATTTAATCTTAGATGGATGATTAAAAACAAATTTTTTAATATAAAATACAATGATTTTTTCTTAAAAAAAAGGAAAGAGTTAGTTCTTTTGGTAAATGTAGGGTGTTCAAACGCTTTTTCTATCTTTTTAATTGCAACTCGCTCCCCTGTGGTTGTATCTCTTGCAGATACTACGACGCCGTAAGCTCCACTTCCAATAATATCAATTATTTCATATCTGCCACCTGTTGCAAAGTTAGCACCGAGGAGGTTGACTTGCTGAGGTTTGTTTGTGGCACTGGAATTGTCTCGATTTCGTCTGTCCATTTCAAGTGATTTTTTATATGAAATTAATTTGGAGTAAGAAATGGATATATATTTTGAGAAATATCGTAAATTGATATACTAATTGACCAAGAATAACCCACTAAGGAGCCATTCTTGGTCTGCCAGAAAAAAATTTTGATAAAAAGATCCTAATCTGCCATTACCACTGAGTTTTGGTGTTTCCAAATTTTTTGGGCAAGCCAAATGCAATAAAAAAAATTGTTCTTTTGCGATGATGCATTTGGCTTGTCAAAAAAATTTGGAAACACCAAAACTCAGTGGTAATGGCAGATTAGGATCTTTTTGGCCATTACCACTGAGTTTTGATGTTGCCAAATTTTTTTGACAAGCCAAATGCATCATCGCAAAAGAAACAATTTTTTTTATTGCATTTGGCTTGCCCAAAAAATTTGGAAACACCAAAACTCAGTGGTAATGGCAGATTAGGATCTTTTTGTCAAAATTTTTTCTGGCAGACCAAGAATGGCTCCATAGTGGGCTATTCTTGGTCAATTAGTATACGTTATTTTGTGAGATTTAGGCTGCTTTATGTTGCTTATACAGCAAAATTAAAGATGAAATAAAGTAATTTCTTTTATAAAAGGAAATATTGTGTGACAACTGTAGTTTTATTTTAAGACAATACTCTGAATAATATTAATATTAGTATTTATGTTAATATAAAATTTATGACAAATTAAGGATAATTCATTCAAAATTGAATTTAATAAAAATCGCTAATATAATGCATGCCGTAATATATTTTTAGATTTTATGAGCATTTTAACATAAAATCAAATTATTTTCATACAGAAGGAAAATTATCCAGAACAATAACTTTAAATTGCAGTAGAAAATAATAATGAGAAGTAAGTCTAATATGAATATATAGATATAAAGAACTAGTCAGACCCACTTGCAAGCCATAAGCTTATAAGCCAGAGGTCATCGCCCAATGACAAGAAGGCAAGCCTTCTTGATTGAGATATCCCATAGCGGCTGCAAGTGCACGTCTCATCATCCTAGAGCGGGTTATCGCCTTTTTTGATAAAGTAAAAGAGGAAAAATCACTATAGAAGTGATCCTGTACGAGTACAGTCCTAATTGATTTTACCAAATTTCCTTTTTATCATCCATTTTATTATTTTTTGTTATGGGACATATAATTTAAGTAAATTTCTTAATCCCCCTTTTAAAGTGAAACCATTTAATAAATCTACTTTTTCTAAAAATTTTTATAATTGCATTTATATATGATTTTATTAACAAAAAAAACCAAAACACCCTCCTTCCTGAAATTTTTTATTCGCTAAAGAGTGGTTTATATATAAAAAATAATTTTTTTTTTGAAATTCGCAAAAATTAGTATTAGCTAGTTATTTCATTATAAAATTATCATTTATATATCAAATTATTTTTTCACTAAAATTTTTATATTGCTCACCCAAAAAATAGGGACTTTTCTAATGGTTTTGTTCTATTACGAAGGGTGAGTAAGATGATTTGCTCGTGATAAGGGAGAATTAGTATCTTAAAGAAAATTAATTTTCGCAATCTTCAGCTTCAATGCTCAAAGTTGGCCCACCCAAGGAGATAATATCATTATCATGGACCTCCATAAGCGGAGACATCTCTCCTCTTTCCAATGTGCTTTTATTATGGAAATACCTAAAAATTCCCATTTTTGATCCTGCATCCGAAATCACCCAAATCCCATATCTAATTTCTACGTCTGCATGCTTTTTAGACACACTATAATCGTCTGATAAATTAATTGCGCATTCTGAAGATCTTCCAATAGAAAACACTTTCCTCGCGACCGTTTGCAGCCTTTCTCCTTTATCTTTCGAAAATATTTTAAATGTAATTGACTCATTCCTCTTGATATCTTCTACTTGTATCCTTGTACTTCCAATTTTAAACACTGATCCAATCGTTAAAGGTGACTCTGGGACTCTTTTGCAAGCAACATATCTATCAGTTGAGGACTCTTGGGCCAGAAGATGTCCACAGTCCATTTGGAAAATCATTTGTGCGTCTCCATGGTATTTTAATATATAATCAGGAATTTGTTGATTTCTAGAAACTCCAATGATAGTTTGTGGCTTTTGGACTGAAATTTGTTCTGTTTGCTGCCCAGGGTTACTGATCAGAATTGACATTCGGGGCATTGAAGTTTCTAACTTCCCTAATATCTCCTAATTAGATTTTTATATTTTTTTAACTAATTATACTAAAAAATTTATTTGGGGTAAGAAATTTTCATCTTTTTGTTCAAAAGAATTTTCATCTTTTAAGCTGGCTTGGATTTTTGGTTTTTCTCTATCATAAGGGACAGGTGGGATAATATTATTAGGAGCCTTCATTTGTGGAGTCGGCTCATTGTATTTGATAGGAAAATCAAAACTTGATTTTATTAGAGGATTGTCTAAAAACTGAGAAAGGCCGGCTTGGTTGTTTACTCCCCCCCCCCCTCCGTGAGCGAACAAAAAAATTTTGTTCGCTCACGGAGGGGGGGTTAATTTTTTTTTTAAAAAAAATTTTATATATAAATTTTATAAAAAATATTTTTTTCGAAATTTAAAAAAATCCTAATTTGCAAAAATTGGGAAGCAAATATTAATTTAATTTGCAAAATTTATGTTTTAAAACGCAATTTGTTTAAAATTAAACAGAATTAGCTCTAGATTTCATTATACTAATTATCACTTATATATCAAAAATTTTTTTCCATTAAAATTTTTTCTATTAAAAAAATTTTTGTTCACTCACGGAGGGTGGGTTTTTGGTCAAAAAATGGCGATTTTTCTAATGGTTTTGTTCGCTCACGGAGGGGGGGGGGGAGTTAGTAAAGTATTAGTGACAAGGTCAACACTTGGATTTCTCCGTTCTTGCTGTGCAAAGCCATTCCCTTGCATTGCATAAGGTCGTCTGATATCGTGATAATCAGAGTTTGCTCTCATAAATTTAATTATAATATATAGAATTTTTAAAATCAAATTTACACCACCTGTTTTCTTACCCTTGAATTCAGAAAAATGATGAATGGCCCAAGCCTAAAAGTCCCGATATTTGGGATATCTAGTTTAGCTTCACTGTTGGCTGATCTTTTTAAGTTCAAAAATTCTTCATTTGACAAGTTAAATTGTCCAATCATGTCTGAGCTTTCCCCTTGGTTAAAAATTATTCTATTTTTATAATAAAAAACTTATATTTACTATATAAAAATAACTACAATAAGTCGTTGTAGAATGGGATATCTCAAAATGTCAGCCTTTTTTCTTATGGTGGCTATAATGGAGTTCTAGAGAATTTTTTGTGTCTTTTCGGAAGCCATATTCCAGCCTTTCAATGACCCCGTTGTTTTCTAGTGTTACAATAGAGACGTTTCCAGCGACATCATGCTGGACATCAGCAGGCAAATCAAGAATTTTTCTTTTTTTCATTACTAAATTGTGGGTTTGTGACAGCTTAAAATATGACATATTTTTCATTTCTTTTTCATTTGGGTGTAAAGAAGTCCTGAAATTTGCAATGGTATCGAGAGCTGCTGTTAAATCTTTTTCTTTTTCTCTTAGATTATGGAAATATTCTTCTTGAGCTGCAGTAATATGGTGTATCCCTTCTTGTAGCCTCCTTAAATACTGTTTATAGCTATGTCTATCCTTCAGTCTTTTTGACAGCTCAAATAGCAAATAATCCATCGAAAAATCCCTGCTCATCAAGTCCTGGACTTTTTCATCAGCTGCTCTCAGCTCAAATAATATTTTATAATTCGGATTTGGCGTGCTCAATATAGACTCTATCGTTTTTCTAAATTTCGTCGACAATTCTTCAAGCGTAATCGCTGAAAATTTTGGGATCTGCCTTGAGGCATTTTCTATAGAAACCAAAAATTCGTCTTCTTCTCTGACATGTAAGTGCTTTATAAGTGTGCTATGAGTCCTTGTAGTTATTGCTAGACTTTTCGGCATTGGCACACCACAGCCAGCACATACAGAAACTTCGTCATAGTCATACAAAAAATGGTTATTCATTTGTAGATTTATTTTAAAATTATCAGCTGATTTGGCGACTTCTGAGCCTATGTCACTCATATGGTCTAAATGGTCATATAGTAAATCTCTGCCTGGAAATAGCTCAACTTGCTTTCTATATTTAATAAGGTAGATTGATAAAGTAATGATGTCGTTGACAGGGTAATGGATAAAGGAGTCTATAACTGAAAAATGGGTGGTAAAGCTCGATATACCCATTTCCTAGGCTATTTTATATATATAAATTAATAATAAGCATGCATTATTTTGATATAAAAAGGTATATAATAAGATCGACCTCAGAAGAGTCTTCAACTTCTATACAGGTTTCCAGTGTAGAAATAAGCTGCTCATGGGAAGTCAAAATAAAAGAATTTAAGGTCGAATAATGGTCACCTATAAAACAGGTCTTGTCTACTATTTTTCTGATAATGTCTGTGATTATTGACATTGTGTCTCTTTCACCTTCTTCTATAGTCTGGGTCGTTAAACCTTCAGTTTCGGGGGTCATGATTACTGGGAGGAGCAATTGGGTTATCATAAGCCTCAAAAGCGCTTTTTGGAACTTTAAACGGGCGTGCTCATGGCCTACTTCACGAAGCCATGCTTTATTTGCCATTTTGGAAAAAGTGTGCTTCATAAGGATTTTTATAGGCGTTGGGAGGATGCTGGGGAAAGCTTTTATCGTGTCAATAAAATACCCTGCAGCTCGGATAGCATAGGTAATACCATCATTAAAAGCAGACTGTGCTTTTTTTTCTTTTATTACAGAATTAGCAGTTTGGCCGCTTCCTTGCCTTTGGGTAAGCCTAGAAACTTCTATAGGATCAATAACTATCCCATTATTCCCAATCGCTTTTACCATGTCTAAAAGCTCATTAGTAGGCCTATGCAAAATTTTATAAAATAAGTCACTCCCATAATCCCTGCTAAAAAAACTCAATAAAAATTGGGCTGTCGGACATCCAGGGACCACAAATAAATCGTCAATCATATTGGCATTTTCGATTTCTCCTGCAATGACTTCTTTGCATAGAGAAATATACAGTAAAGAGTCCCTAGAAATAAGCTTCCCCATCATAGCATCTAGGTGGATATTGGAATATATAGGCCTGATACTTGTAATGAGGGTTGATATGTCACGGCTGCCACGCTGCCTCATAATATTGACCAGTCTTGAAATATATGCTTTTTTCTATTATTTTTTCCCAAAAATAGCCCAAATTCTTACCAATAAACTATATTTATTATAATCCACAATAACAAGGCTGCTGCTGAAGGATCCATATCATATTTTCAATCCTCCCCAAATTACTCGCCAAGTACTTCGGGATGTGTACAATTAAATAATCCCTCTGTGGCAGCTTCAGCTCATAAGTCCTCTGTAGGATTTTCCCTTCAATTTGGATTTTTAAGTCATGAATCCTCTCCTCAGATTCCTTACTAGTTTTAAAAGTTTTGACGATTTCTGCCAAATTTCTATGGACTTCGGCTTCTTCTCGTCTGAGCTCAGACTCTAAACAGTCTTCTTCTTCATTTTGCAGCACCAGCATCATTTCTTTGAAGCTAGAAATCCTTACCCCAGTGTCTAGCTGTGACAGAACGAGGTCTAAAGCATTTAGTTCGTCTTGTTCATCATCAAAATTTGCTGACTCTTGTATGGCGTTTCACCTTGTTTCTAAAATTTCAGGGGTTTTTATGTTATTGGTGTTGCCAAAGCCAAGTCTGCCGCCGCTTCCGCAGCCCCAGGCGTAGATGTCACCATTTGTGGTTAGTACTAAGTTGTGGTTTATTTTTGCAGAAATGTCACATATGTTAGAAGGGAGAGGGAGCTTGAATGGCTGTGGCAAAGGCTCGTTTTCAGCTTTATTACCGAGTTTTCCGTATTTATTGAAGCCTCATATAAAGGTATCGCCTTGTTCTGTGATGGCTAATGAGTGCTCTTCTGCTGCACAAATAAGCCGAAAAGTTTTATCGTGCAAATTTCCTATCAGTTTTGGCTCAGTCAAATCGACCCTGGAAAGGACCATTTCTTTTCGTCCTGCGCCATATAGGACTAGTTTTTCATCTAAAAATAAGGTATGTGATGCTCCACAGGAGACCATTTTATATGCCTTATTATGAAATCTGTTTATTTTTTATAGTAAAAATAGCTATTCTTTATAATTCTATATAAATTCGCTCACCTTTCCCATGGATTTGTTTAGGTGAAAAAAGGTTTTCGCTGCTCCCATTGCCAAGTTTCCCATAAAATCCTGACCCTCAGGTATAAACTGCTCCATTATGCCCAATAACTGCCATATGGCTTTGTCCTGCTGATATATAAGAAATATTCAATAAATCCCTAATTAATTTTGGGAAAACTTGATGAGGGACCCTACCAAGGCCTAGCTTCCCTGAATCAGAATTCCCAAAGGTATAGACTTCTCCTATTTCTGAAAGCACAGCACTATAGTCTTCTCCACAGGCTCCTTGTATAATTCCTTTTCCTTGTAGCATTTCTACTATTTTCGGTATAAAACAGATCCCAGCAAACCCATTTCCAAGCTGCCCAAATCTTCCATTTCCTCACGTAAGGACTTCTCCTCTGGTCGATATTGCTAAGCTATGCTGTGAGCCACAAGCTACGGATTTTATGCAATTTTCTATAAATATTTTCTAAAATTTTCTAATTAATAAATTTATAAGCCTATTATAAAGTATATAATATAATTATTCAAATTCTGACATATCACAGGGACCAGCTGGTCTTCTTCATTTTTTCCTACCCCAAGTGCTCCATTTCTATTCTCCCCTCATGCCCAGACAGTGCCACTTTTAGTAACAGCCAATGAGTGCTGCCCTCCACAGGCCACTTGTATCATTTTTCAAGCATCCCTTGCAGGTGTATTCCTAATCATTAATTTTTTGGACCCTGTGATCTGGGCTATTCTTTCTATAATCCTAACACCCCCAGTCACCCCATATATAAACTGTGGAGGAATCGCTTTTGGGAATGCCTGGTCGTCCCTGGCATCTGTGCCATGGCCAAGTCTTCCATGCCCATGATATCCTCACGTAAACACTTCTCCAGCTGATGAAATTGCCATAGAATGCCACGGCCCAACCGCGACCTGTGTGATTTTTTTGCCTTCTAAAAACCTTATCTGCAGCGGTATCAGCATAGTCCTGATTTCTTTTAAGTCAAAAAGCCCAGTAACTCCATAATTTCCGGCACCCCATGCAAAGACTTCTCCTTGGACTGAAATAGAAAGGCTGTGTCTGAAGCCACAAGCGACCATATACATTCTTTTACCTTGTAGTGCAGTCACAATGCTGGGGATCTGGACGTCAATTTCTGAGCCATGGCCTAGTCTTCCATATGACCCAGCTCCTCAGCTATAAACTTCTCCCAGATTGGAAACCGCTGCTGAGTGGCTGTCTCCTGCTGACACATACATAATATTTTCTCTAAATAAATATTCTATAGGTTTAGGAGTAGCCGTCCCTATAGTGTCTCCATGGCCTAAACGGCCATGTCCTCCATTCCCTCAGCTGTATACTTTAAAATCTTTTGTAGTAATTAATACATGTTTAGCGCCACAGGAAACACCAATAATAATAGTGTCACTTAAAGCTTGGACAATGGTAGGTTTACTATAAGAATCGGTGCTGCCGTGGCCTAAGTTTCCATATGTCCCGTTTCCTCAGGAGTAAAGTCTGCCACTTTCTGTGATACAGGCTGCAAAATCACGGCCGCAGCTGACCCTGCAAGCTTTTTCAGGGAGTCTTATAAGGGTTGGCTCTCTAACTTCGTTAGGAAGCTCGTCTATGTCATCATTTCCAATGCCGACTTGGCCCATATTGTTTACGCCTCATCCTATAAGCTTGCCTGCTTCATTTTTATCTTCAGGAAGCAGAGAAATCACCATTGTAAACTCAGCGCCACAGTCAATTTGGTTAGCAGAGCCTCCTATGCTTGCTATATCAATCTTTTTTGGTCTTCATATTGGCTCTGGGCCAGAATCTAATGCAAGTTTTCCGTTTTTATTGCAGCCTCACACAAAAATTTCTCCAGCATCATTAATAGCACTAGAAAACTGATGCCCACAAGCAATCCTTTTGGGTGGTAAAAAATGCACGTTTGAGCTGTCTGCAGTCGAAATCATTCAAATATAAGTTATTGCATTATAAAATGAAATCTACTTCAAATCATTCTTCGTTTTCTGGATTCCCAGACACCAATATTGAGCTTGACCAAGTTATAAGAGAACATGGGGCTGAGCTCGATAAACAATTTGAGACTATGACTCAGAGGACAAAAACCTATACACAGGATGAAGTTCAGTCGTTGCATAAACAATACAATGCAATTGTTGCCCAAAATAAAGAAAAAGAGAAAAAAGTAAATGAGCTAGAAAGGTTGATCGAAAGGCTAAAATTACCAAAAAAAGAGCCAAGCTTATTGATGCACTCACGGCTAAGCTGATGCAACACTAACCGAGATTGAGCATTTTCAAACGTTGACGGCAAAGCTGAAGAAATCAGTGAAGAAATCGAAGATTTCGAATCAAAATACCAAGAAGAGCTCATATACACCAAAAACTTAACTTCAATGTACCAAGAAGAACGAGAAGCACTAATCGTTTATAAAGAAAGAGCAAAAGAAGTCGAAAAATTAATCAGCCAAATAATGAGCCAATATGAAAATGTCATGAGGGCTAAGAATATTGCAATAAGTTTCGAAATCCGAACAAATGGAGAATTATCAAGATTTAACCAATTTTTGAAGGAAAAAAGAAATGAGTATCTGAGAAAAGTGAAAAATAAAACTTTTGAACTGAGTGTGGTAGAAACTGAAATTAATGACATTATTGAAAGAATGGGGAAACGGTCGCTAATCCAAAAGGTAAATTTTAATTAGCAACAAATAAGCTTGACCCAGCAAGTTTTTGCATTAGCAAAAGCAGAAAAAGAAGAAAATGAGAAATCAATGATAATGAAAGAAAAGCTAAAAGAAAAAATTGAAAATTATGAGCTATTGTTTGGGCAGCTTTTAATTAAATTAGGATTAGAAGGGGATAGTTCGATACTGAAGACTGAAACTGTCAGCGAAATAATTAGCAGATATAACCATTTGTTATTTGTGGATGGGTCGTTATCGGAGAGATATTACCATTTGTCACAGTCTCATATTGTCAAGCTTGAGGAGTACCAAAACAATCTTAACGAGCTAAACCATTTTTTAGAAAATCTTCAGCCAGCTGAAAAAGAACAGTTTTCAATTTTGACAAAAAATTCAAGCAATAAAGGCATTAGTGACGACCAAATAATGGAAACTGAAAAAATGATTTTTAAGCTTTATATTCAGCTACTAAACACTTCCACACAAATATGCCAATTATTCAAGCCAATAATGCAGAACTCTGACGTCCCTCAGACTTTACAAAATATAGTCGAAATTTTTTCTGAAGCAGTGAATATTTTTAATAAAGGATTTTTAGAAAAAAGAAAGCCAAGCCAAGAAGACAAAAAAAAGCTTTCAGCTTTTTTTAAAACTGAGGTAGAAATCGCTGACAAAACCATTGACAATTTTGTGTCAAGTTTATCATTTGCTTCACTCTCCAAAGGAGAAATAAAAGAAATTTATATGAAATTGATAGGAAATAACCATGAAGCTGAAGCTTTTGTAAAGCTGTTTCACTCATCACTTATATTAACACATTTTACTACAAAAGACTCATTGCAAAAATTTTTAGAAACTTCTGATAAGCCATTTGATAATTTGTCAGAGCTTTTATTTTCATCTTTGTCTATTTATCAATCTCAATTTATCATATAAATTCTGAATATACTGTAAAACTGATAAGGCAATTTCTGAAATTATTTTAAAAAAATAATTTTTTATATTAAAAAAATAAATAAATAAAGCATAGAATTTTAAATTCCACGCTCATGAGAATTATCATAGATTCCAGCAAATGCGAAAAAGAACTAAATGGACAAGTTAACACCCTTCAAAATGAAAATAAAATTTCTTTAAATACTACCAAAAAGCCAGCATTGTATCCTAAAAAAATGATCAGAAATAAAGAACAGAAATTTTCGAGACAAGAAGAATCGTTCAAGCTTTCTGATCTCCGGAATAACTCATTTTTAGACGTCAGCAAAGAAAATGAAGAAGAAAAACCTTTAACAAGGCTTGAAGTTAAGCGGCCAAGCACAGTCACTGCTAATAAAACTGCAAGAACTGCCAATACAAGAGAAGAAAGACTCCAAAACACCCTTAAAGAATTTTTAGAGCTTGAGCGGAAAATAAAAAATCTAAAAATGAACGAAAATAAAGCCCAGAACTATAAAAGTGGAATCGCGGAAAAAATCCATGGGCCTTTAAGATCAGTCAGTTTACCTCATATTTCGTCAAGAGTCAAATCGGCGCTTAATAGGGATAAAACTGCTTCAAGGCTTAAAAACCTGCTAGAGAGTACCCAAGGGTCATTTAAAACAGCTAATCTATTGTAATAAAACGGCATTTATGTGGATAATCTTACCTATTCTTAATAAAAATGTTAGAACAATACGAAGAAGCAGGGCTTTCCCTATTGCAGAAAGCTTGGTCTTTTAATATTTCCAAGCCAAATATTCATTATGATTTATATCTGAGCCTTCATAATGAGTCTAAAGATTTGGTGTCAACTTTTACGGGTATAGGAAACACAAATTCCTATAATTCTTTTCTCAGTTCTTTATCAGACACAGAAAAGCCTTCTCAGCTGCAAATTGATTTTTCGCCTCAGCCAAATACCTCTTGTCCTATTTTATCAATTTTTTCAATAGACGAAAAATTACAAAAAGAATTAGATTGAACTGAGAAACCAAATTTTTGCTTGATTTTCTGGGGAAGCTGGTCAAATACATGCAAAAAATCGTTAGAAGAAATAGAAGGAATTTTAGAAAAAAATAAAGGAGAATGGGATGATATAGAAATTATTGGTATTTGTCTGGATGATAGTGCTGAAAGTGTGCCGAAACTGAAAAATGTGAAAAATTATTGAGCAAAAGGGTTTCAAGCGATAAGTGACCAAGGTCTTGAAATCAGCGAAATTCCTGCGTGTCTTTTTATTAGAAATGGGGTTATCATTGAAAAAAGAGATCCTACACAAAGCAGCTTTGAAAATGATATTAAATTTTTGAGGATATATTAATATGGTGGAGGCGAAAAAATGACTTCTTGGTGTATTTCTCAACCCCTGCAGGGGATGCCCGGGTGGAGGAACCAAATCGAGAAGCAGGTACGGAATCCTTAATGTAACATAATTAATATGGTGGTGGCGACGGAATATGTCCTTGACGACACACCACTTTGGGCGCCAAAATGGCTTTATAGCCTAAAACAAGTTCAGGGACTTTAATTCTAACCCTTAGCTTGCTTAGGCAGCCCTATGGGGTTGGCATCCTTAGGAGTCAGCTTCTGGCCATTAAAATCCAGATATTATTATCCGAATGTTTTTGAATACCATGCCGTTCGTTTTTTTTCTAGGTGTCAGCCTTTTTCAAGGTGGCTGACAGGACTAAGCTTTGCCTCTATAGCACCCGCGATACCTTCAGCACAGAGGGTCTTTCTAACCAGTCGAGGGACGCTGGGCTACCCCTGGCGAACAAGGGTCCAGTTGTCGTAAGCGTGCAGAGGCATCAAATCTGAAACACCTCAAGCCCTTTAATATTAATCTAAATGTGCACGGGCAGAGATTTTTTCTCTACAACAATGTATAATACCGGGGATATGGGGTTTTCTCCTGAAATGGGATTGGAAAGGGCACAATCAGCCATTGCACCCGTGATTAGGCATGATTATTACACGAACTAGGGACTCTGGGAATTTCGCCCGGGTCTCCTCTAAAAGACCAGAGGCCTGGAAATCAGTCAGTTGGCGGAGTTGGTGACATCCGGTCTCCTTCGACGACAGATGAATTTTTAAAAACGTTATTTAATTAATTTAATATTTTTTGAGGATATATTAATATGGTGGAGGCGAAAAAATGACTTCTTGGTGTATTTCTCAACCCCTGCAGGGGATGCCCGGGTGGAGGAACCAAATCGAGAAGCAGGTACGGAATCCTTAATGTAACATAATTAATATGGTGGTGGCGACGGAATATGTCCTTGACGACACACCACTTTGGGCGCCAAAATGGCTTTATAGCCTAAAACAAGTTCAGGGACTTTAATTCTAACCCTTAGCTTGCTTAGGCAGCCCTATGGGGTTGGCATCCTTAGGAGTCAGCTTCTGGCCATTAAAATCCAGATATTATTATCCGAATGTTTTTGAATACCATGCCGTTCGTTTTTTTCTAGGTGTCAGCCTTTTTCAAGGTGGCTGACAGGACTAAGCTTTGCCTCTATAGCACCCGCGATACCTTCAGCACAGAGGGTCTTTCTAACCAGTCGAGGGACGCTGGGCTACCCCTGGCGAACAAGGGTCCAGTTGTCGTAAGCGTGCAGAGGCATCAAATCTGAAACACCTCAAGCCCTTTAATATTAATCTAAATGTGCACGGGCAGAGATTTTTTCTCTACAACAATGTATAATACCGGGGATATGGGGGGTTTTCTCCTGAAATGGGATTGGAAAGGGCACAATCAGCCATTGCACCCGTGATTAGGCATGATTATTACACGAACTAGGGACTCTGGGAATTTCGCCCGGGTCTCCTCTAAAAGACCAGAGGCCTGGAATCAGTCAGTTGGCGGAGTTGGTGACATCCGGTCTCCTTCGACGACAGATGAATTTTTAAAAACGTTATTTTAATTTAATTTAATTTTTTGAGGGAGAAAAACCTCTGCAGCTAATCCCACACGAAGGCTTAGAAATTAGCTCCTTATCCATTATAGAAGAAAATGGAGGAAAGTCTAGTCTAAGCTTAGATTGGTCTGGATGGTATTATTTAGTTCTATTTTATGGGTGCTCAGAATCAGATTCTTTTATCAGACAGTTAAGAGAAATTCGGGACGAGCACGCACATTGGGAAGAAAAACTAAAAATTTTTGTTTTTTTTGACGAGCCAATCGTATCTAATGAAAATTATTTTGACATATTCTGCTTTGATGAAAATTCATTAGAAATTGTAAGCAAGCCAGGATTGGTCCTTTTATTGAACGAAGGAAAAATACTATGAAAAGGAAGCACACATATAGAAAATATTGGCTCAAAGCTAAAATTCTGGCTTGACCCAGTGCCACAGTTAACAAACTCAGATTACGAGCTATCAAAAAAACAAGTAAAAAACTATATGGTGTCATGAAAAGAAAAATACCCCCACGCTCCATTTCCAAGCGTGCTGTTTACATTTTCCAAAGGGATATATTTGTTTCATTCAACACCAGAAACTCATTCAGTGACTCTTACAGGGAAATACTTGCAAAAATACAAGCATCCAATAGAAGAATTTTTCAATTATTTATCCAGCATTTTTCCAGGCGCTAAAAATTATTCCCGTTATGATCCTGCACACCCAGAAATACAAAAAGGTATAAGCTGCTCATTTTGTAATGAAAATATTATTAAAAATCAATTTTTATGCCTGCTTTGTGAACCAAAAATTTATTTATGCCCAAACTGCGAAAGCCAAGGGCTGCATGTCCATCCTTTATATATTTTGACTGAAAATTCATCGGAGCTTGACGAAATCAGATGAGGGTATTGCAATGTCCTTCTCAGTGAAGACCAAGATGGGGATTTACACAAAGGCGTTTGCTGTGATGGCAAATCCTCAGGCTGCTCTCAAGAAATAAGAGGCATAAGGTGAAAATGTGCCCACTGCCCTGATTATGACCTATGCAGCCCTTGCTTTTCATCTAATGACCCTCTCCATCTAGAAAGCTCATTATCAAAAGGCCATTATCCCTGGCATATTATGATGAAAATTCCTTTAAAAATTATTTTATAAATCCTTTTTCCTCTAATAAATTCGTTTATATTAACAAAGGATCGGAACATCGCTCTTACGCTCCATTCCATCTGAAATCGGCTGATACTCTCCACCAAGCATATCACTAATTCTTTTACTTATAACAACTCTATTTGTCTGGGATCCATCTCTCCTCTGTATTTCATTTTTAAACTTAAAAGCGCTTTTGAATTTTCTTTTTGTTTTCGCAAAATGCTCAGGTGTTAACGGGGGTAGTTTTGGCATTTTTCTTATCCCTCCGAACAAAAATTTTTTTATCGCTGGGGGTTGATTTTTTTTGAAAAATTTATATATGAATTTTATAGTAATTTTTTTTTGAAATTTAAAAATCTCAATTAGATTATTTATATCAACAGAAATAGCTGAAATTTTATTATTATATATTTAAATTTTTTTAACAACAAATTTTGTTCACTCACGGATGAAGGAGTTAAAGATTTTACAATTTCTGGGGTGTCACTACGGACGTAGTTTTGGGCTAACGGTTCAGGTGGGATTGATGGTGGGGACACTTCTCGGAGCTCAGGAGCCACAGCTTCTATAGCTGGGGTACGCACCCTTGAGCTTATTTGAAAATCGGTCCCAAAACTTTCTTTATCTGTACAGGATTGAATAGAACTCGCGTCAAACGAAATCATGCTGCCTTTCTCTTTGAAGAAATCAGCTGACAGCTCTGCATCACTTAATTCAAAAGAAGTTTTTACAAACAGCTCATGGCGGTGCCTACGGTCAGTTTCCTGGATTTTTTCACTGATATCTTCTATAGAAATTTGTGATAAATCTAAAGCATTTTCTTTATCTTTGTTTTCATTGTCATTTTCATTAGAAAGAGGCTGGCTTGACAGGTTAAAACTGATTCCATTTAAAATCGACATAGACTGGACTTCTCTGACTGCCTGGGTGTCTGAGTTATCGCTTTTTGCACAAAAAAATATTTTTGCTAAAAATCCCTTTAATTGTGTGCAACAGTTTAATTTGTCTTTCATAATAATTTTAGAAGAAATTAACTATAAAGATTTATCAGAAAAATCGCTTTAGTTAGAAAGGATTAAAGGAACTCAAAGAGAGGACGTCCTTCTTGGTGAATAATTTTGAAGTTTAAAAACTTCATTGGATTTTGATACTATTTAATCATTTTTTTTAAAAAAATAATTATTAATAAAATTTTTGCGAAATTTATTATAAAATGGCTTATATTCAGGAAATTTCGCTTCAAACTCGTCAATACCTACAAAGAACTTGTTCATTAAATCTTCAATTTCTGGGAACATCAGCTCTGAATCAGTCAAAATTTCTCTTACTATGTTCATTCTTCTGGTAGAATAAGCAGCCATAATAAAAGCTGCAATAGCTTGCTGTCTTGGGGTGTACTCTAGGGCATCATAGTAAAACTGCACAAGGTAAAGGATCAAAGTTGCGATGCCGCTTATAAGGTTGTCTCTATCATATCTGTTTTTAAGGCAGCCCACAGTGTCGAGACAAGTCTGAATGTTCACTCTGAAAGACAAAACCTCCAAGATTTTGGCTTCCAGAGTCCGGATTTCTTCTTCGTTATAGTCTTTGAAGAGGATGTTTTCGTGGATTACTTTGAATTGCAAAGGAGAAACTTCATCAAACTTAGAAGCGATGAACAGACAAGTGATGCCGACCAAATGAAAATTGTCTTCGGTGTAGCCGCTGGTGAGTTTGAGAAAGGTATCTAAGAGTCTCACAGTTAAAAAAAATACATTGTCACTGCACTCGAACGATGAAGTGACTTCAACAAGCCAATTGATAAGTCTGGTCCTCAGCCCAGTCGTTACTTCATGGCTCTTTAATGACTCTTTAGTTGACAGTTCAGTTGAGTCTTTAAAATGTTTAAGCAGAATCTCTGGAAGTGTTGTATTATAAAAGTTAGGGTCTATCGACACTAAAACAAGTCTACCATAGTTTCTCGGTTTCCTCACCCGAAGTAAAGGGAGGTTTTCCTTGTCTTGTTCATCGCTATTGTCAGAGTTAAATTCACTCATATCTTTATAAAAACAGTGAAAATTTTTCGCTATTTATAGACTGCGATATCCTAGGAGTGACATTAGCAAAGATTTGGCTAAAATCCCTATTAGACTTTAATGAATTATTTTCTAAAAGGTCTATATAGAAATTAATAAAATTAATTTTAAATAATTTTTAGAGGAGAAATTTATTAGAATTGGGCTGGATTGAATTTTTGTGTAGGAATTAGTTTATATTAGGCCTTGTTGATAAAAATGGGATGCTGTGTTAATAAAGGCGCAGACCATGGCATGAGCTTTGACAGAGGGTCATACTTAGCTGAAGAGCTATGTAGAGAAGAAAAAATCATAATAGAAAATGAAAAACAGCTACAGTTTACACAAATCCAAAGCAAAGAAATAATAAGGTCAATCAAGTCCGAAGGACTTGATAACACTTTAAGTTTAGCTCAGCTGAAAAGGGCGTTTATTGATATTAATATCCCTGAGAGTGCATTTACAACCCCAGATGCTCCTTTGAGGAATCTTTTAGCAAAAGTAACAAATGATAAAAAATTGTATGAGCAGAGAAAATTAGTTTTGGTAGGAATTTTACTAGGAAAAGGCACACCACAAGAAAAATGTGAGTGACTATTCAGACAGTATGATGACGACGCTTCTAGTATGATGGACCAAAACGAAGTAAACCTGATGCTCAATGACTTGATCGACGTAGCTGTAAACGTTCTCCCAAACGTTTCTAAGGGAGATGGGATTGGATTTTTAACAAAAGATGAGCTCGATGCATATAGAGATACCTTGTTAAGCGGAAAAGAAAAATTTATAGAGGAAATGATTAAATTGATTATGACTGAGAGAGAAATCATGCACGTTGAATTGGCAGCAAAAATGGCTGATACTTCAAATATACTGAATAAACTTTTATGGAGTTTTGGGATTAGGACACTATTGAAAAAGCATTCAACTCATTAGATATGTTGATGAGGGGTACGAGATAAAGAATATAGTAAATATTATTAAGTTTAATATGTGACTCAATAAAAGTCTTTAGGCTTTTGAGGATAATTTATATATTATTTTCTAATCAAATTATAGAATAATTTTTATTACCTAATTAATAAGCAGGATATAAAATTTACCTTAGAGTTATTATTAATTAAAAAAACAAAAATTAATGCCGACTTCTTCTCACTTTATTATATAAGTTAAAATGGGGATTAATCTGCCCTCCTAAAATATGCAGCTGGGAAGCCTGGAGACCTTGTGGAAAGCAGGATTGCGTTCGAAAATGGGCATCAGCTTGGTATGGTGGAGTTTAATGTTGGATTAACCGACTGCAAGCTCATATCTAGATCATGGTATTTCCCTGATGGGAAATGGTGTCGGAGCTGGGAAAAGGAAGGCTTATCACTGTCATGAGACGCCTCTTGACAATTGGGCAATTTTTCAGCACGATACAGGGAGTTGCATTCTGGGCAACGAAATTCCATCTTAGCCGGCAACTTGACCAGAAAACTCGATTTTCGAATTTACAGTTTAGCTAACGGGTTGCCCTCTATATCGGTATTTCCCCTCCAGGCCAAGGCTTGCAATATAACTGAGGATAACGAAAGCAGAAGAGCTCACCTGCCGAGATCTTTTCAATAATGCTAATTTTACTTAACTCTTCTCACCTTATTCGTGAATATATCCCTCGGAAATCGCAAAATTTTCATAGGAGAATAATTTTCATTTTTCGGAAAATTAGACGTTTCTTTCATTAATTCCTCAGCCTCGTTCATTCTGAACGTGAAAAGTAAATCCTCTTTTTTTGACGAATTAAATTCAAATACCCTCGCCTTTGCAGCATTTGGCGATGATTTTTTCACTTATTGAACCTTAAACTTACATTTAGTTAGATTATAGAAAAGCTACCTGTCGGGATCAGAAGATCCTTTTTCCCTTCAATAATTTCTTCTCTCAATTGCTTCGCTGACAATCATATTACGACCTTAAAAGCCTTATTCCTGCCAGATATGATCCTGCACATGCTCCCTGACAGTTGGAAAGTTTGGGTCACTGTGCCATACACCAACGGGGTTTGGCTTCTCGAAATTCGAAAAATTATTTTCTGGTCTTGATGAAAATTCGGGGTCTACACAACGCCTGGTATCGAGCTTGGGAGCATTACCGATCGACCAGGAGGAACATCACTGGTATTGTTAGGAACCCCTTTCCATTTCTGAACTCCATCTTCCTCCGAGGTAAAACCTTGGCCTGGATGTGAGCCTGCAGTCAGCCACCCGGACATTGCGCTCCACCAAACGAAGTAAAACCTGGCCGGATACACTTATCAAATGGCACAACTCCCTTCCACAAGGTCCCTAGGTCTCACCAGCTACAGGTGTTAGGAGTTTGGGTTGTTTCGCCTCACCATTTTTATATATTTCACTTATTGACCGAGTTTTTTCATTTTTTATCATAGGAAATCTGCTTCTAGAAATTCTTGGATAAAGGTGTTTATCCGCTTCAGAGAGGTTTTTTTGTTTTTTTATATTTTCTATTGTCTGCTTTTGGTTGCTAATTTGTTTTTTTATTTCGCTTTGCTCTTCTATAAGCTTCTTACATATATCGTTTAGGTAGTGAATCCTTTTACTAGGTGTTTGGTCATGTATTGTAGTATCATCAAAATTATATTTTTTTGATTAAATATAGCCTAGTGATAATATAGCCCAGGAACCGATATTGATCGGCCGGGCTAAGAGAATGCCTAGAAACCTCCCGAGTTGGTTCTCCAACACAAGTTGACGAACCAACTCGGGGAGTTGACATATGCTTTATATCAGGCATATTTGCCAACCTTCGAATTGGTTCGTCAACTTGGGTTGGAGAACCAACTCGGGAAGTTCCTAGGCATTCTCCCAGCCCAGGCTGATCAATATCGGTTCCTTGGCTATATAAATTTATATTAAAGGGACTATTCAATTTATTATTAATAAAATTTTTTAATAAAGAATTTTCGTGAGGGATAAGATGCTTATGGTCTATTTTATGTATCCCTCTATAATGTTTTAAGTGAAGCCGCTCATCAAAACTCAAGTCGTGTATATTTGATGAAGGCGGATAATGTAAATTTTCTGGAGATCCATCATGGCTTAGGTAAAGTGGATTTATGAAGGATTCATCAATTAACTTGTTTTTAAGAGATTTTTGAATAATTTTAGAATGCCTTTTTGAAGGCGCTGAATGAGGGAAGAAAGAAGTTTCTTGGAACTGCGAGTCTTTTTTAGGTTTTGGAGTGATATTTAAGTGGTTTTTCATTATGATTAATTTATATTTTTAAACTCCAGTCTGAGTTATATAGGATTAAGATATCATAAAGAAATCAAAAATGGTAAATATATAAATGTGTGAAATTTTTAGTTCTTAAAAATATATATTTATAACGTTTGTTTTTAAGCCAAAATATATTTAATAATCAAGTATTTTAACAATAATTAATTTACTATTAATTCTTTAATAAGTTCTAAATAAATAAAATTTTGGTGTTGATGAAAGGTGGAATCTGAGGTTTAGCACCTATGGAGCAAGCAGGACCAATCCTGAAGGACTTGAAATAGTGCTTATGTTACTTTAGATAGGTTTTCGGGCTAGGGGGAGCCTGACAAAGAAGGAAGTTCTAGTTCTATCCTGAAGATTTAATTATCCCTGCCAAATAGTTTAGATGCTCAATAGTCTTTGCCTATCGGCACTAACGGACATCCGCAAGAGACGGCTCTAACCTAGTTAAAAACTACTCCCCTTTGTAAAATGCAAGCTGTTTAAAATTAAGCAGAATTAGCTATAGATCTAATATAAAGACTAAAAAATTTTTGCTTGCTGACAAAGGATGGGTTTTTGGGCAAGAAATAAGGAATTTTTTAATGATTTTGTTTGCTCACGGAAGGGAGTTTAGGCTAAGTGGGTTGACACAGATATGCAAGCTAGTGGTTGTCCGTTTGTGGCTTATATCATTTAAATTTAACTTTAATAAATTCCATTAAATTCTGTCTAACGGCAAATTGTAATACAAATCCCTTACAATTTCTCTAAATTTTTTTGCTAAAATTACTATTTATTTCCTATTTCTCTAATCTTCAAAAATTATTTTCAAATAAATGTACAACCAGCCTACATCTCAACAATGGCAACCTCCTACTTCTACAATGAGCCACTATACCCCAAGTCTCCTTTTATCCTAGGCTATCCTGGCGTCTTCCGATGCCAACAACGGCGTTGCTAAAACAACTCCCTAGATGATGACTCAGATTTGCCCTCTGGGGAATTGGTTTACCAACAAATATTGATAAAACCAACTTCACTGCCGATGTCAGGAGAACTCGCAGCAGCCCAAGCCAAAAGGAGGCTCAGTCTATACACAAATCCAAGTCCTCAAATGAACCCTTTTCCTACCTCCAATCCTTCTGCATTTTCTATACAAAATCGTCCCAACACCTCATCACTATACCCTCAAACTTCATATACCCAATCTAATGCAAACCCATTTTCTGTCCAAACTACGCTTCCTTATAGCTCAACTGCAATGCAAACAAGCTATTCTTCCGGAGCCAGCACTTATAGTAGTCAAACTACTCAAAATCGTTATGGTGGACTTGGATCATCTCTTTCTAATGGCGCCCCTCTGATTTCAGGAGAAAAATGCCCTGTAGATTTAGATGGCACAGGGAGTGTGTATGTATATCATATCGCAGCCCTTGCTAAAAATCAACAAAAACATATTGATGAAATGAGATATGAGGATTATAAATATAAAAGAAACCCAATGGGAATGAATTCTCAGCCTTTTGGGAGCTCACAAATAAATAATCCATTTCAAAGCAACGCATACGGAAGCCGAATTGGGACGTCAGGAATGACAACAGGGAGTTTTCAGCCCAACACAACGAATCCATTCTCTAATACAGGCCAATATGGAAATCCGTCAGTAAGCCAAGCACCTTATGGATCTCAACCGTCTCCATTCAGCATAAATAACAATACTTTTAGTACCACACCTTCAAGACTGCCAAGCACAGGAATAGGGAATTACAATCTTACTTACTTAATTATCTGGTGTTTAAGGTGTCTAGTGCCGCAGCCCAAAAGGGCCTATGGCAAAACTGATGACGTAGGCGAGCCATCTTGGCACGGGTCAGCCCCGTCCAAGCCTTCTATCAACTCCTGCTTCACCGGCCTTGCTGCACGTCTCACCCGGCGCGTTGCCGTCGCCCTTGTCGCTCGACTCAGCTCCTGCGCGTGTTCCGCCTAAGGGTCATCCTCCCGTGGAGATGTGCTGAGAGGTAAAAAGCCCGAGATCTTGAGTGGACTGAGGAGTGGTTCCTTTGGTTATCCCCAAAGTTAAACCGCTGTTGCTGTCCAGAAGTTCGCGAGTGAAACCTAACCCTAATAATAAAATTCCATGAGGGAGAGAAAATTAGCAAAGCTAATTTCTCTCGAACCGAATGCCATTTTATTATTGGGAATTACAATCAGTTCGGGAACAACATAGCTCCAGCAGCCAATCCTTTTTCTTCAAATTTTGATATAAATCAAGGCCGCACAACGCCAAACCCATTCGCTGCAAGTCAGCCTTTCCAATTAGCAAGTTCTTCTAGAATCAGCAGCCAAAACCCTTTTACGCCTTCATTTCCTTCAAATACAAGCACATCGTCTACAAATATGCAGAATCCTTATATGAATCCTTATCCATCCCCTCAGGGCTCTACAAGTAACCCTTTTATGAGCTCATACCAGCCCTATTCTCCTCCAATGTCTTCTTCAGGATTTTTTGTGAACCCTCCTTCTTTTAACCCTCCTATGAACTCATTGTATTCTCAAAGTACTAATTCAAGGCAAATAAATCCTTATATGAATTCTTCATTGGTTCCTCAAATGGGTGCTTTAATGGATGCTTTTAAAGACCCTCATGGGCTAAGTTGGCTATTTCCTGACGAAACTCCTGAAAATGTGCTGAAAATTCATCAGCAAAGAAAAAATGAAAAAAATGCGCCTGAGGCAGTTCCGCTGATAGATAGAATTGCGATGACAAAAAAGCAGCAGCCTTCTTATACAAATTCAAGAAGCATTAGTGATAAGTGAGCACCTGTGTCTCAATCAAAGAAATTTGAACTAAAACCTCTAAAAGAGATAACTACAAATGAGAATAATTGAAGAGAAAAAAAGCTTGAGCCATTTAAAATTGATATAAAACCCAATTTTTCTAATGTATTTTATTTTAAATAAATAAAAAAAAAAAAATTCTATTTAAATTTAGCTTTTATTCTTATAAAAAAGCATAAGGCTTGAAGAATATAAAGATGATGATATAAACTGCTTTAAAATCATAGGCTCAAAAAAATCAGCTTCTAAGCTAGACACCAGCAACGACGTCATTATTGTCCTTCACGAGCCAGAATTCATACGAATCCTCATCCCAGTAACCCGAACCACCACAATTTACGATCTAAAATCCCACATAACCCGACAAATAAAAATCCCTGAAAACACCCAAATCCAATTAGTATATAAATCAATGGTTCTAAAAGACAGCGACACAATTATTGATGCAGGCATCGGAAACCATGAAGAAATTTTAGCTGCTTTAAAAAAATTGTCCCCAGTAAAGCAATCTCACCTTGTACCAACCGAACTTTTGCCGAAATTAAATAAAGCTGGATACTCAATGACCCCTCATATATGGGACATGGCAAATATGACTGAAGAAGAACTGTCAAAAATAACCAATTTTTCTATAGAAAACCAGTATGGAAAAATTATTTTTGATGGCGAAACTTCTGTGTTAAATTTAGATATAAATAATATCATAGAAATTGTGCAAAATTCTATTGATGTTTATCCAGAAAAAAGTAGTATAGAAAAACCACCTATTGGAGAAGGGCTCAATAAGCCTGCAGAACTGCATTTGTATAACTGCAGGCCTGGGAAAGCTACAAGTACCGAAAAATTTGAAGAAAGATTGCACAGGATTTGTGATAAAAGTGGCAGTGAATTTGTAAATTGGAATCCAAGCACCGGGGAGTGGGTTTTTAGGGTTCAAAATTTTTAAGTTAATTAATTAATATGGAATTGATATTAGACCAACAAGCAGTTGCTATTATTCGCCAAGCATTTCAGTGCTGTGATATCGACGGAGATGGATTTATAAGTAAAAATGACTTAAAAATTTCTTCTGGAATAGAAGACGAGTCTGATATCGAGAAAATATTTTTTGCTATTAAAGACTCAACTGACAACAATCCTATCACTTTTGAAGAATTCAAAAAAGGGATCATGGATTTTCCGTTCTTATTAGAACAGTTTAAACAAGAATACACAGAAAAACCGAAAAAAAATAAAGTTAACGTCCCTAAACTAGTGATAAAAATTGACGAAGCTGAAGAAGAGTATATTTCTACAAGGGACAGCCCGACTTTTATGTTACAAAACGTTTTCACGTATTTTCAAAATGCTGTGAGAGAATTCTCGGAACAAATAAGCGCCCCTGAGCCTAGTGGGATTTCGAGAAGGAGTGATAGCTTGGATGAATGTCGACGCTTGCTTAACAATTTGTTAAGAAAACCTGAATTAAGGCAGCCAAACCCTCAGATTTCAGTAGTTAATGGTGCTTTATCACTGCTTGATTATATAGAATCAGAAAAAAGCAAGTTCCAAAATCAATTGGAGCATTTGCAACGGTGCATGATTTTTTGATAGTCAAACATTGCTCAGAAAATGGGCTCTTGCATAAAATTTACCTCTAATATCAGATTTCATTTTCAAAAATTTAGGTAAATTGTCTTATAATTTCCAAAAAGTATAGAGACATTTGCAAAATGAAATAAATGACAAAAAAATTGCATTAAAAAATTCAGAAGTAAATAATGAAAGGCTAAAAACGAGAAATGAAGAATTGCTAGAAAACTTGTCGAAGCTTGAAAGCGAAAATAGCAGAAGATACGAAGACCATATAACAGCTGTAAAAGAAAAAAAATTGCTGCAAAACCAGCTAAGGAACAATGAAGCTAAAGCAAAAATGGAAATTGGGAATATACAGAACGTGATTGCAGAAAAAGAAAAAGCCATAAAAAATTTGGAAAAAGAAATTAATAGACTAAGATCATTTAAAACGCTACAGGAGCTGACGTATCATAAAGATTTTTCGCCTGACCAAGTCAGGAAAAATAGAATAAGCACATATACCCCTAGAAATGTGATGACTTTTGTGTCACCGATTGGGTCACCTAAATATACAAAAAAACAAAAAAAATTCAATTTGGATGTGATAGCTCCTAATGAGCTGGAAAGAAAAACCAAGGAATTTAGAGAAAAAGAAATTGTTTATATTGGACAGATTGATAAGCTTACAAAAGAATTAAGCGCTATGAAAGAAAAAGAAGAAAATAAAAATTTTCCGAGCAATTCACAAAGAAATAGTTCGCTTCATGAAGATTTGGAGCTGCTAAAAGATATTCCTGGAATTGATGCATTTTCATTAAATTCCAGTAAAAATCCAAATACCCCGACATATGTGATAGATGAAGACCAAAAAATAAAAAAACGCAGATGCTGCGGGCTTTTTTGGTAATTAAACCTATTTATCTAATTTTTTTAATGTAAAAATGCTTGGATTAGTATTATATTTGAAAATAATAGTTTTTTAATGATAATTGAATTTAGACCTAAAATTGTATTAAGGAGGCTGTGAAATATAGGCATAGAAAATAAATTGGAACGATTTTGGAAAAAATTGGTCCAGAACTATCCAATAACCTTTTAATTAAATTAAACCTAAAATTAATCTAAAAATCTTTAACATTTATTATTATTTCGATTTGCATTCAAAATCTAAAATAAATCTTGTAAGAATTTTCATTAAAATTACATTAATCAATGATAAGTTAAGACATCGATCAATTATTTATATAATTATTTAAAAGCTATTATGATAGAGAAAATCGAAAATTTATATCGTTGAATCATAAAATATGTCAAGCCCAATTAAGGTGGCTTCTTCAGAAAATAACACGAACACTCATATAGAAAAAGCCCGAAATGCTTCAGCTCCAAAAAGTGCAATTTTAGACGAGAAATCTCCCACATCTAGAGAAATCTTACTCCAACATATTAAAGGGATTGGAAATACTAATCAGGCTAGATCATCTAAAACGCCATCACCAATGCTAAAGCAAGGTGAGTATGGTGTATTCAATATTTATGGTAAATTACCAATAATTTTTTTAAAGAAAACATCGTAATTTTTATTAAAAAATTAATTATAAAATAAATAATCCATTCAATATTGATTTAAGAAAAAAATCCATCGAGCCTTTAACACCCAAAGGTGCTGAAGAAGAAAACAATGAAGGAAAAGATAATCATGAAAAAAATTGAAATCTATTAACTGAGCTGCAAAATCCAAACCGAGAAGGGTTTTTTACATTCAGAGGTGACCAAGATATTCAAAGTTCTAAAGAAGATCTCAAAAAAGAAGGAGTTTTAGTAATTTCAATTGAAGATGAAATAAATAAAGAGTCAATTGTAGAGCTCAGAAAAGAAATAATGAAAGAAAACAAGGCAGAAGAAGTAAAAGTTGAAAGCCATACGTCTGCAATTGATTTTGTTAGGGGAAATCTCAAAAAAGATACATTACCAAAAGAAACTCCAAATAAACTATCTGAACCTATTAGCATTTTTGAAGAAAAACAGCCAAAGTTTATAGAAAAAGCTGAGCCACCTCTGCCAACCTTATACAGCTCAAATATTTCTCCCAAAACTAAAGAAAAGCCTATTTTAGAAATTCAAAAGCCGATACTAAACCTTGAGAAATCAATTGATCTTTCAATAGTTACCCAAGAAAGAAATAGGTCATCTTCCTCACATATCCAAAGTGCTGCAATGGCAAGTCAGCTGAAACCAGCAAGCCAAAGATCAGTAACTCCTCAGCAAGAATTCCATCCTCCGTCTGTGCTAACTTTTGATGAATTTATGTCACAATGTGACCCAAATAGGTCTAGTTTTGCCTCTAATTCGCCTTTGACCAACTCTTTTATAGGCCAATCTCCTAAAGATTTTAACCCTCCAGCACCTCAACGTCCAGTAAAAAAATACGAAATATTTAAAAAACAAGCCCAAGAAAAAGAAAAATTGATGATAAAAAGGAAAAAATCAATCATAAAAATCCAGGCACATATACGAGGATGGCTGTGTAGGCTGAGGGTGAAAAGGATAAAAGATAGATATAGAGAAACACAAAGATTATTGAGGATACGTGATGTGTGTGAAAGGATAAAAATATCATGGGCTCCTTATATAATTTTAAAAGCTTTACAAAGGTGAGTAGAGATAAGGCGAAAAGAAAAATTAGAAGTTTATAATGGTCATGTATTTTTTCTAATAAATTGGCCTTTTATATATTATTTTGCTTAATTTATTTACTAAACATAGATTTTTTGAGAAATTTCAAATAAAAATTTGGATCCAGTTTATAATATGTTTGTGGAATATTCTGCAGTATTTATACAAAAGTTTTTTAGGGGATATTTAACTAGAAAAAAATGGTGGACGATTATTGAGGCAAGAATAAATGCGAAAAGTGTGATTTTATCACTCGTAAGAGCGTGAAAAACCAGGAAAATTTTAAAAACTAAAGAAATGAGGAATATTGAAATAGGAATAAAAGATATGACAAAACTTGCATCAGAATTCTCTAGCGAAGGAAATCCAAACACTCTATTATCTAAAGTCCATCAGCAAATTCCTGCATTAAAAAGAAAATACATTCAGGAATTCCGTAAAATCTATAACCAAGGCTCATGGGTTTATTTGCCGCCTCTCTCCAAAATCCACACCCCTTATGATCCATCAACCCCAAAAAATGACAAACAAGGGCCAATAGTAAAAACTGAGTCTTTCAGACTGAGCCTAGAAAGAAGCAATAGTTCTTCATCTCCACAATATCCAAAAGAAAATTATGACTTTGATACGGACATTTATATACAGAAGGACAAAGAAATCTACTCTAGTCACTATAGCAGAGAAGACCAGCCTATTAAGCCTCTACAAGTGACTTATAACCAAATAGCTGAACAAGGAGAAGACGCCATCGAGTCTATGACTGAAACAAAACCAGTCAAAAAATTTTCAAATTTTTTGAAAAGAGGGGAAAAGAAAAAATATGACCCACTAAAGAAGGCAAAAGAAAATAAAAATAGAAAATCAATTGAGGCGAAAAAAGAAGAAGAAAAAGTAGAAGAAAAGCCTATTGAAGAAAAAGTAGAAGAAAAACCTATTGAAGAAAAAACGATTGAGGCTCCAAAGGTGAATGAAAAAAGAACTAGAGGAAGAAAAAAGTCTCCAGAAGCACCTATTAAAGGGCTAGACAATGAAGAAATAGAAAAGAAAATAGAAGAAGATGTAAGCCTGCTGAATTGAATCAAAAACCAATCCTGTCTTAGTTTCTATATAATTATTGTTTTAAAATTTATTTTTTTTTTTTAAATTAATTCAAATATAAAATTATAAATAATGTAGAAGACCCAGAAGATACAAAAAGAAATACCACCCCACATTCCTATTTAAAAAGAAAATCCCAAACTTACAAACCTGCCACAAAAGTTGAATGAAAAGTCCAAAAACGAATCGATTGTTGGGGCTCTCCCAATGTCAACGAGCATATAGAAAAAAAGAAAAAGCCTATCGTCCCGTCAATCCAATTGGAAAAACAGGGCATCCCTATAGAAGACCTCGAAAGTATTTTTTCAGGAATCGCCAGAAACCATATAAATCCCAACTATTTTTTCAAAAATCGTGAGGTAAAGGACACAATAATTCCCCAATTTAACGAAAATTCTTATTTTATAACCCATTATAGTGATGATATATATCAAGACACCCTGAAAGTGCTGGATGACCATTATCAATATCTTTGCAATGAAGATGAATCTGTTTTGGATAGATCTTTAAATAATAATTATTAAATATAAAGAATTCAGTTTTTAGCGATTTAATATTATTGGCTGTGGTGATGGACACACCTGTCACAGATGTATGCTGAAGGATATTGATTTTTATTATTAAAAAATGGTGCTATTTATATAGTAAAATATAAAAAATTAGAATTTGGATTCAGGCCGTTTTGTAGGCTTCTGATACTCTGGCTTTGGATTTAAATATTTGTCGATCCTAAACTGCAGACTTGCGATTTCAGAGCGATATCCTTCATTTTCCAGCTTAGTCCGTGACTCTAAGTCTTGGTATTTTCTATTTAACGCGAAATATCTGCCTTCTAAATCTGCCACTTTATTTTGGAAAATCGCTTGAAGACGGTTATATTGGTCCTTTATCAGGTCAAGCTTATCTTTAGTCTCTGACGACTGGTTCCTAAACTGATGGGCAAAGTCCATAGCTTTTTCATTGGCGTCCTTTTCTGCTTTACTCGTATCCTTTTTGGTTTTTATTTTATTATTTTGTGCTTCAATCAGCAAGGCGTCCAATTTCACCCTCATTTCTTGGGAATTTTCTAAAATTAGCCTTTCTCGTTCTTCATATTCATGCTTGAGCCTAATAATATCCCTTATAGCAAACAATTTCCCTTCCTGGGCTTTATTTAGCCTCTCTATCAAGCTATCTAATTCTTGGCTGTTTTCTTCATAATTAGTCCTTAAAAAGTCTTCCCTGAACCTTTTATGTTCTCTTGCTTCATTGATTTTTTCAACGAAAAATCTCCTTTGGTCTTCAATTTCTTTTAATAATTGGTCTCTTTCTTTGGTCAATGACTCTGTCTGTGGGGACGGCAGATGAAGAGTCCTTATGATGTGCTTTGGCTTGAGGTCATTAGAATTGGAGTTAGACGCATAAGAATATACATTTAACGGCTTTTCTCCTTCAGATAAATATATATCTTGCTGAATCGGCTCTGTTTTTTCCATGATTCTTAGCAGCTTGTCACGATTTCCTGCTTTGTTTTTGAAAAACTGCTCATGCTCGCTTGCCAAAGCGACAAGCTCGTCACGGCCTTTGTCGAGGACTGATTGCCTTTCTTTGACCTGATGCATAAGCTCTTGTTCTTCTTCTAAGCGGGATTTTTGTTCCCATTCAAGCTTGTGCAAGTGCTCTTGGCGGACTCTAAGACTTTCTTGTTTTCTGAGCCAGTCTTCAGCTTCTCGCTCACCTTCTTCCATTCTGTTTCTGTAGTAGGTCAAAATTTCTCAGTTATCGCTTTCAAAATCGGGCCGTGCTGAAAATTGAAGGGCTTTTGAAGACCATATATTTGACTCAAATGCAGCCATTTTCAAACTTTATGAATGATATAATTAAATAGAAAATAATTTTTAGAGCATATAGGCTATTTAAGCCTGTTTTTCATATATATTCAATAATATTTCCTTAGCCATTATAGCGCTGCACCGCTATGGATTGCCTTGGCGAGGATTCTCCACAGCAACTTGGACTCTGGCGAATCACCTAAAGGTGACAAGTCAATTCCAAGTTGACAAAAGCGCACCCTTTTGCAAGGATTTGTCAACTTGGAGTTGACTTGCCACCTTTAGGTGACTTGTCAGAGCTCCAAGTTGATGCGGAGAACTCTTGCTAAGGCAAATCCATAGCGGTACAGACGCTATATATATATTAATTTATTAAAACCATTACGAAATGATCTGATTTCTGGCAGTTGAGTACAGTTCACTAATAGACTCATCAATAGGCGCTCCATCTCTTGACTTCATCACAGTAGACTTCCTCCTCTGAGACCTTCTCGAGTACGAATTCAAGCTTGCCCTCGCAATCGCAGTGATATCTACATTATTCTTAACGACCGCCACATCTCTAATTCTTTCAATATCTTCAAAATCACTAATAAACTCCGTCTTATTATCCACCTCAATTGAATCTGTCTTATCTCCCAGCCTTGGGTTGAGCATGCTAATTAATTTTGTGCTTACTTCTAAGCTGGTATTCCCCAATTTCGTCCTCGTCTTTTTAAACTGCCGAATCCTCTCAATTTCTTCATTTGCGTCAGCGTGACTTCTAGCATTTGGGTCTTTTGGGCATTGAAAGGCGGAGTGCCCAATTTGTCGGCAGCTTGGGCATTTCTTTTTGCTGCTTTTTTGGTCTTTTTCTTCAGGATTTACTTCTTCTTCGCTTTCGTCTTTCATTTCGTGCTTCGACCTGACGCAGCCAGGGGCGTCTTCTTTTGATTTTCCACAGCACCAATACATAGTACCGTTCCATTTTCCAGGGTGTAAGCAGCAGGACCAGTTAAAATTGTCCCTTTCATAGTAATTTTTATTACAAAACTTGCACAGTTTTTCTTCATCTAGGCCGTTTAATTTTCTTTTAGAGTTTATTTCTCGGGCTTGTTGGCGGAGTTTGGCGTATCCTTCATTGAGTTCGTCGTATTTTTTTTCTAAATCTTGGTATTTGCTTTCGAGGAAATCCCGCTCATCTTTGGCTTGGGAAATTTGTTTGGATTTTTGGTGGAGGACATCTTTTATGTGGTTTTTGAGGCTTTTGACCTCTTCGCGGTAGTCAGTTCTTTTCATAGAAAAAACGTGATTTTGTGTGATATATTCTATATACTTGGTAAGCGTGATTTCAGCGATGTCTTCGTTTTCAATGGTGTATAGGCATAACTCGACAGATTTTTGCTTTAAAATGTCATTTTCATCATGAATCGCGTCTCGACTATTGACTGGGCCGTTTAAGCTGAGGCTGGCTTCATAAAGACCTTTAAGCCTTTCTCCCATAATGTCGCTTTGCATTTCTAATAGAGAATACCAGTGTAAAAGTTCATTGGATTTGTTATCAAGTGACGCATTTCTGGTCCTTTCGTTACTGAGAAGCTGCCCAAGCAGGTTTCTTTCAGAGTCTTTAATCTCTTTAAGCCTCTGGTACTCAGCTACCTGTTCTATAATAAAATTGGTATTTTTTTCAGCTTTTTCCATAGACTGTACGCCAGTGCTGATTTGGCATCTTAAGGCAGCCAATGTGCATCTGCTTGTAATAAGCCTTTCTTGGTATTCGTTAATTTCTTCTTTAATTCGAAGCTTTTCTGCTTCTGTCATCTGCCATTTGGATTTTAGCTCACTGAGGTTTTTATTGATGCTTCTCAGTTCTTTTCCAATTATGTCGCTTAATTTTATGCCGTCGTAGGTCCCTTTTTCTGGGGTGAGGCGGAAAAAACTACATTGTAGTTTTTTACTCCTTTTTTTTTTTGAAGGGAAATAACGGTTTTTTTTAACATAAAATTTTTTGAGGAAAAAAAACAGCAATCAAAAACTACAAAAACTACTATGAGAAAAAAAACCTAGGGTGTAAAAAACTACATAGTGCAAAATTTTGGTCAAACAGGAGGAAAAAACTACTAGTGAATGTTTTTGTCTTCCAGGGACAATTAATATTAAAAGAAGAAAGATGACAACATTATATTGTATATATATTATATTCATTGTTATATATCAAATCTGTTAAAGACACTCATAAATGAACACAGGAATTATACTACACTATAATATTTATAATTTTTTTTGCAAAACAGTATGAAAAAACTACTAACAAAAAATTAATAAAAGTATAATATTAATAATGATTGAACAAGAGAGAATTGACAATAATAAAGGCATGAATTGCTATCATAGCAAGCTATCTATTACCATAAATTCAAGATCAACACCCTTAAATTTATAATTAAAAAATAGCTAACACAAAAAGCTACACAAAATGGAGGAAAAAACAGCAACTCAAAAACATGGTAGGAAAAAACTACCAGTAATTTTTTAATAGTCCCATTTTGGTATGAAAAAACTACAAATGGAAAACCTAGGGTGGAAAAAACTACAATATCAATTTTTATTAGATTTTAATCCAAAAAAATATAAAAAAAGTAAAAGAAGTTTAAAAAGGTTTATCCCAACTATGGGTAAAGCTATTTATTAAGATAAGATTATCACTTTCAATAGAATTATTTCTAATACTAATTATTTGCTTTCCGTAACTTAATGCCATTTGTTTGAGAATCATTAGCAGTCCGTTTCAGGCCTGAATTAACCATTTTTTCTTTTATTTTCCCATTACTCCAATCAGAGCATTCAGGTAAGAGCCATCTTCTTGAGGTAACTGCAATAATGAGGTCTATCCAGTTATCACCTGATACATCACATACAAATAATATGTGGCTACAAGCAACACCATACCGCAACATTTTATAACATGTACAAGAAGCTTTCCTGCGATCAACTTGAAAAACTTTGGTATCATCTCTGAATATTTCTAATATAAAATATAAGTTATATTATTGTATATAAATATAAGTATGAATGTAGGATTGTAAATACGTTTATTATAAATTTACCTTTCTCCCCTTCTTATCTAAAATTAAATTAAAGCTGCTATTTATGCAATAATAGATATTACCATCTTCAACTTTATTAATTGAACATTGCTCTATTTTTTCTAAGGATTTTTGAAAAAGATTATAGCTATATCTTGTAAAGACATTGTTTCAGCTTACAGCTAAATTTCCTTTATAAGGGCCATATAATTTTTCTTTTTGAATACAAACTTTTTTTTCGAAATTGTCGTTTTCGCTCTTAATAATATTATCAAAAACAGTCAGAATGCGGCAGTTCTTATTTCTTTTTAATATTCTTATTGATCTTTTAACTTGGGAATTTAAACTCTCGCTTCTGGAGGTCGTTTTTATACCCATAGTTGGGTATTTAAGACAAGCATATTTAGCCCACTGTGATTTTAATGTTTCAAGTTTAATAAATCCAGAACATTCTTTTAATCTTGGGAATTTATTCAGCAGAGCATTTCAGTGTTTTTAAAATTTTTTTAGCATCTTTAGAATAATAAAGGGACCACCAGTATTCACTGAATTCTTCCCAAGTGATGTCTATATGAATTAAATTACTTACAAACTTTTAGTATTTAAATTGGACTAATAAGCATATATCCATATTAATACATGATAAAAAATTAAGTAAGGAAACAGTTGTCATGAGTATAATATTTCTCTCAATATGTCAAATGCAAAAGATTATCTTTGCTGGTCTAAAGACTTTGCAAAGAGCTTTATATTGGGCTTGATTTCTATCTACAAATAATATAAAATTGAGAGTTTTGCATTATACTTTCACCTGCTATATTTAAATTAATCTGATAACTAATCTTATCATTTCAGTTAGATTGGAAATAGTTTATGAGAGAAGAGATCATATTAGAAAATTATTAATCAAGATACTACTTTCGGGCAATTAAAATGATTTAAAAATTGTGAAAATATTCATTCATAGTCTTTTGCAGTCTCATTTTTGCATAATCCCATACCCAAAGCCAATTTGGACCCATTCGAATCAACTGTTAGAATAAAAATTGCGCATCTGAAGTTATTATGCACTTTATAAGTGCTATCAATGCATATTACATCCTTTAGTTGATTTCACATAGCAATCTGTTTAGAATCTGTAAATAAAAAATCTTTTCATTTTTTCCACTGTATTCTATTATTGAATCTTTCATATAATGCTCATTGTCTAGCAATGACTCAAAAGTCATATCTGAAATATTTATCTTTCTATAATATTCTATACTTCATACTTTTAGATAAATTTATTTAAAATAGATCTTGCTACTCATTCTTATAGAAATTTAATGTTTACGCTAAATATAAATGCACATTATTCATATTGCTCCAATAATAAATTTTTAAGCTTTGCCTTTGAAATATTAGTTTTTATGAGTAGAATTTATCATCATCTGCAATTGCTTAACAGTGAATCCTTCTATATAGTAATTTATAGCTTCATTTCTGATACTATCTGGTATCAATTCGCATTCTAGCAAGTTCTGCTCATCATTTGTGGTAATTTGTCCATGATTGTGAACTTTATTAATATCTGTACACTCAAAATACAATAAATCTGTTGTTTCTTTATAATATTTCCAGGTCATTTTAAATTTGCAATGTTCAATTGGAGTTATAGAGGGAAATAAAATATTTTTATGCTCGCTTCCAAAATAGCAAGAAAACCAAATGATTTTTCTTTTTGAATTAGAGCCTCTCACTTTTATTTTGACTTTATCATCTTCCAAAGATTTTTGTTTTATAAATCCTTCAAATGCTTTGATAGAAGTAAAACTGTACTTATCTCCAAAGTTAAAGGAACTTATTATGTGTAATTGATCTATCTCTTTTTCAATTACAAGCCCATTATTATTTATGTTTGGGCTTTCAAGTTTAATCTCTATAATTTGTATAAATGTTATTTGTGAATTAGCTGTACGTATATTCTGAAAATAAAATGAATAAAGGCTAATAAAAATTGGTTTATATTTTATAAATAATGATATTCTTTTTTTCTGATATCTGTCTAACAATAGATAATTTCTCTATTTCTTGATTGACATTATTTAAGCGTTCACTAAATGATATTAAGTTTTGAGAATCTTCTTGCTTTTCTTTGTGATCACTGTTTTCATGATTTGCTTGCATATTGTGCCGCAAATTTATTGGATGCTCATATTTTTTATGCTTTTTGTATTCAGACATCAGAAATGCTAGCTGCAGCAAGTCTAATTTAAACCAAGAGCATATAGCAGTTCCAAATTCTGGATCCTGAATAGCAAGCTCCATCATTTCGTCTTTAAGCACTTCACCTGATTTGGCAGTTATAGAGATTTTGGCTTTCTTAGCGATTTGAGCTATTAATTCGCCATTTTTTATTGTTATTAATTCTATTGAAAGTGATAATCTTATCTTAATAAATAGCTTTACCCATAGTTGGGATAAACCTTTTTAAACTTCTTTTACTTTTTTTTATATTTTTTTGGATTAAAATCTAATAAAAATTGATATTGTAGTTTTTTTCCACCCTAGGTTTTCCATTTGTAGTTTTTTCATACCAAAATGGGACTATTAAAAAATTACTGGTAGTTTTTTCCTACCATGTTTTTGAGTTGCTGTTTTTTTCCTCCATTTTGTGTAGCTTTTTGTGTTAGCTATTTTTTAATTATAAATTTAAGGGTGTTGATCTTGAATTTATGGTAATAGATAGCTTGCTATGATAGCAATTCATGCCTTTATTATTGTCAATTCTCTCTTGTTCAATCATTATTAATATTATACTTTTATTAATTTTTGTTAGTAGTTTTTTTTCATACTGTTTTTGCAAAAAAATTATAAATATTATAGTGTAGTATAATTCCTGTGTTCATTTATGAGTGTCTTTAACAGATTTGATATATAACAATGAATATAATATATATACAATATAATGTTGTCATCTTTCTTCTTTTAATATTAATTGTCCCTGGAAGACAAAAACATTCACTAGTAGTTTTTTTCCTCCTGTTTGACCAAAATTTTGCACTATGTAGTTTTTTACACCCTAGGTTTTTTTTCTCATAGTAGTTTTTGTAGTTTTTGATTGCTGTTTTTTCCTCTCAAAAAAATTTTATGTTAAAAAAACCGTTATTTCCCTTCAAAAAAAAAAAGGAGTAAAAAACTACAATGTAGTTTTTTCCGCTTCACCCCTTTTTCTGTGCTTGAGGTAACTCCATATACAGATGGACGCCTTTTGGCAGCGACATTTCTACAGTCAGCTTCAAACATAGGCAGTAAATATTTTCTGATGACTTCTAAGGCGATTTCTGGGGTAACTTGTATAGCTTATAAGCAATTTTATGATAATTTTTTATATAAAAAACCTAATTCTATAAATTTTCTTAAATCTTGCACAAAAAATGCTTAGTAAGCTATATATCTTCACGTGATTTGCGGTTTCGGATTTTATTACAAAATTCATATGTGATAAGTGGCTTTATTTTTCGGGTTGACCGAGATGTAGCAAGGTTGACTTTTCGCTTTCGGATTGAGGGTACTGATATTGTCTTAGAAAGAAAATGCGTGCTCATGGTTGACTCATTTGTGGAGTATTCCAGGGTTGTGCGATAAGAAAGCATGTTTTATAGCTTTTAATAAAAAAAATGCATCATTGCCCTCAGTTAATAGGCCCGAATACTTTATTTTTAAAATTTTTTTATTTTTAAATGCTTTTTAATTATAAAATAGATTAAATTTCTAAAAAAAAAATTTAATCAAGGATTTAGATAGTTTTCAATTAATAATTATTACAAAAAATAGCTAGAAATAAGCTGCAGATAATCAAAAAATATTCTCAGTTTTAATAAATTATGGAGCCAGGATCAGGTTCTGTCAACCTCTTTGAAAGGTTCAGCTCGCTTTCTTCAGATGACCGTTCATTATATTATAATCCTGAAGCTCCCTACACAGAAGTCCAATTTCATGAAATAAAAAACACAATTGACAAATGCAAGAAAAAATCTTCCAGCACAAAAATAAAATCACTCAATAAACTTGTGACAGCTTGCAATGAGGCGACTGATTTTACGTTGCTTATTGATATGCTTCCTAATTGGGTTTACTTGTTTTCTTCACTCACCAAATTTGAGGCAGAAAAAGCAGTCCGTGAAGCAGCATTTAAAACACAAATTGTTTTCTTTTCCAAATTTATACTATTTTTATTAAATAATTTTCTATTAAATTAATAATTTTTTTCAATAAATTCATATAAATAAGCATAAGAAATCATTTGCTAAATATTTAGACGAAATTTTTACCCCACTGTGGCTAGGAAGATGTGACCCATGCCGAGAGGTCGCTGAAAATGCAAAACGGGCTTTTTCCGCTGCTTTCCCAGAAGACAGGCAGCCAAAAGTAGTCGAAAAATGCTTTGAAAGATACATGAGAGAGAGCATGAGCATTTTAAGAGAAGACATCAAAGAAAAAGAAGAAATCAACGAAAGGTTAATGAGCTGCTCAATTCTTGGCATAAAAGAAGCAGTAGAAATGACTGACACAATTATCCCACAAATTGCACCTTTATATGAAAGCTTACCTATATGGAATTTTACAGCTTCAAACTATTTGCCATTGGTCAGATCTGCCAGTATGTTTTGTATAAATACTTTTCTAAACAAAGGAATTTTACAAAGAGATCATTATATGAGGATGCTACCACTTATATTTGGGCTACTCAAAGATAAGAATAGGCTAGTACATCAAGCATTGTGGGACCAAACTTTTCTCAATTTTTTAGGAAAATTTCCTGAATTTAAGGATAATGTTGACACAAATAGCATAATAAAAGACTTATGCTCATGCTTGGTAAATGGAGCATATGGTGCTGGACCTGTCTTTTATCCACAGCTAGTCAAGTTTCTTACTCCCCCCCCCTTTTAAATTGAAACAAAATATAGGTAAAATTCCTACTTTTTTGGGAAATTACCCCCCTTTAAATTGAAACAAAATTTTTTGTTTCAATTTTTTTTTGGGGGGGGAGTTAGTTTTCTGGGCAATGAAAAACTAGGTGGAAAAAAGACTATTGAGAATCTTTTCCTGGCTATATTAAAAGGATTTAATTCTGAGGATGGAAATTTCCATGGGAAATTTATTTTGAATGCTTATTATGAAGTAGTGGTCTTTGTGTCTATCAAGCTTCCAGAAAAATCCAAAGACATTAATAAATTCATATTAGAACCTGCCAATATGTACTTGCAGTCTCAATCCCTGATTACTCCAATTATGCATTTAAATGTAGTTCCTGGCTTATTAGGCCAAACTCTCGGGTATCTAGAGCAACGCGGCATTTTCCCCGAAATTTCTGAATATCTTTACCAGCTAAGTTATGGAGGCCTCCAGCAATCTCCACAGGTCGCCATTGCCTTTTTAAAGGAGCTTAACAATGAGTTGACGTCTAAAGGTCCTCAATGTCGCAGCTTAATAAGAAACTTGATCCATATAATGCACAGCCAAATTTCCCAAGACATAGAAAACAAATTCACAATTAACGACCACGAGCAGCTCCAAAATAAGCTAAAAATGCTTCTGGCCTTCACAGAAATTTCTTCATCTCTTGATATTCCTATTTATGACTGGTGGACACGAGGCATTAATGAAAAATTATCAGTCGAAATCCTCAGAATTTTGGTTTCTATATTGAAAACTGACCCAAAACAATGGTGGAGAGCAGTGGTCCAAAGCAAAATTTCTTATGATAATTTACCTTTATTAATCCCTGACGTCTTTTCTGAAGCTTTACTTAAAGCTGCAGACGCAGCAGAGCTTGAAGATTTAGTGACTGGACTTATAAATTCATTAAAAGACTCCACAAACTTGGCAGTTTCAGCTGTTTTGATTGGAATTTTGTTAAATATAAGCACATCTAAGCTAATCACACTTATTCCTCTGCACACAAAAATAAGAAAAAACGTGTTTATACTATTGGAATTGCACAAAGAAGAAGAATTAAGTCTGCAGGAAGTAATGAATATGTGGAAAGAAAGCTTAGAAAAAGAAAGGAATGGAGATGAGGTCTGCTTTATATGCTGCAGGGCTAATGAAATCAATGACAGCTCGCTGCCTGACCTTGAGTGTATAAGCTGTCGGAATAAAGTCCACAAAGCCTGCGTTGAAAATGTAGAAACTAAAGAAAAGTGCTTATATTGTGAAGAAAAATTTAGCGAAATAGTTAACTTATAGCACATTTAAAATTTCTATTAGGTTAGGGCTCAGGCCCTATATCCATCTCTGTGAGAGAAGTTCACGACTTCTTGAGAATCTCAGCTCAAGAGAATGGGTCTACATGTGTCTGATATAAACTGGAAGGATTTAGGGACAGAAACAGTTTGAAAGTTAGGCAGCCCACCTACCGTTATTCAGAGCTGTGGTCCAAGCTGAGGCCAAGAAGTACATGACTTAAAGAGTTATCTTAAACTTAAACTTATAACAAAAATGTTTTTAAAGCTTGTTACTCCTTGCATATTTATATAAATTTCTTACTTTAAACATCTTAAAATTCAGTAAATAAATAACATTATTTTGAATTAATCTTGATATACACGTTATCTTCTTGAATTCAGTCCTAGCGACCCTTCTGAAATCCCATCATGTGAAAACACGCATTCCGCATCAGCATTTACCTTAAAAAACTCGCCCAAAGATTTCCCGAGATCTCCTCCCCCTTTCACTATGTCTAATTTCTATATATTCTTTACCAGTAGCTCTCCATAATTTGTACAAAACGGGTCCTGCCGCACCTGATGGGCAGGCTTTAAATTATACTGCACCCAGGGTGTTCCTTCTCTGTTTAAAACTCTAATTAAATGGTCTTCGTCTTTAACGATCTCTTTCCTTATCAAATTTCCTTCTTTTACAGCGCTTCCTTTTAATAGTAATTTTGGGTGTCTGTATTTTTTAACTGGAAAAACAGGCAACAGATCTTTGTGTTCTTCGTAGAAATTGCAGGGTTTAAGGGTCTGGACGTAATTTTCGTTGACCAGGAATCTTACTTTTTGAGGGACGCCATATCATTTTTGGGATTTTTCGGAGGAATTAGTTTCTTTGATTAGGGGTTTCAGACAGATGCTGGGCTGAATAGAAGATTTGTAAGAAGCCACGTCGCTGAGGTCTTGGAAAACTGGCTCACTTTTGACTTCATTGATGTCTGGGTTTTGATTTTGATTTGCATTGACTGAAGTAATAAAAGTTATGTCTTTACTTTCCCCTTACATATTTTTAGTTAATTTTAATAGGAGAAACAGTATTTTATAGGATTTTCAAAATATTTTAAAATAAATTTATATTAATAATTTTAATTATGAGCATAAAAAATAACTATTTATATTAATCATTATGAAGGAATTTTTCAATTAATTACTCTCCACAATGTGGAGAATTAGGGGGCACATTTTCTGGCATCCTACAATCCGAAGGAGGATTTTGCTGATCTGCACTAAAGTTATCAGTTTCCAAAATGGAGGTTCTCAATATCTCTTCATTACTAGTAGTTCTATAAAATTCTGACTGTGCTTTATATGAGTCTTTACTTCATATTGACCTCATATCTTGTTCACTTTTATTTATAATCCCTGACCTTATTATTGTAGATTTCGACTGCTCATTTAGCGTATATATAGAAGGTGGCTCAGACAGAGTTTTTCAATCATTTTTCGGAACTTTTCCCATTTGTGCAGAAGAGCTTAATATAAATGCAGGCTTAAAGGACTCTTCAGATGTATATATTTCTGAATACCCTGCCACAGGCTCTCTTCGAGACGACTCAAAATAGCTTACCGATGATGGTTTTATTACATCTCTGACTTTATCCTGTTGAGAATAAGATCTTTTTAAGGCAACTGCTTTAAGCATTGGCGGAATCCCTTCTTTTGGCTTAAATTGTGAAAATTTGAAAGCTTCGGCTGCATTTTTTCGCAAATTAAAGTTCATGATGGTAGATTGTTTAGGCACGGCTGAGTCGTTGTTTTGAATAGGCTGCACTTCTAAATCTAAATATTTCCCTGGCATTGGGATATTTGATACTATGCTGCATTCACTTTGGTTTCTAGACAGCTTGGCTCTACTTAAGTAACTTGATGGGTCGTTTTGTGACAAATTTGATAAATTGTTTGAACCTTGTGAGATATTTGGCTGATTTTTGATTGAAGAAATTGGAGGCAGGTTTTTTCCGTAAACTTGGAAATTTGGCTTGATAATTTGGTCTCTTTGGTTTTCTCCTTGAAACATATAAATATTAAAAAAAATATGCTATGGACGTTATATATATAAAAATCAAATAATTTAACATTAAATCTTCATTTAATATAGTATTTTATATATACAAAGATTAAATAGTTAAGTTTGCATAGTTTTTGTTAGAAAATGAGAATCATAGCTGATTCGGTTTTTTCGGTTTTGCCTTAGAAGAGACTTAGACCTAGTTATTGTAGGCTTAATTGGCGATTTATATAAGGATTTTGTAGGAGATCGGCTTAAAGATCTGTCTCATGTAGTAGAAGACTTGCTACGGTGTACATACCAATTTGGCATAATCTCAAACCATTCAGCAGGCAGTGTGTGGCAGCTTGTATGGGACTCGCGGGGAAGATAAATCCCTTTGTATTCATTAAACGAAAATGCTGATACTTTTTGTGGGCCGTCTCTTGTGATTCCAGTATAAGTTTGGAGGTAAATATTAGGGCTTATTGAAATAGGCTGATAATAAACTTTTGTTATCACATTAATTGAGTGAAAATCGTATAGGGAAATTGTAGTTTTGCCTATAAAATGGTGTGAGTTGTAGAGCTCTATCACAATATTTCCATAGTTTTCTAAAAAGGCTTCGAAATCGTTTTTATTTTTAGCGAAAATATACTATAGCAATTGCCCGAGGATGGCGCTATCTTGCGCCATCCTCGGGCAATTCAAAAATGGCCCACACCGGGAATCGAACCCACGTGTGGGGCCATTTTTGGTGTGTGGCCAACATCGACTTACACGCACCAAAAATGGCCCCACACGTGGGTTCGATTCCCGGTGTGGGGCCATTTTTTGGATTGCCCGAGGATGGCGCAAGATAGCGCCATCCTCGGGCAATTCCTATATTTTTATATGAAAAAGTGGAGACAATAATAAAAAAATTCAATTAATATGGGGCAGTATATAAAAGGACTTTACATGTTTTAGTGACTGAGTTTTGCCTTCATTTTCAGTGAGAGAAAACTGTATATTTGAACCTAGAAATGAGTATCTTATATAGAATACAAAAAAATGGTGTGGTGAACCAATCTGCCCTCTTAATAGCTGTAGCAAGATGGGAGACTAAGGAACTTTTGGAAGGGAGCAGCATTTGGTGAGTGTGTCAGCCGGGTTTTACTTGGTCTAGTAGAGCTCAATATCGGGCGTGCTGACCTCAGGCTCACATCCAGGGGAAGATTTTACCCTGAGGGAGGATAGAAATTGGAAGTTGAAAAGAGATAGCCCAGCAAGGCTAGAGATCACTCGTTTGACTAATCGGCATTTTTCTAGCGCGACACCGGGAGTTGCACCCGAGCTACAAGTTTCATCCCTGTTGATAGACTACCAGGAAATTCGCTTTTTGAGTTTTCTGAAAAGGGAACCCGTCGACATAATGCACAGTGGCCCAGCATCTTCACCTCTGGGTAGCAAATGCAGGCTCTTATCGGAGAGAGTAACAAGCCTTAAGCTCTGCAATCAGACTGGCGAGCAAGGGGGTGTGAGAAACAAGGGACATGAAAAGCCATTAGCGAGTTGGTTGGGAGCTTCTCTATACTAATCTAATGAATGAATATCTTATATGAAAAGCTGAAGAAAGCTCTATTTCGCACTCTCTCAAACTGTCAAGTATAAGCATAAACCTATACTGTTCCAGCATGTTAAAATTCAGCGGCGGACTAAGATTATTTTCTTCTTTTGCCTCTTTATCATGAATAAACCCTAACCCTTTCGCAATAGAAATTTCAATATTTTTCAACTCTTGTGTAATTGTATACAAATTAAAGCAGCTTTCACAAACTTGGAATCTCTGATATAACGTCGCATTATCCACATGCCGGTACTCTTTGTTTTCCATCCACGAAAGCTCTTTTCCTCTGTGTTTTAAGTGCTCTTCAAGCTCAAAAAGCATTTTTAACGTCAACTCCTGCGTCATTTTGACAAACCCGCTCCTACAAAATTCGCATCTTTTAAGCCTTTTATACTCCTTTAGCCCTAATTTTGAAGAAGTAGGGCTGACAAAGCTGTCATTTTCGACAAAATAGTTCAGAGTAGGGAACACATTTGAGCTGTATTTGAATGCTTTTACGTTTATCATTCACCATATGTCTTCTTCATCTTTTATATAGTCACATATAGCTTGATTATGCATTTAGCATGCCAATAGAGCATATTATTAACAGAAATTTTACTTTTTGCTGGAAAGATTTCATGTATACTCTGAAAGTATGTCTGAGATATACCAGTTTTTCTAATTTAATTGATAAATTTCTTTCGAGGAATTTAATAATGTTATAAGTATAAGCACCAGTTGCTGAGACAAAATAACCATGGCTGACTTTTAATATATTTGCATCAGCGCTTTCAGCTAAATAGCACTTCCCTGTGTATGAAACTTTGCTTGATATCAAATAGCACATCATAGCTTTTTTTGTGGAATAAAAATTCCTACATATAAAAGCTGTGCTACCTTTACACTTAATATATATATTAAAATGATGTGCGAAGCAGCCCATCCTCTTACTCCGTCCCCTGCGTGAGCGAACAAATTTTTTTTTATCATTTATATATAAAAAAATATTTTTTATGTTGAAAATTTGATTTTCAAAATTTTGTAGGAGGAGATTAAGGAATTTTTTCCAAAAAAAAGAGTGCCATTTGATTAAAGTGAAAGCAAAGCTTAATTATTGAATAACTTAATAATTAATAAGCTTATACACAATAAATATATTCATTCAGTTTATAGATTTATATATTTTAATAATTAATACAATGAGCAAACTCTCTATAAATATCAATAAATATGCAAGGGAAAAAGAAAGTAAATTGAAATTTAGAAATCGCTGAATTTTGCATTCAACACCAAAATTAGATGATCATGAGATATGCCGCATCAAAGTTTCATGTTAACTCTTTTGGGTCGCTTTCAGAATGGGTAAGTAGACGTATGACATGGTGGACGAACGTCTCCACTCACGGGTGGCTAGTACAAACCCTCGTCCTTAAAAGAGCAATCGATGCCAGAAGGAGCTGAAAGCAAAGAGAGGCGCGCTATGGAGATTATTGTAGCTCGCAGGCTTACCAGGAGTTTTTCTATAACCTTATCAATAATAAAGCCTTTACACCTAATGAATTTTTGTAGGCAGTTTTTTTCGCCGTTTCTCCTACACACAAACCTGATCGTTTTTATCAGCTCAATACTGTTAAGAACCTGCGTATTATTCCCAACAATTCGGTTTTTTTCTGAGTCATAATGGACTTTTTTAAGCACAGCTACAGGGCCAAACCCCATTTCAGACCTACTGAGCTTCGAAATAATGTGGCCTTCTTCAAAGTGTTCTCCTCTGCAGACCCTGCCTTTGTGGTCTGAATAAATCCAATAAGGCCTTTCTATATCGTTATAGATTATTGTGTCCGGGACTCACAATTCCAGCTTATTTGAGTTATTTTGATACTTAGGAAGGACACAGAGGAACTTGAAAAAATTCAGGGCTGGCGAGAAATCAAAGGTGTACTTATAACCGTCATCTAAACAGTAAACTTTTTTGATTAAGGCTTCCCTTGTCCGTTTTGTGTATCCGCTTACTAAATCTGACTGCGAGAACGTATGAGAAAAAGGCTTCGTGAAATTTTCATCCTCATAGCCTTCATAAGGCTTTTGTTCAGGATCTTCGGGAGCTTCATTGATATAGAACCCTGAAAACATTTTTTGGTCGACCTTATGCTCATTTAACGTCCGCTAGCACTCAAATGCACTAGCTTCCAAGCCCTCGGCTTGAACATGGGTTGTCTGCGCAGAAATTCCGAAAAATGGAATTTCTGACAAATTCTCAGCAAAAGGGAAAACTTGAAGCCCTGGCCACAACTCCTGGTTTCAAACTGGAGAGTTTGCCCGAATAGCCTTGTAGTGCCAAAAGATATTGCTGGGCTTACATTCAATTTCAAGCTTCGCCTTCCCCACGAGGTAAAATTCCAATCCTGAAAAAGGACTGGTGCTAGGCACGGCACTCTGCCTGAATTACTTACCTAGCATTGCTGTCCATTTTTAGGTTGAAAAACCCTTCCTGGATATAATTAAGTATGTGCTCGAGGCTGCATAGACGAGAGGATATATCCGACCCGAGACGCCTTATTTAATTATGTGCTGATCTTATGCTTTTGGTGAGTTTCGGAGAGTATAACAGTTCTTTTATCTTCCCTGTTGATTTTGATCTATTAGAATTTTTCATTATTAAAGAAAATGTACACAAATTATCGATTTCTTCATCGATCTTATGGAAATTCGTCACCTATTAATTCCAACCCTAAAATCGATCATAGAAAGCCTTGAGCCAACTCTTTTGCTTACCCAAAAAGTCCATACAAAAAACCGCAGAATGAAAGCTTTTCTTATATGCAAGACAGGACGTATAGTAATATTCCGTCTCCAGAGCCACTGAGAATAAAGCGAAACAATTCAAGAGAAAGACTATCATTGTCACCTATTGATAGAACAATAGAAAACTTTTCTGTCAAGAAAAGAGATTTATCGCCGAGTTTTAATGGAAAATCAGGCAGGCTAAAATCTTTGGCTTTTAGAAAGGAAATAGAAAACGAAATAGGGATTCCTGAAAGGATTAGCAAACTTATTATAGAAATTTATTCTCCAAATAGCTTAGAAAATGAGCCTACAGCTATAGGGCTTTTAATAGGCTCAAAAATAATTATAACTTCACATATCGCAATCCCTAATGAAACTTTGGCAGCTAGATACACATTTAAATTCCTTAAAGACGAAAACGTCTACAAATCGAACATCAAAAAATTCTTTTTTACCTCTCCTAATGACAATTTGACCGTTTTAGCTATTACCCCTATCAACCAAGACCTAACAAAGCGAGTTCCCCTCTCTTTTGAATCAAATTTAAAAGAACTCGAAGGTGATCCTATTTATTACGTCAACCAAAAAGCATACCAAGCTTTCATTTCTAGCATAGACGCAGACATTTTTGGCTTTACTACTCAAAAAAGCATCCTAACTGGCACTCCTGTTTTTACCAAAAAATGGCAATTACTAGGAATTTCCCATACTTTTACACAAATCTATAAGTACACACAAGCTGCCTCTCTAGAGACTGTCCTAAAGTTTTTAAATAGGCTAAAATCCCACATCCCTAGAGACTCCTTATTAGGATCAATAGAAAAATCAGTTGATTTTAATGGGAAAGAATTCAACCAAAATAATTTTAAAGAAATGTATTGGTTCGAATGGCTAGGGAACTATATAGAAACCTATAATGTAGAGACGGGGGAATGAAATTATATGCAAACAAGCTTAAGGAATGAAGGAAGATGGCATTTCTTATGAGACAGCCGTCCTGTAATGCTCCCAAATGGCTCATTTTATATATTAGGAGGTATGAGGAATAATTTAGCTGTAGACGAAGTCGTCAAATTTAAGCCTGAAAAAGGCGAGCTTAAAAGAATGCAAAATATGGGGGTCGGCAGGGCAGCTTGTGGGACTGTTTTTCATGAGGGCTTTGTATATGCTCTATCAGGGAAGTACGCTAACAACTTCTGTGAAAGATATTCCTTAAGCCAAAAAAGATGGGAGTTTATACCGTCAATGGTCCATGAACGGTTCGATTTTTCTGCAATAGTCCTTTTTAGCTCAATTTATGTAGTTGGAGGGGAGCCTTATAGTGAGGTGGGAAATACTATTGAGGTCTATGACATTTTGAGAGAAGTCTGGGTAATTTTGAATATAAAATTACCTTTTGCGGTTGCGAATTCTCCATTGTGCCATTTATTTGGGTCGAGCTTTGCGATATTGGGAGGGAGAGGATGCAGAAATGTTATTATGGTGGAAATAGATAATTTGTATAGTAAAAGTGTTTCTATAAGAGAAGGAGCGGCATTGTCGGAGGAGGTTGAAACTATTTATCCTGTGATTTATGCTGCTGAGCAGCAAAAAGTGTTTTTATTTAATATTACAGAAGGCTTTGAGAGGCCTTTATTGTATAAAATTCATGAATCCTATTTAACTAAATAACCCAAACTTGTTATAATTTTAAATAATTGCAATAAAAACATTTAAATTATGGAATTTGGTGGACAATTAACGGGACGAAAACAGTAAAAATGAATATTCATAATAACTATAAAAAATACTCAAAATATATAGGAAATAAAAAATATTAATTGTTAGACTGGCTCCATGCCAAATGATCGCGCATTTTTGGTAATGCGACTTTCCTAGGGGAAATTTAGCCGTGACTTTTTGATAGCGATTTTATTTGACCTTTAATTTCGACACTATCTAAAAATTTTCTTATGAAATGTGCACTATCAAGGGAGCACCATTCATTTGGCCTGGACTTGTTTGACTAAATTTTATTATCAATAATTAATATTCCATCTAAATTCAACAAAAAATCATAAACTTCAGAGCATGCATAATTAAAAACGAATATTATCTCCATATAACTTTATAATTTAATCCTATTAAGTTATCATTAAAAATTTATACAAGAAATTAGGCTTTATTTATTAAATATCCCTAAAACCTAACCTTTCATTTCTCAATTTACCTATTTATTTTTTAACCCCTAATTCCTATCATTTTCATCAACTTTTCCACTTTCGTTAATTTTGCTACTTTCTTTCTTTTCATATTTTCATAAAGATGGAGAACGCCTCAAGGACTCGAGATGAAGGATTGCATCAATACTCAGTTTCCCAGCTGAACGGTCCTTCTGCAGTCAACCGCAGAACAGCCAAAGTTATCGGCTCTACCTTCCAGCTTGACACTCGTTACGAAATTCTCGACACACTTGGAAGTGGTGCCTATGGCGTTGTCGTCTCAGCACGCGACACTGTCACAGGTGAGCTCGTCGCAATAAAAAAAATCGAAAAAGCCTTCGAGCACTCCACATTTACAAAGCGAACCTTACGAGAACTGATTATCCTCAGACTTTTGAACCATGAAAACATCATGAGAATCAAAACAATTCAGTTGCCACTTTCTCGAGAAGATTTTGACGAAATTTATGTAGTCAACGAACTCATGGAAACTGACTTGAGTTCCATTATAAAGAGTCCTCAGCCACTGTCTGACGAACATTGCCAGTTCTTTTTGTATCAAATCCTTAGAGGGCTGAAGTTTATGCACAGTGCATGTATTTTACATAGAGATTTGAAGCCGAGAAACTTATTGGTGAATTCTAATTGTGACTTAAAAATATGTGATTTTGGGTTGGCAAGACCGAATATGAAGGAACTGAAAGTAACTTCTACACAAATGACAGACTATGTAGCCACAAGGTGGTATAGGGCTCCTGAGGTCCTGCTTACTTACAAAAAATACACACCTGCCATGGACATGTGATCAGTTGGGTGCATTTTTGGAGAACTTTTGTTGAGAAAACCGATTTTACCTGGAAATGATGCAAACCACCAATTAGAATTAATTTTCAATTTACTTGGGACTCCTTCTGACAAAGATATAGCCAGCATCCCTCATCCTCGCTCCCGCGAAAAGGTCATGAGAATGCCAAAGCGGCCTGCAAAGTCCTTTGAAGCCACTTTTCGTAGCGCAAACCCAGATGCTCTAGATCTACTAAAGAAAATGCTCACATTTAACCCTGATGAGCGTATCAAGGTAGAAGACGCTTTGGCGCACCCTTACCTTGCTGCCTTGCATTTCCCTGATGACGAGCCTACCTGTGACCCAGTTTCTCTCTTTGATTTTGAGTTCGAAAGACAAGTCCTGACCATGACGGACCTGAAAAACCTGATTTACGAAGAAATTTTATTGTATCATTTCCAAGACAAAAAAGAACAGTATGAGAAGGCGAGAAAGGACTATGACAGACAGCTGCATTTGCCTGGCAGAAGAATGTCGAGGGACAGAGAAGAAAGTGATGAAGAGGATGAGCTAAATTAGTTAATATACAGTCAATATTACTTTTTAATGGTTTTTATATTAACAAAGCTGTAGAAACTGCAGAAATCCCAAGGAAAACTGCAGAGTCTAGAGCGAGGCTTTTTAGGTCTGATAAAATTTGAAACTCCCATAGTAGGTTTCCAAGGCAGCCTGGCGCACTTATGATTTCTACATAGTATTTTTGGTACCAGTTCCAGTAGGTTCGGTTTCTTGCATCGATTCTCAAGTCATTTGTAAGGTTTTTTGAAATTTGGCAGACTTTTCAATACCCATCAAAAGCGTTAGAACTTATGTCGGCTTCACAGTAAAAATAGCCGTCAAGGCCACATATAGGGCCTTCCTATAGATAGCGCGCAATGCGCCATCACCGAGCCATGTCGGGAGAGGGTTCCACACGAGGAATGGTTCTACGTGTGGAACCCTCTTTTTGACCTGTGAGAAAACTACTTTCCACGAGCCAAAAAGAGGGTTCCACACGTAGAACCATTCCTCGTGTGTAACCCTCTCCCGACATGGCCCGGTAATGGCCCATTGCGCGCCATCCGAAGGAAGGCCCTATACGCATTGAGTAGACCAGCCTTCACGAGTTTTGCAGTCTTGCTGGGTTGTGCACTTTTTGGGGTGGCTGCCAACAGCGAGAAAAGCGTCAGGGTTTCTTGTGCCACAGAAGCTACTTCCTTGGCTGTCTATTGTGCTGGAATCAACACCGTCGTAGTTTTGGCGTGTGCAGTAGAAAGATTTGGTTGATGAAGGGGATAATAAGTCACTCCAGTCATAAAAATCTTCAAGCTTGCAGTAAAAATCAGTCGGGCAACCATTAGAATTAGCTAAGATTTGAGTTCCTTGAAGGGTTGCGCAGACGGTGTAGTTTAGAGATTGGCATACTCATTGAGGACAATATGCAGCTGCTAAAGGTAGGAAAAATATGAGAATCATCATAATTCTTTATTATTTTTAAAATAAATTAATATAAAAAAATACAATTAACTATCCTTTAAGTCTTTTTATTATAGGAAAATATAATATAATTCCATAAAACATTAAAAAAATTAGACAAAAAGACCATAAAATTGAAAACTCTACAAAAATTGGCTTTAAGAAGCCGCATGGGATAATCCCAAATGCTAAAATACCACTTACGTCTGCAATTGTTTCGTTGATTTTCCTCAAGAAATGCTCACTTGTGTAGTTTCCAGGTATCATTGCCTTAAGCCTTCTTGTGTGCATGTTCATTTCTTCTGCAGCTGCATTATAAGACATTTTACCTCTTAGCGACTCAGGGACATAATCATAATTCATCCTTTGTGTCTCCATTGGCATCATAAAATGCCCATCTCTCTGAGAATCCACTAGCCTTACTATTACAGAAACAGGGTCCAAATATTGAGGCCCTCCTGACCGTTGTGCTGCCCTCATTAAATGCTCCCAAGGACTATTATTAGTCAGCTCCGACATAAAAGGAGCAGGCACCGATCCTTTGAATAAAGGCAGCTGATAAATCCCTGAATTAATGTACCCATCTTCTGAAAAAACGGGTAATATAGTCCAGCCTACATCAACAACCTCTGGTTTCTGCTTACCCCAACTGTGAGCGAATAAAATTTTTGTTCGCTCACGATAGGGCCTTTTTTTTAAAAAAAAAATGTATCGAGATTTTTATATAGATTTTTTTTTTAAATTTAAAAAATCCCAATTCGATGATTTTAAAGCAAATATTTAAAATGCAAGCTGTTTAAAATTAAACAGAATTAGCTAGAGATTTGTTATAATAATTATTACTTATATATAAAAAATTTTTTTTGTTCACTCATGGAGGGTGATTTTACCCAAAAAATAGGGATTTTTCCAATAATGGTTTTGCTAGTTCACGGGAGGGGGATTTAGCAAAGCTGACTGCTCTGATATCTATAATAATATGCATGTTTCTATCAAATAAAACATTTCTATAGTTGTGGAAACCGTCCAAAAATCTCGGGGTCGTTATAGAGCTATTCCAATCAACTTTTATAGTGAAATTCACATCTTGGGTAATTACAGTATTTGAGTATAGAGCACCAGGAGGGTTTAAGCAAAATACAGCCACATGTGGAGACTCTGTAGGAATATTGTGAATAGCGTCCACAGAGAACTTGAACCCCATTTTTGGTAGATACTTTGCAAAATATTTCATATCAATCATAGGGGTCCTTGGTGTCACTTGCAATTTCTGGTCAATTCATTCTAGCATTTCATCATCTGTTTGGTCTAGTCTGATTCCCATTTGGTTTTGTGTCTGTGCAGTGGCGTCCCTGACTGTGATATCTCTTCTATTGACTCTTTCTTCATATAAGTATCTTTCAATCGTTGTAGGCATGCACTCTGAGGTATTATAGATCCTTTCTTCATATCTTGGAGGTGGAACCACGAGTCCTCGAGAATATCATTCATTGGGCAGCACATCTTTTGTGCTCAGGACTCTTAGGCCGCTATCTGCTTTTGGCGCTTCTCTTATCCTCACAAGTAAAGTAGCACACGGTATTATCTCCAGCTTTCTAAACGCAGAAATCCCAAAAGGTGGCTTTCTATATGGTTCCTGACAATAAATAGGTATCTGAAAATGGCCTTTATTTAATATAAAATCCTGCTCATTTGGGTTATCAGGCTGATCTCTCCTAAACTTATTAATAAACATATTAATTGCTGCATAGCCTAAAACCCTCACTTCGCTATGCTGTGTATCAATTGTCAATATAGAAATCACAATGGTCGTCGTAGGGTCAAAAATTTGTTTGCGGAATTCTGTCCTAAAACAATAGCTTGGAGAATATGCTGAAGAATTCAAATCAGGCAGCCCACCTACAGGCTTTTCCACTTTTTCTAGGTTTGAGGTAAAAGCTTTGACTATTATTTTTGAACAGCTGATATTGTCAGGGAAAAATCTGGCTCCGTCTACGTAGAAATCGACACCGTCACCTTTGTCGAAGTACCGGATATCGGTAAGCTGAGGTGTCTGATTTTCTAGAAATGGCTCGATTTTTTGAGGAGGCTTAAATGAGGCAAGAGACCCTGGCCGATGGACAGAGCCTAAGGACTGAGCGCGGGAGTTTGTGTCTAGCCGAGTTGTGGTAGGCTCAAAGACGGTTAGCTTTAAGGTCCCTTCTTTTTGGCGAAGCAAAGCTGGGTCGTATAGAGGGACAGCTACTGGGTAATGGTACAAATTCAGCTCAATTGTACCAAAATTAAGTGCCCGACTATCAGAATTTGTCAATTGGAAAACTGTCCATGCTACAGGTAAAAAGTTATCTGGACCAGTTGGCTTGAAATTCTGGTTCTGGCCATGCAGAAGTCCTTGGTTTACCCTTTCAAAAATTTCTACTACCAAATAATAGCTCATTTGCCAATCAGCTTGCTCAAGCATTATATAGAAATTATTCATAAATTGGGTCTCCTTATTGATTTCTATAATATTATGTCCTTTATCAGCAGGATTTCTTAACGCTGCATTTTGCATGGCATTATTATTGATATCGCTTGCTTTTAACTTACTTTTGTCAGCCCAGATTTTGGTCCCTGGAATTCTTTTATTCCCAATACTAGGACTTGGGGAAGGGTCGTCAGCCAGTGCATTGACGATTTCGCTGGACCATCTACAGTCGTTCCCGTTGGAATCTTTTGCGACTTTTTCGTCTTCTTGAATGGTGACTTGGAATTTCAGGTGGGATTTTGATAGGAAATTTAATAAATTTTCAAGTCTTACAGCAAAGCCATGGTTTGAAATTGGGTTTAGGACTGAGCCAGCGGTGCCTAGAGAGCGAGGACGAGTGTTTCTAGACTGTGGCTGAGGGTTAAAAGGAGCTTTATTAGGCTCATTCATAGACTCGTCAAGATCCATTTTAGACCTCATAAAAGGAGGCGGATTTCTATCTAAATTATCATTGGGATACTGTTTTGTAGGGCCGAAATCTCTTTGGTCCATAGGAATCCCAAGCTTATTCATGATAACTCCTCGTTTCTGTTCTTCAAGCCATTTATCATTCATCAATTTCCTTTCTTTCAGCTCCATTTCTCTATCAAAGTTCTTTTTCATTCTTTCCATTGACAGTTCTTGTAGCATGGCTTCCATTCTTGCCCTTATTTGTGACATTTCTTTATAGTGCTCCAATTTAGCTTGATAAAGCTCAGAATTCTTTGGCAGCGCCGATAGCAGTTTTAGCTCAGAGTGTTCTTGGTTTATTACATTATTTAACGCCCTTTCTTCTGGTAATAAGTCTTCTGACTGCACTTCGTTATTTCCTGGAGCTCTTTCTAGGGTGTTAATTCTGTTTTGAAACTCGTTTATAGCATTTTGCATTCCTGTGTAAAATTCGTCATGGTCTTTGCTGTTAAGCTTTTTTTTGATTTTTTTTAGTTCTTTTTTGAGTGATGTCATAGCTTTGTCTTCTGCTGGAGAAGTCATGGTGGGAGAGGTAAATTGATTACTTGGTTGAGGAAAATAAGGGTTGCCTGGTGGTGGATATGGAGGAGACATATAAGGGTTGCTTGGAGGGTAGTTTGGATATCCAGGCTGATATGGGTTATATTGGTTATTCCTTGGCATATTGTTGACATATGGATACTGCAGATCATTGCCTCCAAAATTTGGAATCATAGGCCTCTGGTATGGAACAACTGGCTGGACAATTCTTGGACTTGTGATGCTTTTAGCTGAATTTTCTCGTGAGTATTTATTCTTCCCTTCTAATGCAGCAAAATCAAATGGTTTTGCTTGATCCTTCTGAATAAAATCTTCATGATCCTTTTTCAGCTGATTTAACCTTTCATAGTCCTCTTGCCATTTATCATTTAATTTTAATAAATTGTTCGGAATATTTTTTCTGTCTGCTGAAGCCAGAGGAGTCCCTATTATTGTGCTAGCAACCAGTTTCCCTGCAGAATTTTTCCTGATAGTGCCATAATCCCCTTTTTTTATTTGGTTTAAGTCGTCCATAATTCTATCCCTTTCTAAATCAATCATCTGTTTTTTCTTACTTAACTGCTGTAGCTGGATTGCTCTTGCCCTTGCCATCTCCATTTGTTTTTTCTGCATTAATTCCATGTTGATTTTTACACTTTCTCCTCTATTTTCTAAACTTAGCCTGTCTTTTTCAGCTTGTCACAGCCTTTCGTCGTCTACCATTTTCCTTTGAAAATTCTCAATTTCTTGTCAAAGGTCGTTTTCTTTTACCCTCAGATTTTCTCTGTCTTCTTCTAATTTCAATAAATTATTTCTTTTTCCTGCATCCCCTGTGCCTAGATTTTTTCTATCATAATCCCTTATCGCTCAAGAAATCTGGTCTTTGTCTGCTTTAGCCCTGATTTCTCTATTTCTTTTGCCTTCTAGCTCATTCATGACATCAGAATAAATGGTTTCGTCAATCTGCCTTTTGGCTTGGTTTTCTATTTTTTCAAATCTCAGCTTAAGAATGTCGTTTTTTAAGTCTTGTTCTTTTTGTGACATTATACATTTTTATGATAGTCTGGGGCTTATTTATTTTTAATTGGCTATTCAAGGTAAATTCCTATATATGATCTGCGACTTTTTCAAATTGTCGTTCATTATTGCGAACTCTGCCTCTAAGCTCTTCTAATGTGGTAGAGCCAATTTCGTCAGCTCTTTTTGCTCTAATATCATCTCTTAAATAGGATTTTACTTCGTCTATATTTGGGACAGAGTCTGCATATAAAGAATTTTTGCTGAGTCTTGACTCTTCAAGTTTCTGCTTAATTTTGCTGGGAGAGCCATAGTCAGAATCTTTACAGAATTTAGATGTGTGGTTTGCAAGCTGTTCTGGGTTTTCGAATTTTAGCTTGCAATTACGGCATTCGAAAAGAAGCTGGGGAGTTAGAGGTTTCATTATTTATTTATTATTAAACAGGTAAGTTATTTATTGACTGAAAATAGATAAGGGTCTGCTTTATGTCCCCTGAGTATTTGGAAAGGGTTTCTAGCACTTCAGCTTCAGAAAGGTTTCTATTAGAAAATTCTCTGCATTTTTCTACGATTTTTTGGAATTTTTCGGGGATTTTGGCTTCCTTGCTAGCAATTTCAATTTTTTCAAGTTCTGGCTGAAAGTATTCTAGTGTCAATTTTACATCGCCGTCATTTTTAGTTAAAACTTCAAGGACTTCTCTTTCTGTCACAAAATTCCCATAAAATTCTCTGCATTTTTTCACGACTTTTTTGAATTTTTCCATTATTTTTCCTTCGCTGCTGATTTTTATTAGTCTTTCTAATTCTGAATTATCCTCAATTTCTTTTGATTTTTCTTCTTTTTTTATCGGTACAATGATTTTTGGCTTGATAATTATTTTTGGCAAAGAATAAATTTTTCGTCTTGGGGCTGGCATTAATTGGATTGAAAAGCCATTTTCAGATTTGCAAAAATCCTCTTCGGTTTCGTATTTAATAAGCTGAGCCTCATTGCTTTTAAGTTTCTCTTCATAATATTGGACATAGATGAGTCTCATCATTTCTGGGGTGTAGTTTAAGGATAGATGGTCACTGATTTCTTTTCAGTATCGTTGGTCTTTTATGTCTCCAGGATGAGTGTTAACGTAGATTCGAATGGCTTCTTTTTCTTCGCTTGTACAATCAACCAATAAGTCTTTATTGGTTAGAGGAACAATCACCTTTCTTTTTGATTTTTTCTGCTTACTCCCCCTCCGTGAGCAAACAAAATTTTTGTTCGCTTAAGGAAGGTTAATTTTTTTATAAAAAAATTTATATATTTTATAGAAAATTATTTTTTTCAGAATTTAAAAATATTCTAATTTGTAAAAATTGAGAAGTAAATATTTAGTTTAATTTGTAAAATTTGTGATTTAAAACGCGATTTGTTTAAAATTAAACAGAATTAGCTCAAGATTTCATTATACTAATTATCACTTATATATCAAATTTTTTTCCCATAAAAAATTTTTCTATTAAAAAAATTTTTGTTAGCTCACTGAGGGTGGTTTTTTGGGCAAAAAAATTAAGGATTTTTCTAATGTTTTTGTTCGCTTATTGAGGAGGGGACTTAGGGAAATCTATTTTTGAGATTATTCTTTCTTTAACTTCTGAGGTATTCTGAGATTCACATAGATCGCAGCAAGCTTTATGCTTGTGCTTCCTTTTCCTTGGAACTCCCAAGACAAAACTAGTAGACAACAAAGAATTAGAGAGCTGCATCAGGGTTCTTTTAAGTGCACTTTTATGCTCTTGGGTTATCATATTTATTTATAATGGGAATAAATATATCAAAATTATTCTATTATTCAAAACCTCAAAAGGGGCATATTTTTATAATGGAAGAAGACTTATATCCTTACTCTCCAGAATCAAGTTCAGAAGGTGACAGTGCATTAAGGAATTACAAAGGTGAATATCTCTGCCCATTTTGTAGTGCTAGTTTTCGATCCCAAAAGAAGCAATCTTACCATACAATCAATAACCATCCTGAGTGTAAAGAATGCAATCTTACTTTTAAATATAAAGACGACTTTTACCTTCATAACTTGACTGCCCATATTGAAGAAACTGTTCTTTCCAACAAGCTGCTAGCAGGTGTTAACAAATTTGAGAAAAAATGCAGGCTATGTGGAGTTGAGCTTGAAAGCCGATGTTACGCCCAAATGCATATCCAGTTTGCTCATCCTCTTATAAGGCCACTATTTAGTCATCTTCAAGATAATTAATAATTTTTTCCTTTAATCGCGTTAAAAATGGTATAGTCTATTTTGCATTTAATTTTTGCCCTTTTGCTATTATAAAAAAACTTATTTAGTTACTTTGAAGATTAGTAAAAAATGGCTTCAGCAACGGATGAGCAAACTGTATATGAATGTGAGCATAACATCGGGTATTTAGCCTTGCGCCACAAATTCTGCATTTCTTATCAGCTGTTAGAGTTCCAGTCAAAATTTTATTAGAAACTATTATGTCTTCTATATGTGCTGTAAGGTTATGGAGGTAAAATTCGTCTCGAAAGCGAAATCTTGATTTGCAGGCCCCACAAAATGGGTGGTCAGCTCTCATATGGTAAGACAGCCTTTTTTTGGAGGTAAAGCTTAGCAAACATATGGGACAGCCTGGGTAGTTGTTGTGCTTACGATAGATGTGGACTTTTGCTTTGTGGAGATCTGTGAATTTTTCTTTGCATACTGGGCAAGTGCATTCGAGAGGCTCTTCAGGGCAGTCTTCATAATCGGACATTAAATTAAGCCCCTCGATTTAATAAATAAAAATGGATTATAAAGTTAGGCTATTGCCTAATTAATTATTTTTATTAGATGTTTCTAAGTTTGTAGCCCATATGCCAAGTCTATTTTATAATAAAAGCTCAAGCTTTATTGGCTGTCTTGAGATCTTGATCTACATGAAATAATTGATTGACCATTATACTGTTAATCTTTATAAAATTTAAAAATTCAGAGCCGATATTAATTAAGTTTAGTAAATTCTTACCACTTACTTCAGGATATAGCCTTCTTATAATTGATGATAATGTGCAGGTATCCTACAAATTTGTTGCATAATAACTAAAGCACCTTAAAATATTGATCCTTCTATTATTCAATCCATAGTTGAAAATGAGAGCAATCCAACAAATCGGTAAAAATGCCTTTAAGCGATCTAAGTATCAAGAGAAAACCTGTCAGGCTTAAAAAATTACACAACTCTCAAAGCACCCGCTCAAGTCCATCACCAGAATTTAGTACCTACAGTTATTTATTACAACCGAAAACTATTGAAACTGGAGATTTATACAAAACTCACCTTCGAAAAAACTCTGTAGACCAATTAATCGATGCCAGCCCAGTAAACGAAATTCTTTCAAAAGAAGAAGCTAAGCACGAATTCCTCAAAAGCAGTTTTAAGTTCGAAAAAATAAAAAAACTGTTACTCAATCATGATTTAACCTGTGTCGAAGACTTTGTCGCAGGCTTAGAAATTTCAGGAAAGATGTTTACAGAATGCAACTGGATTTCAGGCAAAGGAAGAATTGAAGCCATAAATATCATTGCCCATCTCGTAAATTTATTATATAAAGCAGTCTCAGAGCTAATTGAAAAGAAAAATCAGCATACCAAAATAATTGAAAATTTACAAGAAGCAAACAATATTTTATATATTGAAAATAACCAAAAAAAAGACCTGCAAAACAAGCTTGACTATACCAGCGCAAAACTGCAAAAACTTGAAAAAGCAAAGCACGAGTTTTCTAGCTCAATCGGCCAAGCTCACAGGCTGGCTGATCTTGAAAAAGAAAAATTGGTCGAAAAAATAAATATTTTAGAAAAATACATCAGCGAGCTCAAAGACGTGACAAAAATCGACACAATTAATTGGGATTTAGAAAAATACAAAGAATTGTACCAAAAAACAGTCAAAGAATTCCATGCTTTTAAAAAAGATAAAGAATCAAAGTTATACAGGATGCAGCTAGAAATGGGAGAACTAAAGAGCAGCATACAGAAAAATACGTCATCTATTGAAAACCATGACAGCGAAAAAAAAACAATGGAAGAAAAGCTATTTTTAATTGATTTCAAAAATAAAGAGTTAACTGAAAAGCTGTCTGAGTGCCAAGAAAGGGTTGCAATGCTATATGAGGACTCTTTAAGATTCGTCGTATATAGAGATCTCTATATAAAACTAGACCAGCAGTTCAATACTATGAGACTAAAATACAACCAGCTTGAGCTAAATATTATTGCAGGGAACGTTACTTTAAGCACTGATGGGATCATTTGGGTGTCTTTAGAAGACCCGCTATTTGATAAAGTCCGAGGATTTATGCAGCAAGGGGTTGACCCCAAAGTATTTGAGCCTCCTGTTCCAATCCGCAAAGATAAGCGTACATTTACTGAAGCCCCTGTGTATTCTCATAGGCATGCAAGAACAGTCACTTATTCAGAAACTCAGCTTGACCCGTCTTCAGTAGACCTAAGCCAGCTAAAGCTGAAAAAACCTGCATATGCAAGCTTTTTTGAGGTCGGCGAAAAAGCAGCAAGTTTTGAGCTGCCGTTTACTAATTGGCTGGAGGTTACTATGAGGGGGATATATGATTCTAAGTATAATGAACAGATTTATTGCTCTTTTGAGTCTGGGAGGACTCCTTTAAGGTTCTCTGAATTTGTATATTGTTGGTTAGGCAGATTTATGATTGATTCTGGATCACGACAAGTCAGAGAGCTCGAATGGTGAAAAAGAGAGTCCTCTGATAAGCTGCGATTGGAGCTTTTATTAGCTTTAAAACATGAAAAAGCGAAAAAAGTGTGGGAAATTCATACTTTTATAGAGTTTTTAAATGAAGAATTGATGCTTGATGAGCTGTCGTTTTTCTTACACTGCCGATTTCTACTGTTTAAAGGTCCTCAGCTTATGATTACTTCAGGGAGATTTTCTGCTTTGCATTTTGTAGCTTTAGACCGCGTTTTTGAAGTAATTGACAAAGTTATGGGAAAAATTAGCCCAAAAGACAGATCTGAGCTTAAATCACAGCTGCAGTCAAAAGCCCGCAATAAAAATGGTTCTTTGACACTTGACTCTGGACTTGTAATTTTAATGTAGGCTTTACGAATTATGCTGGAGTATTATATACGAGAAAAAAAATGCAAATATCTTGTGATAAAAGGGCTGTTTTCGGTAGCCCCAAAGAAGCCTGATGGGACTTTGGCGTTTCAAACGTTTCGTATTATCTGTTTAAATCTTGACCCAGAAGCTAGTGAATCGCTTATTATCAAAATGTATAGAGATTTGTGGGCGTTTGGAAATGGGCAGATAAACCATGATAATTTTTTTGTATAGAGCACTCTGCGAAATAGACCGATAAGGGATAGCCCTATTATCAGAAAATAATATTTCCATGATGGTACCTGATAAAGAATTGCAATTGTAAAAAAAATTGAAGTCCATAATGATCCAAATAGATTCAGAGCCTATATTTGCTAACGAAAATGGATTTTTCTTCCATTCATTGAGACTTAAAGGGGATGATGACCCTTTACCGCTGAATTCTTATAACGAAATTGATGATAGTACGTCAGAATATGCAAAAAGGATGAAACAGACTTTTAATACTTATACACATTTAAAGGTCCCAATTGCTTTGATTAGAGATGCGCTAAGATCGATAGGTGTTATTGATTTATTGGATAATTTCGTAAAACTAGAAGACCTAGTTAAGGCTAAATATCAAGAGCCTTTAGAAAATTACAGAGGAATGAGTTTATTAGATACTTATAAACATTTATGAAATTTAGCTATACAGTTACAAGTCATTTTTGAGCAGATTCATTGCTATAGCTCACCAGCACAAGTCCCAGACGAGGTTAAAGATTTAGAAATAATTGCCTTACCACGAGCATGTGAAGGCTTTATTGAAAGGCTTCACAAAATGACCTTGCAAAAATTAACAGCATTGGTCGCCATCAGAAAAATACAAAGAAGCTGAAAAGAAAAAGCTAACTCCCCCCCCATCCTTGATCGAACGACCCGCCATCGTTCGATCAAGGATGGGGGGTTAAAAAAAAATTTTTATATATAAATAAAATATATATATATATTTTTTTTTTTTATTTACTTTTAAATAAGAGGGTTAAGAGTATTAATAATTATTTTTACAGCAAAAAATAAATTAATTTCATAAAAATACCAATTTTTAATATTTTGATTTATTAGTCACCCTTTTAAACTATATAAATTTTAATTTGTTCCTTATTAAACTAAATTTTTTTTTTTAAAAAATTTAAAAAGAATCTCTATTTTATTAGATTATTGAGTTTTTAAGCTAGGCTGATGACTAAATCACTTCGAATGGTTGATTTCGAAGCTTTCTGTCGTCTAAAGTCTCTAAAACAACTTAACTATGTACATCTTCCAAACTTTTGATAACTAATATATTTTATGTATATAAAAATTTGCATGATATGAAAAATCGTTCGATCAAGGATAGGGGGTTAATTTTTCCCCAATTTTTAGGAATTTTTACAGTTAATCGTTCGATCAAGGATGGGGGGGAGTAAACAGAATTTAAGCCTCGCAACCACTGTCCTCAAAGGGATTAATTTACTTAAGCGTGGCCTAAAGCATCACAAAAACCAAAAATCAGCTTAAACTACATAAAATAAATTATTTAAAAATTCCCCAATGAATTTTGGTCGAATTTTTCTTCTGAATAATATTTAGCAGAAATTTGTCTTCCGGAATAAAATCTCCCGTTCATAGCGTTCAAGCACTTCTCAGCTGCATCAGTTGTCAAGAATTTAATATAAACCTGCACTTTTTGAGCTTTATCAGGCTCTTCAAAAATAGTAGAGTCCTGTACAATCCCAAAGCGCTGTGATTCTTCCATTACATCTTCCATTAGATCTTCTTCTAGAGATTCATCTACCGGGCGCAGGTCCTTTTTGACAGTGTCCATTTCATAGAAAAATTTTTGGCCGAAAATTGATCGAAAATTTTTGGTTGTGAGACATTTGACCGAAAAAAAAAAAACGAATTTTTCGGCAAATGTCCGCATTATCAAAAATTTCGACCAAATGGATTTCGATGAAATGTACACTGTCAAAAATTCAAGGTCATTTGACATGGAGCCTTATCTACCTCATCAGCCATATTAAAAAGGACGATAACTTTTGATTTCTCCCCAAAGTCTGGTTTCTTTTCTATATCTTTTTCTATTTTCGGAGCTAAAATAGCTTCTGCATAGCTATTAGGGTGCTCTGGCTGATATTCTTCTGGATCCATAATACACTATTAATTATCATTTTTTACTTAAAAGTCTCAATAATTTTTCTGGTATTTTTTATTATCAATTTTTATCCCTCTCAAATAGGCTTTACGTTAATGGTAACTCGTTAAAAAAAAAAGACTTGAGCAAAAGCCAGCTCCATATTGATAACGTGCTGTTAACTTTTTAATAAATTATAATTCATATTTATAAAAGTCAGAGAAATGGGAAGTTCACCAAGTCGCATTTCATACAAAAATCCAAAGCCGTCTTTTAGATGTGTAAGAAAATCACAAAGAAATGACACAAATTCCAGCCCTATAAGAAGTGATATGGACTGTTTTAAAAAGTTGAGTTCTGCATTAAATGGGTGCAGGACCCAAGCAAGCTGAACAAAAGAGTATCTTAACTACGCTAACTGTTAATTTTTGAATTTTCGAATAAAATTGAGCTTTAATCTAACTTTTCCCTGCTGTAAATGATTAAATTTTTTAGGTTAAAAGTTGCTTAAAGAAATTTATATTAAAATTGTGGATAATTTTAAAAATAAAAAATATTTTTAATCTAAATTAAAAAAATCGTTGAGATCTCAAGCAATTTTTTTCTTTTATTATGAAGAAAGAGCAAGAAATTCTTAGCTTAAATCGAATTGCAGAATTAACTAAATTGTTTTTTACCATATTGTAGTTTCTTAAGGATAATAAGGATCCCCCCCCTCATTTGTCCAATTTTCTAGTTTTTATTTTCTAAGAAAAAAAATTTTTTCAGGACCTCATTTGTCCCAAAATCTAGTCAAAAATGATTTGTCCAATTTTCTAGTCATTTTTGGATTTTTCGAGTGTCCTAAATTTTAGTGTTTTACTGTAAAAAACTAGAAAATGAGACAATTGATGTCCTGAAATTTTTTTTTTCTATCAAAATTTTGACTAGAAAATTGGACAAATGAGGTCCTAAAAAAAATTTTTTTTTCCTATAAAAAAAACGAGAAAATGGACAAATGATAAAAGACTAGAAAATTAGACAAATGAGAGGGGGGATCCTTATTTTAAATTTGAATTTTATAGCGTTTTATAAATTAGAGTGTCTCCGAACTTTGATGCAAATTCTAAGGCAAGAATAGCTCTTAAGTTTGACTCTGATTATTGGCCAAAAATAAAAAATTAAGCAACATTATAGAACATAAGATTTAAGATATATATAAAAATGAATTAATATTAATTAAAGACCCAGTATTAATATTTATTTATCCTTAAAATATTATTATTGATTAATCAATGAAATCTAAGATTTTCATTAATAGATATATATAAATTTTCGCCATTCACTAGAAAATCAATAAAGCCTATTTTCTTGTGCTCAAATGTTGATAAGAATATGTTTTCGACTAAAAAGAAAACAAATAACCCAAACTCATGCAAAATTAGTTTAAACTTGGTGTAATAAAATACTGAACAAAATTGGCGTTATGTTGTGATTTTTTAAAAAAAATAACTAGGAGCTCAATGGGATTTAAAATAATTATCAATGAGAGCAAAATAAAGCTAAAATTGAATTTTTATAGCTGCTTTTAACATAATTTGTTACCTAACTCTCCCCTTTAAACTGGACCAAAAAATCCTGTTGCAGTTTAAAGTGGGCTTATTTTTATTTTAATGAAAATTAATGTTTTAAAAATTAAGATAAATAAAAACACACCTAATGGTAATATTCATCCTATTTTCATATATAAAATAGGGTAGCAGCTAATCAGAATAAATGCTTTTATTTATTGTAATTAGGTATACAAATTTAAAAAAATGCAAATTAAAAGAATTTTTGATTTATATATTTCGATAGAGAATTAATTCAAAAAATTAATCAATTCAGTGTTAAAACTGTTAAAAAAATATTCTACTCCCACTCTCTCCGTTAAATTAGGTCAAAACTTGTTTTATAAAAATTAGTATGCTCGCCTATAAAGTTTTTCTATTGAAAAAATTGTTCAAATTTAAAAGGGATCCACGCACCAAAAAAAGATTTTTTACCAATTTAAAGTAGTAGGGAAGTAAGCTTTCCTAACTATGACTAGTTTTTAGGCCAGTCTCCATCTTAGATTTCAGGCGAATTTTCGAAAAAGAATTTTGCATATCACTAGTCCCCTAATCATAAAGAAATGATCAAAACTTCTTACAAAGAATTAATCCAAACATTGTTACCTGCATAAAATCTTTTTCTTTCCAATTAATTTAATTCTTTAATTTTTAAGACCTTTATTCACAATTTTCTTTGACTTCAACCTTTTCTCAGCCGAATTCACAATGAATAAAGCATTCTCATTAAAATTAATCCAAAACTCATAATATTAGTGGTCCATTTCACTAAATAGAAATCCATTTTAAAGATATCAGACATCTTTTTCTACTTAAAATCTTAATCCAAATATTACTCATTTACTCTTAATTTCCTTTTAATTCTTGCTTCAGCTTATTATTTTCTTCCCTCAAAGCTTTTAGGTTCTCCATATGCATTCGCTTAAATGCAGCTTCTCTTTCCCTCAGCTTCCTGACTTCTTCTTGGAAATTCCTTGCAATCTTATCTCCATTGCCTTTTCCTTTCAACAAATAAAGCTCAGTCGACAAATCTTTAATTGATTTTTCCAATGCGTCTTTTTCACGAGACGACTTTACCAATGAGTGTGATAGACTGACCATGTCTTTTTCCAGTCTTTCTTCTTGTTTTTTAGACTCATCAAGCTTTTTTTGATAATTTTTTTCCATTTTCACTAATTTTGCTTCATAATGAGCAATAATTTGCTCATTGTTTAACTGAGTGCTACGGAATTCAAATTCTTGGCTTATATCTATGTTTTCAGGGATATTCAGCAGATGCTTAAGTCTATTAGTTTTCATGACTGGCTGAATCAGCTCTGGAAATGCATTTTTGGGAAGAACATTTCCATATCTTTCCAAAAATTCTTCTCTTTGAGTTTGGTCCTCAATTAGAGTTTTGCATAGCTGGTAGTATAAGTTTAGCGCATTCTGCGACCTCATTGTAGAGTTTCTGACTTCTCGTTTGGCAGCTGCACAGGCTTCTTCTAGCTGTGACGGGACTTTTAAAAATTCGCTTTGTTTTAACAAATTTTCATATTTTTCATTAAGTTTAAGCAGCTTGTCCTTGACTCTGTATTTCAGCTTGTGGGCAGACTCTACAATCATCCTGACAACTTTTACGCCATAAAGCTGCCCAATCCTTTTTACATTAACCTGCATATCTTTTTCTAAAGGAATTACATCATTTAAGCATCTTTGTAGCTGCACAAGACTTTCATTATACGAATTTACCTCATTTTCCATCATCAGCAGCTGATTAGCCAGTTCCCTCTTTGGCGTATGGTTTACATCTACTACCTTTTCTAGCTTGTCACGAAAATCCATATATAGCCTGCAGGCAAAAAGTCCTTCAATAAAAAGGCCTTCTCTTGACTCAAACCCACTGCTCTTATAAGTCTCAAAAAAAGTGTCAGCTGTAAACTTGACCTTTTCAATTGATTCTGATGCATCTCTAATATTTTCCTTTATCGGCTTCAAAATGCTTCCATTTAAATCGTCTACTTTCGTCACAAAATTATTGACCCTCATCTGCAAATCTCTATTAAACCTCTTAAACTTCCCTTCTTGCAGCAGCGAATCTATAGGGTCTCCATATCTCTGCAGCTGGTTTGGGTTGAATTGGCTTGCCATTATAGTTACGTTTTTTTGCAGTTCTAGAGCTTTTGACGATAAATTTTTCCATTGATGCTTGATTTCTTTATAATAAAGCTGCAAATTCTTCAGCAAAACATCAGAGGCTTCTAGCCTAATTTCTAGCATCTGCTTGGTTTCGTTAAGATACTCTAATAGCACCACATATTTCGCATAAAATTCTCTGGCGTTTTGGGAGAGCTTAAATAAAGAATTCTCTATTATAGGGATTTTTTCATAGCCGGAAGGAAAGTCATCATATTCGGAAAATGGAAATGGCTCGTGGTAGTAGTCAATTGGGTACCGGTTAAACGAGCTAAAATCTTTTCGTTCTACACAAATTTCTAGATTTATTTTGTCTTTGCGAAACAGATATAAATTAGCTAAAGAGTTTTCAGGGATCTGCTGCGACAAGGGTGCATTTTCGTTGATCACGATCCCATTTGTGTTGAAAATTATAAGCAGACTTCGATTGATGCTGGTCCTTGAGGACACAATGTCAAAAACTTGAGAAATTGGGGTTGATATTGATAAATTGGCTATTAAGCAGCCTTCATCGACACTTATTATGCTCGCCATTTATTAGAAGTATGATCATTCTTAAAGTTTATTTATGTGTTTAGGCTTCAGCTTTTATTTCTCCGCCGTTGATCTGGTGTGGAATATAATTAAATATGGCGTCTTAAGCGCTTTGAGGTTGGATACGTTAGCTTACTTCAATTACATATTTAATTCTATCCGGAAAGGTTTTCCGGACAGCAATAGTAGGCAAGCGACTCTTGACGTATCAGAGCCTAGTCCAAGTCTGCTTTCAAGGATGGATTTTAACTCAAGAGGAGGCACGGAGGTTTGAAAGAGATAGCCTAGCAATGTCTGCAGGCAATGCCTAACTATTAATAAATTAATTTAAGATCTGATGTGGAATCTTTATATTGCTAAAAGCTTGCTTGCTCCATTCCAAAAGAGTTTTAGGGTTTCCAAAGTCCACCAAGTCTTTGACTGTAATAACTCCGTCTTGGTCGTAGTCCAGCTTATTCCATACTTTGCCGTCTAAATATATCACAATGGACTCTCCTCCAACTGAGCTCAGCATTTTGTCGAACATGCTTCTGACGTTCTGTGGCCACTGTTTTTCCAATATGTCTTCTTTTTTGAGATCTTTGATTTCGTCATAGTAATCTATTGCGGTTTCCAGCTTCTCGTTGAGGCCTAATGCGTGATCTAGTTTCCCATAAAGCTTTGTGTTGGCTATATATTCTCTTCGGCTGTCCAAAAATTCGACAACTCTAAGGCCCATTTCCCTTTGGATTTGCCACATGGAAGTTAAAGCTCTGGTGCTCATGTCAATAGGGACTCGGTAAATTTGTTCAATGTGGTATTTCTCGAAGACTGTGGAGCTCCATATATAGAGATCGTCAGCTCCTGAGAGGATTAAGACACTGGTGGACTCTGCCATTTGGCGTGCTTTCTTAACCCATCCTTCTGGCAAAGGCCTTTTTTCAAGGGTTTTTTGGCCTTGTTGGATCACTGAGTCGACTGCTAGGTCTAGTTTTTCTATTAGAGGAGTGCTGTATTGGGTCAGCTTAGAGCTGAAAGGAGAAATGATAGGGGAAATCTTGTCAATGCTGTATTCGACCATTGGGAATCTTGATTTAGTTTTGGTGTACCAGGAACTTGCGTTTGTGAGAATTCTGTTGAAATATTTTCCACTGGATTCGCTTTGAATTTGATCGGACTCGTTGCTCATTTTATATATAGCTATTATTTTATATTCTAATATGCATGATTTTTATCATTAGTGACGCAATTTTGTAAATGACGTAAACAAATGAAATATGGCATTAGGGCCTAAAATGACAAGTTTTCAAGATTTATTATTAAACAAATCTGAATTTCTTAGAATAGGCAAGGAAATCCTTAGAGAAAAATATTAAGCTCAATAATTAGGCAAGTCCCTTTATAAGAAAACCAAAAATTAGAAAAGTAAAAAATCTTAACTCCCCCTCTCCGTGAGCGAACAAAAAAAATTTTGTTCACTCACGGAGGGGGGTTATTTTTTTTTTTTTTAAAAAAATTTATATATAAATTTTATAAAAATTTTTTTTTCGAAATTTAAAAAAAATCCTAATTCGCAAAAATTGGATAGCAAATATTAATTTAATTTATAAAATTTATGTTTTAAAAGGCAATTCGTTTAAAATTAAACAGAATTAGCTCTAGATTTCATTATACTAATTATCATTTAAATATCAAAATTATTTTCCATAAAAAATTTTTTTATTAAAAAAATTTTTGTTCATTCACGGAGGGTGGGTTTTTGGGCAAAAAATAGGGATTTTTCTAATGGTTTTGTTCACTCACGGAGGGGGGGGGAGTAAGGAACTTAAGGCAAATTTTATTTATGACGATGAATAATCTCTTTTTTATTTTGTGGGTTTTTATTTTGATTACCCTAATCCTGCATTGGCTTAATTTTTTTTTGTCTCTCCATTAATCAAACTACAGTTTTGTTTTTAATTTAATGTATTTTGTAATTTTAGTTAGCAAGAAGTCACAATATCAAACATAAAGCTAAATATATAGTAATACTTATCTTCTTAATGTAAAAAGAATCAGGCATATTAACTATATTTTAAAACATATTTTACAAATTAATTAATTAAATTTTTACTTTTCAGTTTTTAAAAATTGGAATTTTTTTTTTAATTTTGAAAAAAAAAATTACTTTAAAAATTTATATATATAAAAAAAAAGCCACCTCTGTCAGCGAACAAAATTTTTTGTTCACTCATGGAAGGCAGAGTTAGAGAAAATTCTCTAGATTTTTTAAAACAAGAGAGTAAATTTATTTGCCATAGAATCATAAAGTAATTTGAATAGTAAAATTAATTTATAAGTCTATCGAGTTGTCACTTCCAGAGTCATTTTCCAGCTGCTTATCAATTTCTTCGAAATCAAACTTACCCGCGACTTCGCCTTTGCTGTTCCCCCAATTTCGGTTGTTCTGCTTGTTAGCTTCTTTTCCTATATTCCCATCCATTCTTGCTCCTTCTACCATATCCCTCAATTTTGAAGCTCTGGACGACCTAGAATCTCTGCTTTGTTTGCTTTTTATCAATTCAATGATTTTTATATGGTTTTACCCTTAATAGCCCGATAAGGGCAGATGATTCCCGGCGGAATAATCGAGTTTCGTTTCGACCAAGGCACTAAGTTGGTTGGACCAGATTTCGCCGGGAATCATCTGCCTTTATCGGGCTATTAAGGGTAAAGCCCTATAGAACTTGCCCTGCATCAATTTGAGTGAGATATCCAGGATGGTCAAGGTTAAGTTTATGATATATCTTTTCAGTTGTCAATGCCAAATCCTGCTTTGTTAAGTTGAAGTCATGGTAAAAAGGCTCCTTCCCATTTGAATAAATCAAGCAAAGCTGGGGAGGGTCATATTTCACTGCAAGCTGCAAAGGTTGAATATTCATTTAATATTTATATATATTTAAATTTAATTATTCTCTAATTTTACTGCCTGTCTAAATAAACCCTCACTCCCTCCCTCCCTCCCTCTAGTTTTATTCCTCTAATACGCAAAATATATATTAGATTTATATTTAAATAATGCTTAACAATGGACAACTCATAGAATCCATCATTTCCCATCCAAATTTCCCCAAAATTCGTGCAAGACTAAGAGCTAATATTTACCATGTCCTCGCAGCCCGTGATCCTATGCAAACTACCAATGTTTTCGCTAAAAATTTTTCCTCAAGTGAAGAAGGGCAGATTATTATAGCTTTATTTAAAGATTATTTAGAATGCGCAGACTTATACAACACTTTAGAAGTTTTTATGCCAGAAAGCGGGAATATGAATATTTTGCCTTCAAGAGACCAATTAAAAGCTTTATTAGGAATTGAGCTACAGCCAGGAATCCCAATACTTGTAACAGTGATAGAAAACATTGCAAATAAAAAACGTGCAAAAATGCCTTCTCTACAAATCCCGAGTTTTAAAGGGAAAAATGAGACAATTACGCAGAAATTCGGGATTGGGGAGTTTGACCGTAAGGCTGCGCAGAAAAATCCTAAAGATGTTTTGGAATTGGAAGAGTCATCAGATTCAGGGGTTGAAGAAGAGCAGCTTGATTTTAGACAACTGTTGAGGATTCCGAGGAGAAATGATAAAATAATTGATGAAAAAGAAGAGCTTGAAGAAGAAGATGAAGAGGAAGACTATAGGCCGCCTGTGAGGAAAAAATCATTGTAAATGATATTTAAACGAGTTAATAAAAATGGAATCTTATGAAAATAATAGTGATCTTGAAGAAATTCAAGAGTATGGAAATAAAGAAAAAGAAAACTATGAAAGCGACTTTGAGGAAGATCTTGATGAATCTTTTCCTAGCTCTCTTTATTAAAATAATAAAATTATATTTCTGATTTTTTTATAAAATAAGATTAATAATTTTTTATTGGTCATAAAATAGCTGAGGAATATTAAAAAAAATCCTTAAAATGCGAATAATTTTAAATTGAAGTGGAGAGCGTAAGACAAATTCAAAAACCCCAGATCCACTGCATCAAGTTGTCAAAAGCAATCAATACATCCCTTACAAAGAAGCAGAGGATACTTCTTCAATAGCTCCATCAATAATGGACACTCCTCTTCGAGCTCAAAAATACCTATCACGCCTCAACAAAGAAAACATTGAATTGCGATCTCAGCTGAAAAACTTAAATCGCAAACTTAATGAAGTCCTCGAAATCTCCAAAAAAAAGCCCAGGGCAAGATCAACAAGTGTGAATCGAGAACATGTAAGGCACGAGCAATTAAACATAAAAGACAAACAAGTAAAAATCTACGAAAACGAATGGAAGAAACTGAAAAGCCGTCTCGAGAAAATTCAAGGCACAGATTATACAAAACAATTGAAAGACGAAATCAGCCAAAAAGAAACACAAATCAAAGAGCTCGAAAAGAAAGTCAAATCAATGAAATTAAAGCAAAACGACAGAGGCAAGCATCTGAATAAATTGGAAGACGATTTGCCTGACCACGTAAAGTCAGCAAATGAAGCCTCTAGTGAGAAAAATAGGCTAACTGAATTAGTCAGAGACTTAGAGCAGAAGCTTGAAAAGAGCCATGAAGAGTATGAGCATTGGTATGAAAAAGAAATTGATTTAAATGAAAAATTAGAAAAGTTGAATGAAATTGCTGGGCAGTATGACTTTAAGCCAGTTTCTAAAAAAGGTAAAGAAATTTGTATACTGTATGAAGAACTATCAAAAAGCTACCAAAAATCGTTAAAAATCTATGAAAATACTATAAATCAGCTGAAATTCCAAGAGCGGGATTTAAAGCAGCAATATGACTCAAATGATCTTGAGCTGAGTCAAGCAAATAAAAAAATAAAGTGAAAACAAGAGGAACTTGCAAAAATTCAAGATGAGCTAAATAAAGTGATGGAAAGTGGATCAAGCATACAGTCTTTAGATAGACTGATTTCATTAGCTAACCATAAGCGAACAAGCAGATCAGGCTCAGAAATAAGCACGCCAAGATATATGAACTCAGCTGAGTCAAGGAGAAGAATCAATGTAATAGCTGAAGTCGAAGAGTCTTTAGCAGAAAGCAAGTCAGCGACTAGAGACCTTTCTTCAAAAGACCTTGGCAGAAGAGGGCTCTCTTCAAGAGAAATCAGAGAACAAGCCAAAATTGATTTAGAAAGTGAAAACCCCCGAAAATCTTTATTAAAAAAACAGCTTATTGAAAGTCTGCCTCCTAAGCCACCTTCAAGAGAAATAAAGCCGCCTTCTAGAGAAATAAAGCCTCAGCCAAACATAGAAGAGTCATTAAAGCCTTCATTTTCTAAGCCAAAATTTAACTTTAAAACAGCTATTGAGGAAAATATAGAAACCAATGACTCAAAAACTGAAAGAAAGCAGCCTGACATCATAACCCAAGAAAAAATCGCTGAAGAAAAAATGAAGAAAGGAATGACAATGGATAGGGTTGATGGTTTATTAGGAATTGTAAAAGAAAAAGAGGCTTTGGAGCCAAAAATTAATGATACTCCTTTGGTTAATTTTAAAAGCCCTGAAGTCTTACCAAAGTCTAATATTTTTGAAGAGCTTGAGGCAGGCAGTAAGAAAGATTCTGCTTTAAAATCAATTTTTGGAGAAGAAAAAGAGAAAAAGCCAAATGATTTGTTTTTCAGTCGAAATATAGAAAATAAGCCTGAAATCAGCCCTCAAAGACCTGCTGAAAATGATTTATTTACACAAGTTAACTCAGGTTTGAATTTTGGGACTAAAATGGGTAGAGATCGGTCACATTTATTCCAAGAAAAGGTTGCAGATCCTTTTAATATTAAGCCTGTAGAGCCGGAGCTTTTCTTTAATGAGCTAGCTCAAAAAGAATTGTTCTTTACTAATGACACTACTGCAAATCCTAACAGTGAAGAGTCACTGCTACCTATTAAATCCAAAGCAGGAAGAGACAGGTCTCATCTTGTGTCGAATAAAAAGGAGCCTGGATTTTTAGAAGATTTAAATAAAAACTCTGGCTTTGTCTTAAACTTAAACTTATTACAGGCTTTGCAGCTTGTCTATTGGCAACGCAAACATCAAGGATTACCTCAGGGATTTGCCCTTTTTGCGATGTCGTTAGGGAGAATTTCTCGAATGGGATGATAATTCGCCTGGCGACTAGAGCTTGGGATCATATCCTTCTTTTTCTTGAGTACGTGATGCCATTGTAATCTGAAATATACTTCTGTATCTCAGTCTCCTCACCCACACAAAAATCCCAAAAAAATGGAATTTCTGGTCAAAAAGAATATTCAAATTCTGAGGCGCAACTCTCAGTTGGTCGATTGATTTAGGCATTGACTGAGACGATGCTGGGTGTTTCTTCTCCATCTCTGAACCCACCTCTTCCCTCAAGGTAAAATCCATCCTGGAAACGGGCTAGGGCTAGTCTCTGATCATTCTAAATTGCTTACCTAACATAGCTGTCAATGTCTGGGTTGTCTAAGCCTTGCTGGATATATTTTAAATAGTTGCTCCAGCATGCATTGATGTGAAGCAATACCCTGGCCGAGACACCATATTTATTATAACCCTGACTTTGTTAATTATTCTGATAGAAACCCTCAAGATTTTTCAGCCTTTCGCAACCAAGCAGAAATCAATCCTACAAATGATAGAAATAAAGCTAGAAAAATTACAGTTGGAAATAGTGGTGACGAGCTTAAAAAATTAGCTGAAAAAGCAGAAAAACAAGAATTTTTCCAAGGATTATTTGGAGAAAATGATAACGTAAAAATAGACACTACAAAAATCCAGTCAAAGCTGCTTCCAACTTCATTTGAGAAAAAAATAAATAATAACTTGCCAGTATCTCAACCTTTGGAATCAAAAGTCAATATACTAAATATTGACGAAAAAGAAAAGCCTTCAATGATTAATCTCAATCCCAGTATAGGCGCAAAAGCTCAGGCTCAGCCACCCAAAAAACCTGTTGCCTTTGATTTAATTGAAGAAGATCTCATATTGTAGTTAATAATTTTAAATTTATTTTATAACAACTAAAAATCAGTCAAATTAATTATTCTTATTTAGAAAATTAATTTCCATTAGTAAAAATTTAATTAACTCCCCCCTCCTCCGTGAGTGAACAAAAAAATTTTGTTCACTCACGGAGGGCTATTTTTTTTTTTTAAAAAAAATTTATATATAAATTTTATAAAAAATATTTTTTTTTGAAATTTAAAAAAATCCTAATTCGCAAAATTGGATAGCAAATATTAATTTAATTTATAAAATTTATGTTTTAGAAAGCAATTCGTTTAAAATTAAACAGAATTTGGCTCTAGATTTAATTATAATAATTATCATTAATATATCAAAATTTTTTTACATAAAAAATTTTTTGATTAAAAAAATTTTTGTTCACTCATAGAGGGTGGGTTTTTTTTTGGGCAAAAAATAGGGATTTTTCTAATGGTTTTGTTCACTCACGGAGGGGGGGAGTAAGTAAATTATTTAGACTTTGTTTGATTTATCAATATATCTCTCGGCACCAAAAGTCTTGAATTGCATACTTGGCACGTATTAGAAAATGAGCAATACAACGCTAAACAGCATGAACACACATAAGCTTTTTCTACTTCTCTACTGCAGCACGTACAATACGGCCTCAAATGCAAAAATGTTGAAGATGTCGGCCTACGAGTAGGCAGAAACACTTGAAGCAAAATTTGTAAAATTCCTGTAGAATGGTGTCTAATATAAATTCCCCCAGTAAATGTAGCTGTTTGACTTAAGACTGAGCAGTCACTAAAGGCAATGCCATCTATAATAACTTTTAAGCTTTGAGCAGCTACCATGACACTTAAAGCTGCATTTTGTTCATTTTGAATGCTATGTTTTTGGATGATCAGGATTCTTGCATTAATCTTCCTGGAGTTTATATAGCACAAGGCCTGAGCTGCCCCTTTTCAGACTCCTCCACTTACGTAGACTTCGTCTTCAGATATTGAGTTATAGGCAGTTTGGCCTGCACAGATAAAAATTTTCAGTGTGTTTTCGGAGTTTTGGAGTTTTAAAGCATTTTTAAAGCCTTGGAGTGCTGTTAAAAGGACAGGAAGTGTGATTGACTGTAAGGATGATGAAATCATAGAAGTCGTGGGGGCGTCCCAGTGGCTTTTGATTGCATCAAGCACGATAATTAGATTTTGAACCATTTTTAATTCTTAGGAGGATCAGTGATTTTTCATATGTTTTGAGTAAAATAACTCTAAAAGAAATCCATTTATATCTGCCAAATGGACCATTGCATTATTCTTTTATGTGAAAACTTCGTTAAAATATCAATTAGAATCATTTCTTATAGCCATAAGATATAAAAATATATTCAAATTTTTTTAATTTCTATCGTGTATAAAAATAATTTTTTTATTATAAAATAAATTATATTGATTTACATTTTTTTTTAATTTAAATGAGATAAGAAATTCAATAAATTATACCTAGCCATTTGATACTTTATGAAATGCCATTGATTTTGGCCTCATAATTCTTTTCGGTTTTGAGTTATGTGACGTTGGAATTGGCGGTCTCAATAATTTAGGAGCTGAACTTGATCTTGAAGTTCTCTGTGAGCAATTTTCAAAACTATCACAGCAAGTCGATGCTTGATTAGAGCACGACCCCGGAGATTGGCTTCTATTTAAATTTTTTTCTTTAAGCACAGGCCTCTCTACCTTTGGTTGGCTTGTCTGAACGCGTACAACAGTTTTGCTGAACTGAGACATATATTTTCCAAAAGGATTTGTCATGTAAGGGACTTGATAGCTGCTTCGATTAAAAATGCGAGATTTGAAGATATGAGAAGAACTATTTTTGAAAGTTGACATTTTTATCAATAATAGCCTTAAGCCTTAATAATCCCGCTTTTACAGTTTTTACTTATTTCTCAAGAATAAAATGGGATTCTGAAATAAAAGATTTTTAAAATACAGACTTATATTGCTTAAAAATTTAGTTTAAAATAAAATAAATGAGATTTTAAGAGGATTTTTAATAATTTAAGCGAGAAATCTACTTTTTTAAACTTTAAGATTTTTTTTTATAAAAATATGATTATAGTCTAATATAGCATGCGATAGGATGAGATTGAACAAAGGAAAAAAAATTAAAATAAAAAGAATTAAAATCCTAGTAATGTAGAAATTAAATAACTTTCTGTTAGGCTAGAAATAATAATCAAAAGTTATGACAGAGATGATATACATAAAAATGGCGACAACGAGCAACCCGACATCGACCTATTTCTTCAACACAGCAGGCAACGGCTTAGTGGTGGGGTTTAGGTGGGAAAGGGGCAGGAAACCCTTTGTGTTAATCGGGCTAGGTTTTGCATGGCCCCAGGATGCTAATCCATGGGACTCGGGCTTTCTCCTCCAGAGCAATCATTATAAAGGACAAGATCGGTGGCAGTCCCGAGTGGAAGCTGATTTCCTCGAACAAGACTTAAGAGATGGCATTTGTCTAATGAGAAACTGCGAGTTTCAACCCAGTTGTTTGGCCCTTAGGCTCCAGAAGCCATGAAAATTAAGACTGATTGCATGAATCCCTTGTTTGAGGCAACAAGGAGGGTGTCCGCCGGGGCTCTTTAGTGAGCGATGAGTATTTAGGGGTGCAAGTCCCTGGCCTTGCTAAGAAAAATGGCTCAATCTAATCTAAAAAAGTTATGACTGAAGATTAAAAAAAAACATTTGCTTCATTAATGCTTTAATCTATTTAATATCCCATTAGCGATTCAAAATTTATAACTTATAATAATTAAATGTCAATCATCATTTCCACCCCAGGCCAAATAGCAGGTGCTCCTACAAATCGATCTACCGCAAAGCAGCAGTGGTCTTTCTCAAAGGCTGCCCGATTTTCAGCCTTAAAACCTACCGAGTAAGCTTTACCCAGGGCTCATTTTTATTCAATTCCTCCAGCTTTTGACAAAAGATCAGCATCAATCGGCTACGGCACAAAATCTGATTTTACCAAAGAAGAGAGGACAAATTAAAATAATAACCTGTAGTCTTCCAGGTTTTATGCTTCCGCATGCTTCGATCAACTCCAATCTGCTTGCCGAGCGGAAATTCAGCTGCTATTTGGAACAGGGTCTTCTGTAGAAGCAGGGTTACACTGTGATCCCCAAGAGTGTCGACGTGTTGGGGAGAAGCCCTGCCAGTATCCATCAGGCGCTATGGATGTATAACCTCCTTACGGCTAGTTTTAGAGAGGTAACACCCAGGAAAAAGGAACCATGTTTTTTTGAACTGTAATGGAAAAAGCTGAGCCCAAAAGCCATCGATCATTGAGTTGCCACAAATTTGCTCCCAAGGCCATCCACCTACAAAATCCCACCATCCGATGATTAATATTAATTTTAAAGGATCCAAGTCTTGGCTAAGCTATAAGGGACTTTTGCGACCAGAGTGGAGCATTGTCACCAAATATACATTTATTCTCCACTCCATATTAATTATAAAAGAGGACAAGGAAACCCAGACCCAAGCGCTTATAATTTACCAAGCGACTTTGACAACAAAAAGCCTTTTGGTTTAGCCTACTCGTTTGGTATTTCTCGTGAAGCCTGTGAAAAAAGGTATGTAGAAGGCCACTTTAAAGCAGACCCTTCAGTTCCTGGTCCAGGAACTTACCCGATTACTTCAAAGATAGGACAGGAAGGAAGGAAATTCACATTCAGGCCTCGCACATCAATTCTAGGTAACTGCTAAGCAGATGAAATGTTTAACAGCCGAAAAAGTCCTGGCCCAGGTGCTTATGACCCTAAAAGTGAGGTTGAAAAAGGCAGATACACTTTAAGCACTTTTAAAAATGCAGGAATTACGACTTTTTCGCCACTGTCATCGCCAAGGTTTCCGAAGGATCAAAAAAATGGACTGCCTGGTCCTGGTGCTTACTATAATAGTGAGGATTTCTTAAAGTCTGGGTATTATTTGTCGAAATTTCAGTCTCCAGGGAACAGAGCTTTCCCGATCTCTAATAGAGATTCGTCTCCAACCTCAGGGTTTTGGGACACTCCAGGACCTGGGAGCTATAGGCTTCCAAGTGAATTTGGGTATTATGAAAGCAAAAATAAAGCGCTAGATAAGAGACCAAATACTCAGTCTATGCCAAATTTGAAATCTCAAAGGACACCTGCATCAAGTCAGAAGCCAAAGCCTGTTACAAGGAATTAAATAGTGTTTAGATTTTTTATGAATTTGGTATTATGTTTGTTGATAGCAGTTTAGTCTTCTTAAATCTTATATCAAAGCTATTTTAGATTTCATAGAAGAGAATAAATCTTGATAAAAATAATTTATGGCAGCTTTTTCAATTTATAAATAGCAATATAGTTATTTTTATATTTGATAGATTTTTGGCTACAAAGGAAAGATTTGAAAAGATAAGATTATTGCTAATAAAACAATAGCATTAATAATAAATGCTAGGTGTTTAGAAATAGCGATTTTAATTAAAAACTATTTGCAATATTAGATTATTTATAAATATTTTAAGTTTTCATTAGAAGAGGCAATAGATACCTTATGCTAGGGTATACTTATTCTATGATCGATAATATAATTCATATCATTACCAAATAATATTGAGGCACTTTCAAGAATCTATTAATTATGCAAGCAGTGGAAAATGCTAATTTTAAAAATAAAAATGTTCAGAATTTAAAAGTCCTTATCTTTACTGACTCCTTAACTTATGATACTTTAAAATGGCGGGAGAACCAATCTCCTCTTATATCTGTACCCAGACAGGATTCTGAGCAACTTATGGAGGGGAGATTAGCGGTGCTTGAAGAGCATTCAGACTGGTTTTAGTTTGTCAGGTAGAGCTCAATAGCTAGTTGACAGGGCGCAAGCTCATATCCAGGGAAAAGTTTTACCTCGATGGAAGATGGGGCTTTGAGTTTTGAAAGTGATAGCCAACTAAGATCAGTGGACATTCACTTGGCCAATCGGGTAATTTCCAATGTGATATCAAGACTTGCATCCATAGCTGTAAGTTCCAGACAAAAATACAATGACAACCGACTCGTCCTCTCCCAGACCTGTTTCCAGTTTGGGGGCCTTGCTGCGGCCAAACAGGAAACGGAGTCTACGGTACTGGGCATTTGTTTTCCGGTTGGGATTTGCCTCCCTCGTCCGGCAATGAAGACTTTGTGTCTTCCCTATAGACATTTGTAAAAAGGCTTTACCCCTAGAGACTATAAGTGCCGACGACGAAGGCCTAGTTGGTACCGATACTAGCTAGGGAGTTTATCCCTAGCTGGAGTTCTAGTCACTCAAGCACAGCCACAAATCCCAAACCTGCATACTCCAAAGTTCCGAGACAGCATTAAGAGCCAGTCCAAAGCCGGAGGAGAGAGATCTTTGGTGGATGCCTGACATACACAAGAAGGTTCGCTATCAGCTGAACGAGTCTTCTATAAGACTCATCTCGGGTAAGACGTAAAAGAAGGAAGAGCCCTAATCTTCAATTAACGTTAATGATAATGGCTGTAAGTTCCAATCAGGCCGATTGCCTATCCAAAAATAACTCTTTGAATTTTTAAAACCCGATAACGTACGGCAGGTAAGGTTATTAAAAGTTAGGCTTTAGCCATATTGATGACGCAGCACCCAAAGACCTCTCATACGAGAGATTCTATCGCTTTTCGACTTTAGCCCAGAGGGTCTTTCCAGGTGGATGTCACTTCCCACACCTTCTGTTTCCGACTTGCCTTGCGGCTTCATTCTTAAGTGGGTATTTATGGATTTCTGCAGCCCTGCTATGGGCGATTGGTGCAGCTTGATTCCAAGATCCTTGGAGTCTGTCGGATGCCAAAGTGCCTTCCTTCGACAGCTATAGGCAAAAGGCTACTCCCCTGTGGCTTTGGCCCGAGCACCCATTTTCTCGGAAGAGGCTGCCCATGGGTCCTTGAATCCAAAAGGACGTTGTTGAGGATCTCCATTTCCAACTATCTCTTGAGCCTACATTTGATTCTTTACTCAGAATTCGTCCCTGTTCGCCGTGGCCCATAAGGTCTGACTGTTGCGCCAAAAGGGCAGGTTTGCAAATTAAGTTAAGACTCCTTAAACTCCCTTAATGAGCAAAAATTCTTTAATATACAAGTAATAAGTATAATAAAATTTGTTAATTTTATTTATTTTGCATTCTAAAGCATAAATTTACAAAATAAATTAATTTTTATTCCCAATTTTTGCGAGTCGGGGCTTTCACATTCTGAAAAAATTATATGTAAAATTTAATCCTATCCAATCCGGAATAAAGTCTAAAAATTAGAATTTTCCGTTTTACGTTTTCAAGTTGAAAAAAAAAAAAAATTGGAATTTTCAGTCATTTTAACAGTAAAAAAAATGTGCTTTATTCTGGATCAACCAAATAATGGGAGCAAAATATGTTTTGCTCACCAATATAGAGAGAGTGAGAACATTGACTTAATAAAAAGCTCTCTTTATATATTTATTTATTACTAGCATTTATAATCTCCTGGAACAAATTATTTATTGAATGGTTCTCTAACTCCCCCCTCTCCGTGAGCGAACAAAAATATCTTGCTCGAAATTTAAAAAAATCCTAAACCGCAAAAATTGGAAAGCAAATATTAATTTAATTTGTAAAATTTATGTTGTTTAAAACGCAATTTATTTAAATTAAACAGAATTAGCTCGAGATTTCATTATAATAATTATCACTTATATATCAAAATCTTTTTCAGAAAAAAATTTTTGTTCGCTCACGGAGGGTGAATTTTTTGGACAAATAATAGGGATTTTTTCTAATGGTTTTGCTCGAGGAGGGAGTAAGAGGATAAATTTGGTAAATTTTTATTGAATAGTTCTCCAAATGGATAAATTTGGTAAATTTTAGTAAAATGATCTCATTAGTTATTCGAAAAGTTCTTATAAATACGAATGACAATACTTATTACAATAGTCTCCAGTTTAATTATTTTAGATAGCTTTAATTCTAGTTCTAATGTTAAATAATTGAAGAAAATTAATTCTTTGTTAACCATATTTAGAAAGATAATTCCTACTCTCTTTAAATTGAACCAAAAAGGAGGGTAGTTTGTTTTAAGCAAATAAAAAAAAATTAATAAATATTATTCAAAAAATTAATCGCTTGAAAACTATTTGCTATAAAAATTAGTATTTTTTTTTCACTTATGAAATTTTTCGATTGGAATAAAATTTTTTTCCAATTTAAAGTGGGGTTAAAGTATCCAATATAAAGGGGTGAGTTAGTAATATATAAGATGTCTGATAAATATCTGACTCCTCCTGGCCGACCACATCCCCAAAGAAAGATCAAAGCAAACATAAGTAAAAGAAACAGCCAAGAAGCTATGGAATTCAACATACAGCAAGCTCTAAACCCTGGAAATTTATTAATCTCAGATAGAGCACTGATGGAAAGACATGGAAAAGTAACTGAAGAGACTAAACAAAGAGCAGCTCCTACAAAATTATCAATAGGATCATTTCCTATTATAGTAAGCACAAACTCGAAATTGCCTGAGCCTGAATTTCCACCAAATGATCCTGAAGGAGAAGCAGAAACTCCAATAAGCTATCCAATAATTATTCTATTTAAAACAGGCCATGCTTTTCCACTGGAAGTGCATGCGACTGATACAGTTGCAGATGTGAAAAATCAAATTTCGAAATGGGAACTGATTCCTACAGCTAGACAAAGGCTTAAATTTTCAGGGAGACGTTTACTTAATCATGAAACTATGGCTGGCATTAATTAAAAAAATATGATCCATGAATTGGTAGTTCGACCGACTATTTTTTATTGGGTAATTTTTCTCTCAAGGGCTCATCTACAAAGAGCTTTTCCCAAGCTCTAAAATCGGATCAAAAAGTATTGGCTATCTGAAATAGGATGGCTGGCAAGATGGACAGGCATCAAGACATGTGGGACGAAGAGTAGACAGTGAGACTGAACGAGCCTCTGCATGATTCAAAGTCGGAAGAGCGGTGAATTGTCTGAGGCAAAGATGGAATCAAGTCCACAGCTCATCAGGCTCCAATAGAGAAAAATGCAAGTTGATCACATAGAAGACTTTTTTTGACGATAACAGCCTTAAGGCCTAGCGCTGTGAGCTTTGTTTCCTCCATTAAATGGTCTAGGATCTCTAAATAAAATTTATTTTTATTCGCTCGCTCGTCTGGCATTAATGTGAAAAAAGGTGATATTTTAGAGTTTTGTTTAATATCCAATAACAGTCGCCAAGCTCCACAAACGCCTAGCAATCCAAGTGGTAATGAATCTTTAATTTATCTTAAATCAATGGAAGGACGGACTATTAAGCTTTATATTGATCTAACCGAATCCGTAAAAAGCTTGAAACTAAAAATCATGGATGCTAAAGGAATTGTGCCAAGAGAGCAAAGGCTGATTTTAAATGGCCAAGAAATGATAGAAATTGATAGAAGTCTAGAGAGTTATGGGGTTCATAACGAAAGCACAATTCGTCTTTTTCAAATGCTGAGAGGGTGCTAAAGAAGATTAAACATTGTTAATATCTAGTTAAAATGATAAAAAGTCTAATTAATATTTTAAATGAAGTTTGATAGGATTAATATGTACTTTATAGCAATAGCATTCTTTGAAAGCCATCGAGTATTTTAATCATATATATTAATATAATGTACTGCAAATATTGTTTGCAAGCATATATTAAAATAATAAATGAAAAAATAATATTTTAAGCATAAGTAGAATTTGTATCCTAGTCAAATTTTACATTTTAAATGCATCTTTTAAGCAAGCCGTAATCATTAATTTAATATAAAAATAGCATATTTAATCATGATAAGTAAAGTGTGAAAGATTCAATTACAATCAGTAATCGTACATGTGATAAAGTTATTACTCATAGATTTGGACTGATTATATTTTTACTTTCCAATTTTATCTTTATGCAAAAGAAATATAGCCCATAGCCCTATATAGATTTCTTTATTAAGGCAAATGCAATAGATAGTTGAACGACCAAGACAGACTCCCTAAAATGGATAAGCTAAATCTCTGTACCAGGAAGAGTTAAGAAGTAGCATGCCAAAAAATGACTGACAAGTGCAAGCAAGTTGACAAGCAAACACGCCAATTTTTTAAATGTCTTATTATTAAATTAATTTTAAATTTGCATTCTCTTTTAGACTTGCGCTGATAAATATCTTACCATAATATTCAATCCAAGTAAGAAATAAGTTCTAATTTATAGTAAATAATGAATAAAAGTTAAGAACTACAAATATTTATTTACAATAATTAGTACTCATAAAAGCTAATTCAATAAAAAAATTAAAACACTTGAAATGTTTCAGCTGCTGATAAAAAAATCATTGATTGATTTTAGGCTTTTGCATTATGTAAAAGCTAAGCTATTATTGTTGAATTAATTTCTGCTATGGCTAAATGCTTTGAGAAATAAAGAATGCAATGAATTATACATATTTTCTGACTCAATAATTCCAATTTTACAAATATGAAATTTACTATAATAGAAATATATGGTTTATATTTTGAAAATTAAAAACTTAACAATTTTTTGATCCAATAATTCCTATTTTACTAGGAAGTATCAAACTAAGATTTTTATATTTTGCAATTAATTAAGTCTAAACACCAGCACAACGACCATTATTTTTATATTTGTTTTATAAATTAATTAAAGTAAGCTAAATTTTTTTATTGCAGGAATCCAATATTTCAGAGTTATCATAAAAATGACTCAGCACTTTGCATAATGCAAATGCCTATAAATTCTTAATAATCCTGCTACAGTAAGTCCTGCAGCAATTCTTGCAATTTACATAAGCTCATATTTCCGTTTTAAAAGCTACTCATATTGATTATTTTATATGAATATAACTATGGAAATACTTTTAGATGCTTCTAAACAAGAATATCCGTTTTTAATGATCATGTGTACTTAATTTAACCTAATTTACTTGCTGAACCAAATTCTAACAGAAGAGAAAAAAAAAATAGTTAAGATATTAATCAATTCCAATCTAAAAGAGTATCCTAAATTTAAAATTAATTTAAATAATAATGCCATTTTAAAATTGGCGCACTTGCTTTTCAACCATTTTTTGACATGCCACTTTTTAACAGTTCCTACTCGTGATTTAGCTCATCCGAGTCAGCTTGGTCGCTCATCTATATATTACATTTTATTCGACAAAGGAATCTATATAGGGGTATGGCTATACAGATAAAATAAAAATATATATTTTCAGTTGCGGCCAGAGCATAAATAATACAAGATTAGAATTTTAAAAATCTTTGAGTTCATATCCATCTTCATTTAGGCATTATGCTGATTTTATGCTGAATGCAAAAATATAAGCTCACTATAAATTGATGTCTCCTTTTTAATATAATGTAAAATCCAGCGCGATAATAAAATGGCATTCGGTTCGAGAGAAATTAGCTCTGCTAATTTTCTCTCCCTCATGGAATTTTATTTATAGGGTTAGGTTTTCACTCGAAGACTTCTGGACAGCAACAGTGGTTTAACTTTGGAGATAACCAGAGGAACCACTCCTCAGTCCACTCAAGATTTCGGGCTTTTACCTCTCAGCACATCCCCACGGGAGGATGACCCTTAGGTGTAACACGCGCAGGAGCTGAGTCGAGCGACAAGGGCGACGGCAACGCGCCGGGCGAGACGTGCAGCAAGACCGGTGAAGCAGGAGTTGATAGAAAGCTTGGACGGGGCTGACCCGTGCCAAGATGGCTCGCCTACGTCATCAGTTTTGCCATAGGCCCTTTTGGGCTGCGGCACTAGACACCTTAAACACCAGATAATTAAGTAAGTAAGTAAGTAAGTAAAATCCAGCGCATTTTAAACAGTAAAATTAAAAACCCAAGGAATTTATCGTTCATTTTTAAATATTTATGCAGATATTACCTCAAAGATGATTTTAGTTAATCTTTAATATTTTATCTTACTTGTTGAACATAAGACCAGGAAAAGGGACACAAATTTGTCCACTATTATAGAATCCTGAGCTGCACGCACAAACTTTAGCCCACTCGACATAATATGCATTTGGATCCAAGCAAGTGCACGAATTCCCAACCAAGACCATATGGGCCGAGTCGTAGCAGCTCAAGCATTGGTTATCAGTGCACTGAGAACAGCTTGGCCCACATGCGTTACAAACATTATTGTAATAGCCATAAGGGCATTCACACTTCAGTGTAGTTTGGTTAAATACTGCATTTGGGTCAATGCAGCTGCACACTCCATCATTTAAAATCATATTTTTTTCATCAGAGCAAGAAGTGCATGTTACACCATCCTCTAAGCAGCCATAACAAGTAGCAAGGCAAGATACACATGATGAGCTGTCGTTATAATAGCCTAAATTGCATTCGCATTGATGGGTTGTAGTATTGAATTCAGAGTTAATATCTGGACAAACACAAATTCCATCAATATAAATGTAATCAGAAGTGCAAGAGGTGCAAACGGAGTTAGATGTGCATTTGGCACAAGTTTCGGGGCATGGGAGACATGAATAAGTCGAATTCATGTAAAATCCATTATTGCAAATGCAGCCTCCACTTAGAAATGCATTCGGATCACAAGTGCATACTCCATTTTGAACCATAAAGGTCGGCTGGCATGATGTGCATATAGAATTACTTGTGCATACATTGCAATAATTACCACAATTCTGGCATCCGCAGGTACTGCAACTTCTATACTGCCCAGCAGGACAGTAACAATCATTTAACTCTGTATTGTAAGCCAAGCCACTTTGACAGATGCATTGTATTACATTTCCAACATAGCTTGTCGTCATTCAATATCCCTCGCAAGTTGCACAATCACCATTAGAGTATATTGACTGGCATGTACGACTTTGGGTGCAGCAATGATTATAGTTATCACATGAGTAGAAATTATTTTCACAAGCACAACTATAGTAAGCAGTACTTCATGTTTGGTTTTGAGGGCATTCTTGTAAGCAAGTTCCATCCAGTGAACAAGAAGGGCAACCACAATAAGCACATTCATTCCCATTTCAGTATGTAGGACCCTCATAGCTGCATATGCAATTATTCAAAGTAGAATTGTAATATCCATATCGGCATTGACACTGTGAATTATAATTATTCATAGAAGCAATGCACTCTATACAGCCAACATTATTTCACTTAATGCAGCCAGGAATTTGATTATCTGGGTTGCAGTCATAATTATCAGTAGTATAATAACCAGAATTGCAAAAACAATCTTTCAATACTGTACTATAATACATATTAGGAGTTGTGCAATAGCATTGACCTTTATATATTCACATATTACTATAACGAGTGGTGATGCACTCCATGCATGAGCCATCCATTGAATATTGCACACATGGACCTGTAATTTGGAGGCATTCGAGTGAGTTTCCAGTTTGGCTAGGTAAATATCCATTTAAGCATTGGCATGCATTAATAGAAATATTAAAAAAGGAATTTGGATCATTGCAGTAGCACATTCCAGAGCTCAAAGTCATATTAACTTCATCAATGCAGGATAAGCATCTATTACTCTCACAAGTACTGCATATTGGAGAGTGGCAGGCTGTGCATGCATTTCCATCATAATAATATTTCTCTTGGCAAATACAACTATTGCTGATTGGGTCATAAATTGTATTTGCTGCATTGCATACACAATTTCCAGATATAGCCGGATTCATTTTTAGCTCGGTTCCTTAGGCCGGCTTGAGATTTGGCTAGTCAATTTTTGGTGATTAGATTAGATTAACGCTTTGTGCGTTCCGCAGTGATGTCGCTGCGGGGTGGGCTCCCTCAAGGCTAACTTAGGCCCGGGCCGAAACCCCCGGTTTCTCGGTAGTGGTATTTCGCTCCGGATCCGATTCATACGGATTTTGCGGGAACCACCATTTCCAACCTAAGCGCCAGCATTACCCAACCCTGCTTAGCTCGGCCAGATCGCCCCCTTTATCAGGGACCCTTTTAGCTGGAGAGACTTGCGCCTTTGATATCTGAGAGCTTCGCCTTCCCCTCTTTTCCGGATTATCTCCGAGAAAGAACTCAACCCCTTGCGGGATTCGGGACGAAGCCACCAAGTAGCCTAGGCAGGTAACTCACCCTGCCTCTTTCGGACACTGAGTCTGGGCCTCAGCGCTACTGGCAAAAAGAATGCGAAAAACTGCTGCCCGGGTCAAGTCCCAAAATCAGCGGAAATAGGGCTGGGCCTCTCGCCTCGAGGCTAACTCTTCCCTTGAGTAGCTCTCCGCATCCAAAAACCACGTCCGGTATACATAAGGACACCCGCCACGGAGGGACGGGTCACTCTTCTCCGGCCATTTTATGTATATAATTTTTGGACATAAACTATCTCCAATTAGGCTATAGACTGGATTTGCTAACTCAAGGAGTTGCTCTATCAATAAAAGTGACTAGCAAAACCTCTAATTGGTTTTTAGGGTTTGGTGAAGTTCGAGGTAAATAAAAGCTTGAACTATACAACACTCATTTCTTGAGGATTTGAACAATAAATGCAGACATTGTTTGCAGTGCATGAAGAGCATTGCACAGGACAGGTAATGCATACTCCATTGGCTAATTGATATCCTTTATCACAAATACATATTTTTTGGGTTGAGTTAAAGCTAGCATTCGGATCACTACAAGTACAAACGCCATTGAGCAAAGTCATATGGGCTTGATCAATACAATTTGTGCATGCCGTACTACTTTGGCAAGTTACACAAGTGGTTTGGCAGGCTCGACATATAGAATTGCTTGAAAAATATCCATCAAAGCACACACACGAATCTTTAGTTGTATCAAAAACTGCATTTGGGTCTTTGCATGTGCATGCCCCATTGCTTAGAATCATATTATTTGAGTCAAAGCAGCTTATGCAAGTAGCTTGGTTTACACATTGTTGGCATGGAGGCTGGCATTCAACGCATTCATTGCCGTGCCAGAAGAAATCATAGTCGCATGTACAATTATTTCCTGTAAAAGTGGAGTTTTCTGGACAAGCGCAAACTCCATTATCAATTGTCATGTGGATTGGATCTGCGCAGGTTAAGCATTCTGTGCTGTTTGTGCAAGTCATGCAAGTTTCATCGCAATTTTCACAGTTAGTGTTGTTCAGATAAGTCTTCACTGGACACACACATTGGTTTATCTGTGAATTGTAGTAAGAGCCACTTGGAGTGGTTTTTAGTGTTTAGTTAATTTTAGAAAAAGCTCGTTATAATACCTTAAATTGTATTTATCATCATCTTGCTTTTGACTGCCTGTCATCTTCTTATTGGCTATGCTCCTCTAAAAAATTGGCTCTCATATTTGCTAGAGTGAAGTGGGATAAGTCACCGTCCCATACGTCTAACTTGGGTTGCTCTACAAGAAACTCGAAAGCAAATTTTCTGACCGAGTTTGCCAACCGAGATCGAACTTGTCGCCCAGGGTGCAACTTCTTGTGTATCGTGCTAGGGGAATTTTCGAATGAATCAAACGGCTTACCCTTTCCAATTCCGACTGTCCGTCTTTCCTAGAATTAAATCTTGAACTGTAATGAGCTGCGGCCCACTTAATCCGACACTGCACTCCACCAAATCTTAATCTTAATTAATTTATAGCACATTTAACGTCTGCTAATAGCTCGGCCACAGCTACTCTCAGCAACACCACTCTGGGGCGAATTTGCGCCATTTTCGTTAGGGTCTGCCAAATGTGCGGCCACCTTGGACTTTATTCACCAATGAGGATGTCAGTCTTGAAGTTTGGACTTCAGTAACTCTTCTTTGAACTAAATCATTTACATTGGTCCGAATGGCACCATAAAGATCCCAGTCTCCACTGCCTGGGTAAGTGGCACCTTTCTGGAAAATTGCATTCTCTAAGGTTAGGAGTCCTGTAGAAAAACCACCAGGCTCTTGCTTCCCTGTCATAGCTGGGATAATCTCACTAGGGGAAATCAAATTTCATATATAAAATACGCAAGAGATGAATTTTCTGACAGGATCAGAAACTTCGAGTGACGCAATATTTTAATTACACGTTCAAATTCAGTAAACCTGCCCAGATGCACATTATCAAACGCCATCTCTCTTCCCACAAGGTCCATAGTTTCCCATCTTCAGTTTTTTAGAGGTTACTGCCTCATCATTTTAGTTTATATACTACTTGGAGTGGTACAAACACAAATATTCAAAGAATTTAATGTCATTTGACTTGGGAGGATGCAAGAAGCACAGCTTGAAGCACTATTCGAGCAAGTTTCACATGGTAGAGAGCAGGCACTACAAATAAAGCCATTCATGTAGTATCCTCCATTGCATTGGCAAGAATTTGATTGAGGCGAGTAATAAGAGTTGCTTGGGGAGCATTGGCAATAGCCATTATCAAGAACCATTCTTGGGTCCACACAGGAACTACATTTAATTGCAGCTTGGGTGCTAACTCCACCCCTCCGTGAGCGAATAAAACCTTTTAAAAAAATCCCTATTTTTACCTAAAACCCACCCTCCGTGAGCGAACAAAAATTTTTTATAGAAAAAATTTTTGATATATAAGTGATAAATAGTATCATGAAATCTCGAGCTAATTTGTTTAATTTTAAACAAATTGCGTTTTAAATTATAAATTTTACAATTAAATTAATATTTGCTTTCCGATTTTCGAGAAGGGATTTTTAAATTCTGAAAAACAATTTCTTAAAAAATTAAACCCCCTCCGTGAGCGAACAAGTTTTTTTGTTCGTTCACGGAGAGGGGAGTAAAACAATTTTGGCAGGGACCTTGACACATAAGACATTGGGTTTGGCTTGGGGGTTGATAATAGCCATTAGCGCAGACACAGCCATTTTTGCCGCTTGACTGAGAGTTAGAAACAGTGCATGTACAAATGCCATTTATCAAAGTATATGGCAAATATCCAGAAGCTGCTGAGTAGCAGGATAAGCAGTTGTTTGAGCCAGTGCATAAAGGACAGGAGCTTGGACATGAAATGCAATATAGCCCGTTCCCGGCTATAATTGGGCATAGCCCGATCTTTGCCGGGAAACTCGGGGGTTGTCTGCATCACTTTGAGGTGACGAGCCAACTCCCCGAGTTTCCCGGCAAATTATAGTAATTGCCCGAATGGCGCAAGATTGCGCCATCCTCGGGCAATTCCTATACTATATAAGGGCTATTTGCCAACTCGGGAAGTTGACTTGTCACCTCAAAGTGACGCAGACAACCCAAATTTCCCGCCAAAGATCGGGCTATGCCCGATCTATAGTCGGGAACGGGCAATACCCTAAGCTTCCCATATACATCCCATCTGGACAAATACACAATAAACTAGTTGAGTTAAAAGTTGCTTTAGGATCAGTGCAAGCACAGTTTCCGGTAGTAAGAGTCATATGATTTGGGTCTATGCATGATAAGCATGATGATGTATTATTGCAAGTGGCACAAGTTGATAAGCAAGGGACACAAACTTGACTGCTATTGAAAAATAAGCCAATATTGCAAACACAGCTTACTTGAGTCATACTGAATGCAGAATTCTGAGGGCATGTGCATACACCACTCGATAAAGTCATACGAGAGTCCACACAAGAAATACAGTTTGAAGCACTAGTGCAAAATCCGCAAGGTGGTTGGCAATTAGCACATGAAGGACCATTCATATATGACCCATTATAGCAAGTGCATAGTTGCGTTTTAGCATTGAAATACGAATTTTCCACTGATTCCCCCTCTCCGTGAGTGAACAAAACCATTGGAAAAATCCCTATTTTTTGCCCAAAAACCCATCCTCCGTGAGAGAACAAAAATGTCTTTAATAGAAAAAAAAAATTATGGAAAAAAATTGATATATAAATGATAATTAGTATAATGAAATCTCGAGCTAATTCTATTTAATTTTAAACAATTTGCGTTTTAAACATAAATTTTATAAATTAAATTAATATTTGCTTCCCAATGTTTGCGAATTAGGATTTTTTTAAATTTCGAAAAAAAAAATTATTTCTATAAAATCTATAAATAAATTTTTTTTAAAAAACATAATTAACCCCCTCCGTGAGTGAGCAAAATTTTTTTTTCGCTCACGGAGGGGGGGAGTGAGCAAGTGCATATTCCATTAACTAACAACATATGTGTCAAATCAACACAAGTGTCGCAAAAAGTGCTATTGCTACAAGTCCCACATGATGCCTGGCAAGGCACACAAGCTGTATTGTTCATATAATACCCATTTGCACATTCACATAACCCTAATGTTTCGTTAAAAGCTGCATTAGGGTCCTTACAGCTGCAAACTCCTCCTATTAAATTCATATGAATAGCATCAGTGCAGGAAGTGCATACATCTTCACTATTACAGGCACTGCAAGTTGCATTACAAGTCTGGCAGAATTGTCCATTTGTCCATGTTCCAGTAGGACAGTTGCAAAGTAGTGTATTAGAGTTAAAAACTGACCCTTCAGGATTCGAACAATAACACCAGTTATTGTAAAGTGTCATTTGAGAAGGGCTTACGCAAGATAAACAGCTTGTTAAGCTTGAACATGTTGCACAGATAGAAGGACACGGAGCACATAAGTTGGTGCTATTTAAAAAATAGCCCCGTCTTAGTCGGCAACACTACCTGGAGGCGTATACTGGTGAAAGACAGGTCGGACAGGAGGCTTTTTGGCCTTATGCGGCGACGATGTACAGGAAAGGCCAGGCTATTGCCAACCCTGTAAATGACGTTAAAACAAGTAAATATTAAGTAAGCTATTTAAAAAAATAGCCATTTTTGCAGATACAGGAACTTGTTGTGGGGAAGAATATTGAGTTTGGATCGGTGCAGTAGCAGACTCCATTTTTAATTGACATATGAGTTGGGTCATAGCATGTTACACAAGCACCTGTATTTGTATTGCAAACTTTACAAGTCACAGTACAAGAAGCACCTAAGCTAGTATCGAACAACTCATCAAGCTTCTCAAGAATTTCATCAGTTTTGAAATAAGCTTTAGCTATACCTTTAACTGTATCATAAATAGCTGAAATTTCGTTTTCTGCTAGAAGTAGGGGTATATTTATTTTTATGAGTCCTAATTTTTGATCATAAAATTGGCTCGAGCAGTCTTCAAGAACCAAAGGATTCTTTGAATTTTTATCATTTTTGACAATCAAAATGATATCTGAGGCTAACATCTTTAAAATGTCTAATTGGTCAAATTCGGGACAAAACGGACTTTTTGACGAAGATGACAAAAGGGTTGTGAAAGTATCTTGAAGAATTATTTGGATTAAAATGTTACGGCGAACTGCATCTTTTAATTCTTGCAGCTCTAGGTCTCTTCAATTTGCAGAGGCCTTGTGGAAGAAAGATGGGGTATGTTTTGAATACTCATTCGACTTGGTTTATTATTGAAGATTTAGAATTTTGAATTACGATATTTAGTAGTGTGAGATTAAAGTAAATTTTACTTTTATAACCCCTTCCAGCCAGTAAACGAATCGGATATACCATTGATCAAATAATTAGGTGTAGTAAAAGATCAAACTACTCTGATCAGTCAGGAGGTATGATCTAATGACGACAAACAGTTCAGCAAAGCAAGGTGAAATGAATCTTTAAGAATCAACTGGTCACTGCTCAAAAATCTTAACTAAATTAATTAGTTTTGAAGAAGGTAAGACACTATTTGAATTGAAGATTCGAGAAACTCTGTGAGAAATTGCTTTGAGACTCCATCAAAGTCACTGCTAGTATCAAAAATGTAGTCAATGCGGAGATGCTCAGGAGAAAGTTTTGATGGTGAAAGAAAAGGAGGATCTGTGAAACCTGGAATTTTGCTGGTCATAGAAAAGACAATGCTCAGGAGAAATGTAGAGAAAAGCTTAAGTCCAACTTTCATATTTTATAATAACCACGTTTTTCTTATTAAATTTAGACATTGAAGGTAATTAAAGTTATATTAAGGGAGCACTTTTAGTGCGCTAGGGACAGAAGATTCATAAATTTTTATCTTGGTGCATAATTTTAGCTAAAGATAAATTTTTATATCACAGCTAAGACTTTAAACCTAGGTTTACTAAACGTTTTTAATCTAAATGCATGCTATAAGAGATCTCGAACTATATAATAGGCTAGATATCATGTTCCAAATCTTTTGTGTAATAAATCATTTTCTATATACTCCAAAATAAGGAGCGAATGATAGCAAAATAGCAAATTTATGATAAAATTATAGATCATGCAGAATTATATGCTTTATAGTATTCACTCGTAATAAAAAAGTAAGTATAAAACAATTAAAACATTTTATTTATATTCGGGCAAGATCAGCATTACATTGTGAGCTCAAAAGATTATATTTCAGGATTTTTATTAAATATCTAAGGAAATTTAAGATTATTAGCTAGAATAGATATTAAATAGAAGTTTGCGCTATATTTATATCTAGGGTGTTAGGGTGTTAGGGTGTTAGGGTGTTAGGGTGTTAGGGTGTTAGGGTGTTAGGGTTGTTAGGGTGTTAGGGTGTTAGGGTGTTAGGGTGTTAGGGTGTTAGGGTGTTAGGGTGTTAGGGTGTTAGGGTGTTAGGGTGTTAGGGTGTTAGGGTGTTAGGGTGTTAGGGTTAGGGTGTTAGGGTGTTAGGGTGTTAGGGTGTTAGGGTGTTAGGGTGTTAGGGTGTTAGGGTGTGTTAGGGTGTTAGGGTGTTAGGGTGTTAGGGTGTAGGGTTAGGGTGTTAGGGTGTTAGGGTGTTAGGGTGTTAGGGTGTTAGGGTGTTAGGGTGTTAGGGTGTTAGGGTGTTAGGGTGTTAGGGTGTTAGGGTGTTAGGGTGTTAGGGTGTTAGGGTGTTAGGGTGTTAGGTGTTAGGGTGTTAGGGTGTTAGGGTGTTAGGGTGTTAGGGTGTTAGGGTGTTAGGGTGTTAGGGTGTTAGGGTGTTAGGGTGTTAGGGTGTTAGGGTGTTAGGGTGTTAGGGTGTTAGGGTGTTAGGGTGTTAGGGTGTTAGGGTGTTAGGGTGTTAGGGTGTTAGGGTGTTAGGGTGTTAGGGTGTTAGGGTGTTAGGGTTGTTAGGGTGTTAGGGTGTTAGGGTGTTAGGGTGTTAGGGTGTTAGGGGTGTTAGGGTGTTAGGGTGTTAGGGTGTTAGGGTGTTAGGGTGTTAGGGGTGTTAGGGTGTTAGGGTGTTAGGGTGTTAGGGTGTTAGGGTGTTAGGGTGTTAGGGTGTTAGGGTGTTAGGGTGTTAGGGTGTTAGGGTGTTAGGGTGTTAGGGTGTTAGGGTGTTAGGGTGTTAGGGTGTTAGGGTGTTAGGGTGTTAGGGTGTTAGGGGTGTTAGGGTGTTAGGGTGTTAGGGTGTTAGGGTGTTAGGGTGTTAGGGTGTTAGGGTGTTAGGGTGTTAGGGTGTTAGGGTGTTAGGGTGTTAGGGTGTTAGGGTGTTAGGGTGTTAGGGTGTTAGGGTGTTAGGGTGTTAGGGTGTTAGGGTGTTAGGGTGTTAGGGTGTTAGGGTGTTAGGGTGTTAGGGTGTTAGGGTGTTAGGGTGTTAGGGTGTTAGGGTGTTAGGGTGTTAGGGTGTTAGGGTGTTAGGGTGTTAGGGTGTTAGGGTGTTAGGGTGTTAGGGTGTTAGGGTGTTAGGGTGTTAGGGTGTTAGGGTGTTAGGGTGTTAGGGTGTTAGGGTGTTAGGGTGTTAGGGTGTTAGGGTGTTAGGGTGTTAGGGTGTTAGGGTGTTAGGGTGTTAGGGTGTTAGGGTGTTAGGGGTGTTAGGGTGTTAGGGTGTTAGGGTGTTAGGGTGTTAGGGTGTTAGGGTGTTAGGGTGTTAGGGTGTTAGGGGTGTTAGGGTGTTAGGGTGTTAGGGTGTTAGGGTGTTAGGGTGTTAGGGTGTTAGGGTGTTAGGGTGTTAGGGTGTTAGGGTGTTAGGGTGTTAGGGTGTTAGGGTGTTAGGGTGTTAGGGTGTTAGGGTGTTAGGGTGTTAGGGTGTTAGGGTGTTAGGGTGTTAGGGTGTTAGGGTGTTAGGGTGTTAGGGTGTTAGGGTGTTAGGGTGTTAGGGTGTTAGGGTGTTAGGGTGTTAGGGTGTTAGGGTGTTAGGGTGTTAGGGGTGTTAGGGTGTTAGGGTGTTAGGGTGTTAGGGTGTTAGGGTGTTAGGGTGTTAGGGTGTTAGGGTGTTAGGGTGTTAGGGTGTTAGGGTGTTAGGGTGTTAGGGTGTTAGGGTGTTAGGGTGTTAGGGTGTTAGGGTGTTAGGGTGTTAGGGTGTTAGGGTGTTAGGGTGTTAGGGTGTTAGGGTGTTAGGGTGTTAGGGTGTTAGGGTGTTAGGGTGTTAGGGTGTTAGGGTGTTAGGGTGTTAGGGTGTTAGGGTGTTAGGGTGTTAGGGTGTTAGGGTGTTAGGGTGTTAGGGTGTTAGGGTGTTAGGGTGTTAGGGTGTTAGGGTGTTAGGGTGTTAGGGTGTTAGGGTGTTAGGGTGTTTAGGGTGTTAGGGTGTTAGGGTGTTAGGGTGTTAGGG